CACATATATACACATATGCACATATATACACATATGCACATATATACACATACACACACATATATCATTTCCCCGCTGGATTTCTGGGCAGAAGGAGGATCGAAAGCTCGTTTCGAGGGGCTGGATCTGGGCAAGGAAGGTCGACCTCGTGATCAATCACACCAGGACATACATAACGAGGAGAAACGAGCTTTCTGTCGAGCCCAAAGCCTATAGTATATGCATACCGCTGGGGTTGGAAGTCACAGAATGTGGATTTCAACTGGGACGGACACTGAGCTTGTACAGGCTGCAATGATGACGAACCACAGTGTCAAACAACTGACCAGTCTGACCAGACCGACGATGATTGGGGGTGGGATGACTCAAACGACATTTCTAGTCCAATATGACTACAACCTGTCCAAGTGGTTCCACGATGCCGAGTTTCGTCGATGGCTGTACAATATCTACTACACGCGAGAACTTGTCCCGGTCAGTGAGACTGACAAATATGAGATTGCTAGAGGCAGGGGGTAGGTCCGGGCTCGGCCGAGTCAGTCGAGTCAAGAAATGGGCTCGATCGACTGGACTGCGTGAGCTTTTGCTCAGTGAAATTCGCGTATCGATACCCTCACTGATTTCTCAGACAGTCGAGGCGTAGCAGATATAGAAACACCTGCACCAAGAGCACAAGTACGTATTGTATTGCCTCAAGCTAGCAGCACAACATATCAACCATAATATTCACTTCCAATCCAAAGACATTCTGTCCATTCCAACTCCATCGCTAGAAACCTGGAGGAACAAACCAAACACAAGAACCAGAGATCAGGGATGTACCGTCGACTTGAACCCCGTAGCAGTCCATGTCATCGTCTGGAAACCTTCCTCATCGGACGATTCCCACCTCCAAACTCGGCCGGGTCGACGGTCCGATAGCCACTCCGACCACTCGGTTTCCGCGCCGGCCGTTCCGGGGAATGCTCCTCGATGACTTCAACAATATCCTCCTCGGCGCTAGGCGCGACATCCTCCTCCACCACGACCCTTTCTTCCACGACCCGTTCCCGTCGCGGACCGCTCGCTTCCGTCATGGCTCTGCTGCGACTGCGACTCCGCCGCGGCGACCGTCGACGGTGGCGCACAACGTCCTCCTCGACCACCGTCTCTCGGTTGCTACCGTACCCGGATAGTCGAAATGCCGAGAGGAAGATGTACAGAATCAGAATGAACCCGGCGATCGAGCCGAGAACGATCCCAACCAGCGCACCAGGCGCAGGGCCGCTGTTGAGGCCGGCGTATGTTGTGGGGATGGCGAGGATGGCATTCTGGCGTTTCGAGAGCGGCGAGGCAGGGATCAGGACGGGATGGATGGCTTGGGAGACGGAAGAGTGTGGTGTGAGGACGGCGTCTGTGAGTGTTCGTTTAGACAGGTTGATCGTGCCTCGGATGATCAGGGCGAATAATGATGCGAGGGGTGTCTTCTTGGAGGATGTGGCCCGTGAAGATAGAGTCTTGACGGAGGAGGATAGTGATCGAGAAATGATCGCGTTCAAATGCTGGCCTGAGGCACCCGAGGGAGAGATGGTAGGTGCCATGTCGCAGTGGATTCGGATGTCAAGGCGTAGATGAGAATATGGTAAGGTGGGCAGTGTTCGACTGTTGGATTGTAGGGTCACGAAGCTCGTGCACGGGGGAGATTTGGTCCTTTTGCTGCGGATGAAGCAGGACCGTGCCAGAAACTAGGGAGGGGACGTCCCGTAAATTGGGGAGCAAGCCCGTGCTTTTTCCTGAAGACGCCTTTTGTATCCCTCCCTTCTGCACGCCGTGCCTTTTTTGTGTTCTGTCCGCTGAATGCACTTCACTCAATGAACAGGCCTGGAGGACGCCCTTTGCGACCAATGTGCTCACTTCACCGTTCTCGACAGTGCCTTAAGGGGTTGACGGTAGAACTGTCCTGCCCTGGGGTCTGTGCCACCTTCTGCACAGTCCTCTGGTGGACACAATCAAAGGCTCTCGACGTGTCTCCTTCTTTGCGCAAACCACCTGCTCTTTGAAAGTCCTCGATAGGCAGAAACACTAAACGCGGACGCATCCAGCGCGGCTTAGACCGAGCAGGAGTATGAGAGTCTTTTGATTTCCGGTTTACAAAGTTCGAATCTCAAACCGCGAATCGTGGTTTCGGTTCCGGTCTCGTCGGCGATTTCAGCTGGTATCGGTAGCGGTGAACGTGGGCGTAGTGGATGGGTCGGTACGAGAAGATGGGAAAGGCGAGACGGTAACTGCCTTCCTTTGAGGCCTGTTGAACGAAAGACAAGAATAATATGCAACAATTCTGTGGAGGACACTGCAACTTCTCCCAGCTGGCGAAAAAGGAATGGGAAAGCAAGAGGAGGGAATACAAAAAGCAAAGGGACAGTGAACATGTGGAATGATGATGGATGGTGTTCACATCTCGATCATTGAGTGTCTACTAGTATCTAGTATCTAGCATCCACCCCCAGCCACGTCAGATCACATACCCACCCACCACTGGCACCACCGCCATCAACGTCCACACAACATCACATCTAGGTATCTGGGTGGTTGGTGTTTGACCTAACTATTCTGTGCTGTGATATAATTCCATAATCCTTGCACAAAATCACTCATCACGTAGTAGGATCCATTGGCATGGTGTCGTGGTGTCGTGGTGTCGTGGTGCCGTGGTGCCCATAAGCCTAGGCTGAGAGCCGCCTAAGCCTTAGCCCCTGTGTCCCCAGCCTTGTCATTATCCAAATGAAGCAACCCGAAGATTGCTCATCTCGTCAACATCGCCCACTGTATCCATGTTCGCGGCTTCAATCTAAGCCATGCACGCCATCGTAGGACCATCCAACCTATTAACCTTTATTTTCTTCCCTCTTGTGTCCGTTCATATTTGAACCAGTCCGGAATATTCGTCCAATCCCATGCATTGCGTCTTCGTCTGAGTCCAGACGTCGTTTCCCCATAAGTCGAGATTCTAGGGTTGCGGCGACAATCTGCGAAGATAACGGCGTCATCATCGACATCAGGCGCAGAAGAGTCCATTGCCTCGGTCTTGAGATTCTGAATCTTCTTGTCTTCATCTTCGTCTTCGTTCTTGGTGTTGATGTCTGTGGCGCAAGCAGATCCATCCTTCATAATGCTGGATCGCTTGATTTCTTTCTCTTCCACCTTGACTTTGACTTCTGATTCCACTCCCTCATCATCGTTCTGGTTGGTGGCGGAATGCCGCTCGTGGCTCGAATCTGATCTGGCATAAGCATTCGAATTGGAAGTTCGTGCATTTTGGCCATGCTGATCGTCATGCTCAGGAGCATCAGCCTCATTCACACGCTGGATGTGTTGGACGTGCTCTTGACCCGATTCTATCATCCTCCCTTCTTGTCCTATCACTTCCTCGATTTCTTGTCCTGGTCCACAATCCTGGAGCCCAGCCAGAATGGTCTGCCCCTTATCCTTTGCATGTGACCCCTCGTTGTCGTTGGTGCTGTTGTCTTTCATGTCAGCCTCGTCGTCCGCAAAATATCCACACTCTTGGTCTGGTTCTTGGCCATTGAACCCGCTTGGCTCATCCTCCAGGTCTGCATCGTGGTCCTCGTCATGGTCCCGGTCCTGGTCATTGTCACCCACTTCAGCAACGACGTCCAGCACAGACATCCTATTCTCCGGCTCTGTAGCATCGTTCACCTTCAGATGCGTAATGTTTTCCTGCAACCCCATGTCCAGACTCTGATTACTCCGACACTGATCTCCAGACACAATCTTCAACAGCATAGCCAGAATGAGCAAGATCACTTCCTCGAAAAATACCAGGAAACATCTGGTATTGAAGACACAGCTCTCATGGCTATCATCACTCCCTCCCGAACTTGCTGACACTGAGTAGAACGAGTCTTCAATCTGTTCTTCGTATGGCGAACAACCAGTGTTCTCGCTCATCATTGTCAAGTATCGCAGGAATGCTGCAAGAATTTCTCTTTCATGAACACAGCCATTGATTGGTTCTCGAGAAGTAGATGTGCTATATTTCCCACTCATATCATCACTCAGGCTGTCGTTGTCGCTGCTGTCCTCGTCAATGTGGTCAATGATGGCGTCGATATATCGATGGAGGATGAAGTTGCCATTGATGCTGGGTGATTGTTGCTGTTGCAGCTCAGTCTGTTGAGCGGCTAGATCGGCCTTTCTGATGCCATAACGCACGGTCCCAAACAAGACGTATCTGTTCCACCATGCCAGTCTATGATCTTTGGCTTTCTCGTGGAGCCAGACTCCGAGAAGGATACCGAAGGTCAGTTTGCTGAAAAGGAGTTTGGCGGTCCATGTGGCTCCAGATAGGTCAAGTGCCGTGCTAATCGTTGGTAGATACTTCATAGCGATTGAGACAAGGAGATCAAAGAAGCAGAGGGCCGTCAAGCTGGATAGAAAGAAATTCAGAGGATTTGCCGGGATTGGTTGGAAGACTGATTTGCAGAAAATAGCGGAAATGTCCATATTGAATCGGTCTCTGTCGATGGTCGTAGGAAGTCTGCTCTTTGGATGTGGAATGTATTCTCGTTGGGATTGCGCAGGGAGTGTTTTTTTTTTTCTTTTTCTGGATGATGATCTCCTGAAACACACAGTAGGAACCTTTGGGTTGTCGTCTCGCTGTTGTCTGTTGCAAGTGTAAAGAAGGAGGAGAAGAGAAGAACATCAAGGAAGATATATAAGTGCCAGGAAAAGTAAGATGCCCGCCTCACCAATGTCACTGCGTAGATTGTACAAAGACTGCCTTGCTCCATGAATGCTGCTCTTGGAACGGGTAGTTGTTCAGGATGAGACATAGGGGGTTGTATTCCTGCTGTTTCTGTTTACGACTGTTGCAGCTGCTAGAGTGAGAGCGCAGCTAGCATTGTACGCAAAGGTCTAGTGTCTCGGAGCCTTTGAATATCCAGGGCGGAGTCTCATACTCCTTTGATCGCACATGGCCATGGACGATCATGTTTTGGAAAGTGTTGTACTCGTAAGACAAATGTATGGGAAAACCATGGCAAGGCTGAGGTATGCTGCGATGGCGCCGACCAAAATAAAAGACAACTCAGACAGGTGCACCTCTGGAGTGAACAACCGCCTGCAAGTGTCTTATTTCACAGGTACATCATCGCAATGCGCTTTGTTGTTGGTTGGCATCAGCGCCAGACAATACATACTGACGGATGTCTCCTCAAATCCAAACGTTTCCATGATTTCTGACAAACCACCTTATGATCTTGGGGGCACTCATAGAGCGAGACACAGGTCGCCCGTACGTTCAATTGTAAGTTGTCATATTCTATCGACCAAAACAATCAGAATAATCCTCGTGTCACCGTGAATCTTGGCTCCCTGGGTGACCGTTGTCGTTGCCGTGATGAAACACTAGTGCCTGCCACGCCTGCCCATCCACAAACATGGCATGCTCCTCACGAGGCATCGGACGAGCGTGACTGATCATCTTCATATCGTTGATCAGGCTGGCTCTGCAATTGGCTGGTCCACAGCTCATGATACGCCCCCGGTTGGTTTACCAAAACATCATGTGTGCCTGATTCCACGACCCGGCCATTTTCGATAACAAGAATGAGGTCGGTATGAAGAATGGTGGACAATCGATGAGCGATCACGAATGTGGTTTTGCCAGCACACAGAGTTTGGAGACTCTTCTGGATCTGTTTTTCCGTGACACTGTCCACACTGCTCGTGGCCTCGTCCAAGAGTAGGATATCCGCCCTCTTCAGCATTGCTCTTGCGATAGCCAACCTCTGTAACTCCCCACCGGACAGTTTGGTCCCGCGCTCACCGACCTTTTCTTGATACCCGTTAGTGAAGGACATGATCTTGTCATGCAATGCTGCAGCCTTGCACGCCTCCACCACCTCTTCGTCCGTTCGCTCGTGGTCTGGGTATTTCACGTTGTCGAGGATGGACATGTTGAAGACGGCGGCCATTTGTGGCACGATGGCCACGTGTCGACGAAAGCTTTCCACCGTGACATTCCGGAGATCTTGACCGTCAATAAGGATCCGACCTTCATCGGCGTCATGAAAACGGAAAAGGAGTTTGAGAATCGTGCTCTTGCCGCCTCCTGTCTGCCCTACCAATGCCACAGTTTTGCCGGGTATGGCTCGGAATGATATGCCGTCAGTGACCTTCCGCTTGCCGTCATAAGAGAAGGAGACATTCTCGAACTCGACGGCACCGGCGAGGAAAATAAACGGTCGAGCGTCTGGTGCATCTTGGACGCGTGGAGTCTTTTCGAGCAAGACCAGGAGTTTCTCGGCGTTGATGAGCTTGTGACTGACCTGCGATATCTCGGTCGCCATCCTGCCCAAAGGCCCTGTCAGCTGGGCCCAGTACGATGTCAACACCACAAAGTCACCGATCCGGCGTTGGCCGCGTTGGATCTGCAAAGCTGCCACGCTACACGCCGCGAAGAAGCTGACTGCGGGTACGGCATGACGAAGGCCTCTTGTCCATGTATCATAAAACCACCATAGCAAAATTGCGGCTCGGGTCGTGTCACCATTCTCTCTATAACGTTGTATCTCAAAGGGTATTCTCCCAAATTGACACGCTGTTGACCAATTCAGCGTTGACTCAGTCATCTGGTAATGCTGCTCGTGCCACGCGTCGAGCCATGATCGCCTCAGGGACTGTCTGCCGTGTATTGCGCTGAAAGTCAACCAGTAAAACAGAACCATTGTCATTGTAATGATGAACATCAAGTACAAGCCAAAGAGACATGTCAGGACCACGGCGGAAGCAGTGAGGTCAACTATGGTGGGCAAAAAGCTGAACAAATAGTTCTGAAGAAGTCCAATCACATCCTGCCCTTGACGCATTATACTCCAAATGACCGAAGATCTCTTCGAGTCATGGAAATCAGCAGACAAGCTCATGATGTGATCGTATGAGTGGCGGTTCAGAGCTATAGTCATATCGGTGGTGACTTGACAAGTTAACCAGTGCTCAATCAAACAAAGCCCTGCCGGTGAAGCAAGGAACTGAAGAAGGCCATATGCCCCTATCAAGCCCCAGGGAACTTCTGTTCCAAGACGGTTGACAATAGCTCCAAGTATCAAGGGTAGGGCAACTGTCACAATCCTTGTTAAAGCACTGCAAATGAGCATGCCGCACAAGAAAGCCTGCTGTCGTCGAGACCGCGGGTACATATAAGGGACAAAGACCTTGAAAGAAAACAAGTATTGCCAGAGGGGTCGGTTGCGGATTTCTTGTCTGTCGAGCTCTTCTTGATCCGTTCCCTTGGATTGAGCGGGTTGTTTCGACTTGGCTGAACCATTGCCGTTTCCCAGGAGTGGCTGTGTTTCCACACAATAGGTCTCCTTCTGTTTGAACCTGGCAACTTCGACCAGCAAACTGCTCCCGAGAAGGCACAGTGCTATCGCAATCTGAGAACCTTGCAATATGCTGCTCGCGACATCGAGGCTGCCATTTGTGGAGGAATTGGTGGCCTTAAGCACAAAACCCAACCCTTGCAGCATGAACAAAAAGCCCCAAGCACCACAATAAGGGTAGGATGTGGTGTCTGAGGCGCCAATGAGACCAAGTAGTAGTATTGTCCACACCAGGAAGAGGTAGAGAGCATATAAAACCTCAGGATCAGCAAACTCAAAGGAGTTTGGTCTTTTCATCTCCACTAAGGACTGTGCAGCACACAGCAGTGCAGCTACAGAAGAGAGCAATAGTTGACCATGGTGTAGTCGTTTGTTTGTAGCTGAACGTGCAGTTGAGAAGGAGGCAACGATAGACGCCACAGCATAGTAGACGACTGTTAGGCTAATAGTGAGGACTTGAAGCATTCTCAACATGAGATTGTGCGTATTCGAGACGTGCAGCAGCATATTTTCCATTTTCCCTTCCGTATGTGATCAAGGAGAAGTACCTTGACCGAGAGATCAAAACCTGCTTTCATTCAACCATCATTCGCCAGCTTTTTGTTGTTGTTTGCTTTGCCATCGATCCATGGAATCTGGATGAATCTCTGTTGTTCCAGAATTTGGAATAGTTTGGAATAGGGACACAGTTACGAACAAGGAAACAAATGTTGTCTTTGTCTCTTGCCAACACCCCAGTGTGGTTGCCTGCTGAGGTTGGCACGTTACGCATGGGGAGCATGAGGTCAATTAACACTGTCCGCAAGCCACGCATTCCAAGCAAGACTGCCTGATATATCGCGGAGTCATCATGCACAGGGTAATGTCTCGTCCAGGTCTCGCCAATGCCTTTGCTGTCTATGGTGAGGCCGGAATCCGATGGCAGGTCCTATAAGGGCCAACGAATGAATGGCCGATCACCGACATCTAGGCTATCCGCCGCTTTCCCGAAAGGTTGAAATGCATAAGGACGAAACTCGTAGGGCACTCGCTGCATGCCAGCTGTACACAGTAAGGCCCACTCGGGCAGCAACATGATCATGTATCCTGCCATGCAGGCTACTGGAGTGACTCATGTCGCTTGAGGTCTTCCAATCCGCCACAATACAACGGCTGTCGATCTGTTGGTCGGCGAAGAGGCTCTTATTCGATGTAACAAGAGGGGGTTGATGCACATTCTGGAACCAGGCAGCGGTAGCAAGACTAACTGTTAGAGCTAGCCTTGGTAACGGAGGTAGCAATGCTAGAGCGAGTGTCGGGAAAGGCCTGCAGCCCATGTGATCTGCCGTGGTTGCGGTGCAAACAAGGGTGCGAAGCCTGACGAATCAGTTTCGATGTCTGTTGTCGTACGGCGTCCAGCGGCTGTAGGTTGCAATGCTTAAAAACAAGGCGACAACGCCCCGCCTTCTTTCATCTCGGGTCGCTTGTAAAAGTGACACGCAGAAACCGTGTGCTTTCACCCGCGGCCCAGGTTGAGGGACCTAACTTGTGGCATCTGCGCAGATTTTGTTTCAGGATATCCGAAGAATGGCGCGACGGCGACGTCGACGACTTCTTTGAAGAGCCCACCAACGACAGCGTCTTGTAAATCTTCACCAGTTTGCTTAAAGTCTGGATAGGCATTGAGCTCTAGCAACCAGACATTAGCATCTTTATCGACCAAGAAGTCGACGCCAAATATCTCAAACCCATTGGGCAGTGTTTGAAAATGCACCATCTGTTCGCGGGCGGCAGCCTCGAATACTTCGCCAGTAATGTCACAGATCTGCTTGAATATGGCTTCTTTCCATCCCCTTTGCATGCCGGGAGAATTGAGAGTCCAGAAGCGATGGACAGATGATTCTTTGGTGGCTTCATCTTGGAAACAGGTATTTGTCAAATGTTGTGCCAGGTCGAGGACTTCAGCATCCTCTGTGATGGAGGGCGATTGATATGGCTTTGCGGCAAACAGGGCCAGCATTTCTTTGTATACATAGACTTTCAAGGCGCCAACGGCCAACACGTACGCCCTGATGTGGAACTTCCGGTTGCCGTACGCATCGAGCAGGAGTGGAGGGTCGATGTAGGGTTGAGCGATGAAATGGCGGAGCTGGGAAGTCATTGCGTTGCTGTCTTCAGACGTGTCCTGTCCATTTGATTTGACATCAATAGGTGAGCCGTTGTCCTCTTCCGAGTCCTCGTCTGGATTGGGCTCCTCCCATTCTTCAAAGATTGTTTGCAATTCATCCATGCTGGAGAACAGTCTTATGCCGTTGCCACCGTCACTCATTCCCGGTTTAAGGATCCACCACGTCTTCTGTTCTGGGGAGGTTCTCTGTTCGTTTTCGGCCATGCTTTCGTTCAAGTCCCAAGCATCCACCAATGCTTCATCCAGAAACTCTGCATAGTCGAGCTCAAAATGCACACAGGGCTTGAAATGTCTGGCCAGGACGCTGTCCGGATGTTTGACAAGCCACGTGGATACCGTATTCGACAGATAATGTTTGCGGATCAGGGCTTTTCGAATGATGTACGCGCATACGAGAGAAGTCCGCGAATGTTCCATGGCATGTTCAAAATCTAAGGCTTCATACGCGGTGAACTGCAAGACACGGTCTTCTGGACTCGGCAGGTCACTAAGCGAAGATATGAGGCTCATCGATGCGTTCTTGAGACCGCTTAGGGCCTGCAGTATGAGAGGCTGCACATATGTGTCTGGATAGTTGACCAGCGCATATAACGGCAACGTTGACTGAGCTGTCTCCTGGCTCGCAGAGCTTCCTGCGGTATCATCCCTGGACGCCCGTTCAGCAAGACCGCGCAGACCAGACACGACTTCAATGCCCTTGACTAACTTACTCACAGCTTGATTTCGCCTGTATAGTGAGGCAAGTGCCAGAAGTTGGCCACTAACGGAGTTACACTGATACTGTCAGTAAGACGAGTGTTTTTGGCATGTGATCAGATACGTACGTGACGTTGCCTTGGAGCACCTCCCATCCATCTCCCTTCTGGGCGTCCGTAACAGCCTTGCGCACGTCTGCAAAGTTCGGCGACCACTTGAACTTTCGATGAGCACGTTTCGGAATCTGGACGTTTGCATCCCCATTGGCTTCGCCATCTTCACGAATAACCTTTTCTTCGACATTTGGATTGTCGTCTTCTGCTTCCTCCGGTAGTTCCTCGAAGGAGCTTCCGCTGGACCAGGAATTCTGGAGCATTTCGGCGTACACGATTTTCGCACTCTCAACGCCTTTGCGAAGAGGTACGTTGATACTGTAGAGATGGACATCGTCCGGCCACTCTTTCATCAACTTCTCGATTAGTTTCGTGCTCAACTTCGACGCAGCAGAGATGATTTCTGGATCATGCTCTCTCGAGTCAAAAGCGTACGACAAGGCAATGCTTTTCTTTCCACTCATAGCACCTTCCAATGCTCCGCCAAGGGTGCCGCTGGATAGAGCAAAGACGGCCGTGGTGTTGCGGCCGTAATTTGGACCGCTGAGGACAAGGTCAATGGGGCTTTTATCGTTGAACACGTGGTGAAGACCAATCTGCACACAGCTGGCTGGGGTACCGTCGATCAGAACCCATTCCTCGCCCCCATCATTGAAGGGGCGGGCGGAAGTGATGCCATCGTCCTTGTGAAGAGTGCCGGGGCGGAAGTAAGATGGAGTCAAAGTTTGGCCGACCATATGAGCCTTCCCAATCCATGATCTCTGAACGTGAGGGAGGGCTACCGAGACCGAATGGCCGGCAGACTGAAGAGTTGCTACGAGAGAGTGAACATATGGCGAGGACTCGTTGGACGGAGGCCCGTCATCGTTCACAACCTGGCGACGGTCGTCAGTTTTTGAGAAGAGCGAGGAATGCAAAAGGCCTTACAAGGATATGCATAGCGAAAGGAACTATAACTGTAGTATCAAGCCCACCGATACGCCGATAGTCTATACATAGTGAAGAAAATCTCCCCGAGTAACTTGAACGTCGGGGAAAACGGAGCATGTCATTATAGATTCCCTAAACCTTGGCGGCGAGAGGTTGATCGACGGAATTGGTAAAGCGGCACCACCTTTTTACGCGGAGCACATAGATCTCTACAGGCATCTAATAAGGCAGTTCACGGGGTAGCCCACAGCGTAGTTAATAGTGTATCCAACAGAGCATCCAGAGTTTCTTATAGCGTCGCCTACAGGGTCGCGTACTCGGTCGCGTATAACGTCGCTTCAGTCTAGAGACCGCCGCTTTCATAAAGCGTTCCTCCAGGCGTGGAAAGGCGGCGCAAGTTGGTTAAGGCGGCGCAGATTTGGCGGGCGTAGGTCAAAGCAGCGCGAGTCATGCGGACGCAGATATGGCGGCGCAAATCAGGCGGCGCAAAAACGGCGGCGCAGGTTAACAGGCGACAATGACGAGAGTCATTAACTACGTAGCACAGTAGTACCACGTACTACACAGATGGCATGTTGACATTATTTGCATATTGCAAGTCCGCGCTCCGATGAAACACACCTAGCTGCAAGCTTCTTGACCATCTGGAAGCACACGTGAACAGACAAAATGCGAGAGACCCATCGTAGTTCACGATCCCGTTCTCCTCATCGACATGAAGGCAAGAGATCCCGCCATCGATCCCGGTCACCTCAGCACACCTCCCCGAGAGTGGCCCTGCCCTACAATGCCCGCGAGATCTCGCGCCATGACCTAGATCTATATCGACCAATGTTCGCAGTGTACCTCGACATACAGAAACAATTGGAGATTGTCGACCTCGACGAGACCGAGGTGAAGGGCAGATGGAAAAGCTTTGTGAAGAAATGGTACAGTCCGCATCCGACACATGATGGCCGGGAACTGGCTTTCAGGAAGTTACTAACATGCCAGGAATCGTGGAGAACTAGCGGAGGGTTGGTATGACCCGAAGACACTCGAGAAAGCCCGCACATCTGTCCAGACATCCAAGGCTCCAGCAACAAACACTCAAGAGGCCGACGCTGGGTCGGGCGACGACGACGAATACGGTCCTCCGCCGCCAACCTCAATTGGTCCGTCGCGGAATAACACTACTGTCCGAGACACGGCTTTTGGAGCATCTATACCCTCCTTGCAGGATCTCCGAGCGCGAGATGAACAGGCGCAAGAAGAAGCGGCCTCGGCCCGAGGCAAGCAAAGAGAGGGCCTTCGTCACGAACGGATAATAGACCGGAAACTGCAGAAGGAACGGCTCGAGGAGATCGCACCCCTCGCCGAGCCAGGGACTCGTGAACGCCAGCTTGAGAAGAAACGAGAAAAGGCCGACTCCAACCGGGCGTTTGCCACGGCTAAGGAAGACGGGGATGTGGAGCTCAAAGAAGCCGACGTCATGGGCGATGAGGATAGTCTGGGCCAGCTGAAGAAGATGCAGAAAGAAAACGAGCGGCGGAAGAACGAGAGGGAAATCCGCAAAGAGGAGATCATGCGGGCGAGACGTGCAGAGACAGAGGCGCGACTGGCGAAAATGAAAGAGAAAGAAGACCGCACGATGGCTATATTCAAGGAGATTGCAAAGGCTAGATTCGGTGGAGGAGCAGGCGACGAACAGTCATGAAAACAGAGCAGATTTTCATTAAAAGTCTCAACTCGATGTAAGAGCGGCCACCGCCTCAGCGCCGTCGGCCTGCGGTGTGCTAGACCCATTTGTGGCAGGACCACCACCACCTGCCGACCCAGTGTTGAAGTCCTTCGCCTTGCTGGCCGCCGCCATCTGCCATGCCGGAATGGCTGCTTTGTTGCCGGAGGAAGCGAACGGTGCGGCAGAGGCGGGTCTGGGAGTTGCCGCGGAAGATGCAGGCACAGACACGGATGAAGGATACGTTGCGCCAGTGGCCGTGGAGTGCGTCTGTCTTGGAGGTCCTGGGTGCGTGCTGTTGCTGGGTGCCGTTTCGGCTGAAGGAGTTCCAGCAGCACTGTTCGAGCTCGGGATCGTACCAGGCTGAGTCCGGGGGATTCCTTGACCGCCTGCCCCCAAGCCGCTGGAGCCACCGATCCGGTTCCCTAGTAGCAATTTCAGGCTTCCCAGTTCACTGCTCAACTCCTTCAATTGCCTCTCACTAGCCTCTTTGACACTTTCGACCGACCTTGGTAGACTTTCCTTCATATTCCTAATTTCGGCCTCCATCCGTCGCGCGTCATCCTCTCTTCGCATGTTCGCCGTCTTCAGCTCGCCGACGATCGTCTCAATGTCTGTTATGGTGTTATCCAGTCTTTGTGTCCTGGCTTCTTCGGCTTCTTTCAGCGCAGCCGTGTCGGAAGACAACGTATCCAGTAGTGCGAATGCCTTGTTGAATTGCTCGTCTATGGCCGCCTTGTCCTGCTCGAGCTGCGGCGGCGTGGGCGGTGCTATTAGAGGCTTGACATATCTCTGCGCGAGGACGTAGAGACCATAGCCGGCGCCTCCAACAACCGTGGCCATGATGAACCAATCCCTCCAGTCCCGTCTGGGGGGCTCAGGAGGCGGAGGAGGTTGCCATTCGCCATAAGGATTGTAGGGATACGAGTATTGCGGACCCGGAGGACCTCGCGCTTGTTGGGAGGGCGGATAATATGCGGCGTTTTGTGGCGGTAGTGGTTGAGGAGGTCCGGTGCTGGCGCGTGCAAGAGATAGATCGATCTCCTCTTGCGTGAGATTCTTCGATTTGAGGAATTCAATCCTCTTTTCGAGAGGAGCAGACGCAACGGATGGGTCTTGAAGAAAGGTGACGGCGGAGGAAACGATGTCCTCCCGCGGCGCCATGTTTGGCGACAGGCTCTGGAGCAACCCAGCTATCCCATGCGATGTTCGTTGTGATTCGGGCGTCACGCACACCTTATGGACTGATGAGAACTCCAGATCTTGATGAAAAGATGCAATTAGGAGGCTGGCGGTCGGAGATGGCTGATGATGATGACCGAGGTAATTCGAGTTGACGGCTCAACCCTCTTTCGGCAAGGAGTGACGCCGCCCTATAGTCACAGTCTGGTCAAGGGTCTGGGTTCCCATACACGAGCCGCCCTGTAGGTTCGATTCGAAGAGGACAATTAAGACGTGGTATGTTGTTCAATGCAGTACTATATATGTTTTCCTCTCAAGATACTAAATCATACCCTGTTCGAAGCTACTGTCCAAATCTTCCATCTCGACGACGTTGATTGGTAACGACAGATCGGGAGAATAGTTCATCGGCCTGAAGTTCTCGATTCCACCCAGATTATGCCCTGTGGATGAGCCTTGTGGCATCGTCTTGATCGACATGATTGATCTGAAATTGATCACATCTTCCCACGTATCTTCGACGGCGTTGTATACAATGTGCAGAGGGTCGATAAACTCGGCCAGGAGTCGGTAGACATGGTCGATATGTAGCACTTCCGTATATTGGGTCGCTATAAGGTGAACAAACCAGTTCCTTTCCAAGAACCCCCTCATAGCCATAGCACCTACCATAAGTAGGTTGAACACCGTGCAGTGACACAGTTTAGTGATTGCGAACATGTCCATTTTGGAGAGCCTTGACTGAAGGTCCAGGGCCTGTGAGCGAACACGTGCTGCGGAGGTGTTGAAGCTGATGTTGTTGAGGTAGACGGATAGGAAGAGTGCAATCTGGTAACATCGTTGTAGTTCGACAAATTCGCCCTGTTGCAGGAAGTGGCTATTGGGGTCCATTCTGGCAATAGCAGGTGCTGTCTCTGGGAGCAATTTTGCACTCGGGCTTTCGGCGCGCCAGATGAGTCTTCGTGCGCCGACGGCAGCACAGAAGGTGTACCATTCTCGATCACAAGTCCACAGCTTTCGATCCAGTTCAACAACTTCCCGAACGTGGCCAGAGCCCCGGGCGCCCTGTCGTCGGCCCCTGACAAGCACAACTGACGAACTGTGGAGGAAAGCACTTATGATGTTGATCTTGCCACTGAATATCTCTTCAGCCAGAGCCCACCAGTGGATTTGGACGTAAAGACAACACTTACACGGCCATCTCCTTGTCCAAGTCGACATCCTCGACACCGATCAATCCGGAAATTCTCCGTAGAGCTTTGAGATGCATTCTGCCTGTCTCCCCATCGGAAAGCAGGATCTGCGAGTGTCAGTTCTAGAGAAGGAAACAATGCTCCCGAACACCTGGCAGCAATATGCAAGCATCACCAGCAGACCGGGGCAGAGACTGGACGGCAGTATGCACTTACCGAAAGCCTGAGCAGGAAGAAGATCGCTTGATAGCACGACTCGTCCAACTTTCGGGATGACAGATCACTCAGAATCGCATTCAGTTCTGCCAGACAATACGTCTGCAGGCGTAGCCATGACGGAATCTCCCACAGAGGTTGCTGGCCCTTCTCGACCGGCGGAGGCAGTACCACACCGGGACCTCCGCGCAGTGACCCGGCCAAAAATACGGAAGCATAAGCTGCTACGGCGTAGGCCAGCACCGGAGAAGATTGGATCTGAGACAAGTTATCAATCCAGGACCATCCTTTTATCAGATGGACTGCAAATGGTCGAAGGATCTTGATGTAGAAGAAGAGGTCTGCCTGTATTTCACGGTCATACTTGAAGCTGTCGGGCACAAACGGATCCAGAGTTTGGCTACCGAATCTCAAGATCTGGGGGACGATGCTGCCGTCGATCAGAATCAGCTTCTCTGGCCTGTCTGCCTGCAGGCAATGCGACTCGAAGGGACCGTAAACCCAGCGACTACTACTTTCCAACAGTTGCTGTCGATACTCGGAGAGTACTTGGTTGTCGGTTTCCTCGATGGCTTGGGTGACATTGTTTGCAGAGCGAGTGGCCTCGCTTGGCAGAACCGAAGTGAGAATGGCATTTGTCGTATGGTCAAGCAGGAGATTCTGGCGATGCGTTTTTCGCCAACCTCGATACCGCCGGGACACATGGGAGGTGATCGCCTTTGCTTCTGCCGACGCCTTTTTGTAAGTACCCCGGTTAAAAGATTGTGCATCTCGAACGATGAACAATAGTGGTCGAGGCTCCTGACGACAAGCCATATTGTACCGCGGAGGGTCAGCACTTGTCACTGACTCTCTTCACCTGCAATCTTCATCTTCACTTCTGAACCAGAGCCAAAGACATCTATGCAGAAGAGGGGCCATCTCAGCGTCGCACAATTGCAATTGCCGCCCAATAGTCAGCCAAAGGCCCAGATGCTTGCCTAGCCGCGGCAAGAGCGTCGCCAAGAGGAACCATCACAGTCCAAGTCTCACTTGCAGGGGTGTTTGGTCTTTCTGTATAGGTCCGAATCGGGAATATGGGGCTAGGGAGGGCGCGCCTTGCTTACACATCCTTATTATTAGCTCACCGACGACCAGTCACCGTTCGAAGAGACAACTCCTCAAGAGCTCCTGAGCCTCCATGTGTGCATGTACTTACCTACATTGGACAAGGTTTGGCGACTCGGTCCAACTATGTTCGCGCTTATTCATGCTCTGCATAAGGGCCGGCTGGTGGTTGCAGGACGGAAGCGAGGAGGCCACCGTTCACTCGTCAACGCGCTTCATCTCAACAGCCCAGATCATCGCTTAGAGATAGAGCCTCGGGAACTTGTCCCAGAAACCGTTTTCGCATCCAGTTGGTTCATGTGCTGGTGAGATCTCCAGGTTGCTACCATATGTTACATAAAGTAAGTTACTTCTTTAACTTCCCGCGGCCTCCTTCACTCCAGTTCAAACATAAACAAATAAGGTATCCGGGGTTTTTCTCTTCACTCTTTGGTTGTCGAAGGTCAGCATGGACAAGTCTCAGACCCCGGGTCTCAACAAATTGCCAAATATTCCTACAGTCGTCGAGGTCGAGACCGAGTCAGATGACGAGCGCCGACGCGTGTCCAGCGATATCCGAAAGGATGAGACGTATGCCGAAGCCGTTCGGAAGTATCCACGTCCTTTCCTGTGGTGCATGTATATTGTCTGGGTGATGCTCAGCTCCAATTACATCAACACAGCTGGAAGCTCAGTCCTCGGCATCCCTCGCTTCAGAAAGGACTTTGGCCGCCCATACCAGGGAGACTATGTTCTCCCCGCACAATGGCAGGCTGCATACTTTGGTGCTTCCTCAGCAGCGTGAGTGGAGATCAAGTCTTGCTCTGGTGTATGTCGACTAACATATTAGGGGTGTTCTGGGTGCCATTGGAGCTGCGTGGGCCGCGGACAAAGCGGGCCGCAAGCCTATTCTAGGACTGGCATTCATCTTTAAAGCCACATCTACGACCCTCCAGGTGGTAGCAACGACGAACTCGGTTTTCTTTGGGGGTTATTTCTTGAATGGACTGAGTTCCGGAGTGCTCACAACTATGGCGTTCACCTATATCGGCGAAGTATCTCCCTTGGCCTTACGCGGCATTCTCTCAGCCGGTACCCCCATAGCAATCTGTATGGGTGGACTATTCGCGGCAATTTTGACGAAATACGCGGGGACTCAGGATTCTCGTTGGGCATATCGCACAGGGTTTGTCTCGGACTATGGCTTTTTGGTGGTATCCGCCATCTTTCTCCCATTCATGCCCGAATCACCATGGTGGCTCATCAGTCGAGGCAAAGTTGGCAAGGGGCTTCGGGCTCTCCAAAAGCTGGGTTATGACCCAATCCAGGCACAAGACCAAGTCAGCTCAATCCGTGGTGCTCTTGACGCGGTTAAGGCCGAGACCTCGGGCACAACTTATATCGAGTGTTTTCGTCGATCAAACTTGCGACGGACCATCATCTCAGTTGCGCCTTCGTCCATCCAGGCACTCTCCGGCGTTGTGTTCGTTGCGACTTATGCCACATACTACCAACAACTGGCGGGCTACAGTACTCGCGCAAGTTTCCAACTCTCCATTGTTCAGCAGGTGCTATCCATTTTTGGAAACTTCTGCTCTTGGTTCTTGATTGATCGAATGGGACGACGATGGTTGACTATTTCGGGTGTAGCCCTGCTCACCGTCCTTCTTCTCGTCACAGGAGGCCTGGCAGTCGCGAAGACTGCGGGTACAATCAAAGCTACTGTCGCCCTCCTCTTGCTATATTGCTATGTCTACAACGCGACCATCGGAGCGACAGCTTTCACTATCATGACTGAGACCGCGACCCCACGACTTCGTGCCAAAACGGCATCGATGGCTTTTGTATCCCAAAGTGCACTCTTCGTAAGTACTAAGCCTGTCTCTGGCCCTTGCTATCTGTCACATTTGTTCTGACCAGACATCGACAGACCATGTGGGGATTTGTTCTCCCATATCTTTTCAACCCCGATAAGGCGAATCTTGGGGCAAGAGTAGCCTTCATCTTCGGTGGGCTTAGCGTACTTTGTCTGGTATATCTGTGGTTCTACCAACCTGAGACGGCGGGGCTATCATACGAAGAGATGGATGAACTCTTCATCAAGCGTGTACCTGCCAGGAAGTTTAGGCATTACCGTAAGACGGAGCAGTGTGCAGGCTTAGCGCAGTAGAGGGAATTCTCATGCTGTTTGGAAAGGATAGCCCACAACGGTTGGAATCGTGGAGTGTAAAGAGTGACATCCCCTCCTATTCAGACATGTAGTCCGTTGTCCAGTAGCATTCCATGATGAGGTCTACCTCAACTGAGTGCCCCATTGCTGAGGTATAAAGTGAACACAGCCTGCCAGTGAAAGACGAGGCTGCCAAGTAGGGAGAACCGAGGTCAAAGTGGATCAAGTGTCACGTGCAAGGCTGAGACGCCACCTGGTGCCGTCGCTCTGGCAACTTGCCGGTTGTTTGGGTTTCGGGCTGACAGGCCTGCGAACAACCCACTCGGCATACTGCTGTTGACACTTGCATTTCCTCCCCATCGCTGCTCCACCGCTCTACTTCTACAACTGCGATCGCCTTCAAGTTGGTCGCGCAATTGAACAGCAATTTGGGAGACACCATCAACGGGACATATCATAGTCGTGTCATCGAAGACCTGACCGCCGATTCACGCAGCTCTGAGCAGCCACCATGTCGCAGCCAGCTGGCTTGTTCAGCGTGCGCCGCCCTCGAGAGACGCTGGGAAACATTCAAAACTTCTCAGGAATACCACAACCGGCCTCAGCCATCAAGCGCGTATCCTCGAGCAATGAGTTACGCAATGCGCCTTACACCGCCTCTCACGTACGGTCGACTTCGATAAACCAGAGTGTCCAGCGACCTGCACAGCCCGTCTTCCACCGCTCCTCCTCCGGCGGCAACCTGGCAGACATGGGCATGTCAACAGTACGAAGGTCGGCGTCGAACAATGTCTTTGGAAGCGCGCACACAGGGAGACAGAGTCTGGCACCGAACCAACTTTTCGGGTCGCAGACACCCGCTTCGCAAAGCCTACAGCGCAGAAGCAGTATCTTTTCTCGACCATCCGCCCATGGACCTATCGCCCACCAATCGTTCTTCTCACAAGCGCCAGCCCCGGCAGGCGCACCGAAAGACCCCCGACCCTTGAGGGACTCGTCGTATAGGGCGCGACTGAGTCAGGAATTGCTAGACTACCTGACCCAAAACAACTTTGAGCTGGAAATGAAGCACTCATTGACCCAGAACTCTGTCAAATCGCCGACTCAGAAAGACTTCACATTAATGTTTCAATGGCTTTACCGCCGAATCGACCCGGGGTACAAGTTCCAAAAAGGTATTGACACAGAAGTTCCGCCGATCATGAAGCAGCTGAGGTACCCCTACGAAAGAGACATCACGAAGTCACATCTTGTCGCTGTCGGAGGCCAAAATTGGCCGCGGTTTCTTGGCCTCCTGCATTGGATGATGCAACTAGCGCAGATGGTGGACAACTTCACCCGAGGAGCTTACGACGATGCATGCGCCGAGGCTGGGGTGGACGTATCCAGCGACCGTATTGTGTTCCGGTTCTTATTTGGCGCGTATCAGGACTGGCTTCAGATGGGACCCGAGGACGACGAAGAGAGCGAAGAAGCAGCACTGCAGCCCCACATCCAGGCCATGAACGAGGAATTCGAGCGCGTCAATTCCCGACACGTCGAAGAGTTGAAGATGTACGAAGCCGAGCACGAAGCACTAAAGGCGCAGATCGAAGAATTCGAGCGAAACGCGCCCGACATCGCCAAACTCGACAAGCACTTCAAGATTCTGGAGGACGACAAGAAGAAATTCGAAGAATACAACGCCAACGTCCAGGCCAAGATCGAGAAATACGACTCGCGTATCAAGATCCTAGAAGCCGAGATCCAACGCACAGATGCTGACTTGCAGGTCGTGGAACAAGAGCGGCACGGCCTCCAACAATCAGTAGACCGACAAGGTCTCAATATCCAGGACATCGACCGGATGAACACCGAGCGGGAGCGCCTGACGAAAAACCACGAAGACGCACTGGCCGCGCTGGACGAGATCAACAAGCGCGTTCTGGAAAAAGAAGCCGAGACAGCGCGCAAGCTCGAGGACCTGGAAGCCATCGTCAAGCGGTACAACTCACTGGGGTACCAACTGTCCCTGATTCCATCGACAGCAGTCAATGCCAAAGGCGTCGACTACGAGTTGAGTCTCAACATCTCCGAAAGCAGCAGCAGTAACAACAACAAATTCTCGAGCTCGAGGCGGGCATCGCCCGAGTCGGACCGGCTCCTGGCCGACTTCAACGTCGGCTATTCGCCCATCCACCTTTTGAACCTTGACCTCCGCGGCGCCGTGCGCGGCGCATTCATCGCCCTGCGCAAGGAGATCAACGAGCGCCGCAAAGCCGCGGCAGACGCGGACCTGAACGCACGCGACTTCCTCGACAACATCTCGGAGGCGCTGCACGAGAAGAACACGGAGATCGACAACCTCAACTACCGCGTCAACGAGGCCAGTCGACTCTACGGGAGTCTCAAGGAGAGCAACAACACCATCTACACGCAGCAGACGAGTGCGATCGAGAAGCTGGAGAAGGACCTCGCGCGCATGCGGGAGGGCTTGGAGAGGGGCGTGGTCGAGCTGGAGCAGCGCGAAATGGAGGTCCAGGTCGCGTGGGAGTCGATGCGCGAAGAGGCCGCCCGCGTGCGTGAGGACCTGCATTCCGGCGTCGAGCGCTGTCTGGAGGATGTCATTCGCTTCAAGGTCCACGTCCAGAAAGGTCTGGAGGAGTTTGAGGGCTGGGTTGGGGAGGAGGTCGAATTGGAACTGCTGGGTGACGAGATGGAAGACATGGACTTGGAGGACAAACGCCGTGCAGACGACGACGACGACAACCAGCAGGGGGATGCTGAGTAGCATTCTCATGTTTGGGTCAATGTTGTTGGACATGGACATGGAGCTGCTCTGCGACCGTTTAATGAGGTTCCTTTGGAACGAGGAATTTTATTGTATTCTGAGACGACCACTGGGTTGGTTCTATTTTCGTTCTGTTGCGTTGGCTTGGAGTCGGTATCTAGCTACAGGGTGTTGACTTGAATATGACGACGTGACGACCTTGCTTGACATCCATTGCTTCACTTTGATCTGATCTGAACCGTTTCCGTCTCTGTGGGCCCTATTTTGTTTGATATGGTCGCCGAGCTGTCATCAGCTGGCCTGGACGAAAGAATCTGTCTGATAGTACTGTTGATAGTGTCACCTTTCATGCTTTTCAATTGTTCAACCCCGGCTATGACTATGACAAGAATGGTGTTCCCCCATTCCGGTTCCCAGGTCCGTTCTGGAGTCCAGCAGAATGATGTGTTGACCCTATTAATAAGTTGGTTTCGCTGGACACCGGATCAGTCGTTCGTGCCCCATCTTGCTTTTCTTACTAGTACTCCGTAGTGCCAATCCCGTGGAATCGTTGGGCTGGGACACAATATCTGGTATCGGCCAGCAAACCAAACAATGGGCCAGGTCACAACAATACAGAAATCTGTGGTCACCACTAGGTAGGAACTAGCCGGTGCGAAGCATTTCCATTACATGTGAGCTGCCGCCCTTTCGAGCGCGCAGGAGTGAGTGAGCGTCTTTTCCTTCCATCACAACCAGAAGAAGAGAAGGAGGTGAAGGTATATGCGAACTTGGGCCATGGGCGCAATACAGATTTCGCAGGGAGAACGACATACACACTCCGCTCCAGGGGAATGATTTGGATCAAATACACACTTATCATTTTGCTCCGTTTTGGGGGCCTATCACCCACTGATAGCCCAAAGGGAAAAAGGTCTGGTCCATACTACATGTCTTCGTGTCTCTCGTCGCAAGAAAAAGAATGCTGTGATGCATTGCATTGCATACCATAGGTAGAAGGTATGATGAATGCGGCGCCTCCCCACGACAAACGCTCTAACGCCACAGACACCCACCCGCCGAGTAAGAAGGGAGGAAGGCAAGCAGAAAAGCTGGGCGGGCCTCCAAGAACCAGAACGATCTTTTCAGGCACCAACACGAACACCACCTCCCTCCGTACCCAAGCCCCGGTCGGTGCCTTCTTCAGGTAGGTTCTCGATCTGACGAAGCAAGAAGCTCTTCTCGTCAAGGAACTGGTCGTCATCGGTGCGACCCTCGAGGAAGCCAGGCAGAAACCTCAGAAGGCGGCCACGATTCTTGATCAGGATCCTTCGCACCTCGTCGCTCTTATTGGGGTTGGCCACGAAGACCTTGAAGACGTGGAACGCCTCGTACTGGACCATTTTGCGGTCGTCCTTCAACAGGTTCATGGTGAGTTTGAGGTTGTCTCCACTAGCGACATACTGGGTCATGATGACATAGTTGGCTCGGTCCAGGAGGAGTTCGCCGAGAAGTTTGATGGATTGTCGCTTGGTGACATAGGATGAAGACAGTAGGAGGGTTGGGTTGTAGTGTGATTTGAAAAAGAGATCGTAATTCGTCGCCAGGTACTGCGAGACAAGTTGTTTGTGCTTGGTCAAGATTTCCTAACAGACAACAATACATGGTCAGCATGCCGTCGAAGATTACACCTCGATCCCAACGTATGGTAAGGCAGGGAGGACAAGGCAGGGGTGTGTTTGTGACAGATGCGTACCCTGAAAGTCGTAAATGCATCTGCGCTGACTTCGAAGCTGCCTTTATTGATCCAGGAGAAGAAGTTCCAGAACACGCCTCTACCGCTTTGTCTCCGGCTCACATCGACGTCTTTTAGCTGAACTGCCTTTTCCCCTGGTGCAGATTCGTCATATAGAATAACCGCGGCGATAGTGTCATATTGTAGGGCCTGTCGAAGGATCGTCCCGCAGGGCATGGCGCTCTGAGGATATTCATAGCCCCGACATAACTCGACGATGATCTCGGGCCGTTGGAGAACGAGGTAGGATATCGCTGAAGGGTCGGACTGGGAACTTGATGAGCTGTTCGGAGATTTGAAGCGGAGAATATGCGAAAAGATGATTTGGGCGTCTTTGCGAGCTTCGAAGGGGAGGAGGCGGATGGATTTGGCGAGTTCGAACAGGATGTCTTCTTGGATGATGCAGTGAACCAGCTGGTGCACCTGCTCAGGACTGCACTCGGCTTCTGCTTGTCGTTAGAACAATGGGCGGAGCATCAGGGCCAGGGTGGTTGGGGGTTTCTGACCTGGCGTGCCTTGCACAATCAATTTCATCTGTGACATGTGTTTCGCGACATCTTCTTCCACCTGCGGATTGCTTTATCAGCCGCTAAATCCCTCAGGTTGTTGATACTGTCCGTACCTTTGGGTTGGGGTTAGGTTCAGCCAACTTGGTGAGCAAGTCCTTCAAGGACCTGGCGATCTCGGCGGGCTGCTTTTGTCGTCCTCGTCCACCAAATAGAAAAGCCATGTCGACCAGGGGTGAGAGGGCGCACTGCGCCGATCAGGACTGGACGCTCAGACGGGGTACAGACTGTGTGCTGAAGTTGTATGTGAGGCTATGTGATACAGATGGGGTTGGCTCTGGCGACGCTTTGAATCGTGGTGTGTAGTGGTAGTAGTGGGAGTAGTAGGTGTAGCAGGAGTAGTGGCAGTTGAAGTGCAAGCATCTAGATCGACGTCGCGCTGTGGATCTTCAGTGCCTGGATTGGGGTTGTTTGCATCCTCGGTCGATTGGGCAACAAGTGCCAAGCCATGCACCGTCACGGGGAAGATTAGATTAGATTATAACAGAATATCACCATGGATTATGAATACCGTATCTGCACTGCCAGTATGTTCCAGACAGCGCAGGCTTAGGTGTTTGGAAGTAGGAAACGTGAATTTGAATATGAACTTGAGAGCCAATGTGCAAGAAATCTCCTGGTCTGAAAGTAAACAAGAATACCACTTGCCAGCAACAAGATATCCTGCCCTGTAACTACAAGAGTGTGAACTCAATGATCATCACTCCTCTGTTCAGACACGGCTGCACACCAACCGACAGTGTGTATCGCACCATACGACCTCATCTCTATGTCGCACCCCCCCATAGCCCACGACGATGGAGGTGATCACCTGATTTACCGCCTCTTCAGCCCATCTGAGCCATCTGGCACGGCTGTGCTGCTTGCAGTAGCATCGACATTTTCTTCCCCCGGTGGTGTCTTGGGCCCCGAAAGAGTCTCGTAATCAAGCTCAGTAGCCATCTCCTCTATCATGCTCGTCCTCCTGTGATCTTTCTCGCGCGGAAACTCGTCATGAGGCTTCCCCTGGAACCGTTTGCGGACAGTCTCGATCATCTTGGCGAACCAGTAAAAGTTGAGCGAGTTGAGGACCAGATTGCAGGCCAGATAGACGCCAGCCAGCCAGAAGGGTATGGGTTCAGTGTGAGAACCTGTGAACTTCATCACCTCCGACTGGGCGACTAGGCAGCTGTTCTCACCCAGACACAGCTGCCCGTCTCGGGGGACGAAGATGGCCGAATGAGGTGAGGTCCGTATTTCCCGGAGCAGCGGGCCGGTCGAGTTCAAATGCATCGTGTGCCATACATCTTGATAGACCCGGAGCGACTGATATGTTCCCCAGAGCAGCCGGCAGCAGAAGAACACCGTGAGGAGAATTATGCCATTGTACCATTGCAATTTCGAGCCCGTCATGTTGAGTTTGTCGCAGAACCAATGGATGTTCAAGAAGGGAGAGGACAGTTCGTAGAGGATGAATACCGGGCCATAGTAGTTGCAAAACGGTCTCTGCGCGCATACGTTAGCCTGGTCTGACCAGCAGTACGTAACCTCGTCTGTCCTTGGGACCTACAAATCCAAGAGAAAAGACCGACAGTGCAGTCACAGCATGCGCCCATATCCCGGGACCAAATATCTTGAGATACCGTGTGCTCACGACAAGATCCCATACGAAATAGCCTGTCGCAAACCCCTGGATGAGTCCCGAAGCTCCAGTGTACCCATATATCCGCTCAACTGCGCTGTTTTTCATATCGTAGCGCTCCTTGTCTGTAAACATCACCCACAATGCTAAGGTGTTGATCAAGCACGCCTGCACCAGGGAGACCACGTGCACATCCCAATTGATGCGTGTCCGGCGCGTGAGTTTGGGATAGATATTGGGGAACAGAAAGGTCGAGCACACCGGCGAGATAAGGGATTGCGTTGTCTGATAGACCAGGAATCCAAACAAAACCTCGTGGATATGGTACGGTAGGGTGGGGAGGTAGAGGGCGTCGCAGTACGGCTTGATCAGTTCAACGAGCCAGGGCGGCGGAGGAGGGAACGGATCGATCATCGTGAGGGAGACGAGCTCAGGACCAGGTATAGTATAGCTTGACCGGCACCGACTCTGGCGAGGTGTTTGGCACTACCATCCAATGTGTGTTCGGCGGAGAGGAAGAGGATTTGAACACTGGCAGGCTGGCATTCCAGATGACAACAGTCCCTCCGAAAAGGCGCAGAGCAGAGTCGAAGAGTAGCAGGCGACCTCCAAGTTCGGGAGGATTCGAGGAGCAAATCAGAGGCCGCAACGACGCCGTGGCTGATGAAATTGTTGGGGAAGGCTGCGCGGACCAGGGGCTAAAAAGACCAGCCAGCCTGATGAGCCAGAGGACCCTGAGGACCCTGATAGCACAGATAGTACTCGTCGAGACTGTACATCTATCTACATGATATACAGAGTACCGAAATTATATCATAGCTCCATGATTAGCTTGGTAGTTAACCTAACATATACTACCATCTACCTGAGGAACACCGCCGCTTGACCCAAACACATCCTGTTCGACCAACAAAAGCTACTTCGGGGTCTGCCCTGTTCCGCTTCCAACAACAATCCTCATAGTACCAGTCGCTGAACGCTCATACCCAGAAAGCTTGAATCCAGAGCGCCAACTTGAACCTTCACACAATCTGACCACTACACATCTTTCCGACTCATGTGCCCATATCCTGCGCAGTCATGTGGAAATATTCCTGCGCCTCCCCGGCACTCCCTCGAGAGCCCGCTGTCAATGGCTCGCTTCCGAGGCCGCTATCGCTCCCATGGTACTTGAGCCCTTCTTCCGTGATGCGAGGTGGAGGCTGAAGGTCAGAGAGCCCGTCTGCTTGGGCGTCTGGAGTCTCCAACCCGGCAAGCGTTGTCAGAGCCATCGAATTGTCCTGACCGGCATTCACCTGGCCAGCGTCGTTGGGTATGTCGTGCAGAACCATGGCTGTCTGCGTATCCTCCGTGTTCTCATCCTCATCTTCCTCTGCGATACTCTCAGTCTGGCCATTTACTGTCCCGACAATGCTGCTGGCACAGCTTGTCGAACGTCCGCTGTGTCCGCTCAGCGAGCTGCCGGTCCCGTAAGTCAGGCTATCACTGTACATGACGCTGGTATCGAAGCTTGTTCTCCTCTCTGTGCCTGCGTCACTCTCACCATCGTTATCACTGTCTTCCGCATGCACGCTGAAGTTCTCCTTGTCCGTTAGGTCAGACGAAACCCCGTTCCAGCTTGCTTTTCGCCCGTTCAGGTAGCTGCTGGGGTTGCTTTTGACCGAGTGACTTCGCTTCAGGCTAACTAGCCCTGTTGACTTAGGCACAGGGGCGAGCATCATTGCCATCTCAGGAGTGTTTCGACCTCGATTGCCGGTGACATGGCTTGTGCTGAGAATCCGGCGGTCAACAGTTGATGTTCTTGTGGCTGAAGTCTTGACGTTGGGTCCGAACGGTGTTCTCTTCTTCAACGCCATCCCCACAGCGCCGCCAATGGTCGAGTTCCCACCCTTGATAGAAGTTCTGACTGTCACCGTGCTGGCCGCGCTCGGTACTCTCTTGAGGCTCATGGATGCATCTCTCTCCGCCGGGGATACCCTGGCTCTGCCGGTTGGCTTCGACGATGCCTTCACCACCCGTGCTTGGTTGACAAGGCCCTCGAGGATCCGGCGTTCCAGAACCTCGGCTCTAGCATTCATTTCGCGCATCTCCTCTTGCCGAATTTGCAATGCCGTTTCTAGCTTTGCCACGTCTCGCGTCAGTCTCTTGGTTTGTCCGCTGAGCTCCTCTTGCTCCCGCTTCAACATTGCCATCGAGTCTATCAAGGCATTCTTCTCTTGGTTGAGGGCCACAATATCTAATTCAACCTTCTCCTTTTGGGCGGTCCGTTTCTCCAGTGCGATGGCTGCTTCCCTGGCTTCGGCAGCCTTGGTTTCATGGTGCTCTGTCACGAGTCTTGCTTGCGTGGTCACCATGCTTGCAATATCCGCTGCTGCCGACATCACTTGCTGATGGATCTCGTCAAGCTTCGACATATTGGCCAAGGAGGACTGTGTGTCTTTGTGATGGTCTGCAATGCCCGCGAAAATCTCTTTGGCTTCAGCTGCGTGAGAGAGGAGGTTGTCCAACTTGTTTTGGACTTCACTGTCGTCGTATTCTTTCGGAACTGACGTCTCCTGGACAACGACAGGGCTAGAAGGGGTGGAGGGAAGGGCTGGGAGCAAGGGCGGAATCGCTGCGGGTATCGAGTCGACCACCGATTTGATCTCTTCCGTGGCTTGCGCGAAGTTCTCGGTCTGTTGCTGGGAATGCTCATAGTGCTGGCTGACAACTCCTAGTACCTCACGAATTGCTGCCAGAACGGCTGGCTGGTGTTCGGTCACCGAATCTTCAAGCCTTGTCACTGTAGCAAATGCTTTGGCGATTTCCTCCCGGGTCACTCCGTGTTCGTATGCACTCGCAGTACGGAGGCCGTCGAGTTTGGAATTGGACTCTTCGATCGAGCTGAAAACGGTCTTGGAATCCTCGGAGACGCGCTCACATGTTTCGGTAACGGTTGACCCAAGCGTGTCCACGAGTAGCTTCAGATCCTCTACAACAGCTTTGGTGCCACTGGTGGCTTCAAGGTGAGCACTGTCCCGATCTTCAAGTGCAGTCAACTTGACGTCGCTTGCGAGTTGTGCGTCGTCGTACTTGGACATCAGCTCGCTGAATTTCTCCTCGATGGTCGCCTTGATCTCAGCACTTGTCTCATCATGTTTCGTAAACAGAGTCGCATCTCGCTCCTCCATCTCTGTTTTGGAGATTGCATGATGCTCAAGGTGCCGTTCAAGCTCACTCTTGATCATCTCTGATATCTCTTCAATGCTCGAAGCTGTTGCATACTTGCCCATATCATCGTGATGCATTCCTAGTACTTTGTTCAGCTCCACAATGCCGTCTGCACTGCCCTCTACCTTGCCAACGAGCTCTTCTCGTAGGTCGCCAATAACATTTTTGACATCGTCGATCTTCGTCGCAAGCCCGCCATGTTCGATCTTTCGGGCTTCAAAAGCCTGGGCAGTGAGACCATTGTCTGCCTCGAGCTGCTCTCGGAAAGCTTTCAGGTCATTCTTCAGATCCGCCAGGTCCTCCTTGCTTGAGAGCATGTCGACTTCTGGAATCTTGATGCTATCAATCTGGCTTTTGATGTCCATACACAATGTCTCCACGACTTGAAGTTCAGTCCGATCCATGGTGCTATCCGTTGACTGGATGCCGTCAATCTTCAATTTTACCTCTTTAACATTACTCTGGACATCCTTCAGCATCAACTCTATCAGAGTGAAATCTTCTCTGGTAGCGTCGTCGCTGGCCCGTGACCCGGTGTCTTCCACTGCCATTCTGATATCTTTCAGGGTCAATTCAAGGGCATCAATCTGGCTCGATCTGGCAAGAGGCTCGGAGTTTTCAGAGAGAACTTCATCAAGCTTGGCTTTCACATTTCGGAGCAAGGTCTCAATGGCGTCGGTGTCTTCTTTCGAGGCTGCGTTTTCTGGCATCGTCGCTTCTGGTGGAGGCGCCTCCCGGATCTGGTCGACCGCGGCGTTAACTTGGTTGATAGCAGTGTATAACCCATCGAGGTCGTCTTTGTGCAGGTGATTCTCCTCTTGCTTGGACCGGTGGACCGACTCTTCCACTTGATGGATTGCATCGTAGATCTCGTTCATATCATCTTTGTGTATGCGTGTTTCTGTTGGCGCCGGCGGCGGTGTCATACCGTCTAATGCTTCGACTTTGATTCTCAACTGAGTGATCATCACTTTCAATCCCTCTATCTCAGTAGAGATGCGGGTTTGATCATGAACGACCATCTCTTGACCTCCGGCTGTGCCTGTTTCGGAATCCTCATTCTGCTTCTCATACAGCCGGCCGATATCTGTGCGGACTTCCTCAATTCCTGTTTTCAGCGCGTCAAGTATTTCATAGCTTGTGCTGAGGTCAACCGGGCGATCAGTCAATTTTTGAATGTCGGCTCTGATGCCGTCGACACCGTCCTGGAAAGCGTCCAGCAGTTCACTGGTGTTCGAAAGAATGCTTTCGTTGCCATCCCCTTTGGGTACTGATCGAGTCGAACCAAGGCCTTCACGGATCACCTCGAGCACCTCGTCACGATCCAGTGACGAACCGCTCTTGATTAGGGTACTGGCCAGAGTCGTCCGCATGTGTTCCAGCTCTTCCTTGACTAGACGAACAATGTCTTCGCTGTTGCTGCTGAGACTGGAATGTCTGTCATCGGATAAATCCCGAATGGCGTCCAAGATTTCGTCCTTCTCAGAGACAAGATCGCCTCTCGCCATGCTCTTACTGATGGTCTCCCGAAGATGCTCAAACTCCTTCTCCATAGCATCCAAAAGTTCAGGCGTGTTGGGAGCTCCCTGGCTGCGACCTGAAAGGCCCTTGTCGATGTCTGCTTGCATGGCAGCAAAGCCAGCTTTGACAGTGTCAATAATCTCATCCTTGCCAGTGACATCCGAGGCGCGGTCAACGTAGCTCTCGATCTCGGCTCTGAGATCCTCAAGACCGTCCTTAAGAGCGTCGAGCACCTGTTCGGTGTCCTTCCCACTGGCGGCAGAGTATTGTTGAAACTCTGTCTTCATACTGCCGAGAAATTCATGCATGGCCTCAATGACGCGTTCACCCATGCCTCCAAGTGGATTCTGGTCGCCTTCGAGGCAAGCCCTGATTGCATCGAAGAGGTCTTCACGGTTGAACTCAATCTCCTTCGAGATCGGTTCTTGATTTGACAAACCCTCCCGCACAATTTCTGCGAAGCCTTCCTGGGTCATTTTCTCTTGTTGTGCTAGCCCGTCTCGAATAGCTTCACGGACGTCTTCTCGAGTTAGATCGCTGCCGCTGCCCATCGCGTTGGGGACGCTAGGCCACTGGAAGGTTTCCAGACACTCGCGGACAGCGATCACCATGTCTTCTCTTGAGACTGCTGCAGGAATGTGAAGGTCAGGTAGTTTGAACTCCGCCAACCCTTTTCGAACAGCTTCGAGTACATCCTGGTAGCTGGCGCCCATGTCCCTGGCGATAGGTTCCTGAGGTTGATATGCTTTGAGGCCCTCTTTGAGCGTTTCCAATATTTCGTCTCGCTCAAGTCCAAAATGCTCCAGAGCGATTTCTGGCTTGCAGTCCTCCCATGCTTCTCTAATTGCCGCAAGCAACTCTTGTCGTTCCGCAATTGGATTCCGAGTTCCTTCTTCATGAGGGCGAGGCCATCCAGATAGTATTCCCTGCACGGCGTGAATCACCTCCTGAGTGTCGACTTGTGACTGGGGTTTCTCCAACGAACGGCGCCTGCTCTCTTGCAAAATGTGATGCATGTGCTCTTTGAGTTCCACAAGGCCTTGCTGGACTATGGCGGCAATCTCATCTGATTTCACACCTTGAGCCTCACCACTGCTTCCTTTGTGCGCATTCAGAGTATGTTCCAATTTCCTTCCAAGCTCGCGACCCATTCCAAGGACTTCACCTCTCAACTCCCGGACAAGAACTTTGACCTCGTTGGTAAGGCCGCCTCCCTGGGCAAGGGACTGCTTGACACTCTTCAACATCTTCGTTAACTCGTCATTCGTCGTCTCTGGGCTCGATTTGGCGAGACCTCCTGTTCGAGGATCTCCGTCGAGATAGAGCTCCAAGTTCGAAGGTCCTTTCCCGTTGTCAGTGGCCGGTGACCGCACCAAAGCTTTCGATCCTGACTCTTGTTTCATCTCCTTCATCAAGATTAAGATATCCTCCAGTTTTGACATCATCGCAGGGTCTATCGCAACCGGAGTAGCGGGCCCAGATTGTGAACGTGAGAGAGCCTGTGTTTTGACTGCCTCAAGAGTGCTCATGATTCTGTCCTGGCCTTCACGAGTAGCCATCTCCCTGAGAACCTTTTCTAGAAGAGCGATACTTGCTGCTCCATCCACGCAAGCAAGAGAGGGTGAAGCAGTCAACTCTCGTTCAAGTGACATGGAAAAAGATGTCGGGCTACCAATGCGTGGCAGCCCGAAGCTCTTTGGTCGTGGAGAACCGTTATGTGCCTTGTCGTCGAGATAAAGCCCCATGTTTGGAGTAGATCTGCTAGCCTCCGGCGAGGGAAGCATTCGGGAGTCAAGTTTGCTGAACTTGTTCTCAAGCCCTGTGACCAATTCTCTTAGACTCTTGCGGATATCCTCGTCCCTTGATGTAGTGGCTTCTTTCAAACTCATCAGATCACCATAGTTGTCCTTGCTCCGCTTGTTGAGACTTGCCATCTCTTTTTGGACGTTCGCGACTATGTTGGTGAGACTCAATATCTGAGAAGAGAGGGCATCAAATGAGAATGTTGGCGGCGATGCTCCATTGCTGATGTCCCCAAGGGGCATGGCGTCCTGTCTATTTCTGACTGTCTGCAGAGCCAACATGTTCGAGCCTGGCGGTGTGTTCTCCACCTCTTTAGACCTCGATACATTTCTGTCTGCAGGCGTTGGAGTCTCTGACCTCGGTCGTGTTGGGCCGCGGTCGGAGGATCTGCTGCTACGGAAGTCTTCGAAGTCCACGAATTTGGCGGTGCGTAGGCCTTTCTCGGGAGATCTTCTTTCCAGAGAATCGCTCAGCCGGATGCCGCCAGGGCTTGGAATGTTTTGCGTTCGCCTGTTGTGTGGTCGCATGATGTTTCGGTCAGGAGAAAGCGGGGGAGGATTGGTCGTGTAAGAGCTGGGCGCATTCTCTCGTGCTCTTGCTGTGATCAGAGCGGCAGCTTCATCGATGCGTTTGGAGGTGTTAGATCTCGTAATCGGGCTCCCTACTCCGGGGTTCAACGGTAGTGGTGGAGGTGCTCTATCGGGATCTGAACTGTCCCACCTGTATTGTTTATCAACATTTGTATCCAGGGCTAGGATGCCGGAGGACCACTCACATGGGCACGGAGCTTCTGCCAGACTCCGAAAAAGAGTGTTGGTGCTTCACTAATCGAGACTCAGCACGGTCCCGGGAGGCGTCCCTGGAACTGGTCGAGTAGGTAGACATGGTGGTCAATGCCTTGTGGGGAACGTCTTAGGAATGCTGTCAATTAAGATGAACGTCCTCGATACTCATGTTGAGTCAGCACGTATTGATATTTTTTTAACAGCCAGACTGTATACTCTGAGGGAACACAAGAGTAAGGAGGATCAAGCGGTTGCATGAAAGCGAGCTCTACAAGCAGATATTCTTTCGATAGTACTCAACATGTCGGCATTGGGCTACGGGCTGATTCATGTTTGACCCTTCCCAATCAGGCGATGTAAACAAAGCTAGCCTAGTCATGTGACCCGGCACAGCTAGCCAATCATATTTAACCTCTGGCAGCCACACATTTCAAGCGCCAAGCCTGCGAAATCCCACACACCCGGCCTTGCGATCTCCAATATCACCGTAATTTTGTGTCGACCATCGCCTTCAATTCCACGATCATTTCAAGTCCAGCGTTTGACCTCAAGATGAAGTGTAAGCAGCCACTTTAAAGCGAAGCACTCAGCCAGCTACTAATTCCCACTTGTAGTCCTCAAGGTCGGCCGTGTGGCCATCATCACTCGAGGCCGATATGCCGGAAGGAAGGTACGAACACACAAATCCAGAGCAATATCGACGAGCGCTTGCGTCGAATCGCTTGGTTGCCGACTTGTCAAGGTCAGCGTTGACAGAAGTTTTGCAGGTCGTCATCATCCAACCCGTCGACTCCGGCACGAAAGCCCACCCGTTCTCCTACGCCCTCGTCGCAGGTATCGAGCGCTACCCTTCGAAAGTCACCCGTCGCATGGGGAAGAAGCGAGTAGAGAAGCGATCCAAAATCAAGCCATTCATCAAGATGATCAACTACAACCACATTATGCCGACTCGCTACACACTCGAATTGGAAGGACTCAAGAGCGTCATCTCTAACGACACTTTCAAGGAGGTCTCCCAGAGAGAGGATGCCAAGAAGAACGTGAAGAAGGCCTTGGAGGAGCGATACCTGAGTGGGAAGAACAGATGGTTCTTCACACCGCTGAGATTTTGAAGCCCCGGCGAGATGAAAAGTTTGCTGTGGTGGGCAGTTTACGGCGATACCAGGGTATGAGGACTTCAATGTGCTCGTCTGCGGACGATGGCAGGGACGCCAAGATCCATGAAACAACTTGAAATAAATTCAATTCGGAACTTTCTGAGGATCAGTTGTTGCCCGCTACGTACCCCGACCTGCAGGTACCGAGCGGGAGATCAGCCCAACGCAAGTGAAACTTGAATGCCATGACAATTATTAGAACACGGAGAAGAGATGAGGAATAACAGATTGAGGAGTCTCATGCTTATGGCTCAAACTCTTCTGTCGACATCCATCGTGTTAATGTCTCACAATGCTTATTCAAGATACAGATCATCCTTCAAACGCTGCAGATTTCTGAACAGTCCAGCGGCACCACCGCCCTCACCCAGTCCCTTTTGATTCCAACCCGTGGAGGAGCCTGATCCATCGGCTCTAGCATTTCGAGCACCGCCACGTCCTAGAGCCTTCTTCCTATCTTCCACAATCTTCACGAGAGAGTCCACAAACTTGGTTCTTGCTCTTTCTTCGCCCGTCCCTTTCCATAGCATTGACAGTTGTCTGTATGCCTCGACCCTTTGTGTGGCTGCTTCAAGACCCGCGTAGCCACCAGACACTGAGTCAAGAAGATCGGTGATCTCTGTCCGTATGCCCTTCAACACCTCGCGTGCCTTGTCATCTTCCTCCGTGCTCTGGATGCCTAGTTCCGGGGACGACACAGAAATCAGAGAGGAGGCCATGGACAATTCCGAAGGAGGGATTGGCCACTTCATCGCCTCTCCGAAGAGTGCGATGACAGCTTCAAGGCGCGTCTTGACTTTCCCGAGTGACCGCAACTGTGTCATGAATTCAGGCTCTTCCACCTTCTCTGCTTCTTGCCCATTGTTCAAGTCGTAATCGTGGGCATCCGGAGCTTCCAACGTTCCTTTTAGCACTTCACTCTGTACGAAACGGCTGATATCGTCTCGCAAAGACTCTGTCAATAGGTCATGAAGCCCGTTTACATCGCCACGCAGAACCTCCACTTCGTAGGCCAGACGGTTTCCACTGCGAATGATCTCGTCCGTCAAAGCGCTTAGCTCGGAGGAGGCCCGGATGTTTAATGTGTTGAGTGCATTCAGGACTGCGAGGGTCTCGGTTGAAACGGTCTGGATATGCGCGGTTCTGCTCGCCTTCTGTGGCTGTGTTTGCGATGCAATGTGCAGTACGGGAAGAGTTTCATTGAGGAAGTCGACAGGGTCGAAATGAGGCTGACTGAGCTTTGCAAGCACGGAGGTACTGGTATCAGTGCTGCCAGTAGGCGATTCGGCCTCGATCCTCGCAGGCATTTCAGGGCTGCGCTTCAGACTGAGGTCGATCCTTGTAACAGTGGAAAGATTGTTCCAAGATCAAGATACGCCGCTCATTTTGTGCTTGACACCGCGGAGTGAGTGACTGTAGATATCCGATCCCACAGCGCGGTCGCCATCCAGCCAGAGGCGAGAGCAGGATGGAAAAGACTCCCTGCCTGACAATGATAGACGTCGAGCCAGATATTCTGCTGTCTCCAAATGGTGGACACTCCAGTAAATAAGTACCTACGTACTAGTAATGTGGTAAAGCGGTACTTGAGGACATCTCTTTTGCTGGCCGTAGTACTAATTGGAACAATGTTTCTCCGCTGCCGACCGCGGGTCGCTTGCCGAGCTTTGACAAGAATTTACACGTTACATACATAGGTACCTACTCTGTATGTGTAGTTCGAAGCTCTCGCTCATCGATGCCTGGAGAGTACATTAGCTAGCATCAATGATATACATGCCGTCTACCATTAACCTCTTGCAATCATTACAGATATGTTGGGAAATCGGCTGGAAAGGCAGAAATCCTGTCAGTGTGCCAAAAGAGAGATGGTATAGTACAGGTGCAGTAAAGGTGCTACCAAAAAGCAACACTCGCACCGCAGGCAACGTGACCTTCACTCACTGCATGTTGAGACGGTGCGGTGTTTGTCTGCCTGGTTCTGAGACTGCAGGTGCTGCTTCACTGCAGACACAATATGTTGACCTTTGCTCCGCCATAACCTCAGTCTCGTCTCATCGCGAATCTCAGTTAAGTCTTCAAAGGGCAGACACAACCCTTCTCGCGCTCAGTATCTCTTTGACTTCTTCCCATACCCGCGTTCCCATGCCTTTCTTCCAAACCCCTGAACCTTAACACACTTTGTGCCCTCATATTCCCGTCGCGCTGTCTCTTGAAGGCGCGGGAGCTCGTCACGGTATTGACAGCTTTGCCGCTGAGATCGGTTGTTCAACTTATCGATCTGCTACGTACGACCACCGCCATTCCAAGCCTCTATCGCCTCTATCGCCTAAGCTGCGCACAGTCTGGTTCTCTCACATTTCCCTCAAAGTGGAAGTGACCATAGCGGCGCCTGCGGTATCCCTTCACCTTACATCGTTGCGTCTAACCCTTCAAGTTCAGCTTTGCCATGATGGCTCGGCGACTGTTTATGAAACATCTTGCGGACGCCAACCTCGCAGACATAGCACAGCTAGAAAATGTGCACTCTCCAGATGAGGGGCTTGTGAGCTGTGTCTACACCTATCCACCAAGCGCAGCACCATGCCGCGTTGGCATACAAATGTGTACTACCAATATCGACGAATACCCTGATGGTAATTCATTTATGCTCTACACAGACGACGAGGACATCAACCCTGTCATTCCACAGACGTTGCAGAGGGTGACTGAAAATGCTACGGGCAAGACACTACCAGACATCCTTTCCGAGGTTTCACAACGGCTCACCGCAGCCATCACCCGTCAAATAGGAGAAGAGGAGGCGGCCAGCGAAAATGGAACAGATGTTTCTGACGATCTTAATGATCTTGACGCGGATCTCGAGTTCTACGATTCAGACGACGGTGAGTTTGGCTTAGCCGAGCTCAGCTGCAACGGTGAAAGATACGGTAGAGGATCCTCGGATACCAAGTCTTGGTCAACACAAAACCGAGAGAAAGTGCGCAAGATACGGGAGGACCTCCGGGCGCTCAAGAACGCGGGTTTCCGTGTCGGTGTGTTTGGCGATCTTGCTGGGTCAGGCGTTCTATGCGCTTCTATTCGCACTGTCAAGCTAGGTCTCTCTGAAGAAGCGATGCAAGCATGGGGTTTGCGGCGCAAGCACTACCTAGTGCTCATGATCAAATATTGTGGCAGCTACATTGGAGCTGACAAGCTGGCGGAGATTCCTCTTGCCCGAGCCCCTATGAAAATGCGAGTTGGCCTCTGTGAGCACTACAAGCCCTCCTTGCATGACGAGTCAGTGTTCCTCGACGACATGCAAGCAGAAGATACGTCGCATCAACTTGGAACAAATGACAACGCTCCTGGCTTGGAGCCATTGTTCATTGGAAAAGCACTGAACCAACACCTTGAGGAGCGAGTTTTCCTAATCATCAAGGCCCGAATCTCATATGGTCTAAGCTGGCTAGGAGCAGAGACACTGGTGGCAGACAGACAGGCATGCTCCCAAAGTGCGCCCGTTGACAACTTGGCCAAATATCGATGCGACGACAAAGCCTGGTCTCGCAATCTTTCTGACGTCGCATTGGCAGACCATATGCACGAAGTGCAGCTCAAGCACGCTTCATTGCCGTTGATCATGATGCAATTCGTTATCCGCCATTTCGTCAGATGCACCGAATTCTGCCTCGTGTGTCATTGTCGGCTGGACGACTCGTTCGAGGCTCTGAAGCCGTACGTCTGCAGCAAACCACTTTGTCTATACCAGTTCATGTCTCTTGGCTTTGGCACCAGTTTGGAGTGGGAGATCTTCTCTCAACCGTATGTGGTCGATCTCCTGATCAGCTTCTGCTATACTGCCGCCAGCCTCGACCGGCTTAAAGACCTCCCAATCGGCATGGGCCTGATAGTACCCGTTGTTCCCCGAGCGCTCGCTTACCCTCCAGGGGCTACTTCGCATAGTGCTGCTCGAGGGCAATCGTCAGCTCCGCCACTTTCATCACAGGGAGAATCATCGTTCGCATGCCATTGGTCACCCAGTCTCAACTCACTCATGGTTGAAGGGGACTATCAGTGCACAAATGTGCAGAAACTCAAACGCGGAGACTGGCTGGTCATCATGTCCACTAAAAGCGATTTGGGCGCTCATTGTCGCGTTCAGCATGTCGCATTACCCCAGATTTCTCTTGGGGAGCCCGTGTGGGCGGATGACACGCCGGCGACTCAGTCAGCAACACAGCGGATCCAGAACAACAATGCATCACTCACATCGCAACCTATCAAGGCCATATGCTACGTCTATGATAAACAGTTTGAGGATCTGTCGAAAGCAGATCAACTGCATGCAGTCCTTACATTGTTGGAAGCTTTGCCCAGTGTCGGCGAAATGTACCAGTACCTGGAAACCCAGACAAAGGGTCGACTAGGCAAAACTGCATCTTTGAAGGCCTGGAGTAACAGAGTTCCTGAGTCGTCTGTCAACTTGCTTCGCTGGATTGTGGCCTCGAACCGATCGTGTATTGTGCCAGTGGACGGAGTCGCCGGCAACATCGATCTCACGGCCTCAATCTCAAAGGAACCTCGTGTTGGGGAGATGTGCATGTGGATGCAATTCCGCTTCGCCCAAGGAGCACCCGACAAAGAGAAGCGGTTCGATGACTGTGTCATGGCAGCAGTGGCTCAGACCAAATCTACATATCCAACGATTTTTGCCTGGCATGGCAGTCGATTGGCCAATTGGCACTCGATCGTCCGGCAAGGCTTGAACTACAATGAGTTGGTTCACGGACGTACTTTTGGAAATGGAGTATACCTGAGCCCGAGTGCGCAAGTCAGTCTGAGTTATGTCGGTGCAGATGGTCAACCTCGCGATCAGTGGAAACGCTCGCTGCTGAAGGTCAGCACGGCTATCTCACTGAATGAGGTGGTCAACAACCCAGACAAGTTTGTCAGTAAAACCCCACACTATGTGGTCTCCGACACTGACTGGATCCAAACGCGGTATTTGTTTGTCAAGGTGGGCGCGGAACTCAAATCGGTCAGTGGTCCTGCGACAGAGATCTACAAACAGGACCCTCTCCATGTCGCCCACAATGACAACAACTTCCCAATCACAATACCCATGACGGCCATCTCCAAGTCTCGCAGACCGTTCGAGAGCATCCGGGCCACATCAACCACGGATGGAAAGCGCGCGAAGAGCATTGTCGGCATTGACCAAGCCACCGCCGAGCGTCAAGAGGATGACGCTAACAGCGTCGTTTCTGATGCCTGCGACCTGGCGATTTTGAGGACGGACGAATTCGGCGATTGCATGGTCGATAGCGGAGACGATGCTACAACCAAAGAACCGGAAACCGATTTCGTCCCTGGGACACTTGATATGAGCAACATCAAGTTTCTGGAGCCGCCCGAAGACGCGAACATCACCTCCACCAAAGCCCTGATGCGACTGCTGCAGGAGGCCTCGGATGTGCAGAAGAAAACTCCACCGGCGATGCTGGGATGGCATATCGATTACAGCGGGTTCAACAACATGTATCAGTGGATTGTCGAGCTACATAGCTTCCCACTGACCCTACCTTTGGCTCAGGACATGAAGGCTGCCGGGCTGACTTCGATCGTACTGGAAATGCGCTTCTCGAGTCAATTCCCGTTCGTCCCGCCTTTCCTCCGTGTCGTCAAACCACGGTTTCTTTCATTCGCGCAAGGCGGCGGAGGCAATGTGACCGAGGGAGGAGCCATGTGTATGGAAGTGTTGACCAACAATGGATGGAGTGCGGCTCAGAGCATCGAGAGTCTTTTGCTGCTGGTACGTATGGCACTTTTGGACGAAGAGCGACCGGCGAGGCTGGCAAAGGCTGGTGCAGGGGTGTCAGATACCTACGGCATTGCAGAGGCGGTCGAGGCATACGTGCGGGCCTGTCGCAACCACGGATGGCAGGTTCCTGCAGGATTCGACAAACTTCATTTGGCATGAAGGAAGATCAACCTTGGCAGGTGCAGATTCAGATGGCGATGTTGATGATGGGGGTTGTTGCTACCTGAGGTGGAGGATGGAGAGAGGATGAAAATGGGAGGCGCTCAGCATTTCATTCTTGGTCGGATTCGAGAATTAACAATTAGCAGCATCACGACGGATGAAGGCGGGATCTTGCCGAGGATATGTAGGTCATGCGCCCCAGCGACACTGACTATGGGGGAAGCGTCAAAAACTGGATTCGGGAAGTCGAACAGGCGTTTTTATGACACTGCATGGCGGTGATTTCAGCATGGCGCAGGGGGCTTACAGGCAGCAGCATCCAGGCACCGGCAGACAGACAGATTGGCTTTATTATGGCTTTCGTTTTCGCACGGAGGACACTAAATACGCCCCCAGGGATGGAAATCATGAGCAGATGCAACAGCAACAGCGACGACACAAGTGAGTCGGGCCATTGATACTACCATTTGCTGGAACAGGCGAGCAACAATGGATAGCTAGCGAGCTAGGTAGTGATGTCGGTAGTCCAGAAAATGCAGATCAAGCTGGTGGCGTGCAATGCCTACCTTTTAGCTACTCTATGCTGAGGTCGTCCACACTGCGTGCAGTTCGTTGCCCGGGGTGTTGAAGATTCGAATTCGGTAAGGATGCAAAGCATGCAGTATTACTACTAGTGTAGTAGTATAGCACCTTTTACTAGTAGTTGCCCTTCCTGCCAGATGTTGACATGTGCAGTACGGGCACAGGAATTACTGTTCAGAGCCTGCGTGTAGTTGCGACACTTTTCACATGCTTCTCGGCATGGATCGATCATTCGATGACTTCTGACGTTCATCAAACTATGGCTTGCATACGGCGGTTACATACACCAGGCTGCACCCCTGGCCCGTCTGCTCATTCGACAGAAGTGGAGGCGGGAGATTTGGACCCAGGCGCTGGCACAAGGTCGCCCTTGGAGCATTTTGCTGGGACCCGTGTCGACGATTGATACAGACCGAAGGAGGAGTTGCGACCTGGCACGGGCACGGGTGCTTGGGGAACCATTTTCTTCGAAGACTCCGTTCAAAGGGAGCGGACCGACCTGGCCAGAGGACTGCAACCGTGTCAGTGTGCATCGAGGCGATAAGATCTGAAAGGGGCCTATAGTTGTCGCTTGGGGACGGACCGGCCGGGGCAGCGTCCGCATCCATCCATCCATCGCTGGTGTCGAGCGAGATGGGGGACGGACACACACATATGTTCTGAAGGGGAAAGCTTCCCCCGCGTTATGGGACTTCTGCCGGTGGAGACCTGACACTTGTAATTTGTGAGTACAGCAAAGCGGGGAGGCAGGTTTCGTTTCAAGTGTCCCAAGGCCTGCATGAATATCATTACACGTCCAACGAGCGCGTGTGCGTATGCCTTGCTCCTTTTGGATTTTGGTATCACATGCTCGAAACCCTCACCTTCAAGATTGGCAGGGGAGAAAGGATGTCAGGGGTGTATGGCAATCATCATCAAAGTTACCGTCCCGGGCGGGCTCATCGACCGATCGATGAGGAGGGTCGGGAGGGATTCGAAAGTGCTTGCCATGTCGATGCTCATACCTTGTTTCTCCCCCGCAAAACATACCCAGGTGGGTGGGTGTATCTGACCTATTTGTAACGTTCCGGATGACAGGTGGCAGGGAATATGCATCTAATATGCCATTCCATTTCTGCGGTTTCTGCGGAGAGACAAGAGGGAGAAAAATGCGGAGCGAGGCTGGAGCAGATTACTAGTATGCAGGATACTGACAATTCGCGGAGGTAGTATAAAGACAAACCAGACCAGGGATCCCTGTCGGCAGTGACATATAGGACCTCTTTCTTTTTGTGCTGCTATCGAGTTATGTGTTTTCAAGGGCGGGCGGATGGGTGCGGTGTCACGACTCGGCGGTCGTTGGTGACGTTGAGGGGGGTGGTTGTTTGTGTGAGGATGCCATGATAATGCCGCGCGGGGATGTCGGGAAGAGTGTCGCCTAGCAGGCAGGTTGCAACCTGTCAGTATGTGCCTTGTGGTGTTGATGAATGTTGGTGGTGTGTGCGTGTGTGTATGTGGTGTTGATGTGAAAGGGGAAGAAGCTTATCAAACCACTGTCAGGCTATGACGGCTCCTTCAAACAACAGTAGGGACGGATATGTCTCCCGGCCGGGCAGCGATACCTACGTATGATAAATGGAGCTGGCTGCCATACTAGCACTACTAAGTACGGTAAGTCAGTGCTAGCCACACGGCAGCGGCATAGTGCAACGGGACTAACAGGAGTAGTGACGAGTAGCAGAGACGCGGTACTGTACAGAGGATACTTGCCTAGATCCCTTTGGTGTCAATTGATTGTAAATCGACATCTTGGTTCCACTGTCCAGCGGGATCAACTTTCACATGTCAAATCTGTTGGTCTCTTCTGGCCTCATCCAGCGTCATCAATTCCCCGTCGCCGCGATGTTCTGTGTCGCAGGCTGCTCAACCGTCTCCCTTTTTCCTGTTTTAGCTGCAGGCGGCCACACACCCGCTCCTGGAATGAGATACTGGCGCCGGCTGGCCCAGTTTCCTGAGCTCGAGCTCTCGGCCTAGTAGCAAGATAAAACCTGAATCATGCTTTTCTAGAAGATCCAGCACCACCACCACCACCACCTACCTAGTAGTAGCAGCACTCAATCCATAATTCCCCTACTCTTCCCTCCCGTCTTCTCTATCTTGTCGTCCCATCTTATACCTACACACATACACACGTCTGCAATTAACTGCCATTGAATTTGTTCCGTTTCTTCCATAACGAACCTGTGCCGGTACAGCATCATTCAACTGTTGGCAGCTTGATTGAGTGAGTGTCTCCATCCCCTAGCACTCAGCCTGCCTGCGCTTTCACATGCCATTTTCCCCGCCACCAATGCAGCGCCGCGCCGCGCATGTGCGCTGCACTGCATGCAATTTGCCATGCTGGAACTGAACTTCCCTGACTTCCTGGGATGCTTGCATCGCGCTCCTTTTCGCCATCCTCAACAAAAATAACTCCTAGGACCAGCTGCTCCTGCATATACTCCCTTCTACAACTCGTTGTTTCTCTGCTGTTTCTCGCTCTCAAAGTCTACCTCCAGATCGCATCGACTTATTTCTGCGAACCGTCTAGCTGACCACTGCAACCACTTCAGCATCCTCCACGAACCTCTCTTCTTCTCACAGACCATCACAATGGGTGAAGCCACTGTCAACGGCGACATGCCTCAATCTGCGTTTCTCTCGGTAAGAAACCCCTTCGGACCCAAGAAACCCTTCTTGCAATGGAACCCGCTTGGGCTTCTTGAACAACTCTTTGCATCAATCCAATGAACCTGCCTTGCTGACCACACGACCTTGAACAGCACCTCACCTCCTACCCCATCGTCTCCGACTCGGTCAAGACGATCAAGGAGAACCCGTACGGCGCCAAATCCATCGACCTGACCAACGCCGGCTACGCCAAATTCGTCAAGCCAGCCGTCCCTTACTTCGAGACGCCCGCCTCGTACGCGAAACCGTATGTCGCAAAGGTCGACGAAATCGGCGACAAGATTTTGTCCAAGATCGACGAACAAGTGCCCATCGTCAAGTCAGACACGAAGGAGCTTCAGGGCAAAATCTCCGGCTACATCAACTGGCCGCTCGAGACCGTCCACAACACCAAAGACTGGGCGTTCAAGACCTACGGCGACGAATACAAGAAGTGCGGCGGCGACGGTGTCGTGGCCGGTGGCAAGGCCGTCATCACCACGTCGCTCATCTTGAGCTCGGATGTGCTCAAATGGGTCAGCTCCTTTCTTCAGGCCAAGAAGGAGGAGGCCAAGGAGGTCGCCCAGGAGAAGACCAGCTGATGGCCCGTTTGAATTACCCAGAAATAATTGTTGTTGTTGTCAAACGCTTCCGCTCCTTGAACGAATGACGACCAGCGCAAAGTCTGGCAGGGAACCTCTTCTTGGAGCATGTACAAATTGGACTAGTCTGTGCATCTGCTGATATTCGATACCTCATGGCGACCGCGTGGATGCATGGCTTGGGGAGAGACGCTCGGAGCGCATTTGTTCCACCATTCGTCTGGAAATGGGACTTTTGAATCCAAGAAACCTGTCGTCTACGGGTCACTTTGACTCACAGTGCCCGAGTCCCACAAGTGTCGTGTCTTGTCGAGCTGAAAGGATGAGCAAGCGAGGTCTTTTAGTTTGGGGTTTGTTTGAATGCATGTCGTTTTGTTATTTCGCGATCCTGCATCTCTTCTCTAAGATAGCTAGATTAGGGCCGTTCCCACCTTTTAACCTACTAGGAATACATATATATGTATATACACACACAAAAATGGCTCAAGAAGGCACTGGTGCACCAAATCCAGCCCAGCCTCGATGGCTGCACCGAAATAGTTCCCTTCTCAGGATCTCGACACGTCATACTAATTCTAGACCACTAACCACTGCAGTGGAGTCGGTTGACCGGCTTATCTACCGCGTACAGCATAGATCTCTTTAGTAGCTAGATAGATACTTACAGAACCCTAATTAGTCCACGGGCATCATCTTGAGCGGTACTAGAATCACATGCTGATGATGTCATTTACCATGACAAAAAGTCCACGCAGCAGCAGCAGCAACGTGTTCCCTAGTATGAAACATAGCTGAGTGATAACTGCAGTCGACTTGACACGACATTTATTACTACAGAATGCCTCGTTGATTCTAGCCGTGACAGCATCAAAATTATATCCGTACTAGTATCCAGCGGTGTTTTGGCACGGCAATCAGGCCAGCTGACGTGTGCAGAGAAGATGTCGGGTCCATGGCATGGCGATACTAGTCAGTGACCCTCAAGATGAGATAGATATCTCAAGTGAGAGGGACCAGAGAGACAACTATAATACAAAATCGTGCATTACCAGAAGGAAGGTATCCTGGTTGATCATGTATACCTCCAACTCGCTAAGGTCCCGCAGGGTTCTGTACAACGTCTGGTCCCAGGCTCCCTGCGGTCCCATTACCTAGATATATAGCAGTGGGAACGTATGGCAAGGCCTACCGAGCGAGTTCAGGGTGTCTCCTGTGACAGTGTGATGCTGACCGGGTGGCGTGCTTTCAACCAGGGTGTCTCCGGTAACTCATCATTTGTACTGTATAGATCTTTCTTTCTCTCTGCGCTGCTTCCCTTCTGGCCCTTTGGCCTTCGTATCTCTCTGTGCGCCCGGGTTTTTGCCACCACAAAGGGCCCGAGTGAGTACAGAGCAGGCATACGTGGCAGTATCCGACGCCTCGGTGACGATGGCCTCCGCACGCAGCTAACTTGAGCAAGCTCAAGACCATGACGCGAAGGCGCTTTCTTCTGCAAGTCTAAGGGTTAGATCTCTGCCGCGAATGGCGACTCGGATCTATATCAAGTGAGGATCGCGGCTGGAAAGTGTCGATCCCGAACGAAGGGTCTCTCGCCAGACTAGGGGAAACGACCAGTTTTGCCAGAAGGGACGACAGGGTCCAAAGCCACCACGGGCCAGGAATTCTGCATTTAGCTTCCAAACGTCATTTTCGATCGGTGTGCCGCGATAAAGAGAGATCCGAGAAAGATGATCGAAGGGGATATGCACAGAGTCCGGAAGCAGTATTCGGCTCAAACCATCATCGGGACATCCTCGATGCGTCTTGAGGCTTTGCTCACCAAAGGAGGCAGCATAACAACAAGACCCCGGACCTTTGCCCCGAAGCATCCTGTGATGTTCGCCATGAGAACGACGATATCTCCGAGATTGTAGCGGCAGGAAACAGACCACGCGTATTTCTATGGACTGCGTGGCACAACTGGGCGGTGAAAGATGGAGGGAGGTGACATCCGAATGACATCCGACGCGGGCTAGAACCTCCGTGAAAACCCCCGGGGTTGTAGAGATAACTGAATCCCACCTCGATATCTTGGATTTCGGACATCATCACCTGCCTATGATAAGCCGACCTACTGACAGGTGTCGTTGTCCTCACGAATCCTCCCCTCTCCTAGAATGTCTCATGTTGTGGCTGGCTGCGTCAGCGGGACTTATCGCAACAGCAGTACGTATTGATCGAGATCTCGACGCGTGATAACTTATTCGACTTGTCGGTGGAAGAGATAACCTCAGGGAGAAGTCGGCCTTAACAGGCCAGCTAGCGGGGGTTTGCTTTTGTAGATAGGTACAGGGTAGAGAAGACCCAGTACGCCGCACGGAGTCGGAGACGGCCGTCGATGCGTTCGAAGTCTGGAGAAAAAGAAAGCATAGGTGGGTCAAGTGGAGGAGTTTGTCGACGACTCAACGTGTGGGAGACGGATAGCAGATGTTACCGTGTAGATAACTGGAGCGCCCGGTGCCCGGTGTATGTGGTTAGCTGAGACATCCTCTTCCAGGGGGTGTACAAAGTAGAGCCGGGTCCAAAACAGTTCGCAATCTCACTTGAGCGTCGACGCCTTTTTACTGTGTCAAACACAGCTGGTTGCGAGTGCAGTAAGTCAACGACTGTGACCAAGATGGTGAAAAGATCACTAAGACAGTAAGGTAGACAGATATCTACCACAGTAGTTGCCTGGTTATTCTGTAGAGAACGGTAGTCACGATGAGTGTTGAAAGCAATAGTAGTACTAAGGAGCATGCGGTAACCACCCGCGGCAACGGAAGTTCTTTCTTCCAGGCTGGGGGTGGCCTCAAGCTCAAGTTGCGCAAGCCTCGATGAGTTCGTCGATTCTGTTGTGTCATTCCATCGACCATCAGATTCAAATCCCATCTACCACTCCTCTTGCCCGATCCATCTACACTCCCTGTCCCCTGAACGATGCCACACGGCCCAAGCCTTTTGTCGACAAGCTTGTTTTACGAGAGATAAGCATGCACAAGAGGAGGGACTTGGCCAAACGCCCCCAAACTCTACACTCACTCTTCTACCAATCTTGCATCCATCCTCTCTCGCGATGCTTCACCTCAGTGGCAGCATGTTCATCGAGACATGCCGCCGACATCATCAGTCGTCGCTAATCGGGCTCGGAGCAGCATTCGAAGCAGGGGATATCAGAGATCAACAGGCCAAATCGCCTGCGTAACCCGAGTTTGTCAGGCTCCATGGCGTTGAAAGGACGGCTTATCATACGCAGACACCGTGCATTCTTATCGTCGAGCCGTAAGCACAGGGGTGGATGGGTTTTCTAACCCACCGCCACGCCAATCATGGCACAACGCCGCCCACCAGCCTCTGTCCAAAGAGAGGGTCGCCTGAGCCTTATCTAGCAGATCCCAAAGGTGGATCGTTTCCCCAATGCCACCACCGACTATACCCTGAGTGACGAACGCTTCCGGATGAAACCCTGTCGCTTGCTGCATCATTCTCGTGGCGAGACGAAGCTATGCTGTCGCTACACGACGAGCTGCAGTCCAGATGTGTACGTATATAGTCCTCCGGGCACCCGCCTCCTCGTGCGGGCTTTGTACCGACGAAATCTCCATCCGTGAGATAGGTATTGTGACACCTGGTGACCTTCACGATGTCCAAATACGTGACAAAATACATTCCCAGCGGGGCAACCCTCAAGGCGAGGGCAACCTCTGTCAAAGCATGGGAGCTTCCCAAGCAAGGTCAGTGTGCATCGTTATTTCCAACCAGCAGCTACTAACCTGTCTTCAGAGTCTGCCCTCGCTCCTCCAGAAGTATGGACAAACGCCGATATGGACCCTGTTCCGGAGAAATATCAAACTTGGACACTCTGGACATGGATGGCTTATTGGGCTACTGATACCATTAACTTGGGTACCTGGGAGACCGCCTCGTCGGTTATCGCTGTTGGCCTGAACTGGAGAGATGCCATTCCCATCATGGTTGTCGGCACTTCCTGCGTCGCTGTTCCTATGGTTCTCAACGGTGCCATTGGCGCCAAACTGCACGTTCCCTTCGCCGTCATTGTGCGTTCCGGCTTCGGTTACTACTTCGGTTACTTCTGTATTGTGTCTCGGGCTATTTTGGCCATGTTCTGGCTCGGTATCCAAGGGGCCAACGGCGCCCAATGCATCACCATCATGCTCACTGCCATTTGGCCATCCTATGCTCATATCAAAAACCAACTCTCGAGTGACGCCGGCATCACAACTCAGGGCATGGTCAGTTACTTCCTGTTCTGGATCATCCAACTTCCACTTCTGTTGATCCCTCCTACCAAACTTCGGTATCTCTTCATCGTGAAGCTGTTCGCTGCCCCAATTACTGCTCTCGCCACTCTCGGCTGGATCGTCAACAAGGCTGGAGGCGGTGGCGCCATCTTCAGTCTGCCAGAAACTGTCCATGGCAGCACACGTGCGTGGCTGTGGTTATCTTGCATGTCGTCTGTCACAGGTTCATGGGTGAGTACTTCCGCAATGCCGCGATTTGACTCATACTGACAATGTCTTCGAGGCCACGCTGGCGTGTAATATCCCTGATTTCAGTCGTTATGCGAAGTCTACCAAAGGCCAATACATCCAGCTTCCTTTCCTCCCTGCCATCTTCACAGTTTGCGGTGTCATGGGAATCGTCACGACATCGGCCGCCAAAGTCGTCTACGGCGAGTTCTACTGGAACCCGCTCGACATCGTTGCGCACTGGTTGGACAACAAGGGAGGTCGTGCAGCCGCCTTCTTTGCAGCATTGTCATGGTACATTGCGCAAGTCGGCACAAACATCACTGCCAACAGCATCTCAGCAGCCAACGACTTGACCGTGTTGTTCCCGAAATATATCAACATTTACCGAGGATGCATCATCGCCGCCATCGTCGGCGGTTGGGTCATTGTTCCATGGGAGATTCTGAGCTCCGCCACCACCTTCCTGGCATTTATGGGTGGTTATGCAGTCTTTTTGGCTCCTATGGCCGGAATCATCGCCTCGGATTACTGGCTTGTCAAGAAACAACACCTCGACGTCCCTGCTCTGTACGACCCGCATGGCCGATACAGGTATAACAAGACCGGCATCAATTGGCGAGCCATGCTTGCGTTCTTGCTTGCCGTCGGGCCCTGTCTTCCAGGTCTCGCATACAGCATCAACTCCAATACCCATATCACTACCGGCGCCAAGCATTTGTACAGTTTCGACTGGTTATATGGCTTCGTCGTCAGTATCTTCATTTACACGACCACAAGTTTTATCTGGAAACCGAGAAACCAACTCGTCCAACATACCGTATATGGTATCCCTCAAGATCCCACCGACGAGGAGGCCTACGAGGAAGCCTACGACGAGAAAGTTCTTCGGAAAGACAGCTTGGTCGGCAATCCAAAGAGTTTCGCCAATGTGGGCGGGGTTGACAGCGTGGCCAGCGCATTCCATTTGAGAAAGTCGTTTGAAGAGATCGCCAGAGAGAGCGCCGAAGTTCGTCGAAGCAGAGCCAGCCAAGGTGGCCAAGGTCCCCATGCTCCTGGGCATGTACCCGAACATCTGAAGGGCGTGGACGAGCAGGTTCTACATGAGAAAATGTAGACCTATGGTTGTTGTGATGGGGTTCTTCACATGCAAGACATCCCTCAGTGTGGAGGTGGCTTAACGCGGGATCAGTATTCAGGATGATGAATGAAATGTACTGTGTACAATTATGACTATAGACAATGGCTTGGTCGTTGATGACATGGTTGGAGGTGGTCTGGGGGAGATTGGATACCCACATTGCAGGGAATAATGTGCTTTTGATGAGATGCTCGTTATGTGTGAACGTTTCTCCCACCCTGCTCAATGATTCCTTACTCAACGTCGCCTCCGGAGCTATGTATTTTGAGGCCTCGAATCCATCAGACCAGAACTAGTATTTGAGCTTGTTCTTGTAGACAACTTGGACTGAGTCCGTGTATGACCAAGTACGTACTCCATCCCGGGTCAAGCGCGGCGCCTGATCATACTCCGTCAAGGGGAATCGAATAATGTGAGTCGTGACTTGATCCGGTCCGCTTGATTGCACGCACGGCCAACAGCAAGGCTGTGAGCGACAAGGGGATGGATGCGTCCAACCATCTGCGACGTCCGCCATGCTGAATCTTGCTTCAAGTGTGTCGGGCTGACCTTGGAACCGTACACTTGGCCCAGCATCCTGTGTCACTGCCTGCAGTGGTTGATAGAATACTAATACAGCAGATGTGCAGGCACTACAGGACAGATGTCCTGACCGTCCGCGTCCACCGCTCGAGAATTGGCCCCTACCTTGTGAAAATGAAAAGCCAGGTCCGAAACCGAGCATTCTTGAACGGCAACTCTCTTGTTGGTATTGGTAATTGGCCTTGAAGTTCCCCTCACAGTTCCTTCAGTGTTTTGTACACTTTCTCTCCAATCCTATCCATCAGACTCTTTCCGTGAGACGGATCTCTCTGGTGGGCTGCCTGTCCAGATGACCTCTGTGACTGTGACTGTGGGTGTCCATGACCCGCCATACCGCCAGGATATTGAGTCCAGCTCATTGAAGCAGCAGCTGCCCCAACACCGGTTCCAGCACAACATAGCGTCTGCGCCTGCGGCAGGAAATGCTCGGGAGTTAAGCACAAGACCCGTGCTTTGCGATTATTCCATCCTTCTCCCTCCTTCGCGGTCGCGTGGTAGATGCAATAGACTCGACTGTTGGTCTCTGCGGTATAAGAGGGAAGCCCCGAAGAGTTCGACGGTGTGGCATTTGCATATGGACCCCTTACGGGACGTGATAGGACGGGAGGAGAGACAATGAAACTCGCATGACCAGGCCCAAACGGCCCCGTAGCACCGTGTCGTCTATCGCTCTCGAGAAGCGGCGTGGGCCGTTTCTGCCACGACGACGGCTGGAGCGGGTCAGCGTTGCCGTCGACAAGTTGGAGCACGCCGAGCTTGTAGTCGCTGGTCCAGCTGCCGTTGGCGCTGTAGATGATTCCTCTGAATGTGAAACCAAAATCCTCCCCTGTTGGAGAGTTCGAGTTGGTGTTGTTGCCATTCGCATTGGTCAGGTCCCCAGGTCCTAGTATCTCCAGCCACGTCGGCCCTTCGTTGACCCCGCGTCTCCCACCATCGGGGCGTTCCCAAGCCAATTCCGCGCGTGAAATACAGACCAGCGTCTCAGGAATGGCTTGTTCGGGAGTGGCCAGTTCAATCAGAAACAGGTCTTGCTGGGTATCCGAGTGGTCGTGCAGCGGCCAGCCGGAATAGCAGCAGAACAGTCTGCGTGTGTTGCGGCTTGTTTGTGGTCGATTTCGATTTCCGATCCAAAACACAGTAGCATCGATGTTCCAATGATCAGGCAATCCCCGCAGAGGACCCAGAAACACCCACCCCCCCGGGTCCATGGGATCTTGCCTGCTCGACCGCAACACCAGCGTTCTGTGGGACGGGTTTCCGAGGCCGGGGTGTGCGCCGCAGAAATACACGTACCATGTCCCGTCGAGGCAGTGCAGTTCTGGGGCCCAGATGTCGACGGACCAGGGGCTGCCGGGGCTAGGTTTCCACACCACGCTCCTCGTGCATTGCGGCTGTCGGAAGTCTTGCATGTCTGCAGACTGCCATATCTCGACACGGTTGCCGGCCGTGAAGGTCAGGTAGAAGAAGCCGTTGGGGCCGGGGACCATCCATGGGTCGGGGGTGTCTGTGTCGCTGATGGGAGTGTTGGACATTGTTTCGACCTATTTTCCTGAACAGCGGGGCGGAGGGAGGAGGGGAGTTCAAGTTGTCTGGTTGTTGGTGGATGGAGCGAACAGGTTACATGTCTTCCAATGGATTTGATTTGTTTACACTCTAGGCGTCGGGAAGAGGATGGCTTTGATTGCATCTGTAGTGCCGTACTACTAGTATGCAGTGTTGATGGCTCATCGTAGGGAGATGGTTTGTTTGCACCGGTTGCGTACGAGTCATGTAGTACTAGTACGTCATACAAGGCTCTCTTCAGCTGTGCCAGTCAACTACATGTCTACCAAACGTACTACTTACCACGGCCACCACAGGACACAAACAATCTATTCTCCCAGATATCATGCTGCTACCGTCCCCATCAATCAGAAATAAGCAGAGTGAGGGGTGTTACGAAGCGTGCGAGACAAAAGTGATCAGTACAAAGGTTGATGCCGAAAAGGAGCGTATATGATTCAGGAGGCATCTATCAAATATAGATATATAGTTGCGCAGAAGCAAGAAAATCAAAAATGCAGAAACAAGATCCAACGCCAGTCGCTATGCAGCAAAACACAAGAAACCTGTCGGTCAACCAATGCAATGCAATTCCGCTCCCACCATGCCAGTCCCGACCCTGTACAAGTAAGCACGTCGAGAGGTCAAAACGCGCCTACGTCCCATGCCACCTTTTCTTTTTCAGACCCTTTTCGGTCCGGATCCTTTACGCAACCGCAACCGCGACGAAAGTAGGATCGCAGACGATATCGCTGACTTGACTGGGCGTCTCGAAAGTCCAGGCACCCTTGCCCGCATCGGAGAAAGTGATATCGCGGTTCTCGCCCCGGAGAACGATGATCGGGTTGCCCATATGGTCGAGGACCTGGCAACGATACTTTTGATCCTCGACCAACTCGCCGACGCGGAGCTCGACGGTCTCGAACGGCCCGCTAGAGCCGACCGGCATGGCTTCCTCGCGCTGTCCTGCCTCCAGAACGGTCTGCGAGCCGGTCTCGGTGGACTGGCTCTCCAGGACGACGCGCAGTTTGCCGGCGTCCGAATCGATCTGCGCAAAGGTTGGGTCGCACACGACTTGGCTGACCATGCTGGGCTCGCGGAGAGTCCAGGCACCCTTGCCGCCGTCGGCGAAGGTGATGTCGGTGTTGGCGCCGCGGAGCACGACGATCGGGCTGCCCATGTGGTCGAGGATCTGGCAGCGGAGGGCTTGGTCTTGCACGTCCGTGCCCAGGGTCAGTTCGACGGTGGCGAAGGGCCCGCTGAGGGCTGGGATGGCCGTGTCGCGCACGCCTTCTGCAAGAGTCACTTGGGCGCCGGTTTCGCCTAGGTCGCTGAGAGACACTCGGATTTCGTTGTCGACCTGACGGCGGCTGTGAGGGGCAGCCAGAGCGCCGGTGGCGGCAAGGAGACAGAGGAGGGAAGTGTAATGCATTTTGGAGATCATGGTAGGTAGGCTAGGTACTGTGCTGCGATGTTGCGTCTGGAGTTGGATGTTCTGGATTAAAGATTGGAAAGGAATGTCAAGTGGTCGGATTGGACAAGACAAAAGGAAACTAAGGAAAGAGATAAGGAAATAGTTGTAGACTCGTTGTGGAATGATTGTGTGATGATGGAGAAAAGCCATTTGATGGTGATGATGGAGGGCTTCTTTATACTTATCTCTAGACATCCTGTCGTGATTAGTAGGGATACCTTCTTGTCATCATCGTCGTCATATCCCAGCGGCGATGTGGAGGCAAGATGGGGTATCTGGTAAGAATGACAAGCATCGAGTGAGTATTTCAGATAGTAGGAGCGGAGTGAGTAAGAGTAGCAGAGTAAGATGCCACAATCAGAAGCGGTATAAATTAGAGCTGACCAGCCACGGCGGAAAGTGTTCCTCGGGTGGCAATATGATTGGTGCGGTACTCCTGCCAAGACAATTTCTTACCCGATCGGTCCATTGGTCTCTTCTGCATCCGGGGAGACCGTCACAGCGGCAGGGCATGGGTCGTCCGCAGCACCTGGGGCGTTGGGCCCGGGGTGCAAATGGCCCTTCTCAAAATAGTGATCAGTCGGTCCTGATGATACTTCCCCGAAAAGCCTCTGCCGTCAGCATGCCGGCCAAGCATTGCCAAGGAGAAGGAGAGTACTAAGAGGAGTGGCGGTGCTGACTGTATTGTACTCCCAACCCATAGCAGTGCCACAACGCTGGGCAAGCTGTAGGGGCAAGATGCTTCGGGAAGGGCCAGTAGGTACAGGTAGGCACCTCGGTAGGCGGTGATCTGGACTCGACGCAGGCAGCACGATGTGGCTCAACTCCGGCCGCGAAGGGACGGTGCATACGGCGCAGCACTTCAAAGATAGACTGTCATCATTGGTAATCCGAGCTATCTTGATTTCACACCGTAGCCCAGCACACCCACGTAGTATCTATCCCTCGTGGCGCGAGACTTATCTCGGTATTTCTTCGGGAGAACAGGTGGTTCCGTTGGGCCGTGGCTGCCGTCAACTGCTTCAAGAGGAGCAGGGCTGTTACCACGATAGGGTTGGGGAACACCAAAAAGGGGCCCAGGTGATCACATAGGTGCGTCAAGCAATGGCATGTCGCAACATGGACAGGACCGGAGTGGCTTCTGATTTGTTCGTAGCTCGTAACTCATAAACTCATATCTCATACCTCATTGTTCGTCATAATCCCAATATTAGTCTTCGTCCACATCCACAACGACCCGGGCACGGTCGAATAACCCAGTAGCAGGCGTATAAGCCGGTGTGGTAGAGGCGAGTAGTTGACTCCTTCTTGCCGCCGGTGTGGCTGGAATTAACCGTTCTTCGCGTCTTTCTTCTTCCCCGTGCCCTTGAGCGGCTGCTCGTCTCCATTTTTGCAGAAACCCTAGTGCCCTTTTCTTCTCATTTCGCTGCAAGACAACATCGGCGTCTTCCTCTAGCCTCTTGAACCTGAATGCCGCATTTCGCCAGCTCCTCAGTGTCTGCAACGCGTAGCTGGCCGTCCGCGTGGCACGGTACTCATCCGCCTTTTTCTGATTCTCAAGGATTTGCCTGGTCGGAAGAAGCCAGTTCGAGCCAAAGATTTGCAAACGGTCAACTAGTTTCTGGTTGAAAAACAAGTCTGCCTGGCGGTTCGATTCTTGTAGTTGTGTAGTCTTGTTGTACATTGTGACAATGGCGGTGTGGGCCATGCGTCTGGCACCGTCCGCATCCTTTCTCACTCGAAACTCGTCGGCTGCTATGTTCATCTCTCGGATTCGCGCAGTCTTCTCTCGCCACAGACGAAGAGCAGCTCGAGCGATATTCACCTTGACCTTCCTCCTCATGATCTTATAGGCCTCTGCATACTTTTCTTCTTTACTCCTCCTAGTGAATGCTCTCCATCTGCGGATATACTTCATACCCAGGAGCTTTCGGCGAGCTTCTTGCCCTGTTTTCTCTTCTTGGAGTAGTCGAGTTTTGTCGCGCCACTTCTGGAGGACGTGTTTGCTTGCGAAATACTCTGCAGCGGCATCCGCTCGTCTTTCATTGAGTTGTATGTGTTGCAACTGTGCAAGCCATCTGTTGAATATCCGCCGCACCAGATTGTCTTGGTAAACGAACACAGCTTGGCGCTCTGCCTGTTTGATTTGAACCCGTTTGGCCAACATCATTCCAAGGGCGTTCCGAACCGCCTGGCGATCCCGGAAGTCGTCGGCAGCGGCTTCCATCTCGTGTAGTCGTCTGGACTTGTCCCGCCATGTCCCAAACACTTTATTGATAATCCTTTCGTCTCGCACCCTGACAAAAAGTCGTTCACGAGATGCTAATGTCCATTGCTTGAGGGCGGATGCTGCATCTCGCCGGGCTCGGAACTCATCCGCAACTCTATCCATCTCTTGAATCTCTCTGACAATGTTTCCCCAGTGGCTAAGGGTCTTTCTGGCCAAGCTGTGCAGGTAAAAATTGTCCGCAAAGTTGTTCATCGCCGGGTCCTCATAGTCTAGCCACGCCTCTCTTTTAAGGTGCAGTTTCTGTCGCCATTGATCGAGGGCTTGAGATGCTAATTTCCGATTGTCAAGGGCCACGGCTTGTTGCCATAAAGGATCGTTTTCGTCAAGAGAGTCGGGAGACTCAATCCTCTCGGGCACTTCGGACCCTCGGCCGAATGCTGGCGAATTTCCTGCCGCGTCGTAATCTGTTTCGCCATCTGTTGTGGTCCCATCGGTCGTCAGGACAATATGCGCCTCTTGTAAGACGTCGAGGAACTTTTCGTTCAGGGGTGCGGCGGGATCGGTCTCGAGTAGGTCAAGCAGCCACCGCAGACAAGGATCCTCTGGATGGGTCACATGCCTATCTTCAGAGCATATCGCATTGTACTCCCTCTTGATCGCGCCAGGAGTGAAGTCGACCAAGTCTTCCTGGAGCCGAAAGAGTACACGGTGTAACCGGTCGATATCTTTTGGTGGGAAGTTTCTGATTTCATTGGCAAAAGATGCCTGCTCCTCAGGAGTCATGGTAACGGGAATGGTCTTCGACGTCTCCCATCATGTTGTGCTGCGGCGGTCATGACATGAATGCCGTTGCATCTGAAGTCGCAATCAGGACGCGGTCGCGTTCGAGCTTGGCAGAGAACGCGAAATCACGTGGCCAGATTTCATCCAACATTCCCACTGCAAGGCTCCGCGAGTTCTGCTTATCAACAGGGAGGACGTTGTTTGTACCTTATCATTTAGCTGACCGACTTTTCTCACCACCTCCGCATCCTCTCATCTTCTATGTATACGTGCTACTTTTAGCTTTGCTACTCCTCCTAACGGCTGGTGACTTGGAATATGTGACAGCCTTTCGCTAAGGGATGTGTATCTTGACACATTCCATCTGCCTCGGCTATGCACTTGGTGCCTTTCCAAGTGCTTTTTCATAACTTGAACAATCTGTCCGGCTCCAGTAATGTCTCCATGGTCTGCTTCCACTCTTCTGCAAGGGCAGGGTCAATAGCACAACCGTCATAACTGGCGTTGAACCGAAGTTGCCCATTATCGCCCACAGCCCCGACGAGGAATTCGCCGTCTCTTGCCCTGACATTGGATTCAAGATTTCGAAAGTCGGCAGCAATATCCTTTCCGCTCGGCATCATGCGCGTATCATACTTTCCGCTTCGAATGATGGAACCTCGGTCACCAACAGAGCTAATACCGCATGTCGCCAACCTCGAGGTAGTGCTTGCTGGGTAGTCACCTTGAACATTCCAGCCCCGTTTCCTGGTTGCATCACATCTTGCTTCCAGACGCTCCATAGTGTCCAGATACAGCAGCGGCAGGAGTTGTGTTGGACTCTTAGAGCCCAGATGAATCTCCTCTTCCAGAGATCTAGGACGCTTCTGATACTGGCGCAATTGTCGATCGGCTTGTCTTCCCAGAAGACGTAGTCTTCTGTCAAGGTCGAAGTCGCTAGGTAGGAAGGGCAGGCTCACACCCTCGCTGAAGGCTAGCATCAGGCTGTCTTCCCTTCCTACGGTTGATCTGCCGGTAAGGAAGGGTCTGGGATTGACAGGAAACGAACCCACAAACGGCTGGCGTTCATGCTGTGGAACATGTGGATTGCGCCGCTCCTCCATGAGCATCATTGCCACAGCAACCAGAGCAAAGCATCCGCTTCCTATACTGATGCGTGCATCACGGCACATCTGCGTCAGCCTTTGGCTTGCTCTAGGACTGAGAGCCGCACGAACTGCAAACGTGTTGATCGGCGGCACATGCGTGTAATCCAAGATAGCTGGAAACTCGGGCCTCATTGGTGTGGCTCTTGTCAATGGCAACCTTCGTCTCAAAGGATTCTGGAAAGCAGCTGGAGGCAGCTTTCTTGTGTGGCGCAATATACGGGACAGCGCCCAAGACCATCGCTCTTTCGCTGCACTCCCTGTTATTGGTGGATATAATGTCTCTTGTGCGGGCGGCAACCTGGCCACTGGAGATACAGAGCAGAGCGATTCCGCTTCATATGCTAACTGCGGTGCAGACGCATTGAGGAGATCGATGAATGAGGACATCCACCGCATGACAGTAAGGCCGTCGGTAATTTCATGAGCGGCCACGAGAATGAAGTGGACCGCCTGCATGGCATTGTCTGGTGAGTCGATCGGCATCACATATAATCGGCTCAAAGCCTTGGAGGCATCCAGACATCGCCCAGTGTTCAGTGTGTGGATGAAGAATTCATCAATGCTGACCTGGGGGTAATGGTCCTCGACAAAGGTCAATGAGTCTTTTGCCTTGCTTAACATCGTTTCCGAAGTCGTGTTTGGTTCGAAAACAAACAAGCGCTCCTCGGGGCTGTTGTTGAATTGATGGGGCAGAAGATCTGCTGCCTTGACGACTCTAGAAGCCAGCAGAACATGTTTCTCCCTCAGGACACTCCAGGCCTGCAAGATGCGGTCCCTCAAAGCACTCAAGGTCAACGAAGTCCTCAATTCTACGAGGAGATCCGTCGTAATATCTGCTCGCCCTTCGAACTCGCTGCCATCGACGTCGAACAAGCTCTCAACAATCCCGATGCGGCGGTAGTACCCGGAGTGGTCCTTCGTTCGCAATGTGTGCCAGTCATGTCGGGTTGTGGCATAACTTCCTAACCATTCGGGCCTTACCTGGGATGCCATCATGAGCGTTTCATCCGCTGCTGACCAGTTCCACCACACACGGAGACCAGGATTCTTTAGAGGCTCCCGCTTCCAATCTTTGGGCTACGGGAAGATCTGTGGTCTTGAGTAGCTGTCACTGCACGTGGTGAGCACGTTGCATTACGGTCCTGGAGTGATGACCAGTTGCTCCCGTCGAGAATCTTCACCTTGGAGAAGGAATCGAGATAGGTCTGCAGAGGCTATCATAGGTTGTCGTTCAAGGGTGTCATTATAAATAATATTGTTCACATCATCCAGGTGATGGCCCCAGCTTCTAAGGCCTTGGCCATCATAGACCCTGAACCAGGGTTATACCACACGTAATCTCCGATTTCTTTTCCCCTTTACCAACTTCCTTCCGACGTCGTCTTATGTCTTTTCTTTTCTTCTTTCTTCTTTTGCCCTCAGATCGACCCGCGTCGACCAGGGAAATGAGCCTGGGACAGTCGCATCAGCTATGGCAGCTCAGAGTGTATGTGATGGCCATGGGGCATTGTCTTTTCTGCAAGCTTGGCCCCTTTCATGCAAACCATCCGTACACTCATCCGGCTGTGGAAGTTTGACTGCGGGTTGAGGCTCACGCTGTTATTGCCAAGGCCTCAGTTCCGACAAACTTGAACTGCACTACAGGCACTGCAGTGGCTCTGCAACTCATGCCTGCGTGTAGTACTACATCGACTATACCGCAGGCTTGCTGCACTGCAAAGGTTGTCACTTACTGACGTGTCTATCCTGACGAGGGATGCTCAACGATGGCCAGCAACTGCGAGGTGCCTCCTTCAGATGATTCTGCTGTTGCTGATACTTCTAGGTGACTGACTTGGTATACGCCATGACGGTCAAAGCCAACGTCCCGACGATGTGGGCGAGAGAAGAAAGGTTTCTTAGTACTCTTCTAACTGATTCCGTTGCAGCCATACCTCTCCAGACCGCGCGGCTCCCTGGAAATCTGGCTGTCGATGCTTCCATTGCTCTCACAAATTTCGAGGAGATCAAAATGCTCCCAGCCGGGCTCACAAAAAAATACATTCGAACCCCTGCTCAGCCAAACGTCATAGCCGAGATCGTGAAGCCTAATCGGCGAGGCTGCAAATCCCTCCGACATTGTGATCAAACGCAATTTCTCTGATCTGGGACTCCATTCAAATGGTGAAGCAGTGCAAAAAGGCAGGATATATCTCTAAGCTGAGCTCTATCCGGCCTCCAAACCACGACCTCAACAGGCCAAAATTGCGTTCAGGATCAGAGGACAGAAACCACCTATGGGAGAAGAGCGGCGCATGTGTTTGTGTATTGTGGACCAGGCACCAAAGGTTGATCTGTCGCGTACTACCACATGCGCGTCTACGGTCTCCAGCCCAATAAATACTCTCTGCCCTCGCTCTTCTCTTTCCTCTCTTCTTTTCTTTTCTCCCATACGAAGCGCGCTCGTGACAACTCTTGAAGATATACATGGCACAGGCTACAATGTCTACAATCACATCGAGCTCTTCCGGCCAGTACCACCCCGACCAAGAATCAAGGCGTTCTCCCGAGCCAAATTCTTCTCAATCTTCCAGCCACCGCCGGTGCTCACCAACGTGATAACCGACGCGAGGAAAACAACCGTCCGCCCAATCAAGGCCTTCTCGAGGGGTTCGAGTGCATGGCCACACGGGCCGTCAACGTCCTTCAGGCCCAACGGTTTACAACCCTCCCGCTGATGCTCACAGCGTACTCCGGGTACGGATCAGTGGTCCACGACTCCAGCGTTCTTCAAGCAGTCGTGCCGGAACCTCGACAACTACGGCGTCATCCGACAGCCAAGGCGACTTTGATGCAGATGAGGCCTTCCTGGAATCATTTGTTTCCGACTTGCCAGTTCCAGATACGCCAACTGGCCCAGTCATCTCGTTCCGCACTCAGCCAAGTCATGCATTGGAACCTTCTCCTGGTTTCTTTGCTCGGTGTGGACAAATCTTGGACTCGGTAGTCAGCAAGGTCGCCCAATGGGTTCATTCCTGGTTTTGATTACTCGGCAATTCAAGACACATGGCATACGGTACGGGCAATGTGAGGGATTGAGTGTGGTGTAAGTGGATGATGGGTGTTGTCGGTGGTGGTTGTGGTGGTCGTTGTTGGTTGTCTGATGTTGGATCCAAAGCTCAACGACTCAGCCATTGTGCGTCTCAGACTTGGACGTCGCTTGGGTATTGGGGAATACCACCTTCTAGAGTGTGGCTTTGATCAACGAGAAGCAAGACCAACATCAGGACAGTACATGTTGAGGACAGGCAGCCATAGTGCATCTTGCAGACCCGTCACATCTGCGGAGCCGCTGAGTTGTTGCGAAGCACTCGGTCTAAATGGTGGTTGTTGTGGTCCAAGAAATGGTACACACTTTCCGGGATCTACTGGTGGGAGGTGTAGGAAGCAGGACTTGGGCAGCGAGCGAAGTTCGGAGCTTGAGATTTGTCGGTGGTGAAGGCTCATGGATGGAGTACATTACTGGTGACGGGACCGGCTTGGATTGGCCGTCACACACGCTCTGTTGATGGTGCTCAGGAACCGCGGAATATGGTGTCGGGGGTGGTTGTCAGGAGGCGCGAGAGCCGGGGGTACGGAGGATTGTGCTTTGCGACACTCGGATGTCTTGTTGTACAGAAAACAGTGGAAATGCAGAAAAAGACTTGAAACCCTCATTTTGTTCTCCGTACGCTCATATCGCGAACGATAGCTGCCGTCAATCTGTAGTTAATCTTGGTCTGGTACAGGATACTGGTAGTTGCCAATATGTCTGCTTCCTGCTCCATGTCTGAGGTGGTCTGTCTTTGGAGGGAAGAAGCATGCATTGGACGGTGAGTGGGTGGTACGTCGAAGGGTTCATCACCAACATTCCCGGAATCTCTGAGTATGTTGTCGAGGACTGCAACGGTAACAGTTCGAAAGAGACGTTGTTTCGATGGTCTGAGCAGCCAATCCGACACTGTAAAACAAACTTCATATCAATCCCGCGTCCGGCCTCCAGCTCCTGCAGCTTTGACTTCCTACTTCTACACCAACCCTTGGAGACTGTGCAAGGGGTAGAATTGGTAGTCTACTAGCATTGGCTGCTCAGCTCCATGCTTTTTCCAATGCCAACAGCCATCCTATCAGCCAGCCATGCCAAAGCGCCTGCGGGTGACTAACCCTCGCTTCTCTCGCCCTGCTCGACGCCTGAACATCGAAGAGCCACTTACCTAATGCTTCCAGACACTTGGTTGATTGGGAAGCAATACACTTTTGAGACCAAGGTCTTCACAGCTGGCATGGGTGCCTAACGTATATAATGGTAGGTCTAGCTCCCTGAGCTTTACAGAATCCCTTCCTTAAGCGATACAACAAGACACAGCGGTATTACCACCGTCCCACGTTCACTCGTCACAACGGCTTTCAGAGACACGATAAAGATGTCTAAGAAGATCATCACAGTCTTCGGTGCTACAGGCAACCAGGGCGGCAGCACCGTGTCCGCTATACTGAACAACCCCAGTCTATCGTCCAAATACAAGATCCGAGCCATTACTCGCGACCCGTCCAAGCCCGGGGCTCGAGCACTGGCGTCCAAAGGCGCTGAGCTAGCCAAGGCAGACTTGAACGACATCGGCAGCGTCAAATCCGCCATCGCCGGCTCTTACGGTGTCTTCGCAGTAACCAACTATTGGGAAACGACTTCCAAGAGCGGAGAATTCCAACAAGGCAAGAACATTGTTGATGCATGCAAGGACCAAGGCATCAAACACCTTGTATGGTCATCCCTGCCTAACGTCACCAAGATGACGAGCGGCCACCTGACCAAGGTCGAACATTTCGACTCCAAAGCCGGAGTGGCCGAGTACGCGGAACAGGTCAAAGGAGACCTGATCGTCTCGTATTTCATGCCTGCCTACTTCATGTCTAACCTACCCGGCCAAATCAGGGTGGATCCAGAGACTGGCTTCCCGACCCTGAGCATGCCATGGAACCCTACAACCACGTGGCTGCCTATGATCGATATCCGGAGTGACACCGGCCTGTACACTGCCGGGCTCTTCGAGGCTGGGTCGGAGGCCAACGGTGTCCATGTGCAGGGTGTCAGTGAATGGGTTCATCCGCAGCAGATCACGGATATATTGTGCCAGATCACGGGTGACGAAGTCTGCTTTGTCGAAGAGCCCGCCAGTATCGAGGATGCGGCGCGGATGGGTAATCGGATTGCCGAGGAGCTGACTCAGAATATGATCCTGATCAGGGACTACAGCTACTTCGGCAAGGGGACAGACAAGAAGCAGGCTGAAAGTGACAGATTCTTGGTGCCTGCGGCCAAAAAGAGTACATGGAAGGACTTTGCAGAGAAGGTGCAGTGGCAATGGTAGTGGAGAGGCGGCTGCCATCGAAGCTAGGACATCCTTGGGAGACTTGAAAGCATCGAAGAGTCTGTCGCCAGGATCCGGGAAACGGTTAGGACGAAAAAATGATGTGGTTTCTGCATGAAGATGGACACTGCTCTGGAAACATCACATCAGGTCTACCATAGGCATATATACTGTTGTCTGACGGTGATATTAGATCCCTTCGCAATGTCTCTTCCCCGTCTATATTTTCGTCAGACGGACATTCGGCCTGCCATCCACATCATGATTCAGTTATTCTCTTCAAGTTTGTCAAGTTAATTCAAGTTAATTCAAGATCCTTCTGTGACGCTGCTGTCCATCACCTGTCCCAACTCCCTGCTGCCGTCTGGGAGGGGCAGAACCCGAGAATGAGCTCCAATCTAACAGTACTCTCCTGCGATTACTCTCCATTCGCAACCCACTCAGCAACCCTCTCTGCAAGGGCATACACCGTCGCTTGGATGTGACACGCCATAGGGACTGGAATCACACTTCCGTCGACCACTCTTAACCCCTTCACGCCCTTCACCCGACAATGGCTGTCGACGACTTTACCCATTGAACAAGTCCCCATTGGGTGGTCTAGACTGTACCCAAAATCGCGGATCCTTTTGTCGATCTCATCGTCCGATGTGTCTGTTGTGATTGCCGCATAGCCTTCGGGTGTGACTTCATGAGAGACCAAGGATTTCCCCGTCTCGGTATCAAGGTAGACAGAAGCGACTTTCCGCAGGGCTTCCCGGGAAATATATCTGTCCGTCTTCGTCGCGTTGAAGTTGGTGTCGATGAGGGGAGGATCTTCAGGGTTGGCGGACTGGATGGTAACGGCTCCTTTGGACGTAGTGGCGAGGCAGACGGCAATCGAGCTGATGTGGCTTCCGTCGATGGCGGCGTCAATGCCCGTCAATCTCTCACCCATCGGGACATACAAGGTGACGCTTTCCATATGCGAAGCTCCAGGTCGAAGCAAGAATGCGCGGTCTTGGGCATTCTCGATCAAGGGCTCGAGTTTGACCGGTTCGTCCAATGCACCGAACTCAATGAAATCCATTGGCCAGCCCGTGAAATATGAGGGATCATTGAACAAGGGCGAGCCAAAGGCCAGGCCTTTTTCAGGGTGCTTCAGCTTCCATGTCATCCCTACAGCCAGATGGTCCACTAGATTCTTCCCGACCTCAGCATTTGGGACGACAACTGGGATACCGTGCTTGTCCAAGGTCGACGGATCACCGATGCCAGAGAGCATCAAGACTTGTGGGCTATGGTAAACACCGGCGCACAAGATGACCTCTTTGTTTGCGGTGAAGTGTTCCCCTCCCACAAGTTCGGCTCCGGTAGCAACAGGCTCTGCGCCGGCAGGGCTATCGAACGTGATACGTTGCACGATGCTGGACTCACGGATTTCGACACGCGAAAGGTCTAGGACCTGGCTGGGCAGTTGACGCTGGCCTTGAACCCACAGCTCGACCATCTCCGTCAAGCCGTTTTGATCGCCATTGTTCCCGTCCGGGTTATATTTGACACCGGCCTCCTTCCAAGCCTGCAGGATTGTTTCGCGCAGTGGATAATGTCGACTGGGATGATTCGCCCTCATGGGCACGACTTTGAGGCTCCCATCGTACCCGTGATGGACATGGTCCCTGCCCGAGTTCGCATCGTGGATGACTTGCTCAGTCTTCCGGAAGAAAGGCAACAGCTTGTCGTACGACCAGGCATCGTCCCCGACGAGTTTCGCCCAGTAGTCATAGTCGACCTTGGGTCCTCGCGTCCAGGCACTGCCGTTGATGGCTCCGCTGCCGCTCAGCCCCTTGCCGACACTGACCTGGCTTTTGCGTCCGTTGAGGTGCGGATTCGGCGTCACGTCCAGGATATATGCATGTTCCGACTCGCGGGCGAGCGCGTATCCTGTGGCGGAGAGGATGAAGTCGGTCTTTGAGGGATCTTTGCCCGCTTCCAGGACCAGGATCTGCTTGCTATCGCCCGGTGGGAGAAGCTTGGACAGGCGCGATGCGAGCGTCAGACCAGCGACGCCGCCGCCCACGATGATGTAGTCGTATGATGAGGAAGAGGAAGACATGTTTTTTGGGACTTGGGCCGGATCAGGCCAGCGTTCGCCCTCAGCTGGCTGGTATTAGACTCCACAGCCTCAGAGTCAGTGAGTTCGTTTCTCAGACGAGGCTCGAAACTCCCCAAAGTGCCTGCGACCGAGATAGGTTGAGTTGCTGCTCAGCTCTGTTTGCTTGAACTTGGATGGTGTCGGATCGAAGTGTAACGGAGTCGGATACCTCCAAGCGCTATATGGTCCAGTGAACGTGCCTGCTTCTGGTATCCCACTGCCCAGTATCACGCTTCAGCCAAGCCCAGGCAAATGTTTAGTGATGGATGTCCTGCGGGAAGAGCCGCTCTTCATCAACTTTCAGTCAACGGATTAGATGCCCTGACCACTGTGCCAGTACCGGGACCGACTATCCTGCACTCGGCTTCGTCTTCCTCTTGGTTTCCAGCCAAGGCTGCCGGGTCTCCGTGGGATCCCTTTGGTGAATATCCTCTCGAAAGAAAAAGTGGAGAAGCGTAGGATTGTTGATTCTGGAAACCAGCAATCAAAGTGCCCCAGGTTGGAAACCAGATTAAAGATACGAGATGGACTTTGAGTACTTGGACAACAATGGTATATATCAACGAGCTTTGCTTCTCGTGTGTAGCCCCTGAGAGGAATGAGATTGAAACTCAAGGAGAGACCAGGAAACCGATCTCACTTTGCAGGGAGGTAGGTATATTTATATCCATCTCAGCAGGCACCTTGTAGATATGTAGGTACATAGATAGTGCTGACATGTCCGTTCTCGGCTCTGACCACAATACTAGTACGTACTACCTGGCGAGGCTGGTATCTCCTGATTCGACTACCTAGTAGAGGGTGAGCAAAGGCTAAGGGGCCCTGGCCGCTTTAACCTCAGCTTCAGCTAAACCAAATAGTTAGCTAAATATCACTAAGTACTACTAGTAGTAGTGGTAGTCCGCCTTGCCCCCAAACACTCTAATTAGTAGTAGTCTATCCTATCATCAGCACCTCGTTTTCACAATTCAGAATGTCCTTCTCCTATCCTCGGTCGCATCCAGTCTTGGGACTGTACTCCAAACCCAGTTGTTGACGCCCGTCTGTGGGAACTCCGACTTAGACGCAATGCTTCATACACAATGGTCAACTACGGAGCATCTCGAGCTTGCCAGACGTGTAAGGAACGGCGGAAAAAGGCAAGATACATGATATGTGAGCGAATTGGCCCAAAACTGACAGATCTCCCAGTGCGACGAGTCTCGGCCAGTAAGCCATCCCCTTACTGAAGCACTGATTCCTGGCTAAGCAGGTCATAGTCGTGCAAGCGATGTCTGAAGTCAAAACGAACCTGTCCCGGTTATGACGAGCCTAGTTCGAGTTTCCATTTCCGCCATTATGTCCCGGTGAATCATGTCCACGACGACCCTGACATTCCACCAGCGGACTCACGTCGCGCCAGTGGTCAAGGAGATTCTGTAAGGAGAAAGACCGCAGCAGTCCCTTCAGACTTCGAAAGTGCTCAACTTGAAGATGACGCCCTGGACACGTTTTTGCTCGAATACTGCGTCGAGTCCAATGACAAATCGATATCGCGGGGATTCCTGGATGGCCTGGAGTCATTGATCACGACTGCAGGGCGCTCGTCTGATCTTGCTCACGCGGCCAGAATCGTGGCCCTCGCCGGCATCGGCAACCGACGTCGCGATCACAATCTTGTGCATAGAACGCGACAACGATATGGCGACCTGCTCTTATCGTTTCGCCAGACTCTGGCCGACCTTGAGACGGCCAGCACTATAGAGTCGTTGATGACTGCTGTCCTACTGGGCATCTATGAGGTCGGTCCATGTCATCCTGCGAGACAGGCCCATTGCTAATCGATTCCCGTCAAAGATTGTTGCGGCGGATTTGGCAAATCACCAAACACAGCACACGACCCACGTTGCCGGCGTTGCGGCGATCTTGTCAGCGCAAAATTCCCCCTTCGATCTGCCGGGCGGACTCGAACTCTTCCAACTCCATAACCCGATCATGCTGACACGACCTCTACAAGTAAGATTCCTGTTAAGGCTGTGCCGACCTAAGGTCCCCCTCGCTAAAATTGCTCTAGCAAAGAAATAATGGTGGGGTACTTTGTGCTGCAATATCAAGCCCCTGGGTTCAAAGCCTGGATGCGCTGCTCGTCCAATTCAACCCAATATCCAACAATGCAAGAGCACTATTCGATCAAGTGTCCGTGCCTACGCAGGACGAGGTACTTCAGGTCCTCGAGAAAGCAGTCCAGCTGGAAAGGGAATTTGCAGCATGGGCTGCGAGTCAGCCAGAAAAATGGACACCCATCACGATCGATTTGTCTAGATTGTCTGAGGATGATTGCGGCCATCCCGGGAAGGTCGACATTTACTTCGACCGTGAGTACCACCTCTTATTTGTTTGTCGGATCGTAGATAGTCTAACTGTTTTAGTATACGTCGCGGCCGTCTGGAATACGTACCGTAAGACGCGTCTGTTGATGCTCGATGTCATCTTCCGGTGCAGGAGTTTAATCGGTCGTGACGGGGCCTCTGGAAACCAAGAAACCGAGGAAGCTCAAATATTGGCCCTAGATATTATAGCCTCCATTCCCTACCATCTCAGCTCTGACCCTGAACGGTTTGTGCGAGAGAGAGAAAAGAGTCTCTCAGAAGTCGCCCCTGGTACCAAGACTGCCGGTGGACTGCTGTTGCTGCATCCAATGTGGGTTGTTACAGTTTCGTCGGTGGTGTCCTCCGAATTACGTTCGTCCGCGAGGGATTGTCTGGCCTGGATTGGCAGACATATGGGCATCAATCAGGCCACAATGCTTTCTCGTGTGAGTGTTCTGAAGAAGCCAAACTTTGTTTGATCGCGACACTCCTAACGAGACCAACACAGGAGCGGCGTTGTATTCCGTTCCAGCAGATTGCCGAGGGGCACGTTCTCATCTGGGCCGGCATGCTGATCCGTTCTGTTTGAGGGGAGCTTGCCTGGGCAATCTACGGCTTTTCTTTTCCTCGGTTCACTTCTCGAGCTCCGAGGACATGTATCCGCTGCACTGCAAAACAGGCGATAATACAAGAAGAGTGGAAATCGTCCGAGATGATGGACTTGAAGCGGGACCACCAGGCGGTTCTTCTCGCTCCACCCAGCCTTGCGCGCTGTTCACCGAAACTGGTTAGCTTTGCGCAATTTTGAGGGCTGTGGTTGGTCAAATGAGAAGTACCCACCTGGTTCTATTTCTTACGAAGAGTACAAGAGACAGTTGCAAACCCTAGGACTGGACCTTTCTCTCTTCGAAGAGACCCCTCACAGGCAAGGGCGCAGGATCGAGGAAAAGGAGAACTCCCTTTCGTGGAAATCGCCGCCATGTACGATATTTTCAGAGACTCCGCGGTCGGATATACTCTCCGCCTGGTCACACGCGGTCGAGTTGCCTCGTACCCTGAACAAGATCCCGGCTTCAAGATACCGGACGAGTCCTTCAGCCGGTGGCACCGTCCGGACGCGACCTCGACGACAAGCAAAGAAGAGACCGAACCCCAATCTGGACATGCAGCCGACGACGTCCCACGGCCGGATATCGAAGCAAGAAAGGAGGGGGGTCACAGTTGCATTGATGCCGAGAAGCAAGAGCAGAACGACGCCGCTCCCGTTCAAGACCAGACGTCTGGCCGGCGTCCTCGGTTCACGAAAGAGAGGGAAGAGCAACAAACCGTCCTCGTGTCCTGGTACTCAGACGACGATCCGGACGACCCACACAATTGGTCAACGCTGAAAAAGAGCTGGCTGTCTTTTGTTATCATGCTGTACACGTTTTCCGTCTATGTCGGCTCGTCGCTCTACGTCGCCAGCGTCCCAGACATTATACACATCTACCACGTCCCACAGGTGGTGGCATCTCTCGGCCTGTCCCTCTATGTCTTGGGGTATGGCCTGGGACCTATGCTCTTGTCTCCGCTGTCAGAGATCCCCGCCATCGGACGGAACCCGCCGTATGTCACGACCCTGGCTGTGTTTGTCCTCCTCTGCGTCCCGACCTCCCTGATCAACAGCTTTCCTGGTCTGCTGGTCTTGCGCTTCCTGCTCGGCTTCTTCGGCTCGCCAGGTCTTGCGACCGGCGGCGCCAGCCTCGGGGACTTCTACGGGACCAAGGAGATGCCTTATGTGATTGCCGCTTGGGGCGGTGGTGCGACATTGGCGCCGGTATGTAGAAATGGCCCTTCCTTTCCTCGCAACAAAATATAACGTCGGCCGGCTGACGAAACCCTACCGCTGCAGGCACTCGGCCCTCTCATCGGCGGATTCGCCGTCCAATATGTAGACTGGCGCTGGAGCTCTTGGCTGCTCCTCTGTCTGTCGGGTCTTGCGCTGCTGCTGATGTTTTTCAGTCTGCCGGAGACGTCGGCCGACAACATCCTGCTCCGTCGAGTGCGACGACTGCGGGCGCGGGCGCGGACGCCCATCCCCAGCAACAGCAACAGCGGTAAAGCAGACGCCGTCGTTATCCTCAAATCCGAGTCCGAGATCCGACAGTCAGAGTCTTCCCCTCGAAGGCTCGGCTTCGACGCCCTGATCAAGCCATGGCAGATCAACCTCCTCGACCCAGCGGTGGCTTTCAGCACCGTTTACACGGCTTTGACGTACGCCATCTACTACTCCTTCTTCGAGTCCTTCACCCTCGTCTACGGCGACATGTACGGGTTCGACTTGGCCCAGATCGGCTTGGCCTTTCTGGCGCTTCTGGCTGGCCTCGTGGTCGCGGTCGTGCTGTATTGCTTATATCTTCATCGTTACGGCGACGCCAAGATCGCGCGTCTTGCCGCCGAGACCACCACCGTTCCTCCCGAAGCCCGTCTCTGGCCTGGTCTGGTTGCGACGTTCTGCATCCCCATCGGCCTGTTCATCTTTGGTGAGTACAGTAGGACCCTTCCTCTGTGGGCGTCACATCCCCACGACAAACAACCCGTGGACAGCCTCGTTCCCAAACTAACTGCGGCCCAGCCTGGACGGCCCGGCCGCACGTGCACTGGATCGTCAGCCTCGTCGGCGCGGCCGTCAGCATGACCGGCGTGTTCATCATCACCCAGTGCATGTTCATCTACCTGCCCTTCACCTACCCGCGGTATTCAGGGTCGCTGTTTGCCGCCAACGGCTTCGCCCGCAGCGCCTGCGCCACGGGGGCCGTCCTCTATGCCCGACCCATGTTCGCCCGCCTCGGCATCGCCGGCGGCGTCAGTCTCCTTGCGGGGCTGACGGTTTTGTGTACCTTTGGCATCTACGTCCTCTACTTCTACGGCGCCAGGTTACGGCGGAAAAGTCGATTCGCGGTTTCTTGAGGGCAGAAAGATGAAGAGACAGGAGAGAGTATACTGCTAAATAGCTGGCTCCAGCAAGGCATCTTGCGTTGCTGTCTTTCCGGCATCTGATTCTGCGAGGAGCTAATAGAACCTCTGACAAGTTTCCGCCTTTTCCTGGAACGCCGCATCGAACACGACGAGGTTGCGAATACGTCTCAAGAGGTCGGCGACGGACGCGAATCTGCCATTCCAGCAATCTGTCATGATACAGTCAACCGGATCTTCGGCGAGCATATGGACCAGGAGCCAACTTGCCAACTTGCCAATTCGCAAATCTTAGAATCTTGGATTCACTATTGAAGAAGAAACTCCGGACTCTTGAGGTCTACCCAGCCCAGATTCGGCTCGCTCTGCTTCCAGCCCAGCCGGGCCTGCACGAGCGGTGACCATGTCTTGACCTCATCAACGGGATAGGACAAGAAAGAAATCTCTTCCTGCCGATGCACCCCCGTGCACGAGAACATGGCATGCACTGTCCTGGTCTCCGGGCCACCGTTGTCCAAGGGCTTTTCGTATGCTCCGCCACCATGGTACAGACTGCCCAGCATGACGAATGCCTCGCCCACCTTCATCTCGGCATCGAGAACGCCCCGGTCTCCGGTCGGCCCAAAGTCCGGCTGGTCGTCGCCCCAGAGATGACTGCCGGGCGCAATGCGCGTGGCGCCGTTGGCTTTCGAGGTGTTGCAGCCGGGGACGAACAGGCCCAATAGCATATCCCGGTTCTTGTCGTACTTGTCGGCTCTGCTGTGACGGGCGTGGTGGTTCTTGTCGTCGCGGTGCAGACCTTGGGCTGGCGTCCCAGGGGGGATGTCGAAGGTGATGGAGATGGAGAGCAGGGGATGACTGGTCGTCGTTAGAGGGTTGGGCCCGTACCAATGTGTGGTCTCGAGGGCCAGGAAGTGTTCGCAGAGTCCTTGGTAGATCGGGTCGGAGAAGAACTTTTCTCGAACCGTGCGGCTTCGGCCCACGAGTCTGGTCACCGTTCTGGTCTTGCCGCCGAGGGCTGAAATGTCCCGTTAGGCTCGTTTCCTGCAGTGGGAGAGCAATCCGCTGCTTACCGCCGACTTTTGCTCCGCTGTCTTGCTTCTCTAACCAGGGTTGGACCTCCTGATTTGCCTGGTCTACTGTCGCTTTGTCGGTGAAGTCGCTGATGATCACGCAGCCGTCTTGTTCCACGGCCTCGATGAATTCGGACAGAGGAGCTGATCGTGGTATTCTCCTGACCCGATGCGTCAAGTATGGGGTCTCGGCCTTGTCCGAGGTTAAGGCAACTCGTTGTGTCTATCTCGAGGGTCATAGCCATTAGTCTCGGTATTCATGAATCAAGTCTCGAACTATAGGGTTCATTCAACAGCAGCGCCCTCATGCTCAAGCACTGCCAGACATGACCTAGAAGTCTGTACATGTAGGGCCATAACGACTCGACTGCCAGACTCCTTTCTCTACAACTTACCTCGATGTATTCTCCCATGGTTTAGTCCTATGCAAAGTCCTTGCATATATCTTTGATTATTTCGTCGAGTAATTTGGTCAGCTGTTGGCGTATGTTGTCTGATGGGATCTGGCCGATTGTACATGCGAACGGACGACCAGAGCGGATATGCAGGGTGTAAGTGTTATGTTGCTGTGGTCGAGAAGGCTGATGGGAAACTGGGCCAGACTCGCCGTTCAGTCGGGAAATTGTCAGCGAGCCTCAAGGTCGCTGAAGTCCGTCCACTCTGGATGCCAGTCAAGAATAAGATCCGGTAGACATGCTCTGTAGTAGGGTTCGTATCAGGGCAGCTGTCTGGGATACGTTTTAGGAAGCTTAACAGACCACCGCGCTGTCACACGAGTCTGCTTGCTCAAGTACAGTACTCAGGTGACTTGTCCCCAGCTCTGACCACGGTCGAGTGGTCTTCTGGCTCTGTCTCCTGTATCACTCGTTACGGCATGCAGTCGATGTGGAAATCGAGGGGAGGTGCTGAAACAGATCAGTGGTGTTTCTGAAAGGTTGTTTCCATCATCCAAAGTCCGGGCATGATAGCTCCGTTGCCCGTCATGTATCACTCAGCAGAGGTACCCTGGAATAAGAAAAAGGTATCAAAGAACTCGATAGACCCTAACTGGAAATCTCCCGAAGCGTGATCATCAAATATGAGAGACGCTGCATGAGCTGCTGCCTTGCCACCCGATGCAGGGTGTCCAGGTGTATCCGGTATATTGTGGTTATAGGTATCGGTGACCACTATTCAAGTTGTCAATCCAAACAGCTTGCCGGCGACAGGATCCCATTCGGAACTCCAGCGGCGTCTGCTTTCAGCTCGTGCACCTTGCTTCAACCGCTCCAGTTCCTTCGACGCAGGATCAAACAGTTGACGCAGAATATCTGCCAGCTCTTCTGCACTGCCAAAGCCTCTGCCATTGACTTGCTCCGTCACCAGCTCAGGCCATGCTGGGTATTGGTTCCAACCAGCCACAGGCAATGCAGCACCGAACATGTCCACGACTTTCATCGGAAGATCAACTCCACTGCTGCTCGTGTGTAATGACACTCCCAGATCCGCGGCGCCCAGCAGGAGAGCATAGTCCTCGAAACTGAGCCAATCAGTATAAATGCTCACCATTTCTAGAGCGTCCCCCTGGCGCAATTCTTGGATCTTGTCAAGATAGTGCTGTTGCTGTGGCCCTTTTCCGGTAATGACGATAGCGAGCTCTGGGAGCTGAGGATGGGAAGAGGTAGCACTGGCAGAGTATTGGCACAAAGCGTCCAGAAAGAGGCCGAAGTCCTCGTCGGCCGTCCAGGATGTCGACGAGACCACGAGCCGGGTCTTTTTGTCTACGATGGCATTGAAGTGTCTTGCTAAGACTGTGTATCTTTGCAGGAAAGCAAGGCGCTGGGATTCTAGGAGAGGTTGATACAGGTTTGCTGGCCGGTCATGTAGGGTTAGAACAGGTGCCGGGACCCGGAGCTCCGATCTCAAAACTTTGGCCATGGCATCCGTAACGCTGAAGTTTGCATTGGCGGCGGTTGCGAGACTGGTTTCATACAGTTTCGAAAGTGCGACCAAAAGATGATCTGGTCCTAGTTTGAGTGCGAGAATGGAGTATCCGAAATTGTGCCAGTCCACGACCAGCCTTGTTCGACGGAAGAAGCAGATGATCGCCGCAATCAAAAGAGTTGGAATGGAAGGCGGATTCTGCAAGATGATTGTCAACCCGAGAGGCCACTGCAGCTGACGTGATACATACCTGAACAAGCATCCATCTGGAGGCTGGGATGGAGTAACTCAGTGTCCGCCACAAAGTCCAAGCTTGTAACAGCACTTTCACAGGGCCATACAAGAGGAACAAGACCTTGTTGCCCGTTTGTAGCCATCGAGGAGCAGGCGGGAGAGCTGTGATGGTGACATTGGGGTGGACCAGGAGCTCGGGGAGAGGATCGGTCTCTGTTCGAGCGGCATTTAGATCAATCCGACCAGAGATTGCTCCAAGGACCATTCACATACCTCTGTAGCCGATCAGCTGTACATGGCCACCATGTTTTGCTATACTCAAGGCATGATATTGCATACGCGGGCTTCGGCCAACGTCACCGAGCACGACGACTTGAACAGTACATTGCTGGTCGGTTGGATCGCGCTGAGAAGGAAGGAGGAGCAACAGTATGGTGACGAGGGTCGAGATAAAGACCAGGAGAGTTAATAGCATATCTTGGATCACCGCATCCCACGGGGTTTGTTAACGGCGTCTGAGGGTGAGAACAGCCGTGACCGTGAAAAGCACGACTTTGCGGTCGGGCTTTAGACTAGCATCGGGACGGCGCAAGCTGTGCAAGGGAGATTTGAATGACGTTGGATGGACAGAGTATGAGTCTCGAGAGTCTGCAAGCGGTCTAGCAGTAGTGGACGTGGACGCCAATGATACAGCGAAGAGGAATTCCATGCATCTGCCATGATGGCAGAGTTCATCTCTGTGGAGTGTTTGCCTGCGCTGCGCTGCGGTGCCCGAGGGGCAGAAAAGGGGCAGCCTAGTAAATAAGGGTGCCCGCCAACCAACCAACGAATCAATTGGAGGCTCTTAGGGTCCCCTAGGCCTCAGCACCCCCCACGGTTTGTCTGCGCCCAATTATGTCCATGGGGGCCTAAACACTACTACTGTACAATGCACACTACATTTTGACTTGGTTCTGCCCCTGGCTAACAACTCAACATATCGCTTCATTATTTTATGATTGCTCCCTGACCACTACACTGCCACCGTACGCCATCTTCACTATAGTCGAAGACGAAACGAAAACACGGAGCCCTGGTCTGCCTCTCCTCGATCCTGCGCTGCTAGTCTTCCCAGCTACGCTCATTCCAGATTCATCCCCCACCTTCGTCTATCTCAGGCCGAACCGAACACCGAACCCAAATCCCTTGACTGCTGTCTGCTGTCCGCCTCTGCTTGCACAGACCTGACCAACCTGACCGACTGATCCCTGTGTGACGTGTCAGCCGTTGAGTCTTGAGGCGCTGGCGCCCTTCGACCGTGAAGCTTTCGACTTACACCGTTACACGAGCTCCAACGCGCGACGACCATCAAGCTGGATGTTGAACCAAACCGCGGACTGGCCTCGTTGTCGCCGCCTACGAAAGAAGCCATGAGCGCGACCTTCACCTTGCCGGTGGCTGCGACCGACAACTGCAAGCATGAACATCCTCATACACCGTCGCACTCGCATTCGCATTCGCATTCACACTCGCATTCACACTCGCATTCACACTCGCATTCACACTCGCATTCTCACACCCCCTCCCGATCCCATCAGCGGCATCGAACAGGGAGCCGTTTGACGGCGCCTTTCCCATTGGCACGGATACCCTCAGAGTCCATTGTTACGCAAAGCGATATGACTCGACTGCCGCCTGTCGACACGAGTGTTCATCGACATATGCACGTGAGCCCTGCGCCCTCGCTCGATATCTCGGGCACTCAATTTATACCCAAGAGAAGGAACACAGAAGCGAAAGCGTACTCGGGCCGACCTACGTTCCAACGCAGTTTCTCAAAACCCACCCAGTTACTTTTACAGTCGACCGAGAACTATTCTCTGCTCCATGGCATCCTCGCCGACGACGAGTCACGGCGCATATTCTACTTTATGATCCTGAATTTGTGTTTTATGGTGGTTCAATCGACATACGGCGTCTTGACAGGATCTCTCGGCTTGATCAGTGACAGTATCCACATGTTTTTCGACTGTGTGGCCTTGTTGGTCGGTGTCTGCGCGGCAGTCATGAGCAAATGGCCTCCTAGCCTCAAGTTCCCCTATGGCTACGGCAAGATCGACACTCTGGCAGGACTGGGCAATGGCATTTTCCTAATGCTCATCAGCATTGAGATTGTCTATGAAGCAATCGAGCGGCTCTTTTCCGGCGCAGACGTCAGTCGCACGGCCGAACTCCTGGTGGTCAGCACCGTCGGCTTACTCGTTAATCTGGTTGGGATTTTCGCTTTTCACGGGGCACACGGTCATGCACACGGCCATGACGACCACGGACACTCTCACGCGGGTCACGACCACGATCATGATCACGCACATTCACACAGCCACCACATCGAGGCGGAGACGCCGTTGACCGCCTCCGCCTCGCCAGTCAAAGGCAAGAAAGCAGCCAGCGGCCATCACCACGGAGGAGAAAACATGCAAGGCATCTACCTGCACATCATGGCCGACGCTCTCGGGTCGCTCGCCGTGGTCGGCTCGACCATCCTAGTGCGCCTGACCGGCTGGAGCGGATTCGATCCTCTGGCGTCATGCATCATTGCAGTGCTCATCTTCGCCTCCACGATCCCTTTGGTGACCTCGACCACCAAGATTCTTTTGCTGTCTCTGAACTCCGACATCGAGTACAACCTGCGCGGCATCCTCGGCGGCGTGGCCGAGATCCGCGGCGTCGCCGGCTACAGAGTGCCCAAGTTCTGGTTGGAGGACATCAAGAAAGAACCGGGTCACCATCATGGTCACGACCACGACCACGACCACGACCACGACCACGGTCATGCCCACGGGCATGCCCACAAGGACAGTGATGGCCAAGCCTGCAGCGGCGGCAGCGGCGGTGGCGGAGTCGATGACCCGACTGTCCTGGGCGTCATCCACATCATTGCCGCGCAGACAGCCGATCTGGAGGATGTCAGGCAGAAAGTGGACATGTACTTGCGCTCGCGGAAGATGGATGTGGTGATCCAGATGGAGCGAGAAGGCGAGAATCGATGTTGGTGCGGTGCTGGGCAGAAGACATGACAACATGAACCATGAAGCCATAAAACCATGAAGCTTGGGAGCCCAACGTGGAATGCAGTGGCATTGTATCACGCACGGGATACTAGTATATCATAGTAGACATCAGACAACGTTGTTGGTTTACTACTACTTCATCCTCATGGCTATCTGTTTCTGTTCGTAGTAGATATCCAGCTGCAACCCCTGATAGGACCTTCTTCTCTTCCTAGCGACAGGCATACTCTAGTGTAGGTGCCTTAATTACCACTGCTAGTACCGCAGACATTCCCGAGTCTTCGCGCTCGGTCTCATCCTCCCTTGCGTCCATTCTCAATTTCATTGTCTGCATTCCCATTTCTGCATTCCTTGGATCCTCGGAGCAGGGTCCCCAAAACAAATCTCCGAGTCCTCTTCTCATGTCATGCAATGGAATAGACTAGAATGCAATGAAGCCTTCAGACAGACACCCTAGGTAAGTGAGGGAACCCAGAGGTATCTTCTTTCCGATGACACCGACACCGACATGGACGATTTGACAGGTCATTCACAATCAAACAAGAATCCAACTCGCCCAGACCCAAACCAGTTCCCCAACCAACTCGATTCCCAGCACCACAATCCCCAAAACCAACCCGACGCCAACCCGACCCTGTGCATCCCTCCGCCAACTCAGCGGATATTCTTTCCCCTGGACCTCGGTCGTGCCGTTCCCCTGATCGGCGCCTCGACCGGGCACCCCGAACAGGATCCACATGGTGGTCGTGAACATCGCCAACAAGAAACTCAGACATAGCATGGCCACAATCTTGCGCAGGGAGAAGGTGTGGTGGAGATACAACGTCGGTGGGCCGGAGTGGAGGTGATGTTGCTTATACTGGAGGTGGTGGTAGTGGCGTGAACGAGAGCGAGTCGTGGCGAGTAGGGATTTCGAGCGGTATGTATCGATGGGGAAGGGTTGCTGGAATGGCATGCGGGGGATGCTGATGCTGGGTTTGGTTGATAGGTTGGTGGTTGGCATGGCGGGATTGTTGGGTGAAGAGGTTGAGAATGAAGATGGTAAGTCGTGGTCGTGGTCGTGGTCGTGGTTGTGGGTGATTCCATTGCCATTTCCGTTTCCAACACCAACGACTCCGACTCCGACTCCTGCTCCCGCCACGCCTGTGCCTGCACCGCTACTGCTGCCCTGGCGCGAATGCACGAACGAAAACACCGGGCTTTCAGGCGCCTGAGGACTGTATGTTGACGAGGATGAAACCACACCAGACCGTCGGGCAGCCGGCGAGTCGGAGGAGTCCTGGTTATTGCGTAACCACAGAAGCCACATCTTCCTGCGCCGTCCGTGACGCGGGCGGAGAAGATGCTTGACGAAATCGCCGCCATCAATCTCCGCTATACCTCCTTCCAACGCAGGCGCAGGCGGTGGGAGACCGTGCCAGTATCCCAACCCAAGCCCTCGCAGTCCGGATGCAGTATTGTGGCTATTGGTGATTGTCGGGATGACAACTGCGCTGCTGTTGGCAACGCTGGCATATGAAAGCGTCCGCGTGCTGAAGAACCTGCGGACCACCCCGAGAAGTCTGCCGTTGTACGCTTCACGGATGAGCGTGAAGAGAGCTTCGTCGTCGAATGTCGTTTTGTCGGAGACTTCGATCTCGACCCTGACTCGGGCAGCAGGGTGGCGTGCCAGCCGTAGGTCGAGGAACAAGACTTCCGGCGCGACTGGAGATGGGAATCGGTCGGAACGGGACGTCACTGGCGCAGAGTGCAGAGGTTTCGTGGACATTGGGACTTCGGGTGGCTGGTTGTGAGACTTCTCGTCCTTTTCCTGTGCATCGGGGTCCTTCTCCTTTTCCTCGTCCTTCTCTTTGTGGTGCGACAAAGGTCTAGCGCGGCGCAACGACCGTGGCGTTCGGGTGTCTTGTGTGTTTGTCGCTTTTTCTGCGTCGATGTCGCCGGTACTGCTGTATCGGGATGGGTAGGGGGTGCTGACGATCGATTCGCGGAAAAGTTTGGGGTCGTTGTTCGTCCGGTTGATGATCAGGTCCGAAGGGCGGATCATCACGCGACGTGCGGGATTGCGGACAGGAGCAGAAATCGCCCGAGACAGGCTTTTGTCTGTCTCGGTAACGGGGTTTGAGCGAAGCCCATCGATGGATCCTGGCGATACATAGGTCCTGCTCGAGTGTGTAGTGTCCGTTTTGCTGCTGGTGCTGGTGCTAGGCATGCGGAGTGATCCAAATCCGCCCATCGGGGTTGGGAGAGTATCCAGGGCTTCAAGCTTGCCGGGCGTGTCGGGGAACTCGAGAATGGTTCCCTTCATGGTGTTGTTCTGCTCTGATGGGCCGGCAGTTGTCGACGCTTGTGTGGAAGCAGCCGTCGTTCCCGTATCCGAGTGGTGACCTTCCAATGCTTTCAAGGCGTCCGCTGGCGAACCGGAAACGCTCCTCTTCTGTCGTCGCTCCGCAGATGCAGCCATATCTTGGAGTTTCTTGAGCTCTGAGATACGTGGGGCCGAAGCCTCCGCTACTGCCTGCTCTTCCTTCGGTTTCGCCGACTGGGGAGAATATAACTTTGGAACCGAGCCGCCTGAGGCGTTACTGTGTTGGACAATGTGTGGTCTGGCCACTCGTACACTGCTTGCTCGATGGATGACATGCTCAGCGTCGCTGGAATCGTCGGAGCCAGAGTCGTAAAAGGATCGAGGTTCATCTGGGCCCGTCACAGCAAGTGTAGGCATCCCTGCGTCCCCTATAGGCCGCAGTGTTTTGGTGATAGGATCGTAGGAGGGGTCGACTGGGCTAGAATGTGTAGTGTCCTTTGAATTTCTGTTCTGCTTGGTCTTCTTCTTCAAAACATTCGTCTTTTTAGGCGGTGGCGCCTGCAACGCTTCGGATGCCTCTGATTCCGTAGTGGTCTTGGACCATCGACTGACCTCTTGAGCTGGATTTCGCTCCTGGGACTGTCGCATCAGGCGTGAAACTCCTCCTCGCCAGCCAGTGAGAGGCGACGGGGAACGAGGGATCTCTGCGGGCGACATGGTCGAGTTCTTCTCAGCAGGAGCAACTTCGCTCGGTGGTGCGGCAGTTCGAGAAACAATGACAGGTTTGTGGCCAAAGGCACGAATGGGACTCGTCGGGTTGAAAACCATGGATACAGATACAGATCGACTTGAAGTATCTCAAAGCGCTCGAATGTCGTCCCCTTGTGGAAAGACATTATAACAGGCGCCATGGTGGTTTGCTTGCAGTGGTGTCGCCGGTGAAAGAACATTGCCGTTTGCGGCAGTGGTAGGTCGAGAAAGGACGCCGACGGCGGTTACTGAGCGCAGCTGTGGGATAAGTTGGCCTTTTCGGACGACAACAAAGAACAACCAACGCGTCATATATGTTGGCGCTCGAAAATGTACCCATGTGAATCTGTTTGCAGCCGGGATGATCATGGTGACACGAAGATTCATCACGAGCCGCATTCCAATCTCATCCCCGAAACTTGCCTTGGCAATATGGGCAAACATCGAACTTGTCGAATAACGCTTGACTCAAGCTTGGACCATTTTCGAATTCCAGCTTCCCGGGATCGAGGAATTGCCTTCCGCATTTGGCGCAGTACTTGCAAATTCCTGGCTCTTGGATGGCGACGAACGAGAGACCGCATCTGGTGAATTGATGGCCGTTGACGCACTTTGCTGCATCCGACGATGGGCTGAACGGTATGGAGGCCTCGCAAATCTCGCAAGTCTCTTCAGTCGCGAGTGCAGCAGGGACACCATTATGCTCGATGGAGGCGTCTGTACCTGCATCCAAATCCATTGCGTCGTTCGGCTGCATCCTGCTGCCGCCTTTGGACTCTGTGTGGCTACCTGGGCCTTGACCCAGTATCGAGGTTGCCCACGTGACCATTGCCGAATGATCTTTGGGATTGGACAACACCAGAGCTGCCGCATTGTGGACGATCTTCCCATCCATATCTGTCTTGACCCAGTCTGCAGGAGCCTGTGTGATAAAGCTGAGAATCTCCTCATGGACAGCGGTATCACTTTTGTTCGGCATTTGAGTCTCACTTATCGAGGGTTGCTGTAGCTGAGCGAACAACACCACCGTCCGCTGACTGGAGGGTATGCCATACTCAATCATATCAGATGGATGGCAGGAGATGCAGATCGCAGCCATGGTCTTATCGAACGACATCGCCGTGCCCCAGGTCCTTACCCTCACTTTGCCACCAAGATCGAATTGTTCGCTGAACTCGGAGCGGAGCTTGATGATTGCTGGTTCAAAATATGGCTCCAACAACGGTTGGTTCGTCAATCGAATGTCGGGTGACTGAGAATCTATCATTGACACTTTCAGATTGTGGGAAGGACGATGATTGCCTGCCGTTTTCCCAAATGCACGCTCCACTTGGACGGAAAGGTGCTTCGGCTCAGTGCACTGACCCAAGCTCACCTCCATGGTTAGAACATCTGTCCTAGAAATTGAGTCTGTCTCCTGTTGGGCTTCCCAATCCGTTGTCTCGAGCTTCGATATGGGCGATGATGTGGAAAGCATGGCCCGTAACGAGTTCATGCCCGTCAATTGCAAGTCCGCGTTCTGAAAGGCGTGTTTTGCCATAAGCTCGAACGACCATCCCCCAAAGGCTGCTGTGCTGTGCTTCTGAACGTGAAAGACTAGGATAGTTTTATCATCGTCCGCAACCGCCAGCAGTTGGGGACCCCATCTGGAGGCCTCGAAAGATGTCATCTGGGGAAACCAGCAGAAAGCGCGAATTCTTCGTCTTCGTCTAACTTTGTCAGACTCCCCAGTGGGTAGGTTTTGGTTGACAATGCAAGTTCGCTTCCACATTCCTAATCTACCATCAGATTCCCAGAACGAGAGGACAAGATTTGAGGTCAAGATAGCCAGAATGCTGCGCCTGTAGATGCCCAATCCTGCAGGAGACCATGCGATTGAGACGATAGTAGAGTCAGAAAGCTCCTCGCCCAGTGAAAAGTCCCTGAGGGGAGCCAGGGTCTGGTATGGCCATTCCTCTTGCTCGAACAAATTGACACGCAAAGTGAAGGTATCCCACTGTGTGTTGCCAGCATAGAGCTGGGGATGTGAAGATTCACGGGGTGTAAGAATATGCACAACTTCACCTGCGGCGACAGCCAGATGTTCGGGTGACCAAGTGACGGCATTCTTACAGGTTGGCCAGTAAGGCAAATAGACGGGGTCTAGGGTGTGGGTCGAGGACGCCATCCTCTCAATCATGCTTCTCGGCATAGGACGTGGAATGATAGGCCGTCTTTCCCATTGTTAAGCCCTCTGGCCCATTTTCACGCGCATTGGCGCGCAGTCGGCTTATCGAGGGTCTTTCTTAAGCATCGTGAGAGGGCAGAAGTTGCAGTCACCGGGCGACCAGTAAATACTAAACGGCACGGGTTAGTGTAGTCTGGTGCAATGCGCTGCAAGGAGGGTCAATATGAAGTTCCAATAGGCGCTGAACAGCACGAAGACTTGCACCAGATACTAGTACTACGTAGCAGTAGCGAAAGTCCGAGACGAAGCGAGCTTGACGCCAAGAAATACTCAGCCTGATGCACCGTCACGTGGGGAGGCAAGGCTGAGCCTGGAGGGGGAAGCTCCAACTCCAATAAATGCCTGCAAGCTGCATCATCGTCATGTTGTTGCTACGGCTGTGACAAATGTTCATGATTTAACCTTCGATGGTATGACCGAGACACATTCTCTGAATGATCAAAGTAGGTATTCGATTCCGCCTAATCTGATGGTATGAGTGGCCATTGACAGACAGACAGCCTTGTTCGAAGCATATAGAGGGACAGAAGGCCACCCCAGGGGCACTTTTTACAATCAAGTTATTTAGGCACCAGCCATCATTATATCTAGGACGTTGTGCTGGATTGAATTATGGCATGATATGAAGGTGCCTTCCGGTGTACTACGTACATAGTAGAGGTTATGGTCGTCACTGTTTTCAGGCAAACCCAATTCCACCCCCTGGCCCAGTTTCTCGCTTAGGCCGCCATCAGCCTGGTAGTGCCGGGTGCCAATGGAATAAAATACACACAGGCGGTCCACCCAGAACCAGCCGGGGGCCGTGTTTGAGTCGCCCCTGGAGGCTACGTGGTATTAACCGATACATGATTTGACGGACTCTAGGGCCCTAACGAACTACGGAGATACCAATCTCAGCCAAGTGGCCCGTGGCTGCGGTATCAGGGGAACATTGCGGAGAGCCAATGGCCATTGAGAGTTCATCCCAATTATAGCACCCAGTGCAGCGGAACTACCGTCAATCGGGTTAGACGGTATCAGGCTGAAGACACGCTAGTACGAGCTTACGACCAGCCATTTGTTGTATTCTGTATCGCCATCATCAGTCAAATTTCCTGGCCTTCTGACGGTGCAACCACGGTGACCTCCTGGGTAGTTGACGGGAACCACTCACTCACTCAACTGCAGCTGTCTCTACGGTTAGTTAGTCGACGGACTATTCTGACTTCTTGTTGCTTCTCCAGTGTCATCGGTCCTGAATCCAACTGCGCCTCCCTATGGGCCGGCCCCCCCTTAGCCAACTCCAGCTTGATACTATGTTAATACCAACCATGAATTGATCTGCGATCCTACGGCTTCCTCCACCTCAAGGCCCTCGTCTCCTTTTCGTCCCCTACCTACGTACTATCCCTTATATCTGATGACCTGCCTCCTTCGTTAGACCCCCTCCCCTCCCTCCACTCCTCAACGCCGTGCCCGTGCCGCAGTCCTCACATCACCATGGCGGCCTCGATCTCGCCGTCGGTCATCATGACCCAGATCTCTCACTACCTCAGTCCCAATGAGACGTCGGACGCTCTTTTCCAGCCTCAAACGGCCGTGAATGCCATCGGGACCTACAAGTGGTTCATTGGCACCGGCATCTTTTTGCTCGTGGCTGCCATCCAGATCTTCAAGTATTCGCAACGAGACAAGCCCCCACCAGGCCTCAAGCTCATCCCGGGTCCGACGAGCACCATCCCCTGGCTTGGACGCGTGCACGATGTCGATCCCAACGCGCCGTGGTACGCCATGGCAAAGTTTTGTGATGAATATGGTGGGATTTTCCGCTCCACCATCTGTGGTGAGATGCATATTTGGATCGGCGACAGCAACATTGCCTATGACCTGTTGTGCAAAAAGGCCCGGATTTATTCCTCGCGGCCCGAGGTGCCTGCCGTGCCTGGAAGCGATTCCCAGGGCCAATATCTCCCACTTCTTGCCCATGACGGTAAGAGCTCGGCCCCCGCCCATCATGACAGAGTACGCTGGCTGACTTGTGCTAGACCATTGGCGCAACCAGCGCAAGTTCGCCCACACCGTTCTGACCCAGGGCTTCAACTCGAAGTACTACGGCTATGTCAGCCACGAGTGCAAGCGCTTCCTCTACAAGCTCCTGATCGACCCCAAGGACCACTTTGCTCTGACCGATCGTTATTGCGGCCGCATCAGTGCCCGGCTGGGATATGGCAGCCCGGCATCTGCTGCTGCCCACTGCAAGAATGCCGGGGAATTCATCCCCCAAATCTCGCCCTCCGGATCCGTCACCAATCTGTTGCCCATGCTCGGTAGCCTGCCGGAGTGGCTCAACCCCTCCATCCGCAAGGTGCGGGAACGACGCGAGAAGGAGGAGAAGCTGTGGAAGGGTCTGATGAAGCAGGTCCGCGAGGACATGGACAAGGGAATCGCACCCATCAGCTACGCCCGGACATACTTTGAACGCAAGGAGAAAGAGAGCGGCTCGCGCTCGTTTGGATTTGACGACCACGAGGCCGCCTACGCCGTTGGGATGCTGGTGACGGTGGCCATCTTCACCATCGGTGGTCCTCTGTACTGCTTCTTCCTGGCCATGGTTCTTCATCCTGAGTGGCAGGAGAAGGTTCGCGAGGAATACGACGCGGTGATCGGCGACCGGGTCATTGAGGTCACTGATGCCCCGAGCCTGCCAATTCTTCGAGCTGCGATCAAGGAGTGTCTCCGATGGCGCCCACCGGTGCCGCTGGGCGTGCCGCGTCTCCTCGAGGAAGACGACGAATGGAACGGCTACTTCCTTCCCAAGGGTGCCGTCATCCATGCCGTCGAACTCGCTCTTTCCCGCAACCCGGCGCTCTACCCTGACGCCGAGACCTACAACCCCGGCCGATGGCTGGAGAAGGAATTCCCCACCTACAAGGAGCCTCTGACGGAGCATCCGCGCCTGATGGGCCACCACGGGTTCGGCATGGGCCGCCGCATGTGTCCCGGCATCGAAGTCACCGAAGCTGAGCTGCTCGTCTCGTGCGGCAGCATCGTCGGCTGTTTCGAGCTGCACCCAGTCAAAGATGCCAACGGTCAGCCGAAATGGCCCGACTCCATGGCCTTCACCCCCAACCTGATCGGAGGTCCTCTTCCGTTCCAGATGGACGTCAAAGTCCGAAGCCCCGAGAAGGCGGCCCGGATCAAGACATGGTACGAAGAGAGTGTTGCTGCCGAGGCCGCCGGCAAGATCGGGGCTGGCTTGTAGAGAAGAGACCAGGGAGGGATGGATATATCTTTATGGTTTAGTCGCGTTGGACTAGATGCACGGCGTTGATGCATGGCGTTTGATGGAAATGCGATCTGCAAAACATATTCCGACATTAACGAGTCATCAGTTGTAATGATTGTTGGATTAGGCGAGATGAAGATGATAGTCCAAGGCTGTCTTGTCGAGTTGGCATCAAATTGTACAAACTTACCTTATCTTGAGGGGGCACTTTGGTCGCCAACTTGAACCAACGCTCATTTTTATGAATGCTGTTCGTCAAGTCGATCGAGAGGCCTAGCACTTGATTGACACTCCATTTCATTCCACACCCCTTGACTTGATTTTGATGATACTAATCCTACGTAAGGTACGGTACATGTGGTGTGAGGCCTCACTGGACCAAACAAAGGGTCGAGATTGGGATTCATTGCACATACTACTATGTACGTATCATGCCTGGACACCTGGTCTCCGTCGAAGCAAGTCAAATAAATGATTCAGCCTTTGCCTCGATTAATAGAGACGACCCCCTTGGAACCCCCAGCAAGCAAAAGCAAGATCTTATCTGGTAGTAAGTACGTACCCTTGTCATGTCAATGTCATAGCATGCCTCATCGACCGAGATTCAGCCACGACAACCTCCTATAGGTGGTCAAACACTAGATCATGTATGTAATCAATATCAAATAACCTTTTTATATCATAACAGCTCATATCTTATTTTCCATAAACGTCATCATCGTCGTCGTCGTGGAACAATCCTTCTTAATGGGCGTTTCCATTCTTCGTTATATGTCGCTAGTTCGCTCGCTCAGGATTAGATACCCGGAGAGTCGAACCCTATAATATACTGTGCATTCATCTCATAAAGATCTCATCACTCCGCAACGCTCACACGGCCATGACCTCAGCAACCCATTTGTGCCCCTTCCGATGGTTTGGGTCCAGCAGCTGAGTCTGCGGCTGACTCATGGCTGCTGAGAAAGCACCACCTCCATTCGCCGTAGGAGAACTACTCAAGTCCATGCCGAGTACTGCGCGGTCATGATCGGTGACCGTCTTGGGCGATTCCCAGACGAAACTTCTCAAGATGGTGTTGCTTCGTGCAAACTGTGGCCCGAGAGACGGTTCAGGCAGGCTAAGCAACGATCTTGGCTGCTCTGCCGGAGATGTTGGGCCACTTGTTGCCTGCTGCTCCGCAGTTCGAGTCTCGATCGTTCGGATGGTTTGGCGCGCTGGTCTGGAGAAGTTGGGCGGTTGGAACGGTTTCGTCGTTGGTCTTGAGATGTCGGGAGCCGCTGTTTCAGTGGTGGCAGATAACAGGCAGTACTGTTCAACGGAAGAGGCGCCATTTCCCTCTTGTTCAACAAGGGGTCGGCTTTTTGAGACTTCCTCCACAGGAGCAAAGTCTTGGATTTTGAAATTACCGGCATCCTCCATGGGTGTGCCGACTTCCACCTCAACCTCCTCTTCCTCATCAATAACGGTTGGGTCGGTATTTCTCCGCCCATGCAGACTTCCAAACCGGACGAACCTGGGTGGATCAGAGTGCCTCTTTGACTTTCTAGGACTTGCCTTGCTTGCGAGTATCGGTTGTCTAGGTGGGCTGACCGGGCTGACCGGGCTGACTGGACCTTTCGGCCCTTTGTACGGTTCAATTGCCGCTTGACGAGTCTCGTTCTCACCGACTTCGATGGGAATGATCGGTGTGAATTTGTCTCGGCTAACATCGGAGCTTCGTCTCCTCCGTACAATTAGGGATGTCCGCTCGATCTCGAAACTGAAGTTTGTCCTCAAGTTCTCGTTTTCGAGCACCGGACTAAGCTCACTTGCAAAGCCCGGAGGACGTTTCAGTTTACCGCAGCAGTCGCATCGAGCATAGACGGGGCCGGCATCGATCTGCTTTTCCTTTCCCTCAAACTGGGCTGGAATGATGAGAGACAAAGGTCGAACAGCTGGATGCGTGGCAAAATCACCGTGCGCAGCGGTCGCTTCCTCCATGTTGGACCCTTCTTTGACCGTGGCATGCGTACAGGTCTCAGCTGCTGGCTTCTCAATTTCGCGCTCTTTAGGAGCGGACATCGTGCGCCGCCTGATCTTCTTCAGCTTGCCTGTACTGTCCGATCCATCTAGACCATTTCTATCTTTCCCAAATAGTCCACCGACGATGGTAAACCTCTTCCTGGGATCCTTCTTCGGAGACTGCTCTTCCTGGATCTGGGTTTGCTGGCCGATTGAGGAAGCCGGCACGTTAGCCGTCTCCTCCTTGATCTGTTCTGCGATGGCATCGGGTTTGTTCCCTTCGTCATCACCTTGTAGCTTGGGCTGATTGTGAGGGTCATCAACATCCAAGACAGAAAACTTCCCGGTCTCCTCAACAAGCATTGATACGGGAGAATCAGTAACTCTGGGTGGGCTAGCCGGCCTGGAAGGTGGGTCGTTGAGGCTGTGCAGAGATTTGGTACGAGCACTGCGCAGACTTTGAGCTCGAGGTCCATCAGAGTCTTGGGAATGGTGTCGACCACGGTCGGGTGACGAGCCGACGACGCTCTGTCGTGGTCTCGAGAAATAAGATAGAGGATTTGCGACAATGTTTGGCGGAGGTCGTTCAAGCATATTCAGTGACCCCGTCCGAGTAACCTCAGGCCCTCTGTAAGTGGGGAGTCCACGATATATTGAGGATCCGGAGCTGGAAGGCCGAGAGGAGATTCCGTTGGCCACCATGAAGGCTGCTTGGGTCGATCCTCGAGGACGTGGAGAGTGGACCGGGGTGCCATTTCCCTGAGCTTGAACTGGACTAGGGCCATGTCTACTGGACTGGGATGACCTTCGATGATCAGTCGGCGTGATGGGTGGCGTAGTTATGTTGAGACTCGAGTGTCTTGAGATGGAACTGTTGCGCTTTTGCGCTTCAGAGGCCGGTGGATGGTCGAGACTCGCTGGCGGAGTGACGTTGGTCGAGCGCCTCGACCTGGCTGGGGAAGCCCCTTTCGAACTAGACTGGCTACCTGCTTTCGAGGCCAATGCACTGTGGTTCAATGACCGAATCTCGGCCGGTGTCAATTTGGCGACATGCGGGCTGTTACGGACTGAGAGCCGCTGTTGTTGCTTTAACGACTTTTGTAACTTGGTCATATCGAAATTGTCTGGACGGAAAGGAAACAGACATGTTAGTACCGTTGGACAGACATGGGTAGATGTAGAAAAACCATCAGTTCGAAATGCAATGGCAGGGATGTGGAGATGGTAGCAAGCGGGCAGGATGGGGTTGTAGTGCAAGACGTCAAATGGGCCACTAGTTGGTAAGCCCGACACTGGTACCCAGTGATTGACGTTTGCAAAGTAAGCTTTTCCGGCTGAGACAGCACCCATTACTGACCTGTCGTACGGGGCGGAGCCATAGTTGCCATGGCTGGAGACAGTTCGCTCGGATGGGGTAGAGAGTCGTTAGGTCTTTTGGGTGTCTGATGGATGCTCCCAGGTGCCCGCCTGGGAGTATCCGGTGCGCTGGGGTGAACGCGGTGGGTGATCGAGGAAGTATCTGGCAAGCTAGGCGATCGGGCTGCTCAGACGCGATGCTGTCGGGCCCGGATCGACCACAATTAGAACTGGCGGTCTGGCCTCTGACTTGCAGTAAGGCCAGGTCGATAAGCATGAGGGAACAAGGGGACAATCTGCAGGAATCGGCGAGATTTCAGATGTATGCGCCTCGGGGGTTGTAATCGTCAGGCCATTGCTGAAACGTGTCGAAGAGGAGAAAAGCGTGGTGAACGAATGTCGGGCTTCGATATTCAATTCGACTCGACTGGTATAAGGCTGACTATTCACGACGCAGCGTGTAGAGATCGTACGGAATATGGCTAAACGAAAGTCGGAAGAGAAAGAGATGAGAATGTATGAGGAAGTGTAAGTAGAAAAGAAGCTCATACACCGATAGAGAGGGTCGTAGATGGATTACCGTCGGGGAGATGGCGAGGAACAGGGGATGGGCAGCCACCGAGGGATTGGGAGGACTCGGAGTTGGGGGCATTTTCAATATCGATAACCACTGGGCTGGCAGACATGGATGGGGATGCCAGCCTAGGGAAGTCTTTTTTGCACGAGACGGGTGTCGTGGGTGTGTTAGACTTGAGGTGGTCGGTGGCTTGACCGGATCTTTTGATAGTAACAACGACAGCGGTGACATGGATGCACTTGAAAATGTCTCTCTGGTCGGTTCGTCCTCTGTGCTCCCAAGGAGTCTCTTCTCTTGATTACCTGGTCATCATTTACTCCTGTGTTTTCTGCTTATCCTCCTTGGCTTGTAGAGACAGATTCCTCTTTGCGTATAGGTGTACCAAAACATCTCTTTCTCTTCTTCCAGCTCTTGATCGGTCGACTCGTGCTGCGTGGCGTTGGCTCAATACCACAGCGGCAGGGTTAGGCTAGAGGAGGACTGACTGATGATGGATCGGGTGGACGAGATTGTCGTTGGCTGGGTTTTGGTCGATGTCTGAGATGGACACTTGGGCTGGTGGCGGCTGAAGGGGCCCGCGAATGAAAAGTAGGAAAGTCTGGAAGCCTGGAAAGCGCCTGCAAGCCACCCGCCTAGGATTCTCCGCGCCTGATAATCACATTTACGTATTGTACCGTCATCTACAATAATGATAATGCGTGCTAATGTACGTATCTGAAGGGGACTCCTAGGTCTCTTGCTGACACCGGCACCTATCAGTGCTATCATGTCAAGAATCACTAGAGAGAGCATTTGACCTGAGAGAAGCACTACTACCAAAGTACACTGGCTATTATTCATGAGAGCGCCCACAGGGAGCGTCCCTGACTTGCAGTCACTAGTTGTGCTTACCATTGACTCCGTCAACACGTCCATCCTTGCCTCGCGTCCGTTAATATTACATCGTAGAGATCCCGCTTTTCGCAGCCTGACCCGTTCACGGTCTCTCTTACAAAGCCTTGTTGCTTTTGAGGTAGGTAACCTTCATATTCACTGATATACCCGACAATGTCATCGTTGCTTCATCGCCCCATACTTCGTGATCGTTATTTGGGACTCCATTTCCGCCGTTGAGTTGGAGACCACGCTCGTGAGCGAGCACATCTGGTAAATCCAAGTGTGGGCGGAAAACATCCCCAGCTGTACCTCGACAGCCTATCGCTTTCCAGCTATAGCCTGCTTGACTATCAGTTATAATGTTATAATCTCCGCGTTCACAATGCAAGTCCTGTTCCATCCCCTGTCCATCGGTATAGGGCAAGCACTTCACGTCTCCAGTGCTGCTGCTCAGCCAAATCTTCTGGCACGCGTCCACGAACTTGTTGCAGAGCTGAGCGCATCACCTTTCGAAAATTTCGCTTGTCCCCTAAGTCAGCTCAGATGCTCTTGCATGCCACAGACACCGAGCTACTTACCTGGTACTGGGTGTCCAACGTGGCCACACAAGCCTCATGCGCCCGGACAATCGTCTCGCAGGCCTTAACAACATCTGGACTCACGTCACCTTGAAGTTTGTCCGCAAACAGGAGCAGCAAAAAACTGCCTTGGAGCAGATAAACTCCGAAGAAAAATGGCATGAAGCTCAGATCGGGGTCATCTTCAATGATCTCGGCAACAGCTTCTGCGGCACTCACGGCGTGGCCGGTCGCCGTGACGAAGGACTGCGAGGAAATCCACAGATCGTTGTCGTCGAGGAGGGCAATAGGATCCCACTTGCCGGTCAAGAGAATATGTAGCACATGCATAATGTGGGTTCCATAGGCCACCACGGTCTTGGTTTGTAAGGCCAACTCGGAAGCAGGATATGACTCGTTGGTGCCCGCAGACACCACCGACGGGGTCACCACATCATTGTGCGTGGAGTCGAGGACGTGGCCCCCATAAGCTGCAAAGTCCTTCAAGCTCTGTTTATAAGTTTCGAGCTGTTGAGTGATCTCGTCCGTGTGCTCATCCCAGTTCTTGGGTTGTTTCGCCCTCGGCCCAAAACGAGGACGGTTGCGGGCATGGTTGAGATCAAGGATCTCGCCCAGGATGACCATCAAAGGTAGGAAATATCCGAACACGCTGTGCGACGTGCATTCAATGTTCAACCCTCGCCTTCGATGCTTGGAATCCGACCCTCTATCGAAGCGTCCCGCCTGGAAGGCATCATCATCCAACGGCTGGAGCAGATTCTCGCACTCCTTGTTGAGGAAGAACATTGGTCTGTTGTAGCACAGAGCCAGATGACGATCTTGCATGTACAAGAGCCACCAAATCCGCCGTCGTTCTTCTCTTTCTTCTTCACTCACATAGCCCACGGCCTTGCGACGCGTGTCATCCATGGAGTCTTTCCGACCTTCAACCGAATTGTCTGTGGGATGGCGGGCGCTGCCATTCTCGTCGCCATCGTGCTCCCGAGGATTGGGCGGTAATTCGCGCCCTAACCGAATTTCTCGAGCAAGTGACCAAGCGGCATTCCACCATCTAAGGCTGGCTGCCTTGCGTTCACTTGCTGACACTACCGTTGCTAGATGGATATACGTTGCGAGATTGTCAACCTGTGATCGGTCCACCCCCGGGGGTCCGGATTGGGTTGGCACAACCAGTGCTCCAAGTCCGGCATCGTTAGCAAGCATATGAGGATAATGGGAGTTCGGCGTTGCCGCAGAAGTGTTCGGATGGCTATGGACTAAAGGCTTCAGCATGTTAATAGTGAGTTCCAGCAATCGTTGACAGATCCGTGCTCGTGCGTCTAACTGTGTGGTGAGAAATGCAGCGTCACTCGTTTGCGCTGCTATCCAAAGCATGCTGGCAAGCAATGCCGGGGTGCAGGGTCGGGGATCGGTAGGGTGAAGAATTGATTTCTTGCGGAAGACGTATCCGAGAATGTACGGATTGGCGGGCCTCAGATACGCCGAGGTCGAGCTTGTAAAGTATTGCTCCAAGAGGTCGCAGGCGAGAACTTGAGGAATGATGGGATCAATGTGAGGAAGCAGAGGGCGAAGGACAGGATATTTCAGCGTGTCTGTAACACGAGGCTGAACCGGCAAAGGTTCGCTGATGAACATAGGGGACGTGAGAGCTAGCCAGTCTGGCGACTCAACCATAGGGGCTTTACCCATGAAGGCGACCGAATAGTCATCTCCCAGAGGAAAGCCAAAGCCTTGTGCCGTTCCCGTAACGTGCATAGATTCCAGCGTCGAAGTTGGATAGGCCTGGTTCGAGACCGCAAAATCTATGCTCCTGGATTGAGGCATCTGGGAGACCATCGACGGATCCATATCATGTATCTGCCCCGTGTTTGCCATTCCCATCCCGGGTGAGGGATCAAAGCCAGTGAAGAAGGAGTTTTGGTGGTGACCGCGTTCGAAGGCCCCGGTCAAAGATGTGTTGTCCGGAGGCACTGCCGTTGCCTCGACAATGCCCTCCCGGCCAGAATAAGCTGTGCTCGAGTACTCTTGGGCGCCCGCCGACTGGGCAAAAGCCGAATGATTGTCTGCAACCGCCTGGGATGATGTGTAATGTGCCTCGTCACCAGGCTCCATCTCTTTCTTAGGAGCCCTCCCTCTCTTTTTATGAGCTCGCGCATACTCGCAGACCAAGGAGTTGACAGTGCAATGTGCACAAGGCTGTTTCCCGTCACATTTTGTGCGCAATTGATTGCACTGGTCACAGGCTCGACTGATCCGCCGGCGGACGGCCCCTCGTTCGGTCGAATCATTCCCATCGAGTTCCGATTCGCTTCTTTTACGTCCAGCTTGGAGGTTGTCGGTGTCATATGCCGATGGGTTTGGGTGAGTAGTTGAGGAGAGGTGTTGCGGTTGGGACACGATCATGTCGGGCTTTTGCGCGTAGTCATGGTATTCGGAGTAGCTGGTGCGGGTTTGTGGGGGAATGCGGGTGAGCATATTGGCGTCGGTGACAAGGGCGACGGCAGCGAAAGTTCACCACTGTCATAGTTTGCAGTGGGAGGGGAGGATTGTCTCTACCCGCCGGCGAGAATCCAAGAGCAAGAAGAAGCCTTTGAACGACAGCTTAAATGACATTGTCCGCCGTGGTGGTGTTCCAAGTTGGTGCAGGCAATGGAGGCCGAGGTGGAGATTTTTGCTCACATGAGAGCCCGCACCCAGTTAGCTGCTGATGGAGCACTGGGGAAACGATGCCAGTGCAAGCGGCACACGGAAGTTCAAGGCCTAGACCAGCCCAGGGGAAGAACGAACAAGCACCAACGGCCCGTAGGGTTAATAAAGGTCAACAGGCAGGATGGCGCAGGCGGAGGGAGGTAAAGCAGGATGACTACTACCTTATTTACTAAGGTACTAGGGCTTGAAACGACACAGGGCACCTGGAAGCTTGCCAACCAGCCAGTAGTATATCAAGCAGATAATTCTTCTCTATACCTGGGTACGTAAGGTCATGATGATAAAAGCCTCCTCAGCTTCCCTCTACAATAATAAGCTGGGGTGCCCGCGCATTTCATCACTGGGATTGGGGTTGATGGGCTTATTATTACTATAGGTAGGCTCAAATTTGAGTCACGAGCAGCGCGCCACAACTTACAACCACAATCTCTACACGTGTGAAGTTAGCGCATGTTCTGAATCGCGGGGGGCTCAACTTCCCGCCGAATTTGGTGGTTAACGCCGCCGCTTTTGACGGGCCTTCTTCCCCAAATGCAAATTCAAGTTTCCTTCCGTTGTCTCCTTCAACCTTCCTACCTACCTATATAACGTGTTACATAACTAAGGTATATAACCATCACTGGGGAGCAGAAATGGGGGATCTTGACAGGTTGAGGATCTCCGACATCTCTTGCGCTTGATATGTGGATTCCATTTGTCGCGCTCTGGTATTGATATGCCGGCGAGGTGCATCGCTAGCTATTGCTACTTACCATCCAGGTGCCTGCTGCGGAAGTGCTCTCTGACATATGGGTGTCCTCTATATTCTTGAGCCGCTGTGGCCGATGTGCTGCTGGCCTTCGTGCTGTTGTACATAGGCTACACGGGACGTTTAGTACAAGGGGATGCCCTGAGAACCGTTGTTGCTACTGATGCAGGCGCATGGTTCTGTGGCCAACGAAGTGAGCTGTTCATGGGCACAGGAGGTCAGAATATGAAGAGACATGGTGCAAGCATGATCGGGTGCTAGATTTCGTACTTCCTGCAAGCAAATACGTTCTCGAGATGCTTCACCACAGATGGGTTCTTCTCTCTTTGACTGCTATATTTCAACTTCCTCCTTCAAGATAGTAGCTGAGACTATAGTTCAACCAAGCACACTGTGGAACATCCACAAACGTCCCTGTCAGCGCAGGATAATCCAGGTGCTTAATGGGACCCGTGTCACTCGACACTTTGTCCCACAGGCCTGACTCCTGAACGCCCTGCAAGCTCTTGGTGTAGCCTCTTGCTCTGAGGTAGTCGAGAGACGGATTTGGCTGGCCGCTCCTGACAAACTCGGCAAAGTAGCCACTGACCAATTGGACAGAGAACAGATCGTTGGCGTCACGCAGAGGCACGTAGAAACTGCCAAACAGCCAATCCATGTCTGCGCCATGGAGCCGGAAATACGGCATGTTCGGGTCGCCGTGAGGATACCCTGGCGTGACTCGGCCTGAGCTGTCCACGTTTTCCGGGTTATATCCATTGATGGTCCGCTCGAACTGGTAGTAATAAGTTGCCGGGAACGCGCCTGATGCGGCACCCGCGTAGACGGTGGCTTGGTCGGCACAGCGGAAGGTATTGTCGGTGGCGACGCGCTGCGTGACGTTGAACGAGTCTCGTGTCCTATTACCTGTGTCGTAGTACGGGAACAAGCTGGACTGGATGATCGCCTGGGCGTATGAGGCGTTGATCCCGAGTCCGACCATGAGGCCCTGGGTCTCGTTTTGCACGGGTGTCGGCGAGATGTTGGAGAAGGACGCGCCGTCGTTGGCGGCGACACCGAAGATGATGGGGACATATGCCGAACTGCCGTTCCTGTTGACTACATCTAGCTCGGTGGTGTTCACGATGGTACCGTCCTGGACGACGTATCGCGCAACGGTGTTGAGCGAGACAAGCTCACTGGCGTTGACGGTTTCCAGACAGGCTATCCTGCCGCTCAACGTTGGCTGAGTACAGTTGCTTCCGTTGAAGATCTGGGGGCCCGCCACCGTGTACGACTCATTGATTGTGTAATATGATGAGTAAGTGGTGCCGTAGTTCCCAGTGAGGCCAAGGTCGACGCCGCCGCCGAGGTTCGACATGGCCACCGCTCCCTGATACAGGCCGATGGCAGGTGGACTGCCCAGCAGAGTCCGCACCGAGCCGGCTCCGGCACTCTCGCCAATGATGGTGATCCGTCTGGGATCTCCTCCGAACTGGGCGATGTTGTTGACGGTCCATTGCAGTGCCACGATCTGATCACCAATGCCGAAGTTGCCTTTGATGTCCGTGTCCGGTATTGCTAGAAAGCCGAGCGTCGAAAGTCGGTAGTTGATGGTGACTACGACGATGTCTTCGCGAGACGCGAGGTTGCCGCCGTCGCTGAGCGGGTCAGCACCAGTGCCACCGGTAAATCCACCACCGTGTATCCAAAAGAGTACCGGTCTCAGGTCTTTGCTTGAACCAGCTTTGGGGATGTACGGTGTCTGAATGTTGAGGAATAGGCAGTCTTCACTACCTCCACTGACTTGCGTACATTGGGAGCCATAGGTGGTGGCGTTTGCCGTCTCCCCGGTGCCCGAGTAGAGACAGGACTATTTGAACCGCTTTGGAGGGTCCGCGTATCTGATGCCTAGGAAGCGAAAGGACTTCTCATTGCGATAGCCCACATAGACGTTGCCAGCTGCGGCGATGGTGTTCTCACTTGATGTGCTGGCTGTAGAATTCGGTGGCTCACTGGCGTTGCTGGACTGCGTGCAGAGGACAGGTAGCTCAATGTCGGCCTGCGCAGAAGGCTCAAAGGAGAGCTGTGCTTGACCGAATACCTGTAAAGTGCCTCCGGAGAGGTGATATGCTTGATTTGGTGACACTCTCCCGGAGAATGCCAGGTACGAGAGAGCAGAGGAGAAATCTGAACTGTAATTTTGGATGGTGGTGTGAGTCAGGAGTGTCTCGCTGAGAGCACCACAAGCTTCCACGGCAGCACTTGAGGTCATGGGATCCAGGAGGATTCCGCCGACATGGTTGACATCGTCTGAGGCATTCAAATTGTTTTGGTAGATGATGGTCAAGGAGCTTTTGGTGTTTGATACAGCAACACCCGATCTGCGAGCTGCCTCAAATGGATGGCCGAGGGAAGTAGCAAGGAGTACAGCAAAAGACAACAGACACCAACACACGGCTGCCATATTCAATATACACTGATGTACCAGTAAAGAAGAGGATATAGGGTCAAATGAACAGACGGGGCTTTGTGGCCGTTCTTACCATTAATACACGGAGTTGCAAACCTCTGTGCGAAATATCTGAAGTGAGTGCCATCTGCTACCAACTCCGCTCACACGCTGGTTGTAGTCATCCAAAATTCCGATATCCCCAGCATATGGAGCATCAACCCGGCTGTCAGTCCAGATACTTCTCAATCTGACATACCTAGTTCGGCAGGACATTATGGTCATGTCTCACACGGACTTTCACTCGAGGGAAAGACTGCGGAGAGCCAGAGCTTCTCGGAGTCGGGCAAGGGCGGGCGCTGAGAAATGGTCCTCATGATCGACCGCAAATTTTGGACGTTCCCGTGATTGCCATCTGCCGAGAACTGGCTCGTGTTTTCAAGGCTTCTAGCCCATACAGAGCGATGATGACGACTGGATGCAAAGCGAGATTCGAATGGATCGGTGCAAGCACCCATGCTGGTATTGAGTTGAGGGTTGAGGCAACAATACAATTAGCCTAATGAGAGACTGGAAGAAGAAGGTCGAAGTGATGGGGAAAGGGATGAACGGAGGTAGAATAGAGATCTTTAGCCATTTCCCGAATAGGGGTGGAACAAGGCTGACCCCTTTTTCCTCGCACCATCCGATGATCTCATTCATTTAATTTACAATTCTCACGTTATATCTGCGGCTCTTAGCTATCACATCAGGGGCGATGACTGTAGGTTCTGAGGAGAGTTCACCAGGGCTCGTTCGCCTCTCCTCTACACCATCTTGCGACTCCTGCTGTCACTATCGGTGGAAAGCTATTCAGACAACGCAAAAAGTGTTGGATGAACGCGCCAGCGAGTCACTCTGGAAGACTTCAATATCACTTGTTTCCAACATCTGTGACAGATAGAGATGGTATGGTGGAAACTGCTCTGAAGCAATCTTTTCTTATCTAAATGGCCGAGCACGCCTTGGACAGCTCTTCCGAAAGTCCACATCGCCGACGGCCGCCCGGAGAGCGGGCTAATGATTCATCCCCAAACTCAATGTCTGGAGTTCCTCGATCCCGCGGTGTGGCTCTCTGGCAAACACCAACCATATCATGCGCGGCTACAATATAAGGAAGGTATGCATTACTGCGAGCAACGGCGCGCAGCCTCAGGGCGGGACAAGGCCTTGTGCAATGTTGGTCACGGCACCCTCCAACGCCGAAACATACGCCTTGGGCAGAGTGAGGCTGTCATCCATCATGAGTTGAGAGAACTTGAGCAGGTGCCTTCTGCATTTATGCCATGCCCCGTGTCTTCGGCGGCCACCAGTTGCTTGAATGTGGGATGCTGAACTGTGACTGCTAGAGTGAGGACCGAGCACAGGCTGAGGGGTCAACGAATGTGAGGTTGTCAAAATCACTCAGGAAAATGCGGCTTGCATGAACACAAGCAGGGCTCCCTTTGAACCGATTCGATATGCAACAAGTTGGCTTCTTGAAAGCTCCTCCTGCTCGATGTCCCATTTGCGTGCCACGATGTCTGGCGATTTTGCTTCGACAGCTCCCCGTACGATTCACCCTCGCAGCTCATCACATACTACGTTGGCGCGAGTGTTGGCTCCTTCTTAGCAAACTATTGACTGATAGTCTCAGGTCAGCTCTGCTACGACCACGATCCTCTCCACTACCTGAATAGAGGATAAACTTCGGCTGATTAGTCGTGTTCGATATGTGCCGCTAGCAGTATCTATCATGTGCTTCATCATGAGAACTCTTTCCAGAGATTTGGACCCTGTCAACGAGCTCATTTGCATTCCGGCAGAACTTCGGGTGAAGAAAGTTGAGGCGTACTCGCCATCACCGCAAGGGCCGTCCCAGGATGAGAACCTGCTTTTGCGGAAGAAGTCGACGCCATACACCGAATAGGGTTGGCATATGCTTGCCTCGAGACCTGTATCAGCACGACTTTCGGCTCAATAGCACAGAGTATTACGCGCGGACGGAGACTTTGGCTATCATCAAGAACAATCAACATATCATGAGTTGTTCTATTTTCTGTCAACATGTGGCGGTCGACCCCTTTGCTCCACCATCGGTCTGGCCGATGTCAGTACAATAGGCTGACCCAATCGTCCATCTTCTGGATATGATCATCTCTGACAGATGCAGTGAGCCAGATGCGAGATCGATGCGGAACAGACTGAGCATGGGATGCCCTGCAGCGCCTCTCCCACAGCATAATATGCTGGCTTCCGGGTAAAATCCGCGTTGTACAAATCCGCGACCCCTTGCCCTGGGAAAGTGCCCGGGATCCAGGAATACTGATCGTCAAAGTCCCAGACCGTGATCCCTACACAGCCATCAACCTGGACACAGCTGGAGACCGAGTCGTAGTAGTTCTGGGCCTGCATTGCAAAGCCAGTGGCATTTGTGGCGTTGACTTCGGGGAATCGAACGTCGAGTTCGGTGACTGCAACCTCCAGCCCGAGGCTGACGTAGCCTTGCTTCGCGGTAACTTGCACCTCCACGCTCGGTGTACCACCCACTTGGAAGTGCGACTCTAGACCAACCCCGTCGATACGGATGCCGCGAGATTGCAGTTCCCTGATCAGGCCATATACAGCTTGGGTCTTGTTGCCGGTATCTTCGATGCCGTAATCGTTGTAATACAACTTGATGTCCTTGCCAGTCGCCTCAACAGCTTCCTGAGCAAACCGATATGCAAGGAAGAAGTATTCTGGCCCGATCGTGTCATACTTCTCCTTGTCAGTCTCAAGGTATTTCCACAAGCTTGGGTGTTATGTTATGCTTACCCAAATGCTAGAAGCAAAGCTTCCATTCGAAGCAAGTGCCTCATTCACAAATCACAACATCCCAAGAATAACACACGTCCTGCCAGAGAGTGATCAATGTCTTGATATGGTTTTCCATAACCGCAGTCAAGCTGTCTGCCGTCCAGTTGCCATATGTCACACAGTCGCTGAGCTGCTGCGAAAGCCACACAAGGTTGTGGCAGCGCAAATACTTCCCATGGTCTTTGGCGATGCCAACATCTACTTGACCACCAGTGAAGTTGAAGAGGCCTTGCTCTGGCTCAGTGGCGAAGAACTTCATATAGTTTGCTGGCGTGATTTGACCAAAAATGTGTGTGTGTTGTTGAGGATTGTTTGGTATGTGATGTCCGTATCCTCTCCGGTGCCCTGGACTCTGATTTTAGCCACGGTGAAAGGCCTGACGCTGGACTTTCTCTGACTTATGGGTTACCTACTACTCTGCAAGGGCCAACCTGCCTTGCCTGGGTTAGCAGAGACATAACCAGCCAAAAGCGGACAGACGGAAGCAACAAGAAGAAGAAGAAGAAGAAGAAGAAGAAGAAGAAGTGAATGCATCTTGGCCACCAAACCCTGGAACGACACGATCGAACCACAGCTCTGCCAGTGATTCAAACTTGAGTATTGACACATTTCTTTGCTGAGAAGGACGGCTCCATATACTCTTGACCGGCAAAAGGATTCAATTCCTCCTCGCCAGCATCTTAGATTACAATTTGTTGTAATAACGACATCTGTGCAATATCCGTCAGGCATCTAGGAGAGCCACCTACCTTCAATCTCACATATCATCCGGAAGCATGCAATACCGGAGTTCCTTGTGGATATGTCTTGGAGTCGATGAGTTCGAAGATGCAGTGACCTTCCCAATTGGGCGACGATTATCTTAAGATACATGCCTATGGAGGTTGATGAAGCGAACTCTGCATGGTGTCGGGTTTTGCCAATGCCCATCTGGACGAGCGGAGGGACTGGAGACATTGCGGCAGAAAGTCAAGGAGGCAAAGCCTTGCCTCTAACGTCCATCCGGCAAACTTTGGGCTGGGATTTGGTTCAAGGGTCGCTCCGTGTGGGGTGCCTATCATGCGACATACTTCTCGATCATCTGAGCTCATGATCAGATAACGGTTGGAAACATGTCCTCACCGAACATGTAAGTGAGGGGATGAGATGGCGCCTCCTTCTACCGAGGAAACAACGGTTGACAAGAGAATTACACCGGATAATAGGATAATATATATCGACCAGGGGAGCTTTGTTGTACGAACAGACAACCCTCACATCGATCACATCCCCCCCGGGGCCCCTTTTGGGAAAATCACAGTGGGTCAATTTCCCCCATCTTCGACAAGGTCTTGGTCCACTTCACCCGCACTTCTCCCTTTCCTCCACATCTCCAGATTCTCCAGAGATGTCTTTCCAGACCACTGCAGTGATGGCCGGCTCTCCGGGAAAACTACCCTGCGCCGTCATCTGCCTCCGGGCCTGTGTCTCACGCCAATAGAAGTTCTACAGTCAGCTGCAGGGTAAGATCTCGGGCAGAAAAAAGTCTCCACCTCCACGACGGACCTTTTAGCCAGCCTTTCGGTTCTGTAAGTTTCTCCAATCCAGACCCTTGTTGTCCTTTTGAGGCGCATGATCGAGCACCAGTGCAATCCATCATTGGCTATATGCGATGTTACTCAGGTGTCTTGGTTGCTGACCTTCTAGAATGCTAGCCTGAGCGACTACGGCAGTATTGCCATTGTGGCAGGACCAGGTGAGTCTGCATGGAGGTCCGAGGATATGATGCTGTATAAAGAAGTGTTGCTCACCTCATTCACCGTCCTCTCTCTCAACCTTCAGACCTTCAGATAGGCATCACGGAGATCATATCTTCTAAGATCGGGATTTCCCCTGTCAGCGAGAACCCCTTCGATCATCAACACCTATAGCCACCATGGGGCAAGGATACTTCGAGCTGGCCGGTCGCCAGTTTCCTTCGGTAACATGGTATAAGGACCCTGCGTTGAGAAAGACCTATATCATTCTTATGTTTGTGGTACTCACCAGTGCCACTAACGGGTAGGCTTGAGCTTGAATGGGTATCGTACCATTGCCTCGGTCACTGACCGGTAGATCCACAGATACGACGGCTCCATGATGAACGGTCTGCAGACTCTAACAGCATGGCAAGACCATTTCAATCACCCTACAGGCGGCAAAATTGGTATCTTGAACGCTATCATGGCGATTGGCTCGTTGGCAGCCATCCCATTTGTGCCCTACGCCGCCGATTTTCTCGGTCGCCGCATGGGTATACTTATCGGCTGCATCATCATGCTGATTGGCGTCGTATTGCAATCTGTCTCCGCCAACTTCGGCATGTTCTTGGGAGCTCGGTTCTTGATCGGTTTCGGAGTCGCGATTGCACACGGTGCCTCGCCTTTGCTCATCACCGAATTGGTTCATCCCCAGCATCGAGCCATCTTCACAACAATCTACAACACTACGTGGTATGCGGGCTCGATTGTTGCTGCTTGGCTCACCTACGGCACCGACCATATCACGAGCAACTGGTCGTGGCGTATTCCCACCATCGTGCAGGCTGCACCCTCGCTGATTCAAATCATGTTCATCTGGTTCGTGCCCGAATCCCCTAGATGGTATATTGCGCAAGGCAAAGAAGAGAAGGGCCTGCAAGTCCTCGGCAATGTCCACGCCAATGGGAACGTCAACGACGAGCTGGTCCAACTGGAATATGTTGAGATTCGCGACACCATCAGACTAGAGAAGGAGCTTGAGTCGAACGGCTGGCTTGAGCTTATCAAGACCAAGGGCAACCGCCGCAGACTGATCATCTTGTTGTCTGCTGGTCTCTTCTCTCAATGGTCCGGCAATGGTCTTGTGTCGTACTATATAAACAAGGTCAGTGATCAGTCCTCTCAACCACGATACCAGGACCTGTGAGCTGGACTAAATGTGATCCTGCAGGTGCTCAACAACATCGGCTATACGGATACACTGACACAAAACCTGATCAATGGCGTGAGTGTGCTCGTTCAGTTCACGGCTATGGTTGGTGCTGACCACAGTTACAGGTACTCCAAATTTTCAACCTCTTCACTGCCGTTATCGCCTGTTTCTTCGTTGACAAGGTCGGCCGCCGCAAGCTTTTCCTCATTTCAACCACGGGGATGCTTTTGACCTTTATTTCGTGGACTATCTGCTCTGCAAGGTTCGCCATCGATGGCTCCAAATCGGCCGCCAACGCCGTGGTTGGGTAGGTTTCAGATCCCTGACTTATCGTTCCCGAGATTTGGTACTGACCCTCGGAAGGTTTATCTACATCTACTACTTCTTCTACAATATTGCATGGTCTGGCATGCTGGTCGGCTATACCGCCGAGATCCTGCCCTACAACATCCGAGCCAAGGGCTTGACTGTCATGTTCCTGATGGTCGACGCGGCCCTGTTCTTCAACCAATACGTCAATCCCATTGCGCTTGACAACATTGGTTGGAAATACTACATTGTGTAAGTGCAGCATCCCTCCGCACGACTCTGCTGGAAATAGCTGCTAATGATACGATCAGCTATTGCGTCTGGCTAGGTATTGAGCTTGCAGTCGTCTATTTCTTTTACGTGGAAACACGTAACACACCTCTTGAGGAGATCGCCAAACATTTCGACGGAGATCAGGCTCTGCTGGGTGGTGGAGCCGCCACTCAGAAGGGATTGACTTTGGCGACTGAGATGGGTCTCGACGGGACTGTGAGCCATGTCCATGCCCTGGATGAGAAGAGACACTCTGTCGGCATTGAAGTCGAGGATGTTGCTTCTAAACACAACACTCAGTAGATGTGCTACATGTTGGGGGCAGGCCAACTGGCAACTGCCACAGGGAAAAGAGACCTAGGAGAGATTTGGTAGCTGCTCTCCACTGGGAGGGACCTTTGATGGATGCGAGGAAGATTGCTGCTGGGTATTGCACCACCGAGAAAGACAGCATCGACATATAATTAATCAATCATCCATCTTGATTCATCTGTTCAACTGGTTCAGTTGTTACCAAAACTCCATTACTTTTCTCTATATGACGTCGATGATCTCCGTTCCCTCGTTTTCTTGTAGAAACTGCTTCAGGAACGCAAGCAACGTGGCTTACAATCTGCATTGCGATGATCCCGTTTAATTGGGTGAACGAGTGTACCGAAGTCATTGTTTCGCTTATATAGGCTTGGCTGTGAAGGGTAAAAGTTGCTTTTGCTCGTCAGATACAGAGTATTGGCTTCCAGTCAATGGCCAATTTTTCTGCTCGATTGCGACATCAGCGGCGCGCAGATTCATTCAACCTTTAGGAAAGTACGACACGACGGTGAGTGCTATCTATATACACATGAAAATATGTATGTAGAAATCTAAACCTCTTCCCATCGCCTTGGCTTCGTTGGGAAAGGATTTCTTTTCGTGTGGCACTCCGTTATCAGCCGGCCCTCTTCTGTATCACTCTCCTTGCAGCAATGGTGGATGATGTAGACAAGGAACCCGGGCGAGAATCCGTCTCACATCAGTCATTGACCAGCCATGTCGGAGACTTCCAGGCCATTGACCCGCATAGCGGTGTCAAGCGAGGCCTCAAGACTCGTCATCTCAGCATGATGGCCCTGGCCGGCATCATAGGGCCAGGCCTGTTGATTGGGTCCGGAGGTAAGGCTGAGACTCCTTGTTACCAATCGACAGAAATACTCATATGCTATCCAGGTGCTCTTGCCAATGGTGGGCCAGCGGCGCTCCTCATCGGATTTGGTGTTATCGGCATCATTGCATTCAGCATCATGCAATCGCTGGGGGAGTTGACCACCCTGTATCCCAGCGGCGGAGCCTTTACCAGCCTGGCAGACCGATTCGTCGACCCGGCCTTTGGATGCGCGGTGGGCTGGAACTACTTTATCATTTGGGTGGCCGTCCTTGCCAACGAGTACAATGTGCTGTCTTCCATCTTCGTCTTCTGGAGCGACAAAGTGCCTCTATGGGGATATTTCCTGATATTCTGGTTCGCCTTCCTGGGCTTCCAACTGCTGGGTGTCACAACCTTCGGCGAGGCAGAGTTCTGGCTGGCTCTGGCGAAGCTCCTCGGTCTGACAGCCTACTTCATCTTCAGCATTGTCTATGCTTCAGGCGGCCTCGTAGGCCAACACGGAGCATTGGGCTTCAGATACTGGCATAACCCTGGGGCGTTCTCTCATGGCTTCCGCGGTGTCGCCTCCGTCTTTGTATTCTGCTCAACCTTCTATGCCGGCTGCGAATCCATCGCCGTGGCAGCCACGGAGACGCGAAACCCCAAGACGGCAGTCCCACGTGCCATCCGACAAGTCTTCTGGCGCATCATTTTCGTCTACATGGGCTCGGCGTTCTTCTTTGGCCTGACTTGTCCTGCCAATGCAGACTCGTTGGTCAACGGAAGTTCGAGGGTGCTGAAATCGCCAATGACAATTGCAATCCAGAATGCTGGGTGGGAAGGAGGTGTCCACCTGATCAACGCCTTCATTTTGGTCACTTGTCTCTCTGCGGTCAACAGCTCCATCTATATCGGCTCCCGGACTGTGCTGTTCATGGCCCAGGAAAGGAAGGCTCCGAAGTTCCTGGGCTATACCGACCCTCGCGGAGTGCCTGTCCTGGCAGTCGTCTTCACCAATCTGTTTGGAGCGCTGGCAATGATGAACGTCTCGACGGGCGCTGGCAAAGCTTACAGCTATATTGTCAACCTGTCTGGCGTGAGCACCTTCATCGTGTGGGGCGCTATATCGTTTGTTCATATCCGATTCCGCCAGGGTTGGGCGAAGCAAGGTCGACACGAGCGTGAGCTGCCTTTCAAATCCCTCTGGTATCCCTGGAACGCCTATTTTGGACTGGCTGCAAACTTGTTCCTCGCTCTGGTCCAGGGCTGGACGACACTGAGTCCCTTCAATGCGGGGAACTTTGTCGACGCCTATATCCTGCTGCCGCTGTTCCCGGTCATCTACTTTGGATACAAATGGATTTTCCACACCAGGTATTGGCCACTACATGAAATCGACTTGGATGTGGGAAGGAGGAAAGATCTTGACACAGTAGAGACCGAGGAGGAGGATGCTATCCTGAATGAATATGGGCATGCCCCAAAGAAGTCATTCTGGAAACGAATTGCTGAGAACTTCTAAATTGGAAGACAAAAGACTGCTTGGATTGGCCAGGACTGTTGCTGGTCGGAGATGAGTGTTCATGACCACGCAACCTGAGGACTAACGATTTTATGTCATACGAAGATACCCCCAGTGCTGGTTCTGAATTAGAGCTCAAGTCAGGGCATACTACCTATTATAATTGCCAATATATTGCAATTGTTCGAGGGCGAAAATCTAGAATTTGGCTTCTCCGCGCGCCTTCTCAAAGGCGCGATTCTGTCTGAGGCATCGTAGAAATTCACTCTGGGGAAGAGAGGTTGTATCAGCTCTATACTCTGCAGGGCATAGTCTATGCCAGCATTTCGCTCGCTCTTGGATTTTCTTGCCTAGGGATGAACGAAAGGAACGTGAGGGAGAAATAGTACTACAGCCTTGTCAGCAAGGCTGCGATCACATGCGATAAGATAAGGAGCGCCTCAACAAAAATTTTGACCGCTACCATTCTTCCATCATCACTTTCCCACCCACCTGCCGACCTCCCAAAAGCCCATCTCGCACAACGCAGACATGCCGCCTCTCAAGAAACGCAAGTTAAGCCATGGCGAAGACCCGGTCAATACTGGATCCGCGGAGTCGAACTCCTCCTCCCAAAGCCCCGACGCTCACAGCGGCGGCGAAGATGACATCGTCATAGAAAAGCCCAAGGCCCCGACAACATTCAAAGAGCTGGGAATAATTGACTCTTTGTGCGAAGCATGCGAGTCGCTCGGCTATAAGACACCCACGCCCATTCAAGCCGAGTCCATACCATTGGCATTACAGGGTCGAGATCTCATAGGGTTGGCGGAGACCGGCAGTGGAAAGACGGCGGCCTTCGTACTGCCCATACTACAAGCCCTGATGGATAAACCGCAACAATTACACTCTTTGATCTTGGCACCGACCAGAGAATTGGCATTCCAGATCTCTCAGGCGGTGGAGGCTCTAGGTGCGCTGATAGCAGTACGATGCGCAGTGTTAGTCGGCGGAATGGACATGATCCCACAGGCAATTGCCCTGGGAAAGAAGCCGCATGTTATTGTCGCCACGCCTGGGCGATTGCTGGACCATCTGGAAAACACAAAGGGGTTCTCTCTCCGACAGTTGAAGTACCTTGTCATGGACGAAGCCGATCGATTGCTGGATCTTGATTTCGGGCCGATTCTGGACAAAATCCTGAAGATTCTGCCACGAGAGGGTAGAAAGACATATCTGTTTTCGGCCACTATGTCAAGCAAGGTCGAGTCCCTTCAACGGGCGTCTCTGTCAAATCCTCTCCGAGTCGCGGTGTCCCAGGACAAATATCAGACTGTCTCCACCTTGATACAGTCATACCTATTCATCCCTCACAAACATAAGGACCTGTATCTCATTCACGTGCTCAATGAGCATGCGGGGCACACCGGGATCATATTCACACGGACTGTCAACGAAGCGCAGCGCCTCTCTATTCTCCTTAGGACTCTGGGCTTCTCAGCGGTACCGATTCATGGTCAGCTCTCTCAACAGGCTCGACTGGCCGCCCTGAACAAGTTTCGAGCAAAAGCTCGGGATCTGTTGGTGGCTTCCGATGTGGCGGCTCGTGGCCTGGATATTCCCTCGGTCGATCTTGTCATCAACTTCGATCTTCCGCAGGACAGCAAGACTTATATTCACCGAGTCGGGCGTACGGCAAGAGCAGGCAAGAGCGGCAAGGCGATTTCCCTGGTCACTCAATATGATGTTGAGCTTTGGTTGAGGATAGAAGGCGCGTTAGGAAAGAAACTGCCGGAATACCAGACCGTGAAAGAAGAAGTCATGGTCCTGGCCGAACGGGTTGGAGACGCGCAGAGGGCTGCTGCCATGGAAATGAAAGAATTGCATGAGAACAGGGGCCAGAGGGGCGCCACGTTGCGGCATACACGGACGGGTAGAGGTGGTGCTGGTAAACGGGGTCGGGATCATATGGATCAAGATGAGGGCTAGCAGATCGATAGCCGTACGAGGAACCATGGATTGCCGATCCAATTACTCCTGAGTAGAGGTAAAACTCGCAAATGTAAAAGCAGGCGCAAGGCTGAGCCCGTTCAGTGACACTGCGGCGCCCGCAGCCTCGCGCCTATTAAGGCTTGGCGTAAAAGTTGGAGAAACTTGCACTATACGAACAACTTAGGCCGCGCGAATCGACTTCAAACACATCTGACCATACCTGCAAACCGTATATTGTCTCAAGAAACGTGCTTACATCCCCCTTTGGCTCTCGTTCTTCGCTGACAAGCCATCATTGAGGCTGATTCACCCGTCCCAAGCCGGATCTACATTAGGGCCACAAGCCTGAAACGCAGGCAAGATGCAGGCCCCTGTCGTGGTTATGAGTGAGTAGACCCATAAGATGATGCCTGACAGCCTCTAACTTTTGCAAAAGACACGGGCGCCGGTGAGAGACAAGTCGGGCGGAAGGCACAGATATCAAATATCACCGCGGCCAAAACGTGAGCAACGAGCAGAAACCTGCGACGACCACAACATACTGACACCGGCAGGGTTGCGGATATCATCAGATCATGCCTCGGGCCGAAAGCGATGTTAAAAATGCTACTGGATCCCATGGGAGGAATCGTCTTGACCAACGACGGCCATGCCATCTTGCGGGAAATCGAAGTGGCGCATCCTGCCGCAAAGAGTATGATTGAATTGAGCCGGACACAAGATGAAGAGGTGGGAGACGGTACAACGACGGTGATCATTCTAGGTATGGCGGTGAAGACATGGAGTCTGGTACACGACGAAAACTAATTACATGGTAGCCGGCGAAATCCTAGCCCAGGCGCTCCCGCAGCTCGAACGAAACATCCATCCGGTTGTCATTATCCAAGCATTCAAAAAGGCCCTCGCGGATGCTTTGGCCATCGTCGAGGAGGTCTCAATACCGGTGGACACATCAAGTGACAAACAAATGGCAGCACTCATCAAATCGTCCATTGGCACAAAGACCGTCTCCAGATACTCGGATCTGATGTGCTCACTGGCGCTGAAAGCGGTGCGGACGGTAGCCCTAGACCAGAGTTCGGTGTCGAATGCAGCAACAACGAACGGCGCTGCGAAGTCACCAGCCCCTACCTCCTCGAAGCCACAAGAAGTAGACATCAAGCGGTATGCGCGGGTGGAGAAGATTCCGGGGGGCGAGATCGAAGATTCACGGGTCCTGGACGGGGTTATGCTAAATAAAGACATCACACATGCGTCGATGCGGCGACGGATAGAAAACCCGCGGATCGTGCTGCTCGACTGCCCGCTCGAGTACAAGAAAGGCGAGTCGCAGACCAACGTCGAGATCACGGACGAGGACTCGTGGAACCGCATCCTGCAGATTGAAGAAGAGCAAATCAAGAAGATGTGCGAGGCCATCTTGGCCGTCAAGCCGGATCTGGTGATCACCGAAAAGGGCGTTTCAGATCTCGCCCAGCACTACTTCGTCAAAGCCGGCGTCACCGCGCTCCGCCGGGTGCGGAAGACCGACAACAACCGCATCGCGCGTGCCGTCGGCGCCACGATCGTGAACAGGGTCGACGACCTCGTCGAGTCCGACGTCGGCACCGGCTGTGGCCTGTTCGAGATCGAGAAGATCGGCGACGAGTATTTCACCTTCCTGACCAAATGCAAGAACCCCAAGGCCTGCACGATCCTGCTGCGCGGCCCGTCCAAGGACATCCTCAACGAAGTCGAACGCAACCTCCAGGACGCCATGTCCGTCGCTCGCAACGTCATGTTCCACCCACGCCTGTCCCCAGGCGGTGGCGCCACCGAGATGGCCGTCTCCGTGCGTCTCGCCCAGAAGTCAAAGTCCGTCGAGGGCGTCATGCAGTGGCCCTACAAGGCCGTCGCCGAGGCCATGGAGGTCATTCCGCGCACCCTCATCCAGAACGCCGGCGCCAGTCCCATCCGCATCCTGACCAACCTGCGCGCCAAACATGCCGAGGGCAAGTCCAGCTTCGGCGTCGACGGCGATACCGGCAACGTCGTCGATATGAAAGACTACGGCGTCTGGGAGCCCCAGGCCGTCAAAATGCAGAGTATCAAGACCGCTGTCGAGAGTGCCTGTCTCTTGCTTCGTGTCGATGACATCTGTAGCGCGAAGAGCGCGAAGCAGGTCGGTGGTAGTGGCTTGTCCGGCGGCGGCGGCGGTGGGGAAGAATAGTCTACGTGGTCAAGGTTGACTTTCACGTTGCACGCACGGTACGAAGAGTTGTCGATGCAGCAATTGAGTAGAGCATGAGACATGTCCATGCCAGCAAATGTACCAATGAAAAGAATTAAAATCGTATACCTGTGAAGAATCTCGACCATGGCATCTTTCTTCCGATGACACCAGTGGAGGCTTTATCATAACAAAGCATGCTGCGAGGTTTACTTGTCTTCAATAATCCCACATTTGCGTGGCAATAAGGTGCCAGTCCTGAGATACATCTATCAACTTCGGAATCCGCGACCATGTATGCAGGACTTGTTCCTTTCCGTAATGCCCAGAACCCAGAACTCCACCCATGCACTACCCCTGCTCTGGGGACAGCTATTCAAAGAGATCAAGCCATGGCTTCACAGAAGTCCAAAGAGACGCTATTCTTCCTCGCTGACTTCGCTCTCGTCGTCTTGCGGGGCCATGCCAATGCCAATGCCCAACCCAATGCCCGCGGCGGGAGCCATAGCAGGTTTAGATTCTTCCTCTTCCTCCTCCAGCGCAGCCTCAAGTGCGGCGGCAAGCAGGTCTTCGTCATCGTCGTCATCGTCGTGTCCGGTCCGCGTGGTTAGAGCAGGGGGCGTTGGCGGCTCCTCCATATTATGGTGATGGTGACGGTGAACGTTTTTATCAAGATGTCGGCTCTGCGCTGCTTCGTCTTCATCTTCATCATCCGCTCTTGAGATGTCGCCACTGGCGGGTGCAGTCAACCGTCTATCCTGCGGACTGCCGAGCTCGAACTCTTCAACATCGCCGTCCTCATCAGACGAGCCGATGGAGGCCCCCTCAATATCCTTCATCGTCACTTCCCGATCGTTGTGGCGGACTTGCTCGTCGGCCCCAGGCCGGAAGGATGGGAGTGGTTGCGACTGTGCATTCGAGCTTATGCCTCCGACCGGCGTCCCTGTATGGCTGCGGAACATTTCGGGGTCTACCCTTCCGCGCCGCGAGGGACGGTCGTCAGGAGGCGGGCTGCCCATGTCGATCTCCAGACCGCCGTCGTCGTCATTAATGATGATATGTGGTGAGCTGCCGATGTTGGCGGATATATTGCGAGTGTGGCTTTGGGTAACTCGTTGACTTGGTCTTTGATTGCTACCATATCCACTGGTATTGGATCGCGGATTCGCACCCGGACGCGATACAGCAAGTGTTTCGTCGTCGTCTGAGTCTGAGTCAGTTATGTGTGTTTTGCTCAGAGGCTGTGCAGAAGTTTTGGGGTTGTCACGCTTAGTTGCGGCCTTGGAGCTCGTTGACGGCGTGGTAGTCCGGCCAGGGCCATGTGTTGGACCATCACTTCTCTTCTTCCGCTGTGTGGTAGGGTGTGATGTGACCGGAGTGGGTTTAAACTGCGGCGTCGTTGCTGAGAACCGGCTTCCCGAAGGCACAGGCGTAGAGAGTCCGCTCAAGGGCGTGCGGTTGCCTGGCTGCTGAGCAGATTTCTCCATATTTTCGCGGGCTTCGGCAAGAAAATGACGATAGTCGTAGGGATTTGAAGCATCAGGAGTCTCATCCTCCGGTGCGGGTGACGTGTGCCTGGACGCGTTTGTCTGCACCGACTTTGTACTTTGAGGTTGCCTTGTAGGTAGTTGTGGCAGCTCGTGAGCTTCCTTGGATGAGTGGCCAGCGCCTTGTTTGAGGTTCATGTCCAGGGATGCAGATAGAGTCTCGAGCATGAAGCATGACTTTGCCTTGTCGAACACGAGAGCTAATGGTCTTGATCGATCTTCAGGTTTCCCATCTTCGGAGAGGTTCATAACTCCCGTGTATCGGAAGTCCCCATCATCTTCCGAGCCCCCGCTTGCAATGAGAAGTTGATATTCATCTCCTGACTTGGTCAGTTTGCTTTCTCGAGAGCCAAATCCGGATTTCGGCTGCCAGTTATAACGAATGTTCAAGAGAGACTTTTTGGGGCTGCCAGTCCCGCTCTCTTTCAGGCTGTCTCCGAGAACTATGGGATATTCTGCAGGGCGTCGTGGATCAATCCAGCCGGATGGCCGTATGGGGTGAAGGGCTGGCGAAGCCATCACGGCTGAATCAAACTGATAAAGCTGGTGGGCACGACTGTGGATTCGACAGTGTCAAACTTGTAGGATGGACAGGTTCATGGGGAATAAGCGAGCAACTATGAGATGAAGGAATAGAAAGGAAGAAAATGCGAAGACTCTTGCGAAGTGACCAAAGAACTAGATGATTGCATCGAGACCCAAGGGAAGGAAGTAAGAAGACGGTGGGAACGATATCGAGACCTCGAACAAAGAGGTCGAGGTGGAGGTTCGAGTCTGAGGACTGAGGCCCGTTTGTTCCAGATGCGGCTCCGCTTCGGGCGCAGCTTCCGGCACGTGCCAGCGGGTTTTGTGGGTTACTAACTACTTAGTACTACTAGTAGTGCCTAGGTTAGCGCAGGCGCAGCTACGGCGGAGTGCGGTTGAGGGGAGGTGCAGCGCAGTTTGGCATTGCAGACCGTCCCCGCGTACTTCACATAACCGTGCACCCTGTGGCACTAGTTATTTGCACCCCACCCTGAGGTGGTTTACAACTCACAGAGTCCTCAACAGAGTACTCAACAGCGTATCTAACAGAGTATCCAATAGTGTATCCAGCAGCGTACTCAACAGCGTAGTTAATAGCGTATCCAACAGTGCAACTTATAGAGTATTCAACAGAGTACTCAACAGGGTATCCAACAGCGTATCCAACAGCGTATCCAACAGCGCATCCAACAGCGCATCCAACAGCGCATCCAACAATGTATCCAACAGCGTACTCAACAGCGTATCCAACAGTGCAACTGATAGAGTATCCAACGGCGTATCCAACAGAGCAACTCACAGAGTATCCATCAAAGTAGTCAATAGTGCATCTCACAGCGTAGCCAATAGCCTATCTTACAGCCTATCTCACAGCGTAGCCAGCAGTTAGTAAAGCCTAAATATCAGTTGTTGTGGTGGTGTTTTGCAATTTTGCAAAATGGAAAAAAAAGATTTTGGCTAGTGGGCTACCTACTCCGCGTTAGGCATTCAGCCTTGCCAACGGTTTCGAAAACTGCTCGCGGCTGCCCTCGATGGGGACGAGGGTGATGCCGCACTCTCTAAGCGAAAAGCCACAAATGCAGGGGGAAGCTGATAGTACCAAACTCTGTCAGAGGCTTTAGGCGATCCTCAAGTTCTAGGCCGCTGCATGTCTTGTCGATAATTGTGAACACTTCAGTCAAGTCGACGAATCAAGACGGAACTGCCCTGACACACTGGAATTGGGAGCACAAATTACCCATGCAGATGGGTAATCAGTTGTCAAGTCTAGGACTGAGTCTAGTTGTTAGGTCTAAGTGTTTCGTAGCTGTCTAGGACCGAGTCGTGCTTCACCATCTCCCAGATGTCATCAATGCGTTTCTGCGCCGCCTCAGGCAGAGGGCCGCGTCTCAACCCCGCCAGCGTCTGCTCCAACTGGGTGATGCGGCTCGCCCCAATGACGACGGCATCACCGGACTTTCCATCTAGGTGCGAGTGATAGGCGATCCACCGGTACGCCAGCTCCGCTTTAGGGATCTTGGAGGTTTCCGAGATCTCGTTCCAGATGTCCAGCGCCTCCAACAAGCTGGGCTTATTGTACAGAGCATTGTACAACTGCCCAAAGGCTGTCTCTCGACTCCACCTACCCTCGCCGCCGGAGCTTTGCGAGAGCTGTTCCCGTGTCTTTGTCAGGAATCCACCTGCCATGGGGCTGTAGGCGTAAAACGCCATCCCGTGTTTGCGGAGGACGGGGAAGAGCTCTGTTTCGGTCCTGCGAGCGACGGCATTGTAGTTCCCTTGGTAGACACTCGGGACGACGAAGTCCTTCTCCTTTGCGATGCGGATGGCCTCTTCCACCTCTGCTGCGGTGAAATTGGAGAGCCCGAAGCGGTCGAATGTCCCGGCGCGGTAGAGGTCATTGATGCCGGCGAGCGTTTCTCCCAAGGGGAACTTGGAGTCGGGCGCGTGAATGTAGAAGATGTTGACCTGTGTGATTGCAGAGTGGTCAGTCAGCCCGATCCACGTGCAAGCTGAACCCAACCCATCATAGAAAACAGGGATACGGTACACAGACCTTCTTCACACCCAATCTCCTCAAGCTCTCGTGTCCTCTCTCGACGACTTGTTCCCGAGACGAGTTGCCTGGAATCCAACCCCCAACATGCTTTGTGTCGACGAGAAAGCGTGAGCCAGCTTTGGCTTCCCCGAGCAGCTCCTCGCTGGTACCGTTCCCGTACAACTGGGCGGTATCGATCTGCTTGATACCCTCGCGTTCCAGGACATCCAACAGCTCTTTCACGGCTCCCACGTTGGTATACCCACCGTCGGACGTGATGGACCCTCCCCCGAACACAAAATTGGGCGCCGTAGTGGCCATGATGTGGAATTGGAAGATGAAGCATGAAGCACAAACAAACCCATTCTTAATGACAGACACAAGAACGGGCTCTTAAATAGTTCTTGTGTATACCGACACAAGGGTGACTTGGTTTACTGGCTATAGAGAGCATAAAATAATGAATGGGCGTGCTTAAAAATCAGGGAGTTCAATGGTGGGGTAACGCGGAGCATATGGGGAGCAACTTTGCACAGCGGTTGTGGGGGCCCGCCAATGCCGTGTACATGCATGGGTATACAATCCCAGTGACCGCTCATTGGAGCAAATTGCGCCATTTCCTGGTACTTTCGAGCTGCTTAGAAGTTCCAGCGTGTTCCAAGCTGAATCGTAGGACCCAAGGTTGATGGATGAAATGCTGATGAAAGAGTTAAAACCAGCGGAAGTTGGCCGTGTCGGATGTCAACGCCACGGTCTACTGTGTACATCGGCAGGCCGTGTCTGGATCCTTGACGTGCAGATGGTCATATAAATGTTGTAGTGATCCTAAAGGCTAGCAAACCCGTCTCGAATATCCCTCCAAGGTTCGGGTCCCTCAGATGCCCCAATATGCTTCCCCTTGTCCGTCCTATGGAGAGAGAGAGGGTGAGTTACGGGGTGATGATATTAAAGGCGGCACGGTCGGGGATGATGCCTAAGTGACCGCCGAGCGGATTTTCCTTTGCTTGAGCCGCTAAGCCTAGATCGCCTGCGCCTCTGCGTTTGAAGAATTCAAGTACCAGAGTTGCAGATCACTTCACCATTTACCTCGAGGCTACCCTTCTCTCCGACAGTCTTCTTCTGTGTCTGCAGTGGAAGTCCACTCGGTTTCTCCTGCAAAATGACAACAGCTCATCGACCTACCTTTGACCCCGCCAAAGGCAAAGAGGCCAAGCTTGGCCCGGCGTATCATCAACGCCCACAGCCAGCGCATACACTACTCAAGGTCCGACAGCCAAGGTCAAGGCGGAGCAGCCGATAGCGAGAAAAGAGATCTACGGGCCGAACTACTCGCAGCAGAAGCAGCACATTTTGCAACGACAAAAGGCACGACCGCGGAACCTCTATCAGACTCGGCCAATCCTCCCAAACGTCCGCTCGAGCACGCATCGGATGACATCGAAGGGCGTCGTGGTGAAGCGAGCGCAGTCAAACGTATCCCCTCTTCTGAGAGCGCTGGACCCGGCGCCGCACCCCCGATGCTGCCAGTCTCCGGTCACCTCGGTCAGCATGCTGACATCTGCCCAGCGTCGCCCCTCATGCAGTACCAGACCAAACATGGCGCCGTGTGGGCCTTCACGCCATGTCACGTCCGAGTGTGACGTCGCGAAGACATACATACATAGTATGCTTAAGAACCACGTGCATTATATACTTACACACCATCAAGACGGAGTATACTAAGTGCAGCCATTGCCATCCCTCTATGACAAAGCCAACAGGGTGCACTGGAGACGCCGCAATTCCGTAACAACGAAGGCCACAGGGCTGAAGGATGCCTTCCAATTGGTGGCGGATGCGGCGACGTGTCCTCTCCGGGCTTCGCCGCTGTCTATGCTGAAGAAGAGCATTTTGAAGACCTCGTTGATCAGCATAAGAACTATGTATTATTTATTTTGAGATCACCTAATGAGCTTCAAAATATTACTAGTATGCGCATGTTGGACTGATTGAATACATACATAGTAGTAGTACAAGAAGATGCGAGCGAGATCACACACTGTTATGCACAACGCAACCTCGCCGGGGATTGATGCCTCTGCCAGAGACTGTGTGTTGAACTCAATCCATTGGTACAGTAAAGTAGTAAGTACTTGGTACTATGTATTTGACCCCATCCAGCGTGAGCAGATTCAAGCCTATGTAATGCCTCCCTCGCCACGAGAAGAAATTGAAAGCGTGGAATTTGATGGTCTGATCGGCCTTGTCTACCAAGCTACGCGATTGCTCGTAAGTAAGGTTGGGACTGTTGTTTGGCTTATCCTCTGTCGTCGCTATTGCAGCGTCCATCCGGTGGACGGCAGCAACCAGGAGAGCAGCAGCGCCTCGTTGTCTTGACTGTCCTCCGTGGACTATTCCCACTTCGTATCTTAACAGTCCTCCGTGAAGTAGTAGGGCCCCGATGTCTTGTCCTGCTTGTCCTGCTCGCAATTTTGTGGTAAATGGATGGATATTGTCTAGGGTACACCCTTCAAAAGAATGTCAATGAGTACTGTACACCAACAGAAACTTGACCTGTACATGCGAACGAATAAATAAACACAGCAGTCAGCAACGGGACGAAGTTAACATAGATGCTTCTCGCCGAAGGTATCCCCCACGATTCGGGAAGAGAAGAGACGTACCGTTCTTTATCCGTACCTGACTTTGAACTCGGGAATGTCAAACGACAAGCTTGCTCGGTTCGATCGTTAGAGGACCCAGGGTGTCGGCCACCTAGGCACATCACAATCGTACATCGTAAAGAATAGGAAGGCAGCAAGACTGTGAGTTTGGATCCACTTCGACAAGCAGTGCTCAACAAGAAGAAGCCACTCTTCTCGTATAAGAAGTTTTCATTTTCGATACTTCCATTGCCACACCAGTTCTGAGCAGTTTAAATCTCCATCTCCTGTATCGGGATCCCGCGATTTCCTCCCAGTTAGTCACCATAGCCTGAGCAGTTCCAACCTTAGACATCGACCTTCCCCGAGTGCGAGACTGTACCGGCATCATCCTTTGTTATCACTTGCTCTTCACACACATCTTTGGCTCGTGAGAATAGTAAGATACACCTGGTGCAGTGCCAGGCTCCAGGCTCCAGGCTCCAGGCTCTTTTCTCTCCTTTCCTGATACACATCATGATTGTTGAAGTAGGTAATCCCAACTCTACAGACGCGGATTCACCAGTATCAATCAGACGACTTAACTGCGAGTCAAGTTAGTGTCTCGGAACACCTGCCACATTCTGTAAATATGTTCTTTGCCGACTTGAGACTGCGCCGCCTTCTCTCCTACAACTTAATCTCACTGACCACCCCCACCGTCGGCGACATTGTGGCCCTCTTGGACGCGCCGGACAGATGCGAGCCCTCGAGATTAACGATCATGTCGCCGTCAAAAACGATCCAAGCCTCTATGGCACTGTCCAGCGCACAAACACCGACTCGTATGAGCCTTTGGGGGATGAGTTAATCATCGCTCACACCCACATCCCACCCGGCGTCCTTAACGAATTTGTCGTCAAAGGCGTGCCGCCAGAGGGCTATGTCTTTGTCCAATTTGCGGATGAAGCTGCTGGCAGTTCATTGGTGAGCGAAGATGATCTCATATTGTTGAGCCGTGTCTTTCAACTGGGAGATACCGTCAAGCAAGATGGGAATTCCATGACCGGCGCAGTTGTCAATATCTCAGAATCCTACACATTGGAGCCTATCACAACAAAACAAGATTTTGCGAGAAGTCTTGACCTCAATGTGTTTGAGTCCGTCAAGTGTTCCCCCGAATGCGGATCTCTGTTGCCTCCACAGTTCTCTCATCCGAACCCGCACACCCTGATTCATGATGTTCCCTCAACAGAACTGAAAAGAGCGCAAGATCTGATCAAGGATGACTACATAATATCTGGTGACTGGCTGGGTCTGGCAGACGACGTGATTTATGATGTCGTGATTCGTCTGGAAGACAAGTCGATTGTGGTGGTGACTGGCTTGGATGGCCTTCACATCCCCGTCCCTGACTATGGAAAGCCCCTTGTTGCATTACCGGAGCCCGATGGATTTAAAAGACCAGACGTCCTTGTGGCTACACAAGGCTGGTCAAGCACAATCCCCGTACAGATGCCACGGCCCGGGTCTTTTGTCATTGTGGATCGGACTGCCCTCAGACATGGACGGTGGCTGGAAGGTTCATACAATGCCAACTGCCCTGTGCAAGGTTACGTGGTGGACATCCGAGCCCATAAGTTCTGGGTGGACTGGGTCGATCACAATCCCGTGATAGGGTGGCCGCGGACGTATGATAACTCCCCACCCCTTGATCTTTACCTCTATGACAGCATTCGAGACCCCTACGAGCGGCCCGGGCTGCGACCGAAGCAGAACCTTTGCGTCTATGATAGAGGGGTGATGCCGTCCAAATCTGCAAAGCAAGAGATGTCTGGCACCGAAGCCGGAATCTCTCACCCAGTATCGGAGAACACCCAGGATGTCTGCCCAGGGCAAGACATAGCAATCGGTGTTAACGTGAAGTTCCGAGATCCCGAAGGTGCCGCGGTGAAATATCAGGGCAGCGAAGAAACAGGACACGGCAAGTTTGTAAGAATTCCTGCCGAAGACTCTGGAGGTTGGGACGTAAACGAATTCAAAGTGGTCTACATCAAGCAACTCGCAACGGTTCTGTGGCAAGACGGAAGCACCACCACGGTAGATTCGACTCTACTTGAAGAATATGGCCTGTTCGAGTCCGAGCTGGCACCGAATGATATCGTGTTGAAACGGGAAGGCATGCGTCAGAGGCCCGTTGGGGTGAGCCGAAGGGCCAAGAACAGCGTGAAGGAGTTCAACGAGATGACCTTTTTCGAGCAGCCTCACGACCTTCTGCCTCGAAATGTTGGTGTTGTGCAATCCATCGATCCCAACGAAAGAATTGCCCGAGTTCGCTGGTACAAAGAACCCAAAATCGAGCTCCGTTCGTCAGGCCAGATCCTTTCCCCGCATTCATCCTTTGGACCCATCGGAGACGAGATAGAAGACGTATCTCTGTACGAGATCATGTCTTTCCCGTGTCTGCAGCGTCAAAGAAGGGATTTGTGTACAATTGCTCCTCCAGAAGCTGCGAACCATCCTGAGAGCCCCGACGCCTCAGGCACCTCGGCAACTGCAACTTCGGAGAGTGCCAGTGTGCAAAGAATAGCAGGATTCAGCTCAAGGAGATCTGCCAGAGCAGTGTACAGTGGAGTATCTGGTGGCTCGAACAGGCAGGCCACGGACGTCGCAAGAGCAGATGCTCAGATTGACTGGTTTGGTGAAATTGTGGCTATGGGGTTCGATGGATCGATCACCGTCCGATTGGGAGCTGCGCAGCCGTGCCGCGACGTCCGCATCGAGTTTGACTCCATCGCAAGTCTCATTGCAGATCGCGGATCGGCGGCAGACATGAGCGGCGACATGATGGATGTGGATTCCTGGGGTGACGACGCCTCATTCTTCTCCGACGACGAAAGTGTGGAACCCATTTCGGAAAGCATTGAATACGAGGGCGGTGAACGGCTGGACAACGACAGCGGCGACGATAACTGGGAGTCTGATGAAGACGCAGCGTTGACCGATGCTCATGAAGAACAGGAAACGGGAGATACTGAAATGGTAGACGCTGTTGATAAATACGACGATACACCGCCATCAGCCAAGCCGCAACCATCGATCCTGCAGCTCCATTCTGCATTACCCATGGAACCACCGCCCCAATTCATGGTCCTTGACCGTCAGCCTCCGCCGGATCAGTTCGGCTTGCACTCGGCCTCGACGGCAGGGACATTCCTGAAACGCATCATGCGCGAGCACCGTACGCTGTCCACATCGTTACCCACGGGAGAGATCTACGTGCGAACATACGAAAGCAGACTCGACCTGCTTCGATGTCTGATCATCGGACCAAGAGACACACCTTACGAGAGCGCCCCTTTTCTCATCGATCTGTACCTACCCGAGGGCTACCCCGAAACTCCTCCCACGGCGCACTTCCACAGCTGGACGAGTGGCCTGGGAAGGATCAACCCCAATATGTACGAAGAAGGCAAAATATGCCTGAGTCTGCTTGGGACGTGGGCCGGAAAGAACGAGTGCGAATCATGGAGCGAGAAGGCGACCATCCTCCAGTTACTGGTGTCATTGCAAGGCCTGGTGTTTGTCAAGGCTCCCTTCTACAACGAAGCCGGCTTTGAGGGATACGAACATGATGGGAAATACACGCGAGAGTCGGAGCAATACAGCGAGAAGGCATTTGTGATGGCGAGAGCATTTGCCAAACACGCCATACTACGTCCTCCGGGGGGCTTGGAGGACGTGGTTGCCTGGCTATATGTGCCCCACGAGCTTGCAAGGCCGGAGGATTCTCTCCTTGCGGCTATTGTCCAGCGGGGCAAAGAGTTGATCGAGAAGTCGGAGGAGGCAAGGCGGGCTGGAGATGATCGGCTCTTGGACTCGGCAGGCGGAACAGACAATGACACCCGAGTGTTTCTAAGACCTCTCAGCCGCGGAGCCGCTGTCATGCTCAAACGGACGATCGCGGAATTGCAGGAGCAACTAGACCAATTGTGCGCCGCCAATGCAGCTGAGACCGCGGCATAAGGTACCTTTAGAGACACGGCTTTTTCTCGGTGTTTCATGGTTTTTCATGACGGCTGATGAATGACTTCGATGAGGCTGTGACTGATACCCAGTGGTGCTGGCATGTCGAACGAAGAAATAGGATAGAGCCAACCTCCGTTTGATCAAACACCCATTCATTGACTGGGCATTGATTGGTCCTGGATAGTTTCTTCAAGACAGAGAAGCTAGGCTTCAAGAATGTATTATTGCTTTGACTGCCGACCGTCCATCGATGGTCAGGGTTCGTTTCCCTTGTGGAAGGGCCGGGCTATTCTAAGTTCTTCTTTCTGTTTTTTGCTTCTACCGAGTAGAGATTCCTGTATTGAACGCCAATTTGATCAGCCTCATCCTCATCCTCATCGGGACGTACATAGAGAAAGTTCTCAGGGAGAGTGGTGACGAGGCTGGGATTACCAGGGGGCGCCGCCGGGCATGGATCCACAAGGCTGAGTTTATAAGAAATTGGAGTCACACACACTCGACTCACGGTGATAGAATATGAGTGATGTACTGATGGTACGGGAGATTGGGGATGAGAGGCTTGGATGCGAGGCAAGACAATACGAGCATGGACTAGTAGTACAATACTATTAGGACAATAGTAATATACAAGCCCATCATGGATGTTCTAGGAGGTGGGTATCACAAGACCGAGTTTCAACGCGGTGAACGATGTAACCTGACCGACAGCTGATCTATATACTGGACGGATCTCGCTTTGAGAAGGCGAGACTTCGAAGGGTACATCTATCAGCGGAACAAGAACGACCACCATTTTACGTCGAGTGTGTATGCTCATTGTTGGGACACTGAGAGTAGATATTGTGATGTGCCTTCTGGCCCTCAGCTCAATCATCAACGAAAAACCATCCCTCCCTCCAACAACTAGGCGTCCTGAGTTCTGGTCGCATCGTGTGGGATGAGTATTATATGTCAAACTTCTCCCCGACCAGTTTCTCACTCAACTTCCACAAACGGTCGGCGTTCTCTTCACTGGTCGCATACTCGTAAGCAGGCGCGATTTGCGCATCCGCGAGATAACTACCACTCTGCGACTCAATGGTCGGATCGAGGGCCGCGACCAGCGTAGTCGTGATGCCCTGCTCGATCGGCTTGGGCGCCTCTGCATCAATTGGGAATGGACGGCCCGTGTTTCTCAGAGCAGCGGCCTTGATCTCGTCGATCTCGGCCCCAAAGTCGGCCAGGTGGGACGCCAGACTCGTGCTGAAAATGTTACCCGGGTGCACGGCGAAGCTGAAGATGTTTTTGTCGTGCAGTTTCTTGGCCAGCGCCACCGTGAAAAGGATGTTGGCAGTCTTGGACTGCCCGTAGGCCGACCACGGGTCGTACTCGGCGCCGTTGGAGAAGTTGTAGTCGTCAAGGCGCACAGGGCCGATCTTGTGGCCCAGACTGGTCAGATTGACGATTCTGGCTCCAGGGCCGGCGGCCAAGATCTTGGGCATGAGCAGCTTGGTGAACAAGAAATGGCCCAGGTGGTTGGTGGCGAATTGTAGTTCGATGCCGGCTTTGTTGGTCGTGTACTCTTTGATGGCCATGACCCCGGCATTATTGATCAGGATGTCGAGCTTGTCCACCGCATTGTCGATGGTGTCTGCAGCCTTGCGGACGGAATCGAGGTCATCTAGCGAGACGGGGACAAATGTCACTTTGACGTCGGGGTTCAGAGCCTTGATCTGTGAGATGACGGGCTCGACGCGCGATTGTTGCCTCGCAAGCAAAATCAGGTGCGTCGGCTTCGCATGTGCAAGGGCTATCGCTGTCTCGCCGCCCAGACCTTTGTCACTGGCTCCTGTAATGACGACTGGGGAGAAAAGCGATCAGCAAAAGCAGATCCGTAGTACGAGAGTTCTGTCTGCCAGAGATGACTTACTGGTCTTGCCTGCCGCTCTGTCCGCCAATTCGTTGACGACTTCGACGCCGGTAGTCTCACGTGTGAAGGCCATGTTTCTTGGCAGATATGCAGGTTGCAAAAGAGTCTAAGGTTTGGGAATTTGCGATCACGACGCTGGTGGAAGGGCTGTTCGATTGATGCCGCGATGTCCTGTCGAAGGCACCAGTGCCATTTTAAATATCCTCCCACGCGCTTCGTCGCCGATGTCGATTCGAGGAGTTAACCATCTCTCCAGCTGAAAACCCGGACGGAGATACTGCTGGCAGTGTGAGCCTGCGGACGCAGGAAGTGAGCCCTGGCTGTGGCGCTGGATACTTCCGGAAGCATCGAGGTCGCGGTTGGATGGCGGAAGTGCCAGATGCGGCCGATGGCCGCGCCAAGCACAGAAGCACTGCCCAAGACTCGGCGCTTAGTCAGGGATCTTATGATCTGGCCATGTAGGCAGATATCCCTTGCACTGCACTGCATGACATTATTATTGCTGACGCTGAAATGCAGGCAACACGGGGCTAAGGGGCTACGAGCCGTTTCCGCTGCGGCCGCCGCTCCGCTGGCATCGGAGTTTACCAGCTCCTCTACAACGTAGTACACAGAAGTAGTTCACAGCTCGTCAGTCAGGTCGGCAATGTACACCAACCTCCCTTGCAAGCATGAGGCATTAATAATCTTTCTTTGGGGAGAATATCTTTTTCACGTCGTTACCTCAACGGCCGCACTAAAGCGAGGGCCACCGAAGGTCCCAAGCAACAAGAGAAATATTGATACACTCAACATCAAGCGAATGCCTGGATACTCATAAAGGGGGGTATCACCGTAACAAATCAAACTCCCAATCCAAAACCTAGTCGAGCTCAATGCAACCATCGACGCATGATACAAGGTTCACTGGTCGTGTGGCCGGCGTGTCTTTGCAGACCTGTACACGCACATTAGATGTTCTCAATGACTCTCGCATTCATGGCTTGCTGAAATCCATCATTGGTGTCCATGTTGAAAGCACTGCCGGTGTTTTGCTTGGAGTTAGATCCACTGGGTTCGCCGCCACTGTGTAACTGCAGATCCGCCATGTTGGTAGGCATGGTCTGGTTGGTGGCAGGCAGGAAAATGACCTTGCTGTTGGCGGTCTTGGCCATGGCCTGCATGGCTTCGAGGTATCGGATTTGCATGGCGGGCGCGGAGCTCAAGATGTCGGCAGCTTGTCTCATGAGTTTGGCGGATTCGACCTCTGCACGAGCCGCAATGACCTTGGATTCACCGATCCGCTTGGATTGAGCGGCCATGGACAGGGAGTCTTGCAGGTCGTTGCTGAAGATGATGTCTTTGATCAACATGGATTCGACCTGAACACCCCAGCCCGATGCGACATCCTCGATTATTTCCCCGATGGACTGGGCGATCTCTTCGCGGCGCTCAATGACATCTTGCAGAACGCGGGCGCCCACCACATGACGCAGCGTGGTCTGGGTGCGCTCCACCAACGCCTGCCGGATGTTGGAAATACCAAATGCTGCCTTGTGAGGAGAGGTAATGTGGTAGTAGATGACCGAGGTCAGGTTGAGGGTGACATTGTCCTTTGTCATGCACACTTGACGGGGGACCTCGACGATTTGAATCTTGACATCCACTTGAATGAGGCGTTCGGACAGAGGATTGATCTTCACCAGACCCGGATCGACGGCACGATAGAACCGACCGAACTTGGTGACCAAGCCGACGTTACCTTGCGACACTGGCTTGTATGGATTGGGGCAGATGATGCAGCAGGGAATGGCACCGCAGAAGCCAATGCAGTTGCCGAGTGAGTTGACTACGGCGCAGGTCAGTAAACGACGACTAGTGAAGAAGAGGATGTTGCATACTCATCGATCCGTACCAGCCATGGGTTTCGACATCAGTGTCGCCTTGGAGGATTTGTGCATACGACGGCTGTAGATCTTCGCGTCGCGGAGGTTCCACCTTGATGATGCCGGCATTCTGAGGGCGGAAGCCGACAGGCGGAGTGACCGTCTTGCCGTTATCAAGACCAGAGTTTCGAGGGGAGTCCATTGTTGATGAAGTGGTTGAGGGCACCAATGCGCGTAAGGACGACAGGATGAACGAGTAGGAGTGTCGTTCTTGCGACGACGACTGGTATGAGAGTTTATGACTGTTGTGTTGATTGAAGCGAGAATATTGGCACTCGCGACTTGACAGAGGCAAACAGGTGTACTAGTAGTAGGAGGAGAAAATTGAAATCGAGGACGCTACGAGATCCAAGATGTCATGAACGCGGATATATGTGTTACTTATTGTGAGTGGGGTGAGACGAAAGTCAGCTGTGAGATGTGGTGGATGGACGGTTGAAGGGAATGGCACCAGCTACTACAGGGGAGAGGAGCCCCTAAGGCCCCTTAGCCGGTGATTTGGCAATAGAAGGACGCTTAGAGCTCTCCAGCAGCCTCTAAGCCTATAGGTGACATTGTTGTAGGTGTTCAAAATACACTCCCTGTGTTATATTTCTGGAAGCATGCAGTGGGCACCCCCAGGCTGTCTCCCCGCCGATCAGAACCCGTCTCCAAGGCAAAGCGGACCCTGGACTGGGAGCCTGACGAGCCCGCTGGGCGCACCTGACATGCCCGATAGGTGTAAAGTCCCCATGCTCGTATTCGAATGCGAGACCCTTGCTGTAATCTGATTCTGCCTCAGCGCTCACCTATAGTCGGGCGACCTCCTTGAAACCGACTCCTTCAACTCTGCACACATTAATCGCACTTAGAGTTCAGCACTGCATGTAACAGATTTATCAACTGAGCCGACCGTATAATCTTTTCCCTTGCACATTTGCTCCCTCTGCCAGTCAAGGGGGCAGTGCCTACAGTCTATGGCTGCTGCTCCACCTCGCGATCAAACTTATCTCATGCTTTTTGGGTTCTTTCTGCCTCGCCTGTGCCCATGATTCGCCCCTCGATCGAATCTGGTGCTCATCGTGCGGCACCTCTTGTCGCTACTGTTTGGCGCTGCTGCCATTCCTCCTGTCCTTTCTGCCGCATCTTCCGTGCAAGACTCTGAACTGCAAGGATCTCCCCAGCTTCGCCACGCCTGTTTCAACTCCAATCGACCCCTTCTACTAGGAATACAGTTCACGGCAGAAAGCTTAGCATCCTGGGCGGAGGTCGTGCATGTTCTCGTTGAACTCTGCTCGATATCCTCCTCCTTTGCCGCATCCCTGAATAGGCACATGAAAGAGGTGACTGAGAAGGACAGTAAGAGAGCAGCATCTATACCAACCTAAAGCAGGTAGATAACCCTCCGCCCATGATCAAAGCGCCGCCACCACAAGGATAGATAGCTTGGGTACCTGCTCGCCGCGCCCCTACTTGTCCACTACAGGTACTACCTACTGACACGACATAGCCTACTTGCACTAGTAGCAGTAACGAGTGAGCCTTGCCTTGGAGCGAAGGATTAGTCGCCCTGAATCCATCGTGGCTCGGACACCAGAACGACAATAGACAATAAGGTAGACAATTACTACTCGTCTCCAGCTTCTCGCGCTTGACGAACCAGTTGAAGCAACACTCATTCTCCTTCTCTACCTCCCATGGAAAAGTGACCGTTGCGGCCCACGTTGAGTCCTTCCTTGTACGATGTATTGCGCCACCTCAATCTTGGGTGGCAATCCACCGATCTTGGGAACACATGACGGTACATGACACGGTCTGCACGAGCATCAATGCTTCCACACTTCTGTTCTGGGCCAAGGGCTCGTCCTTCATTGGCGATTGCATGGCATCTCATGGCATTTCTTGGACAATATCGGCAACCGGCATCATTGACTTTGTTCATTGGGGCATCCTTCGAGAACGTTTCTCTCCACACTCCATGACCTGCCTGCGCCTACGGCAATATACTTCCATTGTGCCGCGCTGGACCCTGGACTCTACTTTGCTGGTATACTACTTACATTGAGCCTTACCAGCAGTACGTACCATATATGGCATTACACTCTCAGGGTCCAAAGCACATCTCTCCACCATCCAAAAATAGTGCATCGAGTATCTTTCGGCGTCTGCACACAGGACACAATACTTCTCAAGCGGCACCTTAACCTCCGCAAAACTTTTGTCATGATGCTCGAGATGCCCATCCTTTGACATCATACTAATGCAAATGTCAGATGATGTAGCGCACCTTGCTTCCACCGATCAAAGATCCTTCGTACTCGTAATTCCCACGTCTTTCGCCATGTGCGCTAAATGCAGTATCAAAAGACCATGCTGCCTTTTCCCGACGGAACCGAGACGAGAGTTCTCCGACGACTCGGTGCAATCCCTATGCCTGGATCAATAAGATTTGCTGCGATGGCGGTGGAAACCCAGATTTGACGACTTGCAGATAGCAGTTGCAAAAATAGGTGACAGGCCTCACATCAAGCACGAGATGCATCGAAGCTTGGATGCTGTCAAGTTAGTCTTGGTGAAGGACTTGCCAACATGTAGAGACTTCGGACTCGCTCAAGGCCAGACGCCAGGCGAGGAGGACATGTCCAGGGTCTCTCGCCCGGCTGCCTGAGCTGGCTGTGCCGTACTATAGCAGATTGCCCGTGAGCCCAGATCAGAACACCGTACTAGGGTTGGGCGAAGGTGGTTCGGACGGAATTTCAACAGTACGGGAAGGTGCGCGGTAAGACGACTCCTTCCTCTGGTTTCCACAACCCCCGGGGCTATGTCAGACCGTCGTCTTGGAGTTTGTGAAGATCCTACAAGCTCACCCAGTGCGCATCTCTACCCGGTGCTGTCATGCGCAGGCAGTTATGGAATGCTGGCCTCGCATGGCGCTAGACATTGCACTCAAAAGAGCGGACCTTGGTGGTCACCATGCCCGTTTTCCTGCAATTCTCGGGGCAAGACGAATACTCTCTTGAGCTTGGAAACATCGAGAAGGGCCAGGCCATGATGTTAGTCTGACATTCTGATTCAAGGTCTTTTCTATATATTGAAGGGAGCCTGGATCTCACTCGCCATGCCCACAATACCCCGTTCCTCCTCAGGCATGAGCACTATACCAAACCAGGTCCTCAAGCCAATGATTCTTTCGTTTTCCGTCTTGGCTTCAAGGACGACCTCCTTCCTCTCTTCTCCAAGTCGTCTCTCTATCTTGTTCCCAGTCAAGATGATAGTACCAATGGGTTTAGTCCGAGTTTCTTCATCGACCAAAGTCTTGACCAAGACCAAACGGTGGGTGAACCAACTCCGAGGATCTTGACTTGTACGGTAATTGATGATCTCGAAATCCGAGGGCAACCACTCGAGTTCCGAAAAGCAATATCCGCCGGCCCAAGCCGGATGTCTTTTGTTCCGAGTCTCCAACACCCAGAGCGATTGTGACGAGTCCGTATTCGATGCGATGGGCCGGTATACCAGGCGAACCTCGGCGCCGGGGACCGACTTGTACGCCAGATCACGATCGCCATCCTTGATCAATGGAAGCGGGTGGACGGCAGATTGAGAGCCGAAGCCAACGTCAACCAGATACTTTCGGCCATCGATCGTGACGAGAATCACTTCATGCTGCCAACCAGCGAAGTCGTCGGGGTTCTTCCCATTGCCCTCCAAAGCGTGACTGATCCTCGCGCCAGTTACATATAGTTGATAGCCAAGCGATCTCAAGACGGTGGAAAAGAAGGCATTGTTCTCCATGCAGTAGCCGCCCAGTCTCCTCTCCACGATCTTGTGGAAGAGAGCCTCGGGGTCGAGCGTGATGATGCGGTGCCAGGAATAGTGCAGAGCTACATTGCCCCATGGGTTGAACCCCATCTGGCGGAGTTGCAGTCTTCCCAGCGCCCCCAACGGATCGGCTTTGATCTCGGCCTCCAGGGTCGCCAGCGTGTATGTCGGGTCTGGCGCGATGCAGGCGACATACTCGGCCAGCTGGTCGGAGGTGTAGGTGGGACGGAAAGAGGGTGATGACGCCTCAGGTATGGGAGTCATTGTCGTGTCTTTGAGATGGCCACAATTGAGGTAGAAGTCAGCTCAAGTGGCACAGTGTGATATGAGTGAGCCTTTGAAAAATATGGTCAGGTCAGGTCTGATCTGGTCTGGTTTAGTCTAAGCTGGTCTGATTTGATCCGCGAATAGGATAATGAATGATTGTCTTGCTAACTTGAAAATGAGTGTACCCAATGGTGATGATGATGGAGAGATCTGAGTGGCCAAAAGGGGGATCTGTAATATAGACCGAAGGTAATAGTAAGTAAATGGGTGATATTCACGGAATAGATAGTGAAGATTCACGTCGGTCGGGGTTCAACGGTGCTGACCACCTGCAGTGTCGGCTGGTACGCCTGTGACACCACCCAGACTACCCATGAAGCTTCACATCCCGCACTACTAAGGGTTACTCAAGTTAGGTACAGTAACTAACTTTGCGACTCACAGTAACGGCAGCTACTAGTAGTACTACAGCAAGCTCCGTAGAAAGGGCTGGTAGGCTGATTAATGGTAGATGACTGGTGGGTGAATAACTGGACGGGTGACGGATCGAACCATATGGGACGGGGCGGCGGGGGATAAGGAGACAAGGGAACACCTACCTGGAGCCTGGAGCATTAATTCTTTCAAGTTCAAGTTGGTGGTTCCAGGCGCAAGAGGCACCAGCAAAAGTAAACTTACAGTACTATAATAATAAGTAGTACCAGCAGTGATTTGGGCATCCCTGTAACCCTACGCACTATGATTGCTATTTCCCCCCTTATCGAGGTACTTTAAGCTGCTTGGAGTTCAGGCAGGTACCTAAGGTACCCATACCAGGGAAGGCACCTACTAGTACTAGTATACCTAGGTACTAAGGTAGGTACCTATACTGTAGCATCATTAGCACCCTCCTGATCCCTACCCCTTCATCTCTTTCATGCAGTCATGACAAGCGAACAAATCGGGATTTTTCAACTTTGTAGACCAGAATCAGCCCCTTCTCAGCAGTTACCACTGTCACCAAGCGCAATAGAGAACGATCTCAAAACACTAAAATTCGATTGCGAGTTACTCCCTGACCACCGCCGCCAGTCCAGGCAAGTGAAACAAGTAAGTAAGTGGCTGGTCAAGTAGCATGGCAGTCTTTCTTTTTGCTATACTAGTAGCTGATCAACTAGCTCTGTAGAGCTCGTTACTGTAGAGCTGTGTACTACCGCTCCCTCGTACCTCTTCCTCCTCCTCTTCATAGCTGCTTACGCCACGTTCGACATCAGTCGTGATCGATCTGCCCTTGAGGCTCAAATCCCCACAATCGACTCTCCTAACTCGGAGCTCTTGCACGCACTGCACCGACTGCACCACGTATCATTCTCTCTTCGAGACAAAATCCCAACTTTCGGCAAAGATGAGCTTCAGCCCCGTTCGATGACAACTTCTTTCCCCTCACGCAATCATGAAAGATACTCTTCGCAAAAAACCCAAAGCTGAGTCCAACGGCGAGGTTGATGTCAATGCCCAGTCGTCCGAGTCACCATCTTCCAATCCCGGGTCCAGCGAGGCATCATCCACTGTCAATGCTGAGGCAGTCTCTCGCCAGGTATCGAAAGCTTCGAGAAGCTCCCGAGCCTCTTCTCTTAGCCAGGGCGTGATTCCACCAGTAATTGAAGAAACCCCTCCTTCACCTTCACCGGCAACACAATATCTAGGTGTTTCGGCTGCAGGAAATGATAATGGCACCGAGGGGCCAGTGAAACCACATCGTCGAAGGAAGACAATCACGAAAACCCCCCATACTTTCGAACTGGAAGTCGACCTCAACCCTGCTAAGGCAAATGAACAACCACCTGTACCAGCCATGGAATTACCAAAACCAGAAACTCCAATTGTCAAAAAGAAGAAGCGCGTATCTCAACCACTTCCGCCAGATGGCAGCTCCCCCAGCCCGAACGCTGTCAATGCGGCAGCATCAGTTCAGGAACCATCTCTGCCAACATCACCAAAGTCTACCTTCACGGTCTCCGCCGCCTCGTCACCGTCTGCTCGAGTACGGTCACCGCCTCCTGCTACCACTATGTCTCCGTCTTCGCCGAAACCAGCTGACTTGTCTGTGACTCCGGCCAATCCTTTCACGAGCCATCGGCCTAAGAAATCCGTATCTTCCTCCACTCCTCCAGTCGCCGCATCGAATCCATGTCGTTTCACGCCGCCTCCCCTTCCAAGTGAATCTTTCCATGGCAAAGTTGTCGTTGTCACTAACGGAGCCAGCCTGACCAGTCAAGCTTTAATTCGCCAACTGCACGCCGCTGGAGGTCGAGTGATATTTGGCGATACCAGCATCGACCGATCCCTCAAGTTTATCTCCGCCCTGGGGCCTCCCCATGTTGTACACTTCAACAAATGCGACATGACCAAGTATTCGGACATCTTGGACTTGTTCAAACTCGCCACGACAATGTACGGCCGTGTGGATCATGCCGTCTTTGGCATTGGCGATGACGGCGGTCATACTTGTACCGTCGGAGAGGGCGAGAAGGGTTGGTTTGAAGACCGCACAGGCTTCAATAAGACTCCTCGAATGGCTTATGCTGAGGTCGAGACAGAGCCATCCGGATTGGGCGACATCATGACTGCTAGCGTTCGTTTTGCGCGGATTGCGCTGACATATCTGAAATACTCGCCACGAACGAAAGCAAAGAAAGCAATCGTGAACCCTTACTCGTCACCGCAGCCTGACTCGACGGCGTTCGATCCTGGAAAAGGTGATCGGAGCCTGACCTTCGTCACGAGCACAGCTGCCTTCAAGGATACACCGCTTCTCCCTATCCATCAAGTCACACAACACTCCATACTAGGACTGGTCCGCAGCTTACGCACGACCGTCGACCCCGACCATGAGAGGGACGGTGTGCGGATCAATGCCGTTGTCACGAATATTATGGTACCTCGCGCCATTGCACAGTCTGGCGGCCGTATGTCTGTCCAACTCCCTGCAGACCGGCCCGAAGATATCGCTAGGGTGATCATGGGTGTGGTAGCGACGAATTCCTTTACATCCATGCCCACCGTGGGGGGTAGTGATACGGGTGCCACGAATGCCGGTGGGATTTGGTACGAAAAAGGCTACGAAAGGGGCATTCGCGAACGATATCTTCACGGCCGCGTGATTTACAGTGTTGGCGTCGACGGCTGGGATATTCAAGAAGGCCTGGATCGAAGTGAAGCTGCATGGATGGGCGCAAGGCCTAGTGAAGCATTAGCAAGAGCGATGAGTGGCTTGAATGTGACACCGCGGCCGGGGGCAAGTGTTGGCGCCGGTGAGGGCGCGACTTGGATTTTGGATCTACCTTGAATCAAACCTGAGGAGGTAACATGGGTTTGAAGGGCCCTCTTGGTACAGAGACATATCGTTGGGCTGCTAGCTCAGTATAGATGAGTCTGGGACTGTGTCAGGATGCTGTCTTGTTCTAACCTTCGACCTGCGAAGAGACATTTACATCGGGATAAAGCGTTATCTCTCTATCACCAACCTTGACCTCTTCCTGGCAACAGTTGGGACCTTGGAGGTGAGGGTGCAGCCCGTTGATGCCCTCTACCGAAGACACCTGACGACAATGAATCAGACACGTTGAATGTGAACTGCCAGGTCCGGGCTCGGCCATCCAGGATGGAGATGGCTAAGGCAACAGTTCTGGGGAAAGTAGAGGGCCAAGACAATTGCCACATACACTTCTGGGTTATGCCAGTCCTCAATGCAGATTCCAGAACACAGAGCATGACCCTAAAGGCTTTCAGGACACAGACAGTCGGACACCAGTGGTTGAGTATAGGACAGAGCCCGGACTAGCAAGTCACACCAAACCTGTGGACCAGGAGGATACGTCCGCCCTCCGATCTGTCTGTACCCGTGCCTTGCTTAAAGAGAGCCCATCTGCGACAACTTCCCATTTCCATTGAACCCTGTACCTGAATGAGGGATGACGGAGGACTACGGCTATTAGAAACCACTCACAAAACAGCAAGATCGGAAGGAATGGACGGATGTAGGACTAGCAATTGGGATCCTTGCAGCTACTACATAGGTAGTAGGTAGCAGGCCGGACATTTCTATTCACATCTGCAAAAATGCCAGATACTTGATTAGGATTATTTGTGAGATGCGCCAGCTGGTGTTGAAAAGCGTAGGGTATATATATATATATATATATGTATATATATATACACGAGAACCGTCGGTGTAAACTCCGTCTTTTCCAAAAGAGTGACTGACGCCTTCCTTATCACCCCGTTAAACAGCAATTTCCTGAGCCACCCTCCAACCGTGATATATACAGATATCTGAAAAGAATGAAGTGAAGATAAAGAAGACCACGTCGAGTATCTCCCTGCAACCTCAACCAGCTGCTGCAAGTTGTGTTACTGAAAAAGGTTAAACTGACGGACTCTTTCTTGCGTTGCCTTTTGTTGGGTTTGCGGCTGATATCGTATTTCCTCAGCCTGCCCTCAGACGCCGGGATTGGCAACAATGGTTTTTGGGGAGCCAAGGTCAATGGCGAGCGCGACTGCTGCAGCCTGCACCCCCGATCTGCACGATGCAGACTTGTTGCCGTACCGGTTTGACAATCCGGCGGATGCTGTAAGAGGACGAATCCTGCAGTGGTGATGCGAACGGAAACCAATTTCATGTCCATGTCGGTTTTTCCAACCCCTTGTCATCATATACATTGATCAAATCAAGTTCCTCCTGGCGCATCTAGTCGACCGAGGAGTGCTCGTTGGGAGGAAGGTGGTACTTCCAGGTATCGTAAGGGGCGCATTGTGTATATCCAGTGGGCGCCCGGACACCACGGATGGTAGCACCTCCGTCGGCTCTCTGGAGGGTCTTGTGACGGCAGTGGATGACATGGTCGTAGGAAATCAACTCCATGATAAGAGGCTCCTGGTTCCGCATGGCACGAACCAGCTTTTCCCAGGCGTAGATACAATGGGTGATGTGGTAATCTTGGGCCACATAGACCGCATCGTGTTCTCCCTTTCTCATCTCTTCCAAGCTGTAGGCCTTGGTGGCCGAGGGATCGGCGTACCACGTCCAGTTGCCGACTTCCAGGAAGCGATTCGAGAGAACTTCGTCGAAGCAGGCGGCGGGCGTCCAGAGCTGCATCATCACGTCAAAGATGCAACCTTTCTCGCGGGCCTCCTGCGGCGAATATCCACAGTTTTCGATCGAACTGGCCGAGGGGATCACGCTGTTGTCGGTCGGTAGCTTCGCGTCCTCGCCGAGCAGCACGGTCGGAAGGGCCGCGTTCGCCGAAGTCGCGGTGGCCGAGGCCGTGACCAGGGCCGCATCAGCGCTGACGGTTGCGGAGGCCGTCGTGGCGGTTCCGGACGATTTGTACGATACCACTACAGATGAGATGGTGGCCAGCACGGCGGCAATCACCGCCACAAAAAGTGTCCCTGTCGCGAGCGACAGCAGAATAGATTGTTTGCCCCATCCTGACTTCACGGGCGCGTTCTTTTCAGCCAGGGGGAAGGACTCGTCGTTTTCGGAAACCGAGCGGTAGTGGTGATCCAGACCCATTTTTGGGGCTTTTCAAGACCGCTATACGAGATGTCCGAGGATAGGTCGGGCGGGATGGGATGTTGGTCGAACGTCGCGGAAAAGAGTGGCAAAGGTTTTAACTGAACGCGGGAGAGACGGACTGATCACGGAGGCGGGGAGAGAGAGTGGATTAAACGAGCGAGAGTTGCCGCTGCAACGTATGGCGGGAGTGTGAGGTCGCGATCCGGTCGAAGGTCGATGGGTTTGGCGGAGAGGTTGAATGAGGTTGAGGTTGTTGTTGGCGGGAGACGAGAATGATAGTAGTATCGAGACTTCAGAGCCTGCTCAGCTGCGCCTGGGCTCTGAATCCACCGGCTTCCACTGGCAGAGCGGGTGTTTTAACTTAAATGTTATAGGCGAGCGATCAGGGGGCACAATGCAATACTAATGGCAGAATGCGAATCAATAATGGAGAACTAACTCTGCAGTCTTCGTGCAACCCACCAAATGGGCTTTCTGATCGGTCGGCAAGTCTGGTCTGTGCCCAATTTTGATTTTGCTAGAATCATGAGATGTCGGGGATCAATTTTACCTTATCGATAACAAACTGCGCCCATTTCTCTCTCATACCACTGAGTGGCAGTGGTGGAAAGGGGCGATACTGGATAGTACTGCGCATAGTTGAGGATCTTCTGCCTGTCAGCTGAGAAAGAGAGACAGACAGACAGACAGCTTTCTGCTACACACATCACCTGCCAGTTTCTCTTGTATACCATGCATGCAATTTCACTTTGTTGTCTGTCAGTTTATGCTACTTGTAACCAGCCCACTTCGCCTAAACCTGACCTATGGTTTTCTAGTGATCGCTTGTATTGCGGGGGACTGACTGCCTGCGCTTCTCAATCTGCGGTTCAGTCAAACAACTCCTTTGCCAGCCTTGCACACGACAAATTGTACTCTGGTAGTACATCTCAGGCAGTGCCTGCAAGGTGTCTTCCGCATCACAGGCCCTGAGTATACGAGCCACCGCGATGAATTAGGCGACAGGATAACTCCTCAGCCACAGTCGTCAAGCCTCAGTAACCGACATTCCCCAATTCAGGCAGACGCCAAAGAAACCAATGGCCATCCCGTATTCGCGTTGCAAGCCAGTAATGCGACAGGCTACTACTAGTACTATGCCTTCTCCTCAGGTGCCCATCAGGCGTTTGCTCTTCAGATCATGAACTAGTATGAGAAACTAGGCATGCGCATGGACATACTTATACGCAGCTGTTCCGTTGCCATGATGGTTGAATGGAACCTTGTCGCTAACCAAGACACTACGCGATATTGATGTGCTCACAGTCCAGAAGCCAGAATTCCTCGAAAGCAGGCTCGGCCAGAGTCAACTACCTAGGAGCTGCAACTCCTGGACCAAGACAGAGTATACTATCTTGCATTCGACATCAGGAAAGATGGGCAAACTCGGTACCGCCCGCTCTCCTCCAGCAAGAGCAGTCCCATCGAGCTTCCCACGCATGGATCCACCTCCACCCTATGAAGCACGTTCCAGTTCCTCGTCCGCTCATAGTCACGACCGACTTCATCCGCAAGAGGTCAACCAGACGCAGACACAGACGCAGACGCCGTCGCAGCAGCAGCCTGAAGCTCCGCGACAGCAAATGCGAGGCGGACCCCAACCTCCAACAGCAGAGAATGATCCATGCCAAAAGAGGAAGACGGAAGACGGCTGTTGTACATTTGGCGACGGTGCAGATGGATGTATGGTGTACGGCGATCATGCGGAAGGTCAATAAGCCTCCCAAAAGGCGTAAGAGCGGTAGATTGCAGATGAGGCTGACTCCCCACCGTTGTTCAGGCTGCCTCAACTATGGTGATGACACGAACGGATGGTAAGCCTCCCCTCTTTCTGGATATCCAGGCAAAAGAGATCAGTCATCATTCCCCCCAGATATATGCGTGCAGCGCAAGAGATGAACCTCCCGACGTTGCGCATATTTGCAGATGACCTGGCAGATGTTGTCTTTCTAGTCCTGTCTAGTTGACACCAGAACTGACGTTAACCCTTGACAGTTGTAACTACGAATCCCGGGATGGATGCATGCTCTGGAGGGCGACAGGCGGCGGGTGAGTTCCGGCAGCAACAACACAGCTGGGTCGATCAAGACGGACTAACTTGGGTGAACTAGTTGTCTGAATTTCAATACGAGAAAATCAGGCTGCATGCAGTGTGGTTGAGACATTCAATTGCAGGTACTATTTTTCCAAGTTAAACTTGGCTGATGGAGGACATTGTCATATATGCACATACAGGATGACTTCTTCACGAAGACTGCTGGGGGTCACTCCTAGTACGGCGCTGGCATGCATTGGCGGCTTGTTGTATCCGAAGGACTTTTATTACTACCCAGGTAGGTACTCTACTACACCTCTACGAGGTCTCTTGCAGGTCTTGGTCTTGTGTGCAATTAGCCTAGCAACGGAAGGCGGAAGCCTCTCAGCCAGCTGATGTTCATTCGTTTCATCTTGGACCTGTTGTTCAACCTTACAGCCGAATAGTTTACCACCCTTTGGTATGTTATCTGAGAGCAACGACGCTGCCGTAGTAGAGGATCGTCTTTTACCAAGACTGCGAACTCGATGAATCCCGTATATTGTGCTCCTGAAACCAGCAATCTTGCACACCGTTGCGAGCCGTCTCCGTCCCCATGTTCGCACCTTGAAAGTCAGCCCTTAGCGGACAACTATGCATGAGACTCCATATAAGGTCAACCACCTAGACCAGAGTTATTGAGCGCATTGTCCTTCTATCACAGTCGTATGACTTTGAGGCGCTGCTGTTATATATACAGGAGGTAGGCATTCTTAGAGAATGAGGTGTTGAAAGTTTTGGATAAACTTATCGAGGACGAATGCGCTGCCAAAAGCAGCGGCAGTTGTTGCAGCTGTAGTAATATCGTGTCGCATTCCGCGACTGCGTGCCGGTGATCTGGAGAAGCTCTGCCACGTTCCCTTGATCTCTTGATCACTTGGTCTCTTGGTCTCTTGGCTTGTTGCGCAACAGGTGACTTGGTTGCTTCGGGTTTTGAGAGCTACCGTCAACATCACTGACAATCCTCTCTTGATGTACCGGTCAAGACATTGAGACTGCGCAAGTCGATCCGTGCTAGTTCAGCGACGGGCATGCCACCCCAAACCGGCCATTGACCTCTCTCTTCCTCTCATATGCGAGCCATCCTGCCAGGCCGACCCCAGTCGAAGCGGCAAGCCTTGAGTACTGCACATTGGGATGGCCTTCGTCTCGTTGTAAGTGTCCGCCGTGCCCTTGGTAGCCCGGATACTCTTCTCACTCCCCATTGCAGGCATATATCTCGGGCAATGCGGCAGTCATCCTCAGCGGTCCCGAGACCATTCTCCAGACCATCTACGTGGACACCGTTGATAACCTCCTTGCGATAACATTTGAAGAGACCACCGGTCGGATAGCCCTCTGTGACGATAGCCGTGTCTACATTTATAGACCGGTCGGTCGCGAACAAGGAGTTCTCAGATGGGTGCTACATCACGAATTGAAGAATCCCGATGGACTGCAGGTGACTTCGCTGTCCTGGGGGTTGGCCGAAGAGCTTTTGCTTGGGGGTTCCCGACTGGTGCTTTGGTTCGTTCCCGATACATCATTACCGACCATCGCCTGGGACCAGAGTCTGGCGTACCCTACTGCGCTGGCATATCTGTCCCCAGACAGCAGCCTCATTGCGTCCATTGGACACCATGACCGACTGGTCAAGATCTGGAGGAGGCTATCTTATGAGGTTGATCGGGCCAAATTCGACATCTCATACCTACCACACCCGGTGACGGTGACGAATCTGCACTGGCGGAAACCATGGCATCTAGAACAGAATCTGGACAACCTGCTATATACATTCTGCTCCGACAACATTATCCGAGCCTGGACTACCTTCGATCCACATGCCCTGGCGGTCCTCCAACAAGTTGGGACGATCGACATGAATGCCTCGATACAGCCTCGACGGCTGAGCATCAATTCGATGAGCACAAAACGGTATGCTTTTATCATCGACAGTCGCGACTTTTCGAGAGCGACCGAGAGGGCTGTTCAAGGGTCAACTTCCACGGCTGCTGACCATGCCCTCGAGCATCTCATCGAGATAGCGAACCGGAGCCCCGAAATATGCGTCGTTCTCGATGGTTTGGGTCACATGTCAGTATGGGGCCTGGAGAATGCCGGGTACAAGAACAGAGTGGTTCCATCTGTGTTTCATATCTCCCACGTGGACGGAATGAACATTCTCGTTCCGCAGCTGAGCGATCCACAGAAGGATTATGTCCAGTTTTGCATATTTGCAGGCGGTGTGACCCGCTCGTCCATGTCAATTCTTCTGCATTCATTTGCCGGAGATATTGACTGGTACGACAGCCCGATCACACATCTCTTTGATACAGCCAACAGGCGCGATCGGACGCGGCTCATCTCGACCCTGGCGGGACACGGAGCCCCTATCCAACGGGTCGTGCGCAATGTCAAAGGGACTGTCGTTCTGTCTGCCACCGAGGAGTGTCAGGCCAGTGTATGGCAACATGCAGTGGGACGTTCAAGTGCTCCAATCCTGCGGCGATGCTCATTTGCCGTGGACCATGATATCAGAGATGCCGTCATACTCTCTCGGGGACGATATGCCGCGATTTCAACGGCCGTGGGTCTCGAACTGTGGGACATCCGAGAAGCGAAGGCAAAGAGGCTCGGAATCCGACGCTTTGACGACAACCGTACCCCAACGTGCATCACGCAGAGTCGAGTTGGCAGCGAACGAGCGTTGACAAGTCGTGTCATAGTGGGATACTTCCCCGACCACACCGCGGAAGCGTGGGAACTACTCCTACCAGCAAAGGATGACAGATCTCATTCGACGAACAACGGACAGCTGGAAATCATTCGCTCTTTGGGCAGGGTGAGGCTGCATGTGCAGAACCCCTTTCCATCTTTATTGTCCATATGTGACAATATGAGCACAAGTGACCGCCCAACCGATCCAAGTGAAGCCAATGCGTTATGCTTCACCGCAGTATTGGCTGACGAGGGTACTCTAGAATTGGTCAAGGCGCAAGAGGAAGCCGACTCGGCCAAGCCGTTCTTGACGTCCGGTTCGATCTTCCAGAGCAACATCCGAGCCCCCAAGGCCATCAGCGCCAACGGGCGTGGCAAGGTGGTGGTGGTCAATGACGACGCCAGCAGTATGAGCATCTGGGATGCCAGAACAGGCGCCTGGGAGTACGAGCATGAGTGGGATGGAACCGATACTATCAAGACATTCGCCTGGGCCGTGTCGCCGGACGGAGCCGCATTGGTAGCGCTATGCTTTGATTATCATATCGTGGTGCTCTGCGAGATCCGGTGTGCTTATCCACGCCTGGAGAGAGCCTGGGTGGATATCCGTCATATCCGGATGAGGGATTACACCACCCAGTCCGTCGGAGATCTATGCTGGCTTCGCAGTGGTGATCTTGTGGTTGGGACTGGTATCCAGCTTTTCATCTTCGAGGGGTTTGCCATGAGCAATCACAACCAAGAATCCAAACCCTTACAAGATGCCCGCAAGACAATCCAGACTGACTCGACCTTCGCCGTCATGTCGATGCTCAACTCGCTGCTGCCTCTGTTCCACCCAACCTTTCTGTCGTTGTTGACATGGCTAAAAGGTCTCAAAGCCACCAAACATGTTCTCTACGCCTTGCACCGCAGTCTCAAATTCTTCGCGGAAGGTGACACGCTACCCAGTCTCCTGGACATGAACATTGAGGACATCTCAGTCGACGACCGAAAGGGTCCAACCAAGTGGTATTCGCTGTACGACACCAACGGCGAGCTCAACGGTGACTTCGAGCCCCAGATTGGGCAAATAGCCCACGGCTTGACCGAGAACTTGAAGCGAAACGAGTTATGGCAGCTGAACAGCGAAGACAAGTCGCTCCTGATGGGTTCGATCGCAGAATGGTCGGAATTGGAAAAGGAAGAACGTTCGCTCGATGCCAATGGGCGGCGCTATCTGCAAGCTCTGTATTCATCGGATCATGAATGCGTCACTTGGAAGGCGACTGTCTTTGCCAGGATGAGCATCTCCCAGGAAGTTCTGGTCGAGGCTGTGACACAATACTACGGTGGGAAACTCACATGGGAGTCCGCGCGGAAGTCGGGCCTGTTCAGCTGGTTGTCGGATGTTGAGGCCCTTCGTTTACAAATGGAAGCCGTCGGTCGGACGGAGTTCACCAAGCATGAGGAGCGAAACCCGGTGGATTGTTCACTGTTCTACTTCGCACTCGGGAAAAAGCCAGTGGTCCGAGGTCTTTGGCGGATGACCACTGGGGTGCGTGAAAAGGAGAACACCATGAAATTCCTCGCCAACGATTTCAGCCAGCCGCGATGGAAGGAAGCCGCCCTTAAGAATGCCTACGCGTTGCTCAGCAAGCGTCGCTTCCAGTACGCCGCGGCGTTCTTCTTGCTGGGAGGCAGTCTCTGGGACGCTGTCGCTGTCTGTCTTCACCAGTTGCAGGATCTGCAACTGGCCATTGCCATTTCAAGGGTGTTCGAGTCTGAGCAGGCTGATTCGGACATGACCAGATTGGTCGAACAAGCAGTCCTACCTCTGGCGGTGCAGAGTGAAGAGGGTCGGTGGATGGCCAGCTGGGCTTATTCTCTGCTTGGTCGACAGGAACCGGCCATCCAGGTCCTCGTGCAACCGGTGCATCACGTCACCCGCATTCCCCTTGATGACATTGAAGGGATGGTCGGATCACTGAGTTACGCAGCCAACGACCCTCTTCTAACGGCTCTGTACACCCAACTGCGAGACGAATTTGTGAAACAGAACAAATGGCGGAATGTGGTCAGCGCCCAAGAGGAATGGGGGTTTGTGATGCGTTGTGTCCGACAGTATCTTCGCATGGGATGCGATGTGCTCGCCTTATCACTGGTGCGAGACTGGGAGTTTGTGCCTGAGAGCAGGGATCTGACCGAACCAGGTCCGGGCTCGCCGGTCCCTGGAATCCAGAGGAGGAAGACGTTTTTCGATCTCGAGATGGAAGAAGAGGAAGAAATGTCGCCCAAGGTTCAACCGGAGAAGAAGAAACCGCCGCCCACGCAGTTCGTGGAGCCCAGTGCAGACAGTTTGCTCGATAGTTTTGGCTTTTGACGAGCATAACTACATGGACAGACATGGAAGGACTCAAGTAATGCCACACCCTCACGGCGATGCTGTACTATGTGTATACAATAATTGACCAAGATCCAACACCACTCTCATGCTTGCCTAACTGTGCTCTCGGGTGTTGTGTACGAGAACTCATCCCTGAGAGGAGCGATTAATTGAATGAATCCGTACAGCCTTGCTTCTTGCCTCTGAGACTCTCCAGAGTACAGATCTAGAAGAATCCTTGGGTTTCTATTGGTTGTTGTCGGTCTATCGCAAGGCTCGCGCCTCCATCGAATCGAATCGAATCCGTCGGTGAAATATTCGGCCCTGGAGACCTTTTCCGACCCATCAAATGGATCTGGTCTGGCCTATCATGCCTTTTGATCTTCCGTTCTCAAGGGAGCAAAGAAGGGGACTTGGAGCCTCATACCACCTTATCGACGAGGGAGGGGCAAGGGACCTTAGGACTCGGCGGGGATGGTCTGCTCTTAATGATGCTTTGGTCTTGATGAGACGGACGTACGTAGCCACTGCATGATGTTTTTATATCCTATATCCTCCTCATGATGATCCAGACTCTGTCATGTTTATAACCATGATCATCACATCCCACCACGTACATATATGGCGCGGACAGCGTGTCTAGGAACCCTCGGAAAGCGTCTGTCTCCTACTAGTACTGGTATACCACCTATCTGCTGTCCAGAGAGCGTGATATCGAACAGTTTTGGACTACTACGCAGCGACCACGGGATTGCAATAGCTGGGAACTGCTTTTCTGGCAAGTCTTCTTCTTCTCCTCTAAGATTACATCGTTGCTCGCAATCGCAGTCGCAATCGCACTTGCTCGGTCGTCGTTACATTTCCTCGTTGGCGACTAGAGCTTTCTCCAGACCAACAATTCCCTATCCGTCGTCGCCGGGATCTGCTGTCTTGCTAAACTACAACAGCAATCGCAACAGCAGTCATAAACCATTCAGTCTGAGCGGGCTGGGACCAATCCAGACCAACAAGATCCAGCCGTTCGAGCAATTGAGAAGATCATCATCACAGGCTACTACTACGCAAACGACCCCTCCAGCAAGCACTACCACCGCGACATCCGAAAGCCGTTCCACGACAACGACGGCATCATCCCAAGTTCATTCTGAGCATTCGCCCTCATCTTCTTCAACAAATACAATGGCAAGCACTTCGCAGACGCAAGCCGTGACGGCCCGGAAACGACCGCTTCGACAGGCTTGGTGGCGCGAGAGCAGCGTGTACCAGATCTACCCAGCGTCATTCAAATCGGCAAAAAGCATCGACGACGGGACGGGGCACATCCACGGCGACCTGCGCGGGGTGATCGAGAAACTCGACTACCTGGAGACGCTGGGGGTGGACATCGTATGGCTCAGTCCGATCCTGCAATCGCCGCAGGTGGACATGGGGTACGACATTTCGGACTACCGGGCGATCTACCCGGGGTACGGGACGATGGAAGACCACGAGGATCTGATTAGCGGATTGCACGCGCGCGGGATGAAGTACGTGATGGACCTGGTGGTCAACCACACGTCGGACCAGCACGAATGGTTCAAGCAGTCGCGGTCGTCCAAAGACAACCCGTACCGCGACTGGTATATCTGGCGGCCGCCGCGGTACGATGCGGAAACGGGCGAACGCATGCCGCCCAACAACTGGGAGTCCAACTTCTTCGGGCCGGCGTGGACGTTCGACGAAGCCACGGGCGAGTACTACCTGCACCTGTTCGCGTCCGGGCAGCCGGACCTGAACTGGGACAACCCGAAGGTGGTCGAGGCCGTGCACTCGCTGATGCGGTTCTGGCTGGACAAGGGCGTCGACGGGTTCCGCATGGACGTGATCAACTTCATCTCGAAAGAGCCCGGGCTTCCGGACGCCGAAGTGACGCGTCCGGGCTTCCTGCAGGACGGCGTGGAGCATTTCGCGTGCGGCCCGCGGCTGCACGAGCACCTGCACGGGATCGGCGAGATCCTGCGCGAGTACGACGCGTTCAGCGTGGGCGAGATGCCGGGCGTCTTCGACACGCGCGAGATCATCAAGGCCGTCGGCCAGGACCGCGGCGAGCTGGCCATGGCTTTCCAGTTCGAGATTGTGAATCTCGACCACGCCCCCGGCCAGATCAAATGGTACCCGCACAAGTTCCAGCCAAAGGCCCTCAAGCACATCGTCGCCAAGTGGCAGTCGTTCATGCTCCAGAACGGCGGCTGGAACGCCGTCTACTTGGAAAACCACGACCAAGGCCGCGCCATCTCGCGCTTCGCCGACGACAGCGACCAGTACCGCTCCAAATCCGCAAAGTTGCTCGCCGCCCACCAGGCCCTCCAGTCCGGCACCATTTTCCTGTACCAAGGCCAGGAGCTCGCGCAGATTAACGTCCCCGAGTCCTGGGGTTTGGACCAATACAAGGACATCGAGGTCCTCAACCACTGGAAGACCGTCCTCGAGGAATTTCCCGACGATCTGGAAAAACAGGCCATGTTCCGTCGCCAGTATAGGCTGATCGGCCGCGACAACGCCCGCACCCCGATGCAGTGGACCGCCGACGAGCGCACCTTTGCTGGCTTCCTGGCCCGCGACGCCCCCGAGGGTGCTACCCCCTGGATGTCCATCCATCCCGACTTCAAGACTTGGAATGCCGTCAACCAGCTCGAGGATCCCCACAGCGCCTTGCACTACTGGCGCAGACTGCTGAAGTTGCGCAAGGAGTTCAAGCATGTTTTCGTCTACGGCGACTTTGAGATGCTGGATCTCGACCATGAATCCGTCATTGCGTACTTGAGGGTCGATGACCGTGAGGAGGAAACAGGACAAAAAACGCACGAGCCCCGACGTCGTCCTACGTGTCTCGTCATCACGAATTTCTCGCGCGACGAAATCGACTGGGTCGTCCCCCCGCGCGCCGTCGATGTCTTGTTTGATGAGTCCGAGTCGGACCCGGAGCCACGGCTCAAGAAGGGCGCCGTGCTGGACGAGTTTAGGAACTATACCGCTCAAGAGGATGGCGAGGACCACGTCGAAAATAAAGTCTTCAAGAACGCCGACGGGCAGTGGGTCTTGAGATTGCGGCCGTGGGAGGCTCTTGTTGCTATGGATGGAGTGGATGGAGTGGAGTTGTGAGCTGAGCTGAGCTGAGTTGAGATGAGTTGAGTTGGGTTGGGTCGCTTGTTCTGTTTGGAGTCCAGCATCAAATGAGAAGACTAGACTGCTGTTATGAATGTCCACGTCCCAGGAAACTGAAACGGTTTCTGCGCGTTCACTCCGAACCACGGCAACAGAGAAAGGGGAGCAGGGGAGCATAGCGTGTGAAGGAGTCAGTTGAAAGAGACAGACCCCAGAGCTCGGCGTATATACTGCTATCTCGTTCGTTGTTCACCTTCAGCAAGAGAAGATGACGACTACAGCGATGGCTCGCAATTTGAAGGCGAAGAGTCATTGACATGCATTTTCTACCTCTTATGCGGAATAGGGATAGGAGATGGATAGAAGTCAGACGACGTTAAGACCCAGAGAGAGAGAGATCCGATCAGACAAGAGGTAGCGACTCATTCCGATATCTGAAAAGGCAATTCCAGCAAAGAGCCTGGTCTATATCGTACAGTGCTTGTAAGATGGTGACGAAAGTCAAAGGATTTCTGTCTGAGCAGAAACATTCGCATTCATGGTATCACTTAACGAACAGAACGCAGGAGATCGATGTTGAACAGTTCATCCAAGAACCCTGGGCCCGTCGCAACGCTTGCTTGTACCTTGATTGTTTGCTCGCTCCATCCCAAGCGCCGAATACAAGAAAAAGGGGTACAACAACGGTAGATAGAGAAAGCCCAACTCTCCAACTGTAGCTGTTGTTCCTTCAAAACGTCCGAAGTTTCTTCTTGGTCGCCTCTCGAGTGCGGCCCAGATCCTCCATACATTTCATGTGTTCTTCGTGCGCGTGATCCCACCAATCTCGACACTGAGCGTCGTCTTTCAGCCATTGCATGTACGCCGCATATCCCGCCTCATGGGAACTGGCTTTGTCGTCCAGACTGTCCGCATCCGGCCCGTCTCCACGCATGCTGACCCAGTTCTGCGACATGGTTCCACAGATCCGATCTTGCCGACTTCGGAAATGCTCAATCATCTTCGCGTTGAACCGGTTCCAATCCTTCATGTATGCGCTCATGTGGTCCACGTACTGTAGCCAGTTGGATTGGTCCAGTCGGTCCACTGCCGGCGGCACAACCGGCTTCGGTGGCTTGGGGAGATTGAGCGCACGTAGCCTCGCAGCGGCTTTGCTGCCTGTGTCGACGCTGGCCTCGGGTCGTGATTCAAACGGTAGATGGGTGGCAATGTCTCCTAAATCCTTCAACCCCGTGGAGGCTGGGGCAAACGGCGCCTGCTGAGCGAATTCTTTCAAGTCAACCCCTCCTCCATTCGTGGGCCGTCTTCCTACTGTTTGGCGAGGTGCGTCCGTTGTGCCCGGCTGGACGGGATTCGCGCCATGGGTCGGCTGCGTTCCATGAGAGGGAGGCGTGTCGTCTACATCCATGACATCCTCCTCCACGACAACATACCGATCTCTCGGGTCATCTTTAGCTTCCTGACTGGTCCGAGAGGCCGCGGGCGGAGGTGGTGGGTGGGTGGCAGCGGTGTTGACCTTCGATGCCCAATCGTCCGGTAGCTTTCCTCGTTGGAAGGCGGCCGCTTTGTCTGATTTGTCTTCGTCCGACGTGCCGTCACGTTGACGTGTAGATCGGCCGCTGGCGGAATCGGAGGAAGAGCCGCTTTCTGCATCTAATCCCCGAGACTGTCCTCGTCCTCGTGTCGTTGCAGGTTTACTTCCTGCGCGCGTCGACTTGGAAGGTGACTTTCGCATCTGGGCATCTACTGGACGCAAGAAGTCCTCGGCAGTTACCTTGTCATGCCATTCCGCCGCCGAAAACTTTGTCTGCACATTGGAAGGGCCACGGTCATGACTGCGTCTCAAGTTAGCGCCTCCCTTGGACGAACGTTTGGACGAGTGTAATGGGGAAGACATGGAAGGGTAACGAGCATGGGGCCTGTCGTTCTCCTGCTTCCGAGGCCGAGGAGGCGTCATCTGCGGGAAGACAGTCGACGGGACCGCCCACGAAGGGACACCATTAAACGAGGCACTTTGGGTGGTAGCACGATATTGCCTAGAGGTTCGCATCCAAGGGTAGTAAGGGGGGTTCTGAGAGGAGTCGTACTTGGGTCCATCTGCGTTGCCACCATGTCCTCCATTTCCGTGCACACCGTTCGACCGCGGCGTCTCGACGTCAGGGGAAGTCATGTCGGGGAAAGGTTTTCGGGCGGGATCCCTCAAATCGGGAGTGGGATTCTTGTACTGGCCATCCTCCACAATCCTAGTGTAGTTGGTGTTTGGGAATTGGCCCGTCAGACCCGGATTCGATTCGCCGACTTTGCCAAAGGGATTCATGCCTGGCACTCTCGATCGAGGCACGGCCTTGGGCCTGGCTTTCATATTCAGTTCTTCGTCTTCGCTTGACGATGATTCGGACGAGAAGTCGGCGTGAATACCATTCGGTCTCATTCCTGGACTGGCACTGCGATGTCGAGGCTGGGGATCGAAGTGAGCAGACGGCCTACCGAAAGGTCCCCGGTCGTCCCATCGTGGGTCGATTGGCGAGTTCCGCACGCTCGTAGAACGATGTAGACCATCTCCATGGATATCAGTCCTTTCACCGCCCACGCCTGAGTATTTTGAGGAAGGACGTGACCCCCCAAGAGGATCACTCCTCATGTCGTAGTCTGAGGATCGAGTGTGCCGCAGGGGACTTACTGCAGGCCGAGCCCGAGTTACCGGAGGAGATCGCATATGATCATCCGGCACGTATCCATGCGCCGTTGGGCCTGAAGTACGGTCTCCACGCACATAGGAGTACGCAGACCGAGGCGCCTGTGCCTCATCAGCTCCATGAGCACCAGACGTGTAGCCCTGCTTTCTCGCGCTTTGAGTTCGAGACAATCCGGGAAAGCCTGGGGGAGGTATGTTTGGGACATGTGGAAGATCTGACGACGATGTCGGCTTTGGCGCTGTAGGAGCCTGACGCGGTGTCCGGGGCGGCACTGGTGGTGCCGTTGGTGATGGTCTCATATTAGGAAACATTCTCGCCGCTTCTGCTCTGGCCTCATCAAATCTAGTCCTGTCCCATGATTGTGGTGCTCCGCGGGCGAAGGCATTGAATTTGTCCGCTCCACTGGATGTCTGCGCCCTTTGATTCGGACTTGGGAACGGCGGCCGCTTCTGGTTGGGTTTTGGAGGAGGAGGAAAGGGAAAGTGTGCTGTTGACGTCGGTGGTTTGGCATTTGTAGACCGCGCGAAGCCGTACGGGTCGGACGCATAAGTTCGGCCAGCCAGTTTCGCTCGCGCTGCATCATATTTAGCCTTCTCTACCGGATCGCTCAAGATCTCATGTGCCGCCTGCACTGCCTGGAATTTGGGTAAGACGTCGACCTCGCGACCAGGATTTCGATCAGGGTGGAATTGCTTTGCTGCGCGAGTAAGCCTTTGCATACGATCCGTGGCCTAACCAGTTCTCTTACCCAGTAGTCTGAACTGTCTCTTGATTTCCTCTCCATCCGCGGTTTGAGGCAGATCCAGATCCGCATAGTAGTCCCGTTTAACATCCGCTTTGACCATGGTCACAGAGTGCTAGATGAGACCAGGCGACAATCCAAGAGTTGTGTTCGGCCCGTCAAATGGTTCTCTTTCCTGCACTCAACATAATCATTGGAAGACTGATGGCCATCCGCGCCTTATGGATCAGGCCGGCGAGTGAGTTGAAAATGAGTTGAGGACTGCCGATCAAACGAGCTTCTTCCACGTTCTTGATTTGACCATATGACAATTCAACTTTGGTCGCGTAACGGACTGACCAACGTGGGTTAGGGTTCGTGGAGAAAACGCTTCGGTGCAGCTGTGTATGATGGCCGGGGAAGATGGGAGGTGCGAAAGGACAGAGGAGGGGGACACAACAGTAGGATGTGACTGGCAATGTGTTTAGCGACTGGCTGTTCGCTCGCTGACGATGGTGAAGAGTGATCGCAGGGTTCGGACGGCGCACAGAATCCAGGGAGTGGGAGTCGTGAGTCGACTCGGGGCGATTCTAGCGGCTGTTCCTGCGCAGAGCTCTACTAGTAGGCTGAAAAGGCGAGGGAGACTAGATCTGCAGGGTTCAAGGCAGAGACGTGGAGTGAATATTCCGTGGCGTGTGAAAGATATCGAAGCACAGCATGAATCGCTCATGAAGCAATAGCAGAGGATGGATGTGTTGGCATGTTCTGACAAGGGTGTTTCTTTACTTCTGTCGATTTTGGGCATAACGCGGGTGGGCGAGGCTAAAAGAGAGCCACTTTACTAGGCTCCTTAGGCTCCTTAGGCCATGGGCAACCGTCAAGGCCGTCAAGGCCGTCAAGGCAGTTCCCGCTTATACGCTGTCAACTCTAACCCGGACGTCACTCTCTTTCCCATCTGTTATAGGCTCGAGAAGCCCCCTAGCCTAAGTAAACCCTCCAATTCCCTAAAGTGTCTATCATCCATCTGCATCATGATATCACCCCGTTTGCTTCGTTCTCGCGCCTTTCTTCGTTCCCAACACCGTTCACATGGCAGCCTCGTGAAGAATAAATTTCCTGCAAAACCGACCTGAGCTCCTCCAGGAATCGATCCACCTCCTTTTCCGTGCCCACGGTGATGCGCAAACATCCTTTGCACCCATACTCCTTCCCGCGGAACCTCACCACAACTCCACGTTGGCCCGCCATCGTTTCATATACCGCCAGAGATGTGACATTATCAGGCTGGCCGCCTTGTTCCCTGGGTTTGTCGAGGATCTCAACAAGTAGGAAATTGGAGTCTGTTCCCCCTTGAAACTGTCCAACACCTGGTACCTTAGGGAGTTCTTCAAGAAGTCTGTCCCTTTGTTTCAGTATCTTCAATCTGTTCTGTCGCATAACTGCCAGGTTGTCGTCGTGCAAGGCGGCTGTTGCAATCGCACTCGTTGGGCTGGATATGTTATAAGGTGCTTTCATGTTGTTAAGCAGTGCTGCAATCTCCGGGCTGCTGAAAGCAACACCTAGCCGTATCCCAGCCAGACCGAACGCTTTGCTCAGGGTTTGCATCACCACCAGATTCGGCCATTCGAGAACCCATTCTGCCAGGCTTGAGCCTTCCGGGGCAAAGTCGATATAAGCCTCGTCGACCACTACGACCCCATTCCAAGTGGGATGTTCTAGGACTTTTCGAATATCCTCCTTCCGGATGACCGCCCCGGTAGGATTGCCCGGGGAGCAGATATAGACCAGTTTGGTTGAGGGATCTGAAGAGAGCTTGTCGGCGATGAGTTGGGGCTGTAGCGAGAAGCCATCTTCAGCATTGAGAGGCACATGAACCACTTCAACGTCATTCACGTCCGCACTCACAGCGTACATGCCATACGTGGGAGGACAGGTCAAGATCTTGTCTTTCCCCGGAACACAAAAGCATCGCAGGAGAGCGTCAATGGCTTCGTCGGAGCCAACGCCACAGAACATGTTCTCTGGAAGCAGGTCTTTGTCGGTATGGGTGCGCGTGTTTCGCAACCGACAAAAGCGCTCCTTCAATGCAATCTGGTGCGGATCTGGATATCTGTTGAGGCCCAGGAAGTCAACCTGCGGTTTCTCGACATTGTGTTCTTTGTAGCCTCCGTTCATGTCTAGAGCCAATCCCGGACCGTAGGCGTTCTCGTTCGCGTCGAGGAGGATATTCTTTCCGTCATCTTTGTAGTCGCTGCATCTATGAGTCAATGAACGGAAATGCGAGGCGGGGATGGCACTCACTCCCGAGCACAACGGTAGGGCTGTAGTCTGATTATATTTGGCCTGGCGCATTTCGCGAGATCAAAAGGTGAGTCTTTCCGAGCCATCTTGCAAGAGCCCAGCGCAAAGGGCAAGGAGACAAGGAAGTTCTGCTTCGACTTGTGGTAAAAATTCCCCAATTTGCTGTTGTTATCGCAGCCGTTTTATTTCGAGTTCTCCGCAGTGGCATATCGCTGGCATCCGCATCTCGCATCTCGCATAATGCTGGCGCAGGCACCAGAAAAGTCGGCCAACCCCCCACACTTCATCGTCCTCAGCCTGAACCCGTTCAATCTCACAAACAAACATTCACTTTTGAACAGCTCCCAGGTCTCCGCGAATTGCGGTACCCCTACAGTTGGTTTACGAGATGGCTGAACGTAAATCAGCATATGGCGCACCCGCCTCCGATACCGACTTTCGAAAGACATGGGATAAATCCGAATACGAGGCGAAGGCAAAGAAGGAGAATGAGGAACACAGAGAAGAAGCCAAGGCTCGCTATGAAGCCAAACTCGAAGGCAAGAAATGGCACAAGCCTGTCGACTTCTCGGCGCTCGAAACGACGTCGGCAAGAAACTCGCGGCTGGACGTGGCGAGCATGGTCGGGAAGAGCACTCTCGTCCCGGCTGGCTCGACCGTTGGAAAACGAGGAAAGGGCGCTGGGTTCTACTGCGAGGCTTGTGACTTGACCTACAAAGACAACGTACAATACATCGAACATCTCAACTCGAAGCAGCATCTCTTCAACACTGGCCAATCGGGCGAGGTAAAACGGGCGACCCTGCAAGACGTCAGGGATAGGTTAGAGATGCTCAAAGCACGCAAGAGACAGCAAGAAGAAGAGGACAAGATGCTTGGTGAGGTCGACATACAGGCCAGGATCAAGAAGGCCGAAGAACTGGACGCTGCTGAGAGAGAAGAGAAGAGACGTAAGAGAAATGAGAAACGCAGGAGAGGTGGAGGAGAGAATGGCATCAAGAAGGAGGATGAATGGGAAGGTCGACTGGGCATTATTCGTTGATGGTCTACGTTTTGGTCATGCTATATCGAACTGTCTGAACAGGCGGAATTGCACCCAGAAGCTACACGTCGACATCATTCATGGTGGCTTCTTGAATGGTGTTAACAAGCATTCATGCAATCAAGCCTCGCTCGGTCAGCCAACACTCTAACATACTAGTACGATGGGAGATGCGCCGTGTGATGGACCGCGGGCTCAGAGGGACTCAACAATGACACCTGAGCAAGTGTCAGGATTGCCCACTTACTCGGTGTTTTTCACCATCGCAACCCTCTTCAGCGATGATTTCGGGGGACGCTATATCGATCGAGCTCCAATGTCAGTGTCCAGCCCTCCAGTGGGCACTTTCTATTCTGCTACGAGCATTTGGCAAAGGTGGCGGTTGCAGAAGTGCGGTCCGATGCACCCCAATCTCGAAGGACACGGAGCCGGAGCTCGAGCAGTCCACCGCACTACAATGCATCTCATTTTGGTATGAATATCATCAAGAGTACTGGTTACTTGCGGATGACAACAACTCGCAAGACTATGTGCGACGTCCACAGCGAACCTGCTCGCGACACAACAGTACAGAGTCATCACCAATACTTGGACAGGATTAATCAGTCCGGCTCCTTTGCCGCGGAAATGCCGAGCTGCTGATGCGATCAAGTCCCAGGTCTATCCAAGATCCATGCGGGACATGAGGAGACTGTATACAAGTGTCTTGCCCTCTGGATGAGTGAGGAAACGGTGCCAGAAGGGTACCAGGATTTGGCGTCCGGGTCTCTGCATTGCTGCCGTGGTCATAAGGCTTTAGTAGGGTCCAAATTGTCAACCACATCAATGCAACCATGTCCTAAGGTAAATACTACAAAGGGTTACTCATACCAGTACCACTTATTAGTAAAAAAGTAATGCTTATGATACCGACGCTCGTGTCACTCGTAGGTACCTCCATGCAAATCGGCGTCAATCGGTTGATGGTCGTACGACTAAAGCGGTGACGTCAGGATGAATCTGAAGTGGAGATGATGCTCCGCAGCCTCGTCGACAACAACCGACGAGAGATGAAGAACCACCAGCTTCAACAGGGCACGAAGAAACCGATGATCAATTCTCGATCGACTACTCTGATACCGCACTGGAGGCTGGTAGTGATGGACTTCTGTACACCTCTCAACTATGGTAGATACCTATGCAGATACGAATGAAAACAAATATGACTCCGGGTTGCCCACTCAAGGACTGTCATGACGCAGTCTCCACGAAGTGCAGTGGCTCAACAACCACCACCTCCTTTGTACCGCGGTCACCATGTACCCCGTTCTAAGCGATGAGCCTCTCCCTCACCATTGTTGGAGAAGCAGAGCTTTGAAGGTCTACCATTAGGTACCTACTCTCAACTACTAGCACTAAAATGAACTCTAAGACCAGTGTCATACACTTCCAATGAACATCCTCCCCCTCCTCCTCGGTGACCTGTCTTCAGGTACCTGATCGTGACTGCAATTGTCGACGTCACTCCTCTCATAACTGCAGGCCGTGCCTTCACCTGACTTACAACTAAGACTCGCGAGATCTCAATTTACTCTTCCCCTCTGTATCTCCCTGACTTCTCCTCTACCATCACCTTCAATTGACACCCATACTACCTGACCTTTCATTCGAGTCCATCTCGGGAGTACCACATCGACTCAAGAACACTGCCACCATGACTTCTTCGCAGCCCGCTGACCCGTATGTCTTTCCCCCAACCTATTCCTTATGACGTCCCGCTCTCTCTCTCAGGCGGGACACACAACAAGACCTTTTCGAGTTCTGACATACAATTGAAACCAGATACAAGGCCAAGAACAAGGATGAGCCCGGCCTCGAAGAGAAGATCACCGAGCTCAATGCCTTCGTCAAGTCCTCCAAGTTTGGCATGATGACCACCCGCATTGCAGACTCGGGACTGCTTGTTTCTCGCTGCATGGCGTTGGCTGCACAGGTACGAAAGCGATCACTTCCATTTCTTACCCAAGCAAATGGTGACACGTTGGCTGACCTGACTCACTCCATACAAGGCATCTGGTGGCATCGACCTCATCTTCCACACCAACACTCACTCTGGCAAGACCTCGGACCTCGACTCTGATTCCCACGTCAACATCGCCTTCCTCGACAGTTCTGGCTCGTGGGCTTCCATTTCCGGCACGGCCAACGTCAGCGATGACCGCAGCCTGGTGAAGCAGTACTATACCCCGACGTTGAAGACGTGGCTGGGTGACCTTGGTGACGGCACGCATGACGGCAGTGAGAACGACCCTCGCATCGGTATCATCAAGGTCAAAGCCGTCACGGCCACCTACGCCGTCGCCAAGGGTACCTTCCTGGGAAGAGGCGTGGAGATGGTCAAGGGCGCGATCACCGGCGATGTGGCACATGTCAACGATCTCAGAGAGATCAGCGAAGAGGAAATGAAACAATGGAGAAGTAGCCATTGAGAGAAATCATCCCAGTTCCCAGGGCTGGCATTGAGGTGTGGCCAGGGACATTGATTGATAACTATCGGCGCTGGTCTAGCCTCGATCGGAATCTCGGCATGCCAAAGTGCAATGCGTGACGAGAACGTGAAACAATAAAAATAACTCTATGCTACAATGACGGTTGAAGAGGAGAATCTTTGAGTTCATTTCTGCGCCTGCTTTATGGTATGCTAGCGGCCCATCCCAAAAGTAGAGTCGTTATCAAACAATTTTCGAGCCCGGCATGCCAGGCAACCCACTCGGACTATCCCGTGTCTACCGTCTTGTCCCTCATCGGTTTGCTAGAAATACAATGCCACCATCTGTTTTCACACATCACTGTCCGCCAAACGCCGAGCCCGCCAAACACTAGAAGTAGTAGGGTATATTTCCGTCCAATGGCTTGGCATAAGACAAATGGGACTTTTGATCTTGGAGGAAATTCAGGCGTCATTCGTCTTCTTCGACCCAGTGCGTTGCTTTCCGGGATCGGCCCATTGAAGGCCACATAGCTGTCATCTGGTCGCGGCATTCCGAGTGCGCTGAGGTGAGACGACATAGGCCCAAACCATCGCCGGGTAACATTGTGGCTCCTAAAACGCCATCTATAATGTACATGTGGCCACCCAAGCCGCTTTTTCGATTATTTTCGGTCGTTGAGGATTCCACTAGCCGTCATGAAACATGTGGCGCAGAGATCCGGCGATGGGATGTCGGCGCTGACATGAATAGATTGAGAAGACAAATCATCGCGCTGAGTACCTCGCGTGTATGACGATCAATGTTGTCTAATAACGCCTGGCTTCGGCCCAACTGAGCTTTGCGCGAATGCCTTATCCAGCTTCGAAGACGCTCCGGACGTCGGGATATCGTTTCATTGATCGTGACCGTTCTGGCCTACCACCGAGAACCTTGGTCGCCACGGGCATCAGAGTCCCCACGTCGGTTGAATCTGGAATCGCGGTCGAAGTCTTGCCTTCGATCAGATTGTCCGCGACCACCGCGATCGAACGAGCCGCGGTTGGATCCGAACGAATCTCTCCGTCCGTTGCCTCGGAAGCCGGAGCCTGATCGGTCGTTACCACCGCGGAAGCCCGAGGAGCCCGAGCCCGAGCCCGAGCCCGAGCCTTCGAAATCACCGCCACCATACTCAAGACCTCGGACGCCGGAGAAGCCGAGCTTGGAGGCCAGAGTGGGCGACACACGCGGTGGACGCTCCAGACCGTATCCGAATTTGGCAAGATTGTTCGCCATGTCGACCACGGCCTGTTTCGGCCTCCTGACGCTGGACTGGACCAATGAGGCCAGAATGCTGGTATAAGCCTTTGCCTTGTCACCCATAGGGACGGCCCTGATCCCAGACTCGACCATCTGCATGATCTTGCCCGTTTCGGCGGACAGCTGCGTAGGTTGGGTCATGTCCAACGTGGCAGTCTCCAGCGTGGTGTCTTCCGAAATGTTGTGGGCGTGGATGTCGCGCACCAGCTGTCTGAATTCGTTCCGTTCGTCGTCCTGGAGAATGAGCCAGCCCTCTCCTGGCTTACCAGCACGCCCAGTTCGGCCGATTCGATGGATGTAGTCTTCCAGTTTCTTGGGCGGGCCCACCTGAATGACATGTGTCACGTTCGGGAAATCCATGCCGCGAGCGGCTACGTCCGAGGACACCAGGATGGCACTTTCGGCGTGTCGGAATGCCTGTGAATTCCTCGTTCGCTCGGCTTGGGTCAGTCTGGAAGACATCTCGTAGATCTTGCACGGCGCCAGGGGATGAGGTGCGAACAATCCGCCCTTGGTACCAGGTTCGCGCATGTTTCTCAACACTTCATGTGCCATTTTCACTTCGTTGATGGTGGAGAGGAAGACAATGGCTTTGAAAGGTGGGTTGTTGGTCGGGTCCGCTTTGTGGGCTTGAACAGCCTTGTAGGCGATCTCGGCAATGACTGGCAGCTGATTTTCCATGCCAGGCAGGTAGACCACCTTCTGCGGCACTGACTCGTGGGTGGCGGCCTCGTTGGGGTCGATAGTTCGAACAAACTTGAAGTCCGGCTTCATGGTCTGTTTGACCAACCCAACAACAGTTCGGGGCATGGTGGCGGAGAACATGAGAGTCTGTCGATCCTTCATTTCTCGTGGAGGCATATAGCTTTGGATTTCCTCAATGTCTGGCGCGAAACCGATGTCGAGCAGTCGATCGGCCTCATCCAGAACAAAGGTTTGGATGTTGTCGAGACTCACACCACTGTCCGGGTCGGACACGAGGTCCTTGACTCTGCCGGGTGTCCCAACCAGGATGTGGCAGCCCATTCGCTGCATCAGCTTCAAGTGGTATTTCTTTTGAGTGCCGCCTACAGCTGTCTGTACTTGGACCCCGGTTCCGGAAACAATCTTTCTCGCCTCATCGGCAATCTGTTCGGCCAGTTCACGTGTTGGGGAGATGATGAGTGCTCTCGTATCGCCTATGGAAGCCCTGCGGGTGTTGAAATTAGGCTCTCTGAGTAATCTCTGGACGATCGGTGTCAAAAAGGCTAGAGTCTTGCCAGTGCCGGTCCTGGCCTGCGCAACCACATCTGAGCCGTCCAAGCATTCATTGATGGTCATGCGCTGGACTTCTGTCATGGTTTGTATGCCCATCCTGTTGGACAACGTATTGACGATTCTCTGATCGAGGATTCCAGCGTCGGCTAGCTCGGAAAATTTGCTGAATTCACGGTGCACATGGGAGAGGTCTTCTGCCCCCATGTCTTCGGCGGCGGCATGTTGTTGGCCATATTTGGACGTGGATGAGAAAAGGCTGACTCGGATAGATTGAGTAGGAACGATTCGAGTATTCGAGGGCAACGTTCGGACCAGAGGGGAGGATAGGGAAGCGGAGGGAATGGATCGTAGGGTTCGTAGAACCAGACGCCCCTGTCGGGCTGCACCGTACATGTTGACTGTGTTTCAGGCAAAAGACTCGGTGGAAAACTGACCGAAGCAGGGAATGAGAGACAGCTTCGCAGACAAGCAATAAGATCAACGAATTGAAATGAACGACAAGAAGGGTGATGGGTATGTTAGAGGAGTGTTGAGATGAAAGCCTGAATGAAACTGAGTGAACTTGCCTGCTATTCTTTCCATCCAAAATTTCCTACCAGGGTCTTAGGAATGCGCATCCTCAGTGGGTCTCACGGCACTATCAGCTCCACTGCAACTGGTCCAGATCTGCATGCTACTTGGACACGCTAGCATGCTTCCGGGTATGGTCGTTTGCTAATTGACTCAAGCTTAAAGCAGCGTGGTTTGAATCTTCTGGCCTCTGTTTGACGAAGGTGCGCGACGGTTATTGCACCAGGTGTGTTCGCCTTTCCCACATTTGAGTCTCCTACTACCGTACAGAGCCATGGTAGCGGCCATGAAAACTCCAATCCAGTTGATGATAGATAATCCAAGATAGACGTTGGAATGTGTCGACGCAGGGCGGGTGATATGCGTCAGGGTTGTGGTTGCTTATCTACTTGTACGCAGTATGTGCTTCGCTATCAGGAAGTTGAAGTTATGGGGCATGCTATCAATCTCGGTCGCCGCATCAACATGCCTCCGTTCGCGCAGATGAGCGGACATCCTCTATCTGCCCTTCAAGCCCTTTATCGATCACCGCAATAAAGAGGAACTCATCCTTGCCGACTTCCGCTCTGCCTGCGAACCTCACGAAGCGATATCCGCGCTTTTCTCCCTCCTTCTCTCTCTCTCATTCGTGGTCTGGGCTTGTCAATCGCGAGGACAGCCAATGGCGCAGCCAAAGATGGTCAATGATGAAATGCTACCTAACGCTCGTAACACAATAATAGCCCGGATGGCATCTATCGGCCAAAACCCGAGTGGGTCGCATGTCTCTATTCGTCCGTATCTCAATCGTCACTGTCCGCACTTCCCCTTCCTAGTTCGGCCATCCAATGGACGAGCAGTCAATACGGAATAGTTGGAGTACGTACAGAGTATATCACGGACATTTCCCCTCCCTCATTGCCTCGGGCCTCCCTCATCTTTGCCCCAATTTCCTGTGACAACGGTTTCAAAATCATCCATCGGATATCTACTTCACAAATATACACTGACCACAAGATACGAACCCTCATACCCTCATCATGGCACCACCGTCGGCTACATACACGGAGACATCGACAACCCCCTCCAAGGGCTTCGACACTGCCGATGCCGAAGCGGAGGATACTGCCCCCCTGGAACCTTCGTTGAAGCAGGGCGAAGCCGGAGGACAAATGCAGATATTTCCCAGTCCGCCACGCTTCACAGACAAGTATGAGGCACGAGAATACCTCAAGGGCCGCCTGGCACTGGCCTTCCGTTTGTTTGGCAAATACGGCTTCGACGAGGGTGTGGCCGGCCATATCACACTACGGGACCCGGTCGATCCGCACAAGTTCTGGGTCAACCCATTCGGTCTAGCATTCAGCCAGATCAAGCGGTCGGACTTGATTCTCGTGGACCATGACGGCAAGGTCGTCGACGGCGGGCCAAACCGCCTTCTCAATACCGCAGCATATATGATCCACGCAGCCGTCCACAGCGCTCGACCAGATGTCCTCTGCGCAGCCCACTCCCACAGTATCTACGGCCGAACTTTCTGTACGCTCGGGCGGCCCATCGACATTACGACCCAAGACAGCTGTGCCTTTTATAACGACCTGGCCGTGTACAACTCGTTCAAGGGTATCGTGCTGGCCAAGGAAGAGGGCGAGAATATTGCGCGCGCCATTGGAAACAAAAAGGCCTGTCTGCTACAGAACCACGGCCTATTGACGGTCGGCCAGACCATTGAAGCCGCCGTCTTCTGGTTCGTCTCTCTTGAAAAGTGCTGCCGCACGCAGCTCATGGCCGACGCGGCAGCCGCTGGTCGAGGAGGCGAGACCATCAAGATCGACGAAGAAGATGCCCAGTTCACATACAAGAGCGTCGGCACACCGCGAGCTGGTTGGTTCGGCGCGAAGCCTATGTTCGATGTCATGGCCCAAGAGGTCGGTGATGAATATTTGCAATGAGCGCACTGAGCATGATGATATACTATGGATTGACTTCCGTGTTTGCAGAGTGTGTTTGATGATGAATGAAAAGATATACATCCAATGCTCACCCATCTTCCCCTTTTCCGGCCTCTGTCTGCTCCCTTTCATCCGACCACTTTCCCAATCTCGTATTATCATATTATTTGTGCACCACCTTCACTGCGGCCTCAATCCAACGCTCCAACTGAGGCGGCGAGTCATTTCCGGGTCCTCAAGCCAAGGAGGAACACCCAATATGGACGCATGAGTAGACTGCGACTGCAAGATGCCACAGTATCTACTGAAGTGGTTTCCCCTGTATATGACGCCCTCGGTATGGCCGTTCGTCGTTGTGTGTATATTACTCCCATATCCAAGATCTACTCTGTACGATCCACAACCCAAAGGGGGACTGGAGTGGGGTCTGTATAACCGTCTACCTGCATACCTTATATACGGATAATAGGTGGTGAGGTAGACATACTGTGCCTGAAATTGTTGATGGTGCCTATGTGCGAAGACATATCCAGCTGCCGACTCAGTGGACGACGCACCAAGTTGAAACAACACGTTAAGAGCTCCCTGTTACGGACCTGGGAGTGCTTCGATCGGTTGGTCGCGGCCGCATTGCCGAGGCAAGCAAGAACTTAACTTCATCGACGCCCAACCCTACATTATTAACATTACCGATATAATATAGGTACCGTACTAATCATCTGCCTGTATACAACCTAGGCTGACGCGCCTTGTTGCTCATTCATCTCAACCGTCGAATTCTGGACCACGAAACGAAGACTCCCTTCAGCAGCCAAAGTCATAGTATAGGTAGCAGGATTGGTCAAGAATCCAGGAAGACCGTGGTGTGGTGTCGGACTGTTGACCTCGGAAGCGCAGTTCAACATCTGGCACGATGCCCTCCAAACTCATCATCTTCTCGCTGCTCTCCGCCTTTGTGGCTCTGCTATACCAAACTCTCCTGCGCGATGTTCTGTTCGCCACGATGGGATTGGGTCGCACCCTCCAGTCCGTTTCAGACTTCCCGTATAAATGCCATCGCATCCACGGCGACCCCAATATCCAGGCATGCGAGGATATGTGGCTGGACGAGGCGTCGAGGACGTTGTTTCTGGCGTGCTCAGACCCTGTCGCCAGAAGGGACTGGATGCCAAAGTAGGTGATTCTGTTGCTGACCCCCAAGGCGTCCTCCACGTCGAACTCGCCCACGAGGATGTCTACTTACACAGGGGATATCACTGGTGTTGCATTGAACCTCGCCAAAGGATCTAGATGTACTACTTTCTACTTGTTCATCCTGACTTTGGCACGCGAGCCGTTCAAGCACAGTTGCCACAGGATTTTGCTGCGAGCAGAACCAATGTCCACATGACCCGTCATGCGGGAGCACCTATTAATCAGTGCATGTAGCTATTCGATTCTCCCAACGTTGTTGTTGTAATTCTGGGTATTGTTATGTATTGAGAGAGATACTGATTTCGTTTTTGCGCCAGTATCCACCGCCTGAACGCGTCCGGTCGAGCACTGCACGACCATGTTGTGGCTTTGAACATCGACAACCCCACGAGTGAAGGGGGCTTTACTTACCGTGTGCTCGAAACACCCGGGTTCTCAGGTGTACAGGGCGACGGGCGCATCCACGTCGTGGGCATAACTGGGACCAGTTTACCTTCCGAGGACGGCTTGGAGATCCTGCTGTGGCTAGTCAATGCGCGGCCATCTGTCGATGTCGAAACCGGGGAATTGCTTGACAATGCTGTTGTGGGACCGAATCTTACCATCGACGTATTCACGACCAAACCAGACACGGATAGCATGAAGCATATCAAAACCTTTGCGGATCCCCAAATCGCAACACCGAACAACATCGCTGTAACTAAGAATGGCAGTGGAGGGTTCTTTTTCACCAATGACCACGGTGCGCATAAGGTCGGTTGGGTATGTATTCCACGGGCTCTGGGTTTCTGGTATACCTGGGTATTTCCAGGACTCTTTCTTCACCCCTTACCTCGAGGAGACTTTCGTACTGAAGCAGCTGACCTTCTCCTTGTTCACTTTCTCTAGCAACACCATCTGTCCCCGGTCCTCGCCACAGGCGACGTCTCCTATTGCTCGGCAGATGGAGTCTGTAAGCGAGTGGCTTCGGGACTCAGATTCCCCAATGGCCTCCACCTCGGATCGGATGGGCTGCTGTACGTCCCCAGCGCCGCTGTGGGAGGGATAACCGTGTATCAACCCAGCTCGGACGGTACATTGAAGAAGGTCCATTATATTGACCTCAATTACCCCATTGACAATCTCTCCGAGGATGCCAACGGCGATATCTTTGCAGCGGCTATGCCCAAGGTGCTCAAGGGGATGACTGGCTTTGATGATCCATTAAACACCCCTCCAGCTCCTGCAACTGTCTGGCGTGTGAGGAGGCTGAACAGGGACGTCAAGGAGAAGTATCAGTATGAGCTTACGAAAGTCATTGAAGATGCCACGGGCGAGGTGTTGCCTAGCATGACGACCGTGATTCATGATGCCCTGACTGGAAGATTGTTCATGAGTGGTGAGTAACGCCAGGTTGGCTCCTGGACTTTCGGAGCAGGCACTGACTTCTTTACCAGGCGTGCACTCGCCCTTCATTACGGTGTGTGAGAAGATGTGAACCCTTGCGAGGTTTTCGTCGAAGCCTCCATGGGGCGGCACAGACTAGAAGTTGCCTTGTAGGCTTCTGTTGGACACAGCATTATCCCAATCCTGTTCTCTTCAACATCATCCTATGGGAATCAGGGCGTCGAGCGAGCCAGATGCATCTACCAAGCATACCACCTGGTCAGCTAGAATGTCCCTGACAATCAACGATGCCCATCGACGTCAGCACAGAGTGGATTGTGTATGATAGTAGTACTTGAGAACTAGAGGTTGGTAGGGATTCCCTGTGGCCTCTGAGAGCCTAGAAATGGTGAATGGGAGAATGGATGTTGTCGCCAACTTGGACTGAAGTTGGCAATATGATATGATATCACGGCGGTCGGAAGCACCGATATCCCGATCTCCGTCACACCCCACTGCACTAGCTCTGTACTAGCTACTACCTTGGTACTAGTACCACTACTATGGCACATCGCCGCAGCGTCCCTTGCGCGTCTTTGCCTGCGCCGCAGACAACTTGAACAGCCATCTTTCATCTGTATTGAACTTCGCTCTCTGAAGCACAAGCAGGCAGTGAGAGCTTTACTTGGTTCGACGACGATGATGATGATGACGACGACGATGACTTGCTGCTCCCCTTCAAGCCAAAGCTTCTTCAACAGCATGAAAACTGAAACAATCAGATCCTCGTGGAGACCGCGCGGACCATTGCATGGCTTGAGCCTTTCTTCAAGACCCTGACGATCCTGCTTCACCGCATGTCAGCTACTACACGATGCCCCGAGAATCCATACCATAGCACGCCCGTCTGGTTTGGCCCAGGACCGGTTTGTCCTCCTTGCGACGTCCTGGCCCCTTGACCACGAAACGTGAAAGGGCCACTTGGCAAGCCACATTCGTCGCCAGCCAGTCATTGCACTTCGCGGGGATACGACTTACAAGGGCGACTCTTACGAAGCTGAATCCCTCGTCCACGACTTGGTTTGGGGAGCGCTTCTTCATGCTTGTCGCCCAGTCGAAACCCAAATCGAGGAGGGCTGCTCTGGCCGACTCCGTCTCGTGTCTGTATCCCCTACCAACTGCGCTAGAATTCGAGGGTTCCTGATCTGCTGTAAGATCACGACCGTGCGTAGATACCCTTCTCGAGCATCCGTGGCTACATGATATACCCATAAGGCCTCCTTAGCCCTCCACTGACCACCTCATATCTCTATATTTTCCATCATTCTGTCTACGTTGCTGCTTGTGCTTGATCCCTCCCCTACAACAACCCCACGGGACCTACGCATCCAAAGACTTCTAGTCAGTCCGATCCTTGAATATGTCCTCTGCAGCGCCGCCTCCTCCCACTATTGTCATCAATACTCCAGGAGCCCCGACTTCGACAGTGTCCGCACCCCGCCAGCCGCCCTCGACTGCTCTGTCAGCAGAAGCCAACCCCCCGAAAGAAAGGCCCCAGAAACCCGTCCTCGTCAAGTCCTGTTACCTCTGCGACGAACAGAATCCCGGCGACTTCTCGCCGACAACGAAATTCCTCGAGGCCTGTCTTCTCTGCTCGCGCTATTTCTGCCCTATCCATAAATCCGAAAGCTGGGATCAAGTCTGCAACATCAACCACGCCAGCTACTACCATGAGTGTCTGGAGCAGGCCCGTGAAGAACTAGCCGGCCAAGGCCAAGACGCCAACACCAACAAACGAGTGTTGGCCGAGATGCTCATCAGTGAGGGCATCTACCCCAGCCTTGGGGAGCGGGAGAAGGCCATTTTCACCACAAGCCCTGTCAGCGATGGTGAGTTTGTGTTTGCCCCCGACCTGCCTGATATCTCGTCCACCTAACGAGCGACTTCTTTTATTGATGCTGACGCGATCCTGCAGCCAAGATGCAGGAACTTGAGAGTTTCCGAAGCCTTGATGCCGCTTTGGCCGGGACCAGCTCGAAACCGAAGCACCAGTTGATTGAAGAGCGGGATGTCGTTGGCGCTGACATTGCCGTGTAAGTGAAAGGACGATGCATTCCCGAGGTACGATCAAAGTTGCAACTTCGATAGTGCCTGGCGGATTGAGACGAAGTGCTCGTTGCGAACGGGCTGTGATATCTAGCGATCCAATGCTGTGGGTGGGCTCTCGGGTGCTCCCCTCGTTTGAGACGCCATGCTCAGATGGTATAGTATTCAAGATGTTCAGGAGGATATTGAACACGCTGGGAGGGTGGCTACCCGTCACGCGGAAGAGCCCCTATCGGCAGATTTTGGGCGAACGTCGGGCTCGATAGGCACCAACATTTATGTGCTAACATAAGAATCCAACAATCCGATTCAGAGGACCAAATCAAAGTGCTACACAATGGTGACCGGCAGCGTATCCTTCCTCCCTTAAACGCCTTGCTCCGTATCACGCTATCCAACCCTCCAAAAACTTGCATGTGTGAGTCCATCCAAGCACATTGCAATCCCTGACGTAGTCAGTAAACCTCTAATAGCCCGCCCACTCATCCACTGCCTTCGTTGCTCGTAAGATGCATTCCCGCCTCAAGAAAAAGCTTGCCCAACATCATTGCCATTTCGCATTACAAGAGCCAAACCTCGAAAGTAGCACCCTGATCTAGGACAAAAAGGTAGTCTTCATACACAGACAATGCTCTCCAAAACACCCATTGCCCGCTGTCCTTCTCGTTCGAAGATCCCCACCACGCGCTCCGCTTCGGCCCGCAATCCCACTTCTGCCTGTTCGGCAAGATGTCCAATCCACTCCTGGACCGTCATGGATTTCTCCGGTGTCGATAATCTGCCACCCGTAAGGGCGAGTATGTCCACTGGTTGGGGCGTGCTTGATTGGAAGATGAGTTCGACATCGGCGGGGTCCCATGCTGGAGCTGGCGCGCCGGGCGAAGAGATGGCGAGAGGAATGATCTGAGTCTGCGTTTGGGTTCGTGCCGGAGGTACAGGAGGTCGGGCGGATGCGGGCCGGGCGCTGGGAGGTGCATTTTCGATGTCTGATGGAGGAGTTGGACTTTGAGGTGTCGGAGAGTGAGTGGATGTGGCTTCGGGCTGGGGTTCAAATTTGGGTTCAAGTTTGGGTTTCAAGGTGCTGGTGGCTTTGGGAGTCGCTGTTGACCTCGTGCTTTTCGATTTGGCTGTCGACATCGTCGCCTTGGGTGTCACTGTTGAACTCCGTGCAGAGGCCCGACGACGCGCTTTAACAGGTGTTGGTGAGGTCTGCGGAGGCGCGCCAACAGGACTTAGTTTCATTTCATCCGGCGCGCCTGGACTGTCTGGTATACTTGGGTATGCGACCTCTGCCGGTGGGCTGGGTATTCCCTGCTGTTGCGAAGGTGGAGAGGGCCGTTCTTCCATACTTTCGGCCTTTGTGGATTTCTGATCTTCCATGAGTTCTCCTGGATGTTCTGGTTCTTCTGCCTTGACTGGTTCAGCCCCTAGGTCGAGTTCCGGCCCTGGTTCTGGCTCAGGCTGTCCTTTCTTCACCCTTGTCGACCGTGTGGTCTTGGTCTTTTTGATCTTTGTAGTCTTCGCTCGGCCTCCAGCTCCTTTCCGTTTACCTTTCGTCGTGGCAGTCGAAGCCGTGGACATTGTTGACATGACCGACATCTCACTTGCATCAATGGATTCTTCGAACTCCGGTATGTCGATGCTGTGCTCAACTTCTGATAGCATTGTTGAATTAGACTGAGTGGATAATCTTGTCGAGGCTTTGGATGTCCGAGATGTTCTTGATGCGCGACCTTTCTTGGCCTTTGGCCGTTTTGATGGCGCCGTGGTGCCGGCAAAGTGGAAGAACGGACACTCAGGAGAGCGGCGGTAATGCTCGTCGAAAGGGTTGTCCTTTGGTTCCCACCCATCTAGAGACAACTTGCAATACACGCAGCTGACAAAGTCGTCACTCTCTGGCGTGGGCGCATAGTGCCAGCCTGCTTCCACCATCTTCTCAACTTTGCATGTCCATCCGCGCTTGGATTCATGTGGCCACCCCAAAGCAAACGTACTCCTCCGCGCGTCCGTGATCTGTGGCCCTGTCGGGTCTTCCATGTCATTCGTGTCCCAGGCGGCATCCTGTCCAATGTTCATCAACGTAGCCCAGCCGCAATCGTTCGAGTGCTTGAGGTGTTCTTGGACTGGATCATCGTCGGGTTCCCATCCACCAAGAGCTCGTTCACATAAGAAGCATATGGTGTTATCATTGCTGGAGCTGGACGGTTTGAAGTAGAAGCCTGCTTTGGCGAGTTCTTCTGGTGTAGGTGTTTTGTGAGGCCACCCCAATTTTGAGCGCTTCGATGGCTTTTCAAACGTCGCCAGACGCGCCTCGAGCGTAGCGTATTCCATTGAGCCGGCTGTTGGTGGTAGAAGTGCTATCCGGCGATGGTTGACTCTCGTTGCATAGGACCCAAGTACGCTTTGTTTGTTGTTGCCGAATACGAGTTGTCGCAGCTTCGCGTCGGTCTTGGCAGATGACATAACCAGCAACTCGGCATACCTTCTATAACTACTTGTCTTCCTATAGCGGCCAATGTTCTGCCTGCATTGGGGTGTCTCACTGACGTAAGGGCGACTTCCGGCCTACACGTGTTCCTCAACGAAACAAACCGCAAACAACCTCGGAACACTCAAACAACACATCCTCTGCTGGTCCCTTACCAAGTAGCAACCTCGAGGATGGTCGCAACCCCGAGGCCAACCATCCGATCACTTCCAAAATGTCCATGCGAGTTGTGCCCAGTGTCTTGGGCAAAAGAGGGATTCAGGACCTCTGCGGGACGCACACGCGCTTACCCTTGCTCGTAGCCTCCAGACGGCTGCCTTACATTTACGGTGCTCGCCATTATGCCAGTACCGAACAAGAGGGCAGACGGGAGGATACGGGACCGCCTCCGGGCTTCGACAGTTCCAAAGCAAGCCAATCCTCCAGCTCAACCTCCCTTTCCAAATCCAATTCTGCCTCGAACAGTGCCAACTCGTCCCAGCGAGAGTCTTCCTCCTCCAGCTCTACCAACTCTGATACTTCTACTTTTCACGTCCCTGACTGGGAGGAGAACCCAGACCTCAGTATATCCAAGTTCTCCGAGCTACCCGGGAAAGATTTTGGGGTCAATCAACATATTCTTATAAATGAAGAGTTCAAGGAAGCGTTGCGACAAATACTCTGGAAATTCCGGGCGCCAATCAGATATGCCTTTGCGTACGGTTCGGGCGTCTTCCCTCAGAGCTCCAAGCAAGAGGACGGGAACTCGAACCTCCATCCATCGCCGCCCGAAGCAATTGCCAAAGTGCAGGACGGCAACCAGAAGATGATTGACTTTATATTTGGTGTTTCATACTCGCAGCACTGGCACTCTCTGAACCTGCAAGAACATCGGGATCATTACTCGGCCGTTGGGTCTTTGGGATCATACGCCGTCTCCAAGATCCAAGATTCCTTTGGTGCAGGGGTATACTTCAATCCGTACGTCACAGTGAACGGTACACTGATCAAATATGGCGTGGTCAACTTGGACACTCTGTGTAAAGACCTTTCTGAGTGGAACACTTTGTATCTGGCCGGCCGGCTCCAAAAACCCGTCAAGATCTTGCGAGACAACCCGGCAGTACGATTGGCGAACCAGGTGAATCTGATTGCCGCCGTGCGCACAGCTCTTCTCCTTCTCCCGCCCGAATTCACCGAACAACAGCTCTACTCGACCATCGCGGGCATCTCATACATGGGAGATCCGCGGATGAGCATTGGCGGAGACGATCCAGGCAAAGTCAACAACATAGTCAAACACCAGCTGTCCAATTTCCGCCGTCTCTACGCGCCGTTGATCGAGAACCTGCCGAACATCTCTTTCATCGATTCCGCCACTTCCAGACGCGACTGGCTGGAAGATCCCACGGTCAATACCAAGCTAGCTCAAAACATGGACCCCGTCACGCGAGGCCACATGGTCCGCCGCCTACCCAGCGCCTTCCGCCAGAAACTGTATTTCGAGTACCAGTCCAAATTCAACATCCCGCGCGGCGAGTTCCAGAAGATGCTCGAGCAGACCAAAGACGAAGACCCGGACCGGATCCGCAAACGGCAGGGCGGCCCCTTTGAGCGACGCATTGCCGAAGACACCGAGGGTGGTGGACTACGAGAAGAGGTCCGGCAGGTCATTGAATCGACCATTCGCTGGCCCAGTCTTATGCAGACCATCAAGGGACCCATCACGTCGGGCTTTGCGCGTAGCTGGCGCTACATAAAGGAGAAAAGACTGAAGGCGAAAAAGGGAGCGCTTGCTCTCAGTCAAGAAAAGAAGAATAAATGAATTACCTAGGGTATCAGATCTTGATTCCTCCCCGTCATGGGTCGTGTGGAATATGAACATTGGATACTCCCACTGGCGGTATCAGATGATCATTTTAACGAAGGGAGCAGGGGCTCCTCTAGTTATCTTGATTGTATCGGAACCCCAAGTGGTGCTACTGGGACTGGTAGAGAGAAAGTCGAGGAGCAGCTACTTTCCTGCCCTCCGGCTGACCTAGAAAAGTCGAAAATGGCTATACTATTTGAACAAATTGAGGCAGACAACAGATCTTCCATTCTCGTTCGAATTGCCGTTGGTGCTCTCCGCTGTATACAGTGCTTCGTGAATTGGGGCGTGCTACCTAACGTGCAGAAGGGCTCGTCTGCATACTAGTACATGCAAATTGGTTCTTTGACAGTGTTTACTCGGACAAGCAGCAGAGGATTGACCATGTCCATTGCCAGTGCCTTGGTAGACATGGTATGCATAATACTAGTACAACGTAGTACAAAATATATTTATTAGGACCCGAAGCCTAAGGCATGGCTGACTCGGAACTTGAGGTACGACATTCAACCACGAGTAACTATAGGTAAGGAATACAAGCCGCCCTTCAGCACCTTTCTCCTTCTCTTTTTCTCCTTCTCTTGCGTGACCAGAGTCTGTCCAAGTTCAGTTCTTGACTCTCTGTGGCCATGTTCCTATTTCCGTTACTGTTACTGTTTCTATTTCGCTTCCTCTCCCCTCAAAGTCCATCCTCGGACCAATTTCCACCCAGCTTTCCAGAGCACGTAGACCGGAATCCCCACGCTCCAGAAATACACGGCGGACCGGAGATAACTGGCACGCTCGCTCTGGACGGTCATGTACAGTATAGTGTATAGGGCGCGCGCGCCACGAGATATTCTCCCGCGCAGACGTTGAGCTCTTTGGTGTCGAGATTGGTGTAGATTCCTGCGATCTGGAAGGTTCGTAGTAAGTTGAACAATGGTTAGAGTCGAATTCTGTCCTTGATTTTGGTCTCAATCCAAGAGAATGAGAATGGAAAGACTCAAAAGAAAATTGAAAGAGAAAGGGTAAGAGAAAAAACGAAGAGATACATACCATGGCAGCCGCAAACAGGGGAAATCCTTCCAACGCATTCAAATGACACCTCCTTGCTCGCCAGAGCATATCGGCCGTCTGTTTGGGTAGTGTCGGGCCCAGACGTTCCAGATTCGCCCTGGGGGTCATGTTGGAGGCGGTATAGATTGCCGTTGTGGCGGTTGTGGGACTCAAAGCCATGAGTTTCGTGAAGAGGTAGATATGCGGCGGATAAGCTAGGGCATAGGAGATGGGGATGGCGTGGAGGGCGAAGGCTGGGGTTGAGAAGTATGGTCTTGGTGCGCACGATGAAGATAGGGATGAGGAGGGCTGGGAGGGTTTGGAAGAGGGGGACAGAGACATAGATGACGGCATCGTCGGGTATATATATGTGCAGAGGTGGACAGAAACTTGAATGGTTGAGTTGAGGGCGATAACGATGGTGGGAGTGTGGAAGAAGGGATTGTAGATGAGTCCCGTCCGATGGGAAGAGAAGCTTTGCGTTTCGAAGGGAGGGAAATGTTGGATTGAATTTGGATTTGACCCTGGGCTGGTAGGTAGGTAGGTAGGTAACAAGACAACAGGGAAGAACATGAAGTAGAGGAGAAGAAGAATAGTAAAGACGAAGGAGCAGAGAGTGTCACGTCTTGTCTTCGTTCAGTATCACATTTTGCATCGCATAACGTACATCTTGAGTTGGGGAGACCTCACTGGTCTGAGGCCATAACGTTAAGGTAGGTAAGGCCGCGAGGAAACCGTAATAATAGCAGACCCGAAGAGAGAGGACGAGAGAGGAAGAGAGAGAGCATAAGGAGGAGGTGTAAGACAATTGCATGAAGAGCGACCTTTCAAACCCCATGTCATGAACATAGGTAAGTTCGTCTTCGACTCGTAATCCCAGCCATCCCTGAACAAATGATCATATCGGGTCGTGCTCGAACAACCAGAACTTTGCAATGGCTCGTAACTCATGGTGTTTTCCTCTCTCTCTCTCTCTGTGTCTCTCAATCTAGCGAGAGACGACTCCAGCACCTGACACCTCCTTTCTAGGACGGCATAGTGAGATCAGATAAGCCCACCCTTATCATTCTTTCCCTGCCTCTCCGATCGAGTAAAGACCTCTTTCGAAGTCAAGTTACCCACGCCTTCCAGCAGACCGCCCTTGCCAAGTTGGCCGCCGACACCTTCATTGACGCCATCCTGGATCGCATCAACGTTCTTGTCGCCAGTGATTTTGGTTTGGCCGAGTTTGTCTACTCCCCACAAGAGAAGACGACAAGGTCAGCTTTGGGTTCATCAAATATAATTACTTTCAGGACTGTGAAGAAGGGAATGGCCCAGGTGACGGATGACGGTGGCGGTGTGGTGTCAATGCCCGTCTCCATATTCGGCCATTCATACATCTTCATCCGTTCATACATCCCATCCCGTACATTGATGATTGAACCATTGTAGCCGTCAAGAATCGAAAGAAAAGACAAACATACCTTTCGCAACATAGCTGGTCTTGTTGTCACCCCACCATCCAAGCACTTTGTCTTCGACCCACGGCACCCAGGTCTCGTATTGCTTGTTATACCAATTCTTTGCGCCGTCCATGGCTGGCGTGAGAGATTGATCGGAACTTGTTAACTGCCAGGTAATGGCAGTGCAGAAGAGGGAGGAGACGCAAAGACAGCGCAGTGGACAGTAGAGGCGTCAAGAGTAGAGATCAGGGAGCAAACAGGGATCTGTTCTTGATTTGCGTCGTTAAAGTCTAGGGGGAGCGTTCGTAGTTCGACTCGGAGTGAACTGTAAGGGAAATCGGTTGGGAAGTCTGCTCAGTAAGGTACGACAGGTAGAGGGTCTGGCTATGCTAACAACTATTTACCTCTGTGATGGACAATGAAGTTGAATTTGTCATAGTACAAGTGGTAAGAAGACGTGGATATCGGGCACATTGGCAAGATGTGGCAGGTACTATGATGCAGTGATGGATGATGGCATCATGGGAACACATCGAGGGGCCCTACAACCATGACGGGACTCGTGGCCACTGCATGTGGCACTCACTTGCAGTGCTTGAAGCCCAAGAAGACCAACTTGAAGGTACAAGGGTGTGAGAGGGTGTGGCTGGTACGTCACCAGTAGGTGTCCTTCTGGCAGCACAGGGTACCTAGACTCTGATGAGTCAAGTTCATTACTAGTAGGTCTGGTCCTGAGTGGCTTTGCCATGCCCACAGGCTGGATAGCAGGCGGTGCATGCGCATGAGCCAGGCAGTATGCGCACAAGTCATCGACTTTCCCAGTTCAAGTTGTGACAACAAGCTGACCAGAAGTCGACAGGAGTATGACGTAGTATGGACGAGGATGACCCTTGCTGACATGATTGAGAGTGCAGGGATTTGGTGATCGAGCGAAAGACACCTGCCAGTGGTAGAGAGGAAGAGAGATGACAGAGCAGAATTGGCATTTCACTACAGAGCGACTACTAGAGACTACTTAGGTAGGTATTCATTGAACACCTTCAGTAATACTAATACTAACAGTACAAAGTACACGGAGAAGAGATATAGGCTCAGCCTTCCCCTTACCTCCAGTCTGAGATCAAGTCATATCCGCCGCCATGCAGTAATCAATCCGTAAGCAGGAGAAATGAAACTACATCGCCTTTGTATATATCTATCATAGCATAGCAGTCTTTGCAAGACCAGGGCCTGTCCTGGCTATGCTTTCTTCACCCGGCCAGAACATCTCCACGCGTTCTCAGAGCTTGTCGTGTCCGCGCAAAGATGGAGATCCCCTTGGCCAGTGCTAGAGATCTTGTGGCCCGTTCCCGTCCTCAAGTGATTCTTCCACAGACTGCCCTCGACAGTTTGTACTAGTCTTCTTGCACCAGCGGTACCAGTGCATTGCGTGAGAAGTCCGGCATGGTGATGGATCGATGGGAGCCCAGCATCCAACAAACCTCTGAACGCAGGCGACTGGTGTAACGTAAGTAAAGAGGATCTAGGGGAGAACTGCCAGGATTGAAGGTCGAACACACAACATATGTAGGTAGGTAGGTAAGTCAGGTAGAACTTGGTTTCCAACTTGGAGACAAAGTTGAAGTTGGGCGAGATTCGAAGAATATGACACGCCACGTGGTGATAACGATAAGCATGTGACGCATCACGTGATGAGGCACTTTGAGCCGTCGGCGTTGTTCCGACTCGTCGCCGGCCATTGTCCGACTCGCTTCGTTGCAGTGCACTCGACACCAACCACTGGCAACCTGGAACCTCTCAAGACTGCCCGTTACAGCTTTTGCCCCAACTTCCACTCCACACTGCACTGCATTTCCTCCGGCTTCACCGCGGCGTATCTGCCGACTCGGAGCCGGTGGCGGCTCGGTCGACATTCAACCTTGAGGCCAAAACAACTAGTGAAATGAAAACAAGGGAGATATTGTCCTTTACGCAAAGGTTACTTGTTTGTTCCCATATCCTACTGTGCTTCTCAAGAGTCCTTCCTATTCTCATCGCCGGTTATATCTCACGAAGGGTAAAACCGAATCAGCTGTGAAGCCACTCTTTCCATCCGCTCCGCACAGGAATAGAGCAGCACGCCTCTTGTCGGACGGCTCTTACAATTCTCTAGCTGACATCAATCTGTGCTTCACAAATTCCGTTTCCGTTATCGAACGAACATTTATTCCACAATGGCGGCGGCAACATCTTCTTCAGATCCAAATTCAAAGTCAAATTCATTACCCCAAGTGGGTTTCATCGGGCTAGGAGCCATGGGCTTCGCCATGTCCACTCACCTGGTAAAGACCGGGTTCCCAGTGCGTGGGTACGATATCTACGGACCGACGTTGGACCGATGGCAGTCGACGTGCAACGACATCCCCGGTTCCAGGGCGACCATCGCAAAATCCCCGGCGGACGCGGTCCAGGATGTTGCGGTGGTCTGTCTGATGGTAGCGAACCATCACCATGTGCATTCGGCCCTGTTCGACGAGAAGAATGGAGCTGTACATTCCTTGCCCAAGGACTGCACTGTCATCGTGCACGCCACGATCCCTCTGACGCAACCGCTGGCAGTGCGTTCCAGGTTGACGGACGAGTTCAAGCGGCCGGACGTCAAGCTGATCGATGTCCCGGTTTCCGGAGGAGTGGCTAGGTCGATCAACGGCACTTTGACAATCATGGCCTCGTCCGATGACCCGAAGAACTTGGAACAACCAGATGCAAAGGTCGTTCTTGACAACCTCACCACAAAAGGCAAAACCCTGTTCATCATCCCCGGCACTCTCGGCGCCGGTCAGTCGGCCAAGGCCTTGAACCAGGTCATGGCGGGCATTCACATCCCGTCCGCGTCGGAGATCATGGGTTTGGCGGCCGTCAACGGTTTGGACACCAAGAAATTCTACGACTTCCTCGTGGCCAAAGATTCGGCAGGTAAACAGCGTCCAGGCTGGAGTTGGATGTTCGAAAATCGCGGGCCCAGGATCTTAAGCACCAGTCCGCCACTGGCATCGGCGACTGCCATCATCAATAAGGACGTCGGCATCATTCAGGACGAGGAGGCAAGATTGGGAGTCGAACTGCCGTTGCTCAATAAAGCGAGCGATGTTCTGAAGGAGGTCATGAAGACACACGCCGCTGCAGACGACAGCTGTGTCGTTCAGTGGTACCTGGGATTCGACTCGGATCGATCGAATCTCGTGGTAGAACGTGGGGGCAAGCCCACAGTCGCCGCCGAGCAGCAAGACGCCTTGATCAAGAAAGTCGCCACCGCCCATGCGATTGTTCACCTCATTTCAGCCTACGAAACAATCAAGTTCGCCAAAGCTCTCGACTTGATGCATGCGGACCAGAGAAAGCAGTGGTACAATATGATTGCTGGTGCGGCTGGCGGGAGCGCCATCTTTTCCGCGGTGATTCCACTGGCATTTGAGGACGCCGACGGTGTGGATGCCGCCTTCAAGAAGTTCGCAAGGGAGAGGTTCACAGGCGACCTGGACAATACGGTGAGTACTCCTGGCTGACGCGTTGCAACACACATCTCCATTTCACTGTTTGCTAATGACCATCTCCAGATCTCTCTCATCAACCATGCAAAAGAACAGAATTACCACCCTATCCTACTTGAAGCGGCAGTCGAATATCTCAAATCATTTTTGAGTTAGTATACCATCCGGCCAAAATTTGCAGCCTTCCGCGCTGGCCCTGGTGTTTGCCCTTGAGAATTGGGCCTGCTTCTATGTCCACAGGGTTGATTGGTAGGAATGGGCGCTGTTTTCTGCCAGTCTGTATAGCATCATATACCCGGCCAGCTTACCTGCACGTGTGCACTCAAACTATCGAAACCGTTATAAGTATGAGTAAGAGTGACTGTTCCTTACCGTAATTTCATTGCGTGCGGCCTGTTCCCGGCTGTACGTTAAGCCGGCATACTCTGTCATTGACTCCTAACCATTGCCGTGCTCACGCTTGGAACGAGAACCAGGCTCGAGCAGAAAGATATTCTGCGGACGAAGGAGCTGGCTGCCCCTTTACTTACTGCGATTGATGGCAATGTTTTGGGACAGACTTTCTCAGAACCCGTAGCTCGCTGGGAGCCAACCACTTTATAGCTGAACAAAGTGGTCTGTGTGAGACGCTCCGATCGTGATCAACATAAGGAGGCTGGTAGCCCTCGAGTTCAATCTTGTTCAGTTGCTCGTGTGGGAAGCGTAGGCCCGAGCTTTTACCCAGGTTCATGGCCAGGGACCGGCTCCCAAGGGGCTTGTCGGGTCAAGAACAGCCTGTTGGACCGTGCTTTGACGACTCGCTTCAGGGGGCTTCGCTGTGGGCGCACCGCGTTCTGAGGCAGATTTCTCGCCTTGTTGTTTCCACGCCCCACCGTAATCATGCGTGGAGGGACGAGTCGACAACGGCACAAGAGAGGAAGGGAAACTCACCGGAATGGGGGCCGGGCGAAGTCTCCAGTTATGGAGGCCAGGGTGGCTGGCCTCTCCGTTGGTGGAGCTTAGCTGACAAGCAGATGTCGATCTATTCCGTAGATCTGGCTGTGATGTCTTGCAGCTGTGCTGTGGCTCCCGGTCAGGGGTTGTCAGTCTCGCAATTCTTGATGCGTAGTCCGTGTTCTTGCCGTCTGACTTGACATCGAGGCATATCCCCGCCGTCCTCCGTCCTCGGTCTGGCCGTGGACGGTGCTGGGACACTGAGAGATGGCATGGTAGAGTGCTCGACACTTATGTCGGTCATATCGTTGCCCGGTCATTGGCTCCATCATAGAGGCACTCGACTTCTGATCTGGAACCAATGGTGCGGCAGGTCTCCCATGGACAGACACTTGTGAGACGTGGTCCCTTAACATCGACTGGGCTCGACAGCTTTGCGTGGCTGCTGGAGGAAAAACATCTATGGTTTGCCAGGAGCAGCATCAGTAATCCTACACTAGTCCACGTAGCTCTTCTTCAATGCTTGTCGAACATGTGTGGAAGTCTTGTTAGCCCTGATAGAATAGCCCAAAATGACTGCATTGTCATCGATCAATCACCTGAAATGTTGGCCAATCGTACCTCTGAATGACAGAAAACAGAGCTTCTGGTCCGTGCTCCAAACGACTCCTCTTTCTTCTTGAACGCATAAAGCCAGCATACAGAGTGCAGCGACCCTGCAAATGGATGGTTCTTCTGTGCTGATCTTGAATCGTTGAATTGGTTAGAGTCGTCCCGCTCCGAAGCGCTTCTTGCAGGGATAGGGCCATCTTCTCTAGAATAGGCAATTATCGGAACGAGTCCCAACAACTGGGAGACATTTCCGTGTCCCCACTGAAGGATCTTCGGTGGATTTGGCTGGAATTCCATATTTCTCAGAGATCTGCGGCAGCATTGGCGATCCCGGCCTTCGCCATGAGTACTGTAGGCCCACTCCGTGCTTTCTGACAAGACACGCCAAGTCCCCGAGGAAGACACATTCGAGAAGATCTAGCCGAAGGTTGAAGGAGTCCTCCCACTGATAGTCGTCCAGAGAGGGGGCAGACTTAAAGATCACGCTGTGGCATGTCTGATAGTGGCTAAGCACGTTATGGAGACCAGGTTTCTCCGCAGCCCAATGAGCAGACTTCACGGCTGGGTATAAGAGGTATTCCGAGGCAAGTCTTGATCCGCTAGGAAAAGAACATTGCAGTCATAGCCATAGGCGCTGACCCACCAGTGGGAGCTCGGGTACCTTATGTGTTTTGTCTGACGGCATCCTTGCAGCCCCATCAACCTACTATGCACCTCAGATGCTGATGCGAAGGTCAAGGAGAACGAGCAGCCGCTTCGAGGTGGGTTTCCGAAAGGCATGGTGGAGCTAGCAGTTGGTAGGGAGTGAGGACATGACGTCCTGGGCATTTTGCAAAACGCTGACAGCTCTCTATGATGACCTCCGTTTTAGACATCGTGCACGATTGCACACGAATCCGGTCGACGCTGGAGACCGCAACGGATTGGATGCCGTGGCAGTGGTATTTTGAGCATGCGATGTGGTTCTGGAAATGTTATTTGTTGGCGCTATTTACCAAAATATCGACAGCAAGGCTTGCGATTGAGGCCTCGTGGTCTGCAAAGGAACTCGTTTGAAGCGGGAGATCTCGGCCTCGTAGCCATACCATGCTCCATCGAACCATTTCTGGAAGAGCAGGACGTCTCCGAGCTCCGAGATCTGGAGAAGTGTAGGCACAAGCTTCCTTCGTATGTTCTTGTCAGCCAAGGCATGGGCAGATTTGGTTTCACACAAAGTCAAACCCGCCATTGATATACTTCTCGTCCTGCCGTCGGTCATTCCAGAGTCCACGAGAAGGCATTCCACCGCCTCGTAGAAGGGGCCGTGCTGCAGCTTAAATGAGAGTCTCCGACAATGTCGCCAAGGTAGGCCGGCTTTTGGTAATACCAAGCATTAAACACCATGAAGACTGGAACGAGAGGGACGTCTGTCTGCCTGCTACTTCAACTGAGCGCCGTATCCAGGTCGGGTTTCGGTCTCGGTGTCAGCTTCGTAAGGGGGGTAAACGGATGAGTGCTTGTCTCCCCACCGACCGTGAGACAGATTGCAAGAGACAGGCCTGCAGTGATGGGTGCCAGTTGAGTGCTGTAGAGGACTCCAGCTCCAACATACAATCATTGAATACTACTACCATAGATGCAGGTAGAGACCACTGGCGTGGCATTTCGAGGACTGCGGTGGGAGCTGCAAAAGCGCAGAACGATCTGATTGGTTCACAAGGCATGCAGCCTGGGCCGGAGTTCCGAGGTCGATCTTGGCATCAAAAGTACTGCAAACCGGAACTGGAACCGCAGTCACGTGGAAACCTGCGCCGGCGGTTTGGAGAACGTTTCAGCCTACGACACAGTAGTACTAGTACCACCAACTACTAGCCGTAGTAGCGAAGGGAAAAATGCTCACGGTGCGCAATCTGTTCAACCCACAGCGTTTCAGGCTTTTGGGCTTTGTTTGATTTGAGCATCTTTTAGCCTAAACAACGAAAGTTACGTGTACATTGTTCATAGCAATCTCGAACCTTCTGGTACTGGTATTTCGGATGTGGTGGTAGCCGTACCCGACGGGCGACCTGCCCACCAGGTACCTAGCTCTAGGTACGTACTCTGTATATCGTTAACCGAGAATTGCGCCCATGGGGTCCACCCCCCAAAGCCAAGCGTGGGCGTCGAGCATTGAGAAATTGCAGCGGCCCGAGGCGCAATCAACAAAGACACTCGGACCATGAGTTCCAAGGCACTGCACTGCACTGGCATCAGATGCGGAAATCCTGTCACCACGTTAACGGACCACAGACGATGTCCCAGTGCGGCTGTCATGTTTCATGTTTGCCGGGGACCGCGGTGTCTTGTGTGTCCGCGTCTGTGTGTCTGTGGCTTGTGCCTGGGGTCGTCGCAACGTAAGATCCAATTTCCACCGCACTCCACGACATCAGTCCTTCAAGTTTCAGAATGGCCTCCATCACCGGCGCAACTTCCGCAACCAAGTTGGCCATGGTCTGGAAACGGAAACCGTGGATGCAGCTTCGGCTACTTTCGCTTATTGTAATCCACATGTCATGTTCAAAATGGTCTAACCTAAGCTACCTACATATCAACTGACTGTGGCTGCCAGGAAACCGGGAGCCCGAATACTCAGAAAGCGCCCTCGCTGGTGCTGCCTCCACCGACCAACCTATCCACTGTAGCGTGAGGCATCGTGAGCAGGCTGGGACTGCTGCAATCTCTTCTACATTCCCTGCCAAATTGTTGCCTTCTGTTCCGGCCGAATGCCTTGCCATTCATGTCGTAAGCGACATTGCACCATCGCCATGGTGAATAGTCTCGAAAAGAAATCAAAACATCCCCGAGCATTTGACGAGACAGACCCAAGTTGGTGACGTGGCATGACATGTCCCAAGTTGGCCCGCAACCGTCCCCAAGTCGGAAAGAGGTGCCTGTAGAATTCCTCCCCAAAAAGATTCCAACGCAAAGGTGACATAGAACCGTCAAGCAAATTTGTAAGCAGTATCTTTGCCAGGTAGACCTCCACATGCAAAGATATTCGTCAACCGTGGTGTCAGTGTGCCGGGGCTCCGCCAATAATCTCGTGAGCGGAAAAGGCCAATCCATTCCACTCGGCTGTGTGGCCTTAGTGCCGAGCTGGTCGAGACTCATCTCCGAATGAACCAAGCAGTTTGCTCTACCGTGTTTCAGATTTGTACGCCTCGTACCGAAACGGATGGTCCTCGTTCGATCCACCAGGGGACGAGCCGGTGTATTGCCTTCTTGGACCGGGTCCCGGTCCACCCTGCTCGTCCATGCGTTGTTGACGACTGCTTGGGCGAGCCACATTGCGACCGCCAAGGTCCAGCTCGCGGGATGACAGGTCACTGTCCTGACGTGCATGACGTGAAGGTCGGACCCGATGCCCTGGGGACGGTTCTCGCTCACGGGACGAGCGAAACGATGCGGGTTGTGACGGGTCAGAATGTTGAGACGTGGGCGGCGCAGGTACTCCCTGCCCCCCGGTTGTTTTGCGCTTCTTGGGCGAATTCTGGTACTCTGATCGCAGATGTGAGCCCGCGCTCTGGGAGAACGGCGAGCCATGGTTGCTTTTGCCGGACGGCGTCGGAGGATGGTTTCCACCGGTAGATTGGTTGGGAGGAGTCCAGTGGTGAAAGAACAACCCCGGTCCCGATGACTGTTCGGACGACGCTGTTTGCGGCTGCGGTAAGGCCTGCCGGTTACTCTGGCTCGCCGAACTGGGGACGAATTCTGTAGTATTCAAGCGTGGAAGCGTGGAAGGTGGTGGCGGCGGACCGGATATCGAACTGCGATCTTGACTCGAGGGTTGTCCTGTTTGTGTGGACAGTGGTGCCTGCAGAACCTGGTGCCCTCCATACGGAACAGGTGGGATCATCCGACTGTCTCGCTGGGTGGGGGGCGACTGTTGCTGTTGCTGTTGCTGTAGCTGTAGTTGCTGCTGTTGAACCTGAATCTGCTGTTGCTGTTGTTGGTTCTGTATGCTGAGAGTGGCCAAATACTGCTGCGCCCATTCCAAGGTGTGACCAGGAAGATTCCCGCCTCCAATACCGGCAAAAATCAGAGGCACCATGGGAGGAGGAACGCCGCCCTGCAGAGATTCGCGCAACATGCTCTGCTCAATGCGTCTCTGGTCGAGACGCAGAGTTTCCTGGCGAGTCTTCTCCTCCTCTTGCTTCCGGCGATCTTCCTCGGCCTTTGCGTGAAGCCAGCTCCGCATAGAGTCATCCTGACCCGCCCATTGCGAGGGCGGAGCAGGCAAGTGGCCTAATGGGGCAGGTGCCGAGGGGTGACCCCGATCTGGAGGAGGGAGACCAAGACCGGCAGGTAGGGGCAAACCTCGATGGGAGTTGTTCATCTTCGACTCCTCGAAGAATGAGGATATATTGCGAGGAGACTCGGGAGGAGAGTATCTCGAAGGAACGGACTTGTTGTAGATAGAATAGTCATGAGGTGGTTTGATGTCGTTCTGCATGAGGCTAGGGGGCGCCAGAGCTAATGACATGGAGGCGGTTGTTCAGCGGTCGATTGGAGCAACGGAGTGGTATGCTGTAGCAGAACACGCGGAAGAAATGCCTGTGCTTGATGGTTTCTCTCTCCAGAACAGAACCGACCAGGGCTCGGTTGAGCGTTGTATATAGGAAGCCTTTGAAGAGTCCGAGCAGAGTTAATTGAGGGATGCTGTCAATGACGTCCGGGTTCGAGGGTGTAATGGTTTAGTCTCTGACAGTTCCAGGCCAGAGAAGGTCTGAGTGTTGCACGATGGAGAACGAGCCAGGTAGTTATGATTTGGAGCGAGGACCGGGCGTTTAGCACAACCAGGGTCTGGACTGTGGCTGTTTCCCAGATCTCCAGTCGATGAGATGAACCCTGTCGGAGCGACAAGACGGTGATCAGGCGAGGGTAGCCGGCAACAGCCTGTAAGCAATCCTATAGACCAGATCGGGTTCGTTTAGAGGGGAAGGTTACGTTGATGTTGAGCCGGATCGGGGTGGATGTGAGGCAGGGCGAAACGTTTGGCCAGGATCTGAAGACCAACCAACCCAGGGCAGAATTGTCTTCGACGAAGGCGCTGCTCAAGCCAGGTGGACCGGGATACAAAGAGGTCAAGCGTGGACCAAGAAGAGGTAGGGGTCGGATGGGTCCCTTAAGGACGTTTCATGGAGGAATGAGGGAAGCTGGATTGTTGTTGCCCTTCGCTAGGAGGGTGGAGGCGGTCCCTGCGGATGACGGCGGTAGGTGGGCTGGTGGTACAGGCTTTGCGGCGAGAGGCGCGGAGAGAGACAGGACCGGAGCCAACAGAGGAGAGCAGCAAGGACCGGGGGTGGATATGGTAGGGTAGGGTAGGTAGGGTAGGGTAGGGTTTGTCAGGTAAGGTGGTTGACAGACTGGCAGCAGTAGTAGTGCTAGAAGGTAGCAGGCGTAGAGAGAGGATGGACTCGATGGAGGTCCAAGAGCAAATCAAAGTACGAAGTGGCACAGTCCCCGTCACCTGGAACCTGGCACAAAATGACCGAAGAGAAGTAACCGTGATAACCATGGAAACTGAATGATAATAACACTAAAAAGAGCGGAACGAGAGGTATACAAGGTAGTTGAGTGTAGGAGGTAAGGTATGTTGTAGGGAAGATAGAAGATGGCGCGGCATAACAGACGCTGCAGCACATTGCAGTGTACGTACTATGTTACGTGGTACTTGGTAAGGCAAATGAGAGGCGCAGTTCAAGTTCCCGATCTACAACTACGGCGCAGGACATAACTCCCTCCATACAGCGCGCTTCGTGCTGGGATTTCCGTCACAAAGCCATACCTCAGCAGATACCAACTTGGAACTTGGCCGCAAGTACCAAGGTACCTGGCCCACGTACAAACGGCGAAGCTAGGTACGTTAGGTACCTAAGGTACATGAGGTAGGCTGATACTGCGGGTCAGATCCCACCGCTGTCAGGCCAAAATCCATACACGCCGTTTACAGTAGCGTGGTACTGTAATTATCCCAAAGCAGACCTAGAGCGCCTAAGCCTAGTTGGGAATGCTGCGCTCTCTGCCAGTCTCCAGTCTCTCATCATGAAGTGCTAAGCCATGCCAAAGGCGTAAACAGGGGAGTTGGCAACGTCAGGATGCTGGTCGACACCTACACCCCACGCGCGCGCCAGAAGGGCCTAGAGGACGACCGAAAAGTCAGTTGGGCAAAAAGCAGGGTCAAAAGTGAAAGACACCCGGTGGCAGGTCCATGGTACACCACAGCATTGCAAGGTTCAGGGGACCAGCAAACACGACAGACACCGAGAGGGTCAAAAGCCAACAAAGAAAGATATGACGGTGATACTCTCCTAGTCTGGCTGTCACAAGTCAGTCGGTCAGTCGGTCCGTTGCTGTGAGGCGTACTATAGACAAGTCAACGACGACTTTTCCCTAGGCCCAGAATTGAAAGAAGCAAGTACGTAGTATTCTGTCGTGGCTGACTGCAGCCAAACTGCGCCTTTTCCAATACCGACCTAGGTGTCTGGATCTTCTGCCTCAGGCTTCACCATCTCCGTACCACCCTGCACACAAGTAACTACCGTATCTGTACCCAGGAAGGCATGCAGATGAGCGAGCCTTTGCCACCCCTCATCATTCTTACCATGGTCATCCTCTTCCTAGTTCCTTCCAGCTCAGCTTCGAGAACATTTCGTCTCCGCCCCTCAATCGAGAACGCTCTCGGTTCACGGCATCCCAAAACAGTATGACCATATGAATCCACCTTCCTCCTTCAGCCGCATCCGAGATGGAGTATGATCAAGAAAGGACATATGAGAAGACCGAAAGGCACACCATCAGCTCTCCCGCGGGCGCTGCCTACCATAGACATCGGTCTAGCGATCTCTCTCTGTGCTCGAACTATTGCACGATCAAGCCCCCAAGGGACAGAGATCAACCTCCGCGGTTACGCTTGATTCGTGGTGCGGGCCCATCTACCCTGTCATCGAGTCGCTCCTCGGCTCGCAGCACCGGTTTCCGTGTATTTGGGGGGAAAATTGAATAATAAAATAACAACGTTCCATACCCACTGGGGAATTTGCTGATGGACTGGCCTGAAATAATCGACCAGCCCGACTGACGGCACGTCGGGGGCTTAGAATGATGCGGCCATGCTGGCCTGGCAGCTGGAGCTGGAGCTGGAGCCACAGCTTACGCTCTATTACACAAGCCAGGGGCTTGTTAGGCGCACTCGCCTTCCGCCTCTGCTGTCGCTGATGATGCCCGTCCGAGGGATGAACGGGACGATCTCCACGCCTATCACAGGCCCAAAGCATGCTACGCCATCACCTCTGATGCCTATCTTGTCTCCTTTGGGCTCACTGACACCAGCCTCCGGACATGCCAACAAGGCACTCCCGGGAAGCAAGCACGTTTTCTACGCCCGTCACATGGCACCCACCTGTGATCCATCTGTGGCATGGCAAACTCATGGCACCCCTGGTGCCACGAGTGCCACGAGCTCATATTACAACTCTGTGGCCTCCAAGATGTCGATCTTTTCTCTTTCAATCCAAAAACGGAACGTCGGCTTCTAGTTGAATTCGCCCTCTGTCGGTGTCCACGCCCGTGCAAGCAGTGCCTGGACTGTTCTGTTACGATGTGATGTGTCAACCGCAGAAAGCATCACGGTCCTCCTTGCGGGCACATCTATGGCTTTCTAGTTGTCGCTCCGGGCAGTCGGTTGCTCGGGCTCTAGAGCTGCTTCTGGGTGGACTCCAATACCAGGCCGCCCTGTTCGTTTACTGCTTACCACGGCCCTTCGCGTGTGCAAGGCGATGAAACAAAAGTGCGGATACAGCTTGGTACTGAGCCAGGTCTGTTTTACACAACGAGCAGTGCATTATTGTCACTGGCATCCGCTAGTGAAATCATCTCAACATAACTAAACAGACACGGCGGACGCCCCTTACATTCGTTGGCTGCTCGATCGGCGCCTATAGCAATTTCCAAGTCCAGCAATGCATTATATCGCAAGACACTGTAATTAAGCCCTTCACAGCAGACACTTTGTTTGGCCGAAGGTTCATGCTACCTAGTATTGCTTCGGCAAGTTCTCAATGCGTGGAAACTGTATGGCGCGTGGCCACTCTGCAGCCCTTCGACAGCGATCAAAGACCCCTTTAGTCCAGTATCGAATCTGCGATTCGTTGCTTGCATTCCTGCACCCACTGTACGCCGAGTGACTCTCATGTGCCACAGATACGCAGCATTGGACGAGAAAGGGCTGCACGCATTATCCAGCTTGTCATGGAGGATCAGTGACCCTGTTGGGTTTGGGGGGCCTTGGTGTCACGGCAGCCACCGAAAAAGTCGACGCGAAGGCCCGAATCATGATCGTGTTGGCAGAATTTGGATCATTGCATCAAGGGATGGCTTTGCCAAAGTTGTGGCAGCTGAATGTGGCATGCGATCAGCACAACGACGCACAGTTGCAACAAGCTTGTCTTCAACCATTCCCACGAATGCTCCGACCTTACTATTAGATGCTCAGGGACCGAACCCTCTGAACATCGAGCAAAGACACATGATGCGCGTCCTGGCTTGAAATGACACTAGACAACTGTGACGGCCTATAGAAGCAACGAAAAGATTCCCACAACCGGCATGGTCTCAATGCAGTACGCAGGATCCTCGCATCGCCGGACCGTTTCCAGCGAAATCGAGGGTCCAGCTCTCCCACAGGTAGCACAATCCTTTGGAAATTCTCCGAAGGCTTGCACCAATTATGAGCAGGGCAAATGCTTGAAACAATGACACAACAGGCATGACCTGTGGGCAACTGGAAGACCCGGAAGGGAGCTTGAAAGACTGCCCTCCCACTATTGTGACATCGCGACTGTGATGGTTTCAACGCTGACTTCGCTTCAATTCGTGGAAAACATGCAGCGTCCCAGTTCTTGCTTGCTTCGTACGGGCATTCCGTGTACGTATCCCTGGACGCAGACGGAGCACCCTTGCCTAAACGGGGCCGTCCGGCCAACCGCTTGACTTGTTCAGGCACTGGGTTGCTCTGATCCCACAGGTCGGGAGAATTAACCACGTCAGAGTGCATCTGCGAGAGCAGCCACACCACGCAATCTCAGCTGCTTCCCTGGTAGCCGCAATCTTTGGTTTCCTCAAGTTCCAAGATCGGTTCGGTGAACCTGCAGACCAGGCCGACCTCCACAGCAGAAGCTCGGCGGGACGGCGTGCACCCGGTGGCGTCAAAGGGCTTCTTGTAAGTGGTCCGGTTTGACCATCCTCGCCTAAAATCCTCCAGGCCCTTACCAAATGCGTGTTCGATTTGCACCGGAGGCTTCCCAGCTTGCTGGAGATCGCCCCGTCTGGTTAATTTCAATAACAAGCGAACAGGACCAAGTCAAGCCTTCTGGCCCAACCCTATGGGAAAGTGCTCACCGAACCATGAACCATCGGATGGAGCTCATGCTCTCCGGTAGTGACAACATTGCTTAGGTCGCTTACGGTTGCTGTAGGGCAATCACTGCAAACACGCCGACACGATATCATTTCCAATTCTTACAGTAGATACCGAAAGAGCCTCGGCCAACGTCGGCGCTTCCAGACCTTGACAGACACAAGATTGATGAGACCGCAAAAGAAGCCGGACGGGAACTGATACTTCAGAACCCCATGCTTTTTTCTGCCTGCCAGTCCAGGGTCTTTGTCGATTTAATACTGTTGTTGGTCACCTTGCAAAGAATTCAAAACCACTGCCGCAGCCTATCGCGTAAACCACCTGCAACACACCATGGGAAAAGCGAAGGGCAGGTCAAGTTACAGGCCTTCCCCTGGTCCCAATGCCTGTCCACCAACGTCAGCCAACCAAAAGTGGCACACCTGTCTCTATTGGCACGTTTTGATGTAACATCTCCGTTGCCATTTTCGGGAGGTCGATGATGCACCGATCTGGAGTTTCATCCTCTCACATTCCAAGCAAGTGTCCGCTTGACGTAGCCGGCGCCGTTTGCGGAGCATATCTCACCACGTACAACTCAAGGTCGCTCTCAAGGAGTTGCAGACACGTTTTCACCACATATCCATGGATCTACAAAACATGTGAATGATCCTCGTCACCATGTGCTGCTTGACACCGATCACAGCACGAGGGCGCAAGGATCTAAGCACGCGACAGTTTCCTGCTGGACGACAATCAACATCCGTTTCCTGTCCTGCAAACTTGCTGAAATAGCTTGCGCTTTGGTAGTGCACAGTTGGTTGTCAGAACGAGGTCAATGGCTAAGCCGATAGGACTACACTCCATGGCCAGACTAACCGGAGACTTCAGGGATGCGTCACGGCAGAGTATACAACTGTACCATCAGCCTGTTATTTGAAAAGTTTGGACATGCTTCAGTGATTATGTACCAAATCTCGGGATCCGAAACGCTTGGAGTGGTATACGCAACATCTATCCGCTGTTCTGCAATAATCGCCAAACGAATCCGGATATACCTTGGGATTCAAATTGTGAAGGGCCAGGGGGCTATTGCTTCGGCGCGGAAGGCTGGTCTCGTCTCCGACATTGCTGCAGCCACTGACTTCACCCGCCCAGAGACCCCTTTTTACCCTTAAGAAACTCTCAAGAACCCTACAATGCAGAGTTTGGCGTGGGTACCAATTGACGCGTTGGATGAAGTCACCATCAAGGGTCGTTGCTCGCCACTTGAACCCTCTACCTACGGGACATGTGTCCCGGTAACATACCTTAAGCCACCAATGAAAGTGCATTGAAACGGTTACTCTGGGCAGGATAACCTTTGACAAACTAGATACATGGAGGCTGGGAATGTTCGAGACCTTTGGAATATATTTCAAGGACCTCACCAATGCTTGGTCCTCGATCCAGACACTCTGTCCGCGACGGCTTCTCCTGCAGACACGACACCGTTGCTTCTGTCCGGCGTGTATGCCACAATTGCCATTGGTTGCTGTCTTCATGGAAGAGCACACAGCCCACCGGCTAGAAGTATGGATATTTACCCCTTTGTGATCGGCGCCTTCTCATTTATCTTCGCTTGTCAGTGGTCGATAGCAGTGTCGATCATTGCACGTTTCTCCAGGGATTCAGTGAGCTAGACTGTTGATCCTACTTGCTGCCACGAGGTCCAGAATGTCAAACACGATCAGCATGCTGCCCAACGTGTCGTTATTCTGCGATATGGTTTTCGAAGTCTGCCTCGAGGCGAGGAGGCCCGATTGATGGGTCCTGTCTCCTAGCGAGCCGTCGAATCCGGAGATCGGGGCTCAGGTCGACCCTTGGAATGACTGACACCCTATAGCAGTCCTCCCAAACCCAACTTCGAGAGGTATGGGTGTCAGCGGCGTTGTGAGATCGTCGCCACCGGTTTTGATCGGGGCATTGCTAAACCTGCTGGTCAATGTTGTTCAGTCAGAGAGCCCTTGCAGTTCGACCAATCTGTCCAGGTCACTTGCCGGCCTGGATCCCCAGAGACTCAAGACCACGAAGTGATGTCCCATGGCCTTCTTTGCCAGCTCAGGGAACAAAGACTGCTGTTGCTTGCAAGCCCTTTGCTCCGCAGCAAGACTGTACAAGGTCGGAAGAGCGACCACTATCCCTCACACCTGGTTCGATGTCTCAGCAAGACAGTCTCATGACGGGTTTTCATGCTATATTCGCATACAGAGCTGCTTGTTCACCCGTGAGAGCCTACACAGACAATAGCCTTCCCGACCTTCTCTTCCTCTGCGTTCGATTCTTGTTGCCCGGCCCAATCGACCGTTAAAGCACTCTGGTCATGGTAACCTAAGTCACAGGTATTGCATGAACACCATGTTCGAGGGCTCTTTCGTGATTGCGAGAGCGTCCATGATATCTGTCATCTGCGCTCGTGAGAGAGTGAACACGCTGATGCCTCTTGCCGCCCTACAGCATTGTCTCCATCCTTCAAACGTGGATCTTTCCTGAGATCCGATGGGCACCAAGACTATCCATCTGCTTCGAGGTGCATAGCGAGTCCGAAGTATCCCACAGGAGAATACATGGCAACGTTAGGTCTACTTCGGCGAGAAACGCTATGCGACCAGGGCCGGAGTGCTGGCTGACTTTGCATTCATATGTTCTTGTCAGGACGCACCCAATGTCTTTTCGTGCTCGATGCTTTCAGTAAACATTACAAGACGTCGCCCCAGTCAAGCCTTTTGCGGTACCTGAAGACATGGGACCTTGGGCTAAGCCTGTCCAGTGTTGAGCATCTGAAGTTCCACTTGAACATGATCACTCATATTACCAAGTCGAGTGTGAGTTTGAACCACAGCTGATTATGGCGTGAGTGTGGGGGTACCACTCCTTCCCTCACCTCATCCCTGGTCTCATAAGCACTTACCTCGTCTGCCGGCCATCCCAGATATTGCATATGCACAGCACGGTAACAATCGTGCCAGTCCTTTTGACGCTCATCTGCAAAGGCGAGCTTGGACGCAGCAGAGCACACATTTCGAGACGGAACCTCGAGTTCTTAGGGTCAAGTCTATGCTGTTGTTTCAACGTCCCATCCCCAATCTTGAAGTAGCCGACAAAGATGTCGACACCTGTATGTGGCGCGGGTGCTAAGACACATGTGGTGGTGGTCATCTCGCATTCAACACCTCGTCTCCTTGTTATTGCGTACCATGCTGATCCAGGTACGCGCGAACATAGCAACGTGGTCTGCCCTCCAGCGAGGTCCGTCGCCAAAACAGATGGCACGCTGTGCCAGAGAGTGTGCCAGTGGCATCAGCAGGTTGGTGTGTGCCTCTTGCCTAGCACGTAGTGCGGCCTGAAAGGAGGCAAACTCATAGACCCCCATGGTGCGCTCAATGTATCTCTCGATGTCCATTGCCGACCACCATTGATCCATCCTCACGCCTCTCTTTCGATGATCTTCAAAGACACGCCCCTGAAGGAGTTCCCGCTTGACGGCGTCGGCGCCGGGATTGTCTCGGCGCATGTAGCCCAATCTACGGAACTCGATGCGTGCTTCCACCATGGCAATGATGTAGTCGAGATCATGTAGCGGCATCGAATGACGGAGGGCGAGATCAAACAGACGACGTGCGCCTGAATTGGGGGGCAATGAGCGGGGGTAATCTGCCTCGGAATCCTGCTCGGGCGTGAGGCTGGCGGTGGTGGTGTTGAAGATGGGAGTGAGGGCTCGCTGCTCCATAATGTCCTGCAGGTAGGTATACCCCAGGTCCAGACAGGCCCAGGCGATGTGGCCTGCAATGGTGTATTCTCCACGGCCGAGATAGGGCGCAATGTCAATGGGTGGCTCGAAGTTTTTGAGGAAGCGGTCGGGGTCTATCCAGACTCCGTAATCGAATCGTGGGCTCATGCGTCCCGAGCGTGTCTGTGTCTGTGTCTGCTGGACAAGTGCTGCTTCACTGTCAAGACTGCTCAGAGGCGACCAGTTCTGGGGCTTGTGGATGATGTTCTCCGAGGCCACAGCACCAGGACTATCTGTAATTTGCCAGTCGACACCGAGATTCGTATTCATAGGCCCCTCTGGAAAGGGAGTGTCTGTGGGAGTGTCTGAGGGAGTGAGACACGTCGTGTCTAGTCCTACAGCCTTCGCCGCCTTTGTGATGGCTACACTCAACTGCGCAGGGTCGTGGACCCGGGCTGCATCCACAATCTCGCCGACGAGGCGTTTGAGTTGTTCATGGTCATGCTTCAATTTCTGCGCACTGTTCGATTGTCTTTGCCTGAATGCACGCTGCGATTCTTTGGCACGATCCCGGCGACGCTATAGAGCACATGGCTAGGTGAGTAACGCGGGAGAAACAAATGCGATGAGATGCGGACGAAGACCCATCGACTCACGCGTAATTCTGCTTCTGCATCCTCCATAGCGACTCCATTTCCATTTCCATTTCCATCTGCTCGGCGCGACCTGCCTGGATTCATCTGGCCTGCGACAGGCATGGCATCGCGATCTCCAAGCCTCGGAGACCTAGGGATTGCTTACTAGTACGACGGAATGCTATGTGATGTTATGTGATGTTGGTCATGAAATGAGTGAGTAAGTGGAAGAAAGTCTTCGTCCGGTCGAGTCGCGACCACCGGACCGGAGGAACAATTCCCCCGATCACGTAACACTACCAATATAACAAGCACAGACAACACAGACGACCGCCATCGTTGCATGAAGAGACTTGCATTTGTCAACTCATTCGGGACAAGGACATTAAAAGGGCCAAGATGCCAGGACATCTCATGTTGCGTGCCCTTACAATGTCGAGTCGAGTCAGTCTACACTTGTCCACGCTTAGTCCACCGAGACAGAGAGAAGTATAGTTAGTACCTTTCTACAACATGGCGGACACCAAACCATCCAGCGGCAAACGCACTGTCCTGGTGACAGGCTGCTCAGACGGCGGCTGCGGCGCAGCGCTCGCCATCGCCTTCCACAAAGCCGGGCTGCACGTCTACGCGACGGCGCGCAACCCGGCCAAGATGAAGGAAGTGCAATCGCACGGCATCGAGACGCTCACGCTGGACGTGGTATCGGAGTCATCCATCGCAGCGTGCGTGGCGCGCCTCCCCCAGCTCGACATTCTCGTCAACAACGCCGGCGCGCTATACAGCATGCCCATATCGGACCTGTCGATCCCGCGGGCGAAACAGCTCTTCGACCTCAACGTGTGGTCGTTCCTGGCCATGACGCAGGCGTTTCTGCCCCTGCTGCTGAAATCCAAAGGCATGATCGTCAACCACACGTCGTCGGCCTCGGTCTTGACCATCCCGTTCCAGGCGACGTACAATGCCTCGAAAGCCGCCATGGCCATGTACTCGGACACGATGCGGCTGGAGCTGGCGCCGTTCGGCATCCGCGTCGTCGAGCTCAAGTCGACCAGCGTCGCGTCCAACGGCTTCAAGAACCAGCAGGACGTCGCGACGCTGCCGAAAGGCTCCATCTACGAGCCCGCTCGCGAGGTCGTCGAGAGGACGCTGTGTGGCGATTTCGCCGCCGTCGAGGTCACCGCTGACCAGTGGGCCGCGGAGGTCGTGCATGATCTGTTGAAGCCGACTCCGCCCCAGACCATCTGGAGGGGCACCAAGGCTGGTATGGCGAAATGGGCGCACTATCTCGTGCCCGCGTCGCTGTTGGAGTCTATGATGGTCAAGATGACGGGTATGGATGTCGTGGCTCGCTTGGTCCAGGGATAGTGCACAGAGAATATCTTTCAAGTTGTTTCGTTGGATAAAGAACCGTCGGTATGGACAGTAAGGGACCTAGCTAATCTGGGCATGTTATTTGGTCTCCCTACTGCATCTAGGACCATGTACTGTAGAATTCATACGAATTTCAATTGCATCCTTCCTTATCCCTCCTTCCACTAACCATCTCGAAGCTGTTTGGAGCTGCGTCCTGATAGGTTCCAACATGTTTGCGCGATTTGGCAGACGCCCATCCCCCGCCGTGTCTGCTGACAATGTCGAACAATTTCCTGACAAGGGGAGACGAAAGCATGCAGCTTCGTGAAACGGCAGAAAGGCGCAAGAAGATGATAGAGGAAGCTGGTGGAAGGAAACCTGGAGTCTCTCAAAACAAAGTCTATGGTTATCAGTATAGTATGGAACACACCCGGACTAGATACCTATGATCAATAGGTACATTGCTAGGCTAAGGTAAAGAGGGTATCTAAAGCATAACAGCAACAAAAGGCCACACGTATTGATCGCTATTAAGAGAGCCCGATACTGAAAGATCAATAGAAAGATAAGCAGCCATCTTCGATCACGTCCACTCTGAATAAGTAGTTGGTAGACGTGCGTTGCTGTTCCCGTTCCTGTCCCTTTATGACATGAGATGCACAAAGGGGTACCTAGGTAGGTAGTCCAAGAAGATATGCTGTTGAATAGGCAGTATGCTTGCTCCCAGAAAAGCCGATATGAAAAATCAAGATTAAACGGCAAGAAAGAACAGTAGTACAGAAAAGAAGACCATAAAGTGTTGTTCTTCTTTTGGGGAAAGATGATCCTGTATCCCACAAGAATCAATATGAGTCTGCTCTCCGTCGCTTCCATCATGGCCAAAGATATCACGCCCCAAGCAATGACAACGGCAACGGCAACGGCAACGGCAACAGCCACAGCCACAGCAGCCGGCCTTCGTGTCGTACGGGGCCAAGAAGAAACAGAATCTCGAAAAGAAGAAAAGATAGGGCAGACACAGCTACCCGCGCTTTCTGGATCTCTGTCCGTCGTGTTGCTTCTGGTGCATATTCCACTCTGCCTTGGCGATGCGCATGAAGAGGTCTTCGTCTTGAATAGGGATCCACGATGTGAGCACCTTCATGGCGTTCTCAAAGTCCGATTCCAGAAGGATGTCGCGCATACCGTCGATCAGGGCGGCCGAGGCGGCGTGCAGGACGTCGAGCGTTGTGCCGAACGACGGTTCGTGGTCTTCGTTTCCAGCGTCTCCGCTCACAGGCTGGTGGATTCCATTCTGTGAAACGGGCTGTGGCGCCGAGGGATGGGAATCAGTATTGGAGTAGGTGTTGGCGGTAGGAGGAGACGTAGAGGCGGAAGATGTGTCGTCTCCGAGAAGCATGAAGACGTCCCAGACGCGCAGCTGCGCGGGGAAGGGGATCGTGTAGTTGAACAGCGTGAGATACCATCGGGTGCCGTAGGCTGTGGGAGGGATGCCTAGCTTTTCCTGTTGACGCGAGTCAGTCATGTCTATGCTAGTATGTCTGTCGGGTAGGGGGGATGAAAGGATGAGTGGCAAGTAAAGGTTGGTTTGAGAGGAGAAACAGCAGATATAGTTCTCCCACCGTCAAAAAGGGACAGGGCAACCTTTGCATCTATGGTGTCTCCAAAGGCCTCCCCAGGTTGAGACAGAAGCAAAGATATCCGAACTTCTCAACAAGTGTGTGTGTAGGTGATCGATCACTTACCAGTTGTCGTGCAAGCTCCCCTTGGCCTAGCCAACGAGTCTCAAAGTCGTTCAACGCGGTCATCAGCCCCTGAAAGCCGGACTTGTACAGCTCCCCCAGCCCACGCAGCTCCCACATACGAACAAGCATGACAAAAGCCTTTTCCTCGTCGTAGTACGCCAATAGTGTCACGGCAAGCGCAGCCATTCCTTGCACATACCCTGTCTCTGCAAAATGGAGAGACATGGCATGGAGGACACGGAACAAAAGACGTTGGCCACCTCGATACCGCCTGCGGAACATGATGTGGGAGGAGATGGTGCGGGGGACGTCGATGTCGATTTGCACATCGTCCGGAGAGGATTCTGTTTGGTAGGAATGGAACAGATCGATCAGTTCTGTGTCGGGCAGACAGTCCTTTCGACGGGAAGCCGACGTGCTGAGGAAACTGTGCCAGGCCGTCGCTCGCCATTTGTCCGGTATGCCCTTCCACGTCCGTTCGATGAGCTTTGGCGACATCGTATCGAATGTGTAACCCGTCTCCGAACCACCACCTACCACAGGTAGCCCGGTTTTCGGGTCTGTCGCTGGTGGCAAGGGGCGTGCCATTCTGCGCCATTTCTCCTCACGCTCAAGCTCCTTCCGACGAGCCCTGGCGTCGTCAATGTGGACATGTCCATCCTCAACCACGGATTGAGCAGATCGAGGTAGCGTGAGCATGTTCATGGCCGAATGCATCAAGCGGCGATTCTTCGAACCCAACACAGGGAGCCGTGAGGAGCCGCTCCTTCGGCCAGTGGACGGGCGAGAATGGCCGCTCTGGGAACTGGACGGCCGAGGAGGTGTCTGCTCCGCCGCGCTATATCTGCTGTGTCCTGACCTGGGAGATCCGTGAGCGCTGCTCGGGTTACGACGCACAGTATGTTTGCGTCGAGGAGTCTCCGAAGCAAGCTGTAGGCTTGTTGAAACTCGAGTCAACCGTTGAGGCCTGGATTCGTTGGCGCCGTCAACAGTCGCATCGGGTGCCTTGGCGAGGATAAAGCCAAAGCGGTCGACGTCGGCGCTACAGATGTCTTTCCAGTCCTCCAGTCCTCCCGCCAGTTCGTTCTCCTCGCGTTCCGGTATCACAGGGGTCTGTGAGGTGGGCCTCGCTTTGCTGACTCGCGTAGAACCCGTCACGTCTTCATTAACGTCGGTCGTAGAGGTGGCACACGAAATAGATGGGATACTAACGCTCCGAGTGTCGGTGACCAAGGTTGCTTGCCATCGTGCTCCCATGCTAGCGGCCAAGTTGGTGGAGGACTCAGTATCGGGATGCTCGTCTGTGCCAGCCGCATAGAAGCTCCGGACCTTCTCAGACAGCATTTCTTCGTCTGCGGAAAGGACTTTGGCAGCTGGCCGCTCCTTGACCCTCTTTGTAGCAGTGGACGCGGTCGTCAGAGTCGACCGAAGGCCGTCGGTTGCGTCTGTGGTATTCGCCTCTCCGTTTCCTCTTTTCTCGTCATCCATGATCGGAGCCAGAATGGGAGAGGTTCTGCTCCTCGGTTGATTCACCCTTTGCCCATCAATCAGCATGCTCCCTCTCTTCGAGAACTCGATGCTGCCGGAGGACAAGTCGTCGCCGAAGCCGCCTGTGGGAATGTCTATATCCAACGCGATCTCTCTGGATTGTGCACCTCCTCCGGCCCTGTTTCCAGAAACTGCTGAGGTTGACTTGGACTTCCTCAAGAACAACCATCTCCCACTTTCTTCGACGCTGGTATTGCTGCGGCGGTCTGATTCTGGGAGGTCTTGCGGATTCGTGTCATTGACGCGGATGTGAGGAACGCTGGTTGCGGCCGAGGTCAGACTGCTTATTGTGGGAGTCCTAGTATTGAGACTGATCTGACTTTCTCGCGCCGAGCTTGATCCTGCACCTGCGATTCGAAGCCAGTCTCCATCATGCGCCAACGCGCCCGGGTGATATCTCCTATTGGACGACGTCGACGCGTTGTCCCCGGAGGTGGCAGTACTCTGCGCAATGTCGACCTCGGAGTCAGGGAGTCGCTGTAAGGACGTGGTGCTGGTAACTCGTATTGGAGGACTTGTCGTTGCCGTCGCACTGTAAGGTAAGCCGTGGAGGCTGGATCTAAACTCGGAGGCTGGAGACTTGGAAGACGAGGCAGCGGAACCATCCATGGTCCCAGCCTGCAAGCCCAAGTCAGGGCGCTGGTACTGCGGGAATGTTCGGCGGCTGAGGATATGGCATTGGCTTGAACAGCGCAGTGCGATTGGGGGGAACGCCCGCTGGTTCAGGGCTTAGGGGCGACTGTAACAAAGCTTGAAGACCCTTTGACGGACGCGTACAACCATTCAAGTTTGTTCTCTTTTGTTCATATCTGTGTTCATGTGCTTCTCCTGATCTCTTGTGGACAACGCTCGCTCAGATTTTCTCGCAATTCTCTTTTTGGCGGCAACAATTCCAGTTGGCAGGGGGAAAAGGAGGCAATCGACGTCATGGTTCGATGCGAAGCGAAGCGAACTTGGAGCCATCCCCTGTTGCAACACTTTTCTCGGATTGACAGGCGGAGACTCTACTCTGTAGTAGTAGCTGGAAGAGTCTCAGGGTCTGGATGCAAGAAGAACAGAATACGGCAAGAGTTCAGATATAGGGAGATTGGCTCTGGGTTGCTGGATTGTGACAAGGGAGATGACAGTCTCGATCAGCGCAAATCCTCCGGCCCTTACAGCCTGCGCCATGAATGTCGCACAACTACTGACAGAAACGGTTCAAGTGTCAGAGGACAAGTAGACACAAGTAGACACAAGTCTCTATTCGTGACAGCCTCAGTACACTGGCAATTGATAGACTATGAAGGTGGTTTAAAGAGACTATTCTTCCATGAACGGCTTCACCAGCGGATGACACTTCTCTGCTATTGTCGCTCTGTTCGCATAGCTATTGATCACCATGAAGCTCCCATTTCCCTGCTGCTCAGTAGTCGCCCATAACGAGCCGTCTCATCGCTCAGCCTTGAATATGGTAGCCATCACCTGGTCACCGGGTGGATTTCGACCACTGCAACTTCTTGAGCCTTCTTGCCTGAGGAAATCACTCGCTTCGCTCGTACTCCGACTTCAGAACATCGGCGCCAGTTGTGGCTCGCAGTCGGTCAAAGCCGCCGATGCCACTGATCTGGGAGGTATAGCATGCCCTTGAAAGCAGTGTTAGTGAGTCCATGACCTAGATTTGAGACGGCATAGTTGATCTCAGTAAGTTGATTGAGGAATAGACAGATAGATCGCCGCGACGTTGCAGACAAGAGAAAGCGTGAGAGAAGAACACGAATCCCCTACGTAGAAATTGCCCGCAGTCTGACCGTAAATAATTCGTCCTACCGAGCAAACATGCCTGCCAGTCGGAACAAGTACTTTTTGTCAGACTCAACAATATCTCACGCTTATCGATAAGATAATTTTCGCCTGCGGAGTTTCATCTCGTCTAGAAATTTTGTCTCATACAGTTTCCTGCCAGCAGACCAAAATCAACTTCAAGTTCTTCGAGACCTGTTTACAACTCAGACCAGTCCCCAATGGCAGTCGTTGAATCGGCTAGCGGACTGCTGTCTACTTTAACCAACGCGCTTGAGTCTGCAGCCTCCGCGTTTCCCGAGAATGGAGAGAATTTCCTCCCTCCCACGGACGGCATCTCTCTGCTCGACGTCAAAAACGACCTTCTCCTCTCCTACATCCAGAATCTAGTGTTCATCGTCATAATGAAACTGCGCAATGACGGCAGCACGCCGGACATGACAACCGATGTGATCAAAAAGCTGGTTGAACTACGAGTCTACCTAGAACGGGGCGTGCGGCCACTCGAAGGCAAACTCAAATACCAGATTGACAAAGTAGTGCGCGCCGCCGAAGAGGCCGACCGCCGCGCCAGCCAGAAGCCCTCTGCTGTTGTTTCCGATCCCACGAAGAAATCTAGGAAGTCCAAACCGCACGACGAGTACGGAGCAGTATCCCGAGGTGAAGCCGAGGTGTCGGGCTCCGAAGATTCAGACGATGAGGAGGAGGAAGAGGAAAGGCAAGGGTCGGACGGACAAGTCGAGGCCTCCGTCGGTCCAAGGCCTGCTGCACTGCTGCGCAATACTGCAGACAAATCTCGCACTGACGGTGCCACGAAATCACGAACGACAGGCTCAGGAACCGGCGCAAGTGCAGGCACAGGTTCTGGAGCATACAAACCACCACGGATCACACCTACGGCCATGCCCGAACCGTCTGTGTCAAGGAACCGCGACGAACCAGCACGGAAGCGTCGCTCTCAACTCCTCGACGAGTACATCGATGAAGAAATCTCCACGGCGCCACGATCACAGCCTTCCATCGGGTCCAACAACACGATCGTCCAGCACGGCCGCGGCGCCATGTCTACGCGCGACCGAGAAAAGGAGCGCGAGCGACAGGACTATGAGGAGCGCAATTTTGTCCGGCTTCCCGCAGAAAGCAAGGCCGAGAGAAAGAAGGCGCGGCAACGCGGTGAACATAATCGGAGAGACATGTTTGGTGGTGAAGACTGGACCGGACTCGGTGGACTGGGCGATCGGATCCACAGAAGCGTGGCTGGACGGGCGAGGGCCGAGGGAGGAAATCTGCTTGAGCGCCGCGAGAAACGGAGGCGAGATACTCAGGACGGTCCGAGAGGGGATGGGTCTGCTGGTGATGGCGGCGGCGGCGGTGGTGGTGGTGGGATTGGCGAGAGTTTCGAAAAGAGAAGGAAAATCATGCAGCAGAGAGCGGAGAAGAAGGCTCGTAGGACAGGATGAATGTTGCTGTGACTGTGGTCGAGGAGGAAGAAGAGAATTCGCTGGCTTGCCATACTATATTGTGCCAGCCCTGCTATTCCGCTATGTTCTGTGTTTGCATTTGTCGTTCTTGTTCTTGTTCTTGTTGATGTTCTACTGAACCACGGGCACACCGCCATTTCACCCTGCTATATCAAGTTTCCATTTGTCTGTGTCTCCAATGCCGTACCAAGAGCACGCCTTTTGACCTGACCTAGCATTGGCATTTGTCATGTAACCACGGAAGCTCTGGCGGCTTGAGGGCTAATGGGAACAACAGCAACAGCAACAGCAATAGCACCTCTTGACAAAGGACGAAACATTTCGAGGGCGTCTTGTGTAGATACCAGATCTCCTAATCCACTGCACGGTGGCCGGTTTCAACTCGAAGCCATTTGAAACGTGAGATCTGGAGTACTAATGATCCGGTTCGAAACGGTCATCAGGTCATCAAAGTACCTCAGTAATACCGAAGCCTGCGCCGGCGGACTTGGGTATAAGAATATATTTCAGAAGACTGACCATTCTCAGACTCGATCCCCGGCTATTGGGACAAGTGTTCTGTCCAATCCAACCGACACACTCATCTTGAGTCCGCCATTGTTGGATATTGATTTGTTTCTTCAGGCCCTTCTTGCAACACCGGTCAATCCAAATCATGCCTCTGTGGCGCGACTTGGCACATTCCCAGACCTTCACACCATCTCAGCGCGACACCGTCTCGAAGAGTCACCGACTTGTGTCTCCCGCGGCCTACTGGCCGGCCTTCTACGTCAATGTCGACGACACACAAGTCTGGGTGGGCGGCGAGTCCCGGAGCAGTTTCGTCCGGATTGTCGTGGAGCAGATCGCGCGGACCGTGAGTGCTCCGGGGACTAACGAGGGAAGGAAGGCGAAGGAAATGGTGGATGGACCATATCAACTTTCATGCAAGGCGAGCAGCCGCGTTTCGGTTTTGTCGGAACTAGACCATTCGTCGGCTCGTCGATTCATCGTGTCATTGTTGCTGAGAACGACGAACCTCATCTCTGGAGACATTTGAAGCCGTTCCTCATCGACAGGACCAGTTGGATTGGAAAATGGGATCCGAACTATATGAGACTCCTGGTGACCTGTGGCGGCTTCGGCGCTTGGATCCTCCTCCATTCCCAGACAAGGAGAAGAAATTGGCCGAGGCGAACAGACTCATTGCGCATATGTGAAGCCAACTGAGTCGTTGTACACAGGAAATCAACTCATGGATCATAGTTTGGTCGTAAAAGCGTGCTGGACTCAGAAGTGACCCAGTGCAAATCATTCCATATCACACTCACACCAGTTTGGGCGCAAAATACCATAACGCGGCAAGGCCAGAGAGAACGGTTGCTCCTCCAATGCGACGAGTCCACTGACTTGTTTCGGAAGTGTTCACTCTCCCCACTGGATTTTGCTTCGTCAATGGAGGTGTGTTTTTTCCGTTCGTGGGTTCAGTCCGCCGTTGCAAGACGTCAAGCATTTCCGTGTTGTTATTTTCTTGAGCGGCAGCGAATGACTCGTAGTCTCGAACAAGCCGCTTCAGGCCCTCCAGGTCGTCCTTCAAGAGTTCCACTCCAGACTTGTTGCCCTGAAGCTCCACGTTCTGAACATTCCCGAAGAAGTCAACGACCCTGCGACTCCGACCGGCTTGTTCTCCGCCAGGGAATAGATCCCATCTCACACCCGGGTTCGAATGGATTTTGCCGACGTCGTAGCTATCAAAGAGGTCGCCTAGGGTCTTGTCCGACGTGGGCCCAGTGACTTGCGTCTCGAGGAATTCCAGGACGTAGTAAGTCCAGCGATCAATGACGGCGACGCCGACGTCGTTATCGGCGTGATGGGAATAAGAACTCTCGTCCTCCTCCGACGACCCCGTCGCAATGATGCCAGGGGTGTAGAATTGTCGATACAGCGTGTTGGCTTGACAGGTGTCGATCATGAATAACATTTCATTGTATCTCTTTTTCTCCCTCATCTGCGAGAAGGCATCGGCAAGGTCCCAGCTGGAAATCTCCTCGCTGTCCTGGAACTTGAGAAACTCGCTGCCCCCATGGCCCGTCATGTAGATGAGGATGTTGCTTCCTTCGTCGGTCTGCAGTCTCTTGCTGGCGGGAACGCCCTCTTCCCATCGGTCGGTCAAGAGGCGAATGAAATTCTCCACCGTCACTTCGTAGCCCCGGTAGTCGACCTCGACGTTCTCGCCGTAGAGGTCCATCCGGCGGTCGGCGTTGGAGTAGACCGTGCCGGAAAACGCGTTTCGCGGATTACATGCCATGTCGTCCGGTAGGAGGAGCAGGATTTGCGAGTCGGGAATGCCCAGCCGTTTCACGGTTCGGTATAGAGACAGAGTGTTGGCTAGGTGCCGATAGTTGAACCAAAACCGAGACGTCGACACCAGCACCGCCCAGTTGGATGTGTGGGCGGCACAGGTGACCGTCACGAGGGACAAGAGCGTCCAGAGGAATTGTGAAGGTCGCATGCTTGCTGGTCGAGACGGTAGAATGGAGCGGAGGTATGGCTCTGCGCTTCACTAAGCTCGACCGTTCATAGTATCGAGCTGCTGAGTATGTGGAACACGCAGACTTGATCGATGCCGCACTGCACGAGGCTCGAGTTGAGATCGAAAGTGTATGAGCACTGTCTCATAGCATTACGGGAATGAATGATGGCTTGAATTGGTCAGCGAAAGTACGTAGAAAGCAAAGACGCGACGGAGAGTCGTCCGGCAATCGGGGAATCAATTCTCCGATTCAACCCCTGAACCAGTTCGGCCTCGAGCCCCTTTTTCTCTACCATTCTGTCCTACGTGTGAGGTATATCTACCCTGATGGACGGGTTTGAGGCACACCCCAGACGTGTCAGACTGAGAAGACAATGTTGCCTAGCGTACCTTGACAATCTTCAAGTTACTACCGGCGGTACGAGTCAAGATGATTGGAACAGTAACCTCGCAGGCGGAAAAGAGATTCCGCCAACATTGTAGAGAAAGACTACTGGCGGAAACTGCTAACGTCCATGCGGTCTCGATCCAGGCCGCAAAACTTCATCCTCTATTCAAGTGTTGCCATCAATACAGCGTTCCACAACTGCGGCTCGAAAGCCAGGATATCTTCTGGATATGGAGAATATGACCACTTTTGACAGGACCCATGTTCTGGGTTCCAGCCATGGGAATCACCCACCAAGCCAGACAAAGCAAAGAGCAACTGCTGTACATGCAGATCTGGTACCACAAAGCAGACACCAACGTCAAACATTGCCAGGGTCATAAAAATACATGCAACACAGACTCTCCGGCCGTTCCCGACCCGAAAGCGAGCATTGACTGCTAAAGGGACACGGCCTAGTAACGAGCCTGAAATCCCAAATGACGAGGAGGACTTCCCTCGATGGTGATGTTGATCCTGCTCCTCTCTATACCATCGATCTCCAATGGAGAAGGTGGGTTGGGCGGATGTTGGAGATCGAAGACATGAGTCCGAGTGCCACCGCGGCCACCATCCACCACTGACTTGGTCTCCAGTTCGTAGGTGGGCGGCGGACCGTCCGCATCAGAATGGTAGATCACGCGCTCGCGCGACTCGCCGTCTAATCTCTGGACGTCGCCCATGCCAGCCCGTCGACGCCGCTTGGTGCGGATATACAGAACAACAATAAGGGCTCCGCCGAGAATCAGGACGCCGAGGGCAATGCCGATCCCTGCACCCGCTGCTGCACTGAGGCCACCGGATCCGCCGTCCGAGGACGGTGATGATGATATATGGCCCGAGAAAGGGCGTGAGTTGGTCGTGTTCGGGTTCAAAGGGCTGGAGGTTGGGCAAGTCAGTGATAAGATCAAGCATGTAAGATGCGCAGAGGGCCACTCACCTGTCCAGAAGCTGCAACACGCCGTTCGAAGTGATATAGTCTCTGGTAGTAATGTGCGAGGCATCAACGTAGAACCCATTATTCACTTCTGTCATGGTGGCAGAAATGCCATCCAGAGTGGGCACCTTGCTGTTGTTTTTGAACTCGGATGAATACTGCACGTTTCTCTGAGATATGCTGTACTTGAAGATTGACAGTAGATCCGTGGCGGAAAGACCATCCCATCCGGTGAAACTGGCGCCGAACTGGGAGCTGTTGGGAGCAAAGACCGTCAGGTCAGACAGAGTGTTGACGATGGTCACGGCTGGAGATGACGGATTCAGCCATCCTCCCTTGTTCAACAGCGCTATCAGGTCAGTGAGTCCGGCTTTCGTGATTGTGGCGGGAAAGGAAAGCGGAATGGTCAAGACGGAATCCACGATATGTATGAGCCCGCCGAGGTAGAAGATGTCCTGTTGCCATTGGATTAGATCATTCTTTCTCACGACGCCAGCATAGGTGTCACGGTGATCACTCACAGCCTCCTGGACGCGGGATACAGCCTTGACCCCAGAGATAACAGCCGGCTGGCTATTGTCCGTGCTGAGTTCTACCACCTGGCCGCCAGTAACGTTGGTGTAGTTGGTATCCGTCAACAAGGTAGGCACAAACAAGGGTTGCAGACCAAAGGTGGCCGATGGATGAGTGCCATTTGCGATGTGATACTGCAGCAAGGCTCGAACAGCATTGGCATCTGATGTGATGTTCGGGTTATTCGCGATGAAGTCGGACATGGCTTGATCATCTGGAACAATGACTGGTGTTGTTAGGATTCATACACAACACGTCCATGGGAGGATCTCATATCTCATACCACTGAAAGTCCCTTGGTTGAGTATATCCACCAGGTCGCCATCTTGCTCTAGAAGCCCGGTGAAACTGCCAATGCCGCTTTGCTGCCTCAGAATGGTGAGGACATCTTGGTCTGCGGTCAGACCGCAAGCCGCCAAAGCGAGGAAGGCAAGGTAAGTCCACCAGTTTGACATTGCGAACGACTGTCTATGAGGGACAGTTTAAGCGACATGTTCGTCTATAGAAAGCAAAAATGGAGAAAAGCGGGCTAGAATAGGTACGATGAGCCGGGTTGTGTGAGACTGGTGAGAGAATGCTTCTCGGCAGCGAATTGACCCCAGCGTCCATCCTGTTCTGATGAGACGCGCATCTCAGGGGATTGTGCATTTCCTGGGGTCTGTAGCCCTGCTGTGCTGTGTATGAAAAGCATCCGGGGGCCAGAAATGGGCTGGCGTCCTCGCTTACCGACGTGGAAGGGTTCCAGCGCTGGCCCTAACATGTATGCGACCGAAGACCGGCAGCTAGAGAGAGTAGTGGCTTCAGCCAACCGCCACGGCTAAGATATTTGGCTTGGTGATAAGTTGCTGGGCAGGGTTCTGGCAGTATGACATGGTAACAAAGGTGTTGATTCGGGGTCATAGAAGACTTCTTCACGGCTTGACCTCCGACATCAGCTCGTGTTCCAGCTCCCATCCATTAGGATGGCTGCTGGGTCACGTATTAGCAGTGTTTCAAGTCCCGGTCGACAGACGCTGGAAGGGGTTGACCTTGCCAGGCACCAGACCATAAAGGGAGCTGGGTTTCCCACCAATGCGGTGCCAATCATGTTGGTGGCGGTTGAATATTTGGGGGCCTGAACCGACATTGCAAGACCCGAGATCTCATCAAAGGGAACATGCTGTTGTTGGGAAGAGCCGCTTCCTGCAATCAAAGGTGTCGAAGAGAGAGAGAGAGAGAGAGAGAGCCATGGTGAAGCAGATGAGGTTGGAGATATTGAGGATCTAAAAGGGAAATATAAGCATGTCGTTTCTCCACCAGCAAAAGAAGCCTCAAAGGACCTTGACGCATTCCTTCCTTCCATCTTTTTCGTCCTTGAGGATCATCCTCTGCATGTATGTTCCTCCTGATGAACTAAATCCAATCAACTTACCGGGTTGTACATAGTGCCAGGCTCCAGCATCTGCAGCCTGATCAACAACTGAAACGCGGCGTCCCCTATTCTTTCTCCTGCAGGAGTCTGTTGTCTGTGGAATCTACTTCTCTTCTAACCACGTCTCACAAGGCGCGAGGGTACAACATTCGACGACAGACTTCAGCCATCCCTCTTGAGTGTCTAGGATGTACTTGAGTATGCAGTGAGTACGGCCAGGACTAGTAGTGCAGGCCACTTCTGCCCTACGAGGCTGAAGACCCCTGATCTGATCGCGGAGGACATACCCTTTTCGGGTCTATCGCCTTCACGGATACAACTCTACTTGGACTACAACACTGCAGCATATACACAGTGTCAGTATACATCAATTTGGCCCTGAATAACGGAGCAAATCTCCAAGAGAGACTGGTGAACCGAGAACTACCGCCAGCACAGCGTGTGAAGCGAACCAACGCCACGAGAAGTTGGGCGTCATTGTCACTACATACCTACCTACCATACTCGAACTTCCCAGATATTGACATCCTGCCCGAATACATACATTCCCAGACCCCGATTCAGCCTTGCCATACTGCGTGTCCACTACCAGGACGGTGCATCCCACACTTCACGACTGGAAGTACCACACGAGAGACGGATACGACCGGAGAGAGGACATCAACCACTTCGTACCTTCGCTTGTGCCAGTCAGTCCGACACAGGAAGGTCGTTAAGCATCCACATCGACAAAGACCACCAAGTGTCGGGCACAGTGTCATACTTCCTCCCTGATCAATACCATTCACCACATCAAACATCAAACATCCACAAACATCCAAGAGGGACTAGAAAAAGCAATATCAAGTCCAGGACAGGATCAAATCCAAATCCAAATCCAAATCCAAATCCAAATCCAAATGCCGTTATCGTCACCACTGATCCTCTCCTGCCTCTTCTCCTTCTTCCTCATCCTCCTCCTCTCTTTCCTATGGATCATCTACAAACCTCCCCTCTGGCTAATCACCCACCTCCAACACCGCTGGCCAGATGTCCTATTCCACGTCCCACCAAAACCAAACAAAAACCAAACACAAAAACAAATACTCATAGCCCTAACCATCGACGACGGTCCATCAGAAAACACTCCTGAAATCCAAGCTCTTCTGAACACCCACGGCGCCAAAGCCACCTTCTTCCTGATCGGATGCCACATCCCAGCCCACAAAGAAACGCTGCGCCAACTAGTCGTCAATGGCCACGAACTAGCCAACCATGCCATGCACGACGAACCATCATATTCTCTGTCCTTGGCCGAACTGACTCGACAGATTCAGAGTGTGGAGAGGCAACTGGAACAAGTTTACCAAGCTACTGCAGTTACTACTGCAGTCACTACTTCTACTGCTTCTACTGCTTCTTCTTCTGTCCAACCAAACCACCCTTCTTCAATCCAGATAAGAACAACACCAACACCAACAAGACCTTACCAACACTCCAAACCGCCAAAATATTTCCGCCCAGGAAGTGGCTTCTTCAACACCTCGATGCGAAAACTCACAGCAGACCTCCACAACCGCATTGTCCTCGGCAGCATCTACCCGCACGATGCACAGATTTCGTCCTGGCGACTCAATGCCTGGCATATCCTGAGCATGGCGCGGGCCGGCGGGATCATCGTCTGTCACGATAGACCGTGGACGGCGCCGATGTTGCGGGCGGTGCTGCCGGAGTTGAAGAGGAGAGGGTATCGCGTGGTCACGGTGACTGAATTGCTGAATGGGTATCTAGATACCTAGGGTCCCTTTTGCTCAGTGAGTGAGGGAGTGAGTGAGTGATACGTGCAACGAAGACCCCGATCTTGACATTGACATTGCCATTGCCAGCTCTGCCTGCTTGAAAATACATGAATACAGAACAAAAAAGAAAGAGAGGAAAACAGAACTACCTACGCACTACATCTACGGCACAGACAGGATATACAGTAGAAATGGCGCCTATTATAGGCCGCCTCTTCTCCAAGATATCGGCGGTCTGCTTGTACAAAAAGGTGAATGCGGTTCAATTTTGTCCAATGTTCAGTTCACATAGATTCTAGAGCTGTATGGGAGAGACGCAATGCGTATGCGTATGCAAATGCAGCCGTGACGCCGTCTCTGTCGCTCAGCCCAGAAAAAGGCCGAGTTGCATCCAACAGGACCCGAGCGGCTGTAAAACCCGATTTTGGCAATCCCTATCAATCGTGCATTCATTCATCTATAACCCCAACGTTTTCTGCTTCCACATTCCCCTGATACCGGAACACGCTGTACCTGTGTTCACTGCATTTCATGACAGCCACACCCTGGGCTTTCAACCCTGGACCGGGCAACATGGTAAGGGCAGAAAGCACGAGACACAGAGCATAGAGCATTTCAGTGCAATCCATCATCTCCCCACAACAGCCTTCAGACTCAGTCCCTCAAGAAACCCACCTAGGTCCTCTTTCTTGACTTCAACAATACAATGATCGAAGCTGTCGATCTTGACTCGAGCATTCGTTTCCTCCACCACTTCTTGAAAAGCGATTCCAAACCGATTGTGGCCGTATCCTCGTTTCTGCTTCTTCGCCATTTCGGCCTCATCTTCCTCGTCGGACGACGAGTCAGAATCTCCCTCGGACTCGGATTCGGTGTCGTCGTCTTCAAAATCGCTATCGTCGCCATTGAGCTCTCGCTGGGCCGCCCGGGCCGCTTTCTTATCTTCGCGGATCTTTCGTTTCTGTTCCCTCTCCGCTTCTTTCTTGGCCTTGCGCTCCGCCTTCTCTTTTCGGGCTTCGAGATCCTCTCCACTGCCGATCCCGCCGCCGGTGCCGACCACCACATACGTACCCCTGGCCTCGTCAAGCGCAGCGAGCACAAGCGGCGTGGCGCTTTCTGGACCTTTCTTCTCACGTTCATTCACGGCAACCGCTTCACCCACCCAAAGAGCCAGTTTGACTAGCGCGCCTGGGCTGTTGGCAAATAAGGCCAGATCCGGTCCTTCCTTGACAACCCCCATGCGGAATGCCCGCAAATGTCGGATTTGATGTTTGACGAGCAGAGACGAGCCTGTTCGAAGAATAGAACGCAGCAGATGCTGTGCGGCTGGAATTGATGTGAGGAGATGGGTGGGATGGTTCGGGGCGAGCGCGTCGTAGGCGGCAAAGAACCGCGGAAGCAGCGCTTCAGATCGGTCGGGGATGTCTTCCGTGACAACCGTAGCTTGAGATGAGCCATTATAGGCCGCTGCAGAAGCACTGGTCGAGCTCATGGCATGGGAGGTGCCGACGTCCAGTATGGCGCCAAGTATGACTCCCACATCGACAGCGGAAAGCTGTGCTTTCCACCCCCAGGAGCGAATGAAGCCCCATCCTTCTTGTTCGTAAGTGGCTCGGCCGGACCCGGACGGGACAAGGTCGTCCAGACCGTACACTGCGGCATATTTGAGAAGACGATCTCGAAGCGACTTCTTCAGATCCATGTCCATGTGCGTATATGTCTGCTTGCACTGACTTAGTGACACGCCCATTTTGGCAAGCAGTTTGTGCAGTCTTTTGATGCCCGATTCATTCCACACGTGAAGCCGTGATGCCAGATATGGAGAGTGAAGCATGCTATCGTATAGCGACCAATGTCGTAGTAGGAGAAATCGAGGATCGGGGCTGAGCCGAATCGAGTTATCACTGGGAGAGCTGGTACCACCTGCTCCCGGAGATATTGAAGGCGATTGATCGGCTGGAGGAGGGTTTAGTCGCCTTACTTCGTCCCGCAAAAGTGCATAGGTCTGAGAGGACCGGGTTGACCTCCATGTTTTGTGATGTTCGTGTGGGAGAGACTGGGTGATCGAGACCGACGTCCCCAAACCTGTGGAGGTGTGCCCAGATAGTTCTAGGGACGTGGCGCCGATAATGGCCAGCCAGAGAATATCATTGTCTTCCCGGCCCAGGTCCGCGGCCAGGGAATATGCCAGTGTCGAGACAGGTTCGGAATAGGAGGTGCCTAAGTTCTTGTATTCTTCCAGCACACGCTCATGCCGTTCTCGTAACTTTCGTAGTCGCCTCCGAAGTCGCTTCGCCGATTGGCGTGCTACAGGTTGTTCGTTGAATATCGGTGAAGTCGGCTGAGAGGATGAAGGAGTTTTACTCCGGGGAGTGGATGCAACTGATGATCCAGAATTGCTTCTTCGCCTTTGCCGAGGTCGCTCCTCGTCCTCGTCGGTTTCCCCGTCTTCATTTTCTCGGTCAGACCAAGACTTGCGTTTTCTTGAGGAGGCAATCTCTTGGCTGTCCTCCTCATCCTCTTCTTCGTCATTTTCGTCGTCACTGTCATCTTCTTCGATCTCAGGCATCTCCACCAACGAGAAATACGCGTCTCTCTCGGTATCAAGTTCGCCCATGATATCGCCGTCGTCAAAGACTATGATACCGCCCTTGCCGGACTTGTACGATCTCTGAAGACATCCTTTTTCGACTCCTGCATGTCTCTGTCTTGTATTGACATCGAGCTCACCAAGCGGGGTCTCTATGGGCTCACCACCAAAGACGTTGGACAAGTTCCATGGTCTTCTCGCGTCAAGAACCCAGACCTCGACGCCACACATCGACTCGGGAGACTCTTCATCTTCCAAGCCCAAGATGGCACCGAGATCGACTAGAGCACCTACACCCAGACAGATAACGACACCTCCACTCCCACCTTCTGTTGTTTTCATAGGCCGGACCAGCTCTTCGCCGGCCTTAGAAAGATCCGCATAGCCAGAGACGGGCTGGATCTTGTGCGGGATGTAGTCGCGTTTGAGCAGGGCGGTGAGGATGCGACATGCGCAGAGGGAGTCGGGCTCGAGGGCAACCAGAAGCAGGACCGGAGGGGACAGAGGATGATGCGAGCGGAGGAGGTTAGTGTAGAGGTGCGAGATCAATGGTCGAGGGAGGTACATGATCGGACTGAGGAGGCCAACACGACTGGCGACTGCTGCGCGTTGTGCCGGTGTGCATCGCGTGGGAAGAACTAGCAGATCATGCTTGAAGGTCGAGCAGGGTGGACAAGTTCTGTAGTCAGCGATCTACTCGAGTTGACTAGGTATGTTGGACTGGTCGCAATCGGGGCTTTTAGTAGTAGGAGAAGGAGAAGCGCAGGTGCTTGACTCTGAAGAGATACAGAGGCAGACACAGAGAGATGCAGATCACTCAGATCACTTCTTACGCTTTCGGCCTCGCGTTACCAGACGCGTCGAGGCATCCAGCCAATCACACAGCTTCCCCACAAGTATTACCCACTACGTCATTGTTGTGCATCCAGACCAAATGCAGACCAAATGCAGTGGCTCTGAACAGGGTGAAAAGGGGGAATGGCGACAAGGAAGTCTTGAGGGAGTTACAAGAACACCAATCATGTAATCTGGCGGCTCGGAGGCTACATAGATGTTTCCATGGGGGCAGTTGACTACCTTAGATATCCTCTCTCCGGGAGCATGACCCTTCAGCAAGTGTGCCTTTTCTCCGGCAATTGTCCTTTCAAGGCACAGCCAATGTGTTGCACATCAATCAGGGAGCCGGCCCAGCGCTTCAAGAACTCTCACGATCTGCTTTGAGATCCCATGGTGGCCCATACTGGTGGGATGCAATACCCTTAATGTTGTCATGCTGGGGAACCCGGTATCGTCAATAACACCCTTATGGTCTTCCTTTGTGATATCTAGAAGCTGCACGACCTGCTCCCTGTTGTCTGCAGCCACCTCCATCTCAGGTGCAGGAAGATTGAAGAACCAGGTGTCCTCTCTTTGAAGATCAGGCTCGTGGACCCCTTCCTCACAAAACCGATGGCCCTCAAAGACGGAGTCGACATCGACATACACAGCTCCATGGGTGTCTGCTATGGCTCTGATCACGTCATTTAACATATCCACCAGTTGGTTGAATGCCTTCCTCTTCGCTTTGGTCAGGTAGTCCAATGGCCGCGTTCGACTGAACGTGACATGGTCACAGATGTCTGTCTGGTCATTGAAGAATCCCGCGTACCCTGTGACCAGCAACAGAGCATCTGCTTTCAGGCGTCTCACCGCTCCGGCAATGAGTGCATCAAAGTTGTTCCGGAGTACAGGAGACTCAAGCAGTTTTCTTGACTCCACAAGTGCTGCATCGCACGTTGAAACTGGATGCCACTGATATATGCATTCGTTGAGCACCCTCAGAAAGTCCACCTCGTTCCCTCCCACAGTGACGGAGACCAGATCTGAGTGTCCAATGTAGGGGACTTGGTGGTGTAGAACGCTTGTGATCGTGGCCCCTGCACATGCCACGTGCTTGAAGCTGGAGTGCTTGATGCTCAGCCGGGAGTCGTTGGCAACCTGTCTCGGATAGGAGTTCGAAAAGCGACCACAGACGAATGCCTGCTCAGTCACATAGCGTGGCGAGCCTGCGCCGGGCCCAGCGGCGTAAGAGTCTCCGAGTGCGGCGTATGAGGTGATGGATAGAGCCCCGCGTGAGCCACGGGTCGGGCTTGAAGTGGACAGATGGAAGAATAGCAGGAGAGCCACATAGATCAGCAATTGGGTTGCCGCCATGGAGAACAGACAAGAGCCTCCCAAGAGTGAAGTGCACTCCTGAATCTGAAGCTCGTTCACATTTTCTGGTGCTCTCTGTCCCTGTAACGGATGTCAAACCAGAAGCGAGGCAAGGAGGCTTGATGATGGATGCAATGTGATTTACGCGAAGATGTGTCAGACAGTTTATTTACATGCTTTGCGCTATTAATCCAAGCCCGTCTTTCTGTCTGACAGCCGAGTTCCGATACTATCGACGTCATGAATTCGTTCGATCAAACGAGACGCGAGACTCGGATTCAGTTCGAACATGCAACACCTTGCAAGCGTTTGATGCGACCTCTCTCCAGGCTCTTCTGCCTGCTTGGTCCTCGCGTACTCTGTTCTACTCGACCCGGGTTCGGAGCAGCGGACTCGCTCTCGTCCCACCGGGCATTATATCGCCGCATATATCAATCTGTGCCGTCTCATGGCATGAGAGGCATGAAGCGGTCCACGAACCCCAAACTCCCCGACTACTGTGACATTGAGCCGCGGCGCGATGATAGCGGCAAGACAGTATGGCCCGCCCCAGAAGCGGCACTGGAAGGGGCCAGGGCGTTTATAAAAGAGTGGTCAGTCTACCATCCCACCTGGACAGGTGTATCACGATCCTGACGACCCCAGCGCAGCAAGTGGCCAGAAGACTTTAATCGTCCCAGACAAAGACGCGGATGGTCTTTCGTCAGGTGTCATCCTCTACCGGACATTGACCGCCTTAGGGCTTGAGCCGACCCTGATAGACGTCCACTTGGTGCAAAAGGGATCCAATATCCACGTCCAGTCCGAACGGGAAGCCATGGCTGCCAAAGGTCCAGCTTACATATTCGTCTTGGACCAGGGCTCTGTCGCCGCACCACCAGTGGTAGACTCCCCGACCACCAAATCCTTAATCATTGACCACCATTTGAGCGATCACTTTCCCGAGCGAGCCGAGGTGGTATCCGCGTGCCATTACCCTCCAGTATCGACAAGCTCGTTGCTCACGTACGAGATCTGCAAGACTGTGGCACCCGAGATCGCCTCGTCCTGCGCTTATCTCGCTTGTATCGGCACCCATGGAGATCTGGGGAACACGCTGAAATGGGCCCCGCCTTTTCCTGACATGAAGGACACGTTCAAGATCTACACGAAAAAGTCCATCAATGACGCCGTCTCGCTCATCAACGCGCCTCGCCGAACAGCAAAGTACGATGTCATCACTGCATGGACTGCGCTTCTCAACTCGACAGATCCCAAGGATTTGTTGACCAATGGCCGGCTGCAGAGCGCTCGGGCCGAGATCAATACAGAAGTCGAACTCAACACTCACACGCCTCCCAAGTTCAGTGCAGACGGGCGAATCGCCGTCCTTCGGATTGACTCACCTGCGCAGGTCCACCCTGTGATCGCGACTCGGTGGGCTGGCCACCTGAACTCCAAAGCTCTCGAGATAGTCGTCTGTGCGAACTCGGGCTATTTACCTGGCATGGTCAATTTCTCTTGCCGGATCGCTCGCTGTGCCCGGACCAGAGACCCGCCTGTGAACATAATCGACAGTCTGAAGGCTGCTGCCGCTCTGTCCACGGATGGACTGAAGGACAGGCTAGGAGAGAGCTTTGCGAGAGGCCACAAAGAGGCCAGCGGTGGCGTGGTGCCCGTCGAAGCGTTCGAAGAGCTGATGCGACTCCTCAAGGTCGGCGAGAAGCCAAACAAGAAAGAAGGTGGCGAGGAAGAGCCTAGGGCGAAAAGACGCAAGACGGTCGACAAGAGCCCCCAGAAGAACACGATTGGGAATTACTTCCGGAAGACCTGAATTTGGTCGCAGTGACCCCTACGTCTGATTGCCATAATGTTTGATCCTGGAGGGGAAACAGGCATTCGATGACAACCTTGGCCTTCAGCATCCGATACCTGAGAGGCATCTCCAAACGGTCTCCTGTCTGCCATATCCATATCTGCTCTGTACGTGTGGAAGTATCGAGATCTGCTGCCCCTGCTTCTTCACCAGCCACTGTTTCCAATGCGCGGATCGTCGGTCTCAGACTCTCTCTTTCTAGCCAGAAGCCAGACATGGAAGAGCAGACCATGGGGCATGACATACCATCCCGGATTGTTGATGGACCTGGAAGACCCAGGACCCGGACCCGGCGGCAGCTCGTCCGCATGCTTGGGAGAGCACTCCACTCGGCCACGACCCTGTTGTGGTTTAGCTATGTACAGATGAGTCACTTGGGTCAGCGGTGCCTGGACGAACAGCTGTCTTTGCGAGCACGAAGGTGCTTGCGGGTCCCCATTATGGCTCCCACCGCGCACGCAATACCCCACAAGTGACGGGGGCAGTGTACGCAGTACAGCTGCGCCGCGCACAATCGAGAGAAGCGAAGCATATGAGGGAACAACACCACAACAATGAGGATCCCAAACTCCCTGCGTTGGAGACTTCCAAAATCCCCCCAAGGAAGAGCACCATTCGAAGCAGAGACAAAGGCAGAACTGGTTGGTGATATGTGCTCGTCAACCGCGTTGACGTCTCTATATACATCTATGTACGCACAAGACTCTCTCTCTTCGCTCATTCCTTCTTCTCCAAGTGTCATATCAGGGCTTTGTCGCTCTTCTTCTCTTGACCCTCACATTGATATTCTTCGGCTGGTGAAACCACCCCTGCCACGTCTCCCATTCTTTACTTCCGACCAGCTCGAACTCGAAATCGCGCAAGACGGTCGGCAGCAACTTGTACATTTCGGTATTGGTGATATGGCGGCCGATACAGATACGCTTCCCATGGCCGAACTGCAACATGTGCCTCTCCATGTTGGCGGCGGCGCGTTCGCCATCGCGGATCCAGCGCTCCGGCACGAACGACTCGCTGTCTTCCCCGAAGACGCCCTTGTCGAACTGCACGGCATTGGCGTTCATCGTGACCTCGGTGCCGCCGGGGAAATAGAAGCCACAGATCTCCACGCCGCCAGGCGGGACAATGCGCGGCAGTCCCGTGCCCAGCGAACCGTGGATGCGCATGCCCTCACGCACAACGGCGTGCAGGTAGGGCAGTTTGATGGCGTCGTTGAAGCGCACGGGCGTTTTCAGCGTGCCGTCGGCAAAGGCGGCGTCGATCTCGGCGAGCAGTTTGGCCAACGTGCTGGGGTTCTTGTGCAGGTAGTAGAAGATGGAGCATAGGGCGATCGAGGTCGTGTCGCTGCCGGCCCAGATCATGGCCCAGATTTCGGTGGTGACGTCGAGAATGCCGAAATCGAAGTTGTTGTCTTTGTTCTGCTTCTCATTACTGGCCGCGATATCAAGCAGTTTGCTCAGCACGTCGTGTCTGTTGACGGGTTTACCCGCGGCCATGTCGTCGAGACGCTGCTTCACGGCGGCGTGCGATTGATCGATGACTGTAAAGAAGCCCTTGGCTCCGGCGCGCGTGTCCGGATACAGCATCTGGAACATGAAATACAAGTTGCGCAGACCGTAGGGGACGTAGCTGATGGCGGCGACGGGGTTCGGCATCACGTCCATCAGGTGGCACCAGTTGTTGTAGTCGATGTTGTCGCGGATGAAGCCGAAGCCGCCTTCGCGGCCGTAGAAGATCTCGCCGATGATGTCGAACGTATACTTCCGCAACCAGATCGACATGTCGATGACCGCGTTCGACGCAGCAAACTCTTCCATCCTCTGGTAGAAGAGGGCGATGCATCGGTCCACGCATGGTTCGTATTCGAGAACAGCCGCCTGCGTGTAGAGGGGCGCGACGGTGCGCCGTCTCCGGGCGTGGGCCGCTTCATTTGGTTCGGTGAAGTTGTCTTGTCGTGTGGAGATCTTGGGGTTGAAGCCCTGATAGAAGTCGCCCTTGATGAACTCGTGTTTCGGGCCGTAGATGGTCTCGATGGCCGCCGGGTCCGATATCTGCACCAGGTTCGGCGTGAGGCGCACGAAAGAGCCGTATTTCTTGTGGATCGGCAGTTGATAGTCTTGTCCTCGACCACAGCGCACGGCTCGACAATACCACAGACTGGTGATTGAAGCCCAGAAGGGGCCCGGGATGTTTTTGAGCGGATGGAACCAGCGGTTGTAGATGACCAATCCGAAAAGATAGGCGATGAAGCTGACCGTTAGGATCTCGCAGCCGAAGACGAGATTGTCTTTCGACAACCACGGCGGTGACAGGAGCATCTTTGGAAATGCCTCATTCGACACGGACAGCGACGGGGAGCAGTGATTCGAAACAAACGTGATAGAGGGATGGAGGGGAAAGAATCAAGATATACTGACCAGCTCGGAACCCGACTTCACTGGCCGGTTTCCACCACTGCACTGCCTGCAGGAGATACGGAGACGGCCCATCGGTATCGCTGCTCATGCATGGTCAGGCAATCTTTCGATGGAAACCACGCCGCCGTCCAAGATCCTAGTGACAATTGGCCATTCGCGCGGTGGATGCGATGCATAGACATCGAAGCGCCATGCAACATGGCCATCTAGCCATCTAGCCATCTTTTGCAGCGAATCCGACCCATAGATCGACCTTTGATACGTGGCAATGGCAGTCTTGTTCTCGGATAGACCCCTTGGTTACTTTTGCTTCGACCCGCTCGCTAGAGTCGCAGTTTGGAAGCCATGCAGTTGGTGGTCAAGCCTGCGCGCTTGAAGGGTGGTGGAATTTTGGGCCCGATGAGCCTGTTCGTGGTTCGTTCGGGGGAAGGCAGAGGTGCTTTAGAGCATGCTGTCAATGATGCAGCGGCTCATAAGTGACACATGGTTGGGTGATTGGCACCTGGTTAGTAGAGCTTTTGACAGGTTGGCAGAGCGAGAAGAAAGATATCATTTGCTGTCGATATCAGATTCGGATTCGGAGGAAGAGAGACAACTGCGCACATCTCCCTGCGCAGGCTGTCAGTGCTGCCACCTACTAATAAATGGTACAATAAATCTCTCAAGACGCCAGGATTGTTATACTGGTCCAAGTCTCTCATCATGTGCTTGTTTGGGTCCAGGTCAAGTCTACAGAGGATTGGCACGTCGCATCTACAGTGTATCGGCTGAACAATGCAGTGAGTCTCGCACAGAAAACACTACTATGGGGAGATGGATCTGAGGTCCTGATCCCCGCCAAAGCACATACCAACACCGTAAGAAATTCTGACTGCATTATTCTATGTCTTCTGGTGTCAGGAAACTCGTTCCAGTGATCTCGCCGCTATCTTGACGCAGTTGCTCGAAGCCCAGGAATGTCACATCCAGTCTCAGGCTCTTGTCTCAGGATGTCAGCAGGTGGTCAAGGACATGGAAATGGTCGCTTTGAGTACAATGTCCTTTGAATCTACCTATACGTCGCTGTCATGACAATGGGCTTCAACGCAATCAAGTCAGTCCCTGCGTGGCGGACACCATCACCATCATCTCCTTTGTCGCCCCAATACAAAGTACACCCTTGCTCCGTCACCTGCGACGAGGCCATCTTGTCTTGTCCGTCCACGGAACCTGCATCGGTCACCACAGGATCCGACTGACGGCATGGCCACACATCAATCACGTCAACCAGAGTCTGCAGATGTCCAAAGGTCGCAGGCTGTGGGCCTTTGGGCCGATAAATGGCAATAGCAGTCGCCATGGCTGCGAGTGCAAACAGTAGAATGGCTGTGTAACAGGCCTGAGGGATTCGGACTTCGATGCCTTCCCACATCAGGCCGAACATCAGACCAAACATCCAGTGGAGGAGACCCTTGAACACGAACAGGCCTACAGTCTGCCAGCTGGTGACGGCAGTATAGAAGGCGCCATGCTTCGCCAGGGCTAGGCCTGTGGCTGTCGCCGTCTGCCGCCACAGGCTCTCGTCGCGCGAAGCCTGAACGACCAGCTCGACGATATGGAGGTTCAGCGTGATTCCGCCGAGAAAGGCACAGGTCAACAGATATTTGCAGAGGAACCAAGGGCCGAATGAGAAGTAGCTGTGTCCCAGCGAGGTGGGAATGGCGAGAAAAGCAGTGGTGTCTACCCAATCTGGTATCAGACTCCAATCGTTGGTGTAGGAGCGGGAGAAACTCCCCCAAGCGGGACCTCTGTCGCCCTTGAGCTGGTATGCGACAGAGATGGCTGCGAACCAGAGAAAGGCCACCAGAGTGACGGTCCACGCGATCATGAGGACGCGGCGAAACCGAAAATGCGCCTCGAGCATACACCGCTGTCGCGTTTTGGGGAGAGCGGGTGCATGCTCATGATGATCGGTCTGCTTCACCTCGTGGACACTCGCCATGCTTCGGCCCGGCACTCTGGACAGCCACCCCTGGCTCTGGCACACAGCTCCAATTTGAATGGGGTTGGTGGACCAGGTCGGGAAGCGGTTGACGGCCAAAGCCCAAGTCGCGATGGACGCTTGACCTAGCAGTCCCAAGCCGAGGAAGATGAGGGCATACCCGGACACGATATCGTAGGAATGAGAGGGCCCGATTGTGCCGTCCGGGTTGGTGTCCGAGAAGGAATATACCGTCTCAAGAACAATCATGGATCCGCACGCGTATGACGAGATCAACGACCAGGCCCATATCACATTGATGGGCCACCAGTGTATGCGAGAGCTCTTGCAGCTGGTGAACAGTCGCAGGTTGGAGTTGAAGGCTAGCCTCCCTGACGAAAGCAGGGTGAATCGCAAGCTGGTCGAATGCACGAGGCCCGCGACATCGGACAGGCCGGTGACGACGAAGCTGACGGCCAGCTGTAGAAACGGAACCAGACTCTTGTGATGGTACGTCGATGGTTCCATGCCGTCCGACGACTTGTCCGTCATCCTTTGTGCCACGGCACCCACGACTACCACTCCCAGGCCGATGAGCCACATGAGTGCCAGAACAGCGATGCATGCCTGGCGAGTTCTGGTACTTGTGTCTACAACGTCGACTGATGGATGAGTTTCATTCGCTGAGTTCACGCTGTTGTCCTTGCGTCTCGTTGGGTCGGCGGCGCCGTCATTCTGTTCACTTAGCGATGTGTAACCAACGCGCGGCATGGTCTGTCGTGTGTAGGAGAAAGAAGTCAGAAGCTGAGGCTGAAGCAGCCTCGGTATCTGGTGTTAAATCAGGCACGGATGGCATTCAAAGGTCGTCCCAAGTGCTTTCGAGGAGACGATTTCCCACAGCAAGTAACAACTGCTTGAAGGTACTTGTGTCTCGAGCATGGTCGTGGGCGTATGTGATGTGTATATCTATCCACTTCTGCCTCTACCCCTACCTCCACCGCTGCCTCTGCCTGTCGGGCTGTGCAGTCTTGTGTTGAAACCACGCCAGGGGCGCCAGGCGATTCAAGTTACACCAACCACACACCCGCCACCCCTGGAAGTCGGCCTTGATCTTGTATAGGCCCCCAGCCTGACGAGCCAGTTGTGGGGGCTAGTTTCTGCTAAGCCACCTACCCTGATATGCCACCCTTCTGGTCATTGCCTGCGCTAGGTAGGTACAGAGTATGTTTCTGACTTAGCAGGTATCTCTACGGGGCCTCCCTAGCCTGAGGGAGCCGCGCCGAGGTCGCCAAAGATTCTAATGTCGCTCTCGAATCAAGATAGACAGCACATTTCAGTCGTCAATTTTTCCTTCAGCCTCGCCGTACTTTCACGGCGGCGTCCACCGATTGATCTGTTCAATTATACGAGACTGCAGGACTATCGGACTAACTGCGATCACGGCAGGTTGCCTTTTCAGGCTGTCTACGATATGCATTCCGGCTCATGCTGGATTGTTGTCTTGAACCAGCTCAAGTTACATAACAGACACGCGCTCCCTATATTTGATTGACTATGTCTCCAGAGCACTCTCTCTGACACTTTCCGTCTTTCCTACTCATCGATCTGAACATGTATGCTCGGTTTGGCGCGTCAGATGGCCCTACACCCCCTGCAGCTGCCATGAAGGCCTCCAGGGATAGAACACCCCCTAGGGCATCCTTGTCTCTACGACTGTTGAAGGATCCGCAAATACGTTTCCGAAAAGCCGAAGACAAAAGTCTCTAATGACTACTTTTCGCACGCGTGCTTGCGACGAGATTCTGGTGGCTGACAATGACAGTTTTCATCTCAAGCCCCGTCCTTGATTGGCCGATCGTGACCAGAATATACCACGAGGCTCTCACACTGACATCCGACCGGATCAAGTGGACTGCATTTCGGTCACAAGTCCAGAGTTTTTTCCGCATATCATGCTACAAGTCCACCTTTTTGGTAGAAACCACGAAGAGCTGTTATCGATGCTCCCAGGTGCCTTGGGCCTGGATAGGGAAGCGAACAATCTGACCCCTTCTTTCTTGCATGTTGTCCAAGGTCTCGTGCACATTCCTTGCGAGGCTCGCGTTGGTATTTAGACCACTTTCCAAACCCCATCCTCAAGATGGCGGCAATGCCTACTTTGACGCGTTTGATTCATGAGCGGCTGAGCCATTTTCAACATCCTGTCGTCCATCATGGCAGTCCATTCGTTCCTGGGTTTTCATTTTCTGTCTGCATTGCTTTTCTATTTCAGTCATGTCTTGTGCCAAACTGGTTCGGTTTATCAACTTGACTCCGAGTACTCCGGAACCAATTTCTTCGATGGATGGGACTTTTACACCGTAAGAAGTCGCGCTGCACGGGAGACTAGGAAACTTGCTGACCAGGACAGGGAGGTGATCCTACAGGCGGCTTTGTTACGTGGGTACAGCTCCAACATGATCGTCGTTCTGCGCCATTGACAATGCGACAGATACTACAGCCGGTCTTCTGCCCAACTCACCGGCCTGATCAATTCCAGTGACAGCTCCCCCGTTTATATTGGCTCCGACTATACGAATACCATTTCGTCCACCAGTGCCGCCGGTAGACCCAGTGTCAGGATATCAACTCAGCGATCGTGGACCCATGGACTCTTTATAGGAGATTTCAATCATGCTCCCGGAGGAGTTTGTGGCAGTTGGCCAGCATGTATGATGCAGCCGTCGCTCCAAAGCAAGACTTCAACTGAATATCGTGGCAGTTTGGACCCTTGGGCCCAATTGGCCTTACAATGGCGAAATCGATATCATGGAAGGCGTCAATCTCGTCACTCACAACGGAATGACTTTGCATACGTATGTATCTGACGTCTCTTTTGTATTATGGAAGAGCCTCTACTGATACGGCCAGCAACCCCAATTGCACGATTGCCGGTGATCCCAGAACCATGACAGGACAGTTGCAGACCACAAACTGTGCATACTATGTGAGTAATGATCTCCAGAGACGGGCATGCATCTCCTGTTCAGTGCTGACGATCCATAGCCTGGTTACAATGTCGGATGTGGCATCAGTGACAATCGACCAGCCAGTTTCGGCGCCGGCTTCAACGCGGTAGGAGGTGGTGTCTATGCCATGCAATGGACATCCGACTACATTCGAGTCTGGTTCTTCCCACGCGGGTCCATCCCTTCAGACATACTGGCCAGAACGCCCAATCCTGCAAATTGGGGTCTTCCGGCTGCCAACATGCAAGGCTCCTGTGTCATAGACAGCCATTTCCAAGCACACAAGATCATCTTGAATAATGCGTTTTGCGGAGAGTATGCCGGGGCCGCGAGTGTGTGGAATTCTTCTACAGGCTCTTGCGCCACGTCGACAGGATACTCTACCTGCAACGAATATGTCGCTTCTGAGCCTGACGCGTTTCGGGCATCGTACGCCGGATGTCCTTGTGCCAACGTTTGGACTGTGTGCTAACGATGAGTCCAGATATTGGAGCATCAACTCCATCCGAGTCTATCAGCTTGCCGGCGCCAGCCCAAATGCAACCTCTTCATCAACTCCATACATAGCAAGCGACCAACCCGCACAGTCCACGGTCATATCAACAAGCAGTGCCGCCACTCCCACTCCAACCACCTCTCTTTGTCCGGCCTACAACTTCACTGTGGTTCAATCCGGCACATTTAAATACGAGATTGAATGCGGTGTGAATCCTGGAGGGTCTGACATTGGTCGTCCGTATCCCAACTACGTGGTCAACTCGTTCGAAGACTGCGTGGCAGGCTGCAGCTACTGGAACGTCAATATCACAGCCAACATCTGTGGTGCCGTCACATATCAAATCAGCAGCAAGGCCTGTTACTGGAAGAGGAACGTTGGAAGTACACCCATGAACTCGGGGTATAACGGCGCCAGGCTCATCTACTACGCCTACCCGCAAGTCACGGACAATCCCAACATGGTCACCTCCAGTACAAGCAGCACCTCCTATGTGGCCACGTCGGTTACGCCGCAAACATATGTCAACCCATCGGTTTCGACTTCAACCTCCTTCTCGCTGATCACAGGTACCCCGGCGTATTCGAATACGGATGGAGTTGGAATGGGAGGCAGTCAAACTGACAGTGACGCAAGCTCTACGACGTCTGATATGGGTGTTTCCACGAGCAGTACGTCGACTGGAATGACTTCTTCAAGTCGTTCTGTTTCAACCGCTTCTTCAACTACGACCACAAGCAGCAGTGTGTCTCGGTCCAGTTCGGCTACCCCTGGTTTGATCTCATCGACGTCTTCAACCACTCGGCCATCCAGCAGTACCGTGACTGCGTCCAGCTCTATCACTACATCCCCAACATCAGCACCTCAGACAACGACTACAGCAGGCCAGTCAACAACCTCATCTCGAACTTCCATCTCGTTGTCCACCTCCTCGACACAGAGAAGCACAGCAACGACCTCGTCTTCGTCTTCTGCAACCACAACTCGACAGTCAACAACCACAAGCCAACAAACGTCCCAGACTCTGCCATCCCAGTCAACCAGTACTAGAAGTCCTTCATACTCTTCGTCCAGTCCGACTCAAGTGCCGAGCACTTCGTCAACCACGCAGAGCATACAGCAGTCTCCCACGACGACAACAACAACAACAACAACAACAACAGTCAATCTCGGCACAACGAGTCAAAGTACAAGTCAGACCCAACCATCTTCGCCATCGAGTTCATCCACACACACTTCAGCCGGGACGGGCAGCACATCGACCATTCCACCTCCGCCCCCAATGACGAGTCCTTCATCGTCAACCTCCTCGTCCTCACCAGCACACTCACAGCCACCGACGTCGTCTTCAACCTCACCAACAGCCTCGCCAATCGCAACATCAAGCACATCTCACTCTACCTCATCCTCTTCGCCGACAAGTTCTCTAGTGGCGAGAAGCAACACCAGTACGCAGCAGTCTTCCACGTCGGTCACGACCATGGCGCAAGAGACTTCGTCAACAACCCAAACGACCTCTCCGTCGACATCAACGACAGACCCTCCTCTCGGCCCTTCCGAATTCGCTTCCTTCGCTTATGCAGGCTGTTTCGGTCCGCGTCCGGGCTCGCCGTTTGCGAATTCGCTCTTGCTCGTCGAGACTTCCGAGGTCATGTCCATTGAGATATGTGTCTTGGACTGCTTATCCAACCGGTTTGCAGGGGTTTTTGATACGTATGTATTCCTTCCCTTGTAACAATCCTTCACATCCAGTCTGCGCATAGTTGAGCCGGCTCGTTAGGCTGCCAACAAGCTAACAGACTATCCCATCTCATCAGACAATGCTTCTGCTCCGACTTTACACCACCCGATACCGAATCAGACGTCGATGCCGATGCCGACGCCGACGACAAAAACGTCAAATACCCCGATTCGGCATGTACCGCACCATGTCCCGGAAACGCAACCCAGAGATGCGGTGGCATCGCTCGTCTTCCATTTTTCCCGGCGCCAAATCTGGACAAGAGACAACTTCCAAGCGACGACCCGGATGGGATCATTTTGGTCACTTTGTACAACAATACACAATTTGAGAGTGGGGATGATGGGTCAGGAAGTTCGAGTTCCCCTACTACAACAACAGCGGATAACGGCGCTTCTTCTACGACAATACCCATAACCAGTGCTACGTCGGCGGCAAGTTCGAGCGTCTCCTCATCACAGACTCCCACGCAGGATGCAGATGCAGGTTCCCTTTCTTCCACAACGATTGGAATCACAACGACATCGACATCATCACAGCCATTACCTTCGTCTTCGTCTTCGTCCCAATCTCGATCTCGGTCTTCGACTTCAGATGTAAATCCAAGTCTAACGACAACATTCAATGTCCACCCAACTGCAATTTCAACAACATACACCACCATCTGCGCACTCCATCCAATAACATGTCCCACACGCACAGCTACTTGTCTGACGACGACCATCACGGCAATGCATTGCGGATGTACGGAGACGGCTGTGCCAGAAGTTCCTATGACGACTGTAGTTGTGCCATATCTTGTTGCAACTACCAGTGGACTTGAAGGGGGAGATGAGGTTGATCGACCTGAACCTGAACCGAGGACAACGACAACGCTGACTGTCCCGTGCGAATCTTCAATCGCAGACCTCGAGAATGAAGTCGTCGCTTGGTCTGTGGCGAATGCGAATGCGAATGCGAATGCGAATGCAGCAGCAGTAGCAACGCCAACAGCAAATGAATTGCAACCAGGAGATATCCATACATTGCCATATTCTTTCCCAGTCTCGTTTCCCATGATGCCTGCATCGACGAATCCTGGGACCGAAGGAGGAGATACTCCGAAAACTACAGATGTGGATGCGAACACGAACACGAACACGACTCCAAACACGGATCATGTCGAAATCGATACAATCACCCTGACTCTGGCTGCTGCGACGGCGAAATTCACGTTCAATGTCTCGCTACCCCTACCTCTTCTTCAGACTTCACAGACGACTGCTGGACATGAAGGAAATATATCCGGCACTACCGGAGGTAATGTTACTACTATTACTGTATCACCGCTGGTATTGACTGCGACGTCGACATCGACATCGACATCTTCAGAAGGTGGTTTGGGAGGAGGAGGAGGAGGAGGAGGAGGAGGGAGTCCGTTCCGTTCATCGGCCTCGAGGAATCGAATTGGGTTTGGATCTGGATTTGATTCTAGGATTGGGTTTGGCTTTGGCTTTGGAAGAAGCAGTTTACTTTTTCCATCGGTGGTGGCGATATCCCAGCTTGGTCTTGTTCTTGGGATGTGGTTTTTGGTTGTTCTGGTTTCGAATTGGATGTGATGGGGGGCGCTTTCGCTTCTTTTTAGGTTAGGTATTTGACTATTCACGTATCTCTATCTCGGGTGATTTGTGAAAGATTGATATTTTGTCCTCCTGATCAGTCATTGAATATCAAACAGTTCTTTTTTCTGTCTTCTTTTGTCCTCCGCCACCCCCCAGCTACCAGGGCTTTGCCCTTCGAGTACCCCTGTCATGTCATGTTATGTCAGCCAAGTTAACGGTCTTTCAGCGAGTCAAGTTTGAACCTTTCTGTTTAGTTGTTGAATGCGGTACGATGCGGTGTCGGAACAGGCTCAAACGACAAGTGTCGAGCTCAGTTAACAATGTCCGAATCTCATTTTACAATCACGGGAAAGTGGTGATTGATTAGGTACACATGGAGAATTTTTGGATTCTTTTCATTTTCGAGTCTCGTCTCAGATCTTGCCTGAAACGATGGTAACTAGCTAATAGCTCTGCAGAAACGCTGATGCCAGATGGGCCCCGGGGGGCCAGGCCGCTGTACAGCACAGTTCCTTGACTCCTGATAGCTCTTTGGTTCGTCATAGTGTTCGTTAATCTAACATGTTTTGAAAGCCCGATATGTGCCACTGTCTCCAGGTGGACAGCAATGGTCTGGTCATTGACTTCGACCAGGACATCGCAGGAATGAGATGACTTGATCTCATGAGCTCAGATCTCGTATCAGCTTCATTCAAGTCCCTCACTTCAGTCCGCTCTCCGGATCCCTGCTTGTTTGTCCTATTACCATGTAGAATTGACAATTGGCGGTCGATGGAAAATAGCCTAGATCCATGACTGCCTGGGTGAGCTTATGACGAAACGATGTGCACACCAGCGTCCACTGCTCTGTATGCCGTCGAATTGTGCTCTGTTCCGCGAAAAAGTGTAGGGACAGGTGAAAAGAGTTGTGAATGGAAAGAAAGCGCTTGGGTTGTGGATCGAGTTATGCAGTGATAACCTAGCTAAAACAAACCTGGCAGAGCTTGAATAATGGTATCTTCTGCAACGAGCTCATTGGTGAAGGACGACAATGTCCAAGTCGGTTGGGGTATCATGGCTAGGCGCAATGGGAGTTTCCGGAAGGATACAGGTCCGGACGATCCAGCTCATGGTGCGGTGCGGTAAAATCCCTTTGCTTTCTGTCCGATGAGACAACCTTCAACCAGATGCGAATTTCTTCCAGTGTTTCCCGCCGCAACACTGCATCAAGATCTGACACTCGCCGACCTTGTCATCCCTCTCATGTGGTTTTGCGCGACAATACACTCGGATATCCTTCTGTTTCTCACCATCTGGGTTGTTTCCAAGAGGGAAGTATTTGCGGTCCCATTCGCCGAATTTGACCTCTAGCAGCCGTTCGCCGCTGGTACGGGACCCGAACACATATTTCCAGAGCTCGCCAACAAAACGGCATATGTCGTCGGTAGAGGACGGTGGATGAAACGTAACGATATCTGCAGAAGGGTGGTCAGGAATTTCTGTTTGAGGCACATCGCTAGTACTTTCAGGGTTCCAGAAGACAGGTGGCAAATTTTTCGAGTCGAAGTCACCCCCACACTTGTTTGGAAGGGTAAGTTCCGGCCACTCGTTCTCGTCCTCGTCGTCGATGACGTTCGATATATCTTCTGCAAAAGTCGCCAGCGATATGTATCCTACACCGGCGTCGAAGTAGATCTGCAGTTCATCCAACCCGGCCTTCACCAACTCATTCAGGTGGACCTGGTAATCATGGATGTTGAGGAACTGTGTGTGGCGGTTCAGATCAAAGGTACACGCCTTTAGCTTCGGGCATGAGTTTCGAACCTGTGCGAGACTCTCTGGGGAGAGTATCTGTCTGAGGTACGGTCTTGTTCCAACCTGCTCTAAGCCAACGTCCACAAATGACTCTTCGCGCTCATGAAGGTGCAATTCTTTCAAGGTAGGACCGTGTTTCGATAGGACGGAAGCCAATGAGATTCTGCCGGACCATGACCAGAGACTCAGAGTTGCCAAGGGCGAGCATGTGTCTATGTAGTCTTGGGCTGCTCGCGCGGTTTCTGGGTCGCAATCATAGGCCCCAAGATTGAGGCTGACATGTTTGAGATTGGAGAGTAGTTGTGCAGCCCGTGTGAAATATGAGGCGTCGATACGGCCTCTACTGCACTTAAAGCTCTCCAGGGTGGCCAAGTCAACGAACTTCGACCAGTATTCCAGGGTATCAGCCGATATTGGCCAGCCATCCAATGTCAGATGACGAAGTGAAGTGCTAGGTTTGAGCTGGATGTGCCACTTTCCCCATTCGTTTACCTCACTCGGAGAGATCCTGTCAGATATGAGAGAAGCGAACTTGAGATTTGGTGCACGACAGAGGAGCTCCTGCAATGCAACATGGTGGTAACTTTTCATATTGTCGCTAAAGATTTCCGCTCCGAAAGATATCAGACACTTGTTCTCGGTGAGATCGTGGAATGAGTTGGAGGAATATGTGTAGTTCTCGGTTCGTACGCGACGCACGTGCAGGTGTGCTCTTGGATGCTGCGCTTCGAGGACGTCAAGCACCGGGTGTGGTAGCATCAGAGGAATCTCCCAGGTCAACGAGCGCAAGTTGCTCACTTGACCCAAGAGCTCAGTCAACTGGTCGGCAAAATCGGTTTCTGAACCCCGCCACTTTTCATGCCGCTGACGTATGGTCAAGTGTCGTAGACCTCGAAAGAACTCTGGACATTTCCACGACTTGGCTTGCCGTCCTGTTGCGGTGAGGAAGTATTTGTGGGCCGAGTCCCATTGAAGCGTTGTGTGTACATACCGTACACATTTGACTGCGTCGTTGAAATACTTGTTGACTAGGGCGAGTGCGGATGCAGTTCGAGGTGAATCGCTGCAGACCTGAGAGAAGATCATTGAGAGTACCTCGATCTCAAGGTCGAGAATGGCAGTGGGAGGATTCGGTTGCGCCATGGCGATCGGTGTGAGGTTTGAGGGTATGAGCGAGAGTATGCTGATGAGATGGGTTGAGGATTTGGGAGAATCCACGGTGAAGAAATGGATTCCAAGAAACAGTTTCAGCGTAAAAAAGATCAGGTCGGATCATAAACATGACTGTTTCTTGGTGAAGGAGCAATGCAACTTGAAGGCAGGGCAAGGACAAGGTGAAGGCAGAGATACAAGTCAGACAGTGATGAGGCTGAACTGACACAAATAATGGATTATCAAGTTCGCGGGGATGGAATTGCGGGGGACGCGCCAAGCGCAGGCAGTCGCGCGTGTTCACGTGATAATGAAAGTTGTAGGGTCAAGTATTTGACAGAATCTGGCACCCAGGTCACGTGGTAGAAGTTCTCTTGGGTGGAGCATTAAACAAAGGTGAACTTTGCTTCTGATCCCGTTAGAAATATGGCTGACAACCTACCTGGTCATGTAAGTTGGGGTGTGTATCAGCCATGGGAGACTGAAGAGTAGGAGACTCGAAGCGGATGACAACAACAGCTGTAGTATACCGCATTCGTATCATTCATAGTTCAAGCGAAAAGAGATGCCGCGCAAGGATGATCTCGTCACCTGGATCCCAACCTCTATTCCCTCTCCTCAATCTTCAGACACCATCTCAAATGTATTCTTCACGACTTTTCGGCAGCCCTAATAACACCATAAGTCCCCTATCTCATAAGTCCCATCTCACGTACCCGCAAACGCCTCGCTTAATTAACCCATTTTGTCGCTGTGACCCACGCTCTATCCAACCCACGCTCTAGCCTGGATGTAGCTTGCAGCCGTCTAGAACTCTTCATCTATGATTGCTCTGTCCAGCTCGGATAAGATGGAGTCCTGGAGGAGACTGTGACTTGCAACATAACTGAAGCCGCCGAACGGGTCCGACTTGCTTAAGGTCCTGCTGTGTCGACGGGTGGTGGCCTCGATCGGTCGACCGGTGAATTCCTTCGAGAAGTTCTCCGCCAGTTCTGGATCGGTGACCAGTGGTCTAATCGGTGGTTCCAATTCTCGGGCCTCTAGTTTCTTCCAATCGATCTTTCTGAAAAACCGGTGTTTTTTGATGATGCTAATGTCGTTGGGGCCAACACCCAGACGCTTCTTGGGCTCTTTGCGCAAGAACCTCGTGAGAAGATCTTTGGCATCAGGCGACAAGAAATAAGGTAGGTTCAATTTTTGATGCAGAATGTTTTGTTGAATCTTGGTCCAGTTGCCGCCTCCAAAAGGAGGTTTACCGGTCATGAGATCGCACGCCATAGCCCCCAATGACCACCAGTCACATGCTTTGCCATATCCAGGACCCCAATTTGATTCTTCGGAACCGCGGATGATCTCAGGTGCCATATATTCAATAGTCCCAACCCCAAGACTGTTGCAACGACTGCCACCAGGAGTCTCTGGGTCCTGGACCGCCACCTTGCTGAGGCCGAAGTCCGTCAACAGCAAATGACCTTCGGCGTCAAGCAGACAATTTTCCGGCTTGAGGTCGCGATAGATGACGCCGACTGTATTGTGGAGATAGTCGAGGGCCAGAACAATCTCGGCAATGTAGAAGGCTGCCACTTCTTCGGAAAAGAATTTCTCCAACTCCAAATGGCGAAATAGCTCACCGCCCGAGGCGTATTCGAGAATAAGATACAATTTCTCATGATCTTGGAAGGCATAGTAAAGGTTGACAATGAACGGGTGACGGTTGACCAATTCCAGAATGGTTCGCTCCGATTTGGTGGACTCGATGCGCTTCTTGTGGACTTTGACAAATGCCTTAGTCAGTTGCTTCTGAGCGAACAGACGACCAGTGGCATTTTGTCGGACAAGAAGTACGGTCCCAAACGCGCCGTCACCAAGACAGCGGATCGGAGTGAAGTCTGCAGCAGTCATCTTGCGGGCTATCATTGAGGTCGCACGCTGATCTGCATTTATGGTAGAGACTGAAGCAATACTTGGATCTGTGTCGGCCAACGACTGACTGACGAAGTCTTGATCGATGGCGACATGGTAGCTGACGATATCTTCCTGGACCTCTTCGCCTTGGGTGTCGGAAGCTGCGCTAGCAGCACTGCTAGTGGCCTCTGAGTCCAGATGATTTCGCGCTCGCGAAGTTGAGCGACTTTGGCTGCGAGAATTGAGAGCATCAAGTTGTACTTTTAAACTGCTGATTCCTGGTGACTGTGGTCGCAGCCCTGGGCTAGCCCCGGCCAATGGACGTAGAATAGGGTTAGGTGACAGGACTCTTGGGCTGGTATGTGAAGTATCAGAATCTTCCGTGCCCGAGTCAAGCCCGGCGAAGCCTCGGACAGTATTCAATGCTTGACCAGCTTTTGTCTTGTTATTCCTCTTCTTCTTCCTCTTGGCCGCCGTGGTGGACAGAATGACACTGCCTTTGACTTCCGGTCGGCCTCTCTCACCGCCGGCTGTAGCAGCCTCGAGACCATGTCCATCGATTGCGACGGGCTTCTGTGGGGTGGTGGGAGGGCTCTTGGTGCGCATAGGGGTGATTTCTGGCTCGGCCAAGTCTGCTGCATTATTTCCCAGCGCAATGGAGCTGAGCGCAGTCTCCAAGTCCGTGGACACGTCGTCAGCAGGGCGTGCGGCCCCTGTGGTACTTTGGACCTTGTCCATGACGGGTTGGGTGATTCCAATGCTCATATTCTTTAGGAAGTATTCCTGCCACGTCTAATTCTGTTTCTCTCTAGACTGATGAGGCAGTGTGCGCTCCACCAGCGCTCCTATATTACCGTCCGCCCTTATTCAGGACGGACCTTTCGCCAGTAGCCACGCCGAGTTAACGTGGACAATGTTCGATACAGCAGCTGTTGGCTTCACATGGGAAGGCGCGACGAGACCGCAGGCAGTAGTGCGTGGAATAATGATGCGCGAGGTATTGGCTGCTTGTCGACCCATTGACGATGGTAACAACACTAACAATATTGGAGAGGCACAAAAGCGGTCCAGGGAGTGAAGCAGCGGTTGCTAATGTCACAACGGAAGTGAGAGAGAAAGGGGGAGGAAGAGTGGTAAGGTTTTGCTGGCACTGGCAGACGGCTGCAAACGTGCAAAAGGTCAGCACCAGAATCTGGGAAATTCGTTCGACTTGGGAGGCGAGTCTGCGAGTCAGCCAGGAAATCGACGGCCCGGGATCCGCAACCAGCCAGAACGAACCTAAACCCCGGAGCGGTCACGTGAGACATGTGACCTGGCTGATTCTGGGGGGGTTTGATTCGTCAGGCCATTGGCGGTGAGAAACAATGTTGTTCCGTGCTTTCGATATATTTGTCGCGTCGAGCCACTGCAGTTTGCTCCTATTAACCTGTAGTTGCTAAACCTGGTCCTCTGAAAAATGAGAGTCTGAACCAGAATCGAAACACATAGACTTGGAATTTTTATTAGGTTATAGTATGGACCTCAAGAAGAGACAAAAACATATAAAAATAATCATACAGCATCAACAAAATGTCAGTATAATATTGCAGATTCAAAACCTAGATGATGATTTTCAGATAAATGATAAGCTAGAGTGACACCGCAAGAATGATGTAAGCGCCCCGGGTGACTGATATACTAGTAATAGGCTTTATTCGTTATTCAACTTAGGCATCTACCACCTATAAGCGTCGAAATGGCGCCCCTGAGAATTGGGGCGGGGCCAGTCACTAGCACAGCTACTAGTATTTCGCAAACTGACTCGCCATCTCGCCGTCTTCGATCCGAACTCGTCCAAATCCATCATGTTCTCTCTGACCAAAACACCCACCCCGGAGTTGTTCATCGACCTATCCTCAAGAGCGCCGTCAGTATTTCCCCCACCAGCTTTCAACATCTTGCGTGAACATGGACAAAGTTATCTTGAGAAACCTCAATTTCGACCTCGCCGTAGGCTTCGATGCCTGGCGCCGGTTCGGCAAGGCCCAGCCCACCTCGATCACTGTCGAGGTCCAGCCCGAGGCGAATTTCGAAGCAGCTGCCGCTCAAGACAATGTCAATCTCAGCATGGACTACGGCGCCCTGTACAAGAGGATCTGCGGCGGCGTGCATGACGGAGAGGTTTTCCCAACCGTTCGGGCCCTGATATCTCGGCTACACAATGTGGTGTACGACTTCACCAAGCTGGACATCGACATCTTGTTCCCCAAAGCCCTGCTCCAGGTCAATGGCGGAGTATTGTATCAGTTTCAAGTGGATAACTCTGGTCCTGGAGTGGCCATGTCCACGTTGAGTGTGACCGTCAAACAAATCGCTTGCAGCTGCATTATTGGAGTCAACCCGCATGAACGCCTATACCAGCAATCATTATTCATTGACATTACTATGCCTCTCATGGCCGCTGCCGTAGGGTCAGAACCACCGGAGGAACCATACACGGTAGCATTACACGACATGGTTAGAGAGACAGTCGAAGTAAGTAAAAGGGCCCTTCCAGTTCCTTCACGCACCAATGCTGACCTGTTGGACAATGCAGAAAGTCAATGGGTCGGCATATCACACCCTGGAAGCATTGGCAACCGCGGTGGCCCAAATAGTGACCGTCAATTATGGCCACAAAGCTGCAAAAGTCCGTATTGAGAAGCCCAGCGCCATCGCTACAATTGAGGCTCCTGTTGTCGAGATTACTCGTACCAAAGCGTTCTTCGAGAACAAGGATTTCTGGAAAGTGAAACGTCCTTAGATTGTCCAGCTTCGCAATCAGCCCTCGGTCAAATCAACTATGCTGACCCGTGGAGGTCGCCTTGGCGACTTCCGTTGGCTGGCCGGACTGATATCACCGTCGATTTCTCGCCACGTACCGGGGAGACTCGAGCGAGGAATTGCACGGATGTGTCTGACCGAACGCTTTGCCTTTGGTCCACTGGTGGCCTCAGATGAAATGTCAGACGTGGCTTGTGTTGCCTGCTGGGAGACAGCCTCTGCAGGGACTGAGGTCAGCCGAGCTGCGCCTATATAAGGTGCAAAGAAGCTTTCAATCGTCCGCTTCGTTTTCACGGGACTGGCGGTTGGAATCGGTGGTTCTCCCGCGCTGCTTGTTGCTTCAGAATCCCCCAACATAGCGTCTCTCCTCCCTTGCCTTCCGTTCCCACATCGAATCGCGGTATCAGGCACATCAATTGGATTTGGCAATGACTCCTGAGTATCGGAGATCCTGTTTGTGTGAACTGGTTCTCGGACTGGGGATGACGATATAAAGCAGGGTTGTTCAAAGGAGGCTGGTTTCGATTTCAGAAGTCCTTGGGGTGTAGAAGTGATAGTTAGGTCGGACTCGGCAGCTACTGCAGGTTTGGACTTTCTTGGTGCCTTTCCTACGGCGTCATGGGTATGTCGGCTTTTGGTGGACTTAAAAAAGTCTTGCATAATCGGCGCTTTTGCATTCTCCTGCTGGTTGGGCGTGCTTTTGGGGGGAGTCTTCGACAAGAGGTGAACACGAGTATTTTGTTTGCGTGGAGGGGATGACGGAGTTGAGGTCTTGCCAGCCGCGACGGCTCTTTCGTCGGATACCTTTGATGCCACGACGTAGCCCAGGAGTGCACCAGCCTGCATGCCTCCAGTATCTTTAGGAAGGCGAACTTCTTTCTGCTTCCGAGATTTGCGGGTTGCAAATTTCTTTGGGTCTGCTTCGATTTCCGCCTGGATTTGCCGCCATTTGTCCACATGCTCACGGGCGCCCATTTCCACAATCGTCTCAGCAATCCACATCTTCTCTGCGGCGGTGGGCAGCCAGGGAGGTGTTTTCCGCTTCTTGGAAGGACTGGAGGGAATGGCGTCATCTTCACCCACGTTGCCACCTTCGTCAACCTCGCCGTTCTCCTCAGCCGCCAGACGCTCGAGATATTCCGGGCTATCCTCTTCAGCGTCAAGATCGAGGCCGACGACCTCTGCGGGTATCACCGTCACCCGCAATTCCGGAATACCGTCGCTGACGAAATGCTGCCGACGCTCTGTGATTTGTTCGACCGAGTGAATATACGGCGTCGAACCCTCGAGCCGTAAACTGTTGGCAAGTAAGGCTGGTGCCATGACTCGGACAAACTTGCAAGCTCCAGGTTTGTAGAGCCAGTCGAAGGTGTCCCCCACATAGTCCCTCAATGCTTGAATATCGATCTCAGACTCCCATGCTTCGGTCCACTTTCTCTCCAACATCGCCAATTGATCTTCAGGCGTGACGGCAGGATTGAGATAATAACTCAATATCCTTCGATCAGGAAATGACGGAGGAATCTTGACGGACTTGCGTCTCATCTTGAAATAACCACTCTCGTTGGTCTCAAGTTCGTACTCCAGTCGTTCTCTCCATTCCTGAAGACCAGCCTCGTCGTTATTGCGCACTAGATCCAACAGGTCACTGCCAAAACCGGCCCTTGCTATCTCGGAGGCCAATGTGGACCCGATGCCTGCCACGCCAGCTTCATCATAGTCACCACCGCTCAGGAGAGCCACCAGAATCATACCATCCGGATCCAGACCTGACAGAGACTTGATCCGAGGAAGGTCGAGCACGTTGACATGAGTTGGAGATTTGTTGTGCTTAGATGCTTCTTTGGACCAGTCCCTCAAGGTCAGGGTCGAGCCAAACATGATTGCATCGACGTCCTGACTCATGACGGCGTCTACAAGGCCGTTCTTCTGCAGCATTGCACATTCCGCCTCCGCCTCTCCGGGTGCAGTGTGGAATGGAAACCGGAAGGCTTGGACGAGGTTCTTTGACATCTCATTGGAGATGCAGGAGCCATATCTCGAGACTGTCTTGCCTCGTTTAGTTAGGGGTTTGTTCTTGCCATCATAGACAAACACTGGATCGATGGGTAAGGCGAGCAACTTCACCAGCCGGTAGAATAGTGTCCGCAAGGCCGGATTCTTCCCACCCTGGCCGGCCTGGGTCTGGAAGTTCCATATTGCCGCGTCAATAGCTATTCGCAGTGGCCGCTGCGACCGTTCTAGATGCTCTATTGCGAGCTTTGCCAATGCCACTCGCTCACCCTTCCCGATTTCTTTGAATATCCTAGAGTTGGTCAGTATTCACTCGCGTGCCTTCTAGCTGTAGCGCAGGAGACTTTACCCAGGAATGCCCATGTCTGAAATCTCAAACCCTGTTGCAAATCTCGGACGAGATGATCTTCGGGTGTGCTGCCGCCATCGTCACCCTGCTTGTCTAAGTTGCCTCTGATCAACGAGTCCCAGTCTGGTTGTTGACATGATGAAGGGGCGACCCGGCAATGTTTCGGGCTAGGCGCGGTCGCTACGGCAGATCATTGAAGCCAATCACAATGCTGACTAAGGCTGTTTGCAGTCTTCCATTGGCCTGTCATTAACGTCCCTCTGTACACGACGAGCGCACCCTCGGTCAATGACGAGACCCAAGACTACAATGTCGCTTCTGCTCAATGCGATCTATTGAGCTTCAGGACCATGGTAGATGGGAGGGAAGGCGGTAATATGCCACAAGTGCCATGACAACCACCGTGGCCTCTGCCATTCGGCCGGGCCTTCGCGAACGCCAACAATCTGGCTCACCACATACTCCTAGTCGGTACATATCGTCCGTCCAATCTTCTCCCGGATCCTCCTTCTTCCGCGCTGAGGAAGATCCCATTATCATCGAACTAGATGCTCGTGAACTCAACGCGGGGTTCCAAGGGGAAAGCGGTCCACAGTGTACCATACCCTTCACACCACGCAACTCCCGGAGAATTGGGGATTACAGGGAATATTTGCCCGATTACAAGAGAAGAAGGGCAGAATTACAAACTCGGTGTAAAGAGTATGAGCTATGGAGGAACGACTTGAGCGATGTCAATTTGGGCCTGCTGGAGGATAAGCTGGAACGCGCTGTTCGGGAGGTGTACAACAAACACCTGCTTGTGGATGCCGGTGCTGCACGGCTGGTTCTCGTCCTACCGTCGTTGGTTCCTCATCCAATACTGTCAACTATTCTTACACTTCTGTTCGAACGATGGAAGTACTCCTCTGTGACCCTTCTTCCTGCGCCGGCCATGACCATCGCTGCTGCCGGTCTACGATCAGGCTTGGTCGTTGACTTGGGGTGGGAAGAGACAGTCATCACAGCAATCTATGAATATCGAGAAGTCCAGGTTCGTCGAAGTACAAGAGCTATGAAGGCTCTCACGCTCAAAGTTGGCGAAGTCCTGGGTATTGTGAGGAACGAACAAGACGTGCAGTTCCGGGACACATTGCTGCTGGATTTTGACTTCGTGGAGGACTTCATCGACCGTGCTGGTGCGTGTCATGCAATGCTCGTGGATGTAGATGAAGATCTAGTCACCATGGTGGAAGCGATGCAAGTCCAGCAGCAAGCCGACTCGAAATCGAGAAGTGAAAATCGAGCAAAGATCGTAATCGACTGGCCAACAGGGACCTCATCCCGGCCCATAGCCATTCCACGGCATGCACTCCACCTTGCGTGCGTCGATGCTATAGTCGGAAAGAAAAACGAGACACGCCCTGACGACCACGAACAGTCTGTCGGCCAACTTTTGTACAGCACTCTGCGCTCTTTATCCTCTGATGTGCGTGCCATCTGTATGCCCAGAATTGTCTTCTCTGGTCGAGGTGCCCGTGTGGCCGGGCTGTCCCAACGCATCCTTGATACAACCGAGTCGATTGTATCTCAATATGGCTGGAGCGCGGTAAGAGGAAACCGCCTTCCCGTCAAAAGAGCTGGTCTTGCAGAACTCGCGCAGGCGAGAGCAGCACCTGCTGATGCTAGGCACAATCTCAACTCCCCCGGCGCGAACGATTTCGTCGAAGAGCGGCTCGCCAAGCAGAAGTCGAAGGATGTTGATCTGTCTGTTCCAGTCGCCCTCCGTCAAGTCGACACCCTCGGACCATGGGCCGGAGCGAGTCTCGTCGCAAGCTTGAAGGCGAAGTCCTTTGTTGAGATTGATCGGGAGAAGTTCCTTTCACATGGACTGTCTGGGGCGCAACGGGAATTTGAAACAAACGTTGTCTCCCAACGTACAGGTACTGTGAGGAGTGGTGAAAGAGCCAGTTGGACTTTGGCGGGATGGGGCTGAATTGTGACCATGAGAGACAACTTTCCTGGCGCAGAAGGCGCCTCCCTCGTGAGCACAGCGTCTCGCTTTCCTGAACAGTGTAGGACTGGCTGAGCCTCGCGGCTCACGTCGCTGACCTCAGCGCCGATGATCTCGGCCGCGCCCACCGCAGACTCTGGTAATGATTTGAATACTACAGCATTCTCTTTCTCACGATCTTTCTTCTTCATCTTGTATCTTGGATCTTGGATCTCTTTCCACAGAGCCGTATTCTTGGTTTGTGTATGTTAAAGCGTTCTTGTATCCTTCAATCAGGATGGCGCTCATCACAGGACTCCTCTGCTGTGGCAGATGTCGACGACTGGCAGCATTCAGACAATGGCTATGGGCGAGGAACGAGGAGAGAGGACCAGGAATGAGGCGCAGCAGAGAGGCTTTGCGAAAGGCAAAAGCCAAACGAGGTGGATTCTCTCTTCGACGAAGAAGACTGCGAAAGAGTCCTGAACTGAATACAATCCATGAACAGGCACGTGTTTTCTGTGTCGTCAGGCACTGCAATCTGTGCTTCACTGTTAACTTGGCTTCACAGGAAGACGAATCAGCCATCTTTGCACCTGCAGACATTGAACAACCGGCCATCGAGTCTGAAAACAGCACAGCCCCTGTTCTCAAAGCAGCCATCGTCGCCGTCACTGCAGAATCTACCCAAGAGCCTCTCCCACCTGCGTTCCCTGCAAACAACGAAAATATCAAGCCTGCAGAAGATCCTGGCGCAGGCAGTGCCGAGCCCAAAGCAGCCGGTGCCTCACTTTCACCTCACTTTGCTATTGCCGGAGAAGAAGTTCTAGCCTGCGCGGTCTCTACTCAGCAACAAGCGCCATCACTTACTACTAGTATCCTCCAGGCTTTTGCAGCTGGCTCCGATCACGAAGACCCCAGCCCCAAAACTCCTGCAAAAGACCCTGCTCCCAAAGACTCCGATTTTGAGGACGCCGCAACTTGCAGCAAGAAACCGAAGCCCAAATCCCCGCTCAAACCTGCTGTTCTGCGTTTCAACGAAGAAGTCATCACAATCTCACCAGTCAGTTCAAGCACGAATATCGCAGGAGAGAAGGACAACCCCCGAGAAGACCGCAGCCCCCAGCAAGGCCGAGTCTCAACCCAGCCTCTCTCACGATCCGTACCAAATACGGACCTGGCCGGTATCGATTTCGATTGGGAAGCTCGTCGAGAGTCCATCAGAGCACGATCTCTCAAGACCAGAATTCGAAGGAGACTCCAACATAGCCCTGATAGAGACAACAACAACAATAACGACGCTGCAGCACCCATGTCTTCGAGGGAAGTTGATGAGCAAGCGGGCGCCGAATCTCTCGGCAGCTTGAAAGGCATTGTGTCATCGTTGAAGAAAGTCGGCTCCATCCACAGCAACAACTCCACCATGTCCACCAAAGAACACGACGAGCACGAAGGCGATGAACCGCTCACCAGCTTCAAGGGCATAGTGTCATCATTGAAGAAGGTTGGCTCCACTCACAGCAACCACAGCTCCAAGAGCGAATCCTCAGAGACCACCTTGTCGATCGAAGACATGCCAAAAGACCGCCCAGAGCTGGAAGCTCGACTCAACATTATTCTCGGCCGTCTTGATCGACTTCGCAACCAAGTCCGACTTTTCAACAGTCTCATCAAGGAATACTACGATCTCTTCGAGTCCCAGCGCCGCATCCATGCCACCTATCCCGAAGTCAAGGTGGTGTTGGAGGAGGAGCTCGAAAATGTCCGCAAGATGCGAACCGGGTTCGAAAAGTCCCTCAAAGCTCTCCATCGCCAAATCGACCGGATTGCAACTGCGAGAGCGCGCTTGGACGAGAGTGAAGGTCAGGTATGCACCATCTGGGATATGTACATGGGATACAAGCATGAGGATGAGTGGGCAGACCTCTTTGCCTACTAAACAGGCCACTAATACGATTCGGTGATCGAACTTCGTCGTTGATTCGATGTTGCAGGCTGGAGCAGTTGATGACAGCCGACATGAGTGGTGGAGCAAAGAGAGACATGCGTCCGACGACGTTTTTGTTCTTTGAAGGACATCAACTACGGCGGGGATCAAACTGGCTGACTGTCATGCCATGGAACGAGAATTCTAAGGATCGAGTCAGAACATTCAGGCGCATACTGCGTCCAATAGCTCGATTGTTGTTGGAGAAAGGATCATTTGCTGTCGAAGCCAGGTTTCCGTTGCTGTTGGGCGAACAGAAGAACAAGACACTCCGGCCGAGCACAATAGGGAAGGCATTGGCTCCGTCTGTTGTCGAAGTCGGGCTTGCTTGCCTACAGCTACAGCAAGGCCTGGATAATGTCATTGAGCTTGGACAAGAGGGCAAAGGCAGAAATCTTATTAGCTCACTCACTAGTACTACTAATATTGAGATTCCCAATGAAAAGTCAGTCGTTGACAAAATGGATCTAAGGTGTACTTTAAATTCCCTGGTACCTTTGTGAATGCTTTTGCAGACATTTACGCCTTTGTCCTCTGTACTATCTGCCTCTCCCTCAACTGGCTGCTTTTGATATATCTCACATGCCGCTCGCTGCGATTCTCGGAGGAAACTCCTTTCTTCCTCCTTGGTAAAGATGTAAGAACCTCTTTCAGATGTGATGCTAGCTAGATGTGGTGTGTAGAATGTATGTTCCGGATTTTGACTCTTGATGTATGGAAAAATTTGGTGCTGGCAGATTGCAACAAAGCAGCCGCCACGATGGCCCGGTGGGATTTGTAGTCTAGTACCCGTGCCACGAGTGGATTACATGCTGATTCCTGAACGGCGGTCTCTGACCTGAGGAAAGCGTCTGAGACAATACATCATGCCTCGATGCCCAGGCTGCGACATCTGGCTCGGAAGTCATCCATGCCAGTGTAGGCACCACATACCCTCCTCTTCCCTTCAAAGCCCAACCGTCCATGCAGCACCCGCCAGTTGTCAAAGATGACAGGCTCGCCTGGCTGCAATTTCACCGTGAGCAGGAACTCAGGGCTCTCTAGGATACGAGCCCACTCTCGCGCCGCAGCATACCAGCTCTTCAAGGCGGTATGGTTCGGAAAACTCGGCGTCATCGGAGCAAATCGGTCAAGGTTATTCCATCGGATCTGCACCAGCATGGTGGGAGACGGGGACGAGACTCGCCCCGTTGGCGAGCTATGATTTAAGACGGGATAACCGTGCAGAGACGCATTCGTGTTGAGGAACGCGCCGGCCGGCGACCCCAAGGCGGCAGAGGTGATCGGATACGTCGCCAGTGCGTGGTAATGTTGCGGGAAGTGCTTGTGCAGGTACGCAGCGGCAGCGAAGCCGTCGACGAACGTCGATTCGCCGCCCTTGCCTGGCTTTCCGGGGTCCCGGGACGACGTATGTGAGAGTAAATGAAACAATTGTAGACCTGCAGGGTCCGTGAAGTAGGTCGTGTCTGTGTGCGGTGGGAGCGGGTCGTTCGTGTATGCCGTGTCGATCGGGTTCACTTCGCTCGTGAAGTCCCAGAACCCGCCGTAGTGCGTGGCGCGGATGTGTGCGATGCGCTCGATCAGAGATTGTGTCGCTTCAGGAGTCGCGGGTGTTTCGGGCATGAAGCAGAGTCCGTAGGTGTGGATGTTTTGCAGGAAGTGCTTGAGGCCGTCGGTGTCGGGAGTGTTCATGATCGCGTCGTAAGATACTCGCGGCAGATTGTCAGGTGCTGCGGACGGCGGGACGTGTGCCCATGTCCGCTGAGCGGTTTGTCGAGTTGGCGAGGGGGTCTTGTTGCTCGCTTGGATGAATGGCGGGTGCGTCTCGAGCCACTCCCATGGATAGACGCTCGTATGTGTTGCGCTGGAGCCGGTGTCTGGGATATCTGTGGTAGCAGGCCATGACACTTCGAGCCCGGATGGCGTAGAGCGTACGCTAGACACTTTGATCTCAGGGTCGATCGTGAAGGTGTCGAGTTGACGCTGATGCGTGCTTGGGTGCTGGCATTCGGCGCAGGGGCAATGGTCACGGAGCCAGAATGATGGGTACCGTACCGCTGTGCCCGTGTTGAAATCCACTATTACTTCCTGGTTGGCCATGTCGTTGATCAGCACTTGCGGCAGGGATGATGCTGATGCCATGCAGCGTGTCTGGGTGTGGGATGGCGTCCATGTTGATGGCGTCCGTTGGCTGGTCGAGACCGTGTTCCACCTCGTAGAAAGACTGGAGGCCCTTTTCCGCGTTGAGAAGCTTGTATTGTTCGCGAATCGTCGCAAAGCTTGTCTCTTCCATGGATACTGGAACCCATATCCGCCTCGGAACAGCACCGAGGGAGTCCGAGGCTTCATGCTGACTGTAAACAACAAGGTGAGGGCTATAGATGGATATATGACAGCTGAGGTAGGTCCGGCCACTTGCCTGCTGCCGCCAATCTGCCGAGTTATCAGACCGCTCTACCCCTTCCGCGTCGCAACAAGGCCTATGGTGTGGTGTTGATAGGACAGCAACTCATCACCCGCCTCGGTTGATACCGGCGGAGGGCGAAGTGAGCGATACCGGCTGCCAAGATGTCCAGGCGGCGAGATCCATCGTATTATGTAAGCTGGAAAGATGCAATTCCATTGGATCCATCTCAACGACCTACCTACCTAAGTACCATTCAGGTTCATACCTACCAGCGACATCTTTCAAAAAGGGGGAGTTTGTTCCACAAGTAGGGCAGCATATTCTTCGACCATGATGTGCAGTACACTCGTACCCGCTTGCCGGATGGCTTGACATTTGGTCGCAGATGATGAAAAGTCAAGGAGTAGGAGCAATCGAAAGGCAGCCTGGATCGGTATGTGCCAGCAACGACGACGTATACCTTCTCAGCCTCGTCTTTCATTCTGCCTCACTTGTACTCATGTCGCCCTCCCATTCCACCTTCCTGCCTCACCAAAAGCCTTGGCGACCGCACTCACCGCGCTTTAACACACGGGCGCGCGCGAATTAGCAGGTCATATATTTTAGGCGCGGATTTCCTTCCAACAATCCGCGGAGCCAGACCCAGGCCTGCATGGCTTAGGTGTTTGGCGAAGTGGTGCGTTACCAAACCCACAAAGTCATACCAAAAAGTAGAAGGAGCTCTCTCGAAAGAAATCCTGGGCAACAATCCCTCTCCTGCAAGGTAGAAGAGCGTGTGATTTCTTCGGAAAACGCCGTTGGCCGGGCAGGATTATGGAAGGTCGCAGCAACCACCGGGGTTTTCACTTGGTTTCAACCTGCTCCTAGAAGACCCTAAGAACGGGGAAATTGCTACGAGGTCAGCTTGGTTCAAAAGTTTTTTGCCATTTTGGTGGATCGAACTGATGAAGCAAAAGAGATTGGAGATTGATTCGAGCAGCTGTGAGTGAATACAGTACCGTCACAGCGTGGCATGCATGGTCTGGGTTCGAACCGCACAAACGCACAATATTCTTTTTTGGCATTTTGGATGCACTTGAATTTTGCGCGGCTCCGAACAGGTCACATGGGATGGAACTTTGGCATGGAAATTGGAATTGCCATTAAGAGCAGGTTTACTGACCATTGCTGCCTCATTCATGACCATCAAACCCAGGCATAGCTCTTAATCTTCATCATTGGCAGACGAGATCATGGGGTCTTAGGAGAAACAAGCTGGAGCTACGAGAAGAACATCGCTACAGATCTGCGCAAGGACAAAAACATTTGGTCGAAACTACGATAATCTTACACTCTCGCTTTCACGGACTTAGCTACACAGGTTGCTCAAAGTATTGCTCTAGTCTCGACGTCTTGTTGTGTCACAGGTAAGCGAGTCTGAGATGCATGCTGGGGAAATAGAATTGAATTATATGAAACAAGATCGATATATGGCTTTGATTAGCAAGAATGAGGTCTGGCTATACTATTGCCTGTCCAGCAGAACGCCTTACTGCTGACCCTACCCTGATCGACAGTCTGAAGAAATCTCAATCCAGTGCACTGTGCCTGCAGTGTTCGGTGGATTTCCCCTACCTATGTTTCACTCAATGCAAGAAATGCAATGCCCCTTCGACCAACAGAACCTCCAGAACGGTCGGTTGTGGCGCCTGCAATAGACCCTGGTTCGATGTCGCAGCTTCAAGATAGTTGCCGGGATCTTTCAAGCACTCTCGGACGATCGAACCCTTACGGATGACATTGCCCAAGACCCAGTACATAAGGGCACACACGAAGGAGCTCTTGGCAATGTCTCCTGCAGCGGACAACAAGAAGGACGCCATTTCTCGGTAGGTATATCAACTGTAGTGGAATGTAGTTGAATGTGGTTGGATGATATTGGCTTGTTGTGAGTGCAGTGGTGATTTGTGATGGTGTAGTGTGTAGTGTGTTGGATGATGAATGATGACTGATGAAAAAGACAGAAACGAGGTCGACTTTTATAGATGTTATCAACTCGAGATATTTACCTTCACTGACTGCGTCGTAAGCAACCAGTGGCAGTGGCAGTAGCATTAGGATGTGATACTGTATCGATGTCTTATAATTCCTGCGACATGTCCTCGCCCTGCTTTGTCCTGGTTACAATCGAATTGTAGCTCTTCTTTGTTAGAGTGAAGGGATGAGGCTGAAACCTTCAGCCAACAGGTTCAGAGGTCTCAGGAAGCAATCATTTCTTTGTCTTTGTCTTCAAAGAAGTCTAGAAATCTGGCATGACTTCTGTAGGAAGAGTTTCAATGGGTATAGACTGGTCAATAGCATTGGCTGCCTGCGAATGTGACTTTCAGGAACGGAGCCAGGAGTGCACCTACCTGCTTGCAATTGCTATCGACGACAGCGATCTCAGACTCAGACGTCAGACCGTCTATTGTGAGGGACTCGCGCTTGAACTGAGAGCCTTGAGCTTGTGAGGTCCTGTTCGCGTCTCACCGAAAAGGAGCAGCACTTTCTCAGGCGGTCAACGCTCAAGATAGGAGGAGTGCCAAAGACTTGGGAGGGCGCCTGTTCTTCCAGCTGGCCATGTCGGCAGTATCTGTCAGCCTCGATGGATCAAGGAGCCAATCTCTTTGCCTCTGTTGAGTCCAGCCGATCTCGCTCGTCAATTTGTCGAGGATTAGCAGGAAACATGTTTCAACCTACCAGGTCAGGGCCTCCTGTTCCCGTCATCCATGAATGCAGGGTAACCATCGCTTCTGCTGCTGATGGCACGCGACACGAGGGTCTGCCATCTATTTGCCTCGAGGTGTTCGACGTCCAAAATGTTGCGACGGCATACAGTAAGCCATCAACCCTCTTCGCGACCAGAAGGAGTCTGTCAATTTTGAGAGCATCAGGCAAAGATTCATTGAGTTGTCATTTGATAAAGACTCTGGCGATCGAGATTCTTTGTATGCCATCCCTGACAATGGAAATTTGCGTTGTTAGGAGGCAGACTGCTCAGCCCAAATGCTGCTGCATTGTTCGCAATGGATCTCATTGTTCATCTAAAGATAGTGTACATTTTCTATAAATGTCGCCCACACAAAAAGATAAGTTCTGCTGAGCATCCCATATCCCGCATCAATACATCTACAAGCATTCGACAAAGCAGAACCCAGTAGGTATCTTGCCATCACTACATTACTCACCGATCATGAGCGGCCCAATCCTCGCCTCGCCTCTTTCGGCAACCATCGAAGTGTATCATCCATTCTCTCATTCCACAGCAGACGCCTCTAAAGGTTGGCGTTCTAACTCAGTATCTTCCAAGATCTCACCTATGCATACCATCGAAGAAGAGACAAGCGACCAGAGAGAGGATGCCGCTTCTCTATCGTCCAATCCGGCAACAGAGCTCGGTGAGCACAACTTCCCACAATCCCATAAAAGCCAGCACACAGTCGCTCCTGAGATTGCAGAATACGTTGCGACAATTCGTGCCGCAATCCAGGTGGTGGCAGAAAGTTCCCTAAGCCAGAAGATCGAGGTAGGCGAACAGGAACAAGAAGACAAGTTGGCATTCCAATCCAAGGCTGGCCTGAACGCTAAGAGAAGCTCGTTGATACTGTTGAAAGACAAAACCAGAGACAGCATGTCGAACGTTGTCACCAGGGGGAAGAGAGTGTCCAAGATTTTCACGGGAGTGTTCGAAAAGAATAAGTCAGCATTAGGGACCATCTTGCCTCGGTCTCGAGGAGGCACACAATCTCGCGCTCTGTTCCTGCGAACAGTATCTCATATGATGAGGTATCCCATGATGATATTGATCTGTACAGCTCAGATGAAGACGACAGCCAAGACTTGCCCCTGCTTAATACCACCGGGTCTTCAATCTCAGATGCATTATCAGAGAAAGTGACTGAATATAGATACCAACCACTCGAACGAGGGTTTCGTTATCGCTCAGGATCCGGCCATGGACCGGAGGGGTCGCATTTCCGACAAAGCCTTGGATTTACCCGGCGGTTCGCCTCGAACCAAGCAGGAAACGCGAGGCTGCTTGTTGAGAACGTGCGCGTCATGCGCCGAAGAAAGAATGGCTGGTCCCGAATCGATGGATAGATGGTACCAATTAGCAAGGAGGAGTTTTGAGGCAGGTAGATACATTAAGTCTTGAGGGTTGTCGATGCAGCTCTCGACCAGTTCTCCTCGCCTCACTGAAGAACCACAACACAGACCGCTGCATGTTAGTCTAGACTGATGTTCATTTGTAGCCAATTAGCGACGCGGGTTGGATGTCTGAATGGGGTTTGACTCGCCGTCTTGGCGTCGATGCAACTGATCTCAGCATCTTGAACTACTTGAATACCTTGTAGAGACACTACTACTAGTTGCAACATCTTTCCGTCCGACCCGTGTGTGGAATTCTTTATTTCTTCAGGGTCTGTGCTACTGTCTCTGGCTCATCCACTGTCATGCATGGACTCGCATCTCATTCAGACATACGACGGAGAATTTTACCTGATCTTGTTGCTAACATCTGCTTTCTACCACGCCTCCAGATGCGCCTTCCCGTTAAATAACCTTCGCTGCCTTGATGTCGTTCTCCTTTCTCATCTGACATGGACATAGTCAGCCAGGCCCTCAGAGGCTCCCGCCGGCGCCGATGGACAGAGAAAGAGGATCAAAGCCATACAGTGGGCGGTACGTCTTCGTCAACAGCACCGCCGATAAATTGACCAGAAGCCGCGATGAGATTTTCACCATATCCTCCCACGTGTCCAAGACGCACCGTAAATGGTTGAAAGATGAACGGCTGAAACAGTTAAATGCGTCTGCTGGCAAGGCTGTTGCACAACGGCCTATACCTCCTCCTCAGATCCACCTTGGCGAGACACGTGGGCGGTTGCCATTTCCATCCCTGCACCAAGATGCTGCGTCCACGGCCGCTGGGTCCAGTCGATTGCCCCACCAGCAGACATGGCCATCCTTACTCTGTGCGAGGTCCGATCAGATCCCAAGCAATGGCATGATCCGATATTCTAGGGACATCATGAGTAGTCAGCACTTTGACTCTTTTGAGGGATGCCAAGAGAACGATGACCAAGAACGATCAAGCCGCTGGAAAGAGTACCCACGGGGACCCAGACAACTGTCGTTGATGCTGTGGAAGGGCAACTCTGATCCTTTTCAAGCAGCCGCTGTGCAATTAGCGCCTTGGGACTATGAAATCATCCGCCAGGCTCAGCGGTTTCCGGTCTTTGCAGCATGGCCGGATAACGCCAGTGCAGTCTTCAGGGCACCAATCGCAGATACGACCAACTCTCGCATCCAACTTCCGCAGGCTATAGCTGATGAAGCAGAAATCCATTCTATCCTTGCTTCAGGGTACCACGTGGCTGCCGGCTGTTCATGGACAAAGTCCGAAGTGTTCTTTGGGCGAGTGCTAGCGCACAAGACCCGATCAATAGCACTCCTACGACAGAAGCTGTTGAAAGATGGGTTCTCGGAAGGCATCACCACTGTCATCCGTCTGCTGATTTCTCTAGAGTTTGAGACCGGTAATGTTCTAGCTTCGCTGGTCCATTTGCGTGCGCTGTGGGCTATGTCTTCGTCCATGCCTGAGATACTGCCTGACGCTCAGGAGCTTCTGATTGTTAGCGATGTCTGGATTGCACTGTCATTGTTGAAGAGACCTCAGATATCCCCTTCACGCTATGACCCTGGTGGCCGTTCCCTGCAGACATTCGACACCGCTTTTCGGCTACTTGAGAGCGAGGGCACCGATCCTTACCTCGGCAAGACAAACCGGGCCGCAGAGTCTGTGCTTGATGCTAGAACATGGGGCTTGCTGGATGCCGCCCATGAAATTGTGAACACCAAAGCCATCATGGACAAGATCAAGGCTGCCACGATCCAGCAAGAGGTTGTGTGGTGGATGCACCGACGCGCCACAGCAGTTTCCGGGTTGCTCCTTACCGGATATGTTGATAACACGGAATGTACAGAAATTTCAAATCCTGCAAAAGGTCTCAACGTCAAAAGAGACCTCGTGGCTGCTGCATGTTTGTGTGGAATCTTGTTCATGAACTTGAGGTTCGTGGACTCGCCCAGCAATTACAACTTCAGCAAGACATTTCGACAGATTGAGCCTATCTTACGAATGGCTTCGCAAGTGTCCAGAGAAGTTGACAAGCAGGAACACGGGGTGACTTATCTGTGGTTACTGTTCATGTGTGCCATGGGCAGTGATGTTTACGCTGCAAGGGGAGACATTCCATACTCCGGTTGGCCTGCTCGAGAATTCTGCCGTCTGTGTGCACGATTCGATCTCAAAGACGAAGGTGCCATTGCGGCCACCCTCGGCCAACTCCACTATTATCCCCAGATGGACGATTTTATCAAGGCTCTTCGTTCGTTTACAGGCGAGTCACTGGATATGCCCCTCATATCGTGGTCGAAGTGGTGCGACATTCTTAACCACTACCAGCCTTGAAGAAAACAACCGAAGCAGCTCAAAGGGATGCTGAAGACCTTGGCGCCGCGGCCGAATGAGCGACCGGTGAACAAGCATGACTCTATGTGAAGACAAGCCAGTCAGTCAGAACGGCATACAGTATGCTTATTGCCAGCTGGTTGTTTGAGTAACGTTCGGTGATCCGGAATCACTTACCATCTTGCTGTGCAGAACAAGCATCCGCACATAGTCTGCTATCAGAGCGAGAAGACCAAAGATTGCCACTCCCACCACGATTTGGCTGGCATTCGGCGCCGCATGCTGGATATGAAGCATTACACCCACCCATTGCTGCAGTTGCAGTTGCAGTTGCGGTTGCGGTTGCTGTTGGTACCGGGGATCTCAAAACACGATAACTCTCTACGACCGTGCCGTGAAGACGAAGAGACTCCGCGGCCGCACTGGAAGAGCTTGAATGTGAAGATGTTAGAATGTATTCGGACAAACCATAGCCGTCACACGTACCTGCCTGGAACAGACTGTATCTCGGCATTGCATCGACTCTGATACCCACCATCTCCTACTTGCTGGCTTGGTGATTGACCTGCGTTGGATTGGGAGAATGGACCGCCGTGCGAGCGTGGGGCTACACGACGGCGGGCGCCCTTCGGCTTGGGGCCCCTGGATTTTGGAGTCACCGAGAGCGACCGCACCATGACACCGACAGATTGGTGATCGAGATCGGCCTGTGTCAAGACTGTCGCTGTCGTCACACCTAGACTCCGTGTCGAGTGCTGCGCCCCAGTCGCCGTTGGTGAAGGAAGGACATTTTCAGCGCTTCTGTCGCACGTTTGGGGAATGGTATCACGACACCGGCTGCTCAGCGTTCACGAGACCATGACGCTTCAAACATAGCGGTACCAACATGGCCGGGGCCTGTACTCTGTTTGGCGACACAGAAGTGTTAGAGTTCGTGCATTGTGTAGATGTTCTTGCTAGGCTAGCGAGACATGAACCCTGAGCCCAACACCCCGGCCGAGACAAGCAGGTCAAGCTCCGTGTTCTTCGCAGCGTGCCATACACACCAGTGCCTGCAGTGAGCTTGCCGGAACGATGGTGGTAAGCTGAGAGAGAATAGTGGCCGACTCGCCAGTCCCGTGTACCTACCTAGGTACCTAACGTAGTATGGGGAAGGTGTCGTATCGACTGCGTTCTTTGTGTTCACTACATGAGCCTGGCAGACGTAAGCACCTAGGTCCAGGAACATAGCAGGCCGTTAGCAAGGATTGAAGTATGAGTACAAGGTTCACTATAAGAAGACGAGCGCTGCATTGTTGTTAGAGGTCAGAGGCCGGGGAGCAGAAGCATATATGGTGAGGCTGGAGAAGGGGGTACATGGTACGTATGGGGAGAGAAACTACCTATTGTTTTATCATCCCGCTGGTTACAAGAGCTGGAGGAAATTGTGAGGCCAAAGAACTTCTACAAAGCAGGCTCCGACAGCTCCCTCCATTTTTGGTACGGCATCACTACTGGATTCTTCTCATGTTGCTAGCAATCTGGGATCATCTCTCACCTCATAATTACCTCATTGATGAGCCTCGTGTGCCTGGTTTACGTCTTATGATGCAACAGGCCCTGCTCTCGAATCCTGTCACTCCTCTACCCCGGCATTTCCTCTACCCCGGCATTTCCTCTACCACCCCCATCAGCTTCCTCTTTCACGACGCACTAACCTCCTATACGATTTGCCATGCGTGCACTCCGATTCTCCGATTCGCTAGTAGCCCTCTTCCGCATTTCGTCCCGGTTCGACGCGATGTTACAAGAGAAGGACTGATATGATACCTGTTGTTTGTGTATGAGTGGAATATGGCAGGAAGAATCTATACAGGGAACACCTCGGCGCTGCTCTGACCCCTACAAACCGAGTGACAGGTCGCCCGCCTCCATAGTCAACTCCCACACGTCCGCCTTGACATGGTCTGTGTCCACGGTTGAAGCAGGAGGCTCTTCGCCATCAAACTCATATAGCGCAAGGCCAACCGGCAAAGCCCCAGGCTCTTGGAACTCCAACAAGCCATCGACCTTCTTGAACTTGATCGAGCCTCGAAAGCCAGGTAACGCGGAGTATTTCTCGTCCAGGGCCGCAAAGGTAGAATTGTCCGCGTCACGCGTCTGCACGCTCAGAAGATATTTCGCTCTGGTAGTCTTGCCTGATGCATCCGCCAGCTTTCCTACAGTCTCATAGCTGCGCAGTCCGGCATGCCAACAAGTGAACGCGCTTCCCATGGACCCGTCCGGCTCTCGAGGCAGCACTTTCGAGACTCTCGGCATATCGAGGAATTGCTGGCTGGTCAACCAGTTCAAATCGCTCAGCTTGACCAGCGCAAGGTAGGGCCAGCGCGCGTCTGAAATGTTCTTCATCGACGCGTCGGGAGTGAATCGATCGGCAAACTTGGGGTCGGCATATGCATCTGCCGCCGGGTCTAGATTCTTGTATCGAAGAAACAGACCGCCGTTTCCGGGACAGTTGAGGACATCATCCTTGTGCTCGTCGTACCAGTCGTCGAGAAGGGAAGGCGGCAGCTCCTTGTTCAGCACGCTCGTCGTCACCCAGAGAAGCCCTTGGGCTGGTGCAGTCGACGTCCCCGACGTGGACGTGGACTCGGTAGGCGAAGAAGTCGACGACATTGTGGCTGATAAGGTCTGAGATGCCGGTCTTGCTCACAGCGAAGCAGTCCTGGGTTGACCGAAGGGAGAGTTTCGTTCGTAGACTACCTTATGTACGTATCTAACTACGCACTTACCTTATTTAACTACGTCCGTATCTTGTCCACACACCTATTTAACTACGTCCGTATCTACCCAGTCATCAGTCACCATTCACTCACTGCAGCACTAAAAGTCAAGTGACATCGGGTTCAACCGGTTTGGGTCGTGAAGACGAATGTCAAGGTTCGGCGCTCACCCGTGTCGTGTTGTCTTGTCGCCTTGAGAGGCCCCAATCGCGCGTCTTGGAGCGCATACTAGTACACTACGCTGTACAGACCCTATTCACTTCCGGCAGGAAATTGATTCGTGATGTGCGACGTTTCCGTTTCACTGCAAACCACGCGCTGACCTAAAGTAAAGATAAACAAACTCCACAAGTGATGGGTACTAGAATGCAGTGCCAGCTCATCATTGCATAGGTAGTGCCTCCATCGCGGGAGATAGCCTTCTCTCAAGCGTGCAGTAGTCTGCGGCTTATGCGCGTGCTTGGAATTGGGAAATGAACTCAAGTGTCAGGCGAGATGTCAAATATGCAACGTGCCGAGGGCGTGGAAACTATTCAAAACAGCGATGTTATCTAAAGGTATCGTGATACTACTGTCAGTGTCTGATATCTACGGGCCCTATGCCGTTTTTACTTGAGGTACTTACTTCATCGTTGGCGTGGACAGTGTTTATACTACTTTACTAACTAGTATTGGTGCACCCCTTGTTCACTCAGCCTTGCCTCGCGACCTACCCCCTTGCTTTACCCCACCATCATGGCAGCACTCAGCCTCCGTCGAGATAGTAATAGTGAGTACGATACTAGTATGGCAAGAATGAAGATACCATCCAGTCAAGCAAGTTACACAAACTCTAGAAGCAATCATGTCTTTGTCTGCTTCATTACTTGCTAGCTAGGTACAGACCGGTATACCGTATCGCGTATGGTCAAGGCAAGGTAAAGTAAAGGAGGTGTATCAGGTAGGTAGGTAGGTATATATAGACCTCCTATCTATCTATGCGAATTCGATCCAAACCCACCACTTCATCCACCGAAATCCCTCCTCGACACTCCCAATCTGTCTTTGCGAATTGATCATCTCACTCTCCTTACCAGGAGGAGGTACAGCACGCATACCGCTATCAGCACCAGTACCACTACCAGAGCCAGTTCCAGTACCATCACCAGTGCTGCTGGCTTGCGTCTCGTCACCAAACATCCTCTCCTCCAAGACAGCATGGACATCGATCTTGACGATTCTCTCCCTCCACCCCTCATCCTGGCCAATCACTCCCTCCCACATCTCTCTCCAGCTCTGCTCGTTATGGCGGAAGCGGTATCTGACCTGACCGTCAGCCCCTGCCCGACCACGAGGATATTCGCCTGCCCGAACATTCGCCGTTTGCGCACCACATATGAGAACTCTTTTATCCGAGATCCCGCTTGACGTTGACGTTGACGTTGTCGTTGTCGTTGTCGTTGTCGTCGTTGTCGGCTTCTCCTCCGTCTTCTTTTCCGTCGCCTCCTTCTTCCCTCGATCAACCAACTTCAAACATCGCCGCGCAACGACTTTCTGCAACTCCAGCCCAAACAGATGAAACACCGCGCAGCAATGCAGGATCCCGACGCGCCCATCACACCGCCGACTGAGTTCGCTGTCCTCCGAGAAATCAAACACGTCCGCGGGCGTGATGAAGTGTTGGGCGCGCGGGAACCGGTCCTCGTCGCGGAACAGGGCGTATCCGATCTCCACGAACGCCGGGGTCAAGTCGGCCCCGTAGAGTCGACGGATGTCGGCGCCGTCGTAGATGAGTTTGCGCAGGTCTTGGCCTAGACAGCAGCCTAGATCGAGAAAGATCCAGTCGTTGATGTTGTTGTTGTCGGTGTCGGTGACGTCCACCACCACATGGGCTTTAGTTTCAGGTTGGAGTCTACGTTTGGCCAGAGCAGCCAGTATCTCGCCATGGTAGAGTGGATGGCTGGCCAGATCGAGTTCCAGGAACCGCCACCGGCCGAGACACGGGTACGGATGTGTTGCGTACGCCCGGTCCCGGACGGCTGTGATATGTGCTTTCTGCGCCTCGGGCGGGATCCCGGAGTATTCAGCCAACAGGGCGGAAATGGCCGCGGGGACGGTCTTGAGGGTGGGTTGGTACAGCTCAATCCTTGTAGATGTCGTGGGTTGAGAAGAAGAAGAAGAAGCAGCAGCAGCAGCAGCAAGGGAGGGCTGTGTGGACATGTTGAGATTCGTCTGGGACTAGGGGAACCGGATTCTGACGGATGGACCCAAGATAGATTGAGGCAAAGAAGATATATAGATAGAGCACAACGCTCGTTGGAGATATTCGGAGAGAGTAGATATGGTGACTGCACCAGATGAAAGAGATCGAAGAGTGGTGGTGTTGATGGTGGTGACTGTCGAGCTTGTCTATGTCTTTGCAGACGGTATGATATAAATGTCCCCGAGAGCCCTTTCTCCCTTTGGCGACCCGTCTGCGTACTAGTAGTTTGAGACGAAGATGTCTCTCGTCTCTTTCTGGTCCCTTTCGAAGTCGGCAATAGGAGATATCGCTTGTCGAGGAATACTCTTTCGGAAATTGAGTATGGGGAAGCTTGCACTCGCAAGTGTCGATCTAATCGAGTCGATTCGCGCGCAATTGTGTAGTTAGGTCCAGGAGAGACCAGATGATACGCGCTTCAACAGACTTGAGAACGAAGAAAGAACCAGGGAATTGGCAGGATCGATTGAATCTAATGCTGGATGACAGAAGACTGATATAAATACTACACGTCCGAAGATGTCCCTTTCATTTCCAGGGCACATCCACATTTGATTCCGCTTTGCGCTTTCCGCTGTCCGCATTTCCGCTCGCGCTTTGGGTCAGCCGCGGCAAGCCCGTATGCCGCCCGTGTGCTATGGATCCTCGTTTCATTTCGCAAGCAGCATCTTCCACAGGAGCAGACGTATCTCTTGCTCGTCCGTTAATCTCGAACGGACAGATGATACTACTACGGGAGCGCTTTACTTGGTCACGGTAGTCAGGAGATGCTTCGAATGTGGCACGATGACCTGTCCCGTTAGGATGAGGATTCCAGATATCAATCCATCTAATCAAGCACCCACATCTGCTTCTTGACCTCTTGTTTTCCGGTCTTCCCCCCTTTGGCCCAAGAAACCTCAATCTCCAACGAACGTTCCCGCCCCTGCTTCCTGACATACTTGATCTCGCCGCACAACTCTTCGCCCGCACGAAATCCATCCGTTGGATCCTCAATCAGCAAGATCCCCTGCTGCCAATGCGTAGCTTCGGAATAGGGTCCTGTCGAGAAGGCGATGAGACCCTTCTCTTTCGCCTCTGCGGCCGTCATTCCGGGCTTGACTCTGCCATCCGTCCGAGCTTCTGCGAAGATGATGTCGAACCAGACCACGAACCCCTCGAGAACGCGAAACCCTTCCTTCCACGTCGTCTTGAACGGTTTGGTGAAGGTCAGGTCTTCCACGGTCGTCGTGTGCAGATCGAGCTCGAGGAACGGGTAGCTATCCCCAGCCAGCTCCTTCTCGTCCGTCACGCGGACGACCACTTCTTCATGCGCCCGCTCCAGCATGGCAGCCATGTCGAACCCGTAGACGTCGCGCCAGAAATCGATGTGTGACGCTTTCAGATCCGAGTCGGCAAGTGGCGCAATCCGCAGTGTCGCGTGAGACGGGACCATCAGGCCATCAGGGGCAAGGTACTTGTCGCGTGCGTAGAGGACCGAGTCGAGCATAGATTCGTACAGGAGACAGTATCCCATCCATTCACTGACGATCACGTCCACTTGGGGCACAGGCATATTGACCTCCTCGATTTTGCCTCTCAGACACTTCACGATGGACTGCAGGCCATTTCGGAACACGTTTTCGCGAGCTTTGTCGATGATGTCTGAATTGTCCACTGCAATGACCAGCTTGGCGCCAGCCTTTGCGCAGAACATGGACAAGATCCCCGTGCCGCAGCCGACGTCGAGCACGACTTTGTCCTTGAACAGGTCTTTGTGGTCGTAGATGAAGTCGCGGTAAGAGTCGGTCCGGATTCGATCTTTGATCATGGACTCGTGGATCGCATTGTACGAATAGGACTTGAAATAGTCGTTGTCGGAAGATCCTGTCCCATTACTCGGTCGGGCTTGTTGGACGTTGCTCGATTCCGTCTTTGCATCTGGCGAGTCAAGTCGGTCTAGCATAGCCTTCTGTACTTCTTCGCGGTACGCAGTAAAGTGAGATTGCAAGTTCGCCAGTTGTTCTCGAAGCTGTTCGACTTCGCTGGCCGGTGTCAAGCTTGCTGCGTCGTCGAAGATATCATCCAGGCTGTACAGTAGCGAGTCATTCTCCAGGACAGGCTTGAGATACTTGTCATCCTCGAAGATCGCTTTGGACGAGACGTCCGGGTGAGTCTTGCCAGCCTGGACTTCCGATCGGATGTAGTTGACAAGTTTGATGAGTCCAAGGAAATCAAGATCTATTGAAATGCACATCCGTTAGTGCTGTTCCCGGTGACATGTCATCATAAGCTAGCATAGCAGTATTCACCAGAGTCTTGCCTTAGTTTCCAGATATCAAATCCGTGGTGGTCTCGGCAATAAAGCAGCATGCTTCTGGCATCGGGAAAAGTCTCCTCGTCAAACAAAGACAAGACTGTCACGGTCTCTTCATCCGGTTCCACATCCTCCCATCCTTCGTCGTCTCTGGTGTCGAGAGGATCCGAAACGGAAGAGGAGTCGCTGACATCGTCCAGATCTCTTGATGGCGCCATAGTCATTGACTTGAAGGGCAGTGATGCGCCTTATTCCGATTTCGAGATTGTTAGTTCAACTTGTTGAAACTTCAAACTTTCGGACAAAATTCGATCTCCAACTCCGCCAAGACTACGGTGGACTGTAACTTCTGATCCGCAACATCAACCCCTGGAGTTCACAGCCTTGGTGGGATACGCTTGTCACATATCAAGCGCCTGGATTTCTGCCCGAATGTATCGATTACAGTTGTGTGCCTATGAAGCTTTGGCACGCTTTTCAGGGGGAGGGAAGGAGAAGGAAATAGTCGACGCTCCAATGATATCTAGCGCCCACGCCGCTGGATTAGCTCAGGCAGTTGCAGTAGTTGCACCCTTGACCTAAGCCTCAACTTCTTAGTAATTGCAAACTGAGCTGACAGGAGGGTGGAAGAAGAAAAGGGATAAGATCGTCGTATTTTTCCTAAGACCAAAGCAGTTCCAGGCGTGAATGCCAGCCTCAGGGGTCTCCGGATAAAATGTAAGAAAATACAAACGTCACCACAAATATGCACCTCGCGAACGGCCTCACCAGTTAGCCAGTGTTTGATGGATAGAAAAGTGGCTATCGTGCCATCCTCCTAATGGTTGTGTGAATGCTGATCCAGCGACTGTGCTTAACCCATCTCGTTTACTGGGCCATGAGTCTCCATCCTGAGAACGACGAACAAATCATGCCTTGCCCACCAGCTCCTGAGGCGCTTTCCCCAAACATACACAGGGATGGCGAGCAGGGACAGGAAGATCGATGTGCCGCCGAAAACATACATGATCTGTTCTGGCCCGCTGTCGGCAACCCAGTCATTGGCGAAGTTCGAGAGACCATAGAACATGAAGTTCTGATAAGTGTGTTAAGAGCGTCAGAGTTCCAATCTGAGACAAACCCGGGCGTCGCTCTACTCACCTTGAATAGCATGTTCATGACAAAAATCTCGTTGCTCTGGCTTCGAAAAGAGTCCAGACCGTACGACAAGGTTGAGAAAATCCCGATCAAGACGCCGACCATCATCACACCTTGAAGAAAAGAGCAAAGTTCGGCAGGCGACCCGGCTGCCATGGTGTAGCCAAACAAAAACATGCCCAGGCCGCAGGCAATGCAGGCTGGGATCATGAATACTAGACGGTATTCGGGTTCACTGTCAAAGGAAATTCTGTTAGTACCACCGAAGGGTTCAATGACCGCCACAAGAATCATGGATGATTAGGGGCCACGTACTAAACACCCTTATTCTTCCGAGTCATATACTTGATAACGTAGTCTCCCGTGATTCCAGAGACCAGGGAACCAATAAACCCACCAACGAATGGACCAACACCGATGTATCCAATATGTGCAGCGTCGAAATTCCATGGCGGGCCAGTGAAGATGCCAGCCAGGATGATGGCCGAACCGACGTACCTAGCCACAAACATGAGCTGGCTGCATTCATGACCGAAGTTTTGGTTCATGTCAATCTCTTACCAGCTATTCAAAAGACCAGACGTGATGATTGCGTAACATGCCGCAGGATTGAGGAGAGCCAGGAAGGGGCCGAGCAGATATTTGAAAAGACTATCCTGTGAATAGACGCCAGTCCAGAGTGCCAGCTCTTGAACAAAAGTTTTTTTCTTGGGGATACCCATTGTTTCACCCTGGCCTGGCTCCCCGACATTCTCCTTGTGGGCGTGTTCAAAGACCGCTAGTTCTTCAAGCTTCTCGTCACGGTTGAGATCCGTGTCGTAGCGTCTGTCTCTGATGTAAGTTGTTTCCGGGCAGAATAGGAACATCAGCACAAATTGTAGAACCAGGAAGATCTGGAACAAGTGAAACAGCCATAGCCAGCCGAGACTTTGGAAGACTTGGCCGCAGATGATGGATGCGAGACTGGAGGCGGAGTTGAGAATGAAATTGATGATGGCAATCCGCAGACCGCGTTGATGTACAAAGTAGATGTCCCCGACCGTTGCCACAATGAGTGACTCGAATGCCGAAGTCGAGAAGCCTTGGATGATACGTGCGGCCAGCAGGTAGTTATAGGAGATTTTGGCTTCGCCAACTGCCGTGCCAATGATGTCGAAGAGTGTAGAGACGATAAAGACGGGTCTCTTGCCATACTTGCGGCTGAATGCACACACTATGTTCGAGACATGTTAGACTTGTTGTTACCTGCCGAAGAGTCGAGTTTTTCAGTGGACGAACCAAACGGCCCGGAGCATCCAGCGGCGAGCAGGTTGTACCCAGAAACCAAGACAACAGTTGTCAAAGACGTGTTGATCTGCTCTGCCATCGAGAAGTAGGAGGCGTTGAGGAGGGGTCCCTGTCTAGGTCAGCATGAATGCTCGAATCTTGGACTTTTGTCGCTTACATTGGTCCCCGCGTTTAGCATGGCTCCCAAGCAGAGAATGGCAATAAGAAGCTCCTTCTTCCACAATGGCCAGTTCAAGGGGTCATTGGGGTCCTCGCTCGGTTGAGGTGACAGCACAATATGAGCATCGTTGCCTTTGCCGTGCTTAAGGCCCAGGGTGATCACCACAGCATGAGCAGCTTCATCATTCAACAACACCGTGCCAGGCACATGGTCCAGCTTGTTATCTGCGACATGCTAGGTCAGAATAGTACAAGAGAAGATGAAGAGTCCTTGCCCTCCAAAACACCGAGACCCATCCTGCCTGTTGATGAGCAAACGCTCTGCACCCCGTCTGAGCTATACAATGCTGTTGCTGCTTGAACAGTAGTTCGGCGAGGTTGACTGATCAGCGGGGTGAGAGATCGTGAATCCCTTGATTCGCCAGGAAGACGACCTGTCTTTCAATTCTGGACAGGCCTAGAGCAGTACTTATCCTCGCTGTCCTGAACCCCGCAACGAGCGAAACTCTACCCGAAGAGTCCAACTCGTTCAGCAAGATTGAAGACAACATCACGACGGTGGGCATCGTCTCGCAAGGGATGGGTCTTCTTCCCCAATCATGCCCCATGGGGAAGGACGCCGTTGGTGGCATGTACCGAGCAAACTCTATGTTTGAGACTCTGCCACTTTTGCTTGGCCAGCTTCGGCAGATACTGGGAATCCCAACTACCGCTCAATAACATAACCGGGAAATCCCCATGTTCGTGATGACCAGACGAGACGAAGAGAGGCGACTGGAGGAATCGTATGATGTATCTCATGCGATATGACTAGCGAAGGCCTTGGATCTCACCAGATTTCCAATGCTGTGCTCAGGCTTGAGACGCATGATAGGAGCATCCGTAGCAGCGTCCAGAGCTAGAGAGTGCAGATGTGACCCCTAGTAGAATCGTGGGGCCCGCCAGTGGGAAGTTGAACCTCATTTGACCCATCAGCTTGTGGGCCACCGGTAAGCGTACTTGACTCTATAGACGTCGGTCACCAAGTTGATCTGTTGAACAGAAGGTTCATCATCTTGTCCAAATATGCTGTGGGGTTGACACTCCTTGAAGTCTGGGCCATCTAGTGTATGGTAAAGACTCAGGCATGAAGTATCCAAAATCGGCCATCTTTATCCCATTCCTTCCAGCTGTCAATGTCGGTAGTTAGTAGTAGCGCGATGCGTATTTCCGTGCCCCACGGACCTTCTGTGTTCCCCAGATTGCGAGAAAATGGGGATTTGTAAACAAAGTTCGATTGCCGTGGAGAATCCCTGCCTATAACCACAGGGAGAAACACCCCTGTGCTGCTGGAACCCGAGTAGACGGTCAGGCTGTCGATATGCGATCTTCGATATCTGAGCCACAGCTTTGAACCTCGGTATAGGTGTTGTCTGGGCCTGGGACTGGCTCTGCGTGGAAAGATTTTTCGATTCTAGGCAAGGAGAGCTTGGTAGGTTCGAGGAGATCAGAACCGCCCCCTTCATCTTCCATCCTCATTATTTCGGGACCGATGTGGACTCGTGCTGAAAAGCGCAGTGTCTGCACGCTTGAGGTTTGGTCTTGGACTCGGAGATCAGTTTAGAACCTTTTGTGGAAGTGAAGTCAGCCCTGAAATGGTCGCAAAATCAAGTGCTCTTCTCCCATTTGAAGCGCTCCCTGTCGACATATCAATATTTCACCATCCAGCATTCAACCCACGCTGGCACTTTTCGCGCTGACGACTCCCCATCCAGAGAAGATGGACATCAGCATGATGGGTGGTTGGCCTGTCACCCGCCAGCAGACACATTCGCATCCGTCAAAGCGTTTGGGCAGGCGGTCCTCGAACGAGAGGCACCCGATGGACATCGTTGTGCTGGACGCAGGCATGGCGGTCTCTTCGTACGCCGTCGGTCGAAAAATGAGATGTCACCGAGTTCAATGTCATCTCGACTGCTCTTTTATGGGTGCTAATGTCCCCACCGATTTTGCGCAGGTCGGCCGAAGTGTCTATCGAATCGTCACGCCTCGAATTCGTAGGCAACTTGAGCCACTTGTATGTCAAGCCACACACTTTTGTTCATTTTGCCGACGACGATGGCTTCTGCTTGCCAAGGGCGGCGACAAGGTATCCTTCTACGTCCGGAGACAGTACATGGTCACAAAACTGCGTCTGACGTATTGACGATGGCCTAGTTTCGATGACCGATAGTTCTGAGGTCAACGTAACCACCGTCTGCTCAAGATTATGCCGCGGCTGCCTGGATTGCGACTTCCCGTGCGAGCTCAAGGTCGTTCGTGTAGGTCGATATCAAGAGGTGCCCCGCAAGGGACAAATATTTCAGGAAGACAGGAACACCCCATAGCAATGCAATGACGGTGGCAAGTCTGCCAGGATATTTGACGCCCGACAGTGTGCTTCTGTATACCCTCCACAGGTTTTCAAAGTTGGACAGTCTTTCCTTGCCGACTCTAGGAGTCTAGGCTTAGAAGGCGGACTTGTCACTTGTCAGCTTCCTGCTTTTGTATATCACGATCCTGTCCCTTTCTGCTCATCCAAGCCCGTCATGGCTTGAACCTTTTCCCTTATCAGTGCTTCGTCCAGCATCTGCTTTCTCGGGTCCAGGGACAAGACTGCACCCGTTGCGGGAAGCCCCAAGCTACTATGGGGGACACCCATGTCGCCGCCCGTGGCGCTGGGACTCAGACTGCTGTCGTGAACAGCTAGATCACGATGCTCCATCGAGACATGCCAGCCTTGTCGTTTCTTCTCGTCGAAATGCTGATACAATTTCTCGACGAATGTGACGCTACGGTGCTTGCCGCTGACACAGGCCACGGCGACGACCAGTGTATCCTGGGTTTCGCTTTGGGTTTCAGTTCCGGAGGAAACGACGTTCTCCATATCCTCTATCTTGGCCTCGATCGAACAGATCATTTTCTTTAGTCGGCCTTCAGCGCCGTTCGTTGCAAGAACTGCCGTTTGTACAGGAAGATCGAGACCCGTGCTGTCCCGCCTCAGCTCGGCCGGCGGGTTTGGCAGGTCTGTTAGGGAATATTTCATTTGTTGTTGGCGACTGCTCGGTTCTTCCATGCGGCCGAATGATCGTCCATAGGAGAAGATTTTGAGGTTATAAGTTGGTTGACTGTCCATATTGTTGTTTTGCCCAAAGGACTGGGCGGGTTGACTGAGCTTTGAAGCCTTTGTGGATCTTCAGAGTGAGATAAGGATTCCAAGTCGTTATACCATGTCCTGTTTTAGTTCTGTTCGCTTTATTAACAATCATCGCCGTAGAAGGCAAATTGTATGCAAGAATGAACTTGTTGAAGGGCTTAAGCCTCGGCTCTGCCAGCTGTAGATGGAGTATCGATGCCAGGGTCGTGGAGAATGTAGGTCATCCCGATTCCCTCCCTGTTCTTATTCGTGGGCAGTTGAGAGCCTCACCGGAATATCGTTCCTTTGGGTGATGGCACTGCCACAATGGACGCCTCAAATAGATACCAAAGATACTGTACGCCGGGTCAAGGCAAGCCTCGGGGTCATCATGACCTAATCTGCCTCCCTGACAGCTCTCCCATGTCATTCGGCCGACGGGTCGGGATATTCTTCTTTACGCCACAGGTGACGACGAATTTGAGCGACTTCATAAAGATAAAGGTTTGTAGTGACGAACCATGAGCGATGCTGTCACTGCTGATTAAAGACCCCTATCGTGGGACTGCTGCCGTCTTCTCCAAACTCCCCGCATTGTACGATCTTTTTGATATACGGACGTACGTACTTGAGATCTGGAAACTGTGGCAACTATGGCATTATTGTCCCGCAATCGCTCTTCCGTGGAGGACCGACCCCATGCAGTGGCACCACCGATACATGCCCAGATCTGAGTTCATGGTTTCATTGCTTTCGGGACATTGACTTTGTCGAGTATTGTGTATACGCTACGACGACGCGGGGCCCAAACAGGACGTGGACCCTGTGTGACCACTGACCAGCAACCTTTTGGCGAACGGACGACCAGGAATCTTTTCTTCGGTCGAATTATTTAGCAAACAACTACCCCTAGAAGTCCCGTCCACCATGGCACCCAAAGGCCCCTACAAACTTGTGACGGTGAACACGGCACCGGAGCGAGCGAAGCGACTGATTGGCCGAGTGGTCGAAGACCTGAAAGACCAATATACCATACAACATATGGCGAATTGCGACAGTAGGTCTTGAAGGGATCCCGGTCTTACTATTGCAAGCAAACAGAACAGGCCACCAGCTCAAGGGTGTTACTGTGGCCGGTATGACCGATAACTTTTACCATGCTGACTGATGGCCCTTAATAGCTATCGACGCAGTCGAGCCCACTGTGAAAGAGATCAAGCCGGATCTATTGGTAAGTCCAGCTCTGGTATTCAGACAACATTTGCTTGCTCTATAAGCTTCTCCTTTATCGCCGCCGTCTACGATTTTGTAGACAAAGTCGGCCAGCCTGGTTGAGGCTCAATAACTGACGTCGCTGTTGTCTTCTTGATCACGGCTACGAATTGGCACTGATTCCACGTCAAAACTAGTTCTGCGCCTCGATGTGGACTCCCGAAGAGAGTGCACGTATTCAACAGATCGGGAAAGACCTTGTCCCTGGGATCAAGACACACGCTATCCCCCAGGGATTGCAGGTCGAGAAAGGTCCAGATGCTGTGGTCGAGTATTTGAAGGAGCAGATTCCTAGGCTACTAGGATGAACTGGAGTTTTGTCTACAGGCCGGATACTCCAAATTCCTCAGGTAGTCCGGAGGGTGTCGTGCTGAAGGAACAATCACCTGTTGTCACGGACAACCTTGAGTATCGTTACAGTTGAGACAGCATGGGAGACAGTTTTGAGATGACTCGGGCTTCTGAAATAAAGTGAAAGTCTAGAAAAGTTGGATGGGGCCCGAAAGGGCTCAGTTGTTGAATAGAAACCGAAAGAGCTAGATCTAGAGGAAACATCTCCCACCAACTCAGCGTTGAATGTCAATTTTGGCGGCCCACATACCAAAGGGTCCGAGCAAAACCCTTTTGGGTCAATGTCTTTTTGCGGATTCCTTTCTTTCTTTTTTTATCCTATGTTCCATCGCATGATGAGTTCTCATGCCGGAACGGGCGGAGGTGCGTTTGAAATGGGAATTGAGTCTCCTATCAACCTCTTCCGATCCGGTTCGACGGATTGGTGGCTACTCTGTCCATCTTCTCGCTGCTCAAGCTTTGACACCGCTTGCTTTCCATCTTGTGGGTGGTGGTGATGGTGGTGTTCACGCATCTTCCTCCTGGGGAATAGCTCGGCGGATATAAATAAAGCAATGAAACTCTACAGATATGGGAAATCAGGCAAAGAGACGGTGCGGAGAGGAGGGCGAAATTGGCCGAGCAATGCAATGCAATTGGGCGTCGGGGAGGCCAATAAACAAAAGAAGAAAGACCAAAACAATTCACGGCGCTCAAGGAAAGGGTCCTGTCCCGGATACATGGGCGGGACACTGACCCGACTGACGTGCAGAAGATGATCTATGCGTCTGGTCGTCTAATGGTAGCGGAGGATCTGGTCAGGTCTGAGATGGGGATTGTGTTGGCGTATACCCGCCAGATGGAGAAGCCACTTTGACTGGATGTATGGCCATCAGTGGGAATCGGACTGTATGCTCTGTATGTACTTGTAAACAATTGACAGCGTGAAATGCGACGGGAAGAACCACTAAAAGGGACTTGACACCGGTCTCGAGGCTAGGAAGACTCATCATTGATCCCGAAAGAGACATGAACAAAGGTGCTCGAATAGATAAGTGGGTCGTGAAGCTGTTTCTGGACCAGATTGAACCTTCGGGAAAAGAATGGCTTGATCTGTCTGTACCTACAAGAAATGGCGTGGGTCAGTGGGAGCGAATTCGGACATGGAGCTGTTATTCTGGTACCTCTCCACAGTCTCTGCATCCAGAACCGAAGAGCGAAGACCGAAGAGCCTGACAACCTAGCGTGAGCTCGGATACAGGTCTACAGAGTCGGTATGGAGCGAGAGGGCGTGAATGGATACGAAGTATTTGAGGTGGGGGATTGGATTACCGATCATATTTATGGCGGATTCGGGATGATTTCTTCTCTTCTACTACTAGCTACAGAGCAATAAAGTAAGTAAGACATATGTCTCAACGCACCGGGGCAAGATCCAATTGAGCCTACCGGCTTCAGCAGCCGCCACAGAAACGCTTAGGCTTATTGTGCGAACGGAGTAGAAAAATCAATAGAGCTTGTCATTCTTATTTTTAGCATGCACCACATCTATCTTCCTACTTGCCTATGTAGGTAATTGCCTCGGTGTCATTACTATTTGTGCTTCTCTTTTTCCTGAACTTTTTTTCGTCGGAAGGCTCGGGGAAAGTGGAGCTCTCTCAGGGATCCACAGCCTTGTCGGATACAAATGTACAGTGTATAATGTACAGAATACTCTGTGACAGCAATATACAACATTGCAGAGTACAGAGTATAGCACTGCAAGTCTGCAACACGAATATAGAAATGAATGCAATGTACTACGATATCTTCCCGAGGACATGTCGCAACAAGCACCCCCAACCCTCTCCAACAAGCCCAATCTCGGCCATCACTGTTTCTCCTTCAAAGAGATTTTGCCCTGCTCATCATAAACAATCTCCCGCATCTTGACACTCCTCAAATGATCCACGCCTCGACTCAGCGTACAGTCATGATAAAACAACCACCAGCGGCCCCCGAACTCGACGATACTATGATGCGTCGTCCAGCCCAGCACAGGCTCGAGAATCCGTCCCGCGTAAGTGAACGGGCCCAACGGACTCTCGCCGATCGCGTAGACCACGTAATGCGTGTCACCCGTGGAGTAGCTGAAATAGTATTTCCCACGGTACTTGTGCATCCACGCGGCCTCGAAGAAGCGTCGATTATGGTCGTCCGCGGCGAGTAATTTGCCTGTTTCCGGATCGAGGATCTCAATCTCCAGGACGGACGACGCGAATGAGTGCATGTCCTCCGACAGTTTCGCGACACGGGGTAACAGGGCCGGTTTGTCGACACCTTTGGGCTCTTGGGGTCCAGCCTTTGATGCGTCGAATCTGGTTTCTCTTTCTCTTTCTCCTTCACTTTCACTTTTACTTTCAGTCCCACAGTCGGCGCCATGCTCCGTCGACCAGCATTGCAACTGACCGCCCCAGAGGCCTCCGAAGTATAGATACGCCTGGCCATCCCCGTCGTCCACAAAACTCGCTGGATCGATACTATAGCTTCCCGGTATAGGTTCGGGGTCGGGAAGGAATGGTCCGGCAGGCACAGCGCTGACGGCGACACCGATGCGGAAGATCCCCTGCTTGTCCCGGGCCGGGAAGTAGAGATAGTATTTGCCGTTCTTGGTCGCCGCGTCGGGGGCCCAGAGTTGTTTCGATACCCATGGGACGTTGTCGGCTTGGAGGGCGATGCCGTGGTCGGTCACGGGGCCCCCGACCTGCGAGAGCGAGAGGACGTGGTAGTCGACCATGTCGTACTGGTCGCCATTGTCGTTGAATTGGATGTCTGTTTCGCGATCCTGGAAGAATGAGTAAATGGTTAAATATGGATTCTCTGGTATTGGCTTGATAGGGGGTGTTGGTTTCCCTCAAAAGCAGACCGGAGAGAAGAGACAGATGGTGTCTCTGATGGTCGCTGAAGAGGAAATAGAATCTTGTCCACAACTTCCTGTATGGCGATCGAATCTCTTCGTTCGAGGACCAGGAAACTCACATGAGATGGGTAGACATAGATCCTGCCCTCAAAGACATGCGCTGAAGGGTCTGCGGTGTAGATATGGGTCACTAGCGGCTCTTGGGTCATCGTTCTATATCAAGATATTCACGCCCCGACAACTCGATGGATAATCCGGTGTCGAAACAAGATGGACGGGACCTCGAGGTCGAATGTAGAACATCCCATTGCCCTCCCCGTCTGGCATTTAATATCTTGCGAAGGAGACTGCCATCGTCGTATCATATACTGCAGGGGACGGCCTAGCGTCAAGGCATTTAGCCAGAATTACCCGGGTCAAGGGACAGACCAAAGTTTGGGGTGAGGAGGCGAGGAGACTCGGAGATGTGAAGAGTAGATATAAGGTGTCGGCAGGGGTCTCAAGGCTCTTCAGCCGCTGGGGCCCCGGGGAGACACGTCCGTCCACAGAATCATCCGGGGATGGTCATGAGCAGCCAATCGTAACAAACACAGTGCAAGTTTGTCGCAAGATTAGGTATTGTGAGTGAAAGCATTGCTTCGAACGGCTATGCGGCCATAACCAGAATTATCCAAGGGCAAACCAGACTGTATGCGCGCTTGTTTTATAACCGTCCACCAGGCTTGCCCACCTTGATGATGCTGCAAAATAAGTACAATGCAGAAAGCCACCCATCTATAATGCGATGCGACCATCTTTTGTCGAGGACATGATCTCGTGGTCCGTATAAATCCCCTCGTATGCCGAACAAAAGGCTGAACCGCTTGAAGCCTGGAAACCGTCAGGAAGAATATTACAATAATTACTGTTTCCCACGTCAAAGTCAAGTCGAAATCCAAGTCTCCAAGTCCATGCAAGCTCAGTGTTCACAATGTTCACAAGGAGAAAGCGAGGAAGCCCATGATGGACAGAACGACACCCCCAACGCTTTGCAGACGCGAGGCACCGTTGAGCACCGCGACGCCGGTGGGAGAGGCTGACGGCGTCTCGGAGCCTGCAGTACCGGTTGCAACTCCAGAGGTGCCCACGGCGGTGGCCAAGACTGATGTAGACATGGATGCGTGGCTGGTTGTCGAGTTGCCTGTCGAGTTTCCATACGGAGCCCAGCCAACAGCGGTGGTAACGGCAGCACTGGCGCTGCTCGTGCTCGCGGTGCCGGCGGTGCTCGTCGTAGATGCTGCCACGGACGAGGTTGTTGAGCTGCTCTCCTCTGCCTTGTTGATCATCTCCTTGATCCACGACGCCGCATCATCGGTGTAGATGTCAAAGTAGGTCAAATGAGTGCTGCTGTTGTCAGATCCATAAGAAGCGGCGCAGACGGGGTCGGTGGCCACGCAGTAGGATCGGAGGAGGCTGGAGTAGCGGTTGAGGCTGGTCAGTTGTCCGTCAGTCCGGGGGGCCTGCGCAAGAAGACCGTGTTAGTAAACAGTATTGAGGACGGTTGCGAGCAAGCTGTGTTGTTCACTTACAGCACCGTTGGCATCTGCGCCAGATAACACGTTGTATGGCTGTCCAGCCGTGTGGCGAACATCACCGAACAGCGTGACTGCGACAACTGTGATCACAAGGTATGCTGATTAGCAAACGTGCATGTTGTAGAGCCCTCTCGTCTCTCAGAAGTCCGCAGCGCGTGGGTATGGCTTACTTTTGTCTCCTGGACTCGTTGTGGGATCCAAGCCTCCAACGGATGGCTCGGTGCACTCGTTGAAAAAGTAACCACCGCCACCACCGAGGACATCGCCCACGACATGGGCACCCTGAGAGTAACCGCTGACTACCAGCTTCGAATTCGGACAGCGCGAAGCATATGCTGTGATCTGCGAGACGCCATCCTGTACACCCTGGGTGACAGAGTCGCAATAGGGGGAGTCCACCGGGTTGTAGTACTGGATGTCCTCATAGTCGCAGCTGTCCAGGCCGTAACAAATCGCACCGGCCAGTTTGCCCTGTCGGCCTGGGTAGGGTTCGTTGTTTCCCTTTGCGAGGAAGATATGCACGTCCTTGCAGCTGTCCTGTCTCTTGTCGAGAACGTCGATTTCGCTGGCAGTAGAGACCGCGCAATTAAGGGCCAGACCGGCCAGGGCGAGCCTTGAGCTCGAGGTGAAAAGCATTTTGATTAAACGAGTGAAATCCGGATAAAACCTTGCAAGCTCTTCCCTTCGTGCGGTCGGGACTTGGGGAGTGCGACGATAAATACTTTCTGGACCGTAGGCTCTAATCTCTTCTTCAGTCTCCGCTTCGCCTGGGACTCTGATCAATCAATCATCATGAGATTTGTGATTTCCAGGTGTTGTTGAGGACATCGGTGGGTCAGGGGCAGCTCTCTTCTGATAGGAGCGGTTGACCTTTTGACAGCTTAAACCCACCATCCCGCGGAGCCAAAGAACAGAACTTGTCCCAAGCAGTGCAAGGATGTCTCACAGAGCTCGCCTTAGACCGAAAAGTGGATGTTCTTGTCAGCTAAATATATCAACCACAACAAACAGCTCGTGGTGCAAAGGTCCACAGCAGTGGATAACGCGTGGTTTTGCTGCTTGCTCGGTCCCTGGTGTAATAATGTGTAATCTGTAGGCTCCCCAGTAGGTACCTAGCTTATACCTAGTAGAAGAATACCTGAGATAAGAAAGTTTCGCCGATCGTGCCGGTAGCCGCGAACATCCTGGTCAATCCGAGTTCCAGGCGCGAACCTTGAGGACATGAAAAATGGTCCTTTTGGTAATGCCCAAGACGTAAGGCGGAACGAAGCCTGCTGTATTGTACTCCAGGACACATGTAAAGAAGGTGATGGAGTGGAAATGATGGCACTCATGTCAAAGAGTTGCAGAGCTCCAATAATGAGGATAAAACCGAGCAGACAGTTGTGTGAATCAGCCAACACGAAAGGACGCTCGAGCAAGCGAGATCGGCTGCCGAAAAAGCTTCTCTGCGACAAGCTCATTTGCCCTTGTAACGAAGGTTGTCGGCTGTAAAAAGAATATGTGGAGACGACTCGTTGACACAGACCGCCTGTCGCTGAATTCGAGTTCCGTATAATGCGAACAGTCCTGAAAATTGGCCGGGTGTTGACCGGCCTTTAGTCCGAGCAGCTCCAGAATACGTGCGTTGTTATCAACAGCGACCTGATAGAACATGTTAGCTCGCATCCCGATGGTGAAGTGGTTGGCGCCATAGAGATTGGCGCCGACGTAGTCCAATCTTGAGGGCAGACATTGGGCCCTGGCTTTATTGACGGGCCCATGCATCTTTTGATGTTCGGAGCGCCGCTGCAGAAGATAAGTCTGGAGCATTGCCAAACCCTTGAAGACATTCAAGTCCGGACATGAGAAGCTGAGGGCAAAGATCGGGCCAGATCACGCATCTTGTGCCGTGGCTGGATGCACTTCATGACCGGTGGTGAGGCCCTGACGAGTGCGTTGAACGGTCTGAATGAAACGGTCTTATCGCTTCTAAGGACTTGCATACCACATGGTGCAACTCTGCGGCATTGAAAAAGATGAGCGTCCTGGATATCCCAGTCCCCCGGCGGAGAGATCCATCGCCCCGCTCAGGGCAATGCCACAGGATTGCTGAGTGAGGCTCTTGCGATTACCATCGTCTGGCTTCATCTCGCCTCATCTGGGAAAGGTTGCGTCGATGGAGGAGAAGATGATAGCGATTCGTGATGCCATCAAGACGTACAACGCAGGCGGCTACACTGGCATGGTGGAAATGGCCATGGACGAAAACGCATGGAAAGTACTCTTGAGGTTTAGGTCTCTTTTCAATGTGCGCTGCACGCCATAGAGGATGCCACCATCAAGATGGCCATTGATCCTCTTGAGTCAGTTGCTTCCAATGGCCGTCGACGTAGGATCGAGCAGCTCGAATTGACTTCTCCAGGAGACGCTCCATCCAAGCCGTGCATGCTGACCCAGCGATCCTGCGGCAGTGGACTTCCTTGCTAGGAAAAGAGAGGAGAGGGCGCGTGTTTGCCTATCGAGGATTTTCGGGTGAATGAGTCAGTCATCCTGAGTCTACCTAGGTACAGACGCGCCCACTGCGCCCACAGCGCCTTTTCCAACCTGCACGTGGTGACGACGAGGAGGGCGGCCAAGGAGCCAGGATTCGACGGAGATGGTCAATGAGCAGTTTGCCCTGCTGCTACTGAAAGCTAAAGTGCTTCAACCACGGGTTGATGGAAAGAAAGTATTCAACGCTGTTCAATGGGGAGGGTTCTGCAAAGCCAAGTACATAGGTCTCGTATACATAAGATAAACAAGATATCGTTCACATGACTGCATAGCCCTCCTACGAGGACCGACAATACAGTGATCAGACTGGCATTATGAGGAAGAAGACGAGACTCCTGTCACCTTGTCCTCCGTATGCTCTGCCCCTCCACTGACCGTGTCAGCGGTATCCTGAGCCGTGTCTTTGGCAGCAGCCGTGGCATCTTTGCTGTGCTCCGCAACTGTGTCCTCCAGGTCCGACGTGATCTCCTTCGAGTCTTCTGATGCTTCTTGCAGTCTGCTTTTGTGGGCTTCAAGGGCCTCTGGAGGACATGAGTGTCAGCATGCTATGAGACCCAGATCCAACGTCAACACTTCTTACCTTCACTGCCTTTGCTTCCTGAAAACATGCCGCCGACTTTGCCAGCTCCAGCACCGAGAGCACCTCCTGCAAATTGGACTGTGCTTCCAACACCGTCACCTACACCTTGGACAGTGCCAGTCAACCCTTCGCCCAGTGCACCGACTGAGTTTCCAAGTGTGTCCACGACTCCTTTGACTCCGCCTCCAACGGTGCCTCCGAGAGCAGCTACGGCGCTCTGTGTGTTCGATGAGATTCCTTGAGCCTGGTCTTGAGGGATTTTGCCGGCGATTGCAGCTCTATAAGCAAGTCAGTCTCCGCCGGATTGACTGTCAAATCCGGGAGGCAGTAAGGGGGCTCGGTTACTTGGTCTGTTCAGCGAGCTCCTCGCCTTTGGGATTGCCTGGAAGTAGATCAAGGTCAATGACTCTGTTCTCTGCTACTTTGACCATTGTGATTTCTCCAGGTTAGTTCAGTCAGATCAATCAGTCAAACGATCAGCAGATATCAAATACGAGTCACAGAAAGCGGAGAGCACTGCATGTCATGAACGCAGACATCACCCGCATCTTGGAAACAGCCTCAACAACCGTGACGTAACGAGAAGTCTCGTATACACTGGGCAGCCGTCCATAGGGCAGTCATGACGATGCTGGAGAAGGAAATGCGATTCAAAGCCGCAGTGTGAAGTCAGGGGACATTAGGCCAATGTCTGGGGTTTCTTGGTTGGCGAAAACAGGGATCACCGCTGTAGCAAGTTGTAGCATCATCTTTTCTTAGCTGAAGTCGATCGTTGGGTGCAGTGGTTAAAGTAGATGCGCAATGGCTACGTCTGCGCCGCCGTTGCCAGCAGAGCACAGGCATCATCAGCTTCGCGCTCCGCAGTAGCAATCTTTCCCTTATCGATAAGCCAAAAATTTCAAGTGGAGGGAATCCTAGAGCCTTCAAACTGCGTGCCCAGGGCGACTTGACCCTCTCTGTCTCTCTTACTTCTTTCGCTTTACTTCCCCTACCACACGACAGCCATGGCCAAGACAAGGAAGAAGAAGAGGACGCATGTCCCGAGCAACGATGTACCGGGGAAGCCTGGTCAAGCAAACCGACACCCGAAGAGCATGGTCATCCGAATGGGCGCTGGCGACGTCGGGCCCAGCGTCACCCAGCTGGCGAAGGATTTCCGGACCGTGATGGAACCGGACACTGCGAGTAGACTGAAGGTAAGGCTTCTTTCCATCCCTCCAAACTCCCCCTGCTTTCTTCTGGTGTTGACTTTCAACCCGCCAGGAACGGAAAGCGAACAAATTAAAAGACTATATCGCCATGGCTGGCCCACTGGGGGTAACACACCTGTTCCTGTTTTCGCGATCCAAGACCGGCAACGTGCACTTTAGAGTCGCGCTGGCCCCTCGCGGTCCGACCATCACTTTCCGAGTCGAGCGATATGCGCTGGCCAAAGATATCGCCAAAGCCCAGAAACATCCGCGCGGCGGTGGAAAGGAATATCTTCATGCGCCGTTGCTGGTCATGAATAACTTCACCTCACAGACGGCAGGAGAGCCTAATGCAGACCCGATCAAGAAACAACTCGAGTCCCTAACAACGACCGTGTTCCAGGGCATCTTTCCTCCGATCAGCCCTCAGACCACATCGTTAAACTCGATCAAGCGGATTCTGCTGTTGAACCGTGAATCCCAGGCAGACGGGACGTATGTGATCAGCCTGCGACACTATGCAATCACGACTCGCAAAGCCGGTGTCTCGAAACGAGTCCGCAGATTCGACCCCAGCGAACAGCGGCTGAGAGAGAAGAAGACGGGCGCTCTACCCAACCTGGGCAAACTGGACGATGTGGCGGACTACATCCTGGATCCAGCCGCCGGCGGATATACCTCGGCCAGTGAGACCGAGCTGGACACCGACGCCGAGGTCGAGGTGCTGCAGTCCACCACGCAGCGCGTGCTGAGCCGACGAGAACAACAGAAACAGCAGGACGGCGAAAAGGACAAGGCAAAAGCAGCAGATGCTGGCTCCAACGTCGAGAAACGAGCGGTCAAACTGGTCGAGTTGGGCCCGCGCATGCGGCTGCGTATGGTGAAAGTGGAAGAAGGCATCTGCGAGGGTCGAGTGATGTGGAATGAATTCGTCAAGAAGACAAAGGTCGAGGAGAAGGAATTGGATGAGAAGTGGGAGCAGAGGCGGAAAGAGAAAGAGGCGCGCAAGAAACAGCAGAAAGAGAATGTCGAACGGAAGAAGATGCTCAAAAAGAATACAAAGGCGAACGCTGGAGGTGGTGGTGCAGATGGTGAAGACGACGATGACGAAGAGGAGTGGGATAGCGATGAGCTCGAAGACTGGGATGATGTTAACGACGTCGTTGGTGACGATGAAGTGGAAGCTGAAGACGATGAAGACGAAGAGATGGAAGGCTGAGCTGCCGCATTTGCCCTGGCCGAGTTTCATTCATCCTTCTTCCTCACGGATCCCATGAAGATCACCGCCGGATCTGCTCACTCCTACTCCCTCCGCGCGTTTGATGGAGACGGAGCAAATCACGGGCGAGGCGTATCCGAGTCACAGAACAAGACCTGAAGATGACATGTTTTCGGCCAACCGCCGAGCTGATCATGCCTCCGGTCGACCGATTTGACTCCATCAAACCCCGGCGCACCAGCCGAACAAGCACGGCCACGACCATCGATTAGCATGACTTAGAGGCTATACGGTTCACTGATGGGATCGAGTGCTCCTCGCCAAGACCATTCTTCAAAAGTATCCATTCCATGTGCGAACATGCGGGCTGTGACACACGAAAAGATATTGACACGTGGTGGTTTGACCAAGGGGTGAGCAGCGGACCTAGGAACATGCAGGTATAGACTGCAGTGATGTGAGGAGATGTGTTCGCTTGAACTAGATATTATGTTCTAGACTGGATGATAATATGAGCATCACCAAAGATGCAGAACCCAGACCACTGTCTGGTGTATAGCCGGCGCCCTCAAGCCAATTCCACAATTACCTCGTCTCTCTGGTTTCGCGGTACACCGCCCTCTCCTACCAGCATTGGCTCCTCCCAACCCTTCGATCCTGGAGATATCATATTCCCCAAACGCTGGGACTAGTAAAAGGTGTTCCAGACATGGGATCCGAGTCGGGTCGAGGGTGGTTTGGTCTGGCTTTCTAGCCATCGCCACTACTGGCTTCTCCAGATCGCCAACGTGTCTGTCCTTGTGTCTCCTCTGAATCCAGTAAGTGCAGCACTAGTAGTAATTCTGAATGTTGTCCTTCGCAGCTGCAGGTTCGATAGATAGTTGGCACGTGAAGTCATTGACTAGTTCTCCTTTCTCCTTCGTCACCCCCGGAAGTGATCGTGACAGTCAGATCATCAGATTCATTTCTTTCCGCTCGCGTATCGCTTGACCCAGTCTCTAGCCTCTTTTTCGTACGCGGCTCGGTCGTTGCGGTACTGATCGGCGATCTTTGCCTCGACGGCGTCATCTGGATTAGGTTCTAGGAATGAAATGCCAAGTCAACGGAACGCTCGCAGAACCAAGAACCGAACAATTTTTCACACACAATAACTTCCTCTGGGCCCCGAGAGTGTCCGAGTGCCTCAAATGGTGGGCAGAGTCAAAAGGACAAACCAGAAACACGAAACCAGAAACCAGAAAGAGGAAAGAGGAAATAGTCAGAAGAGCAAAACACACCTTTGAGCAACTGTCTCGCAAACTCAAGCACGGCACTCATCTTGGTGCTCGGCTTCCACTCCGAGTCCTTCAGCATGCCGAGACACATGGTGCCGGTGTTGGGCGGCGAATCGTTCGAGATGTTGGGATGGTAGATCTTCGTGGTGAAGACGACAGACGGCGGTTTGAATGGATATTCCTTGGGAAGGTTGATGGACATGTCGAATTTGCCTCCCTAAAGAGAAATATCCAGAGTCGTCAGTATAGAAAGTCACGGTCTGGACGAGTATCTCGAGATCGCCGAACCAGAAGCCTCGATCCCCCCCAAGTGACGGAGCGAGCACGTTGGCTGTTCTCTGGAAGTGCATGCATGCATGGGCTTCACTCACAGCATAAGGAGACCCAGCCGGGCCTTCCATAGTCACCCTCCATTGATAGAGGTTTGCTTCATCTGCCAAAGCCACTGTGATTCCCGGCGGCGGAGAGTTCATCAAGTCCGCCAGTTCCTGGTCAAGTAAATAATGTTAGTCTGCTCGGCTCTGGCCTATCAAACGGATAGGGAAGGTGGTCTCGCGACCTGTGTGCCACTGGAGACAGACTGACTTTGGTAACGCGTTTCTGGCTAGCCATGATGGCTGACGCGGCGAACCGTGCCGCCGTTCACCTGCCGGCTGGCTGGACTGGGAGTTATATAGGTAGTCCGGTCGCCGGAGGAGATGCTGTGAGTCAATGGTTCCCAGCGCAGGTAACTAACTGCAAAGAGACCGGAAGCGATGTTTGTGTTGAGGTCGATTACCAGCGATATGGCAGGGTGGAACGTCAAGTCGAACAGTGCAAGTCAAGTTGAAGATTGAGGTGAATGGATGTTGTGTCTATACGCAAGCTATAGTAGTCAGTTGCTATTGAATCCGTAGAAGGAAATGGACGTTCGTTCCTACTACGTACTTGTATCTCAAATTGTGTAAACCAAGAAAAGGATCCGCCGTATTCAGCGTTACTGCGGAGTGTACGCCTCAATCTTGCAGTGCTTCTTGTCGACTGCTTGGATATGTCGGTATGGCTAGATGGAACACATTGGAATACTACAGCACGCCCTGGATTGAATTCTGTTGGAAAGTTCCTGCATTGCTTTATGGCCTCTCTACTTTAGGACGCCGACGCTTAGACTCGAAAGCCATTCAGCACATTTTGGACAGACCCCTGTCCGTCTCCTCCATAAAAATATGTAGGAAAAAGGAAGACAGGTACTAGAATACTCTCATAGCAAAACCATCTTCCGTTCCTCAGCCGTCTGTACCGTTGCTCCGGAAAGTCACGCAGAGTTGGCAGTACTCATGCGTCAGGTCAAGGACATGTTGCGGCAGATTGGTCGATTGTACGATGCTGCGCACTTTGACAGCACCCTCCTCTTCGATGAGCTTTCGTATCGAGTAGAAGAGCTCCGGCGAGAACTACACCGTGAATTAGTAGTCTCCTCCAGAAACTAGGTGAGTGTGTCATCGCTTACCTCGGAATACCACCGGTATTGCCAGGTGATGAGGCGGATCAGGCATGCGAGAGTGCTCCTCGTGTCACCTTTCTTCTCATACATCCGCATGATTCCTCTCATGGCTTTGGGCGAAAATCGGATATTGAGACACTGCTGATAGGCTTCCAGAGCTTCGTTGGTGTGGTGTAGTCGCTCGGCAAGGTCTCCCAGGATCTCCCATTCCGCCGCCGACTTCTTGTACTGCATTTGCTGCTGACGGTACTGTCCCATTTCCGTCCGCCAGATCGTGTAGATCCGGAGGTCTTCATAGAGTACCATAAACAAATTATCTAGCCATCGCTCACACAACCGTTTGTTCAGGAATTTCGGATATTGCGAGTTATTGGCTTCGGCGTCATCGTTACCTGACTTGACCTCTTCTGCTGCAATCGTTGGGACGGGCTTCTCCATAGACCGATCTGCCTGTATCATGGGATTTTCTTCTGTGTCACCGTTGACTTTGGGTGCTGTTGACCCTCCTTCAGCGAGAGTCTTCTCCTCATCCGCTGCAGATTCTTCGTCTGAACCGTCATCTCCTAAGCCATCCCCGTTGCTAGTTTGAGGCTGTCCGTTCGGAGTTCCAGATAGTGCGATTGTACTGGCATTCTTGCTGGTCGGCATTTTCGGAGTCACCGAGTGATGTCTCTCCGATCGATATTCTTCTTCCATGACAAAAACCAGACTGCGTGTCTTCAACAGCGAGTCCCATCCAATCGACGCAGCAATACGTGTCAACAGGCTATAAGCTTTCAAGAAAGTGCCTTGATAAGTGGCAGCCTGCAGTTTTCTCAACGACACATGGACTTGGTCGAAAGGTTCTCCTTGTCGAGGTTGTCCCTCGTCGATCTCGTCCAGTACGCTCTCTGGAAGGATGGGCAAGAGCACCCGACTCGGTTCTGGCATCCTGGGCGAATCTTTGTCCTGATATGAAAACATGGGACAAGAGTTCAGGGTAAGGAGGGCGAGGTCCCACTGCTCTAGATCAACGTAGACCTCCGCCAGACGAGCCCAAGTACTGAACTCGCTGGGGGCCGCAGTGACACCTTGCTTGGCCAGTTCCAGAGCCCACTCACCCTCGCCTTTGCTCTGGCAAAAGGCTGCCTGGCAATCGAGGAGAGCGTAGTCCATCGGCACATCCTGCAGAGAGTCGTGCAGTAATCGGACAGCCTGGATTTCTTCATCACCATCCAGAAGCACCCTTGCCAGTAGCGAAGACACTTCCACGTCCTTCGTCCGTAGCTTTTCGAACAAGTTGATACCTGATGTGTACCGTCCAGTAGTCCTTATGTACTTGAGAAGGCCGGCAGTCAAGTGGTTCGACACGACGTTCGGGATTTGGATCTCGGGGTCGGAGCCAAGTTGGCGACCGCTGAAGAAGAGCCTCTCAGCAGCCTCGAAGAACCGATGTTCCTGTTCGGTGTTGGTGATAGGGTTAAACCTCCTAATACCAATGATTTTCTTAATTGTATCACCACTTCCATCATCGGAATAGGAGTATGCACGCAGTACTGCGCAAAGGAATGTCTCCAGCCAAAGCCCGTCTGTTGCCACGCGCCGGTCTCCTCTTTCGTCCACACAATAGCTTTCTACGCTGCCAGGGATCTTCACCTCCACCCGCATGTCCAGGTGCGAGAAGGCGTTGTAGCAACAATACAGGCCAGACACAACTTTATGCGTCTTGTCGGAGGGATTGAACGTAAGGGTGTTGACATAGGCGGCCAGACTGGCCGAGGAGGATGCGTCGACGCCTGTGACATGGTGGTATACACCCGTCTGCTTTGCGCCTGCTTTTGTACTCTGTTTGACCAAGTGAACAAGGTCAGGAGGCCCTAACTCGCGCAGTCCGGGCAGGCTCTCTGTTCGCGCATCAACCGCCAGTCCAATATCTTCATCCTCAATGATCCTGTGAAGTTATGGTCAGATCACCCAGGTCATAGCATGTAGTATATCTGTAGACTGACTCTGGCACTGCCGGTGTGAGCATCGCGGCGGACCGCAGCTGGGCGGACTTGGACAATTAGGACAGACTGTCCGAGTCGCAAGATATGAAAGTGCTGCAGTTGCGCAGGGCGAGATCGGGCACGACGCAGTACAAAAGAACGTCAAGACTCAGCCAGAAATCATGCCACCTGTGCTATAAACTGGATCCTTACACAAGGAATCATCAGCTCAGGGACTGTTTATGGGATGCGATGGTGTAGAGGCTCTGCAATCCAGCACTCGCCAAGCTTGCCGCATTCGGACAGAGGCCTCTAATCACTTTCGCGTCAAGCCACTGCACGCGTAAACCATTCAGGGCTTCAACTTCAACTTCATCTTCAACTCACTCTCCATTCAAGGGCACAACTGTCACAAACACGGGCCGCAGAACCTCACACCACGCCTGCAGCCCAAAGACAAAATGAGCAACATGTGAACAACTCCCTTCCGGTATGTCTGCGATGATCACATTCGATGGAATAGACCTGTGCGACATCAGACCCCACGGCCTCATCCATACTTCCACCGCGGAGACCCATCATGTCGGGGTTCACGGCCATCAACGTCGAACCGGAGGATACGTTCGAAGAAGAGGTCGACGACACGAGGGAAATTCAGCTTGAAGAAGCATTCAAACTCTATCAGAATGCGCTGAAACTCCACTCCCAAGGTCCCGAATACTTCCAAGAGGCACTCGATGCCTATCAGGAGTTATTGCAGTCGGAAGTCTTCAAGTATCCCGAGGTCGTTTCTGAGTTTGCCCATGAAGAGCTCGACGATGAGGGGACTTCAGCAACTGCGCAGGTCGAGGCTGGACCGCTCTCTCTACTCCCTAGTAGTGCAGCCGAATCATCTGCAAGCTCGATTCCTCAACTCATCTACCTCGCCTTCAAAAACCGTGGTCAATTTCTCCTCGAAGTTGCACGGCATCGACTACCAAACGTGCGTGGACCCCGCGCTGACCTATGCCGGCATTATGCAACATCCTGCAATGAGAGTATTCGAGATTTTGCCAAAGCCCTGGAACGAGATGACACCGACCTTGACTTGTGGAAGAAGTCTGCTCGCGTAGCCAGTGTACTGTCGACACAGAGGATAGTGCGGTTTTGTCTGGAAAGTGTGCTTGCTGGAGACGATGACGATGCTGAGCAAACAATCGATCTATCAGGTCTCGACGAAGCCTATGCTGCTGGGGATCTGGAAGAGGTAGTCGCTTTGGTTCAAGATGATCTCACGCGCCTTCGAAGCTCTGGCATACGACCGAAGAGCCAGCTATTGGCGGCCTTGAGGAAGACGAATGATCCCTATCCATTTCTCCCCAAACGACCAAAGGCGCTCGAGTACCTGGATGACAGATACCGGCCGCTGAGTTTTGGAGTCGGTCAGATCGTCTTGCGGCCAACTTCCAACGACCTCTTCTCCCTCGGTCAGGCTATCCTTAATCTCATTGTCGGCATTCAAGAGGGGTCTCTAGCACATGGAACTGCTACTACTGTCCGTGCGGAGGTCCCCGATCTACAACTCATACATGATGACTCAGAGATGAATCGGGATTCCGACAATGACAAAACAGCGGATAGGTTATCAGCAGTCACTCCTCCTCAAGAAGTGAACAAAGGCACACCGTCACCGGATGCATCCAGAAACCCTAATGAGTCTGCTATCGAAGTAGAACCTTCGTCCGCAAAAGATGCTGAGCCCGACAACGCGAAAAATCGAGAGGTCGAGAACAGTGTGGCGCCAGATGCAGACACAATAGAGGTACAACAGCCCGATGCAGACACGATTGAAGTGGAGCAAGTAGATACGGACACAATCGAGGTAGATCAACCAGACACCAGAAGAACGGAAGCTGTAGCTGCAAAAACACGGAAGAGGTCCGCGACAGCGGCTGGCAATGAGGAGCCCGAAGGTCGGACGAAAAGCAAGAGAATCCGCGCACGAGAGTCTTTGGCCGAAACTGCCGCCCATGATGACGATACAGTACATGAAGATCCCAATGCTTTCCTTGACCAGCTATCGGTGTTCGACGAGGTCGACCAGTCAGCTTTTGTCGCCGCGAACTCCCTTCTTCAGCATGTCGGCCTGACACTGTACACATCGGCCGAGGAAGCCCGAGAGGTATTTTGGCAAGGGACTGCCAAATCTGGAAATGACCAGCAACAAGAGCATATCAGGAAGGACTTGCAGCTGTTGACAGACCTCAAAGTTGCGTTACTGGATTGGAATGACGACAAGAGCCATGCTATTATCACTGGACACGGCAACCAAGACTTTGCAGAGAATTCCACGGGAATGTCGTTGTTTCTTCAACACTCCAAAGTGGCCACTTCGAAAAACCCAGAGCTTCCTCCGGGCTCTGCTGAGGCCGCACTGGTTGCTCTGGTCAAGAAGATCAATAGTGGAGCGACCAACATCTACGATGCGGCGTTTTGTTGGCTTCAATCGGTGCTTACTGGCTCTCGAGACCCCACCAAACCATCTGCCTCCTCCTACTTACGAGACGCATGGCCCGACGAGATGAAGCAGACGGTGCTGAAACTAGTACTGACTACCGAGTCTTATCTGTATGAGACAATGCGCCAGCGCTTGTTCTCACTCACAACTTCAAGCACGGGTCAAGACGATGGTGGTAATCTGGAACTGGCCGCTCAGGTTGAACTTGCGGAAACTCTGTTCGAATTGCACCTTGATCTTCATTCGGCGACTACAAGCTCTGCCAACAATGTCGACGAAAGTTCACGTGTTGGTCATGAGAGACGACTCACGAGATGGTCCAGCTTGGCAGACGACTTCATGTGCCTCTACCTCGACAGTTCAAACCAACCAGCAACAAGGGACCCTCTCGTTCTGAGGTTCATCTGGGCATCCACCATCTACGCCACCTTGGCCGAAGAGGTAGACAAGACACACATAGTCCTGTGCCTAGAAGATTTGAAAAGAGTGCTTGAGCGGACAGGAGCGGACGCCATCTTTTTACCCAACAATACAGCCATGCCGGTGCTATCTGTCTCGGCCATCGAACAAGAGCTGTCGCGCTTGAACACGTTGGATTTCTTCACGAGCGTCTTCGATAGCGACAACAGCGACCCGGTGGCGGTAATTGAGAAGTTGGAACCTATCCTTGAAGCAAGCGCAGTGGCCGATGAAGGTGGTGCAAGGTCGCCGCGCGAGTCGGCCGTCCTCACACCCCAAGCCGAGCAGCTGGTTCAGTTTCTGGGGTCTGGTGATGCTTCACTGAAGCTCTTCTTGTGGCGTCGCCTCCAGAATGCGTACACGTCTATATCATACACTCCGAAAATTGTTTCTTGCCTCCTGCGAGCCCTCGAAACGTGTGTGAACGAACTGTATACTGCACGGCATCTCGAGACGGACAGCACCGCTCGGCAGATTTCAATGCTGAAGTGGTTACGAGATATTGATGAGATCTTGGTAAGACTGATTATCAAGATCCTCAACGAACCTTCTGCCTACGAATGCGTTGATGAAGCCCATCTACGGTCATCATTGAGCACCATCACGTCACTTGCTAAGCTTTTCCATGGGTTTGTTATCTATGACGACTCTGTTCGAATCGGTCAGACACCTAGCCCTCAACTCAAGGGTGCGGCTTCAGTCAAGTTGTACGACAAGAGCAAAGATCGTTTCCGAGAGCTTCTGGTTCGTGTCTGGATTTTGCAGTATTCTCTCATCAAGGAAGCCACTGTACAAGATCCCACTTCTTATCCTCATGCTGGCAATGATCTGGCACTCTACCTTAGCAAGGTTCACGATGCCTTGGGGATGCGGCAGTACTGCAAGTATGCCAACAAAGCCTTCGTCAAATTGGTCAAGAATGAACTTGGCACACTGGAAACCTCGGAGGACCATTCGACGGACATGGCTCAAGTATTCTACGATCTATACCAGCTTCGCTTCACCGGCGGCATGGGGGATGCAAACCATGGCTGTCCGACGGAGACCCTGGATCGGAAGACCGCCTGGTCATTGGTTCCAACCATCATGAAATATGCGGAGCGGTTCAACTTCAAAGACTTGATCAAAAGTGACCTTAAAGCCACGATTGAGAAAATCCAACAGTCTTTGGGCGTTGTTAAGAACACGCCGGCGCTCGTGCACAATAAACGGATAATTACTTCGTATCTGAAGTCAACCGTCAACCCGGAAGATCTGTACAAGTGCATCCGTGGTATCAGCGATCTCCCAACACGTCCGGTCCAGAGTGATACACAGGCTGCCGCCAGCTGCGGATGGTATTTCCTTCTGGGCCACCTAACGTTGGCCAAATTCAAGTCAGTCAAGCGGGTAATTCCTTCGCCCACGGACGACCTTGATGTTGCCGCCAGTTTCTTCCGACAGGATTTGGATCACGGTATAGAAAAGTGGGAGACCTGGTACCGGCTTGCACAAGTCTACGAGGCCAAAATTGAGGACGACCTGATCTGGAATTCCACCAAACTCAACGAAGCGAGAGGCGAAATTGCTCTACTCGAACGCCAGGCCATACACTGTTATATCATGTCCACTGCCATAGCAATGCGTGCGGCAGACGATGCGCCTGACACGGCGGAAAAGATCGAGGATATGCTTGCAGAGTTTGGCACTCGGCTGTACGCTTCGTCTCGGCCGCCGCTGAACATGGAAGCCTTCAGAACCGACAAGCAGCAGCGGCACATGAGCAGCCTTGTTGACCAGACCATGTCCAAGCAGCCCTATCATCAGTCCGTCGGTCAGTATGCATTGTGGCGATTTGCCGCTCATCTTCTGAGCCGAAAACTTAGCAAACGCCCCAAGCACTGGATGGTACATTACACGCGGGCGAAATGCCTTTGGAAGATGTTTCAAAGTCCCGAGAATAATGGCCGTGTATCGGCCCAGGACGTGCTCGATGCCATTATCGAATCCATTGATGAGTTGCCCAAGAATCAAAAGTCAAATGAGCCCATCCTGGAGCCGCATTACAAACTTGTTTCGGTAGTCTACAAGATGGTCAAGGCCGGAGCGCTCACGTACACCCAAGCTGAGGAGCACATGCAAGTAAGTCGTTATGCCCAGTCTGTTCGTCTTACCGAGGACGAGGAAGGACTGCAATGGGTTGCATACGTTCTCCAAATCTTGAAGAAGCTTGGAACTGCCGACAAGTCCAACTGGCACCACAGAATCACCGCCCGGGCTGCACATGTATTGTATGACGACGATCCAAGCATCGCTGGGGCGCTCGGAGCCAGGCACCAGTTCACTCAACAGATCTTCACCAAGACCATGACGATACAAGTATGGAAGCCAGAGCACGAACGACCAGGTCGACATTATGTGTATACCGGCAGATATGTCAAGTTCTTCATCCATTTGCTGGAGCAACTGAAAGATCGGGGCAACATGGACCAGCTGGTGCGCCGAATTCGTCGGAAGACCACCGACTTTCTCGACCACAGTAAACTGTGGGAGGAGGTGGTCACCACCTACGTCCGGATGATGCGGCGGATCGGGGACATCCCTGATGGTCGCGAACGTGCACTCTTCGATGGTATGAACTTTGAAGAGTTTACGAAGAAGTCGGAGAAGATGGAAGAATGGGCCCGAGATCCTGACACATCATCGGTGTATCTAGATATCATGCGCGACGCCATCGACCTGAAGCGTCTCAACAATAGCTTGATGAAAGGCCCGCTGATCGACGATCTCATCGGCGATTCATACGCCTGTCTGTACGAAGAGTTTGTCGCGCAACTGCCTCCAGAGGAACAACCGAAGGCCCAGGCAGCTGTTTTCCCACAGGGTACATTTATCAACATGACCACCAACCTCGCCGGAGACAACGAGGATGCTGAACGTGCTCGTCTCAATGACATGCTCCGAGCGCAAGGGGACGGTGCTGCCGATGGACCCTTGGCGGTTTCCATCTCCGCACCTGTTGGTCTTGGGCTGCAGAATCCAGTATCATTCATGGGCATTGTAGGTCAAGCCGAAGTCCATCGAGCTCCACCTAAGCCCGGGCGTACAAAGACAGTCACTAGGCGTGAGATCCAGCGCAAGGCCGAAGCAGCAATCGTCAAACCACCACCGATCAAGACGCCGATCCTGAGTAAGCGACCAATAGTGGAGATCCCTGGGAAGACCATGGAATCGCCAATGGACAAGCGGCTGGCGGATGCCAGAGACGAGGATGCGGAAGGGAGTAGGAGTAGTTCCAGGAGAGGCAGTAGACAAGACAGTGCGGATGGTGAAGCTGATGGAGAAGAGGACTCTGGCAGTGATCTCAGCGATCTCGATGATCTGGATGATGAGAAGAAACAACTCCTCTCCGAGCTTGAACAGGCCAGAAACCGAGAAGCCGAGGATGCCGCGGACGATGGTGGCGATGAGGATGACGGTGACGGTGATGACGATGGCGACGGCGACGGCGACGGCGACGATGTTGAGGAAGATGCTGGCAATGATGTGGATGAGGACGGGGACGGAGGAGAAGATGAAGGTCCCGATGAGCGGAGGCGTGATGTGGATAATGATGAGGAGATGGAGGATGTACCAGACGAAGTTGAGATTCAGGATTCTCAGGAGAATGCTGTCGATAAGGAGAGTCCCGGCGACGACGGAGCAGAGCAAGCCTTCCACGAGGCGCGAGAGGGGACAAATTTGGAAGACTAGAGAGCAGAAATCCAGCCTCTAGATGGAGAGCGCTTCGAGATACCCGCTTCGATAATGGCGAGTTCAGTCCATCCATGAATGATGACAGTATTGTGCTTGCAACCATCCCTTCCTTCATCGGTCATGTTGTCCTTCGTAGTACAGAGTACCTTCAAGTGTGGCCGAACCCCCCTATTGTTACATACGTAGTAGCCGTGTGCAGTGTCTGAATGGTGCATGTGGAAAATCTCCCTGCATCCTTCAGCCTCGTCGCCGCTTTACCAGAAAAATATTTATGGCTCGAAGTTCGTTCTCCAACTCGCCAGCCTCGACAACCTCCAGTTGGATTTTGTATTCTTGTATACTTCTTTCCTTCCTCCAGTGCCTGTCTGTCTGGACTGCCGTTCATTCCATATGTCTGTTTCCCTTTCATGCCTCTTTGCAGCCATTTTGCTCGGCGCCTCATTTCCACGAGCAGGCTCGTGAGCCGTCACATTGCAGGCGCAGGATCGGTATTGTCACAATCTCGTCTGAGATACAAATCCTCGTGCGCTTTGAGTTCGACTCCGAAGACAACAACGGCGCCTCACAATCAGGAGCATTCCTTGCACGAAAAGACGAAGAATCTGAGCTGGAGACCCAGACATACATCTGGGAGAATACAAAATCTATATCACGAGTCCAAGAATCCATCCAAGCGGGCGCAGTCCACTCTCATTCTCACTCTCACGAACAAAGGTCGCGAAGATATGTCAGAGAATGCGCAATATAAGGACCACGGGTCCAAGAAGAACATATACGACAAGAGACACCCCGCTGAAGAAGAAGAATATCCCTCCCATGATATGGGCGCCGAATCTACATCTCCTGCGGCAGACTACACGACCTACAGCACGGCGGATCTGATCGATCGCATTTCAGCGCTTGAACGACAATTACGGGAACAGACCGCACGGATTGCTGCGCTTGGTGTGGAATCCACCGGCGGAGACACAGACGGGAAGAGATCTATAACAGCCTCTTCAGAACCATCGTCTCAGCTCCGAACCGGCACTCACTCCTCGCTCGCTCCTCCTCGCTCCCGCTCTCAATCGCCTTCACGCCGCGCCCGGCCTTTCGATCCGACGCTCTACGCGACACGACACATCGCCCTGAAATTCGCGTATCTGGGCGGCCGCTACAACGGCTACGAACACGCGAATGGGAATGTCTTGCCCATGCCGACGGTCGAGGAAGTCCTGTGGAAAGCGTTGCGGAAGACACGACTGATCAGCCCGTCTGTGCCCGAGGGGGCTGATCAGTCGATGGACGTGGTCTGGGAGAAGCAGAGACGGTTGGCGCGGTACACGGATGGGAAAAGTGGCGGGCGCGACGAAGCAAAGGGGAAGGTCAGGCTCGATTTGAATTGGGATGGGTGTCAGTATAGTAAGTGCGGCAGGACGGATAGGGGGGTCAGTGCGTTTGGACAGGTCATTGGGCTTAGGGTGCGGAGTAATAGACCGATCGAAAAGGAACAGAAACAGAAACAGGAGGGGGAAGAGGAAGACACCGAAGGTCAAAAAAACACTGCACAACAAGAGGATGGAGGGAAAGGAGGAGGTGATGGCAGAATGTCCACGAGTGTGGATCAATCGGCTATTGATGGGAATCTAGAGCCTACTATGGTATCAGTGGAAGCGGGAACATCCTTTGATTCTGATGACCAGATGCCCTCGATCGATACCGACGACCTGGAAGCCGAACCGTACTCGAAACCGTTCGATCCGATCAAAGACGAGCTCTCGTACGTGACCATGCTCAACGCCATCCTTCCGCCCGACATTCGCATTCTCGCGTGGTGTCCCGACCCGCCGGCGAACTTTGACGCTCGCTTTTCCTGCCGAGAGAGACGGTACAAGTATTTCTTCACGAACCCGGCCTTCTGTCCCACCCCGGGCCCGCGAGGGATGAGGTACGCGGACGGCCGACCGGGCAAGCGAAGAGAGGGATGGCTGGATATCGAGAAGATGCGCCAAGCCGCGAAGAAGCTGGAGGGGTTGCATGATTTCCGGAATCTGTGCAAGATCGATGCGAGCAAGCAGATGCCGAGCTGTGAGAGGCGAATCACGTATGCAGATGTCGTAGAGTGTGATCAGACTGGTAAGATCTTTTCGCTTCATCCGGGCTTGAACGAATCTGGGGCTGCAGTGGAATCGAACAATATCGATTCCAAGTCTATCCTGGAAAATGGCGTAGCAGTCAACAATTCGGGTCTTCTGAACGGAGATGCAAGACCCTCTGCGTCGTCGCTAGTCGGAGGCCCGAGAGTCTACACCTTTTGCGTCAACGGCTCGGCATTCCTCTGGCATCAAGTCCGGTGCATGGTGGCTGTTTTGTTTCTGGTAGGCCAGGGACTCGAGGAACCCAGCATCATCGACGAATTACTCGACGTCGACAAGAACCCTGGCAGACCGATGTACGAGATGGCGGATGACGCGCCGCTGGTTTTATGGGACTGTATATTTCCCGACACCGACGCCGACACCGACAAAGGCGACAACAGCAGAGCTGATCCGCTATTGACCGACTCGCTGAATTGGATCTATGCCGGCGACCAAGCGGGTCTTGCCGCCCTTCCTGGCAAGAATGACGGCAAGTTCGGCTCCAACGGTGTTGTCGAGGAAGTGTGGAGCCAATGGCGACAAGCCAAAATCCATGAAGTCCTGGCGGGCAGTCTGCTTGATTTGACGATCGGTCAGGGCGACGGGTCTGCCTTGCAGCGGAGTATCCAGCGAGATGGGGAGTATGCTTCGCATCGCAGGCAGAAGGTGTTTGATGGTGGGAACAGTGCTCGCCTTGCGGGCAGGTATGTGTCCGTGATGAAGAAGCCGAGGATGGATTCCTTGCATGTCCAGAACACCAGATGGTTGAATGGCCGCAAGCTGAAACGTGACGCGGCTTTGGCCAGGGATCAAGCTCAAGCTCAAGTCGAAGATCAAGTTGAAGGTCAAGTTGAAGGTCAAACTCAAGCTTCCCGTGGCGACCAGGCTTGAGTTTAGGCCTAGATTTAGACACAGATAGGATTAAGCCATCGCGTTCGATGAACAACACTGCTGCCATCTGAAAGGAGAATAGAGTCCATATGAAAAGATAATATCGTACCCAGTCTCAATTAAGAGTCTGTCTCGAATTGAAGTCTGAGGGGTGTGGAAAACGATCCGGTCAACGAATCCCCGAATACAAGCATTTCCGAGCACCACGCCAGACTTCCTCGAGGATATCGCGTCTGGGGAGGAGGGTCTGCATGTAGAAACCGAATTCAATCTCAGTCAGCGAGCCGTCTTGCAATTTTGAGTCACTCGGCTGGCAACCGAACCAAAAGGTCAGAGTCACAACCAAGAACCAGGAACCAACAATAGTAAGAAACACTTGTGTCTCATTGAACTTACCGGAAAAACCACAACCACCTGCGTCGCCCCCTCGACAATGACGGCAAGATAGAACCGGACTTCGAGCCCCTTGAAGGCCTCGTGGATGACGATATCCTGGATCTGCGTGGTGGGGATGAACGTCGTGGTCGCGCCCAAGAAAAAATACCGCGAACTGGTTGATGTTTGGATCCCCAGGCCTTGGAGGACGAGGAGTGATTCTTCTGCGAAAGACCGAAAGAGAGGAGGTCGTTCGTTAGCATAGGTTCATAGGTTTATAGGACATTGGGTAGCGCAGTGGAGTGGAATGTGATAAGATCCAAACGAGGTCCCCTGCAGGATAGGAAAGGTAGATCTCGATCTCTCTGTCGCTATCCACCTTTCTGGGCTTTGAAATTGAGATTGAAATTGAAAAAGAGAGAAGAAGGGAGAGGGAGAGAACGTGTGGCTCGAAGAGCAAGCACTCTCTATATCTCCCTCTCTTCCAACACCATAATTCCCAGCCTTGCAGTGAGTGATACTCATAGCGACACTGGTGATTGATGTCCGATGTCCGCCAGCTAGGAAAGACGAAAGTGAAAGTGAAAGTCAAGGGGATTTTACTCACCACCATAATCCCTCCTCAAGCACAAATACACCACGACCAAACTGAGCGGTCCCAAGATCCACCATTCCAGCCCCTCAGCCAGCGTTCTGACCAGCCCGCCGCCGAAACTTAGCTGGAGCGCAACATCTGCGTATTTCTCCAACGCGGCACTGCTGGTCCGCCCGACAATTGACTGCTCCTGTCCCTGGTGGTTGTGGTAGTAGTAATAGTACCCTCGGCCATACTGCTGCTGCTGCTGTTGGTGATGGTGGAGGTCGTAGTGGTGGTAACGTTGTTGAGCCTTAGCGACATTGAGCAGGATCGCGTAGGAGACTAATAAGATGCGAATCGTGTGTCGTAGCACAGTCAGAGTCAAGATGTTGCGGCCGACGAATTGGAGACTCTGCTTCAGCTTCAGCTTCAATCTAACAGACTTGGATGTTTTTGCTGCTGGTCCTGTCGATGTCGAGGTCGAGATCTGATGGCGAGGGCGGCGTGTTGTGACTGTGAATGATACGGTGGTTGGCGAGGGGAGGTAGACTTCGAGATATTGCGTGGTGCGGGTGAACATTTGTTAGATTGGAGATTAGTTGTCCGGGTTCGTGTTTTGTTGCTTCGGATGGTGGAAGGGTCAAAGCCTTGGTGGAATGAAAAGAGAGAGAGAGAGAGAGAGAGTATCGTTATAGGAGGGAGGAGGTTCAAGGGTTCAAGGGGGAGAGAGAGAGAGGGCGGAATCTGGTTAGGAAAAACAATGATCCGACTGCAGCCTTGCACGGTATTATTGGTCAGCTGCCCCATCCTTTCCCCTGCTCTGGGCGGGTTTCCTCTTTGCTCTCTCTCACATTTCCTGTCGGACAACGTCTTGCTCAGATACAAACACGGATACAGTGTCATTATAAGTCCGGCTTTTGGGTTTGGGGGATATTGTCCTGCTAACATCCTTCTATCTAGTCCAGTCACGACTCTGAACCAGGTCGTTGGAGTACTATTCTATACTTTTGTCGAGGGTATACAGTCTTCTGGGGGGTTTATAGGCAGTCCCACTCTGTGGCTTACGTCTTGAAGAATAACCCCAAAAGGCAGGCGAAGCGCGTTCACACCCTTACACCCCATCTCAGCTGTTAGCAGGGAGGATTTGGTACAGTCTGGCGCTCTTCCTGGCGGCATACGCAACATTTCACTGCCCACTCTGAGCCTTCTTCTCCTCATGGAACAAGTCACTCTCTGACAGCATGGTCAGTTTGCATAATGACGTCTCTGCATTTCTCCATGATTGCCACCTGTCGCCCAATGTCATCGAGATGGCCCAGAACGACCTTGTTGCTATCCACGACACCGTAGACCGCAAAGGGTATCCCGACGTCAAGGCAGAAATCACGAACCAACTTCTGGGCCCGCCGAAGATTATGTCTCGGGAGACGGGGGAAGAGATGGTGGACAGCCTGAAACTGTAACCCGCCATGCAGGAAGTCCAGCCACGGCGGACAGTCGACGTCCATGGTGGTACGAAGCATTCTCTGTGGGAAGCTTTCCTGCGGCCCGAGGCTGGCCGTGCTCATTGCAAAATGCGACAGAGTGAACTGGACATGGAGGGGCATCGTGGTCATATGGCTGACCATGACGAAACCGAAACGACTCCAAGCCGTCTGGATGGATCTGTAGACGAGGAAATACCCGAACCACGTCCAGAAGAAAATGTGCCCGGAGAGCTCGAACCATGGGTACCACCAGGTTCGGCCTTTCCTGCCTCCTTGGAGAAGATGCTGCCATGAAAGGACATACAGGTTGAAGCGACCGAGCGTGAGGCCGGCGTAGTAATAGTATGCCTGGTATCTCAGCAAGAACTTCGAGACACGCGTGTGACTCATGATCCGCTCGTAGTAGGTCGAATAGATCGAGTTCATGAAGCGGAGGGAGACGGCGAAGAAAGGAAGATGTTGGATATCAGGATCGTGCTCTGGGGCATTGGTGGCGACGTGATGGATGTTGTGGCTCTTCTTCCACCAACCCATGGAGAGGCCTCCAATGTGGCTGCCGACTGTCATTGCGATAACCGAGTCGATGGTGAAATTGTGCGTGATTCCGCTATGGCCCGCATCGTGGGCGATGAAGACCATTTGGTGCCAAAATAGCCCGAGAAAAACACCCCCGATCAGAACCCACCCATGGTAGACGGCGAAAGTCATGGCAAAGAAGATGACAGTGCACCGAGCGGCCTCGATACCATAAGCGCTGTAGTGGCATTGATACAGACCTTGGTCGTGAAGCCGTTGATCCAAGAGTCGATATTTGATCGCAACGTCGCTCTGGATCTCGGTCCCTGCAGCGGGATACATGGAAGGATCCAGCGTGACCCGAGTTTTGTTCCCAAGATCGATAAGTGACATTGAATGTTCCTTCTCGTCAACCAGTGGGTCCTGTGAATTGGATGTTGTGGATGGCTTCAGATCATCGTCACTGTCAGAGGCGAGGCATCGTTTATGACAAGTCGGCGAGTCTGGAAGAGATGCAACATCCGATAGCATGCAGGGGCTGTCTGTTGACATGTCTGAGCCTTTGTCGTCCAAGAGGACACCATCCCTATCCTGATAGCTCCCGCCCTGGATTGGTGGAAGGAGGTTGTCCCATGTACCTTCGATGGTTCCAATCTGGAATCTTTGCATTAAGCTTATGGCGCCCGGTGAATGGAACCTAACAGGCAGGTCAGTCCCCTAAGCCCGGGTTTCTTCTTCATAGCATGGAAATTGCTGCACGTAGAGCGTACGCATTGATCTCATCGGTGGCATCTTTTCCCACCACATGGAGGACTATTTTCGCACCACCAGGATGGAATGGTAGCCACGAGTCGAGGTTCAAGACCTTCTGCTTGAAAATCACAATCGTCGACCCTTTCGCAATCAGACTTTTGATATCCTCGATGGAGAGCACGGCAGTACGTGGATTGCGAGAAGTTGGACCAGGCATATCATTTGTTGGCAGAAGAGATAAACCATCAAGTTGCAATCGAGGGAGAGAATGTCTATAATACTATGGCTCGGATATAAGCTTGGACGTGTTCCCGTGGAAGGGTAGTCGAGAAGAGAGAGACAAAGACAGATCGCGGGTGCCTGGGATTGTATTTCGTATGAATGCCAGAAGTGGCTCAGAGGTTTGCTGTCTCCACCATCCGCGCCTGTCTGCACCTTTCAGGAGAATGGAGACAGGGATGGACCCTATCCGCGGCTCGCAACTGTTTTGACTTTCCCCAGACTGATGGGAGAGGTTCATAGCCATCCAATGCCGTAGAAAGTGTGGAGGGGGTTGTGTCGGTCTCGGTCTCGGTCTCGGTCTCGGGTATATCAGTATAGTTTCGACAATGAAGACGTACGATAAGACGACAATTCTCCCTTTTCCTTCTGAAATTCTGGGGACTCGTCGCATGACTTGGCTCTAGATGTGGCCATGAGCAAAGTCGTCCACTCTTTTTCACCAGAGTTCACTGCCAGCGAATATGGGCAGAGATCGAGAGTCGGCAATCATGCTCTCTGACAAAGTTCGGTTTTACAAGGACTTCACAGCTGCTCTCATCAGGATCACTTACGCTGACATTTGTCATAAAGTGCAGGCTTTCGAACATCGGTTAACATACCGACAATCACCATCCGCAAAGAATGTCGTCGTCGTGGGAGGATCATTCTCTGGCGCGTTTCTGGCCCAGAGGTTAGCCAGCACGTTGCCGACAGGATATCGAGTCGTCCTGATAGAGAAGAACTCCCACTTCAACTACGTCTTCAACTTCCCTCGTTACTCCGTGCTCCGGGGACGCGAGCATCTGGCATTCATTCCTTACACCAACCTTGCGCGGAACGCTCCGCCAGGAATCTTTCATCACGTCCAGGACACCGTAACGCAGATCGAAGGTGACCGAATACAACTCAAGTCGGGAAATGCACTCAGCTTCGACTATTTGGCCATTGCAACAGGGACGTCACGCGGTCCGCCCGCAAGGCTCTCGTCTTCGGCAAAGGCAGATGCCTGCACGGAACTCCAACGCGCCCAACAAAGCCTATCTGCAGCGCAGAAGATTGCTGTCATAGGCGGCGGACCGGTGGGAGTCCAGTTGGCCACAGACATTAAAAGTGTATATCCCACAAAGTGCGTGTCACTCATCCACTCGCATGATCGACTGCTGCCCAGCTTCGGCCAGCGTGTCCAAGACTACGCGACCAAGGAAGTGAAGGACATGGGCGTGGACGTTATTCTCCAGGCGAGGCCAACGATACTCAAACAACTGACAGCTGAGCCTGAGGCTAACAGCATCCGACTTCGCTTTGAGAATGGCCGTGAAGAGGATTTCGATCTAGTGGTACGTTTCAGCCTTTTCTGGCATTTCGCCTGTTGTGACATGGTTGCTAAATGTGAGTGACCTCAGATTCCGTGCATAGGCCAACGGCCGAACTCTTCTTTCGTACGCAGCCTCGCTCCAGAATCCATCTCCATGTCTTCCGGCAGATTGCTGGTCAAGCCAACCCTTCAGCTTGCGGGGGAACGATATCCCAACATATTTGCATTGGGAGATGTTGCGGAGACGCTGGGTCCCAAGATGGCACGCGCAGGTATCTCACAGGCCGAAGTCGTCTGCAAGAATATCGTCTCCATGATCAAGCGAAGAGAGCGCTTGAAAGAATATGTACCAGATCCGCTAGAAGGCGCTTTGAAACTCAGTCTAGGAATCGTGAGTCGGGTTACTTCCTCCAATTTGAAACAGTTCCGCTGATAACTTGTTTGCGAGCAGAAACGATGGGTTATCTCCTATACCAAAAGCAATGGTCGAGAAATTCTGTTCGATGGCGAAGATAAATCAGTCGACATGGATGCTGCGCAGACATGGAAACAGCTGGGTGAAGATATTGAGACTGCCACTGCCCAGGACAAGGAGACCGGTGTCATGCGAGAATCATTGTCCGACAAAGCACCCAAGGAGTAGACCATGTGTGGTTAGATGGCTGTCCGAAAGGCTCTTGTAACAGTAGGCAGGCGATGACAGTCGACTAAATGTTGGCAGATTGTTCAGTGTGCTAACCGGCTGCGGACACCATGACCAAGGCCTTCATGGTCAACGCGAGACTTGTCATCGTCGTAGTCTGTCAGGCTGATATCGATGCCTCGTCCGTCGCAGACTTCAAGTTGTGGGCATCTCACCCATGACATTCTTAGAAATACACCATCGGCGGTGCGATTTATCTGATCTCAGAGGGCGTAGAGTTCGTCCATCTGATACATACAAGCGACACCATAGATGCCACTTAAGTATCGGAGCAGCAGGAGAACGTCCATATAGCCGTCGAACACAAATCGTAGCTAGAGTGACAACGCAATAGCTGTGGTGTTCGATTTGGAGTATGAAGTCCTGTGGTAGAGTGTTTTGGGCGTATATTCAACAGAATCACCTATCTAAGTATAGTCGCCGCTAAATCCAGACATGTAGCTCGGCTGACCTGCCTATCTAGTGGTTGCACTGTTTTCCCGTCACGGCCATGTGTAACAATACCTTTAGTACACTTCCTGACGCAAGACTCTGTCAAGCAGCTCAACCCTTTCCACAGGTACTTCCATCGCGAAGCTTGAGCGGATTGCTTTCCGCCAAGATGGCCGACGACCAGCGTGAGAGCAGAACATCATCTCCTCCTACCACGAATACTGACAGGAAAGAGCGAGATTCGTCCAGAGGCCAAGACCGCAGACGCAGCAGATCGCCCCGGAGAGACAGAGATAGACGGGAAGATCGACCTCGGCGCAAAGACGGAGGCTTCAAATGGAAAGAGAAGCGTCGAGACGACGACGACGACTCCAGACGAGACCGCGATTCGGGACTTCAGCGAGGCTACAAAGACCATTATCGACCACGGCCACGATCTCGATCACGAACGCCGCCCCCGCGGCCACGTTCGCCCAGGGCGCACGATAGGGAGCGAGGGACAAAGAGCGAGAATGCGGGTTCGAAGCGGTCGGATGACCGAAACGGCAAGCAAGAGAGAAAGGAGAAGAAGGAGAGAAGGGCTGCCCCTGCGGCCCCGCCACAACCCATGATCATTGTCTACGTCAATGACAGACTGGGGACGAAGCAGGCGATACCATGCTATCCCACAGATCCTATTAGTCAGTGTCCGTTTATGCCATGTGTTGGGTAGAGGCTAATAGTTGGTAGAGGACTTCAAGGTCATTGTCGCATCGATGATTGGCCGAAAGCCTCATGAGATCCTCCTGAAACGACAAGGCGAAAGACCGTTCAAAGACCAACTGACGTTACAAGACTACGGCGTCAGCAACAATGTCCAACTTGACCTTGAGGTGGATACAGGGGATTGAATGACTGCAATGTGGTTATATCGAACCCATTGTAATTCGGCAGACACTTGAAAACTTCTTTTACTGAGTGAAGGGCAAGAGCCCGGTTGGGTCAGAGATGGGCATGATGCAACCTGGGAACATGCTCCTCTCAGCATACTCCCTTTACTGTGGTTGAGATGAAATAGCCGCAGACATGTTCAGTACTGCCATAACATCTCTGTAATTGCTTCCTCTGACGCCATCTGTCTGACCTCGGGACATTTGAATGGGGAAGGAAAAGGAAGGTGGGGCGAGACAAAAGTTCTGTAGCCGCATCAATCACCAACCAACCAACCACTTCACATCTTATTACCTACCTAGAGAACTCATTTTCTCTTGCTCCTGTCATGTCGACGACGACGACGACCACCGCCGACAATCTAGGTCCCGGCCTCATGCGGGCTGTATCTACTCAACTTCAGCTATTACTCCCCAGCTCTTCTTGAGTTCGCTGTGACAGCACCCCGAGACTTCCTCCCCCACCACCCTCCGTTCCCGAAGTTCTGAACGAAATCCTCCCAACTCGGACGCCCCTCCTTAGATCACCATGGTTCGCAATATCGTCGTTCTCGGCGGCTCGTCCCATCCAACCCTGACCGACACAATCTGCGAAATCCTCGGCATCCAGCAAGGTTCAGCTCTCTTCTCCAAATTTTCCGTCGGCGAGACTCGAGTCGAGATAGGAGAATCAGTGAGAGGAAAAGATGTCTATATCATACAATCAGGCGGTGGAAAAGTCAACGATCATTTCATTGAACTTCTCATTGCCATCTCGGCGTGCAAGACCGCCTCGGCGAAGAAGGTGACCGCCGTGCTGCCACTCTTCCCTTATTCGCGCCAGTCGGACATCCCCTACAACAAGACCGAAGCACCTCTTGTCAAAGCCTCGAACCTGTCCAACAAGCTGGTGGCAGACTCCAATGGGTATACTTTCGACAGTATTCCACCCACGCCGCACCCAGACAGAGGCGAAAGCCATGGGCTGACCAATAGCAATGCCCACCTACTTCATAAAGTCGCTTCCCGATCACAGTTGGACGAGGTTGAGCATAGCCCGACACATCAGGCTCGCTTCAATCACTATCGCGACTCTAGCACCCACTCAAGCACAAAGTCGGACTATTTTGCTGGGTCTCGAAAACGGGGAGACTCGTTTACATCCATGACCAACGGTATCACCAGCCACGATTTTGCTGCAAAAGTGGATCCTCAGGACAGCTTCAAACCTCGTCCTGGCTATCGCCAATGGGTCGCTCAAGCGGGCACTCTGGTGGCCGACTTGCTCACCTGTGCTGGTGCCGACCACATCATCACAATGGATTTGCACGATCCCCAATATCAAGGCTTCTTCGACATTCCCGTTGACAATCTGTACGGTCGACCATTGTTGAAAAAGTACATCCAGCACAATATCCCAGACTATAAAAATGGCGTGGTGGTCAGCCCTGATGCGGGTGGTGCGAAGAGGGCCACTGCGATTGCCGACTCCCTAGGCATCGAATTCGCTCTGATCCACAAGGAGCGGAGACCGACCAAGATTACAGACCGGCAAAATGCCACAATGATGTTGGTTGGCGATGTCAGCGGAAGGGTTGCCATCCTGATTGACGACTTGGCTGATACCAGCAACACGATCACCAGAGCAGCGAAACTCCTGAAGAAGGAGGGTGCTAGCAAGGTATACGCGCTGGTCACCCATGGTGTCTTGAGTGGTGATGCAATTGACCGAATCAATGCAAGCGCGCTAGATAAAGTCATTGTCACCAATACAGTGGATCAGCGGGATCATAGTAGACGATGCCCGAAGTTGGAGGTTCTCGAAGTCGGACATGTCTTCGCTGAGGTAAGTTCTTGTTAAGGTACGACCAGAAAAGAAGAACCACTGACGAAATGTCTTTTTTCAGGCTATCCGCCGAGTCCACTACGGAGAAAGTATCAGTGTACTGTTCCAATACGACTAGGTGTGCTCGGGAAGACAGGTCGATGGACTCTGTCAGCTACTGGCCATCTCGATGGGCGCCTACATCAGCCGGCCCATCAGCAACGTCTTGCGAGGGGTTGGAGCAGTAGTGGCCATCGTCGCGCCGCATGCATGTCAAAATGAATCAGGGACATTAGGGGGGATGTGGGGGGTCAACACTCTTTATGTTATCTTACATTGAAGCCCTCACCAGGTTTGCAGGAGAAGAAACCAGTCATACCATACAAAAACACCAACAAAACGCACCCGAAACACAGAAGTGCCTTGAACCAAGTGCTGGAGAGGTCTTCACCGAGGCGTTTGGCATGGATGGAGGAGATTGTTCGCAAGCACCGACATCACATACATAGGTCATAGGCACACGAGGGACGGCTGTCTGATTATCACTTTCAATCATGAGATTAGCTACACACCATACCTCAGGTTCTTGTCTTTTCATACTAAGCGGTGCTCTTCGTGAATGTCTGCGGCAGCCATGTTTGTTGACAAGTAGCAGAATAAAAGTAGCAGAACAACTCCGCATAGCTGTGCACCGAATGTCAGGTTGGATATGCTGTTCATTGCGAACGCCGCTATAAAGCTGGAACTGGTAGACTCCCATGCCTAAGACCCGTTTCTTGCCAAAACGCCGTGCTGTTCCCGAGATGATTCTGTACGCATCCCTTGTCATTAAAATACACTGATGTAGTTACCGATTCTCTCCTTCTGGTTTTGGGCAATGCATTCGGCAATCCAGGTGATGTTTCGGATTTCCTGCAACACAAAAGTCAGACCGTGTTTGTTTTTAAAGAGGAGAGAAATAGGGCCACTCACCTGTTCTCTCAGTTTCACCCAGGCGTAGATGACGGCGTGGGTGAATTGCCGCGTGAAGACCATTTTGGAGAGTTCCATTTCTTTCTGGTAGAACAGGTCCTCCAAAGACTTGGACTCCATTCCCATCCCTCCGACCATGTTGCCTCCACCGACGCCGCTGCTCTGATTGAAGCCGACCTCGTCAAAGAATCGTTTATAGTCACCGACACCGCTGACGGCGAGTCCCACCCCTTCCATATCGTCTGCTCTCGACAGCATCAAACTGCCCTCTGGATATAACTTTCCGAACTCGGGATACAGCTTTCTACGTTGCTCCTTGGTGAGCTCGGTGCCGAAGGAGTTGATGGTGATGTTGATGGCGCGTCGGTCTGCTTCGAACTCCAGAATCTCGGACATGATTTCTCCCGTCGGAGTCAGGCCCATCTCGGGGTCGTTGTTGACAAAGTTGTAGAAGTCTTCCAGGTAGTTCTTGTAGAGGGTATTCCGCACGATCTCGATGTTCAGTTCGTCCAGATCCTGATGGCTCAGGCTGCCCTTGAAGTACGGGGCCAGTGGCGTCTCGATGAGCACCGAATTGTATAGCTCTTCAATGTTCGTCGCCACGCAGAGCACCGGCATCGTCTCGAACCATCCCAGCGGATGACATCTTTCTAGCAGTTCCTTGGTATCTCGCTCGTGCAGCGTACCGGTGATCAGCAGTGCGACATTGTCGATCATGTATGAGTACGTCAGGTACTCCATGAACTTGGCCAACGAGCCTGTTGCCTGTCCTTGCAGATACCGGAAATCGGCGACGAGCTTTTCGGTCGTGCGCAATGCAAGAGCCGACGTGGATGGATTGGGAGGCAGAGTCGACAGCGCCTCGCCATACGCAGGACCCAGCTGCACTTTCACATCGTCGATCGATTCGCATTGTGTGAGCTATGTCGAGGTTAGTTGACGACGTGGGCATGAGATGAGAATGGAGGATATACATTGCCGTAGTTGGTGCTTGTCAGTAGCGAGTTTCGATACCCGCGCACCACGCCTTCCAGATAGCCCCCATTGACGTTGAATAGGAGACCTGGCATTGTCGTCAGTTGGTGTGGAATGTCGTTGGACGTGGGCTATACATACCCTCCATTTCGTCACCCACCACAGTTCCGAATGCTGGCTGCGAAGGTAGCAGAATCCAGGTGGTGCAAGAAGGTTAGGGCGGTGAAGAGGTATCCTGTGCAGTTGCCAGCTCTGTTGTCAAGAAAGGATACGTTGGTGGACAGTAGTACTAGGCAGGCGAACACATCCATCTCCCACTCCCGCTGTCTTTCGATGTTGGAGCTGCGCTCGCCGCACTTGCCGCTTCGAGGCATCTACGAGCACAGTATGGGGCAGTCTTCATGCCGCTTTAGAGAGGTACTTTCATACATCCGGCTCAAGGAAATCCCAGTCCTTTGAGTTCTACAAGATCTCTTGGGGAATATATTGCGCAAGGGTATTTTCAATCTCTCTGGTAATTCCCAAACCATATAGTTCTTGCATCCTGCTGTGGTTGGGGTGGGGAACCCTAGGATTGGCATAACTTGAGCAGGTATACAGTGATGACAACGACATCCAATGTATGGAGCAGTATGACAGGGCTATATCTGCATGAGGCATGAGGCATATGAGACTGTACAACCATCTAGGTCCCGAAGGGAGACGATAGCGTGGCATGTATGCGGTACTCGGTATCTTGTTGGCAGAGGTATGGATCACTTTTCCCAACGTACAAGCATGTAACCATATTATATACCCTGTAAGCTACCTGCCTACGTAGAGTAGCATGTCGTTAACCATGTCGTATCATATTTCTCGTCTTTGTTATCCTCAACAGAGGAGCATGGTGACCAGAGCTGAGCAGTGTCACAGCCAACTGCAGCTGCAAGGCTCAACTCCATCCATTGTCTCTGGGACACCAGAATGTCTTAAGACCGAATTCGTTTTGCCGGCAGAGACAACTGTCTGCCTCCATTTCGAATACAGGCTCCTGTTCTCTGAATAAAATCAAAGCGAAGCCGGCGTCAGGATCTCGGGTCGACGGCCAAAACTGCACCCCAAAAGTATTTCCATGATTATTTCTCAACCAGCCTCTTCTCCACGCCCTCTTTAACCTTTTTCCTCGTTTCGGCCAGCTCGTCTTTCGTGGCATCGAACCGGATATTCCCGGCCTGGTTAAAGGGATTCTCCTCGCTCTTCTCGAACTCCTTGCGCACGATTTCGATGCGCTGCTGTTTCCTCAGGCCCGGATGCTCGACCTCGATCTGCGGCAGCCGGCGCTCCTCGTAGGCCTTGTAGGCGGCCTTATACCGCCTCTCGGGATGACGATCAAGTTTAAGATCGTTGGCCGGGCCGGTCGTGAGGCTCAGGGCGTCAAGAGCGTTGTCAATGCCTGAGGCACTGATGGCTTTGTCTTTGGCGCTGGGTTCGCCGTCGAGCTGGCCGAGATCCAGGGTACCCGTGCGGGTCTTCTTTTCGGCCGTCTTCTTGTTGGCGCCCTTGGGCGTGCTGCGCTGGTTCTTCTCCTCTTCGGCCAGCAGAGCCTCACGTTCCGCTTTCTTGGCTGCCTTCTCCGCCGCCTTGTCTGCGGCCTCTTGTTTCTTCTTCGCCTCTTTGGCTCCCTTGGACCATTTCTCCTCGTCCGCCGCCGCTAGTCGAGCCTCGGCCTCTGCCTGTTTCTGTGCGGCCGCTTCGGCTTTTCGGGCGTTGCCCGCTACTTTCTTCGTGTTCTCTCCGGCCGCCTTTTTGCCGCCCATCTTGCCCTTGACGATTGTGGACTATGCGGCGACGAGGATTGGAGGGTGCACTGTTCTGGGTGTGTTTCAAATAGGCCTTGACCGTGACGAAGGTGGTCAGATTGACAATGACGAAAATGCGGATGAACTGCGTCGGAGAGAATGCGCGGAGGTTGACGGGCATGCGCAGCGGAAAAGAGAGTGTGTTCTATATTATAAGTGCAAGTCGTTTGGGCGATGGACCCAGTCAATACCTATCACAGACAAGTGGGATAGGATAGGACTCCGACTACGGCGTGAATTGCTAACGTCAGGCTGTGGGTTTTGGTGGCGTGGAGGGACGTTAGGCAGTAATTGGTAGCAGTAAGGCTAAGGAGGCTCCCTACGTCTATTACTATACTATTACCTGCCCTTATCTCCTCCTCGAGTCATGCAACCTTGCTCAACTTCCCCCCTGACTCAATGTTTATACACAGCACTGCATATGTAGTACCTCAGCTAACCTAATGTATCTGCTCCAGGCATTAGAGATGGTTGCATTGATTTCATCATTTCGGGTCCCGACGAGCAATACATGTAGAGATCTACCTAATGAAGTCGTAGGTAATCAAATGGTCGGTCTCTTGCGCACCGCCTGCCGCTCCAAACTCCATCCAGCTGATCAACTTGAATGCCACGCCCGGCACTCTCCTTCTATCACAGATCATATCATCCTCAGTGGCGTCCTCATGCCTGCAAAGCCCTGTCTCATGAACTTGTAGCGGTTGGGCACAGCCTGCAATCTTCTGAATGCCTCCCTGACATGCTTCGGCTCCACGGGTGTCCTACCCTCCTCGGGCATCTCGAAGAGACTGCACCCTTCTCGCTTTCTCTTCTTTATTGTGTCTTGATCGCCTCGACCCCCGTTGGCCTTCTTATTCGCCAGATCCTCGGCGGCCTTGACCTTCAATGCTTCCTCAGTCAACGTCTGCACAATCTCAAACGTCAGGAATCCGAGGATATCGACGACGTCGTCATTGGGCTTGCTCTCAATGATGGTCCCAAATCCAGCCCACTCTCGAAATCGTTTGCCTTTGCGGAATGTGAAACTTGCTTGTCGACAATCGGACCAGTACACGTATTCATCCTTAGTCATGTTCTTGGTGCGCTCATCGGCTGAGGCCAAACGGGCCAAAGTGGCTTCATTCTGCTCCTCTTCCTCTTCGTCTTCCTCGTCGTCTCGTTCGGGTACTTGTTCGGCATAGAAGAACTGTGCTTCCCACGGCAAGACCAATTTGGCTTTCTTGTTCCCGCTAGATTTCTGTGGTGCTGATGGGTTGACTCCTCCAGACGCCTGTTCTCGGTGTTAGGACATGGGTGACGAGGAGCAACAACTGGTGATTGTGAATGTCTTACCTCTTCGAAGTCTCCAACATCGCCGCCGTCACCGCCCCCCTTGTCGTCTGAGTCTTTGACGTTTTTGCGCACGTCCTTCCATGACAGAAATGTTTTCAGTCTGGACACTTTCGCTCGGTCATGCCGGATCTGGAAGATAAGATCGACAATGGAGATGGACCTTGATCCTCGACGGTTCGCAAGCGCGGTGGCTTGTGTAAGCTAGCAATATCGTAAGCTTGGGGTGGATATCTAGTCTAGGGTTACTGGTTGCGTACCATCTCAAGCACTTGTTCGCGAACAATCTCTTCGATCATCCAGGTGGTTTCGGCGCTTGGTTCGGCTGTTTCACCACTCACAAACATCATCTGCGCAATGACATAGGTTAGTCTCAGCTTGAACTCTTCTGTGGTTTCGCAATCATCGTCAGCGGCGGCAAGCATCACGCCGGTGGGCTGGTCGGACTTGGTAGGCGAACATTCGCCGTTAGAGCCTGCTGGACTCTGCATGTCTCCTGGGATGAGGATTTATGCAAACGCTCCTCTGAGGAGCCGCCAATGTCAGAGCGGTGGTCTTCCCAGGCTTCGATAGAGTAGATCGCAGTGTAATTTGAGGCTGAACATGTCCAAGTGGAACGTCGATCCTGTTCTGGCGACAATAACTTGATGGGCAAGGCAGTGCTGGTATTTGTAAACAATTGCCCATAGTTGCCATGCGAAGTGCAGTGAAGATAAATGCTGCTTTCTTGTGCCAGCCCGTGTGGCGCGCTTGAACGCAACGCAGCCTTACACGCGCGCCAGTGACGGCCCGCACTGGGAAAAGGTGCAGATAGACGCAGGCAAAAGGCTGGAGGCCACCCGAGTCTCACCACAAGCGCTGCATGGAGGTGCCAACAGGACAATGCAATGCCATGCTCATTCTCAGGGTGCCATCCTCGTCCTCATGATAGCAGTCTCATCGCGCTCATTTCAGTGGACTGCGCCAGGCATGCCTCATTTGGCACTCGCTTATGCACTAACTGGCCGTTTCCGCGAGACACAGCTCTCTCGTACTGGACTGAGACTTTCTCCTGGCTTGAGACCCCATGTTCGCGCAACGTTGTTCGGGCAGTCGTCCTCTTCCACTCTGTCGGTACGGTGTCATGCGAAGGCTTTTGAGCACATCCGTAGTTTGCCATTGGTAACATTGGTTCCCACCGGCGAGCAATTGCGCATAGGAAGCTGACAACAAAGAGTATCTCACCTGTTGTATTTCCTGCCGATACTTTGCGGGCCGTTCGCCCGCCATCCTGACCGCGCAGGCACGCAGCCACCAAAGTTCCACCCTAACAGTCCGGTCTGTCCTTTCCCCTTGAAGTTGCGAAAGGAGGACACATGCAGACCTCGCCCGCCTACTTAAGAAGATGGATAGCGATGAATCAGGACAATCTGGATGAGAGACCGAATGGCGCTCCTTCGGTCCTGAACCCTGGGATTTGACGTTGTCCCAGTATTGCCGAAGTTTCCCCGCGCACCCAGCCCGCGAATTTCTGTTTCTTTTTTACATGTATGTATTCGAGTCACCCAAACCCTCCACACAACCCGCCGCCGTCTACTCGATCCTGGTGTCAAGTGCAGGCGACATGCTGTATCTCGTTGGTCTGGGCCTCGCCGACGAGGCCGACATCACGGTCAAGGGTCTAGAGGTCGTGAAGCGCGCTGAACGAGTCTACCTCGAAGCATACACCAGTATTCTCCATGTGGGAAAAGAGAGATTAGTAGGTTGGTGCAGCGTCATTGCCTCTCATACTGAGAGACATCACACGCGGAGATGTCGCTGACCAGGACCATGTCTAACAGATACGGTAGGAGTCTTTCTATGGCAGGCCAGTCATCGTAGCGGACCGAGAAATGGTCGAGTCGTCGAGCGACGAGATCCTCGAAGGCGCCGACAAATCAGACATAGCATTTCTCGTCGTGGGTGATCCTTTCGGGTATGCAGGACACCTTTGTTCTCATGTGGTGATGTACTGACAACGCAGGGCCACCACTCACACAGATCTCGTCCTGCGCGCGCGGGAGCTTTCCATTCCTACCAAGTCGATTCCTAATGCCTCCATCCTCAACGCCATAGGCGAGACAGGTCTTCAGCTTTACAACTTTGGCCAGACGGTGTCGATGGTGTTCTTCACCGAGACCTGGAAGCCCGCCAGCTTTTACGACCGAATTCGCGAGAACGTTTCTATTGGTCTTCACACCCTGGTCCTCCTGGACATCAAGGTCAAAGAACAGTCGCTGGAAAACATGGCGCGAGGTAGAAAGATCTATGAGCCTCCGCGGTACATGACAGTCGCTCAATGCGCTCAGCAAATGCTCGAGATCGAGGAGGAGAAGCAGGAGAACGTGTATAGCGAGGACAGTCTTGTCATTGGCTGTGCCAGAATCGGTGCAGATGACCAGGCGTTTGCATGCGGGACGCTAAGAGAGCTCTGTGATATTGACCTAGGCGCTCCTCTGCATAGCTTGGTGCTGCTCGGTAAAAGAGCTCACGAGCTGGAACGGGACTACATCAAGTCCTTCGCAGTGGATGCAACGACGTTCGACAACAGTTGGGAGAAGTACCACGGGAAAAGTTGAACAGGTGTATTCCCACTTCTGCTTGTCATGGAGGATCGGTCGTTCGAAGAGATGATCTGACTCAGACGCCGCTCAAAGCACAGGCATACGCTCTGCCCTGAATCCCCCTTCTGCAAAAAGTCTCTACCATGGCCCAAACTGCCATAGAGGGCTCTCTCCCATATCAGGGGTTCCTACCGACCTCCACATGTCGGATCTTCGACCAGCCTTTGAGCTCCTCAACATTCGGTTCTGGTGGGCTTGAGTTCCCTGATCCCCTTATACCGTCTCGACACGCAAGCTCAGCCAAATCCACACAGAGATCCAAGCAGATTTTCGACAGTTCCCAGGCTTCGGCAAAGAGAGCTCTTATACGATCAGTTTTCGACGCTGTTCAGCAGGACTGGGACCTGGACACTGTGACACGAAATTGTGGCGGCATCGACCTTGATGTGTGTGCACTTTGTTCCCCTCCACGGCGCAAGGTCTGGCGGAATCGATTGTGCCTTCTCTCTCGCTGCCCAAAAGTCTTCTAGGTCTAGGGCTCTTGCTGAGCACCGATGGAGTTCAACCAAAACACTGTGGACCACTTAGACCGCTGCAGTGGTAGGCGCATAGTCGCCGGCTATTGCTGATCTTGTCGGATCTACAGCGCAGTGTATGGCACACTCCTGGCCGCTACATGTCCGATCCAGATCTTGGAGATGCCTGCGCCGACGGTATCAACCATGCGCAGAAGTAAAGTAGTTAGGAAGTGTGATGGCGATCATGCCGCAGTAGAGTGAACCTTACCGACGGTGTAGGAAAAGGGCGGAGAATATGAATCCTCGCTTCTCTGTCCGCGCTACATGAATATAATATTATATGATGTTTTTATCACTAATTACTGCGTATTGTGAACACTCATTACGCACATGCAACGTGCTGACAGCGGCTTCTCCACACAAACTCCGCCTTTTCTTTTATCGGTCGCGGTCTTCACCACCGCCTGCTTACTACCTACTAGTACGTACTTCCGCCTTTCTGGGGGGTTGCAAGTGCAAGGGCAAGCGCCCCCCTTGTCGCACAGAGCAAACACCGCTTTGTACCACCACCTGCCCTCCGCCGTGTTGCCTCCGATCTCTTCGCGACCACAAGGAGCGGTCGACGGGGAGAATCTGGGACTACTAAGTATCATTGGGCTGCATGTAGTCTTTATCTCGACATCCCCTTCAAGTTTGCTCTGCAGTGTTCCAGAGACATGCATCCGCATCAATGCATGTTTATGGACGCTCAATGCTTTGACCTATCGACCGGCGTATGACCAGCAGCGGCGGCAAGTCAAAGACACCGCGCTGTTCAGTTCTGTTCAGCAACTACAGCGCCGCTGGGTTCTTATATCCTCTCGATCCTCGGCGCAACAGCCTTTCCCCAGTACTTGGGTACGAGCCAGGGCATTGTTTGTCTTGCTTTACTTTTGGAGATTCGACAGGAGCAGGGAACAGGTTATCTGTGGCTATTCCCGCCGGATCAGCGCTCTGGGAAGGACCAAGCGAGAAATACAATATACAGCCAATACACAACGAGGGGAAAGAGGAAGCAGGAAGAGAAGAGGAAACACAAGCTATAGAGAGATGCCGGTCTACCTGGTCCACGGCTTCCGCTGGCCTCGCGAAGGGTTCAGCGGCATCCGCGTCCATGCAGTCGTGCACAACCTCGACGACTGCAGCGTCGAGTACATCCAGAACGAGAACTCACGGGCCGAGATCCTGGCCAGTTTCCGCCGCGCATGGCCGGAGATCATGGACGCGCTGGACGGGCCTGCCTTTGGCACAGGCGGGGGCGGAGGCGGTCCTGCTCGAAGCAACAGCAAACTAGAGTTCATCGAGCAGTACAACCCGGACGATCTGGAAGGGCCGAACGCGGTGAGCCAGCCGTATGCATATGTGGCGGACAAGGTGGTCATGATTGCTGCGAATCCCGGGGCTGCCAGCACAACCACCACGGCCAGCAGTGACACCATAACACCCACTCGTGTACCGCAGGGAGTCCCCGCATCCCGAGCAGGAGGAGGGGCCCAATCGACGCCGCCCAAGACTCCCTCTAAGAAGCCACTTCTGTCGCCGCGAACGCCGACGGTGCCTGCGGCTAGTGCGGACACCACTACGGCGGGAAAGTCGGTGGCCGGACCCTTCAACTCCTCGATCGCGCACGATATCACTGCGTTGAGCATCAACGTCGACGAAGTGGTCGCCGAGGGACCAGGGACGTCGGCAAAAGCATGGGAAGCGTTCGCGGACCTGCGCGACAAAATCGCCGAAGGAGAAAAGATTGGCTGGTGGGTTGTCTACAACGGGGATCCAGACAGATCGTACAACGAGGACGTCGACGAAGATGCGGAAGGAGACGAGTACGACGCGGAAATGGAGGTGGATGGCGATGAAGGTATGAACTACGCCGGATACCGCAACGAGAACATCCAGCTGCAAGCCCGCCAACAGCAGCAGCAGCAACCTGTTGCTCGACCTCGCACTGCCCCGGGGGACAACAAGGCTCCTGGTCACCGTCAACCTGTGCCGTCTTCTATACCTCACATAGCCACCCAGCAGCAGCAGCAGCAGCAGCAGCGAGGCCTCACCGCCCTTCCAGTTCGGCCGGGCCCTCCAACGACAAGCATGCCGACGGCACGTGCCCAAAAGGGAAAACAGAAGGAAAGCATACCGGAGCCAGCTAAACTCAAGGAAACGGCTAAGTCTCAAGGGTTGCGGAAAAAGTTCTTTGGCAAGCGATTGTGATGCTTACACGTATGATGCATGGTAGAGTCTCTAGTAAGTGGACCGACTTCGGCAGGCTGTAGGCTCTACTAGACGAGACAGCATCGATGTTCCACATAGCTGCCCTGCAGTGTGGCAGGCTAACAGGAATCACGCAACTGGTCGCCGTGGTTTGGACTGGCATCGGTTGGGAGACATCACCGCTGAGCTTACGTCGCAGTAGGTCTTCACAGTCGCTATGGCGAGACCTCTTCATCTTATCGTCGTGCCATTGTATCTGCACGAGGGCATATCGATGGGCATAGCAAAACGTTGTTAGTGATGTCAAAGACTCACCAAAAAGAGCCTGGGGTTAGGGGGCCGAAGGCGGTTCCCCAGTTTGCGACACTTTCACCAGGTGCCTAATTCATTCTTAGAAGGAGAGTTATTCCCGCCACGTGGCTAGAGCAACATGTTGAACAAGGATCCTTGGTCTTACGCCGGCTTCGCAGGGGAGTCCATATCGAGTTTCAATGCCCAGTGTTATTGCGATATAGCATCAGACGTCTGGATGGTGGAGTCCGACAACAGATCCTCGGCCCGGCAAGACGAGTATTCGTCACTAGTACAGAGAACGCCTAGGTAGAGGAGAACCAATCCAATACTGCAATCCATTCCATGGTACAAGCCCTGGACAGCACGGTCTTTGAGAAGTCCGGAATGAGAGTAGTGACAGTGGCATTCCAAATGTGGGCGAAATGGGGTCGCAGGATCCACAGAGACGGGAGAAAGCCTGTACAGTCATCCTTGGGAAGCAAACTTTTTGGGAACCCAGACGTGCGTCGATGGGATTCAGGGATGAGCAGCCGGCTCGTCCGAGAAGAGTCACGGTGAGCTCGGCCTAATACCGACGATCATCGTAGCCACCACCGTAACCACCACCGTAGCCATAACCTCGAGGTGGACTCCTGGGCCGGACATACGGGTCTCCGTTCCTCGCATACGGATCTGGATAGCCTCGCACAGGTGGCGGTGGTGGCAGGCCGCGTGAGTCATATGGATCCGCATCATATCTTCTCGGGGGAGGTGGTGGGTAGTCTCTTGGTGGAGTGCGTCTTGCGTAGCCTCGGTCGTAACTTCGATCATAGTAGTCGTCGGTGGGAGGGCGACGTCCAGGCGAACGCTCTCGGTATCCTCGAGGGCTCCAGCCACGCGGGGGAGGGCCACGGCGGTCATGATAATCGTCACCTGGACCATGTCGGCCACGAGGGGGTGACCGCTGGCGGTAGCTTCGTTGATCAGGTCGTTCATCCTGGATCTGAGAGAGGAAATCGTGAGCGGATGGAAGTGCACGGCATAAGAACATTGAATGGGAACGTACATCGGCAATGCAGTGAACAACGGCGTCTTTGAACGTTTGCCCGTCTAGCTTTTCCACAGCAGTCTTGAGGTCGGCTGCAGTCTCGAATTCGACGAAGCTGGACAGATTGTGAGTAGCTGTGACCATCAATGAGGCGTTGCAGAATTACCCTTTACCGTCCCGTTCACGACCGGTTTCGGAATAAACAACGTCCAGTTGACCAGAGTTGCGGGCGAAATCTTTGAGATCCTGGATGGAGTGAGCGTAATTCTGGGTTGTACAATACGACACATGCGAAGTGTAAAGGTATGTAGTGCAGGGAAACCATGTCGATACACAATGGGAATGAGCTTGCGCAACAAAACCTCTTCGTCCCTCCCGAAGCGCAAGTACAGTATGCACTAAATTTCGCCAATGCAACCCGGGAGATGAAGTAAGTTGGTGGCGTGTTTCCAAAGAGATGTCTGCGACAACGGGGAGCGAGAGTAGAGGAAGGGGACCCTGCTGACCTGCCAACTAGTATCCGGTTGTAATCCAGTGACTTGCATGCGGTAGATGGTGCGGCGTGGCCGTGGAATATTGCGGTCCGAAGGGCCATTGAACTCATCCTTGCGGCGAGGCCCACGAGCGAACTGGACGGTCAAACGTTCACCCTTGAACTCTGTTCCATCTATTCACAAGTCAGATCTCGACCGGGCGGAGGGGCTAGAATTGGAAATTGCGTACGAAAAGCTGCGAGACGTGTTAGCTAGCTGCTTGCGGTCAAACGGAGACCTTTGGCTCAGGCGTACCTGGGACGACATCGCGCGCATCCATGGGATCCTCATATTCGATGAAACCGAAGCCATTCATCAATTTGATCTCTTTGATCGAGCCTGTGCCATGGGTGCCAAAGTGGTCCTGAATATCCTGTTTCGTGACTGAGGGAACAAAAGCAAGTGTCAGTGACTGGCGCAGCCCGGGAAGTCTATGCAGCGCGTCCAGGTTTCAAGTGGTATCGATCCTCCAGAGGTGCAATTGGTGCTGACCGGAATGACCCAAACAGGAACACTGGATTGAGGTGTGTGCATACTATTGCGAGGAAGGTTACCCAAGTAGAGCCTCGTAGAGGAGACGTCGGCCATGGTAGCCTCCTGGCAAAATGAGATGGAGATCCGGAGAAGTCAAAACACAGCGATTGCTAGTGGGATGATGCGTGGCCGGTCAGGACAAAATGGCGGATGAGACCAGGAGAGCAGCGGTGAGATGGCCTAGGAGCGAGAAAACATCGAAGAGACACAGTCTGGTGGTGGAGGATGAAGGGACAATGATGGATTGCAAGCCGCAGGCAGTAGAGGAAAGCAATGTGGTAGGATGATGATATGTACAGAGTTAGTATCATGTTTACTACCAGACCATCGTAGTGTAGCGCTAGTGGTAGCACTAATTATTAGTGGATGCGATAAGGGTTAAAACACATCGGTATCTGGTCTTCCCTTTTTCTGTATCATGCGAATGTCCTGGCATGCTCACCACTGTCGAGCGCTCTGTTCTGGAATATCATGCGCGTACATGCAACCAGATGGTCAATACTGAGTCCGAAGATCCCTTAAAGTTCTTCAGGTCTGTTATAGACCAACTCCGGGAAATACGGCCAGAAGATCCCATCCACGAATGCTATGACGGTGACTACGACAGGCTTGTGGCTCAGGCGGATGACCTACTTATCCTCGCAAAGAGGAAACTGCATACCTTTCCCTTCAAGGACGTCAAGCCTTGCTGGTTTCGGCTCTATACTGACGCCAGTATCGCTAAGGCTCTTAAGTTGATACAGCATGTTTACTCCACGTCTCCGGCGTCCTCTTTGTCGGCGACACTCCGACGTCACCTTGATGAGATCGTATCCGTTCTGGATATGGCCCTCATTATGGCAGGTGGTCTGGGCAGAGAAGACTTGATACACGAGATCTTGCAGGCACTCGATACTGCAGCCGGAATGGATCCGGTCGACTCGGGACAGCCCTCAAAGGAAAAGGAGGTTGAAGACTACCCGACCAGCGGACCCAGATCAAGCAATCTGCTACCCAACGCCAACATCTCGGTTCCCCGTCTTCGATTTCCTGTTCCACAGATGGAACGGCCGTCAATGACAGAGTTTGCCAACTTTATGCGTCGCGAGAAACGCCCAGTTCTGCTGAAAGGAATCCTGGATCATTGGCCGGCACTTGATAGATGGGAAAGTACATCGTACTGGATTGACAAGACCATGGGCGGCCGCCGCCTTGTTCCGATCGAACTTGGCCGTAGTTATACAGATGATGATTGGGGTCAGGAGATTATGCCGTTCGGAGAGTTTTTAAGCCGACACATTCTGTCAACATCAGATGGCAACAGAGCAGCCAAAGAAGATATGAAAACTGGCTACTTGGCACAGCATGACCTGTTCAAGCAGATACCGGCTTTGCGCAACGATATCGCAATCCCAGATTACTGCTTCCTCGACGCCCCGCCGGCCGAACCAGGCACTCCAGTTTATCTGAGCAAATGCAAGGAGAAGTCTGACCACAAGGCCAGTCATCCAACCACCTTACCAACCCCGTCCAGCTGGGAGAATGGCGAAGATGAAGATGCTGTTGACACCGACGCCGACGGAGAAGTACACACTAACATATGGTTCGGTCCGGCGTGGACGATATCTCCTCTTCACCATGATCCTTATCACAACATCTTATGTCAGGTGACCGGCGAGAAGTACATCAGGATGTACTCTCCCCATCACAGCAAGGCGTTATTGCCCAAGCGTTCAGACGAGCCCGCTCCGCACATCATCCAACACGGAACGGCAAGTGGCGAGGTGACGCGTTCGCAACTGGAAGACCAATGTAAGGGAACCATTGATATGTCGAACACATCAAAAGTCGACGTGGCCGCCATGGAACTGTCTCCATACGAAGACTGGGATGAGGTCTACCCGGGAATCAGCCAGGTCCCATACGTGGAGTGCATCCTCGAACCAGGTCAAGCACTTTATATACCGGTTGGATGGTGGCACTATGTGCGCAGCTGCTCGGTGGGCGTCAGTGTCAGCTTCTGGTGGTAGTCCGTGAGACTATATGCGTCAATACCTACAGCCTCGCAAGGCACCGATGCGACTTATAACACCTTTTTGCGTTGATGATGAGACATGTCCGAACAACCCCTAGGCCGGAAGTTGCCGCTGACTTGCTCAGGAGCAGCCAGCGGTCCCCATCCTGGACGGCATCATAAATCCCATTCATCAGTAGCCAGAGTTCAACAATGGGCTAGAAATATGCTTCGCGACACACACTGGCCTACGACAGCGCGGACGGGCCTGGAGGTTGACTTATGAGTTTATGACCAACCGCAAAGGGAAATACAGCCCTGCGCATCATTATAGGAGTTGGGACGAGGCCCACCACATGAAACGGTTCAAAGTTTTGTCCCTGGCTCAGACCCTGGTCAACTCGCAGCTGTCAATTCGCCAGTGGTGTTGCTTATCTTGTTAAAATCCCGATGTACCATCATGCAACAACAACGTCACACGTGTGAAGGCATGAGCTATCTACCCCTGCGACGTACCAGTGGACTCTCCTCGGGTTCTGATGGTCGCAATTCGCAGGGTTACCTCTGTCTCCATTTTACTGGCAGGGTCTCTCGCGAAGTCATTCCCAACTCAGTAAGGCCCACCCGTGGCTTGACAGGGATGCAACGCTGTTTATCTCTCGATCTTTGCCGTTCGTTATCAGCAACGTCGATTGATGACACGAGCTATCTTCAACGACAATAGCCAAGCAATAGCCTGAGTGGCGAGCTATAAACAAGCTCAGTCGCCCTCGGGCTGACCTGGGATCTTGTCATGAGGTCAAGCATCATTCTTATCGCCCTTCAAGCATCGCCCAGCTTTCTGGGAGTTCCCGTCCCCGCATTATCGGTTGTGGAGACCGCTTGAATCCATTTTGGGAGACCGCCAACACTCACGACAGTTGCGACAATGGCTGACACAGAGAACAATACTGGCGCGGCTACACGGAGTATGTCCAAAGATGAGGGGCGCCTACGCGAGTTGGGCTACAAACAAGAACTGAAGCGTGACTGGTCCATGATCCACAACTTCGGTGTCTCCTTCAGCATTATTTCAGTCATCACCGGTATCACGACACTTTTCAGTTATGGATTGACCACGGGTGGCCCAGGAGTGATGTCCTGTGGATGGCTCATCGTCAGCTTCTTCACAATGTTTGTTGGACTCGGCATGGCGGAGATCGTGAGCGCGATTCCCTCCGCTGGAGGGCCGTATTTCTGGGCAGCAATTCTGGCGCCGAAGAAATGGGCTCCCTTTGCAAGCTGGGTCACGGGTTGGTTCAATCTTCTTGGACAGGTTGCGGTCACGACTGGTATCACCTTTGGCTGTGCAGGATTGATCTCGACGCTGGCCAGTGTGAACGGCTACGAGCCCACGGCAGGACGGACCCTAGGCATATACGCGGCCCTGTTGGTCTCGCATGGCATGGTCAACTCGTTTGGCGTGCATATCCTGCGATATCTGAACAACAGTTCCATTGTCCTGCACTCTCTCGGGGTCTTTTCCTTCGCTGTCGCCGTTGTGGCCGCGGCGCCTCGTCATCAATCTGCCAAATTCGTGTTCGCAACGTTCTACGATGGCACGGGTGATCCAGGGTGGTCTGTCCGTGCATCCCCCGCATATGTGGCCTGCATTGGCATTTTGATGTCGCAATACACCATTACTGGATTTGATGCAAGGTTAGTCATCGCGGCCATGAGAGGTGCAAACACTAACCTTGCTCGTGTTTCAGTGCCCATCTTTCCGAGGAGACACAAAACGCGGCATGGTCAGCGCCACTGGGTGTGTTGATGTCAATCGGCTGTTCGGCTCTGTTCGGCTGGTTCCTCATCCTTTGCCTGCTGTTCAGTATCCAGAACTTCGACACCACCGTCGATTCCGAATATAGCCAGCCGGTTCTCCAAATCCTAATCGACATCTTCGGCAAAACAGGCGCCATTGTGCTTTTCGTCCTCATCATCATCTGCGTCTGGCACTGTGGTCTGTTTAGTTTGACCTCCAATTCGCGGATGATGTTTAGCTTTGCCCGAGATGGGGGAATCCCTCAGTTCTTCCACAAGGTGGACGAACGTTTCCGGAGTCCGATCCGAACCATCTGGCTGGCGGCATTCCTGGCATTCCTTCTGGCCATTCCCAGTGTTGGATCGTCTGTGGCGTTTTCGGCGGCAACGTCCATCGCAACGATCGGTCTTTACCTGTCATACGGGCTGCCTATTTTGATCGGCATGGTGAACCCCGAAGGATTCATCCATGGCCCGTTCAATTTGAAGTGGGCTTCACGACCCGTGGCGATGGTCGCCATTCTGTGGATTGCTTTCATCACCATCATCTTCTGCCTTCCCGAACTCAATCCGGTCAACAGTCAGACACTCAACTACACGCCGGTGGCGGTCGGGATCATCGGAGTCTGGTGCCTTGCAAGTTGGTTCCTGTGGGCCAGGAAGTGGTTCACGGGCCCGATTCGGCAAGTCGAGGCAGAGGTTGCCGGTGTCAATGTCGACGATCCGGATGAGATGGCCCGTGCCGAACGAGAGGGCAGGATTCCCGCATTGGAAGAGTTGCCTGCAGGTAATGAGAAGAGTATCCTGGCGGCGATTAAGCAGAATTTCAATACCGGCCGGACCACTTGATCACACGACAAGGGTGTATGCTGGTGCGCGGTCCATCAGATCGAGGATACGGTGCCTAGTCAGACAGAGCCGGGAGAATGTTGACTGGTTTCACAATCTGTACTTGACATGCTTTGCTTTGCTGTGCTGACCAGCCATGTGTCGTTGACGTCCATTCTTTCAAGATCGTCTGCATCGTTGTGTCACCTCAGAACGTGGTCTGCATCTTTGTGTTACCTCAGACGTGCTGCTTCTGTCCCTGGAGCTCCGTCCCTGCCCCTCCAATATCTGCGATTTACCACACTTGATATCTCGAGTCTATGTATATCTACCCTCCTTCCTCGCGGATAACAAAACACCATTTGTACCGCAAGTACCTCATCTCCACATGCTTGTCAAGTCATCTTCCGCCTACTTTATGTTCCGAGGCCTGCTAAACACAGGTAATTTACAATACACATGGCCGGGATTTCCGAGAGCGAATTCACGCCACACATTTATCCGCCTTTCCCAGTGGCAGGAATCTCCGTCGCCTCTCTCCCATCGTTCAAACTGTCTGATCTCGCGCAGTCGCTTTCCCTTGACTCAGGCTCGGACAGGAGAAAACAGCTCCTCCGAGCCTGTCACACAGACGGATGTTTTTACTTGGATGTTGGAGGAGATCAACAGTCCCGCAAAGGCAGCCTGATGAAGGACGCGGAGTCGTTGGTAAAGCTCCTACAGCCCATCTTCAAGCTATCCCAGGACGAGAAGGACAAGTACTCGCCGTCAGATCCGTTGGCGCTGTTCGGTTACAAAAAGACCGGTGTCACTGTTGTTGATGCCGACAATACTCCTGACTGTGCCGAGTTCTTCAATGTATGCCACTCCTCCTCCTCCTCCTCCTCGTCGTCCCTGTCCGGCGGCGAAGGAATGATACCCGTTGAATCCCTTTCTTTTTCAATCAGCTAGCTGAGTTGGTCATCTCCTAACTATTAACTTCAACCACCCTGTCGGGTCTGCACAGCTTTCCAAGGATGATCTTTCCCGCGCACGCAAAGCAAGATCCCAATGGGAAGACCAAGACTCCTTCCGTGCATCGCAGCCAGAACCAGCACCAGCAGCATCGACGAGGCTCGAACCTCCTGTCTTGGCCTGGCCACGAATCGTCCATGATCACCAAGACCGAGTCGCCCGCTTCATGTGCGAGTGTCACGAAATCTGCTTGCGCGTGTTGGACACGATTTGTACCGAATATGGCTTTCCTCCAGCGACTTTGCGCAATCTGCACAACTTCACCGGCACGTCGGGGGACCATCTCCGGCTGATTCGTGGTCCGGCTGGTGTGGGACAACGACAAGAACAACAACGACAACAAGAAGAAGAAGAAGAAGGAGAAGAAGAAGAAGGAGAAGATGATGATGATGATGATGATGAAGAACACTGTCCCCAACAAATTCATACGCCCTCACATTGCGACTTCGGCACCGTCACCCTTCTGTTCAACTGGCTTGGGGGCCTGCAGATCGAGCAAGACGGCGAGTTCAAATGGGTCAAGCCAGTACATGGGCATGCTATCGTTCTTGTAGGCAGTGCGCTGGGCCGGTTCACTGAGAATCAAAACTCGGGGATTTCTTGCCATCCAGTCAAGCATAGAGTCGTCTCGGCCCCCGGTGCTCACGGTCGATTTCCCCGATATGCGATGGCATACCTTCTCAGGCCTGAAGATGATGTCTTGATAAAGCCGCTAGATCTGGCTCCACCGCTGTTTGGCGCGATGAGAAGTTCCCAAGGGGATCTCTTGAGCCTTGACCGAGATGGGCAGGTGGAGGTGGCACCCAACACGGCGAAAGAGTGGATCAGGAGCAAGGCTAGGGAGCTGGGCATTGGTGAAACACAGTCAGATGAGTTAGAAACTTCGATCATGGGAAGGATATGAACATGAACGGGAATGGATGAGGAAAGGGAAATCCAATACTTTTTCTGATGAGATATAAAAGGCTGGGTTGTAATGGCCAGAAATTACTCATGGCACATCCCATCACTCACTCTCTTACCAAGACAACACCATGTCCACGCTTCATATTGATGCATTATTGCAGCTCTTGCTTCCTGTCAGCTTTCGAGTTCCAAGAAGGAAACCGTACACGATTCACGACCTATAGGTTGCTCTCCAACAACACACGCCACGCTGATACAAATAACAATAGCACCTCTCATCAAGTCAGAACGCGGAGGGGAGCGTGCCCATTTACGTGAGACTACCAGATCAACTTTGAAGCCGTACGCCTAAGCAGAGTAACACGGTCGGAATCAACTCGCGATTTGCTCTGAAAGGAACTCCAACCTCGAGGAAAGGCTGGGAGACTACTATTTCATCAAAAACGGAGAGAGGATCTAGATACTATTCGGCCTTCATGCTATTATACACTCTCATGACACGACAGGAAACATTCCCCGTCATATCATATCACACCATAACATCCTCCGACCATATCCGTGGGTTCTTCCAGTAGACTGCTGTGGAAGCATTCGATGTCTGCACTGCAGGTCCGCAGCCATCAAGCTTAGATTCGGACCAGGTCCAACCCCGTCAGTCAGGCTCGCTTCTCATATCGAACTGCTTCTTTTGAGATCAGAGAAGGTCACTTTTCCCAGCACTTTGGCATGCTGGCTCAGTCACAGACTCTCACTCTCACTGCTTCTCCAAAACAATCACCGAAGTGTACAACAGGCGGTTGTACGTGTGGATTTGGACTAGCCGTAATCCAGACTGCTGCACGAGCGACTCCCACTGGGCTCTGGTTCGTTCCTTGCCAGCGAGCTGGCAGGCCATAGACACATCGGTCATGGCAGCCTGCCACGGCACATTGACGTCCGGGAGGACGACTTCGTCGATCAAAATGCGTGAATCGCCGGTCATGGCGGCGGAGAGGTTGGCCAGGATCTTGAGGCAGCTGGCGTCGGGCCAGTCGTGCATGATGCGGCGGAGGTAGTAGAATTGGGCGTCTATTCGAGAAGATTGAAATGAATAAATTAGTAAGATGATTGAAACAAAATAGTTATGACGAAGACAATCCAAAACTTTGAACTGCCATGTGTGTGGGATTCGAGAAAGGGATACAAAACGACTCTCTCGTCGATCTTGATTCTGGAGCCGTCCAAAGGAAACCAAAAAGGATCACATCAGGTCCGGACTTGAGACCCACGAACTTGAACACAAGGCTTGAGCCATATAGAACAGGGGTGTCAGGGATCGAAAAGAGGTTCTGTAGTGCAGTGCCCGCTGCCCTAACAAGAACAGTAACAATAACAACAACAACATACCTTGTACAGCCTGCTTTTGGAAAAAATCCTGCGCCATCACCTTCACGCCATCCATGGGTGCCAACTTCTCCACCGCTTCCGGCAGATCCTGCAGCACCAGACGGCCATGCAGGGCGGGATATTTCTCCAAGACGCGCCTGCACTGGTGGCCGTGGCCGCCTCCGACATCGACGAAGAAAAAGGGCTTTATAGGCGTTTGCGGTGTTGTCGTCCCAGCTGCACGCGCCGACCGGTCGAAAATGTCGAGTCCAGTCATCCAGTCTGCCGACTGGATGGCCGTCATGACGGTCTGCAAGGCATTGAACAACTCGGGTCGCTGAGCAAGGTACTGGAACGAAGGCAGGTCGGTGTTGTGGCCCTTCTGGAACGGAGTCTTTGCGCTGTCGGTGACGTCCTGGTATCCTGTCTCTGCCAGGAATGATGGGAAAGATTGGAACGCCGGGCCACAGCAGTCGAATCTGAGAGAAGAAAGAAAGAAAGTGTCAGTCAAGTTTGTGATTTGGGTTGTGGAAAAGGGGAAGTGTGATGAGTTCTCTTCTTTTCCGACTTCCTCCATTCAATCGGTACGTAAGGAGAAACATTCAAAACTCGCAGAAGCCCTCACTTACGCATGAACAACCGCTGCAGCGGCAAGAGGACTGGCGAAGGTATGTGTTGCTTTGTTGGCCGAGAACTGGTTCGGACCGACGTTATTCATCAACCCTGTCGAGGCGAGGTATCGCAAGATTCTCTCTGTGTTTGTAAAATACAAGATCAACGTCAGCCTCAGACGACAGTGCTGGAGTGAGCCTCAGGTAGGTTTGATCTTTTGGCGTCCACAGTACACAGTAGACGTAAGACTCAAACTTGTCACTTACCCAGCAAGGCTGGAGAGGCCTTTGTCCTCTGAGCCAGTTCGGCAACCGTCAAGACCGATCCAGGGTCTTTGACGAGCTCTTGGAACAAACCAAGGTCGACTCCCACACGTATGGTCGCGACTTGTAAGTGCTAAGCGTAGAGTTGCTGTTAGAATAGACCCTAGCAACCCTCAAGGGTGAATCATGATGGACGGTGTAGACTTCTCGGACCATGAGGGAGGGACCAACATACTCCATTGAACAGACTCAAAAGCGTGTCTATAGGCGACTCTAGGTCCTGCTGGACCTCTCTGATACTTTGCCATATCTTGTTCCGCTCGACGACATCAGCCTTTTCCACCAAAGAGCGGATCTGAGCGATGACCGAGTCCATATTTTCAAGTAAGGAGTGCTTTTCTTCAGACCAAAAGATAGAGATATTGGAAGGGAAGAGTTGGGTCGTTCCCTAACTGACTTCCCATTGCTGCCTGTGTTTATATATATACAGACACAACCCATTGCAGGTGGAGAAGTAAGTGGACACCCCCTGCCCCATCTCAGCCTTGTCCCACTTGAGGCTTTTCCACGGACTTTCCGCGGATATTTCATCTTCTGATTGGCTCGTCCACCGCCGACAGGCTCCCAAACCCTCCTGAAGGGGCCCCCTCCCCCCCGACATGCAAATTCTTCTGCCTGGTTTTATCGACGATCCGAGTGTATACAGCCGTCGAGCAAGCCCTCGGCCGAGTCGTGCCACTTCTCGGTCGTAGGGAGGGAGTATTAACATGTTGTGCTACCACAACACTGGATGAGGTACGTGGTTGATCGAGATTCAATCCATACCGCCATGGGAGGTTCATACACAGAAGCCAAAAAGCCAAAAAGCCAACATCACCGAGCACAGAATATATATTGTGTACAGTGTACAGCATACAACATACAGTACACGCAGCATACAAACACAACGCCGGGTCCGATGATGCACATTGACAAGGGCCACACGGCAATACCAACTGACTCCGGCCCAACCAGCCCATTTGTCGGACAAAGCCATATTCGTTGACCGTTGACCGTTGAACTCCATCAATCCGTTTAATCTATGCCACGCCATGCTGGCTGCTTTGTCCGAATCCACCCTGGATCATTCCGCATGTTAGTGCCCATCCGCGCCGATACTGCCACCGAGAACAGTGTCAACCCAAGACAGTGTAGGGGCCAAGACCACAACAGTCACCGATCAATAGGTAGCTGAATCGACAAACTCGGCCTCAGCCAGTCTGATCATGTAAGACGAACATGTCGGAGGGTTGAGGGGCAGGATACGCGTTGTATCAAAGGGACATGCCACCTGCAGTGCAGATCTTTGAAACACTCTGTGTCGTCCGATGCATCATTTCAATTCCTCCATGGAGAATTCCCTCTCATGAACCTGTCATTCCCCTGCAGAACCGAAAAACCATCCCATATTTCGCCGTATCCCAGTAGCGCCGAATGACCGGTGCTAATGCTCCTGACCGATCATAATCATATAAACTCGTCATTCATCATGCTGAGATCCGGGCCTTCACCAGACCTCGGAAGGCCAGAACCCTGGTTCATCCCTTGGGCCGCGTTCAACACAGACTTGGTCGCTTCGGCAGCCACTTTTCCGGCAGCGGCACGAGCTCCAGCAGCTTGTCTGGCGGGGTCATCCACGAATCCATCCGTCAGCCCCAAAAACATCCCGACGACTCTGTACAGCGCCACCAGAAGCCGCCAGACAGGTGCTAACAGGCCTGGTCCCAGAGCCAGAGGCAGTACATCTAGACGACTCCACCGCCACAGCATTGTGGGCAGAACAAAAGGAAATTCCGGCTCCGGCTGACTGGGCCAGACATATTGCGCCGCGTACAAAGGATGGCAGTAGATCTCGCAGAGCGTGCATTCCGTGATATACCAGATCCAAACGGCGATGGTGGCCCATCCGAGCCATGTGGGCCGGGGCAGGATTTGGCCGCGATCCTTGCGCCGCGGGTGGAACAGGTGTGGAACAGGGACCGTGAAGGTCGAGTAAGACACGGGAATCCCGAGCTTGGTCGAGTCGTACGCGAACTCATGCTTGTGCATCTCGTCACCTCCACGACCGCGACCACGACCACACACCGAACATGGCTGGTTTGAATCCTGCCCCTGAGACGCAATCGCCGCTTGGGCTTGCAAGGACTCCATTTGAGAGTCCGGTGGCGGGCTATGCGACACTCTTTGCTCCAGCCTGGAAATGCCCTTTCTTGCTTCATGGAGGTTCGACATCAGTCGCTCCATCCTTGAAGTCAGATGACCGATGAAGGCGACTTCGGAAGTGTCGGAGTCTCCCATGGCTTCACGTTCACGCTGCCTCTGCTTGATGACTTCATCTTCCGCTCCCGTTTTGATGAGACTTGTCAGGTCCGCCGTGATATCTGCAGCGTCGGTCAGAAGCTCCTCGAACGAGGCGATCGTGGCGTCACCCAGATTGAGAGTATCGTCTCGAACGTCGGTGATGTCGCGTGACACGAGTCTCTTTTGCTTGGCCTCGTTGAGGACATTGCTGAGCGCACTGGGGGGTATGACAACCGCCCCATTTGCAGGACGCTGGGGTTCTGAATCCTCTTGATTGTTCTTCGGTTGTTCATCCAACAGGCCATCTTCATCCACAGACTCGGCCAGTCCTGCAACAATACCATTGGTAATCTCCTCGGTGACTTCCTCAATGATGTTTGGGAAAGGAGCCGTGTGCGCCCGGTTGCCGTTCACAAGTGGAGTGTCAATCCAAGCTCCGGCATTAACGTGTGGTGTCTCCAGATACTTTGATGATTTTTGGGGTCGTCTCTGGGTCTTGACCGTGTCGGGCAGTATCGTATCTGTCCAGGCACCTGTGACTCTAGGAGTCTCGGCCACTGCGTAGGTTGTGGGATGCTTTACTTCTTTCCGCGCAGGTTGCGGAGATTGGTCCGGTGAAGCAGTGGTTCGCACCACAGGGGGCACGGCAACATCCTCGATCGCGGACTCCACTTCAACCTCTCTCAAAAGATCCTGCACGGGTGGACTTGATTTTGGTGTCGTGCTTGCCGCACGTGCGAGTCTCTGCAGATGGTCAAGCGAGCTCTGTGATTCAGCGGTCGACTTGTAAGAAGAACTTGAGTCCTCCCTACTGCCACCGGATTGCTTGTATACCACCACAGGTGTGTCTGGAACATGGCTCCCAACACCGACTTGTCGCCCGTCTGTAATGGGATTCTCCAAAGCAGTGTCGAGTGCTCCTGGGTTGCTTCGCCTGCGGTCTTCCGGACTCAGTGAGGAAGAGCTCTTCCGCACTCTCACGTTGGGGTCCTTGACAAGGATTTCATCCAGTCTGTTGGTGGTGACTGCCTGCTTAGCCAGTTCCTCGATTTCCTTCTCCCTCAGAGTGTCACTGTGGTTGAGTCGAGTGCGAACAGGAGGGCTTTCGGACACCTGGAACGAGAGACCTGTAAAATCGTTCTCCCACTTGCGTATCCTGTCGGCTGGGCTGTGCTTTTGGACGGACGAAGGCCAAGCTCCCTTTGGAGGTGTATCTCGAGGAGTCGAACTCTCTTCAACAGACGGCAAAGGCACATCTGCGGCTGCAGCTGCCCAATCGACCTGAGACCCAGTGTCATCTGCCGATTCCTGCTTTTGAGCAGAACGCTTCTCTGCTGTCTCTTGACGCCACTTTGCAAGGAACGAGCGAGCCGCCTGCAAGCTCTTTCCAGCATTTGTCGTCGATTCAGGGAGAGGTTCGGAAACTGTTGACGAAACGCTCCCGTTCGATGGGTCTTGGGTGACCTGTTCACTTCCATTCGGCTCATAGGGAGCTCCGTAGGGACGCGACCGACCATTGGCGCGAGAAAAGGCGACCAGTCGTGGTCCAGGCGCTACTTCAGGTGATTCTGGTTCAGCGTCAGGCTTGTGCTTCCGGCGTGTTGCTTTGCTGAAGGCTATCACTCGCTCCTTTTCCCTCAACTCAGGGGGTGTATCACTACCATCGTCATCGTCAACAGGGGTCTTCTTGTGGGCGCCAGCTCTAGTTGCTCGACTGAAGGCTTTGATTCTTTTGTGAGGCGTAGACTCAGCACTTGTATCTGAATAGGCTTTGGGGACTGTCGTCACGTTGTTGAACATGATAGGACCTCTGCTGGCCACACTGGCAATGTCATTGCGACGCCCATTCCTGTCCGGGGTGCTTCGCGGGGGCTTTGGACTGTGCTCGAAATCGATCGGTATCCGGCTTTGTCGTAGTCTGTCCAGCCGTGCTCTATCCTTCGCCCGATCAATGACATGAGGGGTTAATTTGGCCGCAAGAACCCTATCCGTCATTTCATTCCGCACGAAGTCCAGAGTCGGTGGTTCCGAGTAGCTTTCCACGCGATCATCCACCATGTTCTCTCGGCCGGTTTCGCTGGGCGACTGAACCGGTGTGGACTCACGCGATGCGCGTTTCTGGGTAAGAGATTTGTTCTCGTCTGCTTCATCTGTAGGTTTGTCGCCGACATCTACATCCAATTCCAGTGTATCCTGCCTCTCGTCTTCGAGCTCGTCCTCGTCCGTGTCCACTTCTCTTTCTGTGGCAACCAGATCCTCCTCGTCTGCTATTCTGCGGTACACGTCTGTCATTCCCCCGGGCGGACTAGAGCATTCCGATGTAGGGCTCGTTAAGCTGGTGCCATATCTGGACTGCAGGGGAGTCGACGGGCCGTCGGTTCGGAGCGGACTGGGACTTTTCTTTCTCGTCAGAGAGGGCGCTGGCTGCAGGCGTTTGGTTGCACGCGATGCTGTGTATTCTGCCAGTGAGGAACGTCTCGGTTTATTCCCCACGTCCTTGGTGGACTGGAGGACTCTTCCAGCACCGATGGCGCGTCGAGGTTTGGCAGGACTTGACTTTTGCGGACTCGGAGTCGGGATACGCGAATCCTCCAGGATGCTGTCGGTGAAGAAGTCTTCACTGGGCGGGTGTCTGCCCAACGACGAAAGGCGACCATGTTGTTGGGCAGTGAAGAGGGGGTTGTTTTCTTTGTTTCGAGACATGGCGCGTCAAGTCCGACAGCATTGGTGGATTGGGCGGTTGTCGCATAACTAGCTGATACACTTCTCTAACGATCGTTGGCGCATTGCTGTGCAGGCGGCTGAGACGCTTAGTGAGTGCGCCCCGTTGCTTCTGGTTCTGGAGATCGAACAGGTGCAAACAAACAAATACCTACAGATCGGGCAGTTCGGACTCGTGATGCAAGATGCAGATGGAGAGCGATCAGTGGAACATCAACCGCGGGGCCTGATTGGTGTGGTATGTCACGCTGCTTTTGTGCATGTGATGGCGGGTCCATAAACATTGCTAAAGCGGCGATTCTGATTGCTCGATTTCGCCGTATAAAGCATCGAACGAACTGGTGGCCGACAACTCGTGTTAGCAGCGGTATATATACTCAGGTAATAGCAGAGGCTGTGACAGAAGTATATTCCTCAGGGAGCCGAGCTCGACCTGTATGATTCACGGAGGCACTGATTGGTTTCTTGACCTCTCAGAATCTGTCTATGGATGGCATTGGAGGGAGAGGCTTTCCTGGCTTCAGAGAATGTGTTACTCGTGCCTCTCAGTCTGAACCACCAACAGCATAGCAATCATCTTTCCAGCACGGAGGAACAAGACTAGTAACAATCCAAGCATCAACCAGCAGAGAGATACCTCCATCGTTCCCTCGCCTCGCTCTCCCTCCTCTCCTTCTCCTCCTGGCTAACAAGCTCGACGCCAGCAGCGATTCTCTCATCTCTAGCCTCAAGAACCCTATTGACTTTCCACGCCATCGCAGCCACGGCCGCATACATGAGCGCACTAACCAGCTGCAGCGCCACCATGGCATCCCAGATATCAGCCCGCCCACCCGTGCCGGCAGGACACTCGTTGCGTTGGAGTGGGCCTCCGCCACGGGGGTCGCTGTTGTCGACACATGCGCCGAAGAAGATGAGCGCGCTGGCGAAGAGCACAACGGACAGCGTTGCCGAGAACCATAGGGCCAGCCGGGGCGGGTTGGCGCGTGCCAGTACGTGGAGGTGTAGCGAGGGGATGGTGTTGAAGAAGCACAGTCCCGGTACGATCAGAGGCTGGATGACTTGAGCACTAGAGAAGGATAGAAGATGTCAATGAATGAATCACAGACTATGGGTACGTATTCATCAGTGCAGGGGGGGATCGAGTGGGACTGGATTCGACAGTCAGAGTCCAACCGTGGTCTCGGTATCCATCAAATGCCATTTTCTGCACATTTTTATACTGATGTGATGTGCCAGGAGGTTTTGTGATGTGATGCGAGTTGGATGAGAAATGGAATCATGCTGGAACATACAAATTGAGTTCTCTCGTCATCGACGAAATCCACACTGCTCCCAAAGCGATCTCAATCATACTCAGAATGGCCATCATGAGAACCAGCCAGGGCGCATAGCCCGTCCAGTTCGCTGCTCGGGCCCAGCGCCGGTCGCCTTCGAACGATGCGTCGACGAGTCCTTCGATCCCTAGCATTGAAGTATTCTTTCTCCTCTCTGGAGAGTTGTACGGTGTTTTTCTTGTGACTGGCTAGATGCTAAGCACAATTTCTTCGTGCCGACCCGAGGCTCAATACGTCTGTCGTCGTCGTCAAAAAGAACAATATTCCTCGTCCTCCAGACCACTTTCTCTATCGCTGCCTCGTAAGAACCGTCCCGTCTCACTGTCCGATTGTCTCTTCTTGCACAGGTCGGCGAGAATACGCTCAAGAAAAAGACTCTTTAGATTTTGCTCAAAGAGCCGATCAATGCTCAATCAGAAAAAACTTACAACAGCAAGCGCCGCAAGGCTACCTCTATCTCTGGGTCTGATTAAAAAAAAGCCAGATCAAAGGATCCATGAACCAAATAAGAGAAAGAGAGCAAGGCGCAAACTCATAAGGACCCTTTTTCAGGCCGACTTGCCAGACAGGGACCGGGGACCCCTCATTTTCCAACAACGTCAAAGCCTGGGGTGTCTGGGGTTCGTCAAAGGTCAAGGGGTCTTACCTAGTTCTACCGAGGTGTGTGCAAGGTTAACCTGTAGGTAGGTAGCAAGCAGGAGATATCATGCAATCAAGTCACAAGTGTCAAATAAAAGACCCCAGTAATTCATCGTCACCCCTTAAGCTCGATCGCTGCAGCCACGTAGAGGGTAGCTGTCGCTAGTAGTTGTAAGGGGATGTGGGATCAAATGATACTCTGTACGTACTGTGTAGGTAGGTGCTGTACTTACTATCCCCGGATGCCTATGTCGCTTCATTCCTCCGAAGACCTACCCTTAACCTACCCTTAACCAGGCCGTTAGTTAGGTGGGTAGCATTGTGCCTAAGGGTAAGCCTCCGCTCTGGATCCTGGGGTGCAGCTGTGGGGGAGAGGGTGTGGCTGTTGGCGTTGGTGTGGGAGGGAGGCCTGATCGCCATCGACTCTAGAACGAGGGGGGCCATCACAGTCGCATCAATGACATGATTTGGACAGGTGCAACGCGGGAAATGCAGAGAGCACATTTCAAGCTTACCTAGAACTGAAGCTCGAGCTCTAGCCTGACGGTAAACTGTCAAATCAATGCAGATCTGTTCAGACTCCCGTCTCTCCTACTACTAGTATCTCGAGAAAACCAGGTAGGGATTGTGCCGATATCCGGAAGAAGATGAGAAGATACTACCTACGGTAAGGTACATGTCCCAGTCCACCTACAGCCATGTATCATGTCGTATATCAACCTAGATCCCTATTACACAAGGTAGGTAGGTATAACGCTCAACGTCGACATCAATCAACATCCCTTCCAACGAATCCGACAGTCCAAGAAACAGTATGCGAAGAAACCGAAGAAAAGCCATTGCTTTACTAGATAGTATCAAGGTTTTCATGTTATCTTAGATTTCTATCTAAGATATCTCACCTAGATACCTAGATACCTAGAGTCCTAGAGTCCTAGACTAGCCGACGCCGGCCCCTCTCTAAATTCATCGATTCTCGAATCCGGCGACGAAACTGCCCGACTTGATCACCGGCGGCTTCTCAAACAGGGGAGACACTTTGGCGAAGAAGGCCTTGAAATGCTCGGTCTCGACGTGCGCAGCATGGGCTTCCTCGGTTTTGTATCTGCACAGAGTCCCCCATCAGTCAGAGTCAGCAAATAGTAGTGACAAGAGGGAGGTAAGACAGAAAAGCAAGAGAAGTGACAAGAGGGAGGTAAGACAGAAAAGCCAGAGAAACAACAATAGGCCCAAAAAAGGCAGACAAGGGATTGGCGGGACGGGGAATCAGAGAAAGGATTCAGAGCGTAGACGTACCCTTCTACAAAGACATATTCGCTCTCGGTGCGGAAGGTATAGTAACGGAAAACGTCCGGCTCCGTGGCTAAGACGGCTTTCGTGACCTCGGCGGCGGCGGCTTCGAACTGTATATATCACTGGGATTAGATACTAGTATTTGGGTACCACAATACAAGACTTCTGTGGATGGGAAGCAGGAACTGTGCATACTTCATCGAATTTGTCCGCCTTCGGGTAGAGGAAAGCCGCAAGGTGGACTGGTGCCATGTTGGAGAGAGTTGAATTGGATTAATAGAAGGTGTCGGGAGTAGTAGGACTGGTAGTGGTGGTATAAGTATAAGTAGCCGTAGTAGTCTGAAGCTCTTACAGTCGATTTATGTATGTCGTCTTGAGGTGGAGGACTCGAAGTTGCTTTATAATTAGTGTCTTGTGTTCGCGGCACAGCTTCGATAGTACGTCGGCCCGCTTCGGAGGGGCACGGGGGGGGCACTGCCAGATATCAGATACGTAATAATCAGAGATGGGATCTGTGTTGTGGGATCGAGAATCAAATGATGGAGCATGGATCTTCTTTCCTCGGCGGTGGAGTGATCTGGCCAACTGATAATAAATGCGGCGTTTTCCATCTCATAATATCATTGTCTCGTTATCATCGTATAGTATGTGAGTACAGAGTAGTATGTCAACCCCATATCTCTGCAATCTTTGCGCTGAGTGCCTTGGCGACCTTCTTACGCGGGATTGTGTTTCCTAGACGGTCGCTAATCATGTTGTCCTTTTCTGGGCCATTTTGCCGTGCCTCAAATGCTTCGGCCAGGGCGCGTGGAGTCGGCCAGATCTTCTGGATTTCAATGGCTTTGTCGCCCGTCACTCCTCGGGTGCACATGAGCATCTTGAGATATACGTCTCGGAGAGTCATGCTCTCTGACTTGTCGCACATGGCGCCGAACGCTGAGAACGTCATGCCATATGTTTTTCCAGGTGCTGTTCGTCTCAACCGGTCCAGCGTCAGAGCGACAGCCTCATCTTCGAACTTCCGCGACGGTATGACATGAATATCTTGTTTCTCGTACAATGACTTTAGTGTGTTGGTCATTCGAGCCAGATATCGAATGGTGTCATCCAACTTGGATGTCTGCTTGACGAAGAAGGTATTGACGACCTGCATGCTAGCGATGGCGCTCTCGAGGGCCTCTCCATATTTGTCACTGCGTTCTGCTGAAAGCGAGTACTCTTCCACCAGATAGGTGACGTTCTTGATGCCTGACTTGTGCAGACGGAACTTCTGCTCGTGAAAGCGTCCATCTTTGATACTGCCAATCAAGTCGTCGAGTCGTTTGCGTTCGAGAATGTGCTCCAAGACAATCTCAACATTACCTTCTTCGTCATCTCCCACATTGGCTGCCTTGAGAGTTTCCACATACCCGGAGTTGACGTGTGCGACCCATAGAACGTCTCCCAGAGGCAGCGACCGGATGACAGGGACGACTCCTAGTTTCTTCAACTCGGCAGAGATGTAATCTCGGTCGGTGGTGGTGCGGACCTCTCTCATATCCAGTACCATTTTCACCTCGAAACTGCCTGAGGGCAAGAAAATAGTGTCTTCGGAAGATACATGAGCACTCACGGGCTGGACTTCAGTACGACTCCTTCTGGAGACTGGGTCCAACAGCTCTGGCTCTGAACCCCGCCCATTCTGCTCGTCATCAGACAATAAGTCGACAATACGTAGGCTCTCTGACGCCGTTCTTTGGCTTGCTTGAGGCTGACGAATAGAAGCCGGCCGGCTAGTGGCAGGTTCCAAAGAGACATCTCTTGACGGACTACGCTCACGAGGAGCTGCTCTCTTTTTACCCTTTGGACTAGGCGGTTGCAGAGGACGTCCTTCTATGGTGGCCTTCATGCGAACAGCGACCTCCCATCCTTCATCGGACAGATAGTATTTCTTGGTGGGATGGCCCTTTGTACATACCAGCTCCTTGTTCTCTAGGGTCTGCATAGACTTCCATGCAGTGTGGAACTTGGTTGGGTCACTTGGGGCGTAGAAAGAAGAGTCGCAGTGTGGCTGTGCCAATGCCATCAGGTCGTTCTTGGGGATTGCTTGATTTGTTTCCCGGTCCAGAGTGCCCAAGGCTAGGATGAGTGCATATGCGCCAGACCTCAACTTCGGGACATATGGCTGGGACTTGCGCACCCTTCGTGCAGGCGACTCTTGATCGGGTCTAGCAGGGTCGGGCAGCGCAGCGTCAGATGTCCTCCTTCTCTTCCGCCCCTTTTCGGGCATCGGGAGTCCATTTTGATCGCAGAAGTCCTTCAACTTGTCGGTGAGGCGGTCGCACAGCTTGGGTCCGAGGCCATTGAGCTGTTGGGCTTCTGAAGGATGATCAAACCGCAGGGGACATGCTTTCATGGACTGGTACGCTTTCTTGTAGCTGGGCCATATCAGCGACTTCCGGAGGCGCATAGAGTTTGCTTACATTGTATATGCCTTGCTACTTCGTTCTTTTGCGTCGTCCATCCATTCTTTCAGCCATTCCGCAAGCAGCGGGTTTGCGCAGTCTTCGGGCATTTCTGCTAGACAGTGGTGAGAGGGGTTGGATTTCTCACATTTTGGTCGGGGTCAGAGATGCCTCCTGGCGATCAGAAGCATAACAAGGTACATCTTGCCTTGCAGGTTCTGAAGTTGCTCGCTAAGTACCTAGAGGAATCTATCATCAGGTGGCCTGCGCCTTCGCATTTACCACTTCACAGTAGTAGCGACTCGGGCGCGTCGCGTCTTTAACCAAGCGCGAGGTCACATGATGTCAGCACGACCATTTCTGCTTACTAATCATGAACATGGTGTCACAAGTCCGTGACCATGAAGCTCTCATGTCTTTCCCCTATTGACCACTACATCACGACTCGACCAGCGTAGGTTTTGACAATGAACCTATTTGTTAGGCGCGAGCTTGAGCTCCTTCGTGTCTGTATTGACCTTCAGGAGCAAGCCATACGATGATCGATCCCATCGCGCAGGATTCAACCTCATATGGCTTGCCCCTGAACATGGCCTCAAGCACTGCCATCTTGTCGTCGATGGCGCCAAACGACCAGGATCTCAGATCTCAGATCTCAGATCTCAACTCTGAGAGCTTGCACGACTGGGGTCCGGATGCAAGATCAATCGCGACGGAGTGGAGTTTCGAGACGTTCCTGACTTTCGAATCGGAGGCTAGGAACGAGATCTTGACGTCTTCGACTGCCTCGATCCGTCACAACCCCAAGCTGTACGATCTGTTTGTCTTTTCCACACCCCTTACTCTGGCAAACCTGGAAATATCAATACGGGGGCCGGATCTGTTACGCCTTCGGATGTCTTTGGAACTTCGGCTACCTGCATGGATCCAAGAGTTTCCATTCCAGCGATCCCCATCCCGACCACCAGGGCACTGCAGCCCTGGCGTCATGGATGACCTCAGGTTGGACGATATTGCAAGAGTTAAGGACCTTGTGTTGGCTTGACCAAACCATACAGACGAATGCTTTGGATCATGACGACACGGAGTTTGTTCGACATGCTCTCCGTATGATGCATCGTACAGCTGTCGTCAGTCGACACGCTACATAGCGGTGAAGATATCCCAAGCATATATAGCTGGATAGGTTATCACTGGTCATATTATACTTCTATTCATCCTTCCACAGGTCCGCATTCACATATCTGCCACACGCGTACTCACATACAACAACCGTACCATCCACCCCCATTTTAGCAAAGTCAATTACTCTACGAAATGTCCACCGCCCCAGGAGACGAATATCAACCCACCACCGAGGGTCTCGAAGGCAGTGCTGGTTCAGATGCCGTGCAGAATGACTACAAGTCACGCACCGGGCAAGGGGTTATTCCTGTGCAGGGCGACGAGGCTCCAGTCGAGGATTCTATCGACGCCAACACAGCCGATTCGGATGAACAACTAGGTTTGTGACCACTTGAACTTCCTTCAAGCATTTACCACAGTGCCATGGCATTGTCAATACGGACTCACTAACATCTCGATCCTCTCCAGTCCGTGATGACAACGAAGCGATAGACAAGAGTAACATCATTGACGATCGCACCCGTGGAGCTACCAAAAAGACGGGAACATACAGGGAACCAGGTGACGAGGAAGGTCTACCAGGACCTGAAGATGGGACGAGTTCTGTCTAGATCTATCTAGATATCTATATGGGTTGAGCCGTGCTCAATTGCGCCCATGGCGATGGTGAGCTGTTTGGCCTCTGTTGTAAATTGCAATTTACCTGGTATTTCATATTACGCAGCGTATCGATATTGCAATCTGAGTTGGTTCTTGGTATAGAAATGGGTATTTATATACTGTGATACTATACTGCCTCACATTGAAATATTGTCGATCAACATTGACCATTTATTATTATCATCCAACACAATTTTATATACGAGCGAAGTTGGTTATAGACCCTCCAGCAACAGAAAAGGTGCATATCTGATGTACCCAGAGTGACAGACTGTCACAGTGGTCCGATCACTTCGCTACCATTCCCCGACTGAACCCTGATCTCAATTCCCCCCACAATCTCCATGGCGATCGATCTGACTGTTATAACATCTCTCCAGCAACACAACCCCCTGGGGATGGGACACATGGGGTCTCTTAGGCTCAGAAGACGCCTAAGCCTCCCACTGTACGAACCCTGAAAAGGTTATACGGTAAGACAGACACGGGAGACGCTCTGCCTGACCTGATCTGACATGACCTGAGCTGCTCCCACAGCTTCTCATCCCCCTACAGCTGCCACGCATCATCTCCCTCCCCTTCCCGTCTTTCTCTTTCGCAGCTTATTTTCTCTCCTCTCACTCCCTCTTCAATACTGTCGCGGATCGCGGACCTCTTGCGACCAGCTTCCTCTCTGCTTGGGATCGATTTGACTACCTTGTATCTACCTACCTATACATATCAATTCAAGGCGCACTCCTGACTACTGTTGTCTGACGTCACATACCTACCTACCTACACAAATACTGTGGACAGCAGTACTACCTCACCACAGAAGTACAGGTATATACCCACATAAGATCATGGCCAACGATGAACCCGAGAAAGGAGACAAAGGTACGTTGTCGCCCATAGTCACAATTTACAAAATACACCTCCTGGCACCAGCTACTCGAGTCCCCATGGCACTGCACGCATTTTCATCATTGGGAGACGTATACGATTGATTTACTGGGCACTGCCGTCCTGTGTTCACTCTCGTCACCATACCTAGCTTGCCTCAATTCCACCCCCCCTACATTTCTCAGTTACCAGTCCTCCCCCGTTCCCATGTTCCAAGATCCAACTACACAACCTCTAACAAACCACCTTCCCTGTCTACAGTCTCATGGAACTGGGGCAGCGGACATCCAGGCGGCGTAGTGGTCGACAAAAAAATGGAAGGCGAACTGGCCATCACCTCGAAGCGCGGCAACAAAATCAAGAAGAACGCCGACCCGAGCAACCCTGCGATCCACATCGCACGATCCGGCAACGACGTGGTCAAACGGGCGTCGGAGCTGACTGTGGAAGAAAAGGCGAACGGGTCGGCTGACACTGGAGCCGAGAAAACGAAGAACGGGAACGGCGAGAAACGAAAACACGATCAGACCGAAGACGACAAGAACGGTGATGGAGTCGAAGACGAAGACAAAAAAGGGGAGCCTGCCCTAGAAGAGAACGCCGATGGCAAGACCGTCAAGGCCAAAGGCGCGAAAAACTCTAGCAATAAGAAACAGAAGACAGATGTCGCGCAGGAAGAGGGAGGCGCCGAAAAGAAAAACGCAGGCCGGCCCAAGAAGGACGACACGGCGAAACAGGGTGTGAAGGATGATTCTGCCACCGAGAAGAGAAAGGCAGGCCGGCCTAAGAAGGCGGACGGCGCCCTGCCGAAATCGAAGAAGGAATCGACGGCGCCGCCCACGGAGGGGATTGGATCCCGTACACGAAGTCGGCAGAAGGCGTAGGAGGGCATTGCTACAACTACTACGAGGAAACTTGGTGGGGTTGGATATTGGGTTGGTTGGGTTGTTGCATTGGACCATTTGGGCTGGGTTGGACGGGATGGGATGTTGCCGAACATATCGTATTCGGGGGACCTCAGGCTGGGACGGGAGCGGGATTTGGTAGCGGGAATGGAAACGGAAACGGAAATGAAAACGGCAGCGGCAGCGGCAATGGCAACGGGATGGGCAGAGGCAATGAACGTGTCTACCTAGGTATATTCTAAAAGACATGGCAACAAAAGTTGGGAACTATTCCTGTCGTAGCGAACACGGCAGAAGACTCACATATTACACCATATTCCGCTATGAAGATGAAAAATAACACGTACGAATGTGATTGATATCTTGATATCTATCCGGCGAGCCCTGGAGGTCCAGCTCCAAACCAAGATGTTGGTTGATAAGTCCCTCATCCGACACCCTGCGTTGGGCTCAAGCCTTGTTGTATTGTTCCTCTATTGACTTCTCGTCAATGGCTTTCATTCTACCGGGTGTCCGCCTTCAATCCGAGTCATTTGACCGAAGTCTGACCCATGTCTATATCCTTTCCTCTTGTTGAGCTTCGTAAGAGTGCGATTCCGAACAAGTCGTCACTACTGGTGAGCAACAGTTTGGGTTTCACGATATTGCGGCCATGTCCCTTGCCAGTTCCGACTCTATGTCGATTCGAAACTCCCAGTTTCATGAATCTGGTATATGTCTCCCTAAGTCCAGGGCATCAGGTTGTCCTTGGTATCTTGTTTTGAAGGCGCCATCCGTAACGCCGTGCTTTGAAATCACAACCGGAAGAGCAAGAGAAGATTGACAGATGCGTCGACCGACGCACGCCACGGTCAAACCGAGGCTGTAGAAATGCAAGAAGGATCAATGACCGAACCGAAACGAACAGTCATTTCCAGGCCTGACACAGGCAGGTCAGTGGGCTTTGACCTGCCTGCCGCAAGAACACTTTTCGAGATCGACGCCGAGGGCTTCGGCCTTGCCCATTTTCTCGCGCTTGTAATTGTCCTCATCCTTGCCGGAATAGAGGACATCCTTGCGCCAGACGGCGCGGACGAAGTTGGCCAAGACGTACAGATAGACGATAACCAAGCCGACGGTCATGACGGAGCCGACCCACATGACGGCCTGGCTGTGCAGCGAGCGGCCGATGTTGATGGTGGCCAGGGTGAAGCCGGTGTTGGGGAAGACAAAGGCCCACCAGTTCATGTGGAAGCGAAACGTTTTCCAGACAGCCAGACAGCTGACGACGGCGAGGGAGAAGAACCACAGCGACAGACTCCAGATGAAGACGGCGACGACCAGGGCCAGGACACGCAGGACCTGGGCGGTGACGGCGTTGGGGCCGAAATAGTCGTAGCCGCCGGGCCAGTGGTCGGCGAGCCCGATGATGGCCAGCGCCGTGAAGCTGGGCGGGCCGACCGCGATGAACATGCCCGGCCGCGACTCCGGCGACGGGAACCCGTACTGGATCATGCGCCGCGAGTAGCTGGCGTACATGAAGCACGACACCAGCATTCCCAGCCCCTGTGCCGTCAGCCCGGCGAACAGCATCGGCATCGCCGCCGCGCGCGGCTGGTACTCGATCCCCGCCGACGCGATCGTGCCGCTCAGCATGAACGGAAACATCGGCAGGTCCCATGCCGGTGTCATGTCCTGGATCTTGAGCCGTGGGTTGGTGAACAGCATCGAGTACGCCCCCACCGCCACAATGAACGTCACGCTCAGATATACCCAGAAGAGCACCCGGTACACGATCACCAGCCAGTACCCGCAGTTCGGGATCCCGTAGTGTGCCATGCACGAGATGATCCCGGCGACGGCCAGGAACGCTGTGCCGAAATACAGCGACTCCGTCGGGTGCACGAGGCTGGAAACCAGCGCGTGCGGCCACTTGCTGAACCGGTAGCTGATCCCCGCCGTCACCAGCACGAAGAACACTAGCGCGCAGATGTACACGATCACCCCGATCGTCTCGAGCCCGCGGAAGGTGTGTGGTTGGTTCTGGGGCGATAAGAGTAGCGCCATTCCCCCCGTCGCCATGGGGAAGGTGAACCAGGCCTGTACCAGAACAGAGTTAGCAAGCTTGTTACTCGTGATATAACATGATATTCCACCACGTGTGCTTTTGAACAAGGAGGGTTGATAGGAAGGCTACTGGAGCAGTAACTCACCCAAGTTAGATGTCGTAGTCGTTGTAGACCGGTTTCCACGAACGGTGGGGGCGGATTTGATGGGCCATTTCTTTCGATGATGATCATGTTGTCGTTGTCGTTGTTGTTGACGTTGACGTTTGTGTTATTGCTATTGTTATTGTTGGTGTTGATATTGGAGTTGTTGTTGTCGTTGTCGTTGTTATTATCATTTTGTCGTTGATTCGTGTCTCGATTACGGGTCTGGGACTCGCTCATCTCTTTGTTATATACTTCGAGATGTGATTCGCCTGATTGGAGTTGATTGGGTAGGGAAACTCCAGGTCTCGTGCTTGCGAGACAAATTTAAGAGGCGGTGCTGTAGAATTCACCGTGTCCCTGTTAATCACTCGATAACAAAGACATCGACGTGGCAGGATGGGAGTGAGCCCGTGGCATCGAAGGACAGACTCCGTCGACTCGTGGAAGGATTCAGTCACCGCGATCTGATCTTGCACTGGTTGGTGTTCGTGATGACAAAGATTGGATGAGGCGATAAGTGGATGAGGCGATGATGCCGTGGAAGTTTTGGTTGTGACAGACGCCCCTCTTGTTTCTTCAAGAACGGCCTTGGGGAAATCACACAATTAGAGAGACATATTCAGTATCACAAATGAGTGTTGTAGGAGCGCCTGGGAATATGAAAAAGATTCCCAACTGGAGAGATCCGAGCATATAGTCAGGCCTCCTGTTCCGGTTGAAGAATGTCGTGTCGTTCCTGAATGTTACGCTCCGGCTCCAGATTTCGAGGATTTCGATCGGATCAGGCCATGAGGACCCACTTCTAGCCTCCTGATTGGTCCGAGTTCCACTTCGTCCTGTTCTGTACGATCTCGAATCAACTGCAAAGGATGATTCCAAGTATAGAGAAATACATTTGAAGCATCATGGACCGTTGTTCCAGGTATATCTCCATCTACTGACATACTCAGGCTTGAGGTCGTCGATATGGTTGCTTCAGGCCTCTCTGGGCTTGCCATAATACCTATGTATCCCCAACCGGAGGAGGCTTTGACGTACCAGAGTTGTATGAGATATCGTACGCATCTGCGTATCGTGCCCTACGGAACAAACCGGATCAGGCCTATCGTACTCTATAGAGATCCCTCATAAACCACAATCCATACCATACAGTGATACGCAATCATCCCGAAATCATCCTCGTTTTCGTGGGCGTTATCCCAATATAATAGTGCACCGCCGGGATCCATTCCTCATCGATTACACCAGGAAGTACAATGTTGCCTCAGCGCCACATTTATCATGATATTTAATTCAATCTACTGTGTATAGCCCGGTTATCATTTGTCACGTCCAACGCCATCGGCATGCAGTCCGCACCCTAGCTTCCCATATATACATACAATACAATTCCCCTCGAGGAGCGAGCCGTGTGAAAGTCTGAGCACACTTTCTAGACAGGCACCACAGCGTCGTCGCCACAGTAGCCAGTCACTTTGAGACAGTGGGTTGCTTCTGTCTTCGGCGAACTGCTGGCCTCGGCATTAGTGCTCCGTTGGTGAACTGACTACCCACACTTGGGCGATTCTTCTCTTGCACCCTCTGTCTTCGCTTCTGTCGCTTGATATGCCGTGACCGTCGAGCGAAGGCTGCAGGCAAGGAACCTGGAATGCGCAGCTCCAGTTCAATGTCTTCATCTGACAGTTTGAACGCTTTGAACAGAGGCCTGGCCCATTGAAGCAGCTGGTCGAGCTCTTCATACACCTCTCTTGAAACTCCAGACCCCGCCTGGATTTCTGCCAGAGCTCCCCTCACGATGATCTGCAGTGTCCGCATGTTCGGAGCAACAATCGGGTCGGTGGAGGAGCCTTCTTCGCCTGTATCTGGTTCATCGAAAGGAATCTCTTCAGACCTCGCGTCCATACCTGCATCCGAAGGGCGCCCGACCACCGCGCTTGACAAAGTATGGCCTGTTGATAAAGCAGGGGACGCCGCGAAAGCATTTCCTCCCCAAGATATTCGATCTGATGCGCTGCGACCCGTGTTCGAGCTGGATTCGGCGAGGGATTGATCATGTTCAGTTGTACCATCATTTCCGTCGTAGGATGTTTGATATTTGCAAAACATATCCCACATACGCCGGCCCTCTAGAGCTCCTCGAGTATCAACAACAGCCGAAAGCAGAATATTGAACGTGTCAGTAGTCAGCAGAGCCTCGTTGCTCAGGGGAAAGAGTCGCCTGAACCGGTCTGAAATGGCAGGTACCTCACTGTCCGGCACATTCTCCAAGAACCGTAGCAGAAGCCCGGTCTGTCGTTTGAAACCGGCCTTTTGAGCGATTCGGAAATCACTTGCAGAAGGATTGTAATGGCCTTCCAATATGTCTTGCAGTAACCCAGTCGCTTGCGCGAGATGGCTGTCACGGCCGGCGTTCGGTGGCTCTGTCTCCAGTCGCAAAATTGCGGCCGCAAGATGCGCAATAATAGATGGGCTGTACCCACCACCTTCGGCAGATCTCAACTCCCGAAGAAGGTAGACTGTCGTGTCCCAATCTCGAGCGGTGATATGGAAGGTGACAAGCGCTCTCAACAGGTTCACAGTAAGTCTTCTCCTCGAGTCTCTTCGGACAAGGAGAATCGACTGGATAAGTGAGGGGTCCTCTTTGGCTGCAGCATACCGGCAAACCGCGATCGCGATCGAAGGTTGGCGGTATGCCGAAAATGGTATGAGAGGTCCATCAACATCCTCCGAAAAGAGCAGCCAATCCCCCAAGCCGAACAGTTTGGCATTAGCCACCATCTTGAGGAAAGGTGCCAGCTTGTATATAGGAAGTTGACCATGTGAATTGGCAAAGTCGACTTGACCTCTTGGTTGGGACGTGAAAAATCCATGTCGAGGACGAATTGTCAAAGACAGAAATTCGCCGATGGTCTCCAATTTACTCGCGTCGACCAGCTTTTGAATGTCCGTGAAGGTGTCGACAGCTTTCGTGACGAGATTCAACCCAATGTAGACTTGCAATGCCTGGTGCAGCACTCCCGCTTGCAATTCCGACCGCTCTGTTATTGCATCATAGTCGAAGTTGGCTCGTGATCGTGTCTGCGGTTTGACAGTCTCAAGAGAGCGTAAGTGAGCCAAGATCAACCCCCAGTTTCGGAGTGTATCTGGCCCTCCTTGTGTGCCCACTGCCTCGGTTTGCAGAAACCGGACCGTAAGATAGTCGAAATATGCTGGAGAAAGTCCATGCGGTTCCAGGAATGAGACCAGTTGGCCGATTGTGCCGGCAACATCTTCAACGGATGAACTTACGCTACTCAGCCGTGCATCCAGACTGTTGATCAAGCATTCGATGAGAGCAAGGACAACCTCAGCGCTGATCGTTCTATGCGGCATCTCCACGAACGGTTGATCGCCGCTGTAAGCCTCTCTCTGGCCGACAGGACCACCATGGCGGCGCTTGACCCTATCCCAATCGATCGGGGGGGTCTTGTTGTCCATAGCATGACCTGCAGTCCAATGTACAGCGGACCATCGGCTTTCGCTATCTTCCTGCAACATGTTGATAATCCGGGTCCCAGCCGATGTGAGACCGTTTTCGATGCAGCACCACAGGATGAACTCCAACCACACCTCCGGTCCAAGCTCCCTCACCCTGAGACGGAAGCGACCCCCGGGTGGGTGGTGAGAGACCTCCCGGAATGATGTCCCGTCTTTCAGTGCTTGTGCAATTGCATCGTCCTGCTGCGCGCGCCACACTGCATCTGAAAGGGAGGACAGGATTCTTGAATTCAAGAGATTGAGGATTGGCGGTCTCTGAACGGTAGTGGTTCCTTGGGGGAGAGCGTAGGAGTACACCGCCGACGGGACAAGATCTAGACTATGCATGCGAGCTAGGATCTGGTGTACGGTACTCATAAGATCCTTGGCCTCCTCTGGTGGGCATTTGGTGGACGCTATGACTAGCTTGGCTAGAAAAGGCCAGACGTTCTCCAACACGCTCTCACGGTCGGTCTCGTTGACGGCGCTTCGAGACGCCCGCATCAGTGCCAGTGCCACTCGTTTGTCGATGTGCAACTCGTGATCAAGCTCAACTGGCTGCCGTAATCGCTTGGAAAGAGACTCAGCCGGCCAAATGATGTTGGATGGTAGGTGCTCCTCAGCAGGGACACTCGGTACCGCACTAAGAGGGTTCAGCAGCACCTCTACCAGGTGCATCGCTGCCTTGTAACGGCGCTGGCTGAGTACCATCACGCCCAGGAGGTCAACTTCTGCAGAGGATTTGGCGGCCGTGAGAATCTCAAGCAACCTGCTAAAGTCTGAGCCATTTTGAGAGGTGATTGGAGATTCATGTTTTTCAGCACGTCTCAGCTCCTTGGGCAAGAACTGTTCCAGCAAAGATACCCAGTGGCCGGGGCCGGTATGTTGTGCATCGCTGGGGTCTATGCCGGTTTCCTGCGCCACCCCCGGTTCAACTTCGTTCGTTAGGACACGAGAGGAATCGTCCGGCCACGCAGTCGGCGAGATATGTTGACTTGGACTTCGAGCCGAGGATGAAATCGACCGAGTGTTGAGTCCAGGAAGGGCATCTTGGACGACATGTTCCGTCTTCGGCGAGGTCCTGCGGGATCGAAGAAGTTGTGGCGTGAATCGCGCTGCCAGGTGGCAGCAGTGGAAGGATCTTCTCAGCTGGGTATGCTCAAAGCATCTGCGCATGACCTGGAGGGTAGTTGTAAGAGGTGGTGCATTTGAAAACCAGCTATCGCGAGGAAGAATGGAAAACGAGCATCAAGACCATAACATCGCAGCAAACGTTGCCCGACACACAAGACAGGAGACTTGAGTCTCCTCGTCCTTTCGATGATGCCGACACTTTTTTTCTCTGTCGCTCGCGCGACGAACTTGGACCTAAGCCGCGATTTTCGAGGCAAATGATTCGTCTTGGCGATACGGCGGAACACGCAGCCTTAAGTGTCAGCCTTGTAGCCTTGCCAGTACGGGCTTATTAGCGATAGTAGTACAGAGAGAGATAGAAATAGCAGCGGACACCCCGCCTCTCACCCACCTAGGTCGTTCTGTTCCCACATCTACACTGTACCAGTCGAACAATCGCAGTACCCTCGGGCCTATAACCTCGACTCTTTGTTTATATTGAGGCACTAATTTGACAATTTGTGTTCCCGCTTCCGTTTCCCGCTGATACAACAAACTCCCCTATTGAAGCATCCCTGCGCTGCGCTGCGGTCGTCTCAAAAATGAGTGGAATACCACCTGGTGCGCTTCCAACACCAACACCATCCCAATCCCGATCCCAATCCCGATCCCAATCCCCTCCGTTTCCCCAGACGGCTCACCCGGCAGGAAGCAGCTGGGAGACCAATACTACAAGTACCCTTCATAGCTAACGCACGACTGGAATGAGACAGAAGTCGAAGCATACCATGAAAAGATGCGAGAATCATTGTTCGTCATCCCCTCCCCTTCACTGTCCTTGTCTACACCATCCCCAAGCTGAACAGTTGCCGCCCACTTACCTACCGCTGTGCACATTGAATCCACCTTAGAGCTCTCGCTGACCTTCGCAACTCGATGGCCCTCAAAAACAGCTACGCCATCGCCACCCCCCTCAACATCTCCATCTTCCTCATTCTCCTGACCATTGTATACCTCCGCCTCCGACCCAGCGAACCGCCGAAGCTCCCACAGGGCCCGAAACCGATCGTTTTCCAAACCTTCACCCCACGCACTCTGCTCAAATACAACGGCCAGGACAACAGCCCCGTCTACCTCGCCGTGCGTGGGAAGGTCTACGACGTGAGCAGCGGGCGCAACTTCTACGGACCGGGCGGGCCGTATGAGAATTTTGCCGGGAGGGACGCGACGAGGGGGTTGGCGTGTCAGAGCTTCGACGAGGATATGTTGACAAAAGACCTTGATGGGCCGTTGGACGACTGTGCAGATCTGTCGCCAGATCAGCTCGAGAATCTCAATGGTTGGATCGAACGGTTTGATGAGAAGGTGAGTCATCCCAGAGCGGTGTTTCTTCCCCAGCAAGCAATACCAAAGTGTGTGGGCATATGTCATTGACTCCATTACCAGTATCTCATCGTGGGTAAATTGGTGCCGTTCAAGAAGACCGACTTCCACTAGTAATCACAAAGTACTAGTAGTTACACAGCATACTAGGCACATACTAAATATCAAGGACTGTCACGTCACAAAAAAAGATTGTCTCTTTCGAAGCATACTTTTTTTCATTCGTGGTATTGCCTTCGTGAATCAAGCTCTAGTGATACATATCGTAAGTTGCCCTTGGCAAATTCAGGCAATCAAGGTGAATTGGTCACGCCAACTCCCCGTTATCCATCACACCCGTTGTGTGCACCCCCTTTCAGGATATCAAGTTGGTTTCGTCGACCCTTTACAACTCTGCCTTGGCACTCGAAGCACTCTTGGAAGCAACCTTGGAAGCAGAGGAGGCACTCTTGGAAGCAACCTTGGAAGCAGAGGAAGCACTCTTGGAAGCAGTCTGAGAGGCAATGCTGGCCGCCGAGCTTCCAGAAGCAGAGAGAGTGGCAGACGCCGACGAAGCTGACCCCTGAGCTTGTGCTAGAACCCATTGCAGACCATTCTTAATTCGTTCATAGATAGTCTCAGAGGGCGAGGAAGTGCCATATCGGAAATAGTTGGCTTGCTTCTTGGCTGCGGCTCGAAGTTCATTGGTCGTGGAACCTTGATAGTTGGGGACGCCGTAGCTGTCGAGATAATCCTTCAAGTCACTGTCTGACCAGGTGTCGAAAGCGGTATCCTTTGCAGCATCGGTTTGTTTGGCAAGATAGCTAGTGATCGATGCGTAGTTGGAGCCACCAGCCTTGGAAGCGGAGGCATAGGTGTCTTGGGCCTGTTTGACGAGCTCTTGACGACTTACGTCCGCGTTCTTCTTGGCCTTCTTGCCGTGAGCAGCGAGATAGTTCTTGAGGTTGTCAACAGTCCAGGTATCGAATGTCCATGCAGACCAACCGGTGGCGGCCTTGTGCTTGTTCAGTCGGACTTGCTTTAGGAGCTCATCACGCTTGCTGGCCTGTGGGACTGGAACACCACGCGAGTCAAGGTAGGCCTTGAGGCGCGAATCAGACCAGGATTCCGTAATCTTGTTGAAGGCATCCTCGGCCACGAGAGAAGCGTCATCCGTGGCTTTGGCCCATTGGTTCCCGGCGGATGATGTGGCCGCACCATATGCAGAAGCCGCAGATCCAGAGAGAGACCCATATGCGGAAGCCGCAGATCCAGAAAGAGACCCAGAAGCAGAAGACGCAGCTCCAGAGAGAGATCCAGAAACAGATGACGCTGACTTCTCAGCCTGTGCGCGGTGCTTGCGTGCCAAAGCGATCAATTCATTCTTCTTGCTGCCTTGGGGGACAGGGACGCCGTGGCTGTCAAGGAAATCTTTCAGTTGGCTGTCGGACCAAGCATCAAACAGAGCGTCGCTAAGGCCAGCTTGTGCACTTGCAGCAGACTTGCTGGCCTGCGCGATTCCGCTCGAATATGAGGCACTGGCTGCGGAGGCGGCCTTTGACGCAGTGGAGGAGGCTTGACGAGCATGACGGCGAACTTGTGCGATGAGCTTGTCGCGAGTGCTAGGCTGAGGAGCAGGAATGCCGCGTTCGTCGAGCCATTCCTTCAAGTCAGACTCAGACCAGGTTGAGTACAGCCAGTCGCCAGGGTAAGCGGCATATTCTCCAATCTTCTTTGCAACAGTGTCATAGTTCTGACGGACAGTGGTCAAGAGACTGTCTCTGGTGCGTGGCTGCGGGGCGGGAATCTTGTGGTAGTCCAGGAATGCTTTCAGCGATGAGTCGCTCCAGCTGTGAGCTATTAGTGGATGCTTTGCATGCGATTGTGCTTGTAGCAAACTGACCTGTCGAAAATCCAATCTTTGACGCTACCGTAGTGCTCATTGGTTTTGCTCCCGGCTGTAGCAACAGGCTCGACCACCTTGGCTTGCCAATTGTCTTTGACTAAATTCTCAAGGTCTTTTCTGTCGGCAGGACTGGGATAGGGGACATCATGGTCGGAGAGCCAACGCTCGAGCTCGGTTTCATGCCACTTGTTGTACACTGCAGTCATGGTCAGCTCAGATTTTGTTGGATGAAACGGAAAGGAACCATACCGGCTTTGCTAAACCAAGTACTGGCTACGACGACCTCGGTCGAAGCGAGGGCAACGACGAGGAATTTGGAGAAGGAGAACTTCATGTTTCGTTGGTGGTTGAAGGAAACGTAGATGAAGGAGAAGGGATAATTCAGTGGGAGAGAATTTGGAAGAGAAGATGAGGTAGTAGTAAAGAAGAATGTATGAGACAAGAGATCGAGGAGGCAGGAAAGTGACAACGCCTGCCGTTGTTTGTGCCAGACCCCTTGACGTCACAGTGTTTGCAGGCTACACAAGGTGTGGATGTGAGAAGGGAGTGAAGCATGGGCCGCTGAGGAAGTGGTTGGATATGAGCCTCAGGTCATTATTACATGTGCCTTGCTGTGTGGCGCACGAGCAGAAGGCCAAAGGGATTTTACTGCTAGTCGAGTATCTGCCTGTCTTGAAGCTTTCGACGAGTGGCTTCAAACCAAGATCCAGGCTGCTCATGTTTACTACGCGGTGACCATGTATCGAAGTCTGCCATCTTGCAAGTTGGTCACTTACTTTGCCATACTAGTAATTGCACGATATGTCTGACTAGAGCCGCGGACACCATGTCCGACGAAACAGAATACAGCCCTGATTGTGATTTCACGCTGTAGACTCGGCAGCAATCACGCCAGTGGCGCTTGATACTGACGCGATTCGTCGTGATGCGGGGGAAGAAAGACACGAGATTTTATATCGATACGTCATGCAGTGAGTGACCCACTAACCTCATCAAGGCCTGGTCCTTGAATTTATCCTCCGCAGTCCTGCACTTCCTACTAAGGTACCTAGAGTCTGCCATTCAGTTAGGTACATACCTACCTACTTGGAAACTTGCTCACAGTGAGGTTCGTGTGCAATATCTCTTGTATCATAAGAGGCGTTCTGCACCTAATGTGACCCTCCATAGCAGGAATACTCGATATACCATTGTATTGCCAGAGATTAGGGGAACTGGGCCTCGAAAATGATCTTCGCAATTGCGGGTGAAATCAAGTTGAACATGGACTTGTCACTGCAGTGATGTACACGACCTTGGCATGCAATGAAGTCATCAAGACTCCAAGTTGTAGTACTGGGGCAAGTGCAGTGCAATATCACCGTGTCACCTACAACTATACTACTATTACTGTCGATGTACTACTAGTATTAGTACTACCCATTCTACACAGTATCGAGACCTTTATTCTCCATCGTAAACAAGATTCCACAACTTCGCCTGCTACGCAAGATTCTTCGGGAGAAGCTCACACAGGACTGACTTGTATCATTGACTACTGAAGGTTGAATCATCATGCAGCCATTTCTGCGTCTGGCCGCTAGGGCTCCTCGAGCTCCCCGACAACTCCCCCTACTTCGCTGCTCTGCTCATCCAGCCAGGTTTGCACATTCGTCTTATGGCAATGAACAATCAGGCATGGAGCAGGGAACGCACGAGAAGAATCCAATGTCCCATCTTGAACATCCTGGTCCAGAATCGCCAGCCAGCAAAGGGACGGCAACTTCATCTTCTTCCTCAAGCTCCGAGTCTCAGTCAGACAAAACATCGGATACAACGAGTCAAGGCGGATCACCTGCTATCCACCGGCCCAAATCTAGCGCCGAAAAGGACGACCCAGAAGTGAGAAAGCACAATGAAGAGATGGAGCAGCGCAGCGACAGGACGCCAAATCAACTGAGTGAGGAAGATAACAAGGTGGACAAGAATTATTGGAAAGGTTAGTCCATCCCATCACATTGTCCATATCATGTGAGCTGACTGGGAGACTAGGTGATGTCGGTCCGAAGAAGGAGTAGGAATTGCCTGAAAATGTTGGGAGCTAGGTGTTGCTGCGCGAGTCTACTCAACGTCCGCACCAAATATGATGGCAGTGTTATGGACAGTCAAGGAGCTGTGCTATGGCTGCAGTGGTGCATGGTAGCTACCAAGCCAACAAGCCCAGGCGCTTGAAGTATTGTTCGTCGGATCCGGGTGCTTGAAACTTTGGGTTTCGGGTCATGCTTCATCCTTTTCGAAAACTAAGGATGTCTTCCAAATGCACTTCTCCTCTTTGTCCCCAACCGGCTTGACCTTGAGCCACGTCGGGCCTGACGCGTAGATACCATGCTTGGGCTCTTTGATCCAACTCTTCCTTGCTAAGAGTGGACGCCCAGCTTTGGCACACAATATCAATTGCTCTAAGCATCATCCCAGCAGCTTCTTCCCTTTTCATGCCTATTTCCTTTTGTCTCGCCTTTTTCGAAGCTGTATCCGCGACTGTTTGATCGTCTCCAGACGCTATGTTTGTGCCAACCACAAGCATAGACTTGAGCAAGTAGTTTCGTGGCGCGTCAGGTCTGTGAATCGGCGGACCAGTCTGTCCTCTGACATCCTTACCTGCAATCAACGGGCCGTTCGATTTGCGAAGTGCTTCAAGATCCAGGCCCCAAAACGCGGTGGTCGGAGCAGCCTCGTCATCGCCTGGTTCGGCGAGCACATGTCGTCGCATGACAGCCACCTCTCGACCCATTATCTTCACCTTTGGCTGGCCCATGGCCCAACCGTCTTCCTCGGCTGTGGGCCCAGAGGTTATCCCAATATATTTGGCCTTGCTCTGTGCACCAGCGCTTACTACAGCTTGCGCGAGGCTCCACCTGCTCGACAGTGGTTGTTCAGGGTGAGTGTAAGCGAGAACAGCGATGGTAAAGGCGAGGAAGAGAGGCGCCCGATTCGTCTCAATTGTAACCTTGGCAAGCTCATCCGTGGACAGGTCTGTCTGGGGCAAGGACAGAGCGGCCTCATCATCAACTGCATCGGGATTCGCCCTTTGACGTTTCGAAGCAGGAGAAATCGAAGCAGTGGAGGTGCGCTTTCTGGAATTGGAAACTCGCTTGGCCGCATTGATAACCTGTCTCAGCACTTTATCATCAGTAAACAGGGACTTCAGGTCGGCCTCGTTTGCCTTGGAGATAGCCTCGGGCGTATCAAGCTGCTGTTTTCGCAAAGAGTTGATCTTGGGCATTGCCTCAGCCAAGGGAATGCGAGCATCTTTGGTCAAAAAGCGAAGAAGAGCCTGTACTTCAGCGGCAGCAGACATTGTCACGACCACAGTATGTGCAATGCGTCTCAGATGTCTAGACAGTTAGAAAGTAGTGGTAGTGGTAGCAGAGCAGAGACGAAGCCCGGGTTTTGGCATGGCATTATTAGGGCGCAGGCAATGATCCGGTAGGCCACTGGCTTTAACTGCATGAACTGCGCTGCATTATTTCAAGTCCACCCGGACGCCTTGCACTACTACTGGGAGAAAGTTCAGCCCAGCCCCGGACCCAAGAATGAATCATCGCCGGCAGTCGGCACTTAATGAACGCCAAGGCCTACCCTTAGAGCCAATCGCAACAACCGCAGGCCAGGCCACTTGCTACTAAGTACGTAGTACTAACATTGGAACAGTACTAGTATACTAGTAGTACTAGTACCTAACTACCACCTAACTATGGGATGTCTTCAGTGGGCTAATGAAACCTGCTCTCCTCACCCTGCGAAACCACTGCTGTCAACCTCAAAAAGACTTCACCTCGCGACATCCCACGCTCACCGTTGCCCTCGATGTGCTAATACTCCAATTCGAGCCTTCATCAACGGCATCTTCACCTTGCCTGAAAGAATTTCCCACTCAGCTGGCATCCCTCCCCGCCTCTCTGCGGCCGGTGTCCCGAAAGGGGTGGCGCAGCGCCAATGGCGCGACGACCTCCTTCAGCACGATCATTATCGATGGGTGAGGGCACCACGTTGAGAAGGACGCCTACAGACACCTCAAACCCGAATGTTTTCAGTGACGATTATGCTCTTGATCCTTTCGAAGCCATCAGCGATCTCAGCCCCATAGGCTCTCTCGACAGTCGACCCGAAGATCTGACACTTGGGGGCGGTGACAATACACAAAGTGTTCCGCAAGAGTATGTACCGCCTGGACTTCCTGGGAAGACTACACCTCTCAATGGTCCAGCCGCGGGAAAAAGGGCCGTCCACACCGATGTAGCCGCCGATCCTCATCGAACCTCATCTCTTGCTTCCCGGTCAATGACGGATATCCAAAGAACGCTGAGCACATCCTCTCGGTTCTCCATGCCCAGGGCTCCGAGTCCTTACCATGGGCCCACTGCACCAAGTCAGCCATATGGGCTGTACCCTCAGGTCATCCGTGCCTCGAGTATTGCCAGCGAATCTACGATCAGACTCACCGAACGACCATTTATCGCTCAAGGCGGTCCTGAACATCCTTACGGGATGTTTCCTCAAAACACTGTTCCAGAAGATGACGATGATGCAGAAGTGCCCCTGGGTCTGGGCTTCCCCGGCCTCATCCAGGCGTTCCACCCAGGGACGTCTTCTCCGGGAAATGACATGGGCGACATCGTCGGCACTGACGGGCACATTGAGCAACTGCCTCCCTACAGTCGATATGCGGATAATGTTGTTGCCAAGGGAGACATGGCCAGAATTGACACGCATACTACTAATTCTCTGCCCACAGAATCCCCACTAGAACCTCCTGTCCAGCCTAGTGCATCTTCCGCCTCTGATGTGGAGTTGACCGCTGCGCGCTCTGAACCGCCGACAGTAGAAACAGAAGTTGCGAGAAAAGAAGGATTGTCCGAAAACAGGAGGAGGAGAAGAACATGCTGCGGAATGCCGTTATGGACCGTGATCACCATAGTCGCGGTTATCGTATTGGCGGCCGTGCTGGGTGGTGTCATTGGCGGAGTTGTTGGGACTCGAAAGGGAGCACACCAGGCTTCCTCGTACGTCCCCGCGTGATTGAGAAGAGGCTGCGTGCTAACTATGCTGCAGATCAAGTGCAACGACCACAGTTTGGCTCGATGCCGACCCAGCCGAGACGGGGCCTTCCACTCCTCCGTGCCCTACCGGCCATTATTCCATCCCTCTGAACCAGACACAGGAGATCAGTAGTTGTGTCATTGACGGCGCCTTCTCTGAAGTCTGGAGCTGTATGGATTTTGCCAGACTAGGCATCAACATCTTCGAGAGCAGCGATGGAGGCCCACCGTTGTCGGTGGTGTTTGACGACTACTCCGTAATGCCTCAACTTTTCAGATACGGGCCACAGCCTCCCGACTTCAACGGTACCTCTTTCGACCTCTCCCCTTTTAAAGACAAAGACGACGACGAACTTGGCGTCGCCCTCTTTTTCAGTGTTTTATTTGACAAGCTTAGTATTTGTGAGCGAATCCAGCAGGGTGGGCTACGAGCTATGCTGACATTTGATAGTACCTTCTGATGCTCTTCCTCCTCCAGCTCCCAGCAAGCGATCTATTGCTGCGTCACAGCTGGCACGTAGAGACGCGGGCGAGACCGGAGGCTTCCTGAATGTCGGCGACCAGCCTTGGTATTGCTTCTGGAACTCCACCATCAACGAGTTCTGGGTGTTTCTGGGTCAAGATATGGACGGGAATGCCACGTCTTCCAACAGTACTTCCAGCATCACTTCCGTCGCCAGTACAAGCACTGCAGCTCCCTCTCATGGGACTTCGGCTGCCTCACCCACCCGTTTGACCGAGGCTACGAGCAGTCAGGGTCCCTTCCCAACCACACCATATCCGAGCGAACCAACAGGAGGAGCATCCTGGACTGGCACAAAACCGGCGAGACTACGTCGCGCGGCTACGACGAATGCCGGCGCGTACGAGTTCCCCAAGCTGGTGAAGATGGTGGAGAAGCGTAAGCCTGACAACAACGTGCAACCATATTGTCAGCAGATGCAAGTGCTCAACAACTGGCAAATCGTGCCGATCCCCACTGTACCGACCATTGCCATTGAAGAAAGCGACTACGGTCCTGCATCCGCCACGGCTGGAAGCAAGATGGCGATGCGCCGCCAAGCGGGAGATACAATTCAACAGCTCGGGTCGAATTGCATTTGTGAGTGGTTCAGTGATTGATCTGTCACGCTGGAACGAGAGGAATAGGATAGGCTTGGACGGGGCCTCTTTTGTCGCTTATGTGTCTATGAGCTTACGATATTGTGCTGCTGGTCGTATACGGAGTTTGTTTTGCTGGTGTGGTGCCTCGATGTACGTGGGTGGGCATGGGGGCAACACTGGACGCTTGGGTCGGTATATCTATTGGGTCGATTTCTGCGTCCTGTTCAAGTACCTGAGCGAAGAGCTCTCAGTCTGCTTGATGGGAAGCGGATGGCGAAGGCACAGGTGATGGGAAACATGGGTGAATATATTCTATCTTATGTGCTAGATATCTAGGGATGTTCCGTGTCATTAGGCCATGGAGCTCTGGAAGGGAAAACGACGCACACATTTGACAATGGCAGTCTTCTTTTGGATATTGTTACTTTCCTGCTTGCCCACCTATGTCAGTAGTTGAGAGTCACCGCTGGTCCTTCTGGCGCGTGGGGTGGTCTGGTGGTTACGGTTCCCGGGGAGGTGGAGAATCGTACCATAACATTGACAAAGTATCTCATATTGGTGACGGGAGATCTTGTCTACTGTCTAGGTTGTAGTCACTGAGTTGCGTTGATCAGTCAGGGCTGCCTTTAAAGTGGTCGTGAGGCTGAGGCTGTCGAATCCGAAGGGCGACAGATGATTGGATGTGATCCAGGTCTTGGCATCATTTGGATCATGATGGGGAACTTTTCCAACTTTCGCGCCGTCGTCGTCGTCGTTGTCGTCATCGCCTCCACCGTTCACTCCTTGAGACGAATGTTTTGTTTTGTGTTCAGCATCGATGATGTCTGTGAGATGGAGTCCGGAATAGCATTGAACCTTCACTCCCAAACCAACGAGTTGTTATTGCGGTTGTTGTAACATACAATGCCGCCCCGAAACAAGCATTTCCGACGGCACGAACCTTTCCAGCATGACAAGACTTTGACGTTGGAGCGTGCCGAGGGGCCAGTTGGCTGGTTCAATCCCACCAGGGCCCATTTTCTCTATCCGGTCCGATCTAGATTGAAAGACGGCGCTGAGACTGGCCACACGAGCGACGAGTCTCCTCACGAATCACATCAAAACATCGCCAGCCAGCCTGAAGCGACGCAGCCTGCGAAGACGGTCAAGTTTCTTTGGCGGTCGCGCGATAATCGCAAGGGCCGACATGCTCTACTCGTGCGGAGACCGGCGCCTGGCGAAGAGTCTCATTTTGTGACGCCGCGCTGCACGTCCGACCCAAGCGAAGTGCTCAAGAACGTGGTGCGAACGTTCACTTATTTTCCTATATGGGATATCTCTTGGCTGGTAGCATTCATTTTCACTTGGGGAAGTGTGGTCTGGGTGTTGAATGTAAGGACGAGCCAGACTTTGCATCGAAAGAGAAATCCAGAAGTGGCTGACCGGAGTAAACAGGGTTTCTTTGCATGGTTGCCCCTCGAGGCGCCGTCGACCGAGTTTCACAATGAGATCCTCTATGGGGGTGGTATCACAGCATTCATCGGCGCCATTGTCTTTTTCGAAACGGGATCGATTCTTCTGATTTTCGAAGCCGTAAATGCTGACAACACAGGCTGTTTCGGCTGGGCCGTCGAACAGCTCATCGACGAACAACATGGCGGCAAACCCAAGCTGCATCTCACCGCCAGCCGACACAACTGTCGACATCATCACCAGAACCGGCACAATTTCGTGGGCAAGGGCGCCAACATCTTGACTAAAAGCTTTGGGCTGGAGGAAGAGAAGTCGGTGCAAAAGCGGCAATGGCAATGGTTTCCGTCATGGCATGATCTTCGCACCCATTACATATATGAGCTCGGCTTTCTGGCTGGCGTTGCGCAATTGTTTGGGGCCACCGTCTTTGGAGTCTCCGGAATAACTGCCCTTCCCGGCATCAATAATCATCTGACCCATCAGTATGCCCTCAACGGGGCGTATTGGATCCCCCAGGTCATCGGGGGCAGTGGGTTCATTGCCAGCAGTATACTGTACCTGCTCGAAACACAACAAAAGTGGTACATCCCTGCATTGAAGATCCTGGGCTGGCATATCGCGTTTTGGAACCTCATTGGAGCCATTGGGTTCACGCTCTGCGGTGCATTGGGAATGGCCTATGGGAACTCGGGGGCCCAGTACCAGGCGAGTCTGTCCACTTTTTGGTGAGTTGCGTCTCCGGCACACCCAAGCCATGGTTGGGGATTATGCAGTGATGGGCTAACTTGGATCAGGGGTTCATGGGCTTTCTTGATTGGGAGTTACCTGCAACTGTACGAGAGCTTGGATAAACATCCGGTCGAGGAAGAAAAAGTCTGAAATTCTTCCTGGGTAAGAAAATCCAGAAGACTCGGCCTTGAGCAACGAAAGCCGCTCAGGAGTTTGGTCCATATGTACAATGTAACAACCATGTCTGCATTATCTGGGAGGAGATCTGAATGCATCAGAATGCATCTGCATGGTCCGGTCCGGCCACACGCTGCATAAGGAACGGAAAAGCAAAGTCAATCAGGTATTTTGGCTAGCAATTGGCAGATGTACTGCGATCTGGAGATACTTCATATATGTTAAGATATCACATTTTATTTCGGGTGCGCCTGTGCATTTCCGCGGCTGAGAACCCTCCTTTCTGCTCTACTACTAGCATATCATGGGATGTCGGAGCGGTGACGGGTAAGGGCTTCTCAGCCTTGCGTGAAAGGCGAAAGACACGGACGAGGCTCCGAGAAAACGGGTGAAATTGCCTCGGCTCAAGTGTCATTTCCCGTCATTTCCCCCAGACACTTCGCTCTCCACAGCTGAGTCCCTCATTCCTCTTCAATGACCTGCGTCCCCGAACTATGTGATTGATTCTACTTACAACTCTTGACCTTGTGCTCTTGATCTTCCCGCCTCGTCTCCACGAGTCATCTATACCTTCGCCACACCGATACACACAAACAACACGTCATGGCGCAACGAGCACAGCAGATCGCCGGCCATCTCAATTACCCTACGGGCCTCCTAGCCGGCCAGACTGCGATTGTAAGAAACCCGCCATCCAACCCAAGAGATACTCTGCAGTTCTCTTGGGTTTTCATCTTTCTTTCTTTCTTTTTTCTTGGTGGTCCACATGCTTATCATTGGTCCAGATCACCGGCTCCGGCCAAGGCATCGGGGCGGAATGCGCGCGGCTATTTGCCAACGAAGGCGCCAAAGTGGTAGTGTGCGACGTCGACAGCTCCCGGTCCGAGGCGATGGCGAAAACGATCAACGATGCCGGCGCCAACCGGGCCATCTCTGTGCCGGGCGACGTGACGGACCCGAACTACATCAAAGTGCTGGTCAAGAAGGCGGCCGAGTTCGGCAACGGCAAGATCCATATCATCGTCAACAATGCCGGGTACACGTGGGACGGGGTGATCCACAAGATCACCGACAAGCAGTGGGACACGATCTTGAACGTGCACAACACGGCGCCCTTCCGGCTCATTCGTGAGGCCGCGCCCTATTTCCGGGTCAAGGACGGCGAGCCCAGGGTCATTATCAACGTCAGCAGTACGAGCGGGACACATGGCAATGCCGGGCAGGCGAATTACAGTCTGGCCAAGGCCGGGGTGACGGGGTTGACCAAGACGATTGCGAAGGAATGGGGACCTCAGGTATGTTTATGCTCGAAGCTGGCTCTGATTTGATTCGATTGCATGTTCGTGTTTGTCTCTGTCTATTCGACTTCTTATCTGTGTTGCAAGATCTGCTGTTTCTTGTGGTTCTTTGAATACTTTTGTTTCTTTTTGGCTGATTGCCCGACCCCGACTGGGTCTTTTGTAGTTCGGCGTTCGTGCCAACACTGTTGCCTTTGGGCACATCAACACACGTCTGACCCAGGCCAAGGAGGCCGGGGCTTTCATCACCACCGCCGACGGCCAGCGGGTGGCGCTGGGGATTCCGGGCAAGCAGGTCGCCGACCGCAAGGGCGGCGAGGAGAATGCGTACAAGGATATCCCGCTTGGACGGCCGGGGAGCGCGACGGAGGCTGCCAGCGCCGTGTTGGCCATTTGCTCGCCCCTGTTTTCCTATGTCAATGGCCAGACTATCGAGGTTACCGGTGGCCGGAATATATAGACCCTATGCGCAGGATGAGAGGACGGTTGATGATCCAAGCCGGGCTGGAAAGGATATTATGGATAGTTGGCATGTCCTGACTACTAAATAGGCTGCGGCATCGTTGGATTCTGTACTATCCCTGACCAAGCTATGTGTTGAGCCGCAATCGAAACGTATATCTTGTCTGACTTTGTACATCTTACAGTAGGGCACTCCGGGTGAGGAGGGCGTAGCAATATCCATGCCCTGACAGATGGGATGCTCGCAGGGATGAAGCGACCTCGGAATTGAGCCGCCATACTCTGTACGCTATGCTAAAAGCACTTACTACAGATCGTCAAGCCTGGCCCGGTCGATTCCCTAGATAGGCAGGCAATCTGTCTGTCCATTCCCGATTCGGGAACCGGCCCCACACACAGAAACAGTCCTCGATTTGCGGCACTTCATCTCTTTCTCTTTTTCTCTTTCTCTCTCTCTCTCTCTCTCCTCAATCTCCCTCTTCTTCGGGAGGCAAGTCAGAACCAGCTTCCCCGTGGGGGCTACCGGACACACTTATCCCCAGGAGATTTGTTGTTGCTTACCTACATTGTTTGACGTGTCTGGACAATGGAGAGGCAAGCCAATCACTCTGACTCCCCAAAAGAGATGGAAGTCAACGTCGACATCGAAGGCAGTCCCGCCACCTTTGAATTGGACAAGATCGCACCCACTGTGGCCATCGGCGCCCCCTTGACACCGGTCGAGTCGGACCCCTACGGCACGCGACCGGCGTGTTTCAGCAGCCTTCTTCAAGAATGTCTGTTTGTGCTCACGACAACCGTTGCGGTCGGGCAAAGCTCCATCTTCACGGGAGCGATTCTCTGCATGACCAACTACATCGCGTCGGACCTGGACATGACGGCGGCGGAAGTAACATGGATCAACGCCGCGCAGACTCTGGCGGCGGGCACGTTCCTGCTCTTCTTCGGGCGGGTGGCGGATCTGTTTGGGCGGCGGGCGTTGTTTCTGGCCAGCCTGGCCTTTTTCAGCGCGTGTCTGCTCATCGCGGGGTTCGCTACAAACGCCATCTACATGGACGTCTTCTGCGGCCTGCTTGGGCTCAGCTCGGCGGCCTCGGTGCCGCCGGCGATCGGCAAACTCGGCGCCGTGTACGACAAACCGTCCCGACGCAAGAATCGTGCGTTCGCCTGCTTCAGCGCCGGCAACCCTGTCGGCATGGTGCTGGGTGCGTTCATCTCGGGCGTGGCGATGCAGATCTCGACGTGGCGGGCAGCGTTTTGGACCATGTCGGTCATCTATGCTTTCTTCACGCTCGCCGCGTGGTGGACCACGCCGCCAGACAGTGAACAGAGTCTGGGAGGATTGAACATGCAGACGTTCGTCAAGTTCGATCTGCTGGGCGCGCTGCTCGCCGTGGCTGGGATTGCCATGTTCACGGCATCCATGACGCTGGCGGGCGACGCCCCGGAGGGCTGGAAGACCCCATACGTGATTGCATTGTTGGTGGTGGGACTGGTGTTGATTGCCGGGTTCATCTACTGGCAGAGTGTCTTTCGGTACCCGTTGATGCCCCTGAAGGTCTGGAACGACCGGAACTTCACGCTGGTCGTGGTGGTGCTGTGTTTGGGCTTCTACGGATTTGCCGGCAACCTGTTCTGGCTCACCCTGATGTGGCAGCGGATCGACGGATTGTCACCCCTGATGAATGCCGTCCATCTTCTCCCTGCTGGCATCGGCGGTGTCTTGGTCAATGTCATGGCGGCGGTGATCATGCATCGCATCAGCAATAAGGTCATTATGGTGGTCGGGGCGGTCAGTTCGGCGATTGCCTGTGCCTTGTTCAGTGCCATGTTCACGTCGATCTCCTACTGGGCTCTGGCTTTTCCCGCCTTGTTGTTCAGCGTGCTGTCGCAGGACCTGGAGTTTACCGTCACAAACATGTATGTCATGTCCAGTCTTCCTCGAGACCAACAGTCTGTGGCGGGAGGTCTGTTCAATACCGTCACCCGGCTCAGTGTGACCGTGGGGTTGGGGGTCCAGACAAGCGTGTTCAATGGTGCTGGCGGAGCTGTGCAGGGCAGAGGGGCAGTCTTGTACAGACCATATCAAGCCACTTTCTGGGTGTCGTTGGTAGGATCCGTTCTGGCGCTGTTTTTGGTGCCTTTTCTCACCATCGGCCGGCAGGGAGGTGGGCATAAAAAGGGGTTGAACAGGTCGCAGAGACATCAGGATTGAACGGCCCATCAGAAGAGAATAGAAGGTCTATACTTTATTCCATGCAACATTGGACATGTCTGATGTCTCAGGTTGTAGATACCACAGCAGTCTACCTCCCATAAGTAAGCAAAGGAGCGTTGTTGGGTCGGAGACTAAGCAAGGCTGCGTGAGCCAGGGGTCGGCCAGATTGGGACACCAGCTTCACTGGTCAGGGGGGGTAGTATGCACCAGGCAGGGGCTGTCCCCGGTGATGTTTCCAGCATTGGATATCGCAGGCCAGGATGAGATAAATATAGATGAAGACATTGCGCCTATTGTGTATAGATCGATCAATGCAGACTGTCACAGCGATAGTGCGCCCGGACCATACTAGTACCTAGGTGATAAGGCGTCAGCTATTCACTCTTTTCATCATAGGAGTTTTGTTTGAGACAGTATGAGACCTGCAGTGAGAGACTCTTCCACAATTAGAAGGATTGGTTCGGCAGGGAGAGAGAGAGGGCATGATCTATCTATATCACTCGCATAGCGTCATGAAGGCCGAGCAGCAGAGCGTTCAAATGAGGAAATGCAGCGGGAGTCAATTCATCAATTCACCTCTGTACCCAATTTGCTCCTCTGCAGCCATCGACTGCCACACCGCGTTGAGGCTGATGAGAATCCTGGTCTAACTCGATGTTCTCCTGGCGGCCGCCCATGATCTACTCATCCGCTGGTGGCCGTTGGACATCCTTGTCTGTGTTAACCCTGAATATGGCCGGGTTTGTTTCACCTTCGCGCTGCCACGGCCGCCACATCCAATCGGCACCAGCAACAGTTCCCTTTCGGAGTCGGAACGACATCGACAACGAAACAAGACAGGCCCCAAGCCAGAGCCTGAGCCCGAGTCAGACGGCCCCTGGATAGTAGAGGTACGTCCTGTCTTTGTCTCTGGATAGATCCAACGACTGATGATTGACCAAATAGACACGAACATTGTCACTCCTCCATTGTCACCGCTTGACCGAAGTCCGAGTTCACGACCGCGATCAGATCAGATCACAGAGCCTCACCCTCCTAAACGGCCTACAAGACTACAATAGCGACTCATCCTTCGTAATGAAGTCCCCTATGACTCCCAGTCACCAACCTGCCGCAGTTGCAGCGTCCAGAAGAGAACATTCCTGAGACCGCAGCGTACGGCGCCGGCACAGGCACAGCACAAATATGTGGAGGAGAAACAACAATCACACGGACCCTCAGATGGGCTACCAGACATACTCGGAGCCAACAATGGACGAGCGGTATTTGGAAACAATCCCAGAGGTTGAGTCGTTGTACAGTCGGCGCAGTAGTGTTGCGACCAATCTTCCCGAACTGCCATTGTACGTGCTGTCTCCGCTCCTGTTCTGTTCCGTCTTGTCCTGTCTTGTTCTGTCTGTCGCGCTATATACAGAAGTGCTGTCGCTGTCATACTGATTACTGTCTGCAGTCGCGCTGTTCCTCCCATGACGGAAGAGGAGTACGCCTATTCCAACTCCAACGAGATTGTCTCTCCTACGATCAACACCACCTTCTATTCTCAACAGCATCCTTCTTCGATCCCTTCACATACACGATCTGAATCCGGTCAGCAATCCAATGTCTCGCCGATCAGTACGCAAGAATCATTCCATGCCAACGGCTCAGATGCGTCTCTAGTGTCTCCAATCGAAGCGTCCTTCCCAACCCCTACTCAACAGATGCACTCGGAGAAGTCGACATCCCGGAGTCAGATCCCGCGGAAACTCCCCGTCCCAGAGACGCAAAAGTCTCCAGACGATACTAGTATACCGAAGAAATGGTCACTACGCGAGAGGACCGATGGAGAGACACGGTGGGATGAATATTCGGGAGAGCCAAATCAGGCGGGGAAGCCTCCATCCGTCAGGCCAGGCGCGCAACCCCCCCTGGAACATCAGTATCCTCAACTCAAGGAACGAACGCGGCAGATCTTGGCAGGGCTCAGAGAGCGCGAGGCCGTCAAGAAAGCCACATGGGGAACACCCGTTTCTGAACCGGACGAATCTGATCCTCTGGACAATCCGGTACAGCGTCCGCCTTGGAAAGGCGCAAGTGGGCGACACGCCATTGTCGAACCGGTCAAAAACACTCCGTCGGCTCGAATACGGCCGTTGGCCCTACAACGGCGCCGCCAGAAGAAGGGTGGTGAAACAGCAGAATCAGAGACAGGAAGAAGTGTAACCCCTGAACAAGCCGAACACACTCCAAGGTCTCCTATCGACGCTGTCTCTGTCGCCGCTTCAAAACTCTCGACCATCAAGCCAAGTGTATCTGAAGAAAGCATCAAGCCTGTCGTCCCGCTCAAGTTGCGAAATACACCCCGCGTCCTATCTCCGACGCAAAACACCCTGTCACTCGACAGTCCATTCCAGAGTCCGAGCCAAGTTTGGGGAGTGCGTGAGATATCTGCAAGTCCTGCTCCCAGCACCAGCACCGTCCAAGAAAACGGAGCCGATAGCCCTACCCTTGGCACGACACCGGGGAACGTCGCTGCAGATATGGGAAGCCGTGGCAGCGCAGAGTCTGTCGAAACCACGATAACACAGCACCAACAACCCACAATCCAGCGTGAACAAGACACCACATCCAGCTGGAACACCTACACAACCACAACCACCACCGACACGAACAATATCATACCCTCCAGTCCAACCCCACACGCCCAGCTCACAAGCAGTCCCGACTCGATCTCATCCAAGTCTTGGAGCACAACAAACGCACCAGTATCCGTACCCGACCCGATCGTGCTCCGCAAACGAGTGGCCGCGAACAATAGCGGCCGCCACAAAAGCCACATCAACCACAGCTACTACGCCAGCACCAACAGCAGCACCAACAGCATCTCGCCCTTCTCCACCACGACCAGTCGAAGATCCAGCGGCGCCACGATCCTCCGCAAAGCGATTGGCAAAAACGATCTAGAACCAGACAAAAACGACAATAGCAGTACTAGTCCACATCCACCAGTCCACGACAAACCACGCGCCGTGAGTCTCATGTCGGGTCTCTCCTCCGGCACCGGCACCGGCACCGGCAAATCTCTACCCCCAACCCCAAGTGAACTAGAAGCCGCAGACAAGGCGGCGAGTCTCCAAGCGCGCCTGGATGACCTGTCGCGCCGGAAACGGAATCTGAACAAGATCATCGCCGAGCTGCGCGACTCGTTGAAGAGAAACGCCATCGTCTACGACGCCCGCAAACGCAAGGAGGTCGACAAGATGATCATCAACCTCAACCTGGAGTTGCAGGACATCACCAATGAGGAACATGAAACCGCGCTGAGGCTGCATCGCGTGCGCAAACGGAGGGATAAAGACGATTTCTATGAAGAGCCGACTGGTCTGTGGATCAAGCGGGTTACAACTTAGGTCTGGTTGGGTTTGACTGGAGACAAACCTTGACACTGGTTGAACTGGTTGACTTGAGATGGCTTCACATATGTTGAACTGCTTGACTGGAGTTGTCTTGACTTGACTTGACACCACATGTTGAACTTAACTGCATTGAGTCGACTCAGCCAACACCTGGGATGGACTATGCCATAGACTACTGTGCTGTGTTGGCTCAAATCGAAGTCGACTTGGACTTTGTGATTTTCTACTTCCTGTATTATTTTCCCTTCTCTAAGACCAAAGTCGGCATAACATACCTACACCTTACTACCCTTACTAAGGTACCTAGGTATCTATCCAGTACAGGACAATAAAGTACCAAAAGTACCTACCTGACGGCTTCCCTTCCGCTGCGATCATGTGTTCAATTGGAGATTGAGATTGAGGATTCTCCTTGAGATTGAGATTGAAATTGAAATTGAAATTGAAATTGAAATTGAAATTGAAATTGAGGATTCTCCCTCTTCTTAAATCCTTTCCTGAGATTGGGGGGGTTTCTAACTTGAACTTGGATCGATGCTCTACTTGAACTTCATGCGGATCGAGTCTCTTGCTAAACAACTCACTGGGAAGTAAGGTATTTGACTGAAGTTAGTATGGATCAGATCTCGGGTTTAAGATCCATAAGATTCGTGTCAGGCTTTCGTTGACACACAATATACGAGACACAGACTCATGGCCTTTTGGATGGGCAGACAGACAGACAAATAGACAGACAAGCATCCAGGCAGAGGAGCAGGGAGACAGAGGAGCAGGCAGACAGAGAAGCAGACAGAGAAGCAGACAGAGAAGCAGACAGAGAAGCAGGCAGAGAAGCAGGCAGAGAAGCAGACAGAGAAGCAGACAGAGAAGCAGGCAGAGAAGCAAGACTCTTCCGTTAGATAGATAGGATTCAACCATCATCCAATACCACTGAACGAGCAGTATACTCTCTATCTAGGTTATGTCGCTCGCTCGCTTACTGATTCTGGATGTTCAACAAATGGCTTCGGTATCGAAGTAGAATGTTTCGCCTTCTTCGTATTGCCTGCCCACTTCTCGACACGAGCGCCATGGACAGACCAAGACACTCTATTGTATAAGGAATTCGGTTCGGTTCGGTAAACAGTTCGGTAAACACTGCGGCACCAAGTGACAATCAAAGTCATGCCATGCTGCCATTCGTTGAACCTCTTGTCCGGTCCTTCACGCTTCAAGTTTGGTTCACGGGATGGTGGGTGGGTCGAGAACAGATAGTATTCCTGCTGAAATGTCCTGCCTTGTCTAAGGTACTTTCTGCCCCTGCTCTTCAGTCGAGTCTCTATCGTTCGACAGAGGAGACTGTTGGGAACAGAACATGACCATCATGAGACTAAGGTAGACAATGCCGACCAGCAAACCCAGCGACAACGCCAACTTGAATCGCTGCATATCAAGTCCCCAGCAGCCCAATAACACCCGTTCAATATCAATATCAATATCAATATCCATATCCCCAAACCCGGATCGCCAAGTCACGCCTCGCAGAACGCAATACACACACTCATCAACCCATTCCATGCTCGAAACGTCGTGTCATGTATGCCGCTTCCAGCCATGCAACCATTGTAAAAGAATTCGTCTTCGTATGCATCCGTAACCCATGATGATCGTTCTTCAAATGTAATGGCGCCCGCAATGCACTGGTGGTAAAAAACAACAGGATCCACGCAAAAGCACAGCTTGGCAAGTTCGCCCTTCAGATCGAAGAGATCACAGAAGTAGCTTTTGCAGATCCTTGAATTTCTGCAACGACAAACGTCAGTACAAAGATCGAAGACGAACAGTGACTTCCAAGAGCGACGAGAGGGGTGGGAAAACTTACTATTGGCTTGCTCAAGAAATGATCAAATCCAGCCTGGTACGCTTCATTCTGGGCGCTTTCAGTGCCCAACCCCGTCAAGGCAATGATCTGGGTCGGCCGTTCGACCCGTTGTTCCTTTTCGAATTTGCGGATCTCCCTGGTCGCCACAATGCCGTTCATGACCGGCATGGAAATGTCCATGAGGATGTATTTGAATGCATGTCGGCCGCCATCCTCCAAGACACTTCTCCTGTAGGCTTCCAACGCCTTTTCGCCGTCGGTTGCCGACTGGTGAGGATGGTTGGTTTTCCGTACAAATGTGACCAGGAGATGTAAATTGATGTGATTGTCATCAACCACCAGTACTCTGGCCTTCTCCTTCTTGTCGACGGGTCGAGCCGACCAATCCGAGTCCCTGTCAGTTGTAGATTGATCGGGTGTCAAAGGTGGCTCTCTTGGTCTGGCCGTGTCACGACTTGACTTGCTCTTCTTCTCCATCTCCTTCTCCCCCTCTCTCAGCTCCCCCTCAGTTGAACCCTGGGTTTTGACGGCGTCGGCCGAGGATACGGTAGCCAGGTCCGCGGGACCTCCATGTCCCATGGACATAGAGACCTGCCCCTTTGAGCCGGCCGAATCACTGTCGCCAAGCAGCTTCATCCTTCGCATACATCGCTGCAGGACTTTGGCCAGCTTTTGTGGCCCGCACGGCTGAGCGATCACCTCGATAATGCGGCCAATATCTGTGAGTCGGTGGATGCCATGAGATCTGAGACTGGCAGCTTCGAAGGCGTTGGTACATAGAACAATGACGGGAATCTCTCGACTCGACGCGGTCCGGCCATGACGGTCCATCAAGTAGTCAATGGGAGGTGGTTCGGGGTAGACAAAGAAGTTCGGTGCATCGCCCTCCATGTTCGGCGCACAACGAACCTTCATCCCAAACCACCGCTCCATGCACGTTCGAATGCAGTCCTCCACGGTCGGCAGAGGTCGGAGGGTACGAGGTGCGTCATCGTCATCGGACCTGACGAAGTCTGGTAACAGCATGCACAAGTCGAGGCCTTTCGTCAGCGCGCGTACCTGGGTGACGACGTTTGTCTCCGAATCGGCAGTCTCCTCTTTGAGGCTTTTCGGGAGACTCAACCATATCCTGATCTCGGTGCCAACATCTTTTTCGCTGGACAGATCGATCTTCCCCTTGAGCGAATCAACGATTTGGCGGACAATGCTCAGTCCAAGGCCCGTACCCGAGGCCAGCGAGTCCTCCTGGGAAAAAGCCGTGAAAGCATGGTTCTTCATAAACTCTCCCGACATGCCTCTTCCAGTGTCGGTGACTTTGAGAAGCACGTGCAGATTCGACGAACTCTTCTTGCGGGATTCGTCCAGTTCCAATGCCACATTGATACTGCCCTTGCTCGTGTACTTCAATGCATTTCCCAAGACGTTCATGACGATGCGCCGGATGGCACCAGGCTGGGACCTGACTTTCCAATTCGGGAAGTTGTCGATGTTCAGCGTCAGTCGCACCCGGCTCGAGCTTGCGGCAGAAACTTTACTAATGCTTTCTTTGGCCGCTTGCCGGCTCCGCATCGCGCGATCGGCAGCCGTTTGCTCGCCCGGTCCCCTTGCTGACAATCCATCGGCATTGGCCGTGCGGAACACCTGCCCCGCGTAGACGGCTTCGACAGCCTCTTCCACCACTATAGCCATATCAAAGTCTTCGACCAGACTGCTGTCCGAGCTCGAGGGTTGCGCATTTCCCTGAGTCCCCGGCGAGCCCGGGCGAAGCGAACCACCCTTGGAAAGGCTGTTGATTTTGGCGTAATCCAAAACATGGTTCACTGTATCCAGTAAAGTCTTCCCACAGGTCTCGACGGAGATGACCATACTTGACTGGAAGTCATCCATGGGAGTGTCATGAAGAAATTCGATGCTTCCCAAAATACCATGCAAAGGCGAACGAAGCTCGTGGGAAATGTTGGCCAGAAACGTCGCTTTGGCGGTATCCGACAGAGCAAGGTTGATCCGGTTGACCTCGTTCATGACAGCATTGTTGAACGCCTTCAGATAAGAAAGGTCATCTTGGATATTGGTCATTCGGTTCGCATCGTGCGACCAAATCACCATCCCAGAGTGCCAGCGCCCCTTGGCAAAATCCCAGAGGGGTAAGAAGACAATCTTCCTGGCGCCAGGGAATGCCCTCAGAAGAGCATTTGTGGTCGGGATATGTCGCGGTCCCTTCGAAGGTTGTCCCGCCTCTGTTAGCTCTTCAGGGACGGTAGAAGCGGAATCGGATGTCTCGTCACTCGACGCCGGCTTGCCATATTCGTCAAACGCGAAACATCTTCCCTGGGGATTACGGCGCACGAATCGACGCACCGTCTGCTCTGGAATCCTGATGACGCGTTCGGAATCGGCGGGCGAAATCCCCAGCACCTCACACCTCTGGCGCATAGGTCGGCTGGAGGAAGACTCGGGACCACTTCTTGCGGTGCTACTGGAAGAGTTCGAGTCGCTGGACTCATGGGACGCTGATTCACGCTGACCACCATCTGCACTCGACTCCCGAGAGCTCTGGCGAGCTTTATGCCGAGCCTCTCGGTCAGTGGCCCTCTTGTCCTTGGTTTTTGAATGGTGCATCATGGCCACAGCCAAGCCGGCATGCTTCATATTGGACCCTGAGCTTAAGTTGGCCGAGCTCGCATTCACATACGCCACCCCGTCGACACCCAAGCACTCCCGAAGTATGGCGGCAGCACGATCGAAAACGTGCAGGGAATCCGAAAGAGCCTTCTCTTTGACCGCCGCGGAGCGTCTCTGCGCGCGTAGTCGTCGTGGATCTGGACCGATAGTGTCATTTTGTACGACCCCTAGATCCTTTCGTCTCTGGAGCTCGTTCAACAGGCCATCGTCTTTGAGGTCGTGGTCATCTCCCGGAGCTGTAGGCTCATCTTCAGGAGGGCCGCCGTGACCGTCGTCTAGTCCTATGCTCCCGTTGGCCATTCCATTCGGCTCTGGGAGCTTGGCATTTGCAGGCGAGGTCGGTGGTTCAGACCCTACAGCGTCGTGTGCAGCAGCGGCCTGCCCGAGCGATGGAGGAGGATGGGCTTGGAATGCCGGGTCGATCAAAGACACTTCTTCTGTAATGTCACCCTCTATGAAAGTACCAATGCCTTGAATTAGGCTCTCCCCTCGCGCTCTGGCCCGGTCGTTCTTGACCACTTCCAAATGTTGGACCACGATAGTGGCCATGTCGGTCATGAAACGGAGCTGGTCAGGTAACAGTCCCGCGCGAGGCTTGTCGTCCGTCACAGTGTATACTCCAATGACATGGCCCAGCTTGGTGGTAATGGGAACACCACAGTAGAATGACACGCCTCGTCCGGCATACTCTCGAGACTTATATTTTTCATGCGTGGAAAGATCGGGCACCACCAACGCCGGAGCACTGTGAGAAGCTCCATCTGGGCCCTGGGCGGTATAAGTGTCGGGGTACATTGCGTCGGCCGAGACCCCTTTCTCACGTGCTATATATGTGTTTCCGAACCAGAGTGCATCCCCCGGCTCATGCTGGGAGTCATCCATCAAAGACAGTGATTTTGTAGCCTCGGCGATGATATATTGCTTCGAGCTATCGAACAAAGTGACCACTCCTCTTTTGGCCTGCAGCCGAAGACAACCCAGTTGGGCAAACGCAGTCAGAGCCTTGTCCCGTGAGGACCGCGGGACCGAATCCTCGGGGGCATGGTTTGGAGGTAGGTGCAGCGTGGGCTTCAAATCGAACTTCAAGTCGGCCGAAATGAAAGTCTCAAGCCATGGCTTGTAATACCTGAGGGCCCATGTCAATATGATGCTGCAAATGCAGGCTGTCTTCCGACCTACCTATGCATATCACGCTCTCGGGCGCCTTCACGAGCCATGGTGGTCAGTAAGTGCTTGTCAAGAGCCTTTGCACGGGGTCAGACTCTCCAACTCCCAGCGTGACCAGGCTCCGTTTCTGATCGGGTGTTTATGGACTCGTGAGGCGAAACTGCATTCATCCTGTGCAAAAAAGAGAACCTAAAGATCAAATGAAGATTCCAGAGTGGCTCTGCACTACCAGTAGGTTCGTGGGTAGGGGTTGAGGTGATGGCGCAGGCAGTGAAAGGGAGCGGAGAACTTGAAGGGGACTGGCGACAAGCTCGTGGTTGGATGTATGAGAAGCAGAAGCAGAAGCAGCGGCACGGCTGTCGGTGGGTTCCTCAGCCTGGGAGTCGAAGGGTCCCTGTGGAAGTCGATCAGAAGTTGAAGGGCATGGAGATGTTTCCTGTGCATCGTCTACTACTACTCTGTACCTCGATCTCTGACATGGGGCGGGCTGGACTGGGTTCCTCATGCCTGTCACTGACCTAGGATACCCTGTGAGAGGCCAAGGATGCCTGGGGACCGCGGGAATGGGGACAAGTCATGAGCAAAACCAGTGGCAGTGGCAGGCAGATCGGCTGGAGGTGCAAGGGGCCGGGGTGCGAAAACTGGAATTTACGAGGCCCAGAACGCTCCATGCAGTCAGTGGCCATAACAAACGGGTCGAGCGGCCGGGTGTAGAATCCCTGCCAGATCCAATGGGATCTCGTGATCTCCATCCCAGATGTCGATGTGCTGAGAGAAGAACACGTGATACATAGACTTAGTAGGAACAGCACTAACTGACTAGTGGCTCGTCAGACCTGCCATATGTAGTAGTACTATGCGGTGCAGTCCCTCGCCCCTCACTGCACTGCATTCAATTGGAATTCCTCTTCTGACTCTAAGTTCGACAGTATGGCTTTCTGTCAGTCTTGAGCATTGAGATTGACAGATCCGAGGTCGCAGCTTCACACCTTTCGTTACCGTGAGCCACAAGCACCTCCTTTGTTAGCGTGTACGGCTCTATTGTCGCGGTCAGCTGTCGAATATCCCGCGGTCACCACGCCACATCGAATTCGTCAGCAAGTGACCGCACTCGACGGCACCTTGACCTCATGGCGGTGGACGACCACACAACGACCTATTAGTATTTTCTACAACAGCACGCATTAACGCCATGGCTCCCGACAGGGGTCCTCACTCTCACTCTCGCTCTCGCTCTTCCTCTACCTCAGTCTCCGACCACGAAGACCATTCACGGTCGCTTCCCTCCTCATCAGCCGTCCTTGCGCGACCGGGTCAGCATCTCACTGCGCGAAACCGCTCCGACCATGCCTGCTATGCCGGCTCATCCACGGCCGACCCGGCCCTTGATGGAACCAACTTCACTTTGCGCGGGTTAGCGGTAGGCACAGGAATCGGTATAATCATTTGCTTTTCAAACACATACTTCGGTCTCCAGACAGGATGGGTCTCCGGTATGGCCATGCCGGCGTCCTTGATCGGATTCGCAGTCTTCAAGGCCCTCTCGCCGTATCTTGCCCTCCCCTTCACCCCCGTGGAGAATGTGCTGGTGCAGACGGTGGCGGGAGCTGTGGGAACAATGCCCTTGGGTCTGGGCTTCGTTGGGGTGATGCCGAGTCTGGAATTTCTTCTCACAAAGAGTGAAGGTGCACCGATAGACCTCAGCTTATGGAGACTCTTCGTCTGGGGCGTCGGTCTTTGCCTTTTTGGCGTCGTGTTTGCAGTTCCGCTGCGGAAGCAGGTCATCGTCCGCGAACGGCTGAAGTTCCCTAGCGGAACTGCCACCGCCCTCATGATCTCCGTCCTCCACGGAGGGGCTAAGAACGAAGGAAGCAAGTCCAGCGATATTGCAACGCAAGGCACCGAGGAACGCGAGGGGCTGCTGAGAGAGAGCGAACGAGACGACCAGACGAGCCGGTCAGATGAGCATGATGTCCGAGCTGACTGGAAGAAGCAGATCCGCCTTCTCGTTGTCGCCTTTTCCGGATCTGGAGTCTACACATTACTGCAGTATTTCGTTCCAGTCCTCCACAGATTACCCATTTTCGGCACGTATCTCGCGCACAACTGGGTATGGAACCTGAACCCGTCTCCAGCATATGTTGGCCAGGGCATCATTATGGGCCCGGCGACGACCTTCCACATGCTTCTCGGCGCCATCATTGGCTGGGCCATCCTCAGCCCAATAGCCAAGCACAACGGATGGGCCCCGGGACCTGTTGACGATTGGGAGACAGGAAGCAAAGGCTGGATTGTCTGGGTCAGTCTAGCAATCATGCTTGCCGACGCGATTGTGAACTTGGGCTGGCTACTGCTTCTGCCCACGATCAAGTATACCCCCAACTGGATCAGATCAGTGAAGGACTACTACCGCGCCAGTTCCTCCTGGGCTGACTTCCTGCCTGGGAGGCGTGTCGCGGGATATCTCTCGCTCGACACTTCCCCACGCGCGCAAACCCAAAAGCCGGCTGCGGATGACACCGACGAGCTTCCCAACGACGCACCACCAGAGCATCTGGTGTCCGGTCGCACCGTGGCCATTCTGCTACCACTGACTCTGGTCCTCTGCGTTATCTGCATCCACATCACCTTCGGGAGATACATCCCCATCAGCCTCAACATTCTCGCCATCCTCCTTGCACTAGTTCTGTCCATAATGGGCGTGCGTGCGCTGGGCGAAACAGACCTCAATCCAGTATCTGGCATATCGAAGCTAACCCAACTAGTCTTTGCCCTTATCACGCCCGCAGGCAAACACGCCAACCATGCAATTGTGATCAACCTCCTGGCCGGCGCCGTCAGTGAAGCTGGCGCATTACAGGCCGGCGACATACTTCAGGACCTGAAAGCCGGGCATTTGATCGGGGCGAGCCCTAAAGCCCAATTCTACGGACAGATGATTGGAAGTCTGGTGGGCGCGTTCGTCTCTGCTGCCGTCTACAAGCTCTATGTCTCGGTATACCAGATCCCCGGCGAACTGTTCGAGATCCCCACCGCGTATGTCTGGATCTTCACGGCCCGCCTCGTCACCGGGAAAGGGTTGCCGCCCATGGCATGGCAATGCTCGCTCGTTGCAGGGGCGGTTTTCGCCCTGACCACCTCCCTGCGGATCTACATGCTTGCATATCGCGACGAGAAGCCGTGGTGTCGCAAGTTCCATCCCTGGATTCCCGGCGGCATTGCGGTGGCGGTCGGCATGTACAATACGCCCAGTTTCACGCTGGCACGCACTGTCGGCGGCATCATCAGTTATTGGTGGGTCGGCTGGAAGCAGCGAAGCGAGACGAAAGTGATCGTGCTCGCCAGCGGCCTGATCCTTGGCGAGGGTGTCATGAGTATCGTCAATCTCGTGCTGGCGAGTCTGGGTGTGCCTCATCTGTGACTTGTTCGAGGTATATGGTCGCCCGCCACGGCCATGCCATCCACTCGCTCCAAACCTGTGGACTGTTGAAGTGGTGATCAGCGGAGGGCAATTGGTGGTGTAGCAGAGCTCTATCGACTGACCTACTGCGATGGCCTTTACATCAGGCGGAACAACGATTGTGAGGACGACATGAAAACATGAATCAGACTTATGGATGAGACGCCAGAGGTGGGTTCACCCCTCAGGTATGTGTATATATCATGCTCACTCTTCCAGTCGAGGACATTGTATGATTTATATGGAGAACAAAAGAAAAGAGCTGTCGTATTGAAGGTGATTCTGTACAGATACAGATGAACACACATATTATATATATCACATGCACATACTTGCACATACATATACATTTATAAGCTATATATATCTACCTATATATCATCTTCTGACATTACCTAATACCCATATCTCCGACGTCCAGAATTAAAATATTATAGAAAAGCAAACTCGACCAATCCGTCTACGACTCGCGCTTTCTTTGGCACGGAAGACTCAGGTACACCTTTTTGGTGAACGCCAATCTGTTTCCCTTCACGTGGTTGTTCATGTTCTAGGCCACCTATCAGGGAGACAAGCGGCAAGCCATCGGGCGTGGTTTGGCCAATGCCAGGCACGGCTTTAACACTGTGCCACCGTGGCTCGTGAATCCGTGAACGCTGATATGGGTCTGTATAGTTGTATCATGCTTCATCTCCAAACAGGTAACGTGGATTCGAGCCACGCGATTGTGCCGAAGAGGAAAACGTAAGTGGTGGCCTTTCGATGGAGAAAGTTGTGTTTGCTCCGACCGACCACGATCCCGCGTGTCGTGAGCTGTAAATCCAACTGGAACTCGAGTCCTCCTCGTGGCAGCATCAGAGCTGCATAGTCGCCGCGCAGGGCTTGTCGATGCCTGTACCCGGTCGTTGATCATCTCGAGCCTCGGGCCAGAATACCTGAACGTGCATTCCGCGAACCTTTGTTGTGATTCTCGTGCACAATTCAAACAGTTACATTTGTGGACATACACTGTGCCAGACCGTGTCGGCAACCATTTTGTTTTCGTTTCGAAGCAAGCAAGACTCGAATGTCAAGTTGTCAACTCGACATTGGCCACATCAAAGCGGCGATATGGACAACGGAGTCGTGTTGGGAATAAGGGTCATAGAGAAACCCTGACAGTAAGTCTTCAAGCGCCAGAAAATCGCGTAGCCCGAGTTGCACTGCAGCACCTCTAGCGATGTTGACGAACCAGTCGAGGTCATCTTTGTTGCCTGCTGAAACGCCTCCATAGACTACTACCCACAACAACAGGTCTGTGGCATGGGTCCAGAGATGATGGAGATCAGTACTCTCCAGCCTCCCCCGGAGCTTATGGCTGGACTTGGATGCTATCCTTCGGGCCAAGGCCGGTGATCTTGTCGTGGCCGTCCAGAGAGCCAGAGAAATTCTCAAGCTGTCGGTCTGACTGTCCATTTGGCAGTGTAAAGGCAATGAAAGGAGCCTGTTTTGGATTGCTAGAAGGCGCAGACTGAACCATTTGTAGTGCTCCGCGTCATAGTGAGCCACGCTTTCCAAGTGGGCTGACATCTTCACGACCTGGGTAAGATCGTAGAAGCTCTGAAACAACAGCCGACCATCGTGAAAAACGGCAAGCGTCGTGATGACTCTCGACCCTGCTTGAAGGACATGAAGATCCTGCGATTCAATCGCGACAAGAACATCGTCGGTCAGAGGACCAGGATCCCAGGTCTCAAGCAGCCGGGGGGCCTCGAGGTCCTTCAGGGCAGCATTGCAGTCGAGCAAGATCATCTTCTCGGCTTCGTAGTCGCTGAATGCGTCAAGACCTCCCAGAGCTTCCAACATAGAGATCAAAGCTTGGAAATGTGGTTCGGCCATCTCGTTGTTATCAGCATGAATTCCTGCACCGTACAACCTGTGCACGTCGATGGCGGTTCGTGGGTCCAGTCGCCCCGACGTCATTGTGGTCATCAAAGCCTGGATGGCTTTCGTTTTGAAGAAAGTGAGGACTCTCTGGTGGTCTCCTTCAGATGCGTCTGGCAATAGCAGTCGACCCTCCCGAGCAAGCATCTGTGTCGCAGATGATGCCAAAAATGCATACATATGTGCAGGCTCAGCCATACAAGCCTGCATATCTGCGTGAACTGATGACGCATGGCGAATACGACTCATTGGAACCTTCCTAGTATCTTTCCAGAACTTCTCTGGTAAAATGGTGGTATTGTAGTATTGAATTAAAGGCGGAGCCCATCTTTCCAAGAAACGAAGACCGTCAACCAACGGATAGGAAGGCCCACTGAAAGGCGTCGAAGAGCTTGCCACATTGCTTGTGATTATGGGCAGAGGAGTGACGTTCTGGGGTGGAAGTGTTGTATCGAAGGGTTGTCCTGGTCTGTAAGGCCAGGGCACATCGTAGATATCCTCTCGTTGTAGGGCTGTAGCTGTTGAGGGTGATGCAGGGCCGAAGATGTCAGGGGGTGAAGCCGAGAAATGCGGATACAACGGCTCTTGCAGTAAGATCGAGGACTGCAAGACCGGATCGATCGGGTCGACGCTGTATATAAAGTCGAAAGGGTCGCTCCCATGAGCCGGTCCTTCGCGGGTCGCGGGAGGGAGTCTAGAAGCAGCGCCTGCAATAGCAGGTCCTTGTGACGAGGATCCTGGTCTGCTTGGTCGCGTGGCGGTTGTGGATTGCTCTCGAAGCCGACGTTTACGGGCGAAATTCTGCCGTTGGACATGGCTTTGTTTTGTCCTGTCCAGCTCCGCATCTTTTGTGGTTCTCGTCACGCTGGACGCATCTTCATTGACAAACAAAAACCGAGAGCTGGGAGATACAGAGCGTCTTGGTTTAGGAGCCATGGATGCTTGATATTGCGTAAAGCCCCACCGTCTGTCGGTAGAACCCAACCACTGGATTTGCTGGATTAGGCAAGAGGCAAGGCTGTTTTGGTAATACACTTCTAGAAGGATGGTATCGCCTTACGGAGGATCCTTGTACAGAGACGACCCGACCTGCCAGTAGCCTCTGTGTAAGCAATCCCAAGACGCCTTGAATCCTCGCACTGTGGAAACAGATTCGAACAACCGGATGGCTGTCTCCTGTTCTGGATTAGATCGTTGCTGATACAGCTGCCTCCAATGTGATTGGCACCCTGGGCCCTGGTTCACCCACAACGGGGGCGACACTTTGGCAAGGGGTTGGCTGACTTGGGGCTTTTGTTGGTCGAACAGGTGTCGATATGCAGTGGCTCAGATCGATCTCGATAGTTCAAGTCCCTCTGCATGTCGGCGCTTTGCAAATATAAGAAGGGAAACCATGCCAACTCCAGTGATATGGCTGCTTTGATCTGATGTATGCACCACGTTCGAGGAGGGAGCTTGGTGCTTCACGCAAAGGGGGCATCTATATCATGCTATGTCGGCCCCAACGGAGTGCAGAGTAAAGGTAACATCGAGACAGGGCCCAGAGACCAGCCTCAATCTCGGTCCAGAGGGATTTGAAAGCATGAGGAGCACTACTATGGGTAGCATGTTTGGAAGCGCCTCGAAATACCTCGATGGCCGGGGTGTTTGCGTTGTCCCTGGAGACCTTGACTAAATCAAGCCACACCTAAAGGAGCAGCACCTACCTGTATGCACATGCATCTCTTAAGGCTGTAACAGCGTGTAAGAAAGCGCATGGCTACCATCGGCATCAAATCAAGACTATGACGCAGGTTTGAATGCCGAGGGAGGGCCGGAAGGATCATGTCCAAGCCAGGAGAATGCCGTGTGACAGACATGAAGAGTCCGGGGACAGACGTAGAACAAAGAACATCAAGAGAGAAGAGGAAGAACCGGGAGGCAGAATGATAGAAGGCTCAGCCGCCAGTCGCGGTTGCTATATTGCTAGCAGGAGTAGGTAGTGAAAACAAAGGTGCACTAGTCGAAAGAGGACTAGTTGAGAGAGATAGCACCGTTATCGTAAAGGTTCATGGTTTTAGTATTAGTAAGTGCTAACCAGAAAGGGTCTCACTCGGCAGAGCCATATCCTTGGCGAGACCATTTATGACTTCAACGTCAAACACAACGCACGTAACAAGACGGCCTATGCCAGCCAGTGGTATCCTTCTTCTTTGAATGGATGACATATCCTCGGTTTACCGCGGGCATGGCCTCAAGTCGTGACTCGCGAAGCATGAAACGTTTACTCAACACAAGCATTGATGGTCTGGGGGCTCCTGGTCTCTGGTCCCTGGCCCTGGGCGATAACTAATCATGCCAGTCTGCGTTGAGATACACAGCTGAAGACCTGTGAAGGTTCTTGGGAAACCTTACCTCATCGTGCATCGACAAAACCCCGAACACGATATGCGCAGCCGACGTGGACGCGCCAGACAAGAATAGCTTTCATCCCCTGTCATCTGAATCCCTAATCAGTCTGACCGTATCTTTTTTCTCCGAGATTATCCCACGACCGCTCCATGCAAGCGCATATGGCATTCCTCCGTATGGGTTGAAAAGGACGGAGGTCGGAAGAAGGAGGGCGATTGTCCCTGCAGTGCAAGAGCGATGCATCAAATCAGAATAAGACCTACGGCCTAGGAACTGCAAGCACTACTAACCCCCAGAATCGAAGCTACGGTTATCTTCGCTTCCGAGGCAGCTTTGGATGTATCTTCCACCTACATCGGGTGCTGAAGACGAAGATTGCCCAGAACCGTGGCTTCAATGACAAATATCTGGATCACCCCTGCTGGGAAGATACAAGTCTTGAGCCTAACGGAATGAACAGGATGTGCAGGTGGTCTCAGATGCGGACAGTATGTGATGCATACGAGTAATCAGAATGACAGTCAACCTAGTATACGTTGCTATGCATGCACGGCAAAAAAGACAAGGCTAGAACTCGTGCATGGATTTGGCGCGTCGCCTTCATAGACTTGTGCTATGATACCTCTCTACATTACACATGCTGTTCTGGAAAAGTCTCGAACTGATAGCCTCAGATCATGTCGCTGTAATGAATCCAATTGTCCCTCTGCCGTGTTGATCCTGCTAGATAATCATATCTGTAATCATCCAGCTACTGTCCATAACTGCAGAACATAGAACGCATTCACGATAGGAGTAGGTATGTATCTCACTCTGCAGACAGTGTGCTGCGGAATAGACTCAGTGACGTCATAGTGACCGTCTGACGGCCGCATTTTCTCCCCAGATTAGTGTCGGCAAACCTGCCAGATGAATGCCTGCCTGTCCATCTCCTACTAACACCTGAGGAGTGTGTCGCGACAGCCAGAACGAGGCGCCATCGGCTCCAAACACAAGCCTTGGTCACACTTCGCTCATTCTCAGATGAATTGGACGGTCTCTGGCCCTCGCTTGGACCCGTGTGCCACGCTCTCTTGTCCATCTTTGCTATGCTACCAAGGATCAACCATCGAAGACCGAAACCTTCAAGCGTGTCATTCATCGACGACTTCTTCCTTACATGTGCTCTAGACTACCACGAATCTACACGAATCCCTGCCAGGCCTTGATACACTCTCGAGAGAGTCGGACGAAATAGTCATCATGCCCTCCGTCAGAGACATCGCCCAACCTGATGTCTCTTCCCCGTTCTCAACAAATCCGGTGATCGAAAAGGCGCAGTCGCAATGGCTGTTCACTCCCGAAGAACTCCTCCTGGCTCCTAGCCTCGTCGAAGGAATGCCGGTTGCCCAAGAACTGGCCAATCGTCAGAAAGGTGTCAATTTCATTACTCAGGTGGGAATCATGTTGAAGCTGCCACAGCTAACATTGTCGACGGCCGCTGTCTACTTCCACCGATTCTTCATGCGCCATGCGATGGTCCAGAGCAATAAACCAGGGCTACACCACTACTCGGTGGCCGCGACTTCCTTGTTCCTGGCAACCAAGGTCGAAGAGAACTACCGAAAAATGAGAGAGCTGGTGGTCGCATGTTGTCGAGTGGCTCAAAAACAACCCAATCTGGTGGTGGACGAACAGAGCAAAGAGTATTGGAAATGGCGAGACACAATCCTGCACAACGAAGATCTCCTGCTCGAAGCCTTGTGTTTCGACCTGCAACTGGAACAGCCCTACCGCCTCCTCTACGACTTTCTTCGCTTTTACGGCGTCCAGGAGAACAAGCCGCTGCGGAACGCGTCCTGGGCCTTCCTCAATGACTCACTGGTTACGACCATGTGTCTTCAGCTGACTGCTGGCTCGATCGCAGGGGCTGCCTTGTATATGGGCGTCAAACTTGCCGGGGTGAGTCTGCCCGACGATGCACGAGGAAGGCCGTGGTGGGAGCAACTGAAACTTGATATACACGACATTCAGAAGGGCTGCAACTTGATGGCGGAGGTCTACGAGAATCCTACGTTGCCGCGACAAGGCCAAAAGGACGCTTACACTAAAGAGGAGGATCTCGCCATGTTCGATCGAACGCGGCTGGCCACTACACCACAGTATAACCGCTCGCCGACTGGAAGTGCGAGGAGTGGCAGTGCTGGCGTCAAACGAGACAGAGATGCGACTGAAGAACAATCCAGTGAATGGGGCTCCGGTGTCCCGGCACAACCTGCAGAGGAGGCTCAGTCGCAGCGATCACCCAAGCGACCTCGATTAGACACAGGAGACAACAATGCCAGTCTCCCCAGACATACCTCTCAACCGAATCCCGCTCCATCCGTGCGGGAGGGTGGTGGCTACAATGGCTCAGGAGACTCTGTCGACGAAGTGCAAAAGCGGATCGATGAGATTGTCAACACTTCATCCGCCGGACTGCCGCGACCACCTCCGACTCGTGAATCGTCTAGGAGACAAGAGTTTCAGGGCGACAGATCAAGAAGACAGTCTTCGTCAGGATCGAACTGGAATGGCGCTCGGGATAGAGCCCCATCGCACAGCCGGTCAGAAAGTCAAAACCATGCGTCGATTGAACAACACAATGGCCACGAATCTTCCAGCGTAACTGACCGAGCACCACCCGCTCCGGTAGATGATAGACCGCCGCCGCCGCCACCACCACCGACGCACCCTGAGCAAACCCAGCATGGCACGAATGATGAGATCGACGACGCTGAAAAGGTTGACTACGGCAGCGAAGAGGGCGAGTTGTAACTCCTGTGCTCGTGCGCAGCCCCAAGGCGGGATCACAACAGCCGACATGACTGCGCTGACCACATAATCAACTTCACAGATACGCCGATTAGTATTTCCAATCGAGAAACACGGGCTAGCAGCTGACAACCCTGAACAATCGAACTTGAATCATGATTGGCGTGGAAGCGACTGCGGAGGATTCTTGGGGTAAATTCCACGGTGGCGGAAATCCTCGGCCCGGTCGACATGACGTCGACTCCGCCCGTGGATTTCTAATAAGCCGCATTGCGTGCTCGCCTGCGATCTCAGCAACCCGCGTATATAACCCGCCAGCGGCGCGAGACATGCCCTCCATTTGACAACAACAATAACGACAACGACAACGACGGACTGAGCACACCACACAAGACCATTGTCACTGTCAACTCTGCCTCTCTCTTCGCCACAATGTCGACCACAACCACTCAGAAAACCTCGACCTCCACCACCCTCTCCGGGGTTCAAGACGCCTCCTATGTCCCACGAGGACCGGTCAGCACACAGCTGAACTTCTTCAAGGAACCAGCTGATGGGTCCAAGCCACACAACTACGTCGAGGAACCACCTGAAGGCCAACCGCAGCGCAACTTCGGCGAGGACGCGGTGGAGGTGCAGATGAATGACATTCGGGGAAGAGAACGCGACTTCAACTTGGACAAGGACGCTTTCGAGGCTATACAAGGGGTGCCATCAGAAGAGACGGAGTTCGTGGACGATGAACACATCAAGAAAGTGTATTACCCGGAGGTGGAGAAGTTGTTGTTAGACAACGTTCCGGGCGCCCATAAAGTCACCATTTTTGACCACACCATCCGCCGGTCCAATCCCGACGCCCCTCGCGCTCCCGTCACCAGAGTTCATGTCGATCAAACAGGCCGATCAACCGAGTGGCGGGTGAAGTTACATGACCCCGAGGAGGCCGAGGATTTACTCAAGGGCCGCTATCGCATCATCAATGTCTGGCGACCTATCAACGGAGTCGTCCAGGCCCATCCTCTCGGGTTCGCCTCTGCTGACACTGTCGACGACGAAGATCTGGTCCCTGTCGAGCACCGCTACCCTCATCGCACGGGTGAGACCGCCGCAGTGAGGTACAACAAGAGGCAGCAGTATTACTACTGGTCTGGAATGGATAACGACGAAAGACTGCTTCTCAAGTGCTACGACAATCAGGAAGGAGTCGGCCAACGGGTACCTCATACGGCCTTTGTTGATCCTAGAACGCCCCCTGGCGCCAAAGGCCGGGAGAGCATCGAGGTGCGAGCGTTGGTGTATGGCTAGACAGATCCAGCTGGGTCAGGCAGGCTGTCTTGCCAGGAGGTCTTCTTCAAAATGACGCATGCGTGAATGCCAGCTGATCCGGTATTGGTTCTGGCTCGCTTGAATAATAATGTACATTAGAGATGGTTCATGCGAATATGGAATGATGATATTTACGATACTCTTTGCGGCTCATCTGGTCGCCTCTTGGTCTCAGCTCATGGGCCAAAGGGGACTCCCCTCCCTTTTTGCTCTTTTTCTTCACGTAGACCTCCTTCGAACTGGTGTAAGAGGTACCCCTACCAGCCAAATTTCTCCACCCAGACTTCTAGATTCCAGCCTTGATGGACCAACTGCGCCGCAATGTTTCGGACATCCCTCACCAGTCCGTCGGGGCCGGAAACGATGATACACAGCTTCTCATCACGCGACCGTGATCGTCTGCTGATGTCCGAGTTGTCATCCGACTTTGATTTCGACATGGATGATCCGTGGTGCGTCCGGTCTGAGCCAGGAGGCTGTGCGCCGAGTGTGAGTGTGTTGGAAGACGAGGATCGAGACGCCGGAACAGATGTCACCCAGTGCCAGAGCTCTGTTGACATGTCGGGGCGTCCTCCGTCTAGGCCGGGTCTCCTTGTATCGAAAGTGTGGGTGACAATTGACGCCACTTCTTGGTGCCCATCATCCTTGGAAGGAGCTTCCACATAGACATCTCCAGGGTAGCCTGCCTTCACAGTGTGCGCTCGGGGGAACATGGAAATCCACTGATCATGACGTGGGTCTTGTCGGACCCAGAAATGGCCATACGCCGATGGTTCAGTCAATGGACCACACTCGCGAACTGCTGGGATTATTCTCTGCCCACCGGCGTACACAGTCCTCGAGCTGACCAGCGCCTCTGCTTGCAAGTCCTGCTTCACCCGCACATCCCAGGCAAGAGGATATGTGACAGCAATGCCGCTTCCGCCAGCGACGAAGCAAACGCGGTCGGCGCCACGGGCGGCCTCTAATGCTTCGATTCCGCCATGAGGTCCATCGAGGGTGACTTCGCAGTGCTGATGATGCCGAGCGAACTTCAGCAAGTCATGAGAAAAGCCATCAATAGAGCGTATAACCAATAGAAGCGGCCAGGATGTGGTTGTACTATCCCTAGGAGGAGCCGGTGAGGCGATCGTGAACGGATGCGCTTGAAACCGATATTTGAAACCCATGGATGGAATGGTGAGGAACACGTGTTGCCCGGGAAGCCAGCCATGGTGGAGATGTGACCTTATCCCAAAGGTCGTCTTCCGTAAGTCAATCTCGCAGTGAAGCAGAATGGTGTGCTCATCGGGAGCCACCTCCAAGGATGCAATGACTCTTCGACTCGACAGGGAAATTCGCCACAACAGTCTATCAATCGCCCAAATTGCAAAGGTGGCCAGCACGTACGGTCGGGCCGTTGGATAATGAAAAAACAAGAACACCAGTGCTGCCACCTGGAAGAATATGTGAAATCCCAAGAACGCCTCGTAGTATAAGTGACGAAACCAGCCAATGCTGGTGATATAGATGATCAAATAGGAAAGAATGGCGCTGATACCCAACAGCACAACTCTAGCGGTGAGATAGCGCAGGAGGGTGAATCCTAGAGGCCTCAAGATGGCATACCAGGTGGCGAACATCCCAAGCATATGAAGGACCGCAAAGGCTATCATCCACTCCCCCAGCCGTCGATGGAATAGATTCAGCCCTTCGTAGGACCATCCTGTGATGGCCTTGATTGGCTGATTTGTTTTTGCTGCCAGCAGGTACAAGATGGGGAGATTGACGACGAACAAGAGGCCTGCTCTGTCAGCAAGAATAAACACCCCTGTCTCGGACAAAGGCACCCGATAGAACAAATAGAATAGATTAAGGGCGAAAAAGAACAGAACAGTCAGCGTGGTGCCGTTGTTGGGCAGGACGTTTCGTGGAGAAGTCAGAGCCCGTATTGGCCGAGGCTGGTGCATGAGAACACTTCGCACTCTGTCAAGCAGAGCGGGGCCCTCTCTTGTAGATGGTTCTGGCGAACAAAGTAGAGGTGTGGTCTCTGCAGGATCATTCTTCTGCGGTGGTGTTGCGCTGCCTTCCAATGTACTGCTCGATGATGACGACGTAGTCAGCGCAGCCACGCACTCCCGCTCTCTTTGCTGGCCCAGCCGAGCCCATCTTTTGTAGAGTCCATAGCCACCGCACAGGGCAACTATCAGGGCGATGAGGGCGTAATAGGTCAAGACGAACTTCCGATGCCAGAGGATGGCTTTGATGAGCTCCCGAATATGGTCTGAGGATGGAACCCGAGGACGTTCTTCGAGGGCCAGGAGAATATCTGCGGAGGACTTGAGCGAGAGGCGAAGAACATCGAGGAGTTCAGGAGATAACCCTTCAGCCATGGCCTGAACTGCAGTCGTCACACGAAAGCCGGGCGTCTGCAGCAAGTGAGAGAGGTGTTGTACTAGTACTAGGTAGAGGGGAGGTGTAGGGGCGGGATTATCTTATCTGATTAAATTTGATCAGATCATCTGCCAAGATAAGACAAGACCTAACCGATATGGCCAATATCACCGCTATCTTCCAGTTTCCTTGTCCGAGTCTACTTGGACTTCAACGAATATAGGTACCACATGATAACGGATCGCACGCTACCTCCAAGATGAAGACCGCGTCCTCAAGGGTAATATGGATTGTGAACGCCCCAGAGAGATTGGCGCCCCCTTTATGGAAGGTGAGGAAAGCTTTACAAGAGGGTTATGTCCCATTTTCGCGCGCGCAACAGCAAATGATCTTGCACACAAGTGGCCTCTAGCATCGCCAGGCAGTGTTATGGGTAGTCCCTCTGGCCTTAAAATTCCAGAGTCCAATGCGGTGAAAAAGGGTCCATGACATTGAACCACTACGCTCACCTGAAGAGGCTGCTCGAGTCAACTTGAAGAGAATGGCATGCCGCACTGTTGACTACCAAGCCGTTCGAAGGAGAGGACATTCCCGACATGTTGATCAATGAATGCTGCGAGATTCGGAAACCGGCCCACATTCCATCTCTCGCGGCTCGTTCCCTGGTCACCGTCCGCAGTCGGCAATGTTTGTTGGGCACGAGGAACGAGAAACGCGGAATCTGTTTGTTCGGGCGCATCAATAAATGGTTCTCTTTGTCTTCTTTCCCTTTGTTCTCTCCACGATCTCCTTCCATCTTCTCTCACTAACTTGTCTCCTTAACACTACGTCCAACTCCAGTCGCTCTTTGACTTCTCCTTAGCATCGGTGGCAGCAATATTCAAAAAAATTGAACCAGATCACTCGCCAAAATGCATCGAACCGGTCTACTAGCCTTGCCGTTGCTCCTCTCCTCTCTCGCACTCGCCAGTCCACAGGTCAACACAGGGACGCTGAGCGGACTGCCTGCCTGTGCTGTAAGTCACCATGATCCAAAGCACGGCTCCTGGAACGCGGCTCCATACTGACATGGACTTCTCTCAAAGCAAGATGCGGCCAGCGCTGCTCTGGTGTCCTCGGGATGCCCGCTGACCGACACATCCTGCATCTGCAGCTCGACGGCATTCATCAATGCCATCACCAACACGGTCACGCAGTCTTGCTCTCCCGCTGACGTTGCAAGTAAGCCAGCCTATCCCTGTGCACTTCCATTCGAAACTGATCCCAGGCTAATCTCGGTAACAGCTGCGGTGGAGTTTGGCCGGACCATCTGTGGCCCGGCTCTTGCTGCAGGCGCAGGCTCGTCGCCCAGCTCTACGCAGGCATCCAGTCCCTCAACCGAGGCCGCTGCAACCGCTCCGCCCACCAGCACCGATACTGACACCGACGCCGATTCGTATGGTGCATCGACGACCGCGATCCCCGTCACTTTGACCTCGGTCACCAGCATCCCTGACGCCAGCATGACTATGAGCACCACCTCGTGGGTATCGACGTCCACCATGCCTGCAAATAATGCCACGGCCATGATGACCTCCCTCTGCAGCAGCCCGACCTTGGTGGCTCCGTCCACCGGCACCAACGCAAACCCTGCCACGTATACTGGTGCCGCTGTGACCGTGACAGGCACCACCGGCCAGGGTCTCCTGGCTGTGCTGATTGGCCTTGCCGGTGCTCTCGCTTTATTTTAAAAGGAGATGGGCGTTGCTGGGGGGAATTGGTACGAGTTGGTGCTTATCCGCGGATGGGGGTGATAATATACACGTTGAGATTTCCTATGTTGTGGGAAGTCTGGTATCATTGCTTCCCATCTACTGTTGTAGAGATGGTGGAATGCCACGAAAGATAGTGTGACGACGTCTGGACGCTTCATCAGGGCTTCACATGGAATCTAGCTGTTCATCATAGCACCAGGTAGACGTAATAGCTGTCATTTAGGGCAAGACATTGGACAATAATCGGATGGAGTGATATTGCATTGACTGTCTAGTCTTCTGGGCACATTCTAGGGTGTCTTGGGTACATGAAATGCCCTGTCTTGTGTAACCCGATCATGCCTTTCGTTGAGACCTTATATTGGAACATCGACGACATTTCCGACACCACCGTCGTCGCAGGCCAGCCGGCTTTCATAGGCCACAAGACTTCTGCAGCTACCCACTACTTAAATTTCTCCATCCCACAGTCAGACCTTGTGGCGACACGCAAGCAGCTGTGGCATTTGCCTGCTGGTGCTGTGCTGCTACAGAGATGCCTTCGGTTTGTCGGTGCTCAAGTTTCTTGCTTCTTGTGCCTTTTCCAGTTCTCGGGCCATGACGAACACTTTCATGGCGGTGAAGCCCATTCTCGCCTCATTGAGGTCTTCCCAGAAGATGTCGATGGATCCCTCGGCGACTCTGCACACTTGGGCCAGCAGGCGTTTTTCCGCGCGGTTCAGGCGCTTCTTGGATTCGTAGACCGAGCGCAAGAACGCCCGCGTCTCGGGAGTGAAACCGAGATAGTGTTGTCGTGCAGTCTGGAAGATGGTCGAGTAGTGGCTCTGGACCTGCTGTTCAATGCCGGCGCGGAAGACTGGCGATGGGCCATACCGCGACACGTGGTGGAAAAGCCGGACCCGACATTCATGGTCGACAATGCTTAGGATGGTGTTCAGCTTGCCGAGCAGCCCTTTCGGCCACTGTAGACCGGCCGGCCAGCTCAGCGTGGTTGCCACAGGGTTCCAGGGAAGGTTGGTGACGTAGGGGATGCACTCTGGGTCGATGATGCGCAGTGGATGGAGGTGCGGCTTCAGGTCGGGGAAGAGAGGGTTGTCGACTACATCGCCCGGGCATGGTATCTCGCCGTAAGATTCGTACTCGTCGTCATCTTTGGTGTAGTTGGTCGCGAAAGCTCGGCCGTAATGACCAGGTCTGCCGCCCTTGAGTTCAAGTTCGTGTCTTCCAGAAGTCTTATCTTTCCCAGGTCCTGAAAAGCATAACTTCTCCTCGTCGGGGCTGGGAGCAAGTAGCTTCTCGACACCAATCTTGAGCCGGGCCATCGAGCCATACTGCTTGTAGTCCTTGAAGATCTTTTTGGTCTGCGTGGTAAGGTGGAGCTGAGTGGCTCGAGGCTGGGCGGCAACGATGGTTTCGGCGTCCAGTGTGAGTTTGTTCAACGTCGCCTCGAATTCTTCTAGGAGGTCTTCTTCAGTGCCCCCATCTTCTGTCAGGTCTGATGAAGATGCGACTGATTCTGCCCCATCCGCCGCTGCTTCGTCACCGTCACCCTCAATTCGCTCATTGTCTTCGATCTCGTTGGCTGGGCTCATTGAGGTATCCATGTTCGGGCGTTGCGTGGCTAATCGGTGAAGAGTAACGTTGGTTGAAAAGAGAGGATGTCACCCACAGGTCAGGGCGGCAAGGTCAAAACGCGTGAAGAATGACTCTGCCTTGAGATGAGGAATGAGTGATAGAAAGAAATTTGGCAGCTGGCGAGGAGCATCCGCGCTTTGGGGGTTGACGCCGCCGCCATTGTCTTGTAGGATGAATAGGGCGTCTCTGGGGAAGAGAACAATAGGAAGCCAGGAACAGGTCACAATAGGATGCAGTCTTGGGCAGATCAGGGTGAGGCAGTGAAGAAGCTGCTATGATTCACTGCGTCGAATATCGCGGAAAGGTGTTTGTTATGGTGAATGAACAGATTGATTCAAACCGAGTGAATGTCGCCTCGCAGTTTTTCACGTCAAACACGCACATGGCTATACTCTATACACAGTCAGTAAAACCGATCCTTCAACTTGAGGGTGATGTCGATACGTACCTAACCTACGTATGTCTACCATGTAGATACCTGAGCGAAGATAAACTCCATATATAATCCTGTACGTGAAATATATAGTCGGCGCCTTCTTTGCCTGTCTCACTACGCTGCCAACAAGCCTCTTTCTATGCATTAATGCCTCCTCGGATGTTCTGCTTGAACAATGAAAGCCCCGGTGGTCCGATACCTTGTCCAAAGTACTAAAACTTGTCACTTGTGACGGCCCGCGAGCCATTCACCAGTATCCAAGCAAGAACTTGGGCGATCGTGGTCAAGATCCATACCATCAACTTCAAACCCAAGACAAGGACACCTAGGGCTGACCGAGTCACGCCAGGTAATTCTTCTCCTTCACGGGTGCCGGACTGATAGTGGCCCAGTTTCTCCATGTCGAACTCGGTCACGACGATCTTCCTGCTTCTAGACTTGGACTTCTTGTTCGTCTTGTCAGAGTCGGTCATTGGCTTCCTGAAGCCGAACCATGTCCTTGAGCCCTTTCCTTGCGACGATGTACCCTGGACATCCTTCTCATGCGCCTCTCGCATGAGCCGAGCCTCTTCCTCTGCTTCCTCCCGCTCTGCAATCGTGGCGTAGAACATGCTGCCCGCGTAGCTTTTGATGCTTCCAGCACCTGTGCGGGCACGCAAACTCCTGCCACCCGTCCCGAGGCGTGATGCAGGCGCTGGCCGTGGTTTCCAGATCTCCATGGAACCCATCGTGGGATTGGTGGTGGTATCGGCAATCGCCACAGCCAAGATCGCTGAGACAACGCAGTCAATGCTGAAGAGTGAGGGCATCAATTCTAGAATGGCATTGACATCGAGGTGCAGTACTTGAGATGTCAGATCGAGCTTGGCCAGGGTGGGATGTTCTGCAAATGAGTCTGTCTCGACCTGGGGGATGATGGACAAGCGACGAATGCCGGCTCCTGCAGAAGTCCTCGGTGTTGCCAATCCAGACTGGCGTACAGCATTTGGGTCAATCACATTGATCGTGGGGAGCGGGCTGTCCGTGGATATGGTAATATGGAGAACAGGCTTCCCTGTACGGGAGCGTACGGCGGGAGTAGGCGACAAGATGGGGGACTTGATGGCGAAGTCTCCGCCCGTAGCGCCGCGGCCAATGGCAGGATGCTCCAGCTCATATAGCTCTTCCTGGGCGTTATACCGGAGATGGCAGGCCTCCTGCTTTGCGGCACGGCGCACAGCTTGGGCTTCAATGTCGTCGCGGTCCGTAGGGGCCAGATTGTGTTCGCGGGCGAGAGTGGCGGACTGGTTGATGGCCAACATGGCGGCGAGCTTGGGGAAGATGAAGGCAACAAGCCCGTCATTGGGCGACTGTCTTCGGGAGGCCGGCTCCAGTGGACATAGGACCACATCCTGGGTGGAAGTCGGGGTTCGCGGGGAGGTCTTGGATATGGCGATCTCGTTGGAGTCGTACGTCTGCAGCGTATAAAATGGCAAAGATGGATGAGATCCAAAGACAAATGTTGCTTCTTCAGTCCTGATGCGGGATGTCAGTACTTGGAACACCAGGCAATGCACGCCGCGAAAGTGCAAGGGAACACATACCGTGCCATTTCTAAATCAAAGGTTCTGATCGCGCAGCCTGGCTCGGTTCCGTGAGATGCGTCCCATAGCTTCTCCAATTCTCGCTGCGTAGAAATACGTGGCCCGATATTGACGCTCATGACGTCCGAAGGGAAGCTGAGAACACTCGCCGGAGCCGTCCTTTGAGTAGTCATTGCAAAGGGCGTTGACAGGCTACTCCGATAGTCATCCCGGGATAGGGGACGAAGTCCCGGCATTCCTGAAAGTCTCGCTGGGAGCGGACGATGGGGCCCATATGCCTGCTGTGGCAAAGGCAGGGACGGATCGTAAGTGGGAAACATGGAGCGGATAGGCACAATGGGTGAAGGGTCTACCAATGCTTTGTTGTGTTTTTGCCTTTCCACCGCTGCTGTGGGAGCTGAAGGGACAAGGGTCGTGGCAGAGGGTGATCCCAGGGAGAATGCAGCTTCGGGCGACGGGCGCGAGAGATCGGGAGATTGGTAGACGGACGGAGAATAGCTTGCTACATCCAGCAAAGGGCGATAACCTGGAGCTGGACTTGAAGAAGCTGGAGCAGGCTGCTGCTGTGTGGGAGTCCTGCCATCGATGGGGGACATGGTGGTCACCGCTCGACCGATATTCTCAGGTGAAGATGTTGCCCTCCTGGACTCACTCGACCGGCTGGGTAGCTGAGGGACGGGTGGCCGTTCTTCTTCCATCTTGATCACGATAGACTCGCTATTTCCCGATAACATTCTCTCCGATGCTGGAACCAAACTGATCCGATGCAAGCTCGGGGTCTTTTTGTGGGGGTTTGGGAGTGCAATCTTGGGTACGCTGCTCGGAAAGAGAGAAAAGCCTTGTAGATTCGTCGCCATGTCTGCAAAATCAAGTGGCTCGAACCCAGCAGGAGTATGCAGGAGGTGAGATCCGCGTGAAAGAGGCAGTCCTGCTGCGCGAGAAGAGATAAGGACGTGGCAATTGAGGGTAAGGAAAAGGATCGTAATAAGACAACGACAACAGAACAACCAGCAGACCCCAAAGGTTGTCGACCATAGACCAGCTAAAGGATCACAGAAGGGGAAGAGGAAGAGGAAGAGGAAGAGAGACGCAGGATGGAAGCAAGGAAATCAATGAGCATGAACACCCGGAGAGGAACAGATGGAGAAACGGCGAGCTAAGAAGCAAGGCTGCTTTCTCCTCGATATCTTTTCTCTCCATTCCTCCAGAAACCGAGACCTGCGCGAGCCTGAGTGGAGCGCGGGATGAGACGGTACGCACTGTGGCATAGCATGACATGGCATGGCATCTCACGTCAGGCGTCTAACAGCCTAAGATAGAAAGATATGCAGGTCCAGGAGATGCATCACATTTTCCAAAGCGCCCGGGACGGACATTGGTCCGGAGGAGGCCAATCGGGTGAGATGAGCAGCAGATGGTGGATAGACTCGAGGCTCAAAGGAGCGACAGGGATACAGAGAGGCAAGGCAGAGAGAGAGAGAGATGCACGAGTGTGCATGTGCAGTCAAGTGCTAAGGAGAGGGAGGAGGAGAAGAAGGAGGAGGTGGGTGAAGAAGGAAGAAGAGTTTGCAGAGTGGCCTCCAACCTCCAACCTTCAACCTCAAACATGGTCGGCGCGTAATGGAGAAGCTGATTGGCATCGACATCGACACCATCGCCTGTCAATGTCTAGATCTATTTCCGGCGGCATTGGCGCCTCAGTCGAGATGCTAGTTTTGCTTGGTGACACTCAAAGTATCCTGTGGAGGTGCTTGGGAATCCTGAACCTGTCGTTATACTATAATCTCTTCTTCTGCGCGAGGCCACTCCGCCATAACAATGATATATGTGGGCGAGTTGGCCAGCACAGCGTCAAGTTGGCGGGAAATTCAACCGAATACTACGTGGTAGTAGGTAACAGAGTAGTTTTTTGGCTCCTGGTCTACTGTGCAGTTGCTAGAGAGAAACAGTGATGAAGGAGAATAAGCATGGAATTCACCACGAACGTTCGATTCAAAAGATTTCGCTATGGTGGTCATACTAGTAGGTCAGAATGTCAGAATGTCCAATCTCAGCTGCTTGTATCTCGGCTCCATCTGAAAAGCCAGATAGATGTGAGCGGCTCCCAGGGGCACTCCAGTCGTGTCCGTGGCAGCCTTGTCAGCCCAAGGATACAGGTAGCTTCCCCTCTACCTGCTAGGACCTTGATCACTCATCGTCTTCAATGGCGACCACATCCCCTCCCAGCTTCTCCCAGTCCTCCACCTTGCGTCTGAAGATTCGGGTTCCAAAGCCTCGTTTGGCGCAGGCGCCATGGTTGGCCACCTGGAAAAACAGCGGTGCATGCTGAATGAGCACCGGCTGCAACTTGTCCTTCAGCGACTCGACGAGCCAAACTTCCAGGGCATCCTCACTCTCTCCACGGTCTGCATCGTCCGCGTCTGCCTTGATCTTTCCTCTCTTGAGCAGTTCGCCCTCTTCCGGTCTGGAGAACACAATCATAGCCAGGTCGAGCTGGCACTTGATCCCGTATGGCTGGTACTGCGCATCGGTGATTTTCCGCAGTATCAAATATTGGAGGCTTGTCATGCCGAGTGCTTTGGCGATCACATACACATGGCCCGCTCTCAGCGCCTCCTTGCGATAGTCCTCTGCCGTGGTCAGCGCGTCGAGTTGTTTGGGAAGCTGATCAGGACCTTTTGGATTGCTGATGATGGCAGGCACATATTCGTCCATGAGGAGGTACTGAAAGACCGACTGGAAGTGCTCCGCATTGATCTTTGCCAGCTCCGGATGCATGATGTACGGACCCTCGGTCGCATCTTGCTGGACCATGGACTTGAGAACCGGCGACTTGTCCAAGTCTTGCAATCCCACCGTGAACACCGCATTCTTCGGCCCGACGTAGATCTTGACTCGCTCCGATAACGGTCTTTCTTGAAGACAAGCCTGTGCTTTGACCTCCTCTTCCGTCTTGACCTTGGTCGCCGCCTTGCGTCGTGGCAGTTCGAAGGAGGACGAAGGCATTATTCTTGTTAGGGTCAATGAAGTGGAAGGAGGCCTCGCGGACGTCTGTCGTCTTTCCCATCGCTTAGCGCCTGCTCGCAGCTCAGGGCTGAATGTTTGATGGTCTGAGGAATTGTCTCTGCTCGAGTCGTCCGAATAGAACATGAGTTCTTCTTCAAAATGCCGCTTTCTCTGGGAAGCGGTCATGCCTCCTGAAAGATACGCCATCAGTGATCATCAAGCAAGATGCAGGCAAGAGATAGCAAGAGAATTGTATAGAGATACCGAAAAGAAGATCAGTATGAAGCCCGAGAATGGATAGAGGCACGGAGACCAAGGTGAGAGACGGTACGGAAGTAAAGCCAGGGTGCTAGAGGAAGACACCAGTCTTTCTGCTTGGGAAGCAAGCGAGGTGCAAGTGAGGTTCAAACCAGAAAGCAAAGAAAATCCTTATGAGCTTGGGCTGGCGGGCACCTCCTACACGTGCCCTGGTTACCGCCAGGCTCATCGCTGAGAAAATACGACGAGTTAAGATAAAGGGACAGCTTTTTGAGGTGGCCGGTATCTCTCATTTCCTATCCTGAATCATCAAAAGGTTTCCCCTCTGACCCCGGGGATCAGAAGGAATTAGCTTCGCCATATGGGCAGACGTCAACCAAGAGTCGAGAAAAAGCGTACAATACAAATGAGTTGCGAATGCAGTCGCACACAGTGTTGTTCCATCTTTTCCTGTTCTTCCCTCTCAGAGAGAATCAATGAAAGAGTGGAAGGCCAATTGCGCCAAAGTGCCATTAGAAAGAGTAGGGTTGCTGTGAACCAGAAATTGCGTCGGCCAACCTCGAAGACGAAGCGGAGTTGTACTGCTATCGAAGCAGTGGTCGTTCCCAAAGACTCGCTGTTGTAATCCAACTGTCTGGTAGACATTCTGTCCTATCTCGCATCACAGCGCCAGATCGTCGCCCTGATGCAGCCAGTGACAACTTTCAGATCACCTTGGGAGAGCGGCTGTTGCTGAAGAGAGAGTTATGTGAGCCCCTTCCACAAGCCGGCGAGTCAATTCCCTTCAGGCACAGTGGGTCTTACCTGATCTCCACAATGTCATCCATATGGTTGCACATGGCCACAAAGAGGTCGAAAAACAATTTGCCCCCATTCTCCATCTCCATCTGCATGGTTCCGCTCCTCTTAAAAGTCTTGCGACTTCGAATGATCAGGGCTAGGTAATGGGCACGTAGGCGCGACTCGGTGTCCGGGGTGTACTGATATGCATACCGAGCAGACCGTAAGATCACGTCGACCTGGATTCCGGACTGAAGTCCTTGTTTCCGCAGAGACAATCGCTTCAAATCCTCCAGACCGTACTTCTCGGCAGCACAGTACACGACGGTATCCCGAAGGATGTCGCCGCCGGCGTCCTCAAGATAGATTGTCGCCGCGCTGTTCCCGCGACCACCAATTTTCAGATCCTGGGCGTCCTCCAGATCCCAAGTGTCTCGGCGCTTGTTATGCATCAAGCGGGGGTAATAGTCTCCCTTGTAAAGAAACTCGAGGACGCAAGACAGGACTTCCGGTTCTTCATCGGGCAGTTCCACCCTCTTCGCAGCGCTTTGAAGAAACTTGCCCTTCAAGGCGGCGGCGAAATAGGATGAATGACAGAGGACGTCTTCGTGGGCAGCGAACAGACGCTGTTCACGACCCACCACGAGAGTGACAATGGGACTCGTCAATGTACTGCGATGATCAGCATAGTTGGAGAGATGGAAGACCATGGCTGCCTACCTGGCCACCGACGAATCCCCATCCACTGTGTCCTGCATCTTTCTCTTCACATGTTCGGGGTATGTGGTCTTAGTGGTCTTCGACTTGGCGATGCGACCATCCCTGGTAGTGAAGGATCGCTTGAACATCGCGTCGAAGGAGTGCATGGATTAGTTGTCAAAGTACACAATCGGCGAACGAGCGAAGGCAGAAAGACCAAAAGAGCGGATGAAGAACCTATGGGGGGAATTGTAGAGAGCGTGATAGGTTTCCCAGGAGAGTGACGCTTGATTCACACAAGTACCATGTGATGTGGGAGCTGCGAAGTTCTCTGAATGACTTCCTCGCCTGCCAGCCTCGTTCACGGGGGAAGAAGCTAGCAACCGACGGAACTCAGACGAGAGAACTTGACGGGTCCGGGTCTCTTTGCGAACAAAGATGGCCGAACACGCGTAGATTTGCCTGCTCTGATGCGTGAAGAGAGAGAAGAGAGACAGAAGGAGAAGGATGATTGCGACGGAAGATATATCGTTGCGCAAGGCGGCTGGAAGGGCCTTGGCGAAGGCAGCCATGGCGACGAGGATGTGGTGTCGAATCACAATGGATCACTACATACATTCTCCCAGCATTAGTCGCGGTTATCTCCAGGCACTCGTGCAGGAATTGTACCGTACTGCAATGATCCTGTGTTGCAGATTGATTGGCGAGTGAAAGTCGAAGCAACAGCCGGGGGACTGGGATTTGTGCTGCGGAAGACTTGATAGCAGTGGACGACTCGGAGACGAATGTCAGACGAGCCGCTGGCACACTGCTACGAGTCATTCATTGTTGACACGAGTCAGTTGACCGCAATTAAGTTGTCATTTGCACGCGACTTGACGCGTCTCTGCTGATAAGAGATAACTAGTACTAAAGACGTAGAATGGCCCGTTGCCTGCGCATAGGTCTTTTGAGACCGCAGAACTTGACTCCATGCTTCAACACTCACACAGTCTCTCCTGACGCTCTCTGGACCCCCAATCTGATATCGGATTCGGCTGCGCTCAACTCGCCAATCCACCGACAGGCATTCTCCCTTTCCTGTTAGGCGACAACCAGCTGCGTACCTATCTGCAGGCTACCCAACCAGTGCAGCCAACGTCGCAGTAATCGTCGTAATATGAAAACACCTGGCGATTGCACGATGCATCACGTCGCTCTTGACTGCATATCCCAATGACGACTGACGGCTGACGACTGACCACCGTCCCTCTAGAAGTAGGTGCGTCTCCTCGAACTCCATCCATTGGCCTGAATGTTCTCGTTCTCACGCTCGTTGGGAGGCGCCATCTTCTGCTTGTCTTGGAGGATCTTTTGCTCCTTGGTCTTTCGCGACTGAATGCGGGCAAGGATTTCAGGGGTAGGGTTCGGATGGGATTCAGGAGTGGGTTTGGCGTTGCCGTTCACCAGGGCGTCGTATCTCTCACGGCATGCCTTGTGAGAGAAGTTGAGTACCGGCTGCGCACGACTATGGTCAGCAAGAAACACATCGAGGGTAAGACCAGAAACCAACATTGACCGTCTTCATCCTATCAGCCACGATGCGCCACTTTCTGGCCTGTGCCTCCTCAATGGCCTTCTTGGTCTCCTTGTCCGCCTTGATAACCGCCTCGACCAAAACATCGTCCTAGATTTGTCAGCGTTTAGCCTTCTGCTCATGATAGCTTGAACATACATCGCCCTCGTGCCAGTCACTCATGTCAGCATCCAAGAGTTCGTCCTGTCTCTTCTGCAATGCCTGCTTGAGACGTCTCCAACGAGTGCCAATGGTCTTGGGGTTGTACGCAGTACGACCTTGGTCGACAAGAGCCTGTGCAATGTCTTTCTCCAGGAAACGAGCCTCTTTCATGCGAACAATGATCTCATCGTCGGAATCCAAGTCAGCAGTGACCTTTTTCGCAACAGCAGGACGACCTCCGGCCATCTTCATGTGCTTGACATCGGCTGCGTTAGCTTCTTTGGCAACTGTCTTGCCCTTGCGACGCTTCTTGGGTCTGGCATTGATCTGTCCGCGTCATCAGTGGTGTATTCATGATTGACATGGCTCTAGATTCACTTACGTCCAAGGTCAAGTCGTCGTCAGCATCCGATTCAGCATCAGCTGCCGCATCACTGTCATCGTCATCCCATGTTCCATCTCCTTCACCTGGTTCCTTAGGACCTCCAATAGGTAGGCCGATCTCTGTGTAGGTCAGAGTTAGTTTGGCTGCCAGACGCTGCCAGCACAGAGGCAGTCTTTAGGGGTTACTCACCTCCCGGGAAGTAGCTGGGGTCAAGTTGTTGATGCGCAAAATAAGGGAGACGAACAAGGCTCTGACGGTGGACGACTGGCGGGGCACCCTTGTACTCAGAGAGCTTTGCAGATCCTATGCGCGACGGCAAGATCGAGGGATCAATATGAAGCGCCATGCTTGGTCTTTGTATTGAGTTGAGCACCGTGTCTGGTCAGATCTTCAAGAGATAAAGGCGAACCCTTATGATGGAAAGCAGGACTGATGGGAAAAGTCGCGCGATTTGGTAGTGAGAGAGGACTGAGAAAAAGGTGTGATGGGTAAGGGGAAAAGGTGCAGTGCGCGAAAGGATTTGCCCATATGTAAACAGTCGAGCGCGAGCGCGCAGTCAGTGAAGTTGAGTGAAGTTCAGGGAAGACGCTGGTCAACACAAGCTGTGTTGCGCATAGAGAGAGCACCCCATTCATATCGGACCTCACTCAACTTTCGAGAGTCGTTGTCACCATTGATGGTGCCTTTCACAAACCGGTCTACTGTACTCACTGGGTACTGGTAATGCAGACCATGAGAACGTAGAAGTCAAGCAGACCTCCCTGCACTAGTATATCGCAGCATTGCTCTATCTTCATATCGCTGTGTTATACAGCTGCAGATTTTAAGACAATGTTCCCTCTGTGCCGGTCTTTGGCTCTGGGTATTAGTATAATGACAAAAAGGGACGATATATGGATTGCAGGGATGATGGCTCGATGGACCAGGTTTCGACTTCTTTATCTTCATCTCCAAAGTTATGACGTTTGTGTGGCGCAGCAGTTAAACAGTTTCCCTCTCCAATCCAACAAAACAACCTGCCAGTGCCAGTACTTTTCCAGTCGCCTCTGCATGACCTACTAGTATACCATAATCGAATAGTGCTGGCTCATTAAAACCTATTCCTACAAAGTTATCGATCCTGATTTTTCACTTGACTTCTCTTCGCATTGCTCATCCCTCGCAACTGGAAGTCTACACGCAGGACCAAAAGACTAAACCTTGGTCTTAATCATATTCCGCAGCCATGGCGATGGAATACATCAATTACATCAAGGCAAAGGCGCGTATAGCCACATCACGTAAGGCCGAGACTCCAGTCCTTTCCGATGAAGACGAGCAATTCCTCGATCGCATCACGTCTCAAGAGAATCCTCCTCCGCTCCCAGCGCGGACATACCTAGATGCGCACGGCATTGACGCACAGACGGCGCTTATGGATGGGGCCCAGAATATCCCATTGCCTCAGACGCCAGATGGGATCACGCAAGTGTCGGAACTGGTCCCAGAAGATGACAACACAGAGACAAATGCCGCCCAATCTAAATCAAATGCCACCTGGAGTTGGCTCAGACGCGACAGCCGAGACGGCAAGCAGCAAGGGCGTGAGGAGACTGCTGTAGGACTGGATGACATTGCCCAGAACCTCAAGAACGCCGAAATAGAGGACGGCGACGATGTCAAGGAGCTCAAGCGAGAAGAAGAAGACATGACCATTGTGCTCGAACGTCTAAACTTGGCGGCCGTCAACAACAGGGTCTTTTCGATCAGCGCGGAAACCCAAGAGCTCCTACAACAGTTCAACCAGGTTTTCAAGGACTTGGTCCGAGGCGTGCCCACAGCCTATGATGACCTCGAGTCTCTCTTGACCAACGGGGATAGACAATTACAGAAGACATTCAACTCGCTGCCGGGCTTCCTGCAAAAGCTCATCGAGAAGTTGCCCGAAACCATGACCAAGGGATTCGCCCCAGAGATTATAGCTGCTGCGGCAGAGAGGGCACAGAAGAGCGGCATGAACATGGAGACGGCAGGCAAGGCCGCGGCAGCAGCCACAAAGATGGGAATCAAGTCGCCTTCCTTGAAGGAGTTGGCAGGAAAACCTGCGGCCATCACCGGGCTGCTAAGATCCATCATCAACTACTTGCGAGCGCGGTTCCCAGCCTTTATGGGAGCAAATGTGTTATGGTCGCTCGCTCTTTTCGGTGAGTTCTCCCATCCATGAGTCATATTATTTCAGGCATGACTGACGGCTGTCTCTAGTGTTACTGTTCGTTTTCTGGTACTGTCACAAACGCGGCAAGGAAGTCAGGCTGGACAGAGAACGACAGCTCACAGAAGAGGAGGTTAGCCAGCTTGATGCGGACTTCAAGGCTCACCATGTTGATGAGGTTCCAACCACCACTGCGGAAGAGGGAGCATCGATGGAAGAGGTGAAGGCGGGCATCGAAGAGGCTCAGGTTATCAAGGACGCTGCAGCGGAGAAGCCAGTGGAGCCGGCTATTGTCCCTCCAACGAGCGTGCCTTGAACCGCTGCATCGATCTCGATCGGATCTTGAGTCTGCAGCTGTACGATGAACGAATGACGTGAGACGACAGGCTAATAATGATGCATGCGACGCTGAGAATGATGAGCGATGAGTATGGTTTCTTTCTTGGTTGTCTCTCCAGTCTTTTTCTTCCCTATAGGAAGTTTAGCTTGACTTGTTCCATACATTTCGTAATCGACGCATAATGTTGAGCTGAGACTCAGCGACCTTTCCAAAGTCTTGTATCTCTGCAAGGGACAATCAATTATTTCAAAGCCGTCTTCGCAGTCATTGGGCTCCTCTGCTCAGTATTCGGGAGGGGATTCGACACGTAGCATGACAGGAAGTTAATAAAAGGACTAACAAGAAGAGGCCTTGAGCACGGTTACTAGTACAACATGAGCGGCGTTCAAGATGCAGGTGATTGCTGCGGATACTGGAGCATTGGCGCTGGCGAGGTGAAAGGAAGAAAATATATGGCCTGACGTAGCGACATGAAAGATACGCGAGGGGCTGCGTTTGAGATCGACTCACATTTGGCGGGCGGCATCTCTGATTGGCGGACCGTACGGAAGACACGTGAGGGGTTGCGATTCATGGAATTTTTTTGCATCTCCGTTTCGTAGCAAATTTGAGGGACAAGAAGAGCAAAGACTGAGCAACGGAGAGAATGAGTCAACGGTTGGGAATGATGACTGTGGTGACTGTGTGAGTCGCTGCCTGGCGAGTAGCGAATGTATACGTGTAGCTGGTGGTATATCTGGTACTACGTACTAGACAAGTAGTCCGTTGTAGAGGAAGCGCAGGAGAAAAGCGGTGTAAAGGTGGAGAGCCATCATTGCAGCGCAGGCCACTCGCTAGTAGACTACTAGTAGTTGTAGTAGGAGTCAGGTACGTTAGTACTGCGTAAGGTACAGCGCAGACTGACCGACCGCTGGGTCCCTCGTCTAGCTTGGGCGGAGACTGCGCAGCAATAATTAAACTGGCATCACAGCCTTTTTTTTGCTCTCTTCTCTCTTTTCTCTTCTCCTCCTACAACTCAGGCAATTCACCGTCTCAACGCATCCCAATAATCCAGTCTCAGAGCTCCAATACACGCACATACAAACATATCGTTCGAGGATTCCATTTGCTCATGGCCTTCGCTGCATGCTAGACGGCTCGAGAGGCCCCTTCTGGGGGTCTCTCACGCTCTCTTCTCTCTGCAGCCCAAGCAAATCCTCGCTTCGATATCTACTCTTTCGAGGCTCTACCGCCTAGGAGCTCCTCACTAGCAGCCTCGGAATTGCTCTACTCACAATTCAAACCAGCACCTGTTTGTCCTCAGCGACTGAAGGTGCCGTGGACGATATTTCCCCCTCTAGGCTGATTTATCCGCCCCGCCCTCTACCACTCTTCGCACGGCACGACACGCCCTAAACCCAACTCTCAACCTACTCTCTGGTACCAGGGCGCTATTTCTCTTACGGAGATTCGCCGAACATGTCTCGACTTCATACTCGCAATTCTCGTGGCCGCCAGCCTATGCTTGGCTCCGCCCCAAAATTCTCAAAATCAAAGGAACGCCCGAACGATACATATCAGCTGCCGAATGGCAAGAAATCCAAGAACCACTTGAAACAACGTACGGTTGCTAGCAAAGCTGCTGCAAGGCGCAGAAGAGCCGAGAGCACCTCATCGGAGGACTTGTCGTCGTCCTTCGGGTCAGATACCGCAGATGATGCCTCGGACGAAGATAGCGACGACGATGAAGCAGACGAAGACGACCTGCCAGCGGTGCAAGCTCCGTCTCGTTCTCAATCTTTGAACGGGGCGGGGCGCAAGATCCGGTCCATGTCCAGGGGTGGCTTCTCCGTTGCTGGCAGTACGGATAGCATGTTTGGTGACTATGGAGCCATGTACGAGGATGTGGATGACAACCCCAACATCTCTCCTGAAGAGAATAGAAAGCTTTTTGAGAACCAGATCTTCGCCGACTTGGACGATGACAACGATGATGTCTACCAGGCGGTCGACGATATCAGCGACTCTGAGGACGAGTTGGATGATCGCCGTATCGAGGAACAAGAACTTCTGGCAATGCTTTCCGAAGAAGATAACAGCGATGCGGACCTCCTACTCAATCAGATTGATGGACTATCTGCCTACGGCTTCGGTGATGACAGCGATGCCACCATCTACCGCTTTCCGTCCTCGCAGGGGAGTGATAGCGGGGCGGATGCTGCCCCCGAAAGACGGGTGCATTTTGCTGTCGATAGTGATCGCTCAATCTTCTTGGCCATGTCAGAGTCCCCAACTATTACTAGAGCATTGCTTCCTTCTGCGCGGCCGGAAGCCGTGTACTCGACGCCTATTGTCGACAAAAGATCGGCAGGGATGGTTGATGATCTTGATGACTGTATGTTGTATTCGTTTTGTTCACATTGCGGCGTGACTAACCTTGTGCAGCTGATCTCACAGACGATTGTTTGCCTGAGGAGGCGCTGCAGAGCACGCCGACTACCACACAAGTACAGAGAGAATCATCACCGTCCGTCAGTCCTCCAACGAAGAAGTCTCCTCAACGTCGAGGTCCACCTCGTGGCATCTTCATCGATGAGGGGACTAAGGCGTCTGGAATCTTGGATCCTTCTGGCAAGATTATTCTCCTGACGAATCCTCATCTCCTTGGGGAAGAATTTGCTCGTCGTTACGGGGCTTCCGAGACCTCTAGTCCTGACTTGGGTTTTGCGGAGCTCATCGAGGATAGCGACGGCGGTGAGCGAGAACCTGGCGACCTCGTTGGCGTTCCCGGTGCGGATATCATGCTGGCCAGTCTGAATTCCGCCATCAGTGACCCTTCCAACCTTGGACAGGCTGTCGGACCCCTCGAGGCCTTCTACCCTTCCAATAGCCTCCTTTTTGGCGACTTTGCAATTGACCCTGACGAGCTGGAGGAGAATTTCCGGCCGGACGAGGACACTGGCGAGGACGTGATCAATCTGACGGACGTGATCAAGTTTGACGAGGACACGGACGACAGCGAAGCCCCGACCTCACCATTCTTCATGCCGCCCAGCCGCGAACTTTCGGGCTTGGGCAATGTCAATAACGAGTTTGCTTATCTCAACAACAACAATGTGACGGCCTTCCGGCGTAACGCGGACCCGGCTTTCGCTGCCCTCAACAACACGCCCTCATTCCGGGAGATGGATCTCTTTAGCTCACCGTTTGCAACCCCCGCCCCACGACGCAAGCGGAAAGTCCATGCTTCTCCCTACACTTCATCGCATTACAAAGGGGTGACGCCGGTGCAGCGCATGCGGGCTCCCAATCATCCCCAGACGCCTGATGCATCCACGCCTGCGAAGAGGCGCCGGATCATGACTTGATGAGAAACGACGACATGAAGAAATCAAACTTCATGTCACAGTGTGGGTTGTCAGCTCCAGGTGAGCTTTGTACGCTTTATGGGGCAAGCATTCGGCGTTGCGTCGAAGATCCATCTGTTCTTTCTTTGGCTCTTTCTGCTGGCGTTACTTCAAGCAGGCAATACTTTGCTGCATCTACCGGGGTTATGGGAGGAGGGAGACCCTCGCCATCAAATGAGAAAGAGGGGCTGATATAACCGCCAGGGAGGAATGTCATCTTTGACCTTGGTTCGTTGCGCAGTTAGAAAGGGCGGCATTGCTGCGATTTCCGTGATTTACAATGAGTTCTAGTAGGACTTGTCGATGATCAGATGAATGAAAAACGAAAAATTGTTAATTGTTCAAATCAGGCCCTTTGTATCGTGGAACTGTATATTGTAGTACTATCACATGAATGAATCAGGTGTGCATATGGCGTCGTCCTCGCCGTTCACCTCGTTGTTGAGGGCATACTTACACTATGATGTCAGGCCTATGCGGAGTGGGAATGCAGCAAGATTGATGAGGTACTTACCACAGCTACCGTGCCTAGTGCAGTGGATGAGGCCACGGAACTTAGCCTTCCATGTTTTTGTTTCGACCCAGATACGTAGATAGATACCTACCTTAGATACTCAGTTGCAAGAGTGTATGTCCTTTTCACCTTGCCAGCAAAATACCTACCTACATTTGCAGACTGCGCCTGTCCGTACTGTGATTGATCGTCCACTCCGAGTCCTCAAGATGCTTATCCGTTGAAGCCGCGCAGCCCGCAGCCCCGCGCAGACTTGCTGGCCTCGCTGGTCCAAGAGACGAGACGGCTTACTTCTAGTAGGAGGCAAGCAAGAAGCAACCAAGCCTTTGCTTGAAAGGGTACCCTTACCTGATTCCCGTGCGAAGTTGAAGCTGGGTGTCCGACACTTCGGTATCGGTTGAGCCTTTCGTTCAACTGTCACTGCCACTTGTCAGTCAGTGGAAGGGAGAATGGCATGGTACTCGATCCTCCCGTCTCACCTGACAGCCTACGAGACATGGATCATCCGGGCGTTTGTGAGTTTCTCTTTTGCCATTTACCCTTCACTATTTACCCTTTGCCCTTCACCTCACTACAGTTCTGGACAACACCACAGCAGACATCCAATCCTTTCTGGTCGCGGTCGCGTGACGATCGGACTCTCTTCTAGTGGCTTGCTGACCTTTTTTCTCTCTCCCGTAGCTCGTCCTCGCAATCATCAATATCGCCCCCTGGATCATCGCCATCGTCTACGACCTCATCTACTACGTCGGCCGCAGGGCGTGGCATGAAGTCCCCATCTGGGGCGGCCGGGCCCGGGGCCAGAGAAGACCTCGTGCGCCTAGTTTGCGCGACAGGACGAGGAATGCGAGTATTGCGGAGATGATCAAGTCGGCTGCGCATCCTGCTGAGGATGGACAGAGCGCAGGGGATGGCCATCACAAGACACATGTCGTGGATGCTGGGACTGGGAGTGATGATGAGGGTGACGGTGAGGGTGTGGAGGGTGATACGTGAATGTGACTTTGATGACTGGAATGGCTTCACGATCATAAAAACCGGTATTGTCAACATTGGACACCCGTGCAGGGGCACCACACTCTGCTTCACATTACATTATGACGAAGGATACTGGAGGTTGGACACTGGGTTTGCCATTGGGACGCAATATCTGGGACATTACGGTTCAAAATACACGGTGGCTACCCACCCCTTGCTGGGGTGCGAACAAACAAACAAACACCCACCGGCATGATGACAAGCCAGACACAAGATGAGATGGTTTCACACAAATCAGGCGTCCACAAGGAATATGGAAGTTGGACATCCCCTGCGCCGACTCCATGCTTCCGTCACGCTCAGTCTCTAAGGAAACTCGTTATCCGGCGTGAGCCACCTAGGTGCAACTTACACAGCCTGACCATGGCTAGGCCAACTACAACAATCTCTCCAAGTAACACAACCATGTATGGTAAAGACACACGAGCAGACGCACAAAGTCCATAGTTTCATGTATATGGCCTTATCGGGGTCTATCTTCTGAGCCCGATTCTGTCGCCATGGACACCCAAAGCGACAAAGCTGTGAACTTCTTCAGGATTGTTCGCTAGTCAAATCTGAATCCTGTATTGGTCATGCTCATCCTGGTCCAGAATGGGTTCTCCATCCAAAACTCTTGTGTCTGAATTGCCAATGTATCTTCTACTGCTCGCCACCAGCAGTAAGGGTAACGGTGTCAGGTCCTCATCATTCATGGCCGCCATATCTGCCCTCAAATGCGGCATCAACATCCCCTTCCTGTTCGTCCTCGTCCTCGTCATCGTCGTCATCGTCGTCATCGTCGTAGTCTTCGCCTCCATCTTCGAGGCCTCGTAGACGAACAAGACGAAGGAGATCCTCGTCGTCATCATCTTGGCCTGTTGCACCCGGAATTGGACCCAGAACTTCTTCCTCGCCGGCGCCATCTCCAGTCAGTTGAGAAGAGTCTCTTTCGTGCGATGTCGGTCTCAGCAGTGTTGCAGCTGGCACGGACACATTGGCAGCTCCTGACGATGTCACCGAGGGTATTTCTTGGGACTGCGACGGTTGAGGCGTTGGGAGTTGTTGTTGCTCTGGAGATGGTTCGGCTTTCTGTTGGCTTTCACGACCCGACGCTTGCATTTCAAGTCGGCTTGTTGCCTCACCATCAGGAAGGACTGCGCTGGGACTTCTGCTCCGTGACACAGATCTCGCAGTGTGTGCATCACCTAGTTCCTTTTCTTGACTCACGCTGCGCTGTTCTTTGCGTTTCTTCTCACGTCTGTCCACCGCAGTAGAGGCTCGACTACGCTGGCGGGATCCTTCGCGTGCAGCATTGCCGCGGAATATTCCCACTGTCACACCTGCATCTTCTGCATTGGAGGCAACGGTACTGGCCACACTTGCTTCTCGGTCTCCGTGTTCCAATCCTGGAGCCATGCTGGCAACGCTCTGGCTGCGGCTGCGACTCCCATCCGATGGGCTCTCAGCACCGGCCAAACCATAAATCGAGTCAAGCACGTCGTAGTTGACTCGTCTTGAATACACGCCGCGGGTCTTGAACATTTTGCGTACCGACTCCGCCGCACTCCGCTCTCGGTCAGCTGGGCCTTCAGCGCCACCCTCGACTCCTTCGCCAGGCTTATTGCGCTCCCCGTCGGGCTCATTCAAGTAGCTGACGTCACCCCTTCGGCCTGGTCGCTTGGTCCCATCCTTTCTCTTTCCCTTAGCCTGTGCTTGTCTCAGCGCCTCCTTGTCAGGATCGAGGCCTTGTGCCCGCATTTCCGCCTCTTTGAGCTCACGCTTGATCCGCTTGACATGGTCCTGGCGCAACCAATCCGCATTCATACTAACCCAGACACGCTCTTTGATACGAGTTTCCTCCTCACTCAGTAAACAGCTCGAAACGTCATCGTCCGAGTCGAATTCATCCGGGCGAAGGGTGGGTGAGAGCGAAACATGACCAAGATTCCCATCTTTCGTGTTGACGGCTGGGCCGGGGGTCTTATCCTTGCCAGAAGGGATGGTAGCGATTATATCGGAGAGCTGGTCTTCTTCTGCAGAGCCGGGCTGTGGCAGAGCAAGGGATGCGCTGGGCTGATCTTGTTGTTGGTTGGGTACAAGATCTGGATTCTCGCGCAGAGCCTCGAGAACGTCATGCTCGATTTCACTTTCAATGGCGAGCTCGGCAGCAGACGCAGGCGGTGGCGGCGCTCGCGGAGTCCTGGTAACCGTGGTTGGTCTCGGTTCTCGCGAGGGAACGAAAGCCTCCTTGTCCGCGGTCGATTGGGGTTGCGCCGAGTTGGGAGTGATGGCAGAAGGCGGGTCGGTGGGAGTTTGCCTCGTGGGGACTTCAGGAATCTTGTAGCCATCTGCATCAATCCGGACGCGTTTAGCTGGTCGTTGGTTGTCACCCGCTTCTTGGGTGACTGCTGGTTCAGGGCTATTGCCATCTCCCTCAATCTCAGCAGCAGTCTCACTTTCCGGCAGAGGCCGCTTCTTCGGCCGACCTCTCTTCTTCTTTTCATTTGGATTCCGTGCTCGTTGGTATGAAGGTGGATCTGCAGGTGTCAGAGCGTCAAGAATCTGGTTGTCCCTGAACTGTGTAATCGAGAGTTTACTGCTGGCCGTGTCTTGGAACTCTTCCAGGCGTTTGTTGATGGTGATCTCAGTGACTTTGGCCGTCAGGACCACCTCTCTGGTGGTACGACGATAGTTGTTCATTCGAGCGGCAAGAATGACGGCGGCGCCACATACACCAGATGGCCGCCGTCCAGTCGACATCCAATCTCGTTTCATTCGTTGAACGATCCTAATCGCATCCATTTTGATCTTATCCCGATGCTCCCGGTCAAACTCCAGTTCATCGACGAAACGGTTCACCAGGACTTCAGGCCCCATTGCTAAAAGCTCGGCGCTGACATCACCTTGAATGCTCCCATCAGGCTGCATGTAGAGTCTGCGAATCAAATCCGAATACATCTTTCCGAGGGCGAAGACGTCTATGTTCAATTTCTCGGCGAAATCGATCAGCATGAGACTGTACATTGGCCGACGCTCGTTTCGGATTTGCTCGTGTTTTCGACGACATGCCAGATACAAGCAGACAACAGCGACGCTATCGATGGTTCTGCCCTGGACGAACGAGTTGCCCCATGCCAGTTTGAAGATCTGCATACCGGCCTCCACCTCGGCGAGTCTCACACCAAGCAGAGACTGATAGGACAGCATTATAGTTCGAGCATGTGCCTCAGATCTGTCGCGATTGATGGTGGGCTCACGGCCTGCATTTCCCAAGGCGCCACCGGCGGCGTAGGTTCTTTGATGAGTTTGTGACTCTCCAACGTGGACACCCAGCGCAGTAATACGGCCAGAGTCTGTCTCGCCAAAGCCTTGTTCGGACACAAGGCCGGATTCCTCCTGAGCGACAGCACCACAAGTGTCACAAATCAGTCCTTGTTCGCTTTCAACAATGTGAGGGCTCGGACAGCTTGGGTTGGAACATTTCATGGTCTTTGCACCAGCCTTTCGCGACATGATTGGTGTGGAGGCTCGCATAAAGGTAGGGGTTGTTGCTCGCAAAGAAGTCGGCGCCGGGCTCCCTAGACCTTCGATGCGGCCGCGGTAGGCTGGCTTCCGGTATTGGCCCGCACGGGGCCTAGGTGGAGGTGCTTTAGGAGGCATGCTGAGACCTCGATTGACTCCGGAAATCGACCTGTCAAGGGAATTTAGGGATAGGACTTGGGCAGATAGATCGGATAGACCGCATATCCCAGCACGTGACCAGAATTGGCAGTGGCTATTCGGTGTTGATGGGGTTTATAGTCAAGGACTATGACTCAGCTGAAGTGAGAGATGCGGTGTAATAGTGAAGAGGAGAGGCTGAGAGGAGATAGGAAGCGCGCGCAGCGGCACCCCGAGTTGACTCTCTTGATGCTGGTTGCGAAGTATTTCCAGATCGGCTTGAAAGAGCAAGCGATGTGATTGTTGATTGGAGGAAGCGAAGATGATGGATGGAGAGGGTGGTGAAGATTGATCGTTGAGGGTTCGAAGGTTGAGCTGCGAAAATGAATCTCAAAAAACTGCCATAGAATTTGTTCGCTGGCGGAAGGAGGCGGGAAGAAGAAGTGGAGGGCGCAGGCAGGCACGGTGCAGTGGCAGTGGCAGTCGCACCTGCCGCTTCTCTAGTAGTAACTACTAGTACTAGTAGAGATTATTCCCAACGCCAAGTCTCCCACGGAGTGACATCCAGAGCCTGAAAACCAAAAAGTCCAATTCTGCCATCAACTCAATCCTCAAGCATTTCCTGGAGATATGCTGGAGTAATTGTGATTGTTGTCCAGTCGATGGCACTCTGAGACCATATCCATCAAAATCCACTCAATTTCGAACACATCAATTGCAGAGGATTAAGCTTAAAGTCACGTGAGCAGTATTGCTCCTTGTCGATTGTCATGTGACCGGTCGAGGAAGTGTGCGGATTTCTCCGCACGAGGCTGCATACCCCCTCAAGTTCAGCCTCGTGAGCCGCTGAGCTCTCCGTATCACCAACTGGACAGCCGTTAGACGATAAGGTCCCCTGTCTGGGTCTGCATCAGACAGTTCTCCTGATGACTCTGAGACTGCAATCTCACATTGAGCAAGTTGACATAATGGTCATCGAACATAGTCGACCGCTCAGCGACGGTGCTAGCTTGACCGCTTATCTCACGAGACCGAGACCGTTGGAAATCCTGTGCTTTCACTCATCCGCCAGCTGGTCGAGCAGACACCGGCTGAGGTGGCAAAGTACATTCACTGGGGCGCTACTACGCGGGAAATCCAGGACAACGTCGCCATGCTCCAGATGCGCGGAAGTCTGCAGCTCGTCAACCGTCATTTGCAAGAGCTGAGCACCATTCTCCGTTCCTTTGCAGAGAAATACCGCGATACGCTCATGGCAGGACGTACTCACCTTCAGCATGCTTTGCCGCGCACGTTCGGTTACAAGTGCGCCGTCTATTTATCCAGTAACCTCAGGCACTTGGAACGTCTCCAAAAAACCCAAAAGCGCTGCATGCTCGCTCAGTTTGGAGGCGCTTCTCAGTGATATGGTCTACGAAGCTTGCAAGAGTCGATAGAGACGGCCAGGCAGCTTCTCAATGTTCTGAGAGCTCGTCCAGATGTCATCGCGCATGTTGACAAGGACAAGTTGAAGGAGTACTGTGATCCGATCAATTACCTTCAAATCATGGTCGACGAAGTCTTGAACTTGGACTCATGCTCAGTCGTGAGCGTTGTTTGTCTAGAATCCGAGCAGATATTCAAGCATAAAAGTCAACTTGTATCAATTGACCATGTCTGGCTCTATGAAGCCGGCTGGTTGTCGGCACAACACCAGCCATTAGGCAAGCATATGTCAAGATGCTGTTGGGGCCTCAGAGGCATTTCTGAATCGGTCGCAATCATGATGATCTGGGGTTTCGGACTAGTAGTCATACATGCCATATAAGTATTGCGGTATTCAAGCGTACCTCAGGTATCTACCTGGTAGGTAGGTAAGTTAGGTTAGGTAGGTAGTGGTGGGTAGAAGAGGGAGGCATATACCTAGCGAGACAGGCTCGACAGCTAGGTTTGGTCCTTAAAGCGGCATCATGCTCACTCTGGAACAAGATATAAGGAAATACGTTCACCACATGTTCCAACCTGTGCAGTGCCCGAGTATATCAGCCATCCCTGCGCGTTGACGACGGTGCTCGAGGGAGGGCTTACCCCAGACTCTATTCACTTCGACTCGGTCTACTGGCCTGCTGATACGTCGTCGTCGAAACCTTTTGAATTGCATAAGAGACATGCTGTCCAACTCTCCACATCCAGTCCTTCGCTTCCGATCATGACCTCTCACAACGCCCACCTGTCCGCCAAACTCAGCGCCCCTATGAAGAAATCCGTCTTTGAGCGGCAAAAGGCAGAGGCGGAAGCCAAGAAAGCCCGCGAACAGGCAGAGACGGCGGCGGTGCTCGAGGATTTCGTGAAGAGCTTTGACGATGATGAAGGCGAGCCCTCTGGCTTCCCGTCGAGGAGGCCCGGTCACGGAGGTGGAGGTGGAGGTGGTGGTGGAGGCGCGGCTCATGGGCATAACGCCAACTACGGTCCGGGACCGGGAAAGAGGCATTTCACAAGCTCGGGACTGAAAAGCGGCCCAGGAAGTCTTGGGCCACCGCCATCACTGTCGAGGAGCGGTCCAGGCAGCCTCGGGCCCGTCCCGGGTTATGGCAAGAAGAGGCATTTCGATGACTACTCTGGAGGACGGGATCGAGATCGCGAGAGAGAGCGGAGAGATAAGATGTTTTCCTACGAGGAAGAGAGGAGCAGGAACGGTCGACAGGATTCCGGCGCGTTTGGTCTGGACGAAGAGGCCAAAGATGCGGAAGACCTGATGGCGGCGGCAAAACCAACATTACATCTTTCCTCTCTTCCTCCTGGAACCTCACCTGCAGTCATCAAATCCCTTTTCGCACCATCGCCGTTGACGGTCGACAACGTGCGCATCCTCCCCGCCGCTCCAGGCCCAGGCAGCGATCGAAGATCCGTCTCGGCAATCGTCACTCTTGCTGCTGAGACGCCGGCCACGGATATTGACACGACCGTCTCACATCTGCAGAACAAATATCTCGGCTTTGGATTTAACCTGTCTATATCCCGCCATTTGTCTTCCGCGGCACTGACGGGAGCGGGCTCCCTAAGCAACAACAAGCCCTCGGCCAGCTTGAACAGTCTTCCATTCGGCGCAAGGCCCATTCCTCAGCATACCTCACTCTCTAGAGCTCCCCCACCCGGGCATCATGGACCAGGCCGCTTTGCGCCGCCGCCATCCTATACATCCTCGACTCCTTATGGAGCCAGACCCGCCAACTTCCCTCCTACTCAGGTTACAGTTCAAGCACCCAATGATCTCAAGCAACTCCGACTTATCCACAAAACTGTAGAGGCTTTGTTAACATTCGGGCCTGAATTCGAAGCGCTGCTGATGTCGCGGCCGGAGATCCAGCGAGACGAGCAATGGGCTTGGCTATGGGACTCTCGCTCCGCCGGCGGTGTCTACTATCGCTGGCGACTATGGGAAATTCTCACGAATTTCAAGGCTCGCAAAGGTCCCCATGCAGGGCACTACGGTTCACGAGAGCAAGGCGACGTTCTTTTCGAAGGCCAGAGTGTGTGGGTCCCTCCCGACAATGGCCTCAAGTTCGAGTACGTGACAAAGGTGGAAGACCTCGTCAGCGACGACGACTACAACTCGTCCGACGAAGAGGACATGGACGATGGAGGTGGTCTGGCGACACGCTACCGTGACCATCAGAAATTGGCGGCCACCACAGCGGACCCGGCACCTGGAAAGGACGGGATGGGGTACCTGAATCCTTTGGCTAAGACGAAACTCGTCCACCTGCTGAGTCGACTACCTGAGTCGAATGCAAAATTACGCAAAGGCGACGTGGCGCGAGTAACAGGCTTCGCGATTGAACATGCGGGCGCGGGTGCCGAGGAGGTCGCTGCTCTTCTCACGCGCAATGTGATAAAACCGTTCTGTTACCACGTAAATAAGAAGAGCCAGTCTCCAAGCTCGGACGAGGAGAAGCCTGGGGATGACGAAATGGAGAACGACGGCGACGACCCAAACAAACACAAGGACTCGCCCCAGGATACCACGCCCGCGTCGCTCGTGGGACTCTATGTCATCAGTGACATCCTTTCGTCCTCTGCTTCTGCCGGAGTTCGACATGCATGGCGGTATCGCTCACTCTTCGAAACTCAGCTGCGGGTGCAGAACGTGTTTCCGATCCTTGGCCGCGCCGCGCGGGACCTCAACTGGGGAAAGCTGAAAGCCGAAAAATGGCGGCGCAGTATCCAGAGCGTTCTGGGCCTGTGGGAGGGATGGTGCGTGTTTCCAGGGCAGACCCATGAGGCGTTCGTTGAAGGGTTTCTCAACCCGCCTCTGACCGAGAGGGAGCTCAAAGAGAAAGAGAAGAGAGAGGCAGAAGAGAAGATGGAGAGAATGCGCGAAAGGGAGAAGGAGAAGGCCGCTAGTCGTTGGAGGAGTGTTGAGGCCGATCAGGCGGAAGCCCCGACGGCTGCTGGCGAACCCATCAATCGTACACCTTTGCTGAAGCATGGGAAGTCCAAAGACGAGGACGGCGATGTGAACATGGACATGGATGGAACGCCCATGACCGACGAAGATGAAGACGACAACCTCACCGATGCCAATCTTGACGGGGTGCCCATGGACGACAGTAGCGACGAAGAAGCAGCCACGCAACAAACCGGTACTGGGGGATATCAACACCTGGTGCTAGAGGCATCCGAACAACCGTCTACAGAACCCGGCTTGCGCGATGATCCCACCGAGGCGTCAGAAGAGGTGGTGCCCTCCCAGGCCACAGCAGAGAGCACGCCGTCTTCACTGCATGCATCCAAGACGCAACCGCCTCCTACAGCTGCAACTGTAGGTCAAGGCCGCAAATCCCGTCTCAGGGCTGTAGATTTTGATGATATGTTCGAGTAACGAGCGCAAGCAGAAATGTCGAAATAAACGAACTATCCGCGTGGACTACGCTTCGAAAAGCGAGTCAAACCACACACAGACCTACAGTTCTCGGGCGTAAAGACCAGATATGCGTATGAAGCAGCATTTGACGATGGCACGTAGTCTTGTAACTATCAAACGGTCATAGCCGAGTAAATGACATTACCCTCTCCTTCGTCCTCTCCTTCGTGAAGCGTACATCTTCTGTTCTATGCCAGACTAGAACAACTACCATATAACCGCTGCAGGCCTACACTTCCTCGGCACTGGCCTGGCCCGGCTCGCCTTCTGTCAGCTTCGACGCACGAGGGTCTTCAGAAATGGTCTTTTCTAGAGGCGCGGTGCCTGCATCGGTGCCCGCCGTTGTTTGCTTACTCACGGGAATAGCGTCGGTATTCGGATCTGGCACCTCCCTTTCAAGTTCCGGCCCTGATGCTTCACCAGCGCTTGCTGTTGTACGTTGAGAAAGTCCGGGGACGTCCTCATCTGATGGTTTATGACTCAGGGGATTCGATTTCTCCAGTTCAGGAGTCTCCAGCGTTGGCTCCGCTAGGTCCCCAGCCGTATTTGTGGCGATCCGGGTGGCATGGGGTACCGGTTCATCTCCTTGACGGTCCTCTGTGTTGTCGGCGTGATCTGTTTTCTCCGTAGTCGAAGGCACGGATGCATCGGGGGCTGTTGAAATGTCCCCCGGTTTCGCAGTTTCGCCGGAGTGGTCAGCTGTGGCATGGGCGTCTTCGCTCTTCGATGAAGCTTCTGGAGCAGAAGGCTCATCCGCAGCCACATTGACCTCGTCTGTATCGTCGATTGTCCACAGAGCACGCGGTGTGAACATAGAGAATCGCAAAGGAGCGACAGCAGGTGCAGAAGACCTCGCCGGTGCTCTCCTTTGAGGGCCCCGTGCTCTCGCCTTTCTGGCATCATCTAGCGGTTTGGCGTCTTCTACAACAGGCTCAGGCTCCTTCTCCTTGGGAGGGCCCAACCCCAATTTCTGATTGAGGTCATTCATGAAGTTACCTCTTAAGCTCGCGATCTTGCTACCTTGTCCGGGCTTCGCGGGGATCTGCGGCTTTGCTTTGGCGATGGGAGGTGACACCTTGTCCTGTTCCGCTGATCCGGCAGAATCTCGCGAATGAGTTTTGTTCAATCCCTCTCCAACCGGTTTCCTGCCTGGCCGAGCCGGAATCTGAGGCTTTGGTCGGTCAGGTATACTTGGGACTTTCTTCGAATCGGTCGGCGAGGTAGAGGTGCCCTCTCCAAGGTTCGTGTCTGTCTGTGACGGCGGTACAACGCTCGGGGCAACTTGGGCTGTTGAAGCATTTTCGCCTAACCTACTCCTGTCTGCGGGACGCGGAGGCACAAATGGCTTTCCCGGACTCTCAACCGGACTCTCATCTTCTTCGTCCACCGGTGGAGTGTTGACGATGGCAACAAGGCGCTGGCTTTCTGGTTCATCTTCCCATATATCGGAACTGGGAAATCGAGGTACCATCCCTGGTCTCGTCGGCATGTCGTCGCGGAGGTGCGGAGCAAATTTTGATTTCGCCAGTCTCTCCTCCTTCGGAATGAGCTTTCTGCGTTCCTCTTCGGAAGGTTCTTCTTTGCGTGCCGCTTCCTGTTCGGGTGTTTCAAAGGTCTTTGAGACGGAATCTTCCGTTTGCGCAGCCTCCGTTGGCGGAGGAAGGTCAGGCGTTGAGACCGTGGCAGAATGTAGGGCGCTGCTGGGAGAGTCTTCCCAGATATCTTGACTCGGGAATCGTTGTCTAAGCGAGTTCGGCCTCTGCTTAAATCGTTCGGCGTGGCTGAGTGGTTTCTTCGTGTCTTCGTCTTCGGGAAAGAGTGGTTCATACTCCTCCACGTCTTCTAAGGGGGTATGCATATTGTCACGTTCCTCGAGATGCGGGACGGATCGAGGCGCCGACTGGGATGCATTCTGGAGCCCATAGATACTTGATGGCCTGCTTGATGGCCGGGAAGCTGGGGTCGCATCACCGCTACGGAAGTCCATGTCGAAGTCACTACCGCGGCGTTCGGCTCTGGGAGAAACGGCCGGTTGTAGGTGTCCAATGCCCACCTCTTTCGCCACTTCATCCGCGGCCAAAATTGGGACCGTGTATCCGTGCTCATTGACATAGCCATCCTCACCAGTGGAGTGGGAGACGTACGGCTGCGCCTCTTGAGTCTCGTTGAGTGTCTCCTCCCCGCCGGTGATTTTGTTGAAGCGACGGCGAGGGGGCTGTATTTGGACTTCCTGCTCGGATTCACTTTCCAGGGCGTCATGATCATCGGGTCTACCAGACACCGAAAGCCTTCCTCGGCGAACCTCGGCAGGGGTCGTGCCATCAGCGGGGAAACTAGCCTTCCTCAAAGGAGACTCAACGGCGGGCTGAGAACTGTTGGTAATCGTCTTTGCCAGACTATTGGGCGTGTTGACCTGAGACCTCGAAATGAAGACGTCGGAAGCAGCATATCCGATCTGTTCGTCTGGGTACGAGAACGTGGTTCCAGACGTACCTGCACGGGTTAGAAAGGTTTAGGCATCAGGTAGGATATGTACTTACCAAATCCGGCTCCCCGGATGGCAGTCTCGCGGACTATTTTGTTCAAGTCGTCGGAACTCAAGGCAAAGCTTCCCCTGCCACTTCCGATGCTCTCGTACACACCGTGGCCGGTGGTCTCTTCGTGATGAGCAGCCTCCGGGTGCTTTGCGTACCAATCCTTTTCGAACCTGTCCTGTGGAATCACTCCGTGGCCGTGGAGGCCGTAGCTCCCTGGGGGGTTGTACACATCTCGGCTTTTGGAACGCGAATGAAGTTTCCTGTAGGCACCATTTTCCCCGGTATGGGCCGGGGTCATGCCTGGGGTAGGCGCCTGCACATCTCCCAGTAATGGATTAATGGGAACTCGGATACCTATTTCTGCCGGGCCTGATTCTTCTCCATAGATGGAGGAGCGACGTTCATTTCCCACAGTAGAACTTGGTCTGGAAAAACTAGTTCGAGTTCTTACGCGGCCTAGACCATCACCTTCCTCTTGACCTGGAGTCGACGACTTTCCAATACCATGCTGAGCCGCCTGCTGAGAGTCTGTCCTGGTAACAGCTTGAATCTGTGCTGCGGCACTTGACTTCGGCAAAGAAGGCTTGGGGGCATGCAGCGTGAGATCTTGGGCAATATTTCTCGTCTGTGCAGCACTTTCCGCAGGAGGATCAGAGGCCGAAGGCGGTTGGCTTGCCTGTTCCATTATCTCACCATATTCCATTCCTTCTTGTCCAAGGGAGGGAAGATGTTGGACACTAGGCCGGCGAGGCATTGCCTCTGTTTGGTCATTGGCCTTCTGTCGAGCATTGTTGGTATTCCAAGGGTCATTTAGAGGAGACCGAGGGAAGTGTCCGGGAGATACGGATCGCTCGAGGCGTTTGTTGACTGGACGTGGAGGGATTTCGGGCAGCTGGTTGGCACCTTGCGCTGCAGAAGCTTGTTGGGCTCGAGTCGGACGAGGGGGGATGCTGGGAACAACTTGGGCCGACATGATGGGCAAATGAATGCTTGACGTCGACTACACAGATGTGCGTTAGCCAAATACAGAGGACATTGGAATGGTAGTGAGTGTAATGCAATCGCTGAGAAGATTCACCGCTCTGAAAAGTACAGACGGTGCAGTCGGATAGGGATCGACGAGATATTTGATAAGAACCAAACGGGCCCAAGCCCCAGAAGAATGCAGGGATGGAGAGGAGTGCGTACCAAATGGAGTAGCAGACAAAATCAGAACCAACCCGAAGAACAAATAGAGAGAAAAGGAGATAGTATAACAGATAGAGCGGTAGTTATTGAGATGTGTTGATATAGATGTGGGGGATATGAGAGAAGAGGAATTGAATCTGAGGCAACGGGAGCAAGTTATGTTGCAGTTGGAGTCTTGCGGTGTTTATTCTTTTTCAAGGCCATGCAGCAGGCACATACGAGGAGAAGCAGGGACGAGGCGCAGGCTGTGGATGAGGGATGAGGGATGAGGGATGAGGGCTCCATCTCAGGCTTGAGTCCAGGCACTGGACAGGTGTAAGAGCGATGATGCAGTGTGTCTCGAGTACCTATGGCTTAACTGAAACTAAGTTACCCTTGAGCCTGGAGGGACCCTCAGGTGCCCCCCAGGGAACCTATTGGGGCATCCTGCTTAAGACCCAATGCCCACTTGGAGAGAATTCGGCTAGTGACGGTCATTGCGGCCACTTTTTCCATCGCAGTCACTGGATTTTCCTGCGTCCTCATTCGCTGCCTGGCACGATGCAGGAACCAAGCACCACTGCACCAAATTTGCACCCGCCATGACGTGATACCTGGAGAACTCTTCGCTCTTCGATCTGATCAGTTGAGTTTCCAGAAACCCGCTTTCGATGGTCATCCTTTGCTCATACTGTTGGTGCTGTTGTCATCTGGCATGATACAGGTCTCCAGTGAGCCATTTTGCGGAGTTTCCATGGCCAACATCTACCTAGGTGACCTGCAACATTCAAGAGGACTTGCTGTTCTAAATGAGAAGAACGAAAGCTGTCAATACCTCAAGGACGAGCTGGACGGAAAAGCAGGGAGCACGAGAAAAAGTTCGGCCTTCACGTGGCCCGTCCGCTACCTCACTAGCTGCTAATAGGACTCTAATGTCCTCGCCGCCGAGCCTGAAGAGGCATCATGACTTGTCCGGCCCTTTTCCTACTCGTCGTGAACTCATTAATCACCCAAGTCTATCACACACGGCAAGCCATCGCAACAACAAAACAAGTCCCGGACTCGGTCTGGTGGAATTGGTTGACGCATACACATTTAGTATAGCTTTCTTTACTCACCACATGACCATCGCCGGTTTTGTGCGTCCTTTGGACCTGTCGACCCTTCGAGTCCCTAGCTTCTTCTCCCCGCATTTCGATACTTATTAGCACGGTTGCTCAGTCTCCCTATCCCTCGCCGTCACCCGTGGAGATCGGGCTCCGGCAGACAGGACAATAATAGATGATGAAAAACTGGGTCGCAACATTACGGACAAACGGCATCGTGATTCATAGAGCTGTGGACCATGAAAAGCGATGCCCACTTCTTCCGAGAAAGGGACGGATGGATTGTAATATAATATTGAAGCAATGACCAGAAACAAGATGAAGGAATGTTGATTGCTCTGCTGCTATCACAGTCACTATCCATGATTCTAACTTCACCGGGCTCAAGATCCCGTCCCTCAAAAATCGCTATGTACCGAACAAGTGCCCCATCTGTATCGTTACAGGGCTTCTATTAGGTGCGCCGTTATTGCACTGTCCTGACGGGCCGTGTGGTTCTGTTCAATACAGACTCCAGTGCATCGCAACACGATCTTTACCAGTTGCGGTTCAAGATTCGCGAATTGCCATCTTTCCCTGCCGTTGCGGTCCCGCCGCTGCCATTCAGGGTCTCTTTGTTGCTGGTTTCCAGTCGGCCTCCTAGCTCTGCCTTTCCGCCAGTCAAACGCCGTCCGACAACCACATTTCCGTTTTGACCCTTGTCAGTCTTGGTCTTTTTGCCAAACACCTGCGCGCCCTCCACCAGTCGGCGTTCAGTGTTCTGGCGTCCATTCACAAAGTCGGGGTAGTTCAAGGTCAGCTCGACAGCGCCGTTGACGATGTTGTCTGCGGCTTCCACTCCCAACATGAACGAGTGGTCTTGGTTGCCGACCTCATACCTCCAGGAGCCGAATCGTCCTCGACTGTAGATCCCCTTTTCCTGCAGAGCGGGCAACATCTCCTTGAGGACTCCTTCGCGCTCCAAGGTCGGCGTGGGATAGCCGTGGTCAAAGCGGCGGTGATAGGTGGACACGATCTCATCGTCAGGTTTCAGCATGTCGGTGTTGACCAGGCCTTGGATGCAATCTTTGAGGAGTGTCTCCTGGTCGACGGGCTTCATGCTCGACTCCGAAACTTCCAACATGATGGACCAATACGGGCCTTCTTTGGCCTGCATGCTCTGCCTTCGAGAACCGTTGGCAAGTTGCAGCGTGGGCAGCTTGACGTCCTGTGCTGGCTGATTGTATGGGGAATAGTTCGAGAAGATGGTCGCTCGGTAGAAGGGGCAGTCATCCTCTGGGAAGTAGAGCCAGCATTTGTCCCCTATCCGCTCGGGGCGAGTGCCACGGATGCCGACGCCAATGACATGGGTGCTGCTGTAATACAGCCCCTTGGAGAGGCTGACCAGTTTCTCATCCTCCATCTTCTCGGCCAATAAGTCCAAGGCCATGGTGCTGATCAGTCTTTCATAGTGCACGATGGTGCCATCTTCCAACAACACCTGTTTCTTGTCCGCGTTGACCTTCTTCACCGTCCCCTTCTTGCCGAAGCGCTTCTTCTCATCTGGCAGGGTGTTGGCGACAGCAATCCAGATGCCGCCTGTACCGTCTCGGGCAGGGAATCTGAATGTGGCATTGGGTCCCCAGTTACCGGCTGTCTTTTGCAGGATCACGTTCTTGGTGACGTTCTTGAGGTCAGGGGCGGCCACGCGCTCTCCGAGCCACTGACATTGCATCTGCACCATTGTCAGCCACAAGCACAACATCAATAGGGCATTGCAGAAGTCACCTTTGTGGTTGGAACAGCCCAGACCTTGAAATTGTAGGGGCGCATGAAGAGGTCGGCAATCCCAGTTCCCATCATGCGCACAATCCATTCGTCAAAGGTCTTGGGTTTTGTGCCTGCGACTCTCGCTTCCAGCGCAGCGTCGATCATCCCGTCCATACACTTGACTTGTTCATCTTTGGGTAACATCGAGATGTTGTTCTGAAACGGATACGGGACCCATAGGCCCTTGCAGCGCACATATGATATTCTCTGGTGTGTAAACCAATCGTCCTCTTTGGGCAATGCCTCGTCGATGCAGTCGTCAAAGTACTTGTAGTGCGAGAAGATGACATGACCGCCAACATCGTAGAGCTGGTCGCATGTGAGTGTCCTGGCAACATGACGAGAGTGCTATACTTACAAACCCTTCCTTGGTCACATCGGTGGAGGCAAGACCGCCAGGAATCTCATTGGAGTCGACAATCAACCAAGATGGTCCATCCTGTGACACAGTCAATCAAAGGCACACACACACACATTCTATGAAGTCGCATACAATCTGATTGAGTCTCTTCGCAGCGCCCAAACCCGTTGGGCCTGCACCAATAACGAGGACATCGACTGAACTATATCGCATTCATGTCAGGAGGCAATCGCCGCGAACAGATGATTGGGACGTGCATACATTTCGGACATTTTGTGCCGTGGGTGCGTGCGTGGTGATGTCTAACGAGCGTGAAGTGATCTAGCAGAGGCGAAGCCAAAGATGATCACAGAGCCACTGCAACGAACAGTGCAAAATGCCAATAGTATAACAGAACAGACCCTCAGCGTTGCGAAAGAGACAGGTGTTTTGGTGTCTAGAACTCTCCACTGTTTGGAACGGCCGACCCCAGCTGAACGGGCAAAAAGTCGATGCTGCACTAAAGGACTTGCCTTATCGGAAGAAGCGAGTTGGGGGCAATCTTGGCAGGGGGGATGCTCCCTAGCCCCTAAAGAAGTCCCTTTTCCATGCCCATCAGCAGGCGAGAACCACAGCCACAAGCACTAACTCGGGACTAGGCTACACGTTGAACAAATAATATATCTCGATGGCGGCCACGACGGCGGGTGGCAGAAGGGGCGGCGCTCAGGTTGTTTGACTATCGATAACCTAATCCCTTGTAGAATTGCTCCTCCGGTGTCATGTTCAGGGGAGCTGCAATTGGGGACTCGAGGGTACTAGGAAAGGATTGTTGGTAGAGGAGATGATACGGATTGAACTCCACGCCGGCCGCCCACCCTTGATACGTGTCAATGACGATCACATTTGGACCTGCAGTGCCTCAGCTCTACACAGCCAGGAAAGTACGTAACCCTGGTTCTTCTTAAGAGAGGCAGGTCTGCGATCTGTGTAGGACAATTATTGCCAGTAATAACAACATCAAACAAGATATGTCTGCAGGCGTATACCCTGCATGTTTCGGACATCCACTCTGAACAGCCTCGTCCGTGGGAAACAATGCACGTATCTGAGGAACCCTAGCAGATACCTAGGTAGATTCGTCAACCCTGAATAGGTATTTTGGGACTGGTAGAATATGTACTCTGTACTTTAGGGACTTAAGCCAATTCCAAAAGTCTCCTCCGGCACTGTCACAAGTCAATCCTGCGAGTCGCAGACAGTTGTGGACGTGAATCAACAGCCAGGACGCGTATCATTTGAATGGCCAGGGCGATGATCCGACGGGTTCAAGTTCAGGCAAAAGATTTCAAGCCATCCGCTAGTACTAAAGAATACTAGTGAACCCGGCTTTTGTCTCTTTCGAGCGAGCTGCTCTTTCTCTGATTGGAGACTTTTAATTAGACTTCGGCAGACCTTCCACTTATGGGGTCTTCATTGTCTAAAACCGGGGCTCGGGCAGTTAGATGTTGGGTTCTGTTGGGCCGCTGTCTCCTTTTCTGTGCCGGTCCCTCTTGTCTTTCCCGCGCGTGTCTCCGGCAGCAGCACCATCACTATTCACTCACTCCGCCTCCAGCCAGCCCTTTGCGCCCGACAATTAACTTGTGCCGCTTCCAAGTACGTACCACAACCGAACCCCCATTAACGTCGCCATTTCCTATTATCCGCCAGCACGAACGCGAACGCTCCCTACCTCCGTGATTTCACCATCTCATCCTTGACTCTGTGGTCTCCCATTTGACTCTCACTCTTCTGCTACAAATTTTTATTCTAGCACAAGGTGCAACAGTCACTCGCTCTATGTTTGCTTGAGCGGTCGCCAACGTGTTGCAGCCACAGTCCTTCACCAGGTCGTCCCGGCCTTTTTCCTTTCAAGACTTCCTCGTCCGCTCTCCACCACCCTTCCACGCGATGGCCGACGGTGAAAAGAAAGCCCGCTTGTCGGGTGAACAGACAAGAGCTGCAGAGCCAGCAACACTCCTCCCGACCACCAACATCTCGGTGACTGAGAAACAACAGCCGCCTGCGCCTTCACTTCATCCGGCTGTCTACGTCGTGTATGCTGTTCCTTCTCTCACGTCATGCAAAAGCACAGTAGATGACTGATACGTCCTGGCAGGACATGGATTGGCTTCAGCGGCGGTGTCATACTGTTCAACAAATGGTTGCTAGACACACTCGGCTTCAGTATGTGGCTATCTTACCAAACCTCTCCTGCATGATATACTGACAGAGTGGCCAGAATATCCCATCACCCTGACAGCATGGTAGGTGGTGTAGGAGGTGTAGGAGGTTCATCAGCTACGACAGCAACACTAATGCGCACTCGCAGGCACATGATCTTCGCCACCTTCATGACCCAAGTCTTAGCCAGAACCACCACTCTCCTTGATGGACGCAAGAATGTCAAAATGACTGGACGAGTCTATCTTCGCGCCATTCTCCCTATTGGCTTCTTTTTCAGTCTGAGCTTGATTTGTGGAAATAAAGCATACCTATACCTCAGTGTCGCCTTTATCCAGATGTTGAAGGTAAGGCGATCGATCGACAGAAAGGAGGAGCAGGATTGCTAACAGGTTATAAGGCTACAATGCCGGTCGCAGTCCTCCTTACCACCTGGGTGATGGGTGTCGCGCCTCCCAACTTCAAGACGCTCGGCAATGTGTCTTTCATCGTGATCGGCGTGATCATCGCGTCGTATGGAGAGATCGAGTTCAACCTGACCGGCTTCCTCTATCAAGCTGGGGGTATCACCTTTGAGGCCACGCGGTTGGTGCTCGTTCAACGTCTCCTCAGTTCTGCCGAGTTCAAGATGGACCCGCTGGTCTCCCTGTACTATTTCGCGCCCGTCTGCGCCGCTATGAACGGTGTCACCGCATTGATTCTGGAGGTGCCAAAGATGAGCATGGCCACTGTCTACGATGTGGGTATCTTCATGTTGATCGCTAATGCTATGGTGGCATTCATGTTGAATGTCTCGGTGGTCTTTTTGGTACGTTTCCCCTCCCGGGCCGATGGTTGGCTTTGCTACTGACACTGTCGGTGGTAGATCGGAAAAACCTCGTCATTGGTCCTCACACTCTGTGGCATCATGAAAGACATCCTTTTGGTTGGTGCGTCTATGATGATCTGGGGCACCCCGGTCAGCGGGACGCAATTCTTCGGCTACTCGATCGCTCTCGGCGGACTGCTGTACTACAAGCTCGGGGCCGAACAACTCAAACAATACATTTCCCATGGCGGTCGTTCGTGGTCTGAGTTCGGGGTTCAGCGACCAGCAATGCGGAAAGCTGTGGTGTTCGCACTGGTCCTCATCACCATTTTCCTGCTGCTTGGAGGATTGGCGCCAACATATGCACCTGCCCAGACGAAGAATTTGAAAGACATTCTCAGCACCGGGATTGGATCGTAGAAGAATCAGATCCCAGAATTGGCAGAGCCAGATGCCAGGCTCAATGGTCGGAGCAAAAGAAGCCTCTGGTGTTTGTTCCATTGGCACGGGGGAGGAAGACCCACGTTGAAGGTGTGAATACGGAAGAGGGAATCCGACAAATGGAGATGATTGAAGATTCAAGGCTGTGGAGGCTTTCGAACTCTTCATTTGCTGTGCACAAAACCGCATGAATTGTATGATAGACAAAACTTGCAAAGTGTTTGGATATGGGGTCCAAGGGTTGCAGAGACTAGGAACCAGATGCAGACAGTGTAGATACAAGCTGCCCATAATCAAGCAAATTGAACGGCTCGCATTGCAGGATACCTACCGACGACTACTTCATGGACAGGTACCATACCAGGTACCACTTCCGACCACTTCAAGTTAAGTGAAGGCTCCCTGGCCAGACTCTCCGAAGAGGCTTGGTATTATGTAGCCTGAACTTCCCCACACGTGAGCCCTGAAAGTCTTGAACGGACTGCTACTGTGGACCTTCCTGGCATCCCAGTACTACGCCGTGAGCCCTGGGAGCACCATCTGGGAGACTGTGCACAACTTGCATTGGACCCCTAGTTTTTATTTTATTGAGGGACTATTCAGGCCTTTACTAGTTAGATCCTAATTGACGAGGCCTGCAAAGCTTTTATGGCCTCTAGCACCTCTAGTTGGTTAGCTCGGTGGATAGTACGGAGAATCTGCGATATCATAGGCCAATGGTGATGTATGGCGTACAGCTTACCCGCCTTAGACGAGGTGCGTGCACCAATAATCGAGCTCCGATCACCGTTAGTGCTGCGTGTGTTCCTGGCAATCCTGCCCATCTCAGGCCACTGGAGATGCCTAGAGAGTACTACTAGAGAGCCCCCACCAGCCACCATTGGGCTACTATAGGGGATGGCCCCTGTTGCTGCGGGCTTGGTTTAGAGCTCCTAAGGGTCTAGGGAGTCCTAAGGTCCCAAGGCTCCTCAGGGCTCAGGCACAAATCATAGGTGAGGAGCCTAGGGAGCCTCCTCCTTAGGCTCAGAATGCTGTGCGTTGCCGTGATGCCGCTGCGCCGGTCAGACCCTCATCGACGTTTCTCGTCTCCCCAGAGTTGAGAGAGTTGGCTACGAAGCATCGTCCATCTGCATCTGCCACTGCCACTGCCACTGCCAATGCCACTGGCGATCCATCAATCGCATTGCTTGTTTGTCAATTTCTGGTCTCTCAAGCGACTCCCCAGCATGTGTCTTCGCCTCTCTTTCGTCTCCCGCTCGTGCGCATATTCAAGTCCTTCTCTCGCATCTCGCATTTTCCTATTTACTTCCTCTATTCCTCTTTTCTTCACTTCCCTTCACATCCCTCCTCTCTTTGCTCCCCTCCTACCCACCCTGACCCTATAACCTCTACGCCGTCCGACTGATCCATCCGGCCTGCCTCATCCTACTTGCTAGGTCCTATAGATATACTTTCTTCTTTGTTTTGCACCGGGTCATCCCTGTTGCTTACGCGCGACGAGGCCGAATACCACTGTCTCCCGGCCTCGTCCGGTCATAAAAGCAAACATGTCCTTCACGCCCGCTGACCAAACACAACTACCGACGCCTTCCGACACCCCCAAGGCCATGGAGCACGACGCGCCCTCTCCAGCCTCATACGCGAATCACTCGACCACCTGGACACCGGTCGACAGCGTGACGCCAGTCTCTACCAATCCGTCGAAGAAGAGATCGCGCGAGGATTCACACTATGACCCAGAGGCGGACGGCTCTTACTTCACCTCTACAGACCCCGCTGCGTCCGCTCCCGAGGAAGAACCTATCTACGGCGAAGGCATGGTGCTCATCAACCCAAGGACAGGCGTATCCATTCCCGCGGAGAGCCAGACGGGAACATGGTATGAGGAAAAGGTGGAAGAGAAGGCGCAGGAGGAAGAGCTTGTGGCCGCCCAGGCTAGGCCCAAGTTGCCCACCAGCCGCAAATCTGTGCGTTTGTCCCAGCCCTCGATCCGTCCGCCGCTGGATACCTCCTCTGTGGCTTCCGCGCCGGCCAGTCCAACAAAAACAGCCGTGGATCGACCCGAGTTCGACGAGGCCACCCTGGCATTGGGCATTGGCTGGACCCAGATGTCTTCGGAAGACGCAGCCTTGCAAGGCGCGGCTCGAGGCTGGGCCAGATACTTGGACAACCATTACGCTCGGCACATTCACGGTGCGCAAATTCTGCTCAAGAGTGCCGGACTCAATGCCTATCTCGTTAGAGCCCAGGAAGGATACTTCCTGTTTAGCGAAAATTTGCTTGAGGGAAAATTGGTAGGCAGGACGTGGGAGACGTGCTTGGGAAATCTAAGATCGCAACCCATCGTCTTTGCAGGGCAAGAGGTTCTGCGCGCGGAAAGGACGCCAGGACCGGAAGCCGCCAACGCCCAGCCCCAACAGAACAAATTGGAGAACTGGGCGGACTACAATCGACTGAACAATCTCCAACCCGTTACCGTCACTAATGGCGGAATGGACCTCGACTGAGGGGGCCCCGGCTCCAATGTCGACGGAAGCATAATCACTCGCCCGAGGCCTGTGAGCAAGCTGCTCGACGCAGATGCTTTGAGGTTTACCGCCGTCAATCCGTACGCCGTTCGCCGTTGACAAGATTATCACTGGCTGGAGTTTAATGCCATCCAGCTGAAAAGTCATGCATCAGGGACAGTCACCCGGATTCACGTCGCTTTCCGGTGTCGGCGGTGTACATGTTTTCGACCGAGGACCATGTCCGCATCTCACATTTGTCCTTCTGGTCAAAAGCAGACGCGCCGCTTTGGAGCCCGGCACTACTGTCCGGCACTACTGTCTTCATTCGCTGTGCAGCTGGTGCATTCGAAGACGATCACGTCCAGACTCCTCAGGGCTGATGGTGGCAGCACTGGCTCATCCCGCGCCCTTCTGCCCTTCTTGTGTCGGACGACCAGGGCCCTGTGAGACATCTGGGCCGGCCAGGAGATGCTTTGTGGCAAGCTCAACTGAGTGCCGGCTGACAACTGTGGGATGACATGAAAAGTCCTGTGAGGATATTTCCTAGTAGGTTAAAATAAAAGGAGAGTCGGAGACGACCAGACGCCAGACACAAGATAAGTCACAACAAGCAACCGTAGTCTACAGTCAGCAGACGACTAAAAAGGAGCGAGAGCCGTATCATGTATACCAAAAATCAGCAATAAGCGAATGAAAGACTATATCATGTCTTGTCACATCATGTTTCACCTTGTTTCATTCCGGGACCGTGATCAATGTTTCTCATATTATATGTATTTTTGGGCTTCAAGCAGAAACAGAGCAGGACTATACTTCGCAGAACTTGGTGTTCGCAAATAGATATTCTCCCGTCATTCTCCCGTCATCCTGGCTTCAGACGACTCGTCCTCAGCTAGAGCACCGTATAAGATACCTTATGTATAAGACTCGGATCCAAGTATTTAGACCGACCCGGGCAATTTCTCGCCGAAAGTCTACCGGTTCCAGATCAGCATGGCGTTCACATGTTGTTCGGTGTGTTCATGATCTTGCCCGAACCACTTAGTGGCAGGTAGATAATAATAACAGGTATGTAGGTAGGTAGACAGGAAGGAAGGGAAGGGCTACATACTTTGGTCTTATACTGCACTGCCCCTTCGACTGGCTTCTCCCAGGCCTGTCGCCGGGATGCGAAACTCTCCCATTCCGGCACGGGCAATTTGGCATACTGTGCCATATCGGTCATCGGTTAGATATTCGTCACACGAGAGAAAAAGAGAGAGAGAATGAATGATTGAAAACTTGGACGGCAAAGTGGGCGAAGCGAACTGAACTCACAATTCCCAGTTTCAAGACGATTTTCCCTTTGAGCAGGGGCGTCATGCTCATGATGGGCACGCCGCATGTTTGGCAAAAGTATCTAGACCGCTACCATCAGAAATCGAAATCGAAACCCATTTGAACCGAACGTTCCTCGAGAGAGGTGGTCTTCGCAGAAGCGGATCGAGATAGACTGGGTAGGTATATAGGGAAGTTCAGACGTACCTCTGCACAGGCGTTCCGCTCAGTGTTTCTGGGTCCTTGAAGAGTGTGTGGGTTAGAAGCAAGACCAACAATGGTAATGGCTGTAACGAGACAACGGCCGCCTTTCTTACCTCGTATACTCGGAGGTTATCTTTGCCCTTGGGAAACTCGACTTTCTCCTCCTCGATGATGAGATTCGCTCCGAAGGGCCCTCCCGCGACTTTGCGGCAGCTGGCACAGTGGCAGAGATGGCCTCTTCGCTGGTCGCCGAACAGATTGTCGTCGTTGACTTTGACTCGGACCGCTGGCGGATTGCATGAGCAAGAGCAGAGAGAGGGTCTGGGGTAATGGTTGCTGGGGCTGGAGTATATGGGGATGGGGATGGTGATACCTTTGCACAAACATTCCCCTTCCATTCTGGCAACTGGGTGTTCCAAGAGCGTTTAAAGAATCGAGTGAGAGAGATAGAGATAGAGATAGAACCCAACTTTCGAGAGTCTCGCGTTTTGTAGAATGAATGAATGAATGAATGAAAATGATTACAAATTCGTCCTTCTGCCTTGAGGGTCTGTAGGTGGCCTAGGGGGTGATTCCCTTAATTAGTAGGTGGATATGGTGGAGATGGTGGATAATGATATATTCGCGTTTTGTAGACAGTCACAGGCTGTCCCTTTGCCTTCTCAGAGCGAAGCGTCGATGTGGTCACTGTCCCCAGAGTTGTGCGGGGAGAGAGTCAGGGATTGATTCACTCACCATCTGAGGAGTACTAGATTTATTCGGCCTGGGTTGTCACAACATCTACCCACCACTGCAGCACCTCATGTTCGACTGTCTTCTCTGCATCACGAACACATAATCTTGGGTGCATCAAGCATCCTGGAGTGTATCGCATGATAAGGTCTTGCGCAACTTCCAGGTAGATAGATAAGATATACGGCGCTCTGGCATCCTATCCCTCATCGAGGCACCTACAGAGCCGACTCGAGTGCTGCCAATCTAGTGGGCTGCCGTGTGCAAAGCAGTTCCGAGTGCCATCGACTTTCGAGATCCATGTTTCCGAGACACCGTGGCATTTCTCGAAACCGCATGATTCGCGAGTTGCCTCGGGTCTGGCTGTCGAAGAGGAAATATTAGTGGCTTTCATGCCGACGGTCCTTCCTCCCTGAGACCGGTTGACGATGCGCTCGAGGCCATGCTCCGAGACATGGATGAATACAAGGTTGCGGAAGAGGCTGACTACGCCAGCACATTTGATAGAGCTTAATCCGGGTTCATAGCACAGCGTCTCTCGGCAAACTTGCCCAGACAGACGCATTTCACGTGACTAGTCGCTGGTTTTAAAGGTCCAACAGCCTCGTTTCACACGACCACAAGTGTGAGATGAGATTCGACATGGTCGTGTGAAGATGCTCCTGGTGGACCGCTTTGCAAATTTGTTCATGCTTATCATATGTAAATGTCCGGGCAGGCTATCTATGTCTTCATCCTCGTGATAAATGGATGCTTCAATGCATCGACTGGTGTGATCCTTTTCTCTGGCCGCAAATCCAAGCACTTGTCCAGCAGGTCAACAAACGATTCTATTTCCTTTCGTTCTTGCTCGTTCATCCGCTTGTCCTTGGGCATCAACCGGGACCGCAGGTCTCTGACTGGTTTGGCCTTGATATCAATCATCTTGATAACAGTACGACCAGTGACTTTGTCCGTCTCTTGAGCCCGAAAATTGAGTAAATCATCGAAATATTCGTAGGCCAGCGCACCCCGCCTCAAGAGTTTGTGGGGGAACTTTCCCCGACATTCCATAATCGCTCGAAGCATGCCATTATTGTTGCGCCCTGTAAACAAGATCTTGCCCGTGTAGAGCTCGAACAGTGTGCAGCCTATGGACCACATATCAATGCCATAGTCGTAGGGGATACCAAGAATGACTTCAGGAGCTCGGTAGAATCGAGACACAAGGTACGGTGCTGTAGCATTCTCCGTAATAGGCGACGCTGAACCTAGATCGCATATCTTGAGAGTACTCCTTGCCTCGTTCACCAGAATGTTGTCGGGCTTGAGGTCAGCATGAATGTATTGACATTTCCTCAAAAGACTGAGCCCCAGGAAGAGCTGTTGGGCATAAGCTCGGATGGCCTTGAGGTTGATTCCCACATCTCTGCCGAATTTCTTCAGCACTTCTCGCAGATTCATCGACAGATTTTCGAAGACCATGCATAAGTGGCCTTTGTGATCGAAAGAACGTTCCAGGCGGATAATATGCTTCTTGTCTTCCGGATCGTTGGCGGCAATGTCCTTGAGAATGTCAATTTCTTTCATACCTGCCTTGCGCATCGTCTCGTTGTTGCGAACAATCTTGATAGCCACCGGCTTACCCGTGCGCTTGTCCATGGCTCGAACAACAGATGAAAACATTCCTCTGCCAAGATTTTGTGTGACATGATACCGATCCTCAATCAGCTCACCAAGAATTGTGATGTAATAGCCCTCTGGATCATCCCAATTGTCCATCATGTTGACATCCAATGCTTGAGCGATTTTGGTCTCCTCTTTGGGCTTCGGTGCAGCGTCCGCAAACATGTCGTCGTCATCTTCCTCGGCAAACATGTCGAAATCGGTAGCCTGTTTGGAAGTACTTTGAGATGACGCATGTGTTTGCTCGAGCACATGTTGATCGGCCTGTTCCAGGGACTTGTCATCCTCCTTGAACATACTTTTATCATGGCGAGCTCTTTCATCCTCCATGTCCACGGTGGGGTCATAGTCTGCAGCTGAAGGGTCATCCCCCGCAGGAGAGCCTCTACCAGAGTTAGTCAAGTCTGCATCTGCATCGAAGTTGACTTCGGCGGGAGATTGAACAGCAGAGATCTCTCGCGGCGTGCGCGGCGACGAGCTAGTGGGCGATTCTGGAAATGTTAGAATCATGCGCTGCTGGGTTTGGGTGGTATCAGACTTACCAGACCGTTGTGGAGTGGACACATCAGTGTCAGGCGCAGGACTGGCACGAGTTGAACCCCCTCCTAGGTGAAGGGCCTGGGCCAACAGAGGCGGAGCCTGACCGCGGTATTTGTTCTTGATCGCTTCGCGACGCTTCCGACGTTCCTCGATGAGGGCTGCTTCGTCAACCACTTTGGGTTCCTCAACACCGTCAGTCATGCTCTCTGCTTGCACAGCGCCCGAATATTCAGATCGATCTCTGATCTGATCGACCCCTGTCTCAGATGGCGGTGCGCCGGGCCTGGATACGTTAGAGCCGGTGTTGAACCGAACGGCTTTCCCCCGGTGCGATGATGCCGTATCTGTGGCCATACCCGGCGCTCGTTGCCTGCCCGACCTTCCTTGGTCGGTTTCACTCCTGTCAACTGCATTGTCTGGTCTGTCTTTTCCGCTGTCTCCAGCTCGCGAATGCCTATAAGGTGATCGACTTCTGCTCCGGCTGCGAGAGTACGTGCGATATCGTTTGGAACCTCGGTCTTCATAGGAGTCATGCCGTTGATGGGCGTACCTGCCAGACTCGTGTTTGACGTCGGAAATCCGCACGTCATTGATCGGTCTACCTCTGTAATGGTCGTTCTCTCGTGGACGCTTCTCACCCCTGGACGCTCGATAGGGTGATCTCGAGCGTGATCGGTGCGATCTGGATGGGCCATGCGATGAAAAGTAAGGTCTAGTATGACGGTCAATCTTGCTGTTATTGCGGGAAGATGGTATGTTCTTTGCCTTCGTGTCCGAGTCTGAGCTGAGGACTTCGCCCTCAGATTGGCTCGGAGATCTCGAAGCCATGATAAAAATGTGCAGATGTAGGCCGGGACTGAAACCTAGCCTTCAGTTGAACGAAGTGGTTAGCCACGAATTCAGATATGGGAAAATTGCAGCTGTAGAGCCCGACCGGTGTCGTCCCGCCGTATCCTCCTCAATTCCGCAAAGAGAGCATATGCATATGCCCCAGAGTAGATGCGCACCAGTAGGTAGTAGAGCAAGGAGACAAAGAGTGTCCTGTTAAGAAGAGCAACAGAGATAGTTTGACTTTGAGTTGCAGTTGGAGTTGCCGCAAGGATGAAGTCAAGCAGCCACATAAAACCAGGTGCCAGTGTAGCCAGTCCATTGCCGCTTTAGTCGACAGTTGTTCCAATAGTTACTAGTGTACTAGTCTATACTAATGCACATCACTCAGGCTGCACATATTCAGTACTAGTGCTACTAGTAGGTACCTAGATTAGGTAACGCTGACTGGCACGTGATTGGGAAGATTGACTAGAGCCAATCCCTGCGATTCGAGACCGTCGCTAGGCTAGTACGTACCATGGAATGGAAAAGTACGTTGCTCAGTCCATCACACTTGGAATACACACCGTATTGTGACTACTCGACCACTTTGAACCCAATTAGATACCATCTGGGTCCCCAGTTATACACTCAAAGTTTCAGCATCATCATGGGTGGTCAAAGTCGTGAAGGTGCGTCGTTTGCGACACATCTGGCTTAATGCAAAACTGACTCTCAACAGGCGGCAAAGTCAAGCCGCTTAAAGCACCAAAGAAGGAAAAGAGAGAAATGGACGAGGATGAAATCGCCTTCAAGGCCAAGCAAGCCGCAGGTACGAATCCTTGCACCTCAGTACACAGTCCAGCTCGACTCAGAGCCCGCTAACCCGTCCGCGCAGATGCCAAAGCACGAAAAGAACTAGCGGAGAAAGCGAAGGGCAAAGGGCCGTTGAACGCCGGCCAACAGGGCATCAAGAAGAGCGGAAAGAAATAAAGGATCTGCGGCACTGGCAGTACGTGGGAGTTTTGTAACGAGCAGATGAAAGCGCGGCGCAGATGGATTCTGGTGTTTCCGGGCTTTAAGAGCAACATCATGATGAAAGGATGGCCGTGAATCCAGCCACACTGGTCTGGTTCATTCTTCTCAGATTGGGAGACGTCAATTCTGCATGGCTACAGAAAGGAGCATTTCGTGAGTTGTGGACCAGCCACAATAACGGCGTGTTGAGATGCACCACAGACTTTCGATACGGATGCTCTGTGGGGAGGAGATGCAAGGCTGTCACCCAGCTGGATAGGACGTCTTGAGAGGATTACACCCAGGAGTTTGTGAAAGTTTGCAGATGAATGCCTCAGCCATGGACGCTGTACTCCATCATTGTTGGCATGACAAAGATGGCAGTGCTGGCTGTGACTCTGGTAGGTATAATGAAATTGTTGCGCTCACTCTCTCTGTTCAGCCGGTGCAGCTGAGCAGTTGCAGTTGTGAAAGTGGTTGCCGTCTGTATCATGTGCTTTGCTTTGGTTGATTGAACGCGCATTTCTGTCTCTGTTCTATTTCCCACATTCAATCTGCAACTGCACGCATCTTGGGTTCGACTCTTCATGCCCTGCCAACTTTCGTCCTACAGATCAATTTCTTCTTGCCTTTTGTCCAAAGCGAGCCAGATCATATTCGAGCAGCAGGTCTCCTTTTCTTCTTGTTCCGCTCCCCATCTTTCTCCGCCTCGTTCTGCAACTCGCCTCATTGCAGTCATGGAAACCGGCTCTCCTCCTCCCGAGCCGCGCGAAGACCGTGGTCCTCGTATCCCTCCTGCAAAACTCGCAACGTAAGGCCCGGCCCTTACAGGAAACCGTCCAACAGTCTAGGTATCAAGCTGACGCACAAGGATTACAGTATCAAGGCCGAACCTACTATCTCTATTTTCTACAAGCCCACCAAATCCGCAGCACTCCAACTCCTCGACGGCAAATTCCCACAAGATGCAGCTATGGTCTTCTGTGACCGCATCCGCCGCGAGCTCTTGGACAACAGTGGCACCAAATCCTTCACGGTCACTGGGAACGATGTAACTGGCTTGAACGAGGTTTTGGCATGGATCAAGCAGTGTGTTTCTGAGGGAAGCATCATCAAGTACAAGGATGTAAGTATGCTCACCGATTTCCAGGATTTGAGACAACACAACAGACCCTGTGCCATCTTCGTCTTTGCTAAACAACTTTCAGCTTAGCGACGACACTCCCAACCTCCTGACCGCCTATGCCAATGTCATTGTCTCCGCCACCTACCTGGGCATCCCTGCGCGTGACCTTGCTGAAGGCCTGACGAAGCGAATGCAGGCAATCGCACGCAGAGTCTTGATGAGCTGGGATGAAGTTGAGTGGTTCTACAATTCGCCAGCCTTGAGAGCATGTGGTGACTCCGTCCGCGAAGTTGCAGCTGCCAGCATTTTCTGGGCGTGGTGGAATCGGAAGCTTGACGATGAGGAAACCCCTGACGACATGATGTTTCTCGACGTCTTGAGGCAGGAGATCTCGAAGCTCAATGACGACTTGCACAACTGGTGTGATCGCAACGAGCAGGCTATCCGCGCCAAATGGGAAGAAAAGAAGAATGGTAGAGCTGCAGAGACTGCAGGAGCCGACAGTTTTCAGAACGACGGATTGACGTCTCGCGGTGTAGGCGGTGGTTGGGACGACACTGCTGCTTCTCCTACTGGTGCTGGTGCAGGGTCGGGCGGTTGGGACGACGAGAATTCTCCTCCTGCTGCGAAAGCTAGCAATGACGCCGACGGGGATGAGTTGGCGGTCCAGGAAACTTCAAATACAGGTGACGCTGCAGGTCAGGCCAGTCGTGACGGGGAAGCAAATCCTGATCGCTCGTCTGGTGTTGACTCCGCTATCGATGTGGGCACAGGTTCAGGGTCCCCCGCATCTGCTGTCGACAAGAGCACCGGCTATGACCTCCCAGAGCAGAAAGACCATGCTGCAGGACCCGGGGAGCATCAAGACACGGCATCGTACGGCGTTGTTGGCGACGACCTGGGCGCGGACGGCGGCGACTGGGCGGACGAAGTCAATCAGCACGATACGACTACCCTGCAAGGATGGTAGGCATTGTCGGCCCTGTTGTCCGACCAAGCTGAAAGTGAGAAAACTTCTTGAACGGCTGGTCAATGTGCGTGACGCCGTTACGCTGAAGAAATGGGAGGGAGAAACGTCTGGGCAGGCTTCAAAGCCGTGATGGACACCTACTCGATGTTGTAGAAAGAACAAGAAGAGTCCAGGCAACCTCGGCTCAAAGGGTCAGTTCGTGCTCTCCCAGAGTTCGTACCACGAGTCCAGCTCAACAATGCCGCCCGGGCTACCATCCATAGATCAGGCAGACTGAACAGCTCCTGGTGCAAAGACCAATCTCCCCTATGCATGGCTTTCGCCCAGATTGTTAAGTGCTGCTGCCCTCCACTCTTGCGTGGGTAGTGAAGTAGACGTCAAATGGTGACGGCTCGATGGTAAGATTTTAGGTTTGTGATTATATATTCGACAAATCGTTGTTTATCACGAAAGAACCCATACCAGTCACAGCACCACACCTCTCCCAACATGTTAGAACCGCCACGACACCTACGCACTTTAGCAACGTAGATCCGTGTGCACTGTGTCCTACTCTCAGCGAACAACAGTCCTAGCTTGATGAGTGCTAATGCAGCTTCTTTTCTGCAGTCCGCCCTTTCTTATACCACGCGGCAGGCGAACCTGGGAGGTCCATGCTCGAGGGCGGGTGGCTGCTCCGTCTTGCAGACAAGTATGCAGCATGGATTGGCAGTAAGGGTGCAAAAAGGTAGGTATCCAGCATTACAAGCACTCTATGTAACGCATTCAAGAACTCCAGATGCTAGACAGGTACATGTACAACCTGCCTTGCAGACTCCATTCAATGCTTCAGCACGCTTGATCCCGTTCCACAGCCCAGCAAGACACCCTGCATCCATCTGCCTCTAATCCACCAAGCCTGAAAGCGTTTCGAGAATGGTGAAGGATAGCAGAGAACCTCTTTCGTGGTGTCGAGCAGCGGTCCAATGTCTCTGACAAAACTTCGTCCATTTCCGTTAGGCGCAACAAAGATTGTGTATAACACTTCCGCTTAATTCTTCAAGCCTGTAAGGCCCGTCAGGGTATTCAGGAGTTCCTGAACCAGGGCAGTGACCTCAGACACAAGATCGTTGCCATTAATTCCTCCAAGTGATTCAACGTCCGCAAGAAGCGTCTGCACTGCAGAAATGGTTGTGGTCAAGTCTAGGGAGACTCCTTGTGACGACGCAGAGACACCGACATCACCGAGGGTATTATTCAATTGACTGATGAGGCCTTGGAGAGTTGATCGTGCCGAGCCCAGGGTCCCATCGACATCCGTCTCAGCTTCACTGAGCAGCTGGTTGATCGCGGCGTCAAGACCGTTGACGGTGTTGGTGACGATGGACAAGATGCCGGTCACCGTCGCGAGAACGTCACCGACGAGGTGGGTCACGGGAGATAAGTCGATGAGCGCACGCTTCAAAGTGGCCACGTCGACCATGGGTGCCGCATTCCGCTTGGCTGGCTCAAGGGCCTTGCTACCTGGTGCAGCTAGGAATAGTTTAGTATGGCTGAGTCAATGGGGTAGAAGAGAAATCTACCATTGAGAGGGACGGCAAGAGCAGAGGCCGTAAAAAGAAGTGCGGTGAAGACAGCTGCGGGACGCATGGTGCTTGATGGAACAAATTGCTGATATGCTTGATGAGCGAGCGGGAAAAGAAAGGTATTAATGATTGACTTCGGGTCAGACTTGTAGCAGACTCAATGATGTGTGATAGAGGAAAGTAACGAAGAGAACGAAGAACAGACAACAGACCAGCTGAGCCTTTAAATACACCCATGGTCTTTGCTGGTGGAAACGGTTCGCTTGAAGTGCACGACCTCTGAAATTCGAACCTGCCTCAGGAGAGTCAAGCCTTGGACCTTTTCGACTAGCAAGATGATGTTGTCGTGCTGGTTTCAAACCCGTGCTGAAGATGGTGCCGTCCTGAGCAGGACCATTCGAATGCTCCTCATCCATCACACGGCATTGGTAATGACGATCCCTTTGGACCAGTCCAACGTCGTCGATGGCTTAATCTTGGGTATCCCAGATACGGTTGGATCTGCGAAGCCACAACTCCTCCGGGTGAGCATGACACGCAGTAGTGGAACCATGGATGTCTCCGAGTCATGGGGAGAGATTGGAAGATGAGACCACAAGCGAGGAGAATTTTGATATTGGACAGTGCGAGGCTGGGGCTTGTGTCGGTCGTACTGTCCTGCATGTGACTTATCAAGGCAGGTCGCTAGCAAATACGCCTCAGCCTCGTTGTCGCAGCCAGGCCGTAGAGCTCCGAATATGCCATAGAACCTGTGTTTTCACCTCTTCTCATGGCTGCGGAACGAAGCGAACACTGATGGCAGTGCTCGACTCGCGATGCAAAATATCACTGCATCACGACAGCAATAGATTCTCCTGAGTTGAGAGAAAAGGTCGAATCCTCCTGTCCAGCATCTGTTTCAGTTCCAGAGCATTGACCATCTCTTGAAAAATGGCAATTCCGCCTGGTTGCCCAGTGCAAGGATGGTATTCGTAGAGGAATTGAGCTGAAGCGTCAATGTCATGCCAAAGTTGAAGGCCCTTAGGCTCACATCTTTCGCCATACGACGATCGTGGGGACGTCCCCCTTAGTACTAGACAAAGATCGGCCAAGAGAGCTAGGGGAGTGGGACGATAATAATCATATGTAAATAACTGTGTAATAAACATCAACGTCGGGGCTCCAGGACTCAGCTGTTGACGTACCTAGCTTGTGGTCCCTGCGCTCTGCCATCTTCAGTTTCGTTTTCCTTATTCGAACTGCAGTGAGGCTTTGACCAATTCTTCTTCTGACCTTTGTCACGTTTGTCCAGGAAGATCTGCATTGCTTGCGGAGAGGTTCATCTGCGTCACGCAAATGCCCAGAAGCATGGGCCGGACTTCGAAGACTCGAGGTAAACAACAATGTCGATCACGACGAGGGTGCGACGACCAGCAGTAAGTGACAGCCAGGAGGAGGAGATTGGATGAGGGGGTTGCAGAGACAGACAGCAAGAGGCTGGGAGACAACGATAATAATGGCGAGAGGAGCGGAAGGGAAGATGAAGCTTGAAAGCGGCGAGCTGGCGATGGCAGCACTCGTCGCCGACAGCTTCACAGAGATGTTCGCCGGAAGCGCAGTCCAAGGGTGCAGCCTTGAGTCGCTCCTGCCTTCTCACCCTGCTCTTGTGCAGTTGCCTTCTGCTGAACTTGAAGACAGGCTCCCACACAAGACTGCTGCTCTTTCTACCGTGAACAACGCCTCCATTCTTCATATTCATGTTCCATGCTACTCCGGCTTGCTGCATCGTCTACAAATCCCATAATCTGCTGTCGGACTGATTCGTGGCCGTGCAGGGTGCTGATCAAGGACTACACTGGTAAAGATGTTACCTTCCCTTCTCTCGTTTCTCTCTACGTTGTTACCGTTTTTCTGGCGTGTCTGCGCTGCTGAACTTGGACCCCGTCAATCATGTAGCCCAGGTTACAATCTCTGCTCACCGCCAGGAGCATCTGTTCGGGACGTTCCTGTCATCGGCCCAGGCCTTGCAAACCTCTACCTCAACCTACTTCAAACAGTGAACTCCAGCCCGCCGCGAGCTGACGGAGACGCAAGCATTCCTGGTGTGCATTACCAGCGTCGCGAGTCACCTGCCACGGTTTGCTGCAAGTGGCGATTGAAGATGCTCCCCACCCATCTCTGACTGAAAACAGGTGCACAGAACACCCAGTGCCTTCTTGTGCTTAGCTACAACATTCCAATGTGTTGGGTATTCCTCCCGCATAATCTGGCTGGCTGGATATCTGCTGACAAAATTGGATCAGGATCGCTTCACCACGAATTACTACTTTGCCGATGGCTCCTACGGTTCGATCACCTGCGGGAACTATACAACTGTTGCTGGGGACCACGTGAACCTGGTCACCGGTGATTACGAGCTGGCCAACGGACAAAGGGGCAACATCTACCAGGAAAACTCAAGTGATGAGCCGAATACTTCAGCGTTGCCCATGCCCACACCTTTCACCAGCAGTGGCGTTGGCTCAGCCATACCTGCAAGCGAAGTGGGCGGCCAGGCGACGTACTCATCGTTGCCCACGCCATTACTACCTCCTTTCACGACTACTTCTGCCACTGTAGGCAACGGCAACAACAGTACTACCGGCGGAATCATGCCAAATACAACTGGGGGCACTTTCGCCGGAAGCGGCACTGGAGCTAGCTCTGCCTCTGCAACAGGAGGTCCAGAGATTACACCGCCAGTCACCAGCAATGGGGGAGGGCACATCCTTCATGGAGAACGCCACCGGAGCTTGATCGGCCTGGCAGTGCTAGCAGCAGGAATACACCACATCGCATACAGATAGTCTGGATACGGTGCTGATGGGTCATGGTAGCACTCCTACCCTGACCCTTGGGGGCCGAGGCGGTACACCGAATGTGGTAATGGCAATGGAGGGCAGCGTCGGGCTCTGAAAGAATCTTGATAGAGGGGATCTCTTGCTGGCAGACCATGTTGCACCGAGCTACAACAACGATGGCAAAAATCCGCGTGGAGGGTATGGATGCTGGCTGCACTAACGGAACTCTATGATATCCCAGCGGCAACAGTAGTAGCGAGTATCGCATCGCAGCCTTATTTAGAGCATCAGAATTAGATAAGTATACTACCGTAATTGACGTTTCTGTTTGAAATGATGACAGGGCATTGATCCTAGGCAAACTCTCCAAGGTGCCTCACTTACCGAGCATCTATTTGACTGTACCCAGTACATGTACCTAATTTATACTTGCATTGTAGCGTTCGAGTTTTCCGAGCTTCCATCGTCAGACGCAGATAGTCACTCCTGGGACTACTCTCCCACAACGATATCCCAAGGCCACTCAATCCTGAAACCCCATCAACTCGATCCCGTGGCGGAACCCGGGACCTCTCATGTTTTTGATGTTCGAACACCAGGCCAGTTCGCGGTCACGACGAAACCGTCGAAAGTACAGTTTCGTGACCCACTGCGCATAGGCTGTCAGTTGAGGGCCGATGATTCCATTTTCGAGCTGGTAGCAGTATTCGATGGACTGGCAGATATAACGCGCCAGCTTGTCGGCTTGTTCTACAATGGAGGATATAGATGTGGGGGAGCTTTCTGAATATGAAAACAGGAGAGGTCCAGATTCAGATTCGGATTCGGATTCAGGCCCCCGTGCCCTTGCCACTTTGGAATCGGACGTCGATGGCAGGGTGGTAGGAGTAGTCGTAGTAGCGGTAGCAGAGGTCCCGAAAAAGTGCTCGTGGAGATCAATCATACTGCCCAAGACCTGTAGCACGATAGCCCACCAGAGAATCATGTGGCAGGCAGTTTCCAGAGATTCGAACTGGAGGGCGAAAGGAAACAGCTTGGGACCCCCATCATCTGTCGGATTGTCCACGCTGGATGGGACGGCCCAGTATAATAGCGAAGTGCCTTTTTCCACTTTGTATCTTTCCTGACGCTCATAAAGCTTCTCGAGGACGGCAAGAGAAGGCTTGAGAAGATCCTCTCTGGCATGTCCGTTCACGGGCATCGTTGTATTGCAACTGCTGGTCAGCTGGTCCATTTCTTCCAGCAGGACAGGCACTTCCCAAGCAACATCAATCAGTGCATGCAGTGAATCGTACTGTTCCTTGCTCAGGGTAGACGCGAGCTGGTGACATTGAGGGAATGTGGTAGAGGGAGCACGACGCCTCGAAAGAGCTTCAAGTAGCTTTTTGTTATTGGTCAGCTTGGAGGATATTATGGGACTTGTACAGCAAACGTACCAGGACGATTCGAATTCGTGTGCAGAAGCTCTGCCAGACTGTGGTCGATGAGGCGTCCGTGCAACTCCGGATACGCAAGATTTCCCGTATGCCCTGGGCATGGGCGCGCCATGAGAGATCTGTAGGGTAAACGAACAACTAGATTCCGTCAGGGATTTTCCGTGTACCGACGACAGAAACTGCGGATGAAAGAGATATAGTCCATACTTCACAGGTAGAAAGCACAGAGATGGCAGCTAGGATTTCGTCACTCTGTCCGGAGCCAGCATCTTCAATCTCCACCCGCAGCTTTTGCAGAGCATCGTTGTAGACCTGTAATGACTCGTCGACGCAGGGGCTGCCCGGATTGCTGACGGCGACTTGGATCACACAGAACGTGAGTAGACAGTAGTCGAGGGCTTGGCTTTCCCCCTGAAGCTCGCAAACAATGGGGAGCCAGGAGAAGAGAGAGGACTTTTTGATATTGGCTGGAGTCGGTTGAGGCAGGTAAAGCCTCTTCAAGAGTTCCAAGGCTTGCAGCCGATATCGTGTTCGCGGACCGACTAGCAGGTGTGTTTTGAGCCCTTCCAGATGCGCAGCGAAGCCCTTGGGTTGATCTTCAAGGCAATTATAGTAGTCAACGCTGCGCTTCAGCACCGACAACGCCGTGGTCGAGGGATTCCCAGGAGTTCGATTGACAAAGACCGTGTCGCGATGATAACCCTTGCAGGCAATGCCAGCTTTCTCACACCTCATACAGGTTGGTTTTCGGTAATCGCACTAGCATGGCCACAAGTCAGTGTGCCTGCAAGTCGGTCGCATGATGGATCTCCATGACACGGTGTAGATCGCTTTCGTCTCACCTTGACCTTGCGTCTCTTACAGTCGTGACATCCCTTCGACCTCCCGACTACGCCAACCTAAAGGTAGAGAACAGCAAGGGTCAGCAGCTATTCGTGACAAAGGTTGAACAATTCTGTTGCCAGCTCCCGACAGCGTGCACCAATACCGAAGTAGTCGGCCCGCATATCGTCGTATTAATCGTTGAGCCGAAGCACTGCATCACTTGGTGAGACTGGGAGTCGACCTACCATGACGTCTGGACTTGTGAGGGCGAGGTCCGAAAACCAAATGCTGACATCCTGGCCAGAGGTATGCGCAAGGCTGTCCTTCAAGTTGGACGAGACGGTGCCGTTCGGTTTGCGGTTCGGAGTTAACAAAACAACTCGCGGGACCCCTAGACGTTGACCATGATGTCCACTTTGTCTATATACTGATTGGTGGAGCTCCCTTCCGCTAGACCACATTCGGCACCATTTTGCGACGAAACGAACAGGGGAGTTCGATTGCCTTATTGATTGTGGCCCACACGAGCCATCAACCACTTTGTACAGAGCATTTCAACCCGACCGAGCTTTCAATTTCAAAGAATTCTTTATAATCTTCATGCTCGTACAAAGATTCAGCTCTTTTGGGGACCATTCGGCGAGCAAGTGACAGGGGTACATACCTAATCGTCACTACATCTCCGTAAGTTTACACGTTGATCCACCAAGTCCAAGTCGCGGCCAGAGTCCTTCATTATTTTCCGTCAACTATGTATATAAAGTGTTGGTTCCTCTCATCTTGAGAGAAAGAGGGAATTCTACCAGCTGGATTTTACTGCACTCGTCTCCTCTTCCTCCCCAAAGACTTCATTCCATCCTCTGGGACGCTGTTTGTTTTGATAGCTTTATATCTACGATGGACAATTCGACTGAACGATCACCCCCCCTTGATTCCCACCTCCCTACAGCCGACCTGTCAGAGACCTCAGAGAAGGATGCTGCAAATGGCTTCCAGCCGGGGAGTGACCCAGAAGCACCACCATCAAACCAAGTGGGATCCGATCAGATTGACACAATGATGGAAAAGAAAGGCACCAAACCTGATCCCGCAGATTTCCCTGACGGGGGCTTTGAAGCTTGGCTGGTCGTGGCGGGAGGATTCTTTGCGACGTTCTGCAGCTTTGGATGGATTAACTGTGAGTTTCTGACCTAGATCTAGAGCTTCATCTGTTATATCGGCTAATCACCACCAACAAAGGTATCGGTGTCTTCCAAAATTATTATTCACAACATCAGTTGAAAGAGTACTCCTCCAGTACCATTGCTTGGATCCCGTCGACCGAGTCGTTCATGTTGTTTTTCCCGGTACGTTGCTTTGAGGCGCATCTGTCCAGAACAGTTCTTACTAGGATATGATGGGATGCTGACTCTCTCTTCGTTCTTGCTAGGGTTATATCGCCGGAAGAATGACGGACGAACTTGGACCACGGATTCCACTCTTACTGGGCTCCTTCCTCCACGTCTTTGGGCTGATGATGACTTCGATTTCGAAGGAATATTACCAGTTCTTCCTCGCACAAGCGGTCTGCAGTGGACTGGGGTGCAGCTTTCTCTTCTACCCAAGTAAGTCGAGTCTCTCCATCCTAGCCTCTCTGCTTCGGAGGATATCTAGCTGATATCGGTTGCGGTCAGTCATTGCGGCCTGCGGCAGCTGGTTTCGCGTACATCGTGCACTGGCCTTCGGCATCATGGTTTCTGGGTCGAGCATCGGTGGCGTCGTGCTTCCCATCATGGTCCAACGCCTGATTCCTCAAATCGGCTTCGGGTGGGCGATGCGAGCCGTGGCGTTCATGTTCCTGGGTTTGCTGGTCATAGTCAATCTCACGGTCAAATCTCGCCTGCCGCCGGCCCATCGACCTTTTGATTTCATGGCGATGGTGAAGCCGTTCAGCGAAACGCCGTTTCTCCTGCTCGCGCTCGCCGGCTTCTTCACCTATGTCGGCGGATTCCTCCCTTTCAACTTTCTCATTGTCCAAGGAGAGGATTCGGGCATGTCGGCAGATCTGGCCAGCTACTTGATTCCAATCATGAACGCGGCGTCGTGAGTTGCTCTCCTACAACTGGGTTCGGTGTGCCTCGACTGACACGCAGAACAGGACCTTTGGCCGTATTCTGCCGGCTCATGCCGGCGATCTCTTCGGTGTCTTTAACGTCATGATTGTCTTCTCGGCATTTGGGGGCATCATGACTCTCGCCCTCTGGTTGCCGGCGGCTGCTAATGCTCCCATCATCGTCTATGCCATCATGTATGGATTCGCCTCGGGCTGCACCTTGTCAATCATTCCAGCCATGGTAGCCAGGCTCGGGCACATCAGCCAGCTGGGCGCTCGAAGTGGTGCCTTGTATGCCCTCGCGTCGATCGGTGTCCTGGTTGGAAGCCCCATTGGAGGAGCGATCCAGAACACTCAGCATGGCGCATACTCGGGCCTCATCATTTTTGCGGGTGTTGCATTATTGATTGGGACTTTTTTCACTGTTCTCTCAAGAACCGCCCAGGTTGGTTTCAATATCAAGGCCAAGGTCTAGACGCAATATGTAGAATAGAGTCGCACTGTTCCGAGATCCCCATCTGGATCTTGTACCAAATTTTCCAATCGGAGAGTGGACTGATGGTTGCAGCGCAAGAGGGTACGTGTATTCCATATTCACCCACTCAAGGGCTCTTCTCGAGCCTGCGGGGAAGGCGACGGGAATTAAAGACCCTGAGATGTTGGCGGCGAGGACGTTAATTGGCAGTCAAGGGCCGTGAGCAGACGGATATATCGAAGCATCAAAGCTTAAGCTCCTCCAAAGCTGCCCGCGCTGGTTGATGGACTGGTGATGATTGGTGGTAGAGGCGTGTCCCGGATGTGTCTCGCGGTGGAGTGCCGCAGCTCGATCCACGACTCGGACTACTACTATCTCGGTTGCTGGTCCAGACTGCGGCTTACACAGGACTTTTACTCTGGTAGAAATCTAGGTACCTCCTACTACTACCACCACACACCACACACCACCGGACATCGCAACTTATCGACGCTTGATCATCAGGAGACAACATGCTAACATTGCGCTCCGTCCCTTCACTCGTCTCCTTAGTCCCATCCGCTCAAGCTGCACTCCTCGTCGCCCGGTAGAACGGACTTCTCGCGCAGTTGTGAGTGCCGGCGCTTCCCTCCGTCGTCTCCCTCGCCCTCTCCGCAGGCATCTGCACGTGGGCATCCCGACCGTAAACAACAAGCCATTCCCACACGCGCCATGAGGTGACCGCACACGGGTGCTCGCAAAAGAGAAGATGGAAGATATCCTGGGGGATGACCTCCCGCTTCCACCCGCCAGACTCTTCGAACGCCTTGCACAAATTCCGCACTACACCTGGGATCGCTCGGTAAGATTGAAGCAAGAATGTATGGGAAGGCAGTGGCTGATCAAGACTCAGTTTGCGCCCTTTCACTCAACCTATGATCACTGGTGAGCCCCTCAATATTCATATCCGCGGTCACGGAAATCCCTAATCAGCCCGTGGTGGCATTGAGCAGGCATGTCTACGGCATACTACACAACCCCGAAGTTGTCGAACCTCGAACCTCCGCAAGCACTTTGAACAGTATCTCCGGGCACTCCGGTTCGACCAGAAGTTCTCCGAAACTCGATGCTCACCGTCCCACCCTAAGGCATCACCACTGGAGTAGCATCAGTGTTACTTCGACAGACAGCGAGAATCTGTCGTCAAGAGATGATCCCGAGCCAGTATGGGTGCCCGTTCTGGCCCGCATCAGCACACATGTGCTGCGCCTGGAGAGGGAATTCCAATACAATCAGACACTCATGAAAGAATTGGATCCCGAAGGCGACCACACGCTCCGGCCCCTGGAAATGGTCAAACTCGCGACGACGCCGGGCGATACGCATCCTATGCTTGTGTGTATCTATGAGGCGCCTGGCAAGAATTATCTACGAGAAGTCCTGGATTTCGGACCTGCCTTCTACGGCTTACAAGTCAATCGAATGGGCACCGAAGGGACGCCCGGCGAGCAGGTCCCTCTTCAGGCGTTCCTGGACTTTGCGATCGGTGCATCAGAGGCGCTGGAGCTACTGCATCACGGCGCTAATTGTGTCCATGGAGAGATTCGCTCCGACACCTTCCACTGGAACCGCGAAGCCAATTCTGTGAAACTGCTGAATCACGGAAATGGCCCGCGTGCTTTCGAAAATCTACTATCCAGTGAGGGTTGGGCCACAGTCAGCCGGGAAATCGGAGTGAAGAACAAACTGCAGTTCATCGCCCCCGAGCAGACTGGACGGCTGCCGGCAGATCCCGACAGTCGGACCGACATCTACAGTCTAGGCATCCTCTTCTGGACTCTGCTTACAGGTCAGCCAGCGTTCGATGCCGAGACACCCATCGATATTGTCCAACGGGTGTTGGCACATCGCTTACCCCTGGTCACTGCCATTCGTATGGACATCCCTGATGCCATTTCCAAGATCATCGCCAAGATGACACAGAAGCAAATGGATGAGCGGTATCACTCCATCAGCGGACTCAAGTATGATTTAACGCAGATCCAGAAATACTTGGGCGAGGGTGAGCAGGAGAAGATCAAAAACTACAAGGTTGGGCAGAGAGATGTCTCGTCGTTCTTCATTTTGCCCACGAAACAATTCGGCCGGGAAGCAGAGATAGACAAAATCACCAAGGTTATCGAGAGGGCCCACAAGCGCCAGACTTCCGCCACGAACCGACACTCGGCCTCGCAATACAACGTGGCGAACGCGGCCTCGAACTCTTCCATATCTGAAGGCCGTGCAGAGGGGCTGGAGGGTGTTGAGGGGTCCGATTCATCAAGTTCCTTTGGTTTGAGAGAATCCCGGAGCAACTCCACCACCATCGGGCTGGAGGGTCATGTCCTGAACCCAATCTATGGAAGCACGACCGGTCACTACGGTAAGCGTGGCCGCGGCGCCCCGGACCCAAGAGGCACACCGTTGGACGTAGTTTCGGATCGGGCCAGCAATCTCTCTGGCGCTCTTCAACCAACCTCCAACTCACTACCTGGAATGATGACCAGGCGTAGAGACAGCCACAAGTACAAGCCCCGGACCAAGACCGATGTCATTACCATCCTGGGTCCTATTGGAGTAGGAAAGACCGCGCTCATCAAGGCTGTTCAACCCGTCATCCGGCGCCACGGGTACTTCGCTCTTGGAAGATTCGACAAGGCTCGCCCATCTCCATTCGAGCCGCTGATCAAGGTCATGGCTAGTCTTTTCAGACAGATATTTTCGGAAAAGGACGTCAATACGCCGTATCATGAGCATCTGCGGGCCCATGTAACTCCTTTTTGGCCCGTTCTGCATTCCATCTTGGACTTGCCGGCGACGCTACTTGATGTGGCGGTCCTTTCGAAAAAGCTATTGGCCAAGAATGATGCCACAACACCGAGCGTCAATACCGAAGTCCCTACCGTTGACAGCGGCCCTAAGGCGAACTATGGCCCCATGCACAATGCCTGGGATGCAAACGACTTTTTACGAGGCCCAGCAAACTCCAAGTCCATCCGGCTGATTAATACTTACATGGATGTCTTGCGCACGATTAGCAAGGGCAAGTTGATATGTCTCTGCTTGGATGATTTACAAGCTGCAGACGATGAGTCAATCGACCTGGTGATGCACATCATCAAAGCCAAGGTCCCGGTCGTGTTACTCCTCTCCTGTCGGGTAGATGATGGCAAGATTCCGGAGAGCGCCGCCAGGATTCTCGATCTCGACTCAGGAAACAAGATCGAACTGGAAAATCTTCGAGAAAACGATGTTTTCCAATATGTCGCTGCCACCATGTCTCAGCCAGTAGAGACGGTAATCCCCCTGGCTGCCGTCGTACATGCAAAGTCCGAAGGCAACCCTTTTCTGGTCAAAGACATACTCCAGACGTGCTACCAGCGGAACTGCTTGTGGTACGATTGGAAAGAGTCGGGTTGGCAATTCGATCTAGACAAGATTTTCAACGAGTTCAACGCGGAAGATAACATGGATATTGGCTATATGGCAAGGCGCCTTGAAGACCTATCACCCGCGGCTCGCTCGGTCCTTGCGTGGGCTTCGTTGATTGGAACATCATTCTCCTTCAGATTGATTCAGTCCATCATGACCGGAGGCTACTTCTATAGTAGCGGTCCAGACCAGACAGACGATGTGACCTGCCCTAAGCGCGCCAAATTGTTCAACCTCTCCGAGACTGACTGCGTCAACGGACTTCAGCAGTTGGTCAACGCATACATCATTACGCCAGGAACCAATGACGATGAGTTCCGATTCACACATGCGCGGTATTTGAAAGCGGCAAACGATATGCGTGAGTGCCAAAATGTCACAAAGATGCATTTCATCATCGCCGAGGCCATGATGCCGTCTTTGAGTCAATGCCGGTACAATTTGTATGCGTTGGCGCGCCATATCTGTCTGGCTGCAGACATTGTCAAAGACCGGGTACCAACCCGCATGCGGTACCGAGACGTACTCTGGCGTGGGGCGCAGAAGGCGATCGAAACTGGCGCAAAGCAGACTGCACTTTGGTACTACAAAACAGGGGTCAAGCTGTTACAGGATGACAAGTGGAACACAGATAATCCGGATGTCTTTTACGATGAGACGCTTCAACTCCTCGTTAACACCGCCGAGAGCATGTACGTTCAAGGGGAGAAAGAGGAGGCGCTCCAACTTGTCGAGGAGACTTTTGCACATGCGCGTTGTTCGGCCGACAAAACGAGGTCGTTCATCCTCAAAGGGCGGATTTTGGCCAGTCAAGGTAAATTCCTTGAGGCGTTCGCATCGCAGCGCGAGTGTCTCGAAGAATTAGGACTGCCGATGCCCACCACAACCTGGGACGATTGCGACATCGAGTTCAAGAAGCTGGAGTATCGACTACGGGAGCTCGACAAAGATCAACTGCTGGCTACTCCTCTGAGCGAGGACAAGACCGTGATTGCATTGGGCACAGTTCTCAGCGAAGCCCTGGGCGCTCTGTACTGGTCTGATGCCTTGCTGTGGTACCAGCTAGTGATTTCTTACGTCAAGGCCGTGCTGGATCGCGGCAACTTCGTTCAAGCTGGTCTAGGTTTCGCAATGCTTGGTGCGGCTGCAATAGGTCGCTTCAAGGATGTCGAGCTGGGAGTGGCCTATGGAGACATTGCGCACGATTTCTACACCATCTGTGAAGATTCTTGGACCCGTGGCAGAGGTTGGACGCTATTTACGCTTTTTATCGGCCACTTTCAGACACCGGTGCGGAACCTTCTTCCGATTTTGGACAATGCGCTGGAGTACTCGTTGGCATCTGGCGATAGATTCGTGAGCCTGCTCAACGTAGGCGTGATGGCAGTTTCCAGATTCTGGGCGGGTCAGGATCTGTCAGAAGTTGAGGCATTCTGCAACTACGGGCCTGAAGAATTCGAGAATTGGGAGAGAGACCGCAGAGGTGGAACTCTGCTCATTGCCACGAGACAGGTTTCCCGCGCACTACAGGGAAAGACGTTCGCCTCAGACGCTAAGACGCTTCTCAACGACAAAGATCATGACACCGAAACTTGGATGGCGGAATGCGCCAAATTCTCGGCCAACGAGCAACGATCACGTGATATATATCGTTCGTTGTCCCTTGTTGCCTACCACTTGATGGGCTATCACGAGGTCGTGGTCCAAATGGGAAGAGCATTGGTCAATACGACCCTTGACGATCTTTGGTCCAACAGACCCGCCTGTGCGGCTCGATTTTACCTTGGTTTGTCCCTTTTAGCTGTTGCAAAAGAGAAGCCTGAAGCAGAACGCGCAGCCTATATCGAAGAGGCGAAGGAGCTCAAGCGATTCGTCGATCTCTGGGGCTCAGTCAATGATGTGAACTACTTTGCCTGGTCGCACATTCTCGAGGCCGCCATTGCCGACGTCTCCCATGTTCATTTCAGCGTCACTTCGAACCTCGAACTGGCAATTGATCACTGTCAAGTGCACGGCTTTGCTCTTGAAGAAGCGCTAGCCATCGAAATGCAGGCGGAATTCCTGCTTGCGAGAGGGGGAAAGAGGGCAGGTAAAGTCATGCTTCAAGAAGCCATCGCAGCTTGGAATAGAATCAGCGCAAGCGGCAAAGCTAAACAGCTCTCTGATAAGCACGAATGGGTGATCAAGACAGCCACAACATCTAGGACGATGGACACGGCTACACAGACACAAGACTTGCATTCCCTTGCGGTAACTGAGGAGGCTCAAGTCCAGAACAGACGGGACTACACAAGTGCTTGGGTTGAGCCCAAAGCAAGCGGAACGGTTCAAAGTCCACAAGACGTACCCGGTCTCGGGCTGGACATACTTGATCTAACCTCGATTCTCGAATTTTCCCGGGTCATCAGCTCCGAGCTGCAGATCAACAATCTCCTGTCCAAGATGATATCGGTCATCCTTGAATCGGTAGGCGGTCAGGCTGAGTTCTGCGCCATTGTGATCGACTCCGAAGATCAAGGCTGGTGCGTGGCAGCAAGCGCAGATCATGAAACCGGTGTCAAGACTTACCCTGATGGGATCCCCTTTTCTGAAATCGATGATCAAGCAGCACAGCAGATTACGCATTACATTCTTCGCACCAGGGAGACCGTGTACCTGCAAAACGTACTCGAAGACGACCGTTTCTCGAACGTCGGAGACGCGTATCTGGCGCGAAACCCTTCCGGACGTTCGATCATTGCCATCCCCATCATCCAAGCCGATCACCTCATGGGAGTTATCCATCTGGAAGGTCGGCCAAATGCCTTCACGCAACGTAACATGATTGTCCTCAATCTTCTTACGAACCAGGTGGCTATTTCTTTGGGCAATGCACTTCTCTACAGGAAGGTGCGTAAAGTGAGCGCCTCGAACGCTAGCATGGTGGAATCTCAAAGACGAGCCCTCGCAGCTGCTCGAGAGGCTGAGGCCAAGGCGAAAAAGGCCGAGGCTGAGGCCATGCACAACGTAAAGTTGAAGGAGGAAGCAGCTAAAGCCAAGTCAATCTTCCTTGCCAATGTCAGTCATGAGCTTCGGACACCGTTGAACGGCGTGATCGGAATGTCTGAATTGCTCAAAGGAACACCCTTGAGCAAGGAGCAAGAGCAATATGCCGACAGCATTCGAGTCTGTGCAGACACTTTACTGACTGTCATCAACGATATTCTCGATTTCTCCAAACTCGAAGCCGGAAAGATGCAGATGTTCACAGTCCCCTTGGATCTGAAGGAGACCATCACGGAGGTGGTACGCGCGTTGGCATACACTAACCAAGAGCACGGGTTGCAAACCTTGGAAGATCTTCAAATTGAAGACGGTCTGGTCCTGGGCGACCCTGTAAGACTGCACCAAATCTTCATGAACCTGCTCAGCAATGCCTACAAGTTTACACCCAAAGGGTCGGTGACGGTCAGAGCACGTAAGAACGCCGAGACCCGAGACAGAGTTAAGATCACCTGTTCGGTTTCCGACACCGGCATCGGCATCACCGAAGAACAACTGTCCAGACTATTCCAGCCGTTTTCACAAGCAGACTCGTCCACAGCGCGCTCGTACGGTGGCAGCGGACTGGGACTGAGCATCTGTAAGGCCATGATTGAGAATGTCTTGGGCGGTAAGATCTGGATCGAGTCCACGCCCGGGGTGGGAACGACTGTTTCATTTACGCTTACTTTTAAGAAAGCTCCGAAGAATGACAGTGTCCCGGGCGACATGAAGATAGCGGCCAGGGATCCGGATCCCATGGCGAGATGGTCACAGGCAACCAGCCCCGAGACGGAGCGTAAATACGTCAGTTTCTGTGACCTGAGCAAGATCCCAAGGGAAGAGTTGCGCGTATGCATTGCGGAAGACAACCAAATCAACCGGAAGATTGCCATCTCGTTCGTCACCAAGCTCGGGCTGAAATGCGAGGCGTATGAGGATGGGAAACAGGCTTATGAAGCACTGAAAGCCAAAAGCAAAGAAGGGAAGCCGTTCCACTTGGTGTTGATGGATGTTCAGATGCCTGTTTTGGATGGTTATGAGGCAACCAAGGCAATCCGAGCGGACCCGGATCAACACGTCAGCCAGGTGCTGATCATCGCCATGACGGCTTCGGCTATCCGTGGCGATCGAGAAAAGTGTCTGGAGGCTGGCATGAACGATTACCTTGCCAAACCAGTGAGACAAACAGCTCTCAAATCCATGCTGGACGAATATCTCCAGAATACAAAACTGGCGACTGACGCCGCGACGGCGAACACACCCCCTGGTTCCAAAGTTACCCCGGGCGACAAAGTGAATGGACAACCAGAAAACAGCGGTGACAAGTCGATGCCTAGTGGCATCGCGGACAAGTTGAAGCTGAGACGATCTTTCAAAAAGGTAATGAAGAAAGTAGACGCACATGCGGCCGCGGAGAACGAGGACCCAAGCAGGGTCAATGGCTCCGAAACTGGGCAGACGACAGTGGATAAATCAGCGCCAAGGGGCACGGATCAGGAGGCTGCTGGAAAAGATCGTATGCTTGCGAGAGTACCTACTCTCGATGGACATGCGGATGAGGCCGGCAACACCGAACGAAGCACTCAAGAGAATGGCCTCGTGCCGGATCGAAGCCCACCCTCGCCGTCAAACGGACAGCCACGGGATGGCCTCTAGGGCCGGCGGGAGAGTCGGGATACTTTGGTGTTCAGGGGGAAACTTACGATATGATGACCAATGCATGAATGGAGTCAGGCGTTGAACTCAGACAAAATGGCGGACTGTGAAGTGGGTGATGAGGCTCGACCGGAAGGAGTTAGGCATGATGGGAAGGGGGGTTCCACGGAGAACATGTTGCTGAAGGGCACTAATAAGTTTATGATCATAGGCGGGTGCCATGTGGGCCGGTTCGTGCTAGAGATGGAACACATACTTTCCCAAGATATATATTGCCGATGTCCCGAGTGAGAAAGGGCACGGCATCCGAATCAACCACGGATAGTACGTACACCGTACATAGTACTAGTAGTTGTGTGATGATGTGCGCTATACCAGGTTAGAAAACAAGAGACTAGATACGGCAGGAACCCCTGGGGTGCGGATCCACTGAATGAGGTTACTATGTACTACTCGGTAAACGTGGTGGACTGACTGTTCTTCAGGGGGGAGACAGTGATCTAATGAATGATGAAATGGAATCGGTTAGGGGTGTAGGGGGAGGGAGTCCAGTGTCGGACTGTCCTACCTTAATGTAGGGTTCAGCCTCGTGGAGTTCAGCCTCGTCTCGTATTTCCCCACAAACATATACGCTAACCCGATACGGCTAGCATGACCTCCCAATCAGGCTGAACGGCGGCCAATCATATCGGACATGTAATCTTATTCCAGACGCGCGAGGAGTCAACCAACTCGCTTGCAACAACCGTTCATCAACCGTTCAACCACCACTCGTCCTAGTCATCTGCTCGTTTCTCGAAGCAATGGATCCTTGGGTCACGCTTTACCTAACAGCACCGCCTCAATAGTGGACATGGGGTCTGCATCGTGAAGGAGGCTTCCTTTCAACTCCATCTCCGCCCCTGTGGCGCGCAAGGGACCAACCTCCTCTGCCGTTTCGATGCAAGACAAAGCTCCTGATCTGTTTCATCTGTCTCCTCTATACCGTCCTGGCATTGAGTCCGACCATAGCGCCGTAGCGAACACCATTGGCTCTCCTCCTCGACTCAGGGGTGTTTCGTCCTGTTCTATATCGAGGTACAGCCGCTAGCCGTGGTCGCATTCACGAACTCGGCCAGTTCACATCTGTGTCCAGTGGCGCGCGCTATCAATCGACTCGCCCTCAGAATGTCTCGCACTCGGCCTCGCTAACATGATCTCGCCTGGTGACCATTCGGCAAATGTTTTCAAACTGTGAGTCTTGACTCTTTTCTCTGGCCCAACAGGTTACCCAAGTCAGATTGGAACCATGCTGCTCCCAGTACAAAGGTCTGCAAGGTCTCCCTTCACAGGAAGATTCCTCTGCTCTCCATCCTCAATCTCTCTCTGCATTGTCAGCTTGGTTTCATTTTCTCTCGTTTGTTTATAGTCTCTCGCTACCACAATCGTTTCTATCCCAAAGTCCGTCGTTATTGCAAATATCAGTCCTCTCGTTTAATCACTTACCTCGCCACCATGAGACCTGCCTTGACTGCCGGTCTTGTGGCCTCCGTCTTGCTCATGCAGCAGGCTGCCGCAACGGGCTGGGGCGATGCACCGAGTTTTTCGTGTCCTTCCAACACCGACAACAACTGCTCCATAGACCAACGAAGTGGCTTCAACTGGTCCGCTTTGCCGACGGGTGATTTCAGCAGCTATGGTGGGTTTGGGTTCAGCGGCTTCACCTGCCAGGACAGCTTCAAGTCCAGCAGCAAGAGATCGCTGCAGACTCGCTCGAACTTCCAGGTGAGTGACCACTGACCAGGTTGGCAGTTCACGCTCATAGGAGCCGTCACTGATATATGACAGTCCAAATGCATTCAAGGGAAAGTCAGCAAATCCAGCGGCAGTGGGCCATCCTTCTCCTGTGCACAAAACGACAAGTTCTCAATCACCCACCTGGATGTCTCGGTCTCTTTCGACACCGACCTCGATTTCATCTTCTCCATGCCTGATGGTTCGACCTGTAAGCATACAGCGGCCTGCCAGGCAGGGGGAACCACTGTGCAGAACACCCAGTGTGGTGGAGCCAAGTCGGTGTCGATGCAGCTGCCACCGAGCAGTGGCAAGCAAGAATGCGATGTGGGCATTCACTCTATCGGGTTTGATTGCAAATCTGCTTCCTCATCGTCGTCTACGACTTTTGCTCCCTCCACCACCGCTGCCATCAGCACGACCACAACACCCGTCGCAACAACTACGACACCTGTCACCACGACGATAGTCACTAGTGCTAGTGTCGAGATAACCACCACGACATCCCAGGTGCAGACGACGACCAGTCCAGGCGCAAGTTCCTCGACCACGACTACAACCACAACATCTGCAGGGACTTCTACTAGTAGCAGCACCACAACTACCTCTAGTGAGCAAGCATCAGCCACGACGACGACAACCACAACACCTGCAGTGACTTCTACTACCAGCAGCACCGCAACTACCTCTAGTGAGCAAGCATCAGGCACTACGACGACTACAAGCAAGTCTGAAGAAACACCTAGCACTACTGCCACCACCACCGTTGGCACCACTAATACCACGTCTGGTGAGCAGACTTCTTCCACCACAACATCTGCGCCTACTACGACCATCACCACCACCAGCCCGGTAGTTACCACTCCGGCGGCATCGACAACCACAACTGAGACTCAAACTGATGTCGTTACCACAGAGTTTGTCTTCACCACCATCTCCGTATGTCCGTTGACATTGACGCACACCACGGGCAGCGACACCGTGACCGAGGTCACCAGCACCATCTCCACCGTCACCATCACGTCCACATCCACCGTCTGCACGAAATGCAACAGTCCGCCTCCTTCGACTCTGACATCTGTCACGGTCCCTGCCTCCACTCCGACCACTACGGCCTCGGAATCGGAAACTGCAGCAGCGTCGTCCACCTCAACACTCACATCTGCAGCTCCACCCCCGCCAGAGTCTTCAGCCTCTTGTCCTCCCGTTCTTCCTAGCTGCCTGAACACCTGGCTCAGCCTTGTGCCAAAATGCTCTTCCAACAGCGACGTCAGCTGCTTCTGTCCCAGTGCCGACTTCATTGCGAACGTCCAGTCCTGTGTGGCTGCATGGGCCGGCTCCGACGACGAAATCACCGCCGCGCTGTCATACCTCGCAGGCATCTGTGCCGATTTCGTGCCTCAGAACCCAGGCATTTGCACCGGTATCCCTAAGACCATCACCTTGGTGCCCAACCCGCCCGCAGGTACCGAGACCACAACTGCCACTGGAACAGAGACGGCCACGGCCACCGCCCCGACTACGGCCACGGCCACGACGACCGTCATCACCAACGGCAACGGTCGCGGTCCTCGTCCACCGGCGGTCACGACACAGTCCCCAGCTCCCATCGCTGTGCCGGTCACCACCGTGACATTCACACTGACTCAGAGTTCCTCTGGTGGTTCCGTCATCACCACAGCCGTCACGGTCCCTCAAGTCACATTCGTCACCGCGCCACCGGCCACTACAGTGAGCGAAGGTAGTGGCGGCCCTGCAGCGCCCGGCAACGTCGGGCTCGTCCCGATGCCAGCAGCGCTTGCGACTTCGACTGCAACTGCAACTGCAATTGCCAGCCCGTCTGCAGTTGGAAGCAGTGTCGGCACTGGATGCCAGGGCGCTCAATGCAGTCCTGCTGGTGGGGCGGGGGCAACTACAGCCGTGGCTCCAACGGGCGTCGCACCTGCTGTGACGCAGACCAGCTCGATCATCGGACCTGATGTCTTTACTGGTGCAGCGTCTTGTGGATGCGGTACTGTTGGATTTGGCATGCTTGCTGGGCTGATGGGTGCTGTTGCATTCTTGTTCTGACCTTGATGAAACATCGGGGTTGGAAGCGGAAAGGGAAAGGAACAGAAGATCTCAACGAGGAAACTGCAAAAGATGCGAGACGTTGATGGGCGCAGATTGAGAGGATGGTTATGTGTGAAGTCGGAACGAGGAAAAAAGGGGAAACAGAACAAATTAAGTACGGAAGTTGATATGGAGAGAGTCTCGAGGCGGTGGTGGTAATGTTTATATAGCGAAGGCTCATACGGCCTTCGCTGCTGGCAATAGTACTATCAAAGCGGTTGCTTGCTTCTGCCACGAGGCCGATGACATGGAGATGTTCAACGTTTTAGATCGTTCCTATGCCCGCCCGTTCGCACCACTTGACCAGGCATAGGCACAAGGAGCCATGGGATGCCCCGGGAAGGATCTGACGATGATAGATGGCCGAGACTTGACACTGACTCGAAGTCCTTTTTCTGGTCGTAGAAAATGTCTGAGCGTATTGCTTGACGCCAGGAAAGGGATTCGTGGCAGTTTGACCTTATGCGTCCAGGCGTGCTGATATACAGACAAATCTATGATGTGAGGCTGTTGAGCTGCTGACTCGCCGTGGCAAGGTATACTCCGCGATCGCCACGACCTATAGGACGAGGCCCTGCCACAGGATGTTTGGAGCATTGCCAAAAATCGAAAGCGATGCTTCCAAGGGTAGATACTGATGCTGCCGGTGGGCGTTGTATCGGTTCCAGGAAGATTGCACACCGTTCTGGATGTGCTTGCTGGTGGATGACTGAGGACATTGTCTGAAGATCGGCTGTGCCAGGATATCCGGTGCAAGAGCTGCTTCGATTGATGGCAACAGGTGTATTGAGTCCCGTTATTTTGTCTTTGTACGAGGCTTGCTCACACACCTTCAATATCCAGAGAGTCCAAGAACTTGTCTGCTTGAGCCTTGGCCCTCTGCTCGGCGATCAGCTTCCGACGCTCTTCGATCTCTTTCCTTCGTTGCTCTTTTTTCTCCTCTCTTTCCTTTCGAACTCGTTCCGTCTCTTCTCTTTCCCTCTCCAGAGCCTCCATTTCTTTCTTGCGCTCTTCCGCATCCTGACTAAACGCGTAGAAGCCGGTGCCCTTGGCCCTGACCTCAGCGTGGGCATCGAAGTGTGTATCCGGAGGAGGAGTTGCAGATTTATCTCTCTTCTTCGCAAGATCGGCCATACGATCAGCGATGATCTGATCCGGATTGAAAGCCGCATGCTGGATGGTGTCGCCATGGATGACATTGGAAGGCGCGGAGGGCCTCGCGGAGAGACGCTCCTCTTCTTCGGCGAGGTTGGCTCGCATCCGCTTGAGCCTTTCTTCTCGGGCAGCTTGCGCCTTGGTGCCTTTCCGCAGCCGGCCAAACTCGTCGAAGTACTCGACCAGCTCATCTTCGTCTGTGCCAGCATCGTCCGAGCCAGAACCATCGTCATCGTCATCATCCCGCTGGCCGAGCGCTTGGGTTTCGGCCCATTTCCGATCGAAATCCACCAGCGCGCGGTCGTCGTAGCCCTCTTTGCCAATGTATTCGCCTCGCTTCATCGCATTGTATAGTCGGACCTTGTCCTCCATCTTCCTCTTGGACCGATGCAGTTCTGCCGCATCCACCGAGCCGATGTCGTCTTTGGTCTTGTGGCGCTGTTCCCCATCTTCGAGGTCGGCCGCGGACCGCTTCTTGACATTCTTATTGTGGGCTGTGAAGATGTCGGACTTGTCCTTCGAGTGTCGCGGTCGGCCTGCGGTGACCTTGGATTTGGCCGAGGACGAGCTGGAGATTAGTGACGCTAGATTCGTGGAAAATGCGAGGGACGTGGAGGATGAGATCTCTTTGGCCTTGGTCTTCGAGGCTGGCTTCACGCCGTAAAGACTGTCCGCCATGATACTGTACCTACATCTGTCGATGTTGAAGCTTGCAACGCCTTGAAGCCGGGGAACGAGACCAGGAGCCCACGGCAGTACTGTACTAGTATGGTGTGGAGATACAAGTATAAACGATTAAACCGCAGAGGAGGAAGAATGCCTTGTTAGATTCTGTATGTCGTACGTATAGGGTGCATGAAGAATAGAGTATTTTAGAGTCATTATGTAATAGAGTACTTTAGATTTACAGCCAGATCTCACGCTTTACCTGATTTGGGTTTACAAACATCGACCTTCAAATTCAACTTCGCGTCTCACTTCAACATTCAGTTCTGTGTACATTCTCACTGCTCATTGCGTGTTTAATGACGCCTAACTACCTGTATCTGTGCCGCTACATCTTTGTTGGACTCTCACGCATGCCAATATTTACGCCTTCAGCGCGTCTAAGATGGCGCCTGTCATCGCCAGAGTCTTCTCCTCTTCCAGTCGTCTTCCTACAATCTGCAGTCCGATTGGCATTCCATGGACGGCGCTCGGGTTATCTGTACAGTCAGTCTCAAATCAGTATTTTGCTGATATCGGTAGACTTTTGACGGGCAGGCCAACTCACAATTGCCGTTAATCTCCTTGTCCAGATCGCTCAGCGGCGAAAAGTCCTGCGGAATCCCGTCCTTCTCTTCCTCCACCGTGAAGCCAGAGGGGAAGTTGACGGCCGAATAGTCGAGAATATTCCAGATGGCAGTGTATCCAACATGCTTATACTTCCCATGCTCTACCGTGCTGAAAGGAGTTGTCGGACTCAGGATGCCATCGATGCCAGCGTCCGCCCATCGATCAATGTATTCCTGGCACAATTTGTTGCGTTCGAGATGCAACTGCCAGAGATCATAGCATCCCATCTCGGTGGCCTCTTCGTACGGCTTCATGTCAGGGAAGAAGGGCTCCTTGACGGGTTCAAGTGCCTTGCGACAAGATTTGCCACCATCAGCCACAAAGAAGCGAGCCTATCAAGAGAGTAAGCAACCTGGGTGTCATCCTATCGGCCAGGGACCTACCAGGATGTTCAGGGCCGTGGAGTGAGTGCTTGCATCCCAGTCCACAACCTCGTGTCCTGCTTGTCGGAGTTTTTCCACTGTTGCCTTCAAAGCCCTCTGCACAGGAGGAGTAGGAGTTACCTGCCGGTCGTTCCAGATCACACCGAGCTTCAACTTCTGCGGCAGTTTGACATCTCGCCACGGAATGGGAAGAGCTTTGGGATCTTTCAGCCAAGGCTGTGCGTCGACTACTGACTTGGTAAATACGTTCAGATCAGACAAAGTTGGTCCCATGGGCCCTGAAAGTTTTCTATCAGCATCGACTCACGTCGTCGCCGGCCACCACCACTCACCGTTGACGCTGTTGACTGATTCTTGACCAGCCAGGCCCGAGGTACACCCCCCTGTGGGAAAGCGCCCGAGTGATGGCCGCAAAGTGAAAATGCCTGTTGCAGATGCCGGAATGCGCAACGACCCACCAATATCTGTGCCAACTCCCAAGGGGCTACCATGGAACGCTAAAAGGGCGGATTCGCCTCCGGAACTTCCTCCAGGAGTAGTTGTAAGTCTCAAGGGATTCAGTGTCCTAAAATGGTCAGCTTCGACCACTGTGGACTTTTCTCCCTGGCGCTGCCTACCTTCCAAAGGTGTGGTTGACGGTCTCAGCCATCATCATCGCGGTCGGAACGTTGGTCTTGACGTAGATGACGGCTCCCAGGGATTTCAGTAGATCGACGAGGACACTGTTCTTCTGATGCGGTTTGTTGCACCAAGACACGAACCCGACCGTCGAGTCTTTGCCGACCACATTGAAGTTGTCCTTGATCGAGATAGGCAGGCCATGCAGAGGACCGACAACCGTGCCTGTCCGATTCAAAGCTTCGTCCAAGGCGTCTGCCGCTGCCAACGCCTCAGGAAACATTGTCTCGGATAAACAGTTTGTCTGTTGGATTGTAAGATTGCGCGGTCAGGCCGGACTTGTTGCTGGATGGACACTGCCTTACCAGTTGATGTGCCGCAGCAGCTCTTTTGCAGAATGCTGAGGTCACGGCCTTTGCACTCCAGGTCTTGTCTCTAACGCGCTTCAAGATCTCTGCCGACGTGCTGGAGGTGATCGCCAGCTCCTGCGGCGTAAACAATCCCGATGTCTCCGGAAATGAAGTCACATCCAGTTGCTTTTGCGATGGCAAGATGTCGGTGGGAATCAACCATTCAGCGGGGATGGACTTCATAAGAGCCGCCCGCTTGGCAGCAGCGATATCCTCCCATTCCGCTGGGGGCGAGATAGCCATCGTGCTTGCGAATCTCCCAGACTACAGGCGAAGCACAATCTTCGAATGATACAGTCTTAGCAGTGTAGGAAAGAAAGAGAGCGAAAAGCTGTGCTGGGAAGCGATCCTCGACAACTACCTTGCATATGAAGAACTACACATCAACTATTCCTCGTCCACACCTCCACCTGGGCCGTTCACTAATTAAATTGGGACTGCTCAGAACGGTGGTGAACGCCGGCCCTCCATCTCGGATCGGAAGCATGTCACCCAGGATATCATGATCCCTGTCCTGGATCGCCAGAGCCTTCGACACGACGTCTAATCAGCCCCAGAGCCGATAACGCCAGCCAGTGTCATGATCCAGACCCAGTTGGGTCCGCAAGAAATCGGGGTCGACGTGCCACTTTTGCTGTTGGCGCCGGGTTTCGGCGTCTCTCCGCTTGCCATCGACCGGACTATCATTTGCCGCCTTTACACGCCTTTCCTCGCAAAGCATAACACACATTCAATGATCCTACCACGAACCATTCTGCAATCTCGTCGCCTGACCCTTGCTCTTATCTTGCGCCGTGGTGGTCAAGTCATAGAGGAGGGTAGATGTCTGATAATGCGATAAGCCACTTTTTCGGACAAGAGCATACAGAGTCAAGAAGCCGGTTGCCGTTTGGGTGGCATGTGTCTACAATACCGACCCTCTCTGCATTATTTAGAAGCGGCCTCCCCTGTTCAATTCGCACGGAGCCGATCAGTCTCATCTCAGAGTTTGTGCCTTACTCCTGTAAACGTCCATCATCATGGCCAAGGCGTCGTCTTTCAGGGCCTACCTCAGGTCCGACAAGTCACCTGAGGAGAAGAAGTTGGTGCGCAAGGTCGACTTCTTCATCTTGACCTTCTGCTGCCTCATGTATTTCTTCAATTACCTCGACCGCTCCAACCTGACACAAGCCTATGTCTCTGGCATGAAAGAGGACCTGAACTTCAAGGGGAACCAGTTGACCCAGATCACCACCATTTTCACCTGTGGCTACATCGTGTAAGTCTGAACTGCTTCGCAGCCTGGTGATATCGAGCTAATGACCCGGAAGTGGAATGGTCCCCTGCAATCTGGCGCTCTACTACATCAAACCCAGGTTCTTCTTCCCGTCCATGTGTATTGTTTGGGCAGGCCTCACCATGGTGACGGCTGCGGCCAAGAAACCCGAACACATCATGGCCATTCGATTCTTTGTGGGAGTCGCCGAGTCCAGCACCTTCATCGGCACTCATTACATTCTGGGCTCGTGGTACACGGAAAAGGAGCTAGGCAAACGCAGCGGCATCTTCACGGCTTCTGGCCTCGCCGGTACAATGTTTGGAGGTTTCATCCAATCCGGCATCTATGGCAGCATGAATGGACTGTCGGGCTTGAGCGGCTGGAAATGGCTGTTCATCATCGACGGGATTATCACCTTGCCGGTGGCCGTCTATGGTTACTTGCTCTTCCCAGACACTCCCTCAACCACGACCGCCCCATACCTGAATGCCGAAGAACGTGCTCTGGCCATGTCAAGAGTGCCCGAGGTACCTGAGCAGAAGCCCATCTCTCTATCCTTTGTCAAACGCGTCTTCAGCTCGTGGCAGTTCTATGGATTCGTGGTACTCTGGATCATTGCCGGGGAGACCGAGAGCTTTAGCTCGAACAGTCTTCTGAACCTTTACATGAAAGCGTCCCCGGAGGAAGACTACAGCGTCTCCCAGCTCAATGACTACCCGACCGGTGTACCTGCGGTGGGCATCGTGTCCACGTTGTTCTGGGCCACCCTGACCGATTATCTCGGCGGCAAACGATACTTAGTCGCCTACTGGATTGCCATTACTGGCATCGTCACGTCGGCCATGCTTCTGTCTCCCAACGCTTCCGTCGCCACTCATTTTGGAGCATACTACTGGGCAGGCTCGGTGTACGCGTGTCAAGCCACCTTCTTTGCCTGGGCCAACGATGCTCTCAGATATGAGGAGGATTCCCTGCGGGCCATTGTCATAGCATCCATGAATCTGGGAAGCAATGCAGTCAATGCATGGTGGTCGATTATCTTCTACTCGGCAGACATGGCACCCAAGTTTACTGTAAGTCCAGCTTCCTCCGTGTTTGGCGTTTTCAACATATACTAATTGTATACAGCGAGGGATGTGGGCGATGATTGGAGTGAGCATTGCCATGGCCATTTGGACCTGTGGCCTGCAAATTGTCGAGGGGAGAGCTGCAAGAAGACGACTCGCGGCGACCGAAGAGGTCATGTCTGAGAACGTGGAGAAGCAGACGGTCGACGATTCGCAGAAGTTGTAGGATGTACTATCGTATGAGCACAATGACCGTGTGGCATTTGTGTGATAAGAGTGCTGGGAACCAAATGATATATTTTCCTCATCTTCCATCAAGAGGGACTCAGGTCTCTCACCCATCATGTTAGAGCAGTTGGTAGTACTGTACGTCGCTGTGCTCGATGATGGCTTGTATGGAAGTAGTGACTGTCATTATATGGAGACATGGAATTGCGCGTGGGCAGAAACCGCTCGTAGTAATCGAACCACAATGCTCATCGACGTCAACTTTTCCTTTTTCTCTCCTTATTAACAAAGCCTTGTAAGGTCCGGGGCACCCACGCCTCTCCTGCGACTGTAATGGAGGTGGATGAGAGGGTCAAGTTGGCTCTCGAGATGATTCCAAGTCAGTGTTGTCAGATCCAGAAGTTACTTTCGAGACATCAAGCTGATACACAACTGCGTCCATGCAGCGTGTGAGAGATGCAGAAGACTCAGGAGAAAATGCGATACGGAGCTTCCTGCCTGTCGACTGTGCAAGGCAGCCAACAAAAGATGCGAGTTCAAGGACTATGTCCTGCAAGACACTATCCCGCGCAGGTTGGGCCTCTCCCGCTCTCTCTTCCCGTACGAGGTGGCTCTATCTAAGAACATCCGCTAGCCAAGTCAAAGACCTCCTCGACAGATGGTCTGCTCTTCGACAACAAGAGGAGTCGATAAGCGCCCAAGAGTCTGAGCCCGAGCCTGGCGGTCCTGACCCTGAGTCGTCCTCGTGGCCGCCACCGCCTCAGATATTGCAGAAGCTCGACTACGATGCACATTTCCCTGCACCGTACAATGACGACAATGCCACCATCTTCTTCGGCTCGTCGTCCGCACAAGTCCTCTCTACCGAAGTCTTAGCAGTCGTCTGTCCGCAGTCGCCTTTGCTGCAACAGCCTCCTCGGCAATCAGAACGGTCCAGCTCGATGCAAGAGTACAGTCCATACTTTGGAAACGAGCCATCCAACATTGTTCCGACCAAGGCGCTCATCCTTCGACTGCTCGACATCTACGCCAGGTCGTGCATGGGTTTCTGGCCCTTTCACCTTGACTGTCTGGGGGACGATGACATTGACGTTTTCTTTCAATCGACGCAGGGACAGGTGCCCCATTCTCAGGCGTACACAAAGAGTGAAGCCCATTCAAACTTTCAGATTGGCATGATGTGCTGCATCGCCTCTGCCCACAGCTCCCGCGTCGAAGCTACGATGAGAGCGTACGAACAATTCTTCTACAGCTTCGCTTCCAAACTGACCAAGGAAGTCCTCTCTGAAGCCAGCCATGACTCACTCAGAAGCCTGATGCTGCTCGTCGTCTATCTCCTCTTCCGGCCCCAGAATGGAGATCTGTGGCTTCAATTGGAGTCTGCCTGCCGGTTGGCCATTGAGCTGGGGTATCACAGGGAGAACGCCCCTTTCACAGAGACACCTGTCCAGCGGGCACAGAGAGGTGATACTTTCTGGACCCTGTACCGCCTGGAGCATAGTGTTGCTGAGATATATGGACGGCCTTCTGACGATTTGGAGTCTATCAGTACGATTGAAATTTCCCATGTGACCGCAACTTTGACAACGTCGCCGACGCAGTCGAGACTTCTACCTTCAGCAAACCTCGCTTCTTCACTGGCCAAGTTGAGCCGCATCCGCTCCTACATCTTCAAGACTATTTACCTACCAGCCCGCAGTGCACCAATCTTCATCGACGATCCTTACTACCGAACGCAACTGCACGAGATCGAGCAATGGCGTCAGGAAGCCACAGCTGGTGTCACCGACCCTCTCGCCAGTGTGGCGTGCACAATTGCCTATAATACATCAGTCATATTTCTTTTGCAAAAGTCCCTGCTCCAAGTGCTGTCCCGTCTGGCAGAGCCGGTAATGGATACTCCAACGTTGGTCGGGGCCATAGCTGTGCAAAGCTTCGAATCGGCGGTTGAGCTGATAAGCTGCTATGAGGATTTAATTCTTTCAGAGGGGTCTTTGCCACTAGCGGACTTCCCAGTAACCTTCATCTCGGCACAGGAGGTATCTTTAGCGGCTTTGACGTTCGTCTCATGGCTCTTTTGTTCCCTCGACGGGCGTGTCAAACAGGAAGACCTCGCAGTTGGGGAAGGCAAGACCCTTATGCAGCGATCTTGGGTTTGTCGTGATGGCAGTCTGTCGATCAAGGGACAAGGACGACGATTACAACATCTATCAGCATCATGCCTCTCTCTGCTCACGTGGTACGCGATACAATGGCCAGGGATGGACGGAATGGTTGAGATCTACAGAGAAATCTCCGCCGAGGTCTTTCATGAAGCAGCTGCGAGAGGTCTTGCATGATCGGCCAGTCGACAGGAAAGGGGCAACAGATGGGAGCCCACGGCGTCTTGCCAACTTTGGGGAACTGAGTCCACTGCTAGGCACTCCATCCTGCCTTTTTGATATCGCTCAAGTCGCCCCAGACCGGGTCATGTAACGAGGAAAGACTCTGACCAGTCAAGTGTGTGGAAATATCCGTCCAAGAAGTCGAAAGTGGTTTCATCCCAGGCAAAGTCTTCGAATCTGGACAGGTCCCAGTCAAAGCCGTCGGCAGTGGCTGATGCTGTATCAACGTCCTGGGTTGTCTGTGCGCCCATGCTATCGTCCCAGGAGAGTGCTTCAAACCTTGTAGTGCCAGGATACAACAGATGGGCCAACTCTTCGTCTTGTTCAGGACTGAATGCTAGGGCAGGGTCTTGTCCTGAGACGATCGCATGAATCAGAGGAGTCAGGAGGCGGTTATAGACCTCCAAGCAGCGGGACACCTCCGGCCAGAAGTCGGAGGAGACACTCTGCAAATTCCGTGAGAACAATGCCGTCATCTCCGAGATCTCATTGGGATCAAACTTGGTAAGTATAAGTCTCGAGCCGTGTCGCAGACAAAAGAGAACAATCACCGCGGAGGCAAATGTGTGATGAGCGGCAAGCCACGGGCGGCGGAAGTAGCCAGCATGGATATCCTTACCATAGCTCAAGGCTACGGCACATGCATTCTCGAAAGCGATGAGGAGACTCCTTGCAGTTGGCTTGGGGGTCAGAGGAGAAGGTCGATGGAGGTAGGTCAGGGCATTGTGATAGGCGGTTTCCGTCCACTGGTAAGTGTCACGGTGCCTGTCGTACCATGTGCGAAGCTTTGCTTCCATTGCCGCCAGCCACTCCTCCCAAGAATCGCCGAATGGCTTTCCTCTGAAATGGACCTCCACCATGTCCGAGTGGATTTGCCGATACTCCAGCCAGTGCAGGGCGGGGGCCTTCGAGAGGATGACAGGCCGTGACGGCGCCGAATTAGGGCCGATGCACTTGTCGTCCAATACGGAAAAGTGTTCAGTGTTGATGGCAGCATCCGACAAAGAGATTGGGTATTGCAGAGCAGCGCAGACGTGCCTGTCAAGACAATAGCTCATCCAGAAAAGCCGCCTTCTCATGTCAGCTGAAAGGTCGCTTGAGGTTGATTGATCTTCTGGTTCGCGGTGTAGGCCGAGCTTGAGGCACAGTCTCATGGCAGAGCCGGACAGCATCCACACACTCGCGCATCTAGGATTGATCGTCCCATAATGCAGCATCAGCAGAATGGATTGGAGCTCGGCCAACTCAGAAGGGAATACGGCTGCATTGGACGAATGCTTGATGCCATCCTGGAAAAGGCTCTCAGAGAATGCCATTCGCTGTGGACCATGACCGCTCGAAGCGCTCCCCAACGAGGCTGACACTGCAAGGATAATATGCACCATGAGAAAATCGTAGTCGGGAGCGATCGAAGTGAGTCCGTCATCATGGATGAGCCGAAGGACCCTTCTGACTTGACGCCACAACGTCGGCTCATGCACAATAGGCAGAAGGGAGTGGACTTTATCCACAAACACTTGCACCAGTGTCCTCACGATGCGAGGTGGCATAGCAGCCAGATTCTTGATACTGATCAGCCCCTGGGTCTGCTCGGTGACGGATGAAGACGGCCCTCTGTCAACATCAGTCCGAGTCCCACTCGAGGCAAAGACTCGAGAAGAAGTCAACCCCATCGTATTACGTGGTATCTTGCGTGCCGAGGATTGCTCAGGAGTCATAGACCTGATTGTCTTCTGAATACTCTGACACTGCCGAGCCCGCGCCCGAGCTGCATCAAGCTGCAGGTTCGGTGGACGTCGGTATTCTGGCGACGACGGGGTTGGTAAGGCATCGCGCTTGAGGCTCGCGGTCACCACCGTTCTCGACGAGCTCTGAATTGCCGGTTTGCTGTTGCGCCACGATTGATGGACAGCTGTGGAGTTTTGTAATGCCAGCTCGATTCTGCTGATGTCGTCTATCAGGAACTGCGTAATGCTCCGGGGTACATCATCCACTCCATCCACGCTAGAACTTGTGCACTTGGCATAGGCCGAGACGCACTGAGAGCAGGGATTGCCTCTGTCACACTATCATCACAACGTCAACACCTCACGTTCAAAGGTGATTCCATTCTAGAAGCAGAGACTTTCTCGGGAGGACTCACTTTGATCTTCTTCTCGCGGCAACGAGCACACGATAGAGATGCGCGCTGACAGCCTACCACCTTCCGAGGCATCAAACACCGCTGCACACGTCAACCGGTGTCCCCTTTTCTTCTCCTGGCTTTCCCTTGGCTCGTTCAACAGCTATCTAAACGAGACCGGTGAGGAGAATTCGGCACACTTGGTGAGCACTGTTGTACGGCCATACCCGCCCCTTTCTGCAGCAGTTGATGCAATAGCTAGGCTGTCTGTGGGGTGCGAATATCACAATATCACTTTGAGGTCGAGAATGGAGTTGATATTGAAGTCGGAGCTTCGGAGATCGGCGACTGATCCTCGGATATTAGTAACTCGGACGATCGGATGGTCGGATGGTCGGAGGATCGGAGGGTCGGAGGGTCGGACAAATGCTTTGCCGTTGTCCGCTCGACATCAATGCATTTCCTCTTCACCGTCGAGGTCGATGCATCCATCTCTGGGCATTCTTGAAAACCATCGCTGCTCTTCTCATCTGTCAGGAGGCACACGAAGAGCTTCTATGGCGGCCCTGATATCCGCTACACCAATCGAAGCAGCAGAGCCGCGCCAATCGCCTGCAACTGACCCTAGGGCAAGCCGCCGGCGTCGAGAGAAACCACAACTGTCATGCGATATTTGCAGAGGGAAAAAGTGGGTTCCTCTCGTCGGTTGCTGTTGGGACTGGCAACATAGCAAGATTCTTATATTCGAGCCAGGTTGAAGTGTGATCGTCGCCAGCCTTGTCATAATTGTGCCCGGCGAGGCTTGCCAGACTCATGCATTTATGCCCAGTCCTCCACCCCAAGACCCGTACAGTCCTCCAAGTCACGCCAGACCTCGGCTCCAAATGTCCCCGATAGGGTTAAGATACTCGAAGATCAGGTTGCTTTTCTCATGGGCTCCTCGGGCATTTCGCAGCCAGCCCGTACCGAGTCTTTGCTCACGCCGTCGGTGTCTGAGACGTCTCATTCCCCGCAACAGACCTGCCCTGGCTCAGGCAACGGAGATCAGCCCATGGAACATCTCTTGGACTCTGCTGGTCTCCTCACGCAGTCCGCTGGCAGCGTGACTTACGTGGGAAATGGTCACTGGATGGCAATCTTGGAAGGTGTAAGGACCATCTGCATTCTTTGCTCTGGGAAGTGTTGCTAAGCCGAGAGTGCGAACAGATCCGTGGATTGAATGACGTCTTGACCGCCGTACCCATGCCTTCTCAGGATGCATCAGAGTCGGGCGATTGCGAAAGACCTGAGAAATCAGATATCCTCTGTCCCTTGTACAATAAACTGGACAGGCAAGATGTACTGGACGCTCTGCCCCCAAAAGCCACTGTGGATGCTCTCTTGAGGGATTTCTTCATCAACACCAGTCATGAGCCAAGTTAGTGACTTCCCTTATGTTTGGTCTTCCGGTTGCTCACAAGCCTCCACAGTGATTGTTCATGGGCCTACATTTCACCAGGAGGTAAGAGATTCAACTGTGCCCGCATCACCACAACCAAGCTCACACGAAACAGTACGCGCAGTTCTGGGCCGATCCGACCTCCACGCCGATTGCGTGGGTCGGTCTGTTGTTCGCCCTCATGTCCCTGGCAGTGAACTACCAGCAGTTTTCGCCCAACCAGTCTCCTGACCACGCAGAAGTGGAAAAGCCGGATAGCTTGGTCAAGACCTTTCGAGACAAGACCATTGAGTGCCTCCTATTGAGCAAATATACGAACGGACCTCCGTATGCCATCGAGGCTCTACTGATTCACCTATTCGGGGACTTTATTCGGGGGGACAGTACCCAGAATGTCAACGAGTTCTGGGTTCTTTGGGGCGCCATTGTCCAAATAGCGCTGAGGGCGGGTTACCATCGCGACGGTTCTCACTTCCCTACTCTTACACCTTTCCAAGCGGAGACTCGACGCAGGGTCTGGGCGATAATGGTCGAGTGGGACATGTACATCTCGGTTTCGTTCGGTCTACCACGGGCAATTCTGATGTCGCAAAGCGATACCGCGCAGCCACGCAATCTCAAGGACGAAGACCTCCATGTGGATATGGTCGAAATGCCGCCGGCCAGGCCGGAATCCGAATATACCAGAGTGCGGTACCATCTGGACATGAACCGACTGATGGGACTGTTGTCCATCATCGCGGATGCGACCAGCTCGACTACTTTGCCGCCGATGTCTGAGATTTTGAGATTGGACAATCTCCTCCTGAAGACCTACCAGTCAATATCTTCGACGTGGCCGCCGGTGGATTCGTCCTACCCACGCGACACGGTGCATGTCATATTTCTCATCCTCTTATTCCACCATGCCCAGATCGCGCTGCACCGCAAATATCTGCCGCAGGGTCGGAAGCAGGCACAGTACCGCCATTCTCGAAAGACTTGCATTGAAGCAGGATTAGCTATTCTGCACCACCAGTGGACACTGTACCTACAAACACGGGTCGGTGGACCGCTCTGCAGGCAAGGATGGAAATTGTTGACGCCATTGGTGTCGGACTTTCTGCTCGCGACGGCGATTCTGTGCGCTGAGCTCGCCATGGCTCTGGAGTCGGCAGGTTCAGGCCACGATGGCGATGCCGAGCTTCTCACCGAGAGGGACCTACAAGACCGGGTTTTCCACGCCCTCAGCAGCGCGTATGTCGTCTGGCTGTACGCGAATGATGCAGACGCCTCTCGCGAGGTCAAGACTATGGTCGCAGTTCTGGACCACCTGCTAGGCAAGGCGCAGGATGCAGGGTTTGGTGCGTGGAGGCCTTCATTGTCAGCCATTCGGCAGAGCGGTGTTGGTGGACATGAGTCGACCGGCGAACAGCATACAGTGGCTACCACGACTGGCATGGCCGTGCTGGACGAACAGCCGAGCAAGGTGCCGTACTTCGGTTTGGCCCATTTCCCGATCTGAAGCACAGTACACAGCACTGAGCACATAGTCATCGCGCCCAATACTGAGCTGGGGCTCCATGAAAGTCCGATATAACGGTGGCACGGGACATTCTTTCTTCTTCGATACCCGTGTGTACCCGGCCACCAATGAGATATATCGCTGAGGCATATTGCGGCTTGAACATTGATGAAGGAGTCCAAGTTGCCCTGGATCAGGGGCACAGAGGCACAGAGGGGGTTGTTTCTAAAACAGCGGCAGGAGACTAAATGCACCACAGTACTGCGCTTCAGCATACAATTGCCCACCGTATCTCTCCGCTCTTCCACACTGCCTATGACGCAGTGGTCAACAAAAGCTTCCATCCACGACACTTTTGAGAAATGTAACTTGATCCGATCGACTTCCGCCAACGCAACTTGCTTGACCAGAGCTGATCCTTCGACGCGGCCTGTGGTTCACAACTCGATCAAGATTATCCTCCATATTTCATAACGCGCAATGTCGTCCGAATCTCTGGCTGCGTTCCGCAAGCATGCCGGTGATGATCTCGGGAAGCTCGCGGAAGAGCACATGAAGCATGAGTGAGTCTGTCGGCCATCTACCATTTTACCTACACCTGCCCGCCCGCTCCAGTGGTACTGCACTCTGGATTTTTGTCAGTCTGTGTCCGATCCTAACAGCCGATCCCCAATCTTCCAGCCTCCGAGATTCCGACCGCGACATTCTCCAACGAGCCGCGACCAAAGCCTCCAGACATGCGCTGATCGGATCCCTGGCCGGCATCGCGCTGGGCGGGTTTCTCGCGTTCCGGCTCCGCGCGAACCGCAACGCCATGTACCAGGCGCTCAGGACCGCCGAGAAACCGACGCACGTGCGATTCGCGGACGGGCGAGAAGAGGCCATCCCCGACATCACTCCGTTGCTGAAGCCGACGCCGCTCGGCGACATCATGACCTACACCTTCTTCGGCATCGGCGGCCTGTTTCTGGGCGGCGAGACCGGCTTTCTCACGGGCATGTGGGCGGCCAAGAGGACGGTGTCGGCGGATCCCGAGGCGAAGCGGAGGATCGAGAAGGCCTTCAGGTCGTTCCGTGCCGATGTGATGAAGAAGCAGATTGAGGATCTGGAGGGCGGGGATAGTGACAGTTCCAAGGAGATTCTCTGGACTTGAAAGATACCAAGATACTACTGGAAGATGAGGGGTGATCTGTTGGTTACTGCAACAGGAAAAAGCATAAGCCAGTGTAACTGCGGTGAACGAGGGTGTAACATATGCCATTGCTTGTGGGGATTATGCATGGCCTGAATCAGAGAGTACAAAAAGGCGGATTATATGACTCAATTGAATCATTTCAAGATACACGGAGTCGACCAGCTATACATATTGCAATTTTGTCTGGTGTGCACAAACTACAACTCGTCTTCGACAAACCAGTAGTTGCGTGCAGTGGAAAATGCGTAAACGGAAGGCTGAAGGCTAGGGTGGAAGCGCAGAGGCCGGCGCAGTCTCGGCATTATTATACTTCAGCTCCCTCAACGTCTGCCCTTCTTCTTGCCCTCCTTGGGACGTCCTTTCTACGATCTCTGGCGTCCTCCTCCTCCTGCCTCCCTGAATAAGGCTTGATTTTATAACTGCCAGGCAATACCATGCTCCCAGGCCAGCCGTGAATGAGATGGGGCAAGCTGAGTGAACTGACATTTCAAGGTCTCATCTCATGGCAATGTTACAGACACATGCCAAGTCCACCTCACTACACAATTGTTCATCATGCCCCGGGCAAGGGGTTTCTTCTGAGCAAATACAGGTCAAGTCCATTTCATGGTATGTCCCCTTCTTCCCGGCGATAGTTATCTGATGCCTGTTATTTTCTCACTTCAAGTTCATCCACCTCTCATATTCCTGTGGTCCTTCGCTGCCTATTCCTCTTCATCCCCTTCATCCTATTCTTCCCCTTCTTCCCCTTCTTCCCCTTCTTCCCCTTCTTCCTATCTTTCTAACATCCGGCATTCGGCTATTCATCGTGCGCTGTTCCGTGCGACCTCTAATCTCCAGGATATTTGTTACCACAATGGCACGTCCAATCAAGGTTGTCGTCGTCGACACCGACGGCGATCTGATCCTCGATGTCGGTAAAGAGGTCAACCTGAAGACGGAGGATAAAGATGCCGGCACTTTGCCGACAAGCGCGACACCTGTACGCGTGTCCAGTAAGATCTTGACACTCTCGTCTCCCGTTTTCAAGGCCATGTTCACTGGCAAATTTCGCGAAGGATACCTTGCTCTAAGCCAGACCAACCCGCCCGTGGTGGAGCTACCTGAGGACGAGGTTCTTGCCATGCTACGATTATGTCGAATTCTTCACCATAAAGAATCACCACTCGTACAGGTTTCGTTCGCCAGCATGCACAGAGTCGCTATCGCGAGCGACAAATATCAATGTGGCAGCGCAGTGGTACCGTGGTTTCACCGACATCTGCAACTCAAGTCAAGGTACATCGGCCAGACAGACCTGGCCCACGCGGTCAACACTGCATATCTGCTTGATGATAAGGAGGCATTCTACAAGTTCTCGCAGTGCGCAACGATGTACCTTTCGGAAGCTATCAAGAACAGTCCCTTCGCGAAAGATTTTTCTCCGTCTCTACATGACAGACTGATCGGTGAGTTCCCATCCAAGCATAGTCTGCGCTGTTGCAACTACTGACATGTTATGTGTAGAATCGCTCTCCTCTCTGCGCAGCACAAAGATGCATGATCTGAACATGAATAGCCAATGGTCCATCCAGGAACTTTTCGCAGTATACGACGATAGGCTCCGGGGAGCTCGTGCCAGGATAAAAGACATGAGTGGAGATCTAATATGTCTTCCCGAAGTCTGCAAGGGTGAGGCCACCAGAGTTGGGAACTTCATTTCGTCGCTCTGTATTGTAGGACTTTGGCCGAACGAGGCCGCCAGGGAACCCAAGATGTCCCTACATGATGCCGTGTGCCTCATCCGGCGAGTGGCCTACACGCTGTGGTCCAATGGAAGGCACGGATGACCCATATGAAGAGTGCGACTCTTGTTCTATGCAATGGGCCACTCAGATCCTGGGCAAGTGTGATGCCTTCGAGGACACCATCCCTGGTGTTTGTCTCCCCTGCTTGAGAGCATCCCTTCCCGCCGCCGGCCTCACTACTCTGTGCTGCCACCAAGAAAGAAGGCCCGAACGATCACACTGGTCCTTGTCCACTACCGAGACCGAGACCGAGACCTGATGGCCAATAGACCTGACATCGATCATGGCAGTCCGCGCGAGGTGATCGACAGTTTGGGCTGGCGAAGCTAGGGCATCGGAAGGGGAGACTTTCAAGGAGAAATCGAGGCCGTGGCGTGTTATGCAGGGAGAGCTATAGGGAGAGAGAACAAGGCATTTGCAGAGGTTCTACACGATCAATGCGAGAGCCTTCTTGGTGCATGCATGCTGAGTCTATGATCACGAATCATGATTCCCAGAATAGAATTCTCACGAGCTTCAGACCAGTGCAGAGAATCCAGGCCATGCATTGTTTCATGCAGCTAGTTAGTTGCAGGACTGCTGTGATCGTTAATTTCATTGACTCTGTGATTCGAAGCCCTTTACAGCGAACATTCCGGAAGGGTCACGCTTTGCTACCAGTTAATGACAATCGACGCACGCTCCCGTATTAGACCACGTATCAGTATATAGAAGCTACATATCTGTCAGTTCTAGTAGGTCTCTGCGGCTCGATCACATCAGCGCTCTTCTCTCAAGGTAGATGGTTCCGTGAGTATTTACTCTCTGATTAGGTGAATTGGGGTTACTTTTGACTGGGCCGCTCTTGTTGTTTCAAGAGTCTGACAAAGATCTGTTTGAGCTTTTGAATATCAATGCTTAATTTTAGCAATAGCTATACCTATGTGTCTCTGTGAGGACTAGAGAGGTTCCACCTTACGACCTTAGATAGTTTCTTTATGAACCCGGGATGATCATCTCACGCCATCTCTCGTTCAGACACCATTGCCTTATCGGCCGGTCCATCAAGGCCATGTTCATTTTCGTGGTCTTCCAGTTGTGTGATCTGGGCGCCCAGTCCAGTGCAAACATGATGCTTGAATTTCCTGGTGGGGACGTCGGATTGGAACATCTCATCCAATTCTTCCAGGGAACGGCGGTTGGTCTCGGGAAGACAGAAGAAGATAAAGACAATGGCCACGACGGAGAAGGAGCCGTAGATGAAGGTGACATCACCCCCAATGGCCTTCTGGACGTAAGGGTTGACAAAGTTGATGGGGATCGAGGTGAGGAAACTGCCGACCGAGGCCAGGAAGATGGTTCGTTCTCGAAGCTGGCCGGTTCCCACCTCGCCAGTGACAATCCAGCAGCCTGGACCCCAGGTGAAGCCGTAGATGCAGTACCACAGGATCAGCATGGCAGCACATGCATTCTTGACTGGCATCGACAGATTCGAGACACTGGCGGTCGTGGTGGCGCCGCCCGTGCCCATCATGGTGGCTGCCATGCCCAGGGAACCCAGCAGGAGGGAGTTCCGACGGCCGAGTTTGTCGAAGGTGATGAAGGTGACAAAGTGGACGGCGAACGAGCATCCCGTCACCAAGACGTTGGTCTCGAAGGCGTTGGGGAATCCGAGCTGTTGCATGAAGGTGATGATGAAGTTTTGGATGAACGACACACCCTGCGCCTGCTGCAGGATCTGGACGCCCATGGCGGCGATGGTTCGTCGCCGGTTGGCTCCCTTGAAGCAGTCCAAGAGCGTGGTAGCCTTGTGCAGCTCGCGCTGCTCTTCGATCTGGAGTTTGAGCAATTGGATCTCTGTGGTGATGTTCTCTGGGTGGTTGAATAGGACTCTCATCACTTTTTCGGCCTCTTCATACCTTCCCCGGTAGACAAGGTATCTGGGCGATTCTGGGAGGAAGGGGAGGGCAATCAGGTACACCAGAGGCACGAACAACTGAACCAAGATGACAATCCTGCGGTTTCGGGTTGTCAGCTTCACTAACCCTGGAGAGTAGGGAACAGGAAAGAAATGGGACATACAGGTACTGCCATTTGTCGGTCCGATGTTGGCAGCCATAGACTGTCACACTGGCTATGAAGACGCCCAGAGAGTTGAAGAACGAATAGAGACCAAGAAAGGCACCTGCGAGAGGTCAGTCATCAAGTGACATGCCCTTGGACAGAAAGTCGAACAAACCTCGGACACGTGGTGGTGCACATTCTGAAAGGTAAGTAGGGACGACATTCGAGGCAAGCCCGATGCCGGCGTACACGACGATTCTTCCCACCACCAACTGCCAATAGGAGGTGATGGCGGTCGCTTCCAGTATGACACCCAGCAACATGAGAGCAGACAGACACATGAAGCCCGCCTTTCGGCCGAACTTGGTGGTGACGATGGGAGCGATGATACAGCCCAGGATGATGCCGGCCGAGCCTGTGCCTGTTCCGACGGAGGTCTTTTCGGAGGGCATGGCCCATGAGCCCGACGCGGCGTCGTAGGCCCCGTACTTCTTCTTGAACTGCAACAGACCCAAGGCACCACCCCACCAGCCGTTGTCGTAGCCGAAGCCCATGGATCCCACGGAAGAGGCGAGGCCGATGAGGATCAGGCGCCAGTTGAGGTCCTGGTACAAGGGCTGTTCTTTCAACTTGTCCAACATGTTGGGTGAGTTGGACTGTTCCCACTTTCTTTTCTTCTTCAATATGCCTCCTTCTTTTCTTCCTTCTCTTTTGGGAACAGAGTACGAATCCAGGGGACCCAAGGAAACCAGAATGCCAATAGAGACTGGGCAAGCACGGTGCAGCGAAGAAGGGCGTGGCCACGTACTTATACCGACCAAATACGGGGGAAGCTTTTCGGTGGAGGCCCACACTCGGCCTCTCCATGCCGTTTCTCCACGCCAACTCGCCACCGATTTTGCACCATCCGCGACGAGGACATTGGAAGACGAATGTGCGGAGAATGTGTGGGTTGTGGAGTAGCGCGAGAGCCCCTTTGAAGTTTGGGGGGATTGTGGGAGGCATGTTCTTTAACCTAATCAGGCAATCGGAGCCTCCAAGGGTTGGAAACCGACCTTAAGACACTACTGTGGTAAAGCGAGGAGCCCATGCCCCATGCTGCTGAGATTTCTATGGTGGTACACTGTACACGTAACACAGGTCATGCGACTTCTCGAGTCCACTTGGTAAACCGATGTCGTTCCGGGGTATAGACGTTCCAGATACGTGAAGGCGCTGATTCATGAATGGTCTGATACAAGAGCCAGCCCAGCCATCACATGGCGTTAAAAACATTTCTGGCTTGCAAATTGCAATTTCCACTTCCTCGTTATGCTGACGCTGACATGGACAAGATACTCAAGAAGACGTTCCATCCAAATCCGACCACAGATGCCACAACCACCCTCCACTCCACCGGTATCCAAATGAAGTTGATGAGCGCGACCCAAGGCCAGATCTTCCAGCTGGCCCATACGATCCCCAGGATCTGTGTGCGGATTTCTTCCCGGAGCGGTGCGAGTCCTCCGAGCCGTGCTCCGCGTGTACACACGAGGAATGTCAAGGCCATGATCAGCTGACCAATCGTCTGGTCGACGACAAGCTTGGTCAAGATGTTGGCCCAGTTCAGGTTCGTCGTCTTTTTGATATCCTTAGTCGGTTGCTCGCTCTGAGCTGCTTCGCCGGGCTGGGTGGTAGTGACGCGACCTTGCCTTTGGCCACTGGCCCGTTGGGAAGGGAAATTGTCTTCCAGAAAGACCTGCCACATGGACACTATTGGTGCTTGGACTAGGCCGAAGACGGCGAACTCGGCCACGCGAGTCCAGTCCACCGGTGTCCCAGCCGCTGCTGGTGAATTCCATCGCGCCGCCACTTGGGCCGTGAGGTTTGCCGCCGACTTGAGTAGCGCGGATTGAATGGTGACAGTCGTCAGCGACGGCATGGTGGGCGGTAGGAAAGAAGTGCCCGACAAGTGTTTCTGCTGGTAGCTAGATGGCAGTCAGACCATGCAGATGATTCGTGCCAGAATACGTCGATATAAGTGCACTTTCTCACAGGAGATTACAGGATGAGTTGTGCTGAAATGGCCTAAAACGGCAATATTAGGCACTGTATACTATACCATGCCTTTTCTCTCAATCAGCTTGGCCCATAGCAACAATTCTATGTAGGCAAGTGACTCGGTGTAGCATCTCTTAATTACATTTCAGACTGTTTGACTCATCTTTTAGCTATTGGGCCAGTTCACCGAGTATTATGAAGTTCGGCCTCTATAAGATACTTCCCCATAACACCCGTTTCCAATCCTATAGAGATCAAAGCTCGTCGTGAGGAGCATTTGATGATTCACCTGCTGTGACATCCTTTCGACTGGTAAGGACGATTCTTCGATACGCCACCAGGTTCTCGTTTGACACTTCCAAGATGATGTGCATGTGTTTGTCAGCACCAGGATGGGCGCCTCTCCCCGGGCGACGTAGGACAGACTCTTCGGGGACTTGAATGGTCACTTTAGCCGAGTTCTGTGAGTCGAAGCCGACTTCGGAGACATCCCGTTTCGGGTTGTTGTTGTTTGAGCTGGGTTCCTTGTACTGCCACCATTTGAACGAGAGCTTGGTGCCGTCGCCGTCGGGGTCGCACGCCTGGGAGGCGTCCAGGACCAGAGATTGACCGGCCTCCACATTGATTCTTAGAACAGCGTCGGTGGCACTGCCATTGACGACGGGCACGGGCGCATGACTGGCGCCGGAGAAGGCCGGTTGCATGGTCCATTGCATGCGAGCTTTGAAATCATTCTGGAACGCGCTTCGCCACCGCCAAACAGTAGCGTGCGAATCCATGATGGTCCTGCCGCCAGCCTCATCGGTGATGATGTCGATGCTGTCGGCGAAATGACCCTCTCCCCACACGACAGGGCCATAGCGACCACCCCAAGAACCCCATTCAGGATACTGGGGGTCCGACAGGCCGTTGGGGATCATATAGAGCAATGAAGGAGTATCACCTAACGACAAAGAAAAAATAGGCGGCAGGTTAGTTTCTGTAATGATCCATGGACTGGGAGAGGGATGAGTGGGACTTTCTCACCTTCAATGATGAATTCGCTGTCGGGGTACTTGGCGCCCAACGGCCCGATCTGGATGTTTTTCTTCAGCCACGAGTCCGAGATGGTCTCGACGCTGGCCGTGCTGGGGAAATGGTAATAGTTGTCGCCGGAAATGCCACCCCACGCCGCGTGGGCATAGCGGTTGAAGTGGTGCACGCTGGCGATGTAGAACAGACCCGGCCAGTTACGACGGATCCATGGACCGCTGTTGTCTTGGTCCGAGATGGCGTAGACCCTCAGCTTGGACACGAACCGGTCAACCTCGGCCGGTGACCTCGTCGCGTTGACGTGCCATAGTGCCTGTGCAAGGACATTTGATCCGCCCCAGATGGGGACCCAGAGACGTTCCTCCGAGGCATCGACGGCCTCGACCAGCAGCTTGGAGCCTTCGGTGTCCTGGCCGGGTCCGACGCCCGCCATACCATAGAGCGTCGAGCCGGACTTAATCAGGGGCACCAGCTGGTCGACCTCTGGCCAACCGCTCGCGTGCTGCTTCAGGTTAGGGAGTGTTTCGCCGTACGCCTGGACGATGTCGTGGATCTGGTCCGGCCGCACGGTGTCGTTCAACCAATAGCTGGTGGTGGCCACAAGGCCCTCGATCCGAAACTCGTTGGCGTACACCATGAGGCGGACGAGCGACTGGGCATCGTCGGGCTCATTGGCAATGTCGGTCAAGACGAAAAGTCGCCGCTTGTCGACTCGAGCGACCTTGCAAACTCCTCCATCAGCGCCATGCTGCTCTCCTGAAGCGATACTCGCTAGGGCCGCAAAGAGCAAAGCCAACAAAGATGTCGCCCAATATCGACGACGGCAGGCCATGGTCGCGATTTCACGGATGACAATGACAGCGTTCGAATACCCCTGACTTTGTCAGATACACGCCCAACAATGCTCAACTTCTCCTTATATCAGGCGATCGAATGACAACCTTCTGGGCAGTTACCTCGATCGCTGCCAAGAACGGTTGGATTTTGTCTCGTGTGCTTCAAGATGCTTATTTCGGTCCTGCCGAATTAGCCGTCTAGGGAAATGGTGAGATCCGGAGTCTTCTCCGGGCAAACTTCCAGTTTAACTCCAGGTCGCCCCCGCAAAAACGACGGCGCTGCCAACGGTGCGAGAGTCCGTTAACGTCAACTTAGGCATCGCCCACGCCCGTCTGAGTGGATGACGCATTTGGGGTGGTTGACAGTCCCCCTATTCCGTTTGTGGGGGATGGCTCCACTATCGATCCACCACTGGCGGTGAGCGAGGTCCATATAAGCATTTAGCTAGCCTCTTTTGGTGTCTTGAGGCACCACCTACCCAACTAGGCTTAGTCTATAAGATGATTGGTGGCCCAAACCATACCTGTGAATCTTCAAGCACCGGTTTTCAACGAGGCTACGGTTATGTAAAATAGACGAGTTGAGGGCCTTGTCATCAATATATGGATATGTATCCATCAACTCATCATCTGATTACGCACCAAAGCCGCTGCAAGCCCGTATTGAATTTGCACTGCCGACCATGTCATGAGTCTCCGTCGGTACAATTGTGTTTCTGGGGGTGCTAAGTCCTAGAGGGTGTCTGAACAGCTAAGTGGCAGGATAACATTGACAAAAGGGATAGGTTTGCTGAGCTCATCAGCAGAAGGTGCACCAGCGCCTGCAGTATAACAGACACGGTCAAAGGGACAGTGAACAAGGGGCTGTATGAAATGACACAAAGGCCTTTACCGCCACGACAAAGAAACAAGATGGTCGTCTAAATACTGGGGCAATATTCACGTCTGCAGAGATGCTGAAACAAAGAAATAAAATGGCCACTGGGTTCTCACTACCATGGCTCGACATGACAAGGCTGAGCTGCTTCAGGGGCTGATTTCTGTGAGGCTCCATTGGGGAGACAAAATACATATATCTAATCGTCACTGCCGAGGCGTTACTATGACACAATGTTCCAGAGACAAGAGAAAGACTAAGGCAGTGCTGGTCGGAGGCTGCAGATTCTCAATTGCCTTTCTGGAAGTCCCCCTTTATTCAGGCAGTGAGGCAGTGAGGCAGTGAGGCAATGGACACAATAATGGCAATGCAGCAAATAGCTTGGGTGAGCTTTTGACTGCTTTCCAGATCCTTAAGGAGGCACGAACACCGTCTTTGATGTGCTACTGCCACTGCTTCGTGAAGTACTATCACTCCCACACACAGCCTTTCTCTCTCTACATATATATCTACCCTCTCACCGATGATGCCATCCCATTCTAACACCCGATCAACATCTCCTTCCACAGCCAACAATCACTCCACCGCCGATCTTTGACACAATGGCAACTCTATTCAATCTGCCATTTCTCACCTCGCGCGACGACTCATTCTCGATCCCCATGCATTTCTTCGACCAGAATGGAGATGTGGTCTGGGCAGTCGATGGAGATGTTGACATCCGTGTGGAAAACGAACCTGACGCTCAACTAGCCTATTCCCAGGTTTTCCATGTCTCGAGTCATGCTCTGAAGAAGACGTCCCGGTATTTTGCCTCCCTCTTGAGCGAGCGATGGACTCATGAAGGTAAGCCGAATGACCCCCTGGTCCTGAAAGGAGACAACCTTTGCGCCATGGCGATCTTCTTTGCCATCATGCATGACGCGATTCTGCCAGCTCAGGAACTGACTCTGGGACAGCTGCGAGCACTGGCTGTGGTGTGCGACAAGTACATGTACGAAGGCACCATTCCAGAATGGATCAGCACTTGTCTGGCTTCATTTCTGCACTCTCATAACAACATCATGGAATTCTCCAACGCTATCAAGACAGAGGTCCTACCGGACGTCCTCTGCATCGCGAGCGTTTTGAATCTTCCCATCATCTTCGGCAAGGCCTCCCATCAGTTGATGTGGCTCGCACCGGCATGCGACATTCGGTCAACCTTATCAGACGACCTTGCGAGCATGCTTACGATCGACCTGGCCAAAGAGTTTGGAGCAGAGAGCAAGCGAATACCATCGCACCTGGTGACACAATTGCCCAAACTACTCTTTCCTGACCCCCACGGTGTCGAGAACTGGTGGTGTGCCCGGTGTACTACCGTGCCCCACGAGGAGCGATGGCACTCGGAAGTAATCAGAAAGACAGGACCTTGGGCCTTGGACGCGGAAGGTATGCTCACCGTCAGTGTTGGAGAGATGGTAGCGGCTTGGTTGGACAAGATCTCGGGGCTGAGCCGTCTTCGAGAGCTGGACACCGATCAATTCTCTTTCCCATGCGGCAGATTCAGACTGCGGTACGCTGATCTCAGTCTGACGGAAGTCCAGCTCGACCTCTATACCTCCGTGGGTGGACAGTGCATTTCCTGCTTCAAGGCTGGCGTTTTTAAGTACGATGTCTTCTGTCCGGAACACAAAGTCTGTCTTTTTGTGAATTAGCTGACTCAGAGACAGTTCGTAGGAGAGACGGGATGAGAATGACAGCAACCGTGGCAACAATGCTTCAATTGTCAGCAGGTTGATGATAGTAACAATTTTTGGCATGGTCTACCAAGGTCAAGGGAGGATATGAAGTATTCCAATCTATGTAACCACTTAGTATTGTTCACTCTTTGCGCTTTCGTGTTTGTTTAACTTACGATATACAAGGCCTTTTCTTTTTTTCTGGCTGTCACCAAGCTCATACAATGAAGCAATAAAGGGCCTGGATCTCGGAGATGATATACAAAGCTCACTAATGACCAAAGAGTCGAAGAGCATGCACCTGTTCTTTGCGGCTGGTAGATGTTTGGTCCTGACGACTCGAAGAGAAGGCGCACAAACACCCAACGATCTGCATGCTGCCGCACTGTGACAACGCGTGAGAAGATCAAAAGAAATGATTGGGAAGGTCCGGATTGCCGATCTCACCATCCGTCTCAATTAGAATCAGTTCCTACTCTATCTTGCTTCTATCATCACTTCATAATCTTGAGTTCATGTCATCGTAGCGTCTTTCATTCGACTCATCGAGTCGCGAATAACTTCACAAACCAATGTATTCACACTTTTCTGGTCTCCAAAGGCTTTAAATCGATCATCAGAGTTTCGGTCAAGAATTATCGCCTCGCCCGGAAATAGTCATATCCAGAGACTGTCTCTTCGGCTGGTGTGGCGCCTCCGCTGTGGTCCCTGAAAGTGCCAGCATCACTTCCATCACGTGTACGCCACTCTTCAAGGGACATGAACTCTCCGTTCGGAGTTCTGAGGTCTCCCACCCCTTGCAGCAGGTTGGTTCTGTCATCGTTGAGATCAATGTACGGTTGCTGCATCCCCAGATCGCCGCCAATAGACGCTGTCAGGGCCGCAGACCTGATCCGACTCGGGACATGAGATGGATCGATGGGTTTGCGATGAATGCCATGATGCTGCTGTAAGAGACGCGGTGGAGGACTGCCGGCTCGCGAGCTTTCCGGGGAGTTGTAGTCTTCTTTGCCTGTGAACAGAACCGGGGTTTGAGCTCGTGAACTACCTGGTGAACTGTATCCTTCGGTGCCGGCGAAGGGAATTGGCGTCTGGGTACGTGATGGGGTGTCTCCTCCTTGCTCACGGAAATCAGAACGGTTCTTATAGAATTGGTAGTCTTGCTGAGCTTCAGGGACGATCTCAAACGGCACGTCTTGCACTACCTTTCCCGTATGATTCATTGGCTGCATGGCGATGTCCGAGAATGCTGTGGACTGTCCTCCTTCCGAGCTCAAACGTCCTCGGTATACTTCTGTCAGCACATGCCTGGCTTTTTCGTGAACCATTGGCGTTATCAACGGTTTGAAGAGCGCCGGATGGCCGAATCTGGCAGACATTTTCTCCGCCTTCCGTGGCTTGCCATCAGCAGGAAGCCGTTCTTGATCGTGCATGCCACCGCGGGCGTAGTATTTCAGTTCAAGATCGAATGTCTTCATGCAGTATATCTTGAAGCCGAGCATGACGAACAGCAGCGGCACAAGAGCAGCAACAAGATCCCAACCCCCTCGAGCCTTGACAACCACTCCAATAATAACGTTCGAAAGTATGGTGGCGAAGATCATCCGGTTGACTATGGTCACCCAGAACATACCGCCAGATTCCGTCTTGGTAACGAAAACGTACATCAGAAGGTACTTCTTGCAAACAGCGTCAATGGTGAAATACAATGCCGTCACGACCAGCACGATCGGCTGAAGGGTAGAGTAGCAGAGTGCTACCGTGGAGTAGAAGAGGAAATAGTTGTAATAGCTGGCGTAGTCGAATGCGGGAGGTGCTGTCCACTCGATGTTCTGTCTCGGTGTTGGAGCCAGGAACGTCCTTGCAAACCAGACAGTGGTCAAGTGCCAAAGCTGAGCAAGGTCCGCAGCGGCACCTAGATTGCGTTGAAGAAGCCAAGTCACCCAAAAGGGTGATATTTGGCACAAAGATGTCGTGATTACGAGAAAAAAACGACCCTCGCGCAGAGACGTCCAGGTGTCGTTGCCCTCCCTGTTGTACTGGACCACAATCGTGACATACTGCCAAATCGCCGAAAACATGGAAAAGACGATCAGGTTGTTGAAGGTGAAGAAACTGTACAGATTTCGAAGGACATGACGTTCGCGTTCTGTCTTTGTCACGTCGCCCGCACGAACCTGAAGTCGTCTGAAAATGATCGGAAGTACGAGGTACACCAATGAGGTAATGGCTGGCGATGCAATGCCCTGGACAATGGCCCATCCTGTATGATGCGCTTCCAATTGATCTCTGAAACCCTTCCAGACAAGCCCGAGATTGGAAAGATTCGACAAGAAGACGGCAATTCCGGCGTTGATCGGCATCCAAACGATGGTGAGAACGGTGATCCATACTGCATTCATGAAGCGCTTGCTCCTCCTGCTTCCACGCGACAGCTTCAAGTTGTCCCAGATAAGCTCGTGTGGTCTTGGGGCAAGTTGAATCTTCGCACCCTGTGGTCGCTTCGACCGCGCCATATATGCCACGGTGTGTGCATCTTGTATTTCATCCCAACTAGCAAAGCCATACGGCATCGGATCGCGGGTATCCACGAGCTCTCGAATGTGGTTGATCTTGGTTTCTAATTCTCGGATTCGGTCCGTGAGATAATCAATGGAATCAACCTTGCCGTTAGTGGTCGGTCCCTTGTACTTCCTTGGGGCCTTCATCATGGGGCGGCGAGCGGGAAGCCGATCGGGATGTTTCATGTATTTGGCCAGTACAGACTCAAGGTCCCGGACGACTTCCTCGTGCTCTTCGATCAATTCAGGTAGGATTTTCACATTACGTCCAATAGTCGTCTTCGGAGCAGCGCCCGTTGGATTGACCTCGTCGGTAATTCGTGTTAAACCTTCATTGTTTCGACATTTTGGTGGAAGATCTCGGATCAGGAGTGTCCGTGCATGGAGGCTCCGCTGGTACTCTGGACTCTCCAGATGAGCTCGTCGAAGTTTGTGGACCCGTCGATAGTTATGCCACAGAAAGTATATTATCACCAGGTCAGTCAGCCATGCCATTACCACCTGAGCCCACAGGCCACTACCGAAAATGTATAAGGGTGTCATGACCGAAAACGTCGACGATCCCCGGGAGACTGCTTTGTTTCCGAGACCGACATTGACTGGGATCATGATAACGAGTCCAAGAAAGCCGACGACGGTGAAGATATTTCGGAGCATGCGTGTAAACCTCAGGAAGATAACGGCATCCATCCCAATCTTTTCCACCAGGTACGGTTCGTTTGCTGTGTGGACAGGCTTGATCCAACTGAACAGGCCTTTCTGCAGTGGAGGCAGAGCATGGTCTGTGTCGGCATTCTTCAGTTTGGGGGCATAGACGATGGTGTTCCTCGGGCGCATGAAACAGAACAGGAGGGCAAGGGCAACACTGATGCCGAGCGAAGTTCCCAGGGACACCCAGAAAGCATTGGTTTGTAACTGGTTATGTCAGTATACTCGTATTGCTTGGTCGTCGTGGTCCAATGGAACCTACAGATGCCTGAAAAGGGTTGGAGAGCAGTTGAAGAACCTGTTCTCCGGTCGACAGACTCGGATTGGGTGCAGTCGTTTGCCGAGGATATATCGCTCGACGACCGGACATTTTGGCCAAGTGTCACTGCAACGCAGGACTGGGAAGTGTAATGCTCATACTATCCTAGCACGAGGCTGGCGGGTATGCCTTGACGAGTTTTGGTATGCTTGCTCTTTCTTGATCTATGCGCGTCACAAAGGAACCTTTCGGCTTGAAACAAAGGGTTTCGTATAGGGCGTATTATAGGGGTCGAAGGACAGCGTTGAACGAGCGACAATGGACGTGTCAAAGAGGCTTGAAGGAGGGAATGCAGACAGAAGTGTAGAAGGTGATGTGCAAGACAGGAAAATATTTTCCATTCGGACGCGTCTAAAGACACAGTTCTAGCGAGTGAGATTTGACTTTTTGTTGGTGGTCAACTTTTGAGGAATTCTGGCTGCGCTGCAGGGATTCGAGAAATGCAGCGAAAACATCGATGATGGCAGCCAAGCAACTTGAAACATTCAAGCCACAAGTCCAGGGGCTTTGAGTCCTAACTTATAGGCTTTGGAGGCCTAGAGTGTAGAGTCCCTTTGGTGGCTCCCTAGGCTCCTCCAGGCTTACTAAGGCTTTTCAAAACTGAACAACACTTCCCATCCTCTCGGCCATCTCAGCTCTCCATCTCGCGAATGAGGCCTCACATTACATGTCCATGTCCATGTCCAGCATTTGCACTGGACTGTGACAACGTAACCCACTGGCGGTACAGAGCCACAGACTAGCACCGCATCCAAATCCACATTACTGGTGACTACTATGCACGATGAAAATCATGGCAAAGACATCCCGCTATTATTCTAACAACACCAACCAACAGCCTCTTCCCGTACAACAGCTCGACCCATCGAAGACACCTTCATTCGCCAGGTCTCAACCTCCTCCCCCACGTTACGCAGTGCCCTACCACCATCGTCACGATGCAGCCGCCAACTTCGCTCAGAATTGCCCGCGGCACATTGTTACTATCGAGCCTCAACTGGTTGTGCAGTCAGACTGGGCCGTGGTCATGAACACGATTTCGACTTATCTCAAGCCCACCGAGGAGCAAAGCTGACACAACCAAGAAGAGAGGTCACTTGTCTCGAAAGAACCGTCATGATAGCTACTAAAGAGCCCACTGTGACACATGGGTTCTATAAATGAGAAAGCGGTCTAACGACGCACAGCCTTTTTTGACCCTCACCTCGCACCGTCCCAACACGACCCGATCTCTCCACCTCGACGAAACACCCCAGATCAAGAAGAGAAAGATTTTACAGAAGTTCCATTTCAAGTTGTGATTTGAGAGGGTTTGGCAGTAGAAAATAAGGTACTACTAGTACTACCTCACTACTACTAGTATGGTAGATCTACCTGCGCACCACGGCTCTCACGTCAATTTGTCTCACCTGACGGCCGCCGCTTCAGACGCCGCTTGTGTCCTTTGCATCCATCCCCAATCACCTCTCGCGTATCTTTGTTCCTACTCACCCTCGTTGGGTCTACGTACCGTCCTCTACCACACATGATCTTCTCGCTCATTTCGGAGGTGGGTTGGTGAGATGGCCGAGTGGTGTCCTGTGCATACCCCGGTCTCCACCATGGATTCCCCCTGACAGGGGCAAGCCCACAACAATCGATGGGTTAAGATTCAGGACCCATATCGAAGCATAACCAAATTACACCTCACAAACTCTCAGGTAAGTAGCTCCATCGAGGGCTGTCGGGCAAAGTTAGTACCTCAACGCCGAGGACTTTGTCTACAATATGAGGTCCCTTGGCCGGCCTCAAACCCAGCATTTCTTCTCCAGCCAAGAATCATTTCGGCACCATTGGAGATGCAGCGAAATGCTCTTCGATGTTGCGCGTGGCCGACCACTTGCACCCTGGTAATGTTGATCTTCTGGTCTCTTCTCTTGCCCTCGTCATTGGTGTACGCTGAGTTCGGTGGGAGCGGTCTTCCGAGGGCAATATGGGAGGAGAATTCGGAGCACGATCAACCGCTTTTGCACAACTTGCCGCGTCAAGCCTTGAATGTTGTTGGAGGGCACCCTCGGCTTTTCGCCTCCGGTGATCAGTGGGACGGCCTGGAAGCTCGGATTGCGAACGACAGCTATCTGCAAACGTGGCACAAGGCCATCATCGACCAGGCCAACATCTTCTACGACGACGCAGTTGTCCCTTACCCAGACGATTGCGATGTCAGCGTGGGTTGTACCCTAGAGGTTGCCAGGTATATTCAGTTGAGGGTCAAGCACTGGGCATATGCCTACCTTTCGACAAAGGACAACAAATGGGTCAATCGAACATGGGAAGAGATTCAACACGCCTCAGGAAACTCCTCCGACTATTTTGGCGTGCCGGGTGATAACTGGAATTCGAGGTAACGACGCCCAATCCCTTGGGCTCCGCGCGAAGAGATTCTTACGCGGCACAGACACTTTCTCGACACGGCCGAGTTCACGGCGGCATTTGCCTATGCATACGACTGGCTTTATGATGCATGGACACCTTCACAGCGTGATGCTATCATGTGGTCCATCATCTCACTGGGACTACAAAAAGGCATTGACGCATTTGCCGATCCAGGAGTTGGTTGGTGGCGGACCGCGCGTGGAAACTGGAATTGTGCGTTGACGTTCAGGACCGCTATATCGCCAGAGCTAATCTTGTCCTCAGGTGTGTGCAATGGAGGCTTGCTCCTCGGATCCCTCGCCGTTTACAACGAAGATCCAACGGGGACCGCGGCCAAGCTTCTCTCTCAGACGATTGCAAACGCGCAGCAAAGCTGTGCTCAGGCCATCAGTAGCGACGGATCCTGGCTGGAGACGCCTGATTACTGGTTCGTCAGCGTAATGCTATCCCTCTTTCGTGCACTCACATCATCTACAGGTATTTTGGTATTCAGTCATTCGCTCAAATTGCGGCCGCTCTCATCAGCGCAACTGGCTCCGACCAAGGAATGCTCTCGGTAAATCCGGCCGTGAACAAGACCGGATTGTTCCGTATCTACAACCAGGGTATGGTTGACAAGTTCAACTATGGTGACTGTGGTGCGTGACCAACTCCTGATACTTTCTCGCGTTCCGGGAATGGGTTGCTGAGTTGTTTACAGGACCAGAAAAGATCACTGCTACTGCCAATGCTCTCATGTTTTACGGCCAACATCTAGACAGTAAGTTCTGCTGCTCGCTTGCATGGTTTGAGCGCAATGGGGGCCGCAACAACAGGAAATTAACGCCGTACAGAACCCAGGTGGACCCTATTCCAACGCGATGAAGCCGACGCCGCGGACCCTTTGAGTATGTTCTGGTATGATACAACAACCACGTCGGCGCAGTGGTCCGAAGACCTTGAGCTGGACCGTTACTTCTCTTTTGTCAATACTTCATGGGCGTCGATGCGATCTAGCTGGACGGATCACAACGGGTTGTTTGTGGCAATGAAAGCTTCCGTCCTGACTGGCCATCAAACACGTAAGTCTAAAAGCCCTTTTCGTCTCGGACGGAAACCTCTGACACGGAGATAAATAGATGGAGATCTCGACGCTGGTGACTTTGTTCTCCATGCCCTGGGAGAACGTTGGGTTGGTCAGCTATGTCAAAACGACTACAACGGACCTGGATACTTTAAGAGTGAAGACCAAGATAGCCCGCGCTGGACATACTACAGGTGCGGCACCGAGGGCCAGAACACCCTCCTCTATGGCGGCACCAACCAACTCGTGGATGGAGTTCCAGTGACTACATTTGGTTCGACTCGCGATGTCGAATCCTCGTCTATTCCATCTTCGAGCACGGCGTTCTACATTGCCGATCTCACATCGTTCACCGAGGCGGGCTCGATCAAACGAGGCATGAGATTGCTTGACGGACGCCAAAGAGTTCTGATCCAAGACGAAATCGTCAACCCGGGAGCATCAAGTCAATGGAGGGTGCACACGAACGCAACTATCGTGCTGACCGACGACTCGAAGCAAGCTCGTAAGTGGTTCCGCATCAGATTGCTTCGATGTTGATGGGATCGTTCTGACAGCTTCATCTCCCAGGTCTGACCCTCAACAACAAAACGGTGGTGGCGGAAATCACCTCCCCGGGCGATCTTGTCTTCACCACTCTCCAAGCGGTTCGCGCCGCATCAGATCCGCCCCTTCCTGACGGAGGCAGCGATCTACCGAATACCGGCGTGACGGTCCTTGCAATTGACGTTCCGCAAGGAAACCAGACCGTGTCCGTGGTTTTTACGCCGCTCTGGACGAATGATACGGCGACAAGCGCACCTAAACAGGTTCCGCTCAGTGCTTGGAGCTTGAAGTCCCACAACCCTCCTCCAACATCGGGGTCTGGGACGAGTGGTGACGGGGATGGAGGCGGGAGAGACAATGGAACCAGCACACAGAATGGAACCGACACACCAACTGGAAACGGCGGCACCCAGAATGGAACCAACACACAGAACGGGAGCGGAAACGGGGAAAACGCCAAAAACTCGGCACACCGGGACTCACACAACACGAATTTACTCTCTGTGCTGAGCGTCGTCTTCGCGTTGGCGTTGGGCGGATATTTCCTCCCATCTATAGACACCATATAATACACGGACTGCCCTCTTCAGCCCTCTTCGACGCTGGAGCACCCACCCGCGCAATACGCCAATCGCAATTCGGTGCCGCAGACGAGTGCAGGCGGCCGTAGGTGAGACACGGGTTGAATATCCTTGGGTTAAGGACGTAGTACCTTGTACCCAATTCGCGCGAGCCGGGGGTGAGAGAGCAGTGAGCACAGGGCGGCGTCACCCTCATCCCAGAAGGGGTGAAAGCAGGCCGTGACTTTTACCACACTTGGAAATTTAGTCGGGCCGTAAGCCCTTAGCCCTGGACGGTACCTTATACCTGCGCTGTACAGTGTATGGTAGAGTACCTTTTATTAGTATTGCTTACGCTGCCGTGAACCCTGTCATTTTGTTGCAGGCCCCAGGTCCGACATCTGCAACTTGAACCTGAAGGCCTGTGCAGACGGATGACGAGTCCGTACCCCGGATTCTCCAGACATTTTTCTTTGATCTTCCTGCGAAAAATACCCTTCTGCCTGTCGAGCTACTATATCACCTAGATACTCTCCGCCCTCCGAGTCGACCGGACATAATCGCTGCTGCAAAGCTGATGTCGTGACGCGAAACCTGTCGAGCACCATGGATTTGACCTTGACCACGATTGCCCGTCCGAATGCCTGATAAGCCCGCCACCGTTGTCGCTTATGCGGCTGGCGCTTCTCTGGCTGCCATCGCTGCATTCTATGTCTTCGGACCTACCTTCTTCCTCGATGGCGAGAATTCCTACAATACCAACGATGGCCGGAAACGTACGATCATCGGCCTCGCGAACCCGGCCAATGACTGCTTTATCAACTCTGTGCTGCAAGCATTGGCGGGATTGGGAGAGTTGAGGTTGTACTTGATCAAAGAATTGCATAGGAGACGGCTTGAGGACCCCGATATATACGACTGTCCTCCCGCCATCCTGCGGAAGGGTGAAAAAGCGGATAAAGTCGTGAGTCTACAACGAGGCCCGGTCACTAAGGCATTAAAAGATATGTTGGATGCTCTGAACGAGCGGCCTATATACAAGAAGACTATCACCGCTCGGCCCATCATCGAAGCCCTAGAGAGAGCGTTCCAGACACGGATCAGTCGAAATCAACAAGATGCCCAGGAGTTCTTGCAGATTCTCCTCGAAAGGCTCTGTGACGAGTACCATGCAGCACAAAGGGTTCGGCTGAGTCTTCCGGGTGCAGTCAATGGCCAAGATGGCCAGGAAGCAGAACTGAAGCCTGCTGGGCTCACTCCCACATTGAGCGGAGTCACCGTCGGAACCAACGAAGGCTTCCCTTTTGAAGGACGCATCGAATCCCAGATCCAGTGTCAACGCTGCGGCTACAAGACGAAGCCCAGCGCCACGACGTTTGTCTCACTAACCCTGAATGTTCCGCAGAAAAGTTCAACATCGTTAGATAACTGTTTTGACATTCTGTTAAAAAGCGAGGAAATTGATGATTACAAATGCGACAAATGCAGACTCAACCACGCATTGGAGTGGAAACAGGAAAAATTAAAAGCAGCATCGTCGGACAAGGACCGAGAAGGATTAGAGCAAGATATCGCACTGATTGAGCAGGCCATTCGTGAAGATCCGGAGAAAGCCCCGGAGGGTGTGACCATGCCTGATTCCAGTCAGGCTCCGAAATGCAAAATCCGCAAATCAACGCGCATCACGGTGTTTCCAAAAGTCATTGCCATTCATCTGTCAAGGTCCGTCTTTGACCCTGGAAGCTATTCGACCAAGAACATGGCCAAGGTAGCTTACACTCAACGACTACGTTTGGGCGGCCTACTCAACGAGAAGTGGTACAAACTGTTGAGCGTCGTCTGCCACAAGGGCAGCCACCAGAGCGGACACTACGAATCATTCCGACGGAATCATTTGTATCCTCCGTTCGCAACTCCTGAACCATTCCGTGCCTACGCGGACGCGAGTCGCAACATGAGTACGGTACCGTCCACCGCCCCCAGTCCCAGCATCGATGCCATTCATGCCAACGGGACCACCACGCCTCTATACCATGGTGATGGACAATCTACAGCGTCTCTTTCTACGGCATCATTGTCCACGAGCAACAGCAGACCGGCGTCGAAGGGACTTGGTGCTGGCTTGACAGCCCAGCCTCCGGCAGAAGAGGGTTTGACAGATTTGTCCCCGGTGAAGAGGTCCGACAGTCAAGCATCAAGACCGCAAATCCGATCACATGAGACAACAGCAGGGAAGTTTCGCCGACGCAAGAAATCCAATGATCGATGGTGGCGTATTTCAGACGACAAGATCAAAGAGGCGCGCACGTCGGATGTTCTTTCTATGCAACGGGAGGTCTATTTGCTCTTCTACGAGCTGGAGCGCCCTGGAGACGATGCCTCTATCTGACCCATGTGTTGAAGGCCGGATCGCCTGCAGGTCTGGCTACTGTTTTGGTTGCTTTTCCTGGTTGGGAAGCATTGTGAAAAGTCAAAATCTGATAAGCACCGACGAGGAGTTGGGTCTTGTCGAACAGCTCGATCTGGATACAACTTTGAGCTAAGAACCTGTAGATACAGCAACAAGCACATATTTCAATGTCCAAGACCGACAACATAGAACAGTGCCACATCCGAGGCATCGGGAACAGATGCAATGTAGTACGTAGTTGAAACCATTTGCCCAGGCGTGGAGGTGGAGTGGGAGGGCATCCCGTGAAACTCCGGCACTGGACGGCATTGCAAGCAAACGATGAGGATAGGGGGTTAGGGAGAAATCGGAGGACGCGGTGGGGGAGAGGAGGAGAGGAACGACGGACTGGATGGTCGCAATTGGAAGCTTACGGAGGAGGGGCGCAGGAGGCCAGATCGGAAGATGGACAGGAGGACAAGGAGGACAAGAGGGAGAGATGACGAGAATCGGAGCCACGGTCGCAGCTGTCTCCAGTTAAACAGGAGTAATACTTATGTCATTGCCCCTCCTCCCGCTCAACGCAGTTTTCTCTCGGCTTGTTGATTCCAGATCAACACTTTTCTTCTTCGTGACTCGATATCCTTCTGAAGCTTCCGTTTGGCCGTCCAAGAACTCTCTTGAAGCTATACACTTCACGCACTTCCTCGACCGTATTCGTTAAACATCCTCAGATAACTGCTACAATACTCATCATCCAGACTTGAACCCCACTGCGCAGTCAAACAACATGGGTGCCAAAGACGTTCTGTCTCGAAAGGAAGGCGTCATTGTTGGCGATGATGTCCTGGCTCTGTTCAAGTATGCTCAGGAGCACAACTTCGCCATTCCAGCAATTGTATGACCGTCTACCCGATCTTGTCCCGCTCGACTGCTGACCGTACCCGTTCAGAACGTGACCTCTTCCTCAACCGTCGTGGCTGCCCTTGAGGCGGCTCGAGACAATAGCTCCCCGATTATTCTTCAGACATCCCAAGGTGGTGCTGCTTATTTTGCAGGCAAGGTGCGCAAAGAACCTTCGGTTTATGTCGCCACCATAATCCTGACTTCAATTCCAGGGTGTCAAGAATGACCAGCAGCAAGCGTCCATTGGTGGAGCCGTTGCAGCCGCCCACTACATTCGATCGGTAGCTCCTCTGTACGGCGTCCCGGTGGTCTTGCACACCGACCACTGCGCCAAGAAACTCTTGCCCTGGCTCGACGGAATGCTGGACGCCGACGAGGCCTACTTCAAGGAGCACGGCGAGCCTTTGTTCTCCTCTCACATGATCGATCTGTCTGAGGAGGCTGTGGACTGGAACATTGAGACGACCGCCAAATACCTTAAGCGGGTGGCACCTATGAAGCAATGGCTCGAAATGGTACTTTTCAAGAGAAGCCTTTGGCACAGGAATTTGCGCTTACAATTGTACAGGAAATCGGCATCACCGGTGGTGAGGAGGATGGTGTCAACAACGAATCGGTCGACAACAACTCGCTCTACACCCAACCCGAGGATATTCACAACATCTACACCACCCTGAAGAAGATCTCGCCCTATTTCTCGATCGCCGCCGGTTTCGGCAACGTTCACGGTGTCTACAAGCCCGGAAACGTCCGTCTTCACCCGGAATTACTCGACAAGCACCAAAAACACGTCCAGCAGAAGGAAAAGACCGAGACTGACAAGCCAGTCTTCCTTGTTTTCCACGGCGGTTCCGGCTCCTCGAAGAAGGAGTACACGGATGCCATTGGCTACGGTGTGGTCAAGGTCAACCTTGATACCGACTTGCAATGGGCCTACCTGACTGGTATTCGCGACTACATCTTCAAGAAGGCCGATTACCTCAAGACTCAAGTCGGCAACCCCGAAGGCGAGGACAAACCCAACAAGAAATATTTCGACCCTCGTGTTTGGGTGCGTGAGGGAGAGAAGACGATGGCCGCCCGTGTGTCTGAGGCACTGAAAGACTTCAACGCGGCTAACCAGCTGTAAATGTGATGGCTGAATGAAAGGACCAGAAATGTCCGCAAGATGGCTGGCACATGTTTGCCACACCTGGTACTCCTTTTCCTTTTGATCAGGCTGACTTGAATGTACTCCCATTCTTGGCCCAGGAGCACAAGTGCCCACCCCTCCCCTAGCTAGACGATGAGAGTGGTAGTAAAGGAACATGAATAGCTTTGGCCGCTAATGATATGTCCACATGGGTTCTCCCTCAATATTACCTTTCCTTCCGAGGAGCACCTTGCAGGGTGAGATGGTAACACAGCTAGGTAGGCTTGGATCATGGAGACCTGAAAGCACCCTTGCAAGTGGTAGATAGCAGATCAGATCCCATATCCGCGAAACCTCCCTCGACGGCAGCCTTGTATACTCGATCTCCAACCTAGGAAACTACGTACTAGTATCTGTGGTAGTTAGTTGATTGCGTATCTGTGTGTGGCTGTGCAGTTCCCAAGAGGCTGAGGCGATATCGCAGTGACGTGCAGTCTATCTGTAACGACGGACGCGGGATAGTGTACTACATACTAGTAGTACGTACTAGGACTGTATACGTCACGTACTAGTACTATAGTAGTAAATCAATCATACTCTCTGTACACCGGTTTTGTCCCCGCCACAAAGGCATCACAATCAATGCCATTCACTCACTCACTCATTCATGCATACTCATTCATTCCTCACCATCCAAGACTGCACCAAAACCCACACGAGACGATTGACCGCAGTTAAATTATTCGGCGGGCAATTTCCCCGGGCGCAACGATTGTTATTTGTACGCAGCCAGGGTTGACCGCACTTCTATTGAATCACTGGACGCTTCCCTCTCGTGTCCAGCTTCGCTCACTCAGATATTCACAAAGACATTGTCCTTGTTCGCCAGTGGTGTTGCCTGACCCCACGCCGACTTGGTTTACCACCTTCAAGACAAGCCAGATATCTGCGCTTCGTGCTAGATAGCACCCTTGCACTCAGATCGCACTCGATCCCAGGCGCGCACACTTGTCAATATGCCTGAGACAGAGGGTGAAGCTGTGCCAGCCCAAGCCAAAGGGTCATGGTCGTCATTTCTCAAAGTGAGTGTCCATCGGCGCGACTGTTCACATTGCCCCACTAACATGTCAGTCCATCGCATCTTTTAACGGAGACTTATCCTCGTTGACCGCGCCGGCCTTTATCCTGTCGACGCAGTCCCTCGTTGAATTTTCCGCGTACTGGGCCGAGAACACTGGCCTGTTCATTGCCCCGACACAAGAGAAGGATCCAGGCAAGCGCGCGCTCTTGGTACTGAGATGGCTGCTCAATACGCTCAAGCAGCAATACTACTCGCGCTCCGAGAAACTGGGGTCCGAGAAGAAACCTCTCAACCCGTTCCTCGGGGAACTGTTCTTGGGTCAATGGGAAGATGAATATGGCGTGACCCGTCTTGTCTCGGAGCAAGTCAGCCACCACCCTCCTGTGACGGCATACTGCATCACCAACGACAAGTACCGCATCCAACTCCAAGGATACAACGGTCAAAAGGCGAGCTTCAGCAGGACGATCAATGTCAAGCAAATCGGACATGCGCTCTTGACCCTTTACCCGCCTGGAAGCGAGCAGAAAGAGACATACCTGGTGACTCTACCGCCGCTACACATTGAAAGTCTCATCTACGGTGCACCATTTGTCGAACTCGGCAAGTTCATCCACATTGTCTCCAACAGCGGGTACATCGCCAAGATTGATTTCTCCGGCAGAGGATGGGTGTCTGGCAAAAAGAACAGTTTCAGCGCGGCGTTGTGGAAACACGGAGAAGGGTCCGAGAAAAATCCCATCTACTCAGCGGAGGGTCAGTGGTCTGACGCTTTCGTCTTGAAGGAGGGTGACGGGAAGAGAGCAAAGGTGATTGACACGGTCAAGCCCAGCGAGGTCGCATTATCCAAGCTGAACGTCGCCCCGGTCGAAGAGCAAGATGTGTTTGAAAGCAGGCGAGCCTGGCGCAACGTGGCGCGCAGCATCGAAAAGGGTGACATGGACGCCGCGGCGCACTTCAAGTCGCGGATCGAAAACGCTCAACGAGCCCTGCGCAAAAAGGAACAGGAAGAAAACCGCGAGTGGAGGCGGGCCTTCTTCTCCCAGGCCAGCGCGGACGATGAAGCTGAGAAAGTCTTTCAACACTTGGCCAAGGTCGCCACCAGCTTGGGCACTTACAGCTGGGACGGCATCGCTCCTGACAAGACCGCCGGCGTCTGGAGATTCGACGAGAAGAAGGCGGCCCAAGCCAAGAAGCCGTTCCACGAGGAGGGACTGTTGGCCTTGGGGGAGAATCCAGACGGCACCTCGGCGCCTATCAGTCGAGTCACGACCAACCAGAGTGGAACCGTGGGTCAGGTAGCTAGCTGAACGAGCAGCTCGGGGGCGTGTAGTCAAGGACGCGGTTGAGGTCGAGGTCGAGGTCGAGATCGACTACGACAGATCCCAGGCTTCAAGTTTAAAGATGATTCGGAAGTGTATTACTAGTATTAGCTTTCAGCATTGCAAGCAACACTGCATTGCGGCGGGGAAACAGCACACTGGGCATTCATTGAGCCCTGTCAATGGCATATTCTGAACTCATGCGCGTATTTCTAGGTGATGAATCTGACCCGGGCTGTCCCTGTCCCTTCTTGTCTTGAACATTTCTCGTCGGGTAGTATGGTATCTACTCAATATCAGGGGTTGAGGTCAAGGGGATGACTGTCGTCCGCCGGCCCTCCACTGCAGTGTGAGCTACTGATGGAACGATCAACGGCAGAGCTGACGAACTGGATTACAAGATCGTATCCGGTTCACGGCAAGACCACAATCCGTGCTACAGTGTATGCTGTATCAGCTGATTCAATTGACCGCGTGAATGGGGTTCTGTTATTCAATATATTCAATATAAGATTTGGCCATACTGCCAATGTAGACACTATATATGTGTAGTTCGTCAGATGAAGAATTCCACAGCTTCGATGATGATGATATTGGATAACGGAGAGACGGGATGTAAGGTGACAGACGCAGCCACTCATTCATGAGCATTCTCTTCATCCTTCTCAATGTATCCGGCGTGAGATGCCAGTATGAAGGTACTTTAGGGGCTTGTTGTTTCCTCATGGTGACAGCTAGTCAGGGGATTTGATCTATCGCCTGACGTGCATGCTCCAAACACCACCCCCATCCGGTGGGTGAAATGGGATCATTGACCAGTTCTTTGCAGCATGGCAGGTGGTACAACGGAACAAGTCCTTAGATGCCAATGTTCGCCGATCGCTGGCTGTCGTGGCAGTGCAAGGTGGCATTGAAGCCGCGCGGCACAAGACGCTTCCATCACTGCTTTTGACCGATTCACCCGTAGACCTTCGCTCATATTGTCAAAGTACTGCATATCCGGCGAGCAGTAGCACGATCCCAGCACCTTTGATCGTCTGAACGGTAACCTTGAACCCTATGGTAGTCACCCGATGCGAGGAGCTCGAAATGCCCTTGCCCGATGCACCTGTACGTCGATAGATCAGCGAGCGAACGGTGTCAAGACGTTTAAATGTGCCTGGAAGGCGGTGAGTTCGTTCACTTGGTTTCGATAAGTTGGCGATACTGATTCGACATTCGCGTTCACACTCGTGCCTGGATGGTTCGTTGCAGGTTGTGGCTGGATATTCGCTTCCTTTGAAGTCTTCCACTGCATGTTCACACCAGGGCCAGTGCAGGCATATACCGAGTCTCTTTCCGAGTCGAGGCTTCCTTTCGTGCGAGTCTCAGTCTTTCAACCGTGTTGGATTGTGCCTTCGAGGACACTATGTCCGGGTAATTGAGTTCTGCAAAGTCCAAGAAATCTCGTGCTTCGGTCGGTCGGTTCTGCTCCAATGACAACTGCGCCGCGTCCAGCATGGCCACAAGTAGAGCTCTCTGAACTGGTTTGTTCAGCTTCTTCTGCCAATGCGAGAAGCGTTGTTGGAATGGCACCTCTTTCACTTTGACGGACCAAAGTTGCGCTGATGGAGATGTTGGATGATATATGCGCAAGATGGCGTGGTCGAAAGGAGACGAATTGATGGTGAGACCAAATTTCAGCATCGAGTCGAACAGCTCGGGTTCAATCTGATGAGATTTACGCCGCAACAAAATTCCCCGAGCAATGTGCTGCCATGCCCGCTTGAATGGATTGGAGAGCAAACCGGCTTCAGACAATATGGCACGACCGGTGCTGAGTCGGTATTCGCAGGCGTGAACGTATTGTTGTGCTGCTTCGTGAAACAGACCTTTGCGGATCGACTCTTTCATCATCAATGCCACAAGCGTGTCCTCCGCTCGAAGGTAGTCCAAGGCACCGGGCGCCGAGATGTCAGATAGCAGGAAGATAGACCTGTCAAAGGGACGCTCATATAGAGTCCGGAGCCATTCCCACACCTCGACTTCTAACCCATCCGCATACATGACCGGCACAATAGACGCCAGTGAATTCCCATTGACCAAGAATTCTTTCTTGTCGGTGTTTCTCATGGCCGTAAACCAACTCGCCAACCGAGGACCCAGCTTTCCATCATCGGAGACCACCTCTTCCTTCTCCAATCCTTGGAGATACTGGATGGCACACGACTGCACAAGGTGGAAATCAAGCCCTGTCTGGATCAACGCATCATCGAACGCCGAGACTGCTGCAGCCGTGAGACCGCGCGACGGAGCAACCGTTGTCGACTTTCGCCGCAGAAGAGGATGGCTGAGGATGGTATCGAGATGCGAATGCGCCGAATGGGTGACTCTCTGAGCAGGGTCTGGGATTGATCCTTGTTCATTTACCGACTCATCGACACGGAGAGCTTGGGGAGACGGGTGTGACTCATCGAGGTGCTTCTGAAAGGCGGCCTCGAGAACGTTGAGCAGTTGTTTCGACTCTCTGGCGGATGGAGGAGGAAGCGGCGGATGGAGGGCGGCGAGAAGATTGCGCACATAGAGGGAGCGGGTGAGTCTCATTCTGGACCAAACCACCTCGAGCCCACCATCTGTGATGGCAAAATGCAGAACAACTTGAAACCCAGATGAGTACGAGCGGTAGGCAGAATGGCAGTACAAAGCGTGAGGTTCGACAGTGACGGGTGAGACATGTACAGACTCAGAGTATGTGCAACTTGGAATTTGGATGAGAATAAAACCGGCGCGCAACTCACCCCGTTTGGGAAATGTATCATGCCGCCCTATGCTCACCGCAGCCGGTGCAGAGAAGATGATATCTTTTTTCTACGATGTCTACGGCGCGACACAACAATCATGATACGAACAGTAGAGAGTTATTGTTTCAACATTGGATATCCCACAGGAAGACTACCAAGCCCTCTCTTTCCATACCTATCGAAACTGGTCATTTTGCGACCACAGCCCTCTTGGTCAGGACGGCCGAATTCTCATCCAGCCTGCTCCAATCATGAGCGTCAAAACATGCCTGTCGACTCATCTGGACAGCATAGCTTGTCCTATCTCGCATCTCCTGCTCGAACTGATCGATGGCCTCCTGTTGCGGCTGTTGTTTGGTGTAGATTCTCTCGAGAGCATGACAGAGATGGTACGCATCAAGCATGCCATGGTTCGCTGCTTCTCCCCGATACATAGTCATGGCGTGTGCTGCGTCTCCGACCAAGGTGATTCTGCCGCCACGATTGTCCCAGTCCAGACACGGCCAATCCGCAAGTTTGATTTCGAGGACCGCCGCGTCCTCCGGGATGGCGTCCACCGCATCCTTGAGGACGGGTGCCAACACCGTCGCCCTTCGTTTCATGTCTCGAACCACTTCTGGACCCTCTGATTTGACTTCATCTTCGGGACCCCTCACCGGCCAAGAGAGGTTGATTTGGACGCGATATCTCTCCTTCCCCGTTCCCGCTGTGCCGTTGATCTCGGGAACTTCGAGCATGGAAACCCACATGAAACACCCAGTCTCTGGATGACAGCCTTGGAAAAGGAGGGGATCCAGCTTCCGTAAGGGCGCGACCTGTTCTTTGGTCATGTCGACACTCGATCCAACGAAGCGGATGGGAAGCTGGCGGTTGCGGTAATCCCCAGGAGACAGAAACTTCCGGACTGTAGAGTTGCTGCCCTCGGCACCCACCAGGATAGCTCCAGAAACAGACGTCCCATCGTGAAAGTGCGCTCTCACGCCGTCACCGTCCTCACCAACCTCTACCCTGGTCAATTTCTTGGACCATCGAACGTGATCTTCGACATCTTTCAATAGAACAGCGCGCAACTTTTCCCGATTCACCCGTCGCCGTTCTGAGGGAGGAATGCGATATTTGGTTTCGCAGGTCGCGAGATTGAGAAAAAGGAAATTGCCAGTGTCATTTCGGCCTATGGCCGGGTCGACTTGTACACCATCGACAGCCTCCAGGACTTCGGGTTCGAGCATCTGCTTGAGATACGGCAGCGCCCAATGGATCGTAATGGCCCAGCCTTGTCCGCGAGCGGTTGCACTTTCGTCACGCTCAAATATTTGGAAAGGGACGCCAGCCTGAAGATGGTCAATGTCAACAAGTGCCCGACCGGTCCCTTCAGGCATGCCTATCTCACCTTCTTGAGACCGTGTGCTAAGATCAATCCCACCACACCGGCACCGATGATAATCACATCTTGTTGAGTCGAGTCGACCATAATTGCCAGTTAAAGACCGTGGGTACACTTGCAATGGGCTCGTTGCAAACTCAAGGCGCGGTACAGAGTACTAGATGTGTTCGTGCTTCGCCTACAGGTAGTTCAACGGCGGGCTGATCTGCTCTGCTGTGAAGAGCAGCGTGGTCTGCAGATGTACTGGTGTCCTGATCTCCTGGTATCCTGGTGTGCCCCATCGTCATGACACGGCCAGCATTTGCCCCGAAACATTTATTGATAAGGGCTGCCACTGCAATGTGGAAACTTGAACCACTATTGTTGTGCCGTACCAGTACCAGCACCGAACTTCCCACGGCTTCGAGTTGTGCGCAGGCTGGCGGAGATTGACGGCTGCGACGGCGAGCCTAGGCCTAAGGGGTCTCTAATCCCCAGCCCCTCGGCCCCTTCAGCTCTTCAGCCACTCAGCTACTCAGCCACTCAGCCACCCACGGCACTACTGCATCCGTCGGAAAATCCACCTGCGATGGGGTCTGCTTTCTTGCATCCCACCAACCTCAACATCCGGTGCTCAACGAGACATTATACGTATCGCCATTTGACTCTTGACAATCTTGTCGCGTGTCCGGCAGTTTGTGCAGTGATCATTGCCCCTCGGCCACTCTATGGAAAATGACTCCTTATCCGTGTTTTGGAGCGGCCGCCGAAATGTGTAATTGTCACTAATAAGGCACATTCTTGCTTGCAGATATCGAGAGCAGCAACCGTCTCTTTCCACACATCTCACAACATCTCACAACACCTCACACCGACTTCGCCGGACAGCTCGCAGTGTGCCTCTCGTTGACAATGCCGTCTGCAACCCCCGCGCCCAATGGCCAGCATGAGGCTATCAACCCTATCCATCCTTCGATGCTCGACCGTCTTGACCCAACCTTCATCGATCTCTACAACAAGCATGTCGCCAACTCTCCCAACCAGGCCATCGACCTAGCCTTCCTGCGGACCAAGTACTCGGTCCTCTATTCCTATGGCACAGGCCCAGCTCCAGACGTCGGACGGATTTATGATTCCACCATTCCAGTCGAGGGGGGGGAAGTGGATGTTCGAGTGTACGAGCCTTCCTCCAGTGGCCCATGGCCAGTCCATATTGATTTCCATGGTGGAGGCTGGGGATTGGGAGACCTGGACACCGAGGCGCACATTTGCAAGCACATCTGCCACAAAGCCAACGTTGCTGTGATTGATGTAGCCTATAGGCTGGTGCCCGAGCATGTCTTCCCCACGGGAATCGAAGACTCCTTTGCGGCCATCAAGTATATCTACGAGCACCCCGAGGTCTTCAACGTCACAAAGAGCCTGTCCGTGGGGGGAGTTTCGGCCGGGGGAAACATAGCTTTGGTGTGCGCGCACTGGGCGCGAGACGCCAACATCCCCCTGCAATTGGTCGCCGCCGGTACCCCGACCATTGACGACCTGGCCAAGTACTCGTCGGCCTCGGAATCACCGTTCCCATCGATGCAAGAAAATGAGTTTGCCCCGACCTTGAATTGGGCCAGACTAGCCTTCTTCGACCGGCTCAAATGGGGTTCTCTATCCACCGATCCGGCCATTGAAGCGCAGCAACGAAAACGGATCGGCTGGGTGAAGAACTTGCTTGATGCTCCCAATTTCAAGGACTTGCCCCGGACGCTGATATATACTGCAGGTGCCGATCCTCTCCGGGATGAAGGCGAAGCGTACGGCCGGAAGCTCGTCGAGAACGGTGCCGAAGTCGTGTTCAAACGCTTCCCGGGCGTCCCACATCCGTTCATGCACATGGACGGCGCGCTGTGGCAGGCTTCTCAATTCATCGACATGACGTGTAAGGAGATTCGGTTCGCTCACGAGGATAGATGATAGCCAGTTCAGCGGTTTGGTACTGATTTAGACGCATGTATAGACCTAAGGCAGTGACGTCCTTTTGCTAAGTACGAATATACTACGTAGTGAGGTAAATAGAAATGACGTGACTTCAATAATAGGATCTTTTGTATAGACGTGCAAGTTGTCTTGCCCCCGGGGCATGCCTTCCATGCCTAAACCGGTAAGCCCTTAGGTAAGGGCTTAGGAGACCTAGATCGCTTATCAGTGCTACTATAGGAGGTCTATGGAGGTCTAGCCCTTTCAAGTTAAGCCTTTCCCACAATTTTAATGTCGATTGGTGCAGTGGCATACAATGCCGTCTGTCAGCAACGATAAGGAGTCTGTGTCCGTCCAGTCCGGTTGCATCGATAAGATGAGCGCTCAGAGCTCGGGAGCGCAGGGAAGCCTCGACGGTATTAGTACATAGGTAGTTATCATGACGGCAACTACCTACCTCGCTACCTACTACCTCGCTGCCTACCTCGCTGCCTACCTCACGCTACCTACTACCACACCACCTACCACGCTACCTACCTAACTTGTCCCTCACACCTTGCGTCCCCTCATCAGACCATCTGTATTATGTCTGGCTGTTGAAGTTGGCTTGGATAATTTGATCATTGCGAACCCCCTCAGTCTCATGTCTGACCAGGAAGAACATCCTAAGCCTGTTAGGCGTGTTGTCTGCAGTCGCTGTGCCCAGATCAAGCAAGCTTGCGACGGAGGAAGGCCTTGCTCACGGTGTCGGCGGCTGGACGTGATATGCGAGCCCAACCTGAACCGCTCCAGAGGCACCCCAGAGGTCAGCCGTCCCTCAGCCCCGATCAGAATCACCAGGGCCCATACTGGCTGTGCGACGTGCAAGAAAAGAAAACGAAAATGTGACGAAGCCCGGCCTAGATGCTCTGATTGCAGAAGGCTGTGTCTCGATTGCCACTATCCCAGCTCGTCTGCTCGAGCTCATCGAACCTCGGTTTCTCCCCAAGTGGCTCCAAGTCGGGTTTCCTCCTCCGTGGAACCGACGGTCGAGCTACCAGGCATCGACCAAGCCGATTTCGCCATCGGGCTGAAGGGGTCGGATGAGATGTCTCCCTCGAGCAGTTTGGGCGAGCCTTCCGGAACCGGGCTGGCAGCACCCTCGCCGTCTCAGATCGCGACATATGCGTCAGATGTGGAGAGCATCCCGTCTCCGGGATCGAACCTGTCGAACCTGTCTTTGGCAATGCTTTCGACCGCACCGATGGTTGACGCCGATGAAGACCGGTCCTTGCTCAACCATTACATGAGAGTGGTGGCGGGGGTTCTCTCGCGCCGCGATGACCGTCGCTCGAACCCCTACCTTTCCAAAGTGCTTCCAATGGCACTCGCCGATCAATTGGTGATGGATGCCGTGTTGGCATTGTCGGCGAGTCACTGGAAGAAGACACAACCTGCTGTCTGGAAACGAGGTACCATCCATCAGACCAACGGTATGTCATCCCCCCACGCTGCTCTCGCTTTCGGTCGCGGTGCAACTGACGCGTGCGGCTTCAGCATTGCAATCCCTCGCAAAGCTTCTCCCCCACATCGAGAACGATTCTGCCGATACCGCTCTGGCGGCGACTCTTTTGCTTGCCATGATCGAGCTTTTCGACGGAACGTCGTCGTACTGGAAAGTCCACCTAGATGGGGCCCGTCGGCTGCTATCGGCGTTTGAACGAAAATCCGAGTGGACGCAACGGACAGAGTACCGGACGTTCTATCGTCAGCTATATCACTACCTGGACTCGGCAACCACGATATCGACCTGCCATCCTCCGTTGCTACAGGCGTCCTCCGAGGATGAACGTTCCGCCTCCCCCGGCTACAGTATGGACGATGAGGAGTGTTTATACGGGATTCCCAAATCCCTCTTTCATTTTGTCGACCAGCTGAACGGCCTTGCATACCAACGAAAATTCCGGAAGGATCCCGTCTTCGAAAGCATGTTTCGTACGTCCGCGGCAAGCCTCCACAAAGATCTGGATCAATGGGCCGAAGATCACAAGCTTCGAGAGCCGCTAAACGGGTCGCACGACGCCTCCCAAGAGATGGCTGCTTGTCATGTCACTGCCGCCTTTGAACAGGCACTCCAGCTCCGACTACATCAGATTGTGAATGGGTATTCCTTGCGTCACAAAAAGGTCAAACAGTGTGTCAGCAACATCCTGGACGCCGTACAGGAATTACGCTACGGGAGCCCTTGGGAGAACAGCTTGATCTTCCCACTGGTCATGGCCGGCAGCAGCTGTGACACCGACCATGAAAGGTTGATCATTGACGATCGGTTCCTTGTGATGGAGAGGACGCTTGGATTTCGGTACATCTACACCGCCCACGACCTAGTGCGGCGAGTCTGGAAAGAGCGGCAAATTTATCAGGGCACCGACCGAGATGTCAATTGGGCGGCGATACGATACTTTCAGATCCCAGGTCTCGCGCTTGTTTAGACAGATAGGTATTGCGCTACATTTCATGATAGATCCCTCCCAAGCTCCCCCACACAGATCGAAAGAATCGACTGTCGCATTACCAAACTATTCTATGCCCATGATTGACGACGCCATTGTCGCTATGGCAAACGTCATGTTTGACTTGCGAGTTGTGCAACATGCTCGTGCATGTTATATCCACAAATCTCTTCAATCGTCAGTTTGCCCGGTCGGTCTGTCGAGCTGCTCCACCCGATTCTCTCGCTCAGGTCCGTCCTGGCGCGAGCGCTGGCCGATTGCACCCGTGTCGCTCGGTCTTTGCGTGTCAATTCGTACAACTTGAGCTTCTCCGACACGCTGAGGTGGCCATATTTGGGACTGAAAGCGATGCCCAACGCACCGGCATCCTCAATGGCCATGCAGGCACCCTGGGACTGGTCAGGGACCATGGGGTGAGCGGCATCGCCGAGGAGCGCCACGCGGCCTTTGACCCAGTAAGGATATGGGTCATGGTTGTAGAGTCGCCACATCTTGATGTCTTCGGCATTCATGAAGAGAGTGAGGATCTTGGGGTCCAGGCCGGGGAATGTCTGGACCAGGTTTTCGGGAGTGGTGGAAATATTCCAGCCGTCTTCGCGCAGCCCATTGAGCTCGGCGGGATAGAAACAGTAGCACGACACCACGTTGTTGTCCGAGCATGCCGACAGCACAATCTTACGTATGCCATAGCCACCCCAGAATTCGATGGCGTTGTTGTTCAGAAATTCCTCCAAGCCAAGCTCACGAAGTTTGTCGGCCGATATGATACAACGGTAGCAGCAGGACGTCGAAGGGACGAAGTTGGGGGTGATTCCAATCTGCTGGCGGGAACCTGACCGGATCCCGTCAGCGGCAATGATGACATCGGCGGTGGCCTTGTTCCCATTCTCGAAGGTGATGACGCCGGCTTCGGGATCGATCGCGGTGGCTTTGTGCCACACCTCCAGCTTGCACGGGGTCCCTTTCCCGGCCTCTTGCACGGCGGTCTCCTTGAGGACGTTGTGGATGTCGATTCGATGGAAGTTGTTATAGTCGCTCCCAAACTTGGCGCGGTAGTCGCCCAGATCATATGTGTTGATCACGTCGCCGGTCGCCCAGTCGTGCATGATCAGCGACCTCAGGATGACCGGTTTGGCGGACCGAATGTCGACGTCCCATTCTTGGAGCAACCGGGAGCCATTGGAGGCGACTGAAAGCGAAGCCCCGACCTCTCCACCGAAATCACGGCGCTCGTAGATGGTGACCTTGTGTCCCTGGCGACGAAGGGCGATGGCCGCAGACAAACCTCCCAGCCCGGAGCCGATGATGGCCACGTCGTAGACGGGTGTCTCGTTGGGAAGAACAAGACCAGGCATTTCGGACTGCTGTGCTGGAGTTGACGCCAGTATTTCGCCCATGAACGGACACCGCTGTGCACTCACTCACTGGTCACCGAGATGACGGACGTGATTTGACTCGGAATCGGACTCTTCTGAAAGCGTGCTTTGCTGGTACCGAACTTCTGATAAATGGTCGGTTTGGGTGTGAAGCCTTCCCTTTTGGTCTCTTCCAGGTTGGCGGGGACGTATACTTATTTTGCTGGGGTCGCGAGCGATGTCTGCCAGGATGACCGTCAAATTTGGTCCTCGATCTACTGGGTACTAACTAGGTAGAGGCATCAGCGATGAGGCCGCCGACATGGCCAGTGTCACTGCAGGGTGCATACGGGGCATCCCTCTGGGCGTGGAATGATGGCAGGCGACGGAAGTCCAGGTCCCTCAGCAGTCTCGACTCTGGCTTTCCTTCGTACCGATACGTCGGTGCGACATTTTGCGACGGATGCATTATCTATCGAGGCATTGGGGCCTATCCATCCATCGATCAATCAATGAATAGCATTGGTCAATGCGGCTGATAAGGAAGGCAAGGGGCTTAAGGGCCTAGAGGATGCCAATAAGATGTGCAAATAAACGCTTACTACATGCCCACTATTTTACTAAATCTATCCAATAGCAACTGAAGATATCAAACACGTGACTACAGTATAAGGCCGCTTTTATGCCTTAATAACTAGTGGGGCTAGCGACGGCCCGAACTACGCTAGCCCTATCATGGCTAGATCCAGGGTGTTTTTGGTGAAAATGTCCAGGTCCAGGGAGTAGTATACCTCTGTAGTAGTGAGTCTCCTGTCAACATCATGTTTGTATACTAATAAAGCCAAGGCTTCAGCCTCGTAAGGTTCGAGCTGAGGAGCCTCCACGCCTCAGACTCGGTACCAAAGGAGATGGCCGTCATCTCACGCGCGTGGTTCTGAGATGACCGCCATGGCATCTGTTTTGACGCCGAGCCTTAGCCCCCCACAACCATCAAGTGTCTTGTGAGAGCGCTCGCCTAGACACAGCTTGGCTCTCTCATCCAAGTGATTGTGGCTTCGATGTTGTCTCGACATGGCGTCGATTTATAGGGGTGGCCACGCCTCCTTCAGACATGGAGAGTAGAAGATGATACGACATCATCTGCGTGTCAAGAAGTACCTTCATCTTCAGCCTCCTCGATCCGGCCGACGAGACCGTAACTGGACAGCTCAGCATCTATGGACTCTTCCAAAGACATGAAGATCAGTGCCGATATCGAGATGGCCTCTCCCAAGGACCTCGAACATGTTGCAAGCAAGACCATGGGTGATGTCATTGCCATTGATGGCCAGGACTCTACTCTCCTCCGCAAGATCGACTGGAGGATCGTTCCCATCATGTTCGCCTGCTATTTCCTGCAATTCCTCGACAAAGTCGTCATCAACTATGCCAACGTCATGGGCCTTGCTCAAGACCTGAACTTGCGGGGCAACGACTTCTCTTGGATGGCGACGGCCTTTTTCATCGGCTCTGCCATCGCCGAATTTCCCCAAGGGTACCTTTTGCAAAAGTTCCCGTTGGCCAAAGTCTTGGGGTGCAACGTCATGTGCTGGGGGATCTGCCTCTGTTGCTCGGCCGCGGCGCAAAACTTCGCCGGTATCGTTGCCCTCCGCACTCTCCTGGGCTGTTTCGAGTCGGTCATCAGTCCCGCCCTGGTCATGTCCACGTCGCAGTGGTACACCAAACGTGAGGCTGGACCGAGGTACGGCTTCTGGTACTGTGGTCTCGGGGCCGGCCAGATTCTGGGCGGGTTGATCTCGTTCGCGGCCCAGCACGGGGCCAGAAATGCGTCCTTTAGCGGATGGAGAATCATGATGGTCGCCGTGGGCGCGTTCAACATCTGCATCGCCGTCATCGTGCTCGTGTTTCTGCCGGACAGCGTGGATGGCGCTCGCTTCCTCAGTGAGGACGAAAAGGCTGCCATCCGTCGCAAATTGATCCTGGACCAAGGCGGCAACGGGGCCAAAGTCTTCCGGCCGGCCTCGCTCGGCGAAATCTTCCTCGACCTGCAGGTCTGGCTGCTGCTGCTGCTGACCATTCTCACCGTCATTCCCAGCGGCGTCATCACGACCTTCTCGGCCACGCTCATCCGTGGCTTCGGCTACGACTCGAAGCAAGCTGCGCTGTTGAACATGCCGTCGGGCGTCGTGAGCATTGTCTCGACGTTGATGGGTACCCTGGCCATCCTCCGCGGCTTCCCGCGCTGGCTAGGCATCGTGGTGCTGCTCGTGCCGACCGTGATCGGAGCGGGACTGATGTCGTTCATCGCCCAGGACAACCAGCCGGGCAAGCTGGCCGGCATCTATCTCATCAACTTCATCGTGGCTCCGCTGGCCATCATCTACTCTTGGGTCGGGGCCAATACGGCCGGCTATACCAAGCGGGTCGCCGCCAACGCTGTGGTGGCGATCGGCTTCGCCATTGCCAACATCATCGGGCCCCAGACGTTCCAGGCTCAGGATGCACCCGACTATCTTCCCGCCAAAATCACCATCTTCGCCGTCGCCGGCGCTGCCATGCTCGTCTCGGTCCTCCTCCGCTTGCTGTATGGATTCCGGAATAGGAGCAACGTGAGAATCCGCCAGGTTCAATTGGCCGAGTTCGCGGCGTCGGGGCTGGCGGTGGAAGAGACGGACGCTATGCAGGATCTGACCGATCGCCAGAATCCTGCGTTCGTCTATGTTTACTAAAGCCTCGTTGCAAAAGGGAGAGGGCGATGTCGTCGGCCCCTGGTCGTAGGAGTGGGAGTGGGAATGGGAGTGGGAGATTCAGGGTTGGATCACATTGAATGAACATGATTTGCTTCCTCTCTTTTCCCCAATCCCTTTCCCCCGATAGACAGGCGTTGTAAAGGTCGGTCGGCCGAGTAAGGGAGGCTGAATGACCGCTTGTTCGGGATGTACGTATCGTGTATCTTCAGACGGTCTGCCATAAGGAACTTACAGCTGCCCTCCTTACCTCTACCCCTACCCCTACCCCTAGGCTTCAGATTCTTCGGCCGGAATGATTCTGGTCTGGTCTGCCCCTCGACTAGCCAGAAGCAAAGAGGCTCCGAAGCTTCAGACACATCCTGGATAATCATGCCTGTTTCTGTTCCTGTGTCTCCTCTTCACGGCGCAGACGGCAGATCTGCCTTTCTTAGCAGTGCTTTGATGCCTCGGTTAGATCCGCCCACCTCCTTCAGGGCCCGTGGTGATGATAGTGGTAGTGGTAGTGGTAGTGGTGGCAAGACTGGCTTGTTGGCCCTGATCCAACTTCCGACGGCGGCATGAGGTACGGAGCCAAGTCTAGCCCACACACACTGCAGTCTGGACTCCTCATTAGTACTAGACCCACACCACGACATGGCACTTCCTCTCCAGTTCCGCAGCAACAACACCCGTCGCATCCATGATTTGATGAAATGTGAGAGATACCATACGGGTGTTGGTCCATCCGGTCAGTCAGAGAAAATAGCTAGCTAACTAGCTACCTGAGGTTTCTATGCAGAAACTAGTAGGTCGATGCGGCGGAATCAATTGAGGGTGGCAAGGGATATGTCCATGACCGGCGGCGCTGTTGCTATAGTTAATTGTTATCGTTATCGTTATCGCTATCGTTTTTGCCTTTGACCCGCATCATGAGAATGATACGGCCATCCACAGGTAGGAGAATCGAGAGAAAAGCGTGCCAGCGGTCGACGCCGCCTCAATGCCAGGACTCGGATGGGATCGTGGGGGAGTCTAACGTGATCCAAGTTGTCAGTGCACACCTTGGACGACGGGCTGACTGACCTACCTGACTGACTAACCAAATGTCTATGGGACCCTAAGTGCTCTCCGAGTCCTCGACCGCCGAGAAGTTTGGAGTACATACCTATACCTACCTACCTACCTACCTACCTACCTACCTACTTGGTACCTATCTTAGGTAGAAGACTTTTCTCCCGCCCCAATACTGTCTGCTTCGGAGCCTTCCCTCGCAGCCGGAAGTTCAGCTCCAGCTCGGCGAGGAGCCTTGTCAGATAACAGTACCTCTTCTCTCCCTCCCCCTTCCCCTTCCCCTCCTTTCCCTTCCCGCTCGGTTGTCTACTAGTATCGAGATACCCTCTTCTTTCGAGCCGTACCCTGGAGGAAAGCAGACGTTCACCATGCCACACGCCGAACCCTCCTCCATCGAGCCACCCTCGCTCATCATTGTGACCGGGGCGAATGGCTTCATCGCGTCGCACACGATCCAGCAGCTCCTGCGCGCGGGATATCGCGTCGTCGGGACGGTACGCAGCGCAAGCAAAGCGGACGTCGTCCAGAAGACACACGCGCAACTGTCGCCCAAGGCAGCGCACCTGCTGTCCACCGCCGTCGTCCCCGATATCGCCGACCCAGACGCATATATCGACCTGTTCAAGTCCACGTCGCCCGCCGCCGTCATCCATTTGGCCAGCCCCTTCTCCTACAGTGTCACCGACTTCGAACGCGACATGCTCCAACCGGCCGTCAAGGGCACGGAGGCGGTCCTGAGAGCGGCCGCTGCGACCCCGTCAGTGCGTCGAGTCGTCCACACAAACAGCTTTGCATGTGTCTACGACGCCAGCCTCGGGCCACGACCGGGATACACATACACGGCCAAGGATTGGACTCCGTTGACTTACGAGGACGGCATCTCGGCCCCGAATGCGCCCGTCGCTTACCGCGCGAGCAAAGCCGTGGCCGAGCAGACGGCATGGTCGTTTCTCAAGACCCACCAATGCGACTTCGATCTCGCCAGCCTGTGTCCGGCCATGGTGTTCGGCCCTTTTCTCGACACCGAGTACTCGTTCCCTTCCAGCCTGGCGGAGTTGAACACGTCCAACAGATTGGTCTGGGACGTGGTGTCGGCCGGGGAGCAGGGGACTGTCCCGCCGACCAAGGGCCCCGTGTGGATCGACGTGCGGGATGTGGCGGAAGCACATGTGCAAGCGCTGGTCATGCCTTCTCTGGGTGGGCAACGGTTGTTGCTCGCGAAAGGCATCTACTGCAGTCAGGAGATTGCAGACGTGGCGCGGGCCGTGGTCCCGAAACACAGAGATAGGATCCCCGTGGGCACGCCCGGTCAGAGAGAGGCCGGCTCTCATTTCGCCATCGACGCAACTCAGGAAGAATCCATGTTGGGCCAGCAGGGGAAATGGAGGCGCTTGGAAGAGACTCTGGCGGACCTGGTGCCACAGCTGTACAGGGTCGAGGAGAAGGGGCAGGCGGCCTCATGACGGTTTGGTCAGCTGGAGAAGAAGGGGAAAAGAAAAGACCAACATAAGACAGCAAAGTTGTGAGCCTTCCCCCTTGGAAAGCAGAGGTGAAGTGGTTGAAAGGGACAACACGAATGTACCCCACCATGTCAATAGCGTCCGACGGGGCGGATTCCTGTCATGGACTGTGATGGACTTGTTTCGAGCGCGCGGTGAAAGAGCCCCCCGACGAATCCATGCAAAGCAGTGTACCTGTGACTCTCGGTTTCGGGAGAAGAGACGAAGCTGGCATCCATCGTACACCACCATTGCATACGTTGACGGTGGGCGAGTTCTGCCTGTCCTGTATGCATGACCATTTTCGCCCCGCGGTCGCATGCCAGAACTTGAAGGACACTCAAACAATCGAATCCTCAATTTTCTCCATATCTTTCTTCCATTGCTTTTCCCGAATTGTTAACGGCTTATCACAGCTCGATTTTGGCCGCTAATCATTCGCTGTGATATTCCGCTTATTGCTCGTGGTGCGCCCTCGAATAGTACTTCTATACCCTTTAGAGACTTCGATAATGGCTCCAAGGTGTAGGCTAACTCGGGCCAGAAAAATCACGCCAAACCATCTCGGACACTCACGATCAAGATAGAAAAATTCTTCCAGACATCAGTCATTCACAAAACTTGCCGGTAATCTGTAGACCTGCGCCTGTAAAGACGGCAGGATGCCAAACCGGGCCGCCTAGCCTGCCCGCCAAGCAACCCATCCACGTGCCCACTACCTACTAGTACATCAAGCCAGCTGCTAGCGAGGATAGTTACGTGAATTTATAGCTCAACTCGGCTCACATTTTCATAGTTTTAATGGTCTAAAATATAGTCAAGAAAATCAAGGTTCACCAATGGTGGTGCAGCCCACCAGAATCTAGGACGTTTTGGCCGAGCGGTTAAGGCGACACCCTGCTATTCCTTAGTATAGGTGTTCTCTTCGGAGGCACAGGTTCGAATCCTGTAGACGTCGACTTTTCTTTTTTGATTTTTTGACATTTTTGACTTGGTTTTTTCCGTCGTGGTAAGCCGTTAGTACCCATACCTAGGTAGTTTTCATAAATTATAGGGAGGGTGACAGAATAAAGCCTTGAAAAAGTACATTCTATAGGATCAGGGTGTTCGCTCACCAAACTCGCGCGAGGCCAAAGTAAGCAAGGGCGGCATCAACCTCTTTCCCGATCGGGTGTAGGCCGTGCAGTGCAGTGAGCAGTTGAATCTCACCTTGGCGCATGCATTGTCCCATTTTGGCTTTTGGCCTTTAGCCTTGCGGCCTTGCAAAAGGTCTCGCTCTTCTACAATTCCTCCCATGTCAACATAAACTCCTCATTCTTCTTTACTTTCTTGCCTACAGCTCACCATCTGTCCTTGTTGAAGACCATTCTTCACAGGGAGTCAGCTCCTTTGTGCTAGTTGGAGCTTTAATTTGTCCTCCATTCCTCCCTTCTGCTTCACCTTACCTCACCTTACCTCACACTACCCTACATCTCGCTCCTCGCTCCTCACTCCTGTGACCTCGATCCACGTTCACGTCCTACAAACACAGAGCAATGGCAGAAGTCCAAGCCCGCGGAAGCGGCACGAGAGGCCGAGGTGGCTTCAGAGGTGGCAGAGGCGGTTTTAGAGGAGGTCGCAATCCTAGCAGATCACAACACAAGGCAGACAATGAGCAGGAGAACATTCCCCCCACCTCATTCGAAGATCAGGGCGAAGTCGGCGAATTGAAGAAGAAATTCGGAGACAAAGTCCCATTGCTGAAAGAGATTTGTCCGGGTTGGAGCGATGAAGATCTTGTTTACGCGCTGCAAGAGACTGATGGTGACCTTGACGCTGCTGTGGACCGGATCTCCAGTGGTAAGGAGCTCAAATCCACGATTTACAATTCCATTGCTGACTTTGACTAGGTACTATCTCACAATGGGGCGAAGTCAAGAAGAAACATCCCAAGCCGAAAGAAACCCCTGTCGCGACGACCGACTCGAGCACACGAGGCCGTGGACGCGGTGCCTTTGAAGGTCGAGGAAGAGGGCGCGGCGCAGAGCGCGGCGCTCGAGGCGGCCGTGGTGCAAAATCAGTCGCAGCACACACGAACGGTACCAAGAAGACGGACGAGTGGGACACTGGCGCTTCGGCTCAAGCTGCTGAAGTCGCTGCTACCTGGGACAGTGCTCCGGCCAATGGTGACGCAACGACGGCGAATGAAGACTGGGCGAATGAGCCGGGCAAAGATTCTTTGGCATCTCTACAAACCGAAGAACCCAAGCCTGCGTCTGCAGCGGCGCCGTCTACAGTCAAACCCGGAGGGTGGGCAGGATTGTTTGCCAAACCGGCACCGGCACCGGCACCCAAGAAGGCCCCTGCACCACCACCCCCTACAGCGCAACCAGAGCCAACCCTGAATGAGCCTGAACCTTCTATCCAAGAGTCTGCTCCGACTGAGCCAATCTTGCCTCCACCGATTGAGGCCGCGCCGAGTGAGGGAGGACCAAGTGAGCTGCCTTCTGCACCTCATTCTGAGACAGGAAAAGATCTGACACCGCCCAAAGATGAACTCACCGAGCAGAATCTGGAGAAGTTGCCTGACACATCCCGTCCACCTCCCTCTGCGACTGCTGCTAGTACCGTCGCAAGTACTCAAGATCCGCTCGCCCCTACCGAGTCCGCCAAGCCTTCCATCCGACCAGGTATGTCTGGCTATGCTGCCACCGCCCTGAAGGCCACCTCCGGAACTGGTCGAACTGCCAGCTACGCCAGGAAGGTCATGGAGCAACAAGAGGCAGTCGTCATGCCGGGCCATCATGCAGTTGAGAAGGCGGCTGTTCAATTTGGCAAGTTGGGACTGGGCAGCCCTGATGATATCGACGTGGATGAGGACCGAGAGGAGCCCGAGACACGAACTCAGCTTCCAGATGACTCGCCCGCCGCACCCCGAGCCTCCTTGCCGCCATCTCTCCCCGAACTCCAACAAGGACCAGGTGCTCCGCCGACCCAACCCGCAGCCGATATCCAAGCAGCCTTCGGCCGACAAGCTGCACCAGGTCTCCCTCCTGCACCACAGCACCCGCAAGAGCCATCTCCGCAGTCCGCTTCGGCATACGCCGATCAATATCGTTACGGCCAAGGTCAGAAGCCCTATGATCCTTTCGGCCAACAACCTCCGACCGCACCGCCTCAGACACAGTCTCAAGAACCCTTCTCCAACCAAGTCCCAACTCAGCCTGGTGCAGCTGCCTCGCAAAATGACTATGCCGCCTACTATGGACGTGATGCGTACAACTACTACGGCGCTTACGGTCAAGGACAGGACGCGCAGCGGGTTGGAAGCAGCTTCGGTACTTCGGCTCCTGAAGCACAAGCTCAATATGCCACCTCGCGTCCTCAGCAAGCAATGGGTCAACAGGATGCTCCGGGCAGTGGAAACAACACTCCTGCGCCTGGTGTGCCTGCTCACCACGCTCAACATTCTGGTCATGTGCAACAAAACCAAGGTCCAGGATATCCGGGCTACGGCTATCCCAACGCTTACAGTCAACAATACCCCCAGTACGGCGCATCCTACATGAACCAAGTGAACCAACGCTATGGCACGAGCCGTCCTATGTTTGATGATGTCCGTCGTCAAGACAGCGACTACTACGGCAGCCAATACAACTATGCGCAGAACCACTATGGCAGCGGATACAAATCCAACATGTACGCTCAACCTCAGCAGGGTTACTCTTATGACCAGGCTTCGTCGCCTGCCAATGCCAACACTTTTGGCCGAGAAGCTGGGTATGGACGTAGCGGGTCTGCTCAACCTTCCGAGGCTCAACAGAGTGCGGCGACGAGCACCGGCTTCGGTGGCGTTCCGGACCCTTTCGGCCGGACGTCTTCTGGTTTTGGACAGGCTCAACAGCAAGTTGCTGCTCATTCCGGTGGTGAGGATCCTAGCAAGGCAGCTGGCCCGAGTCCTTCCATGCAAGGTGGTCGGCCTACTTCTGCTGTGAACAGTTTCCCAGGTCAAGGTGTTTTGCCTCCGCCATCCCAGCACTCTGGTCAACAGGCATTCGGCGGGTATCCTCAGTATGCTGCTGGCTTAGGCTCTGTGGGCGGACATCAAAACACTCATCAGCAGAACACTGGGTACGGTGGATATGGATCCAACACTGGGTTTGGCAGTTATGGTGGTTACGGCGGTGGCCGAGGATGGAACAACAGCTATGGCTCCGGCCATTAGAAGCTGGACGTCCCCCTCTAGCCACAATAACCGACTGGTCATATCTCTCCCTGTCCTCTCTTCACAAGGTCTCAGGCTCTCCTTTCTCTCTCTCTCTCTATCTCTCTGGCTTCCAAGCAAATGGCCGAAGCGCGACGAAAATATCAAACGCTTTCAAATACTTTTTGCAAGTCGATTCTGTCTTCCAGGATCGGGGGTTTTCTCGATTTCTGTCTTCTCTAACTTAACTTGTACTTGTACACCACGGCAACGCATATCCAACCAAGATCGGGCATGGCTTTGAGATTGAGTCTGGGTCTGAAGGCGAGGGGGCATTGAGCGAACCCAACCCAACCCAACCCAACGCCAAAAAAAATGTTAGCCATGGGTGGGCCAAAAAGATAAAAAGGAACAAATCAGTCCATGGTATGATGGTATCGGAAGGAAAGGAAAGGGGAAAGAACTGCATGAGTGGTGGCTTAGGCAAGGAGGGAAAAATCAACCTTGCAATGGCACGGCACGGCACAGCACGGCATGGGCGACTGAACTGGACTGGGACTGCTGAACTTGTTTGTATTAGTTGAAGGGAGGAGGTGTGGCTGTGTGCGTCTCTATCTCTGCTCCTTGCTCTTCTTGCGGGCTTTTACCTTTACCTTTAGGTAGACCGAGTACGGAGATCAAGAAATGAAATTGACCCATCCAAATCCATTGAATCTGCGTCGACCACAGACAGACGCAGTTGTTTCATTCTCATTCTCATTCTCATTCTCATTCTCATTCTCATTCTCATTCTCATTCTCATTGTTCATCTCATAACATCGCAGAAAGAGAAGCCGAGGAACCTCAGGGGCTGGCATGGCACAGCCTTGTTTTGTTCCTTCCCCCTTTTCCCTTCTCGCTACGTATCGCATTGTATTGCGTTGCATATAGGTATGTTATATACCTTGTTGGATTTCAGGTTTCACTTATCATATCGACGTTTGGCGATCGTCGGGGTCTGGCAAAACGGCGAGAATACTAGTAGAGAAGGCCAGAGAGAGAAGGGGGAGTTGGGTTCTACGATTCTATGATTCTATGGTACCGACAAAATGATAAGAAATAGCAATCCATCCGATGGGCTGGATTGGTGAATGACTAGAGTCAAAGTCAGTGTGATGAGTTTGTCTACCTATATGTCTATCCCACACACAAAGGCACAGGTCGGTCGTCAGACGCCAAAGCCATGACAGAAATCGTCTCCGGTGGATTTGCCGAAGGTCAAATCACCGGCAATAAAATAGAGACAGAGAGAGAGAGAGAGATATATAGATGGATAGATGGTATGCTGCAAATTGGGAAGCCCGCTCCTACAGCTCGACAGTTCTGCATGTGAAAGGCGCCTTAACATCACCATTGTGACCTCCTCCGGACGAACACACGCTGTCGCATTCCGTCCCAAGCAACATTGAAAAAGGCATCGCACAGCAATTCATGGCTCATCATACATGACAGAGAAAGAGAAAGAGAGGAAAACGCAAGGTAGGGAGGGATGGATCATGGGGAGCCACTCGATGGAACCAAAGCGCTCAAGAATCAACTTGTTCATCCAGACCACAAGTATCTCGTAGACATCAATCATGTTTTGTTTTTCTGACAGAGTAGAACATGTTTCATTATCCTCACCGACCCGTATTGAAGAACCAACTACTTCGTTTGTTGCCGCCTTCGGAACCATTTCCAGCCAGGTTCGAGAGAATGGGTAACGACGGTCCTCCATTGGGACCAGCTCCGTCGACAGGGCCTGTCCCTCCTCCTCCGCGGAGCGGTTTGGCGATTCGGGCCCCGGCGCTCATGAGAGTATTGAAGCCGCCGCCGCCGACCGGACCGCCTGCACCCGCGGACGCCATGTTTCGCGAGGACATCTTGGCCGCTTCGAGTCGCTCTTTGACGGCGGCGAGTTGGGCCTCGAATCTGTAGACAATAGCAAGGTTAGCAATCAATACTTGACTTCTCTCGGTCGACGTTTGGATGGGATAGTCATAGTCATAGTCATACCTGTGGTTCGCAGCCGTCAGTTTCTCCTGGCTGTCACTCAGCAGACTCTCGAGACTGAGGATGCGTTCGTTCCGCGCTATCAGCTTCCGCTCTGCGATGGCGACTTCCTTCTTAAGGCTCGTGTTCTGGTCCACGAGCTGTCTCTGCACGACGGTGAGTTGTTCGAGGTTGCGCTCCAGGAACGCCATCTTCTTCTGTTGCTGTCGGTTGTTGCTCGACCGCAGCACATTGTTGTACTGTTCCCGCGTCTCGTCCAGCGAGATCTCCAGCTCCACCACCCGCTCGCATCGGTTTTGCAGGTCGCGCATCAGATTCTTCTTCATCAGGTCAAAGTCGGCGATTTGCTGCTGGAGAGTCTTTCCCGCGACCCCGTTGACCCCGGCTCCGTTGGCGACTCCTCGCGCTTGTATCTCGCTCATGGCCTGCCGGAGCTTGTCGATCTCTTGGGACTTTTGGGTCAGTTGATCCCTCAAGTCGTGGACAAGCTCGGCCTGAGTCTCCTGCCGATCAGAGTACAATTGCTCCATCCTCGACTTGAGGTCTTCCAGATCCTCGGGGCCGAGGTTGCGAGTCAACAGATCTTCGTACTCTTGTTGTACTGCCGTTAATCTCTCTTCGAGTGCATGGAAACGGCCCTCGTTCTCGGTCTCGGCGCGCTCGTTCAGAGTTTGCTCCGCCTGTCGGACGAGATTCTGAGATTCCAGCAGTTTCGACCTCAGGTCTTCCAGGACTTGCGTGGGCACGCTTTCACCATTCATGCTGGCGGCATGCAACGCTTCTACTTGCTCAAGCATGTCTCGCATGCGAGCCTCATTCTCCGAGAAGGCACTGTCCCCCAGGTCGAAGCCGGCCATCATCTTGGCCATCTTTTCCTTCTTCTTGCGGTCCTTCTCGTCCAATGCCGCCGTTGTCTCCCTGGCACTCATCTTGAGTTCCAGAAGTTGCTGCTTGACCGAGACGAGTTCCGTCTCGAGTTCCGAGTTGGCGTCTTTCAACGCTTCCATAGTGATGTTATCCTCTTTGTTCTGGTACGAGAGCTTCTGCAACTCCAACTGTGTCTTATTGAGTTTGTCGGCCAGCGCTTCATTCTCTTTGGTCGTCCGCATGGCTCCCTCTTTGTATGACTTGAGTTCTTCCCGCGCCTCCTGGAGACTCCGCTCCGCGTTCGCGGCTTGTGTCTCCTTCTCCGTGAGTTGATCTTGTAATTCGTTTTCGCGCCTCAAGAATTCCTCCCGTTCATCCTTATCCAAAATGATGCTGGGCGTGCTGGATCTGTCGCCCATACGCGAATCGGGTCGACTCGACGGTTCTGATCGAAGAAGGTCCGCAGTTGCGCGGGAGGGCGTATCCGGTCTCGCCCTTGCATCCAATCTGGAGCCTGTGCCTCCCAGAGACGGCACCCATTTGTCTTTCGGGACCGTTTCTCCTTTCCTCCAAAGTTGTAACTCCGAGTCCAGCGAAGCAATGTATTTCTCAAATGTAATGGTCTGGTTCTGGGCGATCTTGAGCTGACGCTTGAGTTCCGCGGGACTGAGCTCCGCATTGATTTTGGCCTTGTTTCTGATCGTCTTGGCTCGCATACCGAAACGCAACGTGCTGACCGTCTCCGCATCGTTGTAGCTGCTGGGGGAGCAGTTGATGATCAGCGTCGTCCTCGAGTTACCTCCCAAACTTTCTTGCAGGATTCTCGTCAATTTGGAGTCTCGATAGGGGACGTGGGTGGATTTTCCGTCCGTCAAAGCGTTGATGACCATTCCGAGAGCGCTCAAACTCTTGTTGATCTTCTTTGCCTCTTCGAGCGTCTGTCCGCTGGCTCCCGTCTTGCCCACCTTTTCCGAGCCGGCCAGATCGACCAAATACAACATACCACTTTTTTGGGACCCGGTATTGACGTCTTTCTGATTGATTGTGACCAGGAAGATGGAATGTGACCGCGAGGACTCGAGATTCATGTTCGTCGAAGCCGTGACCCTGGAGCGTTGACCCAGATGCATGGCCGTGTACACTTCGTCCACCGTGTTGACGTATATTTCACGGAGGCCCTTCACGTAGGGACCTCTGGGTCCTTCGTTGATGGGTAGATTGTCCATGACCGGGTTCAGCAGATCCCGTATCCTCTCCATGTAGATTTCCAGATACGAAATGCCCACCGTGTATTCCATCTGAGCGGAGCCGTGGACCAGAATCGAGTCGAAAATCTGTTCGGTGATGCGCGGGATGATACCTTTCTTGTGAGGATCGTCCATGTCTCCCATCATTGTGTAAGACTTTCCCGCACCCGTTTGACCATATGCAAAAACCGTTCCATTATACCCATTCATGACATCTTCGACGGTAGATCTTATGGAGAAATCGAATATATCGGATTGCTGGGAGGACATGTCAAAGACCCGATCGAAGGTAAAGGGGGCAGTTGTTTCCGAAGACTGTACAGGGTGAGTTTCTCATGCGCGGCGTCCGGGCATCGTTCCGGCATACCTGGACCTGGCAGGTGTCTTCACCCATAAACTGGACAATCGGCTGGCCTCCATTGGACACTTCGACTTTGTTCTGTGGTCGGAAACGGGCAACAACTGTGCACAGGTCAGACAGAGCAAAGAAGATAGGTTCACGATGTGGAAAATCACGTACCTTTGATGTTGTTGCCCCCTCCGCTACCCCCCGCGGCGGAACTGGAAAGCATAGTCAGCGTGAGTTCTAGAAGCATGGCATGATGCGACGAACGCCATGTTTATTCTCCGCAAGATCTTATCAGTCAGGCCAGGAGGAAAGCATCAGTTGGGGGAGTGTAGGCCCGGGGGCGCGGAATTGTAAACAGAGAAGGTTTGGATCTCGGTCGCGGTGAAATTGGTGTCTCTAGGAGCGGGAGGGGACGGTGTGGATGTCTCAGTGCGTGGACAAAGTCGGCGACAGCGTGAAAGTGTGTGAGGATTTGGTGGACGCTCACTATCTCGAATGTTGATGGACTCGGTGGTTTATCTCGGAATGAATGAACGAACGAATCCTTGGTGACAGCGTTGGATGACGGGCACGCGCAGTCCAAGGTGCTGGCTCGTGCTTGGGGTTGTTAGGGTTGTTAGGGATACGCAGGGTACGAAGGGTACGCAGGGTCCTCCTTGTTGCTACTCTGTACTCTGTAGGGGGGTTGTCGGTATAGGGTGTGCGCGTAGGGCTCCCTACGTTAGGGTAAAGGGCTCTGGGGCTCTAGGGGTGCTAGGGAAGACCTTAGGCTTAGACTGATCAACAACAGGCGATAGTTAATAACTTATTGGGTACGGTACCTACCACTGCTGTGACTGCAGCAGTTTATTTATTCACGGCCTGCCTACCCTAGTAACTATCCCAATCCTCCTGAAACCGCGACGCGCCAGGCAAAGAGACTCGCTCTGTGTTTCTGGCTCCCGCCAATTGCAGACTCCATCGCGACTTTTGGGAGTCCGTAAGAACTGGCTGCGCCCGCTTCCAGCTCTCAACCCACCGACAATCCGGCCGTGGTTTCTTTATACCATGGATACTCGCAGGAACAGATACTGGATCATGCTTCAATCTGTACCCTGTACCTTGTTGCTGCTCTTGCTACAGAGTAGAAGAATGGGTGGCACGTGATCCCTCTCCTCCAACTTCAACTGCGCCCTGCTGCCTGCTGCCTGCGCTCCCTCGAATTGATTCAACCGCAGGTATCACGACCCTTATTCTCTTCCTCTTCCTCTTTACCCTCTACCACAATCTCCACCACGGCCTTACCATTATGAGGCGGAGATGTGAGATGTGATGAACAAGCACCAGCAAAACAATCGACGTACCTACTGATGCCATCCATACACCACCCCACATCTACGGTCGAATCGATTGACTCATGAGTTGCTTGTCCAATCCACCATGTCCATTTCACGGTCCATGTCCATGTCCATACCGTGTCCTCGGTTTATTTCTCTCACGACATGACGATGTTGACTAATGCTCAATAAATACGCGCTCCTTGAGCAGCTCACACATCAGGCAGTATAAAACATCGCAAGTCGTCCGTGTTCGCAGTATCCAACTCCTACAACCCCGAACACAGCCAAACTACCCTTCATCATGGCAGCAGCTCAGACACAATCGCTCTACTCGTCCCTCAACCTCGTCCACAATGTCTCCAAGACCTCATCGGGCTCGGAAGTCCACAGCTACATTTCTGATCTAGGGCAAGACACTCCCATCCTGACATTGATCCATGGCTACCCTCAGTCGGCTTATATGTGAGTGATGACTCCAAAGCCTCATTGTCATTCCCTAGGGGCTGATAACTTGCCCCCTCGGTCCAGCTTCCGGCATGTATGTTCTCCCCCTGATCCCTTCAGCCTCGTCCGTTGGCAGACGTCGCAATCCATCGCCCAGAACATGTCCTAATTCCAGTCGCATCACATCAGGTCGTCCCTTTGTTGTCCGGCAAGGTCTCCCTGTTCATCCCTGAAGTAAGTCAAACGTCTCCGTCTCCCTCCATTGCCTGAGCTCCATCAGACCTCTTCCGATCCATACTAGTCTTACACGCTTCCCTCTACTCTGTCCCTTCTCACAATCATCTTACGCGCCAGCTCCCCGGCTACGGCATCTCCACTCCCATCAAAGACACAAACGCCAACGACAAGCGATCTGTCGGCACGGCTCTTCTTGAAGCCTTATCCCAGGTATTCAAGACCACTTCATCCACATCTGCCGGTCCTCGGCCTGTGGTATTAGGAGGCCACGACCGCGGTGCTCGAATCGCCCATCGGCTCTCCGTGGACTTCTCGCATCCACCTCAAGACTTGTCGAATCCATCTCTGTACTCCTCCTCAAACCTCACTGTTCTTGGTACAATCCTGCTCGACATCGTTCCTACGCAAGCGCAATGGCAGGCCTTCGCCGACCCGGATATCCTGACAAACTACTTTCATTGGCCACTGCTAGCGAACGCAGACCTCGCCACCGAGATGGTGACCGCCTACGGAGGTGGTCGCTGGGCCCGCCTCGCTTGCACACGCATCGCCGGACCAAATCCAGACTCTGTTGTGCGCATCACCTCGAACGACGCCCTCGATGTCTACGGTGCCCTCTTCGAGCAGCGGGAGACGATATACTACTCCAACCTCGACTATGTGGCGGCGGCCACCACCGATGTCGCGGAGCAAGAGGAGGACCAGAAAGCCGGGCGCAAAGTCGCGGTTCCGCTCCTCGTCATGTTCTCACAGGCCAAGCTCGGGTCGCGCATCGATGTCCAAGGAATCTGGAAGGAGTGGGTGGCTGAAGGAGTGGACTATGAAGGGTTCGGCGTGGGCCACGGATATGGGCATTATCTCCCCGAAGAGGCCTTTGATGTCGTGAGCGACAAGATCGAGGCTTTCTTGAACAAAGTCACATGAGGCATGCTCCTTTTCCGAAAGGATGGGAGATAGGATCATCGCGAACGTAGATCGTTGACCTGGGTTCATCCAGGCACTTCCTTGCCTTCATAAGTACGTACCTGCTCTTCGGTAAGTATTCTCGTGTATCATGTGTAGCAATATCGATACTCTCCGAATAAGACTCCTTGGATCTGTAGCATGATACGGCTGCCGACAGACGAAAATTTCCGTCTCAACGGCCTTCTGGAGGATATTGATGCTGATGCTTGATGTTGAGGGCAGCCTTGGCCAAGCTATCATTTCACTACATACCTTAGGTAGGTACATAGTGCTTGTGTCAAAGATACGCGATCAGGCCACCTCGTTGGACTCAAACGAATGGCGAAGATGGAACTTGGTATACCAGTAGTATCAGGCACCACAGTCCTCTGGTTTACACATGTTTTTCTGGGCAGCCTCAGACATCATTCCCGTACAGAAGTGTGATTGTGATTCGGCCATAACAGCTTGTGTTGCCCTATGAGTCGATCGGTAACATGGACATCGGATGATTTCGGCATACTGTCTCGAAACGGCTGCTTCCTTGCAATGCTTAATGGTAAGATACGCCGGTAGAGGGCGGGCGGAGAATAAATTTATTACATGAGCGAAGGCCACCCGCGAGAAGAGCCTCAGTTCAGTTCATCAGTTGGTTGATCGTCTTCGTCATCGCATGAGCAGTACGCTATACTAGTATTTTGGATCCTCAGCGCGAGCGTTCCACCGCAGTCCATCGCCTCTTGCCGGGACTTCGTTCTTTGGTGACTGGATCATCACCCCATAAGCCCCTCTGGCTCGCGCTCCTGACAGGCAAAGGAGGAAAGGCCTCGGTCTTTTGATCATCGTCCTTAGGTGCGGGTGCCAATAACTCTTCCGGGATGCTGCTGGGGTTATCGACGCCTTGCAAGCTCGGGGTCACCACCGCTTCACTCGACTCGGCCGTCTCGTCCCTTGAATACCGGCTGCCACGCCGCCAGAGACCGGTCGGGGGTTCGACATCACCCGACGCATCCGGAACATACGTTCTCTGACTGCTACTTCTGCCCAGCGATGATACTGATGAACGGTGGTTCAGGGATTCTCCCAAGGCAAAGCCCTCAGGCATATCCGCACCAACTGCGCGACGGCTTGCAAAGCCTGGCGAAATGCCCATTCGGGGCGAGTGATTCGAACCGCTGCGGAGATGTTCAACCGAAGCAATGAACTTCATGGTATAGGCGCCCGAAATGGTCAGGTCAACAGACTCCCGTCGCCCCGACGGAGAGTGTGGTTCGTCAGTTGCAGGTGGCTCCAGCTCCCGGACAGCCATGGTTAATGAAGCCGGACCAACATCGTGCAGGGCGGGGGCACCTGTGAAGAGCCTGATCAAAGCGTTGCAGCCGGCTTGGTGAGTGACCAAGACCAGAATCAGATCTTCATCGTCTTCCTGCTGCTGTTCGGCTTGCGCCTCGTAGTATGAGATCATTTTCTGCACGCCATTGCGGAATCTTCGATGCATGGTCCCCCATTCTTCGTCGAAAGAACCCCCATCGCCCCAGTCCAAGTCCGGACTCTGACTGTCCCAATCCTGATCAACCACCACACAACAATCCCGAGCGTGAGCAACAAAGCCGGGAGGGATCTTGTCCGAGGCGCCCATGGCGTACATAGGGATCGGGGGACTATAGCCGAGAGTCTGGCGCTGGAGAGACCGGTTGAGAAGCCTTGCCCCGTTGGCCAGCTCGGTCCCGAATGAAATATTGCGTGGCCGCTTTGGAAAAGAATGACCGGCGGCGGCCATGGCCCTTAGGCCCGTCTTTTCCTGGGCCTGAGCCAATGTCACTTCGTTTTCCTTTTCCTCCGCATCGGGCGACAACAGATCAGGGTGATAGGAAGCGGCCATATCGGCACCTTTGATCTCCTCTTGTGGGATTTGCAACGCCTTCTTTGCCCGTGACACAAGCACATCAGAGGAAGGTGGAGGAGTAGAATGGTCGAAATAGCCCGGAGAAAGCCATTCTCCCAAGAAAGCGTCGATACGCAACAGGCAAGTGTTATATCCTAGACGGTTTGTTTGTGAAAGGTCTCGACTAGAGGTTTGGTGTAGAGTGTTTTGATCAGCCTCAGCAGAAGGCGAAGTGGCATCTAGTGCATGGTCTGAAAGCGAAAAGTTGGAGCGCTGGCGGCCTTTCAAGCCAGGCTGACGGTGGTTTTGAGGGTGCTGGATACCAGCGCCAATGGCAATTGCGGTCTGAACACATCGCAAATATGGGGAGGTATGTATAATGATCTTGCGTCGCTTTGGCGGCCGATGGTCTACGGAGGCATCGTCCTTGTCGACGCCCAACTTTTGTTCTCTATCGAGATTATGTAACTCATTGCTGATTCTGGCCCCCAGCGTTTGACATTGAACCCAGCCACCGTAAGTCAGAGGAGGATCATAGGGATGTTCGGCGGTCGAATGCCAATTTCTGTCCGCCTGGTCGAGGCGCGCGCCGTGCCTGCGAGAGATGAATGATCAGTACTGTTGCGTCTAGACAAGACCAGTCCCACTAACATACCTGGCTATGAAGACAACTGCGGGCTTCTTCCCCATTTCGAGTGAAATGGCGACGAGAGAAACAGAAGAATGGCGGCAGGGTGCAGATGTCGGCGGCTCGAAAATTTCCGCGGCGGAGTCGAGATGGAATTGCGGGGGAGAGCGGTGTAGGAGTCGGAGGGTGCGATACGACAAAGGAGGGAAGACGCGGTAGTCGTTGAAGCAGTCATCCGGGGAAGTAGGATCATGACAACTTGAAGTTCATGGAGCAATCAATCACGTATGTAAGGTATTCGAGGTGCGAGGATGACACAGAGACTCGACTCTAGCCTGTTGTCACACGGTAAGCTTGAAAGACCGGAAGACGAGATGGTGGTGGTTGTTGAGAAGAGATCTCCGCCTCTAGTGTAGTGGGAGATGTCCAGTTGATGCAGTGGCACTGGCAGTGGATGTGATAACCGCGACTCCAACCGGAGTAGTAGACGAAGGGTCGCAGTGAGCAGCGTATTCCACTGAATGTTAAACCCTGGTACTGACCTCGTGTTTCCACTCAGTATACAATATAGGGGTGAGAAAGAGCCGGCTGTGCATTTCCCTACGTGATCCCACCTACTACCTACCTGTACCTTACTTTTCTACCTGATGTACGTCCTTACCACGTACTATGTCGCTAGTAGTCACTATGGGACTTTCCTGCCGCCGGCGAGATGAGCCCAAGAGACACTGCAGGCGCAGGCGCAGGCACTTAAGCTTCCCCACCCACCTTGCACCTGCATCTCGTGCTGGTGATACTCAAGTGCCCACCATCCACCATCCACTGCCCACCGCTCAGTCCCTGATCGCTTGCTACCTACAGGGCCCGGACATACTCCATCCCGGCGTACGATACAATGCTCTAGTATGGAAGCATTCGAAGTTGGACATGCAAGAGCAACGGAACAGATGAACTGATTTTATTTCAAGACGTTTTCTTCTATTCTATGCTTTTGAATCCTAGGCTCGTTAAGCTCATGTACACCCTTCGAGGACGGATGCCCACTGCAAGTTATTCGAATCTCCTCGAGGACCCGAACTATCGAACAGAGTATCTCGTTTGAAATGGGTCAACAATGATATCAGAGTTGTTTCAAGATCTGTCCACAAGAAGGAAGATATCAGCCCCGGCTTGCCCATCTCGCTTCAAACGGCATATCTCTCCTTGCATGGCACCTTTTCCTCATTTCGCCTCGGCCAAAGAAGATGATCAACGGTCGGCAACGCATAGCGTGCTGGTCTGACAAAGAACGGCGAGAAACAGGATGGAACAGAGGAGCAGGACAGTACTCATGCCAATTGACAAGTGCAAGCTTCACATCTCATGCTGGAGACAATTGACTCTGGCCATGCTATGTATAGGCATGATGATCGCTCAAGAGATGGTGAGGCGGTAGCGTGTACACGGGAAGCATCAAGCTCATCTGTCAGCCCCTGCTATTTTTCACTGGCCATGGACTTGGAACCTGACAGCTAGGGGACTGACCCCTGTTCGCCTGGGCCGTTTCACATTGAAAGCGATATGGACACCGCCAACGCACGGCTCCTAGGCTGGCATTGCTAGTGTCCCACCACGGTACTTTAGGCGGCAAGGGTCCCAAGCGATCTGCCGTGGGTTAGCACAAGGAACGATTGTCGACGTTTCGTCCTTTCAGGCGTGGAGTTAGCCTTGCACACCCGGAAGAAGAGCTTTGTTTGCGGTACCAAGGCATGAATGACTTGAAATCGACTGGTCGGGAAGCCAACCAAACAACGTGCAACAAAGACAGATACCCGTATGTGATTCGTGTCCGACAAGCTGCTGTCATGGCTCCTTCGACCGCCTCTGTCAACGACGAGTTCGCGTTTCACATCCTCCGTCGCTTCTGTCTGCTTGGTTCCAGGTCCTGGCCTCTTCAGCGGTCTATCTGGATTTGGTTCCTGACGATCGAAGATCATGGTGACCCGGGAGTCGACCAAGGACGTCGGTGATTATTTGGCCCATCTTGTGGCCTCGTCGTCTGCATGATTTACCCCTTGCATACAGGTAGGGCTCTGCTGCTCTGGTACCCACTTGACCTCTGCTGCAGCATAGTCAGGAGTCTCCCTTCTCATGCCTCTGTGCCTCCATCATCTGTGTGGTTCATGCCCACCTCAGTCGTTTCGATTCACGGATGTTTGTGCCCGTTATTGTTATCGCCATCGCCATCTCATATCCACACCTTTGCGGCACCGATTGAGTGTATCCGCCCGAGTGTCACAATACTCGAGAGTCGACGTTCCTCCATCTGGCTCATCATCCGTCGAGTGTCCTTCAGCCATGGCGCTCACGCAACCAGATCCTGCTGCTCACTGGTCTTACAGATCCTCCCCGAGACTCTATTCTATTCGACAGTTGGACTACGAGGTTAGCAGCCATGATCCAACCCACCATTCCTTAACCCTAGTTCTCAGGCTGCCTATCCCGGCCCTGATCAGGAAAACCTGGCATAGTGTGGCCCTCTCAAGAGCCGAAATAAATCTTCATGACTACACTATCGGACCCCCTGTTCGTTGTCCACCATGTTTCCAGTGGACAGACACCTCACTCTGTCCTCCGCACCTCTGCATACGTTGTACAACTTCTCGCAAGACCAGGAAACTCCACCAAGACACTTCTCCGATCCTCCATGTTCCCCTGCGTCTTTGTTGGTCAGTTCGACTGTAGCCGGAAACCTGCTCTTCGCTCATTTGTTGCTATTACATCCTTTCCATCTCAGCTTCTCATTGATATGTTCCATCGGTGCCATTCAATTTCGTCCATTTCCAAATTCAATTCCAACTGCTGACTGACTGTTCCGGGCCTTGACGGCCACAATTTCGACAGCCATCACCTGCCTGGACGCCGGTCACGAAGGGCATCCATCTTCGGCATTGCTGGTCGCGCCAGAACATCGTCCAGGCCCAGACACACCTCCCGTCAAAATTCTGTCAACCGCTGTCAAATCGTTCCCGTTACCGATTCCAACTGCGCCGTCAACCGTCCCACGTCGAACTTCAGGAGTTGCCACTCTTTGTCGTCAACGCCGTTAAAGCCACCGCTCTAGAATATATCGTTTCAGCACTGACCTCTTTTCCTTCAACTCTTTTCCCCGGTGAACTCGATGCTGCTCCAAACCTTGGCCCGACAAATTCCTTCATGACGACTCTCTTCGACAACACTGGCCTACCACTATGGGTGTACATTGTCCTCATAGTCGTAGGTTCAGTGCTGTTGCTGGCTACGGTGGCTTTCCTCCTGAGATGCTGTTATGTCCGGAGGAAACCCAAACTCGGTTATATCGATGGCCTCTCGAGTCCCACTCGACGAGTTACCTTGAGAAGGGGACGGCTGGTGCCAACTTCTCAACATCTCTCTTTGACCGGATCGAAGTTTGGAGTAAGGCAATTTGGAATGCTCGCCGACAATGATTCCACCATGACAGGACGGAGGAGTCCCTTTGAATGGTGGAATACCATCATGGACAGATCCCAATCACGGCAAGATCAAATGTCGCAAGTGGAAACGGGTTCTATATCCATATCAACCCGTCCGGCATCAAGGGCAACGGCGACTGCTGGCAGACGAGATGTCCCTATAGCCACCCCAAGCATAACTCCGGAGAAGGAGGAGCCTCTTACAAGAGCTCGGGAGGTGTCTTCGCCATCTCCATCGCCATCACCCAGTCCATATGGCCGAAAAGCTGTGAACTTTTCAAGGTCCTTCGTTCCTCGAACGCCCTCCTCTCCTATTACGCAGCGCTCTCAGCACACACTTTCACGAATATCCGAAAAGTCTGCTCATCACTCTATAATCAGTATGAACGGCACGAACCAACATAATCTCTTTACCTACCACGCAGTGGTTGATCCCAGTATTGACGCCGCAATCCCCCCGGAACAGCCTCAATACAGTCCTGGTGCCGCATCTACCTCAATGACGCTCGCCGGCCCTGTTACCTCTGTGAAACGATCGCCAACGCCCGACGAGAATGGGCTGAATAATTCAACCTTTGTATCACCGATGCCTTGGAGTTCCAGCCGGTTGAGTGCTTCGGCTATCAGTTTACCCCAGCCTGCATTTGCGCCCACGGATAGTCCCAGGCCTTTCACTGCAGATGCCTCGCTTTCCAAAACCCACCAGCATATAATACAGCCCCTGCCACCGACCCTCACTGTCCCCGCACCCGTGGCATATAGCATGTCGCAGTCGAGTGTTAGCATACCCTCCTTTTATCATCCAGCAAATTCCCCACGGCTGGATCTGCCTCGCAACTCCCCCATCCAATATGACAGGGAGCTCGCTACGCCAACGACTGTTCATTCGCGCCAATCCTCCACCGACATCAGTGTCGGGCCAAGCGCAATTGTCTACGAAACTCAGCTGCCAGAATACTGGTCCGCACGGCCGGAAGCGCACGACCTTGCGTCTTCTCTTTCTCATGCCAGGACAGACCTTCCAATTGAATCGGCAGATCAAGGCTCGTCCCAGGGCGGCAACCACGGCAATAACGGATCGCTTGACCCACTGGATGGGAAGCGAGATGCAGGACAGCAGAGCAGAATGGGCATCATGACAGTTCCGGGAAAGAAAGATACAAAAGTACTCCGGAAGAAATCTCTCAGGCGAATATAAACTCGTATAGCCAGATGACATTGCGTGCTATGGATGATGTGGTCGTCACGACGGCTGGACGTCCACGTCTGCCACCTTTGTCCTTTACTTCAACTTTCGATGAAACGAAACAGGAATGACATACCCCGAGTCACCAAACATGCCTATTACTCTTGGAACAGAAATGCTGGGCATCGTCTGCTCCTCCGAGGCATGCTATGTTGAGTTATGCTAAGTTCAGCTGCAACATGCCTGTCATGCTATTGCATGCCATGCTACAAGATACAGCGCTGTGCTTGGGGGACAGGTTTCCCCTTTGTTTCAGGTCGCTTTTCACCACCTCATATTTTGTATTTCATATTCTATACCCAAGAAATAACGATGACGAAAGACAGCACGCATTGAACGTGCTTGGTGCTATGTTTATTCTCGTTCCCTTGTTTGATCCATCATGAATGTCAATGCAAATGCTTTTAGATCCGGGCTCCTTAGGCGATCTGGATATCCCGTTCTGCCGAAGAGATCTCTTGCAATGGTAAGAATGCATCGCACTAGATTCCAAAGATTTACAGAAAGCTCAAACAGAAGCTGCGTTCATACAGGTTGCCACCTTTCTTTTCCGATTGCGACCCTCGGCATCAGCCAGCATCAGCATGCGGGATACATAGCCGTGTATCCGCAAAGACCGATTTCAAGCTATATGCGAGAGTGCTCTCCCCTTTCCACTCTCGTGTCTGGGCATACAAGGCCGTCGCTGTGGTGTATGGCAACAACGATCATCGGTTCCGTCCTCTCGCCTGCCTGTCTCTTTTATGGTCTTTCTTAAGTTTGTTTCCCTCTTCAAACTTGTAGCCCGCCCGTCGCTGCACTCTCTCAGCTCCGCTCCCCGCTCCGGACAAGGGTGGTATGTCTGCCTTCAAGTTCGCCAAATACACAGCTGACCTGATCACATCCACGAACCTAACTTACCACAAACCGACTATGATTCAGTCTGGCTGCCAATCTAACCAAGCGCTCATATTGTGGTGTCGCCGAACCTAAACACTCTCGATCCTCTGGACAACAACGGCCGTGGCAGCTCCACCGCCATTACAGATGGCGGCAACGCCGTACTCGCCCGGCTTCAGCTGGTGCAGGAGGGTGGTTAGGATGCGGGAGCCCGAGCTTCCAAGAGCATGGCCTAGAGAAATGGCGCCACCGAGAAGGTTCACATTGGCGTTTTCGAGTCCGAGAATCTATCAGTGGAAAGACGCCACTAAGTTAGCCCAAAGATGTTCTTCAAAATTTATACTCGAATTGAGTCGAGTAGGAAAATGCAACCTGTACTTACTTGTTCGTTGGCCTTGATGACGGCCGCGAAGGCCTCGTTGAACTCCCAGATCGCCACGTCGTCCTTGGTGATGCCCGCGCGCTCAAGGGCCAGCGGTACGGCCTCGGCCGGGGCGATGGGGAAATCGACCGGGTCCAGTGCGGCGTCGGCCGAACTGACGATACGGGCGAGAACCCTGCTTCCCTTGCCGTATTCTTGTGCAATGGCTTTGTTTCCCAACACCAACGCACTGCCTCCGTCGTTGAAGGTGGACGAATTGGCCGCCGTGACCGTCCCTGTACCGTCGCGCACAAACGCGGGCTTCAAGGTCCCCACCTTTTCCTTCTTCAAATTGGTGTAGCCTTCGTCCTCGCTGACGACGATATCGCCTTTCTTGCCTGGCACCGTCACGGGAACAACTTCGTCCTTGAACTTGCCCTCGGCCCAGGCCTTCTGCGCTCGTTCGAAGCTGCGGATCGCATACTCGTCCTGCATCTCGCGGGTGACGTTGTATTTCTTTGCCGTAATCTCGGCACAGTTGCCCATGTGGAACTGGTTGTACACGTCCCAGAGTCCGTCCTCGATCAAGCCATCTTTCAGGGCGATGTTGCCGAAGGGAGGATTCTGCGCAGCTCTCGGTAGGTAGTAGGGTACTCGGGACATGCTCTCCATGCCACCAGCAATCTGGGCCTCAGCCAGACCGAGCTGGATGTTCTGCGCAGCCAGTACCACAGCCTTGAGGCCCGACGCGCATACTTTGTTTACAGTCACGGCTTCGACCGAGGTAGGAAGGCCCGCGAAGATGGAGGCTTGCCGCGCAGGCGCTTGTCCCATTCCCGCGGAGAGCACGTTGCCCATGTACACGTCGGTGATTTTCGAGACGGGGACTTTGGATTTCTCCAGCGCGGATTTGATGGCAACGGCGCCGAGCTGGGACGCAGAGAGGCTCATGAATGACCCATTGAACTTGCCCGTAGGTGTTCTTGCCGCACTGAGGATATACGCATCTTGAATCTCTTTTCTCGCTGCACTCGAGGTGCTGAAGTGACTCCGCACTTGCGACAGGCGAGCACTGGCTGTTGTGGAGGACGCTCGTGAAGCTGCGCGAGCAGCGGCGGATGTGAAGGGAGCCATACCGACAGGATCTGGTACGGAGGATGCCAGCTTCGGGGTATAGTATGCGGCTCGCGGAAAGACGTCAAGTCAAAGAATGGAGTCCAGGCGTTCAACAGCACATGTCACGAAGGGGGTGGTTCTGGAGGGTTGGAGATATTGAGGATCCCGAAGCGATCGAAGGGATCCGAGATGAAGGGGCCGAAGGAACCAAGATGGACGGACGTGGATGTATTGGTATAGACTTTCCTCAGCAGGAGTCGAGATGTATCGCCGGAGATGGCTGTGTATTTCTAAAATACCGAGTGGACGCCATCCTAGCCATCGACCAGACACTGCTGACCTAGGATGAAATAAATAGTCGGGGGACCCGGGCGAGCGAGGTTCAATCCATCAGTGATCATCCTCCACCTCGGCTTCTTCTTGCCAAATCCCAAAATCCCGCCATTTCTCCAGCCTCCGGTTCGGAGGAATTCCGGCACGACGCTCTTTTAGCGGGGGAGGAGGCTGATCACATGACCGTCTGATCATGTGATGCCATGTGATCAGGACCACCTGCAAAAGCGGCACTACCAGTATTCCGCTTTGGTGCTTTCGCCGTTGTACGGTTCTGTAAAGTTCCACACGCCGCAGTCATTCAGTTAGGTAGACAGTCTATCCATCCAGCGAACCACTGCATTCGACAACTCACACTTCAACTTCCCGTCTCAAACCTCGTGTGATCTCGCTGCATCCTCTTCCCTTGCATCCCAAGTCACCCATCTTCTTGATCTGCAACTCGACAACAGACCATCCCTCACCCCTCACCCCTCACCCGACCTTCTCAGCAGTCCAAGACGCTGCCCACTATCCGACATGTCCACCTCAGCACGACGCCGCCTGATGCGGGACTTCAAGGTACCAGGCCCCCCGGCCACAACTCGATGGCTGATTGACATCTTCGTCTTCCTCTTCGCTGTTATTGAGAACCATTACTGATCAAATCCCGGCCACAGCGTATGCAAACAGATCCTCCCGCCGGCGTTTCCGCCTCTCCGATAGCAGACAACGTGATGACATGGTAAGAGACGACCAGACCCGATAACAAATGTCTGTATTCTAATACCCCTGGTTCGCAGGAACGCCGTCATCATCGGCCCAGCCGACACGCCGTTCGAAGACGGCACGTTCCGTTTAGTGATGCAGTTCGAAGAAGCGTATCCGAACAAACCGCCGGGCGTCAAGTTCGTGTCTCAAATGTTCCACCCCAACGTCTACGGCACGGGCGAGTTGTGCCTGGACATCCTGCAGAACCGATGGTCGCCGACGTACGACGTGGCCGCCATTCTGACCAGTATCCAATCTCTGCTCAACGACCCCAACACGTCGTCGCCGGCTAATGTCGAAGCATCGAATCTGTACAAGGACAACCGGAAGGAATATATCAAGAGAGTCCGGGAGACGGTGGAGAAGAGCTGGGAGGATTGAGGATGACAAATACACACACACACGTTGCGCGCGACTAGGACACGATGCTACACCGTGGTCCAGGGTTGTCCGTTCAAAGTGTTCTAGCGACTTGCATAATCACGACAGCGCACGGAACGGCGTTCGGCTAAGTGATGGAGTTTGGGATTGATGTTTGGGCTCGCGAGAAACTAGGCCAGACACCGCTATTGCCTTCCAAGGGGACTTTTCCAGTATCAGGGTTCTCAGGTCAGCAGTGGAGTTTCAGGGTGTTTTCTGGATGTCCCAGGGAGAGGGAAGTCCGTGTCTTATAAGATCCTATGGTTTGCGACGCCACCGGTCTTCGGTACTTGCATGCTTTCAATCAAAGATATAGACCCCCTTAGCTGGCGAGCAGATTAGGACCTTTATAGATTGAGCTGATACAAGTGAAGCATTTCCACGTCACCAAAACTCGTCATAACCTTCTTTGGTGGTTGGTTCGAACCACCCGATAACCATCGTTGTGGTCTTTGAATCGCAGTATATACCTGCCCAGTCACTTCCGGTATTCAAGTACTTCAGTGTTCAGTCGTCTTCATGATCCTAAGGTTCTGTATATGAAACGACATTGCTATAATCCAACCCTGTAAAAGATCTCAGGCTAACGGAACTCCTCCTCCTGCAGTTGCTGACATTCCCATCGAAATTCACTCTAAGCTAACGCGCCCATAGGATCCCAAAGCGGCAGAACCAGCGGCTCCGTCTTCAATAGGTCCTTGATATCTTTACCCACAAACCCGGGATCGACGACGACCTGGTAGACGAATTCGTCCATCCACTTATCCGTCATGACAAAGTAGCCCTTCTCGCCGGCGGCATCGCCCCAAGAGTTCATCACGCGCCAACGGACGGGCTTGCCGTCTTCGACCTGCACAGCGGTGAGGACCATGGCATGAGTCATGGCCGACTCGCGCACCTTGAGGCGCTGGCTCTTGCTCAGATTCAAGCTGACGTTGAATGCCAGCCCGTAGTCGTACAGGGCCGGGTCCATGATGCCCGAGGTCGAGTTGGAGAATTTGCCCACGTCGCTGCCGAAAAAGACGGGCAATCCGGCCCGCAGCATGGCGATGGTGGCTTTTTTCATCGTCGTCATGTCCACGTTGACGTAGGTGATGGGCCGGCCGCCGACGACGTTGCCCAGCCTTTCGACCGTCATAAGCTGGTTGTATTTGTTGCGGGGGTCGTTGACCAGGCTGAACAGTTCGCTCACATTGGCGTTCAAGGAGCGCACGACGCTGGGGCTGGATAGTTCTGCGGCCAGCTCGAGCGGGGTCTTGACGACCTTGCTGTACTTGTCGTTGGCGTCGTAGTATTCCCAGGTGAATTTCTCGTCAGGTTTGGGTGGAGGTCCCAGCATGAGCGTCAGGATACAGTGAACCTCTTGCATCATCTTGGCCTTTGCGGCAATGATGGATGACTTCTTCATTGAAGGGGTGTTGATCATCGATCGCAAAACAAGACCGTCTTCACGGAGTTTGGTCGTCAAGATGGAACCCATGGCCGATGAATTCATCGCGTTGTATGAATCTGGGTAGAGCTTTTGCGGAACCTGAACAATATACCGTCAGCACAAGAGACTCCACAGAAGTAGATATCCACGGTTTAGATGAACCCTGGTCTGGTGAAGGACTTACCAATCCGTACTTGGCGACCAGGTTGGCAGCCATGTCCCATTGACCGCCATCGTTGACAGGCGCCCCCAGCAGCTCTTGCACCAGTCTGCTATCCAACTCTTGACTGGCTGTGTCGATCATCTGTTCAAGAAACCAATTGGCCTTCTCCAGCTTGTCCCAGAAGAACAGGTATGCCTGGCTCAGTTCAAACTCTTTCAAGTTGTGCTTCTTCATCACGGCCACTCTGAGCACGTTGGTGGTCGCAAACAACCAACATCTTCCTGACGACCTTTGATTTGTGACCGGAGAGCCCTCAAACGGGATCTTGACGTTGAACGTCTGCGTGTCTGTCAGGGTGGCGACCTTGTTGGAGACCACCGACCGGATGTCATTGGAAAGCAGAGCATTCAATGCCAGCCGGTTCTTCGGGTCGGCCAGTAGTTCCTTTTCCCATGCTTCGGCCGCCTTGACAGAGAGTGTCGGGTCAGCGGAGTATGCCTGGGGAATGCCCTTCTCGGCGTCTACGTGGATGTACTCTTTCTCAATCTCCAGCTGCCTGATCTTATCACGAGTGCGGAGGTTCTGGAGTTGCTGCACGAGGATCTTCTCGACTGCAGGTTCGATGGCCGCGGGAGAGGCGGAGGATTGCGAGTTGCCCATGATGAGTTCAGGCTGCTGATAGATACTTTGGAGGTCGATAGCTGAGCTCGCCGATACCTAGGGAAGGGATAGATGGGATGAGGACTACTAGTAGATGAACAGCACAAGGTGAGGTCTCCAGGCAGCGGCGACGATACCATGCGGGGAGGGAGATAAACAACTGATAAGGCCTGATAAGACCCGATAAGCCCGCCTTCGCAATATCACGTACTAGCACGTGTCAATGTAGAACAGCGAATCGGAGCGTGCCGGCCCGTCACACCTTCCGAATCCGGACAAAGCCCTCAATCTGCACCCAGCCACTCAGCCTCGTGCCCCTTTTCCGCCGGTTGTCGGAGAATGCTTGCTTGTTACAGATACGTATCTTTGGAAACAGAATCACTTCAAGTCAATGATCATTGCATTTCTCGATATCGCTGTCTGATCAGAGATGTGCTTGCAGACCTCGCAAGTGTCTCAACCGCTAGGCTAACCAAGTCGTTGCTATCAATGAAAACTTGGCTCAAACCAAGTCAAAAGAAGAAGAGACCAAAACCACAGTGCTTTGCTTGAGTTGACCATAAATGTTGATGAGACCAGATGCCAATCGTCGTACTCGCGCAGTTGTCTCCTCCAATTCCGACCATCAGAAACTTTTCATGTCAGACCGTATCCGCGTCACGGACGTACCATCGGCCCGCTTGATGCTGATTCTGTGGCTCTGCTAGCCAGCAAAGGGGTTCCAGCCCACAGTCTCAATGGGAAGACCCATCTTCTCGATCCTCGCAGCCAGCGTTGAGGCTCTCATTACTGTCAGGAGTCATCTGCCCTCCCCAGCTCTCAGAATGGTCCTCTTCCTCATACCATCCATCATCTTCCCCTTTCCACTCTTTCCACTCGCCATCTGCTTGTTCCCCATTGACAGCACACTGGTAATGGTCGTCACCGCTTGTGTCGATGGCGTTGTTTTCCGGGACTCCACCTTCGATGGGTGTTTCCTGTCGCATAGCCATGTTGTCTCTCAGATCGTCAAGCATGGCATTGATTGCGTCAAGCCTCGACTCAATGCTGGTTAATTAGTAGGGAGTATCTTCCACCACGTCGTCTTTCGCTGTTTTTGCACTGGCGAAAGCTGATGAGACTGTTCTAGAAGAGCTTTCACCGGCATATGCATCAAGTCCAGACTGAAGAGAAACTGACAGCGCAGGGCTGGTCAACTCTGCTCTGGCAGACTGGCCAGAGGAGTCGGGGGAACCTTCGAATGACGATGTGGCAGGTGGCCAGGGCGTCCCGTCATTCCAGCGCGTTGTCTGTTCAGTCTCATCCTGTTCGACTCCATTGTCGGTGGCCGATTCATGCACAACATAATGCCCACCATTGCCGATGATCGGACAGATCTGGAGATGCTTTTCGAGGTTTTCGTCAGACAGAGGCGGGTTTTTTGAGTTCGTCGGCCGAAATGTCGTTCGAGATGAGTGCAACCTCCCAAGGACTCATGACTCCATGCGTGGGATCGAGTGGATGCGCTGCAAGACCGTGGCGGATGCTCCTCATCATGGCATACGCCAAGTTCGAGGCAAACCGATCATGCGCATCTAGCAGAGGCGTCCAGATGTGATTTGCTCTTGAGCGCTGCAGCCAGTATGCAACGTGACCCACGACGAATTCCTCCAACTGCGGGCTAAGCTGACTCCCGAAAAGGGCCGCAATGAAGGCAGTGCTGGGAACAAGAGACCAAGTGGTCCAGAACAGCGTCTGAAGTTTCTCGACTGCTAGGAGATTGATTCTGCCCATTCCCAGCCGGGCTCCCATACGATACACATTCCACCAGAACTCATCCGTGTGATAACTCTTTTCTTTGGTCATGTAGCAGGAGACATTATTTGGTACGCGACCCGAGTATAGCCAGTCTTGCACAAGCTGAAACAGGGCCGGTTCTTCGCCTAGAAGGCGGTACCTCCGATCCTCGATTTTCATAAATGCTGACTTCCAGGTATCGCCGAAGGAGTCTGAGGCGGCGCAGAGCAGATTCTTGTGGATGAGGAATTCTTGTTCTTCGTCCCCAACAACGATGATGAGTGAGTCTGTGCCAAAGGGCACGCGAGGTGGTTGAGCAGCAGTTATCTCGTCCATGGTGAGCACAGAAGATCGACTGTTGATGAGGAGAGAAGTAGAAGAGTGGCGGAGGCAGAAGAAGATATTTATATGATACTGCGACAGCCCTCAGTGAATAGAGCCCAGTGACATACATACCTAGACAATAGGACAGTGACACTAACAGTGACAATAGCAGTGACAATACATTGGCACGGGTTCGAGGTCTTGTTCCTTTCGGTGACTGCTGGAGACGTCACGGGACATTGAGGTTACACTCAAGTTGAGACTATTGAGCAAATATGAACTGGCTTTTGCGTCTTTATCGAAGCGAGGTGATCATTCAACATTGTCAGACCTTCCTAGCTGATAGAGAAGGTTAGCCTAGGAGCTGCTTGATACAGGCAGGGCGTCTAGACTTTACACTTGGCCGTCGTAGTATCTCGTGTGGGCTGCAAGACGATCTGTTCGTCACTGACTCTTCAGGTTGTGACAAAGCTGAACAAGTCAGTACCGTTCAGATATGAAGACGCAGGGGCGTCAACAACACTTCGTGCCCTCAATCAGTTTCTACCCGCTTCCATCAGTCGAGAACTTCCACCATGTCCACGGCAAACACCTGCTTGACTCAGTCCCTGCCGAGAGCCTGGACTAAAGAAGGCTGGTGGCGGCAATTGATGATCTGGCCGACGGCCCCTTTTCTGTTACCTCTGCTTAAATTTGAGATGGTGTTCCGAAATAGCCAGTCCTGGGAAGAACTGGAGTACCAAAGCTGAAGATCTGTGCAGGCGTAGGTGAGGGTGCCGGTAACGTGGCCGTCGCAGTCGCAGATGTGGTAGAGCCGATGTTGTAGGGGATCCTTGGGCCAGCAGTTTGCGATGGTTTTGCTGCCAATGAAATCGGAAGCTCAGTGGAGGCGCAGGCTGATTCTACCGTTAGTCGAAGAATAGGGTACATATAACATGGCGGAAGGGAGCCTACCTAGCTCCTTCAACTTCCCGGATGGCAACCCCTCGTCAGCGAGCCGAGACTCCCTCTGCAATTCTTCCGAGTTGAATCCATACCGTCCACTGAAGTTCGCCACGTCCTCCGGGTGACGAAACGCCAGACCCTTCGCTTGACTTCGGATCATTGCAAGGGCCATCTCTGTCCCGAATCGGTCATGACTTGTAAATAGACCTGCCCATTCTTCCTTGTTGGTTGATTTCAGAAGCCAGTATGCAGCGTGTTCGACAACATGCATTTGAATTGCCACCGGTGCTTCTTCACTGAACAGGGAATATAGGAAGTCACGGCTCGGCAGAGTGGCAGCAATCTTCCCAAAGGTGTTTCTGAGTCTGTGGTAGGTGAGGAGCTGCAAGCCGGGGATGATCAAGCGGTCGGCCATTCTGTAGACTTTGAGGTAGTACTCGTCTTTGTGCCATTGTTGGCGACTGCGAATGATCGAAGGGTACATCTGATCAAGTCCACCAATGTAGAGCCAGTCGACGAGGAAGGCGAACACTTCTGGTCTTTCTTCCGGTAATCTGACCTGCTGGGTTTTGCTTTCCATGAACGGCCCCTGCACTGCTCGCTCGAAGAATTTGGATGCAGCACAGAGCATGTTCTTGTGGACGGCGAATTCAACCTGCTCAGACCCGACGAAAATCGTGACAATCTGGGTGCCTCGAGAGACCTGGGGAGGATCGTTGGTTGCGCCTCGCGATGGTGGATACATTGCTGCCAGGATGGTAGAGCCGTCTCACTCGCAGATGAAAGTAGACTTGATGAATGACAACCGGGTTCTGAACACCGATAAAATGATGGAGCTCTGCAATATTGAAGGGGTAATTTCTGTGGCATATGAGCATGAAAGATGGACGAGAAGCACAAACAGCAGATGGAGGCAAACAACAACGTTGTCGCAGGTTCAGAACTTTAGTGAAGTTGAAGCTGAAGTTGTCTCGCAGTCTGCAAACGCGGCAACTGCAACTGCGACCGTGAGCGCGACTGCCACCGTTTCAAAACGTGTATCACACGTTCACGGAGTCAAGGCAGCCATTCCATCAGATCCGAGTCTCCCGCGCTTCTACTTGGACGTCCTAGCTGGATGGAAACTTGAAGCCTTTGGTTATCAAGAAAACTTAGTAGCTAGCCTTCTCCAAGACAATGTAAAGCAGTCCTATCGCTCAATCAGCGGCTTTCTCTGCTGAGTGATTGTTCCTGAACTCTGGCCGACGAAGCCGCCTATGCACCGGCGCTCAGCCATTCGCTCGATCATACGTGTCGGCTATCATACTCAAGGATACGCCATCTGGCCAGGGGAAGCATACGCCTGCTTCGTTTTTGGATCTATACCGGTGGTCCTGACAATGGATTCCTTGTCTTCCTGAACCAACTGACAACAAGCGCAGCAGCATGCTCCGCAGAAATCCCCGAAAGTGCTCCCTTCAATCCCATATTTCTCACGCACGCTCTGTCGGTTGATGCATTGCAGGATGCAGCTACCGCCAATGCACATCAAGGCATACCAGGCGCAACACTGGACAAAGGTCAGATGAATCCCGTACAAGGCAGAATGGAAGAGCCGTAGAGTGCAGTTGGAAAATGACATACCATTCCGTTGCAGCCATTGGAATCGAGGTCACCGTGTTCCCGGGCGTGTGTCTTGCCAAAAAGGATGCAGGGACACCATGTTGCCATGCAGCCTTCGCTCCCTGGATCAGCGATCGCGTTGTCTCTGTCACAGTGCGCTTTCACTTACAGGTCCCGAGTGGCGAACAGCAGTCAAACAGGCCAAATGACCACTTCCCACGAGCGCCATGGGAATATGCATTTGCATAAGGAGCAGTCCCTTCAACGTGCTTCTCCACGGTGGTCATGGGTGGCGTCATCTGTTGCTGTGGGTGTTCCATTGCAGCCGAGCGGGAATGAATAAATGAATGTACGAAGGGCAAATCTACACAAGACAATGATCAACAGCGTGATAAGTTGCAAGGGAAAAGAGAGTGAGGTAGCGACAGATTCTGCTGTACAGTCCGACCGCGGGAGTTTGCTAGTAACATATATCACAAAGAGGGTTGACCCGCGAGCAGAATTCCCTTGGGAGGGTGTGACAACGTTTCCAGTGCTTGCAAATGTGGCTGATCTTTCCATGGTCAGGGCTAGGATGCTGGCCTCAGCTGAGGCTGACTTGGTCCCGTTCAGGCGAGGGTCAGTGCTTGGAAGACGACCAAACAATAAAAGCGAAGATTTGCATGGTTCGCGCCCCTGAGGCTTACATGGGCTTCTCCTAAAATAGGCAACCCCAGTGGGAAGATGAAGTGATGGTTCATTGTTAGATCTCAAAGGACGGCAGATCCCAGATCCCAGATCCCGTGGCCATTTGCACCCTCGCTCCCCGGCGCAAGCAAAAGTCTAGCAAAGACATAGATGCCACCGAATGCAATTGAGTTGAGGTCTGACATTGAGATTGTTCCAGCAATTTAGGCTCGCCGTGTGGCTTGATCGGATATTGGATGCAGGCTGACAGTGGTAGGTCTGACCGGGAGACTTGTGCTGCGCGTCGATACGAGAGGATGACAGGATCTGTTCCTGCATTCCGAAGTCGCGCCCCAGTCGTGATGATGAGTCCAATTGGTACCCAGGCGCATTGGCGCAAAAAGAGGTCCGACAGGTTTGGGGGCTGAAAGGATAACGTTGATGCATCGAAATAGGACTTCTTTCTCCGCCCTTGCATGCAGTGGGTGAGCACTGTCACAATCACAAGTAGCGCAACGGATTGCAATGTTCTCGCACGGCGACGGTTCCACAGAATGCCTGTTCCCTTCATAAGTTCTCTCAGTACCCCGTAGCGAGATACCTCCCTCTGAATAATCCAGCCGAGGTTCGATGCGCATATGATATGCCAGCCTTGGCCACAATGAAAGCTCCTGGGTCTGTCCAACGGAAGATACCAGTCCCGCGATAGACGGTCTACGTATGAGAGAGTCCCCTGCCGCTGAGCACGATGTGTCGACTTCGAGGAGAAATTCCGCCCCGAAACATTTGTCCAGGTGCTCCCAGTACGCCGGGCTCCATCGATGTCCCAACCGGTGAAGACAGCTGGACGAACGCTAACGGATTTTCGGATTGGATTGCCTGCTGATCAGACAACTGATCCTGACTTCGTTACCCTAATAGTCTGGCGGACCAGAAGACCGAGTGTTGCTCGTTGTCTCATTTCTGTAACCGACCCATTCAGCGTCCGTCATTCCATGTTGTCGGTCTTTAGCAGGGGGACAGGAGTCGTGAGTCGAGCGCAAGCTACGCATCCTCATCCTCGCACAATTTTTCACTTGGCTTCGCTTCCGTTCCCGTTCGCTTCATTCGCCTTAGTCGCGGCTTGAGCTCGATTGAATTCGGTGCGCATTGTCTGTAAGATCTTCTCGATCTTGGCTTCGCCTTCTTCACCCGGGAATCTGTCTTCCAGCTCTTCAATCACGATGGAGAGCAGTTGCCTGTCATCCGGTTCTTGTACTTCCTCTGCTTCGTTTTCTTCCTCCCCGTCTTCGGCAGCAGCAGATGGCTGCGAAGATTGATTCCGGGGAAGGCCGATGCCGAGATTGATCAACATGAAGACTTCGGTCTTGGTCAACCCAAATGCTCGTAGTTTGGACACTACGGTCTTGACGAAAAGCTCTGGAGGAGGAAAATTCTCAATGTATGGAACCGTCGTGGTGACATAGCGCTGGAACTAGAGACAACAATATGCCAGTCAGCTTGGACGACGTTCTGCTTGGCTTGGATTTGGGTTCATCGTCATAGAGAGATACTGTCGCAGACGTACATCTTCCCGCACCGACTGGTAGTTCTTGAGATTGACGGGCTTGTACGATCCTATCTTCCTGGTCGTTTCTCGGGGAGGGTTACTGGCGAGGAATTGATGCACCTCACTCGTCGTAAGGAGCGCTGACTGTGGATCGAGGACCTGCCAGATGCGCAGCATTAGTTCCCTGCTCATAGAGGCTCGGTTGTCTGGCGTTGGCTTCGCCACGGCCGGATCACTGATTGACTGACCTTCATGTTGATGTGGGCGGACTGGGACTCGCACGACGAACGGCGATCAAGATGTTGACCCACGACAACCGGACACCGCTGAAACGATGGATGGCTTATGCTTCAACTCCTTTGCTAGCGCGAGCCATTACGACGGCAAAGAGTGTGAAGCGCAGAGGTGGAACAAATATATTGAATGCACCGCGCAGGATATAAATTGAGGAGCGGCACAACTTTGTCTATCTATATTCTGCCGGCAGAACCTGGCTCAAGGCGGCGTAAGAAAAAATCACCGTACTTGCCCACCCACACAGGGCTCGACCGCTTCATACCACTACTACTGTTACTCTTTTGGAAGCAGCGTAACAGAGTACATTAACGACGAGGAGGCACTCAAGGGCCTACTTGCAGCACTACAATGTACGGAATCGAAGTTCATGAGTGAATTTCTAGATAGGATTCAGCCAGAAGCTGCTCATCTGTGACATTAAGCCAATACCATAATGCCATTCCACGCCATCCCTTGCCTTAGCAAGTTGTACATGTTCTCGTGGACATTGCTAGTCCAACAACTCCTGTACCGACGCCATGCAGGAAACAAGAACGCAACCCCCCAAGCTAAAAGAACGAAAAGGAAAATTAGAACTGCATTCCTTAAGCCTTTTCTTTCCGCTTCTTCTTCTTTTCTGGCTTGGACGGCTCGGCGACCTCTTCTTCAGTCCGTTTTCGCTTCTTGCCGCCGTCGACCTCGCCGTTTGCTGCCTTTTCCGCTTGTTTCTTTGCCTTCTTGATCTCTTTCTTGGAGATGGCGACCGGCGTGCCGTCCTCTTGGAACTGAATTTCTCCTCGTTCAAGCTTCCTCTTGTACCTTTCGACACTTAAGCCGCATTTCGCAGCCAAGGCCTCGACCTTGGACTCTTCGCTCCCTCCCTTCTTGCCAAGCTTGCGTGCCTCTTTCTCGGCGTGCTTTCTGTCCTTTTCGGCCTTCTTGGCGGAGTTGTCAGATGTTCCATTGACGCCGTTGGGTTTGGATGGAGTGACAGCCGCAGCTTCATCAGAGTCTATCGGTTCGTCCGGTTGAGATTCAGCCTCTTCGTCATCATCGCCCATTGTGGTATCTTCCGAGATCTCCTGGATGAGTTTCTTGTCCTTCTTGGACTTCTTCTCTTTCTTGGCCGGAGCTTCATCACCCGCCAGACCATCAGCGTCCGGATTGTACTTCCGAGCTTCCTTGATCTCCCATTTCGCGGGTTGAGTCGTAGACACGCCGTTGGGAGCGATGGCGACTCCTCGCGACTTCAGCGGCTTGCCTTCCATTGCGGCCAGTTTGCGCTCAAGGTTGGCTCGAGCTTCTAGTCCAAGAGCGGCTTTCTCATCCTCGGGAATGTTTGCCTCGTCATCACCCCAGTCTTGCAGGGCGTCCACCCTCAATCCGAGCGCTGCTTTGGCAGCCAGGACTCTTGCCATCTTGCCCTTGTTCTTGCCCGAGGCCTGACCAATGAGGGAAGCATGGTAGATGAGACCATACTTGGGGGTGTCGTGTTTTGTTTTCAGAGCTCGGAAAAGGGCCTTTTCGGCTCCCAGGATCTGTATCGTACTGGCGGGACTCTTGGACAGGTTCATCAAGCTCCCGGCGTGTGCGATCAGTCGAGCGCCCACCAGCTCGCCGACAAGAGTGGTGAGGTTGGGCGCAATGGCCCTCATTCGTGCTGAGAGATAGCTGGCCAGTTGCGTTCTGTATTCTGTGAACTGAACCACCTGATCAGCCAGACTTTGGATGTTTTCCAGATCTTCCTCAGTAATCTCCGTGCCCATGGATCTATCCGCGGCAGCTTTCACCGCAGCCTCAATCTCTTCAGGTAGAATTTCACCCAGGTCGCATTTTTCATAGTTGGTCCGCATGCCCATCTTGAGAACCACTTTGGCGTAGGCAAGATTGTCGTTGAGGATCTTGGCCAGTTCAGGGAAATGCCACCCGTACCACTCCTTCACTCTCATGGCATACGTGTTCAATTCTTTGTCCAAGTCATCCAGGAGACCTATAGCCTGCACAATCATGACATCGATCTTGTCCGGCGAGAATTTGAGTTTGTGTCTGGCTAACGAGTGCGAGAGACCCAAAGACATTGTCTTGACATCTTCCGGCATCAATCCTGGGATGAGGGATGGCAGGTGCTCTCGAATGGCTCGATAGAGGTCGGCGGTTGCGGAGTCGGCGATGGCTTTGATCTCGAGGCCTGGGATCTTGCCGATTGCATTACCCAGCTTGGGATCAGCGACTGCGAGAGAGATTTTCTTCTCGTCCTTCAGCGTGTTGAGGAGGGAGGCGAGTTTGGGGGTGACCTTTCCTTCCACAATGGCAGCCGCCTCTTCAAGGGCCGCTGCAGCACTGTCGAACTTCTGGAACTCCTTCAACTTCAGCATAGACGTGACATTTTCAACGCTACCCAGTTCGGAGACCAGATCGTCCCGCTTGAGGAGTTTCTTGTCCTTCGCCTTGAGCAGCGCATAGCCGGCGGCCGTCTCGGTAAGAATGAGCAGCGTCATATCAATATTTGCGCCGCACGCGCCGGATGTTAATGTGCGAACGGGAATGATATTGATGTTTGTCTCTACAAACAATTCAGTGAACTTTCGGTTCTCCAAAATTTCGAGCAGCTGGTCTTTTTTCGGCCCACTTGCGCCAAGCCTGAAACGGGTAGTTTCTGCCAAGATTTCGTTCTCCTTTGGGGATAATATGACGCTGCTTTTGTGCCACTACAACCCTTTTCTACGGCCTGGGGAAAGCAGCACTACACGATAGACATCTTTTCAGTTGAGGTACCCGGCGACTCTACCATGGAGGATATCAGACATGATGGTGATGTCGTGTACTCGCTGGGGAAACTAGGATTAAGGTCTGCGAGTCATGTATCATTGCCGATCGAATTGCTTTGCCGAGAGCCCAGACAGGACATTCGAGGACTGAGGCCTATAGAAATTGACCAGCCATACTACTACCTAGTATCCTTCTTGCTCGCTCCAAGGTTGTACCCTTACGGACTGACCCGGAGGTGTGCATTTCATTCCACACCCAGTTGTATACTCTTCGACATTAGATTCGATAGCATGCGAGCCATTTCAGGACCGGCCCCAATCCAATCGTGGTCTGATGAGACCGAGAAGTCGATCATTAGAGAGGGAGCCCCTGTCTCACGCAGCCGCAACACTGCCTTGTATGTTCTCATGATATGCCAGAAACCGTCACTCAAGCTCGATAGTGGGCGCACGAATGGCAAAGTGGAGGCTCACTGAAGCCACTTAGGCGTATCTGCGCATCGTCAATCACCTCCATTTGCATGCGGGCGTCCGTGATCAAGTCATTGCTCAAATACCCCAGTTCCTATCAGGGACTCATCATAGACAAAACGAAGAAGATGTATTGTGTATCCTCTTGTTCAGAGAGCAGGTTGTCTGGAACAAGCGAATAGAGTCTCGCTGATGTAGAGCGAGTCACGAGTGGACCAAGTCCAGGTATTTCGAGTCAATAGTTTGATATCTTCACTTCACTTTCACTTCACTTTTGGTCACCTTATATATTTAAAATTCGCACTTTTCCTCCGCAAATGGCAGACTGAAGCTACATAAAGAGCCCTATGGCGTAGCTGGAAACAGGGGCCATGGTATTCCTCCTCGAGGAGAGTAGGTCGCTTTGCAGTGGGTTGGTGGAAGGGGCCTTCCGGATCAGATGAGGAGGAATACATCTGATCCAACAACCAGGAAGGTATGCAGAAATGTGCCGTTCGTCAACTTTTTGCCGGTTCGAACGGCCGAGGCGTAGAGTTTTTGGGTGTTGTGGTTGTGTGCGCGGGAGAAATAGATGGTGCGGCAGGGAGAAAAGGACAGATGTGCAGGTGCTGGATTGCTTTGGTATCTCTCTTCACTGGATGTTAGCAAAGGCGGCCTCCAGTACTTCGACATATGCAGAGATGGCTTCACCCATCACACTCGACAAAATCGTTCCCGCTCGCTCCTGTATGGGTGATCACAGCGGCCAAATCTCCGTTCGTGTTGAAGATGACTCTGTCGGGCCCTGGGCTTCCACCGTCATAGGCTTTGAACGTATGCAGGATTGGAAACTCATAGTAGGGGCCAGCTACCGGGAAATCGAACCCTTCGTAGTCGTTGTATTTATGTGGATACTCGTCAGAACCCTCCGTCTGGCCGGATTGATATAGCGAATAGCCCTCGGCGACAGCCTTGTCGATGGTCGACTGGTAGTAGCAGACGGTGCCGCATGTCTCGGCACAACTCTTTCTCCTTGAGAGAACGGGGTTGAATTCGATAGGATAGAGCGATGGTGCTGGAAAGCCTTTGTGTAAGAACCCTGGTGGTAGGGAGAGAACTGGCGTCATGGCAAGAAAGAAACTGATGGTGATCTTGAGGATGTTAGACGGCGACTGACGAGAGGCAAAACTCAGACGTACCTGTGGGAGATACATATTTGTTGTCATGTTGGCCCCGTCGTCTTGCGAGGCTGAGTGATATGAGAGAGTAGTCTGTGTAGCCTGTTGGCCGCCAGATGATGCTTCCTAGATGCTGTGAGATTGTTCTTGCCAGCTCTGACAGGCTGTCTCTGGTATATAAACCATGGCGGATAACAAGGGATCATTCATCTCTTATCAATGCCATCTCAAGGACGATTCCCCGATGGAAGCATATCTTTCAAATTGGTAGATATTTGAGAAACAATGGGGCATACTCCTCCATTTGATTGTGAACCCATCTCGACCCACGTTTTTGAGACTAGCCGACATGATGAGAGTGCAAAGACTTACATACAGACAACATCTTTTGCGTCGAGTGGTTGGCCCCTGCTGGGGCCGTTAAGCAAGTTGATGACCGCTAGGTGTAAGCGATAAATGCTCCAACGAACACGAAACTCGACGAATATGACAAGACGACCTATCAAGATGTAGAAGAGCAAGGAACCAGAAGGGGAATGGGACGAAGTTGTCTTGAAGCACGATTGCTTGGTTCCACTCTGTCGAAGCAGACCCTTGACCCCCCTTGTATGCAGCCTGATTGGTTGAGGAGGTACTCAAGCAATCTACTACAGGAATGCCATCTGTCTGACCTCTCGACAAGGTCGTGCAGAAGGTTACATGAGGAGGCGGCGGGGAGACTCGCCCTTCACTGTCGTCCTCCTCAATCAGAATCGGTTGAACGTTCATTTCTGTCATTGTGGTGTCACCGGCGTGTTTCCATGCGCGAGGAAGACCCATCTCATCGTAAAATCCAATGTCCGAGACGCTGAGCGCGATAAGCCAGTCGCACCTCCAGGTCCGAGTACATATTTACAATCATAACATTCAGATCACGGATGCATGAACGCTCGTACATCCCACACGCAGACACGTTCATCCCAACCACAACTCGCCGCCCACCCCTCGCTACCGAATAGACACCAGTCGACCCCGGTCACAAACTCGGTATGTCGACCCATGCTACCAAGCTCTCTGGCCTGTCCACCTTGGTCACCTCCATCTGTCCAGACGCGACATGTCATGTCATAACTGGCGCTCAGCAATAAATCTGGCAGGTGTGGACTCCACGCAACCTTCCGCACGGCATATCCGTGGCCTTGTAACAACTGAAGCGGCCCTTTGGGCTGCCGTATATCAAATGTTCGGATGATGCGGTCCACTCCAGCCGTCGCCACAATCGTTCCTCGGTATTTGTTCCAGTCATGTGTGAGTGCTTCGGCTGGCGGGAAGGTGGGCTGCAGTTTGCCAACTCCGACAGAGAGGGGTGCTGCATGAATCGGAATCTGCATCGTGAGGTGATTGCTGGCGCTGGCGGGCGTTCTCAGATCCCAGACTCGTAAGTGGCTGTCAGAGCACACTGCGCTGAGCATGCCGTCTGTATAAGGGTTCCATTGGGTACTGTAGGTACATGAATGTGTCGGCAACGTTAACAGACTCTGTTGTCGCTCTGGATTCCATATCTTGACAGTCCCGTCCCACGAGGAGGACGCAAAGGTGGCTTTCGAGGTGAGGTTCCAACTGCAGGAAAACGCTTCCCGGGAGTGTTCTTGGAAGGTGGCGATGGGAAATTCAGGTGCCAGAGACGTGTCGTAGAGTCGGAGGGATCCGTCTCCAGAAGAGGTGAGGACGTGGAATGAATGCGCTTCGGAGTGTGTTACATCGTAAAGGGCGTCTTGTGTAGGATAACTAACCCGTCAGTCCATCCTCATCCGTGTACTGTTGCCAGGGTCGACCTACCTTTTGAGAGGCTGGATGCCCTGTGGTGTCAACTCCAAGATATAGAGACGTCCATTACCCACCAATCCATAGTTCGCCGATGCCGCAACTGCTAATCGATTGTCGAAGAAAGGAGAATACTTGACCGCATAGCCTTGAAAGCCCTGGGTGCGAAATTCTAGCATGGCGTCTCAGGCGGTGGGTTGAAGGGCCTATTCGGCGCCGCCATCACAACTTGCGAGAGAAGCAGCTTGATCTTGATGCGTCAGAATGCATGAGGACGAATTTCACCGTGTCGACAGCCGAGGGATTATACTAGGAGAACAGAGAAGTCATTAGAGAGTAATTAGCTGATAGCGTGGCCCTAATGAAAATTAGAGACCGGGCTGTGGTATTACAGATAAGATAACGCTTAGAACAGAACGTGTCTAGGTAGCAAATCACTGCCGAATTCTTCCCCGGGTATTATACTACTAGCACATGGGGTTACTAGTACTAGTATCTACTACTACTTAATAATAAGGTATTTTGGCATCTGGCATCACCGCAGCCAACATCCTCAATGAGTGATCGATGACTCGCCAGTTCCAGAGCAACAACGCCACGCATTCAATCTGGCTCTGGCTGCGCAACTCTTCTGACTATGGCTCCAAGCAGAGGATCAGGGAAGGCGTATTCCTTACATGCTCGATCCCAGCATGGATGCCTTCATATCCCGCAAGAGGCGTCGTATTTCGCCGTCGCCGGAGGCTGACTTCGACTTTGTCACGGACTGGCAACCGACCACACAATTCAATACAGAAGATAGAGAACCACGCGAGGAAGAAACCACCGATGTCAAGCTAGCAATCCTCTCGTCGCTCCGCCCTGACAGGTCTCCAGAGGATCTCCTTGAAATCCTTTTGGGCTGCGAGGGTTCGGTGGAAGACGCCCTCCAGACACTGGCTGTGTCCACGAGCAGCACGACCGAAATCGAGAACGCAAGCACATCGCCCACAGCCAAACGAGGTCGACTCGCCACTCCTGGTTTGCAAAGTGCACTTCCGTTCACAGCGGCGGAAAAGAAAAGGTTGGGTTCGGCAAGGGCTCCAATCTTGACGAAAAAGGGCAAGACGTTACATCTGTACACGCCGGAGGACATTGCACAACACACTCCCTGTTCCGTCATCCACAACTTCCTCCCGACCGACCTGGCCAACGCATTGCTCGAGGAGCTGCTCGCCGAAGTGCCCAGCTACGAGAGCATCAGGTTCAAGCTCTTCGACAACGTGGTCAAATCGCCTCACACGGCATGTTTCTACGTCGAGAGCCTCGCCGAGCTGCAACGGCAGAGGAGCGAATACTACTACAACGGCAACGACTTGGGGGACATTCGGCAGATCCTGCCTGTTATGCGGCAAGTGAGCGACCTGGTCCGCGACGCCGTCAACACCGAGATCGCCATCCGCATCCGCGACTTCAACCCGGGCGCGAATAAACTGCAGTACCAGTCGTCGAAGCCATGGCAGCCCAACGCCGCGTTTGTGAACTGCTACGACGGCGGCGCCCAACACGTCGGCTACCACTCGGACCAGTTGTCGTATCTAGGCCCGCGCGCGGTGATCGGGAGTTTGAGCCTCGGTGTCGCAAGAGAGTTTCGGGTCCGCAAGATCGTGCCCAAGGACGATGACGGCGGCAAGACATCAATACCCGAGCCTTCGGGAAGGCAATCTGCTGCGGTTTCGTCGTCGGCCGATCTCTCGGGCCAGATCGCAATTCATCCCCCTCATAACTCGTTGTTGGTCATGCACGCCGAGATGCAGGAGGAATGGAAACATAGTATTGCCCCGGCCCAGACGATCACGCCGCACCCAATCGCGGATAACAAACGCATCAACATCACTTACCGCTGGTATCGGGAGGAATTCCGGCCCAAAAATACCCCCAAATGTCGCTGCGGCGTGCCGTGCGTGCTCAAGACCGTGCAGAAGCAGAAGGCCACTCGGGGTCGGTATATGTGGATGTGTCAAATGGGCAACAGGCCGGAAGGTGGTGAAGGGTGCGGATGGTTTGAGTGGGCGAGGTTCAACGATGATGGAGCTCCGATTGGTTGGAATCGTAATCACGATCATGACCACCGTCGGAATACAGGTGCTGTGGATTGTGTTGCTGCTAGTCTCCGAGATGGAGACGCTGCTAGTGGTGGTGGTGGTGACACTGCTAGGGGTAATGGTGACAATGGCCAATACCAATGTGCAGCCTGATCACAATCTTTCTTTGCGAGGAGTCGGTCGAGGCAACAACAGTGATCAACTCTTACGGGTGGAAGTGCCAGAATAGGTATATACTTTGAATGACGGGACCCAGAGGCAGTGAGAAAGTGGTACTGACCCTGGGAACGCTCCAAGGCCTCGCAACGATGGGGATAGCAGATGCTCTTGGTGACGATAATGATGTGATGAAGAAATGGAAAAACCCCCTAGTCTCAGGTTCGGTATACACAATCTACTCAGACCGTACTTGCCACGAGTTTTTCACGGAAGACATATATTGATCCTCTCATCAGATAGATGTCAACGCCAACGCTCACGCTCAGATGCTGTAGAGGGTTTCTAGATACGGAATATATACTTCCATAACGTGGCCATTCCGTTCGAGTTGAGTGACCCGCGGCATTGAGTCTGATATTAAAGCAGTCAGTTCTCATGCCACTGCCAATTTTTTTTTTCTCATCCTAACAAGCCTCTTCTTGTCTTGAAGTCAGTCTTTGTGACACGTCGCCGGCATGCCGCGTCATACTGCCACTCCTAGCTGCCATCCGTCATGACCATCAACGGGAAGTGTAAGCCTCGTCTGAGCTTCAATCCTTTCCGGCAATGGTGGAATCGCCAACGACGGGGACATCGACGTAGATAGAGGAGTAGTACTAGACCTCCGCGCCGCCAGCACGGCATGCGGTGGCGTACGGGTTCCAGGCGTATTTTCACCGCTGGCAGTATACGACGAGCGTTTTTGGCTTGATCTGGACTTTGATCTTGATCCCGCGTCTGGTCTTGATCCTGATCCTGGACTAGGACTTGGCCCAGCCACTGCCACTGCCCCAGTCATTGGCATTGCGGTTGCCGTTGACGCAAAGTATCCTTCCAAATTCGGCAGCGAGTGTCTCGAACTATTCATGAACGTCGTAGCGGACATTGCTGGACCACGCGTATACGGCGACGGTGACAGAAAGGCCGGCATCAAATCGGATATAGAGGCGTTTCGATGTGAAGGTGAAGGCGATGGTGAACTCGGCAGGGACAGACGAAAGTCTGGTGCCAACGGCAATGGCCATGCCATGGGCTTGGACTTGGGCATTTCGGTTACAAGCGGAGGCGCGGATCTGCGGTTCTGGGATTTCAGAGATTTCAGGCTCGTGGAGGAATCGTAACGTCGTGATTTTGGTCTTGAACTCGACCCGGATCCCGTCCCAGTGGCATTGCCAGCACTAGCACTAGCATTAGCACCAGCATCGGCTATGCTGTCCGGCACGTCGAGAATGAGGTTATAGGTTGAGCTGCGTGCGTCGGTCTGGAGAAGGCCCGGTTCGGAATATAACGATGTTCGGAGATCTGCCATGTGTCGAGTGGAAGGTTGGGGACGGGTTCGACTGCGTGACTGGGACTGTGAGCGTGAGTGTGAGCGTGAATGTGATCGTGATCGTGATCGTGATCGTGAATGAGATCGTGACCGAGGCGAGTCTACCCGCTGCAGTAAAGACGAGTGAATATCTCCAGAAAGAAGGGCCGAGGACGACGGAGGTCGCGAAAAGTCCAAAGCATGCGTCGAAAAATAGGAGTGGGAGTGCTGCAAGGTATAGTAGTCTGAAATATCATTCCTCGGCTCTTGGAACAGCAGATGCGGCGTGCCGTACAGAGACCTTCTCAGCTCGGCCTGGCGGTTCTTGACATCGGGCTGTTGTGTGTTTTGTTGTGGTAGGGTCAGGACGGGCCTACTTCGAGGGTGCCGTAGGTATGGCATCAGATGGGCGTAGATGGCCCAGGCGAAACAGATGAGGAGGAGTAATGCAACGGCGGCGAGGATGATGGTCACGCCAGGACTGAAGGTGCCCATGACAGCGTGGCAGTGACTATCAATCAATTCGCTGCCATCGTCTGGCAAGGCCAGAAAAAGGGTGTAGTTGGGGACGAAAAGGAGTGGAAAGGAAAAGGTACGTAGTGGAAAGGAAGACCTTAGGACGGTATACAGCCGACGGTTCAAGAACAGAAAAGAACATTGGGAACCACGACAACGGGACATGACATCTCAAAGGGCTTCGCATGTATCTCTCTCTCTCTCTCTCTCTCTCTCTCTCTCTCTCTCTCTCTCTCTCGGGCGCCAGAAGCTGGAACAAGATTCGCGCCATCTCCGATACGATAACAAACCTGATCTGCCTGATCTGCCTGATCTCCCCGTTTTGGTGACCGGAGATATGGTTTCACCCCGTCAAGCGGCAGCTAGATAACAACACACAGGGATCTGGATTCCGGACCTGCAAGGACGGGTCGACGGCATGCAGTGGAGATGCAGATGCAGACACGGCTTGAAAGCTTACCTTGTTGGACGCCAAAGGCGACGGAAACAGACCAGCGTCGGTGTTAGACTGTTATTTAGTAGGGGAGAGAAGAGTTGGCCTGAAGCGAAGTGGACGGAGTTTGAAATTCGCGGGTTGGAAGAAGAAGAATCATAGATGTCGTTATATGCGTGTCCTGATTGGCCAAATGGAAAATGGACCCGCACGAGGCTGTCACCAAAAGAAGCCACAGGGGCAACAAGACCGGGGTAAAGAGACCGGGGTCCTCTCAATTAGTAGTAGCACCCGTCCTTTCTCTTATCTGGATCCATCCATCGGGCTCCGGTGCAAGATAAGCTGGCCAGCTCGTCGTTGATACGTACGGAGTCCGGACTGGGCTAACGGCCACAGGCAGCTAGTTGTGCTCGAAGTCCGGCCAGGCGGTATCTGAAATCAAGGAATGGAAAAGAAATACACACTCCCTGGCCGCACCGGGGTCAGTTGTAAGTGGAGAGATCGTCATCTCTACCATCCCTTTTGCTACAACTCATACAGTGTGCCCCCCGAGTGAGGATTGAGGTACCTACCCATCTGGGCGAGGAGCCCGCCAGCAAGCCATGTCCATAGCAGCAGCCCCATCGGCAGCGGTCCCCTACTAAGGTCACGTCCAAGGTCGGAAAGCAGAGGAAAAGAAAGGAACGGAAAAGTGGCATGTGGAGATGTATTAAATCATGCTCTTAGAGCCATGGTGGCCCCCATAAGCCGCCATCGAGAAGGCTTTCCTCCTCACTCAGCCCGGAAGATTGTCTCATTTCTGCCAGACCAGGGCAGCCTGGTCGGCGCTATGCTCGCTATCAAGCTCCTAGCAACATCTACCGCCCGCTGGCCTGTCATCAAGCATGTTCTACATCACAGACCCCTCCGTCTCGGCCCTTCCACCTCCCGAGGACTTCTTCACCAGCTTCTGTGGTGACAGCTTCTTGACAATGGTTTGTGCGTGACGGCGAACAGAGCGAGCAATCGTAGTGCCTTGGGTAGGGTGAGATTCCTTGGTGAGAGCGTTTTTGTAGTACTCTTCCAGAGTACCGAGGTCGAGGTTGATATGGTAATCCTGGCCAGATCCGAAACACTCACGGACCTCACTCAGAAGTCTCAAGGCATCGACTGCACGAATGGTGGGATGATTTGCCTCAGCGTCAGCTCGGAGACTGTACAGCCTCAGGTTGGCACAGCGTGGATTGAGGAGACGAACGACCATGCCACAAACAAGAGTTCGCTGCAAAGGATCGGCGGTGTAGGTCCTGTAAACGTCTGACAAGTCCATATCTGCTGAACTGCGAGCCTTGGATTTGCCTTTCTGAGCTGCTCTCATTGCAGCCTCTGACGCGAAGATGTCGATTGTGGAAGACGAGCTCGTTTCAAGCCACGTGTCTGCAGGCATGAACGTATGACGGTATTTGATGACAACTGTGACAACAATAGCTTCATTCTTCTTGCGATTGTCCATTTTAAGGACATCAAGCCAATGTTCGATGATGGAAAGTGATGCAGAATTCTCCTGACATTGTGCTAGATTCTGGTTTCCCTTGGATCGGACAGAAGTGGACAATCTGGAAGCCAAACTGGTCTCTTTGACCCCAAAGTGCACGGCACTGACCCAGTTGTCGCCCAGATGTAGTGTCTCGCGTTTGGTGGGGCCCATTTCAACAAGCTTGGTGCCGGGGCCGGAGATGAAAGTCTGCATTTGCAAGTCGGTCAAATGTCCAGCATAGTTGTCCAGCAGACGATAGGGAGGCAAAGGGAACAGATCTGACTCGGCGTCTGATTCAGGTTCGGCCATGGAAGCATTTTGGGGGACAATGGTGACACTGAAGATGGCATGCGCAGTTGCACTGAAATTTGACTTCTGGCCAAACGATGTGGTAGTGAAAGTGTCGATCTTGACTGCGGCAATGGCTGGGAGGGGAATGTCTTCTGTCGAAAGCGAGACGCCTGGAAACATGCTGCTGCCATCGCTCTCCAACGAAGGCCGAGGAGCTCGCAGAGGGTTTGGGCTTTGCGCCAGGTGCTGCGAAATCGGCCTCACACGGCTGGCCAGGGTCTCGTCAAAGGACGTTGCCGCCGTTTCGAGGCTGTTGCGGCTCGTTCTGTTGGAGGAGATTTGGGTTTGCCTCAGGTGTAGAGGCCCGAGCACCCGGTTCACGTAGTCACCGTCGGGAAACCCGCTGTCGGCACTTGTGCCATTGTTTGAGACGTCGTTGGCGACCCTCTCGACTCCAAAGCGCTCACTGTTCACAGCAGTGTGGTTGTCGACGGTTGAACCCCCATTGGCAGGCTCGTCGTTGCTGGAGTTGCTGCTCACGGACACGCTGGTGCTGGCCATGATGTTTGGACAGATCCGTTGCAGAGGGCCGGGTCTGTGGTGTGAGGTTGGAGGGTCTCTACAGACTGGCGTGGGAGCCTTCTGCGACGACAACGGCTTCGGAAACGCCTGTAGAGAGATGAGAATAAGCCAAAGGATCAATAGGATGCAAGACCTTCGGATGGCTTACCCTGAAGTGTCGGTCTAATCTGTATCTTTTGTGTGTCGTCGATTGAGTGAGAGTTGGAGTGTGAGGAAGTTTGGAGACAGGAACGCGGCGAAGAGCAGGCAACGGCTAGACCGCAGTCAGTAGAAGTCTTCAGGCAGAATGACACCTGAGTGTAGAAACATGCTTACCGTGTTCTCGATCTTGACCAGAAGATCTTGCTGCGCTGTGTGCGAGAGTGCGTGGTGGGTGGTGAGGAGGGTGGAAAAGGAGCTGCAGCCGTGCGAAGCCTGGTCTTGGCTGATATCGCTGCGAGTGCGCGACGTGCTCTCTCGGCTCCAAATCGACGACAACGATCCCGACAATGACCTGAGGCTGAATCTTCGGCTCTTCTGCGACGATCTCGTCGAGGAAGCACTGTCGGTCACATTCAAGTCCACGTGGGCCACCCTGACGACCCTCGGGGTCAGGTCGGGGTCTTGATTGTCCATCATGAAGAGATCAACGGCACGCTTTGAGGTCTCTGCCCTTCTCGACCAGGTATCGGTATTCTAGTCTTATCCAGTCCTCATTCCCAGGCTGGCCAGATTCGACGCTGACACACAAGCAGACTCTTCTGAGCAATCAATATAGCCTTCCCTTCTCAACCTGATCTCTAGGCCGGCGCAGAATCTCCACGGTCTCCTTCACCAGAAAGGGTCTGACGGTACCCGTAACCAGGCGCAGGCCACCCGTCCTGAAAGGTCTGATCGGAGGACAGATGGCTATGGCTCAAGGCATCCAAGTTTTGTCCAACTCCTGGCTGCATGAAATGTTTCCGAAAAATCCACTGCACATTCAAACGCAGGCTGAGAAGACACCGCGCTGCGCCCGGAAAGCTCTTTGTTATCAGTGCACAGGCTGCCGACAGGAAGGTTTGCATCAGTGCCAGTAACAGAATGATCAGTGACCAGAAGGTATGGCGCCACTGCTCAAGCTTCCTTCGGATCGACCCCCAAAGCCAATGACACAAGAACACAGCGAAACCGAGGAAAACAATGCAGACTATTATGACGCCCCAAAGCAGTTGAGTCTGCCGTGCGCTGTTGGGTTCAGTCATCTGAGAAGGCAATACACGCCGTAGAGATGCGAGCCGTAGCCAAATCAAAGACAAGAGGCATCTTCTGAACAGTATGATTGTGACTTTCAGGGTCCAGAATGCCAGAGAGCGACAGAGACTGATCTTTGAGACCACCCTTTGTTTGCTCTGCAGGAGCGTCTCTGGAGTTTTCCGTCCAAGCTGTGGGCGGTAGCAGGAGCGTCCAGGAAGCATGGCCCGCATTCGTGTCTTGATAACTTGGTCGTCCCGGCTGTGGCTGCGTATGGAGTCTGTATCATTTCCTTGAGCATCGAACTCAGGGATCAGACCTTAGGACGGTACTGTCGAGCCATACATCGCTATGGCATCTTTGACAGCATCAAACTGCTCCTCATCGAGTTTCGAAAAGCGGATTTGTCGATCAGCGGCGAGCAGCATCCTCTGATGGGGCTCCGTGTCCCGCATATCGATCGAACCGTTCCCAGTTCGCCCGCCGTTGTTGCTGCCAAACAGGGCGCCTTCACTCACGCTCGCTTCAATGCCGTCGTTGACTCGTGACTCCCACACGCCATCCCACTTCCAGTCACCAGGATGCTTGGGTGAAGAGAGTCCGACTCGATCCCCTTCTCCCGCCGGGCTGTTCGGTCGGATTGGCTTTTTCGCTAGACCTCGATGGGCGCGCCAGGCATGCCATGCACTCGGATTTCCAGCAGCATCCAGGGGCATATTGTCCAGCAGCGTTTCATTCTGGAACGCATCTTGAATGTGGTGCAGCACTTTGACAATTATGCTGCTTCGATCCTTGTGGATATGATCAGGCTGAGGAAAAGGAGGTGTGCAGGCTTGCTCCGTCACACCACGAACATTGTTCCCTTCGACACTCGAGCTCCCAGGTCCAGACCAATGAGGAAACCCATAGCGCAAGCTGAATGCCCCGGGAGGAAGACGATCCGTCTCTGACGCGCTCAAAGTGTTCGATGTATCGCCGGCGCCGGCACTGAAGGCATAGCTCGTCACAGGAACGACCAACGGGTGAAATATGTCACTCGAAAAGGTCACGAGGGGAGGGACGTCCGGATAAGTGTCTGGGAAGGAGATCTGAAATCGAAGAATCGCTTGAGCATACGGGCCTAAGATTTCCACATCAGCTTTTCCACGAGGTTGAGTGAGGTCGTTGCAATGGTCGCACCCTTGCGAACAAACAACACCCCGGCCCAAAGCGAGGGGTTGCCTGGAGTGAGGGAGAGATAAATGCCCGAGGGACAACGGCCTCTGAGCGAAGAGCTTGTGAAGGGCGTTAGCAACAGCGGCCAGTTGTGTGCACAAGTCACTCACAAGTCCAAGACAAGTTGTTGTCGACGAAAGGAAGGGAGCAAAGAAGCAGCCATGGTCGTGGAAAAGAACAAGGGATTGGAGAAGCGGTTTAAAGATGGAGGGCGGGAGCTAGGACGCCCAGGACTCCCTAGACACCCCTAGACTGCCGCCCCACGCCTGATCAGCCCGCCCAGAGATCGAACCCTACAGGGGTGCCCGGCTTCCGCAACTCAAGTCGTACACAGAACACCCGCGGGCCATTAATTGTGCAACCAAATATGAACCGCGCTGTGTGATGGTTGTGCCGAGACAAGACAAGACAAGACGACCCTGACGCAGAGATGACCTAGTGATTGTTCAAAGAGTCATAGAATCATAAGATTGGGTATCAAGGAATCGCTCTATTCACGCCACGAAGAGGTCAAGCAACAGAAATGGGCCTCAAAGAGGCTTCCTTCGACTCTGGGAAACCGCATCAATGCCGTCGTTCACACCTCCAAGGATTCCTTCGAGGATCCATGACCCAGCATCGAAGAAGACACTTCCCACCCGGCCGTCCTTGAACCGGATCAGTGCGCGATGCAACTCCACACCGCGCTCACCCAGGACCGAAGTCATGTCCAGACCATTGGTGATGATGCGCTCGGTGACCTGATGTTGGCGCTCAAGTTGCAGCATGCGATTGAGCAATGTCATCAGCACCGGAAGGATCAAGAGAAAAGAGGTGAAGAGCCAACATATTGCTTGGGCAATGACCTGCCTCAGGATGTTGGGGGTCCGCTGGCCATGCAACTCGCGGGTGTCGGCTGGTTGAAAGATCAGTTGAGGCGACAAACTGGCACGTAGCGATTCGGCTTCCAGAGGGCTCAAATCCGGAGGCAGCGCCATGTGCATATATCGTAACGCATCGATATGCATGCTCCGGAGCGCGGTCGGGTCACCACCTTGTTCAGCTTGTGTTTTGGCCGTGATCCACAGTCTGACTCCAGTAGCAGCAACATCCCAGTCGATGCCCGATGCGTTCTCTGGCTGTGGAATGACTTTGAGACCGATATCTTGTGGACAGGGGGCTTCTTCCGGACTTTCGGGTCTTATCGTGGGTGTGCTCGCACCGCTGGAGGGGACGGTGGATGCAAAGCCGTAACCCTCCTTCTCTTTATCGGTGTCCACGCAGGACAAGATATATCCTTTTCTGCGAACATAAGATGCATGGAGGACGGCGGCTCTTGCGGAGTGACGAAGCGACGACAAGACAGGTATTCTCGATCGAACGACCGAAGGGATCATAGTATATAGGCACGACTCGTGGACTTGATCGCAAGCAATGGTGTTGGCGCCCACAAGGCTGCGATTGAACCCGTTCACTGTCATGATTGAGGCCGGCGCGGGTTTGCGACAGACAACCCACAATTGATGCACTGGAACCTGTATCGAACAGGTCGAGAAGGTTCAAAAGTAGGATGGCTTCTAGAAGGGCATACACCGTACACCACAGATGTTGGGGAAGAGAACGCCCGCCATGGAAGGATATCTCGCCAGAAGATGTTTCACATGCAGATTGCGCATTTTCTACCTATGCACGACATCAAGTCGACACATGGGACAAGGCACGGTCTGCTGGTCTCTGCCTCTGCCTCTTTCGCTGAGAAGAGTGGGATGGTGCGGGTCAGGGGGTCCGTCCCTAGGTCTGTACTGTGTGTGGTAGGTATGTTGAAGAGTTGGATCTCTTTCACATGCAAGACAACTGCCAACGGCCAGTGCAGGGCTGCCAGTGGGTGTCAGCGCAGCGTCCAGCTATTGGCACGTTCTCGCCCAGCTATGGAAATCAGACTCCCTAGCATCTTCGGTTGCCGGGACTTCGGGTGAGATAGGGAATCTGAGTCTCGAACTGGTTGTCAGATGTTGCCAATCTGCTTCGCTTGCTGCCTGCTACTATCAATGAAATCTTGACTGTAAATACAGTAGTAGTATACAGCAATATATCATGTAGCTGGTCATGATTTGTTTGTATTCTGTATGTTATCAGCTTCAATTGCCAGTTCGGAGGATTTCGGCCGAGGACCCAGACTGGATTCGGATCAATCTTCGTCCGTGATATTGTAGAAGCGTTGTAACATGTATATCTGCCATCACCATGCCAGGCTACGTGTCGACAAATGGGATGTACACTTCGAAACGGTGTAATCATGGTAGTCATTCATTTATTCTTCTCTACTCTAAAAGCCCGGGTCAGCGTCAGGGCAATGCCCTTGACGGCCACTGGTGATCAATCAAACATAAGGCGTGAACCATACGCCGTCCGCGTGCGCCCTTTGCCTGACCATTTCCGTCCGATGCACGACATAGATTACGCCCTGTGCCATCATCCCACATGTATATATCTCTCTCGATTGCCAGGGGAGGCTAGATGGAGAATGTGTGAACAGTCTGTCTTCCATCGGTCATGTCATGTTCATATCAATCAATTAAATCCACCCATATATCCCGTTCCCGCCCCGTGGCCTGTCAAATGATTCATATCCTGGTTCGTCATGAATTCGTTGGCTCCATTTTGTTCCTGCTGCAGTGCCAGAGACATGCCTGTACTGCTCATGCCCAATCTCATCGAGGCAGGAACGCTGTATGAACCAAAGACAGCGTCGCTGGGGATGCTAGATGGAAACGATGCGGCCGTGGTGGTGGCGATGTTGGTATGAGAGGCCATCATGTCCCCTGCCGGCCCACCCAGACCGAGATCGAAGTTCACGTCGTCCATCATGCCGAGATCGAGATTGCTAAAGTCGATGCTGTCGAAGTCGAAGTCCATGGGCTGCTCGAACGCACCGGTCGCCATGGCCGGGTTCGACATGCCACTGCCAGTGTCCAGAGCAACGGCCGGCACGGAGCTGGACTCGTTTGACTTGGACGACGACAGACTCCTTCGTGCATTCTGTCGGGCCGTCGTGCTGCCATGGCTGGCCGTGCTGCCAGCCTTGGACTTCAAGCCGCCGGGGATGACGTAGGGGGCCATGATGGGCACCTCGGCCAGCGACTGCGTGCTCATGGACTCGGTGAAGCCGCTCAGGCCTTGCTGGAACTTGAACGTGTCGAGCCATTGCTGGTTGTCGGCGCACGTCCAGTTCCACGGATCATCGTCCTCGAACACAATCATGCGGGCGTGCGTCTGGATCTCGTGGTCCGACGGAACCCGCCCGGCCGCCCGCTGCTGCGACACGAACTTGGTCAGTTCCTGCTCCAGTCGGCCCCAGCAGTTGGAGTCTTTGGTGAGTTGGTCCGGCTCGGGGCTGTCCGCGGCCGTGGTGCCGTTGGTCAGACCTGCGTCGTTGGCAGTGGTGGCGGTGGTGATGGACGCCGACGTCGCCTGCGCACGCGCAACATACGGTTCCATGGTCAACCGCTCGTAGCCGATCAGGTAGGGAGGAATAGCGTTCTCGACCAGTTTCTCGACGTACGGCTCGAACCCCCATCCGTTGGACCACGTGCTCATGTCGGCGCCGTTGCGGAAGTGCGCGGCCAGATGGTCGGCGCGTTGCTGCCACGTGGTGAATTTGGACGGACAGAAGCCACACGCCGATTTGATCTCGTTGGTCGTCGTCTTCCACGACTCCATGTGCGACTGCACCTTGGCGTTGTGCAACAATTTCAGATGCTGGCTTAGGTGGTCTTTCCTGTAGAAGGTGCGTTCTTGCAGCGTCTTCTCTTGACAGGCCGTGAAGTTGTGCATCTCCAGATGTGCCGTGCTGGGGTTTGGCTCGCGGCAGAAAACGCACATTTCCACGCCGGTCAGGGCATCAACGCTGGTGCCGCCGTTGGGACAACATGTCCAGCGTTCCAATGCCAAATGTAACGACTTCTCGTGGCGCTGCCAGTCGTACTTGGCTGGGAAGGAATCCGTGCAGAATGTGCACTGGAAGATCCTCGCACTTCGAGATTTGGCTTGCTGGGTCGCCGTGCGTTGGGTCATGGGCGCCCTTCTGCGCCTCCGGCGATCTTGGGACGACGCAAACGACCCTTTGGAGCGGTTGGATCGCGACGAGGCAAAGGTGAGGTCACTGTTGCTGGATTCTCGCGTTCCGAAACTGCTCACCGACGGGGCGCGGAACATGGAGAAAGACGAGTCGTCCTCACTCGACGTTCTCTTCGAACTGGGTCTCGACCCGGCCCAGGAGCCTTGAAGGCTGACTTGAGAAGACTTCCTGACCGGGAGTGGCGTCGAAGTGACGGCTCTGGCAATGGCCGTCATGGAAGCAGGTTCGTGTTCCGGCGGCGAGGCCTTCCAACGGTCTAGGGGATTCAGCTCGGTGATATCAGGGTTCTCGCGTTTCTGCGGGACGTCAATGGCTCCCAGCATGGGCGACGATGGTCCCGAGACAGGCCTGACTTTGCCTCGTCTCCGGGCGTTGGCCAACCAGTTTGAAATCTGGCTTCTCTTCAGGCCGGTGACCTGTTTGAGTTCATCCTTTTCCCGTTCATTCGGGTATGGATGATCGGCATGTTCGGCGAGCCATTGCTTCAAGATCTTGACGGCATCTCGGGGAAATCGCGCGCCTGTCTTGCGTCCACGTCCTTCTTCCATCGATCTCATCGCCTTCCGTCGCTCAGTCAAGCCGCCCTCGCAGACTTGTTGATCTTCCGTAATCCCCGGGAAGGTGCTGACGAACCCCTTTGGGATTTTAGGATGCACGAAGCTGCATTCTCGATACAAAGAGATGCAGCACGTGCAGCCGGTAATCATGGTGCCTCTGCTCGCCAGGAAGCAGTCCAGCCCCATCCTCGCGCAAAGATCACACGATTCTTTGGCTCGAAAGATGGGGAAATCCGTAGAGAGGTCCGAGGTGTGTGGAATCGCCTCGATTTCGACATTGTTGATCAATTTCAGCTTGATGATGCCTGGAGCCGACTGGCGTGGTGCCGGGAGGGCATTCGACTTGTCAAAGAAGAGTGATTCGTAGTTCTCAGACGCTTCCGCCTCGTTGACCTGGCCCCGAAGTGAAGAGCAGTCGTCCAGGTCCAATGCCGTGATGGCATCGGATGCGTCTTCGAAATCAAAGTATTCCATCTTCGGGACCCCTCTGGATCCTCGTCGAATTCGAGGATGAATGGTTCGCAGCCTTCTGTCCGTTGCCCTTCAGGAGAGATAGAAAGGACAACAAGCTGGGCTGTAAGTCCTGAGATATTCAGCCTTTCCCCGGCGGACAACTGCGGTCCTCCCAGGTCGGGTGGGGATGGTTGTGACTCCTCAGGCACCTCTTTGGTGGTGGGTGTCAGGGTCCCAGGGATCCGGCAATGCACGCCCTTCGCTCGACATCCTGGCAAGGATGATTCCCTTTTGGGGCTCCCGATGGGTGGACAGTGGTGGACAAGTAGTGGACACTCTTCAGCACGCCATCCAAGCACGATCCCTTCCGTCGGTGGCTGCTTATGGCACTTTCCAGAACACCACTGCACACACCCACTCCCGTCACCCACAGTAGTATCTGTGCCGCTTTTGATCAGAGAGCCAATTGATCAGGCTCCTCGACCGTCAGGCCCCCTAAAAGTCTGGTTCTCCTCACCCAGACCTGCCTGCCTGAGCGGCTTTTGCGTTTGATTACCTGTAATAAGTGCCTGTCGGTTTCCCTCATCACAACGAGCCATTGGGTACGTTACTTTTAGCGATTGTTAACATTATTGGTCGAGGCGTTTGGGACAACGGCTGCCCTGCGTCAATCTTTTGACCACGAAGCACAACGCTGACAAAACGTGCGCTTCAGAAGTCCGGAGGTGGTAGCACTTCATCACTTGAAGGTTGGACCGGTTTTTCGGGAAGACGTATGGCTTGAATCTTCAAGTTGTTGTCCAGGGTACTCCTGGGATGAACTGTTCGCTCATGACAACATTGCAAAAATATACGCGCAGCCGCAAGGTTACCAGGGCAATCTTGAACACTTTATGAGTTTCGGTGGGTTCGACTTATTCTACTGAAATTCTGGCTCGCTGTCCCAGGATATGCAGGGCTTGCTGCAAAATAAATCGGCAATTGCGTCCTTGATATTGGAAGTGCGACGCAAGGATAGACCGTGTCAGCAACTCTGTTAAGGTGAATGCTCTGACAAGGTCAAGCCCCTGTGCAGATAGAGTTTAGCATCTGGTGTCTTTGTCTCGTTGTTTTTGCTTGCAGCCAGCCACTCACTGCATCGAGGTGCTGGCACAGATGTCTGAACAGGTCTTCTCGATCTCTGCAGTGAAGGTGAAAGTCACCGATTCCGCCGTTGAGAATCTTGGTCGAAGCAAGCCCATTAGGGACGCTTCGAGTCGTTTGTTTTCTTTCACTCTTCAGCAGAATCGTTTATGAGATATAATTCCTTCGGCTGGGATGGCTCAAATGTGGTTATGATCTCGGCGGCCGTGGCTCGATACGCCTTATTTTGGCTCCGATCGCATGGACTCGGTGAACACTATGAGAATCCGGACACGTGTCGACTCATTCACATGGTTGGCCTGGGGATGTCTCCTGACTGGGAGCCCCGGATTGAGGATTGGGATCTGCGGACACACCAGAGAGCGTGTAGCATCCAATAACCGCTCATCCGTGCACTATTCTGTCCAGCTTTCTGGGCCCAGGATAGCAGATTTACTTACCTGCCTCTGAGCATCCGCCCTGACTTCTGTGCCTTTGGAGTTGGCGCTTGTATCTGGTGAACCAAGAATCTTATCGTCTGGAATTTCAACAGCACATGGCCGAGGCTGAGACCTTAGGGGGCTTCACGTCAACTCATATGCTACAGCCACATGAAGACCCAGCCTGGCGTGGAAACGGAGAGCTGAAAACCCTGAGCCAATGGGTTGCAGGTTTGCGAGACGACAACTTCAGCTGCTGACTCGATGTAGCTTCTTCCGCGTAGCGGCATGAAGGACAATTACCCCTTACCAACACATCACTCCTTCATTGCGACCGGGGGGTTGACGAAGCCTCGCAAAATGTGATACAACTTGGACGGCGAGTGATATTTGATCTTTCCCGCAGTTTAGTATCATAGTCTTGGACATTGTAGGCTCTCGAGCTCTCTTGTCGTGCCATACAACGACTTGGAGAAGTTGGTGACTTCAATGCATATGCCTTTGTTGAAGGAGCATATAGAAGTGTTCAGCTGTTCTCGTCACATGGTCTCAATCCAGATGGATTTGGTAGAACAATATTAGGGCACTCTACTCTGTAGCAGCCATGATATTGATAACGCATCTGAGTCCTGCCAGAAGGGTTTTATACCGAGTGTGATCTCCCTGTCAATCTGGCAATGATAGTGATAGTAACAGCAGATCACACAGCTGGCACCTTTTGATTGCAGATGTAGGAGAGTCTGCGAGAGATTGATTTTATTGTGTAATGGGCTTAGTAGGGGGTTGGGCTAGGGTGACTTAACCGTTACCTAATCCTGTCACCCTACCCACCCAACATTCTTATCGATTTGAGCTCGTAATCTCAAGGGTTATAATACAAACCAACAAAATTGTCCTCAACAATTAGCGGATAACATCAGTCTTCTGATCATCCGCGGTGGTGTAGTGGTAACATCTATCGCTCTCATTAGCTCTTCACGAGTTAACAAGAACCGATAAGCCCGGGGTTCAATTCCCCGTCGCGGAACAACTTTTTTGGTTGATTTGACTTCTACTCTGAAGTTATCCATGTCCTGAGGTGATGCGGCAGACTTTTTAGATTTTTTGTTCCTTGTCGACGGGGAAGGCTATACAGAGTAGACTATCGGGCTATATTGATAGTGGTGAAATAGCACTAACAGCGGTATCATTATCTAATTACTCTATTGACAAACCCTATATCAAGGCAACCAAATATCACTATTAACAATATCGTCTACCATGACTACGAGAAATTACTTCTAGCATTTGGATCATAGACACAGATATCTTCCCAACCTCCAGACACAACGTTTGGAAACTTCATAAATCATTGATTGGCAGTCGGAGACTTGACCATCTTGTCCATCACCTCCCGTGCTTTTGGTTGAACTCGTCAATCACCTCTTTGGTGGTCTTGATGATGCCCAGGCAGCCCGGTGAATCCGAATGACAACAGATGGTGATGGGATAGTCCTTGACCGGTAGTTGGACGACACTGCCATCGACGGCGGTCACCGACTGGCTGTTCAGCTGCTGGCCGACGTGCTTTCTGACATCTTCCAGATCCCACGGCTTCTTCTTCCTGTCAATGACAAGCATCCCATCACTATTGTACTTGACATCTCCATACAACTCGGCGAAGAAGGGTACCCCGAGATCATTGGCCGCTTTCTCCATATTGGTGCCGGCCAGCCCGAAGACAGGAACTCCCTTGGGAATGCCTTGCATGACTGCTTTGGCGATTTCGTAGTCCCGGCACATCATGCCGTACAAGATCCCGTGCGGCTTCACATGGTGTAGCGGAACCCCTTCTCGATCCAGGAACCCCTTCAAGGCCCCCACTTGGTAGACGGTGATGGCGGTCAATTCTTCAGGCGACATCTTGATCTCTCGTCGACCGAACCCTTGGACACCGTCAGAACTATCTACTACGTTTTCGCAGACTCCGAGTCGAACCTTGAATATCTGGGAGGCCCGGGTGAGCGCCGACCTTGACATTATATTTCTTGCAATTCCGAACCGTCTCCTGCATGATGAGCGGATCACCCGCATGAAAGCCACACGCGATGTTGGCGTGATCGATCAGAGGCAGGAGTTCCAAGTCCGGACCACAGACATAGTTCCCATACTAGACTTTCATCAGCAACAGACGCCATGTCACTAGACAGCCATGACTTACCGCCTCCCCCAAATCTACATTGAGGAGGGCCTTGTGTTTGATTGGTGGAGCTGTCATCTTGCGAACCGCCTTCGAATTGCCTGGTCGATGGTTTTGGCAGTCAAGCTGGAGAGAAGCAACAAACAGACAACACTCCAAGGAATCGAATCGTGCTCGGAATAAAACGTCCTGAAGATGTGGCCCTCCCTATCTTTCCGACAAATCAATTCTAGTCAACTATCTTTCCGGTTCAAGGGAACAACCCACACTTATACGGACGGGGCTATACCAAAAAAGATCAAAATATAACGTCACGTCGCACGGAGATGAACGAAATGGGGGTCTTTGGGGTTGAAGATAAGATCCACCCCGCCAATATCCTTCAGGCCCTGGGAGCCATGGCTGGAATGAGATCCAATGGGAGAGTTTCCTTGACAACTGCTATTGGTATCCAAGGATCGAGACAGTCCAAGGCAACCCGCGCTTCAAAATGAGATTGTGCCGTGGGGTGAAACGAGACGCTGAACTCCAGATCGTATTCTTCGGACTCTTGCCAGCTTCGTCTCGCTGGTCTTCTCCATCATCCAACTCGTCGCGCGTGCACGATGGAGAAACTCAAGACGCTGCTCGTTGCCAATCGAGGCGAAATTGCAGTCCGCATCTGCAGGTCAGCCCGTAAGCTCGGCATCAAAACCATCGCCATCTACACGGGAGCCGATGCCGCCTCTGCGCACGTTGCGGCGGCCGATGAGGCTGTTCTTCTCTCTGGACCCGATGCAAAGGGCTACATCGATGCAGAGCACATTGTTGAGATTGCCAAATCCAAAGGCGCCGACGGCGTCATCCCTGGGTATGGCTTTCTGTCTGAGAACACCGACTTCGCACGACATGTGACAGACGCGGGCATGGTCTTCGTCGGACCCAGTCCTAAGTGTATCGAGGACTTTGGGATCAAACATACCGCCCGCGAGCTTGCGGCAAAGGCAGACGTCCCCGTCGTCCCCGGCACCAAAGGTCTTGTGGGCTCGGAAGAAGAAGCGGTGGCAGAAGCCCAACGACTAGGCTTTCCTGTGCGTTGAAGTGCTCCTCATGTTGGTGAATCGTGTCCACTGACCCTTCCAGGTCATGCTCAAAGCCACAGCAGGAGGCGGTGGCATGGGTTTGTTAGCATGCAGTGACGAGAAGGAGGTCCGCGAGTCCTTCAACACCGTCAAGTCTCGTGGCGAGACCCTCTTCAAGAACTCTGGTCTCTTCATCGAGAAGTATTTCCCGGCAGCGCACCATATCGAAGTCCAGGTCTTTGGCAACGGTCTTGGTCAGGCGATCCACTTCGGCGAACGCGAGTGCTCTATCCAGCGACGCCATCAGAAAGTGATCGAGGAATGTCCTAGCCCGTTTCTTGCTAAGGCTGGGCACCCTGAGCTGCGAGAGAAGCTGGGTTCGGCTGCTGTACGGCTCGCCGAATCAATCAAGTATGGGTCCGCCGGAACCATCGAGTACCTTGTGGATGACAAGTCTGGCGACTTCTTCTTTCTCGAGATGAACACGAGACTGCAAGTCGAACACGGGATTACCGAACTGTGCTATGGGGTCGATCTGGTAGAACTGATGCTAAAGCAGGCTGACGCAGAGCTTTGTGGGAAGGGTGGCCTGGCCGCCGAGTATCTCCGTAGCCTTCAACCAAAGGGCCCGACGGGAGCGGCCATCGAGGTGCGAGTCTACGCCGAAAACCCGGCCAAGAACTACGCTCCTTCTCCAGGGACGCTGCAGCACGTGTCGTGGAAGGACGTTCCAGGGTCCAGGGTCGATGGCTGGGTCCACACCGGCACGAAAGTCACCTCGTTCTACGATCCTTTGCTCGCCAAGGTCATGGTGCACGCTCCCGAGAGAGCCGAGGCCATCGATCGAATGATCGACATGCTCGAGGGCTCCAAGATCTCGGGGCCACCCACGAACATGGAGTTTCTGGCGGAAATCCTAAAGGACAGCACGTTCCGAGGCGGGAGGACCATCACCAAGTTCCTCGACACATTCGAATACCAGCCTCATGCGATCGACGTCTTGCAAGGTGGAGCGTACACGCTGGTGGAAGACTGGCCGGGTAGGCCAACCGTGGGCAAAGGCTTCTCGCACGCCGGTCCCATGGATCCTGTGGCTTTCCGGATCGCCAACGCCCTCGTGGGCAACCCTACCGGCAAAGAAGGGCTGGAGATCACACTGAGTGGACCAGACCTTAGGTTTCTGGGGCCTGCCATCGTGGCACTCTGCGGAGCACCCATGGAGGTCAAGCTCGACGGAAAGGCTGTGTCGATGTGGACGCGGATCAAGGTCGAAGCCGGCCAACGCTTGACGGTGGGTAAGACGACCGGCGGAGGATGCAGGTCGTACCTGGGCATCTATGGCGGCCTGCCGAGCATCGCCACATGGTTTGGATCCAAGTCGACCGCCCCAATGACCAACGTGGGCGGATACCAAGGCAGGGCGCTTGCCGCGGGCGATCTCTTGATGATAACCAAGGATCTTCCGGAGATTCAAGGCGAGCTGAAACTGCCAGACCATCTGATCCCGTCGTATCCGGCAGAATGGGATTTGTTTGCCATGCCTGGCCCCTATGACGACGGCTTTATCATGGAGGACTTTACGGAGGAGTTCTACAACAGCACGTACACCGTCTCACACAACGCTGCGCGCGGAGGCATCCGGCTCCTGGGTCCGAAACCGAGATGGGCGCGGTCTTCCGGCGGTGAAGGCGGCGCCCATCCTTCGAATCTGATCGAATATGGCTATCCTCTCGGTACGCTGAACTGGACTGGCGACGACCCATGCCTGTTCCCCGTGGACGCACCGGACTTTGGCGGGTTCGTGTCGGCCACGACCATCGTGAAGGCTGACTACTGGCGCATGGGTCAGATGAAGGCCGGCAACAAACTGCGATTCCGGCGGATCTCGTACGACGACGCAATTGCCAAGCGGAAAGAAGTCGAATCCTTCCTTGACCTCATCCACGAGTGCTGCCATGGACAAGCCAAGTTCGAGGACGTGTCCCCGTTGAAGTATGAAGGATTTCCTCCTTCCACGCAGAACAAGGGCTGGGGGTCGGCCCTGATCCATCAGATCCCCGAGCAAGGCAGTCAACCATTGGTCTCGTATCGACAAGGAGGCGACGACTTCATCATCATCGACTACGGCCATGGCTCGTTCGATCTCAACTACAGATGCCGTGCCGTCGCCCTGTACCGGAAGCTGAAGGAGGGCACTGGCACTGGCGACATGGACATCTCGTTCGCGAATGGCGCGATGCACACCGGTCTGGCGGCGGGCAACTCCCTCATGATCTACTTCGATTCCCTCAAGCTGCCGAGACCGAAGCTGCTGGATCATCTGCTGAAGCTGGAGACGGAGCTGGGCGACTTGAGCGAGGCCAAATTCCCCAGTCGCAAATACAGACTGCCAATCACCTTTGAGAGCAAGAGACAGCGGGACAGTCTGCAGAGGTACATGGAGACGCAAAGACCCTATGCATCCTACCTGCCTGATCCGATGGAGTTTGTGGCCAAGGTCAACGCATTGACCAAACAAGAGGTGAGTTGAAACGCAACCCACAACCCACAACCAACTTATGCGATGAATTGAACAAACTTGCTGACTGATTGGCTGACACTCTCTCCCCAAAACAGCTCAAGGATATCTTCACCAAATCTTCCCTGATGGTAGTCGCGGTAGGATTCTTCGTGGCGCTGCCAGTCGCTCTGCCCATCGATCCGCGACAACGCATCCAATGTCCGAAGATGAACCCGTCTCGCATCCACACGCCCGAAGGCCAGGTCGGCTGGGGAGGGTCGTGCATGGCCATCTACAGCGTCGAATCGCCCGGCGGATACATGAACACGGGCCTGTCCATCCCCGGCGCGGACGTGCTGGGCTACAAGAAGGGATATAGTCCCGAGAAGCCGTGGCTGTTTGAGGACTTTGACCAGATCACCTTCTACGAGGTCTCCGAGGACGAGTACGAGGACATGATGGCCACCTTCCGCAGCGGCCGCTACGAGTATGAATACGAGGACACGGTGTTCGACATGAAAGAGCACAATCAACTCCTCAGGGACACCAAGGACGAAGTGGCCCAGATCCGCGCCAGACGCCGTGAGGCCCAGGCCGAGATGGACAAGCTGGAGAAGGACCTCTTGGCCAAATGGAACAAGGAGAAGGAAGCCAACCAGATCAGCACAAATACTATCGAGGAATTGCTTCATGGTAAGTTCAAGTTTAACCTTTCAGAATACTCAGCCCAACACCCAGCACCCAGCACCCAGCACCCAGCACCCAGCACCCAGCACCCAGCACGGTTCCCCGAGTTCAGTCGCATGGAACTTGGCTCGGCTCGGATCATAGATAGATTCATTCCAACCCATCCATTGACCTACTTTCGCCAACACTTACTGACATCTTCTCTCTTCCCTCTCTCCTACAGATCCGGAAATCATCCCAGTCGAGGCGCCGCTCAACGCCAATGTCTGGAAAATCGAGGTCAAGGAAGGCGACGTCGTCAAAGCCGAGCAGATCGTTTCTATCCTGGAGGCCATGAAGCTCGAGATCCCCGTCAAGACAGAGCCCGACATGGCGGGTGCCAAGGTGGAGAAGTTGCTGGTTAAGCCGAACGATGTCGTTGAGGCTGGGAAGCCGTTGCTGCTGCTGCGACGCAAAGCGAAATGAACGGCTGCAGAGAGGGTTTGTTCGTTCCGGTGCGGGTAACTCGTCCGATCTAGCAGAAGCACGCGAGGTGCGGTGATGATTGCCCTAGTTCTTCTATCTCGGTCAAGATAGTTTGTTCAACCATCGCACAGGTTGCCACGCCGGATTGCGAGATGATTCATTTAATCTTCAGACAAAAGAAACCATGATAATGCAATCAACCTTCAACCTTGATCGTTGATTTCTTGACTAACTACATACCTATCTATCCCTCGTTCCTCTCTCGAGATGATGCTGATCTATTCACTCGTCATCACTCACCCCGACAATCTCACAACTGACGGACCACAACTTCTTGGCGGCCTCCTCGTCGTACGCCCAGGGCGCGTATCCCGACACGGCCAGCTCCTGGACCAACTCGGGCTTGACGGGCTCCGCGACGGCACAGTCCTCGAGATATTTCCCGCCTTTGCCGTGCAGGTCTTTGTCGACGGCGGCCAAGACGGTGGTGGCGGCGCCTTGTGCCGGCGACTTCATGATGCGCTGGACCTCGGGCAGATCCAACATAGCCGAGAAATCGACGTGGACCTGCAGGCCGGTCATGATGCCGCCGGGCATGAGCGACCAGGCATGCAAGCCGCGCGGGCCGTAGCGGCGCTCGATCTCGTTGGCCATGTAGATGTTGGCCGTCTTGGACTGGCCGTACGCCTTCCACGGATTGTACGCGTCCGGCGCGGACAGGTTGAGGTCGTCGAACACGATGGGCGACTGGCGGTGGCCGACGCTCGAGACGCAGACGACGCGCGAAGGGAACTCGGGAGTCGCGGAAGCCAAGAGCGTCGGTTTGAGGAGTTGAAAGAGCAGGAAGTGGCCGAGGTGGTTCGTTTGGAACTGTGATTCCCACCCGTCGGCGGTGAGTTGGCGTTCGGGAATGGCCATGATGCCGGCGTTGTTGACGAGGATGTTGAGGTGCGATTCTTTGGACAGAAATTCCTTCGCGCACGCGCGCACGCTGGCGAACGATGCGGTGTCGAGCTGGAGGAGCTCGACTTTGCCGGGTTCGAGGATGTCGCTGAGCGCCGTGCGGGCTTTGTCGAGGTTGCGTGCCGCGGCGTAGACTTTGGCCCCGGTGGCTTTGAGCGCGCGGACCGTCTCGATGCCGATGCCGGACGAGGTGCCTGTTACGATAATGACTTTGTCGCGGAGCCCATTCTCGAGATGGTTGTCCTTGATGATTTGGAGTGCCGTTGGGCGCGCGTCACCTGGGCCACCGAGGACCGCCGGGTCGTGCACTGAGGCGTAGCGGGTGGTCATTTTGAATCAGACTTATGACAGGGGAGAGAATATAGTGGAAAGAGCTTGAAGTGTCGGGTAGGTTGGAGAATTGAATGTTTGGGAATTGTACTTTCTTGACCTGTCATGCTGTCCGAACTCACCTTGAATGCCGGGATGCAGCAGGACTTATATACACCGAATCTTCACCTAGCCACCATCCTTCTGACATGGCACTGGAGATAGCAGCGGAGCCGAGCATGGCGACCGGTGAACACCGAACCCAGGTGTGCAGGCAAAGTTGACGAACAGGACGCGCTTGGGGCGCAAACCGCGCTCATTTAGTTGGTGGTAGGGACGAGGCTGAAGATGTTCGTGCGAGGAGGAGCGGTGAACTGACAAGTTGAGAAGTGAATGATAATGCTTGATTGGCTCACAGTCTTCATCCGCCATCCGCCCGAGTCCCTGTGGCCCCATTCCACTACTGGAGACGCTGGTCCGGAGGATCTCGGACGAGAGCCAAAGTCGCTCCGCGTTCAAGTATACTCGGGCGACATGGTGCGGGGACCAGAACTCTCGTAGCCATAGATATCTCGGTGAACGACACGGTCCGCGGCGGATGAGATAACGCCCTTGCTTGACAAGGGTCCTGGATATATGGATATGGAAAGACGGCGCAGCCGGCTAGAGACAGACAACAGCAGACAAGCGATGGAATGACTAGAAAATGCCCGTAGACATTCAATCGAGTGTCGATGGTCGGGGCCCATTGCAGATTGAGATGCTGGATTGTTTCTTGCTAAGAAATGCTTTTGGGTATGCCAGGCTGATATCATACACGGCTTCTTCAACTGCCTTTGCTGGGCCCATCAAACAATATGGGCGAAACACTTGAATTGATTTTAATTGTTTCCTTCGAGACCGTCCCTTCAACTCTTCACCATTTCATCTTCCGCTCATTCTGCCAGAAATCCCCAGTCGAGCCCTGGATGTCTGCGAGGGCCAGCAAGACAGGAGTCAGGGCTCCCTCGTCCGGGGTTTTGGCGCCTCCGCCTTTTGTCATGTCCGTCTTGACATAGCCAGGACAACAGCTGTTGATCAGAGTCTTGCTTCCTGACTGGGCATTCTGCTGTGCGATGGTCTTGGTCATGCCAATCACCCCCGCCTTGGAGACACCGTACGCAGAACTCGGCCAGTCCTTTTTCCATCTGCCTTCGGCCACTGCTGTGATGAATTCTTCCATGAGCTCGCTAATCTCCTCCGGCTTTTTCGCGTTCAGGAAACGAGATCGAATAGATTCGGAATACTGCGAGCTGAGATTACCTGACATGCTTGCCACGTTGACCAGACGACCGCCATCCTTGATATGCGGGAGTAGCTGCTTCGTGGCTTCGAGGGTGCCATAATAGTTGCAGTGAATCGTCTTCTTGGCCACATCGGCGTCAAACCCTTGCATTGCAATCCCGGCATTGTTGATTAGAAAATCAATGCCTTGTGGATGTTCCTTCTTCAGATAGTCTGCAAATTCGCGGATACTCTCTGTGCTGTCGATGTCCAGGGTACGGTATTTGATATCTGTGAGTCCTCCCTGACTGCGCAGTGCTCTTGCCCTCTCCAGCTGCGGGTCAGCTTGCAGTGCCTCGAGGGCAGCTTTTCCTCGCTCTTCATTGCGGGCTGTGAGGTACAGGAGGAGCGGGCCGTCGTTATAGGCAGAATTCGGGTATTGCAGGGCGAGTTGGCGGACGATGGCAAGACCGATGCCCTTGTTGGCGCCAGTCACGGCACCGACGCGTGTGTAGACTGTCATTGTTGTTGTTTCTGATACGGCTGAGGTCTGTCGATGGAAGATGAGCGCAGGATAGGGACTCGTAGACGAGAGTTGCTAGCTGGTCGGCAATGTTCTTTCGGTACAGAGCTCACCTTGGGCTGTGATGGCATAGGAGTAAGAGAGGTAGTAGTGTACATGTCATGACGCTGGCTATTCTCACTACTACTACTAGTAATGTGTGCGATGCATTCCAAGCAGCAAGAGCAGCGAAAACACTCGGCTGTACTGGTCTGCTTCTTCAGATAGTAGTAACACCGATTAACCGCTCCATCCAGCCCTGCCTGGACATATGCACTTCAACATTCCGCCCAGGATTCAATCGATTCGAGATATGGGACTCGACTTCGAGTCTGATTTGGATCACGTTGCTGCCCATTGGTGGAACAGCTTCCGGACGCAGCTCTGAGGGCCGAGGCTAAGCGTCGATTGGGCTCTGTGGATCAAACTTGAACACTTTCCATCTTCGAGCTGCGCTGTCGTGGGATTTTCTACAAGACAGGCTCAATCCCCGATCCCCGATCCATCGACGTCTTCTGGTCTGGCTGGGCCATCCTCCATGGCTTCCAAACATGTCAGCAAACCTCTGCTGAGGCTCGCCTCGCCAACCCAGCCATGTCGCTCTTTTTCCGGACCGGCAGCATCATTGTTGAACACGAACGTATACCCCGCACAACGAAGAGCTGCCCTCCGTACCACGAGACCCGTCTTTGTCGCTGGGCAGAGGCGAGCTATCTCTGCCAGCCTGCAGCGCCGATACGCCGACGTGGATGAGGGATTCGACCCTGCGACAGTCGAGCGAGAGTCGGATGAAGTCGATGTGTGCATTGTCGGCGCCGGACCCGCTGGTTTGAGCGCTGCCATCCGTTTAAAGCAACTGGCCAACGAGACGGGCAATGAAGAGTTTCGAGTGGTCGTGTTGGAAAAGGCGGGGGAGGTGGGCGCACACATCCTGTCTGGCAACGTGCTGGAGCCGCGGGCGATCAATGAACTCATCCCAGACTGGCTGGCCGAGGACAATGAGAACAGGTTTACAGGCGCCACGCCCGCCGGCTCCGACAAGATGCGATTCTTGACCAAGACGAGTGCCATTCCCTTACCGGCTCCTCCACAGATGCACAACAAAGGCAACTACATCATCAGTCTGAGTCAGTTCACCAAATGGCTCGGCGAGCGGGCCGAGGAGTTGGGCGTGGAAATATACGCGGGTTTTGCTGCCGCTGAGATATTGTACAACAGTGAAGGAGCTGTCAAGGGCGTTGCGACCAACGACCAAGGTGTAGGTCGTGATGGGAAAGCAAAGTCCAACTTTGAACGAGGCATGGAGTTTCATGCCCGGTTGACGTTACTGGCCGAGGGTTGCCATGGCAGTCTGACCAAGCAAGTCTCGAAGAAGTTTGATCTGAGACGAGACTGTCAGCCGCAGACATACGGCCTGGGAGTAAAGGAAGTGTGGGAGGTCCAGCCCGAAAAGTTCAAGAAAGGCGACATCGCTCATACCATGGGCTACCCCTTGTCCCGAGATACGTATGGCGGAGGTTGGATGTACCACTTCGGCGAGAACCTGGTGAGTTTGGGATTGGTCGTTGGGCTGGACTATTCCAACCCTTGGATCTCGCCCTACGGCGAATTCCAGCGGATGAAGCTGCATCCGTTCTACAAATCCGTACTGGAAGGCGGCAAATGTATCGCCTACGGAGCGCGGGCGCTCAATGAGGGCGGCTTTCAGTCGATACCGAAATGTGCTTTCCCTGGCGGCGCGTTGATCGGGGACACTGCAGGATTTCTCAACGTGCCCAAGATCAAGGGGACGCACACTTCCATGAAATCAGGTATGCTGGCGGCCGAGGCAGCATACGATGCCCTCGGCGCCAACAAGGAAGCCAGTACCATTTTTCTGTACAACTACGAGGATGCGCTGCGAGAGAGCTGGATTTGGCCGGAGCTCAAGGCTGTCCGGAATCTGAGACCGTCCTTCCACAACCCACTCGGCATTTACGGGGGGATCATGTACTCGGGACTCGAGGCATTCCTGTTCCGCGGCATGATGCCTTGGACGTTGAAGCACAAGAAGCCCGACTGGGCCAACACAAAACCAGCCGACCAATGCCAGAAGATCGAGTATCCGAAGCCAGATGGCGAAATCACCTTTGACATCCTGACCAGCGTGTCGCGGACGGGCACCAACCACGAGGAAGATCAACCAGTGCACTTGCAGGTCAAGGATTGGGATGAACACGCTCGGAAAGAATGGCCCAAATACAAGGGCGTGGAGAATCGGTTTTGTCCTGCTGGCGTGTACGAGTATGTGGAGGATGACACGAAGGATATTGGAGTGCGGTTCCAGATCAACGCTCAGAAGTAAGTCCCTGGTTTGGCCTTGTCTTTCTCGCCTTCCGGCACTGACCCTAATCTTACAGCTGCATTCATTGTAAGACATGCGATATCAAGGTGCCAGATCAGGACATCAATTGGCAAACTCCACAAGGTGGTGAAGGCCCAAGCTACAGTATCACTTGACCTCACTTTTCAGAACGGCCCAAGCAATTTGCCATTGCGCTCTCGACCAAGAGTTGCAGCGCTCGAAATGTCATGGCCCTGGGCACATTTACCAAATAAATGATTCGGTGGTAAACACCTTTGGTGGACTGAATGATACCATGCTAGCCGAGCCTACCGTCGAATTTGTCCCATCAATATGCAGCCGGATTGACTGCTCTGCTTGCTCAACCAATCGTCCTGGTCTTGCTCTCTGTACTCGTTGCGAGACTGCATCGAGGTTGTGTTCCTTCGCACCTGCATTAGCACCGTTTGATTCTGTGTCCGTGGTTCGGGCAAATATTGATCATCCCTCGGCATATGCAGGCGCCGCGGTCTGCGCGACCACTGCACGCGACATTTTGGTACGTCAACAGTAGTGGTAAACAATACCCCAGCCGTGTCTGAATGCAGAGTATGCAGGTCTTTCTTGTAAGTGGGCCTTGATGGACCACATCTGGGATGCGCCAGCCCATGGGGCCATGAAGCTGGGCTCTGTCCCAGCCATACCTGACGTTGGACCCGGATTTATGTTTCGAGACAGGCCTTGGTACCTGTGACGACGAACATGAAAGTCTTCTAGTCGCTCGCTTATCTCACAAGTCTGAACTGGAGCGGATACAACAACCGCAATACTTGGTGATCGTAGGCAGAGCAGGATGTCCATTTGCCGGCACCGGATGTGCAATGGTCCCACACCACAACGCAGGCGAGATCCGCGAATCTCTCACTTGTACAGTAGCAACTCCTCTCCCAAGTGACTCTCACTTACCAGAGAAGAGTAGGTGGTATACATGGTGAAGTCAATCGACCCGTTTGTGGTTGAACGGATTGATCGGCGTTCAGGTATACGAAGGGCTTCTGATTGGTCGGACTCCCACCGGTTTGGGCCCTGGTTCAAGATCTTTCAGGCCACGGTGGCCAGATTGTGATTGGAGAGACGGAAGAGAGCGTGGCGTCCGGATAAACTGCCGGTGGCTGTCAAACTCGCAGGCCAAGATCAAGCTTGCGCGGCATGTGAAACAACATGATGCCCACTTGACTACTTGACTCATGCTTTTCCTTCCATCTTACCACCACATTTCATCTTGCAGCAAGAATCGTCTCCTGCTTACCCCGAGGCGGGAGACAGTTAAAATGACGGATCCGATCCTGCGAGGGAAAGGCTTTTCACATCGACTTCTATCGCATCAGCGGTTCGGCATGAGTTGCGACGGCGGATGAGGAGGGAAGAGGGAAATGTGTGTTCCGGAAGGCTTTACGGGCGGCAAGTCCGAGCAGTAGCAAATGGAACCCGCCACTACGGCTCTCTTTCTCACCTGTTTTTCCCCCCCAGCAGAAAAATTCAAAGCACGTGAGCTCGGGCCAGTGTTACACCGTCTCCATCGTGGCGGCAACAGACCTTCTCCCAGCCCACCGCTTTCTTGTCTTCTCGCCCTTTTGTTCCCTTCTCATTTGGTGGTTGTAGGCTGGAATTGTTTGCTTGTGAGATGGATATCAAGGAGGGACGTGGTCAAGGGGAGAGCGCAGGCAGGATGTGTGCATGAAAGGTTGCATGAAGCAAAGAAAAGGGGCAGATAAGGTGCAAGGGAGGTTGACGGCTGGGATGACGCCAAGCTAATCTTGGTATGGACTAGCGTGGCAGTAGTCACCTCTAGCGTGAAATTACGATGGCGGGGTTTCCAGGCAGCAGCTGCGACTATAAAAGAGGCCATGCCCTCCTTCCCGCGCGAACGTATCCGACCTTTGATCTCTGACATTTTCTTGGCTTGGCATTTCGCCGCATTCCACACCCTCACCATCCACATCCACCTTTCCACTTCCAGTTCGCCGGGCATTAAACTGCGCATTCCTACGCCGCACGCCTGCGACAACCTCTCCCGTATCCCATACTCGGTGCCGGTCGGAAACCTCTCTGATCGTACCTTCATACTCTTGGGCGCTTCGCTGCAAGGCCTCTCGAACAATTATCATTCAAGAGACAAGGAGATACCCTGCGAGCGCCTTTGCCGTTCTCTTCCAAAACCCCCAAAAAAGGACAAAGAGGACAGTGACGTCCGCCACAATAGACAGTCTGCACTTTCCGCAATAGTAATTCGCGAGATCCTTTCTTCCTCTTGTTCGTTTCTCGCACCTCATCGTCGCTCGTCGACCGGGATCAGATACCTGTTACTCGGTCTCACTGTCGGTTCAAAGACAAGAATCAATTCGACGGTGGTATTTGGAAGTAGGGCAGTTGTTTGTAGGGGAGACATTGAGTTGTTCATCTCCCACATCTCGGTACGGACACAAGCGCATACCCTCCCGTCGCAATCCGAGTCCCTTCGTCGTTGTCGAGTCGAAGAAGCGCTGCCTCCGGTGCAGTAAGTGAATCATCTTGCATTCACTGCCTCGAGAGCCCAGCCTCGCCCCGATCGACTGGGACGGATCACTTTTCTCTGCCGCCACCTTCACCTGCTTATTTCACACAAACATCTCCATCCTAACTGTTCATCTCAGGCTGCTTTCATCATCCTCGATCAATCACACCTCGGACAAAACCAGTCGCGAAAGCCTTGTTATCTCGGCGCATCGAGTATCTCACCTCCTGCAAACATGGAGTCTCTGACCACTCACCCTGCCACCGCGCAACAGGCAAAAGCCTTCACCTCTCCCGCGTCTCTCTCGTTTCCCGGTGGCGCTGGGGACCTGACACCGCCCTCATCTGAGAAAGATGGACAGAACCTCAACGGTGGCTCATACGCAGATGGGAAGATGAATGGTGGTCAACAGCAAGGAGGGAACGCTTTACAAGCTCCACAAACTCCGAGTGCGACACCTGGCGCTGGAGTGAGTGGTATTGTTCCAACTCTGCAGTGAGTAATCCCCTTTGTTGTCCCTCGTTGGTCAACAGAGGTTAACATGTGGATCAAGAAACATCGTTGCTACGGTCAATCTGGACTGTCGCCTCGATCTCAAGACTATTGCACTCCATGCCCGTAACGCCGAGTATAATCCCAAGGTATGTCGTCGGACACTGCCGTTACTGTCCTACGGTCTACTAACTAGATCTAGCGTTTTGCCGCTGTGATCATGCGTATTCGTGAACCCAAGACCACTGCCTTGATCTTTGCATCTGGCAAGATGGTTGTCACGGGCGCAAAGTCGGAGGATGATTCCAAACTTGCCAGTCGCAAGTACGCCCGAATCATCCAGAAGCTTGGTTTCAATGCCAAGTTCACCGACTTCAAGATCCAGAACATTGTAGGCTCTTGCGACATCAAGTTCCCCATTCGACTGGAAGGCCTTGCGTCCAAGCATCATCCTTTCAGCTCGTATGAGCCTGAATTGTTCCCAGGCTTGATCTATCGCATGATCAAGCCAAAGATCGTTCTGTTGATCTTCGTCAGCGGAAAGATCGTACTCACTGGCGCCAAGGTCCGCGAGGAGATCTACCAGGCATTCGAGCAGATCTACCCGACACTATCAGGTAAGTTAGGTTACATCCCTGACCTTTGACCACCACTGACAATGTCGACAGATTTCCGCAAGGTCTAAATCTGCTGGTGTTGACGATCTCTTCTCTTTTGCCGTGTATCAACAGTGCCGCAAACTCCCGAATCCTGGTGACGAAGGTCATCTCGTCATACAAGGATCCGGGAACCTGCCCTGGTCTTGCCTCACGCAGACCGAGCATCAACACTCCTAAACCCGTGTTTTTTGCACCTGTGACGACTATTCAAATGAGCATTGCAAGGCGTTTTGAGCGAATACCTTTTTTTTCTTTTCGGGGTCAAGCACCAAGGGGCAGGTGCCTGACCTCCAAGCAACTAGACATGTGTCTTCATCGACCCAGGGCATTGGCGGTATTCGGCGCGCTGGTCGATTTCGAGTGCCGTCCCGGAGCGCAGTTATGTTCCCTCTCCAATTTCAAATGCGTCGAGATCGGAAACAAAGGCCGATGACCATTCTTCGCGGCGATACATGGTGGTTCGTTCGGGTATGGGAGGTTTCATCTCGCATTGAGAGCTTGGGTCCAGGATGGTCCTTCCCGGCGGGGAGAGATTTTGGGCCAAGGGGGTTTTTGCCCATCAGACTGTAGCAACGAAAAAGCGAAGTGGTGGCATTTCCAGACGGTTACTGGGAGGATGTTGTTGATCAGTGTGGGTGCTGCTGGGGACCTTGGCAGCATTGAATGATAGCACAATATGATTCCTTCATCCTCCAATATTTTGAGTGGTATGCCCGTTTGTTCTTGATCTTTCTGGTGAGTTGTCGCTTTCTCCTTGACAACTTACCTGCTCTCTTCGTCTTCGTCGTTGAGTGGGGATTGTGGCAGGGTCGCAGGCTAGGCAGGGGTCTGGATCGCTTGTGATGGCTTCGGCCGTGTGGTGCTCGTCGTTGCTGGCAGGATATTTCGAATTGGTGGTGCTCGTGTGGCCGTCGACTGTCGACTGTCGAACATCTCCCATTTCCGGAGCGTCAGATCAGCAGAGGGGAGAGGAAAAGAGAGAAGGACGGAGAGTGAAGACAAAGGTAAGTTCTGGGGTTGAGGCGGTCATTTGATCTTCTTACGTCAGCCTAATGAACCATGACACAGATGAAGAAAAGAGTCATCGTGTGTAGTTGGATACATACTGTGGCAGCCGGGAGGGGCTGATCCTGTGAATGTTTCCTCCCGAAACCAGAAACCACTTACCAAAAACTTGAATTGCTGATCAAGAGACTCGACAATGTTGTTTGTTAGTCACACACACAACCTAAATCCACACTCACAACCCAAGAATGGCCCATCAGCCCGCTATGCATGCTGTTACCGTGTTGATTGTCGTTGCCAACGGCTTTATGAAGGACGCGTATGAAGTGATGTACTGCAGTATATCTCTTCCATAGTTACCTAGGAAGCAGCCCAAGGCAGTGAGTGCAAAGTCGTGTTTGAGTCTGAGTATGTACGTGTAGGTGGTGTAGGGAGTAATGGTAAGATGGTGAGTGTAATGATAGCAAGATGGTGAGTATAGTGGTCCTGTCTTGTCATGTCGTGTCGTGATCAGGGTCAGTCAGGTCACACGCGATCCAACTTACCACTGCCACTGGCCACCACCACCATCACCATCATCACCCCTCACTTGCTCATTAACCGCCCTAGCAACGAACGTGCGTGTCTGTCTGTCGGCGAGTCGGGAAGCATAGGACCACAATTTCTAGCAGTAATAGACTATTCATGGAACAGATAAAGCGATGGGTATCTCTAAACTCGAGTCTGGATCTCATCACCATATCCTTCCTTGGTTTGATCTAGTACCATGTACCATGTACCCAGTTTACATACCTCACATCATGATGTATCCTGCCATTCATAAGTTAATTCTCAAGAAAGGGGGGAAATTGAGTTCCCAGACTTCAAGTCCTGTCACTCTCTTGAGAGCGGCCAGTCATCGTGAAGGTAATTAATTGATTGGCAATTAGAGTTGTTGTGCCAAAGCCTTGCTGTAAGGTATATCCTACTCCACGTTCCGTTTGTTTGTCTGTCTGTCTGTCTGTTTCAGATTCCCGGGTTTCGTGACGTGCCAGTGCCAGTGCCAGATGAATTCAAGCTTGGGACATATCTCTCTGTGATTCGAGTTCCCGGTCATGGCAGATCTGCAGACACGACAAGGCTGGCATATCATGAGGATCTGAACATTCACCCTTTCAACCATTTACCATACCCATCTATTCCTTTCTGTGGTTTGAAAGAAGAGCTGGGCTGGGCTGTCTGTTCTATTCATCCGAGCTGGCAATAAGGTATCAAATGTCGCAACGGATGTATACATGACTGGACCTTTGACGACTTCAAAGACGTGAGGCGCCCCTCGAGGCCACCTCCCCTTTCGCCATCTCTTCCTCGAGGATCATGCCTCTGGGTCCCGCTCGACTGCCGTCCTCGCAGCTTATAAAGTCCTTGCTGAACCCCGCGGCCGCCAACTCGGCATCTGTCCTCCAGCGCCATTCCCGGGCCAGCTCGGGATTCAGGGTACCCTGGACGGCGTCGACGATTTTGTTGCCTATGACGGGGAAGAACTTGAAGCCGTGCCCACTGCCTCCTGTGGCGATGAACAGGTTCTTATAGCGCGGGTGGTATGTGATGAGGAAGTCGCCAGTCGGACTATGAACCAGCAATGCAGATTAGAGGAGAGCTTCCACAGGCAAGGTAAAGAAGAGGGTCAGAATCCTGGGGTTGGAGCGGAATGGAGGATGACAGATCGGGGCCAGAGAAAGAAATAACAGTACACACTCAGACGGGAGGATGGACTTACGTGTCACAGTACCAACACACTCTGGTGCGAGAATATGGCCGGTCTGCGACCTGCGGAACCATGCTTCGAAGAGCTTCGCGCAATGCCTTCTGTCCCTCCAGCGGGATGGGGATGCCGACCTTGGGGACGCTCACTTCGACATACTCGTTTTTCGTCTGATCGAGATTGCTGTTGAGGAAATCCGGGTCGATGCTCTTCCTGGGGATCTTGACCGGATTCCTGTATCCGAAGCCGTGTCGTGCAATCTTGAGTTCCCTGGTGCGTGGAGGGATGATGAACATGCCGCTACTCAGGTTCATGAACGTCGGCCTGTCCTGCATGGCTTTGACCTCTTCGTCGGTGATCGCCACATATCCCAGCGTCTGGCCGGTGGCCAAACATCGTCCTTGGAGATCGATCAGAGTCGGGCTCCAAGCGCCAGCAGCCACGATGGTCAGGTCGGCGTGGATCTGCTCGCCGCCCACCAATTCGACCCCCGTGCATTTTTGCTCGGCAGACACCAGCAGTCTGGCGACATGCGCGCCGCTGCGGACGACCACACGGTCACCGCCGACCTGTCGTATCCTTCTCAGGGCGTACGCCACGCTTTTCTCGGCGTCGGCCCAGCCCGAATTGAAATTCACGTAGCCATAGTCCCCGCTGACATGGTCGTAGCCGGTCGCGGCGCGGATCTCGGCTGGATTCTTCAGCTCCTTGACCTTGGACACATCCACCCAGCGATTGTTTTTGTCTTCCGCGGCCAATCTTCGGACCGTGGCGAGCGACTCTTTCACGTATCGTCCGCCCTCCGCCTCGTCCGCCGTCAGCGCGTATCCGGGCTCGTGGTATCTGCCTTCTCCGCCCCATCCGTCCGGCGTCGTGTCGCGCCACAGTTGTTGCGCCTCGAGCGCCAGTTTCGAGTAGTGCTTGTAGGAATAGTCGGCCCGCACGATCCGGCTGGCATCGACCGACGAGCCGTGCGGATTGGGAAGAGCCGGCGAGGCGTCGACGATCGTTATCCGAGTCTGTTTGTACGCTGGGTTGGTGAGGAGCGATAACGCTGTCGACAGGCCGAAGACACCTGCTCCGACTATGAGGACATGCTGGGGGACGAGCTTGTTGGACATGATGATGGCTTATAACTTGGCCGGTCTACAATCGCGCCAGTAGGTCTGACAAACCCAAAAGAACTCCTCGGCCATAAAGGTCGGTATATCCTTGTTGTAAAATAAAAGTGATCATGATCGCAGTTGTTCTTCTCCGCATTTCCATGTGCAAAAGAAAGGCGCGCGCCCTGCCGCTGCGGACACTTCCGACAGGCCGAAAAATTGTTGATGCGTTCCATCATTCATCGACCATCGACGCCCTCGTCTGTACTGTACGTGGTATACTATCCTCGCAGTTCGAGTACGCTGCTTTTTAAAAACACTGCTCTGGGAATTGTGCAATAATTCGAAGATGGCCCATTCCCTCACGGTGCGATAACGAAGCCCCATCTGCTAGTATCCTCTGAGAGCTTTTCTCCATGCCGGCCACAATGATGAACCCGGCCTCACTGTCAATGTCCAAGATCCCACACCTCGCAATGTCGCTCCTGGCGAAACGCGCTGGCGGAGCCTCGAAGGACCTGAGCCCACGGTCGGTCTGCAGCATGGCCGCTCGTCCCATATCGAACCGCGCCCCGACGACTACCTTCTCAAGAAATCTGATACTCCCCGACTTCTGCACTCGCACCTACGCCTCAACGGCACACAGCCTGCCCCGGCCTCCGCCTCGAGGTACCAGAACCCCAACGCCAGCATTAGACCGTTCTATACCGCCACCGAACACCTCAAACGGAAACACAGGCAATGGCCCGTCCACGAACAAGAGCAAGACTACATCCCAAATATCGTCACGCTCTTTCAATGTCTATTTCTGGGGCGTGTCGCTCTTCGGCTTCGTGTTATCCGCCTACCTCAGCTCGCTGTACGTGACATACCAGCGTGAGGTCAAGGAATCGGCCATGCTCGAACTCGACCAGAACGCCGACGTGTCGAGCCGCTGGCTGGACCTGTCGCGCAACTTCGACGACGAGGTCGACATGTCTGAGAAACTCATGTCGCTGCGGTCCAAGCGCAGGAATCTCTGCCAGCAGGCGCAGGGAAACGTATTGGAAGTCAGTGCCGGGACGGGTCGCAACATGGATCTATATAACCTAGACCCGATCAACACGCCGCGCGACAAGAGAATCAAGAGTCTCGTCTTCAACGACCAGAGTGAGATCATGGTGTATCAGGCACAGAAGAAGTTCGAGCAGCTACAGGAGGAGACGGATGCGATTGCCAAATTTCGCGGTCCGGTCAAGTTCGTCGTCGGCGATGCCGGTGATAAACGCGTCATCCGCAGACCCGAGGGCGGATTCGATACTATCATCCAGACAATGGGGCTGTGCAGTATGGCGAATCCCGTGGGCTTTCTCAAGAGATTGGGAGAGCTGTGCAGACAGCCTGGCGAACGGAGCACCGGGGTAGACCTGCAGGCTGTACGAGGACAGGATCAAGAGAAGCGGAATGATCATGATGCGGCAGCCAAAGCCAGTGAAGAAGAGACAGACAAAGGCGGTAAGATCCTGCTTCTCGAGCATGGCCGATCCTATCTCGGCTTCCTGAACCGGTATCTCGACAACATTGCCAAACGACATGCCGACCGCTACGGATGCTGGTGGAACAAGGACATTGATCAGATCGTGCGCGATAGCGGGCTGGAGGTGGAGAGCAAGAAACGCTACCATTTCGGCACCACGTACGAGTATGTCTTGAGACCGCGGAAAGAGTCGGCCAAAGATAAAGTGTAATGACTGGAATGGGATATGTAGGAGATAAGATACCCTGTGTTCGTGTCAGTCCATTGTAGTGTGTGTAACCACATACCTGGTTCAGGCAACATTAAAAGCTAGTAAGGCTGGCTGCAAAGGGGTTTGGACGCCGGAGAATAGAATTCTGCTCTCGAGCCAGGCGGTACTAGTAGTCGCGCCATCCACAGTCCAAGATACAGCACCTAGAGTAGGCATTTGCCATTGTGACGAACTCCCAGCTGGCACATGTGGGATCCAATGGGTCGCATCTCATTCATGCCTTTTGAAGACGCATCTTTGCGAGCAGTTGGCGGCGTTCTTTCTGTAGTCGCTTAAAGGTCTCCTTCCAATGCATAGGTACAGTCCTGACTGCGAGTCGCATTGGCATAGATAAAGAATGTAACCTTATCAGACCACTTGTTGGAGGGAGAAACCCAATGCATGAACGCTGGCTCCGTTACTCGTGTTTGTTCGTCTCAAGCGTCTGTCTACCTGAGGCAGAACCCACCTTTGGCGCAGTTACAAGAAGCCGACTTGCAGCGGCGGACCTCGCATGTACGAATCGCCAGGCATAATATTAGAGGAGTACAACTAGTGCCAGCAAAGGCGGTCTTCTTGCATCGGAAGTACATGCGAGAGACGATATGGATGGTTGGCCGCTGAGGGATTCCGCTGGATCGTCTAGGACCTGCAGCGCTATCACAGTAAGCGAGTCAATCACCTCGACGGTCCGGATTCAATATCCTACGGTCCTCTCCACGCACGTATACACATCATCCTCTCCACGGGTAGTGCATGCCCTCGGCAATGCATCGCCATTCGATCATGGCAGCGCAATAACCTTCGACGGAGGCCTTCTCTGCAGCATGCGAGAGAGACAACGGAGCTTGTGCCTCTGAAGGATGGTGTACGCTGAAGTTAGTAATGGGAAGTCTGATTAGAAGTGTCCTGACTCCGCCAAAAGTGTGGCTCTGGATTGGAGATTTAGGAGCATGAACACGGACGGGGCATTCAAGGAAGTTGTTGGGGTTGGATGATGATAATAATGCAGTTCGGTTGACTGTCTCTTGCCATTTGCGCATGAGTCTGCTTTCTCTCACGATTTACATCATGGCGCCTTGGTTCCCAGGCGCAAGTGATAAGAATCTGCAGGACCGAACACATCTCAGGTCCGTAACTGCGGATGGCTGGCACGCCGCATGAAACCTTTGAGGGTTGTGAGAGACACTGGAAAGGATGTACCGAGCAAGAGACCACCAGTGAGTCGACGGAGGTGCCAATGCATCCGTTGCCAGACTGTTTGATCATGGTATAGTCAAGGATGGACGACATCATATACTGAAATTCGTCGATCAGTAGGTACTAGGAAGTACCTTGGTTGGCCTGTGCAGCAACAGTGGTCGTCGAAGTCAATGCTTTACTAGCTCCAGTCACCTCATGCATGCTTTTGGTTTCTGAATCCGTGAATAATGCAACAGGGCACCGACACGGAGTGCGGGGCAAGCAATTGGATTGCATCCTAATTCAACCTTGCATGGCCCGTGTTCAAGGGCTATGTTTGCGACTAAATTCGTCTGCACGCTATCCGCAGAGCGTCCGTAGATGGAATGAAGTCCATTGATCCTCGACTCGATAGTGTTCTCGTCCGGATGTAGACCAATGCAGCCGGGGTGTGGTAGGAAATACTCTCGCTTGGGACTAGAACTGTCGAAGAAGTGTTTGGGCCGACTGAGTCAGACTGACACCTGTCTCGCGTCTTACATCCAACTACCGCCGGATGCTTCAACACTGTGAAGCGAAGAAGGGTCTCTGTCTAGCAACCCGCTCGCATCTGTCTGCGCGGTCTCCGACCATTTTGATGACCAGCATGTATGATGGCCATCGGTTGCTGCCAAACTCCCATCACGTGATAGGACGGCCTGGCCCATGGCACCCATGGCAGTGTCGACGGGTGCAGCGGGTTGTGGATGTGCTGCCAGCCTACCAGGCACCATCCACGCCAGCAACCTTGCTATACGCTTTTCTCACTGTCCGTTGTACGTCTATAATAATGCTGGAGAGAGGACGCGGTCGCAGCTTTGTCGAGGCGACGATCCAGGAAAACGGCAAGTCGAACAGGTGTGTAGGTCTAGAAGACCATGAGAGCTTCACCCAGCTAATTAGTATGCTTGTAACAATCCCAGGCAGGTTCAACAATTTAAAACAATACTGAGCGACCGGGGTTGGGTATGCTGCTGCTGGAAATGTATGGCTTCCATCGTCGCCCAGAGCAACCACTGGAACTGAGCATCCCGTTGACGTCCAGGGTTACAGGCTGAGAAAGCTGCAGCTTGTCAATGGATGGCACCGTCTGCGGATCCGCAGCAACAAGAGCCGGATAGCGAGTTCGCGTGAGGTTCTGTTTGGGACGGATTCTTTGTGAGGTGGAAAATTTTCAGAAAATGATTTTTTGGTTCATGTGGTGGAGAAAGGGAGATGAGAGTGATTGGAGGGAACGACGCAGTCTGAGACGTCGAATGATGCAAGGTGGGTGTCAGAGATCCATGCTGACAGCCACCAGAAGCCCCAGTCGAAGCCTAAGGAGCCCACCACCCGAGCCAGCCCCTGGAGGGTGCGCTGCTCGTTCCTCTTTTGACCATTATTTGCACACCACCATCCACCACCTGGCATCTGACATCTAGACGTCCAGAGTCAGGTATGTATCACAGTGGTAGCTTGCCATGCAATGGATGACCTCCAACCCTTCAAGTGCTTATTATCCTCTCTGCAGTTGCACGACTTGGCTACGTGCATCATCTTGCTAGTAGTGGGAGGTAGGCTATGGTCCCTGTCTATCTTTCCATCAACTTGAACATGTTTAAGGCTGTCTGGTCGATGGCTTCCTGTTTTGCTAGATGCCCTCTACATCTGTACACAGCTGTGCAACAGATTGTGTCTACCTCATGCAGCTGGTATGATATCAATTGCGGGTGACGGCCTGATCCCAGTGTTGTATCTTCGATGATGTTGCAGATCCTTTGTCTGCGAGGACTCTGTAGCCGCTATACCATACGCAAGCAACCATGCTTGTTATTGACATGTTCTCAGCCGGCCATTGCTTTCCTACCATCCAATGCTTCTCAAATGGGAAAGAGAGCACACCACACCACACCATTTTCAAGCCATTGTCACCTTGTAACAAGTAGGTATGTTCCTGCTCTTTGGACGGAATCGCCGATGACACTCAGAGACGGGCGGGAATCGAATGAGCAGAATCGACAACGAGATGCGTAAGAGGTGGGTGTCACGGTCGGTATGCAACGATGGGGATTGGCTGATGGAGAGTAAAGACCTGAGATAGACAATAATTGACAAGTGGTTTGACTGGTGTCAGGGCTCGAAGGCGCCTGAGGCAGTCTCTTTGTGAAGACGTCTAGCCCTGCATCCGCGTCGGTTAGACCACAACGGAGACGGCGTAGGGCATGGCGGCGATACTCAACTAGGCGTTTAGTCGGATGTCTACTGGCCAGGTGGACTCTGCAGAGCCCAAGGGGAAGCCTCCTCAGCCTGTGGATGGGCGTTAGTGGACGGCGGGCTCGATATTATTCTCGGATCGCATTTCTCGATGTCATGGGTTTTGAGGGTGAGGAATGATGTTGTGTGGATGGCGAGGATGGATACTTTGACCCTTGATTCGCTTGGGGGGCAGTGGGATGCGCAGGTTCCTTAGGTGCCAGTGCTGGATCTCAACTTGAATCCGCCCACGAGAGTTTTTCCCTTTTTTTCTCACTCTGGCTTGCACCCAAAAAGATCAACCATTCCGCCACTTGACAGTCCCCAAGCCCAGGTGCAGTGCAGTGGTGCCTGCCCATCAATTGCCATCATACGACTCCCCTTGCCCAGCTGTAACCTGATCGGCCTCTGTGCCTGTTCCCTAATCCCTATTGAAATTTTTACTTCTCTACCTAATCCTCATAGCTCTCCTAGTATCTTTTCTCCCGAGCTCTGTGTGACGGAAGACTCGGTGCTATTGAGTCGCCCTTGTTTGATCTTTTCTCTGTACTACTAGTACTACGTACCTACTAGGTATCTGTCTTCTGTCTTGTATCAAAAGCACCTGCGACGCCTGTCACAGCATCCCCTATACGACCAACCCGAACCCGCCAATTATTGGATCCCGAACTGCATCCCAACAGCAGGCTCCCGCGGTGCAACAAACAATAATAATAATATACAGACCCGTCCTGCGAATCGCAACCTCTGCTTAGAGAACAAACAAACAATCTAGAAAGGCTTCCCAGCTATCACCGACTCCATATCACCATATCACCATCACCCAGCGCCGCGCCGCCACATCAGCAAGCATCTGGTTGATCGGTCTGCTTACCGCCGTTTGACCCAGCTCACCAGTCAAGCGGTAGTCGCGAGATCTTTGACGCAAGGAGGCGGAATCACCACCAGTTCAGCGTGTGGCCTGGCAGGCACCCTTGCTGCAGATTTTGAAGCCCCCTTCAGGTTCATTGCCCTGCTCCACGCTTTGCCCCGGCACCTTGCATTGCAGCCACGCATTCCAGCTGTGCCGCTTGCCCAATCGCGCTCTCCCCGTGCAGTGGTCTATCCGTCACACTTGCGCCCTCCCTGGCCGCAGCCTGAATCATCATTCGCATCCCGTTTCCCATCCCCAGACATTATTGTTATTTGGGCGCCGAAAAAGACTCAGCGACTCTGTACTCTTGTTGTACACGACATTTCTCTACCACCCCTTGGACTGCGCGACAACGGCCTCCTTCTTTGACTTTGTAGGGTATACAACACCCTCTAACTAAAGCCTCACTGTCCTCCTCTGCGCCGACACATGACAACTATACACCATGCCTTACAACACTCGTCGGAAGTCCCTCTCCTTGCCTTCGCTGGGCATTCATCTGCCTAATGGCTCGCGCGCGCACCGCCCGAGTCCCAAGGCTACCTCCTCCCCATCCGAATCCGCGACTGCTCCTCCAACAAAAAAGTTGAAGCGCTCCCACGATGCCGACGAACCTCTTTCTCCCATTTCCAGTCCACGCTCCAAGCCTGGGTCGCCAGCCATCGAACTGCCGGCTGCGACCAGCACTCCTGTCCGAAGCGGCGCAGCCGAGCACACTCCTCCCCCCTCTCCAGGGCTGACTGCACAAGTGCGCAAAGTGGACACGGCGGGTATCAACGACGACATCGTGATTGACGTGATCGGACAACTGGAAAAGACAGGCAACCGGCCTCACCTCATCAAGGACCTGGCCGCCATACTGGCCTCCACCAACTCCAACATTGCGCAGTAAGTGACGCCGCCCGAGAATCGCATCTGCGGTTGCTGACCTGTCAATAGTTCTGCCAATCCTGCTGCCCTCCTGTCCTCCCGTCTGAGTGTGTACCTCAAGCGGCCATGGACGGCTCTCTCACCTTGTCCGCTGGCAAAAGAGCTCATTCCCGTTCATCCTCGCAAGGTCTTCTTCTTCTTGACCACTCAGCCCCGGTTACCATTGCCTGAGACTTCGGACGACATCCTCCCACCCCCATTGATCTCGGTCAAGAATCTCACGCCCAGCGTGTCGGACCACAGTCTCGTGGACGATGAGTTGGAGTTAGATCAGCGAGATCGAGCACGGTTCTCTCCAAGTCCTGAGGTTGAATTGTATTCTCCCGAACTGGACCAGGAAGAATCCGCAGAGCCATCAACGCCTGGAGAGTACTTTAGCGCCAGGAGTAGTCTCAACCCGGACGGCACGCCGGACGTGCGTAGGCGACCGAATCGAGCGCCCAGCCCACCACTTGAAGCAGATGAACGGGGGTTTACGGAAACTGCCACAGCCGTGAGAGCTCGCGGCATGAGTCTTCATCATCATATTGTGCAAGAGTCAGTGGAAATCGAGGACAGTCTTCCTACTGTCGAGGCGTCTGAGGAGACACCCGAACAGCGGCAGAAGCGTGACCGGGAACTTGGGATGGAATTGTTTGGGCCAATCCATCCCAGCCTCCAGGTGCTGGAGCAGAAACTGTTCTCGAGCAGTCCCATGATCCCGGCCAGACAGGATCACCCAGCCCCCATGGCCAAGATGGATACAAGCCTGCCCTTGGACGACATCGAGATGGGTGAAGCTTCTTGGAGCATGATGAGTCCGGAGCAGATCGACGTTGATGAGCTCGACACACTGTTTACGGGCTTTTAAGTGTCGTGCTCGCTCCTCTTGCTTGCTGCTGGGCTGGCATACTTCTGATTGCATCTTTGTCGCTGTTTGTCGCTGTTGCATTGATAGCGACGGCGGTCTCTCTCACCTCTTCGAGTTCTAGGCGGACACAACCGCCTGTCTGCACGATTTTTTGTTGCCATCTAGGAAGGCCATCATATGCTGGATCTCGTTCGCCTATTCGAGATCTGGACCAGGGTGATGATCTTGATGGATCTTGCAACGCGGCCGAAAGACTGCGTGACAACAACAGAAATGGTCACTGTGATGATAGGGAAATGGACGCAGAAAACCATGTAGCATTAGTGACTGTCGGCAGACCCCCGAGCCGGGGCAGCGATATTAGATATGGAAGTCACAGGGCTTACAGTGTACTGTATTGCTGATGAAGCTCTTGAATGACGGCAACGATTTCACGCACTCTGTATCCCGTTCACGTTGACGCAATAGTACTCCTGACCATGTTTGGACGGTGAAGAGGTCAATGCCCGTGGGGTGTGTTGGAGTGCACAGCGAGTGTGTTCAGATCGTAATTGCAGGTGTCCACAGTCCCATGGAGAGGCCAAGATGAAGCAAAGCAGGCAGCCATCTTGCGTTATATGTGCACTTGGTCTCTTCGATAAAACCTGGGAGTGAGGGTTCACCGAGAGGGTGGCTGTGGTGCAATTGCTGTCTCGCACTTATCAATTAAATGTCCTCCACTCGGAAGCATGGTTTATTACTGAGCTGTTATGCACGCCGGGCACAAGGAGTTGAGAGTCAGACACCCAATCTCAAGACTGTGGCATGAGTCATGTCTCACAGTGTGACCAATGGCATGGGACCTTTTAGATGATGGGGGACCAGGGAAGAGCGGACGAAGAGACGGACGAACAAAAAACGGAGTCATCAATTTGTTCTCGGCTGCACCAGATACTCAATGCGGAAAGGAATACGAGGCAGTCGCGCGAGAGTGGAGGATCTTGGGGACATTTGAACGAACCCTAGCAGTACGTATCTGTGGCAGTGGGTGCGGACAATCTCAACACAGTGCTAGTATGTTCTCCCATTAGTTATGCATTCAGCACTGCCTCCTGGTGGGTGTGTTCAGTCGCAGCCATGTACATATCCGAGTGGCCTCACATTCTACCAAGTCTATCTCGGGTACTTTATGTAGGTACCGCTTACCGGACATAGTGATACTACCTACCTATACAGTATACGGCAAGAATTGTGTTGTTGGGACAGAGTTGCCGCGCCCCTGAATACATTAATTGTAGCCTGGTTCATTATTGCCAGTCAAGTTGAAAATTGAGGCCCCGACAAAGTTGTGTCGCCGCCAAGGTTCCGGGAGCCGGTCGCATAAAATTGTGCGGCAGTATTGGCGGAGCCGGGGGTGGAATCTAAACCGTATTGGGGTCTAGTGGCATCTCATTTATGAACGGGAAAGTGCGATTTTCAGTGGCAGCCTGATGGCAGCTTTATGTCCGCTCCGGTGTTGTGTCTCTGTCTGCGCCCCAGCTTCCTTTCCCTGATTGTTAATACCCACTGCACCGGCTTACTATTTTATTGGTATACGTATACTGGACAGAAAGGGCAGGAGATCCCAGAATACTTACTAATGAATGTGGACTACTAGACGAAAAGATACCTACCTACGAGACAACCACGGCCAAGTCCACGCCCACAACCACAGTCACTACCACTAGCACTTCGGACCATTGCCAATGTCGCGATCCTGCCCAGTCACTCACTCCCTGGTCTCCTCAACATCGTGACCATCTTCTTCTTCCGCCTTCCTCGCTCCTTGTCAATACACAGACAGGTCCGAACGCCTTCTTTCACTCAGGCAGACGCAGTTCTAAGGTGTGACCCGGACGCCTTATATCCGCCGCCCCCTCATATCTCCCACATCCGATACCACACGGGCAGACGCACTTCCGTCGGTTGAATTGGATCCCTTGGCTTACTGGAATTATTCATCCATCATTTATTACCACTCCTTTAAGAACTGGCTGCTGCTTTTATTTGATCGCTTGGGCAGCGCCCGTTCTCATCTTCCCCTCACTCTTGACCACTAGACAGACATTGTCACAATGTCGCTAGTCGGGAATTTCACCACCAACTTCGACCACACCATGGACACCCGTGGTGCTGGGAATCCAGCTCATCACCGCAGGGAATCGGACGTGGAAGAGGAATACCACCCCGTTCATACAGGCCACCACCACCACCACCACGAAGAAGATGGCTCCCATCCCTCCACCATTCCGGAAGACCCTGAAAAGAAGGGCGAGACTTCCAGCAGTTCAGAGGATGACGGCGCCGACCGTGTCAAAGACCTGGCCAGGCAATTGACTCGATCTTCCACCTTTTCTTCTATTGACGACAATCCTTTCGACGTCGAGCCCGGTTCCATCCTAGATCCCCACTCGGACAATTTCAAGCCCCGCGCCTGGATTAGAGCCTTGTTCAACGCCCAGCAGAAGGATGACCGCTTTGTGGGCAGGTCCGCCGGTGTCGCCTTTCGCAACCTGAGTGCCCATGGATTCGGTGCCGCCACCGATTATCAGAAGTCCGTCGGCAACATCATCTTCGAAGTGCTCGGCATTGCTCGCAGACTGATGGGGGTCGGCCAGCGCAGAATCGACATCCTTCGTGACTTTGACGGTCTGCTGAACGCGGGAGAAATGTTGGTGGTGCTGGGGCCCCCCGGTTCCGGCTGCTCGACCTTTCTCAAGACCTTGGCGGGCGAAACCCACGGCTTCAACGTGGACGACGACTCGTATATCAATTACCAGGGAATCAGCTTTCATGAAATGCACAAGCACTTCCGTGGCGAGGCCATCTACACGGCCGAACAAGACGTGCACTTCCCTCAGTTGACGGTGGGCGACACCCTCTACTTCGCCGCTCGCGCGCGAGCCCCCCGGCACATTCCTGGAGGGGTGTCTCGAAGCACCTATGCCTCCCACATGCGAGATGTCCTCATGGCCACCTTTGGTATCCGTCATACCTTCAACACCCGCGTCGGGAACGATTATATCCGAGGAGTCAGTGGTGGAGAGCGGAAGCGTGTCAGTATCGCCGAGGCGGCCTTGAACATGTCTCCGCTTCAATGTTGGGACAACAGTACTCGCGGTCTAGACAGCGCCAACGCCATCGAGTTCTGTAAGACTCTGCGCATCTCCACCGACATTCTCAACGCCACCTGCGCGGTCGCCATCTACCAGGCGCCCCAGAGTGCCTATGACATCTTTGACAAGGCCATCGTCTTGTACGAAGGGCACCAGATCTATTTTGGCCCCAAAGATGAAGCCAGAGCGTACTTTGTCAGGATGGGCTTCCACTGTCCCGATCGTCAGACCACGGCCGATTTCCTCACCTCCATGACGAATCCGCATGAAAGGGTGATCCGAGAGGGCTTCGAGAATCGAGTCCCGCGTACTGCTGCCGAGTTCGCCAAGGCGTGGAAAGAGAGTCCAGAGCGTGCCCAGTTGCTCCGAGATATCGAAGAGTTCGACAAGGCACATCCCATCGGAGGTCCGGATCTGGAGAAATTCAAAGAATCCAGACGATTGCAACAAGCCAAGCGTCAACGCGTCTCCTCGCCATACACTCTGTCATATGTCCAACAAATCAATCTGTGCCTGTGGCGCGGGTTCCGTCGGTTGGTGGCCGACCCCAGCTTGACCATGACCCAGCTCATTGGCAACACCATCTTGGCGTTGATCATTGGCTCCATCTTCTACAACCTCGACATGACCACCAACTCGTTTTACTCTCGTGGAGCATTGCTGTTTTTCGCCATCTTGATGAACGCCTTTGGTTCCGCCCTGGAAATTCTGACCCTCTACGCTCAACGTCCGATTGTCGAAAAGCACGCCCGATACGCGCTCTACCATCCCTCCGCCGAAGCGTTCGCCTCGATGCTGACGGACATGCCGTACAAGATTTGCAACACCATCGTCTTCAACGTTACGTTATATTTCCTGACCAATCTGAGACGAGAGCCCGGAGCATTCTTTTTCTTCATACTGATCTCCTTCTTCTTGACCTTGGTCATGAGTATGCTTTTCCGAACCATTGCCTCCGTGTCTCGCACACTTAGTCAAGCGTTGGCACCCGCAGCAATTCTCATTTTGGCCATCGTCATTTACACCGGGTTCGCCATTCCCGTCAACTACATGCTCGGTTGGGCTCGTTGGATCAACTACCTCGACCCGGTGGCGTACGGCTTCGAAGCGCTCATGATCAACGAGTTCCATAACCGCGACTACGGGTGTGCAGCTTTCGTACCCTCTGGTGCAGGTTACGACGATGTGGGCAGTTCGAACAGAGTGTGCTCTACTGTCGGATCTCGAGCCGGTCTACCCTATGTCAACGGCGATGACTACATCAACAGCAGTTACAAATACTATCATTCGCACAAATGGCGGAACTTTGGCATTCTGATTGCTTTCCTCATCGGTCTTATGACCACTTATCTGGTCGCGGCGGAGTTTGTCGCCGCAAAGAAATCAAAGGGCGAAGTGTTGGTCTTCAGACGTGGTCATAAACCCGCCGCTTTCAAGGAGAAGGCTGCACGGGATGCAGAGGCCGGTGGCGAAGGCACTGTGGTGACGGCGCAGAAGGACCACACTGAGCTGAAACCCATTTCCAGCATCATACAGAAACAAACCGCCATTTTCCAGTGGAAAGATGTGTGCTATGATATCAAAATCAAAGGAGAAGGACGCAGAATCTTGGATCATGTTGATGGTTGGGTCAAGCCCGGAACCTTGACGGCGCTTATGGGTGTCTCTGGAGCAGGAAAGACTACACTCCTCGATGTCCTCGCCACTCGTGTGACCATGGGTGTGATCACTGGAGAGATGTTGGTCGACGGCCGACAGCGAGATGAGTCGTTTCAGCGGAAAACAGGATATGTTCAACAGCAAGATCTGCATTTGGAAACGTCCACGGTCCGAGAAGCTTTAAACTTCAGCGCCCTCCTCCGTCAACCAGCTCACACCCCGCGGAAAGAGAAGCTCGCGTATGTGGAGGAAATCATCAAGCTCCTCGAAATGACCGAATATGCCGATGCCGTTGTCGGTGTGCCTGGTGAGGGTCTCAACGTCGAGCAGCGGAAACGACTTACTATCGGCGTCGAATTGGCGGCCAAGCCACAACTCCTCCTGTTCTTGGATGAGCCCACCTCCGGTCTCGACTCGCAGACCTCTTGGTCCATTCTTGATCTTCTGGAGAAACTCAAGAACAACGGCCAGGCTATCCTGTGCACTATCCATCAACCGTCCGCCATGCTTTTCCAACGCTTTGATCGACTTCTTTTCCTGGCCAGAGGTGGCAGGACGGTCTACTTCGGTCCTATTGGCGAGTCGTCCAAGACCTTGACTGACTACTTCGAACGGAATGGCGCCCATCAATGTCCCCCGGACGCCAATCCTGCGGAATGGATGTTGGAAGTTATTGGTGCTGCTCCGGGCTCACATACAGACATCGATTGGGTCGAAACATGGCGCAACTCGCCCGAATTCCACGGCGTCCGTGCCGAGCTCGAGCAACTAAAACACGACCGGTCCAAGTTGGTTCCTGTGGTCTCCCACAAGTCCGACAAGGCCAGCTACCGCGAGTTTGCGGCACCTTTCTTCCAGCAGCTGTTGGAAGTCCAGAAGCGTGTCTTCCAACAATACTGGCGTACCCCATCCTACATTTACAGCAAATTGTCTCTCTGTATTGCATCTGTGAGTCTCCCACCTACTCCATACACGCCACCATATATATTCGTTTCCTTTTTGTTCTTCCCCACCCAAGCAATCCGTTAACTAACCCCTATTCCCACCAAACAGGGTCTCTTTATCGGCTTCTCCTTCTTCATGGCGCGCAACACGATTCAAGGCCTCCAGAACCAAATGTTCGGCATTTTCATGCTGATGACGATTTTCGGCCAACTCTGCCAGCAGATCATGCCCTTGTTCGTGACGCAACGGTCACTGTACGAGGTGCGAGAACGGCCTAGCAAGACATACTCGTGGAGGGCGTTCATGATGAGCAACATCATTGTCGAACTGCCCTGGGGACTGCTCTGCGCCGTGCTGATCTTCGTGACATGGTACTACCCGATCGGGCTGTACCGCAACGCGGAGCCGACGGGCACCGTGCACGAGCGCGGGGCTCTGATGTTCCTTTACGTGCTGTCCTTCCTGCTCTTCACCTCGACGTTCGCACACATGACGATCGCGGGGATCGCGGACGCCGAGACCGGCGGCAACATCGCCAACCTGTGTTTCTCGCTGACGCTCCTCTTCTGCGGTGTGCTCGTGGGCCCGAAGGCGCTGCCGGGGTTCTGGATCTTCATGTACCGCGTGTCCCCTTTCACCTATCTGATCGACGGCATGCTCAGCACCGCCGTCGCCCACACCAACGTCACGTGCGCGCGAAACGAGTTCCTTCACTTCAGCCCGACCAACGGCCAGACCTGTGGGCAGTACATGCGCTCCTACATCGACTCGAATGGGGGATACCTGGAGAACCCGACGGCCACTGACAGCTGCAGCTTCTGCTCGGTCTCCAATACCGACAAGTTCCTGAGCTCCGTCTCGTCCCATCCGCAGTACATGTGGCGCAACTTTGGTCTGATGTGGGCCTATATCGCCTTCAACATCGCCGGCGCCGTCTTCTTGTACTGGTTGGTCCGCGTGCCCAAGAACCGGGGCAAGGGGAAGAAAGAGCTGGCCAGCCCCGACGCCAGTAAGGAGGGCAGTGTCCTTGAAGCCCCGCCTCAGGTTGGCAGTGAACCCGAACAGCACCAGCAGCAACTGCAGCAGCAACAATCTCAGCAATATCCTGAGAAGGACAATAACAACCAGCTCCAGCCAAGCGAAGTGCCTACAACCACAACCACAGCTGTGGATACGCCGACAACCTCGACGACAGTGCCGTCTGACACCACGCCAACTACAACTTCATCGACATTCCATGACCAAGTCACAGTCACCCCAATGACGCACGCGAGTGACCCGATCGACAGGATCGACGAAAAGAGGGAATAGAATAATTCTGTCCTTGCCTTTCTCGGTTGCATCTGCATTGCATTCTTTTCTGTTTGGGGACATATCACTGGCAATGCCACATCTTGTCTTTCTTGTCTTGTCTTGTCTTCGGCTATGGATTCGCATTTGCCTTGTTTCTGGGAAGCTTGACCTTGCTTGAGCTTGAGCTCGGAGTTGCAAGAGAGTCCGACTGTCTTGAGGAGTCGACTCCTCTACATATGCTATGTTATCCTTTCTGTCTTGTTTGCCATACCAATTGACTGGTACTGGTACCAGACCTACCTACCCAGATAGACTGGGCGGGGAAAAGTAGATTTTCTGTTATTAGATTTGATGGACGATTGATTTGCTGGGTGGCTGGACATAGCAGTGCAGAGAGCAGAGGACAGAGAACAGAACTAGAACTTAATCAACCTATATCACAAACTCTACACTCTCTTCCTCTTTATGAATGAATCTACCATGTCATTGCTCTCTACTTCTTCCTCTTCTCTATGAATGGATCCACCATGTCGTTGCTCTCTACTTCTTCCTCTTCTCTATGAATGGATCTACCATGTCGTTGCTCTCTATTTGATGCTGATGATCTCTCTCCCCTCCGTCCCCATCAGATGCCGTCGCTTTCTCTTTCTTTCATTCTAGCTGGAGGTGAAAATCCACAACATACAGTGAGTGCACTCTTGACACCATGTCACTTGTTCAGATCCAGGTTTGGTTCTTAGCTTCTCCAAATCCAGTATCAAATAAAACAACTCAGCTCTAAGTGTACTCAGCTCTGCTTCGTCCTTTAATGTTCAGTGCATCAAGGACACAGTCTTGGACCTTGTCTTGTCCCCCGGGCCAGCTGCAAACAGCAATAGCAACTCAATCTCATCAAGCTCCCTTATTTATTTCCGAAAACCTTAGCCAGCATGGTGGTGATTGCTCGTGCTCCTCCCGACAGAAAGGACATGCCGAAAGACCATTTCTTGACACGCACGGTGTAGATGAAGAAATAGACGAGGAACCAATTGGAAAAGACAAAGAGCAGGAAAATGCCAAAATCGCGCCATTTCTGGTCGGGACGGATATTCAGCGTGGCGAGATACTCGGGCCCGGAGCCGTAGGGACAGTAAGCGCAGGTGCCGTTGGCCAGGGTGTCGATGTAGCCGTGGGCCTGGGCGCGGACGTAGTCGGCGGCGTACGCGGCACACGACTGGCCCGGGGGTGCGTTGAACAGGGTCTCCTCGCCCACGGTGCAGTGCACGGCGAGGTCGGACATGGTGGCGGCGAGCACGCCGCCCATCCAGTAGGTGCTGGGATTGATCCAGTAGACCCAGTCGCGCCAGAAGACGGGCAGCTGCGAGTAGGGCCGCATGATGCCGTTGAAGACGGAGATGATGACGAAGAAAAAGGGCAGCACATTGCTGACCACGGTGTAGCTGGGCGCGAACGCGCAGATCCACTGGCCCCAGCTCGTCATGAACAGGTAGAACAGCATCGTCATCAGGAACGTGTAGCCGGCCGCCGCGCTGTCTCGGGGCAGATTGTTCGGATAGTACCACAGTAGAAAGTAAATGACCGACGAGATGACCGCCATGGGGATCTCGGCCACCACTTGGGCCGTGCAGAACGCGATCCATCCGTAGATGCGCGCAGGGTACTCGCGGGCTTCCCAGAGCCCGCGGTTCATGTAGAACTTGGGGACCACGCCGTTGACGATCGTCGGCGGAATCAACAAAATCATGAACGGCGCGAACAGCCGGAGCTGCAGCCCGGTTGCTGAGTCGTCCAGATTGTAGAAGATGAACCCAGCGAACACGCCTATGATGACGCTGACAAACAGTTTCGAGTACAGGTAGGACGGGTCGCGCCAGTACTGGCGGAACGTCCGCTTGGTGACCTCGTACGTCTGCAGTGGCACGGGCGCCGCGAACGCCCGTAACACGCGGGCATCTTGGGGTGGTTCCTGGGCCCGGTCGCGCTTGAGCCGTTGGATCTCTTCCATCAAGTCCGCATTCTCCTTGGACTCGAGCCATTCCTGGTTCCAGTCCACCCGCGTGCCGTTGGGCCTTCTCGTGCCGCCTTTCGCCGCCGTCTCGAGCAGGAACTCGGCCACGTTCTTGTTGGGCGGGCACCGGGTCCCGCGCTGGGCGAAATACTCCACCACCGCCGCCCCGTCCTCGCCAATCGGGCCGAAGTAGAACGGGTTGCCGCCGGGGTTGAGGGCCAGGACCATGTCGAACTGTTGGATCAACATGGACGACGGCTGATGGATGGTGCAAACGATCGCTTGACCGGCATGCGACAGTTTCTTCAAGAATCGCACAATCGAGTACGCAGACTGCGCATCCAACCCACTGGTCGGTTCGTCGAGGAACAAAAGCAGTTCCGGCTTGGCTGCCAGTTCCACTCCGATGGTCAGTCTCTTGCGTTGCTCAACGCCCAAGGAATCAATCATGGCATCCTGCATGTCGTTCAGTTCCAGCAGATCCACAATCTTGTCCACGTAGGCCAGCTTCTCCTGTTTGGGAATGCTGCGATCTTGCCTTAAAATGGCCGAGAACTCGAGCGCCTCACGAATCGTCGCAGTCCCGTCGTGGATGTCCCTCTGTTCACAAAACCCCGTACCTCTCTGGAACTCAATTCCCAACGGACGGCCATCAACAAGCATATTCCCGGACACGGTGCCAATGGTAAGCCGTTGCGACAACGTGTTGAGCAAAGTCGTCTTGCCAGCGCCACTTGCACCCATCAAGGCGATCATGAGGCCTGGCTTGGCGTATCCGTAGACTCCGTTCAGCAGCTTCCTCGTTCCGCCATGGTATGGAACCTCGCATTGCACATTCTCCCACGTAAAGATGCTCTTGCTTGGAACAATGCCGTCGACTGGATCGTCTTTGCCGTTTTGAAGAGTCTGCGAAGATCCACTGGAGCCCGGCTCAGCCGCAGTTGTCTTCTCTTCATCTGCAGGCTGGACACCTTCTTTGACTCTCATTTTGGCCTTGCGTGTCTTCTTGAATACCAAAGCACCGCCCCCTTCCCTCGCAAAAGAGAACAGTTCGGATGCTGTGGCCGTGACGAGAACGTACAGGACGATAAAGGCGACACCGACGCCAAGGTTCCGCCAGAGATGAGACCTGGAGTAACCGAATGATGTCTCGAAATACGCGTCGCCACTGACAGTGTTGCTCCCGAGCCTTGCGCCCGCAAGCGAACAGCCTTGGTAAGCCGGGTCGACGTTCGGACCGTTAGGAACCAGATTGGAAGGTGCGCATTCCATAGTGCGACCGGAGAACTCGTTGGTTAGCACAGCCTCGTATGCATAGCCGAGAGGGCTGACGTAGAATAGCCAACCAAACCAAATCACACCGTTGATCAGAGTTTGTTTAGGGATGACATAGCCCATAACAAAGATCATGATATTGAGCGCAAGGCCCGAAAAGCGCACAGCGTCGTCAATGGTCGGGCTCAGGGCGGCGAACATCCGGTACAGTGCGGTAACGCAGATGGTGTTGATGTAGACAAACAGCAGGGTGATGAAGAACTTGCCAGGATCCCTGTCGAGATTGGTCATGAAATACATGATGAGGATGAAGACAATCGTCTGCACCGCGAGGACGGGAAGATCGAGGAGCACTCTGGCAATCACAACGGCACTGGGACGGTAGAAGGCGTAGTCTTTGTGCCGGGCAACCACCACACGACCGCTCACCGCTCGCACCAATTCGGTCAGTTGCAGCCAACCCAGAAACAAGATGCAGAACACCAAAGCTCCCGTACGAGGGAATGCACCGGAGGTGTCGAGCCGTTCGCCGTAGAAGAGTGATCCAGTGATCAGGCCATTGGAAACAATGATGAAGGCCTTTGTGTACAGAGACGTCTTGTCTCCCCAGAAGAGCCAGAACTCCCGAATGGTACAGGCCAATACTTGTCGCCAGAACGAGACGGTATAATTGGAGTGGGAGGGCAGGAGTCGGCTGTTGCTCTTTTGCTCCTTGACTGCGTCTTGAAACACTTTGGTGCTTTGGTGTCCCGAGTCGTGCAAGTCTCGCTCGTAGGCTTCGACATCTGTAAGATTCTGCTTGTAGATGTCGGACCTTCGAAAAGCGAGCTCTAGCTCTTCAGCAGTTTTGGGGGTCGAATCTTCTTTGCCTGGTTGGAACTGACGCTCATTAGGGTCGCCGACTGAGGTCAGGAAATCCGGATTGGTCTGACGCTCCGGAGCTTGAAACCCTAGGTCAATGAAGTACTGTCGTGCGAGCGTGGCCGGACCCTGGTAAATCATTCGCCCTTCTTCGATGACCAAAACTTTGTCCATCACTTCATATATTCCTTCGCCCGCCTGATAAAGCGTGACCAGTGTGGTTCGATCGGAGACGTCCGTCATGACGCGGAGAGATTTCGCATAGTCCAGAGCCGTGGACGCGTCCAAGCCCCGGGTCGAGTTGTCCCAACAGACCACCGAGGACTTGGTGGCCAGCGTTTCCGCAATGCCGACTCGTTTCCGCTCGCCGCCAGAGACACCTCTGACATATTCGTCGCCCACTAGCGTATGCTTTGTGTGAGAGATGCCAAACATCTTCATCAGTGCATCGATGATGATCGGGATCGTTTCGGCCTCATGCCGTTTGGTCTTATTCATCAAGGCAAACCGCAGAGTCTGCCAGACGGTCAGGGTGGGAAGGTGGTGATCGTCTTCAGGATTGTAGTTGACTTCACCTCGATAGTGCTTTTCCTGTTCTTCGGCGGAGATGCCGCCGTAATTCACTGTACCTTCGACGGCGGCATAGCTGTCGCGCTGGTTGGCTATGACTTTGAGGAACGTAGAACATCCCGAGCCCGGTCGACCCAGCACTAACATCATTTCGCCATGTCGGACCACTCCAGTGAAATCTCGGAGGAGATCCCTGGTAGGAGGCCCTCTTCCAAGCCTAAGAGAAGGAATGAACCTGCAGACAAGACGATACAGGTCCGGTCCAAATGTCCCAAGGATCGCATCTGGCAGGGTCTTGATGAATGTCGCCTGTGCGCCAACACCCTTGACTGTCAAGTTCTTGTACACCACACCGATTTTCTTCGCAGATTCTCCAGTCTCGGTCCTCTTCTCGAAACGGCCTTCCTTTAGGAAGGCATCGAGGTCAAGATCACCCGGCCCAGAAGTCCCGCCGTAGGCGTCTCTGTCTACGACCGACGTTGTATTGAGGCTGCCAGCCATCGATGACCGAGTCCTCGTCATAGCAAATGAACGTGCCCTCTTGGACTCGCGGGTGCCTGTGCGCTGTAGACTCATCCTGGTGAGTTCTCTCCTCATCTCCTCGAAGTCAGCCATGGCTGCCTCCCGGTCGACGTGACCGCCGACATCTCGCTCGCCCCAAGTCCCGTCTACTTCTTGGCCACAATTGCTCGTTGATGGCATGATAGATTCGCCCATGGTGTGTCCGGAGTCGACGTTCTGAGCCGATTGAGGAGGCTGCTCTATGTGGTGCAGATCGTTGTCGGCAACGGCTGTATAGGTCAGTGTGTCCTTGAGAATCCGCAATTCCTGACACAACTTACCGTCCTGACGGCCGTAGCGGCGCCTGTACATGTGGCTACTGTGGGCGCCGAACATCTTTGCCTTGTCCCTGCTGTCTTATATGATTTGCTTTCAGGCTGGGGGGAGATTGACCTCTGGGGGGCTCACTGAAGTTCAACAAACGAGGGACGCTGCAAGACAGAAGACAACTGATTTCGGGGCGTGTCCGGGGCGAAATATGGCACGGATCAGCCGAAGGGCAGGGGAACAACGACACGCAGGAACACAGCAGGGAAAGAAGGGAAGCGAGCCAACGCGAGGATCCCAGGAGGAGGAAGAACCGGCGCAAATCAAGCGATGGGATTGATATAGAATGAAGAGGTCACCGATAATAGCATAGTGGTAGGGCGACAACCCATGCATTGTAGTAGTGAGTTGAACACCGACCATGTCACCCACTGGCATGTCGTCTCAATGGGATCGGGGTTTGGATTTCTAAGCTGTATCCCCGCGACCAGAGTCATGTTGACGGGCTACGATGGGCCGGCCAGGGATCCTTTCGTCTCGACAGTGATCGATCTCCGTAGGAGGATAGGGATGATACTGGATAACAGTGCACCTGGGAGGGAGGGATTAGAAATGTCACCTCGGATTTAGATTGAAGTCTGTCTTTTCTCCCAAGTTCGTCACTTTGTCTCGGCGATCGGAGTTAGGGGAATCTAGTCACATTGCAGTACGTACTAGTATTATAATGCCAGAACAAGCGAGCCTATCACAGTTCTGAGTCACCTATTAATTGGGACATGGACGACCTTTATGAAGATACTAAGTGCATAGCGCAGTAGACAGTAGTACTAGTCTGAGGCTCTAAGCCACTGGCGTCCAGGAGCACTAATACCTTACTTCAGGCAACAATCCTCTCTCTCCTTACCACTGTGGCATGCTCAATTTGTCGTGTCGTCCTCCACAAGTCTCTTCAGGTCCGCGTACAACTTGGCAAACGATAATGAGGACTCTTCCTCCCACATCAATTCTGCGGCACGAGGGACCTCAGATACACACGATAATCCGGGGTCCGCAGAGCCAACGGACGTCCATGGATTTCGGCCGAAAATGGAGATGTCAGAGTACCTACTTAGAGACAGAACCTAAGCATACAGTGATCAAGTCATATCGAAGCAAAGACAGCCGGTGATTGCGGCGATTGCGGTCGGAAAAGTCCAGTATCAATGCCAAGTGTGTCATAAAACCGCAGGATTTCAAAGCCATGTCCAGATATCCAACTTGAAGTGTCCACTTCTACCTCCCCTCCCTGCCCCAGGTACCTCCGACAGAACGCAAGCTCACCAACCAGCTCTACGCAAAGATCAATATCTAACACGTCGGGATGTGGAGATAAGCCTTAGAAATCATTCGACTGGCTTGTTCGAGGTTGGTAATGCACCCGCTTCGACGTCGGCATCATGCGAGGTTGAAAATACTTCCAGAGATCTGCATTTTCCTCGGACTGAAGCCGGACCCTCCAGCTTTTGGTGGTGGTTGGTGGCTTGTCCTCCATAGGTCTGGAAGGGAGTAGGAGCAGGGTGTAAAAAGGACGCCTTTACTGTGTACTAGTAGATCTAGTACCCAGCCCGACCTTGATACTGTGTTGCTGTTCTTACACATTACTTGATGTTACCTACTACCAGGAAAGATCCCCTTCCAATGTGGAATGAATCTGTGCGCCGATGCTCATCAAACTGTGTACAATCCCCCAGGCCACATCATTAGAACTTTTCGCCAATCCTGCCGTCATTGTGTCCTTCGGTCCTTCGCACCGTGAAGATAAACGTCCAGTCTGGTTCCCGTCTCATAGCCAGATCATCACGCCTGCACCAACCGCGATCAAGCATGCCACCATGCCCATAACCCCTGCCTCGTTGGAGAACGCCGGCCCAGCAACCATTCTGCCAGCAGCCCCTTGAGAGGTGGCAGAGCTTGCCGCGCCCGAAGTGCTGCTGCTGCTGCCGCCGCTGGAACTCGCCGATGAAGTGACTGTCGAACTGTAAGTACTACTGGTCTGCGCAGTGGAGGAGGTGGTGGTTATCGTGATGCTGCCTTTCGGAACACCACTAGGCATACCTGCGGAAACGCCTGCCGCACCCATGGTCGGCAGAGGCGCGCTGGGATCAACTGTCCATCCTCCCGCCGTGGAACTGGGGCAAGCTGGCGGCGTCGGGGTCACGCTGGCGACATAGTCTGCCGACTTTACCCCAGTTGGGTTCAATGTCTTCCACTGTTCTGAGAGATTGCTGAAGTCGGGTTGCACCGGTGTCGGTGTACCTTGACGCGTAAATCTACGACCAGTTAGCTTCACTCCACCAGTAGCATCCATCTGTTAGCCATGGTTACCCTTGAATGACACTTGTTCCCTCGTTGACGTCCGCCCCGGCTGGCGGCCCATATGAAACCAACCCGTACTGGTTCATTTCCTGGATCCACTCGTAAATCATTGCTCCAGACCAGGTGTTGACCATGTCTGGGCCAAAAATGGCCGCTTGGTCGTTGAAAGTGCGTGGTGGGACCGTATTGCAACCATCTTCCGAAAAGAAAATGGGCACCGGATAGTTCTGGGCGTCTGCTTGCAGAGAAGCATATCCTGAGGTTTGGAAAGTCGGGGTCGATCCACACCACTCGTAGCTGTTCAGAGCATAGAAATCCAGGCGCTCCGTCACGTTAGGGCGGCACACCAGGTAATCCTGCAGCATGGGCCGAAGGACAGCTGTGTCTGTGGCCGAGTATCCAATGGGGATCTTGCGGTAATTTCGAGCGTCTCGGTACGTCTTGAGATCGACTGCAGCCGACAGCAGGTAAGGAGCAGAGTCTGCATCGGCCACTACACAGAGTCAATATCTTAACGTTGGTCCCAACAACCTGTTCCAACATACAAGTGTTGAGCACTTCATTGCCCACAAACATGCCCGCAGTGTTGTCGTACTGTTGGAAATTGTCCAGAACCGCCCGATAGGATTCCGACTTGTTCGAAGTCCATGAAGCGGTCGTGTCCTGGTCTGCATCAGTTCTCCTGCTCTCTTGATCATCAAACAGCCTGTGGAGGTGCGCCTACGAAACGAATGTATGTTTTGAAACTGTCCATGTCCACAAACACATAGATTCCAGCAGCAGCGAATGCGTTCATACAACCCTGATGGTCCGCGGAAGGATCGACGTGGTACACACGGATTGCGTTGGCGCCGAGTTGCTGCATGAGAGTAGCATCGAGTTGACATTGGGTAGCGTTGACAAGAGGGTCGTCTTCGATCAGTTGGTAGGCAACACCTGTATAATCCAAGCCATTAGCAAATCTTTCGGACCGCCTCGACGTTCTGGTCTTGCCTTTAATAAAGAATTGATTGCCATCGCTTGTGAAGAACTTGGAGCCAACTGCTGAGATGGTGGGGATTGCATTGATGGTGACGCTCAGGGCCGTTAGGAGCAGGAGGACGAAGGCTGCTGAATGCTCCATGATTCCCGAACCGTCGGTAGGCGAGCAAGGAGAGGCTCTTTGCAAGGTATTCGACGGTGTAATGAAAGAAAGGCCTTGAAACTCTGCAAGAACTGAACTGCGAATTGTGTTGATCCTTTGGAGTATGCTTTTCAAAACTCTCGACCACACGTAGGTCGGGTTCGTGTACAACACAACCTGTCTTGCCAAAGAATATGTGCAAAAGAAGAGAAGTTTTCCCCGGTGCAGTGACTAGGTGAGGACTCGCTGATGAAGGAAATTCGAGTGAAAAACAGCAGGAGCAGGCTGGTACACGCAGCACTTCAAACAGAGCGCAGGCGCAGGTGCAGGCGCAAACTGTCCCGCAACAGAAGGCACGACCGTATTCAGTGCAACAGCAACGAGAGGAAAGGGACCTCGCAGATTAGTATCTAGTCAAGAACGAAAGACATCGTCGACACCACAGCTCATCAACGAAAATGCGAGGAAGGACAAGTCAAAGACAACTCAACCTGAACCGTAGGGGAAGATAAAAGAGAAGACCCAGCACATCACAGCGGCTTCAGTCGCAGTTATCATGCAGCACCAGGGTCTATCAGTCGTCCGTAGTGTAACTCTGTAGTAGCTCACGCGCTGGAGCACCTTGGGCGGTCTTGCTTCAGACCAGAAAATGAATGGATCAATCAGATCCAGCCAATTCATCGCACGCCAGCCGTGGATAAAGGACGCGATGCGGCTTTGGGAGATGGTGGAGGGAACAAACAGGATCCGTACCCATGGCCATGCCGTTATCCATGCTCCCGATCGAGTAAAGGCACATTTGGGGGAAAGAGATGAGCCGCGATTAGGGACAAGGGTCCTGATAACCAGGATACGCGGGGCGGTGAACGCGCCTGAACGGAGAACAGGTGCCCCGTGAGATGCCTGTAATCTGAAGAATGCGGTGCCAGCCACAGTGGAGTTTGGGGGTCGCACGAGCTCCTTAGGCTCCGGCCTTAGCGGGCAAAAGGCCGTAGTATGGGCTTTAGGGGCACAACCGCCTAGTGCTCCAAACGGACAGTTTACGAAACATTTAGCTACCAATACGCAGCACTGATTGCCCTCAGGTCTCGATAGGCACTTCGTTGAATCAGTTCAGTAGGATGCGGATGCAACGAGACGTGGGCATACAGAGGAATCTGGAATCTTGATGGTGGCCCCGTCGTCGATGCTTCAATTCTTCTGCATATTTCCTTCATCTACTACCTACTACAGCTGCTGTGTTCCACATTAAGATACCTTAGATAGGCCAATCTCCTTATGCCAAACGCTCTACCACCTACTAGTACCACACAATGCGAGCCACCATCTGAAACAGTTTGAAATGTTGCATACCTGAGATGGAGCGTCGGCTCCTGTATTCCCTGCCGGGGCAGCAATTCACGGTTGCCATTCTCGCCCTGCCGCAGTGACCAGCTCCACGTTGTCGCTCCAGATAAAAGGCATTATGCAAGTTGTAACCAGCCATCCAACCCGACACCGCCTTGCTGCCACGGGAATGAATCAAGATTCGGAAAGCAACACCATAGCTCACCGGGTATCTCGTGTCTTTCGTGAATCTGGTAAATCCAGAGCAAATGAAAACATTAACGACACATTCCTATGTTGTCCTTGCTGTTCGATTCCGTAACACCTTGCTGACCCCAGATGCGTCGCGTGTCAATTACTCCCAGCCGCGAAAGAAAGAGGAAAATAGGGATCCCTGGCAGTATCACACAAGGGTCCGTCGAATGACAAACACGCCGACCTCGATGCCTGCGTTCCCTGCCGGCTCCCGGCTGTGGCGAATGCCCTCTACCACCTCACGTGCCAACATTCCCGGAGTGATCTCAATCTGACCGTGCCGAGCTGGCATGCGGCCGCCAGCCTTGTGATAGTCCACCAAATTTTGTCGCAAGCGAGGTTGCTCTTGCTCAATATACCACTCTTTCCACAGCGTTCCGTCCAGTACCACCTCGGCCGTTTCCGCATGGACAAGCTCGTACCGACTAGGGAGACCCCATGAAGGTGCTCTTTGTCCCAAATCCCGACACATGTTTTGTAGCAGCTTTTGGATTTCCTCGAAACTCTTCATGCCGGCCACACCGGCCATTTGCCCCAACTCAATCGCGAGTTCCATGTAGAGACTGTTCAGTAGAACAAACTGCCGAAGAAAAGGCTCAATGACCGGACCAATGTACTTGCTGGCGAACACGGACCCTCCGACTTTGGTCGGATACACGAGCAGCAGGCTGCCGTTGTTTGCCGAGAGTTCGAGAAGGCGATCGGCGAGGTAAGATCGTCGACTCAATGTGAAGAAGTCATCAACCTCTTGAGCCGTGGTTGGTGGAAGGTAGCGTTCAAGGATGGAAAGGTGAATACTGCTTGGCGCCGCGATTATATTCGTGGATCGAGGATTGGGCCCGGCGGGCGGCTGCGGGCGAGAATGATAAGCAGGAACCACAGCGGCATGCGTGAAGACGGTCTGATCTTGAAAATAGTCGTCGCTCGAGTGATTGGTGTTCGGAGTAGCTGGAGGGGAGGCTGGCACTTCGTCCATGCTGATCACTTGCGAGATTGCATGGGTAATGGTGATGTAGGGGGGAGAAGTGAAGCGGCCCTGGACCACTTCAACGACCTTCTCGAAGACTGGTCGGGCATTTGAAGACTTCGCCTGTGAAGGTAGCGCCTGAACGACCATTTGAAGTTGCTGTTGATTACTCGCATCACCCAGGGCCAGAACTGCACGCTTGATCAGTAAGAATTCTCAAACGGAAACAAGGCTCCTTACCAAGCTGTTGACATGCTCTTCCCAGCCAATTAGACCGATTTGCCTCGTCTTCATTCATGTTGGATCTGTCTGGCATCTGGATTCCTGAAGGCCTGGAGGTAGAATTGGCGCGGGCCTGATTGTGATGTTGACGAGAGGACCTGTCGTTGACATTCATGACTGTGCGCACTCCCTCTTCGGGACTCAGATGCAGAGGGGTGTCCCAGTCAAAAGCATCAAGATCCTCAGGCGGTGTAAGAGGGGCAACCACTCCGCAAGACGTGCTCAAACTCTGCGCGGTCAATGGATATGATTGTATCCAAGGCTGGGGGGCGAAGGCACCTAGAGGGCTTGCTCGGGGAATTGGGATGCCTGTAGAGGGTGGATTGCGTGTTGTCGTCGCCGCATGGCCGTTGTGTCCAGGCCGACGCCAGTCGTCCTTCCTGGGAAACGAGGCTGCATTATCAACACTTCTCGATTGAGAGAGCGTCTTGTAGGACGGCAACCTTTGACGACAATAGTCTTGACCCTCCACGAATTCTCCTTCGACTGAGCTAGACGACGATCTCCTTCTGATCCTGGGCCTTGAGGGCCTCTTCTTGGTCAACTGTCCTTCACCAATCCTAGGCCTATCCAGGTTCAGTCCTGCCCACAACGCTCTTGATTTGTCCAAGGATTCACTTCCAACGTTGCCAACAACTTCAACGAGGCCATGCGCCGTCGCATCGGGCCATTCCACGGTAGGAGATGTCACAGGCACCTCGCAAATCTGGACAACGGCGGAGAGTCTCTTCGATGTTGTATGCAAGGCATTGTCCAGCGACAGTGGCTGGGAGGTCATTGGCGAGACTAGAAGCGCCGCGTACAAGGACCGCCCAGACAAGGGACGTGATGGCAAGCAGATAGAAAATTCGCAGACGGCAGCTTTGAGACACCGCTACAGCGGAGCTGCCAGCAAACCGGCCGGGAAACGGTGTTGATCAACCGGATGGTAAAGGACAGCAATCCGAAGCACTCATTTGAACACAGAGTCACGGGGTGCCAGCAGCCACTTCTCGAGGTCGTGAAGTCGATTGGATATTAGCCAGGCTTGCAAACGAAAGAATCCAGCGACAAAGGCGGAAGAAGCGAAGGATGATGAAGACTGGGAACTGGTCTTTGATGAGGCAGGAAGGCGATGTCTAACAAGAGGTTGACGGGCACTGCTAGGTACTACTAGAGGTAGGTAAGTTAATGGCTAAAATGGTACTGAAAAAGATTGTCACATCTGCCTGCCATGAGGGCTCCGGAAGTTTTGTGGACACTTGGACCGTCGCTGGGGGAGGCTTTGTGAGGCATATTACCTACAAACCAGGCGCTGCACAGGGAGCAGTCGACATGCAGAACACTTGCAGTGGAGCGTGTCCCTTTGCTTTCGGGTCACAAAGCAGAGCCAGTCTTACCAGTCACTGTGACCGGTTGTGGCTCTGTCAGCGGGAGCATGAAGGAGAATGAGGAAGGCGACTGGGGGGCTTGAGGGTTCTAGACCACGATAGATCGGACGAGCCACAGGGGGCCCTAGGGCGTCGAAGGAGCCATGGAGGCACCCAGAGACCCTAAGAGCCACTCACAGTCGTCTTTTCCCAATCGCCCTGCAGACATCCCTCGCTACCTTCTGCCGCCAACAACTCTGCTTGTTCCACTCTTACAGCAAGCAAGACATTTTCACAAGGCAAAGCGGGCCTACGACAGGACCAGGGCATGAAGGACAGTGGACAGGGCAGCAGCGTTGAGCAAGGGCACTTGTCCATCTCCCTTCTTTTCCGGCTGCTCCAGCTAATCAGTTAACCAACCATGACTGCGCCCAGCTTCACCGACAGGACACCAGCATCTTCTGTCAGGCGTCCGGAAATATGAAGCAAGCTTCTATCGCGACGGTTTTCCTACCTAACCCACCCTTGCTGCGCACTGCACGCAGTGAATGTGAGGAGCCTACCTCCACACTCATCGAGTGTACAAAGTACCATTCCTCCCTACCTAGATTCTTCGAGAAGCCTGCGGTTGCGGCCGCGGTATGGAAGAATATGGACAATTCATCCACTCCAGGGAGTGGCCGCGGCAACCTAGTCTCGAACCTACCCTCGACGGGGCGCCTCAGGAAGCCTTCGGATCCGCCTGGTCTTCTCCGGTCAGAAGGTGCCGGACTACGTACTACGTACGTGTACGTACTGTACAATATCCTCTTGCTCTGAAATGCCATGGGCAAGGTGTTGATATACACGAGCTGGCTAGCGATAAATCAATGCATTGACAAGGGAGGCTTTTGTGGCTGCGGCGCCACCCTGCTCGCCAAGTAAGAGCCCTGTATATGACGGCGGACGGCGGACGGCGCTCTACAAGAGGTGAAGAAGATCTCGTATGATTGATGCCTGACTGAAACGGCCTCAAGGTGGTGTAATGGCTGAGTGCACATTATATTTGTCCGGGTTGTTGGCCCAACATACCGCTTTGACCTCGCTTGGATGCAGACGGATGATCTCTGCTGGGACGTGTGTCTATCTATCATGATTGTTCGAATGATTTTCGCTTCTTGCCGGGAGCCTCACGAAAACTATATTTGACAGCCCCATTTTCGAAGTGGGAGTCCGGAAGCTGAAACAACCGACAGGTGGACTTGTTGGACAATGCGCCAGCGCCAACAGGGGCACTGCATCAGATGCTTCCTGCGCCCGTGGGGATTTTCTGCTACGGGTTGCAAGCACTATACCATGGCTGCAGTCGTTGGCCAGGTATTTGAGCAGGCGGACAAGGACTTGAGGTCACGACTACATACTAGTACTCTACCATTGACCTCTCACGACACATACATGTTGACATACAGGATTCAACGGCTACAGGTGCCAGTGCTGGATCTGAGTGGAACCTTTCTGTTGCCTGCCGAAGTGCCAGAATTTAATCAACTGTCACTGGTTACAGGGGCATTCCCCTGTCGATCAAATCGTCAGCCGATGCGTTCTCCAGCTCTGAGTTCTGCCAAACTTGTGGCGGCGGCCGTGGCTCAACAATTCTTCTTACATGAGGCCATGGTACTCACTCAGACCGGTCTGACACGGCTGGCTTCCTCGAAGGCGACAATTCGTGTCTGCCACTCTCTGCGCCTTGATAGTACAGCATCGGCCACAATATTTGTGAGTGTTTGTCTCCCTTGCTGGCTGAGGATACAGAACACGAGGGTAACACCACACAAATCCGGCCTTCTGTCTGGCCATTCTCACGTGCTCTTGTCTGCTTCCCAGAGCAAGTTGGCCCCAAACTCAAAGCTGCATGCAACAAACCAATCGCTGGTGCCGAAGCTCTGTGCCTTACACGCACACAAGATGCGGCTTTCAATGGCACCCTGGGACATTAGCTCATGCTTTTCAGCATTTAGCTCGCTCTTCATTTAACTTTGGACGCTGGGCCACCATTGCGTTCGCATCGGAAAGAACCATTTGCAAAACGTTGACGAAATCAGAAACCGGCAGCCAGTCCTGGCACGAAGCAAGCGGATTAACTGGGTGGATACGAAAGACAGTGGCAACATTCCTGGCATCCTGCCGCGCACATACTCGCTGCTGCCAACTTTTGGCATCGCTCATTGATGTTCAGGTTGTTCTTCCAACTTTTCCTCTGCGGTCGGCCCCAAACAAGCACTCAGCGCACGGCTCAAACAGGGCTCACTGTGGTTTCTGGAGTCCAGATCCATATATTCGAAGCCCAATACTGGTCGACATGTCCGGTGCCGGGGAAGCTTAGAGCATCTGATACACGTCCCTCATTGTCCGTCCAAACTGTTGACACACTCCTGCTGGGTCCCCAGCTGCCTATCGTGTAGTTGAAAGTTCTAAAGGGTCCTGGCCCCAGGGGTGCGGGAGCCTTGAAATTGTCCATAGGTAAGTACGTGGGTTTCTGAAGGTTCGAGAAAGAAAGGACAGTATCCATCATAAACGCCGCGCTCGAGAAGGCTTGCAGCAGCCATGGCTAATAGATGTGACCGGGACTGTTCAATGACAAGACTCACCATCCAATAAAGACTCTGGTTGATGTTATCGGGTCCTATGCTGATGAGGATGCACGGTTCATTCCAGTCGCTCCAGATGTGTCAGCTTTGAATAGCGAAGAGAGGCACCGAGCCGGATCCCACAAATTTTGGCAGATATAAACAGAGCAATCCTCTGAGCAAGGTGATGGTTCTTTGTTGATATTGTCGAGCAATGGGAAGGACAATCCTCGGATGGGGAAAGAGATACATAGAACAAGTCTGAGAGAGAACGACAGCAGCTCCATTTTATGGAGCACAAGGATTGGGTTTGCGACAGGGACAAGACCTCATGGGAAGGGTCTGAGCTTTTAAAACAATCAGACAACCAAGCGCCTTTCCCACTTGACGAAGTTGTCTTATGTTGGAGGAACCTGTCGATGGTGCGACTGTCGCACAGCAGCTTGTGATACCAGGCACTGGCGACAAGCATGGCCACGGATAGCTGCCAGTGTGGCAAACAAAGAACACAGTTGCAGCTGAAGGTAAGAGCACTCCTCGCCGTACTGGAGTCAAGACGGTGCGTCTCATCACTCGCAAGAGAGAAGGAAAACATGCGACTCTAGGACCGTGACACGACGAGGCCGCTGCAACATCCTGTGTAACACACCTCCGTATGCTCTGGATGCGTTTTCGTGCCTGGTACTACCACACGGACTCTGCCACATCAAGTACTTCCACACAGCAAATGTTGATCCGGCTGTCGTGGTGCCTCTCGACAGCCTGACACCGGCTGCTTCAATCAGAAGACGACAAGCGCTACCGACAGTGTTGGACCAACTGCCCAGGGGATAAATGCGGGTAGCATGTCTCCTCTCCCTCGCTTGGAGTTGGAGGTTCTTTTCACCAGAGCACGGCCTGATGGGCCAAAGACCTTGTCTGTATTGCTTGTTCTGATATCGACATATGTTGTTTATGTGTACAGCTTCTGCGGAAGCAGGCGATGAGCCGCTATCCTCTACCAACCAGCGCCGACATCTAGTGACAACGGGGTTGGATGGAGAACGTCAGGCTAGCGAAGCCTCAGTCGATCAAGCTACATCAGCCTCTAGAGCTCATCCGCAAGCCAACACGCTATTTCAACTCTAGGCTCTTGGATTAGCTGGGTTTTCCATACCTACAAAAGATAACCCAAAGCCATGAGGAACTGGTCATATCAACTGGCTACTCTCTTTTCAAACGCTTGCAAAATCATTCTTCTGGCGATCCAAGAAACACTGTGAAGACCAAAAGCATCATAGGAGGATGATGACTATAAGCAACGTTCTGGCAATGAAGGACGAGGTCGCTTTGCACAGAAGGATATTGCTTTTGTAAGGCCCCCTTTTCCCCACCAGGCGCCTTTGTCTATTCCTTTCTTTATGATAACTTATCTACAGCGTCGCCTCAACTGATAAGACTCTTCAGCCACCAGTCACTTTTCCTCTGTGCGCCGGCGGAGGCCGATGGTCCCATTCTCGGTTTTTTGCTTCGCATTGTTTGCTTACCACAGTATATGACCGCTCACTCAACCACAATGCTACACTACTATCCCTAGTTCAATATGCCATTCCGGGTCCATCTTCTGTGGCTGTTCTGATCACCAACTACCGGGTACTACTATCCCCGTAGTGTCTTTCGCAGCATCCGAGTTTTCATCTGCAACGGCTTCTATCGGCGCTCCGGCCGCGAACACCAGTGTGGAATCTCTACAAGGTTACATCACTGTTATCTTCACGGGATATGGTTTGCCAGAAAGAACTGCGTGTTTCGTCCCTTTCATTTGTGTTGCTACGTCCCTACTGCTAGATCAGTCCATGCAGGCCCTTCCTGGCTCTGCGATAAGGGCATCTATGATGAGCTTGGTACAGCCGTCATGTCTTCTCCTCCGAGTTTCACCACCCCACTTGTCATTGAACAGTCGCTCTCACATCTTGCTCTGGCCATCTAGGGGCTAATTCTCTCCAACTAGTCTGTCCCAGGAGGATCATCTTTATACTTCTTGATGGCCCCAGAACTGCTGGATTGAAACAGAGTCAGTATCTACTAGGACACGACGGAGCTGTCACCTTCTGCCTCTCACCAGATGCTGTGAAGGAGGACTTGACTTTCAATGGCGCACAGACGGTCTTGATCCTTGCTCCATTCCTCCACAGAGCACACCTGCCCACTTCCCACGTGCCGACTGTCACTACTGTCACTACTGTCTTGTTACCTCCACACCGCAGGTCCCGAGGATAGGGATGGCCGATGTCCACGCGGTTGCTTCGACCCCGACGCTGGACTTGTGTCTTCTCTTCAACGTCGTGGTGGAGTACTCGACCGTCATACAATGTCAGGGGTGCCAGCGTCGTCAAAATGGACAGAGGTGCGCGTAGACGAAACCGTCACTCCTGCCTACATCCGGTCCCAACTCCGACCCAACGAACAGGATCTGTTGCAACGTACCTTGTATTTCGGCGGTGATTTGACGGATGACACCTATCTGGACCGCATCCTCGCTCACGCAAAGCGTTTCTTCCTTATCCTGGTTGCTGCCGGTGTACCCGAGCAGATTTTTGGCATTATCGACGATTCTTACGACGATGAAGATCTACCGATAGCTGATTATGCTGTTCCTGAGCTGCGCTTGTCGTATGAGCCGGACAGCTCACTGGACAAACGCTTCTACAAAGCCCAGTTCCGATTCCTCACCCGGATCATCGGTGAAGGAGAGCACATCCGGTACGCAGATGAAGAGACAGTTCCGATCATTTCTCTCAGCCTGAAGTCGATGGTTCTCGCCCGAGGCCACGAGCGCACTGATAGAGTTCGTTTAATGTCCGAATCTCCCAGGACTCTCATGCGCCGTCGAATCGTCTTGGATTCCAAGGTGAGCGAGGAAGACATCTTGCTAGAGATTGCGGGGAGCAGGAAGTTGTGTCACGAACACATTGCCTCAGTGTTCGGATCCTATCTCCATCAAGGCATCTTCAATATACTATCTCTGCCTGCCGTTGAATGGACGCTCAAAACATTTCTTACGGACACCCCCAAAGCGTTTACCAGCCTGGACAAGATCGAACGTCGGAAAATCCTCATCACTTGGCCTCACTGTTTGGCGAGCGCATTGGCATGGCTGCATGGCAACGGCGAGTCTCATGGGGCCATTCGGCCGTCCAATATTCAAGTTGATAACTCCTTCAACATATATCTAGGATTGCTGGCTGGAGACGGCGAACTTCGCGATATGGCTCAGCCGAACGACATTGAAACTTACCAGTATGGTCCGCCAGAAAGGTGGAAAAGGGCGGTCATGGTGCAGAGTACTGGATCGTCCGCCATCATGCTTCCATCTGGTGGACGTTCGGGACGAAGCATTCGCAACAACAATAGGGACACCAATTCGAATAAAAAGAGCCTAGCGAGAAGCGGATCGACGTCGTCCACTGCAACATATACCTTTCAACCCACGTCCAAGGGAAATTACGCCAGGTTGCGACTGCGCATGGCACTCGGTCCACATGCGACACCTCCATCAACTGTGCAAGGGCGAACATCGCAGTCACACAGCGACACACAGCGTACGTCCACCAAAGGCACCAGACAGCTTATGGTTGACACCACCGGAGGTGGCTATACCCCCTCGGTCATATCTTCCAACAGTTCCACTGGCCAGCAAAGCAGCTCGATATTTGGCGGTCCTATTTTTGTATCTGCTCCAGAAAGTCGCAGTGCCGTTGTGCAGACGTGGCAGTCGGTCGAGGACGATAAGTTCGCATCAGATGTTTTTTCTCTCGGGGCGGTTTTAATGGATATTGTGAACCTTCTGTGTAAGCGGAGCTATAGTTCATTCGCCAGACATCGATCAGCCAGAAACCGACTGGCCGGTCGAGGCGGCGGTCTTGCTGATGCCAGCTACCATGCAAATCTCAGTCAGATCGCCCTTTGGGCCGAGTCGCTAGGAAAAGAAGCCTACAAGAAAGCCGAATCCGACAAGGACGAGAGTCGGGTATATCATGCTGTCGGCCCTGTTATTCGGTTATCCTTGCAATGTCTCGAACGAGATCCTTCGGCCCGGTTGACCAGCGACCAGCTGGAAGCGAGGTTGTACGACTGCATACGTCGCTACACCGGCATTCCTCACCTACATTGTCCGCCGGCACGAGGCTCACGCAGTCCTCCGACCGTGGATATACCCAATCCTGTCAAAGAGAGCAAGTCTTCCAAAGGAGGCCCCCAAAACAACGTATCTCTCAATTCGCTTCGACAAGACTTGAAGAGTTCAAACTCGCGGGATGCAGAGCGACAAGAGCACCATCAGCACGTTACACTTCCACACTCCCAGACCTTGCAGACAGATCGTCGCCGTAATCCTCCAAGCATTCACACAACACCTAGGACGGCGTCTATCAGCTCTCAGCTCTCATTTGATTTCGATGGCTTTTCCGACACGATTGTCGCCGAGATGCCACATTCACGGGAGCCGTCATTACGACGGCGAGGTGGCCGAGCCGGGCCCCCTGTGCTTGGGCACGAAGTCCCCTGGTCGTATGACCAGGATAGTCCCCAACAGACAGCTCTCTGGGAACTTCGGCAGAGGAATGAGGGTCAGGTCGACCCCCGCCTGTCTTTCGGAGAATCCGTCGACACCGGAGCATTCACCTATATCAATTACAGTAGCAGTGCATCTTCGGAAGAAGATGTCAAATTCATGCCGCCGTCGCCTTCTTATTACCCTCCTCCTAGCGCCGCTCCCAGCCGTGCATTACCTCCTGTGCCACCACTTCTGAACGAGGTCCGCTCATCCCGGCCCGGCCAGCAGGCTGCCCCGAACGGGAATCTCCAAGAGAACGTGGCTCTGTTGGCTCATTTGTCAAATCTGGCGACCGGGGGGCACCCACCACGGATGGATAGTTTGCCAAAGATACTTTCCCTGAAGGAAGAGGGGCATCGGAATAGTCCGAGACATACACCTGTTAGATCGGCACATGCGGTCAAAGCTTCTTCGCGCGGCCCATCTCGACACGGAGATGGCCTCGACCGGCCACATGCGAGGTGATCAATCAATCACGTACCAACGACTGGATGCTGGGTGGGACAATCTCCCAAGTGATGGGTCTCTGGGTCCAGGAAGGAACGAATGTATTTTTAGCGAAGCGAAAGAAACGAGCTGTAGCAAGTCAGGCACCAGCATGGAGTATGATTACCGGCGGACTGCCCGGCTTGCTTGCCGCCAGACTACAGATGAAGCCCAGTGTTCAGTGTGCCACCACATTTGTTTCTCAGCACTGCAAATGGGGGCGAAGGTGGTGAAACTCCCATCGACACAGTTGAGATGCGGTCAAATAGGAGAGACGCACAGATGGACCACTGGATGACTCATCCGGATGATGTACGGCGAAACAGTAGCTCATACATGCAATCTCACTACGGTGAATCACATAGCCACGAACTCGGGATATTCGATAAACTACATGGACCACCATTACACAAGGCGTCTACTAATCTAAGCTGCAAACCCTTGCCGTGGTTGCCTTGACTATTTGATCCCTGTTCCTTATCAGAGCCTCTTCGTGGCCCAGCTGGTCTCGTTCGATCTCCTGGAGCGACTTCATTTGTGGCTGGTGGCTCATCCTAGTAATGCATCATCATATTGAGTCCTTGCAGTACTGCGTTGGGATCTGTGATCGTCTGCTCGGAGACGACATGATGCAGGACGCTTTAAATTGACCTTCGTTTTCCTGTTCCAGTATCTGGAGTTCCTGGAGGAATCATGACAACGGCCAAAAGGAGAGCCAAAGAGGTGAAGCCCAAGACCAAGACTTTTACGGGGTACTTTGCACGCTCCCTCCACGTCCTTTCTGTCCTTCACTCTCCTCATCTGATACTGACCCAGACCACCAACCTGATAGATGCTGGACATGCCGAGGACGAAAGGTCAAATGCGACTCCACACGTCCACAATGCGGTCGCTGCAGGAGAGCTGGTTTAACCTGCGAAGGGTACGACCTGAAGCTGTATTGGGTCACCGATGAAGATACTGTGGCCCCTTCCGCGATCAAGCGGCAGGCGATGACTTTGCAAGGTAGACTTACCCATCCATCGGACCAGCTTATTTAGCTGGTGTTTTCGCGCCACCAAAATCAAACCCGCCGCCTGGCAGGTTCACGCCATGTCAAAGACGCCGACTGACTGGATGATTTCAGGATATCCAAGATGGGCCTACCGACTCGATGAGGTTGATCGACAAATAGCAAATATCGATGCCATTGATTCGGTCACCTCTCCCGAGGTTTCGGTTTCTATAGGACCGTTCGGTGTCTTTCATGCTCGAGTGCCGACTCTGGACGAATTGCAAGGCTCCGATTTGGACGGAGCATGCATACCTCAACTGAGTATCCGGGCCCCCTTGGTAGATCCCTGCCAACGCGACAGCTCTCCACGACAAGATTTCACGGAGACAGAACCATTAACCGTGAGGCAGTCACCCGACGGTCTCAACGGCCAACTCCAACTGTTACCGCGAAGACCAGAAGCTTCTCCGGTCCCTTATGGTCTTAATTCGAGTCTTTTTGGGGATCCTGTCATTCATCGACTTATGGACAACTACATCCGTACGGTCGCCAATCTCCTTCCACCATTGCCGCATCCTGAGAATCCATATGCCTCGATATATGTGCCCAAGGCCATGCATGGGGCTTCCAATCTCTTGTTGGGTGTGGGATACTCTGCCTCGGAGGTACCACCGAGCAATGTTGCCATCTTTTATGCGCTTCTGGCAACTTCTGCGTTTCACCTGCGGGGTGCTGATATGCACGGTTCATCGGAACTGGACCTCACGGCGCGACATTTCCGCGCAAAGGCCTTCGCTTCTCTGCAGAAAGCCTTGCAAGAACCCCTTGGAGGCGGTGAAGACCAGGCGTTAGGCAGCTCCTCTTCGGCTTCGCCCTCACAAGGGGAAGCGGTCATCTCAGCAATGCTGACTTTGATTACTACGGATGTGAGTTAAGCTCGAACAATGCTCTGATCAAAGCTTGCCCTGATAACACTGACATTCAAAAGGTGATGGAAGGTTCTATGAGCGAATATTGGATCCATCTCGACGGAGTCAATCGGTTTGCCCGGCAGTTGCGCAGTGAAGTGGAAGAGTCATCGCGGATCGATCGATTGATTGCCATCTCTTCATTCCTTTCGACCTTGGCGAACACGACCTCTATCAATTTGCTGCCAATACCTTGGTCGGATGACGGCCTCGTGGTGCCCGATTTGAGCTATTCCAACTCCCTGGTCACGGATGGACTGGAGTTCGCCTATGGTATCACACCCACGCTGGCCAACCTGATGCGGCGAGTTGTTGTGCTGTCCCAGCACATCTCCTACTACGTCTCGAATTCCCTCCCATTTCCTCCGCGTTTGATCTCGGCGTGTGTGAGTTTCTCCGAGACGCTCTCACAATGGTCAATCGACTCAGAGCCACTGTCCGATCTCCTATCTGGCACAGAAGCCGACATTGATGTCGCCCTTCTACTGGCCAAGAATCATATCCTGGCCTTCGCCCATGCACTCAGAGTATATTATCATACTCGCATCCTCCCATGTCCACCTGCCGATATGCAGCTATATGTCGACCGCGTGGCAAGTCATTTGACGACCATTGAGGAGATCAAGGCTGGAGCCGGCTACGACTCCAACATTGCTGCTACCATCACGTGGCCAGGCTTCATTGCCTCTTGTGAAGCCGAGAGAGGTCGCCCGCGCGAGGTTTGGTACCGGTGGTGGAACGGGATGATTAAGTATCGGATCGGCAATATTGCGCACTTGTGGAACATTGTGCAGGAGGCGTGGAGGCTAAAGGACGAAGAGGGATCAGCCGAGGTTCCTGCCTGGATGCCGGTCCTCCGCCGCAGTGGACAGCGCATCCTTGCAGTGTGAAGAGGTTTCATCTCATGAATTGCGTTGCAAGCTGTTTGTTGGCCTCTGGATCCCGTTGAATGACAGCATCCAGTAAGTCACTCAAGGATGCAACAGTTGTTTACGACACGGTCAAGCAAAGTGAGTGGCTTTTCAAGTCTTGATGTTGGCCATGGCTTGCTCCAACACCTTACCGAGTCTCCGGATGCCTTCAACAATACGATCTTCGTCTTCCCACGCGAAGCACAAACGTACACCATGTTTGATCCGGACACTGGCTTCGTCTCCCACGACCTCGAAATTCTCCCCGCTGCCCACAATGACATTTTCTTGTCGCTCTGCCACTTCGGCGAATCGTGTGGCATCGAGCTGTTCAGGCAGGTGGATATAAATATAGTAACCGCCATCCACCGCAAGGCTGGTGTTTTTCGGGAGTTTTGGGTTGGAATTTCCGTCTAGGGAGATCAAAATGGCCCCGTGAGGCAGCAGGTATCTCTGCACCGCTTCCAATGCAATTGCAGCACGATGGCGATAGGCCGGGACCAGGACACAGTCCAGGTATTGTTGAAAGGCACTCGATCGGAGAGATTCGGCGATAGTGGATGCAGTGAACTGGCTGGCAGAACCGCCGCTGCGCGTCGATCCGCACTTTGATAGCCCCAATGCGAAGAGTTCCGTGGATTCTGTCCATCCGGTGCGAAGGCCTGGCCCGAGGATTTTGGAAAAGGAACCATTACTAACCACATTTCCGAACGGGGAGACCACACCGCCGTCGAGGGTGTGATCTACATCCACCAGTCGCGGCACGGCAGCCTCACCAAGCCGAGTCGGGTTCCAGTGGAGCAGGTCGTAGACATCGTCGGTGACAACCAGAGCGTTGTGCTTACGAGCTAAGCGGACGAGTTGTTCTCTCCGGCGAAGAGACATGGTCTTTCCAGATGGATTGGAAAATGTGGGGACACAGTAGATGATGTTCTGAAAATGTTTCTGACAGGGAAGAGGTTGTTTCGTGGGCTGCAGAGCGGAATGTCAGATTAATCAAGAGCGGCACGGCGAGGAGCAACCGTCTACTTACACGTTGGTCACGCCATCCATTTTCCAAGTCGTCACGAGCGAGTAGTTCCTCCAGCCTCTCAATGTCGATACCTTCCTGGTCTTCCGGGACGGCCCTCAGCCTGCCGGCGAACCCATTATCTTCGAAAATGCGACACGCCAGGAAATAGGTCGGTGCCACCATGTACACATTCTTGGTGAAAGAAGGATCTGTATATACTTGGAGGATACATGCCAGACTTTGGCTCGCTCCGCCGGTGATGGTTAATCGAGAGGGAGACGTCCACGGCGTTGAATAGAACTTGGACAAAAAGACAGAGAGCGTCTCCAGCAGAGACGGCGGACCTGGATCCGGGCCATAAAGGAGTGATGGCGTTGAAAGAGACGGATTTGAAAGGAGTGTTTGGGACGCCGCCTGGAGGAGCGAGGTGGGAAGCAGGCTGGGGGCCGGCCACCCTTGGAAGAGATCAATCACAGTATTTTCCGAGGTCGGCATTGTTGGAAGTGATTGACTGAAGACAAGAGGAAAATGGACAAGAAATGTAAACAAGATGGCCAGACGACCGAAGTATGAAGTATGAAAAGACCTGTGATGATCAAGGTTACAGCGAGGCTACCCAACACCCAAATTCGAAAGCCCAAAGTCGACAAGGTCAACCACAGCACCGTCTAGACGGGCCCTTACCCGCCATCAGATACACCTTGTAGTCACGGGGGGGTTGGAGGATCGCCGTCTGGTTGATTGTTGTCGTTGTCATTGAGTAACATGAAGTTCAGAAAGATGGCTAGGTACCTAGTCTGTCCGGTAGTTGACAGAGACTAGAATGCAGATTGCCACGATCAGCCCAGCACAGTTCGAGCAGTAGCAGTAGCAGTCAGCGACGACGGGTTCTAGAATTTCTCATGGCTTTTCGTAATTGTTGCTTTATCAGTGTCTCGCTGAGAGCTTCCCATCAATAGAGCTTCGCTGACAGCTTCCAATTAACCGACCCTCGCTGACTGCTTCCCTTCCTGTCGACGGCGGCAACCAGTCGGCAAATGAAAACAAGGCCGCCAAGACTCAAGCGGACCGAATTCCCGCCGACTAAGATTGTCCGGAGCAATCAGCATCCAGCAAAAAGACTGCCAAGAGCTTGGCATAGCGGCGGCGACGCCACTGGCTGAAAATTGACCACCGACTACCTGCATCCATGTGTGAGTAGGACTGCACGGTACACCTTGAACCTCCTCAGATACTACTACTATACTAGTTTCTGTAACCGATCCAAGAAGAACTAAAGACGAAGGACGACTATGACCTTGGCCTTGTCCATGACCACCAATGCAAAGTTGCTCGCTTATCTTCGCTGTTGTCTGCCGATGTTTTTTCTCAGAACTATTGGTATAGCGTATGCCCATCGATGACAACTGCCTCAACAAGAGGGAAGGTGGCAAGGTTTTTGCAAACCAAGGCTGAAACTAACCACCTCCTCCGCAAAAAGGATGTGTTCTCTGTGGGTTTCTAGCCTTTCCGGAACTCTTGTGACAGCCTCGAGTCTGCAGGCCCCACGACATCTGATTTTGGATCCACGGGAATGCTACCCTGAAATCTAGACAGAATCTGCAGGCTGCGACAGGGTTGGTTGTTCGTCGAGATATGTGTCTTGTCATTGACCTACCAAGGCACCGCTCCCATTCGACCAGGACTCGCAGATCTCAAGCTGTTGGTTGGCGATTTGACATTATCACTGCTTTTCCTTATCTTCTCGAACCAAGACAACAGACACGATCCAGAACGGAAAACACCTCACGAAGGGCTCGAGTCAAGTCTGGTGGTGTGCCTGTGGACTGTTGCCATGATGTATATTTGTCTGATAAGTATATAATATCATCCCTTTTGGCCGCTGTTGTAGTAACATTTCTCACGGCCTCGACCAACTCCATCCAATCGGTTTCTTGTTTCCTGCAGACCGTGTGCAGACTGCAGAAACTGGAAACAGTACTTGCTACTGTCTCTCTTGGGTACACATTTGAGCGATTGTCACTACTTTATCCTGCCTAAAGGCAACCACCTCCCCTCCCCTCCCTCTTCTGTGTCATCCGTCCATCCATCCATTCATCTCACCTATCATGGGTGTCGACGACCCCGAGATCAAAACGGTCCAGGATGGCGAAGCTGTCTCAGAGGTCTCCTTTAACTCCCAACACCAGCTCCCGAAGGGCGATGTGTATGAACGCCGCCTCTCCCAGACCGAATGGGAAAAATTCGGCCAGACCAAGCGCGGCCTGAGTCCACGGCATGTCCAGCTCATGGCCATCGGCGGCTCCATTGGGACGGGCCTGTTCGTGGGGATCGGCGGCAGCCTGTCGCGTGCGGGTCCCCTGTCCCTGGTACTCGGCTATCTCTTCTGGGGCATCCTGTTTGTCTGGCCGTGCAATCTGTGTGTTGCTGAGATGTGTGCCTGGTTGCCTGTGCGCGGCACCATTTTCGAACTCGCGGGTCGCTACGTTGATCCTGCATTGGGCTTCGCCATGGGCTGGACCTACTTCTTCGCCGGGGCCATGCTGGTGTGTACGGAATATTCTGCCGTCGCGACCGTCATGCAGTATTGGACGACGGACGTCAATCCAGCCGTGTGGATCACCATATGTCTTGTCGTTTGTTTCGCCTTGAACGTCATTGCCGTGAGGTGAGTTCACCACAAAGGAGACATCCCCCATGCAAATTGGCGATTACTCTGCACAAGCTGTCCCCTTTATGATCTTTTCTGACACGTGACAATACAGATGGTATGGCGAGTCGGAATTCGTCATGGCCTCGACCAAGATCTTGTTGCTGATCGGCCTGGTCCTCCTCACCTTCATCACCATGGTCGGCGGCAATCCCAAGCACGACACCTACGGCTTCCGCTACTGGAAACACGGGTTGGCCATGCATCCATACTACGCCAAAGGCACGACCGGCCGCTTTCTGGGATGGTGGTCAGTCGTACGCTACGCCGCGTTCACCGTTGCCGGCCCGGACTTGATTTCGCTGGCTGCCGGCGAGATCCAGAACCCACGCCGCACGATCCCGCGGGTGGCGCGACTCGTGTTCTACCGTCTCGTCGGGTTCTACGTGGTCGGCGTCCTCTGCGTCGGCATTATCTGCTCGTCGCGCGACACACGGCTCCTGGGCGCCCTGGACAACGGTGATGCCGGCGCCGCCGCGTCCCCCTGGGTGATCGGAATCCAAAACCTCGGTATCACGGGTCTCCCCAGCTTGATCAACGCGTTGATCCTCCTGTCGGGCTGGTCGTGCGGCAATGCCTATCTTTACTCGTCGAGCCGCACGCTGTACTCGCTGGCGCGGGACGGCCAGGCGCCCAAGATTTTCATGAAGTGCACCAAATCCGGGATCCCCGTCTGGTCCGTCTCCGCCGTCAGCTTGATCTCGTGCATCACGTATCTGGTGGCCTCGAGCAGCGCGGTGACGGTGTTTTTCTGGTTCGTCTCGCTGACCACCATCGCCCTGGTCGCGACCTACACGGGCATGCTGTGGACGTTTATCGGCTGGCACAGGGCCCTCAAGGCCCAGGGCGTCGATCGTGACAGTCTGCCCTACAAGGCCCCCTTGGCGCCTTACAGTGCGTGGTTTGCTATTGTCATTGGATGTCTGGTCATGCTTTTCATCGGATTCGATGTCTTCGTGCCCTGGGACACCGAGGGCTTTGTCACGTCGTACTTTGGCATCGCTTTCGGCTTTGTCATGTTTGTGTTCTGGAAGATCTTCAAGCGTACGCGATTCACAGATCCCAAGACCTGCGATATCTATAGCGGCAAGGCCGAGATCGATATGGAGTGCAGACACTGGGAGGAAGGTGGCTTGGAGGAGAATGAGAAAAAGAGACTCGCTCAGATGTCTCTGCTCAGACGGACTTGGGAGAAGATGTGGTAGAAAGGCTGTCGAAACCTTGTCATATCTTGTTACATTCTGTATGTGTGTGAGAGAGTGGTCCGTCCGATGAGTAATTGAAAAGTGATTCGGAGGAAGTGCGATGAGTATTTAGATATGTTACAATAGAGATATGATATCCAGGGTCAATGTTAATCCAACTCTGCCAGACAGCTCCTATATGTTTCCTCTGTACTGATCGAATACTCCTGGATCAGCGCACGAAGTCTGCCTCTGGCCTCTCAACACGCCGAACACGCCTCAGACCGTCGGGTTGATGACAGAACCCACAATTGTTATTCACTTGGCTTGCAGTGCTCATTTTCCCTGTAAATGGTTGCCGTCAGACCATAGAAGGCTACTGTACAACCACGCGACTCCCTCTCATCGATCCGATTTCCCATTCGTTTCGCATCCATATCTAACTCATCACCGGGTCAGGCCTGACTTCACTTTGATGGCTGACAGTAACATGGGACGCTCAATCCTTGCCTCCCAATCATCCTACAAGGCTTGATATCGAAATACGCATAGTTCCTGTGAACATCTAAGCAGCCTTGGGCGCCCTTTGCATGGATGGTTCCGTCGTGGGTTCTTCGCCCCTCCAGTCTTCTCAGCTCGTCTGAGTCGTCTCTGTCCAACAGAAGCGTAGTGCAATCAGACTTCCAAATACCTGTGTACTTAGTCAGCCTTCGGAGGGTCTCTTCACGAGGCGTTCAAGCCGTCGGCGACAGTCGAACCACGCCCTCCCCACTTCTATGTTTGCGATAAGAAATCCCCAGAAAGCACGGCTTGAGCATTTCTACCCACGCCATGCCCCTTGTCCACCAATAGGAGTCATCTCAGATTGCTTGTTCGGGTGTGAATCGAGACTTCTGGAGAGCCACGTCGGTGCCCACTGCCAGCGATAGAGGCGGAGACAAGGGCGTTGACCGCTGACCAGGAGTAGACCCTGACCCTCAACTTGCTCTGAGCCAGTCCCTGCGTCTTGCAGAAAGGGCAGCAATATGTTGGGGAGGGGGCCATAAGCTCGCCGACGGCAACGGCAACGATGGCGCGTTCCACAAGATAAGGACCAGTGTGGATCCATCGGCAGATCGTCCCTTGGGCACCATTTGGGGGAACACTCAGACAATTAGCCTGATCTGGCTCGGCCCGGTATATACAAAACACCGGATTAGGAAATCTTGGATATGCCGGTCCGGCCCGGTGGAGGGGGATTGCCAGATTCGGCAAACCCGTCTTGTTCGACCAACGAACAGGCCCGAAGACCCTGAATAGGTGAAGCCAGTGAGTGACCCTTTAAAATGGTGCACGCCATGACCAAGGAGACTGAAGAACTAGAAAGCTTGACCGGTCTGCCTGCATCTTGCATCTTGCATCTTTGTGACCTGACCTGACCTGACCTTTCCCCATTTCACCCAAGACTCGATATCTCAATCAGATATCGACCTGTCTCATCTCGTCTTATCCTGAATTTGCAAAACCACAACCCCCAACAATCTGATCAACCATGCCTTCCGCGGTCACTGAACCCAAGGTCACGGAACCGCTGTACCCGGCGTACCTGCCCACTCGTCCGGAAGGCTACTCGCTCACAGTCAACGTGCCGCCATTCGAGCAGGTCGAGCCTGGCACGCGCGCTGACCCTGCGAAGCCCGAAATCTTCACGCCCGACGCCAAGATCAAGAACATCACGCCGCGCATCGGCGCTGAGATCCACGGTGTCCAGCTCAGTCAGTTGTCCAAGGAGGGTCTGGACCAGGTGGCTCTCTTTGCTGCCGAGAGGGGTGTTCTTGTCTTTGTAAGTTTGCCTGTCTTCTCATTTACCTAGCTACCTAGCTACCTACCTGGCTGAATGGCTGAATGGCATACACTATTCAGCCATTCACTCGTGTTCGCTTGAAGAAGTAAAACCATGACTGACTGTTTTTCCCCTTGCAGAGAGATCAAGACTTCAAAGACATCGGGTTTGCCAGACAGAGGGAGATAGTCTCCCACTATGGGCCTCTGCACCAGGTGAGTAATGAGCAATAAGCATTCCGGGCCACGGCAGTGCCAATGCTGTATCCTCCCCAAGGGGGTACACGTACGCACGCCACTCAGGGGAGGAATCTACGTTATTAACTTTTGTGTCTTTCTACTTGTTCTAGCACCCTTCCATGGGCTACCCGAAGGGAACCAGCTCCGAATTCCACGTCATCTACGCCGACGAGAAAGTGTAAGTGTGCCAAACAAAACATCCCCTCCGAGGAAAGAAGTCCGAGGAAGAAGTCTCCCAGGAAAAAAGTGTCTCCCTATTTCGCTCAGGTCTACGCTGACCAGATGTGATGGAACTACTTTAGTGGGAGCATCCGTGACGTGATCGGACCCAAGACCTCGTATGAGCTGTGGCACATTGATCAGACGTTCACGCACAACACGCCGAGCACGACCTTCTTCTGGGTGCTTGAGACCCCGTCCGACGGCGGCGGCGACACGGCCTTCACGTCCATCACCGAAGCGTACAAGGCTCTGTCGCCGACGTTCCGCGAACGGCTGCACGGGCTGACCTGCACGCACTCCAACGTCGACGCCATCGAAATCACCCGCCGCGGCTACGACCGCGTCATGAAGGAAGAGGTCAAGGCCGACCACCCGCTGATCATCGAGCACCCGGTCACCAAGGAGCCCGCCATCTTCATCAACCTCACCGCCATCAAGTCGATCAACGGCATGAAGCCCTCCGAGTCCGACCTCATCCTCAACTTCCTCAACGACCACATCCGCTCTCTTGACTTCAGTTGCCGATGCAAGTGGGAACCCGGTACAGTGGTGATTTGGGACCAGGTACGTTTTGGCAACCCACCACCCCGAAACGGCGGGACTCTCTTGAGAGAGTGATGACAATGACGCTAACACCAAGTGCAGAGAACTGTCGCGCATTCCGCCATCCCGGACTATGCTCCGGGCTCCAGGCGTCATATGGTGAGAATCGCGCCTTACGGGTCAGAACCCAAGGCAGCTCCCCTGAAGCAAGAGGATGTTTCGAGAGAATAGATACAATATGTTTAGAAGCCTGCGGACTGAGAAGTTTTCATTGGACGGTGCTATCTATGTCAATTGCCATTTTCCTCCAAGGAGAACCCAATATCTGGGATGAAATCAAACTCATGTAGTTGCAAAGGCATCGACCCAAATATTTCATCGAAGCTTTCGATCGGATTCCCCATTGCCGAGCCTGCTCCCTGTGCAGAAAAGCCCATGCTGGATTCCGATTGCACGGTCATGTCTCTGTTGTAGGTCTCGGCGGGGAAGGGGGACTGCGACGATAATGAGGCTGATCTCTTTTGCCAGCGTGATTCCCAATCCTTGAAACGGCTGTAAGAAAGAGTTGTTTCACTCGTCGATCTCACAGACGCGCTGCCGACCCCGATGGAATTGTTCATTCGGGTGATTGCCTGCTCCAACGCGTGTATGATCGATTTCTGGCAACGAGAGACGCCGTTGCCCATGCCCATGGCCTTGATGATCTGGAGACCTGCGGATAGGGAGTGGCGGATCTGGCTCCCTCTGTCCACGAGGCTGCGCGCCAGAAGCACCAGTATCGCTGCTCGGCAGGAAGTAAATTCCACTCCATATGATGCACGCGCGAGGCCAACTCGACTCTGGAGCAGCTGACACAGGTTGATGATTTCCAACGCGGCGTGTACCGAGTCTTGGACCAGGGTGTCTCTGCCGGAAGTCATGGTAGAAGGCGAACTCTCCCTTTCTGATAACGCGTTACTGTGATTGACCAGCAGAAAGGGACGTCCGAGGAAAACGCGGGCATGCCAATAGTGCAGATGCAAATGGATGTTCAGCCGCAGCGCTGACGTTGGCAGCTTTTCGTTTGCCACGTTGACGATCTTGGGGAGTTTGTCTCCAATGCTGATCAGTTTGCGGCGCAGGGCAAACAATTTCATAAAGTGCACAGCACTGTGCGATTTCCGTAACAGGGATCTGTGGAATGGTCAGCAAGTCGCTCTACCTCGAGATGGATCATGGAGCTGGGCAGCAGCATACAGTTCGTCGGCAATGTCTTCGAGTATGAGGGTGATCTCGATAAGCATCGCCTCATTTTGGAAGTTTGCATGTTCATCATTCCGCAGTTCGGGAATGTCTCTTGGCCGATCGACGTCAACATCGGCAGAAGACAAAGTTCTGGGGTGACCGTGATATATGAGAGTACGCCTGTGGAGGAGTCAGCTATAACTTGTAAGTCGTGAGATGCGCTGGAGAAACCTTACTGATAAAGTGTATACAGCGACCACCAAACTCTCTTTCGGATTTCAGCCGTACGAGGGCTGAGAAGGGACTCTGACCTTCGATGCATGCCATTCTGCAAAGCAATATGAAGCGCCAGTCCGAAGTAGGTGTATGAGAGCCTCGCCTCGTCAATCGGCATCAAGTAGCTTGCCGTCAGCAAGCAGGCTTGCATGCTCTCGAACGACCCTATTGCAATGATGACGGGGAGTAAGGTGCAGACCTGCTTATAGAAGGTATGACCCAAGCTGTCTTCAGAGAAGTAGATCTTGGAACGGGAGCCTCTTGTCATTTCCTCGACCGAGATGCCAGACTTCATGTGGGCAAACTGGGTGCCGGTGGCCAGGATCATGAGAATCGAACACACTGTGGGAATGTCATCAGTCGTCAATCGCGACGGTTCGTTGTAGCAGATATCTATCCACGAGTACATGGATTCTGCGTCGGCGTGGTAGACGTTGCTCCTGGCGTAGGTAAAGTATGTCTGCGTAAGAAAGTCCGCTATCTCGCGCGGTGGGAGACACTCGAGGCAGGTGCGAAGAGAATGTAGAGAGAGTTCCAGCTTTCCTGGCTCTGGCGGACTCTCTTCAGATCCGGCGGGCTCTCTCAAGTCCTGCAATCTGGTTAGAACAGAGCTCCTCTAAGCCGATTGGGAGGCGTTACTTCTGTCTCGTTCACATCCATCCTCTCTGCAATCGTCTGTCCGATCTTTTGAGAGAGATTCAGCAAAGAATTCTCGCCGGAATAGGCTTTGCATGATTAGTTCCGTTGGGTATAGGGGCTTTAAAGCTGGGCACGCTGCTCACAGAATTTGCTCGGAGAGAGAGCCTTGACGGTGAAGGTTTCTCCATTCATCTCGCATCGGGTGTCTCCTGACACTCCTCCGAGCATGGCATTGGGGCCCAGGGATGTATGGTCTGAATCCCCGAGGGAGTTCGCCAGAGAAGAGAGATCATCGTCGTCCAAGGGCTCCACGTCCACATAGTGCGACAGAATCTTGCGAAAACACGACACACGCTCAGCGTCAGACATTCTGCCGTGAGGTCAGTAGGCGTACATCTGCGGACGGGTCAAGAAGGCTGCGATTTACCGTTGGTTTGGTGTCGTTCGCATGCCTCGGGTGTATGAGCTCTGCGGTTTGCATTCTCGATGTTCGTGGACACAGCGCAGACAGGGCGTGCCCCCCTCGCATCGTTCTTTCTTTCTGTGACAATTGTCGCACCTGGCATAGACGACTGATTCAGCAGTATTCGTGTCGTGGCTTGCAGGGACATGCTTACGCTTGCCTCGCTCTCTTCCTGGGCTCGTTCAAGTTGTCTGTCGTCTCGGCCACCCTTTTTCCAGCGAGCTTGGTCGCCCCGCCTTTTTTGGTCTGGGGAACGACCTCGATGAACTTGATCTTGCCGGCCTGGCCCAAGGTAGACATTTTCTGAATGGTGGGGAGATGTTCTGCATGGGAGGTCCTCTACGCGAGGATTCTGCTCACTGTATCATAACTCATAACATGATGGTCCGACCAGGCCAGAATACCAGGTAATCTAGATACAGCGCGGACCGGAACGTCTCTCGTGTCTTAGTCTAAGCCGCGTGAGGAGAGATAAGGGTTCAAGCTTTGAGTGCCTGGTTCTAGTGACCGCCCCGTATTTCCGGCTTCAAGACTCCATTGTCTGATAAGCGTTGCTTCGACCCAATTATCACAGCCTATTTGGATCCAGAGTGGGTCAACCCGGGCAACGCATATCTGGAAGCTCACGTCTTTCGCCCGTAGACACGAGCTACCTGCAACACCAGTGCTATTTGCTTGAAGCCATGAGGTTTGCGGGTTTCTGATATCCATTCGGCCTTATTGGCGCCATCAACCAGATAAGCAGCAAAACGGTACGATCTCCGCTGGGGTTTCTTCCAGCTCTTCGGCACTGCCCCCAGATGGACGGCGATCGGGGACCTGTCCGCTCTTTACGGATGGTACAATTGTGATAGCCCTCGTGCATGATTGCTACCTTTAGGCGGAGGTCTGCCAAAACAACACGAACAATGAATGGCTGTTGGGAGTTGCAGCTCTTCTCGCCAACGGCTTAGCCATTCACGTAGATTATTATTGGGGTGAATGAACGTCTGGGGAATGGATGGTATGGTTCAGAACAGAATCATGAGCTAATCTATATCATCAAGTTCTAAGTTGTCTAGCTAAGTGTCTATGTACACAGTATGTGGCATCCGAGCCAGGGACAATCCGAAGCCCGGACTGTTCGTTGATTTGCAGCTCAAGCCAGCTTGGATCTCAGGTTTCTTTCTTGGGCAATCACACCGTCCGAGAGCAGGCGAGTATTACATTGGCTCATGGAATACCACCCAGCCATCTCCAGCTCAAGCTCTTCTGACCGTCGACCAACGCCGAGGTTGGGACATCTTGAGGCTTGAGCTTGACGCCCTGGATCCTGTCCCTCCTCATGTTGTCAAACTTCATGTACAGGCCGACGCAGGTGGCAAGGATACAGCCGAGGCCGGCAAATCCACCCGAAACCGCGGACGCCATGGTGTATTGGGGAGCATCCTTGTCGAGGAAGAGGTTGGAGGAGACCAGACCCATTGCATTAGCAGTTGCGGCCAGGGTGGCAGTGAGGAGGGCCCGTTGATTCTCCTCGGGGGTGTTGTTGGCGTACCAGGAAGCCAGAAGAGGCGAACTGACGAAGCCTCCGCAGCAGATCAGGAAGCAGCAGAAGTAGCCCACTCCAACGTGATGGGCCACGTCGACTGCAGCCAGCACGGTGAAGCCGACAAAAGTCATGCACAGGGTGACGGCGATGTGCAGCGCCCGGTCTCCGGTGTAGTCGGACGAGAAGGCGGCAGCCACCAAAAACACGGCTCCAACCAGGTTGGGGGCCACGGTGTACAGGTTCGTCTTGATGGTGGAGTAGCCGAGGCTTTGCACGATCTGTGGGAGCCAGTTCGAGAGCGAGAAGTGAGGAATGTCCACGCAGAAGCCAATGAACATGTAAAATGGCCACATGCGGTCCTCCACGAAGACTCTCATGGCTTTGCGGAAATTGAACTTGACGTCGACCGAGGTGGACGAGCCCTTTGCCATGCGGTGGTAGGCCAACTTCTTCTCGGCATCGTTCAGGAAGTATGCGGTTGCAGAGGACGTGGGGAGGATGAACCACGCGAAGATCCCGGAGAGCACAGTGAGCGCACCTGTTTGGAAAGCTATGTTAGCTGCTTGTCCCTTGCTACACCGGTATAATAGGATACTGACCTTCTATCAGGAAGAGATATTGCCAGCCTTTGAGAGGTCCTGTCGTGATTTGGAAGACTCCATAGGAGATCAAACCCGTGAAGGCACCCGCGGCGACCGACCATGCGTAGAAGATGCTGAAGCGCGTTGCCAGTTCCTTTCGCGTGTAAAAAGTCGACAGGTAGTAGATGACACCGGCGAAGAACCCGGATTCGGCCATGCCCAGGAACCACCGTGTGGTGACGATGCCCCCGAAGTTGGAGGTGCCAGCACTGATCATGGCCATGGCGCCGAACATGATGGCAGAAGCCGGCAGGACACGGGCTGCTCCGAATTTCTTGGTGACCAAGTTCATGGGAGGCCCGGTGAGGACGAAAGGCACATAGTACACAGACTGCATGATGTTGTATTGGTTTCCGACCAGATGAAGGTCCTTGTCCATGCCGTCGGTCTTTGCATTACCCAAGTTGCTTTTGTCGATTGAACTGGTCGAGGTCAGCTTTTGGCTCCCACCGGGTCGTCTCCTGTGAGGGTCTTGGACCACTTACTTGAACAGATACATGACCGAGAGAGCTGGCATGATGTACCAGTCGAACTTCTGGAGCATTTTCTTCTCCATTGCACGGTCCACGATGTAGATGTCCTCAACCACTCCGACGACCTCGTCCGTCCCCTCAGTGACGGCCACCTTCTTGACCTCCAGCTCAGGTCCTGACTCCGAGCGTGATTCAACCTTGAGCTCGGCCATGTTTGTGGTTTGTGGTTCTTTTCTTCTTGCTGGTGGTTCGACTGGACTGCTGATGGTTTCAATCAAATTACCAGGTGGTCTGTCCAGGGCAACGGCTCTCCCTTTTGTGTGATATTTGAATGAGGCTCATCGGTCTCTCTACAAGCCCAAAAGGGTGAAATCCTGGCCGGCCCGGACAGCCAGCATCCGCTATCCCTGGTCGGCACCTCAATAGGGTATGTTGTCGTTGCTTATCTGCCTTTTCCAAGCTACAAGATGAGCTGCATTAGTTGCCGCTGTCCTGAGTGGCTGAAAGATAGGACATCTCCCGTATGTTACCAGCCAGTTCATGGCCCTAGTGTCGCAGATCCTTGATAAGACAACGAATTGATGGGAGATAAGGCGGTGTTCTGGCCGAGCCCTTTCTAGGCATCAAACCTATAAGGCTAGAGCGGTATGCCGGCACCTCGAGTGCCGGATGTGATTTTACCCAATTCGGCAGATTCCCAATTTGAGTGCAGGAGCTCATAGCTGATTGGTCCAGGAGAACTCTCACAAGTACAGGCCCCACATCACATGGATGCATGTTCTTTTGAACAGCACGCCAACTGTATCTACACCAGCGGACTGTAGAACCATTGTGGCAAAATCAGAGAGAGTACGAATTCCCTATCAGAGTCGCTATCTTCCAGCTGAACCGTCATACCCGGCCTACGTCGTGGTCGGGCCCCGGTGAGACTCGCGAGCGAAGGAGGGCTTCTTGCCTTCGGTACAAAGACCGTGAGCCCACGCTGGACCGGCTGAGATCAAGATTCTAGACGCCTTCTCTGATGAAGAATGAGATGATCCAGCAGATATGTCTCGCAGAAGGGTCAGCTGGTGGAGGATACGGTAAGTCGATGGCCAACCAGTGGCCGGCTGAAAGAGACAGTGAGCAGATTCCGGACGGTGGACTAGGCTCATCAAGATCTGAGCAACAAGACAGAGATAAGGGAGGGACTTGGATGACTTCGGTGGCAAGTCCATCTCGATTGTGAGAAACAATGTCCACAAGAAGGTCCATCCGATTGGGTTTATGCTCAACGCATCGATACTCGAGGGCAATCGATGGACGGTTCACCAAGAGCCATGATGGCAAGTCATCACCAGGTAACGGGCTGTCCTCCGTTGCCCCTGAAGGCTGATGGACCTTGGTCATGAGCACATTACGATTTGATCACCTGAGGAAAAGCAGTTCTATCAGCATGATCGGCGCTCACCGGCTTCTGACTTCTGTCTTCGCAGAGAACGTTATTGTCCAAGGCTTGTGCCCCAAGGTGGTTTGTTATAGGATGCACCAGAGAGCAGGAATGAGCAGTGTGGCTATAGCCTGTTGTGTTAATATTGGTGATCCAATCACCCGTGATGCAATCTATAGGAGACTACGGTCATTCTTCTGGTCGTCTACCCCGTTGTTGGAGAGTCACTGTAGATAACTGACCTATCCAACATGTGCATCAACGTCGTACCTTGCGTGCTGCCTAAACATACAGACACCTTACTTTTCTGGCTGAAGTTCAACCTTTCTCGTTCATCAAGCCATACTCCCCTCAAGGCTCTTGTATCTCCTGTTTGCCGCGGCTACACGGAGAATAGCACACAGATCTGGTTTCCTGGATGCTACACTGGCCCGGCTACCTCCACTTTCTATCTTTTCATGGCATTGGCAGCGGTTTCTCTGTGACTCCTGATTCAAGAGCATTGTTCTGCATGCTATTGATCTTCCTACATTTCACCCGATGTAGTGTTCACCTCGTTGTGACTTCAGGATATGTCACCTCGCCGTCACTGGTCAGGGAATCGAGATTCGATGGTCCTGGGTGATTATGAGACCCTTTGGGTGTCGTGGCTGACCATCCAGTGCGCCTGCTCCACGTCCTTTGGCCCAAACTTAACCAGTTCTATCTATATCCCATGGATTATGTGCAGTGTTGTCAGGCTCGACTCATATGTTATCTGTATGAGAAAGCGGATGTCACCAGTTAGAGAGCTTTGGGCTGTCTGATGCAATAGCTTAATACGGGAGAGATAGGTGACCAATGAGGACAATTTCAATAGTTTAGTCATCTAGTGGCTGCAACTAAACGCCATCCAGAATACTAACCATACTAACTAACCCTAATATCGCTCACTGACTAATATGCTTCTGGTAGCATCTCGGAAGCGGGATCAACTGTGGCCGACTTCCATGACACCGCACCCCTTTTTGCCCGCTGCTTACTTATCGGTGTTTACTATCTACGACCGCTCGTCCTTGACTCCCCGGAAACTCCATTGACTAGAACAGAATCGATGCTGGATGTTACAAATGCTATGTGAGATTGTTGTTGTCGGGGCCGAAACCTTGCCCGGCCGACCGCTGGGATTAGTCAAGTGTAACAACCATCCATCCCGTCTGGGGTTCAACACATTGGTAAATGGAACTGGTGGTGCTATATAAGTATTCTCAAGATCTCTCCCCTACTAACATGTCTGGCTCGTATACTCTTCCATCATAATACAATTCGGACCACAGGTTGTCAATCTGAGAGCCTACGATTCAATCTCAATACTTCCCCACCACGACCACCCAACAGCAGCAAGGACAGATATATCCCAATCCCGAACCCCAGACTGTACACCACACTCCAGTTCTTACCAGACCACCACCGTTCGAAATGGTGTCATACTCCGACATCCTCGTGAACAATGAGTCTCTAGCCTCATCCAGCGGCGGCGGCGGCGGCCCTGTCGCTGTAGTGGTGGGCGGGACAAGCGGAATTGGCCTAACAACCACACAAGCACTGCTGAAACACAGCTCCAGCCCAACGATCTACCTAGTCGGACGGGACTCCAGACGCATTGAAACGCTCATTGCCGAAACTTTCCAACCGCTGAATGCAGCGGCAACCCTGATCCCCATCGTCGCCGGCGACCTGACACTGGTGCGCAATGCGCAAAAAGCTGCCGACGCGATCGTGCAGCACGCCACGGAAACCCAAGCCGGCGGAGACGGCCGAACTCCAGCCCGAATCGACCTCTTGGTCATGACGGCAGGCTATCTCAGCATGTCGTCCAAGCCGGACTGGTCGCCCGAAGGTCTGGAGCGATTGATGGCGATCCGGTTCCACGCGCGCATGGCGATCCTGCTGAAACTTCTTCCCTTGCTGCGTCGAGCCCCTGGACCTCGTGTCGTGAACGTGCTCGCGGCCGGTGAAGAGGGACCGCTGAATCTCGACGATCTGGCCATGACCCAGCCCAAGACATACGGTCCGTTGTACGCGATGGCCGCTGCGGCCAGTATGTCGACCCTGTTTCTGGAGAAGGTGGCCTCGTTGCCGGAAAACGGCAATGTCGTTTTCCTACATACCTTCCCTGGCATGGTGCCTGATACGGGGCTGCAGATTCATCATTCGTTTCTGTTGGGGCTAATTTACAGATTCGTCAAGCTGATCAGTGGGCTCGTCATGAAGACGCATACTGCGCAGGAAGCTGGCGAAAGGACTTTGTTTGTTGCTACGAGTGGACGCTTTCGGCGGGTTCAGAGCCCCGAAGCCGCAGCGGGGACGCTCATCCAGCCTGGGAGTAATGGTGTGCTGGGGAGCGGCATGTTCTTGGTGGGAGAGGATTCGGATGCTATTCCGGATGGGGGTAATGCTGAATTGAAGAAGTTGAGGGAAGGGGATGCTGCTACGAAAGTGTATGAGTATGCCCTGGCCGAGTTGGAGCGGATTGAAAAGTCGACTTCTTGAAGTCAAAAGAAAGGAGGAGCAGGAACAGGTGAGATTGGTGAGATTGGTCTATTCGGGCGGTCGCGCAGAGTTTCATATCTAATAACCAATTTAAGAACACAAAGTCACCAATATTTGTCCATCGCTTGAAACCATAGTATTTTCAGGACGGCTAAACTTCGAAGCATCAGCCGCCGACAGCACGAAGATTGTGTCCCCTTTTAAATTCCGGATCGAAGGACTCCATCGCTTTCAAGGACGTTTTGCACTGCATCTGAGGATGTTATTAGAAGGTTGTATATATATGCTCAACCAGTCAAGTCTGAACGTTTTGCCAGGACTTAATGGCGTACACCCCGACAACGAATCTGCGGCATCGAATCTCCAGGATATGAGCTTGGTGGTCGGTCCTCCGAGGTTGTCGAGACTCGATAGTACGCTCGTCATACTGTGTCGAAAGCACATTCCCAAACTCCGAGATGTGACGTTGGGTCAAAAGAAATCCTCGACGGCAATACAGCCACCCCGATCCCCTCTCGGCGTTGCGACATGCCTCGACCTATCCTGCACTCCAAACTTGACTTTGACTGGCAGAGGCTCTTTCCTTCCAAGCGGCAATGACAGTCTAGAGGTGGATTTCCACTTCGATTTCGCCTTTCTCCCGGGTGCTGACTGCATGCTGGCCAGTGATGTCGACGACAGGCTCAGCATGTGGTTGAAGTTCGTTCCCACAAGCTCCCTGCTTCCATTGTCTAAGTCGAACTGCCGGTTCCATTGACCTGTGCACATGTCCTGTCCTTGTTGTTCGTTCGCAGGCTTGTCGGATTCGGCGTCCATGCCCGTGGCTGCTCTTGCCTTCTCACTGATTCTGAGAAGGTCGCCCCAGCCGACTAACCCGCCGTTTTCGTCGTATCCGGGGACATCAGGTGAGAGATCGAAGATTGGACGATTCCATTCGCTCATGGGCGTGCTGGTCATTGGAAAGGACAGCGTTGATATTGTGTGATGGCATCGTGGCCAGCGATCAGCATCAGCTGGATCTGTCGCGGACACGTCGTTTAGCTGTCTGATCGGAACAGGTCCCGGACCCTGGGCACTTCGAGATGGTACCGGTGCAGACCTGGCTGGATCCGAACTTGAACTCGCGTCAACAACACATTTGCAAAGACTCTCGTTGCTTCCTATTGTGCTGGTTTCACACTGGCACAGACTTTCGGTAGACGAATCACTTGACGTAGGCGAGGAGCTTGGCCTCTGTGTGCATGTTACAGTCTCATTGGACGAATCCCCGGCAGAATCGTCGGCTGCGCTGCGACCACAGACAGACTCCCTGTCTTCCATCATCTCTGAGACTAGAGTATGAGCTCGCAGGCGTGCTACACGCTGAGAACTCGGATCGAGGTACTTTTTCGTCCGAAAAGCGTCCATGGACTTGTCCAAAAGTACGAAGTCATCGGTGACCACTGGCCGACAAACCGATTGGAGGACGCCAGGAGGCGAAGTATCACGAGGCGCTCGCAACCGACATAATGAAGGAAAGCCTCCGTGCATGATTGACAGCGCGAGTTGTGTGTTGGATGTGTGCTGGACGTCCGGCACTGAACCATCGCTAAGTAGATCTTGTCGATGACTTCTGATAGACCAGTGACTCGTCCCGTGATTGTCCGAAGCGAGACAGGCCTCCACCCCAGGACACAAAATGTCCCAGTGGAGGGATCTCAGCGACTTTGAAGCCAGAATAGGTTGAATGACAACCGGTCCTGCTTCCACAGGTAATGAAGGTGGGACATCTGTCTGCAAAATGCTAAACTTAGTCAATCGATCCAAACTTGCCATAACCTTTGACAAGGTAAGCAAACTCGTGATGTTCTGGTGCAAAAGGCAAAGCTTGTCGATCTTTACGGCACATGGACTCGAAGCCCATTTGGTCAACCCGGCATCTGTAACACCATAACATTCTTCAAGACGTAACGAAGTGAGGGGCGGCAGAGAGAGCAAAGTTTCGTCGTGGAAGTCATCAGGGTCGAACGAAGAGACACAGAGATTTTTCAGCGCCGGTAAAGAATGCAGCACGTCAACAAACAGATCGTGTTCAATCACACCAAGGCTGCCAGGTGAGCATATCAGAAGAGTCTCAAGCAAGTTCCACTGTTCGTGGTGGAGGGCGAATTGATATCTCTGGTCATGGTCCAGCAGACCTGGAGGGAACTGCTTCTCACATCTTGCCTGGACATCCTCGTTCTCGCCTATTACCCAGACGTGCTGGCGCAATTTGGGTCTTGTTGACAGAGCATGGGTTAGACGATCAAAAGTATGATTGTAGAACGGCACAAAGCCAGTCAAAGCCTCCAGGTTGAGGCATACCATGACGACAGACGCTACCGTGCAGAGATACGCATCGTATTCTGGGTTGGGGCTGCCATCACAGAGGTATAGTGGGATATTTGGATCTGGAACGTGAATTGTCTTGACAATGCCGGCAAGCAAAGGCCTTTGACGAAGCGTTGCCCGAAGTCGAGTTAGTCGCACGGCAGGGCGTAGTTGCTGTTTTCGAAGCATGGTCCGGTTGTCTTGTCCAACAATTTGAATGTGGGTGTATCTGAGTTGGTCAGCACTGGACGGGATGCATGTATGGTAGGGGATTCACAGTGTGTGTTGAGCAATAGAAGACCAACTCCTGCAGGTGAGCTGAACCGACACGAGATCCCTCATATAGCAGGTAGTACATGAGGGCGAGGAAGGGTGTAGATGGGCGTCTCTGAGGTCTTCGAGCGCGAGGCTCAAAATAGATGATGGTAATTGCATCCAATCCACTCCGCTTTTGGGCGGTAGAAGGTGTGGTTTGGGCTCTGATTTCACATGCCTTGACTGCATTGACGAAGGCAGTGACTGTGTTCGGGCGTCTGGTGCACCCTTCCTCGCACTTCTAGACGGCAGATTTGACGAAAGCTGTAATAGAGACCTGGGAGCGATAGGAAGTGGTCGCTCATCGGTGGCTCGCACAGCAGCTGTTGTATTGATCTCCATGGCACTGGATGCTAGATATAGCCTCGTGCAGCCCTCGGCCTTGAAGGCTCGCGAGGACCGTGAATCAATAGAAACGGGACAGAAGCGACATGAGATGATATCCCACGAAGTCAAACACCCCAGGCCGGTTCGTTAAATGAACCAGACGATGAGTTGGACTGTCAGTTAGACGCCGGCGGACCAAGGCCGTTGTGTCGGCCGAGACAGCAATCTAGGCGCGACAGCGCTGGACTAGCATAATGGTAGTCATCAGTCGAGCAATGATAAGTCTGGTCTGAAGACATCTGCGCAGCATGTCAATACAAAAACAGCACGCTGTTGGAAGGGAGAGAGAGAGGTAGAAGGCCAACCTGCCAAGTTGGAAGCGAGTCTCCAAGAGAGTTGGAATGGCGTCAATTCGCAGCCAATGACACTGGAGTATCAGCAGCCACACGGGCAGTCCTCAGTCTCTGTCAAGTCTCACCATGATAACAACCGCCTACCATACAGAAGAATTCACTGGGAAGTCCAAGAGAATAACAAGGAAGTAGACTGGGTCGAGTTCAGAAGTGCGTAACCGAATAGCAGTATCGCCAGTTTTAATGATCATGGTTTATCCACGACAATCTATTTAAAAATGACATCCCTGGCTCACCATGCTGTGCGTGCGATCCCCCAGGCAGTGCCGCTCAGCAAGTGGTTGGGAACGATTATGCATAAAAGTTAACCCTGCGCACGTTAGTATCTTGAAGACTAGGAGGCATCCAGTTGATCCAACTTACGTGTCTTTCTTCTTCGCTTGCACCTCGTTGATGCCGTCAACGAAATGCTCGTGGAGGATTTTGGAGTGTCCTTTGCGAAGTGCAATCATCCCTTTCAAGCCAATCGTCAGTGACATCCTCGTATCGAGCCTGCCAGGCAGGATCGGATCCAAACTTACCTGCTTCCACGCATACGGCTTTCAGTTGTGCACCTCCCATTTCGTCGGTCGACCGCGCCAGCTCTCCCCAGTTGATATTGCCCTCGTCGATGGTCATCTTTCGAGAGTGTATCCGAAGAATTTGGGCCCGTGACTCTTCGTTGGGCAGAGGGAACTCAATCTTTCGGTCCAGTCGACCGGATCGGAGCAAAGCAGGGTCAAGAACATCGATTCTGTTGGTTGCGGCAAGAACTTTGATTCTCTCGTCCGAGGCAAAACCATCAAGCTGATTGAGCAGCTCCAACATGGTCCGTTGCACCTCACGGTCGCCGCTCTTTTCTGAATCAAAACGTTTCGTGCCGACAGCATCCAGCTCATCAATGAAGATGATCGACGGGGCCTTCTCCTTCGCCAACGCGAAGCAGTCTCGCACAAGTTTGGCACCATCACCGATAAACATTTGGACGAGTTGAGGACCGGCAAGCTTGAGGAAAGTGGCATTGGTTTGGGCGGCACACGCACGAGCAAGAAGGGTCTTGCCCGTCCCGGGTGGTCCGTACATCAAAGCACCTATCCAGGGGAGTCAGCATGTCCAGCGAAGACGTGAATGGAGTCAAACACACCTTTAGGGGCCTTGATGCCAATCTTCTTGAACCTCTCGGCCTCTTTCATTGGCCATACCACCGCCTCGACGAGTTCTTCAATCTGTTTGTCAAGACCACCGACGTCGGTGTACTTTTCGGTCGGCTTCTCATCCACCTCCATAGCCTTCACTCTTGAATCGTACTCGGCCGGCAACGTGTCCAGGACAAGGTAGGAGTCTTTGTTGACGCCAATAAGGTCGGCAGGCTTGAGCTTGTTGTGATCCACCAGGCCGATCAGCGGAAGGAAGATGGTTTGTCGAGTACTGGTCTTGATTACGGCCGATTTCCCTACTCGAGTGGCATCAAGATCGATGTTGGCGCCTTCCTCGGCGGCCTCGGCGTCGACATCCAGATCGAGAAGCTCGACGACATTGCCAACGAGGTACGGTAATTGTCTAAACATGCACAGTTAGCCACCCAGTGTGCGCAGTCCCGGGCGAGATCCACGCACCTATTCTGCTCAATTTTGTCCAGATTGTCCTTGATCTTGTCCTTCATCGTGGTTTCTTCGTGCTTCAGCCGTTGAAACTCGCTCTTCAGAATCTTTAATTCATTCTCAAGTAACCGCCGGCGGTTGATGATGTCTCTGGTATTGGAATGGAGGACTTCCTCGTCGATGTAGTCTTCTTCTTCTTCCTTCTTGCCGGCCTCTGCATCTTTCATCTCGGCATCCTTTGAGTCGCCATCAGTGGGCTTCTTGTCCTTCTCATCATTGTCCTTCTTGTGTTCTTTCTCATCGCGCTCCAAGTCATCGAGATCTTCGAGGGTGGACATGGTTGCTGGCGGTGGTCAGAGAGATCTGTGGCTTTGGTGCAGAGGGGGACGGCGGTCAAGAGGTGAGACGGGGTAAAGACCGAACGATGTAGATGATGGAATGGCAATCCTGGTGAAAAGCTTGAAATGTACGATGGCGGACAACTTGAACTGATCAGGAACTCAGATGCAGTGCAGCTCGCAATGTCCCCCAGTTCAAGTTGGTGACAAACACTGGCCAATTAGTACGACTGACCACTGCTAGTAACTGCCACTGCGGCGAACCCGCGCCTCCAGCCTTGGCACTGCTTTCACCGCGTCACTCGTCGCAGCCTGGCCTTGTACTATCTAGCATTTATTACCTAACCTACAGGTGCCTTGTCCTCATGCTTCCACTCTCCAGATTTCTTGACCTGGGCCTCCAGAGCACTACCGTCAAGGGGATTTCCAAAGTCTACAAAATATAGCGTGTGCCTTACTATCCTGCATTCCAAGAAGTGTCGCGACAGTCTATCAGGGTAAATAGCTGGTACCCCTTCGAGCATCACAGCAACTCGGCCTCATGGGAAAAGAGATGACAACAACTCTGTGATATTGGCCGACATGCCTGGCTTCTATCTCTGGCCAACGATACCATTCTAGCTGCGTCTTGCGTCCTCTACACCACGCTCATGGCACCAGCCGCCTCGTTTCACATGACTAATTACAATAATTGAGAAGCCAGCAATCTAAGCAGCGATTGACCACCCCTAGGTTAGCTCGCTGATGCAAACCCCTCCTGCGTTGCCATGTCTTCCAGCACGCGCTCGTCCGTCGAAAAAGCTCATAAAGCAAGAATAGCAGCAAATATGCGAAGAAAGCACGTTGAAGCCCATGCGTGGAGCTACCGCCCACTTGTGTCAGAACGCCCATCAGAATACACCTCCCCCGAAGCCGATACTTTTTGTGACTTTTGCCTAGTTGGAAAGCCCCAGGCACCACCCACCCCGTCGTGAATGTATGTCGAATAGAAAGAAAAAAGGAACCGATTCTATCACCTCGAAAGCTGCCCGCTGTTTTTTTAGATGCCGAAGGAAGAACTGAAAGCGCGAGTCGTAAAAACGTCGTTAAATGAGCTCGATTAGGAAATTGTTGCTTGTTTGAAGCTGCTCAAAAAGAGACCATGTTCAATGGCTCCGAACCCAGCACCGAAGCCATGTGGAATTTCTTGGGAGCGGAAACCGACAATGTAGAACATGACCGAAAGGATCGTGGCATTCAACAACTTTTGAACCACGCCACAATCGCTGAACGCTGGAAGGGTGAATAGTTTTTCAACCTGCGACCGTCTGCACAGGATACCCCGTCTGGTTGAAGTAATAGTCGGACTGTTTCGCGTGGAGAGAGCTGTTGCAGTTCGCCCCGTGCGGCATCCAGTTGGCCGCTGTTAGGCCGGTGGGATAGGGGTATGTCTGGCCATAGACAGGGACTTGGGTACGTGGAGCCGAGTATGATGACGTAGCGCCCGAATGATAACCCTGACGACCATATGCGGCTGGACCAGTAGGGGCGTAAGACCACGACGGGGTGTAGTAGTCAGGCGTCGATGGACCGCTGTGAGGCGCCGACGGCGGCGAATATTCTGAGATGTAGGGTCGAACCCACCGAGTATCGAATTGGGGGCCTTGTTGGTACTGAGGTGGAATGGGACCCTCCGGAGATAGAAGCGGTTGATGCTGGATAGAGTGACTGCGACGAAGATTTGTATCGAGAGGGGCCAGCTTTTGCATGTCCTTGACTTTGGCGAGCTGGGTCTGCTCTTCGTAGGCATGCCAGTGTTCCACCCACATGAAGAAGCCTTCGTCTTCGTCGTACATCATCCCGTGGATTTCCCAGTTGAAGTCGGTCAACCACTGCAATTCCATCATGTTCAGTTCATGCACAGGGATGCTGCTGACTTCGGCCCACGATCTGTTTTGGAAGGTGTTGTCGTCGAGAAACTTGCTGCCCAGAAGGAGACAAGTGGTGAGCATGCGGTAGACAGTCCCAGAGGACGAAGTCGACTGGCCACGTTCGTTGACTTGCTTCATTCGCGAAGACAGGTAGAACAAGCCCAGCATGATGGTGGAACTTGGTAGACGAGTGGAAGACAGAATTTGAGAGACGTATTTTCGGAATTGCGAGGTCGGCGTAGACTCCGGCGTCACACTGCGGAGGGAGTTAGACATCATACGTCATGCAAGTCAGAGTAGGAAACTTACAGTTTTTGGGACATGTCGGCGACGAAGTTGGCCATCAGATCCATGTCATAGTCCAAATGTTGTGCCACGCCTCCGGTAGGCTTGTCTTCCTTTACTTTCTTCTCGGCATGCTGCGGCGCATAGTGAGTCGTGTATGGATCCAGAGCTTCGGGCGCCCGGATGGGAGGCAAGATAGGTGCTCCAAGCGTGGTGTATCCGTACTGAGCGCCAGGCTGTCCGTAAGATTGTGAATACGGGTACTCTCGCGACGCGAGATGCCCAAGACGACCGACCCGCCCGGTCAAAGGAGGCTGTTGGGCACTATAGGCGGGAGGAGCGTGATACCGGTCATTGTATTCGCGCGACGAAAGAGAACGACGACACCCAAATCCTTGCGAAGAATAGAACCCGTGCTCCGAAACCGCACTCATCGGAGTGAGGTAGTCGGGCTGATACTCTGGCGGCGTAGGTGGAAGGCGGGAATGCTGGCCGTTAGGGCCCCAGCTATGATAGGAAGGCATTCTCGATGGACGAGGCAAGCAGCACAGACAAGCCAAAGCCCTGAGGGTTGTCAGATCCAGAAGCTCCGGGGTGAAGATGACGAGGAATCCTTACCGTCTGCCTCTGCTGAACGCAACAACGCCTTGGGCGTTGATGCCGGAGCTTGGTAGCTGATATTTGGCCCTTACTCAGAAGCAGAGCATGTGTGAACAGGCAGACGATCCGAAATCCAGACGCCTAAAACCTGACGTGATGAGGCAACAAGGTGGAGTTTGGTGTACAGTAATTCGGGCGGCTATGGTGGTGTCGACAAACGACAGGTGGTGTACAGTTATGCCTCGCAGTTGCGATGAGATCGGACAACGGGAGATTGTAGGACAAGACTTAGTGAAAAGCTCGTCGGAGGAGGTGCGAGCAGCGGTCGCGGTGCGGCAGGGAAGGCTATGTCAGAAACCTCTGTCCGGAAGGCAACCTGCAGGATATGATAATTAGAATAATATGTTCACAACAAGATCAATGGAATGCTCGGCGAGGCACTAAAGTGATGGAGAGGTAGGTGCATGGCCGAGAATGACCAGGGAAAGACATACCAGTTGGTTGTTCACTCCAGATGCGCACTGGCACTCAAGGAACTGAACGTGTTGCAGCACTGGCAAGAAGGACCGTCGCAAGTTTGTTTTTCTGTAGGAAGCTGGCAAGGAGGTGGTGTCGTGATGGATTTTCTCTGAGGAGCGTGGACCGATAGAATATGCCAGTGCACCTGTGGCAACACAGCCACTACTAGGAGCCAAGGAAAGAGTCCGCAGCCTGCAGGTTTTCTTTGCCGCTCGGGACGCGCAGGTGCTTCGTCAAGAAAGCCTCAAATTGGCCACCGACACAAAGGAAAAAAGGCTGCCTGGGCGACGAGGAGGCGCGGATGGTATGGCGAAGCACGACCAATGCGTAGCCTGGCGACGATGGTGCGGCGGGAAATTGTGGTAATCAAGCTGACCGCAAGAAGTCGGCACCACTCGACAGGCAGGCGTGGGCCCGGGTCCGAAATTACCCAGTGCGAGATTCTTTCCACTCTGCAATGGCCGAGAATAGTAACGGCACCAGCAAGACGTCGGCCGGCGGTCAGAACTTGCAGGTGGCGTTGAGCAGGAGGAGAGGAGGAGGATTGCCGTAAAAGAAAACAAAAGGATAAGGTTGAGGTAGAGGAGGAGAAGAAATGATGAGGGTTGAAAAACGAGAGGGATGAAAGGGGACTGAGGGAAAAGAAGACCACGCAGACGCAGGCGCAGGTGCGGGCGCAGAGGCCTGAGGAGCCCAAAAAGCCAGACTGTGAAGCAGTGCACTGCAAGTGGCTGCCAGTAGGAAGTCAGGCGGTGGGTGAGGGCTTAACGATTGACGGGATGGCGAAGGCGTAGGCCACGGCTAACGGGTGACCGCACGCCTAAAAGGGGATGGGAGGCGGGCGGACCAGGAGGGACGAAAAGAGGGCCAGGGACTTATGACAGGGACTAAAACCGGCCAGTGGCCAGGGAATGGGAAGGATGCAGTTGGGAGGGGAGGGAATGGAATGGGCAGGCGAGGTAGGCAGCGAATAACAAGAAGCTGATGGGGGACGGTAGACGGGCTCCTTAGGCTACAGACGGGCTTGTCAGTGTGTGACGGGCGTACTGTGGTTACAGAGTGAGTGGTACCTGTACGTTGGGTGGGAGGGAGAGGCAGTTGCACTCACACAGCTCTGCACTCAGCGCTCAGCCAAGAGGAGTCGCGGGCTTACAGCTGCAACTTGACTACAAACGCCCATCGCCCGCTATTAATCAGGCTCTAATGTCAGCCACCTAGGACTAATTCACTGATGTCTGGCAGTTGACTTATGGATGGGGTGGAAAACATGGAAGGGCCAGACCCCTATTGAAAGACTCAGCCGATTGCTACATATTAGGAGTGGCTACGAAGGGTAGAGATTTCTGCACCAATCAGGGCAGATGGAATGAGACTGGCCGAACTCATCGGTTGGCTGTCGGGTTGCCTTTGGAGAGGCAGCACTAATAATAATGAATTTTCTCTGCCAGTTCGGTACAGCGTGTCCGTTGTCATTTATGGCTACGGAATACTTGGTTGGAGAGATTCTCATCCATCACATCTCCTCTTAGCCCCTGACTTGAATACTGGAAACCAGTAGGATGGCAGCGTCAGCAATCGGAGGCGTATGACCGTACTACGTGTAGGTGAGAACTGAAGTGCACGAGAATAGCTCAGCTGTGCTAGTGGTTTGTCATCCAAGTCACTGCCTCATGTGCCTCAAATACGCGCAATGTTTGCTCCGATCCGCGCGAGCACCGGCTTGGCCACTTAGTGGGTTACTAGTAGTACTAAGTTATGTACCTGTACTACTAGTACTACTAGCTACGTATTACTAACCACCACCCACTACTAACTGCAGTGGTAAGGTCCGTGAGGGACGATGCCACCGACCCTGGGTTGTTCTCTTTCATCGGCCTCTACAGCAACATCATGCATGAAGTACTATCTACCTAACGTACCTGTGTATAAAACAATAATGCCTACCTACAGGGCCGCCCTTCAGTCCATCGTCATCTCTGTCGTCAAATGGAGGAAATCGTGAGTTTGGCCTGGGATCATCCTCTATCAACCGTGGCCGCCCTGCATACCGCCATCGCATTATTTGGGGCTCATCAATCGTATAGACCCTGCCATGACAAAATCTGCCTTCCGTTGAGCACAACTTCAGCCGAGAATACCCATATTTTCTGAGACCTATTGAAGTTCAAATGTTCAAGACGCTTGACTCTCGGTCTTTGCCTGCCGCCTGCCACATTCCCCGCTTCTCTCCGTCACTGATGGCGACGGTGACAGGTAGAAATGAGCTCCGACTTCTTGTAGTCTGTATCATTCGTACGCATGGCACTTTAGGACTTCTCCCCAAGCGTGCAGCCACTTCCATCACCACGCATCGATATGCATCAAATCCTCATGGAAAAAGTCAACCTCAAGACACATTACCCTAGTCCTCGACCAGAGACACCCACTTCCTAAGGCAATCTTGCCGCCAGATGGGGCCTGGCATCTTCGTATTCTACGGTCAATGATGAGGACTATCTGCCTGGCCATCGGACTTTCTGGAACCACTAGTATGAGTGATGCCTATCCCCGTCACCCGCCTCGGTCATGGTTGATGTCGTCTGCATGGTTCGGGAGAATAGGTACGTGTATTCACCATTGGTAGAGAGGTATGTGACGTAGGTACAGGTCCTCTTGGGTGGTCTGAGATGGGATATGTGTTCGGGAGGCATATACCTTGTCATGAGGCCGGCCCGATGAAGGGGCGGGCAATTCTGGTCATACAGTAATTAATAGAAATAATGCTTGCTGGCTCTACGGATGTAAGAACCCTTGCGGAAGATGTTTGGCGTGCGACGACATCATTGTCTGTGCATCAGTCTCATCTTTGGCATGTGCTGTCTCTACACTACCTACCTAACATAAGGTAGGTACCCTGTACCTCTGCTCCTCCATGGCCTCCGCGCTTGTAGTGAATTGTTTTCACCTAGAGTAATAGAACGCAGTTCAATGCTTCGTTCCAAGGGGTGACCAGGCACCTGGCCGAGGCTGTCTAAGCACTGGCGCTTTTCATAGCCCACCAGATGCCGAGTTTTCAGTATGAGCCTTAGAAGCTATCACATTATGCAACCTCTGATGAGACCCTCCTTAACCATCCAGCAGTCACCTCGATCCTGGCAGCAGCCTCATAAGGGAAGTCGGAGATGCTCTCAGTAGGATCAGTCGCCGCATGAGAGAAGCTCCTCAATTCGGTAGGAGTGTGCGCTGACCGGGACGGAAGCCACGCCATCTTCGCGCGCCGTCGTAGTTGTATTCGTGCGAGCTGAGCTACTATGCGTTCGATGGTGTGTAAGCCCTACTGGCAGGCTGCATGTCTGTCGTGAGCAAGCGAAATCCGAAGACGTGGGTTTCCATTGTGGGACATGGTCGAGGCAAGGTTGACGTGCGGTCGTCATATCATCATTTTCATACATTGCACACCGTGCCGCCGGATGACAGACCGTCTGATAAGTATGTTGGGTTTGTCGTTCACTTCCGGTGGTTGAACCAATCGACCGTTGACACAAACCGTGCTCTGAGTCCATCTTCCTGTTCAGTATGCCACTTTCCGCGCCATTCTGCCTCCCGTGCCTTGGCTTCTTCAAGGGCATGGAGGCAGTCCGCCGGGAGCTCTTCCAGGATCGTGGCAGGGAGTGAAGAGAGACCCTCGCCCTCTTCGGTGGAACCAGGCTTGCCGAACCAGGATTCGGGCGCCGATTCCAGGCAAATGTCATGAATGCGAAAATTCCGACTGTAAACAGGGTCCAGGGGAGGCAGTTTAGATGTCTGCTCTCCATTGTCGGGGGGATTAGAGTCGTCAACAACCTCCCATCGAGCATGGGTAGGTTGCATATGGCCAGGCCAGTGCATAGCATTCGTATGGATGTCATATACGCCATTCAAATTCTCCAGACGCGCTGCTGTCAGCATCGAATTGAACCGGCTGTAGAATGGGGTCAGTAATGTCTTGCAGTTTAAGGAAAGTCACTTCCTACCTAGCTTCTCTTGCATGTTCGAGCATCCAGTTGTCGCTCGTCACCACAATCCTCCGTCTCTTTGCTTCCTGTGATTTGGCGTTCGGCAGCGGTACACTCGGTGTGTTGGTGTGGTACACGGCACTGGCACCATGCCATGCAACGTATTGGTTGCGGTTGTAAGGTTCGCCTGGAGGCGGAACGCGATCTTCTGGAACGGCCAACTCGCCCTCGACATCTCCCCGTTCTCGTGCTTTCTGTGTCTCATAGTCGTCGGTCACTTTCTTCCCTCCGATCACGATTTTCGCGCCGAATTCCCGAAACACTGATCGTGCAGTAACCACACCAATCGCACGACCTTTGTAGGAATGGGGTATGAGGTCTCGTTCAATGAGATCTCGCTTTTCGTCGTCGTCAATGATGATCTTGTAGAGGTTTGGGTGCTTCTGAAAGAACAGATACGAGTCGCGGAAGCCAATGCAACGCGCAGGCTCGGTGGAAAGCATGTAAAGTCTGTCACCTCTTCCCAGAATGGTGAACGTTCGCACGCGATACTCTCTCCCGCCTAAAAGATGCCCGTTTCTGTCCACTTTTTGTTCCCCTTCCGGATCATCTGGTAGTTCAACTTCGTCATTGACTATCTCCATCGGATTTCCGTCTGCGTCGACAGGTGCTTGCGACGGCCTGGAGCCGCCTGCCCGATACTTGGCCCACCTCCCACCTCTGTGGCCGCGGAATCCGCCTCTTCGCTTGGGAGTGCTCACTTCGGACGCAGCGTCGTTGTTCTCGTCGTCTGAAGCCGCAGGCATGGAACGTTTGGGTGGTCTCCCTAACCTCCTTCTTCGTGGAAGAAGGGATGACTGTCGGCCTGAGCGTCGAGGTGTCGCTGATCGTGAAGGTTGTTCCGAGTCTCGTGAAGGGGTTGGGGCCTCCTCGGCATCGTTTTCTTCCTCGTTTGTGCCATCAGCTTCATCTTGTTGTGGTGTGCGCGCTTCTGTGTGTGTGGCATCTGGCATTTCCTCGTCCTCATTATCCGATAAATTGGGGACGGGAGTTCCTGTCGAAGGGTCAACAACCAGTACAAAGTCAAAGAATGAAATTCTCAAAGACTCACGCATTGAAGCCGCCGCGGCCTGTGCTGCAAGACGCGGACGTCGAGGCATTATGAATGGGAAAACTGGACTTCCACTTAGTACGCTGGCTCTACTAGACTGCAATTCTAGGAAAGCTGTGGTTCGCAGGGGTAGGGAAAACGCGCTTCGCGCAGTGAAGCACCGCAAAAGTACAATCCCACTTAGGGCAGATCATGATGCGTCAAGGGTGGAGTGCTGCGACGTAATTCACGGCTTACGGTGGACTACTACTGCCGAATAACGCTATATGTTCTTTATCGCCAATATTTAGGTAGGTACCTACATGTAGCCTTCCGTTGCCTAGAGGTTCCATGGCATGGCAGCGTCGTCAATTAATACTGGCGTTGGCTGAACATCCTATGAACATCCTATGAACATTGTGTGAACATTGTGTGAACATTGTGTGAACATTGTGTGCCTATACGAATATGTTCTGCATGACTCGCACAATTCCTGCAGGCCTATCGGCACTGATCGGTGACCGCCATGTCTCCAGGATCTATTGTCGTGGTTCAGCCTTGCCTTCGCCATCGCCATCGTGCCAGCCATTTTGGGTCCTCGAGTTACACGACAGCGACTATTCCAGTACTTTCGTGTATCTCACGAGCAACCTATAGATGCATTTCAGCCTGGCCGAAAATAGATGGGCATTCCATGCTCGAAAAGCCTTTACCCATGGCCTGTTGTTGGCCGGAAACAATGGCTTGCTGGCGAGCGTCGCTCAACGGGCTCATTCAACTTATCGAATTGAGAAATCATAAAGAAAGAGGACGCATATCAGTCAAATACTTTAAATACTGAATTGAACAGTTACCGTCGATGTCTGAATATGCACCGTCAAGCAGTCAAACTGAGGGACAAGCAGGCTGCATCGGAGTATGATGGAGTTTATGCGACCTACATACCCACCGAGGTAGGGTAGAATACTTACTACCTATGAACCAGGACTGTTGGCCTCGGGTACGTATGTGTTAGATGTCAATCAGTTCCCTGCCAATGTATGGTGATGCAGTTGTGCAGGGCATCGCACGACGGCACCGAGCTCGAGATGGTGGCTAGGCTGGACGATAATACGTACTGATCTTGCTGCGAGGTAGCACCTGCCAAAACTACCTTACTACGTACTAGATACGTACCTTACTGAAGGGCAAAAAGAGGCCTGCCGACAAGCACATGCAAACGGCGGCTATCGCCTGCAGAGAAGCTTTGAAGGCCTAGCCTCGAATCGCGCATCCCCCATCGATTTTGAGCTTGAGCCACCACCCACCAACCGTTCGTTGTGCCAGTGCTCAACAAGTCTGTAAACGGACGTCCAGCTGGCCCGGACTGCTGCTTCCCGCTGGCTCTCACATCATAAATTGCCCAGGTCCCGAGATGACCAGGGAATATCGATCCAGTTGGTATTGGGACTCCCAACGGCGTGACCGAGTACATCCGCAAGGATTGAGATAGGATGACGTGAATCCTGGATTCTCGATCGCTGCATACCTAGCTCGCTAGGTATCTGCAGAGCACTGTGGTAGGGAGGGGTACCTGAGCGTTCCACTTCCCTTCTATTAGGCGGACAGATAGCCTCAAGTGGGAAACGTACTGTGTGGGAGTCTACCTGAGATCAGCCGCCTCAAGAGTATATGTCAAAATGCCCCTCGAAGTTGAAGTCGTCAGCTGGGTCCTTCGGCCTACAGTAGTAGCCGGGCGAAGGAGGCTTTTAGGCCTTAGCAGGTGGAAGGACAACCACTGGCAGTTTGTGTCCACTGAGCAGTCGAAAATTTCTGAATGACACCGGGGGCTAACTGAGGTCGAGGACCAACATGCCTGAGCTCTTTCCGGGGCGATAAAGGGCCGGCTGAGATGCCTGGACCAGAAAGTCTACTACGTGCTACAACCACTAAATACTCGCTACTAGCACTGACGGCCCGGGCAAACTATCCTTTTTCCTTTGCCTGCGCCCTCGATTTGACTCTGACGATTTCGACGAACTGCCAGTGCCAGTGCCAGTGTGACTGAGGACCGTGAGCCACTCACTGCATAACCTGACATCCTCGCCCTTCGCCCTTCAAGTTTCGCCATCATCATCGCACCACTTTTCCCTGTCCTACGACTACGGGTAGTAGTGATCACTCTACAGAGTGCGGTACCAGAAACAACCAACCCTAAAGCCCGCCAATATCTCCAACCCTCCCCTCCCTCTGCAATCTTCGATTATATCACCAGATATCCCGCCCACATCGAATATCGTTGTCATTAACGATCGAATAGCCTGCGCCCCGAGTTGCCGCTAATCCTCTCATCCTGTACTCGTCTTGCGCTTCGAACCTTCTTGTCATCCTTCGTGTGAAAAGTTGGCGAGCCTCCGAGACGCTTGAAATCCCTGCCGCCCACCTCCCGGAAATCTCCAAATTCCGCACCTCTTTCGTCACCCCTCTAAGCCCGTGTCCGGGAACCTGAGGGACCTCCCCCCTCCATACGCGGGTGACTGCGGCGGTCCCAGGCGTTGTCTTGTTTTCTGAACGAGAAGAGCACCCTTCGAAATCGGTGAGATTCTGAAAAGAGGAGGACCTACAGAGTACTGTCGCCAGCATGGCGCAAACTGGAGTGAACCCGCATGCAGCTGCGGATCTGCTGAGACAAGCAATGGCACAGAAGTATGTCCTCCCTACCTATCCCATTCCAGCAAGCAAAGGAAATAAACGATGGTGTGACTGCAAGAGCTGGGTTTATCACTATGACTAGCCAGGGATGGGCGGGGCTTGCATCTGGCCCAAGGGCCTCGATGTCGAGGACTTATAATCGGCTGCTACACCGCGCAGCTTCTCAGGTTTGCTAACACTCGAGGCCATGCGTGAGAGCTGTTGCACTGTTTTGAGCATTCCCGCGCGCTGCCCGCTGTCATGTATCGCCCACTTGGGCTGGGCTCGGGTCACACCTCGGACCAGACTCTCTTTGCTGGTAGTGTGTATCCATTCAGGTTCTTAGCTAATTCGCTGAACAGCGCTGCCAAACATGACAACCGGGAGGATCTGCCTGATAACGTCGGTTCCAACTCTCCAACACCATCGGGCGTGGAGACGCCTCGACCTGACTTCCACGACAAGCGGCTGCCGGGTATAAATCACAGCTATTTTGGCCAGGTGGGTAGAGATCCTTCTCAAGGCACAGCGTCGCGGTCATCTCCACCTGCTACGGCTTCTGAATCAAATGATCAACCTGCTGCCCCGTCGGCTGTACGGAGCGAGAAAGAGAATGAAGACCGCCGGACATCGTCTGCTTCAATAGGCTCAATGGTGATGGTAGAGCGGGATCACGGATCCGTTCCTACACCGCCTTCCGATGAGCCTCATTTGGAGCCTACAAAGCCCGTCGCAGAGACTGATGGTTCTCGATTACCGCCCACCCCAATCTCGTCCGCTGCTTCCGTGGTCCACCGAGATGGCGAGGCCGCAGAGAATGGCGGGTCTCTGGTGGAAGGCGGGATAGCTTCCATCACACAGGCTTTGCGGAATTTTGTTCTTCCAAAGTCTGCCTTTGGCATGAAAGACCGCCGCCACCAGTCCCTCCCTGTTTCTAGCGTTACCAAAAGCAATGTCTCTGCGGCACACATCTCAAACCCTACCTCGTCCACACATTCTTCGCGGCCACAGACCCCCAGATCTTCATCTCCAAGTCCTGCTAAACCACCACCGTCTCAATCTTTGCAAGAGTCAACTGAGCTAACTTCAGGCGTGGCCCCCGCGCCGCGTGATAAGAGCACCCCCCCTCAGACTCCTCGAGCCTTGTCGCCTCGAGCCTCGGTCCAAGAAGACCGCCAGGTCGAAGCCCGGTCACCGCCTCCCAGCACCAGCACCGCCACCACTAGCGGGGACAGAGCTGCAGAGGTTGAGAAGGAGGATCAGGACTTGTCCAAAACTGATATCCCCAATAGCACACCACGGGGAAAATTAATCATCAAAATTGCCGAGGGGCGCAACTTAAAGCCATCATTCGATCCATATGTGGTATGCCAATTCGAGTGGAACGAATATGTCTCCAAGGGCCCTAGGCACGACACGATGGATGTCGATGATGATGAACGCAAAGGCCCGGTGGCGGCGCTGCAGTCTATTCCCATCCGCAGGACCGACAGTGACATGGGAAAACCGATGGCCATTCCCATGCGAAGTCGCCAGAGCAGCACAAATGGTGGTGGTGAGGACCGCCCCCTCACGAAAGTCACGGATCCTCAGTGGGACCATGAGGCCACTTTGTAAGTAGCGCCCTCATGACTCTGACAAGTGCCTCCATTCGCTGACAGCCTCAAAGTGACGTGGTTAGTAACCAGTCCGAGCTGGACGTGACCGTCTACGATCGCCAAACCGAAGAGTTCCTTGGTCATGTCCGGCTATGTTTGCATTTAACTGAGCAGCACCCTACTCTAGAAGGTTTCTTCCGATTGGGGCCGCGTACTGCAGAGGACCAGGATATCACAGGGGAGATCCACATCAGAATGCAATTCTCCAAGGTTGAGAAGAGACATTTTGGACCCAACGACTTCCAGATCCTCAAATTGATTGGCAAGGGAACATTCGGCCAGGTTTACCAAGTCCGTAAGAAGGACACACAACGCATTTATGCGATGAAAGTTCTATCAAAGAAGGTGATTATTCAGAAAAAGGAAATTCAACACACCATAGGAGAGCGAAACATCTTGGTTCGGACAGCCACCACCGAATCGCCTTTCATCGTGGGGCTCAAGTTCTCGTTCCAGACACCCACCGATCTCTATCTGGTGACAGATTTCATGTCCGGCGGCGAACTATTTTGGCATCTTCAAAAGGAAGGCCGTTTCAAGGAGGATCGAGCCAAGTTTTATATTGCCGAGCTCATTTTAGCCCTTAAACACCTCCACGACCACAATATCGTTTACCGAGACCTCAAACCGGAAAACATTCTTTTGGACGCCAACGGCCACATTGCATTGTGTGATTTTGGGTTGTCCAAAGCCAACTTGACACAGGATGACACTACCAATACCTTCTGCGGGACCACCGAATATCTAGCCCCTGAAGTACTACTCGACGAACAAGGCTACACGAAAATGGTTGACTTCTGGTCTCTTGGTGTTTTAGTCTTTGAGATGTGCTGTGGCTGGAGTCCATTCTATGCGGAGGACACGCAGCAGATGTACAAAAACATTGCGTTCGGCAAGGTTCGGTTCCCCCGGGATGCTCTGAGCACGGAAGGACGTAATTTTGTCAAGGGCCTACTCAACCGCAACCCCAAACATCGACTGGGTGCACATGGGGATGCGGAAGAATTGATGCGTCATCCTTTCTTTGCCGATGTCGACTGGGATGCTCTCGGGAAGAAGAATCTTGTCCCACCGTTCAAGCCAAAATTGTCGTCGGTCGCCGATACATCCAACTTCGACCCGGAATTTACCAATGCTCTGAACACGTCTTCTTCACTAAACGCACGAGCTGCAGCTCTGGCCGCGGGTGCCGCTCCTGCGTCCACCCCATTGTCACCCACCATGCAGAATGCCTTCCGGGGGTTCACGTTCGTTGATGAGAGCGCCATGGAGGAAAGGTTCGGCGGAGCCAACGAAGGCGAGGATGACAGAATGGATGAGAGAGACGGCAGGGAAGAGAACTCCCTGTCACGATCCAGGACGCAGGAACACCGAATGAGTGGTGTCCAACGTACCGGAGAAGATGGATTCTTCTTCGAAGAATGAGGATGGGCCTTAATGCACAGTCTGCGTCCCGCTGTTTCTTGGACACCCGGAGCAGAAACCGGCCCCAGACCCACAAAACACAGGTGGTGTGTTGGATGTGTCTATTAGTAACCAACATCGCCGCCTTGAGAGTCCCAAGAAAGGACGACAAGGGGCTGTCAACACCCCTATTAATTTCCCCATGTCTATATTCTGATCTACCCCTGTGGAGTCGGTGGAGGGAGTGCCCCGATGACCACAAAAAGCCAGAGACGGTTCGAGGAGAGCAATCCGCAACGGTGGCTTCCTTCTACACTTGACCGCTTAGGTCTTGGGTGGATGTGACTCGTCTGTATATCACCTATGAAACCATATCTGTTCTTTTCCTTGCCATGGCTCGGGGGCAACGGTCAGATATGAGTTGAGTGTTTGCCATACTAGTCTGCGAATGTGGGAATGCACCATCCAGGAACTCGGGAGAGCCGATATTTGGTGTCATTTAATTGACAAAAGCAAAATCCTTGCCATTGCCCTCGAGGAGTCTCCCCATTGTAGGTGACAGACTATCTAGGTAGTTCTCGACTGATGATAACGATATTCTACGAGATAGGGCAAGAGGTATAAATGAAATGTGCAAGACCCTATTGTCTCTTTCCGCGCCGCCAGTCCCCGTTGCGTGATTCTAAAACATATCAACTTGGTGGGTGTGGCAGAGCAAGCCGCTTCACCAGTTTGGTGGATGCACGCTAAATGGCCAGAAGAAGTCGGGGCTTCTAAACTTGTTCACTCTAACATCGCCTTTGACCTCATAATGCAAACATAGGTGACAATGATATGCTTCACCTGCCACCAAACCATGCCAGTCTGACCATCGGGCATGCACCGATGGTACGCTTTCGGGGCAACTCAAGTGTTCCCGGACTTGTCCATTGTTATCGATCTCCATGTTGGTCGAGTGGGTTCGGTCGGTATTTCAGATGGTAGATGTACTTGTACTTGTACCGGTCCCAGCCCCTGCCCCTGGCCCTGATACCGAGGATGCTTGATTCACCGGCACGGTTTCTTCCCTAGTGTCTGAGCCTACTGGAGGCTTGCCGGTCTTTGCAGCCAATCTGGCATCCTCGTGATTCATCTTCTCGAACCCTTTCTCCGCCATGCCCTGGTTGCGCAGTACCGTCCCTGTCGCGGCCTGGAGGCTGCCGGCCACGCCGTGTGCTGCGCCCTTGATATCCCCCTTCAGTTTGCTGGTCGGTTTGGCTTGCAGGTGTGTTGTAGGGTCTGATGAGACGTAGGGTGTGGTGTTGGATTTGGATTGTTCGTGCATCGGGTTCGAAGGAGTGTGAGTGTGAGTATTGGTGTTGGCGTTCGTGGGATGCGTGGTTTGGTCGTGGGCCGGGGCGTGAGAAGACATTGGTTCTTGCTTGTTGAGGTTCTAGGAGGCGTCAATAAATCAGTGCGTTTGAGGTTGTCCTGCGGTCGTGTAAGTGAGGCACGCAACACAGTATAAAGATACAGACATTCGCGCACCGCAGTCCCTCGACGCTCTGAGGAATGACGTAGGAGATGACGACGTGGGTTCCAACGCATGGACTTTGCCAGCGGAAGGTGTGCCGAACAGTGAGTTACTGCCCTACTTGAGCATATACTCCCCAGGATTCTGCTGGCCCGCTAAAGCGCTTCTGCATATCTAGAAAAATACTCCGCCGTATTATGTACGATGATCTGCCTACCTTGGTCTTGATGTTTCAACTTTCTTCCTGCTATACTCTCTACTGCTGGATGATCCTCTGGACATTGGACTGGCCCTGCCCTTCCTCATTGCGTTGAGTCCTTTTGTCGTTCGACAATGTAATTGATGATCTTCCAAGAACCCAGAATTCAGAAAGACACCATCTCATCGATCCTCCAACTTTTGCTTTGACCGAGGCTGGCTGGCTGGACCATTCGACGAAAACGACAAGCAGGACCAGGACAAACATCATCCTCAGCGCCCGTTTGACTTGCTCTCGGCCTACGAGAGCGCCTTATCGAAGACCATTCCTGGTGTTCATCGGACTACTTTCATCCTTTCAATATGCCTACCATGTCAGGCCGGACACGGCCGATTGAGAAACTCGCCCAAGCAGCGGCGAAATGTTCCGTCGAGGTACGTTTTATTCATCTCTGTCAAGTCAACTCTGCCTTTGTCTTGTGGAACGGAAGGGTGTACAACCTGGCACAATTTTCTCCTTTTTTCGGTGTTCCAGTTGTTCCATCTTCTTGGTCTTGTCGACTCGGCTCTTTCCTCTGAGATGCAAGTTCTACACCCAGCGACGTCACTGCTGGGTAGTTAGACTCTAGTATTCTCATGGAAAACCATGTGTGAGAGGACCAGAGGAGATTAATACTCAGCATGCCACATCCGTGGATTCCATATCCGTCCAAGGGTGTTATGGAGAGGAATGAAGGGAAAACCTGGCCTCCTTGTCCCGTACAGAAACATTCCTTTCCTCCATAGCGTGACGTGTTGGGGTTGATCTAATCTGAGCAAACATTATGAATCCCTTTTCTCCCTCTTTCATCTGTGCACAGAGCCTGGCATGCCTGGCTGCTCTTCGCTCATCTCATCATTCTGCTTCTGCTCCAAAGCACATACATACCTCTGACATACCTCACCTTTCCTTCGTTTGACTTTCCTCCAGCACCGACCCAAGCACAAGATTACTTGTGTTTCAATGCTGACAGACTCTCTTTTCCACGCGGTTCTCACAGGCATCCGCATACGGCAAATGCGTTGTGGCAGATTACCAGTCGACGTACCAAGACATGTGTGCGAAGGAGTTTATGGTCCTGAAGGATTGTTATCTTGTAAGTCGGATCCGCTCGGTTTCCTATTCTATGGCTGGAGTTCCCGATCCCAGTCAATTTCAAGATTCCATTCTCCGTTGTCGACTCTACAATAATCAACTATATATCTCTCCCTCTCCCCCTCCCTCGTCGGTCTAGCACGTCATTCTTTCCCTTTACCGATAACCCTGTTCGCTCAAGAGCGAAACGCTCGCACCGTACTTAACGCTCCTCTACTGCGCTGTTGAGTTGTTGGGTCTGTTTGGGCTTGACCCTTGGTTGATGATCTTCATGTTTTGCCATTCATCATATGATTCATCTCCTGGGTGTCTAAACGACTAACTGACTCTTCTGGCAGAAACACGCCAAAAAGTTTTGATGCATGGCTCGATGGATGGATCTTATGCACATCTTTTGGATTGCCGGCGTCGACTCTCTAAGACTTCAGACTTCAGACTTGAGGCTTCATTGTATCTGGTCTCATCGGGCTATTAGTTATGCTCGCTCATTCGAGCCATTCGATAATCTTTGACTATTCCATTGTCTCTACAGCGTCGGTTCCTGCTCGATTCATCACAATTTGAGCAATCTCAACAAGAACGTCGCCTTTTGCACCTCCTGCACCTCTTCCGCGATGATCTCATTCTTGTCCCCATTCGTGACTGGCCCATCAAACTCCGTCACGACGTGTTTGTCCACCGGCCGCCTCAGCGCCTTCTCGATATATCGACTCTGCTCCTCAAACACCGTCTCCAATCCAATATTGTCTGGGTCCTCTTGCACTTTGTACTCCATCTTGACGTCGTCGGTCGGTTTCAAGTTGGCTTTCTTCCGCAGTTGTTGCACACGGTTGATGATCTCCCGGGCGAGTCCCTCCTGCGCCAGCTCCGGGTAGATAGCCACATCGAGAATGGTCAGAACATCATTGTCGGTGTTTGTTTCTTGGTTTCTGGAGTTCTCGTCTTCCTTGAGAGCCCGGCGCACCACCAGATCGCCCTCGACCAGTTCGATGCCGGCGACGGTGATCTTCTTCTCACTGAGATACGCTTTGCAGTCATTGCTGGTCACGTCCGGTAGAGCTTTCTTGACCTTCTGTACGTCCTTCTTCAGCTTCTTGCCCAACACGGGCCAGTCTGCCGTCACGCTGTATTGCACATTGTACTTGTCCTCGTCGGAGGACAAGATCAAGTCTCGCACATTCAGCTCTTCTGTGATGTATCCCTCGAGAGACTTGACGTCGTCGAGATATTGCTGGTCCTTGTGGATCACTACCAGTGTCTTCAAAGGAGTCTTCAGGCCAATGGTCCTTCGCTCCCGCGACTGTCGAGCAAGCTCGATGACCTTTTGCATTCGTGCGACGCGGCGTTCGACGACCGGATCGAACAGTTCTTGCCGGACTTCGGGGAAGGAGAGGAAGTGGACGCTGCGCATGTCTTCCCCGTGCAGAGATTTCGGGATATAAGGCAGGAGTTTGGAGTAGATGAGGTCAGCAATAAACGGTGTGAAAGGGGCCAGTCCACGGACGAGGGTGTACAGGACATCAAACAGGGAATTCAGGGCATGCAGAGTGTCGTCCAGACCCAACTCGCCCTTGAGCCGCTTTCGGTTGAATCGGATGTACCAATTCGTGGTCTCGTCGATCAAGTTGAGCAGGCCTGGCACAACGGTGTAGAGACGATACGCGGCCATCTCCTCGTTGATGTACTTGAGCAAGCTCTGACAGCTGGCCAAGATCCATTTGTCCATGACATTTGTGTTGGTGGATTCCGCCTTTGGATCGAAGACATAGTCGATACCCTCGACCTTCTTCAACAGCTCCACTTGAGCCTCGAAGAATTTGTAGCTGTTCCAGAGTGGGAGGAGGACCTTGGCCACGATCTCCTTGACGCCGGATTCTTTGAACCTCAGGGTTTCGGCTCGCACGACGGGCGAGTTGATCATATACAGACGGAGAGCGTCGGCACCGTATTTGTCGATGACGGTTGTCGGATCAGGATAGTTCTTGAGACGTTTCGACATTTTCTTGCCATCTTCCGCCAGCACAATGCCGTTGACGACGCAGTTCTTGAATGGTATCTTCTTCTTCAGGTGGATACCGAGAACGACCAGAGTGTAGAACCAGCCGCGGGTCTGATCGAGACCTTCGGCAATGAAGTCACCCGGGAACTTTTGGTCGAATGTGTCCGCATTTTCGAAAGGATAATGCGATTGAGCGTACGGCATGCTTCCGGACTCAAACCAACAATCAAAGACTTCTTCCACACGACGGAGAGTTCCGTTGCCTTTCTGACTGGGGATAGTGATCTGATCAACACTGTCACGATGAAGGTCGGTAATATCGCCTTCGTAACCACTGAGCTTCTTCAGTTCCTCAATGCTGCCAATGGCAACGACTTCGGAGTAGTCCTCATTGGCCCAGAGCGGGATTGGCGTACCCCAATATCGATTTCTCGAAATGTTCCAGTCTCGAGCGTTCTTGATCCACTCCGCGAATCGCTTCTCCTTGACAAAATTGGGCACCCAGTGTGATTTCGCAATGCCGTCCAACATCAAGGGAATGATACTGGGGACTTTGTCGTTACCTGCAATGTTGACGAACCAGCCAGACACCGCCCGATAGATCAAAGGTGTATCTGACCGCCAACAGAATGGATACGAATGGGTCAATTGACCGTCCCGCACCAGTCTTCCTGTACCTTTCAGATACTTGATGATGTGTTTGTCCGCCTCCTTGACATGTTGACCGGCGAAATCGGATACCTCCTTGGTGAAGCGACCTGTTTCGTCTACGGGATTGGGCGGAAGTTTGTCATGGCTGACAATACCATTCTCCATGCCTACTCGGAAATCGTCTTCACCGAAAGCAGGGGCTTGATGGACAATACCTGTACCATCCTCGGCTGTAACATAGGCCGCGTTCAAGACCCTGAAAGCGCGATCCTTGAATTCTTCGTAGAAATAGTTGAAGAGAGGCTCATACTGCTTCCCCTTGAGGTCAGTGCCCTTCATCTTTTCCAGAATCTTAAACTTGGCCTTCTTCGGGTCTTTGTATAATGTCCGCAGCAGCTTTTCGAGCAGGATATACTGCTTGCCGGATTCCTCGTCGAGGATTTTGACGTATTCGAAACCCGGATGTACCGCAAGGGCCAGGTTTGAGGGAAGAGTCCAGGGTGTCGTGGTCCACGCCAACAAGCTTGTCTTGGGGTCTTCCACCAGGGGAAACGCCACGACGACCGCAGGGTCTACGGTGTCCTTGTAGTTGGACTGAGCTTCATGTTGACTCAGGGGTGTGCTCAAAGCGGTAGAGAACGGCATGACTCGGTAACTGCGGTACACCTGGCCCTGGTCGAACAACTGCTTGAACGCCCACCACACCGATTCCATAAAGGCTGGGTTCATGGTCTTGTAGTCGTTGTCGAAGTCGATCCACCGGCCGAGTCGGTCAATGGTTTCCCTCCACTCGGTCGCATATCTCATGACAATGGCCTTGCACTCGGCGTTGTATTTCGCAATACCCATCTCTTTGACGGCCGCCGGTCCCGAGATATTGAACTTCTTGTCGATTTCGTACTCGATCGGCAAGCCGTGTGTATCCCAGCCAAACCTCCGTTCCACATAGTATCCTTTCATAGACCAATATCTGGGGATAATGTCTTTTAGGGTTGAGGTGAGCAGGTGGCCATAATGCGGCAGCCCCGTTGCGAAAGGCGGACCATCGTAGAAAGTGTAGGGCTTGTTGCCCTTGGACAGCCGCAGTTGCGTTTGGAAAGCGTCAATCTCTCGCCAGCGCTTGAGCGTCGCCGTCTCTTCGGCAGGGAAATTGACCGCCATGTTTGGATTCTGCGCCGGTCTGGTTGCTGGACTGGAGAGGAGTATTTAAGCTGGGACGACTGACTCGCTCGTCCGGGTTGTGACTGTGCATGCAGAAGTCGCAAAACGACGAAACCACTTCTGCGGTCGCCGTGCTTGACCGTACGAAATCTTGGCAGGCACAAGAGATATGGGGTCACGTGAATCAGCCCCTGACGGCGAGGCTCTACAGAGTAGGTACTCTGTGCCTCGGTCTTTGCCGCTGTCAAGGACTGTGCATCTTCTCAACACAGTATTATAAATCACCCAGGGCATCAATCAGACTGCAGAAGAACCTCGTTCAAACACCAAGTAAGCCAATGAGTCAATTCATGCTGCACTAGCTCATCGTCCAAACACCATGATTACTCGTCAAAGTGCAGTAGTAGTATAGAAGGGTATCGTTCCAATCTCAAGTAGCCGACTTTTTGCGTGTGACAGACGCCTTCATCCTACCTCGCCATGCTATGCTGACAAACTGCCACAACCTGGGCAGCTGGGTAGCCTCATTCAGAGCCTTTTTTGCTGATTCACGTGTCTTCCTTGACGGCCTCATCGCCGACACTACCTGCCGCGTCGTCTTCATCCGAGTCCTCTGCGTCTTCTCCGTCCGCCTCATTGTCTTCTTCGTCTTCATCTTCGGAAACTTCCTCGCCTAGAGACTTGAGCTTCTGTTTGTCGGCGGTTCTCTTCGCTTCAAGGTCACCAAACACGACCAACAGATCGTCAAGCTCGGTCTGGACGTCTTTGCGCGCAGCCTTTTCTGTTTCGAGCTCCTCGCTCAGATGTTTGGCATGCTGTTCGGCATCCCGAGCGCGGCTCTCAGCTCGAGCAAGCCGCGCTTCCAGGCTCTTGGTCTTGGCCTTGTGTTGTTCATGCGCGGTTTCCAGGTCTTGAACGTGGTCGGCTTGTGCCTTTTCTAAGACCTTTTCAAGTTTTGCGATATTTTGTTTGAGGCCTGCGATCTCTGCTGCCTCCCTCTCACGGGCCTGTTGTGCCTTTGCATCTGCCTCGTTCATTTCTCGCCTGTGTTGTTCGATCAAGGCGGCTTTATCTCGGACTGCCTTCTGCTCTACGAGTTTGAGTCGCTGCTCAGACTGCTGCGTCTCCAGCTCATGCTGCTTCCGAAGGCTCTCCAGTGTCGACGTATATTCGCCTCGCCGCCTGTTCAGTTCATCTTCGTGGGCGTGAACTAGGCCACTCCGCTGTCGTGCAAACTCTTGCTGTAATTTCTTGATTTCCTCGTCGTGGTTTTCTTGTAGGCTTTGGTTGATCTGCTTGATCCTGGACATTTCCACGGCGGTGGACTCACGAGTGCGACGGTGGTCAAGCTCTTCCTGTTCGAGCCTTCTCTTCAACTGGAGCAATTCGGCATTGGCAGCCTCCAGAGCTTTCTTTTGCTCATCCACCTCAGCTCTCAAGCTATCCACCAAGTCTCGATCTATCCCTCTCTGCAAACCATTGCCTACCAGGGCGATTTCGAACTTGGGATCCCGATCAATGGCCCGCAAGAACCGACTGAAATTATCCTTCAAGAAATCAATGAAAGTCTTGTCGAAGAAGACCTCTGGTAGGCCACCGTTACCTGTCTGGGGAAGCACCTCGAAATCACGTACAAAGACGTTCTCTCGAAGCTTTGTCAATCTGTCCACGTAGGTTTCTCGGCCAAGACTATTTAGCAAGAGCCCGTGTATCGTGGTTCTTGGAATTGGCGAATCCTTCGTCGAAAATTCGTAAATGATGCCCAGCAGGAAGGCACACAGACCTGCCACAAGCGGCATGGAGCTATTTGCAAGTTTGACGGCCGCCACAAGACCGGGGACATTGCTCCCTTCACTAAGCAGATCGTTGACTGCTTCGGGACTTTCGTACAGCCAAATGCACAAGAGCATGAGGTACCCCAAGAGAGCACGCTCGTCCTCGACATGCTGGATGCCAGCAACCACATTACTCGTGATACTCTGGACGAAGGTAACAACCTCTTCGCCCTTCTCGGCTTCTCCTTCAGTCACCTTCAAAGCCATGCCTTTCGTTTCGGTGTTATCGTAAAGAAGGTGCAGTAGCAGCACAGCTGCAATCCACTGCTGGTACGGGTCGGAGTTGTTTCGAGCTGCGGGGGGTTCAAGAAGCACGGTGAGAATGTTGGGAATGGTATCATTGCCAGCCGTGTGGCCCTCTATCGCTCTGTGGAGAACATGAGCTTTGATGCCTGTGTGGCCTTGGACAAAAGCTTTAATACAAGAGCTTGCGGCCAAGCGCACATCAAAGAGAGCTAAGGGAGAAGGCTCCATTGCAAGCTCGAGGAGAGCCTCGATCACATTCTGGTCCCGATAGACGGCCTTAGTAGGCTTGTGCTGCTTTTCCAGGGATGCAGGAGCTGCGTGCCCGTTGGTCAACGCACTCTCCGCCTGCTTAATTGGCACTGGTAGATCGCCAAATCGTTCCTGAAGCCCAGGATTCCCTCGTATAATGTCTCCGCAGGTCTGAAGAGATTTGGCACGAATCCCCGTACTGAAAGCGGGGTGGAAGGCAAGACGCAAAACATCTTGCAACACCCCCGTGTGCCAGAAGGCTTGCTGGTTCACCGGGGTGCCTTGTGCCCCCGGAGCTAGAAACAACTGGATGACTCCTAGCAATCCCCACAGGTTCATGTCCCTCTGGGGTTTCATCCAGTCCGAGACACCATCTCCCGAATCCTCTTGTTCGATCACGGCCGAAAACAGTTTCTTGACCCTGAGGATACCCCCGATTTCCCGGAAGTACGACTGATTCGAAGTGTTCAGGTTGAGAAGGTTGGCCAAGAGCGACAAGCAGTCCTGTACAGTGGTCGAGCCGTGGGTCAGACCGCCATCGCCCTCGATCAGTGCAAAGATGCGGTCGAACGCATTTTCGAAGGCCACGACCTTTTGCAGCTCGCCCGAAGTCGGGGTCAGTGCCACCAAAAGCACCAACGCCTCATTCCGGACTGCTTCCCGTTTGTCGTCGAGGACACTGGTGATGCGCGAAACACCCAGCGGGGCGGAGAATATAGCTTCTTGCGTGCGCTGTGGCCGTGCCGTCGATATATGAGAGAGGATCTGAAGCACATATAGCCGCAGGTAGAACTCGCCGGATTCCAGCAGATCCAGGAGCGCGGTGATATTGTCTTGCCGTTGCGTGAACTCGTCCGCCAACCACAGTGCAATGTCCTCCGAAGCCTCTGGGGACTTTTCGTCCGGCTCAAAAAGCATCAACAGTGTCTCCAACACCACCTTGATCGTGTCCGAGTCATCTCCATCTCGTTGTAGCCCAGCAATGAGATCCCTCAACGCCCCCGAAGCGACGGAGGCAGGGTAGAGCTTTGCGAAGCTGCGTAGACCTAGGATGGCTGCCCGTCGGTCTTCCAGCAGCGTTGCAGTCGAGAGACGATTGCTCAGTGTCTGGATTGTGTCCGTGGCCGTTTGTCGAGCGGGAGCTTGAGCCTCGAGTATTCGCATCATCTTGAAGGATAGATCGTCATCGTGGAGAGGGAGGATGATTCGAGAGCGACATCTCGCGCTCTATCTGTCATGACATGATGGTTCCCCGGGCGCAGGGCATTTTGGGGCACTTTGCTTGGGTATTTCTCAAAACCTCCGAGTTACCTTGATGTACCTAGGTAGGTATGCTTGTGTACTATGTCCATGTACTAGTATTACTCCAGACACGTTCGATGCTTGACTTCACGCTGAACAACTGGCCGCAATTAACGAATTGCCAAGACTCACCCCATTTCGGGACGAGGGTGACGCCGCCCTGGCCTCGCGATCAGCTCGCGCGAGCCGGGTGAGCGGCACCCCGTGACTCACCCAGCGTACTACGTACTAATATATAGGTACATACCTACATAAGGTAGGTATTACTAGTACTTCTATAAGGGGCCAAAAGTGTCTGGCGCCTTGGCGCAGATGCTGCGGAGCCGGCCCTGCACTGCACTAGTACGGTCTAAAGCAAGCCACGCTCTAGAAGCGCGTAAGAGAGTGTAACCGCATCCTCTTTCCGTCCTAGCGACGAGTTCCGGCGAACTCTCTTGAGTAGGTACTTTCGTCAGAGATAATTTCTTGAGGCTGTAAGACTTGGGGGAGCATACATGTGCCACTCGAGATTGTTTTCATAAGTGGCATACAAGTGTACATACAAGTCCTGTGTAGAAACGTATGCGAACAAATTGCTGTGATGTTGAGAACAAGTGTCCCGATAGGCACTCGTCGGATACTAGTACGTACTAGTATCTACCTACATGTAGCTAGCTACCTAGGTAACTTAGTCCAGGCGTCCAGGCGTCCAGGCGTCGAGGCGTACTCTGTACCTAGGTATGCTCGCCAAGGCGCTTCAGGCTCCCTTAAAAGGCTTAGTAGGCTTGTAATTTCAGGTACCCCGCCACTGGGCTTGGCGCCCGCCCTCGTGCCGCGACAGGATTCAGATACACCCCGATGGGAAGAGCTGCTCTATCTACAAAGGTATGTACCTTACAATCCTTCTGAACATAGGTCATTTTCTCTAACACAACATACCTAATCGAAGTTGATCATCTTTGTAAGTCATTGGAACAACTGACTGTGAGATGGATGGAAGTATTTGGGATAACCCGCCACTGGCATATGGCTTTACCCCCGCCCTCGGCGGAACATGCTACTACCACGGATGAAAAGGCTCCTAAGGCTGCAGAGTCCGGCAGGTGTCTCGCTACAACTAGCCATGGCCGACCAATTGAGTGGCAGACCATCTCAGCCTAGTCACAGGTTGGCCGAACCATCCTATACTACTACTACATATCGAGGTCGGTATCTGCTGTCCTTCCTCTCACGGTCTCACCGATGCACCGATCTCCAGCGCATTGATGCCTCGTCCAGTGCTTGGTCAATTTCGGCATTAGTCCAAGTTTGGGGTGCTCAATGGAAGCTTCTACGCGCTATAACGTCCAAATTGACACAGGCGCCATGTACAAACTTAGATTGACGTTCCGGTCGACGGCACCAGTCGACCACATCGGTTCAGGCAACCAAAGCTGGGATCTTCGCCCCTTGAATCTCCCGCAGCCACAATTCGAAATGGATACTATTGAAAGAGTTCATCAACCGCTGGCACGGGTTACTTAACCCCCGGGCACTGTACCCTCGGCCGACGTCCACCTCCTGTCTTCTTATCCTCCACATACAGGACCTGACCACCTCACCATGAAGTCTTTCAACCATCTTCTCGCACTTGCGTTCATCCTTCTCGGGGTGGCCGACTCAGTCGCAGCACAGTGCTCTTCAAACGGCACAGCTGACGCCCAAGACCAAGAGAGTTTGTGTAACGCTTTCTGTACCGTCCGCACACAATGCAAGACGCAATGCCTGGAGAAACCTTCCGCCCAATACAGCGGCTGTTTTTGTCAAGATGTATGCGTATGTGCGCGTGAAGTCTGCAACTCATGCTGTCTCGCGTCCAATAACGCAGCCTGGTGTGATGTGTACGATGCATCTGATATCAGTTACTGCTCCGATTTTGGGGTAGGTCACAATTTCTCTCTTGCTCGCCAACAGAGTGTGCTGACGGTGATAGGACACTGCTCCTGCGGACCAGTGTGCCGTGTATGCAGATACAGTCTACGACCCTACCGCACCCTTTCCATCGTCGGTCGAGTCGTTCTTGGAGCAGATCCCGTTGCCCACAGGCATTACGTTTCCTTCCGACACCTGTGACAGTTCACCAGCTTCAGCGACTGCGGAATCCACTGCACCTGCTGCCGTCGTCACCTCCTCGTCTTCCTCTGCTAGTACCGCTTCCCCGGCTTCCTCCACTGCTACCGCTTCCTCGTCGTCATCCGCATCCACAGACCAAACGAGCACCGCAAGCCAGCCGAGCAGCACGGCCACATCCAACTCTGCTGCGGGTTTCTCTACCGAGGTAAGCACCCTGCAAACCTGAAAAAAGTTGACCGGAAACTTACCTATCGTAGATGACCAAGGTCGCAGTGGCTATATTAGCTGCTGGACTGGTTCTGGCATAAGGCATCAGCAAGTCATCACACCGCCTCACCTCCGACTAGTGATCGAACTTGAGAAGCGCCGCGAAGTCTCTAGATCTTCCTTCTCAGGCGCGTGTTGTGAACTACGCAGACTCAGACTTGTCATAGATAGGACCGTCCAACGCGATGAACGGGGGTTTCAATCGACTTCAGCTCAGGTCTATCTACGGCGCGACGTTGGGAGGCCAGCATATATTTCCGTCACATCAGATGAAAAGTTCCTACGGTCTCTCGGCCTAGAGAGGTCTATAGAGGATCACGATTTCATTGACACGCTTGAACTATGTAGAGAGACGTTCCGACCTCTTAGAACGTGTGGAGTCCCTACTTTCACCTATCAGGACCTTGCGTCGTGTTATATAGACATTGTCGAGATGTGGCAGTGAGAACTGGCCCAGCAGCTCTTTACTCGCAGTATATTCCCCTCATTCAATTGTTATAACCCCGTCAATACGGTCTTCGGCCTTTTCAAATCCGCTTCTGACTCTTCAAATCTCAGCATCTTCTCTGGACCAACCCACCTAAACCCAACCATTCGAGAGGGTTGAAGGTGAGGGGAGGGTGAACGGTACATTAAAGCGGCGGGGGTGTGATTCCACGTGACTTCGACGTCAATTCAAGTTTAGCTCGTCTTGAGCCGCCAAGACGAGTTACTCACCCGTTCGGGGACGTTGCTGACGCCGCCCTGTCCCCAGCTGCCAAACCTGAGGTAGCGATATCGCGTACAGAGTAACCTACGAATCGGCTCCAAGAGATCGAGGCTAGGTAAATATCTCAGCTTTCCGGATCTTGGAATCGACATACGCATGTCTGGCTTGTCTGCCGTCATGCTTTTTGTCACAGTCGCGGCGGCGACCTTGCCGAGTGTACCGCTGGACTTTGCCGGGAATCGTGACAGGATTCTAGAGTCCATCAGGATCGCAAAACAGAAGGGAGCGACCCTCCGCACAGGGCCCGAGGTAGACACCACCACTCACTTTTGGAGGAGAGCCACTGATTTGGTGGTAGCTCGAAATCCCGGGATATGGATGCCTCGATCACCACCTCGGTAGGTTTTGTCTGTCCGGGCTCCTGGGCTCCTAGGTCCCAAGAATGAATGCTGAGTACCTGTTCGAAATACTGTAGAAGGCGACACGTTCCTTCACAGTTGGGAAGTGCTGGCAGAGATCATCTCAGATCCGGTCTGCAAAGACATCCTTGTGGACTTGGGCATGGGGGTCCGTCATCGAAATGTGAGATATAACTGTCGTGTGCTTTGCACCTACAAGCGTGTGCTTCTCATTCGGTAAGTTCCTTCCGAGACGAGGTCTTAGTGTTGTGACTGCCGCTCATGATGCTGACTGAGCGCAGCCCGAAGATGTCGTTGGCAAACGATGGTCTCTACCGCGAGGCTCGTCATTTCACCGCTTGGCCCAAGAAGATGCAGATCGAAACGTATTACCTCGAAGCCATCATCGAGAAGGTTACTGGCCAGCACACAGTGCCTATTGGTGATGCCATCCTGTCAACTCTCGATACGGCTGTGGGCTGCGAGACGTGTGAGGAACTATTCACGCCTTCGAATCCGTCGACCTACATGGGCTTGAACGTAAGTGAAGCGAACATATCCTGCTACCTTCAGATCGAGACCGGCGCCCACTGGCCTTTATACCGTGAGCTGGCTCATTTACACCAAGGTGTCATCCTAATCGTGGCTGTTTAGGGTTGTGAAATCATTCTCAACAGTTCGGCATCTCATGCAGAGCTTCGAAAGCTGCGGACACGTTTAGACCTCATTTCCAATTCCACGAGGAAGCTGGGCGGTATCTACGTCTATGCCAATGCCACCGGAGTAGATGGAGAGGCCCGTATGATGTACGATGGCTCATCAATGATTCTGGTAGGTTTTCTGGTCGCTTCAAGCACAGCCTCCTATTTGGTGCACTGGTCATAGAACAGCTTGCACATGCAGTTTCCTCCGTGCTTGCGAGGCTCGACAACGACCATTTCGCTTCACGTGAGTCTGACAGGCCAATCTAATGTTCTTTATAGATCAACGGCAAGGTCCTGGAACAGGGATCCCAATTCTCTTTGGCACCTGTGGAAGTGATTGTGGCCACCATCGACATTGAAGAGGTCCGAAGTTTCCGCTGCAGCATCTCCAGGAACGTTCAAGCTGCAGCACAACCTGAATATCCTCGAGTGGAGTTCGACTTTCGATTATGTCGGCCAATTGACGAGGTGATCCTGTCAGACACGCTCAAGATTTCACGAGAAAAGGAACTACGAATTCTTGATCCAATGTCGGAAATTTGGATGAGTACTTCAGTATAGTACGTCTCTTCTTGCTCCCCTTTCCTGGCGGTCCTCGTCAATATTAAGACTTGTTACTGACCTCAGGATGTGACAGTCTTTGGCAATGTAAGTGTTTGATCCGTCATGGCCTACTCTAGATGGGAGACTCCCATTCTCAAGACTGGCTTGTGGATGGCGGTGACGGTACCAGTATCTCGATTGGACGGATTCTCTAACATAAGCCACAGACCTTAGTCGAACAAATTCAGCAGGTTTCTTCCTGAGTCTTTCGGGTGGTATGTAGTAAATCACACGCAAGCTTGTCCCGAAGCCTGGGTGTACTGGCGTTACCCGGAAGCCGGCACTGACATGCAACAGGCTTGGACAGCTCTACCGTTGCGCTTTTCGTCTATGGGATGGCTCGACTTGTTCTTCAATCCATAAAGGCGGGGGAGGAGACGACCTTGGCAGACCTTCGACGGGTGACTGGGCTGAAAGACCTTGTTCCCAAGACACCGGAAGAGATTGTCGATCTCCTGCTCACCACCTGCTACCAGGGGACGGTGAACTCTTCTGATGAGACGAGATCTAGGGCGAAGAGGCTGGCAGAAAGACTGGGCGCCTACCACTTGAACATTTCTATCGACGCGGCAGTCGATGCTCACCAGACCATCATCCAGAATGCTTTGCAGTTTACGCCCAAATATTCGGTCGAAGGCGGTACGCAAGCGGAGAACCTCGCATTACAGAACGTGCAAGCCCGGAGTCGCATGGTTGTACAGTATTCACTGGCGCAGTTGGCGACGACCGCGCGAAAGCTCCCGCGGGCTGGCTCGGCATTACTCGTCCTCACAAGTGGGAATGTGGTAAGTTGTTGCAAAAAATCAACTCTTGCTGAGAGGGCATAGACAACGTGTCCTTCTCTCGCGGTCCGACCAGAAACAGTGCTGATCCATGATAGGACGAAAACCTTCGTGGTTATTACACGAAATACGATGCATCGTCCGGCGATCTGGCACCGTTGGGCAGTATCTCCAAGAACGATGCGAAGAGATTCCAAAAGTGTGTCCCTAGCTCTGGTATCTAGGTTTGAAACCGCATTCACTGACCTTTGTAGGTGGGCAAGAGAAACCTGGGACCTCCCGATCATGACGGTCTGTGCACTTTTCACCAGGTACACCATAGTTGCTGACTGGGGCGTAGGAGTTTATTGAAGCGACACCTACTGCCGAGCTTCTCCCACTTTCAGCGGGCGTGCAGGACGACGAATCCGAGAGCGAAATGGGTATGAGCTACGAGGAGCTCTCGGTGTTTGGCATCTTACGACGGGTCGAGAAGCTGGGTCCTTGGTCGTCGTATGTTCGCTTGCTGTACCAATGGCAAGACCGGCCGGGCATGAGCCCACGCAAGATCGCCGAGAAGGTCTGCCACTTCTTCCGATTCTATTCGATGAATCGACACAAGGCCACCATCATTACTCCGTCGATCCATCTCTCCGCTTACAGTATGTTACCCAAACCTTACACAGACAGTCGTCTTCGTCTCGATCCTGGGCGCTGTTTGATGGTGCGATACAGACCAGCAAAATGATGACTGACATTCCATACAGATCCCGATGATAACAGGCACGATCTCCGACCTTTCTTGTACGTCGTCAACTGGCCGTATCAGTTCGACAAGATCATGAAGCACGTCGAGTTTCTGGAGGCCAAGCAGCGGAAGTAGGGCGGTCGTCGACCCAGGCGAGGCGCCTCTCCTGTACCCGTGGGACGCAATCACTGAACACCATCCGTCAACCCTTCGGCTTAAATGTAGGAGATAGAGAGTTCGTTCAGAATGAATTGATTCATCAATCAATCGCCGAAGGAGTGTGCAAGACGAGGGGCTGGTGATGTCTCCCTGCTCTGAAGTCCATCCACCCGTCAGGCATCGATGCCATCCAGAATATATTCACTTGAGAGCTGGATACTCCTCCATACTACACCAGCGGCTAACCACCGTACCGTAGAAGACATCACAGCACAGTAAACCCAAGTCGGTTACAGCGATCCGCCATTGTACCGATATCGCAGGCTATATCGTTACGCCGCTCGGCCATTAGCCGAAGATTTTCTGATTAATAAATATCAAATATACCTGGCCAGCGAGGCATGAATCAGGCACTCAGTACGATATCCATTCATCTTGGAGTAGCGACATCGTGAGGTTCATACCACTCACTGGCAATTCACCTGTCGGCGGCCGACACTGCAACCAACCACCACAGTCACTTGTTGCAACGCAACCTACCTACCTAAACCTCTCAGACACACCATACCATACCCTACCATTTCTATCCATCCTCAATCCCCTTCACCTAGCACCATGTTCACAGGTCTAGTTGAAACGATCGGCACCGTCACGTCCCTGACGACACTCGACCCCTCACAATCCGGCGGCAACGGCACGTCTCTGACGATATCGGACTGTGCGTCGATCCTGACGGACGCGCAGCTAGGCGACTCGATCTCGGTGAATGGGACATGCCTGACGGTGACCGAGTTCGACAGCGCCAGCTTCAAGGTCGGCGTGGCGCCCGAGACCCTACGCCGGACAAACCTGGGCCGTCTGCAGGAGGGCAGCAAGGTCAACCTGGAAAGGGCGGTCAGCGCGAGCACGCGCATGGGCGGACATTTCGTGCAGGGCCATGTGGACACGGTGGCGACGATCGAGAGCGTGACGCCGGACGGCAATGCGTTCACGTTCCGACTGAAGCCTCGCGAGACGGATATTCTGCGATACGTGGTTGAGAAGGGCTACATCACGCTCGACGGCGCGAGTCTGACGATCACGAAAGTCGACGATGCGCAGGGCTGGTTCGAGGTCATGCTGATCGCGTATACTCAAGAGCGGGTGGTCATGGCATCAAAGAAGCCTGGCGATGAGGTCAATGTCGAAATCGACGTCGTGGGCAAGCTCGTCGAGAAGAGCATTGTGGGATACTTTGAGAGCACGGCAAAGGAAGGCGCGCCCGCCATTCTGGAGAAGATCGTCGGAAGACTGGTCGAGGAGAAGCTTAACACGTTGCAGAGGTAGGAAGGAGTTCTGCATTTGGGGAACAAGATCGGGCTGCGGCGCAATGCAATGAATGGATGATTTATGATTTATACAATTTCAATTGCCTGAATTCCAGTGAGGCATCGCCGGAACTTGCATTTAATGCGACTACATGCATCAGGAGGAGGAGGAGGAGGTTGAAATGCGATACGGATCAGCAACCGATGACTCAAAAAAACAGCGTGGCTTCGATCTTGGGTCTGTGACAAAATACAGGTGATGCTCTAAAGCGACTGGACTACCCGACCTGTCCCTCTACCATGTTCGCAGCGACAGCGAGGGTATGGAATGGAATGCAGGACTTGCTGGAAAAGGAGGGTTTGAACGCACCGATCGAATGTCAGATTGCGACCTTTATACCCAGGATGGACCAACCCAGCCTCGACCGCCTCCAGCCTTAAGACCACTCCCGGCATTGAATCCTCGCTGTGTCTGGGGTTTCCCGCTCCGCTCCCCTCGGAGTCTGGCCGGACAACAAAATACGCCCCCGCCTTCATGGACATCGAAACATGGATGGAAGTGAGGAAGTGGAATGACGGAGGAATGGACAAGCGTGAGACTATGGATGAATGGCGAATAAGCACTGAAGGAAGAATGAGTGGGTTTCAAGTTCCCTTATATTACAACCTCTTGACTCGATCTTATGATGTTGTCAAAGTTGGCATGTCGGAGTCACCCTCAATCTCCTCTTCTCTCTGTGCAATTGGGACAGACAGACAGACAGAACATAGCAAGGCCGTGGTAACTGCGAAAAGTGCCTTTACAATGATGATCGTTGGAACAAAGACAAGCCACGCCTGAAAAGATTCCTTCGCAGCCTCGTCGGTCTGGTCAGTGTAGTCGGTGTAGTCAGCAATTCATTCATGATCTGAATATCTGACTCTGGCCATTCCTCCACTTGTTGGCCCAGCTTCTATTCATTCACTTGCATTGCTGTCTATAAGTCTGGCAAGTCGCTGGCAACGTTTGTTACTTACCCACCATCATCAACAGTGAGACGAAGGCCTGCGGATAGGATATCCACAGCTCTACTCGTTGGCGTTGGCGGCACCGGATTCAGATGAAGGAACACAAGGTTGATTGTGAAGCTGGGTGTACAGTATGTCCATGCCCTGTATTGACCACGCTGCAAGGTATCTATACTAGTATATGTATAGAGGTATATAAATATATGCCGTTTGTCCATTTCCCATGATTTTCATCGTAATGTGCTGTTCTCTGTCTGGACTCTTCTGCCGTCGACTTTTCATGCCTTTTCCATCTTTGATCCCACTCGTCTTTATGTTTAGTAACAGGTTCAAAAGCCAAGCTGGTTGTGCTTCCTCAGGCATCCCCCCTTCCGGCCGTTCTGGTGGGAGTCCTGGACCATCAGAGTTCACAAGCTTTCTTCTTCCTTCTGCTGCCCAGGGCTTTGCGCAATCAAAGCCGCCACTCCTACCGCAACGGTGTCTCTTGAAGATTGTAGCCATGACCCACTCTCATGTGTCTCGTTGCCATCGCCGAGTCAGAAGCAATCCACCTCACAGCGCGACAGGGACAAGACCAGAGGTAAAGTAAAGCCAATACGAAGAACAACGGTCAAGAAACAACTCCTTGACTCTTCAATTTTTCAACCTCGTCCTCCTTCAAGCCCAGCACCTCAGCAAGGACTTGCTCGGTATGCTGGCCCAGAGTTGGCGGCGACGAGCGCACCCCGGTAAGACTCTCGCTGTACTTGACCGGCGGGCTGACGAGTTTGATGTCGCCACAGACCGGATGTTTGACCTCGGTGACCATTCCGCGGGCTTGGATGTGTTCGTGCTCCAGGGTATCCTTGACGTCGTTGACGGCGGCGTAGGGCAAGCCACTGCCTTCAAAGACGGCCAGCCACTCCTTGGTGGTCTTGGTGCGGGTGATGTCTTCGATGAGATTCTCGAGGACGTCGCGGTTGGCCACGCGCACGTCGTTGGTAACGAACCGCGGGTCCGTCTTCCATTCGGGCCGGCCCAATCTGTCACACAGCACTCCGAAGAGTCGGTCGTTGCCGCCCCCGATCATCACGTCGCCGTCGGCCGTCGCGAATCCTTTGTAGGGGACGATCGACGGGTGCGCCGTGCCCCAGCGTCCTCCGTCGCGCTTGCCGCTGATCAGAACGCTACTGGCGATGTTGGCTAGCGTCGCCACCTGGCAGTCTGACAAGGCCACATCCAGGTGTTGGCCGACGTTGGTCCTCTGACGCGCCAGCAACGATGCCATGATCGCGTTGGCCGTGTACAGACCGGTCGTGAGGTCCGTTACAGCCACCCCGACTTTGACTGGTGGCCCGTTGCGCTCGCCTGTGATGTGCATCAGGCCCATTTCGGCTTCGACCATGACGTCGTAGCCCGCCCGAGAGCTGTAGGGTCCCGTTTGGCCGTAGCCGGTGATGGAAGCGTAGATTAAGCTGGATAAATATATCAGCCAGCTGTTGGTGGGACCAGAGAAAGGTTGTAGCTCGGACACGTAAGCAGAGGATTGATGCTCTATGCCACAGATGATGAGGGATACGTTGAGACGTGCGACGCTCATACTGACCGAGGATTGATCTTGCGAAGATATTCGTAGTCGAGCTGATACTTCTTCAGAGCTCCTGTACATTCAATCGTGAGGTCAGTTCAATGCAGTCTCCCGAAAATGACAGGTCACCAGAGACCAGAAATCTGCTCCATAAGGTCGAAACGTACCAGGAATGTAATTCTCCACAAGCACGTCCGATATCTTTACCAACTCATGCAGAATCTTGACACCCTCTGGATGTTGAAATGAAAGGCCGACGGATTTCTTGTTGCGATTAACCTGCAAATATGACTGATTAGACTTTGGATCAGACTGAAAACAAATGTTCGATCTGCATGTAAGTTTCTCGCCACACAGAAAAGGGCCTAATGCAGAGCCGGGCTTCTCGGGCCATGAGTGATGAGAAGACAACGCAAAAGGATGTGTAGCCCAGGAAATGAAACAAGTGTCCAGAAGACTGATTTCAAATCTTCCCAACCTATGGATGTCTCGAAATCCGACAGCGAAATAATGAACAACGGGAACCTAGAATCGACAAGAGAGAGGGAAGCAAGACGCTCAGACTCACACCAATGAAATAAGCACTCTCGCCCGGTCGGCCTCCTTTAACAGCCGCTAGAGAGTTCGACAAGTGATCAGTCCATGTCTTCTTGACTGGCCATCGTCAGGTCCAAAGTGATGGAACGCTTACCACCATCCTTGTACTTCGCAAACGGAGGGCCCCATGCTCGAGTATCGTCGCCGCGGGTGGGATGTTCGATCTTGATGACTTCGGCACTATAAGTGTGGATGTGGATTAGCGATGGCAGAACAGGACATTGCAATGGGAGATTGAGGTTAAAAGCAGGGCAATGCAGAGCCTACCTACCCTAGATCGCCCAAGATCTGCGTGCAATAAGGCTAGAACGAACAATGTAGCCAACAGTCAGCCAACCTCTCTTCCAGCAGATTCCCCAAGGCAGCAGTTTCAAGGTGATAAAGGGAGCTCGCTCTCCCCTTTGGTCCGCTGGAGTCTGGAATGGCGAGATTTGAGTGTTTGGCCCGCCTCCTCCCACGGACACATGGAGCATGAGCATGAGAATGGGCATGAACGTACCCCAGCCAACACCCTCGTCATGTCCAGCACACGAATTCCCTCCAATGGCGCAACTTTACCACTTGCACTGCCGTTCCCGTTCCCGCTCCCAGGTGCGGTCGTCGAAGAAGAAGAAGAAACAGAAGCGAAATGTCGTCGCGAGGACCCGGCGATGGCAGCAATACCAGATTGTATTCGCGTAGATGATGCAACCTGTTGTGAGTTTCGTCGAATACAGCTGAGAAGCTGAGAGCGTGGTATTGGTGGTGACATTGTCAGTCCCGTTGGCATTGGTAATGTCTTTCTCAATCTCATCGACGCTCTGCTCGGTGCCATTCTTATGCCCCGGGGAAGGGAATGAATTGTTTCGTCGATTCTGGGATAGAAGGTCCTCTGTCAATGTAGTAGATAGGTAGGTAGGTAGTAGTTCGGTATTATCATATATCATATAGCCGTTGCTGAAGAAGTTGTCGAGAAATCGCCGAGGTTCAAAAGTTATTGAGTAGCCAGACGGTAGACACGGGACAGAAAAGGAAGGTCGATGCCGAGAGAAAGCCTCGTCTCTGTAGCCTTGGACAACAGACACCTATCTTGTCACTTCTCAGCACATCTTGAAGCTATGCTACCTACAGAGTAAAATGCCTAGAAAGTATCTAGGTATATGTAGGTTGTAGACCACAGAGTACATTCAGACATCATGTCAGATACCATATCAGCAAAGTACTGTTAATAGTCTTCAATTCTATCATCGTTGGCTTCATGTGATCTCTTGTCCAACCCCTATATCATGGTGGTCTTCCCCCAGTCCAGGTCACTTCAATCATGCCTTGCCTTCCACAAGTCCTTCCTCGCCTAACGTACATACAGATGAGTAGTGCTAGAGTTACAGTGAACGCTTGGCCAGTGAACCTCCCAACAAAACAGCAGATTGCCATCCCACACCCAAACACAAAACCGGGAACTAAGCCCGCAAGGTATCTCAGACAAAGCGACCTCCCAATATGACGGATAGCGAGAATACCCGATCAAAAACAACACACAAACAAGCAGACTCCAAAGGTGATAGATGTCCGGAAAAACCATGTCCAAGAACAATATTGCCATATGCCATGGCGCCTCATGCAATAGAATTGAGATATCCCCCCTCTTCAGTACGACGGCCTTTCTGGTGTCATACCCCCTTGTCTCAGTTCATCCCACCATAGAGGCGGTACAGCCAGCTCTGGCCCGCGCCAGTTTCGGGGTTCCTCCTCTGAGATTATCCACAATTATATCGACTCCATATGCCAACGGTCCGAAATTTCGTCGTAGGTAAGATGCGTGAGACCCAAGCCTCTGGGACATGGCTGTTTAACAAGGTGGATTTAGGTATATGCTGTCAGGGACAGTGGCGGCCTTAGTCCTTTGCTTCAGAGACCACCTCGTGCTTGAGGGGTTTTGTGAGATCCAGCTCGTCCATAATGGCTTGTCTGGTGGGTTGGAGAGCTCCATCGTCCGTCGACTCAAGTGTGACCGAGTGCAGAAGGGGTTCGCAAGAGCTTCCTTCCTCTTCCTGGGAGGTATGGTGCACTTGTCCTTCGGATTCTTCCATCCAGTAGCTTTGCAGAGCTCCAACAAGACAGATCAATCCACCCGCCCACCAAGCGAGGCCGCTGTAACCCAGCTTCAGACCAGCCGAATGGATTGAGCCTGTCACAATAGGCCCAAGGGCACGAGCCAAACACGCCGCCGACGAGGCCGCTCCATTGACGGTGCCGAGAACCGACTTGGAATGAACAGCATTGGCCAGCAAAATGGCATTGGATGGAAATGCGATCGCTTGGAAGGTGGTTTTGGTCAACAACGACACATAGATGCCCGTCCTCTGCAGGTGTGTCGGCAGAAGGGCGATATACGGCACGGCGAAGTAAAGGATAGGCCAGATGGTCAACACGATTCGAGCGGTGCGAAGATTGCCGACCCGGCGCACGACGAACGGGAAAAGACCGATTTGTGCAAACATGGAATAAAACCCTTGGACCGCCATCATGAAACCGATTGTTTTGGTGGACAGACCGAAGCCGCCGGAAAACTTGAACGGAAGGACGACTTTGGTCTGCAGAGGCTCCTCACTGAGGAAGGTGGGCATCAAGGCGTCGAAAGAAACGCTGTGACTGTACAGAACATCAGTTCAAATTGCTTCAAACCGGCCTCATCGTGTCCGGGCATGACTTACTAGGCAAGAATGGCATATGCCACGATGATCACAATCACATGCCTATTGAAAGTCTTGGTCATTCCTCGCTTTTCCTTCTCCTGCAAGTCTGCCAAGTCCGCATCCAAGGCTTCTGTGGCAGTAGACCGCAATATCGGCGAGCCGTCAGTGCTCCGGTAGCCAGGAGGCGGATCTTGTTCGGCGAGAAGGTCACCTTCATTCACCTCGGCCAGACAGTCTGCCCGTGGCTCGGCCTTGAAGGAAAGTTTCTTCAACAAAAATCTTCCCAGTTCCAGTCCAAAGTCACGTCGATTTTTCTTCTCCGCATGGGTCTCTTCCAGATAGAGGATGCCGTTGATGATCCCCAGAAGCAGAATGAAGACACAAAAGAGATTGGGCAACAGGAAAGGATACGATTCAAACAACCCGCCTCGCGAGAAAACAGATGGATAAGAGTCACATGGCATGGCTAGGGCACCGCCCATGGCTGGTCCAATGATGGAACCCATGCTCCAAACAAACGGCATGATGGAATACGCGCGAGGCTGATGTTCCTTTCTCGTGACGAGTTCCCCAACCGTAGTCTGGAGAACTCCCACATTGCCATTCAGGAGACCACCCAGGGCTCGGGCCAGTACGGCCGTGGGCAGCGTACGCGCAAATCCGAAGGAGATCATGCTCAGGGCGGTGCCAAACAGCCCCATGATGAGGACGGGCTTCCGGCCGACACGGTCACTGATGCGGCCCCAGACCATCCCCGTTGAGAACTCGGCAAAAGCAAAGGCGGTAATGAGCATGCCTGCATACACCGAGATCCGGGTCTCGTCTTGGGTGATGTGGAAGGACTCAATCATACGGTAGGCGTAGGGGAATATCGACATGAAAGCGATTGGCTCACATATCCGACATAGTGCTGTCGAGTGCGTTAGTATCCAAGAACACTGCACTCGGCAACAACAGTCCGCTTGGGGCTTGGTCGGCGAGATGACGTACCCAGAACGAACAACTGCTGCGTCGGAAACCCATCGTCGGGGTTCTTGCGCCCGTGCTTACGCAGGAGGAGTCGTGAAAGGTGAATGGACATTGTCACCAGGGACGGGCAAAGGGGTCGTCGTTCAAGCGGCGGAGCGGCAGGTGAGCGCGAGAAAGAGAACCTCCAACATTCCACGAAGGGACGGCAGCAGTCATAATAAGGGAGCGCAAGATCCAGGAGTCAATGGAGTGAGCAGCACCGACGGACGGGCAGCGGGGGTGGCTCGTTTGCCCGACCTTCGCGGGATGGTGCATCCGTCGCCGCGTGGAAGAGGCGGTGGACCATCCAGGGCAGTTGGGATACCGTAGGACACGGCAGCGAGCAACCATCTCAAGATGGAGACGCCTTCTTCGATCCCACCGCCGGTAGTGGCCAAATCAAGCTACGGTTACACGGGGCGAGAAGCGCGGAAGCGTCTGATAGTCAGTCAGGCAAAGTCTCTGACATCCGTGTTCGGTTGTCCACAGAAGCGAGGTGAAGTCAACTCCATTCAAGACGCTAAGTCCAAGAGCCGGAGGTCCCGTCTGAAGATTCGCTGAACAGGCTCGGTGTCACCCAGAGGGAAATAATAATGGTCCTGGTCAAGCCAGTTCGAATTGGACTGGAGTATGAAATGGGACGAAAAGGGGGTCCGCTGCGCTCACCGTCGGGGAAAAGGGTCAACCTTGCTAACGCAACAAGTGGGTGTCCGTGCCGGAGAAGGGACAGGCCTAGGTTGGAAATCAGAGGCAGAGGCCCGACATGCTAGTCGAGGGATGTGGGTTGTTCGAGCTGCCATGCGATGGTGGTGGTGTGGATCTGGGATTGTTAGCATCATGGCGAGACACAGGGCGCAAGATCATGAGGTGGCATGCCTTGCAGGCGATGCAAGAGAAGAGAAAAAGAAGTCGAAGGACCGGGATCTGACCTGGACCCGTCAAACATCCAATAATTGAAAGCCATAGGAGGCTTGCCGAGCGGAACTGGTTGCTGGAGAGTGACGTTGGTGGAAAAATGGTACCGACACAGGCCAGGGGCGCTTGTGCTTTCTTTGAAGCCATCTCAGGCCAAGGAACCACGACAGCGGTACCCGGTGCTGGCCAGCTCAGAAAGGATCGATGGACAGGGTTGTTCACAAAGGTGACAGCACCACCGCGATTCGTCCCACCGATTCGACTTGCCCCTGAACCGACCACATAGTGGGCACGCTAGGAAGCACATCCTGGTCTTCCGAAGCCCGGGGCAACTGCTTGCCGAAGAGTTTGTTCGCTCTAGTGCCCAAGTTGATGGCAGTTGGTTGCAGCAAGGAGTTGGGGCTAGGGCGTCTCAGGGTTGCCTTTCTTCTTCGCGGCGTGTCCCCAGCCAGCGACTGGCTAAGAAGGCTGCTGCAGGTGAATTCGATCATTGCTGATGCGAACAAGCGCCCTAGGACAATGTTCTGGTGACAATGCTGTCTTCCTCGTGACCGCTCACTTATGTGTGACTGCCGTAGCCGTCCCATCTCTCCCTGTCCAATTGAGGTTCCGCTGAGCGAGGCGGTGAGAATGGCGGTCACGCGCAGTCGGGCACCAGAGTGAGGCGTAGGTGGAGGAAACGAAGATGACAAGTCTCGAGTCCAAGTAAGCTGCCGATGGCCACTACCTTTCGGACCGCTGACAGCTTTTGTACTTTGGACCCCCTCGATGAATTGATGCCCATGATTCATGCAGGAAATGTACGGTGGGCTGGCGTTCGGCACCGGAAGGTGGGGTGGTCCATCTGGAAGACGGTCACATCTTTCTTCTCTTGATGATGAAACGGTCTGTAGGGTGGGTAGAGGAACAAATCGGATGTCTGAATATCGTCCATTCTATGGTAATTTCTTTTACGATAGGCGGGTAAATTGCGGCTTAAGAGGGGCGGTTCGTAGGGTGCAAGACGCGGGTTGTCGGTGAGGGTCGCTGGAGCGCGGCAACCTGGGTGAGGTGGTCATGGTCGACGACTAGGAGAAACGGGCGCCACGATCAGCGGGAGAGTTTGATGATGGAATTTCGATGACGGATGGCACTGGCAGGTGGATTGCTAGAAGAGGTCGACAATAATGAACAAGAGGGATGAAAAGATGGATGCTTGACATGGTCCGGCGTGGATGCTGGTGCCGCAGGGCAAAGGAATATTTCCGCAAATCCCTACATATACTCTGTACACCGTAGCAGACGCGTAGTACCAGTGAGATCCCACTATCAAAATGACCACTGGCAGGCCGTTCTACCTACAGAGTACGTAGTATCTACCTAGTAGATACCGTATAGAGAACAGGCGAGAAAGATGCGTATACGAATGGAGGCCACAACACACAGCAACCTTGGTGTCGATGATTCAGTCTCCCTCCCGCTCATTGGTGATGCCTACACGGAAAACTTCTTCGTGTATTGCGAACTTTAGATCTTATCCGGACGTGGGCGACGTCAACTTAATCCAGTATCCGAACCGCATCCGGAGTATTTCTTGTCATCCATTAGTGGCCTCGATGGGACACTGCTCCATGGTCTTGTATGTCAAGGTGTGACAGCTGATAGTATCCGGACGAGAGTGCTGCGTTAGAGGCTGATGAGTCCACACAGCCACCAAATCACGATCTCAACTGCAGAACCCTGGAAGCTGAGATTGCCCCTCCAACAAAAGGAGCGAAATGCCGTGCTCGATTGAGTTTGCAGCTGAAACTCCTAGTACGAATAGGCCATGATCGCGCAGTTCCATTTATCGTCATGATGGCCCCTGATTCATTTCTAGAAGCACGCGTAGTGGCCGCATGCAGTGGCTGAACAGCCTGTTGCCTCCCAAACGCAAGTGCAAGGGTGGTGACACCAAAGTTCATTCCGTGGGCCCCCGCGGCGCTCCCGGGGAACTGGTTACGCCCACTGACCAAAACCCCGGCTGACGGGGCTAAACACACCCCCGGCCGTCTAATAAGTTAGGGGCTCCACGCCTGGAGGGTTAGGCATCAACCCGCCCGCTTATAGGCAGACATAGGAGGCTAGGGGGGTCTGGTAGTAAAAAGTAGCCCACATCCCTTCCTTTCTGTTTGATGCTTAAAATGGAGGGCAGGCGACTGTCTCATCAACCTGAGGAGCCTTTTCTCCACCCGTAGATTGCCGAGTTCCATCAACGTACCTTAAGTATCTGGTAGTATGTATGTACGTACAGCTGGTTGGTGCCAGGTAGAGAGACTCATTCTGCTTGCAGCAGAGTACGAGAGGTACGCTACCTTACGCAATAATCGTGACTGGCGAATGCGTCAACTACTACTATGTCGAAACCGATGCCAGCATGGCAGAAGGTACGTTGCATGCAGTGCAGTGTTGCAACTCAGGGCAGTACTGACCCAGGCATTCATTCCCCGTCCAATGAAGCTGAGCGACGAAGAGGATGGTCTTGGTCCTGCAGTGAGAATCAGTCCATCATCCTTCAGGTCTGTTAAAGCCATTGCTCAGAAGGCAGACACTCGCCCTCCGAGTCCAGGGATCCGCATGGCAACAAGAGCCATGCATCACTGCACTGCCTGCTGCTACGACAACGCCTACCACTGCAACCGCAGCCCAGCGGATTGAGCTGCGTGCATCGACTTCAAGGAGCCCCAGCCCACCTTCTTCTCTTCACCGCCCCCATCAACGCAGCAGACGGACGCATCGAGCAACCGCTTCTGTCGTTTGTTCTTCATCACTTGCTCTCGTGCAAATGTCCTGTTTCGTCGTCGATCTGGACGCAATCTCTCCGGCCTTATCCGTTCGCCGCGTCTTGCTGGATTCGCCGCAGTCAGCCTGAGTCCTATGCATCTAACGAAGGCACTAATGTGCCTTGTCTGCATCATGCGCAACGTCAAACCGCATGGAAATCAATCTCGGGCAGCAAGAAGAAGATGGACAGGGGTTGGGGCGATCAGACCCGGGCCTCACTTGATCTTTCACACACACTTTCCACTGAGATCCGAGCTGTTGTCCACCGGACATCCTCCGTGCAAGATCTGGGCTATAGCGTCACCAAGTCACCAACAAACCACTCAGCCCGGCGCCTCGTGTTACACAACGAACGACATGGGGGGTGGACTGCCAGCATACGCCGGGCGCAAGTCTTCATTCCCATCAGCCCATCACCGCCTCGTAGAGGCCCAGAAACTTGTCCCTCGCCCGGCGCCATTTCCCTGCTTTTGTTGATTGCATGGCCGTCTGTCGTTCATGCGGCAGGCCCGAAAACGCAACTTGCTCAGCTTCTAGTTCGGATTCCAGGCTCTTCCTCGTGTAACGTGTCAAGTCCACTCCAACCCCTGAAGTGGTGGTGGCCAGCTTCTTCCATCGCGTCCCTTTCCCTCGGCTACTTGCCGGATTCCGCCCATTGATCTGTACGTCAATCGAGGTGGCGGTCAGACGGGGTTGGCGGTACTGGTTGACACGCTTCGGCGATCGTAGGATACAGCAAAGTCTCATCTCTCGTATCCCCCATATCCCGGAATCTCGATTCTGAGTCGTGCCAAGGTGACCGACCATCCCAGTCAAATCGTTCGTTTGCCAAAATCGAGGATGCTTTGTTCTTCGTTGCATCCAATGCCAGAACCAGAGGAGTGCCTTTGACGCCGCCAACCATCGTTCCCTACAGGTCATGCTCGTGAGTCGTGAGGCCCTGGACAGAAAGCGGAAACCTTTTGTGCCTATTCTCCCGACGCCCCTCCCTTACAGTATCCAGCTTCCTATTCTGCATAGTGGGTTTCCACCTTGAATGGCGACGTCGCACGAAACAAAATAGCTGTATGCCCAATCCGTCTAAGCTTTCGTGGACCTTCATGAATGTCTTGCTTTCCCACTTTCTGCAGGCAACAGAGTGTCATCTCTCCTTCATTGCAATCCTGGCGTTCCGAACCCTGTATCCTGCCTTTGCTGGGTAGAAACGGCAATTCTGGATTGCTTCGGAGTCTGCCATGACTGATCTAGCTAACGATAGATGGGGGCCTTAGAATGATGCGCCTCATGAAGATATCTAATTTAACCAGAGCCTGTAAGATGTCGAGTCCTGCTGCAGTGAAGCATTGCCATCCTGCAGCAAGGCCGGGCACCGCATCACAGGGCAAACGGCCAGACCTTCCACAGATCTGCAGACGCAAAACTCTCATCAAGGGAGAGCGGTATAACATGACCTCTTCTTGCAGCAACACGGGACAATAGCTTCCATCTGTGCCTCTGCCTGCTGTATATGGAGGTCAGGACACAGACCGTGGTGCGGTTCCATTCCTGGTCGACATATGTTAACCACTCGTGCATCAGCTCGTATGTCAAGCGCACCGCGCGAAGATATCATCAACGCAACAATACCCCCACGCCTCAAAGGTCAAGAAAATACCTAGGTAGGTACCTCTGTATGCCCACTCTCGCAGCTACGGTAAATGCGAAATTGAGGGCAAGGCCTCTCCCGCTCTTACCGTGCACAGCAGTGACTATACATAGGTTGCCGGTTCATTTAGTTCTGCAATGCTGTCCGTGGAGCATGTGCCGGAGGACCATCCAGCCATCCCGTCAGTTATGGGTTGTGGTGAAGATCTTTCTCTTGGTTATCTGCTCCTTCTACTGTACCCATCTTGATATCAAAACTCTTGGAGTCAACAGTTCGGGCTCTTCATGCCTGGGCGGCCGCTGTTGTCACAATGCACTGGCGAGCACAGAGTAAATGGATATATAGGAAGGCTTGTCTGGTCGGGGAACATCTTCACTTTCCATGCCGCGTAGCAGCAGACTTTCGTAGATGTTGGTAGCAGTACGTACATGGAGTGATGGAGCCCGCTGCCAGACGCTGACGACTCCCACAGCAAACTCGAAATGTAATTGCGGCTGTTTATCGCTGCCAAGCCGTCGCTTTCATTGGCCAACATGGTCCTCACGATAAGAAACGCCCAGCTTCCAGGTTTCTTATAGGTTGAAGAGCTCCAGATACTAGAGACTCCAGTACTAACAGTGCAGTAGACTTTCATTATTGCTGGCCAAGCCACTCAGATGCCACTTTGATAACTATCCGTTCTCGGTGCCGAGTACTAGAGGGCCGACAAGCTTGCGATAGACTCGCTCACATCATCCCCGAGTCTGTGCCAAAACATGGCCATGGTCACTCCTGACCCGCCGATCGAACGAGGCTGCCCCGTGCTACTGGTATGTCCCTTGGTCGCAGAAGCATTGTATGCACCTCGACTGCATTTTCTCGCACTGGCAGAAGATGTCAGTGAGCCCTCCCTGATTCCATGACCTCGACCGCCTCCTCTCCCCAGAGCGCCAGCCTCAAGCGAGCGTATGAGGCTGACGAACCCTCCCACCTTGCCCGGCCGGACGTTCTGGTGCAGACCAACTCCCCTCCTCACAGTTCGACTTCGGCGACCTCCGCCTTTAGGAATGTGTCGGCGTGCAACCGTTGCCGCGTCAGGAAGAACCGATGCGACCAACGGCTTCCGGCATGCAGTACCTGCGAGAAGGCCAATGTCCGCTGCGTAGGCTATGATCCTATCACAAAGCGGGAAATCCCACGAAGTTATGTCTACTTTCTCGAGACAAGGCTGGCCTACTTTGAGCAGTTGCTCAAGGCTCATGGCGTCTCCTTCAATACGACCGACGTCTACGGCGCCGAGTCTAAAGAGCTTGGGGATGGTGCGCAATCACCGGCGAGCACAAAAACATCTTGGGTAGGGCCGCAGTCGCCCAGTGCTGGCTCTCCGCAAACCACAAAGAACGGCGACTGGGAGAAAAAGCAGGAGGACGATAAACTGAACAATTTGGTCTCGAACATCGGTATGGTCTCCGTCCAAGGAGCATCCGATGCGCGGTATCTGGGCTCGACTTCTGGAATATCCTTCGCGCGAGTGGTGTTGGCCGCCGTGAAGAGTTCCGTATCAACTGGCAACTCGGAGCGCGCTGGGACGCGTCCTAGCCGTCCACTACCCAACGTTGCCTCCTCGGGTGGTAGCTCGATGCGAGACTCATACTTTGGTCTACAGACCAAACCTACAATAAAGGAGGCCGCCTTCCCTGACCGCGAGTTGGGTTGGAAACTAGTCAATCTGTACTTCGAGCACGCAAACCCCCAGATTCCCATCCTGCACCGAGGAGACTTCTTCGACCTCTTCGAGCGGACTTATGCTACAGAGCCTTCCAAGCGCACGAGCCGAGACTTGTATTTCCTCAATATCGTCTTCGCCATTGGCGCTGGTATCATATGGGGATCATCGGACCCTCAACCAAACTCCCAACAAGCAGATTATGTGTTCAAGAAACCCCGACTATCAAGCCAGCAGGCTCAACCCGAGGAATATCATGCGTCGGCGATTGTCAATTTGGGGTCCTTCCTCGGCTCTGGTCCGCTAGACACGACCGAGCGGGCCAACGGCGATCTCGAAGAACTTCAGGCGGTCTTGTTGCTTGCTTCGTTTGCCTTGCTCAGACCTGTGGCGCCTGGGCTGTGGTACATTGTAGGCGTTGCCATGAGGCTGGCCGTCGACCTTGGCCTTCACTACGAAGATGGATCTGACATCGAAGATTTCACAGACGGCCAAGAACCTGGTGACTTCGGGCTGGGTCCTTCTGGTCCAAAGCCACCGCGGTCACTCGATGCCAAGGAGAAGGGTCGCCGAGAATGGATCCGAGATCTTCGTAGAAGACTCTGGTGGTGCACGTATACCTTTGACCGGCTGGTCAGCACCTGTGTAGGGAGACCCTTTGGCATCACGGACCAGGTTGTCACCACAGAGTTCCCTTCCCTACTTGACGACAAGTACATCACAAAAAGCGGGTTTCTATCACCGAGGTCACAGGACGAACCAACATACAAGCGTGTCGCCCACCACTATTTCAGACTGAGGTTATTACAATCCGAAATTCTGCAGGTTCTTCAGCATCAGCAAGCACAGCAAGCACGTCTCAACGGCACCAACCGTCGCAATCAATTCATGCACACCAAACTGCCCTCTCCTTTTCTAAGCAAATTCGATTCTTTCCGATCCTGGCGACGAGACATAGATCAACGACTATATGAATGGAAGATATCAGCGCCGGAGCCGTCAGACACCGGGGTGGGCTTTTCCGTCCAATTTTTGGAGCTGAATTACTGGCAAGCCGTGATCATGCTATATCGGCAGAGTCTCAGTGTGCCAGCTCCGTTGGCGCACGAGTTCAGTCCAACCGAGGAGGTTGCCAGCCCTGCCAGCGTCAGGACAGAGGAGAAGGAAGACGAAGATCTTGTCTTCCTCAAGTGCGCCGAAGCAGGGCAGAAGACGTTGAAGCTGTACAGACAATTGCACAGGCTGCGACTGGTCAATTACACGTACCTGGCGACCCACCATTTGTTCATGGCAGGCATCTCATTTTTATATGCTGTCTGGCATTCACCTGCTGTCAGATCTCGTCTGGTAAGGATTTCCCCAAACAATCTCCCATGCCGACTGTTAGTTTCTCTTTCTAAATTGACCGACATTTTCAGACTCTCGACGATTTCGATTTCACCGTCCTCGCAGCGACATCCGTGCTCGGCGATCTCATGGAAAAGTGTCCGCCCGCAGAAGCATGTCGCGACGCCTTCGAACGGATGAGCAAGGCAACCGTACAGATGTGTATGTCAACACCTGGCTTCGGCTTCTCCCTGGAGCGCGAGGAACCCCGTCAGCCGCTCTCAAGACAATCGAGCCACCACAGCATGCCTGCACCCATGCAAACCGACTCATACTCACAAGCGCGTGCCCCTCGTCGCCCAATGATGAAACGGCCGCCGCCCAAATTCGACATGGACCTGCGCCAACTCTTCCCGGACGACGTAGAACTCAGTTCCCGCCCGTCTCATTCCTTTCCATATCCTTTGCAGGGTCTACAGCAACAACGACAGCAGCAGTCCGCGTACCAACAGCAGCAGCAGGCCTCACCTCGCCCACAACGACTGTCTCGCGCATCGAGTATCAGCTCACAAATCACTGGAGGTATGGGGATAGGAATGGGCACACAGAGCGCGTCCAACAATACCAATAACAACAACAATACTGCCGGCCCATTCATGTTCAACCAACCTCAGTCGCAAGAACCGTTCTACATGCAAAATACATATAATCCCGACTTCATGTCGTCGTTGCCGGGGATGGACTTCCTCAACAACGCCGGCAGCAGCAACGAAGACTTCAACTTCGACGCAGGCGGCCTGGACCTTGGGTTCGGTATGGGTCTTGATTTCCAGCATGATTGGAGCGATGGCCAACAATATGACCTGTTTGATGGGTTCTTCTTTGGTGGAAACGGGAATGGGAATGGGAATGGGAATGGGAATGGAAATGGAAATAGCAGTGGAAGTGGGAGTGGGAGTGGAAGTGGCGCAGGAAACGGGACTGGGAATGGGGATATTGGAGGAAGATGATGATTTTCTAAAGAGACGAGAGAGTTTTCTCTTCACTGATGAAGCGATTCATGATTGTGTTTCGATGATCTAGATAGATATGATGACCCATTGCTATTCCAAGAGCATTGCTGCACGGCTATGTATGAGTATTCGAGATGAGGATAATCTGGGGATTTGGACCAGTGCAGAAAAGAAGATAATGGCGGTTTCTCAAGATGTACGACAATTAGATCAATCATACAGGGACCATCCATCAGTCGAAGCTACTGGTAACAATTGTTTGATTTGATTGAGATCCAGGCAAACATGTCCAGTCACCGAGTAAGAGCGTATGCATCTGTCCCTGGGCGCTGAAGGCGGGCAGTGGGCAGTGGTGGATTGGGAGAGTGGTTTTTGTGACCCTCGAGGTCGAGGCAGGTCGGATGCCGATTGCGATACAAGTCCAGCGCCGACCGCAGAATATATCTGGCAAAAGGTCGGCAGCTAGAGCGATGAAGCATTGCCTATCTGGTTGTTCACTGTCACCATCTGGGGAGTGCAGTGGCTCTTGTAACAACACGGGCCCAGGCTGGAGTAGGACAATCGTGCATGATGTCCAGAATCGCAAATCTATCATCTGAAGAGATGAGGACTGCTCATTGTGCTCGTGATTTTTGCACATCCCATAATGAAGCTCAGCATCAGCTGTAGACCAGACCAGGGTGATCATTGAAGCAGCTGTTGGGCCGAAGATGATGCTTCATCCCAAGAGGGAGGCTGCGTCGGGCGCTAGCCTCGCTGGAGATGATCGCGCGGTTGGAAGTCAGTCAAGCATGTGTCATTCCTAAAGGAAGACTGATCCTCGTCGCCTCTCAACCAAAGCCTTCAAAAGGATCGTCGTTGTTGCCGGCTGCCAATGCCTGCTCTCTGATATGTTGAACCATTCTTGCCGTCTCGGCTTCACGCTCTCTTTCGGCGTCGGTCAAGTTCGAGATTCGCTCGAACTCCCTCCGTGCTTCTTTCTTGGAGCGTTTCACCGCCTTGTTTTCTCTGCGCTCGATCTTTTCCGACCAGGCTATGGTACTCCCGCGTTTGTTGGGGTTGGCATTCTTTCCCTCGACGGGAGGGTCACGAGGAGCTTCCCGCAGAGCCTGCCTACGTTGTTTCTCCCGTTGTTTGTCCTTATACCCATATGAGTCCCAATCCAGCGTCGGGACCTTGTATGTGGTGCGGTCCCAGTTCTTCAGTTCTGGCATTTTAGGCATCTTCAGCAGAGCCCACGCCGTGGCTTGATCGTTCCAATCAATATCAGCAATTCGGAAAATGGATGACGCTTGGTGCTTCGAATAGCTTCGCACCCAACTGACGAAAGCCTTCTGCGCTTTCTCATGCAGTAGTCTATCGCCAAGCACAACCTTTCGGAACGCTTCCTCGGTGGCACGACAGTCTTCTTCAGTCACTGAGATATCAGGCTGCGTCAACAGTTCGATTGGCGTTTTCCTGACTTCCAGGAAGGAGACATAGTCCTCTTCTCTACCCGGCAGCAAGAACGCGACGCTGAGTCCTTTCCTTCCCGCTCGGCCAGCCCGCCCACATCGGTGAAGAAACGCTTTAGGGTCAGACGGAGGATCAATCTGAACCACCAGGTCGACAGAAGGGATATCCAAGCCTCGTGCGGCAACATCCGTGGTGAGAAGAAGCGCCGGAGAGGCGGAATTGGTGAATCTGATGAAATTCTTCTGACGCACATTGGCCGGATGTTTCCCATGCAGAGGTACTAGAATGAGCTCCGAAGGCAATATGGAGGGCAATAGCGCCTGGAAGTAATCCACTGCAGCACAGGTCGACAAGTACACAATCGTCCTCAATGGCAATGTATCCAGACCCACAAGCAAGGCTGCAAGTGCCGGGAACCTATGGGATGCTGGCGTGACTGCGTAGGTCATCTTCAAACTTGCAGGAGTCCGCTTGTCTTCTAACCCATTTGCCCCCTTCACTTTGACCGCAACCTTGACGGGGTTCCGGAGGCCCACGCGGGTGATCTGGTCCACAGCCTCAGTGACGCTGGCGCTGAACAACCCTGTTCGCCTTTGCTTTGGCAGATGACCGAGTATTTTTGTAAGGTCGTCCTTGAACCCAAGATCTAGTAATCGATCCGCTTCATCCAACACCAACACCTCGAAAGATGACTGCGGGCAGTGGACATAGGGCGAGGACAATATCTCGAGGAGCCGGCCGGGAGTAGAAACTAACAGATTTGGTGAAGTCTTGAGGAATGTGCTGAGATCCTGCGCCGGGGTAGTGGAACCGCCCAAGAGCAACTGTGGGATCACCTTGAGGGTGGATGAAGGGAATGTCTGAGACTGGCCGTTGGTATCGGCTTCAGCAGAGCCTTCCAAAGCCTTACGCCCCGCCGCGGAGGGAGGATGAAAATCCAGCAACGACACCAAGACACTGAAGATCTGTGAAGCCAATTCTCGGGTTGGCGAGACGATGATGGCCCCAACGTGATGTTTCTTGATCGGCTCCTCCAGCCTGAGGAGCCGTTCTATGACCGGTATGAGAAACGCCAGCGTCTTTCCACTTCCAGTGACAGCCTCGACCACGACGTCCTTATGGCCCATGAACAGAGGGATGACGGAGGCTTGCACGGGCGTCATGCGGGAAAAGTTCATGGCAGAGATGGCGTCTAGCATCCATGCCGAGAGAGGGGGTGTAAGGGATTCCCAGGAGCGGGAAGACGACCGCTTTGCTGAAGTTGCTCCTCTATCAGGAGCCATGATGGATATAAAGGCCAACAACAAAGACGGCGCCGTGGTGAATGGGACAAGGCATTTGAGATGCAGTGAGAGACAGCGCAGTTTCATGAAAAAAAGTTCCTGGCGGCTCAATTCGCCTTCCCAAACACCGTTAGTCGAAGCCTGGAGAATTACAAAAGCTGGGTCCCTTGGCAATCGATAAGCGTGATTCAAGGGCGTCCAAGCCGAAAACAGCCAGTGAACGAGAGTGGTGAAGGGCTCTTTAGGCTCCTAGGCGGGCTCCTTAACCACTGGCCGGGCTTGCAAACACCGAAGCGCGACTGTCATCAGGCTAGGGTGGCTCCAGCCAGCCTCCTTAGCCCCCTCCTAGAGGACGCTCTCCAGGCGCCAACCGTCGATAACAAACCCGTGGATTACTCGGTACTGACCAATGCACTACAGACGACAGAGAGGGTCATCGGGCCACTGCCACATGTGGGCTGAAGAACGACGAAGGGCTTAATTACCTCTAGACTGCAAGATCTCTGCCTGTCCCATCCATGTCAATTACTTGCTACCACGTCTTTTTATCCAAGGCACACGGCGGGATCGATATTCTTTATCCCAACATCTCCCAGCGCGTCATTTCGATCCAGGCCGACATCAGCTTCTATCCTGCAACTCTCCCTTGAGCCGGGTCAACTCAGTGCAGACAGTTGACTTCCAGTATTCATGATGCCGGCCCAGTAATCCTCGAGCAACATCCACGCCGCCTCCGAGCCTACCGCCGTTGTGCGCTGAACGTTACGATTCCACCTCACGCCTCGCAGCTTGCTGCCGACCACTCCTTCGCTGGACTCGGACCATTCCCAGATGTCCTATCAGTATCCTATACCAGCGACACCGAGGGTCATCTCGCCCTCACCGACCCCATCCGAAACCTCCGACCGACAAGACTCGTATTTCGCGCCAGTCACACGATCTGCCGCCAAAGCACGGCGACAGAGATCCCCTCAACCCGAACCCATCCACGAAGAGAAAGATGGGGCGAGTTCGGACTCCAGCCTTGAAAAGCGTGCGAGGGCGCGGTCGAGAAGCCCTATATTGACCGCGGCTACTCATATGAACGGTAGCACTAGTAGTACGAGTGGCAGCTCCAGCAAGAGACGGCGGATGAGTGGACTCACGCCGAAGACTCCTGTCGCAAAGTCGGAGCCGTTACCCAACGGCACTGTTGCTCTTCCTCCGTCCAACGGACATCTCTCGCCATACGACAGAGTCAAAAAATCCTGGCGGGAGTTCTCGAGATCACCGTCGCCCTTGGGTTTGATTCCCCTCCATCGTCACTATCGCAATTTGATCCACAAGCACGAAATTCCACGGAAGCTCCTCCATGTCTCCATCGGCTTCTTCACCCTCCGCTTCTATACGGGCGGCATCCAGACTACGGCCATTACGCCCTGGCTGCTTGGTGCGCTCGCCATCGTCGCACCAATCGACGTCCTTCGACACCGTTCTGACCGCTTCAACCGGCTCTACATCCGGATGTTAGGCGCTTTGATGCGCGAGACCGAAGTCGAAGGCTATAATGGAGTCATATGGTATCTGCTCGGGGCATATATCGCGCTGAAGTTCTACCCCAAGGACGTCGGTGTCATGTCCATTCTGCTACTGTCCTGGTGCGACACCGCGGCCAGCACCTTTGGCCGCATGTATGGCCGTTACACCGTCCGACTGCGCCGAGGCAAGTCTCTGGCGGGATCCATGGCTGCGTTCGCAACAGGTGCCTTTGTCGCTGCGTTCTTCTGGGGATACCTGGCTCCCCGTACAGGTCCGTTCCCAGATGATCCGGTCGAGGGCTTCATGTTTCAGGGGCATCTGTCCTTGCCGACCAGAGTCAAAGAGCTTCTTGGATGGCAGCCCAGTCAGGGCGTCTTAGGTGGCAACACAGCGCTGGCTATCATGAGCGTCTGCACTGGTCTCATCGCAAGCTTCTCCGAGTTGGTTGACTTGTGGGGATGGGACGATAACTTGACGATTCCTCTTCTTAGCAGTGCCGGCATATGGGCATTTCTGAAACTCTTTGGGTAGTTCAGCGACATGAGAAGACGGGAGCAATAGCATTGAGGACTGGACCCTTTGATGATAGTCTAAGAGGGTGATTACCACCCGTTTGGATTGTCTGGACTCTATATGAATGGATACCCTATTTACATTTCCCCAGGATACTTCCCGGATGCGTATGATTTTTCACTTCTGTACGTAGCTTATTGACGAAGTGGGTGCCACGCAAACGTCGTTGATATACATGTCTGGAGGAATCCATTGTGATGCCCTCTATCAATATCACTTCGCCTCATGACGCATAATGGCTTCTTCCACTGTCGGGTACTGAAACCATGCGAGGTATGATGGGTGGCTACCGTGCGTCCATAGCATTCAATCACCCCAAATTACAGCTATCTCTGACTTCTATTCCGCAGTAAATCGAGGTCACATTACATGTATAAATGGCGGTTCAGCCTCCAATTTCCAGAGGCAAGAAACCCCCTGGCACGATAGCTTCGCCTGAGATACTGCACTCATGTGCTGGGTTATGATATAACCCCATACCCTCGAATGAGCTGTTTCATTGTCGAGTACAGCTTTGTGTATATTGGACATGACGGCACACATTCCTGGTGCTCTGGTAGTCAGGTCACAGAGGCACTGTGTATTGAACGGAACTTGATATCGATCACCGCGGTCCAATCTTCTCCAAACCGCCCATGTAGCCTCGTAACACCTCCGGGATAACGACGCATCCCTCCTCTTCCCGCCACCCGTTCTCCAGGATTGCAGCAAGAACTCTGGGAACTGCCATGGCGGTTCCGTTGACGGTATGTGCGAATTTCTTCTGCGACCCGCTCATCTCCAGGATCCTCGTCTCCAGCCTCCGACTCTGGTAGTCGGTACAGATGGATGCGGAGGTGACTTCACCCCATCCATCGTCCCTCTTCTTCCTAGAGGGGAACATGGCCTCGATATCGATCTTGCGATATGCGCTAGCACCAAGATCGGAAGACGGCATTTCGAGAATGCGACACGGCAGGCCCAGCGACGACAGGATCTCGGTCTGGATACCGACCATTTCATTAAACACCTTGGCTGAGTATTGCACCCAGATCGACTCCTCGGGGAGACCTTCGGTGGTAGGAGGACAATCTGTCCACGCGAACATTTCGACTTTAGTAAACTCATGCACTCGGTAGAGACCCTTTGTATCAACGCCTCTCGCACCGGCTTCGGCACGAAAGCAACGACTAGACCCCACCAGTTTCACCGGCAATCGGCTCTCTGGGATGCTCTTGCTTGCGTGCATTCCTGCGAGAGGGATTTCGGCTGTGGCAGCCAGGCTTCTGGTGGGTTTCCCTGCGTCCCTTGCAGACTGTGCCACTTGCCAGATCTGCTGCTCGTCGTTTTGGTCCCGAGGCTGAAATCCACAGGCAGCGGCCATATGGGAATAAATTAGAGAGGGAGGAGACGCCACGGACCAGCCGTGTTTCATGGCGACCGAGAGTGCATACTGGACGAGCGCTTGCTCGAGCAGGGCAGCTTCGTTGAGTAGATAGTAGAAACCCCATCCAGAAGCTACAGACGCTGACGAGAAGTCGAGTAGGCCCAGTTTCTCGCCAATCACCGAATGATCCGCCGAGCTCCCGTACTTGGGAGGGTTTGCCGGATCGTAGTTGATATATGACCGCAGTCTCGGCTCACCGTCGGTCGGCGTCTCTGAGGAGGTCAGATTGGGCAACGACAAGGCCAGGTTGCGCGTTTCTGCGTCCAGCTTTTCACGTTCCGCCTCAAGATTGTTCAGGCTTGGTCGGAGCTCTCTCATTTGTGCAACGAAATGGGACTTGTCTCCTTTGGTGCTGTTCATCTGTTTTTGTAGCTCTTTCAGTGTATGGCGTGGACCGCTCATGCGATGGTCAAGGTCTGCAATCTTTCTGGCGTTCTCCGCAACCTTGCGCGGCACGTCCTTGTGACCGTGGTAGTTCCGTATAACGGTGTTGTGTTCGTAGAGCTCGACATTGTCTCGGATTTGGGATAGGTGAGGATGTTGCTTGGGGGCGGTGGCCGGGCGTGGGTGCTGGGACAGTCTCGAGGTTGCGCTATAAGATCTTCTGCATCGAAGCAGAAATGATCTGGCCTCCAGGGTCTTCCTGGACATTGCGACTTGGGCAGGTGAATGCTTGAAGAACAAAAACACTGTTGATACTTTCCCCTTCTAGGCTCTGGATTGTACTCTGTAAGGCAGCGAGAGAGAAAATGTTCTCCGCACAGCGTCGGGGAAAACACCACGAGTCCTGATCGGGGAAAGCCAAGAGCAGCCTCAGGTACTAGGTACCTACTACTAGGTACCTACTACTAGTACCAGGCTAATAGTATAATAAAGAGAGATAAGCCAATCAGAGGGCTCCATTTTAACTTGTCACGTGCTGATAAGAGTTGGGTCATTATCTACTGCCTCGAAGGTTGAAACTCTCGAGATTGTTCGCTGCTACCAACTCGAATTGTGTTCCTTCGCACTCGAAGAATGCTCTTGTCTCTTCTTTTGTGCTCAAACCAAAACCTACTGATGTGATGAAACTCCTCAATGTGTTGACCGACTCAATGTGACCGAAGTCATTGATGCGGCTGACTGTTCACACCCGACCAGAACACCGCAGATCCCTGTCATTGACACAAGGACATGCTTGCTGATTGCGCAGTGCCCTCTCGGGAGTCCAGATGTATATCCAGGGTCAAGGTCCTCCCGAAATGACACGATACCGATATGATGGAGGAACAAGCTGGCCGACGATGCCACGGTCGCCGATTTGCGGTTCGGACAATACAGCTTCATAGCTAGCAGAACCGTCTCTCTGCACCATTGCTTCGCTCAACCATACTGTCACAGCTGTATTCAAGGAATATGCCGCAAACAGTCCGGTCATTGACGCAGTGGCCTCTGGCTAGGAACCCGGTACAGCATGTCCAAGCCTTCTGGCAGCCTCTCTGAGCTCATCCCGAGTATCACAAGCCGCAAACACGAACCGATCGCATCGCAAAATCAAAAGCTGCTTCCCACCCACTTCTTTCTTCAGCCGCAGTTCGTCATAGCCGATTGGGGGCGGTCGGTCCTTACACAGGACGGCATCGGCCCCAAATTCATCGCCCGTGGCGATTCGAGCAATGTCCCGCGCATATACAGCCGTTGGTTGAATCGCGCAGGTCACCGATTGGATCAATACGGTTGCCTCCTCACAACAGAACAAGCCTTTTGCAAGCTTGTCAGTGTCAACCGTCGCGCGAAGCAGGTCATCGATTTCTTCGGGGCTGTTCGGTAAGACGACAAGCTGAAAGAGCCCAGTCTTCTCCGGCGAGAATATCATGTCGTCGGTGAAGCAGACCCTCCGCGTCTTGAAGTTGTACGCATAAACTTGTGGCAGGAGCAAGCCTCCCCCCATCTCTGCCAGGAATGGAAGACCTGGACTGTACCGGTATCTCGTCATACCGTCGGCTCGGGCACCCAGCTGGACTTGCTTTCTTACGCTGGGGATCATCTGGATGGCCCACATGTACCATTCACGGACGAACACTTTAACCGGGTTGGATTCAGTGACATACTCTCCATTTCGGATGGTGGCGGCCAAAGACCTCTCCAGCTGTTGCTTGCGTTCCGTGTACCACGCCTTCAGGATCTGATCATGGTCTGCGGTCGGGTCACGATGGAGGAGAGCCAGTCTCCATCCTAGTGCTGATGCATCCCGAAATCCGGAAGCAATTCCTTGGCCACCTGCTGAGCATTAACATTGGAAGCGGACTGGTGCAGAAGTTGGCACCTACCAAAAGGTGGGAAGACATGAGCGGCATCACCCGCGAGGATGACCCTACCCAGTGCCCATTTGTTGCAGCTTCTTGCCACAAAAGAGAATGGTCGAGATCGCAAGGTCTTGATGCAGTCTTCAGGGAATCGGACAGAATGGGGCAAGCCATACCGAATTCCAGGATGGGTGAGGTAAGGATAAATTATCTTGGCCACCTCTTCGCCCGTCGCCATCTTATAGCCATCCTCGCCATTGAGGACAACAAATTCGAACCGCCACAGCCTATCTTTTGGCAGACCAAACCTCCCGCAGACTGACGGCCTGCGAGGGTTGCACAAAAATCTAAAGTCTGTGGGAAAGAACTGGTCATACACCTCCTCTGGGGTGTAGCCCAGTCGCCAAAGCGGAAAGTCAGGGTGAGTCTTCTCCGCGGGCAGTGAGATCTGCCAATTTAAAGCCACCCATGTCTCCTCATACGTCGACCTGATATTTAGTTAACAAGAACAGAAACTTGCCTGCATCACTGAGACTCACTGTTTACACTTTTCCATGATAATACCTTTTGGCTCAAGGTATTTTTTGCGGACATAGCCTGTCTTGCCGTCCGCTCCGACCAGAAATGAGCCCTTCAGTCTTCGACCGTTTCCGCTTGCATCTATGTAGTCCACAAGGACATTTTTGCTGTCTTCGCCAACGCCGATTACGGTGGACCCTGTGCGAATCTGCGAGTCCGGCATCTTCTCGATCTGGTCACGGACCGCCTTTTCCATGGTTGGCTGTTTATGGCAGATGAAACCGACATGGCCCGTCCCTCCTTCAGTGGTCTTGTATTCCATCCGAATCAACGGCCTCTTGGTCAGATCTGGTTCACTGCCAGTCACGAAGTTGAATACTTCCATGCCTGCACGACCGTTAGAATTACTCACATGGAACTGAAATGTGCAACTCACAGGAGCCAATTTCTGTATATATCCGGTCATAGATACCAATCGACTGAAGGATGCGGATGCCATCTTCATCCAATGCGATGCCTCGTGGGTCAGTCGTGATACCCTTTTCCTTTTCCAGTACAATATTTGGCACTTTCATCATCCCAAGCAGAACTGACAACACCACGCCGGTCGGACCTCCGCCGCATATTATCACTCCTGTTTCCTCACAGGAACAGGAGTCAGCTTGATCCATGGTGCAAGGAAATCTCGGTCGTGGACAGAGTGTCTGATATTAGCTGTACTTGACCTGTGAAAGAGGGCAACCTCAGTTGACGGCACGTTCTCCAAATGAAGCATGACAGCAACGCTTTGGCATCGGACATTGAATACTTCAGCCCAAACCGGTGTGTCCACAAGCTCCGGGTCAATTATAGCCCGCCCAAGTCTGGGGTAAGGCCCGCTAGAAAGATGGGCGGATGGGCGATGGTCTCCCTGGAGATCTGATGTGGGACACCGAGAAATGGGGAGTAAGGATGCCGGCCGTGGGACAAATACAGAAATGTCCCACATTTCCCGATGCCCATGGGGTAGTATCTTCGGCGACCCAAGCGGTTACAGACACACCAGCCGTTCAAATGCTTCAGTTTCTAACTTCACCACTTTCTGTCCATCCCGCTCGAAATAGCTACCACCCACACCTAGTGGCTAATTGGTGAATTTGGGCAGACAGCTCGTCCTGAGCCTCAACCTCAAGACTCAGACCACAAACTCAAAGATCAAGGATCAAACTCTCCCTGGCCGCCAGGTAGGAACAACATCCAGTCAGAAATGTCAAGGTCTAGTGATTTAGTAACCATCGTCGAATGGAGCACACCAAGATGTCAACGCGCCATCGCGAGCTTCTCCCTCTGAATGCCGTGTTAGACTGACAAAGCGGCCGTCTCACAAGAACGAATTGCGGGATGCGGGATACCCGGACTCCCCGCTCGTCTGCAGCTCTGGGGAATCCCCGGGGTAGACGACGTTTTTTGTCGCCCATCAACCAAAACCCCCTTCCCTTCTCCATACTCCACATTCTCGACGTTACCTACTACTACCGCCTCCAACTCTATTCGAAAAGTTTTTGAGCAATAACACTGAGTTTGCAGGGCAAGCACACTGGGCTGCTGATGCAGTCGTCAATTCTCTTCTGTTTATATCTTGGGAAATGTCTGATGCCCCGGTAACACAAGGCTCCAAGCCTCCTCCGCGTGGCCGTCGTGCTCGTAAACTACGGGAATGCTCGATATGTGGGAGGACTTTCGCCAAAAACGACCATCTCGAACGACACATCCGTTCTCACACTAAAGAGAAACCTTTCAAGTGTACCATTTGTGGGAGAAAGTATGGCCGGAAGTAAGTCAGCAGCCTTGCTATTTTCTCAGGCTTTCCCTCTACTCATCCCTCCGCCAGCGACACCTTGCTACGACATCAGAACGACCATCGAGAGGACGGGTCAACCACTGCCAAGCTGCCCCGTGGCTCCAGTATTTCAGTCGGCTCAGAACATCCTCCACAGCCTCCTGTGTCAAACGATATGCCGGAAGAGCCTGGGATGGTGTCCCCTCAGGCCCAGAGTCTAGCCTTAGATGGTGCGATAGATCCAGCCTTGGATGTGACCTCCCTGAGCTATGCAACCAACGAGACTGTCTATCATGCTATCCAACCCGACTCGGGTGTTGCGAAAATGATGTATGCAGATGCATGCGCCTCCGATTTGATATCAAGCAACTTAGATCCTGCTATCGAAGGATTTGATTTGGAGGCCCAGTTCCCTTCGTGGCTGGTAGATGGCGACTTCAGCGCGGATATTCTCGACACGCCCCTGGTCAACAGTATAGCAGAATTGCGCCCTAGCCGGACTGAAAGCTCCTATGCTCCATTTGGCACAACTTGCTACAAGCCAGTGCCTGATACCAAGCGCCTCTGGTTCACTGCCGGTGATAATGGCCAGGAGGGAGCACCCGAGTCAGGACCTGCAACCCCGCCAGCGTCTCAAGTCGAAGTTGACGATACCTATCGACAGACGTTACATCAAAGCCTGCAGATACGCTCGCAGCATGAACAGAGCCTCCCGTCGGCTGATTTCCTCAACCTCTGCGTCAGATCTTATTTTGCCCGCTTCCATCCAGTATTTCCAGTGGTACATGCACCAACGTTTCGTCCTTCCCAAGCCAACTCCATGGTTCTTTTGTCGATCTGCTCTGTGGGCAGTCTTTTCACTGGCTCAACTCATGCAATCCGACAAGGTGTGCAAATTTTCGAATGGTTGCACAAAGCAGTGCTGGCAAACTGGGACAGGCTCATTTCTCGGGGCACTGATGAAAGAATTTCTCTCATCCAAACCGCCATCATTGGACAGACTTTCGGCTTGCTTTCAGGCGAGCCGGAACATCTTGCTATAGTCGATACATTCAATGGGACTCTTATCTCCTGGGCACGGCGGTTAGGGACCTTCAAAACCAAGACGCTTTGCGGACTCGATCTCAACAATATATCATCGTACGACCTGGACCGAAAGTGGAGGGAGTGGGCGAAGAATGAAGAACTCATTCGCATCGCACTCAGTGTGCACATCCACGATGCTGAACTTGCAACCATCTTCCACCACGAACCATTCCTACGGCACAATTCTCGGCAACTTCCCGTCGCCGCTTCCAAGCAGACTTTCATGGCAGCACGGCCTGAAGACTGGCGCCTGTCTTATCTCGATGACCCGAGCAACTTCGAGACTGCTGGCTCGACGCCCGCCTCCGTTGATGCGCGCGTGGATTTCGATATTCTCGCAATGCCCAGCAACAGTCACTTCACCGCATACACGGTCTTGGATGGCATATGTGTAAACATCATGGAGAATCGCATCAGTGCTTGCGCATCACCGTCGACTATGGAGGAGATATCCATGCTCTTGACAACGTTCTACAGACGTTTTCTGCAAGGAACAGCCACATTGGAAGCGGATTCGATGGATATGTGCATTCTCTGGCACTCGGCCTACATGTCCATCAGTGCAGATTTCGACCTGTTAGAAAGATCAATTGGGCGCGAAGGATCCAGTCTTTCGGCTGCCGACCGAGCGACCGTCACAAACTGGGCCAACTCGGACCAGGCGAAGCGATGCGTGATCCATGGAACGATGGTCCAGAAGAAAGTAGAGAATCTACCTCTCGGTTCCGAACCTGCGATCCACGTCCCTCGAGCCATGTTTAGAGCCGCCATTGCCTGGTTCTGCTACACCCACTTCGGAGTCGGTGGGGATGCACCCAGAGGAATGCTGTTGGGAAGTCTGGATTTTCCAGAGTTCAAGCTCCTCGAGGTCAACCCTGCCTTAGTACTGTTCCAGGCAAACGGCTACAAACATGGAAGGCCCACGACAACCGAGATGAATGCCGTTCTCTGTGGGCTTACGGACCTCTTGCGGCGGATCGGTCATTGGGAGATAGCCCGTAGGTTTGCCGACATCCTTGGAGCCTTGTTGTACAACGAAGCTGGTTGAATGGTTAACATCCAGCAAGGATGCGTCCATGCGTCCTACACCCACAAACCATCACAGCGGGCTTGCTTTTGCTGCACCCTAAGAAGGAGAGCACGTCGCCCCTCAAACCCAAGGCTTCAAAGCGTTGAGTCAACTACGGCACTCGTAGAAACGCTATCTAAATGGACGAGTCTTGTCAGTTGAAGCTCTGTAGTTACCAATGGCTACGAACCCGAGATTTCCTCTGATAGTCGAGGATTGAGAGGTATGGTCGAGATGCGCGGCTTTGAAATGATGTTTTTCGACAGGGACCCCTTGCAGAATGGTCCCATCACCTGCGAGGTGTCCTCTGACTGGCTGTGTGACAGAAACAGTCCGAATGTGGAACACCCGACCAGTCACCGTTACTCTGTACATGCCGGATTTTATGTACATATTTGTCTGCGTGTGTAAGGTATCATCGATAGGCTGTAGGCAGACTTACTTTAACACAAAATAGGTAGGTGGAGCTATATTCTATCTCCCAATTATCTAATCCGTCTTCTTCCATACATAGCATAGTTTTCACCAAACCTTCCCGATTATTTCCGACTTTATTCCTACCTTCCTTGACTCAACGCCAGGAGTTGACAGTCGGGGGCGTTGCTGGATCCTTTGACGACTCCCAGCCTATATGAAGAACTGTAAGCCCCGGCTATTACTAACAGTATTACTAACTCTGTCCCTACCTATAGTTAGTAGGACAACGAGTTCAATAACACACCCGAAAGTCGCCCCCGGAGTCGACTCTTAGTATGACTAGGGAGTCAACATTGGGAGTCGTCAAAATGAGTTGACGCCGGTTGGTGTCGGAGCCGTTAACGGCCAGGGCTGAATCCGACTCCTGGCTACAAATATAGGAACACAGCATTGTTTGACATGATCGACATGGGAATTCGTCAAGATATGGCCCACCGATGCATACCCACCTTCACAGCGCACATCGGGATATAAGTGTACAGCATACGTGTACTAATAAGGTAATAAGGTAGTACCCGAGAGAAATACGTCAACGGCGTCTACACGTGCAACCCGGTGAGTTACCGTGATCGACCAACAGCCTCACGATCCCCAGCCTTACGACAAAATAAGTGGAGCCTTCCACAAGGCTAGCCAACCAAAAGAGCGAACAGGTGCCGGCCCTGCCGAACCAACCCGGGCCGGGTAACCGGCACTGAAAAGCTTGTCGGGACGACTTTGGATCGGGACCTCGACGGTGGCGTGAAGAAGAAGAAGAAGAAGAAGAAGTTGAAGCGTGGCGATATCGATCCAGGCACCTCTGTGGGATTTTATGGAAGTGGAACAGACAGATCCCGATCTTGCTTCTCGAAATTGAGGGAAAACAAGCCCTGGAGCACAGACCTTGGCGTCGAGTTTGATGGCGACAACAAAAGTGTCATAACCCCCAACTGCCGATGACAACAACCCAAGATCATGACCTGATGCAGTACGCTGCGACAATGCCGGACACGGAGGCGCGAGATCATGCTGATGAGAGCTCGCGGCTCGAGTCAGAGACCTCCGCCGACCTCACGCAGCAAACCACGAACCCCGACTATGGCGACAATGTTCCATCGGACCACGAGGAACAGGAGAATAATGAGAAGTCGCGCCGAAAGAGACGACGAACCGGCTCGTTCGCAACGGGTCGGTCCATGGACCTCACCCGCACCATCACGCGGCGGGAGACCATCATGTCACGCATCCGGACAAGACCACCCATAGGCCCCTTCAGTCATCCGTTGATCAATCAGAAAACGACCGTCGAGGAGCTGGTCGAGTTCGACGGGCCCAATGACCCCTACCGGCCGCTGAATTGGGCGATGAAGAAAAAGGTCGTCACGACGGCCTTGTATGGCTTCACCACCATGAGTGCCACCTGGGCGTCCAGTGCTTTCAGTCCCGGGACTCACCAAGTGGCGCACCAGTATCATGTGGGCAATGAGGTCGCGACCCTCGGCACGACTTTGTTCTTGTTCGGATTCGGGCTGGGGCCGCTACTGTGGGCGCCTCTGTCAGAGGTCTATGGTCGTAAGGTGTGTGCCAGCACTCCAACACCCCTAAACGTGAAGCCGAGTGTTGGGTACTAGTACGGATGCTAACTGCTTTTTGCGCCAGAATGCCGTTCTGCCTCCAATGTTTGTGGCAGGTTGTTTCGCGTTCGCTACCGGAGTGGCCAAGGATATCCAGAGCATAATGATTCTCAGGTTCTTTTCTGGGTGAGTATTGTAGTGGGCTCAACCGTGCGAGCATGCTTTCCCGTTCCTTCTTCATCTCTCAACAATTACAGAACTGTCACGCTGTCCTTCTTGCTGACCGTCTGTCCCTGTTCCTTTGGCTTCGCAGATTCTTTGCTTCCGCACCGGTCACCAACACGGGCGGTGTCTTGGCCGACCTTTTCCCCTCGTCGCAGCGAGGCATTGCCATCGCCACATATGCCATGGCGGTGACGATAGGGCCTTCATTGGGTCCGATCGTCTCTTCCGCATTGGTCGTGCAGTCCGGTCTCCGCTGGCGATGGACCCAGTACCTGACAGGGATGATCCAGCTGTTTGTACTGACGCTGGACGTCATCTTCCTCGACGAGTCGTATCCGCCGCGGTTACTAGTCTACAAGGCTCGTCGACTGCGGCATGAAAGCGGGAATTGGGCGCTTCATGCCAAGTTTGAAGAGTGGGATGTGTCGATTCAGGAGTTGGCCAGAAAGGTAAGAGTTCTCTAGTGTGTGTTCGAGTTGAGTTGATGGGCGCTGTCGGTGATACTAATCGCTTCATGATTTTTAGTTCTTGGTCCGACCATTCCAGCTGCTTTTCACCCCGATCTGCGCGATGATGGCGTTGTATGCCAGTTTTTGCTATGGCATCTTGTACATGCAGCTTGGTAAGTCGACCACAATGCTCTTTCGTCGTGCCTTGCAATACCGTGGCTGGCGACTGATACTGTTGCATATTAGGGGCCATCCCTATCATATTCGCCGAGAACCGTCACTGGAAACAAGTCCCGTCAGAACTCCCGTTCCTCGCCATCTTGGTCGGCACTTTCATCGGTGCGGGGATCAACGTCTATAACCAACTCCTATACAACAAGAAGTCTGGGGGCAAGGTCGTCCCAGAACTGCGTCTCCCTCCCATGATGCTCGGTTCGGTATTTTTTAGTGGCGGTGAGTGTCCCTTTTGCGTTCAACGTCCCTTATCACTCTTGGCGGGAACTTCATTGTTTGGCCTCCGTCTCATGTGCTTTGCTTTTCTATTCACATTCATGATTGATATCTTTCATCATGTGGAAAATGTCACTGATATGCAAGCATAGGTCTCTTCCTCACCGGCTGGACCGCCGATCCCAGATATCATTGGATCATTCCCTGCGTTGGCCTGTCCATGGCCGGCGTCGGCTTCTTCACCATTTTCCAGGCAGCCCTGAACTATCTGGTCGATACATTCCAGAAGTACGCGGCAAGCGCAGTCGCCGCCAACAGTAAGTCAAGAAATCAAGTTCAACTTCAAGTTCAAGCTTATCAATTGCAATCTTTTGTGCATCCCTCAATGCGCTTGCCTCCTGTATTAATACGGTGGCTGCTACCCCGAGCAATATCTGGCATATGAATCCCTGGTACTATGTGCTATGTGCTGTCGCTATTGCTATTGCTGAGTCTAATTTTGGATGGGGAACTGACTGCTTTGGGCTCAATAGCATTTCTAAGATCCTGCTTCGCTGCGGTCTTCCCACTCGTCGTCACCCCGCTATATCACAATGTCGGGGTCCCCTGGGGCACAAGTATCTTTGCCTTCTTCGCCACGGCCCTGATTCCCGTGCCATTCTTCTTTCACGTCTATGGCAAGAGGATTCGTCAACGGAGCAAGTGGAGTCGATTTTGATGTATGGCCTCTTCTGGAAAAGAAGGTGGATGGCGTTGTCAGGTACTGTTAATAAGCCATAACCGAACCCTAAGGAACTTGTGTGGAATAAGCGTTGAATAAGGGGTCCGAGACGTTTTGCTTCCTCTGGCATCGAGCTGGATGATCGAATTGACTGCTGTTGGTCTATGCTTGTCACTGGGAATGCGGTACTGGGTCAATCAGTATGCGAGAGTCGACGACATGGTGCTACTCACATACGCTGAGCTGGCCTGTCCTTAACGACTGATCGATCTATGGGCCCAGTCAAACACTGCCTCCTCTACCAGATCAATCCACATCAATATCAGATCAGTGATTCGGCTTCTGCGACAGTGCCATATCTGAACATCCATCCGGTCTTCCAAAGCCTTCGTAGGGACTTCGGTCACAATCTCAACTAGCTGGTCAGTCGTGCAGCGCGCCATAAGAATCTAGTGATCTGATCGCTACAGTACGACTGAGCCGTAAGTTTGACCCAGGTATACGATGATACTTCACCAGAATGGGTTGAATGTTCATTGACTATCGGGGCGAGCACTGCATATGTCGGTAGAGCTTGACCAAGGTGTTTGTGTCGCCGAAACAGAGACTTGTTAAGATACTGGCTCTGCTGGTGATAGGACCCTTCCAGCCGCTGTCTGATTGGAGACGGCTGAGGGAGGACCTTATAAGCACTCCCTACCCTATTAGCACCTGCTATCAGGCTAAGGCGGCCACCAGGGACAAGGACTAGAATAGGTGCTCCGGCGCCTGAGGTGCCCTGCTGGGCATCCAACACTGGCTACCTCCTGCAGGTGCCTTATCCATGGTAATGGCGTCATACAAACTGCGGTGCTGCCACCCACCTTCGGCGTCCATCATCCAATCCGCAGCCTCAGATTGTCAGCTTCCAGCGACTTCTCCAAGCCGTTGTACGTTGTTACTATCTGTATATCCATGTCTAGCGGCATCCGTCTCCTCCGCAGAACAGATGAATAATGCAAGAGGAGTCTAAAATGAGCATCTCCAGTCCCAAGACACTCTCCTTGAGTCTGTATATCTGGTGAGGAGTCCGTCTCTCTGCTCTCGAACGGTTTCTGTCTCTGCCATTCCTGTTCCTCTCTCCTCGAAGCGCGAGCCCTCTACCTGCGTCGCACTCCGTCCGCATCGTCACCATGGCATCCGCCACGGGCATTCCCGAACAAAACCCAGCATTGCAGGAAGAAGAACCTCTCCTAGGTCGCCCAGGAGATGTCACCCAGCGGCCCGGCCAGGGACTGCAGTTCAACTTCGTGAAAGGAACCGGTAGGCTAGACTTCTCGCACGCCATGCATGCTCTTTGATCGTACTCGGTTGACATTGGGACAGCGATCCTGGCACAGGCCGGCATAGTCATCCTCACGGCGCTGGTGTGGGCAGCCGTGTTCCAAGCCGACTTGATCTTCTTCTCCTTCCACCCACTGCTGAACTCGTTTGCCGTTCTGCTGCTGGTTCAGGGCGTGCTGGTGCTGCAACCGACGGCCATCCAAAAAGACAAGATCAATGGGACATATGCACATGCGATCTTCAACGGCCTGGCCGTGGCAGGTACGTGATAAGATGGATGAAAGGACTCTTGGTCGAGCGAGGTTGGAAGTGTGCTGACGAGTAGTACCTACAGCGCTTATTGCGGGCCTGGTGATCATCGAGAGGAACAAGGCATCGCACCCGGACACTCGTTTCCAGAGTGCGCACGGCAAGATGGGCTTGGTCGCCTATATCCTCATCTTCCTCCAATGGCTGGTTGGGTTCACTTCCTTCTTTGTACCGAAGTTGGTTTATGGCACTGTCGACCGTGCCAAATCGCTCTACAAGTACCACAGGTCAGACTCCCGCCGAGGCCAAGCATTCGCAGTGCGATGACTGACAGCTCCCCAGGATCGCCGGATACATCCTTTTGACGTACCTGCTGGCTGTCGTTGCTGCAGCCACTACCACATCCTACAACAAAGGTGTCCTGCATATCAAGTTGTGGGCGGTTCTTGTGGCCAGCGTTTTTGTCTTGATGGGAGTCATTCCCCGGATCAAAAAGCACAAGTTGGGGTTCTGAGATATTGAATATCCAGGAGTTGCGCCAGTACGGTGACCCCTGATGCAATATTTTGAAGGACGCATTTTCTGGCTGGCGATCGAGTGATGCCTCCGCCCTGACGTGATTCATGTTCTTGATGATTTGGGTTGTGCGTTTACGAACTGGAAGGACAATCAGTCCCCCAGTGCATGGCATCGGAGTTTTGGACAGCATACAATAAGTCATGATATTAATGAAGGCAGAATGAGCAACAGAGAGTAATGATAGGTGATGACCCTGTCGAACCCAATAGAGCCTGCAAACTGCCATTGTATCTGTGTTCAATGGAGTCCATGGCAACATCTCCGGTTCTGTCATTCAGCCCCTTTATTTCTGGGTAGACATTGATTCATCTCCTCAGGGCGAGACCTAAGGGCGAGACCTAATGGCGTGACGGCTGTACGTACTCTTCGAGTGAGTGCACACAATTTCTTCCTATGCTTTGACTTCTTCTCGATGTTCTATCGTACAACAATATCCGCCGACTCGCGCCGTTGGACAAGTTTGTCTTGTCCGGCTGCCAGCGCCTCCAGCCTGGCAGCTTGCACGCGGTGTTTCTTGATGACCGAAACCCATTCCGGCTCCCGTATGGGTTGATGCTCAGCATGGGACGAAGGCTCGGAGACAGCACCTTCAGTAACGGTCTCCTCGTCATCAGCTTGGTCGGTCTTAGCTTGTGTATGCCCTTGAGCCTTGACCTCGTTTCCCTCTGCTTCAGAGGTTGGCCCTGATTCTACTTTGGTTTCCGTGGCATTATCGCCTTCCACCACATCGGTGACCACTTCTTCGTCTTCTTCTTCTTTTTCTCCCACTTCTCCCACTTCTCTCTCTTGTTGCTCGTCTTCGCCGTCCACTTCATCCTCGTCAAGCAAGGCAATCATCAGACTAAAGTCCGCGCCGAGCCGACCTAGACTGTTGGCCGCGTACAGAATTTGCATGAGCAGACTTTCACGCGCAGACGGGTCCGTCACGTTCGGGAGATACTGTTTCAGAGTGGCCATGAACACCTCGACCAGATGCAGTGGGAAGGACTGGAGAGCTGGCGGTAGCGAGAGAGATAATAGGAGGGAAGACATCTTGGCGTGTGCTTGAGAGTCATTCGCAGGGTGAGATCCGGAATGTTTATGGGATTGATGTCCATGCACAGCACTACCACCCAATCCCTCTTCTTCTTCTTGCGGGAAGATGTTGCGGTACATGCTGATGGTGGCGAAAGATTGCTCGCGAAAGATTTCGATGTACCGCTTCAGATAGCGCTCTGTATGTTGCCCGTGCAGGGGGTTTCCGCTTGTCGAGGGTTTGCGTGTCTGCTCCGGGCGACTGGTGGTAGTAGTGGATGACGCTGACGACGACGCCGATGTCTTGGTTCTGTTGATCCTGTCCAGCGACTTGCTTGCTTCTGTTTCTTGATCGGCGAGGTCGCGTAGTGGAGCCAGCGCCTCGGTCATGTACAGAAAAGTGCACAGCCGTGCGCAGAGGAAGAGAGCGCCGAAATGGCCTTCCCCTTGCTGCGCCTGAGTTGCTGAAGTGGTCGTGGATAGACCTGGTAGCTTGACTTGTTGCTGCTGCTGCTGCTGCTTCGACCGGACATAGCTGCTGCCGCTGCTTGGGGTTGTTGCCGTGTTCGTTTCGCCCAGTTCGGGCGCCACTCGGCGCAACCAGCCGATCATGCGAATGGCAGCGGCAAGACGGATATTCTGTCCTCGTAGACTGGCGATCAGATTCGTCGTCATGTCCTTCATGGCAACCTCGGCGTCGCCGACCACGGACTTGACCAGCTGCGAGTCCGGATACAGGATCTGGAGGCGCTTGATGTGCGCGAAGAGGTCGAGGGCTTGCGTGTAGTTCGCTCCAGATGATGTCGTTGTCGTTGTCGTTGTCGTACCTGTCATGCTGCCGGCCGAGGCAATGGCAGCCGACAATAACGACGGCAGCTCGAGGATGTCCTGCACCTTGTCGGCCTGGCGGGCCAGCAGGGCAGCCTCGCGTCGGGAGTTGAGAAGCGCATTTCCGGAACCGCTGGTGTCGTCCTTAGACCGGTTGTACGAGGACGCGAATTCGACTGCTTTCGAGTCCAGTGCTGGGATGGATTGGCGGATGGCTTGTATGGAGGACGACAGTTGCGGGAGAGATGACCGGAGCGTGGACAGGTGGTCGGATGAAGTGGTCGTCGTGCGGTGAGACCGCGAACTCAGCGCTTGGATCGACAGGAGATTCGACTGGGCCGCTTGGCTGAGTGATTCGGGTTCCGTCGTGGTCAGGTCCTCGAGTCGGAGGGACACCAGGCGCGTCAGATATTTCGAGATGTCGGACGAGGTGACATTTGTAGATGAGGATGTCGTGGTACTCGTGGTGCTGGGAAGATGAGGTTTCAAGAGATCGTACAGAGTATCTGCCATGGTTTTCGACTGCCCCTCTGAGACTTGAAGGGCATAGATTGCATAAAGACAATAAATAATGGGGGTTGGTATCAGTGTTAGATCATCTTGTCGTTACGAGTGGATTGTCTACAGAAGGTGTCTCTCTCTACAAAAAGATGCTGGACGTAGTTTCACCCGATGTTGAGGTCACGTGCCGCATTTAGCCCCCGAAGCCTGCTACACCCTTCTACACCCTTTCTATACGGATGGCTGATGCGATATACGGTGAGCGTGATTATGATTGAATAGGAGGAAGTGTCCGTATTTCATTCGTTTGTGATGATTGGAGAAGGACTACTTCTCGTTCCACGCCCCAGTCTATGTTATGATATGTTATATTCATACCGTCCGACCGCAACTCTTTCTAGTAAGTACTTCCCCTGTGACTCCGTTCCCTCCTCTCCTCGGCCAAAATCTTCTCCATCTCCATCTCTTCACGCGCCTTTGTGCCGACCTGAAGATCTGCCTCGTCGACATCTGCGTCGCTCTGATCGCCCAGCGCATCCGCCATGACTCGATTGGGATCATCAAGCTCGCCTCTCAACGCCCGCGCCAGAGAAGACGAGAATTTTGGCCCGCTGGGATCAATGGCCTCTGGTGGTTCTTCTTGCGGCGTCAATTCCGGACTTGCCTCGTCGTCCGATCCAAACGGCGACCCATGACCCGACCTTGTCCCCCCACCGTCTCGTCCCAGATACGATTTGACGCCAGTCAGGTGGGTCTTCCTCGTCGTGTCCAACGACAAGTTGTTCAGAGAGGTCCGCAGGTTGCTGGATGACTGAGTCCGCGACACACTCGTCTCCCTGCTTGCAGAAGTACTTGTGCGCGTCTGTTTGGGTAATGAGCCTCCAGAGGTCTCTGCGGACTCTTCTTGCACTTGTGATTCATCGCGAAACATCTCCGCCGTGCTCTTCCTTGCCGGCGGCGGGACATAGCTAGCTCCGGTAGGGTCATTAGCGGTGCCGGGAGAGGCCCATCGTCTGACCGGGATCGGCTCAATGTTGACCGGTGTCGAAACCGACGAGATGCTCCTCCTCGCAGCCCGTTCCCTCTTAAGGTCGGACCATCGGCGTAGTTGGTTCTGCAGCACGTACGTTCCATTAGCCGCCAGCTTCATGACCAGGAACTCGCAGTGGTTGATGTTGCGTAGATCTTCAAAGAACTCCACACTGTAATGATACCAAACCATGAGGAAGATGCGGCTACAGAGACCATGCGTGACGAGTATGGCCACGCTGGCCATGTTGTCTTCGGAGAATCGTCGCCACAGGGAGCCGTTGAACGACGACACCCGATCGTACACATCCGCTCCACTCTCGCCGTTGGGGATGCGATAGAAAAAGTGGCCATACTCGGCCCGCTCTCTCCAGAGCCGTTCGACCTCTTCAGTGCCTGGTTGGAAATTGCCAAAATCCTGTTCCCGCAGCCTTGGCTCTTCGTACACCTTGATATGGGATCTTTGGAAAGGTGAGGCTACAGGTTGGTTGGCAGTCAATCCATTCAGGATTCCTTCGGTGGTTTCCCTCGTTCGTCTGTAGGGTGATATGAAGAAATGCACCGTGTCGTCATTCCTGAGAAGGTCGCGAAGCTTCTGCCCGGCTTCCAGAGCCTGTCGATGTCCCTCGGGAGTCAGACCAACTTTATGGTCAGGAGTGGTCTGATGGATGGTCTTGTCCCGATTGCCCTCGGACTGGGCATGACGGATGATAATGATCAATCTCGGTTTGACCATTGTGCCGGGTTACAGGAGAGTGCAGTCAAAGGCCCGCTTCGACGCAAGGGACGTGAGAGTCCAGGTCTGGTGGCCAGTGTGCAGGTATTGATCAGACAGGAATAACAACGGTGGTCATTGATATGTACTGCCAGCAACGTATCTCGAAGAATCTAGGACAGTGCTATCAGCAAAGACAACAACAGGAACCACCAGTAACTTGAATACCGTAGATACCTAGACAGATACAGTAGACAACTTGAAGTGCAAGGTGCAGACAGCCTCGTCATATCTCGATGCCAGGATCGTGGAACTTGGAAACACTCCAAGTTGAAGTTGGAGTCGTCGCCGCCCTAAGATTTAGCCAAGGCGCTACCTTTGATAGGACTAGCGTAGCCTCAGTAGTATCGCTAGTAAATCGCAGTGTCGCGTCGCGAGATTCTTGCAGCCAACGTTCGTCGCATTCATTGATCAGGTCGTCGAATCACACGCATTCTATCATACTGTGAGAGGGCCCCAAAGTCGACATTCACCGTATTCACAGTCGCTTGTATCCCTCCAAAGCATACCCAGGTGCTTGGCGCCCGAAGGTCCCGGCAGGATGAACCCGCAAATGCAAAACTACCGTCAATATGCCCAACCCCAAGGAAGAGCCCAGGCGGCCCGTCGGCCAGGTGAGTGCGACTCGAGCACTGTCCTTATTCCCAGCATCACGGATCCAAGTGTCCAAACAGTCAGGCTCTGGAAAGAAATGAGCTTGGAGCAAATTCCCTTGCCCTTGACCGCGACCTTCGTCGACTGGTTGACGCTGGTCAAACTGTACCATTCTCTGCTTGCATGAAACGTTCGTCAGACGGATAGGAACTTACTATCGAAATCAGGTCAAGCCCCTCCTGCACATCACGCTCAGCAGCAGCATATTCAACAACTGGCGAACCAACAGCTGCAGCAACGCAACGCTGCCATGGAACATCAAGCGGCTCAACGACGCGCGCGGAAGCCTACCGATCGAAACCTCCCCGACAGTATCGAAGACCTTGTCATTGGCGAAGGGGTGAAACAGTACAACAAGTTACGTGAGATGGAAAAGCGCCTTGATGCCACGATGATGCGGAAGAGGCTAGAGGTTCAGGATTCCATGAGCCGACACCAAAAGAGAGAAAAGACGATGCGCATCTGGATCTCCAATACCTGCTCCGAACAGCCCTGGCAAATGAGTCAGAACGAGGAAGAGAATGTCGCATTCGATTCGCTTGGAGAGCCCAAGTACAGAGTCGAAATCAAGGGAAAATTGCTCGAAGAGCCCGAGGATGACAGTGACTCGGAAGACGATGTCGACAGCAATGGCAAGGAGCAGGAAGGGGCCGCAAAGAACTCCAAGGAACGTTTACCGTCCTCGAGACCTTTTACGTTCTTCTTCAAGGCTCTTAAAGTTGAGTTCGACGAAGCTTTCATGGGCGATCCGAACTACAACATTGCATGGAAGAAACCTCCGACCCATACTCCCGAACAAGATTTCGACCATTTCACATTCCAACGGAAATCGGATGAAAACATGAATGTCAACATATGCCTCACGCGCGATGAGCAACCAGAGCGATTTAAGTTGAGCCCTGGTCTCGCCAAAACCTTGGACATGATAGAAGCCGATCGAGCAGAAGTGGTCATGGGTCTTTGGGACTATGTCAAAGCCATGGGGTTACAGGAGGACGATGAGCGACGAACAATACGCTGTGACGAGAACCTCCGCGCCCTTTTCGGCGTCGACACCATTTCCTTTCCCCAGATCCCCGAACGCATTCTCCCTCACCTTCTCCCCCTGGATCCTATCAGACTCCCATACACTATTCGACTCGACAAAGAATTCCACGAAAACCCCGAGCCAACCGTCTACGATATCGATGTCAGGGTCGAGGATCCCGTCCGCGCCCTCTATCTAAAGATGACCCAGAATCCGCAGCACCAAACACAACTCCGCGAGATCGCCGAGCTGGACGACCACCTCGCGGTTCTGGTCCAGGCCATTCACCACTCCAAGGCTCGCCACGACTTCTTCACCGGAATGGCCAATGATCCCGTCGGCTTCTGTAAGAAATGGATGGCGTCGCAGAAGAAGGATCTGAGCGTGATCCTGGCCGAAGCAGAGAAGGGCGATTTCTCCGGCCTTGAATTCGCCAAGGGTGGCAAGGATGGGGTCTGGAATACCGACCTTGTCAAAGAGGCTGTACGCTATCGCATGGCAAAGGATGATGCTGCTCCTCTCCCACCTCGGCGCTAGGTGATCGTACAGTGTTGGAACCAAGTCTTGTTGAAAACTCGGTGTGATGGTTTCATAGCGTGGCGTCTGGGATCGCACAATATGCCGGGGCTTGTATCGCTGAGGCCTCTGGTATGGGCGGGGGGGTACGAATGCAAACTGGGCATGCAAGGTCATGACATGTCATGATACAACTTCCCAGCAGATCGGATTGCCAGGAAAGTTTGAATTGGAGGCCCTACGTACTTTCTCTACATTTGGTGTATGTGGCATGCCTTGTGGGAATGCTAAATAGATATTCCTAACTGCTATCTATGACCCCCAGATCCGATGATTTTGTACTGCGCCGAGTTGACAGTATTTTCATTTCTTATCGTACAGCGTGCAGTGTTCCTTAAGTTCCAGGTATAGAAGAATATATATGCGAGTATCACCAGACTCCTTGGCTCTCTATAAAGCTCCTACTTTACCGAGAGGGAAGCTATCTCCAATCCCATTTAACGGCTGACCGTCAGACTGTCCAACACGCCTGCGGTATATCGGATCACCTTGTCGATCCCGTGGCCGTGGATGGCAGATACTGGGATGGCAGCGACCCTATGCCTCCATCCGTTACGGTTGCCACTAGGATGCTCGACTTCACCGCTCTCGACTTGCCGCACATAGGCGGCCAGCCTCTGGAACTGGTCCTGGGTAACAGCCGAATCCTTGTCCGCTTTGGTGGCAATGACGAACCACGGCTTCGCACTGATGGGTGAGAGCTTGAGAGGTTCAAGCAGCGTGGATGGGGAAGGGGGAGGTGGGAAGATAGATATCTCTTCGCCCGAATCGTCGTACAGAGGCTCGGCGTTGGATCGAAATGCGCTGGAGGACGAGGAAGAAAGCGGGCCGAAGGGAGCCCAGTCAATGTTCCGCGTCTTGGTCTGCTCGTTCAATTCCCTGTTGCGCAGGTTCTCGTACTCGCCAACCTCTTTCCAGAGGTTCTTCAGCGCGACAACGGCGTCCCCAGCGCCCAGGTCAACCACGAACGCAAGGACGCGGGCGCGTTCCACGTGGCGAAGAAAGGCCAGGCCCAAGCCTTTGTCGAGATGAGCATCTTCAATCAGTCCCGGAATGTCTGCTACCGTGAAACTCGTTCGAGGAGGTCCCCCTTCGACGCCGGAGCGGACCAGAGGCCGGCCCTCGTTGTTGTCGAGAATGACGGTGCCGATGGTAGGAGCCAGGGTCGTGAACGCCCAGTCTCCTATCCTCGTGCGCGAATTGCTGATGGCGCGCGTGAGCGTGCTTTTCCCGGCGTTCGGGAGGCCGACGAGACCCACGTCGGCGAGCAGTTTGAGCTCGAGTTCCAGTTTCATTCGCACCCCGAGTTCGCCTTTAGTCGCATACTTGGGTTTGGGCTCGTTCTTGGTCGCGAAGTGCGGGTTCCCCAACCCACCCACGGCGCCTGCTGCCAGAAGGATAGGCTTCTCCATAGGCTGGTCGAGATCGAGATTGATCGGGGTCGGAGGCTGGAGGATGGCGAGATGGCTCCTCCTTGGTTTCAGCGGTGGTGGCAGGTTCGCCACCACGTCTCTGGCTTCATTGCGAGTCACGCCGGCGTATAGAATCCACTTGTCGCGCAATCCGTGTTCAGGAAGCGAGTACGGGTCTTCGTCGCTCATGCCGGCCAGTTCTTTCAATCGGTCCTCCTCATCCGCCACCGGGTCGCTGCGCCAAACCTCCCTAATCACAGTCCCGACGGGCACCTGGACACATATGTCTTCCCCTTTTCGCCCGCCTTGGCTTGAGCCCTTTCCACCGATTCCACGCCCGGCTTTTATCACCCCCCTTCTAGCGAGTTTGTGCAGGCTGGTCTGTCCTGCCACCGCCTGGATCCAGATGTTCCCTCCAGAGCCTCCGTCACCGCCGTTCGGTGGACCGTCGGATATATGCACATCACGGAGGAAAGAGACACATCCGTTGCCGCCTGAGCCAGCGTGCACCGTCAACGTACATTTGTCGACGAAGACATTGCGTCCGTAGTCGTCCGGCGCAGGGTTGAGACGCGAAGACGGTGTTACTGGAGGATAATCTTGGGCAGTTGCACCACGGGTGTTGTCGGTCTCTGCGAGAGAGGATTGTTGTCTGGATATGCTATGCCGGAATGGATTTGCACCGACGTGCCTGGATAGTCGTCGTGCTTGCGACCGAATTGAAGTTGTGGCAGATTCGATTAAACATGGATAAAGGAAAGGCATCAATGTGCCTTGAAGGTGATGCATTATAGCATAGTGTTTTGGTTTCCCGAACACCAACTCTGGGATACGAGATGATAGAACACAATTTGCTTGTACCGCCGGCGGTTGATACAAAAGTTGTAGTTGGGCGATTTTTCGACTGGCCAGACCCTGCAACGAGACCCTGGACTCCGCAGGCAAAGTTAGTCCACACTAATCAGGTCTAATAATGGGTTTTATCATAGAAGTACTCGCGAGCTAGTACTCTTTATCACTCTCTATCAGCACGTGACTTGGCCAAGCCTGCGCCGATCTCGACTCCATCTCGAAGAAGTCGAAGATTGCAAGGCTTCCACGTTTCCTCAGTACATCTCGATTCTCCTCTTCCTCACTCACAGCTTGACATGATGGCGCGAATTGCATGAGAGGTCGTGTGTATCCCGCTCCTTCCACAGCCAGATTTCAGTTCAGATCGTTGTGAACGATCGCAAGTAAGATCTGTACAGTTACGGCTTGCGGCTCTACTTTCGACGTTTTCCACCTTGCATACTCTGCACCGGCCCTTTATCACCTTTCGCTCTCCGTTAGTCGGTCGCCATGGGTGTCCCGGCGCTTTTCCGATGGCTCACCAAGAAGTATCCCAAGATCATCTCTCCAGTGATAGAGGAACAACCTTACGAGATCGATGGAGTGGTATACCCCGTCGACACGACCAAGCCGAATCCAAATGGCGAGGAATTGCACAATCTCTACCTAGATTTCAATGGAATTGTCCATCCCTGTTCACATCCCGAAAACAAGCCCCCTCCGGCCAACGAGAGCGAAATGATGATGGAAATCTTCAAGTATACTGACCGGGTTGTGAACATGGTGCGACCGCGGAGACTCCTCATGATTGCAATTGGTAAGTGACATGCGCCTTTTCAACTTGTTTCTCGTACTGACTGTCGTGCAGATGGTGTCGCTCCACGTGCAAAGATGAACCAGCAACGCGCTCGACGATTCAGGGCAGCTAGAGATGCGAAGGAGGCAGATGAAAAGAAGGCCGAGTTCCAAACGCTCCTGCGACAACAAACAGGCAATAGGGATGAGGAGGATGACGACGATTCGACGGTTGAGGACGTAATCAAGAAAACATGGGATAGTAATGTCATTACACCTGGCACGCCATTCATGTTCATTCTTGCTCAATCCATCCGCTACTGGGTCCAGTGGAAGCTCAACACTGATCCTGCCTGGGCCGAGCTGAAAGTCATCATTTCCGATGCCAGCGTGCCGGGTGAAGGTGAGCATAAGATCATGCAGTTCATTCGTTCTCAACGCTCCGATCCTGAATATGATCCCAACACAAGACACGTCATGTATGGTCTTGATGCGGACTTGATCATGTTGGGCATCGCAACCCACGAGCCACATTTCCGTGTACTCCGAGAAGACGTCTTCACCAGGGATGCAAAGGCCAAAACTTGCAAACTCTGTGGCCAACAAGGGCATTACGCAGAAAATTGCAGAGGTAACGCCAAAGCAAAGTCTGGCGAATTTGACGAAAAAGGAACCACAGAAGAGCTCAAGCCTTTTGTCTGGTTGAACGTCCCTATTCTCCGTGAGTACCTCGGCGCGGAAATGCTTGTTCCTGGTCAACCGTTTCGTTTCGATCTTGAGCGTGCTCTTGATGATTGGGTTTTCATGTGTTTCTTTGTCGGCAACGACTTTTTGCCCCATCTCCCCAGTCTCGATATCCACGAGGATGGTATCGACAAACTTATTGCCATTTGGAGAGACAATCTTCCACTTATGGGCGGCTATGTGACCTGTGACGGCAATGTCGATTTGGCACGTGCTCAAATCATTCTCCAGGGGTTGGCCAAACAAGAAGATGCGATCTTCAAGCGTCGAAAGGAGATGTCCGACCGAAGAGAGCGAAATGAACGTCGTCGAGAGCAAGAGAAGGAAGCGAGAGAAGCTGCACGCAACCCAAAGAGACGTCGCAGCTCTCCAGATTACTCCAGAGGCGGCGGCAGAGCTGATGCGCGCGTTCCAACCGGACCATTCGAGACATTTGAAGCGACCAACTACCCGACTCTTGACTACAATTCAATTGTGAACAGAGGAGCAGTGGACAAGACGTCTGCTTCTAACAAGAGTGCCGCTGCTGTTTTAAAGGAGCAAATGCTGGCAAAACGGGCTGGCGAAACCCCAACCAAGAATGGCGCCAACGGTGTTAATGGGAGCCCCAGCACTGATGCGAATACACCTGCATCGGCACTGGGCAAACGGAAAGCTGGGTTGATAGAAGAGGAGGAAGTATCGGAGACCGGCACACCCGGACGCAACACACCTCTGGAGAAGGCAGGGGCCGCCAGTGATGAGCCTGTTGATCCTGACCTCGACACAGTCCGGCTATGGGAGCCAGGTTACGCTGATCGTTACTACGAACAAAAGTTCCACGTTTCACCCAACGACATTGAGTTCCGTCACAAGGTGGCGCGCGCATACGTCGAAGGGTTGTGCTGGGTTTTGCTCTACTACTTCCAAGGCTGTCCATCATGGACATGGTATTATCCCTACCACTACGCGCCATTCGCAGCGGATTTCGTCGACCTTGACAAGATGACGGTCAAGTTCGACAAGGGGACACCGTTCCGACCTTACGAACAGTTGATGGGCGTACTGCCTGCAGCTTCCAACCACGCCATTCCGCCCGCATTCCATCCGCTTATGACTGATGAAGATTCCTCGATTGTCGATTTCTACCCAGAAGACTTCGACCTCGATATGAACGGCAAAAAGCAATCTTGGAAGGCCGTGGTTCTTCTTCCGTTTATTGACGAAAAACGCCTTCTCGCAGCGATGGACACCAAATATCCTCTGCTCTCGGCTGAAGAACGAGCGAGAAATGAAGTCGGGAAAGACGCATTGATTATATCCGACCAAAACCCTCTGTACGACGACCTTGCAATGCAGTTCTACTCCAAGAAAGCGAAGGATGGGAAAGATTCCGTCAAACTTTCCATGCGAAAGGGGAAGCTTGCCGGGACCGTGAGCAAAAACTATGACTTCTTCCCTCATATGGATCTGGTCGGACCGGAAGAAGAAATCAAGTTGGAACCAGTGGTGGACGATGATCGGTCTCTGAACGTGCATTTCACCATGCCACCTCCGACCCATGTGCACAAATCCATGTTATTCCCCGGAGTCGTGCTGCCTCCTCCAGTCCTCGACAAGAGTGATCTGGCTATTCTGCGATCCAAAGCGAGGAATTCAGGTCGTGACTTTGGCGGCGCGCCACTCTACGACAATACTCGGCGTGATCCTCAAGACCAGCACAACAGAGGTGGACGTATCAACTATGCCGTCAATCGACCACCTATGGATACTGGGGGTTCTGCTCCCGGACATGGGCAAGACAATCCGTTCGCCGCTTTTCTCGATCCACGGTTTGCAGCCAACATGCCTCCGCCGGGCCGTGGCCCCCCGCCTCCACCTCCACAATCTCAAAGATATGGAGGCCAAAACGGTTATGGAGGGTATGCTGGCGGTGGTGGTGGTAGGGGTAGCCAGGGTGCCCACTACAACTACCCAAATCAAGGCCAAGGTCAGGGTTATTACGGAAATGAAGCCCAGAATCAATATTCAGCTGGGAGAAACGGAGACCAGCAGCAATATGGAGGCCGAAGCGTGAGCGATGGCCACTATCAGTACCCGGGCCAAGGACAAGGACAAGGTCAAGGCCAGGGCCAAGGTCGAGGCTATCCACCCAGAGACGATCGCCGTGGTAATTATGGTGGAGGCTACAACCAAGGTGGCGGCGGCGGTGGTGGTTATGGTCGACGATGAATATTCTCCAGGAAGTCACTTGTACATGAATCAACATGGCGGCGCAGGTATCTTTTACCATCAACGGCGTTGAGCGGGGAGGGTTTATCCACGTGAAATGGGCCATGGGTTGGTCCTCATGTCTTCTGCATCTGCATCTTCGGCTGCCTTGCAGGAAGTGCTAAGGATTGTATACTAGGTAGCTACTATGTGAGAAAAAACGAAAAGTGATTTCGAGTCGAACAGCCCTCCCGTTTCCCCCTCACTAGAACTTCCCTTCCGTTCAGTTCTCTCTCTGTATGTGTCCATAAATAGAGTAGGAACATGATGAGTATTGCACAAACTATCACTCGAGATAGATGTAATCGTTCCAGTGGCAGTACAGCTCAAAATCAGTTGTAAGTGTAAAGTTCCTAGTAACTCGGCCGATGATCCAATATCAGATGCACCAAAGAGCTTATTGAAGAGGTCACGCCACGTCTCTCCAAAAAGGAAAAGTGAAAGGAAAAGGTAAAAGGTAACAGAACACAATTGAAGGGTGAGGCGTGTGGAAACCGTTCTTAAATCCGCCAAAAAGGCCAAAAAGACCAAAAAGACCAAAAATGAAAGCGACCTGGATGGGACTCGAACCCACAGTCTTTGCCAGTTCCTGCATGATACACCGGAAAGCAACGCCTTACCATTAGGCCACCAAGCCTGAAAGACGGAATAACCCCGTACCGCAACTAAAGCTTTTCGCGCCATAATATTGGTCAAAAATTTGTGAGTTTGTTATATAATGCTAATGAAATGCGCTGTGCTGAAATTTACGCGCTTCGCTCCATCTAAGCTTATCTAAGCTTAACCTCTACCTAGGCACTTTGAATTTAGGCACCTTTATACTGTAGAGTCTATAAGCATAACTATCAAGGCTTTGTTGTTGTGGGTGTCATCCAGGTTGTAATACTTTGAGGATCCAGACGGTCGTGGTCGAAGGGGTAGGTAGGTATTTGTCGGTGCCTGATGTGTCTATTTTGAACGTGTATATACTTGTATACCTGGTGTCTTCAGCCCATTTATAAATACCTAGGTACAGGTAGGTATATAGTCATCTACCCAGCGTTGACGTTTGGATTTACTCATCCCACGAACACTTTCGCTTAGTGCTCTGCTAGTAAGTAGTATGTGATTCAAGGCTGTTGTCAAGTCCCCTATTCTGCTCTTCTGTGCTTTCTGCCGTCCATTACTACTTCCTCCCTTTCCCTCCCTATTGCCCACAACAACACTGTCCAACGCGTGGAAAGGTCCTCACACCAGTCGTCGCCGTCGCATTTCCCATTCCTCGGCGGTTCCATGTGCATATTCTAGACGTGGAATTGCGCTTTATACCTCGTCTCCAGGACAGCCTTGAGGGCAGCACAGGTCTGTTTGGCATCGCCGAACAGCATGCGCGTTCCGGGCATGTAGAACATCGGATTCGGTACGTCAGCTGGCAAAACAAGAAGTGTCAGCAAAGGTCTCAAGCTTCTCGAGACAGAAACAAATGGATAGCAGGAAAGCCGGGGATGCATTCGACAAGGCAGAACAGCGGATTGGAGGAGTGTATAAGAACAAAAAGGGCAAGAAAGTCTGGCAGACAAAGTTGACCAGAAAATAAATAGAGACTCACCATAACCACTACTCATCCCTCTCTTCATAACAATCACGTTCTTCGACTTCCATGCCTGCAAAACCGGCATCCCCGCGATAGGTGACCCGGGTTCCAAGGCCAGCGGGTTCACCGTGTCATTGGCACCAATCACCAGCGTCACATCGGTGTCTGGAAAGTCGTCGTTGATCTCGTCCATTTCTAGCACGATGTCGTACGGCACCGAGGCTTCAGCAAGCAGGACGTTGCATTGGCCCGGCATCCGCCCTGCCACTGGGTGGATGGCGAACCGGACGTTGACACCTTTGCTGCGTAGTAATGAGGTGATTTCGGCGATGGCGTACTGTGCTTTGGCGACCGCCATGCCATAACCGACCACCTAGAGCTGACTGTTAGCATCTTCCGGTATCGAGGCGAACAGAAGTAGGTAAAGATTTCGAATGGGGTTTAGTAAGGAGCCCCAAGCTGCCAAATGAAACTGCCTGGTGCTTGAGATGCAAGAAGTATCGTCCGAGACTCGCCCACTGTCTGGCTTCGATTCAAAGCATTTGTTATGAAGCTCTCCGGCTCCATAGTTGAGATTCAGAATAATAGGAAGAAATGAAACAAAGAGCAAGACATACAATAATGACGTTCTCGGCGTTAGCTAGAGCTTCGACTGTCTCTTCGACTGTTGTCTTGATCACCTGGCCTTTGATTTCCTGGTTCGTCTGTGCAATGGGAGCGATGCCGCCGAATAGCACGTTGGTCAGTGATCGATTCATGGCGACACACTGTAATGGACAAACATGAGCTCTCCAGATCTGATCGACAACAAACCAAAGAGAGAGAAGAAACAGACCATGATATAAGACAAAATCGAACCGCTGACGCCAATCAGTGATCCTACGGTCAATAGAAGGGGGTTATCGAGCATGAATCCCTCCGCGACCAGGGCAAAGCCGGAATACGCATTGAGCACGGTGATGACCACGGCTAGAGAGAAATAACCAGTCAGTCCTCCAACTCAAGACGAAACACCGAAAATGTGACATACGCATGTCGGCTCCTCCAATGGCAGCTGTGGTAGTAAAGCCTTGGGCGAAACTCAGAGCAGTGTTGGCAGAAAGACATACGGCCGCCACAGCAGGGGCGCCAGGAGCCATGGTCACGAATGCCCCCATAGTACCTGCGTTGGCGGCGAGCAGAGACGCGTTGACGAGATGTCGACCCGGCAGAACCGTGGGTCTTGAGGACATGCGGCCGGCCAGTTTGAGAAACGCGACGATTGACCCTGTGAACGTGATGCCACCTGCGAATAAAGATGTCAGTCTACGATGCGAAGATGGAAAGAAGGGCAATCCAACCGATCAAGACACCCAGATAAGCGGTCACCATGTGTAAGGTCGAGATCTCCGAGACATCGGCAAGGACGCTGCCTACGCTGGTAAGCACGGCTGCGAGGCCGACTACCGAGTGCAATGCTGCGACTGTCTGCGGCAGTTCGGTCGGTGTGATTCGTCTTCCAATCAAAGCCCCTGACAGCAATTGTGAGCAGATCAAGCCGGAAAGGATCAGGGAATCTTGACATACCAATGATGCCACCGATTGCTGCAATGGCCCCGAATTGAGCAAGCACATCTGGCGAGAACCCAACTGCTCCCAGTGAAGCGATGATCCCTGCAAACACGCCCAAAATACCCAGCAAGTTTCCCGTCCTTGCAGTTGCTTGCGATGCGAGACCGGAAATCGACCCTGCTCTACAGTCAGATGGAGGTTGTAGCGGTCACAAAGCTTGATACTTACCAATGCAGAGGAGACTGCTGACCAAATACCCGGCTTGCACCATTCCAGCCATTCCCGTGGACGCCGCTGCAACGAAACCGCCTCCGAAAAGAACAGCCGGGATCGCATACAGCCAGGGATATTCCGGGGGATCGGTCGGACGCTTGAACATATCCAACATTCGCTTCGTGATGACGAACCCGCCGGAGATGTTCACAAAAGCCAGAAGAACAGACAGTGCACCTAGCACTTGAGGTACTGTTTCGGGGAGATATCCTCCTCCCATGACGAAGAAGCCGCCCACTCCAACAATGCCGGAGATGGCATTGGTGACACTCATCAGAGGGGAATGCAGGGCTGGGATCACGCCCCAGACGGATCGATACCCGATCAGACCGGCCAGACCGGCGGTGAACATGCTACCCATGAAAAGTGGACTGGTCAGTTTACCCAGCGCAAGAGCGGCACTCATCCCTCCCGTCACGGCGGCCACATTCTTCGTTTGTTTTTGCCATGGGGTCAGTTCGACCGGCTTGATCTCGGGCTCATGGTGCGACTGGGTGGCAGCGGGCGGTGGAGCAGCTCGTGGTGCTGGAGGGATAATTTCTCCATTGTGAGTGACTATCGAGCCACGAACAACCTCATCCTTTAAATCCACCCCAAAATGGTTGTCTTTGGGGGCCAGATAGAGCAGGAACTTCGTGATGTTGTTAGAATACAGACTGGTCGACTGGGTTGGGAGACGGGACGGGAAATCTGTGTACCCTAGGACCGTGACATGGTTATGGACGATGAGCTTTCCAGGTACAGTGACTTCACAATTTCCTCCACCTTCAGCTGCAAGGTCGACAATCACGGATCCCGGCTTCATGGCGCTGACCATCTTTTCGGTGATGAGCTTGGGAGAGGGTCTGCCCGGAATTTGCGCTGTGGTAATCACAATATCGACGTCCTTGCATTGATCCATGAAAAGTTTCATCTCCGCCTCGATGAACTCCTTGGACATTTCTTTACTGTAGCCGCCTGCTCCGCCACCCTCCTCCTGGATGCTCACTTCGAGGAAGTCGGCCCCAAGAGATTGGACCTGTTCTCGCGCCGCTGATCGAGTGTCGAAGCCACGTACCATCGCGCCCAGTCTACGGGCCGTGGTAATGGCGCTTAGCCCAGCAACACCTGCACCGATAACCAGGACTTTAGCAGGAGGGATCTTGCCAGCTGCAGTAACCTGGCCTGTCAAGAACCGACCAAAATGATTCGAAGCTTCCAGGACCGCCTTGTATCCTGCAATATTGGCCATCGAGCTAAGTGCATCAAAGGCCTGGGCGCGGGAGATCCTTGGTATCATGTCCATAGCGAATGTAGTGACATGACGTGAGGCTAGGGCTTCGACCAGGCTCTTGTTCTGAGCCGGTTGAATGAAAGATATCATGGCGGCTCTGGGTTGGATCTGTGAAACTTCGCTTTTCACATCAGGAGGACGAACTTTGAGCAGAATGTTGCTCTCAGACCAGACAGCCTGGCGATCCACGACGGTGGCACCCATGTGCTCGTAGACCTCATCCCCATATTGAGCTTTGGCACCAGCACCGCGCTCGACGAGGACACGAGCGAAACCTTTCTTCAAGAGAAGTGGGATGTTTTGTGGCGCAACAGCCACTCGACGTTCTCCGGCAAAGGTCTCTGCTGGGACACCGATGGTGAGCTCTGGATACGGCACCGGGCCAGCCGCTAGATCAGCTTTGAGTCGTGACCATACTGTGATCGCCCTGGGAGGGAGCCTGATAAGGCTTGCGTGTTTCGAAGTCTGTGGAACACTGCGGCGGGACAGTGAGATGTGCCGCCTGCAAGAATAGATGGCACTTTGTCCAAGCACTAAGCAATGTCAGACTGAGTTTCATGATGCATCATGCAAACGCCAATCGCTTGAGAAGAATACCTTGGTCAAATAAACTCAAACAGCTCATGGCTGATACTTTACCCGACAGGGTTGTGGTAAAGCCTCCGTGAGCCATGATGGGCTGGTGGCGGCCCTTACCCCCAAATCAGCAACAGTATATGGTCTCGCGGGATTGAATTTTGGGCTGCAGGTAGCCGCAATGGCATGCATGTCAAGACCAAACACCCGCTGAACCAGGAGATCTATCGCATAACTGAAGTCGAGAAACCTGATTCATCAAACACAGTCAAAAGTGAGTGAAATGGACGGAGAATTGACAAAGCAACGGGAAGCAAGTAACTCAGTCAGCGTGGCAGGCCACTGGCCGGTCGGCGACCCAAGAATGCAATAGTAACTGGATGGCCAGGTCTGGGGCCCAGTTTGGGGCATGAATGAGGGATGAGTCGATGAGACAGCCGAGGGGAGATATGGCCACCACGAGCGTCTCGCCGGTTCCGGGAGTAATCGAACGCACAGCTTGACACATGAATGACTGTGCATAGTTGCGTCCATCCATCGCCATTGACAATTATGCCAGCCTCTGCGGTCCTCTATGCCCCTACTTACCCCAGCGTGGGGGTGGAGCTGACAGCCTGAAACCCACTTGTGTCTGCGGGGAGGAGGAGGGAGAGATGCGGAGAGGACAGGGTTCCATGAGACGGGGAGCAGTGTTGTCCCTGCTCTGCAGGCTGCTGGTGGCGGTTCAACTGTGGTTGATCTGGATTGGACAAGGCTGCTGTATGTACATGGCACGTCAAGCCACCTTCGGAGCCGGGGTGATGGACAACATACACATCCTTCTGGAATGTCTGTAGCATAGAGGGAGCAGCTTGCGAATGACAAGGTTGTACCCTTGCATATGTGTTTCTATATATTTGAATAGCGTGGTGTCAACAATCCTGTATCTGACGGTGGAGGTCAGACTCTAGCCTCGACCTGATGTATGCCCATGGCTCGGCTCATTGTCGTCGATTACCGGCAAGGAGACATCGTGTCAAAAGGGGCTGACAGGTCGTGTCTATATGTCTGGAGTGGTATCGTCGGCTCCAGGTTGACGCGCTTGAGTTGCCATAATCATCCTAGATAGTGGAGGCCTATCGCAATGAATCAGTCTTTGGTTACACCCAACGAACACAAGAAGAGGAGCCCATAACCACACTCTTCTGCAGCTCTTCCCACCGGCACGGCACGTTCACGCGGATGATCCTGTAGCCGACTCCTTTTGTTCTCGATGTGGAAGTTCATAGTCCAGTCCCGCTATGGGCTCCAGAAAGCCCCGTAATGTGGTTTTGGTAATGACCCAGTCCTTCTCATAGTCATCTTCGAGGAGATGGGACTCGACTTGGTCTTCGCTGGCCCGTGCTCCACGCTTTTCCTGGAGATCTAGGGTCCACCTTATTCCATAGCCCCTACTGTTTCTGATTTCATACACGGCTACACCGTGGTGCAATAGCATCACGTTCTTCCAGACTGCCTGCGACAACATATCGTCCAGAATCTGGCGGGCTATTTCTGTTTTGTTCTCATTGCTTCCAACAGGCATGGTCCAGAATGGGTGTGAGCGCCCATGTTCGGACGATGCTCCACCGCGTTCGAAATGTTTACAGAGGGCCACGGCACCTGCTGACATACGGGTCTTGGGCCGGGGAGGCGCATTGAAGGTCTCGCGGAGAACGTCGTCTGGGGGCGGAAGCAGGAAGAGGGTCCCTTTCGTCTTCACCAGGCCGGCATCGCGGTAGGTCGTTTCGGCTTCGCGAGGCTGCGACGACCAGGGGACTTTTATAGAGGGATATATGCCACAAGCCTCGACGTCCGTGTTCATGTTGGAGCTGGACTAGTAATGTGCAAGGTGGGAGGACGATCGCAGCCTGTTGACTATCCTTGTAAGACCCCCAGCTGTGAGCATGAGCCTGGAGTGGACATGGTCACGATTAACGAGGCGACCACTCTCGGTCCGCTTGTTGCATGTTTGCAACGTGTCGATGTCGACCAGGCTGCAGGAACTCGGGTTGATGTGAACGACGGTGTCGAGGCATGAAGACAAATCGCAGCTTGACTGCATCGGCTGCACGGGTCAATGATTCTCCGACGAGGCTGCCAGCACTTCACATAATTGGTATGTATATGCAAGGCTTCATTTTATCACAACAGATACTAATCCATGCCGAGGTTGTTGATGCGATGGAGATGGTAAGTTTGTCGATGGAATCTGTTCAATCCTTCATCTGACACAGAGAGTGTGTCCATGACTGTTTCGTCTCACAACTCTCAAGATCACAAATCGCAGTATTCCTGAGGCCCACGAGGCTGAAGTCTCCTGACATCCTAAAGTCTAGGGTACTTCTTTGGCACCATACCTTGCTGGATCACTCCTGTCTTCCCTACTCAATAATTCTAATGGTAAGTCAATCTCAGTGCTTGAAATAAGACCGTGTATTCTCCTCGCTAGCCCATCCGACATGCTGCCTGATCCTATCAGCTTCACGATACCCCAATCCTGCCCAACACTTCCAGTCGAGCACATCGTAGTATCCCGTTGCCCAGAAAGTGTAGCTGAAGCTACTACGCTTGTATTGGTCACCCAAAACCGCCCCCAAAGAGGGGAATGCGTGCACTGTTCAAACGATGCTCGATGTCGAACTGGTGTACCCAAAATTTTGCGTAAATGAGCGAGTCAAATGGGTCGGCCGTGGGCCTCATGACGCTAGGCCTTTCAGCTGCCATCCACATCGCCCATGCGTCCTCGAAGTCCAGCTATGTCTTCGCCCGCGCTGAGACCACCATGGAATCAAACCCGTCTTTCTTCCTGCAGAGGTGTATTGGATACTCAGACGCCCTGTACTGACCACCGGCGTTGTATACAGAGGAGATTCCAAGCATTTCGGGAGCCTGTTCCAGGAAGTTGTTAAGGGACAGCCGGTGTCTTTAACGAGCCTTGGGGCTTGCAACAACCATAGCCGAGGAGATTGGTGCGTCGGCAGGACTTAAGGACCGCGAGCTGATCCGCTGAGGGAAACCAACGCCTGAAGGGACTCACCTCCCTTTGATCGCATGGTGGTCGATCATATGTTTGCCAATTGGTAGGTTCCAGTTGCCGCCAGCCATTGACGAATTAAGCCGATTGCCCAGGTGGTTGCAAAGAAGGCGTGCAGAGTTTCCTCGAGAAGCGGGAGCCAACATTCTTCGCAACTCTCGAGCAACATTGCCGCCGTTCAATTCCTCGTATCCCGAGACAGATACCGGTTCAAGGCTGAGGATTGATATTTCAGCCAAAGGCAAGTCCGTGAAGACGGGAGTTTGAATTCATCTTACTTGTCATTGGCGGTCGAATCATAATTTGGCCTTGGAGTCCTGCTGGCTCCATCTCCTCACCAGCTCTTCTTCCCGCCCCAGGAAATGCTTCTGCATGCTGCTCGTGATATCAGCGACTTCTTCGTCAGTAAGAGCACACAAACTCTCAAAGGCTACTTCCTCGAACTGTAGTGGGTTGGAAAATGCCTTAACGCGGATGGCGTTGCTCGTGTCCGGCTGCGAGTCCTTGACCGCGTCGATGCAGAATCTGCTCCATCTTTGGAAACAATCCTTCCCCATGGGTGAGGCGGCAAAGAGCATGGCAAAGCAGTGCGGCATTCCTTCGTAGCCAATCAGGTTTACGACCCCTCCACCCTGGTGCATCCTACGGGCAAGAATAGTGGTTTCATCCTCTAAAGCCTCATTGCCCATACACATCCACACCGGAGGCATTCCCTTCCATTGTTCAGGACGAACTTGCATTGGAGAGACCAGTGGATGTAGCATGATCGAAGCGTTGCAGAATATGTCAGCACGCGGAGGGGAGGTCGGCCAAAAGGCGTCTGGGAGTGGCTCCGTATTGGAAAGGCCGGTGTGGCCGAGAGGCTCCAGGTAATCGTAGTGGGCATTGTTGATATTGGACGGTAGTGAACGCGTAATGTCCACCCAGGGAGAGTTGACTGCGACACCAGCTGGCAGCTGAACAGGAACATCAGCACCGTGGAATCTGATGGTGTGAGTACCCATTCTCTGGAGTGTCAGGAGAAGTTGGAGCAATGCAAGGGAGAGATTTCCACCTGCCGACTCTCCCGCAAAGACAATGCTCTTTGCAGACACGGGTTCATGGTATGCCCCAGGGGGAGGAGACAGGAGCGACAAATAAGCCACCAGAGCGTCCAGAAGCTGTGCGGGAAATGGGTTCTGAGGTGCCAGGCGGTACCTGACGGAATAACACCTGCCTCCAGTCATCCTTGCCAGGCGGGCTGTGGTATCGCGGACGGTGGCCGGATCCATCAGATAATATGCACCGCCGTGGAAGTATAGGACTGTCGTTGCAGAGGAGACATTCTCCATGAGGAGCTTGTAGTGCTCATTCTCAGGCATTTCCGGTCGAGTTTCACTAGGGAGCACGCCTGGTCTGTAGCCAGTCCATTCGGCGTCGATACTTGTGATTTCGGGCTCAATGTAGCTCTCGGCGCCGTCTCCCAGATATTTGATAGCACTGCATACAGCATCTTTGGGTCCATTCTGATCTTGTGGTGGCGGAATGGTAACCTTGGCTACCAGAGTCGAACCTTTGATGCCCGGATCCTTGGTTGTTATCTTCTGCATGAAACCTATAGATCGTCTCTCACTGGTGATGTCTCGAAGGAGTGTGACAACGACTTCGGTCCTCAGATTTTGCTTGGATGAGTTTTGCGAAAGCGACAAAGCATTGAGAATGGCTGTCTTGACAATGAGTGGCAGGCGAGGGAGGAGGAGTCTCAAGAAGGCTCGGACCGAGACATCCATGTCTCGAAACGACGACGCCGATACGCGGACAGACACGTAGCGAAATACAGAAGAGTTGAGATGGGTCAATCGGACAGTCTAGGTCGGTATCTGCGTAGAATTGTAGGTCGGTTAGTAGGTGATTGTAGTTGATATTGCGGTTTGTATCAACAAGATCTCCTTTCAAATGACGGCGTCATAGACGCAAGTTGTGACAGCCTCGCCAGATATCGACTTGTCTCGCTCATCGTTGTATTACTCCAAGGATCTAAATGTCTACCAGATACCAATGACAGGAAAAGCTGTGTATATATACACTTTCATGTCGGCATTCCCTCTCAGCACAATCTGCGTACGATACTCATCTGTCAGAACGATCTCCAGAGGAAACGTCGCCTGGACGAGCAGCCGTGATATCTTACCATTACATCCACCAACCTACGATCTCTGTGAGGCTCTCCCCGGCTTTTGCCCTTCAGCTAAGACCCGTGGAATGGACACACTTACACTCAATCCCTGATGACTCGCCATTCGCTGAACGGTGATTGCATAATAGCTGCCTCGCTAGTCTTTCAAAAGGTTTGGAAATCGAGGAGTTGGACTTGGACCACAAGCCACTGCAGCGCTTGCCGCCAGTGATATCATCAAGGAGCATGGGTCGTCAATGCTCACAAAGCAGCAAGCAAGCATGAAGACGGAGCCGTGACGGCGCGACGTGCGGCAAAAGGGGAGCATCGACGAGGTATTTTGTTCTGTCCTCGTGACTGTCGTGATATACCGGGCCGTGTATCTCACAAAGGTGGTCATCGACATGTCGACCGTCGGAGGACTCAAGCATAATCATACAGCGATTCTACAGCTTCTGAAGTCTATTTGATCCATCCCTGAATATCCTCGTGAAGATACCAAACCCACGGCACATGGACCAGGATCATGGATACACTTCCTTCTTGCAAGCCGATTCTGACTCGACCTAAGTGGTCAAAAGATCTCGTCGTTGAAGGGTTATTTTTGGCAGCCAGACAGCGTCTCATCAGCTACCCTAGTCAATTTACCTATATACTTGTCGTCCAAAAGAAAATGACGCTTGGGCACAAGCGATCTATCCCCTCTGATAGGACCGACTTATCTTCGTAAAACTTTGTGGGAGATGCGATGAGAGAGTGCATCAGCCTGTTTATCGACACCCATACAGCTCAAGACAACCTTCTCCTCCACGGTGCTCGGCTCATTAAGCATGGTTCTGGGGTCCCAAAAGGCCCCATGGGGAACTTGGAGATCACCCGAATCATTCGTTGTCAGCAGCAGCAGCAGCAGCAGCAGGAGACAACATTCACTTGGCCCGGGAGCCAAAGGGCGCACCGCTTGACCCAACTGAGTATAAGAACCTCGCCTTAGCCCTTCAATTATCCCATGGGTTGTCAATGCCCCCAACACGCCTCTGCGTCACATTTTCAAGGGTAACAGGGATGTCATGGATTCTTCTCGTGTCCAAGGAGGCTTTGACTCCAGGCTGAAACGTTTCTGTTCGCTTGTTGGATTGTTGATTGTCGATCGTCCTTGATTTTCTTCTCAGAACAATCCAGAAGAACGCTACAGTCTTCGGCTATCCTTAGTCTGCTCTCTGCACGGTTGCACATGGACTTCGAACTGACTCATCCGGGGAGAGGGAAGTCAACTCCACAACTAGGGACCTAAAAAAGATACTCCTCATTGCTCGATACTACTACTAGGTAAGTATGCCGCCCCGGCGTATGCCTCGTGCCATGGCCGAGCATACCCGATCCCCGGCACGTCTACTACCTAAGGTATGTAGTACAGTGGATGACTCCCGCTCACGAATGTAGGTCCTTTTGATTTAGTTCGCAGACCTCACAAATTGACAAGCTTGCACGTATCACATACATAAATATATATGTTGGAGTTAAGGCTCTGGTCTAGTTCAGGTTCGGTCTGCGCTAAACAAATGCCTTATCTGCGAGGAAGCACATCAACAACCATCTCCGTTAAACTATGCTCGACCACGTCTGTTCTGAATCTCCGAAGTGTTAGTGACGCGCTGGTATTGACGAGGGGGCATGCATGAAAACACCACCTTGATACATGTATAAACAATTGCCATGACCCTGGAGCTCCAAACCAGTCTTTCGACCGACAGCTCTCTAGACAATACGTCGCTGGGCTCATGGGACTTTGTGCCTGAGTTGACCACAACCGCGACTGAGCCAGCACCACCAGAGCGAGGCAATGGCAACAGCAATGGCGACAACTGGGAGCGACATCCACAAGCACACAGAACTCGCACACTGGCACCCAACCTGACACGGCGGTCGCACAAAAAGTCTCGTGGCGGCTGCTATAGCTGCAAAAGCCGCAAGATCAAGTGCGGCGAGCAGAAACCAGCCTGTGGCAGCTGTGCGATCAAAGGGCTGAACTGCACATATCCCACAGAGCCAGTGAAACGGCAGAGCAGTAGTAGTGCCAGGGGCAACGACCGGACCAGTACGACGTCTCACACGCTGGCAGTACTACGACGGAACCCGACGACCGGACCGTCGTTTTCCGCAAACGAAACTGCATTTGGAAGCGGCGGTGGCGCCGAGGGAAGGACGTTCTCGATGCTCGACATGCGCTTCTTCCACCACTTCCTGACGATCGCATACCCGCATCTGCCGGTCGGCAATGACACGGTGTGGGTGCACGAGATCCCCCAGTTCGCGGAGCGGCACGGATACCTGATGCACGCGATCCTGTCGCTGGGGGCATCACATCTGAGCCGGCTGACGGGGGTCGACTACCGGCGCGAGTCGCTGGTGCACCGGGGCCAGGCGATCGCCGGGTTGAACCAGGCGCTGAGCCAGTGGCAGACGGCGCGCAGGTACGGCGAGTCGGACGCGATGCTGGCGGCCTGTTACGCGCTGACCTTCCAGGCGTTGTACATGGGCGACGGGCTGGCCGACTTCGTCACCATGGTGCGCGGGTGTGCGTTGACCACGGAGAAGATCCGGCACGACAACTCGCCCACCGCGTTCAATCTGCAGCCCGACTACCACTTGGAGTGCATGGCTCCGCGGCTGCAACAGCTGCCTTCGGTCGATCCGCGACTACTCGAGGATGCGGGTCGGGCTCTGGACGAGATTCGGCCGTATATGTCTGACACTGACGATGACAATGACAGAAACGACCACGACACGGAACTCGATTTCCATGACGCCCTGGTCGACGCCGTCGCCGGCCTGCAAGCCAGCCCGGCCAGCGGCTATCTCCAGTTCATCAGCATCTATGGCGTCTGGTACGAAATGCCGCACGACCGGTTCAAGACGTTCCTCGATCCCGACAACCTCGTCGCCCAGCTGCTGCTGGCCTATTTCGTTTGTCTCCAGCTTCTCATGGTGCCCTTGGCCGCCCATGAGTGGCCGCATCGCGCCGACATCCTTCGCGTCCGTGTGCTGTCCGGCACCGTCGAGTGGGCGGAGGCCATCTTCGACCGTCTGGAGGCTTCGGACCTTAGGGGTCTTCTGGACTGGCCTCGTGAGATCATCGCCATCGTGCGTGCCGAGATCAACGGTCAGGTGCTGCAGTCGACGCCGGTGTTGCAGCTGCACTTGGCCGAAAATAATCTCTCGCCTCAATCAACCGTGCTCATGGCTCTTTGAGGATGCTGCGGCCACCGGCAATGCCTTGGAAGGGGCTTCAAGTTTTGGCTGGCTGGCCGGCCAAGCCGAGAGGTCGACAGAGACATACATACACATATCACAATGCTGGTCGAACCAATAGCCTGAGATTGGAAAGGCAATGGAAGGCAGCCGGGCAGACTGCAAAGACAAATCACCCTCCTCATCCCAATCTCTACGGTCAAAGAATGGACACACCCAATCGCGGCAGACGGTATCTGGTGCAACGAGCGACATGTCGTACATAAGTACCCCGGCGGCGGAGCGGGAGCCACAGCACAGCCTGGGCACGCCTCCTAGCGGAATAGCAGACGACAGTCGAACATGCGAATGTGCCCTCCGCCTCACCGAGGTCGATATTGTGCAGATGAAGAAGAAGGAGAAAGGAGCGAAGCCACACCACAGGAGTCACTCAGCAGTACTACTACCGAGGCACAGTCTTGTCGAGTCAATCAGAGTTCCGGCTGGGCCGAATCGTCCAGATATGAAAGTCAAACGTGAAAGATGAAAGATGAAGCATGAGCATGAGCATGAGCATGAACGTCTTACCTCTTTTGCCTCAATCACAAAACAACCGTTATGTCGGAACAGTACAGTCGGACATGGACGCGGAAGATTTTACTTGTTATGTGTCTCGAAAGTCATGAAAGGTTAGGACATTCCCTATGTACGGGGTATAGATATGATGAAACACGAAGCAATATGATCAATGGCATTGGGCTACAGCGAAACCGAGAGTACACGCAATATCAAATCACCCATGAAGGAGCGGAATCTGGTCAACGTCTTATGTTTAACCCTACGACACCCAAGAGCGGCCTGTTGTGTAAACGATGATTGTAGACGTGACTTGAGCACGCAGCAAGTCCAAATTATTTGACGTATGACTTGGCTTGCTCTGTCGACCACATGCTCAAGCAGCCCAGCTCATCTGGTCAATGGTGTCTCGGCGCTGCGTTCCACTGCATCGTCTGTCGGTTCGCCGCATTCCACCAGCCTATCCATGATCTCGCAGTCTATCTTGGAGAGCTCTGTTGACGGACCAGGACAGTGACATGTGTGCTTATTGAAAGCAACACGAGCTTGCACAAAGCTGAGCATAGAACAGGATTGGCATGTTGAGAGTCATGTGGCCCGACTAGTCACCATGTCACTGCCGCCTGGTGTGCTCTGATGCTTGGAGGGCTGTCTTGGGTCGGGTGTCAACTTGAGAAATTTGCAATCGGAACTGCCGCTCTTGGCCTGGGTGTTTGCGGACACTGGTTTGGAAGACGGCTCGCAGCCTTTCGTGGAAGACTCGGGAATGGCGGAGTTTACTTTGGATGGCAAGTGTTCGTCAGGGATGAGACGGAGAAATGCCATTGCGATGGCGGAGATGTTGGGTTGATCTGCTGCGTGAGGCGCGAATGTTTGATATCTTGGTTTGGGGTCGGACAATGATGAAAGTCGGAGCGCTGGGGATCTGATGTTGTTTCGGACTCTGGTGGGAGAGATTCGCAGGCGTAGAAGAAGTTAGAGACAACCAAGCTGCGTACATAGGGCAGCCGACGAGGTGACCGGTTGTTGCAGGCAGCGTCCATGGCAGTCACAATGATCTGTCACCTCGCTTGTGAACCGGTGCGGCCATGCTTTCATTCACCTACCCAGCCAGAGTGATAGAGGCCGCAGCTGGCCGTGACGAGGCCCGAGCCAGGGCAGCTCCTCTTTGTTTGTTTTGCTTAGATTCTTCACTGCGCCAGAAAGGCTGCTGCAATGCCACCAGCGAACATACTTGCAACAGTAACGAAGCTGCTTATACTCATGGTCGACATGCCGCTAATGCCATGTCCACTGGTACAGCCACCGGCCAATCGAGCGCCGAAGATCATGGCAAAGCCACCGGCGACAGCGGCTGGTGTGCTGACCGGAGAAGTTTTCTCGAGAGTCACAGGGACATATTGCGAGATCAACCTGGCACCTGCAACCATGCCGCTGGCGAACAGCACATTCGACAGACCGGGGCCGGGAGTCCGCTCGAGGATGCTCCAGAAGTACTTGCCAATGTCCTGGTACGCGCTGGACACACCGAGGGTTTTGCGGGTGAACAGGACGGAAGTCGCCTGAGCGATGCCGATCAGAAGGCCACCGGCGATAGGGTTCAGCCAGTAGTTGCGCGTCGGGGCGAGATAGGTCGCTGCTGTAAGCATGACCAGACAAAGAAGCTCGTAGATGGCCACGATCGATCCCGTGGAAAGACCGGTCTGCTCTTGCAGAGTGTATTTGGACGGGCCCGAGGAGGAGGAAGACGCTGTAGCTTGCGACCGCTTGAGACTCTGGCCAATTCTCGCGAAAACGATACCGGCAAGCACTCCCCCAACGGCAACGTTCCATGCCGACTTCATTCCCAACCCGATCTGCACGAGAACAGTACCCGGGCACGCGCCCGTCAAGGTCATGCCGATGCCCTGAAGCAATCCTCCGACCACGTTGGCATCGTATTTCATGAACCAGCCGTAGGATGAATCAGTCCGATGCGGTAGTCTAGCATAGCCGGATCGATTGGCTCCGACCACGATGAGAGCGCTGCAGGCGCTGGCCGCGATAAAGGATTTGAACATATGAAAGTTGGAAAGGCCCATCTGCCCGAGAATGACCGAGGGCGAATAGACTCCTGAGGCAGTCAGGGCCGATCCAAAGATGGCGCCCGAGGCTGCGCTGAGGAGGAGCGACGACGACATTCTGAGTTTGGATGGTCAAATTGATCAAAGGTACAGAACCGGGTTTCAACGTTGCCTTATTATGCGACTGATGATGATTGAAGTCGTCGACTCACAGTGTTCAAGTTGGTCGTCGTTAAAGCTCCTCATGAAGGAGGGGCGTCAAGGAGGAGGTAGGATGGAGGAAAGAGGAGGGGTGAGAAGAACACTAGAATGTAGGTTGGTAGATTAGATACGATGATTTTTGTCGATTGACGGCGCAAAAAGCAAATACGGCGAATCCACGCATCGCATCGCTCGGGGATAAAACACTCATTATCCCTCTTAGGGCTACGGTGGCCGCTGTCTACTCTGTAAGTGCGCTGATAAGGATGATACACTGCTATCACTCAGCTGGACACTGATAGGACAGACTACACAACTCAGAAGGGAAACTCATGGCTATTCTGTACTGCAATACCCTCTCCGTCGATCATCTTATCTTTCCTCTGGTTTGCGCCCTACTGCTCTCCCGCTCCCAAGTATGTCCAGCTCAATGCAGGTGCTCCGGCCTTGAGCCCTCGAATTCGAATGACTTGTGTGTCATTTGGCACCAGATCAATCGCGCTGTCGCTCAAATGGCATCCTTCGCGTTCCTCGAACACGAGACACTTTACCGGTCGTTCGGCAGAGACATGCAGCTCGTCCCCAATGGCCTCAACCTTGACCTTGCGTTCGGCGAAAGAAAGATACTTCAGAGGTTGTGGCCAGTCTGTATCACGTCCGACCAATTCTCCATTGATCCATATGCGCGCCGCCAGAACATGAGGCTCCTCCCGGACGTTATCAATCACACCCTCAACGACATTCGTGGTACCGTTTGCGGCGACCCGAATGCATTTCTTCACAATCTTCTCCTTGATCTCCCGTCCTGTGCGCACGGAGACAAATCTGACCTCCACATCAGCAGTCACCTCTGTCAGCCGGGAACTGACCACCCACAGCTCCCAATTCTGCGTTTGGGGCTCGCGGGCATGCGTCACGCTCCAGTCATGGTGAGCTCGACGAATGCCGACGGCCACGGGCGCCAATACTCTCGCCATCGCATAGTATGCAGGCTTCCTCCGGAGGTAGTAGTCGACGATGGACCAGCTAGTGACCGGCCAGCAGTCGTTAAGCTGCCAGACCAAGGCTCCGCCACAATGTCGTCCATCGCCCCATTGCTTGCGCCAACCGCGGTACCCAAACATGAGGGCCTCGCACTGTACAAGCTGGGTGAGGTGTATGTAGGCCTCAAGCTGCGTCGCCGTCCTCACGTTCTCCACCAGGTATGTGGCGATCCGTCGCTCATGCCCGTCGGCTTTATTGTGGAAATCCAACACGTGGCTTTGAGGAAACAGGTCCTCTTTCTTCTCCACAAATGACTTGATCGTGGCAAGGTGCGGGAACGCTTCCATTCCAAACTCGGAGTTGAACCGACCCCCGAGGGAATCAAAGATCTGATACTTCTCCTGCGTCCCATGCCACACATTCCATTGATGCAAGTCCCCGACAGAGGGGTCGGAGCTGATCCTGCCGTCGCCCCATGGTGATCCCGGATGGTACGCGACCCATGGGGCTTCGGCCGCGCAGACCTTCGGTAAGAGCGCCTCGTAGATGTACCGCGCCGGGAAATCAGACTCCAGCCAGTGTTCCTCGTTCTTGTCCTCATAGTCATAAGTCAGCTGCGCCGACTCGGCAACCTGGTAGTCTTCGTTGTTTCCCGCGAAAATGGCCAGGCATGGATGGTGTCGTATTCGCCGAACATTGGCCACCGCCTCCGCCTGGATCGATCTCAGCATGGCTGGAAAACAAGGGTAGTTGCCGCAGCCGAACATGAAGTCCTGCCAGACTAGGATGCCGAGTTCGTCGCAGGCGTCGTAGAAAGCGTCATCTTCGTAAATGCCTCCTCCCCAGACCCTATACTTCTGCATCAGCCTTGCCCCTCCAGGAGGATTTGTCGGGTGTTTCATATTACCTGATCATCTTCTGGTTTGCAGGCACCAGCAACTCAAGCCAGGCGCGGTATTTGGCCGGAGTGACGTTGGTCAAGAAACTGTCCGTGGGAATCCAACAGGAGCCTCCGCAGAAGATGTCGACATTGTTCACCCGGAAATAGAAAGACTTGCCATGAGAGTCGGGTTCCTGGATGAGCTCAATCTTACGCAAGCCGATTCGCTTGGTTTCGGTGTGCAGTTCAACTCTATCAACCGCGACAGTCATTCTAACAGTGTAAAGTGGTTGGTCCCCATACCCAACGGGCATCCAGAGTCTGGGGTTCGGGAGCTGCAGCTGGGCCGAGCCTTGTCCCGTGAGATCGACTTCGGCAGTGTGTGTAGCAACCACCCTCCCTTCCAGACTGACGTCGAATTTGGCCATGATAGGAGCATTATGGTTTTCGACTCCCTCAATCAAGGCACTCATGTGGATTGTCGCAGCCTGCTGGTCGTCGGCGATGCTGGTGTCGATTCGCAGATCCGCCATTCTCACCGAATAAATCTCCAGGCGGACCGGTCTCCAGATTCCAGCACACATCAGGACCGGGCCCCAGTCCCATCCCCAATGGTATTGCGCCTTTCTCACGGCCAGACGGGCTGGGTCTCCGTTAAAGCAGATGAACTTATGTTCGGGATGCTGGTCTTTGAGCTCTCGGGCCTTGAGAAACGAGGAATCGAATGTAACTTCCAGGTCATGGTCGGCACGAGAATTGGATCTGAGGGCGTTGGTAACGTCGACCCGATGTGGCAAGAACATATTGTCACTCTCCAGGATGGTTGACCCGTCCAGCCTGACATGTGCGAAAGTATCTAAGCCGTCGAAGGCCAAGATCGCCTTGGAGCCGTCCGGGATCGACGGCCGTGCCAGCTTTGTCCGGTACGTCCACGATTTGAGTCCTACCCATTCTGCTTTGATCTCGTTGAATCCGATAAATGGATCTTCCAGTCTGGAAGAGAGCGTTACGGTCAGTCTCAACCAACAAGAGTGGGTTCAAGCTCACGCACAAGTTGTTGTCAATCAGATCCTGGTGGACAGTAGATGGGACCTTCTTGACTGGAAACCAAGAGCTGTCTTCAAGCTGGTCGGCTTGCTGGAATGACCATCCCAGGGAGAGGTCGATGGTTTCCATGGGAGCACGCACAGTGCCGTGGCCGGACGTGTCGACCATGGCGCTCAGCACTGCAGAGTTCGGCCACACATCCAACGAAAAGACGAGATTATCACCCCGTGATATTGGCGATGGAGATGCTTGCCCTCCAAATGGTTGATGGTTAGAACTTGGGGTTGCACTTAGCACTGCCCGCAGGGGATGATGATCAATATCTTAGCACCGGTGAGGCCGAAGGTATACGCACGGTCATAACTATACTTTTTCTCCGCGAACCGGAACGACCGTGAGATGTCATATAAGGTCGCCAGTATTACAGGGTAACTCCATGTACGACCGTTGGAAGACAGTCGAGCTTGGTTCAATCACAGCTGTGGAGAGCTGTCGCAAGATGATCCGGAGCCGACGTTTCCCCGGCTCCAAACAGGGATGGGATGCTTTGGACTAGAGATACTACTGCATACCTATATATACAGAGTAGTGTGTTGTAGGCTTGAGTGTGCCACTGGCATGACGCGGGCGAGCACCCCTCGTATAACAAGATATTGACTGCTTTACCTTTTACTGCATTGGGTTACATTCCCATGCCCGTATACAACTCACCAACCCCAAGTTCCTGGCCCTCCTTTCATGGGCCCCTCGAGCTCACTCGTCACCCATCCGCCATAGTAGTCGCCTAGAAAGACATCAACATCAACATCAGCGGCCAAGTCAACCGCTCCTACCAAATACTAGTATGTGCTCGCCACACCTACCTTCTTGCGGGCTGACCTTCTCGCCATCGACGAAGCACTCCCACGGCACCCCATTGGCGTAGAAGGACAGGTATCCCTGGATCTCCGTGAAAGCCGGCGTGGGCGCTTCATAGCTCCAGACTTTCGTCTTGACCGTGTCGCCCGTCGAGGTGTTTTGGACATTCCAGTATGTCGCGCGTCCCTTCCATTCGCACAGTGTGGCCTTGTCGGGGTCCCGTACCAGTTGGAAAGAATCGGAAATGCAGTTTCGGGGCAGATAGTATGCTACAGTATACCGCCGTGGTAAGTACGTACAACTTTCCCGTGCCCACCCTCTAGACCTTGCAAGGACAACTTACTTGGAGGATGTGTCGTCTCCAGCGCCCAATACGAGGCTTTGGTGTTGGCCAATGTCTGGCCATTCCATTTGATGACCAAGTGTCTCGGGATCTGCTCCAACAAGGGCGGACGAGGGAAGTCCTGGACATTCAGCTTGACTTTGGCGGCCATGGTGAAAGATTGCAGCATACTACTACTCTGTAGGAGCACGGAAGGACGTCGAGAGGGATGTAGAAGTAACCTACCTAGGGTATATATATCGATGACGATGCCTCCCAATATACTCGTTGTAGGGCTCAATGTAGTCTAGTACGCAGTAGCCACCGGTCTCATTTGGCCGATGGATTTGTGATCTTCTAGATAGTATTAGACACAACTTCTTGGTGATGCATGACATTGAAGGATGAAGGATTGAGATATGGATGACGATGACCTTTGGCCCGTTTGCCTGCTCGATACAATTTAGCAGCTATTCTAGCTGATCATGCTGCCATGTTCGTGTTGCACTCCGTCCAATAGACCCCATGCAAACAGGTGTGCAATAACCCAGCTCGACATAAGAGCCTCAATAATGAGAGATACGTATATGCTCCGCGTTACTCAGTAAGCTCTCTCCAGACTGCATTTGGTAGTATGATGCGCACCCGAACCGTATAGCAACATGGAATATAGAGTGTGGCTCGAATCAGACGATCGACGCATCGGAATAATCGTCTAGAAGGAGGATAATCAGGAGGAGGAGGAGCTTCTCGTGGGTGTTTAACGTATGTTACAGAGAAATTAGCGGGAAATAGGGAATACACCTGTTGTTGTTGTTGTTGTTCGATACTGGGATCCTCCATATCCTCCATAATTTCAGGAACAATGAGTGGAAATTTCTCTATATCGCAGTTGGAGTCGAGCACCGGATCGTCTGGAAAGTCGTGGTATACAAGTATGCTGCTCCGTGACGAGGAGAGGTTGTCGATGGGTGTCGATTTGTTAGAGAAAGAGGTAGTGGAAGGAGAGGAACGCGAGGAACGCGACGGGAGAAGTTGAGTGCCTGTGCCTGTGTTGTCGTGGACTTTTGTATGGAGTAGAGATACTAATAACTACTACTAGTAGCGTGATTTCTGCGCCGGGCGCTCTCCTATTAATTTACATAAGGTAGGCAAAAACGCGGTCTCACTCCTGGCGATTTATTAGATGGCGGTGCCGAACAGGCCCTAAACATGGCTATATATTCATCTGCATACTACTATCTCATGAATATCGAGGGAACATAATCTATGTCGGACGCGAATCGACTACTACTAGCTCGGTACTGCACACTCTACAGAACATCACAATGCGGAAGAAGCAAATGATGAAGCCTGACGTTCAAAGCGAACACCTGGGCTCCTGAAGCATTTTCCTAGTAGGTATGTACTCCTCTCCACAAGACAAGAATCAACTTCAGAAATATCACCCCGAAGACGCCAGAAAACTATGCTGGAACATCTGACTGACGCCGAAACACAACAACTCCATGACCATGTCCCAAGCAATGGCCGCTACATCGCAGCTCGCCCAGCGGCTCGAGAAATCGTACAAACAATCTTCACTCTAGATGGCAGCATAGCAAGCCTCTGTGCTCGCAGGTAGGCGTCATCTGAAGCGATGCATTCAATGCATCCATATGCGACCTTCTCGCAAGATATTCACAACCACCCAATCAACAATCCTGGACCGGCCAACCTGTCACCAGCTCGTGCACCAAAAGATAGTCTCTGCCTGTGGACAATCTCCCCCGATTCAGTCTTCTCCCATCTAGCACTTCTGGAGGTAATTGCTGGGAACCAGACCGACAGCCCCAGGCCTTGTCCCCCTGCCGCTCTCCTTGACTTCGGCCTCCCACCATCCATCGTCTTGCATTCTCAGCACGGCAAGAATGTCGCCCTTGCTGAAGGTCAGTTCTTCGGGGATGGCTGCCATGTAGCTGTACAAGGCACGAGCTGAACAAGAGTCAGTCAATCTGCTAGGCACGGCATCTCCCAACGATAAGAACTTACCGTAATGCAACACCTGCGGCTGTGCGGGACGGTAAGGCATGGCTGCGAGGCTCTTGCTCCGCTCTCGTTTCAACGCCATGTCCGTGCCACCTCTCTGCCGGGAACCTCGTCCATCGTAACCCTGCGATTGCTGGTACGGGTCGCCGCCGAGACTGGAAGCCGGCCTCATCGTTTCATGACGGCCTCGGCCACCGTCGTTTGCGGAATCATCATATCTCGCCATGTCCTGGCTGCTTAACTGGACCTCCATCCCGCTACCTTGTCTTGCTCCCTGGGTTGGCCAACGCGGCCGTCCAGCATACGGGTTGGGCGAGGCTGACCGCAGTTGTGAGTCCCGGTGGCTTTGAGGACCTGCGCCCTGCTGCATCATTGCGGGACCAGGGCTGCGCGATCTCATGGGAGCGTTCGTGAATGGATTGAGAGGTTGTGGACTTGCAGCCCGTGGCATCATCCCAGGTGCTGGACTTCGCGATCGTGAGTACTGACTTGGTGGTTGTGGGCTCGCCGATCGAGGGATCATACCAGGAGCCGGACTTCTCGCCCGTTGTTGGTATTGACTCTGAGGTTGAGGACTGGTCGCTCTGATCATTCCTGGTCCAGGACTTCTCCTTCCATCTCTCGTCCCGGGCCTGGATTGCTGACTACCCCTAGAATTGGAGGCCAGTGGTCCCGTTCCCCACGTTTCCGTCCGGTTCAACATCTCTTTCTTGGTATGAGCAGGCTGCGGCACTCCAAGGGCACTCTGTGGCCTGCCACCAGCATTTTCATACGCCGGTGGAGGCGTTCCTCGCTGTCCCGCCATCCGCACTTGGCTCTCGGCGCTCATGATATGCGGTCGAGCAGCGGGCTCCTGATCAGGTGCGGGAGTGGCCACCCCATGGAAACGGTCCACTGGGACTCGCATACTGGATTGCTTGGCCATCCCAGTGGCACCGTTGGAGCTCTGTTTCAGATCTGCCAGGGCTTGTGCGATAGGGTCGTGCGTCATATCATTGCCGCCCGCAGATGGTGGTGGAAGATATTGGCTGCGTCGATTGGCAGCGCTCGCCTTTGGAGTAGATTGCTGGCCATCCGGGCTTGCCACGTCAAAAACGTTGTTTCCCACGTTCAACTGGAAACTCGCCCGCGGGTCAGCAGCTTCTTCGCCCTCGACAACCATGTCGCCCGTGTTGCGGCTCGAGAAATGTGCCACTGGACGGGTTGGCGATTTCGTTGGACTTGATTGAGTGCTGGACACTGTGGGGTTGAGATTAATTCTGCCTCCAGGAGTCGCACCGGCGTTCCACGTGCTGCGAGAAGGGGGGCTGCTGGTAGAATAGGGGTCGTGTTCCTTCCTCGACTTTCGGCGGAATGGGCTGTTTGAAAAGAATCCGGATCTCTTCTTCTGAACCGACTTGTCGGCCGGAGCCATTCCAGGTAACTCGACTCCATTCACAGGCACCAACTTGGTTGGCGATGCTGCCACCGACATGGGCTCGGCACTGGTGAATGAGCTCGGAGCGGAATATTCGCTTTGGCTGTCCCTACTCTCTGGTCTCGTGTTGGAAGATAAGGCAGAGCCAGCCACCGACGGTGGATCTGCTCGACAGAACATAGTCATGCCATCCGTTGGATACTGGTTATGTGGAACTTGCGGAACGTCGCCGTGCTGACTGGGCGAGTAGTTGGGTGGGACGTTGGGGCCAGCTTGTTTGTAGTTCAAAGGTCGCGGCCGGCCGCTGTTGGTGTTTGATGGCGTAGGGACATCAATCTCAGCCAGGCCCATGGGCTCTTCCGAACGGCGCTGAGGGGTGGAATTGCGTGTACTCCTCGTCCCTGCATTGGAGTGGGTGGGCGAAGAAGACCGAAAGGCGGGATTGGTGGTGCGTGAGAATTGTGCGACTGAGTAGTTGTCGTCTTCCGAGATCTCTGATTGACCGTCGACATCACCGCGACCGAAGTTGATATATCGTGGCGGATCGGGAATTTCCTGGCCGGTACCGCAGACCTTGATGAACATGGTAATGTCCTTTTCGACCTCGCAATTCTCCAGCCCCAGTCTGATCTTCTCGCACGATGCATCATCCGACACACACACGGTCGAGGCGAGGTTGGCGAAGGCCCACAGCGACGACTTGGTAAAGTCAATGCGTTCTTCTTCGAGATCTTGGAACTTGTCGCAGGCCGCCTTCCATTCCTTGTTCCATCGTCCTGTGGTCTCTTCCAGTACCTTCACAGCCGCTTCGTATTCGTTGGAATTGGCGGCCATATTGATCTGCGTCTTTTCCAACTTCGCCTTGTTTTTCCGCTCCTCTTGTCCCATGACCATGTGTCCTTGCGCGAGGTATCCCTTGATTCTCAAGCAGTCCTGTTCGTACCTGTCTCGAGCCTTGTTGACGTGGGCCGTCTGGGCTTGCTTTGTCTTCAGTAATCTCTCAATGCCGTTCTGAATGATCTTTCGACGTTCCTTCATTCCGCCCGCAAAAGCAGTCAATGGCTCCTCCAGTTCGGACTTCATTTGCTGAGCAATTAGAGCGTGCTGCTTCCCCATAGATTCCGTTTCTCCTCGTGCTATGTCCAAGCTGGCTCGTAAAGTCCCTTGCTCAACGCTTCCCAGTGGTTTCCGTGACAGGTGCAACAGCTTTTTCGCATAGTCCTCCTCCAGAGCGGCACGCGCATTGTAGAAAGCCTTGAGCTCGTCGCATGTCGTCTTCGCATTCTGCATGCGGGTCAGGAGAGGGTCGACTCCCGCATCATCTCGGCCCCAGAAGTTGTTCGAGACTGTAGCATTATGGTCAGGAAACCGCGGCTCTCTGTTCTATCAGGGCACTTACAGCTCAAAGGCACCGATGGGGGCGCACCCACTTCGGAGGCGGCACCTGGTGGCATTTTGCCAGCTTGAACTTCGTTACTTTGATCGTCAGGCACGAGATCGAAAGGAAGATTTGAGCTTCGGCAGTCGCCAGCAACTATGTCAGAATGCATCCGTGTGTCTGTGCGTGAGGAAGACATCGATTGTGAAGAGCGCCTCTCCGAGACTGGTCTCCCATCGGATCCGGCGCCAGTGACGAAGCGTGCGCGGTTTGTTTGGGCATTTCCTGTTGTCAGGACAACGCGGGCTGAAACAAGTATGGTGGAGTATCGAACAACATGCGCAATTTGCCCTGCAAGACCATCTACTGCTAGTACGGCAGGCTATCAAGCCTTGTCACGCAAATAGAGAAGGGGGCGTTGCTATTCCGCCTATCGCTGGCCATTGATATGGTAAAGCGCTTTCATTTATGTATTTGCAAGTGCAAGAATCACACGAGCTTAATATCTCGGGCATGTCTTTCATCCCAGCAATCCTGTTGTACTGTGCAGTTGCGTGTCCTCGGTGGTGTACTCGGAGTACTATTGATGAGGATGCGCAGCTCAGAAATATTCGTTGTTTGCCTTCATTCCAGTTATCCCAGCCAACGTCGCTGAAGAGAGCGTTTTTACCACAATTACGTACCTAGGTACGCATCCTGAAGTGGTAGTATGCCATCCGTCGATGGCTAAGGGGACGAGAGTGCGCAGGATTTGGTAGTCGAAACAATAAAATGGGCAAGAAATACAGGCATATTGATTGCTTGCAGTATGTCCCTTGCCCAGAAGAGCACGGCACACTCTGATCATAATACTTGCTTGCCTTGTATGAATTGAATCCTCAATAATAGACCAAAAGCCTCGTTCTTTCTATTCTGGTTTCCCAAACTTCCGTCTGGACGGTCAATGCCACAGCAATGACCATATCGCAATGCTTCCTCCTTGCTCCAGGCCGGCTGTCGTGCCCATGTTCTCATCGCCGTAGCATGGAGCTGACGACTAGGACCTTCGAAACAAAAGCACTTAGGGTGGCAAAGAAACCTGGAACGTTGCCGGGACGTCTTCCTATGTTACGTAGATTCCAGAATCGTTTTCAGTTTTGTGCAGAGAGCATTTATGCCTGCCAGCGCCCCTTGTGCACGCTTGGACGACTTCTCGTTATCCACGTGCCATTTCCTTGCAAATGTGCAAGTTTGTCATCAATGTGATCTTCTCGTTCAGGAAGGGAACACAGGTCGGGTTCTTCCCAGCGTGCGATTCGTACAGAAGCTGCGAAATGACGACGATATTTCAGGAAAGAGAACCCGTTAACTCCCAGCCTGGTTTTAACTGCCCTGCCCTGCATTGATTGATTGCGCAAGGGCTGTGCCTTTCTCGTTGAGAAGCTCGTCGTCGATGGCTCGATATCTTCCTCAGAGGTTTCCATATTTGTTCGTTATTCATTGTCGACAAAAGAGTTAGCTAAAGGGCCAAAGAATGGCAGTTCGAAGTGGTCGAGGTTGTCCACATCCTGGTAGGCATGCAAGGCTAGGAAGCCAATCAAGACCAGGTCGATGGCGAACAGCGTCCAGGAGAGTACAGGGGACCAGGATACGATCAGATGGAGGATGAAGATGACGGAAAAGAGCATGCTGGACTGCCAGGCGTGGAAGCGCACGTAGTCACTCTTGTGTTCGAAAATGAGGAGAAACACGCCCCCAGCGGGAGGAAGCAATATATAGGCCATCATCGCTTCATAGTCCAACCTCAAAGGAAGACTAGTTTCAAATGCCTCGAGACTTTGTCCTCTCTCTTCTCGCGAACTTGTCAACCTATTTACAAAGCGTCCACCGCCGAGTCCGCTTGGGGGAGGGAGACGTCCAGTATCTGAACTAGCGCGTGGGGTCGTCTGGGAAGCGTGGTGCCCTGGAGCGGGTGATCGAGATTGTGAAGTGTCCAAGGACGGTCGCTTTCTGTTGTTAGGCGGCGGAGAAAGCGCACGCTCTCTGTTGATACGTCCATTAGCATATTAAACACGTTGGAGAAGGATGCGATCTTACAACTCCGGAGATTCATCTTGATAAGGCGCAAAATTCATGGTTCGCGCTGGCGGCGACCAGAGCGACACTGCGAGGCTCGACAGAACAAGAAAGGCTATCCAACCGACGTTAACGTTGGCCGATCCGAAGGCGCCTGTCTGACTCCAGGTGCAGAAAGCACCCCTTCAAGCAACAGGGGCTTGACTTGAGCTGCGATCGTACACAGTTCGAAAAGCCGCGGTCCCAGTTGGGGCAAATGCAACACTGCAGGAACGTGTTCCGTCGCGTCGAGCTAAATTAGGTTGCCGCTTGGCGCGCGGTGTGGGCGCTTCGATCGCCTCATGTTCGCCGGTCAACCTGGTCGACAACTAAAGGTGGCCGAGGTACACACACAGCTCGGTACGCTGGATAAAAAGTGTACTTCATCTGGTCGTGTGATGCCTTGATGATGCTCATGTGGCGCTCTGTCTCTCTCGCGCGTCTAGTAGGCGATGCGAAAACGATCGTTTCCCATTGGAATCCGAGAGCGGTTGTTTCTAGCCCCGGCCACGGGAGCCTCTACCAGCGATACCTCGCCCAATTCCGGACGTCGATCTCCTGGTAGAAGAAGTCCCTCTTTTGACAGCGCTGGCTGTATTGGTGCCAGAGCCACCCATCTGCACATATGACGATGTAGATGCTTTTGTACCTCTTGTAGTCGTACCAATCCTGCTCCCACCTCTGGAGGGAACCTTGGCCTGTTTTGTGTGTGTTTCAGCTTTGCGCTTCTCTTCCGCTTCAACCTGTCTTGCTGCTGCCAGCCTTCTCTCCTGCTCCTCGACTTCTCGCCTATCTGCCGCGCGTTGCTTCTTCAGAGTCTCCTCCTCAATATCTGCAATGTCTTGACTGGCGCCCTGCCAGGCTGGATCAAGGATCAGTCTCTGATTGTGCTCTGTCTGGGATAGAATCCGTGTCCATGTATTCAAGAGAGCAGATGCTGCATTGACGGTATTGTTGACGCTCTGAGATGCGGTTAGTAAGGTGAAATGCTCTGCGGGATTGTGTCTCACCATCATATTTTCCTTGGCCCTCCCTAGACTCTGCAATACTCCTTCGATCGCATCGTTGACTTGACGTACACTCTCCAACTCATGCCGCAGGGCTTCCTCGCGGGCTGACTGTGCCTCGTAGGTAGGTCGCGCACTGTCCGGATATTTCGTAGATACTTGGGAGCTCTTCGTGGGCGAGTCCAGGGAAATTTCCATTTTAGCTTCATGATTGTGGGATTCGCCGGCGTCCATGGTGTTAGGGTGATGCTGCTAACCCACAAAGAGGCCCCTTCTCGGCGCTTGGTAGCAGTGCAGACAATGTAGGGCAAGAATGGAAAGTTCCGACCAGAATTGGAAGCCAAAACAAAAGCCACTATACGCGTGGAGCAGGAAGTGGGCGCGTCTACCCAACGTTGGTCGCATTTGTGGCCTGCCATCCTTGACGCTTGCGCCATGGAAAGTGCCCAGCCACCGCAGCGGTCTCGTAATCCTGCCCAACCTCCATCTTCACCTCCCACTCCCAATGCTGCCGTCGCCCCTTGTTACAATTCTGTCCTCGAATCTCCAGCTTGTTGCTCTGCGATTGATGCATCAGACTTTACTCTGCGAAGCCTTCATTGTCTTTGTTGCTTAGGTTGGGCAATAAACTAGTCGCGTCTATTAACTGCGCCGAGGGGTCTTGCGGCAGTGCCTTGCTTCACTTCATCCCTCCACGATAGCTGCACAAAATGGCGAGCACACCACCTGCACAAATTACTTCTACTCCCGAAACTCCTCATACACCTCTTCATGGCGCAGTCTACGACCGCGTAAACAATCGTTCTCTACGGCGCACAACACGCTCAAGCACAAAAATCGCCTCGAAAGAAACCGGCTCAACTCCCGCGTCACAGCGAAGAAGCTCCCAATTGGAGTTTCCAGTGACAACTCCTAGATCATCACAACCTTCAACCGACGCCGCATCTGGACTTTATTCGCCGCAGTCAACCCCAAAGAACAAATCGCCGTGTCGAGTGCAAGTCCTTTCACCCTCCTCTCCCGATCTGCATACATCGAAGTCCAAGCAGCACAATTTGTCGAGCACAACTCTTCATCCCGCCCCCTCTTCCTCGACTACAGTACCTGAGCGAATGCTTCCCACACCGGCCAAAACCCCTCAAAAGAAAATGGCACCTAAGGTGGGGGGTGCGGCGAGGGCACTCTTCCAAGACACTACCCGACAGATAGCAGATTCCGCGTCTTTCGAGCCAAGTCCACGAAGAAGTCGAAGAACTAAGCGGTACAATGGATTCTCACTCGAAAGCTTTTGTGCCGAAGACGATAGCAGTCGTGCTCAGATCCAGATCTTCACCGACTCTAGGGATACGGTTCCACAAGTTGATGAGAGCACGTCCAACCCTTTCCTAGCTCACAATTTGAACGCAGAGACTTCGTCTGCTCGCAAGGTTGCAGGGACAGTCAAACGTCGCAAAGTGTCCGGCCAAAAGAAGATAGATCCTCAGGTTGAAGAGGCAATCAGCAAGGACGAGGGCATGGTCTACGTATTGTAAGTGTTCCGATCATCGGCCCACAAGCTTGTCACTAATTTTATCCCGAAGTCGCGGCAAGAAGGTCTTCAGACGTTTTGATGATGCGGGGGACGAAGAGGAAGAGATCGATCCCGATGAGCTCGGATTGTTGTCACATACTCCAGCTCGATCTACTGCCAAGCCGATGAAAACACTTACGCGGCGTTCCATCAAACCAACCTGCTTGTTTCAGACCGAAGAACAGAGACGTGCCCGGGAGTTGGAGAAGGAAGAGGAAGCACTGACGGATATTGAGGGCATTGAAGGATCCGATGGTGACATTGCTGGAGACTCTACCCACGACAATCATTCTGCTCAGAAGACATCTCGCTCACTGCGGTCCTCCTCAAAGAAAGTCGGCGCTGACGCTCTAGACGGAACTCACCTCCGCGAGGCAGTTGTGCGTCGAACCAACAAACCCAAGCAGGCAAGCCCGTTTGATTCCTGGCCTCGTGTCAAACACGGCTTGCGCACCGAAGCAGCTTCATTGAAGTCCAGAAAGAGACCTGCCAACGGACCCGTCGAAGACGAGACTGATCGCGGAAGTACCGAGTCAAAGAAGATGAGAACCTGAAGACTTGTGCGAGAGAGGCCGTTGTTCATAGGGGTAAATGATTCGACCTTGATTCTGGAAAGCTCTTGGTTGTATAAGATGCAGTCTTGGTACGACGGTACTTTTGACTCTGGTTGCTATCAAACTTCGCAGATAACATGGACTTGTCTTCTCAGCGTAGGCCGGTCCTGGGCTCTATGTACCTCCTTCTGATGGCTACCCGAGGTAGTCTTGCAAGGTTGACTGGCTTTCGATACTTACGTACAAGTAATATTTTTGTCCCAAGGAGCAGAAACTCTACTTCTACATAGGACCAGGCTTGTTCTTCTTACAAAGCTTTTAAGATGCTGCAGGCAAACCGTAATAGGAATGATAAGTCTCTTATTTATGTACATGTACCTGGATGCGGGCACGGTGGGTGACATTATTCTCCGGACAGGATATTTGGTCAGACCGCGCAGTAGGCGGCCGTTATACAGAATATTTATAGGGACCGAACTTGCTCTTTCTACTCCTACACTTTCAAATATAGACTACGACTTCTAATAGTCGGTATATATACTCTCTAAGTATAGAAGAGTACTATACTAGAATATTAGATCATAATACCTATTCCTTGTTCTATAATCGTGGAAAGAATTCTACTTCCTAGGTAAATTTGGCGTGTCATATTTTGACTGCCCGGAGAATAATGTCGGGGGGGTGCTGGTACCTGAGAAGCTTACCTAAGGTACCTAGGTACCTACTGCTGTTACTACTAGTAGTACACTGCAGTAGCTTGAAGCACGTGACCAATGCCAAGCCATACTTCACCTGAAATCGCCTTTACTCAACTTTGTACAGATCAGAGGGTGGGTTGTCAACTCGTTCACTTCTCGTTTGTTCCTACATCTCATATTCCATCAATTGCAAACTGCCCTTCTCACGCGTCACCTCCCGTGCTGTCTCTGGACTCGCATCATTCAACGTGATCCCAGCCGCGCGGTCCAACACGACGATCACGAACAACAAGACCTGCCTTCCCTAAAGTTATGATCGCTTCCCATGAGCTTCGGTAACCCCTCCTCCTTCGCGCAGTGGCATTCCTCAATTGCTTCGTCTTCGGATAAACAGCCTCAGCCCAAACCGCCGAAACCAGCTCAGTCACCTTGGGGACAGAATCCATCCGCCTTCAGTAGCAGGCGTGGACTCACCCCCCTTGCGACCTCAAACCTGACCTCGAATTCAACTGCAGGGACGCGCAGAGAACACACGCTCAGTGAATCCGAACCTTACACATCATCAGCCTCTCCATCCTCGATCAACTTCCCTCCTCTTCTTGCCAGTTCTCAACCTCGCTTTGGATCGCGGCGAGGGACACCACCCAGCTCCTCACATTCGAATTCGCCCATCACCACGCTTCAAGCTGGCGCCCCTCAACCGCAAGCCTATCAACCTCGTTCTGTCACATCCCCCAGATCAAGGGCAATCACACCGTCCCAAGCATCAGCCACAGGTGCTGCTGGCACATCATCGCAAGCGGGCCCTGGGGCCGGAGGTGGAGGAGTCTTCAGTAGGAGTGGTGCATATTCACCTTCTTTGACAAGTCCCGGAGTCGGCTCACCCACAAGCCTCAACTTTGAGCGCCCTCCTAGTATTTCCTCCCACCTCGGTGCTTCTGCGACTGCTCCCTCCTCACTCTCCAAGATCTCCGCGACTCAGATCCTCCTCTTGCTTGATACAATCAGTGAAAGAGAGGGACAGGCAAAGTGGAACAGTAAGGCTGAGAAGATTAGAAGACTCCTTGACTCGAACGGCATGGAGGTCTTTGCACAATTTTTCCGGCGTACTGTCATCCTAAACGCCGCCGCCATCTTCACTGGTGCCAAGGACTTGGACCAGGGGAGCTACAAGCTTCTGCGGCAAGAGTTGGAAAAAGTACTTTGGGATCCAGAACAAGCTTACAAGATTGCAGAGGCGGTAGACACATCGAAGGAGGATTTGTTTCGAGATTTTGACTTGGTCACTTTCTTGCAGCACTTTTTCGCCGACGGTCTGCCTCAAGTCATCTTAGCTATCGCGTTCACCAAGTGTTCGCGCAGTGATCTGAGAACCAAGGCGGAGGATTTTCTGACGCGCTTTGGCCAGGACTCTCTTCGTACGCTGGCAGACAGCCGTGGGAATGCTCAGGCATATTGTCCTGAGAATATCTGCGCGGTCATTGAATACTATGCCTTGGCTGCCGGGACCCGGTCGCAACAGCAAAAGATCGACCTGTGGACGGCGTTGTCTACTCGCTATGCTGGTTTGAAACCTGAACAGCTCTCAGCTCCCGTTACGTCCTCCCAACTCTTACGCATCACGAGTGAAGCCCGCGAGCTAGCACGTGGGCTGCAACGGCATGGGCCCAAGTCGACGATCTCCAAGCAGGCTGCCCACGACTTCCTGAGTTCGTTCAATCCGACGACCATTACCGAAGCCGAGGTCGCGAATGCCTTGCTGTTCCTTGTATTCTCTTACAATCGACAGCATGACGTGAGCAATTTTGTTGCTGCTCTTCAGACCACACAGCTAGATTGGAACTCAATCATCCAAGGTTTCGACATTGCAGACCTAAGATTACGAAGAGACCTGTTTCCAGGACTGTTCAATGCGCTCCTCCAAGTCGCCTCGGAGCGTCCGCAATTTGACATCCAGAAACTCTGGGGAGGACGCTGGCAGAACCCAGACACTCAGATCTCGTTTCTTGGCGGATTCCTCGCTGCTTCGCCCAAGGACATTCAACCATCCAAGATACCGGGCTTCCGGCAGAGCTTATCACTCGACGATGTGCCGAATCCGCCAGCTGACATCAGAAGACAGCTCGAGGCCGAACTTGAGGGCCCGTATGCGTCCGCGGATGCTTGCCAGGCCATCTTTGACGTCGTGCTAGGACCAAACGCAACACCCGACGGCGAAGATCGGCTCGACATTCTGAACGATGTTTACCAGAGCCATGCCGCTGTTTTCCTGTTATTCCTCTCCCGCATTGGCGCGAAACCATGGGTTCCAGATCAAGAAAAATTCATTGCCGAGTGTTTTGGCTTGTTTTTGGAGAAACAGCGGCCAGAATCCCATACCGTCCTAGAGACCATTGCGGCGCAAAATCCCCAGTTTCTCTTTGACCTCTGTCACCTGGTCTTCCAGCTCGACCCACGGCAGACAGAAGTGGTGTATGAGCGCGCCGAAGAGTTCGGCTGGACCGAAGACTTCCTCAAGCACTGGTCGAACCCTTTGGCCCTTGACCTTGCCTGTATCCGGCATAAGGTTCAACCAGGCTTCGACTTGGACAGATATATCTCCGAGGCTGGTGACGGGCAGTCCAACTTGGGCATGATTCTTTGCAAATACCTGCGCATAAAAGCAGACGACGAGTTCCGTGTCCAGCGTGGCGAAACTACTCCACAGTCCATACCCCTCAGTCTACGGACTGTGCATACTCTGCTCGAGAAACTCGAGGATCATCTAGACAATCGCGAGCTTGTGGAGGCTGCGCAGACGACTTGTTTGCAAACTTATCCGCGATTGATGAACTACGGCGCTGGGTTTGACGATATCCTGGAGAAGAGCAGTGAAGAAAAGGGCAACAAACTTCCCGAGGCAATCGACAAGCAAATGTCAGAATTGTTTGGTCGCATGTATCGCTCCGAACTGTCAATTCGCGACATGATAAACGAAATGCGCCGATTCAAGACCTCCAGAGATCCGGATCAACAAGATCTTTTCTGCTGCATCGTCCACGGCCTCTTTGACGAGTACGTATGCTACAACGAGTATCCAGAAGATGCCCTGGAGAAGACAGCCCTCCTCTTCGGCAGCATCATCAAGTACAAACTGTTGCCCTCGATCCCCCGGGATTTCGGCCTCGCCCTGATACTCCGAGCCGTTCGTGAACACGAGCCAGATAGCCTGATGCACCGCTTCGGCGTCGAGGCCCTGCTTCAGATTAGCGATCAACTAGCGGAGTGGCCAGGACTCTGCAGCCTTTTGTTGCAAGAACCCTCTCTTCAACATCCGGAAATTTTGCAACGTGCAGAAGAAGGCCTCCGTGCTCAGCAAGCCGCCGGCAACGGTCTTGGTACAAACGGAATTCGAAACGCTTTGATAGCAAATGGAGAAGAAAACGCGAAGACAGATGTAGGCCGCGGATTCCGAGCCTTACATGCCGACCCGCCTCCTCCCGGTGCTCGCTTCAGAGATCCAGATCAGAAGGTGCAAGAGAAGATTCTTTTCGTCATCAACAACCTCTCGAAGGATAACATGGCCAGCAAGCTAGCCGATCTGAAGGAGTCTTTCTCCCCGGAGCACTATCAGTGGTTCGCTTCATATCTGGTGGAGCAGCGTGCCCGACTTGAGCCAAACAATCAGGAGATGTACTACCAGTTCGCCAACATGCTCAATGACAATCTCCTCATGTCCGAGATCACACGGGAGACGTACGTTAGCATTGTCAAGCTGATGAGTTCAGAGTCGACCATCAACTCTGCCACAGAAAGAGGTCATCTCAAGAACCTTGGTGGCTGGCTTGGGTCCCTCACCCTGGCGCAAGACAAGCCCATCAAACACAGAAACATCTACTTTGTCGACCTGCTTGTGGAAGGCTACGAAACCCAGAGACTGATACTCGTCATCCCCTTTACCTGCAAAGTCCTCGCCCAAGGTGCCAATTCTATGGTGTTTAGACCTCCCAATCCTTGGCTGATGGAGATCATTCATGTCTTGGTCGAGTTGTACCACTTTGCCGAGCTCAAGCTTAATCTGAAATTCGAAATCGAGGTTCTCTGCAAGGATCTCAAGCTTGATTTCAAGAAGCTTGAACCTGCAACAATCATCCGGGACCGACCTCAGACGGACGATGAACTCACGAACGTGTCAGCACTACCAGATGGCCTGGAGAATTTCGATGATCTGTCTCTGAATGGTGCAATGAGTCGAGGTGCTCGTGAGCGTCTTACTGCCCCGGAGATCATGGCAGCGCTACCGAATCTTGAGGATGTGCTCAAGTACCCCCCAGCGTCCGGCTCCCCAGCAGATCAAGCAATGGTGAAGAACATCATTTACCGCGCTTTTGACCAAGCCATCCAGGAAATCATAGCCCCTGTCGTGGAACGATCGATCACAATTGCTTCAATATCGACCAAAGAGCTGGTGGCGAAAGATTATGCTCTTGAGCCCGACCCGGAGAAGTATCGGACCGCGGCGGTACAGATGGTCAAGTCTTTGGCAGGCAGCCTTGCCCTTGTGACATGCAAAGAGCCACTTCGACTGAGCATTTCCAACTACATTCGCCGGCCGGTGCAAGATGACCTGCCAGAACATCTACTACCAGAAGGCGCCATCTTGATGTGCGTCAATGACAACTTGGACATTGCGTGCTCTTTCATTGAACAGGCCGCCGAACAGCATGCCATTCCAGAGATTGAACGGGCCATTGAGGCCGAACTCGAAGAACGTCGACGTTTCAGTGCCGAAGGAGGACACAGAGAGTTCATTCCAACAGGTATTAATCGTTGGTCTGCATGGATTCCAGAACCGTACAAGCAGACTGTTGGTGGCTTGAATGATGCACAACGAGCAGTCTACGAGGAATTCGACCGTCGTGTTCATGGAATGAACTCAAATCATGTTCCCAACGTCGCAATTGATCCCTCTGGACGCCAGCTACCGGACATTCTACAAGAGCCACTTACGATGCCGAACCTCTCCACCCCTGCGGAACAGCCCTCACTTCCACATCAGAGTCCACTGATCCAGCAGGAAAATCGGATGCTGACGGCGATGCAGCAACCCAGGGTCAATGGGTTTGCGGAGACTCTCCCACCCCATGAACGGATCTCTATCCTTATCGAGGATATCCAGAAAGCGGCGCGGGCATCCCAGGCCATGCGTCTCAAAGACCTGGAGAAGAACAGCTCTATCTTTCAGGATTTCAGGCAGATCCTCATTGTCCTCACGTCCTCCACACGTCCTGCGGCCGACCTCTTGGCCAGGCAGATCGCCGAGAAGATTTGCAGCATATTTGTGACAAAGCCTCCCCAAGGGTCTCTTGAAGCAGAAGTTTTGGCGTTTTTACTCTCAAAACTCTGCCAATTGTCCGAGCTAATCATCCGGGACGTTTTGAGGTGGATGAGTGCAAACGAGGATTTGTTGCTGGGCAGTTCCAACGTGGTGGTGGCGCTGGTCACGGTCGGTCTGATGGAGTTTGCCAGAGTGGACATTGCCATCGCTTCTATGCTGATGACCAGGAACGCACACGGACTCCAGGTACTTGCAGACATACTGGATCAGACCCTTTTCACCGACGAGCCAACAGCTCTGCGGGCTGATTTTGCCAATAGTCTGATTGCCATGTCTGCGTGGCTGAAGGAAGAGCCGGACCTTGCCCTGGCCTCGGAACTCAGTCAAAAGTTGAGCGCCCATGGCATTCCTCAGCTCGTCAGTGTTGAGGTCACCGACAAGGCCAAGGCGAAACAGGAACAAATGCGATACCTCTTTGACGAATGGGTGTGCACTTTCGAGAACATCAGCGTCAACGAAAGCACTTGTGCCGCCTTCATCAGAGCACTGCATAAGGACCAGACCATCAACGGCACCGAAGATCTAACCGAGTTCTTGAGGCTGTGCGTGGATGCATGCATTGAGTGCTATGACCGGGAGGCGCAGAGTGTTCGCGGCAGTGTCGATGTTGCCTTCTCTCACGCAGATGCTCTTGCTCGCCTGCTTATCATGCTGGTCAAATATCAAGGGGAAACCAATGGCGCAGTCCAACCAAGCAAAGCACCCTACTTGGAGACTATCCTGACAATCCTCGTTCTCATCTTGAATCACCACCAGAACATGCGCGGCGTGGGGTTCCATCAGAGACTCTTCAGCCGGCTTTTCGCCAATATGCTCTATGAGTATTCGGCCGCCCGGCTTGGTGACACTGCTGATCACACGGATCTGATGCTTGCATTCGCCAAATGCTTCAAGACGCTGCAGCCGTCATGGTTCCCTAGCTTCACCTATGGGTGGTACAGTCTCATTGTGCATCGTGTGTTCGTCTCCGGCATGCTGAGACCAAACAATCACCCAGGTTGGGACGCCTACCGAGAGCTCGTCGGCCTGATGCTCCTCTACATTTCAGAACTGTCCAACGCACCCGGTCTTGATTTGTTGAACCTTGACTTGTACAAGGGCACACTGAGAAACGTCCTGGTCTTGCTTCACGATTATCCCGAGTTTCTTTGCGAGAACCATTCGTATTTCTGTTCACGGATCTCCTACCGAATCCCTCAGCTCAGAAATTTGATCTTGACGGCCAAACCATCGGCGTATCACGATCTCCCCGACCCTATGACACCTGGGCTTAAGATCGAACGCTTGGATGAGATGAAGAGACACCCAACTTTGGCGCATGATTTTGATGGCCCGCTTCAAAGCGAACAGTTGAGAGACACCATTGTCGAAGTTCTCCAGAAGACAACCGAAGTCGAGGTTGCCTTGCAACAAATTGGGGCGGTTTTGCAAGACGAACTTCTTGTAGCCTCCACCCTTGCTCCAAACAAGAGCGTCGAAGTTATCAACGCTCTGGTGCCATTTGTTGGCCAGGAAGCACTCAACTCTTCCCCCGGCCGGTTCGAGTCCAGTTCCATGCCGGTGGTCTTCCTGCACAAGCTTGCCAGCACTTTGTCATTTGAGAACCGGTACAAGCTCTTTAACGCCATCGCGGACCAGATACGATATCCGAACTCACACACGGACTTCTTCTGTAAACTTATGCTTCATTTGTGGGGTTCGGGAGGCATCGATGAGCAGCAGCGGGAATTTCGGGAACAGATCTCTCGAATTGTGTATGAACGGCTCGCGGTTGCTCGTCCCCACGTCTGGGGCATGACGATCCTTTTCCTGGAATTGCAGCAGAATGCAGCGTACGGATTCTGGGATACGGTCGCGCCCGACTCGAACGTACAGCAACGTCTCCAACAGGCCATGAGGACGTCTCATTGAGCGAAGCTCGGCGGAGTTACAGCAGGTCCCTTGTGGATCGGGAAGCGCAGACTTCCGTGTCACCGAAGCCTTCTTCGAAACCAGTTCATGGGTTCAACATGTTATACCGTCTGGTTCAGCAAGATGAAGATGGGAGCTGGTGGTTCCCATCCTTGCATTGGGTTGAAATATCTCTTTCTTGTACACATGTTTCTCCCGGTCTGATGTTGGGTGCGCGTCGATGGCATCGTCACCTTCGCTGCCTGTGCAGATGGGAGAGCGACGACTACGTGGCTGGTGTGGAATGACATGGAAGGTTCAAACTCACGGCCTTTATATGGGAGCAGGGTGGATGATACGGACATGGACATATTCAATGCATGAGGGACGATTGGAGTTTTGACGGATGACAGCGCGGCTTGCGAAAGAAAAAGTGAAGATTATTTTTAATGCTGGACCTGGTTAGATGGCCATCTCTATGTGCAAAGGGGGCAGAAGCAGGGGTGGCCGGGGTGGATGGAGCACTGGCAGGGCTGGCGAGAATGCTGCCCTCCCTGGTTCTCCATGTAGCCGGGCCAAACGTTTTGTGTATCATAGACCACTTCTGAATCAAAACAGAGTCATGCCTCTTTGTGTTTCTACCTCCAGATCTGCCTCACCAGTTTGACCTGATATTCAACCACGCTGGAAAGAAGGTTCCCGCTCTTTACCCGTATGTATGGATGCAGGTACTATGAAGTGCGCGAATGAGAAATGTCAAGAGAGTGACTTCAAGTACATCAGACACAGTGACCAAATGACAGACTCTGTCGTACAGCAACGATGAAAGAGGTGATACCGCTGGAAGACTCGAGTTCAGGAGAGGAGAGAAGCGTGACACCAGAGTTGTAGGTGGTACCAGCGTAGCAGAATATCAAGTTTTGGTAGGCAAGTCGCACAACAAGCAAGCTGAAAACTAATTTGCTTCGATGATAGCACTGAGGTGTCGATTTGTTGATTCAGCCCAATTTCCTAGCGATGCATGGATCGAAGGACTTTGCAGGGATACAGGGAGGGAAGGAGAATCACTGTCACGACAACTGTGGCTAGTGATGATGTCGGGGTCCGTAGTACTAGTAAGATACCCATTGCAGGTGGCTCAGCCACATGCTGGGTTTACTCTGTAGGACTCTTGTAGGTACTTTGGCAATCGCTCCCTCCAGACCCACGCGCCTGCTGTCCGCGCGCCACCACTTTTAAATGACAAGAAGAGTGACATCACTTGGCCTCATTGTTATTGGCTTCACTGCCTCCCTGTCGCGGAAAGTGATATCACCAGCACCGTCTTTCAGCTGAACTGTGGCACTTCCCACGGCCCTTGGTCCCATCTCCCACCTACCACGTCGTCCGTCTGCGGCTCCATTCCAAATGCCAATGCGAGATCCCGCTGCGCATCACTGCGACGTCTATCGACATACCCCAGTACATGCCTCCTCCTGGTCCAACCAGTCGCAATAGCAACACTGCATTTGTGGGCTCAAAGTTCAAGTTTGAAGGCAGGTCTGGCCTCGCTTGCCAACTTTCGTCATACCCACAGCCATCGCGGTGACACACCAACTTCACCCTCCCTGCGACCTATATGTCCAGGGCGAGACGAACGGGAAAAGCCTCTTATTCACAACATTCCGCTTGACCTCTTCAGTTATCACCCAGGATCAAATTTCCTCGCTTACCACCTTTCTCTCTCATTGGCGTCTCCCCTCCTCATCTACTCAGTACCACGTCCCCGAGGACTACATACTCACTTTCTGGTCTCTCCCTGCCAGGGACTGGAGTCGAAAATGGAGCCAACTCTCACGCACGTCTTGTACCCTCGACAGGTCAGTATCAGTCAAGATTCCGCTCAGTGTATCATCTAACATCGAAACCAGTCCCAGGGCAGTAATCGCAACAGCGGCTCCAACTCCCTTTCCGGCATAATTTCAACCCTTGTTCCTACCTTCGTTATCGCGGTCATCGCATTCACGGTCTTTCTCTTCGTCCGCACCCGTTATTCGCGAGTATACCGACCCAGGACCGATGAGAGACTCGTGGATGAGGATGCACGAACTCCACGCACAGACACCGGCTTCTTTGGTCTTCTGAGAAACTATTCAACTCTCCCTGACTCTCACGTCCTCCGCCACAACTCACTAGATGGCTATCTCTGGCTGCGTTTCTTCAAGCTCCTCATCTTCATCAGCTTTGTCGGTTGTTGCATCACATGGCCCGTCCTCTTCCCAGTCAATGCCACGGGCGGTGGTGGTCAAAAACAACTCGATCTGCTCAGCATGAGTAATGTCAATGATCCAAACCGATATTACGCGCACGCGTTGGTGGCCTGCGTTTACCTGGGCTTTGTATTTCTGCTTGTGGCCCGGGAGAGACTCAATTTCATTGGTCTGCGACGGGCGTATTTCCTCTCCGCGGCGCATGCTCAGCGTCTCTCGTCCCGGACGATTTTGCTCATGGGCTTGCCCCACGAGTACATGGCCGAAGGTGCCCTGCGTGAACTCCTCGGTTCCAGTGTGCGGAAGATCTGGATGGCGACCGACTGTAAGACGTTGGAGAAGGATGTCAAGAACCGTCGTAAAGCTGCATTGAAGCTGGAAAATGCCGAGATGAAGGTCATCAAAGATGCCAATGCCCGTCGGTTGAAGGCCACGAAGAACAAGTCCACCGAATCGACAGCCGCTGAGGAGGACCCTCTACAGTGGCTTGACACCAAAAAGCGACCCTCCCATAGATTGAAGCCACAGATCTGGAAGAAAGTTGACACCATCAACTGGTCGCGTGGGACACTCACCGAACTCAATCGATTTGTCCAGCAACAGCAGAACGAGCACCTGGATCTGAAGCACACCAAACTACCTGCAGCGTTCATCGAGTTCTCGACTCAGTCGGCTGCTCATCATGCTTTCCAGTCGGTGGCTCTGGAGTCCAAGACCAAGTTCGCCCCGCGCTACATCGGGGTGCAACCCGAAGAAGTCGTTTGGAAGAACTTGAGTGTCAGCTACACTTCACGCAAATCCAAGCTTTTCCTGGCAACAGTGGTCATCTGGTTGATGATTCTGTTCTGGACCATACCTGTCGCATTCGTTGGAGCTCTGTCGAACATCAACTATCTGACCAACAAAGTCTCCTTCCTGAGTTTTATCAATGATGTGCCGAAAGTGATTCTGGGAGTCATCACCGGTCTTCTGCCGGTCGTGCTGCTGGCGGTTCTGATGGCCCTTGTCCCGATCTTCTGTGGCTTCCTGGCCAAACTTGCGGGCGAGCCGACTCTATCGGCTGTCGAGCTCAAAACACAGTCGTGGTATTTCGCCTTCCAAGTGGTTCAAGTGTTTCTGGTGACCACTTTCACTTCAGGTCAGTGCACCAATATGTATCAATACAAAACATTACCAGCTAACAAGATATAGGCGCGGCGGCTGTTGCCTCTCAGATTGTCCAGAATCCCAGCTCGGCTCCCACCTTGCTCGCAACCAACCTGCCAAAGGCGTCTAACTTCTATATCAGTTACTTTATCCTGTTTGGTCTCATGCAGGCTGCTCTTCAGCTGCTCAACATTGTACCGTTGCTGATGTACACCATGTTGGGCAAAATCCTGGATAAGACTCCTCGCAAGAAGTACAATCGGTACATCAACATCGCGGGATTGGGTTGGGGGTCATCCTACCCAAAGTTCACACTTCTGGGAGTTATTGCCCTGACATATTCCTGCATCTCGCCTCTGATCCTTGGATTCGCCACGATCGGGTTTTGCCTCCTCTACCTGATGTTCAGGTACAACTTTCTCTTTGTCCTCGGCAACAAGACCGACATGAAAGGCGAGGCTTATGCCAAGGCACTGAAGCACCTGTTGACCGGTGTGTATCTGGGTGCATTGTGCCTCGTCGGTCTCTTTGCGATTGGCTGCAGCAAGAGCGCTAGCAGTGCAGGGCCTTTGGCCATCATGATAGTATTCGTGGTTGCGATGATTGTGGCACAGATTCTGTTTGATCGCGCGCTGGCACCCATGGAGCAGCATCTGCCGGTAGAGTTGCTGTCCGGCAACAAGTACAGTACCACGGTGAAGGATCAGACACTTGACGAGCACGAGTTGAAGCAGGAGCACCTTGAAGCAGGCATGTCAATTCGTGGAGATTCTGTGCCCGACGGTAACAAATCCGAGACCGATGCGCCCGCACCACCGAAGAAGGCACCGTTCAACCTTTTGAGTCGCCGCATCGAACCTTTGGCTCATAGGTATTACGAATCCAACAAGGCGATCGTGCCGCAGTCCGAATCCGATGCTTTGATCCCCGCATACACATCCGAGGAGTACGAACAGGCCTATCTCCATCCTGCCATCACCGACTTATCGCCGGTCATTTGGCTCGCGAAAGACAAGTGCGGCGTCAGCACACTCATGGTGCACGAAAACAAAGAGGCTGGGATCCAGAGCACCGATGATCAGGCCGAACTTGACGACAAAAACAAGCTTGTCTGGCACGAAGATCGACTGAGGGAGGCGCCTCTATGGGAGAGACCTGTGAGGTATTAAGGGAAGGTGTCGATCTTGGGTGGTCTTTCAAAATGATACCCGAATTGGGCTGTAGGAGTTTCATTTTTCTTTCTGCACCTTCTTCTATGGTGTGAAACCCGTGTATGATTTAATGATAATTCGATTGTATCCGAACGAGATCACGGGAGATCATGGCGTAGTTGTAACAATTGGTTTCACAGGGTTTGTTGGCCATCTGACGTCATAACCAGGTAGCGGCGAGCACTATGTTTATGTCCTTTAGAAGTCCAGACTCATCCTTGCGTGGTTGGGCTGAAAACCGTGCCTTTCAAATCGATCTTGAAGCTCTAGAGTCCTGTCTCTGTGCGAATATCTTGTACAAGAGTATGGGACATGACTGAGATGCAGTATAAAATGAAGCGCTGTTGCTGTTGAGCAACACTTGTTCGACACCAGCGCAGGCCAGATGATTTCCAGGATGGCTGCTGAGTTCGCCGACCCTGACGACGAGCAGTATGACTCTCTCTTGCAGCGTGCACTGGTAAGGGCATCAAACCCCATTACTTGTCTATGACTGACCTCTTCTAGACTTTGCTTCTCGCGCCTGTCCGTATCCTGACCTCCCGCACCGCTGTCAAAGCCTATCTCAGTACCTTTCTTTTCCTGACCGCGTCAACCATCCTTATCACTGTGTCCTCGACCGCATACGGACTATTTTACTACAAGTACATCCCTCAGATCAATCTTGAGCGGGAGCTCTACTTACAATATATCGATGGCGCGTACCCTTATGCGATCACGGCCTTGGACACTTCGGCGTTGGTATCGCAGCAAGCATATGATGTGGAATTGATCGTGAACATGCCCAGAACACCAGTCAACCTTGAGGCCGGGAATTTCATGCTGGACTTGTCACTGCTTGGTCCTGGCGTCAATGCAAAGAACCTCCCAAACAGTGTGACATCCTGGTTGACCAACATCACCTCAGACAATGTCCGATACCATTCTCGCCGCCCCGCCATTCTCCCATATTCCTCGCCCATACTATCAATAAGTCACACATTTTTGCACTTGCCGTGGCATCTATTGAACCTACGGGATCTGGATGCCTCGCACTTGGTCGTGCCCATGTTTGAAAAGCTCTCTTTTCCCCGAGGAACACGTCATATTCCAACGCATGCGAGACTGGAACTTCAATCTACCACCGTCCTGCAGGTGTACGATGTCAAACTGGCTTTCCGGGCCAAATTCCAGGGTTTGCGGTATTTGATTTACAACTACCGTATCACTGCTTTCATGATTTTTACTGCCGCATTCTACACAGTCAGTGTTGCCACTATGGCACTTGCCTGGGCAGCCATCTCGACATTGATATCACCCGGCGAGAAGCAGAGCCAAAAAATGCAGAACCTCAAACAACAAGGGCAGATCAAAGCAGAGCCGGAATCTGCTTCGGCTGCCACAGTCAAGATGGAAGATGACGCCGAGTCTTCGACACACGGGTTGTCGTTATCCAATCTCTCTGATACCGCTACACACTTTCCAACACTAAAAGGACAACCAGGACTGAGCTTTTCCAGCCGCAACCCGCTACCGGAGTCTGGAGTAGGTACTGGCGAAGATGATAGCTTGGCACAAGTGATTGGCCCTGGAGAGGCAGCCGATGATGAAGATGAGATTGCGGAGGCGGAGGAGATTCGCGGTAGACCATTTGAAGGAGACTCTGGCATCGGTACAAGCATGGAGAGTGAACACGCCTCCTCGGCACTTTTCAGGAGACGAAGTTCAAGAGGCGGCACCTACAAACGAGTCTAAGGCTTGGATGGTCATAGACCACGATCCATGTTCAATATTACCTTACCGGACAATATTTTCACTATCGTACATGGTCTCTACTACTTTCTCAGAAGTTGAGAGTGGACTAGATGAACTGTAGAGTTGCCTGAACTGACGTACATGTTGCGGCCAGCTCCACGGTCAATGGACAGAGTGATAGATTTGGCAATCTGGAATCAATGTCCTCGAACTCTGATTTATATTAGACAGCCGCCAATGGAGATATGGTCATATAGCACACGGACACAACAAATGCGAAATGGGAACGTTCAGCGCCTGACCCCTATCGCAGACTGATACTTGTATGAAAAGTGTCTCAACAAGCGTCTTCAAGGCTGGTTCTTCTATTCTTGTCTGATTTAGTCTAAACCAAGAATATGAAACTGTAAACTATAACAACAAGGAATGAACTTCCAGCTCAATCTCATTCTCACAGCTTGCAAAGATCTCCATTGGTGTTTTAAACTACGTCTTGGGATTTGTGTCACCATGGACTGTCGCATATGTAAAACCATATCATCTGAGCGGCAGAAAAGACGCAGTGCTCGGCACGTAGTCTTAAACTTTGCCCCATCTCAATTCGGGCAGCTTCAGGGCAAGGCTACTCATAACCACACTGACACTGCTAGCAGCCATTGCCAGACTTGCCCAGACGGGACTAAGTCTCCAACCTCCATGCTCGTCCGTGGCGCCAATCGGAAAGAAAACCCCCGCAGCCACCGGCACGAGGCAGAGATTGTAGACAGCGGCCCATGCAAAATTGAGTTTCACTCGTAGAAAAACTCGATGGGCGAGCCGGACCAGTGAGAGGATTGTTGTCAAGTCCGAGTTGAGTAAAATAAAGGAAGCAGTCGTTACCGCGACGTCGGAGCCGGAAGAAAGGGCGATCGAAACGTCCGCAGCTGAAAGCGCAGGAGTGTCGTTCGTGCCATCGCCCACAAATGCAATCACACGGCGCCCATTGCTGAGTTTTCCAGTCTTGTTGAACACTCCGCCTTGCAACTCTTGGATGTAGGCAGCTTTGTCCTGTGGCAGTACTCCAGCACGAACGTTACTGACAGGGATGCCGAGTTGAGCCGCAATAGCGAGAGCGGTGGTTTGATTGTCTCCCGTACACATGTGGACATCAAGCTTTGCATGTCGCAGCGAGTCCAGAACACTAGGAGCCTCAGCGCGAATAGGATCGGCGATTGCAAAGAGCGCCAGCGGATGAAATGGAACGTTCAGCTCGGCGGCTTTCTCTGCATCTTGCGGCAGCGTCCTGATGGCAAAGATAGCTGTGGAGTGGCCCAATGACTGGTGTTTTCGTAAAACAGGAGTGAGAAAGAAATCATCGGTCATCACAATGTTGGCCTCTTTCTCACTCTTCAACATAGACGCGTCGCTCGTCGACTCTGAAGTTCCCCGACGGCTTGTTGGCATGAGAAACTTCTCATTACCCAGCACAGCCTGGAACCGTCTGGTCGTCGAGTTGTTTTTCAAGTTGAAAGTGGCCATCATACCTTGTCCTGGTATTTCTTTGACTTCAATTGGTTCAACTGGCACAGTGGCTGATTTCCCAAGACAGTACTCTGCGATGGCCTTGGCTATTGGATGTGTGCTCGACTCCTCCATGAGGCGAGAGACTGCCAGAATGGCCTGCTCATCGACCATGTCTTCTCCACCTGTCGGGTCGCGATGGAGCAATTCAAATTCGGTGACTCGCATCTGACCTTCGGTCAATGTGCCGGTCTTGTCAAACACAATGGCGTCGAGTCTTGATGCTTCCTGGAACGCTTCACCACCCCCTTGGACCAGAATTCCGTGTTTGGCAGCAAGTCCTCCCCCAACAAAAAGCGCCGTTGGAGCAGCAAGGCCTACACCACACGGACAAGCGACGACAAAGACAGCAACAGCAAACTCGACTGACCAGAATGGCCATCCTCCTTGGGACACATCAAGCCATCCTTTTGGAAGCCGGCCTGATTCTCCGAGGCCTAACCAGACCACCCAGGTGATGATCGCGAGTAATGTGATCACGGGGACAAAGTAGCCTGTTATGATATCGGCGACGCGTTCGACTGGGGCTCTCTTCGCTTGACCTTCGCGTACAACGTTGACAATCTGGTCCAACATAGATGTGCCACCGACCTCAGTGACCTTGACCCGGACGGGATCGGACACATTCACAGACCCCGTATAGACCTCATCACCTTGGCTCTTTCTCACCGGTTTTGACTCGCCGGTGAGTGAGCTCTCGTCAAAGAGAAATGTACCTCGTTGGTCGATGACACCATCTGTGGGTGGCGACGTCCCGTGTGGTATCTGAACAATGTCGCCCACTTCCAGCTGATCCACTGGGATGCGTCGGATACTGGGTTGTGGGATATTTCCAGAGGAGTCTTGTGAGCGAGTGTCCTCGAGGAGCAGAGCGTCCGAAGGCCGTAAGTTGCTCAACATCGCAACAGCATCGCCCGTTTTGGCCTTGCTGTATGCTTCCAAAAAGCGTCCGATAAGGATGAAAAAAGTAAGGAACGTAACGGTGTCAAAGTAAGTGTCGGATGACCTATCATGATCCATGGACGTCCGCTTCGTGGTGGCATCCATGATCAGGACTGCCAGAGATGAGAAGTATGCTACTGACGCACCCGTGCTGATGAGCAGGTTCATGCTGCCAAAACGATAGAAGCGCCGAAGAATGGGAACTTTGCTCCGTGGCCTCCACATGGATTTGATCTCTTTCAGAGCCCGGACATGAAACAGATCGGTGCCATAGAACATGACCGGCGTAGTCAGAAAGAATAGCGCCCATTCCATTCGCATCGCATTTCCGGCAAGGATAGGCTCCTCGAACCACTGCCTCGTGGAATTCGATTTAGGAACAAGGCTCATGTAGACGACGCCGATGATGAAGGTTGGCATGGCGACAATGGCAGTGAACAGAAGTCGGTAGAGGATATGCTTCTGTTCCTTGTGCTGCAGCCTCCGGGACCGTTCTTCTAACGTCGGCGGATGATAAACACTTGCGTGGAAAGCTTCATGGGCAGCATTGATAGCGGAGATGAAGCTTCGCACTGTGACATCGGGAGGCGCAGGTCGATATGCGATGGTTACGATGGGGTTCTGGAGTGTGGGCAGCTGAGTGATGGTGTATGCCTGGTGACCGTCTGCCTTTGCGGCAGGGAGTGCATTCTGCAGCGCGGACCTGATATTCTCTGGACAATGCTCACAGTACATCCCGTCGATTTTGATTTGCACCACTCTTTCATTTCCTCCCGGAGTTGGTGACGACGAGGACCCCTCGACTTTGACAACAGCGCAGTCGTACCCCAAGTCGTCCACCTTTTCCAGTAGCGCATCGAGGTTATGTTCATCCTCAAAATACACAACACCGCGGTTTCCGACAAGATCAATATCTGCCGAGCGCACAAACAGCAATTCTTCTAGTCCCCGAGTGATTGTCCCGACGCAGCTCCCACAAGTCATGCCCCCAATACTCAGAAGGATCTTGTATTCTTTGGCGGATTTGGTTGAAGAATCCTTTCGGGACAAGTTCGTGACATCCTCAAGCGTGGCCTCATAGCCTAGGTCGTCGATAGTCTCAACTATTTTGTCGCAAGTCTCTTTGGGCGCATTGTAAACCACTCGCGCAGCGTTGCTCATGAGGTTGACGTCAACTGATTCCACGAAATCAAGTTTACTTAGCTCGTTTGAAATCGTTCCGCTGCAAGAGGCACAGGTCATACCACCGACAGAAATTGTTGCAGCGTATTTGTTCACCTTCGCATCAGGAGCAGCACCGTCAAAGTTGAAGGCAGGCAGGTCATTCGCAAGAGCATCCTCTGATACGAGGGTGCTACTTTCGTTGGGCCTGCTGTGAGAGTCGCGATGCCGTCGAGAGCGTATGAGCGCTGCCCAAGACCTTCTCCGTGTACTTTGCCCTGCTCTTTTCTCTTGGCATGCCTTGCAATTTTCGATATGTTTGCGCTGAGCACGAATTTGGAACCATGTCGACCGTGATACAAAGGAGGCGGTATCGCTCGGTGACACGTCGTGGTCATAAACCTGGACGCCATTGGTGTCGATGGTGGTGACATGTTGGACTTCAAATGCTGCCTTCAACAGCTCCCTGACGATGAGCTCCCGGGCTTTGTCATGTTCATGCTTCACTCGGATGGTGTGGTCGATCAGTGAAACATGAACCGATTGGATCGAGGGTACTTCACGTAGGACATCCTGGGCATAGGATACACAGGACGGGCAATGGATATTCGATACTAAGAATGATGAGGTAAAGGCCATGGTTTTGTGTCTGATCGTAACGCGATTCTTCAAGGAGACCTGCCGACCGGATATAATAGTACGCAAATGGCTGATTTGTGTTCAAGGCCAGGAGGCAAGCGCTGTGCTATGAAGGGAAAATAAAAAGGAGCGGAGAGAACCTCAAGGAGAGGGAGTAACAGGTTCATTTTGTACGGACGTTTGAATACTTGCGCAGTTTGTGCGTAGAACAGATCTTCGCAACATGTAATCAACAGTAGCCATTTCGGCGGAGGACAGTAGAAACATAGTGTAGGGATGGTGATGATAAGACTTGACAGAGAGATGATGCGCGACTTGTGCGTAAAGTCGCAGATGAGTTGCGGACATTGGGCCGATTAGTAGTACTTCGAAGCAACGAAAGTGCAGGCGATGCACGTGACAACCTCCATCACGTGCTGGCGTCTCCTGCGCGCTTGAAGTTGAAGTTGTCAAGGTTCTTTTGGATCAGTATGTATCTGTAGTAAAGTGGTCTTCAGTCCCTCTGGATGTCCAGTCTTGGTAAATTCGGTGCAGCGTGACTATCAGCCACTACAGAGTACAAGACAGGGCGCGCGGATCTCTCTATGCACACCAAATTGGTGCTAACCATCCTTGTCGTCTGAATCCCACAGCGTGAGGCTTCTGCCCTGGTGTAGGTCGTTGAGCATCAGCGACCCATCTGCGCCCACCAAGCAGACTGAAGGTTCAAACCATCCACTGCAGCCCCCTCACATAGTAGGGCACTCGCCAGCAGTGTGCACTCCATATGGAGGCTGCTGATCCAAGCGGAGGCTCGAATCTATCTCATTCGGGGTCCGCCATTCCTATCGACGACCTTCGCCTCAACACCGGCAGTTTATCTGCCCCTCCCGCAGACACACATGGCACTTCTAATGAGAGCCAGCTTCCACTGTCTCGTGTGCAACTGAACCCCAACAACGGACCTCAAGCGGGTTCGTTCCATGACACTCTTCCTCACGGTCATACTTCACCTCAACCTATCGATGCCGACCTCCTGGATGCTACGCCGGAGTTATCCGATTCTACGCAAAATGCGCTCGCAATGTCCGATTCAAGCCATCAAGACTCGCACAACGATAGTGGTCCAGATTTCCAATCCTCCGGCGCGCCGTCGGGCGTGAGTCTTGTCCCACGCTCCACGATTACAATGCCTCATGAAAATGAAGACTCGACAATTACAGTTGCCAGCCAAGTCGATGTGCAAGCTAGTCCCAACCCCCCATCAGCACACTCCGTTACTCAGAGTGCAGCGTATGACCAGAAGAAGCAGTATGTCCTTCCCAACGGCTCTCTTGTTTCTGGGAAGGGTCTTGGCCGAGGCAGACCCGGTATCAAACGGGGACCTAGGTCTACGAAGCGTACGACTTCGGATGATGTCTCATCGCAGTCAGCCTTGGTGGGTGGGACGAGCACATCTTCCGAGGCTACGAAACCTCCGACCAAGAGGCGCAAGAGTGGCAATTTTGACAGCCCCCTGACCCATGCGCAGGCATCAACAACCGCTACGACACCGTCGCGAGTGTCATCGGAAGAATACAATCCCACTACTACACAAACCCGTTCGGGTCGACACACCCAGAGGCCGATCCCTCTCGCGAGCGAAATGGCCGCAAGTGCTAGCCCTTCGAGAAGGCCGACTCGCCCCGACACATCCACCTCCGCATCGCCCGCCACGGTCAAGGCTCACCCCAAGATCAAGCGTCGAGTTTATCGTGGGCGCGAGCAATTTGCTCTTTGCGAGCATTGTCAACGCGGGCACGGCCCACCCAGTAATGTGATCGTCTTCTGCGACGCATGCAACAAATGCTGGCATCAACGGTGTCATGATCCGAATATATCAAAACAAACTATCTCGGACACCAAGGCCGAATGGTTTTGCGCCACGTGCGACCGAATCTTGCATGGTGCAAAGAAGGGAAGGAAACTACCGGTGAAGACAAACGTCCAGACCTTGCCTCCTGCACCTATTACCACTCCACCTCTTTCGTACGACGGTCCGCGTGTGGGAGGCCGCTTGCTGGATCCTGCACAGAAATCGGCCTACCTTGGCACGCTTTCCAAGGATGACTTGGTTTCACTTCTCCTAGAAGCTTCCAATTTGGCCCCTGATCTACCCCTTTTCAAGCGACTTGTTCCAGCTTCTCAGTTGGAGGACTTCCCGCAAGCTCAATTCACGTCAACCTATGTCACACCGGTCTCCAAGCCTCCAGCATTTGCGGATAAGGACACACGGAATAACGTTGACGCAGTCGATGAAGGCTATGACGACAACTTCGACGATCACGCTGCCTTATACCCAAAACCTGGGAATGGAGTCCAGCTACCTCCGGATAGTGAAGACTTGCATATACTGCTCGAGGGCAAAGATAGCAAGACATTCAGCCATTGGGTCCGAGGTATGAAGGGAAAGGACTTTAGCGGAACAGGGAACATTATATCGTGAAGGCGAATAACATCCGATCGGCCTGCTCGAGCTGAACAATATTGTTCACTACGAGCGCATGAGATGAGAGGCATGAGCACCATACATAGTAAGCGAGTCTTTTATCCCATTCTACACAGATGTTCATCCTCAGTGGCCTTCAAAGTCGGAGTTCAAACACCCCTTTTGTTCGGCAAAGTTGCCTGTCCTTGAGCGTACACCAGCGACTCGGAGTCTGAGCAAGATCTGAATAAACAGTAGGTAGGTACCACATGCGATTTGCGATTCCTTCACCATTTGATATCTTCCATTGCCCCTGCAGCTCTGATCAGCCGGATAGAGTCTGAGGTACCTGTGCACTATCAATATTGTATCCAATCGTTGCCTCGTGTCCCTTGTTGCTCACTTGACTGGCCCAATAGAAAATATTGGGGTGAATCGGAGGACTATTCCAAGTCATCTTGACTATGTGCAAGCCTACAGCGGTGAGGTAGGTTTTTGCAGCGGTAATATCCTGGCTGGAGGATCTGGCAGACTGTGGTCAAAAGAAGGGGTGAGTTTGTTGTGAGACCTTTGCGTGCTAAGAACAATAATGGAACTCCTGCGCATCAGCTGGGTGCCATGACCTGGAAGCCTGACGCTGCACAGTGGCAAGTGCAGTCCAGACAAGTGAGAGTGAAGCCATCTGTGATGCAGTGACTGCAGTATCAAAACATGCTCTCGTCGCCAAGCGAGCTCTTCCAACACCCTGCGCTACCACCGCAGCGCACTTCAAGTGCGTTCAAGTTTTTTGTTTATCAGCCGCGATTCTTAACACGCAACTGCCTGCGCCTTGGGTTTCTCATCTCTCATCTATCATTTCCCATTTCCCATTTCTCGTTTCGTTCCCCTGCTTGACATATACAACAGTGCTTGCTTCATGAACTGCGAAGCAATGGCGTTGATACGAGCTCGTCGATCTCCTTCAGCAGAGGCTCTGGTTCCGCCAGCGCAGGCTCTGATTCCGAACACCCTTGATCGACGCCCCCGACCCTTACTGCCCTTCACCGATGATGGTCCTGGCACCTTGTGTTCTCATGGTCCGCGACATGACAACGACAAGATCGACTACAAAGAAATCGAAATCCTACCCACCGCTGACGAGATCCTCGCTGTCAGTCATCCTGTTTACATGCCAAAGAAAGACCTCTGTACGCCCAACTTCCTCCCACTAGGACCAGCGAGGCATCGGGATCTTCTGTTCAGGCAGCTACGATATGATAGTACTGAGAGCATACGGGACATCTGCTATTCTGCCGCTCAGGTTGCCTTTCTCGGAACGAAGAATGAGGGTGCGCACGATCAAGAGCAGATTCGCCATGAGACAGTCGCAGGAAACCAATATTTCCTCTATCACAATGTTCGAGTCGAGGAATTACTTGCGCATGAAACCAAGGGAATGCTCGTTCGTATCAGCTACGACTGTCCATCTTTCATGAGAGGTCGGAAAATGTATGGCTCTCAGCGGTTTCAAGAGGGCATGCTTGCGGCTCTGATTCAGCTTGATCACGCCACGAACGAGTTCTCTGTCTTCTTTTTCGAGGTCACTCTAGCTCAGACCACTTTCTCGATGGACAATTTCAAGGGAGCAGGCAGACGTGCAGCCGTCCAGTTGGCTTTCCTCCCTTGCAGCAAATACGACGACGTTCTACAGCTATGTCGCCATCCTTTGGGGCTTCGCCAGCACTGCGAGCTTTTCCTCGTTGAGTTCCCCAAAGTGCTCTTCGCTGGGATTTACACCTGTTTGAAACGCCTGCAAGAGATGGGAGATACGGATTTTGCTTTTCAGAAATACGTCGCTCCAGGAATGCCGATGGAGGAGGCGTTGCTTGCGAGGGAGCACAATCTTACTACTGGAAGTCCTTCGATGATCCGGTGTCCTCCGCCCACCTACGCAACCTCGCCTGCGTTCACATACAACATGAGCAAGCTTGTGCCCTCCACCAGCCAGATTGCGTCGTTGTCGCTTCAAGAACTTTCTGACGAGCTGATGCTCCATCGTCTCAAACAAGAAACCATGTTGGATGATGGCCAGGCAACGGCTCTGAGGGACTGCCTGATGCGAGAGTTCGCGCTCACTCAAGGACCGCCGGGCTGCGGGAAAACCTTTCTGGGCGTACAGTTGGCCAAAACTCTCCTCGAGTCGCGGCCAAACCTCAAACCACTATTACTAGTTTGCCTGACGAACCATGCACTCGACAGTTTTCTTGCCGATCTTCGTGATGCTGGCGTCAAAAACCTGCTCCGAATTGGGTCTGGTAGCAAACAGGAATGGACAACTACTATCAATATCCAGACCTCTAGACGGAAGGCCCGGTTGCCAAGGGAGGATTCGATGACCATGGCTACTTTCACAAAGAGGAAAAAGGAGACATTTGCGGCGATGGATGCCTTGTGCAAAGGTAAATCCTTCTCTTCTTGGTGATGATCTTATGGACTAACCTCTAGCAGCGCTCTCATCCCAGTACCACACTGGAGATGTATCGTGGCAATATGTCCAAGAAAACCTCTCCAATCATTATCCAGAGATATATGCCCAGCTTTCGACCAACGCATCATCTTCACATGCCAAAGCCTTCACCTTTGAATACTGGTCAGGAGGAGGAGATCTGGAAAACATACGAAACCTACACGTCGAGCTCGCTTCCAGGCTTGCAGAGAAGCCCGTCAACTATGACCAGTCTGCGTCCAATGAGATCCAGGACATTCTTCTGGATATCTCCTACTACGCCGAGTTACAAAGCTCTAAGGCTGGCGCTGGTAGCATCTGGAATATGAGCTTACAACGCCGCCAGCAGCTTCTTCAAACATGGGAAGCCGAAGTAAATCGAGAGGAGTTTGCCGTGAAGATGGCCGATCTGCATTTTGAGCTTCAGCAATGTTCTCAAGACAGCAAGGGAATCCATGACGCGCGAGATGTCAAGATCATGGCAGCGCACAACATCATCGGCATGACAACAACAGCGTGCGCTGCCCGGTGGGAGCTTCTCCGTTCTCTCGCAGTGGAAATCCTTATTTGCGAAGAGGCTGCTGAAGTCATGGAGGCTCACACTTTGTGTTCCTTGCTCCCAACTCTGCAACATGCAGTTTTTATTGGGGACCCGCAGCAACTACGACCTGAAGCGAACGAACAAAGACTCAGCATTGAGGACCATGTTGGAGCGGATTATCGCCTTGACGAGTCATTGCTTGAACGCCTGATGCTGCCCCGGGACCCCTCTGCCTCAGCCATTCCTACAAGCCACCTGAATATTCAGCGCCGCATGCATCCCGAAATCGCAAATCTTGCCCGTCTCACATACCCTTATCTCAAGGATCACATGTCAACTCACAATCGAGTCCCATCCTACGGTGTCGAGCACAGAATGTTTTGGTGGGACCACCGCATGCCTGAACTTGAATCCAACGAGTTGAAGTCACACATCAATGTCCACGAAGTAGAGATGGTGGCAGGTCTTGTCGAATACCTGTTGCGGGATGGTGCCTACTCCCAAGGCGAAATTGCGATCCTAACACCATATTCTGGCCAACTTGCAAAGCTACACGAGCGACTATCCATCACCTGCAACATCTGGCTCAGTGACAAGGATCGTGAAGTGTTACTAGCTGAAGAGTTGCTGGCACTTGGTGAAGAAGGGAGAACCACCAAGGATGAAGTTGCCGTCTCTGACATGCTCAGAGTTTCGACTGTCGACAATTTCCAGGGTGAAGAAGCGAAAATCATCATACTCAGTACGGTCCGCAGTGGAGGTCGTGCCGGTTTTCTGAAAACCGCCAACCGGGTCAATGTCGCTTGCAGTAGAGCACGAAATGGCTTTTACATAATCGGCAACTCCCAAACCCTATCCCAAGTTCCGATGTGGAGGCAAGTTATGTCAGCCTTTCATGGCAAGATAGGCGCATCTATCATCACCCGTTGTGATGCTCATCCTGAATATCGCCATGCTGTACAAGCGCCTGCAGACTTCAAGGACGTTACAGAGTGTCCAGCAATTTGTGGTCAAACACTTGACTGTGGCCACAAATGTGGAGAGAGATGTCATCCGCCGGCACTCCATTCGCGCCTGACTTGTCAACAGAAATGCAAAAAGACCTTCCCTTGTGGGCATGAGTGCCCCAAGTTGTGCTATCAAACATGTGGCAAATGCCAGCTATCAGTTGGTGACATTATTCTCGACTGTGGTCACCCAGGACAAGCCCTGTGTTCTGGTTCAACTTCTACATGCCGGATCGTCGTGTCGAGCATGACTTTGGACTGTGGTCATATTGTCAATTTGCTATGTGGCGAAGATCTTACGGAGAAAGTCAGCTGTGATGTCCCATGTTCCCAAGTCCTACCATGCGGTCATCCCTGTACGGGAAAGTGTCGACAATGTCAAGATCAGCATCAAGAGTGCATGAATGTCTGCAACAACCAGAAAGTTTGTGGTCACTCATGCAAACAGACTTGCCATGTCGGAGAACCGTGCCCAACAGCATGTCTTGAGCCATGCACCAAGCGCTGTGATCATGGCCTTTGTCGGAATCGATGTCAAGAACCTTGCGATCCATGCATTAAACCGGTTGCTCCTGGATGCGACCATGAAAAACCTGCAAACACACTGTGCTGTCTGCCAAATCCCATTTCACCGTGTTCTCACGTTTGCCCGAAAGGTTTGTTCAAAAGCACTCTGTTGTGAAGAATATGGAAAGCTAACAAATATCTAACAGTCTTAGAATGTGGAGACCCGTGTCCTTCTCTCCATGGAGAAATCTGCCCTCCTCCCACCATGTGCCCGGAATGTACGGGATCACCACACATGGGAAAGATTATGATATATTTACCTCAGTGTGGCCACCTTGTGCCTCTGGCGCAGTTGGATTCAGTCAATTTGACATCCCTCTACGTACAGAGAGCAGATGGATCACTTTCCATCAACCCCAGTATTCGGATTGCCGATGTCCAGAAGCCGACTTGCATTTGTGGCGCACCATGCCTCACAACACGGCGATACATACTTGCCGCAAAGCTGATCGATTTCCACAATACTCTAGATCGGCTCATCGCAGTGATAGGTGGGAAGATGCAATACTATGCTAGAATGATCGAAGCGACTGAGGAAAACTTGTCCAAGGACTTTGTGGCATTTGTCAACGGCATACGACCGAATCCGTTGGCGGCGAAACAGAATACCTCACTCCTTATTCGGCGGTACCAAGACGTTCGCAAGCTACAAAAGGAGATCGGCAATTTTCGGGACAAGGTGATCGATCCTATTCAACGTCGTCTGGCCGAACTGCACACCACCTTTCCCAATGTTGCCGGAGACTATAGACTGCTGTTCTATCTCCACTTCAAGATCCTGGAGTATCGCGTCATCGATGTGAGAATTGTCGACACCGTCAAGCTTGCTGATCACCTGCTCCAACTCCAAGATTCCTCCTACGGAGTGCAGCGACAAGGTTTGAAAATGCTTGAGTTTACGAACAAGGAGTCTACCGCCTGCATTGATCACTGTCAAGATACTCTCTCTGACCCTTACGTCAAGACCAGTCCATGTATCGAAAGTGAGATCAGATTACACCAGATACGCTTCCAACTACTCGCGAAATCTACACTGAAGCAGGGTTTGGAAGGCGAGCCTGTTGAAGACAGTGTGATCCAAGGTAACCTGGAAACATTGATCAATGTCTGTCGCCTATTACCTACGACGCATTCCGACCTGGTCAACAGTACACACAACCTTGCACGAACCTTTCAACAGGGAGGTGCCCATGAAGGGATGATCCCGGAAATCAAGATTGACAGCGTTCGGAGGGTCGAGAGATTGTGGGGAATGCACGAAGTTGGCTATCTGAAGCATTGTGCACAGTTTCATCTGTTTTCGGCCAAGACGTTCCCTCGGGGCTGCCCGCAATGCGGCAAATTGACGGTTGATATGGATGACATGTTCCGGCAGAGCTCCAAGAATTTATTCGAGAAGCAGTTTCTTGCTGCAATGACAACAAAGCATGGCAACTCGAAGACCAGTGCTGGTGATGTCGCACAGACCGCATCGAAAGAGGCAGTGGAGGTTTGTGTATCCAAGACCAAAGCGGTTGAGAAAGAGTTGACGAATGAAGAGAGATTTCTGGTTGCCATGCGCAAGCTAGGAACGAAATGAAGCCGAGGTGCATTCAAGCATTGCACGATGATGAGGAAGAAATAGACCTTCCACTCCGATGCCTGAAAGCCAATACGAGAGAGTTTTGGACAACGATTTGGCCACGAACCTCTTGATGTAATTACCGGATCCCATTGCAAACGTGCTCATATTCTCGTCACAGTAGTCTCCTCACGTCGAAACGTCTCTATGATAGCCAGGAGTTCGTCTGCACCGTTACGGATAGTCTTACCGACCTCTTCTTCATACCACTATGGGGTAACGGTACTAATACATTCTAGGCTAAAATCCTCAGCGGAATCTAGTCTGGTAGAGCTGATTTGAACGCTCTCAAAGCCCGTGCCTGGGTTGTTGTCTATCGGTGGACATGACCACTTTCATACTCCAGTATGCATCAACCTTGTCTATTTTTTCGAAAATCGTCCCTGTCCTCTGCCTTCTCCGCCACCTCGTCGACGAGCATCATTAGACCCAGGTGCATTCGGTGCGATGACGAGCCCGGGCACTCCTTTCAGACCCATCTTTCCGATCGTGGACTTTTCCAAGGCAGGCACGTCAGGACAGTCGAGACCCTGAAGTGCAAACTGGTTCGCCTCTCGCACAAGCTCGGTGGCGGACCATCTCAAAGACTTCATATGTGTCTTGTAATATCCGAGCCACGCTTGATAAATCCTCGGTTTGCCGTCAAGGTCGGCCAACGCCGGTTCGATGTCTTCAATACCATACTGGAGAGTAGAGGGATAGTCCTGAATCTTGATGTTCTTCAATTGATACAAAAACCCTTTCTCCACTTGACTCAGCACCAAGATTCCTCGACCTTGCGCATCTGCCCGTGCTGTGCGTCCCAGTCGATGGATGTACGACTCTTTGTCAGATGGTAGTCCGACCTGGAATACGTGAGTGACACCGGGAAAGTCCATTCCTCTTGCAATAACATCCGTTGCCACACAGATCGCATTGGTAGCTTGGCGAAATTCCTCAGTAGTGCGGGTTCGCTTGGTCTGTGACATGCGGGAATGAAGCACCGAGACTTTTGGTAAAGTACCAACCGCGGTGAGTATGTGGGCGTAGAAATCCACATGAGCCGCGGTGGGAGCAAAGACGATGGCCTTGAACAATTTGGCGGTGGCAAGCTCTGACTCAATGACAGCGACCATGGCGGGGGCATGTTGGATCATGCTAGGAGTCGTGACAAGAAATTGCTGTACACGTTCATGGGTGTTTGCTTCGCCCTCAGGGATGGTCGAGATATGTTCATAACCTGTGTTCAGAAAGAGATGCGCAACATTTTTCACCTGGTCATCAATTGTGGCAGAGAACAACATTGATTGTCGAGGAAGGTTGGGAAGATATCTCAAGACTTTCTTAATATCTGGTAAAAAGCCCATGTCGAGCATTCTATCCGCCTCATCAAGTACGAGAATTTGAAGAGAGCCAAGTTTGCGATGAATTTCTTCTTCACTCAGGTGATCCAGAAGTCTGCCTGGGGTAGCAACCAGTATGTCGCAGCCATTCAGAATAGCCTTAGCTTCAGCATTCTTGTTCGTCCCTCCAATGGCGCAAGCCACCTTACATTGCGGACATCTCTGTAACAGCTTCTTTGCCTCCGTTGCAATTTGGAGTGCAAGCTCTCTTGTAGGGCAGATGATCAGTGTGGACAAGCACCGGGTTCTGTTCTTCAAGATGGTGTTCACTGCAGGAAGTAGGAAAGCTAAAGTTTTGCCAGTACCGGTCTTTGCCTGCGCCAAACAATCTTTTCCTTGTAGAAGATACTCTAAGGTCGCTGCTTGCACTGGCATCATGTGATTGAAGTGAAGGTCGTGGGTCAGAGTATCGAGAATGGTTGGATTGACCAGATTTTTGGCGCGGAGTTCTTCAAATCGAGGGGTATCTTTGGGGACCTCAATGGATGGCGGTGGAGGGAGAGGAAGACTTGAGATAGGGGCTCGCTGAGGCGCATTCGACGGGTTGTTCGTCAGAGGTTTCTGAGAATCTATGCGACCCTTGCGAAAAGGCGCACCCCTAGGACGAGCCATGGTGATGTGACGGAAGGAGATGAAGGCAGATGATGTTAGAAAAGAATCGGAATTTCTGAAGACACTGCTGGTTAGCCGGCAAATATCGTGCGAAGGTTGATTTACAATTCTGGAGTTGTAAGAAAAGATGCTGGATTTGCGCATTCTTTTCAATAGTCTTGAAGTTTGCAAATTGGATGGATGTGACTTTTTCTGCGTTTGCAGTGGATCTACGTCATACAAACATTTGCTCGCTTCACCTTCTGTTTATGGAATGCATTGTTTTGACGACAAGCATCGTTGATTCGCAACATCAAATCATGATTGACTGGCAACCTTTGACTTCTGTTTAAGAGATACCAGTACATCTACGGCCGAGCCCTCAACTCTCTTCGCCCGTTGCAAAAATGGTTCCTCTCCAGCAACAAGTACCTCTGGGTTCAAACCAAACTAGTTCACAAGCACCGTGAGTGGGATCCTGGTCTGGCGCCCGGGGATAGCTCTACAATGGCTATATGAGTCAAGTAACGGCAATTCGTGTCATCTCTGGCCGGCTGAGCGTTATCATACAAGGTTTTGTGGGACCTTTACATGTTTCCATGATTGACAGAATCGGATACCTCGCATTCCCAGATTAGAAGGTCTGTCGTTGGCAAACATGGTGAAGAGGGCGTCAGCGCCAACTTGAATGAGACGCGATCAAGCAGGTCTCACGAATGTAGTGCAGAGTACATTACCGAGAGGTGGAATGTTCAGCTGGAGTGTCACGTCTTCTTGTATCATGCCTTTGGTACCTAGCACGTGAACTCGCGACAGATCCGCGAACTGCGACAGGGAACTGGCGTATCTGGCAACCCAATGACATCACCGATCAACAAATCGTTACCAGCATGAAGGCAGGTATTTAGACCCGAGAGCGTCTCCCCAAGAAGATCCGACCATCCTCAGTTTTATCTTACACTACCTATATTACATCAATCATGCCGTCCAAACGTCTCACTCATCCGGCCGGAGTCCATAAAACTCAAGCCAAGAGAACCAACGAGGCCTCTGGAAGACGCAACCCTTCTGCCCAGAGAGGCCAAAAGCATCCAAATCCAACAACCACCATGAAAGACGATGGCAAAGTTGTCAATGTGAACAGACGGAGGGCCGCTCTCAAAGGCAAGCCCGTCTTGAAAGGCATTGACCTGGATGCGATCATTAAAGTACACAACCTCAATTGCAGCAAGAGAACATTACAGCGTGCTCTCCGGGAGCAGATCCTCCGGGACCCAACAGCGAAAGATAAGGTTACAGTTTAAATGGTCGAAAGACAATGGTGTAGGTTTGCAGGAGCTTGGTCTGCTGCATGCCCAAACTGAGAGCCCAAAGATATGATATCAGATATGCCAGAGTATGGACTTGCACCAAGCAGTGACATAATGGGGGACTTGAGCAGTTTGATGAGCATGCTTCCATGCAGGAAATGGAACAATTGATTTTCCAACGACATTCCCTCGGTGGATGACCTGTTTCCAACATTATGGGATATGTTTGACACTTGGTGACTGAGGGCTTGCCGTGCATCTTATACGGTCTGGCTGAGAATGTAAGTAACACTATCTTTCCAACACTACCATGGGTGGTGTGCTGGGTCTGATAAGGAAGAGGTTTATCTGTGGAGATGCGTTCCATGATGCTTTCCGCGGGAAACCGAAATCGACAGCGGGAAACTCATCACTAGCTTGCGACACAACATCCTTGCAGGCCGCTCTCCCAGGTGGTTTGCCCAGACTGCATCCCTTCCATGTTATTTGAAACTCCGTCTGCTTCAAATATTGTCTTGAAGTCGGGTAAGTGACAGAAAACCCACCGAAACAGTCACCATGGCGCCGATGTTACAAGGAAATCTTCCGGAGACTTTCTCTCTTCAAAGCAGGCCGAAGACAAACCAAATCTTTACGACCGTGTCTCACAATTCGATTTGCAAGAGAAAGCAAAGAAGTACCTGGCAAATTATGGTACAAAATTCGAAGAACCGGGACCCGTGGGCTATATGTGTACTCGGCATCTGGTGGAAAGTTTCTTGATTGGACTTCTGGCCAGATGTCTTGCCTCATTGGGCATGAGAATCCAGAAATCGTCAAGGTTATTTCGGACCATGCACGAAACCTCGACCACCTCTTCTCCGGCATGACTTCACCTCCTGTGGTTAGGTTGGCGGAACGACTCATCTCTCTCCTCCCACAAGGCCTCGACAAGGCCTTCTTTCTCAGTACTGGGGCCGAGAGTAATGAAGCCGCTATCAAGATGGCCAAGGTGTATACTGGGAAGTTCGAAATCGTTGGACTCGGCGCCTCCTAGCACGGTGTCACCGCCCAAGTGGTCGGGGCTCAATATCATTTTGGCCGTAGGGGCCACGGGCCGAATATGCCTGGTATGCACATGCTTCCACCTCCGAACGGGTATCGTGCAATCTTCCGTAACCCTGACGGGTCATACGACTGGGAAACCGAACTCGACTACGGTTTCAGCCTTATCGATCGGGCATGTCTTTACTTGGCTCACTCGCAGCGTGTATTGTGGAGTATACTCAGTCTTCGGCCGGAATGCACGTTCTGCCTGATAGCTACTTGAAAGCATTAAAGAGGTATTACGAGAAGAGGGGTATGCTGTTGATTGTTGATGAGGCCCAGACTGGATTCGGCCGATGCAGGGATCTAATGGCTATCGACCATACCGGGGTTGTACCTGATATCCTTACCCTGAACAAGACACTCGGGAATGGCCTGCCTCTTAGTGCTGTCATCACCAGCAATGAGATCGAAAGGGTCTGCGCCGAGCGAGACTACTGCTTTTATACCACCCATGTGAATGATCCCCTCCCCTCCCCGCGGCCGTCGGCGACAAGGTTCTGGAGATTGTTCTGAGGGATAATCTTGTGGACAATTCGCGAGCACGCGGCGCCCAGCTCCACGCAGGTATGCGGCGTTTCCAGAGTCGGTACGGCTGCATTGGCGACGTCCGGGGCAGAGGCCTTATAGCAGGCATCGAAATCGTGGCGGACTATGAGACCAAGGCCCCCGCCAACTCCCTCGCTAAGGCTATTGTCTGTGGGCCAACCTCAGTAGCCACGAGAGCTTTGGTGGCGCGTTCCGTATCGCACCGCCTATAAACATCACCGAGGAGGAGGTTGCCCAGGGTTTGTCCATTTTGGAACAAGCTTTTGCCACGACTGATGGAACAATGCCGCTATATTGAGGCAGAAAAGTTGCTGGGTTTGGGATTGTCTCATTTGGACTTGACCATTGCGGCCCCGATGAAAGACGATCCAGTGTTAAGCTCGCCTCGCTCTTGGTGATGAAGCGTCGTTGAATGCCACCGAGTAATTTGGCCGGGACAGACAGACTCTGGTTGAAACTGTGTCTATTTCCATACTTCTAGCTTCGTAGGAAGTTCGTTGGTAGGAACTGTGCTTGCATAGAAATCGTTGTAGACATCAACTTCTCTCAGCAGATTCGATGTTGCGGATGTCGATTTCTTGGGATTGCATATTCCTACCAGTCCACATATGAATGGATGACAAGTGTGCGTAATGAGGACCGTATTCCTGTGATAGGGACATTTTCAGATTGATGATGCTTATAGCAACTGTAAAAGCTGAACGTGACACTGTTATTGATAATCTGCAGCCAGGAGAGAGGGTAGACTCCGTGACTCGCAGTGGCAGCGGCGTCGCTAAACAGCAGGGTATTGTGAAGAAATAACATTCGATTTCTCCAGGCCGACGCCTATTCATTGCCCTATGGACTTGCGAGACCAAAGTCTGAACCCATGCGTGGGATTTTCAGGGAGGTGCATGATGTGTAGAGTTCTAAAGAGCACCACTGTTCAAATATTATAACGCAGCGCTTGAAAATAGCGTGCCCCTGGCGTGGTGAAATGCGGCATCACTCGAAAACCTGATCGAGTGGTAAATGTGTAAATGTTGATCCTGTTATTGATTGTCGTGGGATTGAGGTCCAGCCAGTAGCCTTGTGCTTTAGGATCGTGTGTTCGAGAGAGTCCAAATTGAGCATATCCTTCCTGATAGGGCATTGTCCTGGGTTCGAGGGTGGCAAGACAAGTAACTCAACCTCATTCTCTCGCGTTGGGAGTGTCATGGAGCGTCTTAACTGTCAAGCAGGGTAGAGGAAGCCAGAATAACCACTGTAGTTCTACAAACGACCCGTCAGTTACCCTCCGCTTGGATGGCTGAAGCGGTATCCTATTCATCATCTCTTCCCTTCCTTCTCTCCTTCCGGGTCAACTCGACCTCCAACATTGTCTTTTTGGAAACTTTGCCCTTCAAACCGTTGTCCTCGTGGTCGAAATAGAGCGACCATATACCCTTTCCCTCCTTGACCGCCATAAAGCCTTCCCAACCTTCTAGGGTAAGTCTTTTGTCTATGCGCGTACAATCCCAAGGTCCGACGACGTGAGGTTCGGATTCTATCCGGTTACCATACTTGAGCTCATACGTGTCTTGATCCATGTATATCCAGTTCAATTGTGGAGGATCATTGCTGATTGTCGACACAAGGCCTTCCCCTTTGCGACCCCAGTTTTGATCAGGGAAAGGAAGAAAATATCCTGCGAATAGATGTGAGGTTGGACTCTCAGCAGCAGGTGTTATAATGTACAACTAGCGATGGATTAGCCTTGTTAAGTTTCTCAGACATTCATCTGCAAGAGCGCCGCTCTCCATACCTTGTGATCTCGCAGCACGACGAGACCCCCGTTTATCTGGCTCGTCACTGTCGATGAACTGCAGCAAGAAACAACGAGGTTCGACTTCACACCTCTGTGCTGTTCTTTGGCAGATTTCTTCTGACCTTGACGGACTGCTTCGGTGGTGCCAATGATTGCAGGACAAGCCGCTATTGCCGTAAGAATTCCCAGAACCATGGCATCTCAAAGAACTCTGGTTCTAGAACAGCGAAGAGAAGAATGTCTGGCTGATCCCCAATCTATCTCATGTGCGGGGACCCTGGGGATCAATTCTCCAACATGATGGTAGCCAACCGGAGTGGATATTGGTACGGAATTAGGTCAGGGAGGCTTTTGATTCGATACTGCTTTATGCGCCCGATGTCACCAGTCACCATGAGGTCACCAGGTCTTGGTTGCAGCACTTATACGTGGCCTGGACCCCTGCGATCAGCGGGTTTCAGGGAACACTCGCATTCTCCCTACCCATGTACCTTGCATCTTTCAGGGATGTTTTGAGAAATCTTGATTCTCATACTCGTAGCGCTTCAAAATGGAGACGGGTGACGAGTTGCCTAAGACATGCAGACGATTGAAAACGAGGCCTCGTCATGGCACAAAATGAGCTCTTGATCGATACTATGCTTAAGGAGGGCGGCTCTTGTCCTTTGATGGAACCCAAAGCATACACATTTCCCGTTTGATCTCCCACCCTTGCTCCTCAAACGACCTCAACCTGAATTATTGAACATGTCACAGACTCAAACGTAGGATTCTGTTCCAATCTCTTCATTGAAGCATATTGTCCTCGCTACAAATGGCTGACATTACTCTGCAGAGCTGAAGCGCAAGAATCAAACGCTTGGGACGCGAAACCGGACCTGTCGGACGAAGAACCGACCATAGCCCCCCGAGGTGGGCGCAAGCCCCCGAAGCTCCAACGAGCCATGCAAAAAAGGCAGGCAAGTGACAGCACCCAGTCTATCGCCGCGGAAGACGAAGCTATGCCTCCCCCACGCACCGTTGGGAGAAGAATCGTCCCGGTGCATCAATCCCGAATCCAGGATCGACCGGCGAAAGTGGGCGAGAAGGACAGCAGTCTGAAGATCAAGATTGAACTAGATCTGGAAGTCGAGGTAGAAATCTACGCCAGAGTCAAAGGAGACGTTACGATCGGGTTGATGTAACTATCTTGTAGGTTGAGATCTATGCAAGAGTCAAAGGAGATGTTACCATTGGATTATTGTGAGACGTGAGTCAGATCCGACACCTGCTGACCCCTGTGGTAACAAGATCAAGCACCACGTAAGGACCGTACGGCATAACACGATCCGAGATTTGGGTCGGTTTGGATGATTTCAGTCAATCTTTCGTCGTGATTTGGTTCTGGTCACGTTTTGGGAAAAGGCGACAGTTCCGTAATGTTGTTGGGAGTGCTGTGTTGGAAGGTCGAAATCAGGTTTCCCGGGGCACGTCATATTACCTATCCATGTTAATTCACGAATCAAGATGTCGATTTCGAGATTGTTGCTTGCCGTCATCCACGGTAATAGAATCCAACCAGTAGAGTCCTTGGTGGTGGAACGTAGATCGTCCACATGTGCTGATCACAAGGAAGTGGAGAATCTCTGGTGCATCCTGGAAAGGTTAAAGAGCAGACGAAACCCAGAGGCTCATGCAACAACACACAAGAGAGCCCTTCAACCAAAGCCAACAACTCTCAGAATACTTCATCAGTATCCCCATTAACATTCCTCGACCAACTCGGCACCAACAAGAAACATGGGTGGACTTCTCGGAGGTGGAGGAAATGATGGAGGAGGCCTTCTCTCAGGGTATAGTAATAGTCTTTCTCCCATTTCCACTTCAGCTGACATGTGCAGTGTTACAGACACTGTGAAAAGTACAACCGGCGGATTACCGATTGTAGGGGCTCCAGACGAAGTAATTTCCTATGGTCGATACTGACGTCTCGACTAGGTTGGCGGCGTTACAGACCCTCTTCTAGACACCGTTGGCGGTGTGACTGATGAGTTGCCCATTGCAGGTTTCTCCAGCGCCGAATGTCCGATCAAATGCTAACCAAGTTATCAGGTTGGTGGCACCGGCGGAAAGCAGAAGTCTGCACAAGCAAAGCAGCCTCAAGCTCCGGCTCAAGGTCAGGACCAAGAAGCGGCCGCGCTGGCGAAGAAGAAGAAAGTCCACGCCATGAAGAAGCGACAGCTGGCACTCGAGGCGGAAGAAATGGAAATGGACGGCAATTAGACGACCAGGAGGGAAGATGTAGAAGAGTTTCGTCAATCGCAATCCAAATCGAAGATTTTTCACTCTGCCAGATAATGATAGAGAATATATTGTACCTCCACAACATAAATCTTGCTTCGGTCATCGAGCGTATATAACAGCGTTTGACAATCTCGCGATATTAACATCGGCGATTATATTCGAATAAGTACTTCAACTTGAATACTGATCATATTTCTGGAGATTCAAAGAACTTGGCAATATCCAGTATCATCTCATAAGGGAGTGGCAGCAAACGTCCTTATACTCACTATAATGACCGAGGAGAGTAGCGAGGAGAGTAAGGAGAGTAACAAGGAGAGTAAGGAGAGCAATAACGACGACGACGACGACGACGAGAGCGACGAAAGCGACAGTAGTACGAGTTCGGACTAGAATAATTACGAACACGTATAAAAGGTACGGATTAATAAATATCCGAAGATGGTGTTGAAGTTGGGGCCCGGATACGTTCTCACCTAGAGCTATCAGCCTGAACGAGGATCAGATATGACGATCCTCGACTGGGCACACCAGACGTCCAGGACAAGCGCGCCAATCTGTATTCGGCGCACCACTTTCAACATGGAATATGAGAGCCTTGCCTCCTATCGTCTTCATGAAGCATCTCGGATCGGACTAAAGGACCAGGCCGTTCTCCACAGACGCCCGAATCGGCAACATCACGTGACCCTCCGGACAGCGGTCGGATTTATAGGTACTGTACCCGACCTGGGGTCCACAAAAGATAACACCAACAAGGCAAGAGCCGAGAGGATAATCACCCCACCGAAGGGTTCCAACCTGGGGCTTGCTGTTGGCAGGTACATATCCGTTGCCCGGGCCTTGCATATACTTTTTTGTAAGGTATATTTTTGATACATCTCCGAGAGGGATCGGTGAGCTGCGAAGTACTAATACGCCCAGAGAACTAAAGGAGCGAGGAGCCGATCTAAATCTCCTTACGTTGTCATTGGCGATAAGGGAGTGGGACTCGCACAAAGCCTAATCCCACGATTGTTTACAAGAATCTTGCCCTCTAGTCAACAACGATAGAAAATCCGGAGTCTTCTGCATCCGATTACAGACTTGACAACCCAGTCAGGCTTGAAGGGAAAAGCAGGAAACCACGTTTCATAGCCATGGCTGAAAGAATTGTTCCCGAGATCTCACTCAAAGGTACTACTACCTTGGAGGCGGAAATGTCTTACACAGACCTTTACTGATCAGCTTAGCGCAGACTTTGGAAACCGCAGAGAAGAAATCACCAAGCAGCTCCTTGAGGCGGCTGAATATGCGGGCTTCTTCACCTTGGTTGATCATGGAATTTCTGAGGAGGAGATTGAATCACAGTTCGCCATCTCTAAGAGCTACTTTGGCCTTCCAGCCGACGTGAAGGGAAAGATCCCGCACGACACCAAGACTAACAACGGATGGGAGTATAAGGTTAGAAGGTTTTCTGAGCGGATCGGTGGCCATCTGCTGACAGCGTTTGTGACGCTAGGCTCAACTGCGGGCGAGCACCGGGACTTGCGACCAAAAGGAGTCGCTATGGTTGCGACGTAATTCGCAATGGCCGAGTGATGAGGATGTTCCTGGTTTCCGCGAAACAACAGAGTCATTCATGGCGAAGTGTGCGGAAATTTCTGCCCAAGTCCGTATGTCAATCAACCATTGCCATGATTGACAAATGAAGCCTGACTATATTTACCCACAGTGTCGTGTTTCGCCGTTGCACTAGGACTTCCAGAAGATCACCTCAGAGTCGCCAACGATCCAACCCAGCCTGACTGCTTGACTCAACTTCGGCTGATTCACTACCCTGCATCAGAAAATGCAGTTGGCAGCTGGAGAGCCGGAAGCCACACTGACATTGGATGTCTCACGCTGCTGTTCCAGCGGGATGGGGAGGACGGTCTGGAAATCTGCCCTGGCAGGGAGACTCACTCCAGCTTTGCCATGGGTGACACTTTTACACCACTACCAGCCAAGACTGGTCCGATTGTCGTCAACATCGGCGACATGCTCAGTAAGTCCTTTCTCAAGTGACCGTGACACATTGAATGGACTGTGGCTGATACCTTCTCGTAGTGGCTTGGTCCGACGATCGACTGAAGTCGAACTTCCACAGAGTGCGTGCCAAAGACGTCGGCACATCTCCGGCACGATACTCGATTGCGTATTTCAATCAAGGCAGGAGGGACTTTGTGCTGCAAGGTCCTAAGAAGAAGTAGTGAGTACTTGGTGTTTCCCCTAGCTATGTGAAGTGCCTGACTAATCTAAATCGAATCCAGTCCTCCTATGACCGTTGGCGAGTACTTTGCTCAGTCTGTGGCAAACAACTTCGGTAGGCAGGTCGCTGCGAAAGCGTGAGCAGCTGCATTGGACGACAATCTGCGGGCTGTCTATCGCGTTCTCTTCTGGGAGAGTACGAGAGAGGGATCTGCAAGCTGTGACCGGATCATGACATAGCCTTAAGCCTACAAATTTACTGCATTACCTTCATGAATGGCCAATAATGAGTACAATTAACCGTAACGGTATCAGAGTCGTACCGCCTAGACAACTGATACCATCTACCGCGATGTTACCTTGCCTGTTCGGTGTATATCGCGAAACCGTGTCAACTTCCACTCGCGGAACGGATATCAGGTCATGTGTGAGGTCGCGGGAACGGTATTACGATATCTTCGCGGAACGATATTAAGTTGTGGAACGGCAGGTATCAACTCGAACGGAGATTAAAGGGGCGGCAACAGGCTGGCAGACAGCGGGCGTGGACGGTAAGGTGCACGATCCGTGCCCCCTATCATTTACAGCACATGGCGTTGTTGTTTCCAAGAGAATCAAATCCACGTAGGAACAATTACCATGACCGTTCGGTAATGTTGCGGATTGGCGCTTTTATCTGCATATCTGACTCCTGGGGTACTTTTTCTTTAATTTCGCAAGCGCGCACCAAATCCATCTGATCATTGTCGGCGAGTTTCTATTTCATTCTGCCGTGATCGTGATTTCTTCTAGTCAAAGTTGATAAACCTTCGAGTCCTTCAGCATTGGCAACTTACACTTAGATTACCAACTCAAGCCCACCATGCCTTCATCAACTGGTTGGAGATCACTCGATATCGCGGTCGTTGGTGGTGGTATCGGCGGTTTAGCAGCCACTATCTCCCTACGACGAGCGGGTCACAGAGTCACGATCTATGAACGGGCAGATTTCGTCGGGGAGGTCGGCGCATCGATTTCTTGCGCTGCAAACGGAACACGATGGCTGTATGAGTGGGAGGTTGATGTTGCCAAGGGAGATGGTGTTATACTCACAAAACTGATCAACCGTGACTGGAAAACTGGCGAGCCAGTCAATGTTTACGACCTGGCCGACTACGAGGAGAAATGGGGCTATGTGAGTTGCTAAGGGCATATTGACCCGAAGGGCCTTGACAACTGATGACTCGTCGCAAGGTGTACTACATGTTCCACCGTCAATACATGCATGCGATGCTCATGGACTGCGCGTTTGATGAACAAGGGAAAGGTCCAGTTCCGAAGCTCGTTCTCAACCATAAGGTTCGAGTACCCTGTACCGCAGTGCCCTGGACAATAGCTGACGGATCTTGCGTCTCCAGTGTACGGATATCGATGTCCAAAGTGGCACAATTACATTCGAGAACGGGAGTACGGCAGTACACGAAGTAGTTGTTGGAGCTGACGGTATCGGATCCGCCGTCCGCGCATTGATCGGAATTCAGGCTGAAAAGAAACCATCAAGCTCGAGCTGTCTGCATATCAACGTCTCCACGTCAAAAGTACGTGAGCTCGGCCTTGTAGACTACTCGCTGGACAGCGCACTGGAGTATTGGGGAGGACACAATACCGTGAACAAGGTCGTCCTGTCGCCTTGTAACGGTGGAGAGTTGCTGTCATACTACTGCTTCTTCCCGAGAGAGAAGGGAGATTATGCTACGCAGAACTGGAATTCGGAGGCCACCTTGGAAGAACTACTAGCCCCATACCCCGATTTGGATCCCCAGTTGTTGGAGCATTTCAAAGTCGGTGTGGAAATCAAGCCTTGGAGACTGTGGGTGCACCAGCCGTATGAGTGGTGGCAGAAGGGCGTGGCGTGCGTGATGGGAGATGCTGCTCATCCGGTATTTATCTCCTGCTTACATTCTGTCCGGTGAAGAAGTGGAAGACTAATTTGGTTCTAGATGATGCCCGACCAAAGTCAAGGTGCCTGTATGGCAATTGAGGATGCCGCCGCTCTTGGCCTCGTATTCAACAAGGACAACTTCAACGGTGACATTCGAGAAGCTCTGCAGGTCTATGAAGCCGTCAGGAAACCCAGGGCGACCCGAGTACAAGCTGCCTCAGCTAAAGCAAGAGAGAACATCTCCGAGCGCATTGGTCAGTCTTCGTTCTCTCATCTTCCTTCCGACAGATCATACAACCACCGGTCGTCTGATGCTAATTAAGTCTACAGGATTCTCGAGTAACACGAACAACAAGGTCTACAACGTTTCGGACGAGAGCAACAAGTTGACAATCGAGGAAATGAACGGGTAAGTCGACAGCTACTTAGCGATCTTGCAACAATGCTGACTCCATCCCAGTTATGACATGCCCAAGGATATTGCGGCGAAGTATGCCGAACACAGGAAGGTTTAAATAGAGCGCAGTTCTGGGCAAGTTGGTGTCTGGATGCGTGTTGCGCGATGTTTACGGCGTGTGGCCTGACTTTGATTTTGTTGCAGTATCTGTGAGTGGCTCGAGCAATGTTCCAACTCTCAAGTGTAGACCGTACCATAGGATAATATCTCGCTTTCACGATTTAGAACAACAGTACACACTCAAGACTGCAAATCTGACCAACTAAAGACTACGTCGTGATTGGCGGATTTCTGATATCTGATACTGACATGCCGCCGGGTGCCGCTAAGCCCGCTCGCCCGCTTCCGATTTGCACTGGACATCCGCGTCTGAAGAAACAACCTCGGCTTACCATGCGTCCTTATCTATTGAAACCGTATCCACGATCCACCATCTTTTCTATTCCATGTGTTCTGAGATCTTGCCAGCCCTCGCTACCTTATGACCTGCATACTATGGTCTAATCTCAGCTTCTTCTCCCCTTCTCCGAGTGCCGCAAAATGACCCTCTAACCACACACCATGCCGCGTTCTAGAGTTCGGCCCGAGGACAGGCAACGGTCTTGCAAGGCTTGTCTCGCATGCAAGACCTCTAAGATAAGATGCGATTCTCAACTGCCGTGTGCGTCTTGTATCAGACGAGATCGGGCAGCATCGTGCGTCTACTCAGAGGCTGATCGTCGACGGCGGCACCATAGCCTGAATCACAACCAGAAAACTAGCCGGCCAGGAGTACAGTCTCTGGGGACGGTCGTCCCAGCCGCGAATCTTTACAATGCTTCTCCCCAAAACGCTCCCCGGACTCCCTCGCTCTCTACAAGACCGGTCACACCAGACCCAAGCGCTGATGGCGCTCCAAGCCCACAATTGCCTGCCAGTGACCGAGGATCGGTCCGTTCAAGGGGCGACAGAGGTGATTGAATATCCCCAGAAAGTCCCCTCATCGATCGATCACTAAAGAAGCTTGCATTTTTATTTCTTATAGTTTACGTTGACGAGACGGCGTCGTCGTCGTTCTTACATTTCTTGCGGAAAACACTAAGACCATATGTGGGCTCAGTGTCTTTTACCGATGGCGAGCGTCATCACACCATATTCGAAGAGGACATTGCCGATGTGAGAAGTGACGGAGGGAATACTCCACCCGTGGAAATTTATTCATTGCTAGAATCATACTTCGAAGCTGTCAGTATGATCTCCAGGTATTACTCTGACTCACCACTGATGTCAAGTGTAGACCAGCGGCCTTCTCAATCTTTTCACGGCAGATGAGATAGATGCGCTCATAGCTGAGAGGGCGTCTCCAGAAGGAACCGCGTCACCATCGTCAATCAGACGCGACGATGCAGCTGCTCTTGACGCTGCCGTGGCAATTGGGGCCCAGGTCAGAGGATCAAGTGATGAATATACTCAACTGGCACGGAGCCATTTCTGCCGCGCGCGACGGGTTGCTTTTGAGGGCATGTTGACAAACCCGAGCCTCGGTATGGTCCGCCTCTTTCTCCTTCTATCCTTCTACATGCTTGGGGCCTGCAACAGGAACGCAGCGTCCATGTACCTTGGCGTGGCTGCCAAAGCTACTGTTGTTTTGGGTCTCCATCACTTGTCGAGTCACAAGAATCTCCCGAAGGAAGACTATTGTATCAGGTAGGACTCTGCATCAGTTCTGGAATGACCACGGACTGGGACTCTCCGTTAATTCAGATATTCAGGCTGCGGACGTGGAACAGCATCCGAAACATTGACATTCTCACCAGCTTTATCCTCGGGAGACCCAAGAGTCTGCCTCCCGTGCGGCATGATACCAACGAGATGGAGATGGCCCGTGAGGCAGCACCAGAAGATACGCAATCCGCGTTCACTGCGATTCTCAAGGGGTCTTCGCTGCTGGAGGACATAGTCAACAAACTCAGCAAAGGCAACATGCTTCACGTTCCCACTGCCGAGGGTCTCCTCGAGCAGCTTCGCCAATGGATCCGGGCTTTACCTCCGACCTTGCGTCAATTCACGTCCACCTCTGGTGATGGGTCCTGCCTAGACTTCGCAGATCGACAACTACTTGCTGGAAATATACACCTTTCGTGCGTGTACTATTTCGCAGTAATACTCATCACTAGGCCGTTTCTGATAGCGTATTTGATGTCGCGGCTTCGCGGCAGAGCGCCCGATCAACTTATCAGTGATCCGGAGGAAGCGACCGATGTTAGAATCAAGAATAACACGGTGTCGAAGCTTGCGCAAGTCTGCGTGAGCTCCGCCGTTTACATGGCCGACACGTGTGCGAAAGCCAAGGCGTCGAACTTCACTTTCGGCAATCTGTGCATGCTCAAGTATAGCGCTCCTTCATTTCCCCTCCTTTCTCAGGTCAATCTGAACACATAACTGATATATCCGTTCTAGAGCCTGGATCTTCGGTGCAGGTCTCGTGCTCGGCTTTTCCAAATTCGCAGGCGAGCCTCGCAGGGACATTGAAGACGCTTTCGAAGGCGCATGTGGTGTTCTACAGAGCATCGGTGCCTCAAGCGCACAGGCACGACTCTACCACGAGATCCTGACCAGTCTTGCCGAGGCCGTGAGAAAGTACCACAACCGAGTGTCGGGCGAAGTGAGTCAGACGGTCGAGCGTTACATCGACAAGATCCTGATCCTTGACGTTCCGCGGGATGCGGGCCAGCATCATTCCAGTGTCAGCTCTACCTTTACAAATGGGAACTTGAACGAGCCGCAGCTTGCAGGCGCCACGAGCAACGCTCATGGGAACGTGTTTGCAGTTAATGCCGAGTATAACATGGAAGGGGCGCAAACACTGGTGGATATGGCGGTGTATGGGGGGATTCAGGGCGAATGGGGGGAGTTTGATCTGCAGCTGGCCAACGACTTTATGGTGGACGTTGAACCTTTTGAGAAACTATTCTATAGCGTCGAATGAAGGAATTGTGTTTCAATCAGGCTGGTGTTGATCAAGTCTGCTAACGACGCTGAGTATTCAGAGTTGGCGTAGAAAAGAAAATCTTCTTTCTCGGGTTTTGGGTGTTGTGCTGTAGTAAGATATCTTAGCTACAATGAATTTAGAACAAGAAGTGCTTGATCGCTGTCATAACTGGCACTCCGATCATGCCTGAGCGAGGTAGGGCTGTTACCGGTAGGTCTGATCGAAACTAGCCCAATGGAGTCCACATCCTAAAGTTGGAAAACTTAAGGTATAGACAGCCACGACTGCACGAGCCATGTGACCCTGATCATCCCAGTCAGTCACGCCTTCATCATGTTCATGTTGTATTATCATGGTCATGGTCTACAAGTCTCGACATCACCATCTGCCCTGGAACTGGAAGCTGCTTGTGACTCCCTCGATGACTACAAGCCTGGTCGGAAAGCAGGTCTTTCTGAAACACTTTTGGCCCAAGGTCTTTTCTGCCTTGTATTCCTCCACACCACTCATAACCGTCTTTCAGTCACTTGAAATGAAATTGAGCCCGATATGAAGTTTAGGTGAATCTGTAATATCATATCTGATCATTCCTGATTGAAGTCAATTACGATTCGACCCGGAACTTCTCCTCTCCTCAATTGCTCCACACTCTCCGCGATCCTACTCATGGGCCTAACCTCAGAGATATCGTGAAGAAGTCCACGTCTTGCGTAATCAAGAGCCATATCGGTATCCTTGGAGGATCCTGTCACGGTCCCGGTGATACACAGATTCCTGACATTGAAAATCAACGGGTCTGCCCCGATGACGGTGGTGTCTTTTGGAGCTGCGGCATTGTTAGCACGACGAGCAAGTATTTTGCTTCAGAAGGACCATCTTACGCATGCCAACACACATGACCTTAGCAGATACACGGGTTCCTGTGAAACTGATCGCATCCCTGTAGCCTTGAGGGGCCGTGACAAAGACACCGTGAGCACCGATGCCGTCGGCAAGCTTGACGACTTCTTCCGTGGCATTCTTGACCAGTCTGAAGTCGATAAACGCTTCTGCGCCCATCTTGAGAGCAAGTTCTTTCTTGGCATCGGATGAATCAACCACGATTGGGCGCAGGCCCATTGCTTTGGCGAGTTGGACGCCTTGAATTCCTACACCACCACCTCCACCTGTAGAAAAGGTCAATATCATTACGAATTGGGGTTCCATGTCGGTACGTACCGACGAAGACGGCAAAGTTTCCGGGTTTGAGACCAGCGGTGACCAACGAGTGGTGCATCGTTGACGCGCTACACATGATGGGCGCGGCAACATAGTCGGACACTCCATCGGGAATCCTCGTCGTGTACCTGGCCGGAGTGACCACATATTGCTGATAACTTCCTGCAACGATGGTGAGCGGGTGAGACGTAGGTAGTTTTCTACTGCAGAGAGGACAGGAACGTACCGTTCACCACCAGGCCAGATGACATGCATTTTGCGCAGTAATTCTCCTTGCCTTCTAAACACTGCTCACACGTGCCGCATGTATCCCAATTGGGCTTCATACCTGCACGATCACCAACTTTCCAGCCAGTCACGCCCTCACCCAATTTCACCACCACGCCGGCACCCTCATGGCCGGGGCATCGCACACCAAACGATGACATGGGCGGGATTTCCACTTCATTGGACATGTACAGGATGTCTGACATACAAAGACCAGTGCAGTTGAGGCGGAGTAGAAGTTGGCCAGGGGCTGCCGAATAAAACCGAACAGTCAGAAGAGATGAAAAGCGAATATTCTTTTTTCTTTTCTGTTCGGATTGGGGCTGTTTCGTTTTGGCTTTGCTTTGATGTGCTTACCTGGCTCTGGCACGTCAACCATCTGCACTTCGACGTGGAAGTTTGGCCCCTCATTTATAACTACACCGGCTTTACATTGCTTTGGTATCTCCATGATGAGATGAGGTCTGTATTCTGAGGAGCGCCGGGTTGTCTTGAGCTTGGCTGATAACAATTCTCGAGGGGGTTTGGGGGTTTTTTTTGGAGGAGCACTTTTCTAAAACAACTCTCTTGCAGTTACAGGCCTCGTCATTTCCTGGCAATCGAGACCTTTAGTACATCAGGTATAAGGTAAGCCGGTGTTGAGCAGAATTGATACTGGCATTTTGGGGAGCTCGCAGAAGTCGGTCGTAGTACGGATGGAAGAGCTTGCTCCGTAGTAACGTCCGATAGGAGAGATATAAATCTCCACCTCCAGCTCAATTCGAGAACATAGCCGTGCTACGCGCGAACGCGGACCGACCACCCTCTGTAGGATCGGCCATGCCACTGCCAATGCGCCGAGTCTCTGATGCTCCACAGCAGCAATTCACATGAAAGTCCGACTACACCATGTTCACAATAATCACAGCACATGAATTCAAAAATACACACTGCATGAATCAGCTTGAGACATCATTTCATGATCCCTATCCTCACCTAATATCAACATCCTAACATCAAGACTCCCCTGCAACCAGTCTAGAAAAGAATGGAGTTCCCATTCTCCGCCTCGAAGCTGCCATTGCAGATGTTCGTGAACAACGAATACGTCGATGTTGAAAACCCGCGAAAACTCACACTGTACAATCCCAAAGATGGCAGCCTGGTCAGCGACAAAGTGCCCGTAGCCGGCACCGAAGACGTGGATCTCGCCGTCAAGTATGCACAAGCGGCCTTCCCCGCCTGGCGAAAGGTCGCACCAGCAGAACGGACGAAGACGTTGCTGAAATTCGCCGATCTCCTGGAGGAATACTACGAGAAATTGGGCGAGCTGACGCGTCTGACGCTGGGATCAACGCCTGCCTTCGCTCAGATGGAAGCGAGTGTGGCGGCGCAGGGCCTGCGGTACAACGCGGGCTGGATCGACAAGTTCGCTGGCCAGACGTATCCTGAAGCCGACGGCTTTCTCAAGATCATCCGCAATGAGCCCCTCGGTGTGACAGCGGGCATCGTCCCCTGGAACGGCCCTCTCGTCACCATCGGCCTCAAAGCCGCCCCGGCCCTGGCCACGGGAAACTGCTTCATCTTCAAACCTTCGGAGAAGACGCCATTTGCGGCTCTGGCTTTGGGCCCTCTGATCAAAGAGGCGGGTTTCCCACCGGGAGTCTTCCAGGTGCTGCCCGGTGACGGATCCACGGGTGCGCTGTTGTCTAGCCACATGGACATCCGCAAGATCAGCTTTACGGGCAGTTGCGCGACGGGGAAGAAGATCCTGGAGATGGCTGCCAAGTCGAATCTGAAACGGGTCACGCTGGAGCTGGGTGGGAAATCGCCCGCGGTCATCTTCGACGACTGCAACATTCCCAACGCGGTCAAATGGACTGTTGATGCCATCACGGCCGGATCGGGACAGACGTGTTTCGCGGCTAGCCGGGTCTATGTGCAAGAGGGAATCTACCAAGAGTTCATGACGGCATATGTACAAGCCATGAAGGACAAGGCGAAGGTCATGGGCGACCCTGAGGCGCCCGGGACGGAGTTGGGGCCCATGGTAGACAGGGCACAATACGAGCGTGTTAGTGGGTTCATTCAGCGTGGTCAGAGCCAGGGGAAATTATTGGTTGGAGGACCACGTGTTGGAGACAAGGTATGCTATATCACCCTTTCCATTTCCATTTCCATTTCCATTTCCAAACTCTTTCTTTCTCTCTCTCTCCTCCGAACACGGCCAGACAGACAGAAACTTACCATGAACGAATCAACAACAAACAGGGCCTCTTCATCGAACCCACCATCTTCGCCGAAACAGACCCCAAATCCGAGATCCACACGCAAGAGATCTTCGGCCCCGTCTCCGTCGTCCGGCGCTTCTCGACCGAAGAAGAGATCATGAAGCTCTCCAACGACACGAGTTTCGGCTTGATGGCCGGTGTGTTCACGCAGGACATCAATCGCGCCATGCGGATCGCGGCCGAGTTTGATTCGGGTATGGTTGGGGTTAACTGTATGAGCTTGTCTTTCTTGAACGCGCCGTTTGGTGGGACCAAGGAGAGTGGGATCGGGAGGGAGTGTGGGTTGAGTGCGCTTTTGGCATTTACTGAGACTAAAACTGTTATGGTTAACTTGACTTATTGATATTGTAAATAGGACGTGTATAGATTTATAGATATATACCATTCGTCTATATGGCTGGCCCATGATTTTCCTTTCGGACTCGTTGTGGGTTGCGTAACTTGACTTGACTTGCGAGCCCCAGTGCGTTCATTGTCGCTTCCCTCACCTGAAGTACTTTCTGATGCTAGGGCAAGGTACGTACGTGCACCTGTATTCCCACGCTCTAGTGAATTAATCCTGTATTCAAGGTAAGGTAGACTTCCTCTCGACACGGGTACTTAGGATTGCCCAATCTTCCTCCCCACGGGTAAACAGACAGACAGAAGTCAAGAGGATCAGTAATCTACCACTCCTCACTACCATACACCCACCACCAACCACCCTCTTGTTTGTTCGGAAAATACATAATCCCCCCTTCATGCTCGAAACAACATTTCATTCCAATCATGTCGACTCCGTCACAGCTCGGTTGATGATATCGACCACAGTTTCAGAGCGAGGGGTGATGATGGCATTGAAATCCATTGGGGGAGGCCTTATGAGGTTGAGTAGAGTCAGTCAGTCAATCGGTTGCGATTTTGGGGACCGGAGTGACCCGGCTGCCACCTCAGATCAGATGAAACTTACGATGCTAGGAACGCGCCCCAGTCTAAGGGATCTAGACTTGGCAGGATCTTTTGTCCGTTCTTATCAATGGGCGCTTTTATGTCGAAACCCCAGACGAAACTTGAGATGACTGGATCACAGACCACGTTAATGGCGGGCTGGCTGGACTGATAGAATATTGAATCTTACCCATGAACAATGTCTGCTCGGCAAAGTGTTGACCGAGGCATTTTCGACTTCCACTGTATCGTGTGTGTCAGTGGGTGATCATGCCGGCAGTCTTGTAGAAAGAAGTAAAGATCTGGCAGACTTACAAGCCGAATCCCGAATGGGGCAGGTTGTTCACCTGGCCACGCTCATCTAGGAATCTCTCTGGTCGGAATTCAGTGTGATTCGGGTAGAGTTCCTCATCCTCATGGATGTGTTGCGATAGTGCAAAGACGGTTGCACCTTTAGGAATGAAGTAGCCTTCGTAGAAGTCGTCCTCAACCACGGCGTGCGGAATGGCTACGGGTGCAACTGTTCGCCAACGGAATGCTTCCCGGATCATGGCGACAATGTAAGGCATTCGTCCGAGGTCGTCGAACGTGGGCAAGCGGTCTCTCCCTACCGCTTCGTCGACGACATCTTGAACCTTTTTCAAGATATGGGGGAAATACATGAAGATGATCATACTGGTCGTTGGTCAGTCAGAGAATTCCCAGAATTTTTGTTGGGACGTGACTCACAAGATGACGGTTGTGCCAGTCAGAGTATCCGTTCCAGCATCGACCATAGCTGCACCGAGTGTGGTGCCTTCACGTTCGGTGAGCTGATGCATTTGACTCTCGAGCAGATTTTCCACGAGACATGGATATCGGGATTTCCCCTCCGCAACCTTCTTCTTGGTAGCATCCCACAATTCTTGATACAGTGTGTCGACCTCGTCGCGCCATCGAAGTCCCAGTTTCTTCCAACCCATCCCTGGCAGCCATGCGGGAAGATACTGCAAGAACGGAACATAATCCACCCAGAACCGACCTTGTACCTGGGCCGTGAACTGGTTATCTGTGGCGTGATTGATGCGGGCGATCAAAGGGTTGTCAATGTTCTCTATCGATCCATGCGCAAATGTGGAATTCAACATCACATTGATGGTCAAACACTTGATGATTCCGACGAAACGCTCAGGATTCTGCGTGAGACGTTGGCAGAAAAGACGTAACTCTGGTAACAGGGCCGGGTGTGCCCAGTCTTTGAGAGCATTTGCACGAAGACGTTCGCCCAGTATCCTTCGCTGCTTCCTGTGGGTGTCGTGTATGGTTCTCGCGGTTCCCACGTACATTCCATCCCGAGTAACGATATCCTGTGCCATGACCAATTCTGGACGATCTCCATATTTGACCATTCGCTTTTGGAGCAGAGCCTCGGCATGTTTCATCTTCCCTAACAGCACCACAGGCGTCCCCAAGACCCAATACATGACAATGTCGCCTACAGGCAAGCCAGGTATCAGTTGCCGGTTCCTTCGTGGAATCTATTCGTTTTGAGGAGACAACTCACCATATTGATTGGCCCACTTTCCGTACGTTATCCACGGCCTCTCGTTGTCGATGTCGAGTAGACTTCCGATGATCGGTAAGCCTTTGGGTCCCGGAGGGTAGGGTGGCTTGGCCTTGAGATAATACTTATATAGCAGCCACGAGACGAGGATGGCAATGGAGACAGGTATAGCAAAGGAAGGGGTTAGAAGTAACATGATGGACACCTCAGTCTGCTACTGTTCTTGATCAATGGTTTCGAATCTTCGCTACTGCGCAGTCTTTCGCATCGTACTACATGTACAACCTTTATCAAACAACACCACTCTTCCCCTTGGCATGGGATCTCAAGATAAGCGTGTTTACCGTTCCTTGTTCCGATTTCCCATGCTCTTCTGCAGGATTCGTTTATCCGTGCCGACACTGCCAAAGGTACTTACTGTAATCCTGCTGACTGAATGAAAACTGGTATGGTACGGTATGGTACGGGATCCACCGTGCGGGACGGTAGGGGAAGGGCTAAACCGCTTTCGTGTCAGGACCTGCATCCCGGGGCGACTAAGTCAGGTACCCTACTGTTCCCTGCAGCGCCAGGACCCACTAGTCCCTGACCCCGTACGGTAAGTACTTACTATCACTTTACGGTCAGTATGACCACGGACCGAGCAGGCAAGGAGCATGACCGCGCGCTTCCTACCTTACACTAACTGTACCTTACCTTGCGTATAGATAACGGCAACAGGGTCAATTCGAGACATCTTTCGTGAGATCGGTCGCAGAGAACCACTTTCTAATACATACGGCACGAGCCTAAGCCAGGGATGCTGCGGATGTCAGTGACCTTGGACTAGGTATAAGAGTTGTAGACGGTGCCTGCGCATGACAGACAACATCTGATATCTTCCCAATTGCTTCTGTTCCCACGCTGTTCCATTGTCAAACATGTCCGGACCAAGATACCCAGCGATAGCCCCGCAGGACCTGAGCCCGCAACAGCGAGTCTTTTACGATGAGATGAAGGAGAAAATGCGCAATGGATTCGGCTCCAGGTAGGCCGCGCACTTGCCAATGATGGGCTGCTCCGTGCTAAGCAATTGAATTGTAGCTTCACCCTAGAAGGCAAAAATGGCGGTCTCTTGGGTCCTCTCTCAATCCTGATGTACACGCCTAAATACGCACCACACGTGATGCGCCTGAACAAGGAAGTCTTGAATCTTCCAGCGCTCGAGCCGGAAGTCACGGAGGTGGCCATCATGGCCACGATGGGTCACTATACGAGCTCATTCGGCGGCGGTTTCCTCACCTATTCGCATTCTCGAATCATCGCCAGCAAGAACCTGTTGACGGAAGAGCAGATGAAGAAGATCACGTTTGGAGAGAAACCGACCGATTTGACCGAAAAGGAGAGCGTGGCTTTTGACTTGGCCATGCGGTTGGTCAAGGGGGGCAAGCCATTAGAGCAGGATCTCTGGGAACGCGCAAATGCCATCCTGGGGAAAGAGCAGACGCTTCACGTGATTCAGCTTGTCGCTTACTACAGCCTGCACGGCGTCGCATTGAACGCGGGCATCATCGGTGCCCCGGAAGGAGAACAGATTTTTAAATCATAAGCAAGATTGAAAGAATAATGACTTGAATCTCTCTACACCACATGTCTGCAAATATCTGCACAGTATCCGGCATGAGCCACGTGAAACCTGTGCATGTAGCTGACTGGGATCGGCTAGTTGGACTTAGTTCCCTAGCCGTCGAAGGAGTCCAGGCCAGCTTTTGATCCTGCCTTATCTATGTTGGACACCCGAAGATCAGTCAATCGAGTGAAATCGAAACTCTAGATTGCACTATTGCATGCTTGCGATACTCGAACGATACACTGCTGAGGACCGTGAGATACCGTGCAGCTCTAGTGCGGGCCGAGGCCACGGCTTATCGATTATCTTTTGTGTGGAGATTCGGAAGTGGGACAACACGATAACAAAACAAAATGAGCGCGATAACGGCTCTAACAGGGAGCGACTCCTTTGGGTGCAGCTACGCTTGTCTATCAGGTATCTTAGCCCGCGATAGGCCGAATGAGGGATCTCTCTGAACAGGATATAATAGCAGACCATTTGTCCTCGAATGCTTCATCTCCACTGAACCACCAACCTCATCCATTTCCTAAAAGATACTTGTCAAGATGGCAGCGGAAGCACATATGTACGAGAAGGAGAGCAGCGGCATCGAAATCTACCCTCCGTCGGAGGCCAATGGCGACTTCTCCGACTATACCCTCAAGGACGAGAACCAGCATGAAGTCTTCAAGAAAGAAGAAGGCAAGGTGGATTTCCGCACAACGGGATGGTTGCGAGCTTCGGGTATCATGATCAAAGGTAAGAGCCCAGGCTTTTGTCGGATCCGGTTGATCTGACCAAGATGTCTAGTTCAATTTGCTCTCGGTGTGCTCAACATCCCGAGCAATCTCTATGTCCTGGGTGCATTGCCTGGCTCTCTCGTGATAGTTGGCTATGCCTTTCTCAACACGTACAACGGGGTGCTCTTCGGTGACTTCAAACTCCGCCATCCTGGCATCTACGATGTGAAGGACGTTGCCTACGTCGTTGGTGGGCCAGTCCTCCGAGAAATTATGGCCGCGCTGTACATGATCGGATGTGCCTTCTGCGTGGCGTCTTCATGCGTGGGATTGTCAGTGGCCTTCAACTCGCTCAGTCATCATGCTGCCTGCAGTGTGTGGTGGAGTTTCATGTCCATGATGGTTATCGCTGTGGGCGCCAGTTTCCGGAAATTCCACACCATCGGCTGGCTCACGTGGGCTGGGTTTCTCTCCATGTATGTATCGGTCTTCATCGTGGTGTAAGTACCCTCCTTTCCTTGACAACAAATTATTTTCAGTGACTAACGAGAATTTAGTGTCGCTGTCACCACACTCTCTCGTCCCGTGGCGGCTCCTCAGACAGGACCTTACGACCTGGGCTACCATGTGATTGGAAATCCCACGTTTGAAACCGGCATGACCGCCGTCACCGGTATCTTCGTTTCCGGTGCAGGAGCCCCGATGAACATTCAGGTCATCTCAGAGATGAGGAAGCCGGCTGATTACCGCAAGGCTCTTTATCTCTGCAACGTGATTGTAAACGCCTCCTACCTCACCTTCGGTTTGGTCATCTACCGCTGGTGCGGGAAATGGGTCGCCAGTCCCTCTCTAGGCTCAGCCGGCCAAACCATCAAGATGGTTTCATACGGAATTGCCCTGATCGGACTCTTTGTCGGCGCCATTGTCTACCTCCACCTGGCCGCGAAGATGCTTTTCGTGCGCATTCTGCGCGATTCGAAACATCTCCAGTCAAACTCAGTGATCCACTGGACCGTGTGGCTGTAAGTTAAACAAAACCCCTCCTGATGTATTTTTGAAGGATTCAAACTAATTCCATTTTATCTAGAGCAAGCACATTTGGCATCTGCGCCATCGGATTCATTCTGGGAGAAGCCATCCCTATCTTCAACTACCTCATCGCTCTGACCGGTTCCATCTGCTTTGCCCCTCTCAGTCTCTGCTTGCCTCCGGCCGCTTGGCTGTTGGACTACTGGGGCTATTGGAAAGGTACCTTCTGGCAGAAGATGTTCTGGGCCGCTCAGGTCATCAGCTTCTTGTGTGGTTGCCTGGTCATCGTTGGCGGCACCTATGGTACCGTCAAGCAGATCGTCCAAGCTTACGCAGACGGCACCATCGGGAAGGCCTTTGACTGTGCTGACAACTCCAACTCATCTTAGAGAGACTACACGATACTGTGCCATTTTTTATTTTTCTCATCACATAGATCAGAGATATTGGGATGGAGATGGTGAGAAAGAAAGCTCGAGTCCTTCTTTTATAGCCTTGAGCTTGAACTGAGGTGCCCTTTTCCCATGGAATAAGAAGACGTTACAGCACAGATAAAGGTTTCAAGAGATATAATTATATCCTTAAGCCGGTTGAAATTCCCAGCCTCTTTCCATGATTATCTCTAAGAAATTATTCCAAGGAACCAATTCTCTCCAGACATAACTTGAGTTATGACTTGAATGGTCAACATCAGGTCCATCCAAGCAAAGTCTCTCGTCGTCGCCGAGTTCCATCTCACCCGCCCAGGAATGGAAAATGAGTAAGTATTGGACCTGCCTTATCTTCGACTTGACGGTACTTTCCTCTATCTCAGGATTGTACCTTATCCACCTCCCTAAGGCAATAAAGGTAGGAAGGGTACGTTTTTCTTTTTTGCTTCTGGGTTGATATTTCTCAACTGGCATTGTCTTGCTGGACGAATGCCTTGAGTGGTAGAAGTAGAAGGAGAAGTAGAGTAGAGTATATTATTTCTATATTGAATGTCAGAACCGCTGCGGTGGCTGGGTTTCTCTCTCCTGATCTACAGTCACCTAACCTAAGGTCAGGTATAGTGAATGATACAAAAAGTGGGTGTTGACTCGGAAAAGGACACCCATTTCATTCCCACCCCCTCATACCCTCTCTCAACGATATTTACATCGCCTGCCTGCCCGCGACTTGACCATTCGTTCGTCCGTTCGTCTCATTTCTCATCCAAAGGTATTTTTGCATCTATCTATCTGTCAATCAATCAAACAAACTTCCCGCATGGCAAACTTGAACATCTCATTAGAAGTGACGGAGTCTTCATCGAGCAGCTTCGCGGCCGTCTCGTCTCCGGCTCCTGGGACGCGGTACTCTCGTTTCGGACCGTTCGGCAGAGCGGAAGGGAATGGAAGGTATTCAGGCATCAAGCCCATCTGAAAAAGGACTGTCAATTGGTCCCAACTGATATGCTCATGGTAAAGCCTATCGCCTCGGATGTTCACGACCGAATACATCGGGATCCGTAGCTTTTTGCCCGTTGGCGGGACACCGGGGGCGCTATAGGTCAGGAAGAAAGACGGGTCAGCTTATCACTTTTTCAATATTCTGGTGAACTTGGGTTTGCTGGTGGGAAGGGAGAGAAAGCACACTTACAGCCAATCTACCATCTTGTCATGGGTGAACTTCATGATGAATTCATCAACCACGCGGTCGATACCCGTCGTTCGGCTGATAAGAATCAACTCGGTGTCGTCGGGGTTGTTGAAAATAAAGTGATTTGCGTAGAAGTTGCTGAGATTCTTGCGGCCGATACCTCCCGTGATGGTAGGGACGTGGTTGACATACGGCTCCTGAACCATGGTGGCCATGGTCTCTGCGACGTCACGGGCCTCGAATTCGAAATATGTGTGCTCCTCCCATATAGCTTCTAGGTCAAACCAAGGTCCGTCGAGCTGTTTCTTCAAAAATTCCAGACATCTAGTGTGGGCCACAGCCGCAGACGCCGATAGGAAGTCTCTGTGTGAGGGAAGAATGAATGATGTAGATGGTACCTCGGGATACCGGTATACGACTTCCTTTTCAGCCGTGGACTTTGTGCCCTTCTCTGAAAGGTGGTAGAGATGCGGCTTTCTGCATAGCAGAGAGCCGTACGAGACGATAGCCTTGACCTCGTCAGTGTCATCGATGGCTTTGGACACCTCTTCCACTGTGAACGGCGAATACGAATAAACTGGTACAAGTCAGTAAACGGCATCCCCTTGCAAACAACCCTGTCAATGAAGTCCTCACCAATAATACCGTACTTAGATTTTTCGGTACACTTCTCATGACTACTCAATGCCTCAACAGCTTCTCGCAATTGGTCCTTGATCGTCGCCCGACTGTTCGACACCTGCAATTGCGCAACGGTATAACCCTCCTCAGCCCATTTCTGAAGCGGAGATGGATCCAAAGTGCTGGTGGTATTATTGTGAGGGGGGCTGAACTCGAACGCTGACCCTACGAGCAACAGGCCTGGTCCATCGCCGCGGCGGGACAGTGGCGCAGTGGTCGTCAAGCTTGCCGTGAGCTTGACGGGTTTAGCTGAGGGGAGAGGAGGAGCCATAATGATATGATATGAAGAGTCCTTGTAGGTTTCAATTGGATTATTGTGTTGAGTGCTTCATGAACAGATGCGCCGGACAATATGATTCCTTAAGGGACTACCAGACGATGAAACACCGCCGTAATGACGGTCAGAAGATCGATTTGGCGTATCGACGGAATGAGTGCGAGCTGCAAACGGTGGTCCGTGAGCATGGCATTTCCGAATGGATAATTCCTTATCGTCTTGCAGAGGCGCTCTATTACATTTGGGGCTGCCGTAAGCCAGGTTTGAGATAAGCGCCCGAGGTGCGCGGGCCGATGATGATCTTGGGGGTTATGAATGAGAACAGGAAGAGGATCTCCGAGCCGATCTCTAACGTATCTGAGGTATCTACGTGTAAGGCACTAAGGTCAGGTACATTAGTTGGGACGACACGTGGAGAATAATATTGCGTATCCAATGATGGAAAGAGTGGAAAAGCTTACCATGACCGACTAAGGTACACTGGCAGAAGTCTCCAATCGAAAAGCTTGCTTCAAAAGATAACGCAAGTTTCCATCATAATGAAGTTGGTGATTCTTATCTCTTGTCACGAATTGTGTTGGGCACTAGCATTACACACTCCGAATCGAGCTTTTAGTCAGGGCTTAGGACTATTGTGAAATGTTACTAATCAGTCCAACTCCCTTGATGAATCAATACTATAACCAGTCCCTCTGCATGGATATCGACTAACGGCAGTGGTTCCCGTACACTAGAGATGTGAGCGAGCAGAGGCATAGGCTAGAGGGGATATGTCGACCTGGTCTTCACATTAGTGCGAGTCCCTCTTCGGAAGGGCATGGAGGACACTTACATAGGAAGGATTGAGCTGATCGAGTGAAGTGACGCCCATCAACGCCATGGTAGTCTCAAGCTCGTGGTTGAGGATTCGAATGGCCTTGTTGACCCCTGCTTCACCAAAGACCAGGGAGAACAAAAACGATCTGCCCAATCCAACCCCTTTTGCCCCCAGCGCAAGTGCCTTGACAATATCGGAGCCTCTGCGGATACCGCCATCCACAAAGACTTCACACTTGTCGAAGACTTCGGGGCAGTGCTTGCGGATATCGACAAGTGTCTCTAGCGAAGAGGGCGCGCCGTCTAACTGTCGACCTCCATGGTTGGAGAGCCAAGGGTGAACTTTGTAATGCATACACAGTGCTGCATCCTCCCAGCGTTGGATGCCTTTGATGGCAATTGGTAGGTCTGTCAGACCTCGAAGCCACTTGACCGCGGAGATCCAGTCAAAACTGGACCAGACCGGTCTACAGACTGGTCAGTATGTTTCAGAAGCCAGGATATACGTCACTCACGGGCGTTTGACTGCTGGCCCCTTGGTGAAGCCGTCCTCATCTTCGTCCTCTTCCTCTTCATCCTCCTCGGCGTCCTCGGTTTCGGAGATACTCGCTCGCACATCACGCTCTCGTTTCCCAGCCCTGACCGCATCAACAGTCAAAGCAAAAGCTTTGTATCCCAGCTCAACAGCCTGCTTGATCTCACGCTCAGTGATAGTCAAGTCGGCCATGGCATAAATCTGCCAGTATAACGTCTGATTTGGTATACGTGCATCGGCTATGGCTTGTTGAGTACTGCCGGCATTGTTGCACACCCATTGCAGGATGCCATGCCTAGCAGCGGCCTTGGTCAAGAGCACATCTCCTTGAGGGATGGCCAGATTTGCACCGCCAGCAGGGCAAATGAAGAAGGGTGAAGAGAATTTGGTTCCCAAGATCGAGCACGATGTATTAATGCTTTCAACTGGTCGCAGTATACGGGGTCGGAGGCGTATTGCTTTCCAACTTTCCTGATTCCAGTTGACAGCATATTCGTCCTCAGCGCCGCTCTTGAAAACTGTCCAAAGTCATTAAGATGCCTTGACTTCTTATGCGGTGGGCCGGACTCACATGCAAAAGATCCTGGAGGAAGGTTACGGGACGCGGCTAATTCGAAGTCTGCCACGCTGATGATTGAGGATAACTTGGCTTTTCTCTGGGTGGAAGCCTTTGGTTTCTGTTTTGGGTTGCGTGACTCGGGCCGTTCTTGTGATGAGGAAGCTTCTGAAGCAATGGGCCCCAGACTCTGTCTACTACCTGTGAGATTTCAATCCCTGTCAATATGAGTGGTTCACACATACTGCGGAGTGAGATGCTTTTCCAGGGTATCTGCGGGGTGAATGGGTTGGAAGGCCTCAGTGGCGTCGCGCCCAGCATATTTCATTATAATCCTGGATCCGCCTGGGTGTGAGTCCACAAACTCGGTGACATCGTATACAGCGTTGTTGATGATCACCCAGCAGCTTTTCTTGGTTGAATGTTTTCGAACCTCCGATCTGTTAACAGTCAACGTGTGAGCGTAAAATAACCCCTCAAGGTCGTGAGCGCAAGGATTAATTTACCTGGTCAATGTCATGGTCAAAGGCCGTATCTGTAAGGACTGGAAAGCGCCAAAAGGGCTCTGAAATCGTGTTCACCAGCAAATGTAAATACCTAGGAACACCTGAACTCTTCTCCCCACACTCTCATCTGCGAGAACCAAGTCACGAAATAACGCAGTTTCCATATTTGTGACATTACATAGTAGGAGATGCTCCTTGATGCCGAGTCGGGGTACTGAGCCGAACCTCTCCCCGAATCGGCAATAGGCACAGCGGGTAGAGAACGGACTTCGGGTACTGGCCTGGTAGCCTTCTCGTCGTCCAATCATAGTAGCTCACATCATTTCACTCATCAATCACGTTGGAATCACTTTTTATATCTTTGGGAACGCGACGCGAGAGGCTTGTTGTAGATTCAACAAGCCAAGATCATGGACGCCGTTTTTGCCAAGATCGCAAAGGACACTACGAAATTCGCTCTCGGCGATGAAGAGGTGCGTGAGGTGTACCTTGACACTGCTCACCGTGACTATTTCAGAATATGCTGATATACTAATTGGCTTGAGTAGATATGGCGGGAACTATACGAGCCCTTCCTTCCAGATCCACCCTCAAACGTCAGCGTCATTAGAGATGAGCGGTACGGCCCAGCTGAGAGGAATCGCTTAGACATATTCGTCCCGCATGGTGATGAGGCCAATAGACCCGTCATGTTGTATGTCCATGGGGGCGGTTTCTTCTCTGGTGATAAACTTTGGACGGAAAAGGTGTACTCCAATATTGGCTGGTTCTTTGCTCAACATGGCATTATCACGGCTGTGACGAACCACCAACTGGTCCCTCATGTACAGTACCCTGGAGGTGCAGACGATATGCAATTGGTTCGTGAATGGATCTTCAACAACGTCTCATCCGAAAAGTACGGCCGAGGATCTGTTGACAAGGTGATTCTGTTCGGCCACTCCTCCGGTGGTGCACATGTTGCCATGAACCTGTACGCAGCCGGTAAGAGGTCCGTGTCCTAAGATTCAACGATTTTGACCCTAAGAGGCCTGTGTCAGGCGATCCCGAACGAGTTCCAAAAGATGCTCTCTTTCCTCCTGTAGCAGGCCTTATTCTCCTCGATGTGCCCTTCTGGTTCGACAGGAATAAGCCAGTCCGTCAGAAAACCCTTCGATCTTACTATGGTTCCGATGCTGAGGAGGTCTGGGGCGTGAGTGTCTGATGTCGTGTTGATGGAGGCTTTGCTGACTATCTGTCCAGCCGAAATCCGCGCTCGGACTTTTTCAACGTCTTTCTGAAGATTCGGTAGTGTTGTAAGTCCTCTCCTGTTGGGGCTTGTGAACCGATCTTGGCTGACTGTCACCTCTAGAGACTCACAAAAGTTGCCCATATACCTGGGCACGGTGGAGTGGGAAGTGTAGGTGTCAAGCTCTTCGCGATCGATAGAACAGCTCACTTACCACCGGGACAGACCCGAGACTGCCGACGCGACCGTTATGTTCTTCAATGCGTACCGAGCGCGAAGCAAGCCAGCTGGAACACTGCCCTTGTTTCATGTGGCTCAGAAGCACAACCATATGAGGTGGGTTCCAAGTCGTTATCTCAAGATGCTCAAAGATATACAATTAACATAGGGAATCTACAGCAACATCTTGTCAATCGGAACTGAGGATACCTCGCAAGCCAAGCCATTGCTTGAGTTTATTGGGTCTTGCGTGGGCCAAGACTTGTCTCAGAAGCAGTCAGTCTAGACTTTCTTTGTAGTCCCTGAGAACGCTGACTCAACTGCATGTGCAGAGATCATAAAGTGGTGCTCGGGATGACTGGGACCAGTGGCAAATGGGAATCCCGATTATAGTATCGCTTTATTGAATGGTGGCATTGAGCCATTCTGAAAAGGGATTGACTCTGGTTAGGATTATGTCTCTGTCGGTACTGCTCTTGTAGTAGTTTCGATTGCTTGCGTTGAGAACTTCAAGATTCGATATTGCTGATTTCGGTTTCTTGGATTGGCTTGGTGAACAGCACAAAGTAATATGCTCGTACCAGACGAGATATATCCGGTTTGTGAACTGGGAAAGACTTGACGTTTCAACCAGGAAATAAGATATGGATTGATCTGCGCCGGTATGGTTGCGGATTTTGATCGCCATGATTCGCTGGATTTCTTGGGACTTCAGGGTCTTATCTGCTGCGAGATTACCAGGATGGCGGAGTTTGTTTGGTATCTGAATTTGTTTGGTATCTTGACTGGTTTGATTTCTGGGTTTATTTGGTCTCTGGATCGGTTTGGTCTCTAGACTAGTTTGGTCTCTGGGGTTTGTTTGGCCTCTGCCGTTGACAACACACACAGTTGACTTGGCACACTTGTCGTCGATAACACACGTGATGATCTTGCCTTGTAGGGTTGTATACTCCTGTCGGGCTCGTCATATTCACACAATTGCTCTATGCTATAAGCGGATCGTCGTCTCACCGCAGCCAAATCAATCATTTGGCGGGTGTTCTTCTCATCCAGCCCAGAGGGCGGACGTGGTTCCCATCCTTTGTAGCAAGATAGCTTTCTCAAGGAGCGTCGTTGGACGTATCCTCACTGTTTTCGTACTCTCCAATGGCGTCCTCGATATCTCGAAGAAGCCAAGTAAGCTGGGTTTCCTTGACTGTCTTCGTGACTTGTTGGACGCGATCAGCGCACGTTCTCGTCGCCTCAGCCGTGTCTCTCTCCATATCCTTGATGGCTCTCTCGTCAAGAGTCAGTCTCAAGTTCTCGAGCTTTTCAACGCTCTGCCTCAAGTTCTCGTCGACGTTGCCACTTTGGAGTGTCAGGGTCTCATGAAGTGCAAATTGAGCAGTCAGTTCTTCACTGTCAAGACCAGCACAACCAGAGCCTCGGCCTCCCGTCCACCAGTGGTTGAAGCCACCGAGGTCCAGGTACCCGGAGGCCGAGGCGTGACCGAAGATCTCCAAGATGCCGGCATGACTGGCTTGCAAGGGGTGGAAGAGGACATGTCGTTGGATACGATATTCGTCCCCAAATAGGTATTTGACAACTGCTGAATACAAGCCAAAGATGATGCTCTCACTACCGGCGTGCGTCGTATGCTGATGTGATCTTTCGTCGAGGCTTTTCGCCCACCCAATATAGGTGAAGCACCTCCCGAGGTGTAAATTGAAATCAGCAATGTCCTAAGCTTGCCTTTTAGGTTGGAGGTGTACTCCCTCTCCAGAATCCTCAGCCATTCTCTGATCGCTGTGAAGTCGTGGGTGCCGTTCCTCAAGACACGGGAATACCGCCGTTGAATGTCGTAATCACTCTTGATACAATACTTCTGCGGATACTGGTTGTCAATGGTTCGAGCAGTGCTGGCGAAGGCAGTATCCTGCAGATCAATGTACCGCTTCATGGTGTCTGAAATTTTGAGCAGTTGTCTCAAGGTCGGTGCCTTTCCAGTGTCCTTATGGGCTACCATGATTTGGTATACCCCCGGGCCGAGTTTGTGCTCACAACGTACCCAGTCCTCAACTTGTCTCTTGAATTCAGGGTCCTTCATACGAGAAGGGATATTGTTGCAAAATTACAGCCTGAATCAGACATGGTGGCAGTGAGGCGAGGTAAAGAGGCAGCAGGGAGTCAACTTCTTCCTTCAACTGCTCAAATCGCTTCTGCTTGATCTCCCGGTGCCGAGACTTCGCCCAACTGTTGATGTAGGTCTGGATACCTCTGACGCCATAATGCTCAAAGTGCCAGAGCAAAGTGGCCTGGTACTCAGTGTCAGGACCAGTCTCCATGTCCAACGGAACGGGGGGCCCTTCATGTTCTTGGGTAGGCGTTCATGAAGTTTGCGGTCAGCCAGTTCCCGAGCGTCTTGGTTGATCTTTTCGACCCGCTTAAGGAGGTCTTCAAACTCATCTCGTGTTGTTTTAGCAGACATATTGTAGTATGCAACCGTACCAACGATGACTTGTTACGCACACAGTTCGTTCAAGTCGCCGGGTGAGAGAAAAAGAGCCTGGGCCTTTACAGTGTCTCATATCGGCTTGGGGTCAGGGCACTTCGTTCCCTATCGGCAACAATTCGGTACAGCTAACTTGATTTCTTGCTCAGAAGCCTGTAACAGACGACAGTACAGCACGTCCTCGAACTTGCTGCGGCATCAGAGTGGAAACATGCAACTAATCCATGCTTCGTGAGCGTGGTACATCGAAAACAGCAGCATTGTGCCATTTTCAGGACTCCAATAGCAACGTTACAAGCTTGTATAAGCTTCCAGACCTCGTGTCCATCGCTCACCGGTGCTGAACTTCGGCGTTGATACTGGCGCTGGCAGTGTCATCCAGGATCTATGCCAGGGCTGTTGTTGTACACGAGTCTGTTCAAACTCTCCTTTCTGGTTGATCATCTTTGATAGCCTCGCTCTTCGTCGATTCACATTGGAGAGACATCTAGCTCAGGAGCTACTGTCTTCAGTTTGCATGGTTGGTCATGCTCGGCAGTGGGAAACCCTGTCCCAAGATCAGATTATGGATGCTCAAAGCATTGTATTCAGTGCGCTTTTGGTTGGGGCCTGATTCTATCAGCAATATTCTCTGTCGGCAGTGTACTTGTTGTGTAAGATTTGGAGCTTAGGAATTGTCCTGCAACAGGACCGGTAGCAGCAACCCTTCAAACCGTGACATGCCAAGGTCTGGCTATCTTACCTGCTATCCCCTTGACCGGTGAGCACGCACAGCTAAGCGCACAACGGCTCTCAGATGGTCACCAACGGATACCACATGATTGCGTCGGTCAAGCCTCGGTCAAGGTAGGACAGAAGAATGAATCTGGTTCGTAAATTTTGGAATTCCTCGGCCTATGCCTCGGGCTACCTGGGGTGCGGGCCACGACGGAGAGTTCCAAGCAAGGTTTTGCAGCTATGTCTCTCGAGCTTGGTATTGGAGCACTTCTACGCAATGTCTGCCGATACTTCAGAGTCACTGTACAGCCCCGGTTATGGCCACACTGAACGACCTTTGTGGCGCAAATGCTTCTGGAGTGGTGGCTAATATCTGTGCCTGGGCAAATTTTATTCACGATTCTCGGCGCTGATATGTGATGCCCCTCAGTGGTCGATATAAGGGACGCGAGAATGAATCATGACAGGTCTTCCACGAGGTACAAAGTGTTCGATCGAAGCTGATTCTGCTATGCCTCTGAACTGTTCCGCAAACACAGGGTATCGCGGGATGAGCGATTCTGGTTGCCCATGTAATGATCTCATTAAGTGGTCTGGAACCCAGTCATGTTTCAACCTCGGGAAAAGGGAAGGTTCCATATCGCACGTTCTCCGTCTCTTTACTGCTGACTGCTAGCTGGCCATGGGGAGTAAGGACCACTTGCATGAGACTGAGAGTAGTGGGTTCAAGGACGTCTCCTACAGCTTGCTCATGATGTTCGATATTGCCAAAGTTCTTGGAATCCTCACAAATGTGATCAGGACCCAAGTGGTGTTGCATCTTCGAATATAATGACTCATGTTGCGAGATTGTCAAACACTGTCACGTACGCTCGATGACCGAAGCAAGATTTGTGTTGTCAAGGTGCAAATATATCTTCTCACGACGATTGGGACGTTTCGCTTATGCCGATCACGGCAATTGCAATTTCAGAGCACTCATCCTACTTACAGAAGCGCCTATTTCTGGGTAAGTTGAAGAGAATGGAGTTTTGTACCACGAGAAGATGGGAGGGAGCTCACCGAGAGCCCATATCGTTGTCAAATGAAGACACCGTGGTTCCTTCAATAAATTGTCAGCCCAGCATACACATTCCGCCGATGCTACCGCACCAACAACTCATACAATATCTTCTTTGACAGTACCACATCTGATGTCTACAGGTTTGCCTGAATATCAAAGACTACACAGTATGCCAGAAAACGCCCGGGTTGAATCTGTCCGAGCGCGCCCTGTCCATACATAATGCTTCTTGCACTTCGGAGTCAGTCACTGGGCTCGAATGAACCATATCCGACCTCAATCTATGTTCTGAGTGTGCACGATGCAAGCATGACCACGGTGGAGAAGCTACGCTCAGCTTCATCTTCATGTCACTTACACGCTTGCATAAACGTCCACAGCTCTTGTGTCAAGGACGGAAACAGAGTCGAGCTCTACGAAATCCCTGTTCTGTGACGAATCATTACCATGATGGCCACCTTTGAACCCTGTGCAGCCTTCCGGTCCCGGGAAGGGCTATGTTGTTTCCAGCTCTCACACTTCTGGGGTGGAAATCCTCTTCCCAAAGACAATCGATAATTGGCGGGGGGACGTCGCATTACTGTGCACTATCTGAATTTTTAGGTCGAGAAAGAGTCTCCCTGGGCTTAGATTTCGGATCCAAAGAGAGAGGTCTAAGACAGTACGCCTCGATATGTCCATTCTCCAATGGTCCGTAGTAGCTGAAAAAGGTGCGTCGGCTCGTTGGCCTCACAGGATCGCATTGACTATATGCTCAATGAGACTGCTTTCAGTGACCTGCTCACGCGTCAGATAGTGTTGCTTATGGCTAATATGCACAAGTCTGGCAACCAGTGACATGAACTTTTCATAAGCCTAAATTGATACCCTGGGTGCTCATGTTTCAATGGCTGCATCCCGACGTTAGTACGTTCAAACCTGACGCTCTATGCAGGCTATCCATCTTTTGTTGAGCAATGCATGAGTGCATATCTTCAAGCGCGGTACCTGCCGCACGAAGGTGTTCTGAAACGTTGATCAGTTTTGTGCTCGACCGCCAAAGCGTGGCTAGAGTAGGTCTCAGAGAGCTGAAATGTCGCATTATGAAGCCCAACCCGTATCACAAGAGGCTTATCTGCGTTCAACGGACTGGAAATTCCATGAAACTTGCCCCCAGCACAGTTGACGATACACGTTTACCCGCTTATTGCCAGGGAAGACTATTGATTATGTGTCGTCTGCTGATTTCAACACGTCGCCAACAATACCAGACATGGCTCACAGCGCGGTGTCAGAGCACCCCACATTGCGATCTGTCTATTATCACGCGTCCAGCTTATAACTCTGAATCAAGTTGTTTATGCGGTTTGCCTTTCACATTCCTCGCGACGCCAAACATGGGAGGCGCTTGATTCAATGGGATGTCCCTGTTGCCTGCCATGGGAGCGACCTCTGATGATACATTCACGCTTGAACACGATTGCCCGTTCACGTCTCCAGTGCTGAGGCAGCACATTACGATATAGTTGTCGATGCTGCGAATCCAAACTCACGCACGCTAATGGGACTTCCACTCTGCCGTGAAGACTGCCAAATGCTATTGCATGGCGAAGCTCTGATCCCCTGATAGCCGTACATTCTGTACGAGGTATGTTGATACCCAAGAATCGTAATAGCCGAGTTGATGAATATGCTCTATCAACAGTGTGGCCCCAGTTTCTTGCTCATTGCCACTTCCCGCGACTGGGGTTTTCACAATGACTGGCCAGTATATGCAGCTCTTGGCCATACAGCTGTATACATGCCAACTTTGCACGCCTGGTAGCTGCGAGCAACGTTTATAATGTGTCACCACGTGCTCTCGACCGGAAGCTGTATGATGGATAGTGGCAGTAACCTTCTGAATCGCACTTTTATCCGCGAGGCGGAACCGAGAGCTGTCATTGAGATCGTACTGCTGATGTCAGTTGGGTATGGGCCTTTCCAAGAAACAAAGTCAGCCACTCTCTTACCAGCCCGTGGTACTCACTCAGAGAGCGAACGGAACAGGATTAAGCATTTTACTGACAGGCTCGATCTTCAGCAGTAACGTCAAAGTCCTCAAACGAAGAGTTCCCTGGGATAGCGAATCCAAAGGGGTCTCCGTTCACAGTCCGACGACCACGGCCAGTATGTAATGAAAGGGTGCTCTTCGCAGCGCAGCAATCCACCTGTGTGGTTGTGCAGCTTCAGCCTCCGATGCATAGTAAGCCTGACCGTCTATCAGTTGCACTGTTTGAGGAGTCCGCAATACTGATGTCCCCCATGGACCTCATTTGTGCAGAACGAACCGTTCGCAGTTCTTTGTACTCAGTCTCACCAATCACGCTCTTGTGACCATTGCACCAGCCAAGTCCCTCCTCGATTCTAGTTGCGTTGAGTCAATCATATGCGAAACAAAAAGCGAAAGGGCAAGTTGGGTGAATGAGGCACTACAGGAAAGATTCCAACTTACTTCGGGCAGCTGTATTGATGCTATTGTATCTTTGCTAGTATGCACGTCACCGCACAGGGGCTGACTAGCAGGGGTTAAACGCAAAGAACCATATCCCGCAATCCTCAGGATACACCTGAACGTTTCCGGCAGATGCCTGATGAGGATCTTTCTGTGCGGATTGCTCGGAGATACTTCAAATGGAATGTTTCCTCGCAATGTAGTGTACAATCTGCTGTTGCCTTCTAAGCTGTAAGTTCAATTAGTTATACTTGCGACTGCTGGTATGCGCCTTGATATTGTGTTGAGAGCAGCACGGGCGATGGTCAGAAGCGAACCACAAACGGTGTGAGATGTACTGGTCTGTACTGCCTTCACGAGTCGGGAAGCACTAGAGTCAACCATGGATCCTCGCCCAGTTCCTATGAAATACACGCAGGACGGGGTGATGCTGAGCTCAAGGATCAAGAGATGTTCAATGGTGCCGATGGAGTTGGTAATGCTATCCACATAGCCGATACGAGCAGAGACTTGATCCTTCTTCTTCTCCCTAACCAGTTTCATGGTCAGTGAGGCAAGCACTTCTTCGTTCCTGTGTGATTGAAGTCCGACTTGCAGCGCATCTGTTTTGATTCTGCACCAGAATTGCCCGGTTCCATAGTGACGAACAGCCAGTCACTTCACAAATTTCTCAACGTCGGCCCCAAGATGTCATTCGAAAAAAGCTCCCGGCCACTCGGCGGCTTCAGGATGCTTGGAAAAGGCCCTGCTATGATGTTCCACAACCACGTTCTTGTTGCATGCGTCCGAAGAGATTCTTCTCCGCTGCGCTGTATCGTACGATGTTCCTAGTAACCACGCCTCGAGTACCTCCAAGTGTATTCCCGAAGGCCATGATCTTCCATCGACAAATCTTGATGATCATACCCGAATGCATGAACGGAGGGATGTTGCACCATCACTGTTTCTGATGCGAGCGTTGTGCACATTTGGCCATGGGAGATCTGGCTAGAAGAGCCGGTATTGAGTGAATCTAGCGGGTTTTCATTCGTCTTCGTGTAACAACTGTCAAGAACTCAACTTGCTCCCTTGCTTCAGACAACGCAAGGCCAACAATGGGCCAGTCCAGTTCCTGGTGCGACCGAGCACACCCGCGGGGTCCAGCTCATACATACAATATTCACGGTGGTAGTGGCCTGGTGTTGTTCCTCTGTTGGATTAACGACTCGCTCAGCCAACTCCAGTAGAAGCAATATGTTTGTGTGTCAAAACTACGGTTCCAGTGTGTAAGGCGCTCCTGTAAAGTGGCCACCGTCGAAGTTCCACACCCTGGCTCGAGGTTATGCAGATGATTCTACGGGAGCAACGACACCAAAGCTAGACAGGTAGAGCTCCACACCTCGCGTAGATTGGCCGTGTATCCTATGCCAATATTATACGCAGCTGCTTGTGCTCCTCCATTTCTCCGCGTCCGATCATCATCATGGCTAAAACGTCCATGTATGCTCCAGCCGTATGCTATCCTAGAAACTTTGGTAACATCCCTCAAGCTCGCGAAAAATGGGCTTACCCAGCTCTTCCCGACCAACAAGAGGGTGATACTGATGCTAATCAGATAATCAGCCTGCTTCCAGATGAGCGGGAAAGTCAACATGGGGTGTATCTGTCTGGTGAGAAAGAGGTCCGAACGGTTTAGCAAAAGCTCAATGGATGATATCTGTAGTGGCCCAAAGTCACGTCGGTCGCTCGGGTGCCCATAACATCTTGAGTAACGGTTGGAGCAGCTCATAACATAGCAGTCTTCTCATCTGACTGGGCTTATCAGTGAAACACAGTACTTATGAGCAGTCGAGCTTCTACATAATAAGTCGGCTTCAGGGTCGACCAAATCCTTCCAGCGAAACAAGATGTAGAATATCTCATCGTATGCCTGCCGGACTCTCGATACATGAGACAAGGCGACGAATAGACATCGGAGGAGGTAAAACCCGTGGCATGGCTTGCTCCGTAGTATGAAGGCTCAGCTCACTGTTGGCACAAACATAGTCACCCTGTGTAAAGAGTTAACACATCCTCCTCTTCACCCACCTACACACCCACATTCGAATCCGATTCTCTCCAAAATTCTTCCCAAGCCTGACATATACAAGCATCGCGCACGATGGATCCCGGAGATCTGATTTTGGCCAAACTTGAGGCGATTACCCGGGCTATAGCTGTCGCTCCAGCCGTGCCTGAAGCAGCGGACCACGTCGAGATCATGTACAATCCACTTTGCGAGATATGCCGACCAAAATCAAGGAGCCACGAGGTTTCATGGCAGAGATGTGCCAACTTGGGGAGGAATCGAAGGAAGTGAAAGAGAATAACAAGCCGAAGAAGATGCGAAGCACCAGGCAGATATTGCTCTGGGAAGGGCGGAAAGTTCTGGAGATGCTCGCAGAATTCAGCTCGAATTGGAACCTTATACGACGGAGTCTCCCTTGTTCCTGATGACAATATTAATCGACCGCCCCGGCTCTGCTCGCTGGAGAACATACCTACTCCCACGAGAGACACAGGCTTAATCAATTGAAACGCGCACTTCAACAGTACTCCCCAGCATTCTCGATTTCGTAAGATGCGGAATGGTTGCATATTTGACGAGCTAGCTATGACTGGATGTTTCGGGTTGCTGTTCTCGGTGACCGCATCAAACTAGACAGGGACAGGGCATCCAAAGCTGACGGCGACGGTTCCGCCAGGGCCAAAAACATCAATCAAACCTTCAATAGCAGCCCAGGTACCCATTCCACAGCATGCAAGCCCAAGGAGAACGTAGATCAGTGCAATGGTGCTTCTGAGCCAGGTCTTCTTGTAGCCTCGAATCCACCGCTTTAAGCCGTGATCGTGCCTGATTGTCTCGCGTGTGGCCGGATTGAAGCCTTCGCCTGGAAGTTCGGCAGCCTTGTGGATGATTGTACTCATGTACATCATTCCTGGGAAGGTGTAGGTGAAGTTCATCATGAAGACGGCACCGACCAAGCTGGTAATGCCATTAAGGTTGGGCACCGCGCCCGCAACGATAAATGCGAGAATCCAGTAGCACGGTCCCAAAACGTACCAGAGCATCCTGCCCTTCTTCTCGACAATCGACGGGAACTTGAAGATGGCTTGGAAAACCTCAAGGTATACCGTCTTCATGCCGATGTTGAAGTACATGATGATGGCAATCCAACCTGAGAGAAGTCTGAGAACGTTACCGGCAGTCTGCAGACCATATGGATTGACAACATTCACGATATTGTTGGCAGAGTATTGGCCGTAGAAGGAGTAGACGAAGACACCGAAGAACATGTAGACGATGGTGATGAAGGCTTGGGCGAGCAACATGCCTTTCCAAAAGTCTAGCGGATGCCTCATCTCTGCAAGGAAAGCGACGAAGAGGAGGGCACCAGCATACGCGTAGACCATAGTGTTGACTGCGTTGAATGTAGCCGCAAAACCTGGAGCTTGCTGTTGGTACTGATCTGGTGGAATGCCTGCAAAGACTTTGATGGGCTCGATGGTCTGGATCAGTGTAGACCTGGTGATGGCTGGGTAGTAAGGTGCGAAGTGTGCAGCAGCTACCATACTGTTGCAATTCTGGTTAGCAAGCTATGTGAACGGGAGGGTGAAAGACTGACCAGATGATAAAGTTCACAATGTTCATCCACACAGCGGCATTCGAGATCCATCCAATCTTCCTCAAGCTTCGAATGAACCCTCCAAGCATTCCGACTGCCATGATGACAACCATCATACCTACAAAGCAAACGCTCGAGTGGGCGATCTGCTCGATGTTCAGAGCCTTGCTGAAGATCAAGATGGACACGGTGAAGAATTGCTGAAGAGATTGGGCAATGTTGATGAAATGGCGTAGCTTCACACCGAAGAGTCGCAGAAATGGATCCCCGAAGCTCTGCATTGGGTACCGAGACGAGTCAAGATCGAGGAAAGTTTTCCAGATAACCCAACCACCCCAGGCAGCAAAAATGCCGAAGATGAGATAGAGAGCTACACCAGTGCCGTAGCCCACGCTGGCAAAGACGAACCTGTTAAACTGTCAGCCATGATCTATATCTGAGCGTCGAGGTCTACTCACGGTGCACCTGACCAACCGAGAATGTCGGTGGTGATGAGGAAGAACATCTGGCCCCAACTGGCAGTTCGGAGTGCACGCGCAGCAGTACGCCATTCGGCATCCGATACCTTCAGGGGAAAGTCGGCAGAGCCAGCATTATCGACACCAGTGACATCGCCAGCGGGCTGCTTTTCATCAAGCTGCGCCAAGGTCTGAAGTCTGGCCACTTTGTGTGCTTTTGCTTTCTTTCGGCCATCCTTTGAAAAGGGAGTCTTGACTGTGTCGAGTAGAGGAGTACCATGCTCAGCCTGGAACACTTTGTTCTCTTCAATCTCCATTTCACGCTCGATTTTGGCCCAATAGACGTATTCCTCGTACGTCACGGTGCTGTCGACACGAGCGGCGAACCCCCATACGCGCTCCTTGATTTGTGGTGTCTTCTCAGCGGAGACAGAAGGTTTGCGCATCTGCTGCTCCGTCACCAGATCGAGCTCTGGAGCTGGATGTGCTATTGGGGCGATGTGCTCCATGGCTGAAAGACAGTTGAGTGAGTGAAGAAAGAAAGGCAGAGGAGAGTAGTCGGAGGGCCAAGGGACTACTAATAAAGGGCAAACGAAAGAAGATGTTTGGCGCATCCCAGCTGTTGCTCCTCGCGATGTAACATAGAATGACATACGAGCAATCGGGCTGCGGTTCTCGAGCCATTGCCAGCCTCTTGGATTGCGCCAGGGGTGTTAGCGATATCTCGTGCCCATCTTGATACGATGCTGCTTGCCTAGGTGGCACTCTTGATAAGATGAAGCTCGCTTGGGTCGCACGAGCACAACATGCTCTGCTGCGATCGGCGAGTGATCAATGCGGATCCGTTGGATGGGATGAGCAGCCGAAAACGTTCGCTGACATATTGAACGACCTGATAAGGCAAGTTGTGGTCTAGAAATGCAGCGTTTCATCGCAGCTGCTATCAGGTGGCCAGCATGGGATCTGCACTAGTAGACTCAATTACCCCGGACATGCCAAGCACGAATGATCCTCGAACGGGAAGGTGATAATCCTCCAATTTGAGGCTTCAACTTCCAAGCTTCCTTCGATTCGCCCTCGACCGGTGGAGACCCATAAACGCTGCGATTCCAAAGATAAGTAAGGTGGTACTGCTAGTGAGTGTCAACTGTCCTAGTTATCTAGATGTAGTATCTGCCAGGATGAGTGCGTTCGGGAGAAGCACGCTTGTGGTAATGATACGAGCTCACCGCGATCGCAAGTAGGGACCTGGATGGCGAGGTAAAGTTGGATTAGACGACGTTGGATTTGGCGATAACGGTCCTGCAGGCCCAGTGTCTCTGCCCCATTGCCATATTCGCTTCCGATAAGACTGTGGTATTTCGTTCAGCTAGCTTGAGCCCGACCAATACAATGGATATATGCTCTAACGTCGTAGTCCCCCGGCATACAGTCCCACAAGTATTGGTCGGTCCAAGAGAGGCGATTCGGCTAACCGAAGATCAGAACAGTCACTCGAACATCCTTTGCTTTCATGCCATATTGATCGTCCCATGACAACACAGGGGCAACAGCACCGTCGTCAAGTCGCTCGAGATAACAGTCGGTAGAGCCTTGATTTCCCATGCTTCTGTAGTGGCGAAATCTGAAATACCGTCCGTGTCTTCTTTTGGAATGTTGCATCCAGCATCTTGTGGGAAGCACTTATGTGGGCCTATTGAAACCCAGCAAATCAGGGGCGAAAAGTCGTAATCAGGCTTTGTGTTCAATGAAAGGTCGCAATGCTAATGTTGGCAGCGTGGATTTGATAGGAGCGATGTGATCAAACTTAGCGACAGCCAGACCGTCACACTGAGTAAATCGAAAGGAATGCGGTATCTCGAGATTACGAACAGCCTGAATGTGTATGCTTTGTACGACGATGTCACAGATCGACGTTGACACTCGATCGAGCATCGTCCATCCTCTCCTAATCTTGCCAATGGCCCCTGCTCACCCCGACCACAACATACAGCGAATCATCGCGTCTCGAAGTTCGTCTGCAACCAGTGGTACACTCGACTAGGGCAAAGCAGTGACAACAAGAGTAGACCTCTTTATGGATATCTTTGATTGCACAGGAGTCTATTCCTCATAAATCGACGTGCTTCAAATGGGAACCTCGGCAAAGAGTTTGGACATCAGCGATACCTTCGAAAATCGTTGGCAGGGCACTTGGGTGTGAGTATTGAATTGTAGGATCTGCATGCCGGCACGAGTAACGTTTCGGGCGACATATTGAAAGTTGGCATAATGGCAAATCAGAACGCAGCCCCGAGCCTATCGTGAACCCTAGATCGTTGCAAACGTCTCAGAAGGACAAGCGGAGCCCCTATATACACTTAATTCCATATTATAGGTATCCCTACTATCCTACTCTATAGTACCTATCGAAGTAGACCATACTATTTTATATAATAGATACTAAAGAAATCTTTAACCGTCTATATTACTTAGTACTTATTATATAACGACTCCTTATTTAAAGCGGGCTAAATCTCTTATGTATATACTATACTTATGGTGAAATCTTAATCTTTATGCAAGCCATTCTTGAAACATCTCAGCCAATGCAATTACTTTCTCCTCCTGGAATCTCCGTCCTACTAATTGAAGCCCGACGGGGCCGCCATGGGAAACTTCTGGATCGTCTTGCATGCATATCAGCTTCGTTCACGACAACAACCATAATTTCAACTCACACTCTTCCCATATCTTGCCATCCAATTCCGTCAAGGGCTGGTACGTTTCATCAACCTTGTCGATGTTTTTATCCACCCTTGTTACAGGAAACACGACTCCAGGCGAATCGATGACATTGACCCAAGGTGTGTAGCCTAACCTTTGTTAGTATTCACCGTTCTTTACATTGACTATAGAGGGAAAATGACTTGCCGTAATCAGTAGTGGCAAAAAAGAGGTGAGGAGGAACAGGAGAGACTGGCGACAAAATCGCATCAACCGGCCTCCCAGAAGAGGTCAGCTTCGCTGTTGAGTTCCAGTAGTCCATATACTGCTTTTGATATCTCTTATGTCTGAGGACGAGGTCGAACACCTCGTTACCCGGTTTTGGAGTAGTGGCTCTGATACCATAGTTCCCTTCAACGCGGTCCTGCGGAGGCTCACCGGCTAGGCCGAGATTGTAATGAATATCCACACCTCCGTCCGCTTTAAATGCTTCGAGCTATTGAGCGTCAGTCAGACATCTAAAAATTCTGTTCTCACTCACAGCCAATGCGGTTGCCTCTAAATGTGAAGGCGGATTCCACTCAATCACGTCATGGCCCTTCTTCCGGATCAGATCTGCCACGAAAGCCAGAGCTCTCTGGACAGGAGGAAGAGGCGTGACTTCCCCAGTAGTTTTGTAAAGACCAAATGTCAATCTTGTACCGTCGGAGGGTAGTGAGGTTGCGAGTTCCCGGCGCCATGGTATTTCGACAACGGCTGGATCATGCAACCATGGCTCCTGGCTCAATGTTGCTTCCACCAACAGCCTTAAAGCTCTGGCGCTCGTCGCCATTGGCCCACAAACAGAAGGTACAATATTCTGTCCGGGCATGCTATTGGCGGCGCCAAGATATGGGAGACGGCCATAAGAGGGTCGAAGACCATATATCTCGTTGAATGCAGATGGATACCTACAAACTGTTAGTATAGATGATAACGGCTCAAAAACTACCAACTCACCTAATACTCCCACCAATATCAGTTCCAACACCTAAAGGACTTCCGCGCAATGCAATCAATGCCGCTTCGCCACCACTGCTTCCTCCGCAAGTCAGGAGGCGGTTGAAGGGGTTCAGTGTATGACCCGTAATGTGATTCCAGGTGACTCCACTCATCACGGTATGTGGCAGATTGCTTTTGCAGAACGGGACCGCGCCGAGCATGCAGACCTCTCGGACGAGCTCACTCTCCACGTTTCGTTCTTTCCTCGTTCCCTTGACGCCCTCGAACGTGTCAATCCAGCCAACATATCCCATTGTTGTTTCTACGCCACGAACATGGAATTGGTCTTTGAAACTTATTGGCAGCCCATGAAGCGGTCCGACGGGGCCTTTCCCAGTCGCAAGATTCGCATCTAGTCGCTCTGCCTCCATGATTGCTTGATCAAAGAATATCTCTAGCAAGCAATTAGTCTATATTAGTTGAATCCGTTAGTTCGCAGCGGAAGCTTCGGTCATTGAAGACGAACCAATTGGTGGGCCAGAGCCGCCCGATGGCAAAATGCCGTGACCACTTCGGTGGCAGTCCATTTGCCTGTTCTAGTTCGCTCCACAATACCGACAGCGTCGGTCTCAGTTATGTCGATTTCTCGTTCTGACAGAAACTGTCGTATGTAGTCTGCAGTCACATCTTTCTGTGACTCAGGAGAAGGTAATGGACGGGGAAGTCGCCATTTGGGGGGAATCAGCCCCAGCACTTCCTCCCGCTTTTTCTTGGCACGCGCACTCCAGGTGGCATTCATTTTGAGATGTGAGTATGCAGCACAGATGATATATAGCGGGTGTTAAACGGTTTGGAGCATATTTGGAAACCTCAGTTTTCACGAAAGCTCAATCACAAGTATTTATGTTTTAAGGTTCGACGACGAGAAGATCAGATCTGAGCTACAGGCTGACACGCACTAACATAGTGCTTTATCCGCAAAGATTCGGGAGATGCAATGGCTTCAGTTGACTAACAGGCTCGTCTATCCGAGCAGACGCCACAAAGTATATGTCGCAATGGCTTAATTTGCATAACATGGTTCTTTATCCGAGAAGAAGCCACCAAGTATATACCGCAACGACTTAATTTGAAGAATATGGTTCTCTATCCGAGAAGACGGCACCAAGTATGTATATGTCGTAGATAACATTCAGTGAATAATGAACCATCACGGATCCAACCAAAAGCCGCTTTCTTATCTCGTGATCCGCCTGCACTCTACCCGATCAACGCTGGGTCCGAGTTCCACAGGTCCTGCAGTGACGCCACGGAGATAAGCGAATGACTTATCTCAGTCCTATAACCCTGCTCTATGGTACCCATCGATAGAAACCAAGCGATTTTATACGACGGGTACCAAGGTTTTCGACCGCCCGTATCGCTTAGGAGGCGAGGTGCGGTCAGACGGATGTACTTGTCGATCAGGTCATAGGCGGGCACCCTTGGATCAACATTGATCATACGCAGAGGCTTTGATACAGACACTGGGGGAGGGCGGCCTGGACGTTCAGCAGATGTCACCGAGAACGTGGGAAGTGCAGACAGCGAGCCTTCATTCTGCTGGCCGAGGCTAGTCACTGACGAATCCCTCCCGCTGAGCGTCCGAGGAGCCGTACTGCTTATGGATGAAGGAGAATCGACATCACCACTGGCTCTGGCGACAAGGTCCTTCACCGGACCATCAGGCCAGACACAGTCCAGGTGGTTTCTCTGACAGTTCTTGCAGCGTGGACGTTCCTCGCCACACTTCTTCTTCCGACTTCTGCAAGTCAAGCATCCGGTTCTCACCCTTTTTTTGTACTGATTGGGAACCTGTGGTTCAGGCATGAGGAGGGGCTTGCCCACGCTGGCGAGCGGCTTTCGACTGATGGTCACCACATTAACTGAGATGCGAGGCCTTTGACTGGATCCCGACGGAGATTCGACAACGAAGCTGAGGTGTGAGCAGCATGATCGCAACAAGAACTCTCCAGGGGGTCTAGGCACACATGTCTGGTCGACAGACACCGCGGTGCTGAGGGACGGAAGATGAAATGCCCCGAAAGATAACAGGACGGACGAGGTGGCCGGCCGCCTGGATATCAAGATATCGAGAGGGTCAAAGCGGCGAGGGGTCAGCTATGCCCGATAGATGCACGTATCCGGCGCACCCTCTTATATTCCACAATTAGACTCATCGATTTTGATTGCCTCTTGTCTAATTAGATATTCAGATACATGGAGATGGTCCGCAACATAAAATGAATGATAGACAGCACTAACTAGTACAGCACATGCTTGAGGCTATCGCGGCGCCTTTGCCTTTCCCTCTCGTCCACCCAGGTTCGTACAACATAGACGATGTCTTTCGAGAAGACATCGACATTAGTTCCGGAGGGCTATCTCAACCAGGTCGAAACCGGTAGCCTTCTTTGCCGTTCCGTCCAGAAAGCCAAAGGGCAAGATCGATCCTACTCGCGCGAGCCGCGCTGAGTCACCTCTCCAGATCACCGGCGGCGGCTGCTTCTGCAATATATCTTGTGTGACGGCGGTTGCCCATTGGTCTGCAGGCAGACCCTCGCCCACAAATCTTTCTTGCCGTAATGCCGTCTCGACTTGCTCCTTTGCCGGGGTGTATATCAAATTTTCAGGCAGTTGCGGTTGTGTGGCAATCTCATGGTTTTTGATCAAATTGGATCTGACCAGTCCAGTCTTGAGCTCAATCACGGTGATGCCAAACGGTTGCAGCTCTAGCCGTAGTGTCTCCGAAATGTGCGCCATTGCAGCCTTCGAGGCACCATAGGCAGCCGCAAGCGGCAAGATAAGAGAGGCAGCTATGGACGTCTGGTTGACGATGATTCCTTTTGACTTGAGGAGGAGTGGCAGAAACGCCTGTATCGTGGCCACATATGATCACACGTTGAGGTCGAACAATTTTCTCGCCTTTGGGATAGACATGTCGGTCACGGGCATACTGTATGCCGCACCGGCTTTGTTCACCAGAATGTCGAGGCGAGGTATCTTGCTGACGCAAGCAGCGATGGAGGATTCCGACAAGACATCGAGTGTCAACGTTTCGATCCCCAGCTCCGCGACTTGGGTCATTCGCGCCGGGTTTCGAGCCGTAGCATAGACATGCAAGCCAGCTTTGTGAAAGGCTATGGCCAGAGCGGCACCCAACCCTCCATCCAAGCAGCCGGTGATAAGTACTGTTTGCTTGGAGCCCGGCATTGGTCGAAGTGTACCGTTGTAGAGGTCGGGAGTCGAGTTGAGCAGGATTTCTCTGCTTTGGTGCAGTGACACGACACGACAGACAGCGCTCGAGCGGTTTAAATGCATTCATTGGAAGATTGCCAGCCCTGGAGCGGAAGCCGTGCCTGCGGAAATTGAGGCTCCATTCATGCCAGCGCCCGTCCCTGATTCGATTGGTACACAGCCCCGTGGCGGAATCTAAGCCTAGATAAGGACTCCTCAGTGACGGCCACCGGGGGCCTGGTGCGGAAGCTCTAGCCTCCCAAGCCTTAGGGCGACCCTGGTCCGTGGCGGGAAAGTCGCTGAACTGAGTAATCGACTACGCCGCGCGGATGCCCTACGTGGGCCTAAGGAGCCTCCTTAGCCACCATGTTATAGGCGGAGAGAGGGACACTCCCTGGGGACTCAGTACGATGAGCAAGTCTCCCTTAAAGCGGCACTGCACAGTTGGGACCCCACCCAGGCCGGATATTCGATTGTCGTATCTGTTCAGAAACTGCAGAGTATGTTTTCGACAGATACCGGCCTTTTGGCGGCAGACACAGGCCTCAAGCCCCAGACATGTTTGGCCGGGCGATGCACCATAGCCGACCACGTCCGCCCCGAGTCCGTCAAGCGGGCGCCTGCAGCCGGTGTCACTTGAAAAAGATCCGGTGTGATCAGCTACTCCCTGCTTGTACGCATTGCAACAAAGCTGGCACGCCTTGTGTCAAGTACGATGCCATCGCGAAGAGGGATATCCCTAGAAGGTGAGTCGTGTGCACGGGCGTGGTGTCTCACAGGGACAATTTGCGCTGATGCTAGTATTGCTTTCCAGCCATGTCACCCACCTGGAACAACGAATCCATTATCTGCAGCAACTCTTAGCCGATAACGGGATTCCTTTCTCGCACGAGCCTGAGAATTGGCCGGACGTTGCGCCCCAGGATGCAGCGCACTGGGCCTCAAATCCAGACAGGCGTCGTTCTCCCAGTCCAACCAATGTGGCGAGATGTCGACCTCTCAACACCGACCGGTCCAACACAACGGAAAATATGCGAGTACATAACTTGAGGCAAGCCGACGAAGCGACATCAAATGGACCCTTTACCGGAGAGTCGCCATATGTCAGCTTGGTTCCTGCAGGAGGCGGCTCGCGCATAGGACTTCCAATATATGCACAACCTCTGAAGGGCGTCCAGCCTGCCTCGATACCGGTTCGGGAAGTGGCATTTGAGCTCGCACGAATCTATTTCGAAAGGTCAAATAGCCAATTACCGATCCTATGTGAAACAGAATTTATGGAGCTCTTCGACGGCATCTACGATGGGGACGACTCCGCCAAGTCTCCGTACAGTCTCTTCACTCTTCATATGGTTCTCGCGATTGGAAGACGCTTGCAAGTCTGTCATGATCTTTTCAAAACTAACTCTGGCGCAACGAACCATCACAAAAGTCCTTTGAACGTTGCCGACGGGCCGGAAAACTACTATACGGCTGCGACATCGCAACTGGAGCTGCTGCTAGGCTCACTTAACCCCCGGGGCGACTACCTGTCAGGGCTGACAGAACTTCAGGTTGTGCTGCTTATCTCAGCGCTCTCATTGATGATGCCGGTAGCTTCGGGACTTTGGTACACTGTAGGTGTCGGCGTTCGGCTGGCGGTAGATCTGGGACTGCATCGAGAAGGTGGACGTTTTCCTGGGCATCAAAGTGACGCAGCGGCCGCGCCGACTCGCGACCACCCCGCTGTATTGTCCCCCGAGCGGACGAAAAATCTGAAAAGAAGGCTTTGGTGGTCTGTTTACTCGCTTGATCGCATTCTATGTATGTGTACAGAGAGGCCGTTTTGCGTGGCAGACGAGGTCATCAGTACCCGGTTTCCATCTCTCTGGGAAGACCTGGCCACGACGAGAACGGGCACTACGACCTGTGCTGCTGAGAGACGAGCAGGCTCGAAGCTGATTGCACAACACTGCTTCAGGTACCGGCGTCTACAATCGGAAATCCTACAAGTTGTGCAGAACCGGGAGGCTCGAGATGCGTGGGCACCGGCGGATCATGACAGCAGTCCATCAGGCCCTATGCCGCCAGTGTCATCCTTCCTACACGGCTCGGTTTCCTACGAGGCATGGCGCAGTAGCAAGGCCCAGAGTCTTCGAGAATGGAAAGAGTCTGCTCCGACCCAAGAAGAGACGGGAATCGCATTTAGCGAGTTTTTCAACATGAACTATTGGCAAGCAGTAATGATGCTCTACCGGCAACGCGTTGATTTGCCCGAAGCCTTCAAACAGAAGTTTGCCACAACACAGGCAATCATCTGTCGAGGGCCCATCCACGACGAGCGGGACGACGAAGACGTGCACCTGATCCTTGCAGAGGCAGGGCAACACGTGATACGGCTGTACAGGCAACTGCAGCAGCGCGGTCTCCTCTCTTATCCGTATCTTGCTACACATCACATTTTTCTGGCTGGTAAGTCGATTGTATTTGAGCAGCATCTTGGATCTAGGAGGCTTATCTGATCGTGTGGGGACAGCAACCACCCTTCTACACTCCTTCTGGCATTCCCGGCGTGTACAGGAGAAAATAGTGAGTGTCCATCCTACGCCAAAACTTGGACATTCCATCCCAACAAGCTGACCCCGGGACAGAGCGTCGAAGAAATAGATCTGCTTAATCTAGTGGCCTGTTCGGTCCTCGGAGCTCTCGCCGAGCTCTGCTCACCAGCAAAGCGCTGCTTAGAGGTCATCGACACCATGAGCAAAAGGACGACCGAGATGTTTCTTTCCAAAGCATCCGCAAAAGCCAGTCCGAGGCCAAGTGTCTTCACTTCCAAATTTCAACAGCCTCTTACACGCTCTAACGGCCACGTCGACCATGCACCACACCGTGACTCTCCCTGTGCAGGATCCGAAGATAGACAAGCCTCTCGACCATCGACTAGCACAGAGATTCCTTCTTCTCCCACGAGACAAACGCGACCAGAGCTTGCAGATGGCAACACCCGCCTTGGGCCTCTCCTGTCATCTATGGATCCTGATCCTGATGCTTCACAGGAACTTGGGATTAACGGAATAAGCGTCGACGACCACTGGTGCTTAGAGTCGGATATCCAAGAGGACTTTCCTTCTATCTATGGGCCCTTTGAGGATTTCTTCTTTGGGCAGAACTAAGTTAACTTTTCATTCCCTTTGTTTGATTCTTCTCAGACACAAGCCTAGTCTGCTGAGGTTATGGATCTCGTTCCATGATGAGACGAAGAAGATGGTTTCCGAACTCCAATGGTTGACCTTCCGGGGACTCGATGATTCTTCTGACCCTGTTTCCTTGTCCTTCAATCAGCCACGTAGTCTTATCCCTGGATAGCTCGCAATCACCACCGCCACCCGAGCGCACAGCCTTCAACGAGTCAAGTTTCGGACGTTGTCGTCTGTCAGTCACCAATTGGCCCTTGGCCCATTCCCCTTTTGTTTCGATACGAAGGTCCTCAGTTCCACCCTCGACGGCCGACCTCCACTTCAAAGACTCCGATGTTATAGCGTACCATACGCAAAGGGGGTCGTGCAATTGCACTACATCGTCTTCGCCACGAGGAATGCGTTGGCTTATGGATGCTCGCCCACGGTCACGCTGACTGGCGACTTTGTCGAACAAGGCCGTCATAATCTCCAAGAGCCAAGTTGCAAGAGGAGACCCTTGGAGAAGATCGCCTGCGATGGCTCGTTCAAAGTCCGTCCTGCGTAAAGTATGTCTAGTCGTGATATCTAGAGGGAAGAGGGTGAGCTTCAGGGGTCTCAAGTGCCGGCTTCTTTGTTGATCGTCGAGAAGGGCACGAAATGATCTCTCCGGCCAGTGGTTTGCAAAACGGCGTGACTGTGACCCTGACTGTGGATGCAAAGGTGGTAGCGGCACTGTCGAGCAAGGGTTTGAAGATGTCAGGGCAAAGATGACCGCGGCAGCGTACGGATCGGCATAGACATTGGCCTCGGCCAGAGGGGTCGTGTTTCCCGGCACGTCGACGGCACCGCCCATGAAAACGACTTCTTTACAGCGGGAGAATGATTCGGCGTCTTCCATGGCCGCCATGGCACAGTTGGTCAGAGGTCCAATGGCCACGATGGTGACGGTGTCTGGTGGGTGAGCCTTCAGAATTCTCAGCATCTCCTCGTGCGCCGGAGCTCGCGAAACCTGCAATGGCAACGCCGACGGCAACGTGCCAACACCTGGCTCTTCTGGGGCATCTGATGGCACTGGCAAGTTGAAAAGGGCACACCACTCCGGGGGCGGTGAACATTCCGGCATCTGTTTTGTTCGTGCTTAGTACAAGGTCTCACTCGGCCCGCCGATGGGCGCTTGGAAATCCAAAGATGGGGGGTGATACCGTGGAGTGCGCTCCTCCCAGGCCGTCCACCCCATGAAACTCATCACAATTGTGGACGTGGTCTGCCAAAGGCTGTTCGGCACCCACTGCGACAATGGGCTTGTTGTTCTCTCCATGCTTGGACACCAGAAGGGAGTGGCTTTTGCCGTGCGTACGCCGCCATTCTGACTCCTTTTGGACAACGAAAAACAGGGAGAGTAGATTGCGGAGACAGCTGCAACCGTTGCGCGTGCGGCCGTCAGCATTTGACCTGAGGGAAAGCGAGGGGAACAGGAGGCGTTTATCGTCTCTGGGACTGGTATATCCGTACATATCCGTACGTACATACGTACCTCTTCACGTCAATGTTGCCGAATGTGACGGACAGCAGGAGAATCTCTACTTCTTCCGATTGCACTGCAAGGGCCAGGAGGATGGCTAGGACGTCGTCGATTCCGGGATCTGTGTCTATGATGATCTTCTTCCGGGTCATTTTTCGGACTGGAACAGGTCTTGGAAGAAAGGCGTCCCCTAGTGGTATGTCCTGCAACTTGGGTTGAGATGTCAACAAAGAAGTACGAGGGATGGATAATTTGCTCGGGGGCAGAGAACAGTGAAGTCGGCAAATTTAGCCTACAGCGAGGCTGTCCGAGTTTTGTTTCCAATACTATGGCTCGAGAAATTCCAATGATAGACCGGACTCGGTTGCCGACGTCTTTGCTAGAAAATCCTCCACACGCGCGCCCCCCTGGACTATCAGACTACCAGTGCGGACGGTCGCGACGACCGATACGCGCTGTTACTATCATAACTAAAGCTGTCCATCCAATCTGTCGCCTTCAAGTTCGTTCTTTCGTCCATCCAACCTGGTAGCTGCTGCTATCTGTGATAAAGAGCCAGCCCCCGCCGCAAATGATTTCGGTGTCGACCCGGTTGGTCCGGTTGGAACCGAACAGGCTCAAACCGGCATAGGCCAGACGAGGCTGCGGGGGGCCTGATTGCAGTATCCATACGTCTATGGGCACACAGACCCCATATCCCGCGTGCCCGTGGTAAGTCACTTGGTTTCCGTTGTTCGAAGAGGGGGGGGGCCGGCGTGTGGCCATGTCCGATCCAATGTCGTTCTCACGTTGATAAGCATCACCTTCTCGACACAAGCGGCCAACGAGTTTGTGGCATATCTTATCAACAGCTGGTCCCCAAGGGCCAGCCCAGCATCGTATGGTATAGAAAGGGCCTGGCCAGACAGATGGCGGAAAATGCTTGAACTGAAAACTCGGCCCTTTTTTGTCTTTCTCTTTCTCCTTTACCATGGTCGAGCAGCCCGAAGTTCATCGCCTTGCAGTCAATTCATCTGCCGAGAATAATACCTACCGCCACCACAACATGACGATGACGGACTCGAAGAGCGCCAGCGCCAGCAGCAGCGACGAACACCTTGTCACTACTGCGAATTACTCCTCCGATCCGGAGAAGTTTGAACATGGATACCCACCAAAGCAGACGAGTCAAGTTCTTGTCGACAGCGAGCCGTCTGACCCCGAAGCGTCGGACAAGCCAGCATCCCGCAGCAACAACAACAACAACAACAACAACATCCAGGAGGGATCCCTCATATCCGGCGACGACCGGAAATGGGGCCGGTTCTCCTTCTTGTATCGACATGGCAACAGACTCATCTTCATGGCGATATATGCCCTTTTCACCGCGTAAGTTTTCTTGGAGCGAACCTGCCGGTGTACATATATACGCGAAAACTGACAACACTTCAAGATGGTGGATCTTTGGACTCTGCAAGCATCGGGAACGTGGCTGGGTGGTCCTCTTTTTGATCTGGCTTTCCTTCACCGTCCGCCTCATCTTCTTCTACCTGCCGAGCAGTCGAGTTCTGCATGCGGCGCAGTTTGTGTGGCTGAACACCGTGCCTCACATGATCAAACCGATCCCCGTGAGGCTGAGGACCTGGGCCGCAGGTGCCGCCACGGCAGTCATCATCATCATCGTTGCCTTGGAGCCGCATAACCTTCCCGGGGAAGAACGCATTGATCGGGTCATCAGTCTCATCGGCCTGGGCCTGTGCATCTTCGCTCTCTGGGCCACTTCCAGGCATCGGTCTCAGGTCGTGTGGCACACCGTCATTGTCGGCATGTTGGCGCAGTTTATCATTGCCTTGTTCGTCCTCCGCACGGGTGTCGGGTTTTCCATCTTCAACTTCCTCGCTCAGCTGGCGAGGGAGCTCCTCGGATACGCCAAAACTTCCGGCATGGCCTTTTTGACCTCTGACAGCTTCGTTGCTGGCGCCGGCGGCTACTTTTACCTGGTCGGAGTGCTTCCTTGCATTGCATTGTTCGTCGCCATTGTGAATTTGGTAAGACCCCTCCCCAACGCACGCACCCCTGGCCAATCGAGCGAGACGGTGAAGGGGATCGATTTCGAATGAAAAGAAAAGCTGGCTGACACGCAAAAACTCTATTTGTAGTTGATCTACTGGGGCACCATCCAATGGGTTGTCGGCAAGGCCGCGGCGGCTTTCTTCTGGATCATGAAGGTCTCGGGAGCGGAAGCGCTGGTGGCCGCGGCGTCACCCTTCCTCGGGCAAGGAGAATCCGCGGCCCTGATCAAACAGCTCGTCCCTTACCTGACCAGGGCCGAGTTCCACCAAGTCATGTGTTCAGGCTTCGCCACGGTGTCGGGCAGCGGCCTGGCCGGCTACATCGCGCTGGGGGTGAACGCCCAACCACTCATCTGCTCTTGCGCCATGTCGATCCCGGCGTCTCTGGCCATCTCCAAGCTGCGATACCCGGAAACGGAACAGACGCTGACGGCCCACGGCTTCGTCGCCCCCGAGAACCCGGCAGATGAGAAGCCGGTCAATTTCCTGCACGCGGCGTCGCAGGGCGCCTGGCAAGGCATCAAGATCGCCGCTATCATCGGCGCAAACCTCCTGGTGGTCATCTCTCTGATCGGGGTCATCAACGGCCTGTTGGGCTGGTGGGGTCGATATTGGGGGATCCACCATCTCACCTTGGAACTGATCTTGGGATACATCTTTTATCCCGTGGCTTTCTTCCTGGGCGTACCCCGTAACGACGATCTGTTCAAGGTCAGCCGTCTGATTGGAACCAAAGTCATTGTGGTAAGTTGTGCCTCACCATCTCAGTTCAAACAAGCTGACATGTGTGATAAGAATGAATATGTTGCATACTCCAGCTTTCAGACCGATCCGTACTATTTGGCCATGTCCGCTCGGTCAAGGTTGATCGTGACATTTGCTCTGTGTGGATTCGGAAACATCGGCTCGCTCGGCATTCAGATTGGTGTTCTTTCCCAGCTTTGCAATGATTCCCGCGTCAAGGATATCAGCAGGGTGGCCATGAGTGCCCTGGTCGCCGGCGTCATTTCCACCTTGACCAGTGCCTCGATCGCCGGTCTCTTGTTGACGGAAGAGACTGCTGCCAAGTTTATGTAAACCTCTATGACAACATATATAGGTGTGGTGTGGTCTAGTTGGTCTGTCTAGCTCGTTCCTCTACGGACCCATATTGCATAGAAAGGGGATCTTACCTTCCTATCTGTTTGCCAGAAGAACTATGAGAGTCAACCACACCATAAGCTACATGAAAGAAGAAATAGACCGAACAATTACTACTAACTCCATCCCGGATAGATCCGAGAAACCTTGGCCGCTTCGGACCAGCCAAACCCGATCTGAGATGTAGTACTAGACACATGAAGTCTGGCCGACTTTCCGATAGCGAAGGACATAATTCTTAGGACTAAAAGGGTCTTCTGGAATATTGACACAAAAACACCTAGACAGGGATTGATAAGGATTGCCACGGTGTCCGGCATTCATCAAAAGGGCCCAGCGAGCAATCGCCCAAAGATATCGATTATATAACTGTTTCGCACACCGAGTAAGTCACTACTGTGCACAAAGGGGGAGATATTCTCAGCGGTAGAGATCCACAATACATCTCAGGATGTTAGCCAGCTGTCTGATATCAAAAACAAAGGTCCAGATGCACAATCAGAGAACACCTGGAAGAGGGAGCCTACCCGGTAGGTTAGAAAGACTCCTGTATGTGTGTTGTCTCTACCTCTACCCTACTAAACCGCGGCGGGAAGGGATCGAACCCGCGTCCTACTCAAGTATCCTGGCGCGTAGCGTCGATTTCCCCGTCTCTCGTTGGCCGTCGTCCGCGCGTAGCGTGAATTTCGGGGTCCACCTGCGTAGCGTGGATTTTTCGTGTAGCGTGATCCCGCAGCCTCGCCCGGCCGAGTGCAGCCTCGCGGGGCGGCCGAGTCGTTTGTCGGTCGCGTTCCCCAAACCCGTCACGAACCGCAGGTCTGGAGGCACGGCCCTCCTGGTCAAGTATTCCACCTACCTACCATGACGTCTCCCGCATGGCTCCAGGAGCTAGGCTTCGCCCTTAGTCAACCTGAGTCTGCACTCATTTGTCGTTCGTGTCAATATGCCATCTCCTGTTGTCCTCGATCGATCCAGCAACATTTGATGACTGTCCATCGTTACTCGTCCGAGGCATGTCGATCAGCTCTAGACCGGCTTGGGCATGTTACCGTCGCCGATCTGCCTCGACTTCAACCTCGCCCGGACGAGTCGCACGAGGATCCCCTTCTACGAACGACGCCCGGGTTTAGCTGTCTCCATTGCCCCTTTCGGACCAGCAGTGAGCAGCTTCTGTGGCGTCATCTGTCTTCTCAACACCAAATCGCTCGGACCGAGGCCACTGTCAGTCAAGATTATCAGTGTGTCTTACTCCAGCAATGGGCGATCTCTGGTTCCACCGCACGTCGACCCTGGATCGTAACTACTAATCATCCTATCACTGTCACTGTCACCAGCACCGCGTCTCGAAAACGTAAACGGTCTACATGGACGCACAAGAAACAGCCACGACCAAGAAAAGCGACGATCCAGGCGCGGATCTGGCTCGAGCCTGCGAGCTCCACACCGTCGGCCCTTCTTTCCTCGATTCATCAGGAAGAACATAGACGACTAGCTTCGAATCATACCATCCCGCTCCTCGAGCAACAGACCATCCAGGCCCCATCGCCATGGTACGAGCGAACTGGATGGCTCACGACATTTGCCAAGCTCCCTCGAGATGTCCTTCTCACAATGACGCTCCTGCCAACCAAATTGTCACGAACCTCTGGCCTTATTCTCGGCCGACTTCGAGGGGATCAAGCCCGCACGAGCCAGCCTCTCGAGCTCTAGAGTTCGCCCGAGGACGAAAGTCGGATCCATTCCGTGCTCGCCGCCGTGGACGAGATGTTTGACCGGTGTGAGGATACTGTGCGCGGAACCGCTCACCCATTCCTCTGTTGGCTGCGAAGTCAACAGGTCGACCAGCCTTTCAAGCGCCCCTTTCAACTTGTCGCGCGTGACTCAACTCGACATCGATACCGCCGGTATTGGAAGAGATGCCTCGCGTTCTGTTTACGGTACGGTCAACTAACGGAGAGCGCTCGATGCCTGCTCCTGGTCCCAGTAACCCAAGAAGAATAGCTTCTCCTTCAGGAGATTTACAATCTCAGTATTATTAGATGTAGTTCTAGCAGCCCTGAAGATCAAGATCCTGATCCGAGAGAGGAAGATAATGACGACCACCCGGAGATTAGCGACGAAGACGAGGAGAGCGACGAAGATATTGACAGCGAGGATGAATTGGACAGTGGCGACGAGTCGGACTACTCGCCCACTACTGATGACACTATCGAGGAGGATGAGCGACCTAGCGGCCAAGTGATTCGTCTAGTCAAATCATCTCCGGCCATCGCTGACCTCGTCTTCCAGCTCAGCGTGTCCTGGTGCACACAGCCGTTTACCAATGGAAAGGCTGACTCGACCATCCTCGGGTTTATCAGTGGTGTCTTTGGATTTACCTCAGAGGGGAGGGGATATCAACGACCGCGCGCGTACACCCCTACTCTCTCCGCGTTGATACATCTCCAGCTCCTGATATTCCTCGAGTATGCGCGACCGGTTCAAGACTCTCTATCACCTAGGATTTCTGTTCGACCGCCACAGGAGCGGCACACCTCACTCCAGCACATCCGCCGTCGATATACTTGTCTTGGCTGCCTGACCCCTATCGCGGAGTTCTACAGTCTCCGTCAGTATGGCCGGCGGCTGGCCAGCTCAGATGGACCGGCATTTTTTGTCCGTTGGAGTGATGACGGGCAGACCTTGTTCTTCACCGAGTACCAACTATCTCTCACATCTTTTCGCGAATTGACACATCATTTGCTGGAACAGGCCTTGGTGCTGGGTGGTACATTGATGGGCGGGTGGTCTCCTCCGTGCGACCTCCAGGCCATTCGAGATCTCGTCTCCCAATCTGCCCCTGGATACTCGTTTGTTAACGATCCACGAAATGGGCTTCGGACCGCCTATCTCCAGCTTTCCTCGCGTTTGTGTGAACAGGGCCCCGCACCACTGATTGAGTGTGACCAGTGGGTGAAGCATCGTGTCTGGCAATACCTCCGAGAGCACGAGAACTTTTTGGCCGTCCTGCTCCAAGTCTTTTTTCTATGCAGTGGTCAGGTGCCCCGCGTCAAGACACTCCTATCACTCGAGGCGCGGAACGGGCCAGCCAGCGCTCGCGGAATCTATGTCTATGGCGGTGCCATCACGTACATTACACATTCTCACAAGGCACAACGTTCGACCGGCCAGGAATTTCACGTCGCACACTTCCTACCGCCGTTGGTTGGTCGCCTCGTGTATTACTACATGGTATTCATCCGTCCATTCGTGGATCTATTACTACGGCAATACCTCCATGTCACAACCACCAGTTACATATTCGCCTCTAACCCATTCACTGCTCAACAACAAGTCCCTCGGCTCTGGGAAACCGGTGACCTAACTCGTTGGCTACGTCGAAGTAGTCAATCGTGTATTGGCGTTCCCCTCGCGACCCAAGTGTCCCGTCAGGTCACCGTCGCCATCAGTGAAAAACATCTTCGGGGCCTAATGGTCCCCACGGATGTCTACCGTGACATGGGTCCGGGCAGCCAGAAGATGCCACGGTGCACAAGGAAACCTCTACAGGAGATGACGGAAGAACCGAACAGGGTGTCGAGTCCCTAGATGATCAAGGACCTCCTGAGGAGTCAACGTCCCATCCAACATCTCCGCCTCAACCAGACACCCCAACATCTCAGCCTCAACCGGAGTCAAATGGCAAGGATACATCTCCGCCTCGACTAGACACCCAAACATATCAGCCTCAACCGCAGCCTAGGCGCAAGCAAACATCTCCAACTCGACCAGAAAACCAAACATCTCAGCCTCAACCGCAGCCTAGGCGCAGGCAAACATCTCAGCATCTACCGGAGCCAAAACCCAAGCAAAGTCTGCCTCAACCGGTGCCCAAGCGTCAGCAACCATTTGAGCCTCTACCAGTGTCCCATCGGAAGCTGAGGGCTAGGCCAGCGGCGCACCCTACGTTAGAGCAGGGCCACGACGACTCAGATGGAGGGCCGGATGATTCCCAAGAGGACGAAACTCAGGATGGTTCCGAGTACGGAGACAAGGAACTTGTTAGAGGAGACGATGCTGAACACGACCGGGAGGAGACACCACTACCATCATCGTTGCAAGAGCAAGTCCCCGAAAAGTTCAAAGTTCGCCCTCAACCACTACCATCTTGGGAAGAGTCAGGCAGGGTTAGTGGTATAGGTGACTTACAGCTATTCAACTGCCACGACGACGACCCTGAACAGGTCGGGGACATGAATGATGATCAGAAAGCCACTGCGACCGACGAGGCGGACGATTTGACACAGTACCCATACGGCGAAGATCAAGCGACCAAAGCTATGCAAGATGCAATGAACGCCCAACACGAGAAAATGATGCATATGAGTGAGGACCTACTGCGGGAAATGTGCATATTCTACAAAATTGACATCGACAAAGCCAAACGCCACGATAGCACATCTATGATCAGAGGAATGCGCCGTCCAGTCAAGGTCTACCAATCTACGGGGCGTATTTTGTGCTACGAACGGAAAGACGGCGTTTCTTTGATAAGACTGGGAATTCAGTACCCTCGTCCGGCAACACCATCATGGCAGACCAGCCGGGATTTGGCAGGTCTGCTACGGCAGCGGCGATTATTGTGTCAACCTTGGTGTTGGGAGATGCGTGGGACGAAGTCAATGATGCCCGCGAATCCAAGGATCCAGCTACGAGGGGACTCATCTAGCGAAGGGAAAGCAAAACGCCGATGCAAGATGTCCGTCTAACGAAAAGTTTGGCGTCTGTTGTCCCTGTGTTAGGAGAAATCCATCGGCCAGAATGCATGTTACGAAGGGTACGGTTATCTTCGTTGTCCCCAACGCGCTCGTCGTCAACTCCGTTGAAGAATGGTATAAGCAAGTGGAGATAAAGGACAACAAACTTGGCTTCCATGTTTACGCGCAGGTCACGCAAGAGAACGGCAAGAAAACCCAAACGAGGTCGAGAGAACCGACATGTGTCAGCTGTACATGAAGGCAGCTGACGTGGGCAAACTGAAAGGAGAGACACGACTCGGTCGATACGTTTTCTTCACAGCACCGCCATCATACCCTAAGAACATGAGGGAGACCGGGATCCATGATTTGGTCTGCGGAAGATACATACGGGACGAGTTTCACAGGGAGCCAAATATCAACAATCAAATGATGCGCAATGCGAGAGAGCTCATCATGCAATGTTACTACAAGTCTGGGACGACGCCGAAGATTGTGCAAATGTCCGGAACTCCAATTCGACTCGGCGCACGAGACTTGGTGGGGATCGCCTCTCTCTGGTCATTGTGTATCATGTTCAAGCAAACGGGATAGCCCACCCCATTCGAGGACACGTCCAAATTTGGGCGCATAAAGCCATGGAAGAGCTTCACGGAAGACATAAGAGATGACTTCCCTTCTGGGCGTTGTACACCCCTTGGGCGTTGACAGAATTGACCGCGGGATGGAAGAAGAAGCCGGACGAACCCAAGGACATCCGGACACAGCTCTTGTCGACGATTATGATACAACGGGCTAAAGGGGCCAGGTGGTTCGACAAGGAAGTCCTACTACCTCTACCGCGGATGCACTACCGTGTCGATGCAAGAAAAGACGATTCGGAGAATCACTGGTGTGGTTTCCAACTACCATCTGAAGTATCAGGATGTCAGTATTCCGACGATCATGAACAAGTGTGCAACAATCCCTGGACTGGCAACGCTGCTGAGCCGGTCTATAAAGGACGACAACCAGAAGATCGAGTTCGCATTAGGGGTCAAGTTCATGGATACGAACAAGGTTTGGACGGATCACCTCGACAATGACGCAAGCCCTTTTCACAGGTACCTGAAACTTCTCACAACGGACTGTCCGAAGCTAAAGCTACTGGACAATATTCTCGATGAGCAACTGGTACGCAAAGACTTTCTGGGTCGCCCGTCCAAAGGAATCATTTTCACAAGGTTCCAACGAGACGGCCCTCGTCGTGTACAAGGTATGCGGGTGCAGGTACCAAGTGATGGTGATCCGAGCTAATTTGTGGTTGCAGTATCTGAAGGATATATATGGACCCGCGAGAAAACACGGAGTACGGGCTACCGTGGTCTACGGGTCGATGCCTAAGCACGAGCGTCAAAAAGCGGCCGACGACTTCCAAAATGGCGACGAGATCAATTTGATTGTGGGCGTGGCAGAAGTGTTAGGGACTGGGCTGACGTTGACGAGGTCGCAGTTCGTTGTCTTGATGGAACAAACTGGCGATCCTGGTATTCATAGCCAAATGATCGGTCGATGTCTACGGCAGACCAACTGGAACTGGGATGGGCTGAATGTTTTTGAGCTCTACTGTGATAATTATGCTCCGGATAAGGGTATATATCTGAGGAGACAGGGTCGGGGGCAGTTTGCAAACCAGCTTGACAGCAATATCGAGGCGATGTTGAGCACTTACAGTGATGACAGCAAGGCAACCGATTTGACACAGGAAGATTGATCGATGGACAGAATACAGATAGTGTTGGCAAGAGCTGAAAGAGACCAGAATTGGCAAGCAAGATATGACGAGATTCCGGCTTTGTACCCGTAATACTCTCGCTCAGCTTCCTTATAAGTCGATATCGCAGGGAGGAGAGGCCTGGGAAGAGCTTGGCTAGGCCGCTTCTACGGGCGGCGCGAGAGGTAGGAGCTGGCGCTGATCGTCTGACTTCCGCTGGTGCTACCGTCATTCAGCTAGATCGTTGTTGTCAGCGATCTGAGATAATTATTCTTTGTCTGGGAGTGGAGTATGAGTAGAGTCACAATTGGCTGTGCTCACCCAGACATGGAATCCAAACATACCAATCATATTGGAGATTCAAAAACAAGTTACCTGGCATGACAGAACCAGAGATACACTATCTGGCTTTAGAAAACATGATGGTGTAAATGGTACACGCACTTTGTTATCCCATTAGACATCACGTGCCTCAGATTTGGGTTAGCTCTTGTAAAAGCCGTGTCAGACGCGCATGGTTTTCCAGCTCTGGCATACTACGGAGTACTCATTGATATATAATCTCTAGCCCCGTATAGCAGACATCACTCCGAAAATGCTTTTCATATTAAAAGTTCCTACGGTGATATCACGCCTGGCAAAGCTATTCACAAAACTCGGTTGTTGTAGAGTCTACGAGCCTCCAACACATTTGATATGAACGAGTGACGCGAGTACCGACAGCTTACGTTGTGCTCACCCCCCGAAGCATGGTAGTGGCTAATAATATATCACCCGCCAGCTCCCCCCCTTGACAGAGAAGCTGCATAAACGTTCGCGAAGCCGTGAACCTATCGCAGTGAGTCGCGATGAACTGAGACAGAATTCTTCGGAGCACATGCGTGTCTTGGGAGGAAGTCTCTGTGTGGGAATTGGTTGTGTTATTATACACAACGTTGGTAACCTCAGAAACTGTAGCAATGCTTTCCTCATCAAGAACTTCTTGAGTCAATTTCCGGTACAATGCCATCAAAGCAGCTTGTAACAATGGCTCGATTTGGTAGATATCTGCAAAGACTGCAAGTCTGGCTATGTCGAGTAGGTTGGTAGCTGCTGAATGCGGGAAAGGGATGAAGTCCTTCGTAACTTCTGAGATATCTTTTACGCGTAGGGGTATGTTGAAGTGGAAGTTCGGAAGTTCTTCCAGGCGTCCCGGGAGTCTGAGCTGTAGCTTTCTTGCTCCGTCATCTGTAAACTGGTCGGACCAGCTGCTGAATACTCTCAAGTCTGTCAGACATTTTGCGCAAAAAAGCCCCTGTACGTATACGCCATTTCGCGTGCAACCGAACACGATGCAGTGAGATTGCCATTTCAAGCTCTTGAGTTCGTCTTGATTGCAATCTCCACATTGCGGGAAAGATAAGGAGAATTCCAGCTCCGACGTTTTGTAACAACTCTTGCATTTGAATTTCTTGTGCTCATTTATAAGTAAGAGCTCGATGAGCCTGCTTACTGATGGCCGCTGTGTTGATGAAGTTGGTATGTTTGTTTCGTTGCTCGGCGTGCAATGCGGCATAAAGTAGGCATACGCAAGAAAATGCCCGAAGATTACCGCGTCGACTTCGGGAAGCTCTGCATATTTCTCGATACCCTCTTTGAACGCTCCTTCTATAAATCGGCGAAGGACTTTTGAATGTGGAGAAACAATGTCTGCGTGGACAATGAAAGGTTTCTTCAACGGTCCAACGCAGAAGGTGAAATGATTCTCATTGAACAATTCGCTGTGACGACCATTAGTGTCTTCCAAACTCGGGATGATGTTGAATTCATACCTCTTATCCATTTGCTAAGTATTGGAATGTAGTTCGGATCGAAGTCAGACACGGCGATGGAAACCACGACGCAGGCAAAAGCGCGGGGATGGTAAATTCGTTGCGTAAACTGCCGTCACTCATTTAGGCACCCTCCACCGAGGTGCCGTTGTTGTATTCAATCCTAACCACATCCCTTTTCCATTCAACATAGAAAGTCTGATCGTTCTCTAAACATTCAAATGAGACATTGCGCCCAACACACATCTGTTGTAAATCAATCCTTCTAAATCGACCTGGATTGGATCTTGTCCAATTACCTTGTTGGGATAGTGAGATAATAACGTTTGGTCCATCAGGCTCGAGTTCACCATCACGATCTTGAAGATGAAAGTGTAATAGGACAAGGGACCCCAAAAAGGTAATTGTTAATGACAAGTCCTTTTTGTATAGAAGCTTTGTGATCTTGTCTCCGTAATTCAGGGTTTCATCATTCACGACAACGCTCGATCTTGATGGCGGTGTCGACATTTGGACACTGGCTGAAGTAAGGGATTCGAGCTTCTATCTTGAACGTTAGCATTATCGTTTCAACGCGGAAATGCAGTAGCTTTCCTGTAAGTCCGAGGAGGTCCGCGACCCTCGAACTGCGTCGAGATTGCTCTCACCCGAGCTCCGAATTGTCCTGGTCAGGCCATTTGTTGTTTTAATCCGGGCTGAAAAGGCGGGCGACCATCGTACAGGCAAACCGATCGCACTCTCCATCGGATCAGGCAGACGTTCTTTCAATAGTCGTTGAATCTGCTCGTCAAGAGCACGGTCAAACAGCTCCACGGCCAGTCTCAGCGTCGATGATTCTTCAAGTCTGATACTCAGCCAATCCGGTAGGATCCAACGTTCGTTAAGCTTGCCAAATGTCATTGGCACTTGAAATTGACCATGGACTCTCAGAAAAAGGTCACACAGATAACATGCGCTTTTGTTTGCACAGATAACGCGCGGCTTGAGCTTGACACGGTGTGTTGCGTAGTAGAAGAGTAACTTAATTTCGGCATGGACCTTAATGCCTGCCCTTGTGCCATCCAAGCGGTTGAGCAAGCCAGTGCAAGCTTTGGCTTGTGAATTGCCGAACCTTTGCAAGACTTTCGAGGTTCCGGGTGAATTCTGGAGGGTTTCGAGCAACGGAATGGCCGAACCCGGTGTCGAGGGTGAGCGAACGGTCTTCGGTATCGAAATATCGAAACTTCCAACCTGGATGTTCTGGAACAGACTCCTCTTTCTCCTGGCTGCCGCAACCAGGGCATCACAAGCGCCGTAATAGTGACCTAATTTGGCCACCCAATCTCTGATGATGATCATCCTGTCCGGGCTCAAATTGTTAGAATTATTGACGAGAGCACTGAAGCAAGGTGACTGGTCAACACTTCGTGCGATCTTGATCATTTTCTCTAACTGTCGATAGGTCTGAGGCTCCGGCGGATGCTGACGATGTCGCTTCAACATTCGATAGGTATCCAGGAGCTCTCGGACCTGGCCGTTGATTTCTCGAGACTTGTCGAACTCCTTGGTTCTCGAACCATCTATTGCTCGTAAAGTTGCATCACATGAGAAGATCCGATGTCTTGCTTCCGGCTTAGTTGCAGGCGTGCACAAATGCGAGAAATGTCCAGCTTGACCACTTGTTTAAAGAGGACATCGACATCATGCTCCTTCGCGTTGTCTTCTTCGAAGCAACGAATGAGTACGGTACAGGCCACAACGCTCGATGATCGACTTACCACACCGTGAGAACTGCTCGAGTACGGCACAAATCTGTCGCAAGCCTTCCTCAGCATATGAAGTCGCCGTGCCGCTTACTGCTAATCGAACAATGAGTCAATTCACCGCCAGGACCTCTTCAACGCAGATGGCAGTCACAGATTGTGAATCTTTACGGCGATAGCAGAGGAATGACAAATGTCGAACGATTTCTGCTTCCTGTTCGATGGATAGCTGGCGTGGTGGTCCGAGGGACGAAGTTAATGGGTTCTCCTTGGGGCCAATTGTCAAAGGCCCGAGCATGGTAATCAAGGATATCTTTTGCAGCAGAAGCTCTCTACTTACAGAACTTCCCCACATCGTTCGAGTTCGAGGTGGAGCATCAGAAAGTCACAACCGTTGCATTCGATGTCTGGCACGGCTTCGAAGTGACTTGGGCAGTTGGGGCCCCCTTGGCGAGTTTACATTGTTTGTGCTGTAGCCCCAAACCTACATTTGTATGTCTCAAGGACGAGAAATACAACTATTGTCACTCGGATCAATCGTGGGTAGGAAGCGGGCGAAATACTCCGAAGAAGTATGGCCTTGGAATCAGGCTGTGGCACTAAGCGAGCCAAAAGTGAAAATGACATTCGCAAAGTGGGCAATGGGCAATAACTAACACTTTAACAGTACTGTAGCTTCCACTCTCCAATTGTATGCGTCAGAGTCGGATCTGAAAAGGCGTCTTATCACGTCCATTCACAACTATTGAACGACCTGATGTAGAATGTCTGGCACTCAATGCAAGGAATCTAGCATCTTCTTCTTCTTCTTTTTGGAGCCCAGCATTCCCCAATCATCGTGGTCCTCCTGGGGCAAAGCATTAAGAGTGCCATTTACCAAGACATCGTTCGTCGATAGAGTGTAATCTAGAGGTGCTGACGATTCAGACAGCGGTGCGGTTAGTCCCTGGCGGATAGTACCCAAATAATCTTTCGTGGAATTTGTTCCAAAAGAAGTAGATCGTTCGGAAGAGGCAGCTCCAGCGTTGGAAGCAATGTCTTCGTTGCTCCTTGTTTGAAAAGTGGAGAAATCAAGCTCGCTTGGGTGAGACTGGTCAAGCCTCCTGAGCATAGCGCGGGCTTTAGTCAGAACCCTGTGTTCTTTCTCGGCGCGAGATCTTTCGGCTCGAGCATCATCGCTTTCGGCAGCGACGGTAGATATTTGATCATCACTGAGTGAGATGATGGTTCGTGATGGTAGAAGCTCGGGAATGTTCTTCAGGAGACACCTTTCGACGGCCAGGACGGCGATGTCATCTACAAGAGTCTTCATGGCAACCTTTACACCAGTCAGTCCAATGAAAGCCACGAATAAGGGTGCCGAGCATTGACAACCGGAATTGAGTATTACCTTGTAATAGGCCATCATTCCATCGATGGCTTCGGAACAAGCGAAACGATCCATATCTGGCATGCTGGATTCGGTTAGAGTGGTGAGCAGAGACTTAACATCGACAGTCCTCCCCTCACACCAAGTCAAGCCTTCATCAGAATTCGTGCCGAAAAATTGGTCAAGCTTCTTGGATAAAAGCTGTCTCTGGCGCTTCTGTCGCAGCTTCTGAAGGTTCTCTATGAAATAATGATTGTAAGTAATGGGATGGCCAGCCTGATGAGGTGCGAGGATCCCAGATACTGCGTCGTCCAATTTGAATTTGATCCCTTCAAGAGCGGGATGGACGATCCTCCGCAGGAGCTGCTCTGCTGTTCTTGAGTCTGCCACATGATTGAGGATCAAGCCGATTGCTACAGTTGTCCGGTCCCACAGCTGGGAAATGTAGCCACGGGTAAGACCTTCCCACCGTTGGGCCTGTTCGAAGAAGAGGTCGGCGATCAGATGCGGGCTATACGTCCCCGGCAGCTCCCTGCCACGGGTATTCCTCATCAAGGGCAACACCTCGTCGATGAACGCCTCTCTGGAAATCAGTCGGCCATCACCTTCGGCCGTCTCGGAATTCGTCGAGTCGACGACAGATCTTTGATGTCCTTCTTTGCGCATTGTCTCTGCGAAGGAAATCGATGCATTCTGGGCAACTGCGCGGAAGCGCTTAACAATGCCAGGTGCTTTGTGAGGGTTCCCGAAGAAGATATCCTGGTAGCTGCCTTCGATAGCTGCTTTCGCAAGATACGTGAATCTCTCACTAACTCCGTGCAGATAGAGTCGCTGTTCTGAAAAGGTGGTACGCGGCGTCCCGAGTTGATCGAGAGTCTTTCCACAACCCCGCAGACCGCATTCAACGTCTTCCAGAAGCTTTGGCAGCTCGTTCGAGATTTGGTCTTGCAGAACACGACTCAGACGATCCTTCAAGGCGGCGATGCCGACAGCTTTCCCAGGCAAGTGAGCCCAAACCCCGCTTTGAAAGGATTCCCGCTCCACCCTGTCCCTTTCTTCGGTACTGGACGACTGGGCGTCGAAGTCGCGATTACGCACGACATGCCATCCTAGCCGAAATGCAATGTCCTTGTTTTGCGCAAGATCAATAAATGATTTTTCGCTCTCAGAGCCCTGGAACAGCGTGTCCGGCTTTGTGATAATACCTAAGGTCCTCCCCCCCGGGGGTCGAACTCCCTTGCGTATTTTGTCACGATCTGATTCGCAAAGTCATTCTTCGCAGACACCACGGCGAGGATAATACTTCTTTCCTTTATCATATAGGATCGCACCAACGAAGTGACGGCCTCGGCGTCGTCATCCGTTTGCAGCCGGTTCGCGGCTCGAAACAGCCCCGGCAGATCGACGAGTGTTAGGTGCGGCTGTGAAGGACCAGCAATTTCGACGTGAAGGATGTCGCTACTGAAAGATCGCATGTCAGTCCCCACGCCCATAATGAACTTTGCATCATTGATCAGGCGCTCTAGTTGAGCAAGTTCGACTTCAGTCTTCACGAAAGTGGCCAGTTTGGCCTTCTCCTCATTTGTCCGGTCAGGGCCTGGGATAATGTCAACTTTAGCATGCTCTGTTGCATTTCGTCGCAAGATGACCTCTGTCGCGAAGCGTGTACACAAGTTGTCCTTTCGGGGAAACGGAAAGCCAGACACCGCCTCGAGGACGGAGCTCTTTCCTGAGGATTGGTCGCCGCAAACGATGGTCTGAGGTAAGTCGACGTAATGACTTATACCTTCCCTTCCGAGCGAAGTTCATCAATCACGTTGAGGAGGTCACGATGGTCGCTGGACTGTAGACCGAGTGATGGATCAAACGCCGCTGAAGCCATTTCGCGAAGTCCTTGCAATATCTTTGTCGAAGGCTCGGGTCGTGATCGGGGTCGAATCGGAAGTCGGGGAAGTAGGAATCAAGAGGATATTGATGTGAGGGCCGTTGTGGTGAGGAATGTAGAACAGCGACCTTGCACCGAAAACACTGCTGATTTGAAGGCGCTGGCAGACACTACGACTTCGAGCGGGCTGCCGTGGATGCCTGGGAATCTGCAGGGTCTCGACTTCGCTGTCACACGATTCCTGGTCACGCTTCGACCTTATTCGCCAGGTCTTCGTTGCCAAAGGCCATGTCGCCAGCAGGACGGCGCGTAAATCCAATAACAGAGCGTGCTCCCCTCCCCCCGGTCTTCTGATGCAGACGCCTGCAACCTGGCTCTTCGACCTTGCAATACGCCTTCGATAAACCTCAGCACGCAGCCAGAGCAGCAGCATCACTCTCTGATATGGCGTCCAGTCGGCGCACTGTGCTGCTCCAATCCGCACTGCCTGTGGTGCCAGAAGTGACATGTTTCGCCAGCTGCTACGTGGCCGGTCATGACAGGTAGAGATCTTGAGATTTTTGATAAGACTGCAGCAATGTGGCCGTTCTGGACTGGCCGACACCTCAGCTGACAATGCATGAACAATCTTAGAATGCAGCCATTGTCTCTGGAATTCATGTCCTCTCAGTGGGTCTTTGCCAGGCATGGGACGGCATGGAATGAGCTGGTAACTTACTACAACCTGGGCAACTGTCGCTCCTCAAGGAGCGGGCTGCCCTTTCGCACCGGTTGCGACCTGGTCAAAATCGTTAAGCTACTTACTCTTCCGATTGAAACGCCACCAGAGCCACAACGCAAACTGATCAAGTGCACTGAGTGGACTCTGGAGCGGGCAATCCCAGCACTGCGCACAGGAGGAATTCTTGAGAAATAGGAAGGTGTAGAGTACCAGGATCGACCGACGAGATAGACACCATAGTCAGGCCATGACAGCATTGTAGGATGATCTACAGAAAAATGTCATGGTAGATTTGCATTACCACCAAGGTCTCGGTGGGAAAAGGTTCGAGACATGTCTCAACCATTTGTGGCCAGTCGTCCTCCCAGACAAAAGTAGTGTAGCACAAGAAGTACTCAAAGAAGGAGGGATACCAGCCTGCGTCCTCCCAATCAAGGATGACCAGGCTGAAGTCCTCATCACCTGAAATCTTGGAGCGCGTCCTCTGGACCATGATGTTTTTAGTTTGTATATCTCCATGTGTAAATGTAGGGTGGTGGCCTGTGAGGGATGCGGGCAGGTGTGTTCGAAACCATTCGACTCGAGAAGTATGTCGGTTATTGTCAACACATATCTGACGGAGCTTCTCTACCAGGCCAAGACAAAGTTCCTTCTCAGTGAGAAAGGGACCATTGACTTTCGCCTGAGGTTCTGGGGTCCAAAAGAGAAAATTTGGGAGTGGCCCGTAGTCGACGCTGCCGTAGAATTCAGGTGACGGCGGTGGTAGAGATCTTATCTCATCAAGAATCTTCCTCAACTTGCTCAGAACTGCACGCCGATGGCAAGGTTGCAGGCTTGGCCACAAATGTTCAAGTGTGTGTCCAGCAACATTCTGCATGAGGAGGTAGGCAGTTCCTTTTTCTTCATACAAAGCGTACACCAACGGTATCGGAATAGTGAGGTTCTGATGGACGAAGATCATATTGTAGCCTTCCTGGATGCGGCGTTTTGTTTGTGGACCATATTTGGCGACGAAATGGTCTCCAACCCGAACAACCCTGGACGATCGGTCCACAAGAGTGCATGGTGCATTTTCGATATCCGTGGTGGTGGGAAGGGGGCCAGGCAAGAGGGAGGGGTCACAGTAGTATGGTAGAGAAGGGGCTTTCCACATCGTCCATGGAAAGGCAGGGCGAGTGCGTGACCCTCTACACCCGTTGGCTGTTGCTGGAGTATATTCTCAGTCAGGAGTTGACTGAGTGACACTTACAGTGCAAAGAAAACCTGCAGGCTTGGAATGAGCTCCACGTGATGGCTTGGATGACCAGCCTGCTTGCAAGACAAAAAAAAGTGGTCAAGTGATTTCGAACAAAGTGGACGTGGCTTCAGGCGGGGCACTAGGCGGGGTGAGAGTTGATCGCCGCCAAGAAAATAATTCTTATTTGGGTCTGGCTTCGGCATTGGGCAGCAATCATTCGGCGCAGGCGAACGCCTCCAGGGTCAACGAGAGCAAAAGAGCATAAAGAAGGGATGCAAGTAAAATCGCCTTTGGCGAGGCGCAGAGACATCAATGCGACACCCGTGAAGGCTCTAGTTGCATGTACTATACCTGTTGTTGCTCGACTCTCCGCTACATACCTCCTATGCGCCTAAATCTATTCCCCGCTGTCGTGACGCGCGAAGAGTTTATTCTACCTGCTGGAGGTATATAATACCTTCTTGGCGGTTTTGTGAAGTTTGGCATCCAGACTCGTCCGCTTTTGTTGCCGTGGTGCTATCCTGTTATAGTTCAGTGGCAGATGCGTTCCTTGATAGGATATTTCCAAACAATTGTTGCCTGCGCTTGCTTTCTTGCGCATAAATATTCAATGAGAAAGACGGATAGCCTTCCGCCTCTCGCACACTTACATTTGTTCTCCAGCACAAACCATCCAAGAGGACATATAGCGTCCCAGGAGGTGGGAGATGTCGTCCGAACTTGACCAATTACGCCAACAGCTTGAGGAAGAGAGACGCCTACGAAAGGCTGCCGAAGAGCGCGCCATTTCGGAGGAGCACCGACGAGAAGACGAACAACGCCGACGAGAAGACGAACAGCAATACTACGAGCAAAGAACAGGCAAAACGAACCTGGCCCAATTCCTCAATGCATGCCATGTGCACCTTTACCAGGGACTCACCGTCCAAGACGAGTCACAGTCAACCCGAGGAACTCCAGCAAATGCCGACCGAAAGCTCCGCCCCGATCGCACGGAGGGCAGTTGGGTTGAAGGCAGTTGGGTTGGGGGCAGTTGGGTTGGGTTGACTGTCTCCCTCCGCATGGGCGGATTTACCCAACTCTCCCAACGTGCCCCTGGAGTTTGGTAGGTTCCACCTGTCACATGCGTCCTGGGTTGCCCCGGGACGGCAAGTGTCTTTGGCAAGGCCTGTTCGAGGTGGGAGCATTTTTCTCTTTGTTCACCCCGAGATTTTGGGTGACGTGAAGAAAAGTACAGAAATTCTGCACTACCAAATCAAGATGGTCGAAACGCTCGAACATGCAAAGAATCGACTTTCGAAGACGAAATCCTTGGACGCTAACACACTTGCAAAATGCCGTGTGTTCATACAATTTGTCAACAAACCCAATACTGTCAGCACCTTCAGTTCAGAAGTCTCGAAACTAAGCTTAAATGAGCTGGCATTTGCATTGATCAGTTTCGAAGAGAGGCGGCTTAAAATGATACTCGACTTGTTCAGGCGATTGCCGTTCGACCGTAGCGATGCAACGACTCTTGGACAGGAAACCGTAGATGTACTGAAAATGTACCACCAAAAACCTGTATGTCCATAGACTAGTTACAGGCTCACTCGCGCTGACTAAATTCCAAGTACCACGAAATAATGCAACGATACCGCAGCAAAAAACGAAAACCTCAGTTCCACGGCACGGTGGGGGTGATGTGGGTGGCAAAGGCGTCGTCGATCGTGTTCCATACCAACCATCATCTAGTACCCGTCGAACAGGTAGAATACAGGTGTCATAGACTACCTGGATCTTCTTGTTGATTTCGCCTTCTGGTGCAGCGAGACAGCAAGGCCAATCGCGGACGTAGACATTATACGAGGTGTATGGAGATCCTTTGTAGTGTACTGGAGACACTGTGACCTTGACTGGAGGCAAAATGACCACCGCATAAGACTCCGAAGACGAACAATGTCGCCGCCGTCTCTGAAATATCGCGAAGTCGTTGGCGATGTGTCCTTGAAAGCTCGTCCGCCTCAACGACATCGCTCTCCGACAGGTAGTATGTCAGCTGTGTCCCGAGCTCAGACTCCCCCATACTCTCCGTCAATGCGTCAGAGTCTCGATGGGATACTGTTTTGGCACGATTGGGGGGTGGTTGGAGGGACTTGGAGAGCGGGAAGTAGAGGACGCACTAGCTATTTCCCAATTAAAAGTGGGCCCAAAGTGCGTCCTCTCTCCCGCTTCCCGTTTCGGACCGCGCCTACAAGCCCCCACGAAGAGGGATGTTCGGCTCAAAGCTAGGTATAATGACATCTAGTGGCGTATCTGATGTTAACACTCCCGTCAACCAACTCACTGTATCCAGGCGCAAGCACATAAGGATGGCTCATTGCCAGGCTGCCCTCATTCTACACCGCTGTTCATGTCTCTTCACTGGTTGGCCCAACCCACCATGACTGACCGTGCCCTCATTTGCATTTCTTTCCATTTCAGCATGATCCTTTTCTTATTGCTGGCATCCATTGGCCCTTATTTGGCACGCTTCCCCGATGCGATACTATTTCCAGCCTTCAGAGAGTTATAAGCATGCAGGATCTCACCGCTGTCATCCCTCAGTTGCCTTGTTTCTGTGCTGTTCACCGGTTTGGGCATTTTTCCACTGTCTGCCTTGGTATCTGCAGCTCTTTGTTGCCGATGCATTCCCCTCCCTTGCAGAACGACACGTCACCTCTATGTCCTTCACCTCCACATTCGCCGTGTCAAGCGAGCTTCGATGGCCTATCGAGGAAGGATTCTTTTGCTGTCGTTACGACACAAGAAATACCCAATTGGGACAGTGCGGAAGATGAAGAATTGTCCGAGAGTGATGGGGCGTCTGTCTGTAGCGACGTCTCATCCGATGACAGCTCTAGTTCCATCGGTACGGCGGTCCCTGAAGTTGAAGACTTTACAGACATAGGAATCTCTGTCGAGGTGAGAGTCGAGCGAGAGTGAGTGATTCCTGGTGGGGAGGTTCCCTCCAGTGATGGACGTTCGCGGCCGCCTCCATTCATGTTTCAGTATATCCATTCTTCCACATTGAAGAGATCGACTAACTGATGTAGGCACGCTCTCGACGATCTTATCGACAAGCAATATACCCTTGTAAGACTCCCCACCGCTAGGACAGTGTCATACCGGAGCTTGATGCGAATGTGGGATCTATCTTTGAGGTGCCCAGCATCTCACGACTGAACGATGGATCATTGGAGATCCTTGTCCGGACAGACTACCTCCCTACTTTGCAGCTCAGGCTCCAAGAGATGCACCTCGGCTGTCTGGATACGAAGTATGACCCATTCGAACCTCTTGAAGAGGATGTGGAGTACTGGGGGCTTGATCGAGCCAGGTATCTTCATGCCATTTGGACAATAGCCAGAGTCAAGAGGATGATTGAATGCTCCTGGCTCATTGCCCAGGTGTACTATAGACATTTCTTCAAGGAACTGGCCCCGAGGGTTGGCACTCGACTGGGCGAGAGGGAAGAATCGGTGTTGAACCAGGCAATGATCGATCTTACAAGGATGAGCGAATGGGTCTTGGCTTCCATCCATCTAGGAGCCTGGGAGAAGGGTGTTGTCCTCTAAGATTGTGGTCGAATCGACGGTGCTTGAACCGGGTAGAAGATCCAGATGTTGTCTTGAGAGAGAAGAACACTCAACCTTCCCACCCCCTAAAACTTCTCCCAATCCTTCTTTTCTTCGTCCCAATACCGCTTTCCAGTGTTTGTTCGCTCAATTTTTGATCCTCATATCTACGTGACCAAGATGGAGATGCCCCCATGCTCATCTGGATCCCCGCCGCAATACCGCCACGAACCCAACAGCCCAACCACAAGCGACAATGAAGACGGTTATATCCAAATCCCTAATGCGGACTCCTTTGCCCTGGAGGTCCAATCCTGGGATGAATGGCAAGCGGGAGCAATCATCGCCACTCTCCGTCCGGTCGCGGACATACCTCTACTTCAAATGCAGGATTCGACCGTAGTCTTGCACCCCTGTCACTGCTCCGGACTTTGGCCCAGGTCGTGTCGTCAACGCCGCTCCAGGGAAGACCTGAACCCCGATCGGCGAGCTCTGATCAACAGCTCTGGCGCCTCCTGTCCCTGGACCATGCATTGTCTCGGCTTCTGTGGTTCCCATGTCCATCCCGCGTTGACAGATGGTGGCGCTCTCTTCCCATGAAGGTCATACATGGAACTTGGATCAATTTCGCACCACTTTCCGCGGGGTTACGGATAGTCGCGGCACGTATGCCAAGTCTCATCTCATCACGTGCCTAGGCTTACCGCAATGTCTACCTTATATGATAAGATGCTCGCCACCACTGAGACGAAGTCAAATCGTAGTTTCTTTGTATCCCCAATTTTCTATTGAGTTCTTGAATTCTGTACGATGACAACAGTGGCGGAATTTATCCACTTAGATGGAACCCGAGTGACTGAGAAGATCATTGGAGTAGGAGGAACTGGCATCGTGGTCCAGCACGGACAGCAAGCGATCAAAATACCTCGACTCTCCAGGGAATTCGGAACCGATGGACGACCTCTGCTCGATGAGAGCCTACCTCCTAAGGAAGGCGACTATGATGTACGATCCGGGCTTCTCCTTTCACTACAGCAAGAAAAAGCTATCTACAGACGTCTAGGCGACCACCACGGGATCGTCCGCTGCCACAATCTGTCATCCGCTGATCCCTCGATTATGATGGAGTTCATGGTGAATGGTGACCTCCGCCATTACTTGTCTCAACACTCAAATCCTGGAGAAGGTCAAATATTATCATGGCTGACAACAATTGCACAAACGCTGGCATATATCCACGACCGACGTATCATATTGGCCGATATCCGCTTAGACAACTTTTTACTCGACAAGCAACTGGCCATTCGATTTACCGACTTTGGTCAATCAACATTGATGCCCCTCGACTGGGATCTTCGTGGCTGTGACGACGATGGTTATTCCGTCATGACTGACTTGGGCCAACTTGGTGCGGTGATCTTCGAGATTGCAACGGGTCAAAGTTGTAAATTTGATTTTGTACAGGATCTGGCAGGGGACTCGACATCTTGGACGCATCGAAGCTCTCTGCCATTGACGAGTGCAGTTTGGCTGGGCGAGGTCATCGAGAAATGCTGGACTCAAGTTTTCAGATCTGCGGAAGCATTAGCCACAGAGCTGGAGGTCCTCATGCAACAGCTGATTGAAAAGGACAATTGATATTCTGGTAAACGGAAGTAAGGCCTCGCTCATAATCCGGAGCCTGGGCGTAGCCGCAACAGGATTGTCAAGCTGGCGCAAGAGATCAACGCCCCTAAATACTATGATGGGCGATGTCTGTTTCCTATCCAAGAGGACCCTGGAATCATGTAGGATACCTCCCAGGCTGACCAATGGGGCCGTCGGGTGGTGCCAAGTTCCTGGTAGAGTACCT